ACCGGAGAACAAAAAACCCAACCCAACTACCTCAAGAACAGCGGGTACATTGAGGATCAGTGCGAGAGTTCTGAAGCTTACCGGCTAGCGACGTTATGCTCCGTTTGACTATGCTCCAGCATTGAGTATTGCGACAACGTAGTCGGTATGACGCCGCTGAGACCATCATTCGCATCCACTGCCAACACCCAGCGACTTACTGAACCACGCCATTCTGACAAATAGTGGTCAGGAAGAGGGGCTGAATAGCTCTCCGAGCTGGCCAATATCATGAACATGATTACAGCCGTTCTTGGACGATGAATATCCGAATGACACCTTTGCGAGTGCGCATATTGTAAGGAAGTCCTGTGCAGGGGATCGAGGAATCGCACAGTATTTTCGTCAAGGGTTTCCTCCCAGCACACCAAATTAAAGGGACGCCTAATAACACAGCTCGTGAACGGCGATGGATTTGTACGGTAGAAATTTCTACACATTTGGATCTCCGTTTGGATGTACAAATGCGGCCTCCCATCGAATAACTTACCCTTGTCGGGTTTGGTCCATCCACAGCCCTGCAAGGCCACCCAAGCCAAGTACATAAGGCTCCCAACCCCTCCGAGTTTCAGCCTTTTTCATTCGTTCTTCATCCTACGCGTCGCCGCGCCTGTCTTCTTTTGGCGACACTCACAAAGGTGTGTTTGTTTCAGAAAGCCAGACACTCGATGTCAATGTTCCACTACTAGCATGGCCCACCTTCCACGTGCCCACAATTGTTGCGAGTCTTGCGGCCGATAGCGAGCCCGAACAAAAATACGAGGATACTCGATAGGTAGGTATCCCGTACTCGGTATTTGCCCAGTGCTCTCTGATATTTTCGCGCCACGCGAAGTGGCATTCTAAATGACCCGTGAGCGACCTACGGAGTACTACAGCCGAACACCGCTCCTGGTTCCAAAATCCACAGTATCAACTTCCAAGACGCCTTCACCGTCCATGGATAGGGCTGCTGCTTGCGGGACGCTTTCTCGTTACAGGCCACCGCGCGCCTCGACGAGTGTAGACTAGTGTACGGTCCCAAGTTTTGCAGAGATTCACACTTCGGGATCGGATCTTTCAGCATAAGGTTACGAGGATAGACTATGATTTGCGATGTCGGATTCGGTGATGCAATTTCTCCGTCGCACGTATACCGGCTTCGGGTTTGTCGCAAAGGCTCCTACGATGGCACTAGTCTCTCAACCTCATCAGTAAGAAAGGCAGGGAGGTAGGTATTTGATATCCTACTGCTTGCCTTGAAGTCACGTCAGGTCACGCCTTGTAGGCGCAAAATGAGTTGTCTTGTCGGCCTAACGTTCGAACCAGGAACACAATTTTCCCGACAGGACGCCAAACGGAACTACGACGAGTCGAACAAAGTGTCCTTCTGCTCTCCAGCATCTGCACTGCATGGCTGATCACCGAAAGCCCATACGTCACCGTGGCGGAATGCCACTGAGCAGAGGTTCCTCCGTGACCGTCGTCAGGCGAGCACGGAATGAGACTCGGTACTCCAAGCTGGCACTAACTCAGACTAACCGCACCACCGCATTTCCACGCACACTAGGTAATTATCCTAGTATGTTGGTGTTCAGGCCCGCCGTGCGGTGCTTCAGAGTCTTTCCTGACTCGACAGCTCGTCGTCGTCGTCGCGATACAGACACCCTTCCTGCGTGGCTTGGGAGGCGTACTAGTTGGTAACCGCGGCGGCGGCTCTAACAAAGGTACAACACTCGATATGGACAGGTGTGTCGTGTCGCACAACCGTAGAAACAGTAACACTATCCCCCTAAATTTTGAGGGGCCTCATCCGACCGGCAAAGGAAATTCGTGCTTGAAATGGACGATAGGCGCGCTGTCTCCAGTCCATTGTACCGAGCACGCCCTTTGCTAGGCCGTTTTACTTATGGCTGTTTCGTGCGAATGCCCGTTATTCAGTATACCGACGGAATCTAGCTTAGTCTGCTTTTATAATTTGACGTGGGCATGTGAAACCTGGACCATACTGTGCGAGTTGCGAGTTGCGAGCTTGTAGGGGGTGTCACATCACAGCGCATGGATTAAAAGCAGCGAGCAACGATGGAACCCCGTTGTGGAAATGTTTCAGGTCCAGTGGCCTCGTATGCATACTGGTTTTCTACCTACCTGAGGGACAACGCATGCCCCGTTAACCCATGCGGAGCGTAGCATACCTGTTCTGAGTCCCACTTTTAGCCTCCGTAGACAGCCATATCTTTATGCGGCGTATACAAATTTACCCATCTCTTGGTACACACATTCGTCCCTTCCACTCTGAGCCACTTCGACACTCCTTGGCCTTCTCCTCCAAGACCGCAAGAACACTTGGTCTAGAGCGCGGATATCAACTACACGCCAAGATCCAGCGAGTACAGTCCGCGGAGCGGATATTGATGGTGTATCTCCGTTCGGAATCGACAACACGGCTATTTTAATCCGTCTCGGCACCATTATAGTTCCCTGGGTAGAGGGCAGAATGGAAGAGCCTTAACTTGCACCCGTGCTCGGCGGTCTCCACGTCTGAGGAACTTGATAGCGTCGTGCCTTGCCTGTATGTTGGCCTGAGAGCCTGAATGCCTGAATTCTTGCATGCTAATATCGCTGATGGCTGCGTAATGGATGGTACTCGCTTCTCGTAATATTATCTGGGCCCCTAAGCACTGGTCCTGGCCTTGGCCTTGATCTTCAGGTACTGGAGATATGCAAGGCCGACAGGTTGCCCCCTGTTATTACTGCAGGGTAAAGCAATCATCATGTGGGCATTGAAAAGGGGTATAGAAGGCCGCGAGAGTGCTGGGCTAGGCCTGGGTAGGTATTCCAAGAGGGCCGGGCTTGCCAAAGGGCGTATTCTCATTGTTATGAGCAGCACCTGGCGTTGTGGCGGCGGCAAATGTGAAAGGACCACCCACCCACATCACGCTCCCACATGGGTCGGAATTGCTCCGTGGATTGGAAGTATCAAAGAGCTGCTTCCGATCCTCTGAGAAAAGTAGTGCTCCTGTCCTGTATGCCAGAGGGTTGTCACTTAGTGGCCACGCCGAAGGACGCTCTGCGAGCAAGATATCACGCCTTCAGCTGAGGTTCATATCTCGACCAACTTGTGCAGGCCCAGCATGTTGTCTGCTCAGAGAAAAGATGAACGCTCGAAGCTTTGTCGACCTGGCCTTGTCGTGACGGGCATTGGCCGCGGAGAACATGAGGTTGTGAGAGTTGGTTGTGAGGCTCATTCCGGACTTTCGTGTGCGAAAGGATGATCACAACCTTATGCTTCATCCATGGTCAGACGCCAATGGGAAGTATTCGCACTTTTTTCTTCTTCCTATTTAGAAACCCTGTTCAAGTGAATGATTTGACGTCGAGCTCGCTCCTCCATTGCTGATTTGTCGTCCTCTAGATAGCTGAGGTGCTCTTGAGCGCTGAGTCAGAAGAGAAGTGCTAGTTGAGACGACTTCCAAGCCGGGGTTCGGGTGCTCCTTGTTACGATAATCATACCAACCAAAAGGATTAAAGTTGCCATGTCTAACAAGATTGGTGTAATCATCCAGTAGAAGTTGATGTTGATGTGTCGTGCAAAGGCAGATAGCGACAGCACGAAAAGTGTGATAGCGGCTGCTGAACTCAGAAGTGCACTTTGCTCAAATCAGGACGTAGGCTGTACTGTAAATGTCAAGATGAGCTTACCTTGACTGGCCTGTAAGTAGGTTTAACGAACTGCCCATGGACCTCTACGAGCCTTGTCGAATCTCTGGAGGTCTAGTAGTACCCTTCTTTGACGAAGACGTAACCATTTCAATTGTTCCAGGCTGGAGGCAACTGGAAACAGCGGCGCGGATTGAGCAGCTGTCGCACCAATCGCGACGACGGTTGTCATCTGTCTGAGGCTCTCACATTCCAAAGCTAGACTGTTGTTGTAAATATAATCAGAACGAGCAGTGTGCTGAGAATGGCGGTGGTGAAAATCCAGATAGCGAGTTCCTGTTTCCAGAGCTGGAGAAACTTGGGACGTGCTCATAAGAGACTTAAATAGCGTGACCGGTGTAGTTGTGGAAGCTTCCGGTGTATACGACTTTTTCTGCTTGATTAGCTATGTCCAAGTCTGTTAGAGAAATCCATTGATGTTGAGATCTCTGTACAAAACTGACGTTATGGCAGCTTTTCGTGTAGTCTGCATGATTAGTCCATGAGAGGCTGGATAACTTTGCTTCTTATTGCACCACCTTTAGGGTGAAGTTCACACTCCTAGGTTTTGGCGGACAGACCTCATGCTTGTGATCGAGCCTTCCAGGCTGAGTGGACTCGCACAACATAATTGCGGAACGTTGGGCCTGGATCGTTTCCTCTTGTCCAACACTCAGCCACTCGATCGAGAGGTTCGGACGTCCCCAGGATCTGAAGACGGTAGTAGCGCAGATATCAATTACGGTCGCGTATAAATACCCCTTCCACAAGGGCTTAAAATGGTTGCCAGGCAGTGGCAGATGTCCAGGGGTGGAGCCGACACTAGTGTGACGACAATGGAGCAAATGTCTGGTGAGGTCTATACTTTTCGCCTGGAGTGTTGCTCAAAGTGTGCTGGCACGTAGCAGTAGTTGCTCGCCAAAGAGGTTGGCAGTGAGGTGTTTGCAAGGAAAAGGTAGATTGAGTGTAGCAGAGTCTGATCTGATGTGACTAGCAAGGCAGGTCTAGATAACCATCTGGGTCGAAGTCCATCGTTTCAGGTAAGCCACAGCAGCTGAGATATCAAACTTATTCGCATACTCTGCGCGAAGACAATCATTTTAAGCCAAACAGTGAGTGATAATGCCTGCGCGTGACTTCTGTTCTAACACCAAGCGCGCAACATCATATACTACAATCCAATACTAAGTAATCTAGCTTTTTATCTGTCTAGATCTAACACTGTATGCCTCGCCTTCCCAGATTTCCGAGCAGGGCTAGAAACCGGGAGTGCAATTTCCTTCTCAGATCTTGACGCTCCAAGGATGATCTTCATCACCATACTGGATCGCTTCAATCCAGCTCTTCATCTGGAGGGCGACTGGGCCAGCCTCCTCAGTTTCCTTCAACCCACAATCGACCATCTTCTCCTTGTAGGAGATTTTCCTGACTGGAGCCACAATTGCAGCAGTTCCAGCTCCAAAGACCTCCAGCAGGCGGCCATCGGCCTCGGCCTCGACGATTTCGGGCATGCGAACATATCGTTCCGTCACCTTCCAGCCTTCGGGTTCCATTCGTTCCCGGGCCAGTGTGAGCACTGAGTCACGGGTGACACCTTCGAGGATGGTGCCGTCCAAAGGCGCCGTGAGAAGTTCTTTCTGGCCGGTTTCTTTGTTCTTCATGGCGACGAAGAGGTTCATCGTTCCGACCTCGGTGATGTTTTCCTCGGGTCCGAAGAGCCAGAGATTTTGGTGCAGACCTTTCTGCGCGGCCTTGAGCTGTGGGACGATGCACGGCGCATAGTTGGCGCCGAGTTTCTTGTCTCCCACACCGCCTGGCCATGCGCGTACGGCGTAGTCTGTGGCTTCGAGATTGATGGCCTTGAATCCTGTGGGATAGTAGGGACCAACTGGGGATGCAATGACGTAGAGCAGTGCCGAGCCTGGTGGACCAACACCCAGCGTTCGTTGTGTACCAATCATGGTAGGCCGTAGATATAACGAATAACCCTTCTCCGAGGTGATGAAACGCTCATCTATCTTGCACAGCTTCCCGATCAGATCAATGACCTTCTGACTGTCGAATGTAGGCAGCGCAATACGGGCGGAGGACTTGTTCATACGCGCCATGTTTTTGTCTGGTCGGAACAGACGCAATGAGCCATCTTTTGCACACTTGTACGCCTTCATTCCCTCAAAACACTCGAATCCATAATGAAACACACATGTGGCAGGGTCGAGCGAGAGATTTTGGTAAGGCGTTATGCGAGGGGCCAGCCAGCCTTGTGCAGCAGTCCACTCGATGGACAGCATGTGATCTGACATCGCTACATCAGCATCTTGCAACTGTTGATGGAACATCTTAACCATGACTCACCTGTGAATGTGCGACCGAAGACAAGATCTTGATTCGCGACGAGTGCTTTTGGAGTGATGGTATTCGTGACTTCACAAAGGGCCGGGTCGATGCCCGGAAGCTTTGCGTGTGCTTCATTTTCCCAGGTCCATTGATCCCGTCGGTTCAGTGATGTGGAAAATGGTCTTGATAGTTGTCGCAGCTGTGCAGCTTGTGTCTTGCGGAGTGATTTGCTGGCAGCACGTGTGCAGGGAGATCGTAGTAGCCGAGGAAGTGACATTGTGGTGATTGTGTGTGTATGTATGTCACCTCGAGGTCATCGAGCGTGACGGGGTATTGGGAAGATGGTAGAGGGATGGCTGACAGATGTATTCCTGGTCAGCGAGCGGCGAGCGAGAGACTCGGAGCTTGTCAAAGGGCGGCTTGTATATATGACTAGGATTGATTATTGTCAGCGATAAGATCGAGAGACCGAGACCAGAGAGGGAATTACTTGTCAGAAACCTCCCCGGGCCACTTGTATATGGATTTTGTACCTAAGTACTTATATCTTCGTCTATCCAGTGCGTAGATGTTTATCCAGAAATTTGGACGAGCGAGTTCGGATCGGAATCTCGGGCAATTGTCCCAGATTTCTTGGCAGCACCGACGATAACCGCAAGATTGTAAGGGAACGAGGAGATCGATTACCATACCTGGGTACCTGTAATTAGATTGGACCCTCGTATACCGAGAAGCCTAATGTTAGGTACTTGTCACTTTGCTAGGCTCTTTAAGAGTCATCGAATCTTGTTCTCGCGGAGCTGTGTCCAACTCCGAGGCTGCGCAATGAGGAGACCTCAAATCTTTTGTAACACAGCCTTGCGACACCGGATATTTTGTCCTCCTTTCCCATAGCCTACGGCCACCTTCACTTCGGTCCTCTGCTTCGGTAGCTCGGCATGGCTCCTCAATTCACGTAGCCTTCCTTTATCAAAGTGAGCCCTGACATTTCTTGCCTGATTCATGCAGATCGTTAATGCAGACGGTGATTGGTTTCAACGACTACATATATTATTGATTAAAAATCTTAGGGCTTAGAGGAGACATTTCTGGATATCAATATACCCCATGCCCACATATCGCAATCGTTGTTTCCTGGACTATCCACCGCATACTACCTATTCATGTCGTAAGGGCCGTGATGCTTCGAGATCCTCCTCTGTGAGAAGGACACTGTCAGTATTTATTTTTTTGGCCACACACGTCCTCACTTACTGCTCAATCCGTTCCTGGCCTTGACACTCATTCTGTCTCGACTTTCGAAATGCACAAGTGGACTCAGCGCTGCTCTGACACCGCCTTGTTCCGGACCCAAGGGCGCATCGTAATCGATTGTGAAGACGCTTACGCTGCCCGAGCAGCTATCATCCACGACGGGTAGTTCTCCCGGCAAAGAACAGTCTCCATTGATGCACCTGTTGACCCCTTCGGCGATGAAATTGCCGTATTTGAACAAACCTGTGGTTTCATTGTAAACAGCAATGTCGGTGAAGCTACCACCGGTGAAGCGGGTTTGGACAAATGGCGGATCAACACAGCTGTCGTTGGTGAAAGATGTGATGAAAGGGGTGTTTACGCTGAGAGTTTGGATGGATGTCATTAGCAGGACTGGACCCGAAATCAAAGTCGTGGGTAAGCCTCAGCACTCACTTAATCCCGTATCCAAGTGGCAGTAGACGTTGTCCGGTAGGCGTGCCATCAATCAGCTGCTTGACCAGCTTGAAGGATAGCTCTGCGTGAATTGTTGCCGGATCAGGAGAGCCTGAGGCAGTTGTGGCATTGATCCATGTATATGAGCGTTGTTCACTGTTGCCACCAGAAAAGGCAATACCAGGGATGTCCCGTCCAATGGCCGCATATGTGCCGCCCATAGTGCCTGTGGCCCAGTGTCAATAGTTGTTCGTCCTCGTATATTATGCAGCCTACCGGAAAGCGTATACAAGAAGCCGCCAAGATTAGTCCCGTAATTTGGCCCTCCAACGTACAAATCGATGGTTCGATTACCGTAGTACCGTGGGAGAACGAAATCCAGAGCAACAAACGTGCACGCAGCTGGTGTCCCATTATAGTACCAGATGTCTGGGTCAGTCGGATCTCGGCCAAGCGAAGGACTGCCAGCCGGGACGAGATTAAATTCGGATGCCGTGGTTAGATTCCTCGAGGCTGTGAAAACTGAACGTCCACCTTGTCCTGACTGATTGTCTACAGGAGCAACCACTAAGACCTCATGTCCATCCGCCTTCAAAAGCCGGTAGAATTCCCGTAGCTGAGCACTGCCGAACCCATCGTCATTCCCCATCAGTATTGAGATGGCTGCAGACTCCGTACACAGCAATGCAGCTGCTAGAGCAGTAAAAAGTCCTACGAGTTTCATTCTGGTAATGTGGCGGTATGAAGTCGAGAGTTATTGTTGATAATTGGTAGTCTAGCTATTGAAAAACTGATTTGCAGAACTGGGAGAGGTCAAGTCCTCTTTTAAACAAGCTTCCATGCAACTTAGCAGCAAGCTGTTGCTCATCGGAAAACCAAGGCCTCGTGGCTCGTAAAGAATGATCGTCGTTGATGGATCAATGTAGTATTGATGCTTGTATGACTTGCCTGATGAAGACTAGCGTAAGCGACTCTCCAAGGAGGTTGGTCAACTTGATTGGCCGCGATAAGCGTTCGGCGAGCTCCATCATCAAATTGCAACCATTTGCCGCATCATCCGCTTAAAGTTCGTCCGCCACTCATATCATAGAGCTGATCAGGTACAGTCCAGCATGCTTTACCTGGAAGGTGCACAACTGTCATTCGAGTACCTCGGTTAGTGGCCCCGTCTTTGCTCATAGTGGCCAATCTCCCAGTGCAAGATCTCAAAAGGCATCAGAGCAAAGACTGATACTTATCTAGCCCTTGTTTCGGCTGTGGCTGCTGATTCGGCCTTGGAGAGTTAATCTGTGGCTGCAAGATGCTATTTGTCGGCGCAGGGGGGCCCGATATACTCGGTGTTATCGCTGTCATATAGCTCGTCTGCTGCCATGGGTTCTGTACATTGCTTGGTGGAGGAGGTGCAACCGCTGGTCGAAACTGGCTACCCCCGACAGTCTGGGAGGTCGGTGGTGGAGGAAGTTGCCATGGACTACTGTTGCCAGGTGGTGGTGGAGATATTGAAGGACTGGAAAGATAGTTGGTTGTTTGTAGCGGCTGTTGTCGTTGCTGAAGTCCCACTGGGGGCATCCCTGCTGGTGTCCCCCAAGCAGCAGCAGAGCTCAAATTTGCCGGCTGTAGGCTGGGGAATGCTGAGATACTGACATCCGGAGTTATGGATCTGGAAATCGGCTGTGGCTGTAGACTGGGTATGGGAGAATGAACTTGAGTCGACGCAGAAGCGTTCGTCCCAGGGGAAACCGATGACCAAGAGAACGTAGGAGCATTCGGAGTCAGCTTCTGGCCTTCAGAAAACGCTCCTGCAAAGATCTCATTCCTTTCTGCGCCTTTGCTTCCTAGGATGAGCTTCTCGAAATCTTCTTCGGTGCCTGTGCCTCCAACAATGCGATTTGTCCCGTTGCCGGTCGACGAAATAGGGTTCGAGGCAGCACGAGATCCTGTTGGTCGACTCGATGACAACTCTCCCAGCTTGCGACATTGTTCTTGCTCCACTTTCGTTGAGAGTGAATTGATCACCTCCACAAATGCTCTGAACTGGGACAAGTCTAGCAATGGACCAAGACTGAACGACCAAAGAATCGGCATGAGTTCCAAGGCCACAAACTCTGTGTCCGCAACTCGACCAATTTGACGCAAGACTTTCAAACCTGCCATCATTACTGCCGGCTCTTTTGTTTTGATAGCCTTCAATAAGGGGATGACCTTTTCTTGCATGGTAAATTTATCGAGGCTGGATAAGTTCTTGTCTTGTCTTTCATTTTGTGTCGTTCCAGAGTAATCGTCCACTTGGCCTTGATCAGCGTTGGTGGAAGCACCGCATAAGACCCCAAGAGCTTCAAGACCTTGAATCTTGATACTTAAGCTGTTGGTCTTGCTGAACACATTTGCAACTACCGGAAAGAGATCATGCTTCACAGTGGAGAAATCAATCAAGGGCAGCACAACAGGTAGCGTCTGGAGTGCAGCATCGGTGAGAGAATGAGTGGGCGATTCCATGGCGACGTGGACAATCGGCAGTACATCATCTTTGAACTGCTTTGCAGAACAATTTTCTGCAATGAGCTTAATATTGTTGAGAACAGCAACTAGAGCAGCCTCCTTGCTGCTATCCCTCTCTTCCGATTTTGATTTGGACAAAAATATCTCTCTCATGCGAGGCAATATCTTGTCGGAAACAACCTCCCGGCTCGATGGGATTACCATGATAATGTGGAAGATATTTTGCATTATCAAAGGCAACAGCTCTCGATCTTTCATCTCGTCGAGAAGTACGCTCAGTATCTTCTTACCCAGTACTGAGGGGGGAAACTGTGGCATCACACGCCCAAGACCTTTCATGAATTGAGACTTCTCAAGAGGAGTTTTGGCGGGGAAGGCGTCCAAGAATCTCATCGTGTTGACAAGGATGTTGTCAAAGTAATCCGATTGTTGGAACTCGCTTGCCGTCAGTCTCTGAGCGGGCCTTCTGGTGAGCATACGGGGAAGCGTAACGTTCAATTCGCGGGGCAGGGCGTTTTCCGAGAAGTAATTGTTCGCACTAGAGGGCGCCGTAGAAGCACTACTGAATATCTTCTTATAAGTAGACTGATTGCCGTGGGTTTCGACAGGTGATCGATGAGGTTGGCGGTAACATGCCAGTATTACCAGCCCCAAAGCGAATATATCTGCCGAGAAGGTAATGTTGGAGTCAAGGACAAAGTCTGGAGAAGAGTAATCGAGGTTCAATTGCACCGTCCGGGGTATTCGTGAATCATGGTGAAGAACTTCAGAAAGTGAGATTTGGGGAACTGGTTGGTGACCTTCAGCACCGTCAGGTGGGCCAGCAAAGGCTAGCCCGGAAATTTTCCAGTCCGATTTCGCATTAATGATAATTGCATCTGGGGTTAGATTACCATGTACTAGCTTCGCTGAGTCGTGTAAGAACTCAAGTCCTTTGGCCACTTGGAGCAAGCCTTTTTGAATTTCCAATTCGTCCAATTCGACATCGTTGAGCGCTCGCGAAGTGGTTCCGTCATCCGATATAGCCCTGGATCCACCACTACCAGACCGCCCGCTATCTCTGTCTTTTTGAGCAAGGGCAGCTGATAGGCAGCAAAGAATAGGCTCAGTCGCGAACATGAGTCCGCCATTTCGGGTATCCTCAACGGGCTCTACCAGTTGTAAAACAGATGGGTGCCGCAGACGAGCAAGGCTACTAGCCTCTTTCTTCAGGCGCTCGAGGACCTCATCTTGTGCTTTGCGAATGGATGTGGAGCTTGTCCGCCCACCAAGGCCGTTGTTGCTGACCTCGAGTGACTTCCTCTCGAAGACGAATATTGACGCCTGTGAGCCGGTGCTCTTCTTTTTCGCGTCAAACACAGTCCATGTGCCAATGGTCGAAGATGCCTGTTTCGAGATTTCATAGTTGGATGTGATATTTGATGAAAAGGTTTTGAACGCGGACGAAAACATGGTGCCCAACTTGAAACAACGCCGGCGAAACACGATCAGGCAGCACGTCAACTATGCATTTGGATTCCTCGGTAGATTCACAGTCTGGAAATTATACCCGGAGAACAGAGATCCTAATGTCTGCTCAGCAAAAAGTATTGGGTCGAGAGTTGGACAATAATGCTGATGATCTGTTCATGGATGTTGTGACATGTGCCATCGTCAGCCGTCGAGGCAATCTCGCCAAGAGATTTTCGCTTTTGTACCTTAACCATATCCAGGACACTTAGCATGCTGCTTTACGCTTTGACACCCTTATAAAACGGCGGGATTACTTCAAAGCCATGATAAACCTTATCCTGTTGACCTGTCTTCCTGCCGAATCTTACGCTCTCGTCTCCTATCCATATAAGGCTCTCTATCTGTATTGCGAATATACTAGAAAGGGAAGGTATCCTAACCTGTGTCACTCGCGGTGTCAAAACCTTATGGGCGAGATCAATCCTCTATAGATTGATATTAACTTTTCCTGATTGCGAACTCGTGCAATCAACTATCATTGGAATTAGAACAATTACCGCAAGGTTTTGGGAAGGGTAAGTTATAGCTGCTCAGGTATGTGGTATCGCTACAGCAAAGACACTGAGAGTCAATATCCCCAAGCTACGAACCCGGTCTCAGCATAACAACAAGCCAGTTTTCCAATGAATGTAGTTATCATATATATGCAGGAACAGAGTTGTCCCTCGCTCCTGTGGTATTTCTTCCCGAATCAGCTCAGCGTCTCGTTGAGCCAGCCAAACGCAACACGCGCAGATTCGGTAAACGCCCCCATTTGACAATGATACCCAGCAGCACCATTGAAGTCATGTAACGTGGCTCTCCCACCCAAAGCGTCAGCGATTTTTTGAGGCTGTCCCGGAAAGAAGCCCTCGAATTCTGCGTTCGCAATCCAAACTGGCATCTGAATGCGATCCACAATGTCTCGAACATTGTATGCTCGGACTGCTTCCAACCAGTCATATGGCGACTTTATCTTGAATGCCCAAAGGCCTTGTGTTACACCCCATCGGAGATTCGATGGGGTTTTCGGATCTTCCAGCAAGGAAAAGATGGTTGCGTCAAAAACCGATTTGTTCTTAGCATTGTATATCTCGAGCAGGTTTTCATCCATTTGCCCAACGAAAGCCTCGTGCGTGTCCCAGATCCCACCGTTGAGTAGGATGGCAGCAAGTCGAGGCTCAAAGGCGGCGGCACGAGCGGCCAAATATCCACCGAAGGACCACCCGAGTGAAGCGATGCGAGACTCATCAACATCCTGTGTGCGGTTCAGGAGAAGATAATCGACTACGGGGGTCACAACTCGCTCCCAGTCAGGGATAAAGCCGATGTCTTGGTATCTCCGCAGACTTGGGTGTCCAGGTCCTTCGTATGACAGGCAATTCCAGCCACGAGCCAGAGCGGGAACAACCACTTGGTGATAGATGTCTTCTTGCGAGCTATCGTAGCCACCACAGAGGATCAGAGTGGGCCTATGAGCAGCCTGCTCGGTCGTTGACGAGTACCAAATAGCCTCGACGGTAAAGCCGTCGGCAGGGATCTGAACTCTTTCACCAGGTATTGGCAGTGCTGCAAGTGCCCGATCAAAAGCTGCAGTTTGTTCTTCCCAGAGTGTGTAGATGAGTGGGTTGGTCCAGTCATCGTGCAAATAAGTGTCTGCACGCCGGAAATACGCAGCTGCGTGGAACCAAGTGTCTCTAACATTGACCGGGTCATGAGCATATCTGGGATCTTCGGCCCGGGCTTTTGTCTCATTGGCAAGAGCATAGAAAGCGTCTGTGTAGGTGCTGAAGTCCCCAGCGTCGAGTTGCTTAGCCACTGCCAAGATAGGTGAAACGTCGCCGCCGGAGTATACTGCTTGGGCCAGTGGTCCTAGAAGGTCAAAGTTGAACGTGTCGTCTTCGCTGAGAGCCAAGGTAGGAAGATCATTACTTTGTGCCCGTGCAGGATAATAAAGCCCGATGAGGCTAGTCAACAAAAGTAAGCAAGGGTGCAAATTTTGATGCATGACAATATAGTTTTCAGTAATGTTCTGCTTGATCCTTTTCTCAGTTGAGTTGATGATTTGGTTGGGGCTTTCGTCCATACCCAACTTTGAAGGCGATTATCCATGCCATATTTATATGCCCATAATCGACATCACCAATTTCGTCCATGTTCAGATCACCAGCCACGATATGTCGCACAATACCCCACAATGTCACATTCTCATGGTTCGGCAATCCTGTTGTCTACCCAAAATGGACTGCCTTAGCCTAATTAGGTAGAATTTTTGCGAAAATAACGCACGTTAGGATGACAGACTGTTCTAAAGATGCCCAGAAATTGGTGCCTGGAAAGATCCGAGGGGGGCCTGACCCCGCCTAATGTTGGCTTTTAAGGCTGCATAAATACACACTTGATACTATGCCTCCTACACCAAAGCAGTGTGTGGAATCGCAGAGAGCAGTCGGTCCGCAAGCAAAGATTCAGACTACGTATGTCTTAATCCACAATTTCTTAAGCAGCAAGGCGCTTGGATGTTGGTGCAGGAAAAGGCTCAGCCATGGTAAATCACGGAAGATCTGGAGCCTGCAACACGTGCCTCCAGCGAAGAGTCAAATGTGATGAAACTAAGCCTACCTGCCGGAGGTGTAGAGTCTCCGATCTTGAATGCTGTGGCTACGTGAGAGCCCGGAGCAAGATGAAGTTCAAAGACCAAACCCTGTATGCTCTAGCAAAATCGAAACGACGATCTTCTGAGTCCGTCAAGGCAGAACAGAGCCATCCATCGACTTGGAAGCCTCCCTGCATTCGATCCTTGAAGGAGTCTGAAGATATCCAGGCAATTGCGTTCTTCTTCAATAATGTGGTACTCCCTGGCCGGGGTAAGGAGTCAACCAAAGGCCTTTTCGAAACGATCTTACCACTCTATACGAGATGTGACCAGGAATCACCGCTCTCCCACTCAATTCTGGCGACTGCAGTGCTAATACTGGCTGTTGGACGAGGTGAATGTGCTGATGCTTTGGTTCCAAGCAAGTACTTTGACGTCGCATTGGCCAGCTTGCAGATTGCTCTTCGGAGTCAATCTCAAAACAAGCAAAATGAGATCCTCATGGCGACTCTCCTTCTTCAGCTTCGAGAAGGGTTCGTCGCTATTTCGCAATCACGAGAAGTTAGCTCTGTCCACCACAGCGGTACAGTGTCTTTGGTTAAACACAGAGGACGCCGTAACTACGAAGACGAGGCGTCCAAATACCTCCTCTTAGGGGTTTTGCACAATGAGATCAATTCAGCAATTCGCCATGGGTACCAGGTTGATGCGGATCTGGTGGCGAAGTGTTGCCGGAAGAGTATGCCATTGAATTCGAGCTTTGAGCTTGACAAACTTGGAGTCGGCGTTGCTGAACTCCAAGCTCGTTATGAAGTCATCAAGACGCAAGAACCGGCGTGTCTTAGCGGGCAGTGCATTCGTCAGCGAGATCTCACTGCTATTCATGATCAGGCCTCAGCTCTGGAGAAAGACCTCCAGATATGGGCGAGATCTGTCCCGTCACACTGGCTGCCTTTTAGGCTCAATGACGTGAAGAGTTCGATATCAGCATATGGAAACTTCTGCGAGATATATCCCACAATTGAAATCGCCTCAATCTGGAACGCGTGGAGACGGTACCGTTTGATTATCCTGAAGGTCATGATTGCCTGTGACATTGGAGCTCTGACTTGTAATGTGTGTCCGAATACGATACCACCTGCTCGCGAGTCCGAGAGGGAAAGAACAAAGGAGATGGTGCGCGAGTGCATCAGTGCCGTCTCACACAGTGTCCCGTTCTTCTTAGGTAACCGGCAGGATCCATATGATCATTTCTTCGTACCGTCTGACCTCGAATTCCCTAGTTACCGTTGTCTGAGCGAGCAGGATCTGGCATCACTTCCCTTTTCGAGACAGTGCTCCGTTCTGACTCGTGAGGAGCACTCTCGACATGTGCTGGCTCAAGGCGCATGGCACATTCTCAGCCATCTCGGCCATGTTTTAGTAATATTGATGGACACTGTCGGACAGTCAATGAAATCATACTTGGACTCAGAACAAATCCACTGGATTGAAGGACAGCTCATTAGAGCAGCATTCTTGTTTCGACCTGGTCCGAACATGTCTCTTAGTGATCCCATATGGGCCGAAGATGGTCGCGTACAGCATATATCTTTTCGTATGCTTGCCCAGCGGCATGCTTGTCTGGTATGATAGCGGATTTAGAGGAACTTGAGGCACTTAGTTTGCATGAACGTCCCATGGTTTACCTGAGTATTAGATGATGTTCGACTGTGGCGGACTATTGAGTTGCCGAGAGGTTGGAATGACTTTCCCCAGCTGTCATGGATTCAGAAGGAGGAGGATACCAACCCTCTATCTCAGTGTAACGCGTCAGCTATCGAGGACTTCCCGTGCCTCGAGCAGTTGGAGATATACACCTATTCTATATTAGCCAGAAGTCTGGAGCAGAGCCTACCAGGAAGACTATGGGATTCTCTTACCCGCAGCGTTCCACCTAAGATCTATGGCAGCGAAGGTTTCTTTTAATGCCTTCACAATCTCGATTGAGGCTGGGGCAGCAACTCCTTCTAAATGCATATGTGCCCAGCATATCTGATACCCAAAGAAGAGACCCCATGGCGTCATATCCTCGGGATCGAGACCCATGAAGCATTGTTGCCCTATCGTGTGTTTCTTGATCCTGTTGGTGATCTGAGCAACCACTTCTCTAGCACGTTGCCACTGCTCTGTGTCAGGCATACTTGACGCACTTGGATGAAGTTTCGTGGTATGCAGAGCAATAAGAGCACTAGATATTGAAGTTCAAAGTAAGTCAGAGTCCTGTTAATCGCCCAGCGGTCAACACAAGCTACCTGAAGATGAATGCAATTTGACTGTGGTCCGGATGGTCAACATCTAGCGACGCATTGATCATGGACTCGAGAGTCCGGTCTAGCTGCATCCAACCATTGTCGCTTGGCGTTTCCTTTGAAACGTATTGCAGCACTTGGTCCAGTAATCGTGCCGCCTGGCAAAGTAAAGCGAATTTGCTCATATGGATAGTCGTGGGTGCGGAGAGCGCAATCTGATCCTCAGCTCTGACAATCTGACAGGCATTAGGCAAGCTTAGACCAGTCCAAGCGTTGTAACGTACACCTTGATCCCACTCAGCATCATTCGTTGGTAGAAGATCATCTAATCTTGGGTGTGTTGTAGCGAAGGGCCTTCCAGGGCAGCCAATTGAGGCAAACCTATATTGAGGGTCAGTCAAACAGTGCCGATTCTCCAGTGACGAGGAGGCTAGGGATTCGATCATAATACTGACCGGTCCAAGATGACAATTGCCCACCACACTCGTCTCCGCTCCTCTGTCTCGACCAACGTCAGGATTTTTCTTGGACTAACCGTCGCACCGATGTTGATACCGAGGGCAAAAGCATAACGGGCACATGCTCCAATAGTTAGATATGCTGCGGGATATATTGCATGTCCAAGCTCGTAGAGAGCTATGAGCAAGCCTGCCTGCAAGACTGGAAGTGAAAACATACTGGATCCTTCCACTTCGAGGTAAAGGTGCTTTGCGGCATGGTACAGTGAAGTGCGTGCGTTTCGCGGATGAGTGGGTGGAAGTGTTGTGATTAGCTTAACGGCGAGAAAAAGTAGCACAATGTCTGGCCAAGCGTGGAACGAGGGACCTAGGTAAGACTGGTAAAAAAGATTCCTAGATATGAACGGCATCCACGGATGGATGTGCCGGAAAAACTTGGCTGCAGTATAGCTGATCGTATTCATGTCTCCAAGTAAGTCTAGAAATTGCACCGGAACCCGGCCGACTGCGCGGGGCAATTCAAGCTGTCCGTGTTGTAGAATCCCAGGATCCAAGAAGAAAACTGTCGGCAAGTCTAAGTTGTGGCCATGCACTCTGCCATTGTTGGTGAGAAAGCCGTACGAGAGCGGATCTGATGATAGTGAGGACCTAAGACTCTGCTCCGAAGTCGAGTATTCGCATGCGAGCCTTCTCCTGATTTGAAGATGGTGAGCCAATTCAAAGTCTGGTGAAAATAGTTGACTGATCGCAATCTCATTGGGTGTTGGTTACCTACTTTGCGCATGACGTACACTTGGGTTGTGCTTTATCACATTTTCTTTTACGTGCCTTGCATGAATTGCATGCTTGCCGCGTTGGTTCGATGTGGGTGTCAGGGGTTTGCATCGTTGAGTGATACATCCCAACCTGAATCTGTTGCTGTGAGATAGAATTCGAACGGCCTTGAAGATCCCTCAAGAACACTGGGAACCCGAGATCCTTGCTTATACGCCCGTCCGCCCAAGTAGCCGCCTGGCATAACAATTGTGATCGGTGAGAAAGATGGCTGAAAAGGTGGGTGTGTGGTTCCGTGGGATCAAGGCTTTGTGCGGCCGAGCCGCGGCCGCTAACTCCCGCCAAATCGGAAGCGAACTCGATTCGATATGGCGAAGACAATAGAATGGGTCCTGGGTGGGTTCTTCTTACATGGACCAAATGTGGATCAGCTACGTCCTCTGACCTGGTGACACTACACTCAGGAGATACCGTCATGAAATCCATTCATTGAACTAGAAGCCAGAAACTCAAACTCTTCTTCATGCGAGATATGTGTTGCAGTGTGCAGGACCGACGGAGTTCTAACACTGCTGTCTATATATCTTTAGACCTACCCTGATAGCATGACAATTGTCCAGTTCGCAACCCATCGTGAATCTTTTTGTCTTTGCTCTCAAACCCTTTTCGCAGCTGAACAGATCCGTCGCTATTCAACAGCTCTTCGTGGTCATGAGCCAATACGCATCGGTTCATGCCAATCCCCAGGGTGCCGGAGATGCTCGACCAACTGCTGCCCAAATCATTCGCGATGAATCGCTTGAGGGAGAACTCAGGGGCAAAGTTATCGTTATCACTGGCGCCACATCGGGGATTGGACTTGAGACTGCTCGAGCGCTCGCTACCACCGGAGCCAATTTATTCCTCACTGTGAGGGACACGACCAAAGCTGAGGCTACCCTCGGCAGCTTACTGGACTCAAACCCCTCCCGGATCTCGTTGGTGGAAATGGACAATGGTTCCCTCAGTAGTGTCCGGGCGGCGGCAGCCATTATCCTCGAAAAATCAAATCGTCAGATTAATATCCTCGTGAACAATGCCGGGGTTATGGGGTTGGAAAAACTCACGTTCACGGTAGACGGCCATGAGGTGCACTTTGCCACGAATCACCTCTCTCATTTCTTGCTTTTCAAGCTTCTTCAGTCAGCTCTGCTAAGCAGCTCGACTCCCGCCTTTCAATCTCGGGTTGTCATGGTGGCGTCTTCAGCACATCGAGCCTGCACACTTGGTGCAAGTGATGAGTATAACTTTCCGAAAGGAGGATATAATCATGGGATTGCATATGCTAAGTCAAAACTCGCGAACGTCTACATGGCCAATGAGCTGGAGCGTCGGTATGGTGACAAGGGGCTTCATGCTACAAGCCTCCATCCTGGAGCCATCAATAGCAATATATCTAGAAACCTTGGTCCCGAAGCTGTGGAGCAGATCTTGAGTAACGAAGCAGTCGTCAAGATCCTGAAATCACCGGAGCAGGGCGCTGCTACGACGGTTCTTGCTGCAATCGGCAGTGCATGGGAGGGCACAGGAGGGAAGTATCTTGAGGATTGTGCAGAAGCAAGCCGAGGCGTGGACGACCATAATGTGTTTGGAACTGGGTATGTGTTACAAACGTATGATCCAGAGGCCGAACACCGATTATGGGAGGACTCATTGAAAATACTTGGCCTCGAACCCGATGCGTAAAGGAGGGGCTTGAAGGAAATGGAACAAGAGGAGAGTGACTCAGAGAGGCAAGGCGAGCAAAAGTGGCTCTGCCTTCTTTACGTCGCTGAGTTGCGAGGAGTGAGAATCGACCCTGACCGCATGGACGCCGAAACGAGAGAGATTCTGGCGATATGATGGCAAATCTGTCTCACTGAAGGTCACGAAAGGTTGCCCTCATCGATACCACTAAGTGTAGACAGGATAGAGAAAATGAGCTTTGGAAGACTTTTCCTTTCAAAGAACCTATCTACCAGAAATTCCTTTCATTCACTGGCGTGACTTGGAACGATACCTGAGCAAGGGGTGATGTAGCCTCGTCAGATAATGATACGGTCAAAGTGTTGGATAACGCCTATAGTCCAAAATTATATTAACATGGTGCAAGATTCTTATTATAGGATTCGACAACGCCATTCGCCTTCTGAATCTGGGTAAGTGACAGCTAGAAGCAAGAGACTTACGCGGCTTGGTGGTATCTCTCATTGGTGCAAGCGATTTAATGTAGTCACCGAACCATGACTGTGTTTCAATGTTCTGCATGGCGGACGGAATTAGCTGCTCATCACCATTATGGTTTTCCCATTCGCTTGTAGCAATCAATTTCTTTGGTTTCAAGGACTTACATCGCGAATCCAATCACTTGTCGTTGTCCACCCGTGCAAGATTCGAATGTGTCCAGTGTCATTGGGATTCTTGGAGATCTCGCAAAAGGAACACTCTGGATACTCTCGCATCTTATGGACCACAGGAGTGACGATTTTGACATACTCGTCAAGCTTAGAACTGTCAATATAGACGTCCATGCTCATAAGAATACCATTAGGGGAGTTCGAGGTGATGAATTGGCTGATCGGAACAGCTTGGCGATGCTCTTCGACGAATGCAGATGCCATATTTGATGTTGAGTAATTTTGGCTTCAAGATAATTCAACTAGACTTGTATGTGTGTAAGATATGGCCGTTGCTCAGTTCAAGGGGGGATGAAGGTTAAATAGATAACCAGCTTTCACAAATGGGAGATCTTGATTGAATCCGGCAGGCTTCGTGACTCTCCTCATTTAAGCTACAACAAGCTTCGAGTGTATGGAGAGGCAGCCGTTGACAAGCAATTGCGAACTGTGCGGCTGAAGGTTGGCTTTGTTGGTGGCGGTGGAATACGAAGCTGAGCAGTGACTTACGTATTCACAAGCCTGAATTCCACCTGTAGATTTTGTACCCGAAGGACCCTGACATGTCAGGCTCAAGGTGCGCGGCACATCATACGAAGTACCTGTGGTCGACGCTGTTCACGACTACGCCATGGCTGGCGTATGATGTGGCTACCGCTCAAATCGAGACATTTATGGCCGCGGAGATAATCTAACAATCCAACTACGAGGTACAGGGGATGAGAAGTCCGGGGCATTGATCTTTTCGTTCATCCACTGGTTCAGTCAGCCATTCAGTGGTTCTTCAAGTGAGCGAGCACTTGAAATTAGATTGTTGAGGCTACATAGCTCAGAGCGAAGGTCTCGGAGCCCCTACCTGCGTAGTCTGGTACTTGCTTGAACGTTTAACGCCGAGAATTGTCAACTTAGAAGCTTTGTTTGGAACATTTCGCACGCCGCTTTTATGACTTAGAGTAGCGGGCTTCTCTGTCAATTCTGTACTAGGTTGAGAGTAGGCTCTCCTCCCCGCACGAGGCCGTAGTTGCCCGCATTTCTTAGATCACCAGCACTGATTGATGCCTACCTAGGTACAGATACAACAAAGACAACACAGACAACTAACTATTCACTCGGAACCCAATTTCAAGTGTCGCCCTATCTCCTTTTCTTTCACCCTCCTGAAACGTATGACAGCCAAGCTTGGTACCTTCACACAGAGACTCGTACAAATAAGCTCACACTTCACATTTTGGCGAGCCCCTCCCGTCACCGCTGCCATGGACTCCTCCATTCGATCACAATACCTTGCAGATAAACCTCCTACCGTCGTTCGTCTTGAGATTGCACCACACTTCGATGCCCTGAATCCTAAGCAGAAGCGGTATGCTCACCATTTGAGCCGGGCTGCCTTCCTTGGCACTCGCGTCACCCTAGCACAAGTCTCCCCAGAATCACCTGTCATTTACGATCTCATACTATCATTACATGCCGCTACTGGTGGAGACTACAAGGCACTGGCCAAGAAGACATCAGTCTCCGATGAAGATGTAGCTTTTTGGCTTGAATATGCAACACAATTTCTGGGAAATGCAGGCAATTACAAAGGCTTTGGCGACTCAAAGTTCATCCCCAGAATCTCACCAGCTGCACTGAAGAAACTGGCCGCGGTCGACCAAAACACTTCCAGCCTCTTTGAAAAGGCAGAAAGTACCGGTGGGGGAATCTATGAGACAAAGGACCCTGCGTTGATGCATCTAGGCTACCCGGAAGCCGGACACTTGACAGCCTATTATCCGGACTCCCCAACAATCACGAAAGAGGAAATCTCAATTGTGGGAGATGTGCTGGAGGAGAAAAAACTTCTGATTGAGAACACAAGACTACGAAAATTAGCGTCGGGAGATTTCGATCTACTCATTGCCTCTGGCATCACAAATCCCCCCGCGTCAGAGAGAGATCTAGGAGATATCTCTTCCTTGGACCTTACTGGCAAGTTAGCTGGTAAGAAGCTGAACCTCATCTTTGGCGACTACCAAGATGAGATGGCCAAGATTGCTCTTGAGTTTAAGAAAGCCAAGAAGGATGCTGGCAACGAGATCGAGGAGAATATGCTAGATGAATATGCTCGAACATTCGGCACGGGAAGTATACAGGGCTTTGTGGAATCTCAAAGATGGTGGATCAAAAACAAAAAGCCCACTGTCGAAACCGATATCGGATTCGTGGAGACTTATCGTGATCCTCAAGGAGTTCGAGGAGAGTGGGAGGGTTTTGTTGCTATGGTCAACCAAGAACGCACCCGAGCTTTTGGCAAGTTGGTGGACGCGGCTCCAAGTATGATACCAAAGCTACCATGGGACAAGGCCTTTGAAAAAGACAAGTTTCTCAGCCCGGACTTTACCAGCCTGGAAGTCCTCACTTTCGCCGGCAGTGGCATTCCTGCCGGAATAAACATTCCAAATTATGACTTCATCAGACAGAATGAGGGCTTCAAGAACGTCAGCCTGGGCAACGTTCTCAGCGCCAAAGCTCCAAATGAGCCGATCCCATTTGTTCGGAAGGAAGATGACCACCTCTATCGCAAATACCGGGACCCGGCCTTTGAAGTCCAGGTGGGGATCCACGAACTTCTAGGCCATGGTTGTGGCAAATTATTGCAAGAAACTGCTCCGGGAGAATTCAATTTCGACTCCAAGAATCCTCCTACGAGCCCCATCACGAAGAAGCCAATCGAGTCGTGGTACAAGCCTGGTCAGACGTGGTCTAGTGTCTTCGGCTCCATCGCTTCCTCCTATGAAGAATGCCGAGCAGAATGCGTGGCTATGGCATTGGCCTGTGATTTCGAAATTCTTCAAATTTTCGGTTTCGGTGACGGCAAGGAAGACATCAGCAACGAAGCGGGCGACGTTCTCTACGTGTCCTACCTACAAATGGCTCGAGCAGGTGTAGCGGCACTGGAGTACTGGGACCCGAAGTCGCGGAAATGGGGCCAAGCTCATATGCAAGCGCGCTATTCCATTTTACGAGTCTTCCTCGATGCTGGTGGCGACTTCTGCCAGATTAAGTCCCCCAACGGCGACGCGAAGGAACCCGACGATCTAGTCATCTACCTGGACCGAAGCAAGATTCTGTCCCACGGCCGACCCGCAGTAGAAACCTATCTCCAAAAACTACACATCTACAAAGCGACTGCAGACTTTGCGGCTGGTAAGAAACTCTACGACGACATCACCAGCGTGGACGAGTGGTGGGCAGAAAAAGCGCGACCGCTTGTGTTGAAGCGGAAGACGCCGAGAAAGGTTTTCGTCCAGGCCAATACCGTGCTCGATGAGGAGACTGGTGATGTCAAGTTGGTGGAGTACGAGCCCACGCTCGAAGGCATGGTTCAAAGCTACTTCGAGCGGAACGTTTAAGCAAAATTAGCACAGTTGTAGAGAGTTCCTAAAAGGAAATCACTGGCTACCACGTCGTATGGGGCACACACCTCTAGTTGAAAGGCTTGGGTATTAGTTCACCGACGCGCAGCGACACGGTTTAGATACAACGAAAAAGGATGGCCTGAAAATGCATTGCATTGCGCGGAAGGGTCGATATACTCAAGGATGGAATGATCCTCAAATAGGGGTTTGCAGGCCGGACTACCCATATGGCTTCCATTAGGCTGAGATAGATTGATATCGCAGCACAATACCAAGAACCGGGAGACTCAAGTCCGACGCCCAAAAAGGCCAAACGCTGCTCCTTCGTTCATGTAACCCAAACAAGTACTCTGCCCATCTGCCATAGACTTGGATCCAAAGTGAAAGTGGCCCATTCAAGCTCTGTCCTATATAATACTTGTCTCAACTTAGCGGATTGAGACTGCTCTAGATTGTTAAAGGTAACGGGCCACGAGAATAACAAGGCAGCTAGCTTAGCGAGGTCACTTGTTTTACGAGAAACGATTATTGGAAACGGATCCTAGTGGTTTGATTTTTGATAGGAGAACATCCTTTCTTCTGATTTTTTTGGGCCAAGACCGATCCAGTGTCTCCTCATCGCTTGCCTTCCCCTTTTCAGAGGAGTGAGCGCGCGAAAAACACGTGGACCGGCCTGGCTTTAAGCTAATTTTTGTTCTTTTTTATCGCAAATCACATTCGACAAGACCAAAGCGACTTGTGATCGATTGGTCCACATCGAGCGTGTTTGCTCCAAAGCACTTTGTAAGGAGGTGGTTGGGTAGGTCAAGGTGAGATTGGCAACGGTCGACTTGCAAAGTCGAGCGGGTCGGAACTCCCTTCCTCCTCAAGATGCTTTGCGTTTCTGAGTTGGACGTCGATTGATGCAACCGTCGTGTCTCTTCCGACCTCCCTTGCCACCTCTTGCTTGCATCAGATGTCGAAAATGGGGCGAAAAATGTGTAATGTAACATGGTGTGACATGACGGCGTCAATATGTGGTAGTGATTCTGGATATTTTTTTCTTCCTGGTTCTCTGAAAACTTCACTTCTACTCTTTCCTTTCTTCCTTTCTTTCTTTGACGACTGTGATATGATGAAATGATAGGTTGCCGTGAAACCCTGCTGCTTTTCCTCGGATCTCCATTTACAAGTCCGTCAGCGATGTTGGTAGAATAACATCACTCAATAGGGGGTATACAGTATGTTTCACACCCTTGTATTTGTCTCTCCTTAGCCACTGAGAAACTGATCTTCAAACGACCTGCTCAATGATCAATGCCATACTGTGGCATAGCTAATCATTGACCTCTATTTATGAGGACTCACACAACACCATGCTCAAAGCAATGCCGAAATCAATGTATAATCCAGACAACCTCCAACACCGAACACTTGCAAAACTCTTGGGGTTAAAAGCAAAGATGCGAATTGAAAAGCCAGGCTCGTGACAGACCCGGCTAGACACGAGATTGTGCAATTATATCCTCGACTCATACATGTAATTGAGTGTTGGTTTGCGTGTCAAGCCCGTCTTCATACCGTTGCCGTAGTAGTTGTCTGACTTTTGGTTTTCCGGTACACCAGTTCCCTCTGGTTGTTTTGGGATTGGAGGCCCAGGTGCACCCAAATTCTCAGCTTTCTTCTTCTTGGCGGCTTCGGCATCAGCGGCGGCTTGAATCTCTTCTGGTCGAATGAATCGAGGTCCACTGATCTCCATCTTACCCATCTCCAGAAAGCTTCCATCGGGATTGATCCGACGCCGCTCTCCCCCGAAATCGACACCAGCGCCTTGTCTCTGGAAGGCTTCAATCCGTGCACGCTCTGCACGCATCCATTCTCGTCGTGCTATTTCGAACAACGCAATGGTAATGGCCACCATTCCCCATTGGAAGAAGTCTTTAACTGTTGCTAGAGTGCCCAGCATGTTGGCTAGCCCTTGGCCACCGGCATCCTGAAATCGAGATTGAGGACACCATCCAGGTACCTGGCCTTGGTTTCCCGAAAGTATCGGTGCAAGCTCGCATGCTGTGCAGAGGATGGCTTGTGTAAACCAAGCCACGAAATGAAGGAACGAGACGGCGAGTATGAAGAAAGTCGTGGTAGAGGTATAATCGGGATTGTAAACACTGGCTGTACTTTGTCGGTTCCGCGGATTAGGGGCAATTGCGGATGTTCGAGTAGATGGATACGGCGGGACGGGCAAACCATTGAATTGTAGTGCTGCTAGGTGCGAGGTCGTATATAGTAGTGATAGGAATGGAACTGAACCAATGTAGAAGCATAGGTTCAGCCAGTTCCCCGATGCTTTCGTCATTACTCTCGCCCATGCGGCATATTTGGACGACATTATAAGCAGTATGATCGTAAGCACCAGACATACCAGCAGCAAAATGACCTGAGCCACTCTGGTTTGCATGATTGCGGTTGATTGTCCAAATCGAGTGCAATACTGGCGAATTGATGAAGGATGTGTCAGGTCTGTTGAGTTGCTCCTAGCAGTTGATGGTGACCAGGGATCCAGGGAAGGTGTGAAGTTGGAAGCGGCAGGCAGTCCTTGTTTCTCTTAAAGGAACGGAAGGAGTCGAAATGAATCAGCGTCCAGCGCTCAGCGCCAGCGCTGCGTGTGTCTGGCAGAAAAGAAGGGATCCTAAAATTGGCAGGGAGAGAGCCAACAATTCAGGTAGGAAAAAGAATGGCAGGGTGTCAGATCCAGATCTGTATATGAAGAGAAAGAACAACACCAACAACGAACTAACAACAATACCGCGAAAGAATGGAAGGTCAGGTCCGCTGAAGGGGGAAAGGAAAGGAAGAGAGAAAAGGGAAAACAGTCAAGAAGATCAGATGAGGTTCAACAGATTGGCGAGAGGAGGTTCAAGCCAAAACAGGTAGGCAAAATATGGGTACGGGTGGCTATCCTTCCGTACGCTCACCTCGAACCCAGGAGGGGCTAATGGTATCGTCTGTCGTCCCTGTCGATGAGGTGACTCGCGGAGGAAGAACTCCTGTCAGTACCAAGTGAGCTTGGCATGGCGGCAGGTTCAAGACCGTGACGCGTGACGGTACTAGATGAATACCAATTAACGGCCAATTCCCGATGTCACAACGCGTCGTTGATGAATCGTGGGGAGGCTTGATGGTCTGATTGTTGCCAGTTGGTCACCTGGAGGAGAAGGCTCCCGCCATCTTTGTCTGCTCCTGTCGCAGATGATGGCAGCGGAGAACGCTGATTTGGGCTTGGTGCTAGATCTTAGCGCAGTCGATCTGGACGATACGACAGTGGATGCAGCAAATACCGCTTCAGAGTGAGGATCATCTAGGGTTTAGGGGATGATATCTTGGGATAATGTATGGTGAGGCGCTGGCCTCAAGAACAAGCATCAGGAGGGAGTAGCTAGCTAGGGTTGAGGCTGATGTTGAGACTGGGATGCGACACAGATTGTTTGAAGTTGAATGGTTCTAAAACACTGGTTAGCCTCAAAACGGTTAGTGCGTCGTTAAGGTTAAATTAGATCTTGTACTAACTCCTAGAGTTGCGCTACTCCCAAACGGTACATTGCTCTTCCTCAGAATCTCAACGACGAGTAGAGTCGACGATGGCTCATCAAAGACAATTTGAATCACGATAACACCGATGGCCTGATCAGTCTCCTGGTGGCTGACAGCTACAGTGAATCGGGGGGTATACTGTACAATCTACACGTCCTGGTCTCATGGACAACGAGAAAGCTCTCCCATTGTTTCACGTCGAACTTGCTCCTGATTAGCGATCATGAATTACCCCATATCCGTACTACGAGTACCAAGGACATCCCTTTCGATGATCAAAGCTTATTTTTAGGTGTCCTCACCATCGGGCATCCACTCCAAGTACTTCGCACTTCTTGGTAGCCAAAAGTATCACAGCCGGCTTCCGAGCAAGCATTTAGCACTGAGAAAGGCCCGGGACCTTCCTCTCTTAGAGATAGTCCCGATTGTCAAGACTCCTGTCGACGAACTTGGCAACAGACTGGAGAACCGAGTATGGATATGTGGGCAGGACGACCTTTGATCCTGGCTAGGTTTTCCCTGGTTAACATCTACGCTGAGACCATCGGGTCAACCGTCTCCGGACAGTAAATGGAGTGAACTAGTAGTGCTTGGTAGTACAAGCACGGATAGTAGTAGCTAAGAAGGAGAGTCCTTGGGTTCGAAGAATGATGCGATCTCTTTTGAGATCATCATTATTCTTGTACAGAAGAGAGACTTGCGGTATGTCAATGAGCGGTATGATGATCTCATCAGCCAAAGCTGATAGATGCCCGAGAAACCACGATATTAAGTTCCTTTCGCGGTGGTCAACGAAAAAACAAATCAAACCCATCGTCTTGCTCTCTTAACACCTCCTTGCTTGACAAATCCATGAACAAGCTGCAGTCGGCTCCCCTCCGCTACACTAACGGATGAAATGAAGTTGTAACTGATCGTATCGAGTTCTGCCCCTCAGCCTGAACAATTAAATGAATATACCTAGGGTCTGTAATCCTACCCTTATCGTGCCAATCAATAGGCTATGAGCTCCTCATGAGAAAGCACTGCATCTCGTCAATCGGACTTCTTCTCATTCGCTGGCTGCTCGACAGCCGTTTCAGAAGTATCGTGCAACATCGCTACATCTTCTGCTATCACCTGATCCTCTGTCGTCGCTTCTTCGCCGGCACCTGCCTCGGCCGTGCTCACTTCAACGGTATTTGCGCTTTCATGTCCCTCAGGAGCCGGCGTGGTCGATGTGGTTGCTTCGACTTCCGACGTTTGCGCAGGTTGTTCGTGTCCTGTCGCGGCTGCGTCGCTCTCCGTAGGTTGGTCAACTGTCAATCCCTGATTGTTCTGCCGTGTTGACTCGTCCCGAGCAGACGACTCGGTCCCTGTATTTGTTGGTAGGTCGTTTTTCTCGTCCACTTTGGTGTCCTCAGTTGATGGTACGGCCGGTGTGTGAGGAGCATCGGTCTTCTCCACCTCCTCTGCCTCGGTCATTGCGACATCGTCGTGCTCTATGCTGTGGACTGGGGGGGCTTCTGGCGCAACATTGTCGACATTGGAGACTTCATGGCCTGGCGGCTCCACCTCATTGCCCTCAGCTTCTCTCAAGGCGATCTCATCGAGCGCAAGTTGTGCCCATTGCTCCAGCATATTACTCAGCTCAACTGTTGGATCCTCCTTCGCCACTAAGTAGTTGGGATACCGAGAGCTGAAATGCAGATAGTCAGACGGACTCCACGCCATATCTCTGACAATCAATTCCATGCTCTCGAAGACGTCCTGCGTTAATTGTCCTGCGCTTGGGACAATTGGTTGATCATCATCCCGCTCATCAAGAGGCGACGGTTGGGCCTTGACTTTGGCTTCCGTACCTTTGAGCAGCATTTGTGTGACGCCTTTCACAAGCTGCCAGCGCTTTGAGCTCTGGACAAGAATTTTCATGATCTCCAGGAGAAGTCCCTCCTCGTGTGCCGAGTTTAAATTCCCCGAAAGAAGAAAATTCGCACAAAAGATGCTGGATTGAGGTGTCAGCATGCTGTGATATGATGGTCCATATTGATCATCGAATCTCCGTCCGAGTGACACGATGGTGTCAACAATCTGTGCACAAGTCGCTAGAGTCTTAATTCTGACAGCTTGCACTCTCTCGGCATCAGAAATTTCACGCGTAGTCTCGTCGGGTTCATATCGGACTGTTTCCTCGGGCACTTTCGTCACCACACTGGGTGGTGGAGTCGTCCAATTCCACAGAAAGAGACGCGAAAATAGGATAGCCAAACTAATCTTCGGTCAGTACAAACACCAAATTCCTCATTAGCAGGTGATCTTACGCCAAGTCCACAGTGCCGGGAACGATGATGAAGTCCGGCTGGTCGAAACGATGTGCCGCGGGCAGAGAATCATACCACACGCCGTTTTGACGGTCGAGTTCTTGTGCGGCTTCGAACTTTTGCACTGCGTTGAGCTTCGGAAATTCGACAAACAATAGTGACTGAACGTCGCCCATAAAACTATAGGCAAGAGCAAGGGCGTTACACAAACTATGTTGGGGAAGATTGATTGGCTCTTGGTTAAGAGGATATGGCGACCAGGGTGTAAGGTGAGTCTTCCATTCATCGGATTGATAAGGTCTTCTTAGTCTCGGCTTCGACCATGTTGGAGGGCCCATGAAAGAGATTCCAAATCCACTGGAAGATTGTTAGTATATGAGAAGACTTCAATGGTTTGACAGCGGCATACGTGAGGTAGATATATGCTGCCCATTCGACGATCTCGAGAGATTTCTGCAACTCCGGGGAGATTGGCTGCTCGACCTTGGATGAATCATATTGAGCAAGGAATTCAGGTACCATAACCTCGAGCTTCTTCAACGAGGCAGAGCTGATCCTGTCCTTGCCGGCAAAGGCTGCCCTGGAACTCTATCAGAACGATGAGATATGGATCAGGGGTGGGATATACTCACAGCATGATCAGAATAGTGAAGCCTTGAACGTTAGTGAGCGTCAAGGGGTCGGTCTCGAGCTCGTAAAGCCTTTGTGCTTCGTGGAAGAAGTGTTGACCGCGCGTTTCCGAGTCTCCTGCGACAGCAAGCGCTAATGGATGGTCCGAAAACATCTTAATCCGGGGTTAGCTCACTAACTGATCCTGGCCACAGATTTAAGCCATACTTACACAACCCATACCTAGTACCGCATTGACCAGCAATGGCGAGCAATACGGCGAGCTCAAATCCTTGGCCTTGAGAGCCGCGATGAATAAATCCCAGTCGAAATTTAGATAGTGGAAATGGTACCATCCATAGTATGCGGAAAGTAAATGTGACACCAGAGCATTGTCAGAGGTCACTGATGTCCAAGGACCGGCCTCGATTTGAAAGGGTGGCATATCGATGAGCTCACTGATAGCAAGCATGCGACGAATGCCAGCCCCTTCGGGTGGAGGGGGACTTGCGGACAAAGCTCTCTTGGTTTTGTCAGCAAGTTCCCCAGGATTCTTCTCGATGAACTCCAGGATATCCTCGAGTGGCGCATCTCGTTTGATCAGGTCAATGAGCTCGCGGGCTTCAGCGTGCGAAGAATTCCGCAGCTTCAGGAGAAGTCGGTCGAGGGCGTTGCTGCGAAACTCTAGCTCGTCGAGGCGGCGTTTCCTTACTTCCTTTCGTCTTCCATCTTGAGAGGCGTCGTAAACACAGTCTTTGTTCGTATTGCGGCAATTTGAACATGGCGTGTCTTGATCGCACTACCATAGCATTAGATCTCGCCAAATGAAAGAGATGATTGAGTGGTAGCGTTGTAGCCAGAGTACATTGCGCATGCCACAAAGGACAATAGGGACCCCCGGACCTCTGCGGTTCACGGTCTTGGAAGCAAGTAGAAAATAACCACTTTAGTGCATCTCTTCGTGTAAGAGGAACTAAAAAGCCATACTTGCCTTTCTTTTGGCGCTCTTACAATTGAGGCAAGCAACGGAAGCATTGCGCTTCGAGGAGGCTAGCCCCAATTGGGGGAGCGGTGCATCACTCTGATGCCTTCCATTGAAGCTGGAATCTCGAGATGAGTTCGACGTGGCACCGGGAATGCCGGGTCGATTTGGAGACGGATCTTGGGACATCTCGAAAGCTGGCGGCACATTCGCACCAGAAGATGTTGAAGAAACTCTGAATCAGAGTTTTGGTGATCTGGAGTCCAAGCTTCAGACGGCGATCGTATTCATACTTAACAAAATCCCCGCCGGCTTGACAGGGGTAGTTTACCCATGAGCCACTCCTCCACAACAGCTGAAAATGTCATGCGCTGTGTGGATGGGCTTTGCAAGCGATCGTACTGCCAAAAAGACTGAATAATCCCAGTGGCAGACACTGGACGCAGGATGCATGAATACCCAAGGTGGCTTGGATGGGGATCATCTAGAATCAACTTTTGTCCCCATTTTTCGAGTCTTTAGTGGCCGTTGAGCATGCAAGCGCTGCAGCACACTCACTCCGCAACATCTAGGTTGAAGGGTTACAGTGGTCCACTAACTCCAGTCCGACGTCTTGTTTTAGCAAGGATTCGGTTCGGAGACATATACCCGCATGATACCGTGGGGGATGGTTCTTCGTGGTTCTGCCTCGCTAAAGCTGTCATGCATTGATGCTGGATGTTTCTTTTGGACTTCGTGAGATACCGGATCATTCTACTGTTTTTCATGTCATCAAACTTATGTACCTATGTATGTCGAGTTAAGCACTGGGGCCAGTAGTTCACCATCACATGCTTAGCCGTATCAGTCTCTCAACCCACTTCCTTGCATCGACCCCTACGCCCTCACCCACTGCTCTTGGGTTTGTTGTTGCTGAAGATGCAGAAAGAGTCCCCTTAGAACCACTCACATCACGGCTACGTGGCTGCTCTCGAAGTAGCCACCTCCCTGACGAGCTAATGTTCCTCGAATCCCCTCGGCTTCCGGATGCATCTCTGTTATTCGAGGTGGGCTCTTGAGACCTCCGGATGAGAAACGCTTCCCTAACCTCTTGTTCTGTGGAGTTGTCCGAGCCCGTTTCTTGAGCATTCTTCATAGAGCTAGTATCCTTGGCCTTGTCTGAGGGTTCTTTCTGGGCACTGATACGCATCCATGCCACCCACCATCCTCTTGAGGTTTTGACGCTCCTCTCTATCTCCTCTCGTCCTGCTCCAGCCTCATGAAGTTCAGGGCCACGACAACGGGTTGCGACCCAAATATTCAGTAGATGGGTGTACGTATTGAGAGCGTCAACTCGTGTCCAGTCATGCTTGATCAGGCCACCTCCGTTTGAGGGAGATGAGGCTCCCGAGGCTGAAGATGACCCTATTGGTATGCCCAGGGTATACCATGACCCGGAGACGGTCACGGGCCGCTGTGAAAGCTGATGACGGTGTAACCCCTCTGCTGCAAGGCTTCCTGGCATTGGAATATTAGGGATTGAGGTGCGGATCGTTAACTTTGATGGGTAATAGATAAAATCATAGATCTCTGGCGAAGCTTGTGCGGTCGATTTAGATCTCTGTTCTTCAAGACCCATAGCATCTGAATCCAATCCAGGACCCAAAGCTTCTTGTAATCGCTCTTGCCATACAGCCAAGTCCGTACTTCGCAGTAAACTTTTCTGCAATGGTCCGAGGGTGTGATGGATTGAACGATAAAAGGCTGGCATGGTAAGGTTGGGCGTTCGCAGCTGGAAGAGAAAAACGAACATGAAAGGCTGATGGACATATACTGCGATTTGAACTTTCTCGTGGGTGATATTGGGTTGACTGCCATCAACAGAAGCTCCAGCACTAGTCTTACCCTCACCATGAGGGGAGTATCCTTGCCCCTTGGAACTAGGTATTGTGTCTACAAGACCTCGCGCTTTTGAAACGGAGAGATGACTTAATCGTGCTGAAGACATTTCGACGGTCAAAGTACGAAGAAAAAGGCGATGCGTACGTGTCCCTGGCGAAGAAGATGGAGCTGTGATTGCACTCGATTCCAAACTGTCAGTAGTTCTCGATGTGTCGCCTTCATCATGGTCAAATTCAGTGTTTTCCAGATCACCCGATAATCCAATCAAGAATCTGCCAATAGACTGCTCAAGTCGCTGGACAAAGGGTACTTCATCTTCGTCACTGACTTCAGGCGTGGGATCTATGTGGTGGAGATCGTCTTCAGTTTTCGTTTGCCCAGCTTCTTCGTCTGGTCCAGTTGTTGTAGATGTCGGTTTCGCTTCGCCAGGTAGGTGGCCAGAAGCGAAACCTTTAGGGTTCAGTGTCCAGCTCGAACCATAACCTAGGCTCAAGTACTTCATCATTTTGTCCGTGCCAAAAAGTGTACCATCTGCATGAGTATCTTTGGCCTCTTTACTGTCATTGTGACCCCGATTGGGCTCAGGGCTCTTGCTTGAGGCTCGAGCACCGGCTGCTGCAACTGCATTATCCAAGGAGTTTTCGACAACACTAACAAGTGGGGCTGGAATTCTAGGAGCGTTGACATTGTTTTCGATTGCCCTTTTGTGGAGCTTCGACGCTTTACCGTGGGGTGATCTGAGTCGGAGCTCCGATCGCTTTACGCGTTCGGATTCGTGGCTAGGGTGAGCTTGTGCTCCTGGATCAGGAGTTCTCCTTGTCTTCTTACGATGTCTTGGTCGAGAGGCAGGGTTTTCCCCAATTCCGTAAGCACTGTCGCCATGGACAAAAATTGACTCCATCCACTGTGAAATGGTAGCGAGTGATCTACGCGAAACACCCCCAATTCCGGAGAAAATGATACCATCCTGGGCCCTCGAACTTTCAGCATTTCCCAACCAGGGCTCAGGCTCCCCGAAGCTTTTGGCTACTTTCGGATCTTTGCTGGACTGGAGGTCGATCGCTGTCGATGGTGCATCGCCATAACGTGCCACCACCAGATCGATGAGTCCTTCGGTCCGATGCGCAAAGTCCTCAAGCACTTCACGCTCACCACTGCCCCATCCTTCTTCTCCGACTCCAATGCCAAGCTCGCCACCACCCGCGAGTTTGATGCCATCAAAGAGCTCGATAGCCGGGTGTCCATGCAATAAGACGTCCCAGTTCCATATAAACTTGGTCCAATATCGATCAAGCAGATTGCAAAAGTGCTCTCTATTACTTGAGTGCTTTCTCCAGAGTTCAGACAAGCTGGAAGCATGGTGAAGTAGAAAAATTCGGTATGCTTGAGTTAATTGGCTGAGTAGTAGTTGTGGAGAAGCGACCTCACGCGAAGAGTACTCAACCACATCTGGAGGGGTTGTCTTTTGTCCAACTCCTCGATCCTTACCCGAGCTTGCAGCACGTTGCATCGTGGAAGCGTTGGTCGTAGCGTTGGATGGCAATTGGGTTAGCTCGATAGAAGCAAGAATCCACCATTGTGGTTCGAGTTCTTTCAATACAACGCGGGATTTCTCAGATTCAATCGACTCGAGAGGCACACCACTTGAGAAGTTCCTGAATAACAACAAATATCAGCACAGGTATCCTCTTGCAATAACCAGGTTTTTGTTCGATAGTGTGTAGAACCATTTTGATCATCATGGAATGGTCATGATTTTTAGGGACGAGTTTCTGCCTACCTACTTTACAAAATGCACCATTCCCTGAGCCAGGCCGACTTGTCGAAGCCGTTCATTTTTCTCACGCTCTTCTTCCTCTTCTTCAGTGGAAGTACGCCTCTGTTCTCCTTCAGATGCGCTATGGTCTTTTATATTGTTATTGTGCCCCTCCCTACGCCGTTTCTCCGATCGCGCGTCATGGTCTTTTGAGTAGTAAAATAGTATCTGGTCTCCAAGGGTCTCGTCTGTAGGTCCAAGGGAAGGATTGTAGATGGCTAGGTATGATAGGTGAGCGGGAACAACACGCGGACGAGTAATGGTTGTCATCTTGAATTGTGACAGGCCATGCGTTTTCGACAGCAGCTATCGTCATGGTGAGACTTCATAGCCACTGTAGAGACCTTGAAAAATGATCCACTGCATACTTGAGTGGACAAACCACAATATCAAGGAGGGGGAGTTACGAGTTCACGTCCTACTAGAATTCAGCATTTCCTTGACTCACCAGATCGTGTTTCCAAGGCCTTTCGGCTACGTCACCGTTTTGAGACAGAGCACGTGATAGTCCGCGCCAGTGGCTGAAGAGCACGTGCCATCCATTCAACGTTTCAATCACGGTTGCTGAGGGCAGGCTGCAAAGGCAACTGGAGTGGCCATATCCATGGACGGTAGCTCTTACGGTATGTAGTATCGAGCGCTGTCGGGAATAGACACTATCTGGTCTCAACGAAACAGAGGTGTTTGAAGACATAGTTTCAGCAATGATTATGGAACGAAGAGTGGGGGTTGAGAGACACAAGAATCTCGATACATGGATGAGATTCGAGATGCCCGATGAATACTGTGAACCATCTTGGAAATCGAAAAAATGTTTTCTTGGAACAAAGTGAACGTGCCTGAGCCCTTGGAAGAAGTTTGAACATAGGCGTTCGCAAAGCTTGAAAATATCGGTAAGATGTCCAGTACGTCGGCTGAGTCCCAATCTGAAAGCAACGAGTGGGGGATAAAATTAATGCTCATTGGAAAACGGCTTTAAGTAAGAGGACAAACGCCGTGAATGGATTTCCTATCTCGATGACTCGACATTTCACGACTCTGGCCAAGCCATGCTGCTAGGAAGTCCCGTTCGAGTTTGCCCATTCATAGTCCCTTTGCAAAATCTTGTATTGCTTCAACCCTCACTCCATCCTTCACTCGATAAAGAGAAAACTAATGTATCAGTGCAGAAAAGCACCGTGACCAAGCCACCAAACCAGACCTGCGTCGAAGCAAGAACAAGGAAAACCGGGGTTCTCGACTGGAATCTGCACTCTGCAACCTGTGTTGATGATATCCTGATATAGTTTGTTGTGCGGGCGGCCAGGTCCAGTTGTGTATGCTCCCGAGAGGCAGATGGTGTATCCTTTACAAGATTGAGCACTTCTTGCTTTTACCGCTCTTTCGTGTCAACAAAGCAGCACGGGTGGCACTTTCAAAGACCTCGCGAACTCCCTGGTTAGTCTTGGCCGAGCATTCGAGGTACTTGTAGGCCCCAATCTTCTTGCGTACTTCCTCACCCTAGATCGCTCATGTCAGATATGTTATCCAAAGATCTGGTGGGGACAACAACCAACCTGTTCTGCAGTGACGGGTTTTTGAGAGGTCTTGGCCAGCTCTTCGGTGGTCTTGGGGTCATATCGGAGATCGTTCTTGCATCCTACGAGGATGATTGGGAGACCTTGGCAGAAATGGAGGACTTCAGAAATCCACTAATGAGACATGTCAGATGATGATCCATCGAATCAAAGGTCAAGTCTTGCCTTCTCTTGAACGTTGTCGAGGGAATCGGGGGAGTCAATGGCGAAGCAGATGAGGATGACATGGGAATCTGGATAGGACAGAGGTCGAAGACGATCGTAATCTTCCTGGCCAGCCGTATCCCATAGGGCTAGTTCAACATGTTTTCCATCTACTTCAACATCTGCAACGTAGTTCTCAAAGACAGTAGGGACGTAAACCTGTTGTCAAGTCTGTCAGTCATGATCTTCTGAAAGCCGAGATGTGGCATCATGTTTATTGCATGAACGGCGTGGTTCTGGGGAGGATGATAGGCGTAGGTTGGGAGTGGTGTACCTCAGGGAATGTGCCCTTGGAGAAGACACTGGAAAACATGATCAGCACGGTAATTCTGGATGCCATTGACCAAGTTACTCGACTCACATCAACAAACAGGTCTTTCCGCATGCACCATCACCGACGATGACAAGCTTGCGACGAATCTCAGCCATGGCGGCTGTAGCGGAGATGGTTAGATAGAGTCGGGAAAAAGGCAGACCAAAGGATGGCGGATGAGGGTAGAGAAGTGATGGAAAGGACGGTAGAGGGCTCTGCAGAAGAGGAGAGTTGGCGCAGGCGATGGATAGAAGAAGGTGTGGGATGGAGAGATGGTAAGTAGGTATGAAGAGAGGTTGAGAGACAAATGCAGGAAGCACCTTTTCGGGGTAAACTAGTATGGATGTGGCTAAAACACAGACCTGCCTGGCTTGTGCCTACAGGTGCGGTGAGTGGTGGAGAGGATTGCGCGTAGCACACAAGAGTGCAATTGCGGTGGGATGGTCGAGATGAATGATTTTACCCTTCAAGTCGAATATGTCACTGCGATGATGGGGATGGAGGAGAAGATGAGTCGTGAAATCGCCTTGGGAAGGGTTGAGAAGGCGTTTGGTTCGCGGTGGTTACCTGATACTAGCCCAGGTTACGGATATCGATGATCACGGTGGTGGTTGTGAGTCTACCAAGAGTCCAGCCCGGAGGGGGCAGGGCAACGACCATGCATGCATTATCCATTGGGGGACGAGGACGCCTATCAGTTAGTGAATCGCCCTCTAGGAACCATAACATTGCATAATTCGACCACCTATGGAGGGACTCGTGGTCAAGATCACCACCCGAACTGCCTCAATACCTACCTAGGTACCTGATGCCTAACTAATAACGTCGAGTCCGAATTTACTGGCGCCATCACTGGTTACCTAGGTATTGTCGTGAGTATTGTTGGGAACTCGGAGGATGACCTTGAATCCAGAATGGGCCGCGAAACCAGTCAGCCGACGCAACACAACACGCGCAATCGGTCACCAGAAATCCGGCCAGGCTTGGTTAACCTCGAATTGCCGCTTCCTGGTACTAGTACCTATGGTTGGTGACTGCCCATGGTCACGGAGTGGTGCCTAGACACGATGGCCCCCCCAAGCAGATACCTGAGGGATGCATCTTGGAGTCAGTTCAGCTGGCAACTCACAGACATGATTATTCTGTAGACCTCCACGGCTGCTTGACTCACCGATTGGGGCTGATTCACCCTTCTTATCGCCCTGCAGTGCATGAAACAGTGGTTGGATTTCAGTACCGAAGACTCCGTGATAGCGTGCTCACAAGCGTGGGATCCCCCGGAGTTTGCCTTGAGGCGTCTTCTGAGGACAGACTACTCGGTAACTTATACAACGATTCCAGACTTACCGTGTGCAGCATACGGATACTGGACCTGTAATAATAATATCAATGTTACTGACCTGATTATTGTCATATTTTATCAGGATTTCTCTCATGTCATCTCTCCTGTGAGCGTCAAATGCCAATCGTGTTCAGTTGTCGGATAGTGTCTCCGGGGCTTGTTTCCGCTGCCACCCACCCATTGCAGTAGGCACCTACAGGCTACAGGTAGGCACCCAGGTACCTAGGTAGGTACCGTACAAGAGGTACGTTTCTCCCTAATGCAGGGTCAACGGTCAGGCGGCAATACTTGGACAGTTACAGAACTTCCGCTGTTTTGGTGACGTGTATTCGCCCTCCCCTTGTTGTTACTGTTACCTACCTACCCTGCATCCATGTCCCTCCAGCTCAGATGCCAACCATCTCGTACGCTTGTACTTACCCCGACCTGGCATGTTCTTCGGCTTTCAAACGCACGGGGCATCAACCCTCCCATTCTTGTACTACTGATAAGGCTCATCTGGAATACAGCCCCCTCACACCGCCTATCAAGCATATCTACAGTTGCAATACGTACGAGGTACTAGTGACTGAAACCTGAAATCACCTGCCTCGGCGCCTTGGGTACTCGTACTAGCCATTCTCTTTCGAATAACTCGCCTATATAAGTCATTGCAATTTCTTGTGTGTTTGGCTCACCTCATAAGCTGAGCGGCTCGAACCACAGCCCTGCATGATACGCGTGTCAAAGACATTGCCACCACCGCCCTAACTGCTACGAGAACTAGGCACGAGAAATAAACACGTGGAATTTTGCGTCCAACATCCAAGAGCTCCACAACTACATGTTGGACTGTTTCTGGGTACTACGAGCCAGGGTTGACCTCACGACTTCAGCTGATTCCGGCGATGCAACAAATGCCAATTCACGGTTGGCATTCTCCACACCGTATCACCCACCGGCTTCTGATCGCATGAGAAATCTGCAACTCAATGCGTCTAGATCAATATGAATAACCTGACCGCTTCCCGGCTGACACACGCATAGGGCTGGAAGATATTTGTCACCCCCTGTCTCATATGCATGAACCACTCCCAAGCTGATGGAAGGAGTTCTAGGTAAGCAACCGGAATATCTAGGTACTTTTGTCTGACCATCCAGCCCGCTTTTGCTTCAGCGATAATTACAACTTCGTATGGATCTGAACTCGAGAGAATGGTTCATGGCCCTTAATGGCACGCGAGTGCAGAACTGTCCCATGGACTGCAAAGCTGCCAATAATGCTCTGGCCGCCCTCGTCAGATTGCAGCCACTGCACAAATGCATCGGCAAGCTCTCGATTCTCTGCCAGCGTTCCCACAAGTGCATGAGCCGGGTTGATCAAAGGGTCATCCTCAGCTGCATCGATGCTCTCCTTCTGCAGGCCCTGTCTTAGCGAACGACATTTTTCCAGTTGATGATCCTGGAACTCACGAAAACAATCATCCCCTGTCTGACACTTTCCTCAATCGCGTACCAGGTACCTCTATCAACTAGAGTGTACTCACCCAAGCGGCTTGCTGCTCGTAGGGCTCCAAATGGAAAATCGACGTATCGATGATAGAACGAAGAATATGGATGAGCCCACGGCGTTTGCCCAATGGTGGTCCAGATATGTGATTCTCGAATATTGTTTGCAGATTTATCGTATCTCGAGAGAAACCTGACGGGATTCGGCGACGTCGCAGTCTCCACGGCCGCTTCAAAAATCAGAGCAAACAAATCAAAGATACTCAACTTCCGATCCAAAGGTAGATTTGCAGGATTGGAGTCCGGCCCTGTAATGGTTTCTCATCAGCCCTGCATTACCCTCAATCGTTCTTCACGGCCAGAGTGTGTCCGAACCAAGCGTTCTTACCGACGAGCATAAAATGATCCCGCCACGCGTAGACGCACCGATCAGCTATGCCCTGCCGCAGCGCAATTTTCTCAGCATATGCGTGATACGTGATACTCAAATCTGCGGCACCCGTGGCCAAAGCGTTGAAACTCAATGACGTATCCGTCGCTATCCACGCAATTCGAAACGGTGAACTTGCTGTACTTCGAGTATACCTGGACAACAAAAGTCCCAAGTCGTGAGCTGGGACCTCTCTTGATACTCAGGTCGGAGACCCCGTTGACTTTTGGCATACCATGAAATGAATTCTTCCGCAAGTTTCCTCAAAAGGCCTGTTTGGCCAGCGCCCCCAGTAGCTATCCTCAGCTTGATATCCGCACCTTCTGGACCATAGACTTCCGCCGGTGCAATTGATGCGCGTTCCGAGACCGGCGTGGATCGCGAGATTGCCTTGACCGATGCCATTGTGGCCTTTTCGGGGTATTGGCCTGTGTGAAGCGACAAATATGGGGGACTACTATATGATGAAAAAGTCCTCGAGGATAAATATCGGGGCTTGAAAAGATCAGAAATAAGTAGAGAAAGTCTCGAGATCGGACTTGCTAATTAGATGGTGTGTGTAGTTGCAAGCCGACCTTATTGCCAGTGGAGCAACATCGATTTTGCCGTCGGCTGAATACCAACCTAAATGATGGATCGGAAAGGCTATTCCAGGCCTGTCCAAGGTCACCAGCATGGGTACCAAAACATTTGGTATATCTAGAAAGCTACCACGCGGGTCTCAGGTTTTGCATTTTGTACGACTATCGTATGTTCCATAGTACGATTGTCACCTAAATGCTGCATAAGCTCTCGATGTGAAATTATCTCTCAACCAGACCAGGGAATCTTGCAGCGGCCGATCAAAGGATAAAGGGAGTACGCGGGACATCAAGGCTATCAGACAACGTTTCACATCATTTCCTTGGACGAGAGGCTTGCTGCTGCACCCTCTGCATCCTCGACTTTCCTCAACGACTGAAAGACGCCACGGCCTCCTGCACAAATTTGGCGACCTCAACTGGCCGGCTCAACATGGGGCTATGACCGGCATCAATCTCTCGCGTGGTGACATCCCCACCGCTATCGCGTGCTTTCTTGACGTATGATTGTTGCTGTGGCAGTTCCATCATATTATCCGCCTCGCACAGCAGGTACCAAACAGGTACATCCATCCAGCCGGCATACACACCTCCGCCGGTAGCGAACACGAATTGGGACATGTTCTCAAGCTCTGCGGCCCACTTTTGGGCTTCCTGGAGCGGCAGGTCGTTGTAAAATGAATGGACAGGGTCGCCGTCGTATTCAAGCAATCCTTCCTCTGTGGGTTTGAATGGAAGCTGAGGAGCTGTAGCAGGATCAGGTGCACCTCGAGCGGTTCGAGATGCGGCGGCCATGGCGGCCAGCGAGACTTCGTGCTCCGGGAAGAATCCAGAAATGGTGATGATGCCCAGAGCCTTGCCGGAGTTCTGGTCGCTAAGCTTGGATGGATCCTTGCTGGTGAAGCCTTTGATCGCACTGCAGCCAGCGAACGACCCGAAGGAATGATTGATCATCACAACATCTTTGCCTTTGCTGGTTTCCTCGGCCACAAGCTTTGCCACCTGTTCGATCACTGGTTCTAGAGATTGAATCGGCTTATCGGTACCACCGAACAACAAGTGCGGTGTGATAGATCGGAACCCCTTGTCAGCTAGCAGAGATACAAGGGGACCCCAATATCCTGGTCCGTGGAAGCCACCGTGCAGGCAGATAAGAGTAGGAAGTGTAGACATGGCTAGTTAGAAGAAGGATTTCGCGTCCGAAAGGGTAGTTCTTGGTGATGATGAATATAAATCACTCTGGGACTGAGGGGCTGGCCTCTAACAGGAGAGGTGCAAATGGCGAAAGGGTTTGCGGGATGTGAGATAGAGGAAACTGCTGAGACCCTGACAATTCACGGTCATGCGCATCCAATTCTGACTCACTAAAGCCACAGCCGGCAAAACCCCATTCTGCTTGCTAGGCAGGACTTTGAGAGCAGCGATTGAAGTTCCGATTCGAAGATCTTGGTGTTTTTAATGGCTAGCAGCCTCGGGAATTCTCCCTGCATGAAGCACAGACGGACCGGCCCGTAGCACTGGGAGGATGGAAAACATGCATGATTTGTCGATACGACGGTTGGAAATGCAAAACGAAGTGCACTTGGGAGAAACTACTCCGTAAGCGTGGAGTTGACGTTCTTCTCCAGTTGGAACGCTCTGAATTGATCGACGGCTGTTTAGCTATCATATACCGCGATATTCAAGTAAGCCGATATTACTCATGAAATCTTTGCCATCATCTCTAAGCTTTGGCAATGACACGAATTCCATTCGATTCCAACTTGGGGAAGGGTAGGAAGAAGTCATGAGCTAGCTTTACATCGGTTTTATCCGTCTCATATAACTCAAAGTCAAAGTAGCGAAAGGTGGCAGCCAATGTCAAGTACAATTCTGCATATGCTAGGCTTCATAGCGGTCAGGATAAAAAATATGACGAAGTATTCAGGGAGCTAGACTTACTTGATTCCCAAACAGGACCTTGTTCCCTTGCCGAAACCTACAAAATAACGATCCAAGGGAGAGCCATTCTTCGTTCTGGGTGAATCGAGCCACCTTTCAGGAACAAATGAGGTGGAGTTGGGGAAGATATCTTCATCATGGTTAAGAAACGGAATCGTCATAGAAATAGGCGTTCTTGGCGGGATTACCCAACTGCCGTACTGGATTGGTTTGGAAAATAAGCGGGCATTTCTTGAGGTGGTCGAATAAGAGAGTCTAATAGCCTCTTTGATACAGGCTGTAAGATATGGAAGCTTTTCGAGTTCTGTCCATTCGAGGTTTGCCGTTGGGTCTGACTTATCCGCCGTCGGGATTGCTTCCTTGAGCTCGTTTTGTAAGCGGGCAAGCACACTTGGATTGCTCAGAAGGTAGAACGTGGCGACGCTCAATGTCCAGCCTGTGGTGGCGAGACCCGCTCCAATGATCAATTGAGCTTCATCTTGTAGTCGAAGGTCGGATTTTTGGCTTGGAGGCAGGTCTCCATGAAGTAGTTCCGAAAAGACTGTCCCTTGGCTGGCTTTTTCGGCTAATGTATCAATCTTGCCACTTTTCAAGTCCACAATTTGCTTTGCAAAGTCCTGTCCCTGAATGAGTATGGAGAGAGGATATGTATTGTGAAGAAACTCACCCGCTGCATTTGGAAAACAAGAGCATATGATGGTTCGAGTTTAACCAGCCAAGATTGTGGTAGGGTATTCAAGATCTTCGGCAACAACGGAAACTGTAGAGACATATTACCGCTTATGCTGACTGCTCGAAATGGGTCATGAAGAATGGGGTTCCAATTAGGAGCATCAAGACTATTGTAATCATGAGCAAAACAGTACTGCATAATGACATCTTCGGCAAATGCCATGTATCCACGATTGATTGCGAACGGGGCACCAGAGTCTTGATACTCCTGGACCTTACTGAGGAGTAGCTTCAACTTTTGGCGAATAACGCCTTGGAGTTCAATAATCTTCTTCCTGGAGAAAAACGGGTTCAGAGCGTTTCGTCGAGTTCGATGGAGATCATCTGGACCAGTGCTTAAGACGGAATTCTCGTTACCGAACCGACCAGATAACCAGTCATATTTGTCAACTCTTCCAGCTTTGGTGAAGATGGTTTCCCAGAAATCAGAGTCCAGAATGTGAACCTCATCGGGGGTTATGCGCACAATTGGTCCTGCAGAGTGTACGAGAATAGTTTAGGCGCACTGTAATCTGCAGCACCAGCAAGGAAAATAGTAGACATACCATACTTTTTGTGTAGACCCTCAATGTAGAAAATAAACTTCCCTTGCAAATGAACGTCGTAGAAGTACTCATGCCACCTACTTACTGCCGCATATTTTGGTCCTGGAAACTTAGCCAGAGGGTGGAAATATAGGCGGTAGATGACAAGTGCAACCAGGTATGCGAGCCAGATGGCAGTGGCGGTGACGAGCCCAGACCAGAAGATGGACATGGCTTATGGATATCGAGGCAAATTATTTCGAGATGCCTGATCACAGGCAGAATACCAACAATCTCGCGACGAATGTTTGAGAAGTTTTGACAGGACGATGGGACGTGGGCACTATCAGGGAACTTTCGATACCAAACCTTGTCAAGTTGCCAGCACATGGGAAATGGTCTGATGCATTTGCGTAATTGACTAATTCTATACCCGAGGCATGGTCAACGAAGCTTGAGAGAAATGAGTGGCCAGAGATCTTGTGAGGGCGGATCTAGCGTCGTTAGCTGCTGCTTCATGTAGCAAGGATGTTGTGGGTGATGAAGGTGGTACGGGGAGCTCTGAATGCAACTTCTGTGAAAGTGCCAGAGTTGGTTAAGACGAATATTTCACAGCGACTCTAGTGCCTAGTATCTCTAGTCTCACGTCGAGATTCCTTGGAACAGTCAGGTGAGAGTAATATGAATATGAAGTAATATGAATTGTGTCGTTGCGGGTAGGTAGACGTAGAGGGGGTCTCATTCAATTGAAGTGGGGCACTGTTAAGAGCGGGAGGACCGGGTCATGATTCCCCGCGCATAGCCTCACCGGATCGTCCATGTGCCATCAAAAGTAAAGGTTACGAGTCAGTTGGTCTCTGCTTCACCCAATGATGTCTTCAAACCAAAAGTCAGTAGCTACTTCGTATGTCAAAAGTACTCGATAAGGAAAACCAACCTTGAGAAACTCGCTCCCGACTCCAGAGCCTTGAAAATAGTGTTTGAAAATAGTGTGTTCTGCGTTCACATCCTTCTCATCCCATCTTGCCTACATTGAATCCTTTCTCTAACCTGTACATTTCTTCACACCGTACACACTATTCCCAAGTACGGCTACATTTTCTAATGACTTTCAATACTCATGGAGAAGACATCGAACCAGAACAGTTCAGTGATGTCGATTCAGCCCTCGGTGATGGATTCTCCGAGTCAGACACGGAGAGTTTGAGGTCGACCTTATTCCAAAGTGTGTCTGAGAATGGTCGAGGCTACCATAAATACAAGGACGGGCTCTACTTCATGCCCGATGATGAACGTGAGCAGGAACGACTTGATATGCAACATGAAATCTTTCTCCAGACGGTGAATCGCAAACTTCTCGCCGCCCCAGTCAATCCCAACTCAATAAACGTTCTTGACATTGGTACTGGCACGGGTATTTGGGCGATCGACTTTGCCGATGAATTCCCTCATTCTGCTGTCCTCGGAACTGACCTCAGTCCAATTCAACCGTCTTATGTCCCTCCAAACTGCAGTTTTGAGGTTGATGATTTCGATCAGCCATGGTCGTTTACCCAAAAGTTTGACGTGGTTCATGGGCGAATGCTTGCAGGGTCCTTGGGCGATCCTAAAGCTCTTCTTCGACAGTCTTTTGAAGCTCTCAAGCCAGGAGGGTGGATTGAACTACAAGATTTCGCTTTCCCCGTCAGAGCTGATGATGGGACTATGGCTGGTACAGCTTTTGAGAGACTAAATGAGTCACTTATGAAAGCACTTCAACTCCTGGGTAGGGATGGAGGTTGGGCAGCTCAGTATGCCGAGTTCATGTCACATGCAGGGTTTGTGAATGTTGTAGAGACCAGGTACAAATGGCCACAGAATCACTGGCCGAAGGATAAGGACCTCAAAATGATCGGCCAATGGAACATGTTCAACACCCTCGATGGTATCCATGGGTTCTCCGCGCGCCTATGTACCAAAGTTCTGGGCATGAGTGTCGAGGAAGTGGAGTTGTTGCTGGCTCAGTCGCGTCTTGACATTAAAAATCCCAGAATCCACGCTTATTGGCCAATGTGAGTGTTAATCTTCAGCCTTGATGCATACTGGTAACTAACGGTAATCGTTCAGTTATATTGTTTACGGTCAGAAACCTGGCTTGGCAGCTTAATCAGAACTTTCTACCAGGAATAATTCAAGCCAAGGGCTGATCAACGGATTCGAAGCTCAACTGAGTATCATAGACTTTCGGCATAAGGAGTGCACAAATCAAGAGGAACGACGATGAGCATCAAGTCCTACACCTAAGCAGCAATAATCGAACCTAAAGAATGCCCCGTAAGGAGTTTGAGCGACAGAGGCGTCCAGCTTGACTGAGTAAGATTTCCATTTCCTCTACCTCCCACCAGTTCTTTTGAACAACAGGATCTGGTGGTCCAGTCGGCCTCAAGCGGTTCGCAGGCGATATCGTCATGCAGTCATGGTGGCTACAATTCATCATGGATTTCAGGTCTTGATCAAACCTTCCTCTGGTGTCCTACCGGGTAAGCTACTCAGGCTCCATTCAAGAGGCAAAGGCGCGACTTTGCAAACCCGATGCAGGAACCAGTGTGAGGGTTTCGACAAGAGTTTATTAAACTACCATATAGCCTAGCAACGAGGATGTTAAAGCTGAAGAGAAGAAAGAGAAAGGAGTGTCTAGTCATCGCACTAGGAGTAGATATAGAGTAATCTCCTCCAATGGGTCGTACGGAACTCGCACTAACTATCGATGTAGGATATTATGTGACTTAGTCTTGTAGAGAGTCACTGGTTTCCAACCGAGACTTTATATAAGTTTAACACGTGATAGGTAAGGACCGGACATATACTTAGGGAGACTTATATTAACCGCCTAAAAATGCTCGGGATAATCTAGTACAGTCTTATTTATCGTTCGAATCTCACAACGCCACACTGCGCTGCACAACTGCAAGGAGTAGTGGGCGGAATGAGCAATGCCGCCATCACTGAAGAGATTTATATCAACCGTACATAGTACACTAGATGCAAAAAAAGGCAATGCTGCATCTGGTGCCCTCTGTTTGTCCGCGCGATCCCGTCCGTTATTACCCTACTCGTAAGACTCCAACTCCCGTTAACGCGAAAGCTGTGTCGTAAATCATGATCTCCGTCTCATTGACACAGTTGTTTCTTAACCACAGGAAGATGCATAATGGCTCAGGCCACGCGTCCCATGAAGCTTCTCCTCAAATGGAGTCAACCCAGCCTCCCGAAAGGTGGTGATTGAAGTGTTGGAATCACTTGGAGAGCGAGATTGAGATTGGCCACCCATAATTGCCGGGAAAGTGGCCCGGTCGGTGTAGCTGCCACCGGCGAGACCTTGCTTGTAGTAGAGACCGCCGAGAGCGGGATCGGCGGCCCTGGCGCGGCCTTCGCGAGCTTGAAAAGCGGCATGGAACTGCACGTTCGCCTCGAGGTAAGGCTTCAGCCACTTTTTAGGAGTGCGGGTGGACCTGCCAAGCAGAACAGCTCCGATCTTCATGACCATCGAGTGTCTCGGACTGATATCGCCTTGTGCATAGGAGTCGTCGCGGCCCTGACCCATTTCATCCTCGATTTCTGACCAAGTCGCCACGCTGCGGCGGTAGGCGGGAAACCGGTCGCGCAGCATGGTTTCCCTCATAGGAACACCGAGATCTCGGAGGTAAGAAATTGCCCACGCCAGATACAGGTCCTCGATCGGATCGCTAGTTACGCTTTGCTTGCCTGCATGACTGTGCGTGCCGGGGAAGATGACATTCTTGAGATTGCAGGTACTCCTCGGAGATTTATAGAGGAGAATTGGGCTGTATGGTTTGCGAAGCTCATGGAAGGCCACTGCATGTGCGGCGTTGCGGACTAAATCAGACATTGTATTAGCTTTAACATCCAAAGTCAGGGTCAGGGTGGCTCGGCAACCCATTCACTCACTCTGTCCACGGAGTTGACCGTCGAATCCCGGGTCTTTTTGGGCCTTGAAGAACTTCAGTGGCTTGAGGATCCCTGTCCGTGGAATTCCGATGGTTCCAACGTTGTCGAATGCAAGTAGAGCTTCGACTGTAACAGGCTGGCCTAGGCATGGGTCAGTAATAAGACCAACACATTTGGAATGTGACGAACATCGGTACAAATCCTCCAAGCTCTCCTTTTGTGCATCGAGCTTGCCGGCCATGAAGGTTTCATAGACGACTTGAGCAAAGTCTTTGTGAGAGCCAGGAAGGTGCTGGACTTCGGGAACTCCAATGATAGAAAGGATGTTGCTGACGACGCAAGCCTCGACGCCCCCTGGAAGCATTTGTCAGGACACTTGACGATTTGTGTCTAATGGGGTTTGACGAGCTCACCTCGACTATAGCCCACAAGAACAATCTTCATCTTAGGGTGCCACTTGGCGTAGATGTCACCTGGAAAGCACAGGATGGTCAGTATGTATGAATGGCTATCAAGGGGGTTTGCATACGGAGTCCCTCAACAATTTTCGAGTCGAAACCAGTGCCAAAAAACCCTGGAAAGTTTGTGAGTGACCGACCTATGATTGGGATTGTAGGAATCGTACCCTTCACGCCCCTCCACATGCGGCATCCTCCTGTTGCTACTCCTTTGACATAATTGGCGGTGCAGTTAGGACCAGCATTAAGAAGTCTCCATAGGAACTGGATCACAGTTCGGTTATCGTCCGGACCGAAAGCTCCAGAGGTACCTAGATACAGTGTTAGGTGCTTGGGGAGTCCCGGGGCGTGAGATTATCTACCCACCATCAAAAAGCTGAGTGAGAAAAGCTGCATCGTCTGCTTCCGGCGCCATTATACGCCGCTTGTTGGCTGGCGTATCGAGGGCTTCAGGGTGCCACAAGGCTGACGATCGCCCACAAGCCAAGGCTTTGTCGGGGAAAGGCGGGGAAGGAGGGGGTTGCCTTGGGAAAGGATATATGCTTGGGGGCTCTGGCAGAAAAGGCGAGAAGAACAAGCGTGTGAACCAGTGGTGGTGGATCCGGGAAGGCTTGGAGGACACAAAGGAACAAAAACGAGATGTGGAAAGGAGTGGAAGAGTCCAACTGAAGAGCGAGTTGGTAAAGAAAGGGAGACATGAGTTTGCTTTATAGACCTATCTGTATCTTTTAAAATAGCTGACATTGGAGCGATCGCAATGCCCTTTGATCAGGGAATGCGCGAGCAAAAAGACAGCAATGACTCCAGAGTAACTTGCAAGGCTGTGAGAAACCTCAGGGCCATCGTATCTTGGCTGATGACCAGGAGATCGAGGGAATATCTCTACTTGGGTAGCCAAGGGTGGCTGTGCCTACCGCCGATTCATATTGTTTGTGGCCTCAAGACGCCAGGGTCCGACCTGGACTGGACTCGCTCAGGTTAGCCAAGGCGACAACCCAGAATAGCCAAGGCGACAATTGAATCTTGGCTTTATCTTGTCGTTTCTTGACCTCCGTCATTTCCCTGGTCAGGCTGCTCTGGAACGAAAGTGCCAGGTCAGGTTCACCGGTGAAAGATGTGCTCTGTAACCCAAGCCATATTAACTCACGCGACAATAGACTGAAGCACAACGCGACTAAACCTCATCGATGAAGGTGACAAGCGCCTGGCCCACCATCGCCTCCATTGTCCGTCCCATGGAGTTATATCCTGTGAATTACGCACCGGCTGTTTGTCTACCTATACCGCCTTTCATGCTCTGAAGCTCAAATTGACGATAAAGCCAATCGCCACAGGCAATGACTCTTGCGTCCATGCTCCCCTTAGGCCGGTTGAAAAATCACCACCACTTAGCACTGACAAGACGAATGACAATCTATGCTAGCATAATGGAAGAACATCGGGGCGACCCCCAAGATCCGCCTCCTCTATTTGAAAAGCTTGATTGAGTTCCTCTATAGAACGACACGAGCATTGGGAACCCAAGGTTAGTACGTTCCAAGGAGAAAAGAGGGGGTGGAGAAAGTCAACTTCTTCCGGAACCCGTCTCCCAGAAACGCCCACATGTTTAAGTAAGCCATCCCTAAATGACTGCCAACTACCCCCCTCCTTCCCCAAAATATCGCACAGCCTGGGGTTTTCTTTCAACTGAAACGGTACATAAGCACCCAGCATTATGGTGCTGTCAATATACAGTCCTGTCAAACGATTAGCCGCTCGTGACTCCATGCCTGGTCTGCAGCAGCTTTTTGATCCGAACCCTGCTCCACGTGTGCAAATCCATGCAACATCCGAGAATGCTCGGACAGCCGGGCAAACAGCTGAACCTCATTGCCGCTCGTAGCCTTTGGCAGTCTTTGACTATCAACCTCACATCTTTCTTTTATGAACGCAGGTCAGCAGGCTGAGGGCTAAGTACTCAGAGGAGTTGCTTTTCGAGGAGAAGTCGCTTCTTGAGGTGTATGTAAGTTGCTTCGCTCATTAGACCTACGCTGTGGACTTCCCTAGGTGCGACACTCTGTGTGAGAAGTGAAGGCTGTGGACTCCTTGGTGAGGACATCTTACTGTCTCTTGATACCGATATGCTATCATCAGGAATATTTCCAGCAGGATTCCCGTGATCATTTCGTTGACTCACCGGCTTACATGTTCGAGGGCCTCTGATTGCATGGTTGACTCATACCGTGTCGCCCGTCCGTATGGTTTCCCCACGAACTTGGACATATATATTTCGTCTCGAGTCCAGTTCTGCTGCTAAGATTGGCTGGCCTCCAACAAAAGTTGGAGAAAAGTCTTGGTATAGCTCCATTGACTCCTTCCATTATCCGCACAGGGTTTAGGGAGGTCGCCAAGGGCGGGCCCCTCAGCGGAAAATGTGGTGTTGTCTACGAAGCGACCGAGTCAGAAAATATATCCTCCAGCATATGCCGGGGCCCCATACTGATGTGGGACTATTCTGAGATATGACCTCGCTTGTCCAAGTCCTCGGTAGAGCTCCAGGCCTGCCGGTGGAATCGCATCGAGCATAAAGCCTATGGGCTCCCACACCGATGATGCTCTCCATTTTCTCGACAACCCTTGCAATAATCTTGATATCGCTGACTACTACTTAGCCTTTGCTCGCCTTTGGCACCAAGATCTTTGAAATGTTGGACGTCAAAGAATCCAGCTTATGGGCGAATCGGAAATGTCTTATGATCTGTTGCATTGTTTCCATTGCTAACATGCAATATGGATTTGATACTGCTGCTGTTGGTGGTATGCAAGGTACACAGACTCCTACCATAGCATTCGTGCTTTTACTTGTTCAACAGTTAGCTGACCACGCTATAGCCATGCCCGGTTTCCTCAAAGTCTTCGGATACCCAAACCCAAAAAGTCCTATTGGTTATGGAATTGATGTACGCGAATTGAAAGAACTACAAATCAAAGCATTATGAGCTGACTATGTGTCTCTGTGTAGCCTACTTTTCAGCAACTGATCAGCTCCTTATTGACTCTCGGATCTTTTATTTCCTCTTTACTTGCAGGTTTCTTCGCCTCATACTTCGGACGAAAGTATGCTATCTGGCTCGCTTGCATATTGAACGGAGTCGCCGCAGCAATTCTCATTGCAACAACCAATTGGGGTGCAGTGTACTTTGGTAGACTTCTTCTCGGCATTGCCAATGGCTTTCTTGTCACTTTCTCGAACGTTTATACTTCCGAGGCGTCTCCCGCCCATCTTCGAGGTGTTCTTGTAGCACTCTTTGCATATTGGGTCAATATCGGATCAATCCTAGGCTCGACAGTCAACAACTTCACAAAGACACGACTTGATAAATCATCATATCAGATTCCTCTTGGGTGCCTTTATATCGTGCCAACATTCCTCTCAATTGGACTGTTCTTCGTTCCAGAGAGTCCTCGGTTCCTCCTCCATAAAGGTAAAGAGGCCGAAGCAAAACGAGCTCTCATTCATTTGCGTGGTTCTGCACTTACCAAGGACGAATTGGAATTTGAATGGGCAGAGATGGTCCGAGGAATGGAAGAAGAGAAAAGAAACGCAAAGAGTGTGGGCTGGATTGATATGTTTAGAGGTACTGAGTCTCCAGCTTCCAAGCGTGTGAGGCGTTCTTTACTGATTATGCTCCTCAGGCACCGACCTTCGCCGAACACTTCTCTGCTATGGCATGATTGGATGTCAAAGTGCTTCCGGAATCTGGTTTTTGATTGCTTACCAAACATACTTCCTGCAACAAGGTGGCGTGACGAAACCGTTCGAGTATACGATCATGACTTCATGCGTTGGGTTTATCGGTGTCAACGTTGGAATGTACGCCATAAGACACCTGGTTGGTCGTCGTGCAATTCTCATCATTGGTGCTACGGCCTGTGGAATATGCCAACTAGCTCCTGCAATTGCCGCGAGTGCTAGCAACAATCTTGCCATGCGAGCGAACATCCTGACCGCGTTTATCGCCTTATTCAAGTTCTTCTACAACGGCTGCGTTGGAGCGGCGAGCTATCCAGTCGCCACTGAAGTTGTGAGCACCAGATTGAGAGCTTGGACCGTTGGCAGTGCCACCGCAATTGGCTATCTACTTGCATGGCTTGTGAGCTTCTGCTCTCCTTACTTCATCAATCCCGCAGAACTAGGATTGGTTCGTATCTCCCTTCTGATCGCACCAAAGATCGTTGCACTGACTGAGATCAAATTCGCAGGGTGCCAAATATGGTTACGTATGGTTCGGCGCAAACTTCGCCTGCGTGATTTTCTTCTACTTCTTCATGCCCGAAATGAAAGGCAGATCTCTTGAAGAACTAGACGAGATGTTCATTAACAGAGTCTCCGTCCGACAATTCCCAAAATATGAATGCGCACTTCGACAAGACGCCGCGAATGACGTTATGATGAGAGGCGAAGAGCAAAAGATCAAGGAAGTCACGACTACTCATGCCGAAGAAGTTTCAGAAGCCCAGAAGAATTGAGATGAGCAACGCCCCCGGAGGACAGATCCTGGGGCGCTAACTTCTGTGATGCTTAATGGTCACTGAACCACGACCATGCCGCGGATTTCTGACCTCGTGGGTGCATTGCTACCTCAGACCAACCGAACTCCCATTTGAGAGGAAAGTCAGAAGCATATTCTATGAGGAAATGTGAATGTTCATCATGATGCTTCAGACTGAATTTGCCCGTTGAGAAGATGTGAAGTGAATCTATGGTGACACCGTGAATCGGGAGATCTCGAAAACCACTACAATCTGACTGAAGCCTTGTGTCCACCAAATAATATGGCACGCTACGCTCTTCATGATATCAACCCTCGATCTCACCTAGCTTCCTTCCATAAATCTTGGTTCAAAGCCTCAACATCCGTATATCACATCGTAATCCTTGGGCGTAGCGCCGTCCATTATCCCGAGAATGCTGTTCCATCAAATCATCACTTTCTCCTTTCCACTCCTCACTGTATCTAGAGCCCTCCCTTTCATTCACACAGCAAAAATACCGCGTCCGGAATGCCTCTCCAGACATGGCACTGTACCTGTAGGTATCAACCTTGGACTTGTAGAGATGTACGTGCCTTATGCCTTTGACATATCGGTGTCACCCCGGTAAGATTCAACAATCACTGACTTCGCCTTCCAGCACTGCAGCATGTCTCAGTAGACACGGCGTACCTGTCCCCCTGGGACGAGTCAATACGTCTGACACCTACCATGCACTCATGAGCAGTGCTTTGCCGGAACAGCCAGGGTACAGCAGGTATGTGTGTGTCTCAACACCCCGAGGTGGAAACCCCATTTGCTCTGGTACTCGGCTCATCCAGATCGACAACACTCACGGAATATCCATAGTTCGATGAGCAAGGACATGAGCGTTGGAATGCTCAACCAAGCAATTCTCGCACCACCCGAGATCCAAATCCCTCATCTGGCGCGGGATATCCTGAAGGCTGAAGTGACGAAGATACTCGACCATATCCGCGATGTGCACGGACTCAAAGCGACGATCCAATCCGTCTCCGCCCCAGAGGCTCTCGACACGAGGTTGGAGGCATCGTTGCTGGATGCCGTCGACCTGGCCTCCGGGCCGCTGTCACAACGCAGGGAGATATACTCGCCATTCCAAGTTCTTGCCACCAGCCATGGTGGAGGATATATGCCGGAGGAAATCTCCAACGTCGTTGGTGCTTGTGGAAGAGAAGAGACTCATAAGCACCGCGATCCGAGATATGTCGTCGTGCTGGATTATCAAATACGCAGCCTTCGAATCATGGCTGGGATCGTAGTCGCCAGAGAAGCATATCTTCTGAGCCAGACTTGGATGCCTTTGAAAGAAGTAAGTATATCTATCGCCCCTGAATTCCCCGTTCCCCTTCGCGGCCCTCCGCTCTCCCAGGCCCCTTTACCTAGGTGCCTACCTACCCAGATGATACACGTCCAACGAGCCAATATAAATCCACCAGCCAGCCAACCAACTAACAACCTCACCTCACCTCACCGCGAGCAGACACCCACCCTCCTCCAGACCTCCTGGCCCGACGCAACACACATCCACGCGGCGCTCATGGCGCTGGTCGCAGAGCACCACCATCTACATTCCGACGCTCCACGACAAGTCGACGCGCTCGTTTTCGCAGGACAGATCACGAACGGGACGATGATGGAGTGGCTCAGTGAGATCGTCGACGCTGTCATCCCCGCTTCGCGACACTTGTTCCAGACGGCGGACCCGGGGTTTCGTGCTGCGTTGGGCGCGGCTTGTTTGATGGGATGAAATGGGATGTGGTGTGGTGTGGGATGAGGGATTGATTGGCGATGGATGGCAGTGGATTCATGTTGGAATTATGGGGTTTGGGCTGAGTATCGGTGTTTGAGATGCGTATGTATCTATATTTGTGAGTTGATGGAGGGAAAGATGCGGCGTTCGTGAAATCGCCGCGTCCGTTAACACTTCATAGGCCTGGTAAGGAAGAAATGCCCAACACTTGGGCGAGATCCACGTTCTTGCCAGCTAAGCTTGTTTCTCAAATGAACCTACCGACTTGCCTGTGCCCTATAATTAGACTTAGCTATGACCACTTTCTAGGACAATCTCCATCTCGTCTGAGTGAGCGATGGCAAGCATGAAGATCCGCATCGATTGAAGGTAGTATATATATACGACAAGTATGTAGGAACCCCCTGCAAAGTCTGGGTTTTGGGCCAAACAAACGACCGTGTCTGAAGCACACGTCGTTCACCGTTGACTTTCCCTTCTCAGCTGCTCGAAACAAATGACGCCCCAAAATTTTGGCCGCAATAAAAACACAAGGAAGTCTCAAAAGAACGCAAAAAGGTGAGAGAGCTCAAAACACGACTAGACAGGCCAATTGCTCAAACGGCCGTCCACTCCTTATCGGACGACTCGCTCCCGGACGCTTTTCCCTTCCCCTTGGGATCAGCGGTCGCTTCGCCTCCCTTCTCACCCTCGGTGATGGCAGCACTAATGCTCGAGTCGAGAATAGTCTTCAGCCGCTGGTCCTCGTCCTTGTTCCATTTCCGGTCGGTGGTGTCGGATGTGGCCTTCGTGTCGTCGGCGTCCCCCGCGAGCAGACTTTGGTCCTCGGTCGCTTTGACCTCGGCTTCTAATCGGTGGCCGTCGGCGCGTTGCTTGCCTTTCCCTTCGTAGGGTGGACTGCGTGACCGGGAGGCGAGGCGTGCTCTGGGCGGCGCGTACGGTTCGGGGACGAGATCTGATGCGGGTCGAGATGCCGATGCCTGCCCGAAGTAGTCGACCGTGGGTGACTCCGGTGACGTGGCGTTCACGGGTCGGTTGAACCGTGGTAGTTCGTAGTTGCCGTCGTCGTGGTCGTATATGTCGCGTTTGTACGGCTCGTAGACCGACTGGACGTCTTCGGTGACGGCTTCGACGCCGAAGAAAGAGCTTGTGTCGTTGCGGGCCCTATGGTTAGATCTTGTTAGTGTCTTGATCACGAAAAGCGTCAAATTTGGAGTTTGACTTACTCTTGTAGGAAATTCACAGTCTCGGAGAAGGTGGGGAGCGAGTTCCAAGCCGTTGAGTACCATGTTGAACTTATCGACTGATTCCTTTTACTGCCACTCCTGCCCAGACCCTGTGCAGACCTACCGACACTGTTGCGCCGAGCAATTGCTGCTGCTTCCTGGAGTTTGGCTTTGGGTCCCTGCTTCTGGACAACTGATAGGGTGATTCTGGGTTTGCCGCGTTGTTGCTGAGATGGATGAGTGCGGCTGACCTCTTTCTCAAGCTCGATCATCACCGCCACTGTACTCGAGTCGGATATAGCCGTTGGAGTCGATTGGGCGATTCTCCCCAGTGCATTCTCGATGCGATCAAGACATTCTTGGACTGTCGATTCTGCTTCGCTAGTGTGATCTGACACTGGACCATTCAGAGCCGGGCCTTTGATGAGAGATGACAGATTTGCGGCAGCGGTCGTGCTTCCGGTCGTCAACGCTTGGATGCCACCCTCTGACTGTTCGGCAGCCTGGAGTACAGCTTCATACTTCTTTGTTGCTTCCTGGTTGGCGCGAACAAATATTTCGAGTAGAGACTTTTGACGTTCGGCGATATGCGTCTCCTCATTTTGACGTCTTTTTGATTTGGTTAGAAAGAATCCATTGGTCCAGCATGGATTGACTTACTCTGCATCGAGATTTCCAGCATAGCCCAAAGCATTCTGTACTAGCACGAGAGTGCTCTTCAACTTCTGAAGGTTCGCCATCAAAACTACCATCTTGGGTTGAGAGAAGGCCCATTTCGATTTCTCAAGAGGTGACAAAGTCAACTTCTCTTTCGTAGATCGTTGCAAGGCAAGCTCTGCCGCGTCTTCGAGCACCACCCGAATTTCGTTAAAGACATCCTCACACTCCTTCACGGTTTCCTTGGCGGTGGACAGAGTCGAATTCGAGTACGGGTTTGCTTGGTCGTCTTGCTTTAGATCTTCGTCGAGCGCTGTAAGTAAAGATGAAACAAGAGAGACATCCTGAGCGACGCTTTTGATGTACCTGTGATCGGTGGAGATGGTCTCGGAGAAGGTGTAAAGTGTCACGGCCAACTTAGTGCCGGCACTAGCAATGCCGGCGATTGTGCTGATGAATTCGGTTTCTACCATGGTGTATGAGTGGCGTGAATGTTCGATTTCTCTTTCTCAGTCCATCGTCGCTAGAAGATATGGATGAATGTTTCGATGTATACCACGACTTTCGAGAGCAAGAACGAAGAGACGAAGATGAAAGACAGTCTGGCGTTAGCGGGTGTAAGCTTTCTCCTGAGCTGAAACCTACGCCAAGGATGGCCGGCCACCAGCCTTCTTCTGTGAGACGAGAACCTTGGAAAGTCAGCTGTGGCCATGTGGGGTGTGCCTTGGTGCCTTTACACGAAGTTGTGATTAAGGCGGCCCAGTGGTGGTGGCTCGGGTGGCTCGTGAGGGAACTAGGCTGCTTTAGCGCTATAATTAGCCCTCCCAGGCAGGTCCCAAGGCGACGTTCAGCCTTGTTCTAGGCGTTTCGGGGCCCGAGCAATTTTGGACGAGGCTCTCAGGTTTGCCGTGCATCGATTCTTTGCATCCAAGTCCACCATCAAACAAATGCATCGGAGAATACCGAGGACATGTACAACGTTGGAAGTGCGTTGAAAACATATTGTACTCTCGGATTGTATTAAGTGGTGAGTCAGCCCAACACTCGTTCACGGTCGTTCGGCATCACTACAGCCCCGAACGAACGGGGGTGGTGAGAGCCAAGCGAGCCTCAAGTGCTGTGTCAGCTTGACCATGATTGTTACTATAGTAGGTAGGAGATTTGTGAATCCATCTTGGATTTAATTCAACATGATTGTGAAATTGTTCTAGAGAAATAAACTCGTGCGTTATCTTACCCAGGTAGACAGCAATGGTAACAACGCGTCAAGGCAGTCGCGTCTTCCCAGCCAAAGCACACGCGACTGGTATGTGCTCGCAGCAGCCCTGACCAAGAGCAGTGAGGGATCTCATTATCTACGAGTCTATATTATCCTAGCTACCTACATGAATTTCACACGAATAGGCGCCCAGACTCTGCTGGCTCACGAAAGTCCATCCTCGTTCCGCGATTGAGCGGTTTGACTTCTAGAACACGAGAAGATCCTCCATCACTCGATGAGAAGCATTCACAGCTTGAGTCTTACATATATCCCCATGAATACGTCTTCTCGAGCGAACCATTTGCTGAGATTGTCGGAGGGAAATGTCCAAGTCATCCCTTATACTTTTGGTAAAATACACATTCATTCATTTGTACCCGTCGTGGACAGTATGTTCGTCTAATCCCATTTCACTAGCCTAGTCCTATATCTGCAGTATGCACATTATGTGCACCTCAAATCGACTTTTCTGTACTGATATGCTCCTGGATTTTTCGACAAGTCATCACCCTCTCCTTCTTGTTGACTTGGGATTGTTGCAAGCTTCAAGAGAGCAGCGTCTACTGCTTTTTGGCTTCTTGTACCTCCGCGAGACCTTCCTTGAGAGCTTTCAAGGCCTTGTCGACTTCTCCTCTCGACTGATCTGTAATACTAATGCCCATGTGACCAAAGCGAATGTATCGAGCGGCAATCTCCTTATGTAATCCACCGGCAAAGATGACTCCTCTCGACATGAGCTTGGGGAGAATCTCGGGAGGAGTCAAGCCCTCGGGTAAATAAATTGCCGTCATGGTGTTGGCGGCGTTTGATGGATCAGTGGCCAATTGTTTCAAGCCGAGTTTGGTGACTTCTGCCTTCACATACTGACTGATCTCACGGTGCTTTGCAAAGCGTTCCGCGATCGGAGTCGCCAGAATCTGTTTCAGAGAAGTGTTCAGGGCTTGGACCAACTGTGTAGGAGGAGTGGCGAAATAGCTGGGCTTCTTTGCCTCGTAGTTCTGCATGATGGGTAGCCAGTTCTTAAAGCTTGCATAGTATGATCCTGGGGGAGATTTTCGGGCTTTGAAGACATTGAGAGCCTTCTCCGACACCATGGTTATTGACAAGCCAGGTGGGCAGCCGATGGCCTTTTGTGAGGCGGTCAGGGCAACGTCAACAGACCACTCATCAAATGCAAGCTCTTCACCACCGATGGAGCAGACACCATCAACAACAAGTAGTGTATCAGGGGACACTTTTTGAATGAGCTCTGCCAGTGGCTTGATCTGCGAAAGCACACCGGTCGAGGTGTCAACGTGTGTGACAGTAACAGCCTTGTATTTCTTCTCTTTCAGAGCGGCCTCAATCTCTGGTAGCTGAGGACGATCACCAATAGGTGCTTTCAGCTGGGTAGGCTTTCCGCCATAGGTAGCTATCGCATCGGCGAAAGAATCGGCGAAGTAGCCGGTATGTAGAACGAGAACATCCTCACCAGGTTCGATCAGGTTGGCCGCGACGAGATCCCAGCCCAGCGTACCACTTCCAGCCAGAACAAACGGTTGAGAGTTTGGGTTCTTTGTCTGGAAGAGATCTCTGAGCTGAGTTAGGGTTTCACCAAAAGTGTTGACAAACGGCGGGCCGACATGGGATTGTGCATAGTGGGACATTGCCTGGGTGACCTCATCACTGATCTCGATGGGGCCTGGGATCAGGAGCGAGGCATGTTCTGCTTGTGTAGACATGTTGGGAGAAGTCGAGGTGGAAAGACTGCGCTTCTGGATCTTTGACGGTGGGAGAGGGACTTTTGGATGAGGCACAGGAGGATTGTAGGGAAGGTCGTCGTCGGAGAAGGGTAGAGAGGACCTTTCGGTGGTATATGGAGTGTTTATAGGAGGGTAGGAGGACTGGTGATAGGAGTCGAGATGTCTAGAGATCAAACTCAGACGAGTCGAAGCAGTTGAATAAGGGCGATTGGGAGCCAGGATTGCGACTGTGGGGGAGGGGTACTGGAAATATAATAAACAGGGATGACGATGACGATTGGCGAAGGTGATGGCAGGTGGATTGTGAGTGGCCGTGGAAATTCGGTAGAGTGGCCGATGCGGGCGGGAAGTGCGAGAAATGGGAGAAGCGCTGGACTCGGACTTGTAGGTGGTGTCGGGAGGGACACGCGTGGTGTTTTTCACGGTGGTGGAAATCAGTCGTGCTTGTTGTAACCAGGCTTTGTGGGAGGTTGAAGAAGAAATATTAATATGGATCGTTGATGACCTCGCCATTGCCATCGTGCGCGGAATCATTCTGACTAGATTGGGAGTAATATCTCCGCCAGTCGTACCAAATCTGTTTGCTGTTGTGGTGCGGCTCCACGCAAAGCAGCACGCGTTTTGTCTCGATCAGTCACCGCCGTGTGGGATTTGTGGGTAGAGAAAAAAACAAAGTGATTTCAAGGGGGGGCGAGGGGCGAGGGCGCTTCGGATAGGGACCCGGACTCGACTAGACCAGGGCCTTGAGAGCGAAATGAAGAAATATGTACGAGGTATGTTGTTGCTCCTTTGAGGTCTTTGTCGTTCAAATTGTCAGTTGGATCGTGGCGGTCATCCTGAGGACAGTCCAGTCCAGCAAGGGCCCTTTTCTACCCCAGATACTCGTACTCAAAGCCTGGACAGGTACGAGCACGAACGACTTCGACTTCCAACAGGCGCGTAGGCCGGTGGATTTCCAACCGAACCCACCGATGCCCGGAAATGGGAACAAGCTATTCCCTGCTACCCATTTTCATTCTCGCTCTCCTACCCTCCTAATCCTCCTTCTTCGTGTCACACGCTCACAGCTAGCCTCGCTTCATCCCATCAGACGTATTCGTATTGTCTTCATATCCGCTATAGATCGAGTCTGGATTAATACTCCTTCTCTCTTTTGCCTTCCAAGTGGTGTTCAAGGCTGAATACCTAATGGAATACGATGCTGGTCAATTGTGCGACCCAATTACTGATCAAGCACGAATCCTCGTACATATCTAAGCTTTGTAAGTCCTACATGTGAATATCATCAGTCCGAGGCTCGATATAGGGCCCTTCTATCATGAAGCCATGGACAGTGGGGTTTGTATAACCGAACAGTGGAGAGCTCTTAGCATAACATGTCGAGTCTATCTCACACCACCTTGCTCGTTTGCATCTTTCCGAGCTTAAAAGCTTGAGAATATTCTCTTTCTAGGCTTTTCATCTACATGTATGTTTGCCTGGTAGTATTTTGGCAAAATCCCTACCTCAATGGCGTCCTCTAGCTCAATCAAGCTTCCATATCAAGGCCCAGTCCATGCTTTTACCCATGCACAGCTGGGCGACCTTAAGGGGAGGTTGATTGAATACCCTCATGTTCCTGGTTCGGCTATTGTCCAGTTCCGCTCCATTCCTTATGCCACAGTACCCAAAAGATTTCTGCCATCAGTACCCCTGACCGAGATCCCATCTACGTTCGATAACAGACCTCACAGAGATTTCACACACTTTGGTGCAGCATGTCCCCAACCAGGGGCCACAAAGCCAGCCTGGTTTGCTCCACAGGGTGGTAAGCTCCCAGATGATGAACTATTGGACTTCGATGAGTTCACTTGTCTCACCGTCTCCATTTCGGTACCTGTATCTCAATTGACACATCAGACGGACAAAGCCTTACCGGTCATGGTCTACGTCCATGGGGGTGCCGCACAGGATGGCTGTGGTCACGTTGATGGCTTGCACAACAACGGCCCGCTGGCAGCCTTTGCCCACTCGATTTCCCAACCAGTCATCATTGTCAATATCGGCTATCGCTTGAACTGGCTTGGGAGCCTGGTCTGTCAAGACATGCTCGAGGAATACACATTGGACCCAACCAGTCCACATGGTCCCTTCAATCTCACCATCCAGGATCAAAGAAATGCATTTACATGGATCCATAAATTTATGGGTGGATTTGGTGGTGACGCCTCAAATATCACTGCTTTTGGCGAGTCTGCTGGGAGCATATTTACCCTGTACCACATCATAGGGTCGGATAAAAGAATGTTCGACCGTGCCATATTACAGTCTGGCGTTGTTCTGGGAGATCTGCCCTTCATCGCCAAAGAGGCTGAGTATCAAGCTCTTTTGACAAAGTTCGGCATTCAAGGCACAACTCCTGCTGAGCGACTTGATCAACTGCGCAAGGTCGACGCGGCAGCCCTTGCTGACGTCCAAGGCACGCACACCCTCCCCTTCGTTGGTGATATCCCTGGGGTAGAAACGCAAAACTCGTTGTTCACCAGAGGCATCCCGACAGTTGAGAATCAGTTCGATCTCGCTCCAGCAAATGACTGGTTGGGCGATGTGATGATTGGAGACGATCTCTGGGAAGGTCAAACTATATTGGAGCTTCTCAAGCAATGCGAACCCAAAGTCTTCGTGGGCGCCATCATCTCCATCTTTGGGGAGACAATTGCCCAGGAACTCCTCGAAACATACGACATGCCTCTTTCTGGGGAGATCGACCCCAACCGCTTCTTACTCCAGTTATCGTACTTCATTGGCGACCTACTCTTTTCTGCACCTATCGACAAGCTTGCAACCACGCTCGCACGAACGTCATCTTCGGGTGCACGTCGTGAAACAACTCTCAAGCAAAGAACGGTATATCGTTACTCCATCGCCCTCTCCAACCCCTTCGCGGGCAACACACACAGCTTCGCAGCAGGCCACCATTTCGTGGAGATTCTCTTCCTCTTTTTGACATTGCTGGATCGATATCCAACACGTCGAGACAAGTGGCTAGAACGACAAGCACGCGAGACAGCTAGGAGGTGGATCACCTTTGCGAACGGGAAAGAGCCGTGGGAGGAATATCGAGTCAACTCTCTTACTACAGGTGGAAACGAAGCTTCAGATGACGCGTCGGAAGCAAAGATTGCAATCGCAGACGATTTGCATGGATGGACTGTTCGAACACGCTCCGAAGATGAGCAGGCCAGTAAGGATGATCCGTGGGGTGAGAGACGGTATGCTGGTTGGCGGGCTCTGGAGAAGGCATTTGACGCACTCAAATCGGCGAGTGGAATGCCTGAAGAAATGCATGGTGCTTTTGTCAATGGTGCGAGGCTACAGATTCTGAAAGCTGCGACGACACCAGGCCCTGAGGCTGCGATGTAAGGTAGCAGTGGACGAGGTCGCAGTGTTGTTAGGGGCGGTCTCCGCAATGACAACAACTACGAATACCAAGATCGAAGCCCTGCAGAACCCTATCTCAAGTCCCCAGACCCTATCCCTTACACAAGGCCATCGACATTGAGAACCAACCTGCTTAATAAAATTGTCACTACAGTCTATTCACTGCGAGTCCATCCCTGTAATCGATCACCTCGGGATGAAGAACAAGGGGAAGACTGGACACCACCCAAAAAAAGAAAAAACACCGTCGCCACGAGGATTCGAACCCCTAGACAACAACGACCAAAAAAGAAAAAGATGGCAGGAGACTACGCGTCTACTTTACCTAGGCATTTTTGCCCGTTACGCTGACTGGGGCCCCCAGTCAACATAATGGGGGAGACGGACCACTAACTGTAGACCCAATCCATATCCTGCAAAGGCTCCCCTACCAACCACGCTACGGCCTACGCCAAACCTCAGCCAGCAGTGTTATAGGGTCAATCATTGATTTGGTGACAGGAATGGGGAATCTGAAAAATATATGCTTGTTGGGCCTGGGGAGTGAATGATGGTGACCTGGGGGGAAGGCTAGCCGAGCGTCACTTCACCGTTGAGCTTGCTTCGGGGGGTGCGAGTGGAAGCGAAGTGAAGTGAAGTGGAGGATAGAACTGCGCTCTTGAGTCGAATTGAATCTCCATTCTCTAGGTATCAATCGAATCGTCCCGCTCACTACATAGGCAATTCTCTCACCACATATCCATCCTAGCCATCCCATCCCATCCCAACACAAGATTTCCCGCTAGCCCATTCCTCTAATTCGACCCCGTCCCAGCAGCAAACTGAGGATCGCAACCAGAATCATTGAGATTCAAACCCTCAGGCAACTTATCCTTATCCGGGCTGAACATGGCCAAACAGACCAGCTTATCGGCCTTGATGAACGGGACGCTGAAGAAGCAATGCGAGAACTGATTGTTCAGGTCGACAGCCTGGGCCGGCTTGTCGTTATTGCAGTCTCGAATGTTGGAGTAGAAGACGTTCAAGTCGAGGTTGTACCCGTCTTCGGCCGAGTCGAACTTGAGCATCATCTCCTTGGGCAGGGGCTCGGTGTCGGGGTCACCAGCGTTGACGGGCTTCAGGCGGCGCTCGAGCGTGTAGCATTCCTGGTGGGTTGGTTGTGTCAGTGTCATCTTCCAGTATCTGTGCTTGGGCGAGGATGATGATCAAGGAACAGGGAAAGGGGAAGTGATCGAACTTACATTGTCGATCCAGCGCGACCCGGTGATTCCGTTGCAGGCATTCTGGTCACGAGACGTGTCGACGAAGACATAGTAATTCATGCCCCTCAAGACAGTTCCGACGATACCCAGCTTCACGTTCTTCATCCCAGCATCGAGACCCGCATCAAGCGACGAGTCGGAAGGTGGGACGAGGAAACTGCCGCCGGCAAACACCTGAGAGATCGGGTCTAGATTGGACGGCGCTTGTCCACCACGGGCACCTGCCACGAAATTGACCAGCTCCTGGATATCGATGTCATCGCTGCCACCGAAAAGCTTCGAGTTGAGTTTGGTGAGTCTATCGTTCGTTTGAGTGAAGAGATTCCTCAGCTGGTCTTGAACGGTGACTTTCAAAGCACCGAGGTCGACCTGCTCCGGGCCGGGAAGCGAGCCAGCGAGACCGAAGATCCCTCCGATGATCGCTGCGCCATTGGCCAAACCGGGGCTGGAGACTCCGATCAGTTTTTCTGCAATGCCGAATGCCGCTCCGATCGCTTGAAGCATGTCTGCTTGCCCGGATTCTGAATTGGGGTTGAAGTCGGAGATGATCTTGTCGATCGACAGGATGTTTTCGATGGCTACATCTTGCAATTTCTCGTGTGCACGGGTGAAGAAATCGTGGGCGTTGGTGGCTGCGCTTCGGATGTAGAACACTGATATGATCGAAGGTCAGTTCTCGATCCATAGCTTGGAAGTGCTGTGGAGTTTGAGAAAGCTTACGCTCAGGAGGAGTGAAGTTCGGGCATGCACTCGTGGCAGCCCGGCAAGTGTTTCCACCAAGTGGTTTGCAGTCAAGATTCGATGGCAGGTTTCCAGCACCTGTTGTGCGGGAATCAAGGTTTCGCAACCAGTCATCTGTGCAGAGGTGGTGGTCAGCATGGGCAATCATCGATCCATCATATGAAAGCTGCGAATGTCAACCGACCTGCTCCATGATCCTTGAGCTGTTGGTCTAGGAAGACCGCTGCTCCGGTATTGTCCCAGGAAATCGGATCGGTAAGGGACAAGCCACAGACCAGCTCAGCACGCGCTGCTGGATCTCCACTGGTGGTACTGACGCCAATGACAGTGACGTCCTGTGGATTTGGGATTGGATTTGCATGGACGCTGGCGGCGAGAGCAGCGACGGTGAGACCGAGAAGAGCAGACATTTTGAGGTGGACGCCGGGTTCGTTATGTAAGAAGAAAAGAGCGTGTATATCGTTTCAGACGTTGTGCGATCCGGCGCTTGTAAGTGCAGTTCGATGCTAGGGAGTGTGCGGTAACCAAAGGAAAGATATGCAAGGAAAGAGCAAAGGATGAGAAAAGCAGTCGACTGCTGTTCTGGACTGGTAGTTCACATGTCGTCGGCTCTGGAAGCATTCTTGTATTCTTATAGCAGACCTACCACTGATGAAGTCCACTCCTGAAATTGCCGATGGGTATGTTCGACGGTGTCTCACCTAACCCACAACGAATCCGGTGGTGACCACCGAATTTCCTACTCTGGAACATATATGCGGTTATCCCAAACAGCCATCCTGGGGGAAAGATGTTGACGCAATGCTAAATCGGGCAGGTAGGCGGTATTCTAGGGTGCGGAATCCTCCTGGGCAGGGCTGAGCCTCGAAATCTGGAAAGAAGACCCCATTCATGAATCTCCCTCAGGCTGGCGATATGGGGGTCAAGGCTTTGTCCACCAATTGTAGTGCATCGGCGGTGCTAATAAGGTTCGCAGGATATTCGAAACAGGGAGAATGCCTCGATCCTCCTGAACTTGGATCGCTTATTCTCTCTTGGCGAATCCCCCAACATCCACTGCTGCATTTCCCTATCTGGTACATGCTGCGATATCAAACGTGATGAAACTGGGGAATGCTCTGTTTGTGCGTCTATGTTATAGGTCTATGGCTGCCTTGGATGGAATTGCTGTCAGCTTACAATCCTTCCTGACCTGATGCATTCCCGCATCATGATAATTTTCTGAGCAAAGCGCGAAATTACTAGCCAGGCGAATAGAGGAGGTCGTGGTGGATTTGTCTGGATGAGTGGATTGAAACGACAGAATACGAGGTGTTCTAATTTCAGCCTTGTACTTGCTTCTAGCGAAGTGGACTGAGGATTTAGGTCTGAGGTATTCATAGACAACAGGATCGGGGATACATAGTGCTGTTTCGCATATTGAAGGACTATTCATACCACTTCTGCAATGAAACTCAAAGGTTCCTTCTGGACAATGTAGCCCGAGCAGTCAGTATTATTGCCGGGACGAGGTATTCAGAAACTCTCAGGAGTATAAGTGCAAGACTAAGGAGTTAGGTAATCTTCCCAGCTCGTGTTCTGCGGTTTCGAAATCCCTTCTGATGGGTTTCTGGCCCCAGAGCACCTCGTAGAAAATGAAGAACCAGTGGCCCAACCCGTCGCCTAAACCTCGACACGAAACCGCGATCTCATCTTAAGCGAGCAATCCTGCCCCAACGCGGCTCCAGAACCACTTTGTCATCTGTGACAAAGTGCCCATATTCCCGATTTGCTTAGCTTGAGATGTGTTCTGTAGATAAATCTATGGTGGTCTAACAGTATAAGATAGTACTGAAGCTATGGCCGTACTCATGCTGTCGAGGACACTTCGGGAGGGCGATCAGATTCCCTGGATAACGGGTTGGACTTTGCCCCATTGTTAGCCGTTAAGCCCGATGCCAACGCCTGAAGCTTGAGCTCTAAGTCATTCGACAACTTCAGGCACCCGTAACTTATATCACTGCTAGTGAGTCGGTACCTGCATTGAGATTTCAGGCACCCAAGTATGCGTCTTCTCGTTCTCGTCTCCGGAATTCATGGTCACAGTGCGTCCAATCACTCACCTACGGCCGAAGTGACCAACAATCAAGACTCCAAATGATCCAGATAGGTCTATGTTGAACCCTCCTATATACTACCATTGGACAGCGGTGAATGAGAGACTCGAAGTCAACAGGCCTGCTTACATTATCAACAAGGTGAATGGTGACGTCGAGGCTTCAAACCTGGCACTGCCGAGGTGTATCTTGTCGAAGCGTGATAAACTTCCGGCCGATGCTAACCTAGGGGGTTTCCCCCGCTATATCATCTCACGCTTGCCACTGGTATGAGGTATACATATATAAAGATCTGTTTCTTCCGTCCGGGATGACTCTTCACGCGACTCGACGCATTGACTGCTGAATAATATCGAACCACAAGATATCAACACCAACACCAACAGTCTCAAAGCACAAAAACATCCAACATGGCCCCCCCAGGACCACCATTCACAATCCACCACCTGCACGTCGGGCAATCGGAACGCATCATCTGGCTCGCGGAAGAACTCTCCCTCCCCTACACGCTGGAACTGCACACACGCAACCCGGTCTTCTCACCCCCATCACTCACAGTACTGACACCACAAGGCTCGGCACCGGTGCTCTCGTCCACCACCCCCTCAGGCCAACCCTTCAACATCAGCGAAACGGGCGCGATCGCAGAATACCTTCTCTCCCCCTTATACAACCCATCCGGCCACCTAACCGTCCGCCCGGGAGCGGAGAACTACCACGCGTACCTGTTCTGGCTGCACTTCGCGAACGGCACGCTCCAGCCCGCACTAGGCCGACAGATCATCGCGACGGGGCTCGACCCCACCGGCGCGAACCCGCGCTCCGCCGGGGCCAAGGAGCGGATCGAGCGCGCGCTGGGCCAGCTGGACGCACGGCTGGCGGAGACGGGGGCGTGGCTCGTCGGTGACGAGTTCACCGCCGCCGACGTCCTGACCGTGTGGTGTGTCACCACCATGCGGCAGTTTGTGCCGTGGGATTTGGCGCCGTATCACGGTATTCTGGCCTGGTTGGGCCGTGTCGCGGAGAGGGTTGCGTATCGTACAGCTATGGAGAAGGGGGATCAGGGCCTGGATTGGAGGAAGGCCATGACTCCTGAGGGGCCGGGCTTGTTTCCGCCTATGAAGGCTGCGATGGAGCGCGCTGCTGCTGCGGCGGCGGCGGGTGGAGCGGGAGGGGCTAGGCAGTCGAAGGCTTGAGTTGGGTGGTATCTAATGCTTTTGGGAGGATTGGTTGAAGGGCGGGATGGAGATGGAGTAGAATTACGGTTGTTTTTTTTTGGGTTTTCCATTGGTGCGCATCAGACTCATCACTCGAGCACTAGCGATAGGATCGCCGCTCGATTCCAGTTAATGATATTTTATCATTGACCCCTAAGGGCATTCCACTCTCATATCGTCATACAGCTCATGAATGCCACCCTTCCCACTTCGAACCCACCATCCCATCCCATTCGTCAGCCGCCCTCTCAATCAAAACTTGCTAGTTAGTTCCCCAGAATCGTCTCAATAAGCACCTTGCCAGCAACATCCCGACCGGGACTCTCCAACATGCGGAAGACTCTATTGCCACTGCGATTGCCGAGCCAATTGCCACGGTCATGGGGCACTTCGCCGTCGCTATTGCGGCGCTTGCGAGCGCGCTTGTCGCCGACGGTCATGCCTCTGGTCCACTGGCCGGCCGTCTCGATGCGGATGTCCTCTGGGCTGCGGCTGCTGGGTTTCCAGCGCGCGTCGTCCTGCGTCAGCACGTACCAGATGCACAGCGGGTCGTGAAGCGCCAGGGCGGCGCCTTCGCCTTCGTGCCCGATGTGCAGTCGCTCCATCTTGTCGAGCATCGGCGTCATGAACGCCGTCATCCACTGCGCCAGTGGGCTGCCTTGCTCGGCGAGAGATGACGCTTGGCTGGTGAATAGCCCGCGGCTGAGCATGTGGAATTCGGTGATGTCCAGCGACATGAGTGTCAGTTTGAGTGGTCGCGGAAGCTGTGTCGGGTAACTGGCGAGATCGAATGACCGCTCGCCTTTGGTTGCGACGGGCATGGTGGAGGCTGGGATCGGTGAGCTGAGCGCGTACACGCGTGCCGCGGCATAGGGGTCGGCGTAGACGTTGAATTCCGCAACGGGAGTGACATTGCCAATGCCATCGACGGTGCCACCCATGGTGACGACTTCCTTACAACGCAGGAATGTCTCCGGATCCTCGGCGGCGGCTAATGCGAAGTTCGTCAGGGGTCCAATGGAGATCAATGTGATTGTGTCTGGTTCGTTTTCTTTCAGGATACGAAGGATTTCTTGGTGAGCAGGTACGAGAGACGGGACAAATGACTCGGTTGGTTCTTCAAGATCGACCTCTTCCTTTGCCAATTTCGTGAGATTTGGGTCGGCCGGTGGCTGTTCAAACAACTTCTTCCAGCTTTCCTCTGGTGAAAAATGTGGATGGCTCGAATGCGTACCCGCCAGGCCATCGATGCCGTGGAAATAATCCGCGCTCTCAATCCGGTCCTGTAGAGGTTCCTCGGCACCAATGGCAACGATTGGCTTATATTTGGTAATTCCTTCGAATCCAAGTGGTTTGCCTTGTTCCTTCCGCCATTTGAGTTCCTTCTCCAGAATGTGGAAGATGGCCACAACATTGCGTAGACACGATCTCACATCAACGTTGCCAAATGTCAGCGAAATGAGAATCACTTCAAGATCTTCGGCCTTGGCTGCCAATGCGTAGAGGATGGCAAGGACGTCGTCAACACCAGGATCAGTGTCAATGATGACACGATTTTTGGGCGCCATTTTGCTGGTTGGTATGCCGTCTTAGTACTGCAAGTGGTATGGTGAATCTCGGAATTGGTTAAATAAGTGAGATGGCTTCTGCTTTGAGCAGCCTGGCCAAGACAAATGAGAGATAAGGAACCTTGTCCAAACGCAGTGAATTAAAGGTCGGTTCGAAGTGGGGTTGAGAAGCAATCGGAGTGTTGGAATTAGGACGAGATGGATTGACAAGGTCACATCAAACTTGAATTCGTTACGATGCTGTGGAGAAAGTGTGGAGGACGAGTGTAGGATTGTAAACTGGGATGATGCAAATCATCGGTGGCCTCCGACGACCAGTTTGAAGGATTTCGAATTATGAGGTTGTGAAAGGGCAAAGGAATTGATGTACAATGTTGGGTACCTGCCTGGTTGTCCTCCAATCAGCTAATGTCATCGAGATGACGGATAATCGTGTCTCCCTGTTTATCCTTGGCATCAATATAGATTCTCGATACTAAGGTAGCTTTCAGATCGACCTAGGTAGTAGAGTTCATCAATACGATAAGGAAGCCGTTCCAAGGAGTACGGAGCAGTACTTCTGGATGTAGACAAAAACAAAATATAACTTAGTCCAGGTTTTGATATAGTTCTCCTAGATCTGCTGTGCGAGTCCCCATGCAATAATCTGCATTTTGGGGAGGGGGACCTATTCATCATATCCACATGGGGCATTCTTCCAAGCATGCCTCATAGCGCCGATAATCGCAAGCCTATCTCATTCATAGGCCAGACCTGGTTTTGGAAAGTGCCTTTCAAAGAACAAACTCCAGTCTTGATTGTGGGCTCGGCACTATCATTTCCCTTTAGAATACATCCCCACTGACAGCCCGTGATGCTCGTGTTCTGCATTGTTCTCATGCTCATCATTATGCAAGGGTTCTTTTTCCTGGGGAAAAAGCAAAGGTAGTGATTTGGTGGGTCAAGTTCCGAGCAATTTGTTGTTTAGTAGACCTTCTTCTTCTCGTCGACACTCAGTTGACCAGGTCCCATGTTGACCAAAAGCAAAAGTCCACCCATAATGGAAAGAATCTGGAAGAAGTCGTACTTGGCGAAGTCCTTGTGAGGGTGGTTTTTGTGCAGCTAGATCAAGACTTTAGTATCAAAGCCCCAAAAAGCGGTAAGGGAAAGTAGCGAACATACCGTCCAGAAGTTGTTGACGAGGACGTTGAATATGCTGAGAAGTAGAACCAAGATGATGGCACTGAGCTTGGCCTTGAAGCCAACAACCACCATGACACAGGCAACGAAACCCACCAGAATGACCAAGACTCGCCAGATGCTCCAGTCTCCGGCGAAGACGAATCCGATGAAGAGGAAGATGAGGAGGACTCGTCCACCGAGTTGGATGTACATCTTCTTGTCCTTCTCGTCAATGGTCGGTAGACCAGCAAAGACGCGGCTTTTCTTGACAAAGCTGTCTCCCAGAACCATGAGGAGGCCACCGATGACGGAAAGGTTGCGGAGGAAGAAGTTGAGGTCGAAAATCAACCCGTAGCCGAGAGCTTGGACGACCACGACGGCGAGGAGGCCGCCGACGGCATATTCACTGTAGCGGCGCATGATGACCAAGGTCGAGCATGAAGACATGACGATAACGTTGAAGATCAGGAATAGATGCGTGATTCCCCAAGGGACTATTCAAAACATGTAGCATCAGTATCTCGACTCGCGGACGTCTGTTGTGGTTTGAGCTTACTGTGTCTGAAATCCCTGAGATAGGTGAGCTGATCGCCCCATTGCGTGATGATCCGGAGAGCGTCTTCGAGAAATGTGACGACGATGAGAAACCGTCCTATGGCCGGAAGATATCTAATCACATCGCACCGACAGTCAGTCTCTTGAAGTTCCCCCACCAGCCAATGTGTCCTTGGCTCTTGATGTAAAATGGCAGGGAAACTCACGGCTTTAGAGGTTCGCCCACGCTGGTCAGCCAGTCTTCAATTTTGCTCGTTTGTTCTCGGATCTGGTCTAAAGGACTCGGGTCGCCGGTAGCATCCTGGCTTCGAGCGGAGGAGAACTGGTTGTTGAGACCCAGGTTGTAACCTGCGGTACCACGTATCTGCGCCATGTTTTGGCTCGAACTGGGGGAACGTGACGATCGAAGCGAAGGTTCGAAGTATTCAAAGACGAAGGCGGAGGTGGAAGTGGTGAAGGTCGATTGTGGTCTCTTTGTCTCTTGGGGGTCCTAACAAGCTCGGTTGTGCAAAAAGGTCACAATGCTGAGTAGGAAGAGGGAAAGGAAGCGAGGACAGGTGTGGACTTCGTATGTGTGCGTGCGTGGGGCAGATTGCGAAAGAATGGGAAATCTCTCGAAGAGCTGTCAGGTTTCGGGAAGAGATGTAAGATTATAACACCATCAATCAGGGAGTCAGTGGCAAGTGAATGGCAGGTAGAGGTGGAATTGGTAGAAGAGTGTACGGACACGGGTAATTGGTGAAGTTCGGTATATTTAGTTAACACGCTGTCTACACACAACTGGCACACTGGCACATGGGGAACTTGAAGGCCCAAACATGCTACGAGTGACCAAACCCACTTGTGCACCCCTGAAACTCTACTGAGGTCACCCCGTCCTGCATCAGGTATGCGGCACAGCAATGATGATAATAATAAATTGTGCGGTACGTTATTTGATCTTACTCGTAGTCGTAGAGGGAAATACAAGGTGGTAGTGTGGTTATTCAGCCTCAGCCTCAAACTACAGCCGCTCACTCAATCCCGGTGGGGGATTTGGGTTGATTACTTGCATATCCTGCACACACAGACACACACACACAATTCTCTACATGGAAACACAAATTCTTTTGCTGAATCAACCATTTCACATTTTTTGGTACCTACGTCGGTATTTCTGACTTTCAAACAAAACCCATACTTCAAATGATTGGGCACTGACGACGTGGTGTTGTTTCATCGTCTTGGGCCGTTCCTTCACTCCAGTCTTCGGGGGTATCGTACTTGGTGCCTTTTGCTAAACAAATAAACCCTAGCCTCCCTGTTTGAACCAAGCTGAAGTAGAAAATGAAAAAATTGATTCGCTCTTTGTTGTCCAGGTACACACACAATAATACAATAGATGAATTGCTCAATCATCTTCGCTCGTCGTCGGATCAACTGTCGACTCTGGCCCTCCTTTCTGGCATAGACCCTCATGATGGAGCAGTGAATGTACTATGTTCCATTCAACATCTGGGTTATCAAATTCAAGGCATTTCTTCTATGCTTCCCATTCATCGTTCTGGAACGAAGAGTCATTGGATTGCTGGATGGACGCAAATCGATTGCTATTGTCTGTGTTGGCCTTGGGCCGCACTCCGTTCACCTTGTTGCCATTGGTGACAGTTTGACGGGTTGCGGGTGTCGGTTTTGTAATTGAACTGCTGGCTTCACTGCTCGTATCGCCATTCTTGCCGCCCTTCTTCTTTCCCTTCTTAGTGGTGACCGACTCCCATTTGCCTTCATCGGCAAGTTCAGTGGCCCACTTGTTCTGCTCTTCTTCATTCACTTCATCAGCCCAGCTTGACTGGCTCTCCACACGAGGTCGAGTGAGTTTCTCTCGGCTGGAAGCAGCAAGAGCACTCGTCTTTTCTTCGCCTTCTTCTTCTCGCACTCGGCTGACATTGGCGGTTGCTGGCACAGACTTAGTGATCTTGGATAAAGGTTCAGCTTGAACAGCGCCATTGTCTGCGCTGATGGCTGTTTCTTCCTTATCGAAGGTGTCCAGAAGGGGTGGGCTCGCAACTTCCGAGCTGTTACCTTGAGACTTGGTTGTGCTAGGAGCACCAGCTTTCCACGCGTTCTGCTTGGAGGCGAATGAATCTGCTTTGACTTGGTTGGACGTCCCTGCAGCTGTCCTGGCGGTGCGAAGTTGTTGCTGTTTCTTGGCGTCATGCACGCGATCTGACTCGGCTTTCATGGCTTTCTCCTCGGCCTGCTTGGCCTGGCGTTGTCTCTGCTTCTTTGTCAAGACTGGTTGAAATGGTTTGCTGGCAATCTTCGACAGGCCCTTAACCTTGTCTTTGATGTCGGTCAGTCTCAACGTGGTGGGTTTTGCCGCAGGGGCTTCCAGCATATCGGAAACGTCATCAGCTCGAGAAGTTGGAGCCGTCGAAACCGGACCAGTGGATGGAGATCCAACTGGAGAAAAATCATCATCTGCATCCCGCCCGCCGGTAAAGGATGAAGTGTCGGTGGACAAGCCAGACGTTTCTTGACCACTCTGTTGTCCTTGTAAGTTCTTTTTTGCTGCTCGTCTCTCCTTTTTGCTGGCGCCGTTGGTCTTGGCTGACTCCAGCTTTGTGCCAGTTTGAGCCTTTGCCAGCTGTTGTGCAAAATCTTTGTTGCTCATCTCATTGTCATCCTCACGGAGGTCAGTGGCCTGCTTGACCGGGGCCGCCTGGGGAACTACATTGCTCTTTGGCTCATCTGCACCGAGTTTCCTCCTCTTCTTTGAGATACTCTCAGTCGCACTCGTTGGAGTCGAAGCACCACTGTTGGACTCTATCCTGGTGGCATGTGTTCGCTTTGCTTTCTGTCGTTTGATGACAGACTTGTCCGTGGACTCTATTTTGGCCTCGGTTTTGGCGTGGGTTTGTCCGGTCAGTTTTCTGAATAGTTCAGGATTGTAGTATCTGGTGAGGGCGGCACTCAAAGCCAATATGGCAACCCAGGAAGCAGCAGTCGACCACATTTTGTAAGGGTGTATTGGAAAGCAATAGAAAGAGAGAGAGGAGAGATTAAGACACCGAAAGAGCAGTGGTAGTCTTCAAGGAGTCCTCTATCCTAGAGATTGCTAGACAAAGCGAGTGGTGGCCAAGCAAGGGATGGTGTTGAATGATGAGCCAAGTGTCTTGGTCCTGTTGAGGATGTCTGGGCAGTTCACTACTCTATCCGATTGAAAGGTAGCTGTGGATGGAGGATGAAAAGTGAGGACCTCTGGTAGATATTGGGTGTCGCGCGGTATGAGATCGGTAGTATGATGTTGTGGACACAGTGGTATAAAGAAAATCGAGGTCTTACACGCCGAGACGCGATGGTGATTCAGGTTCGAGCTGCAGTGAGTGGCAGTCAAGGACAGAGTGGGAACTCCGTAGTGACAGATTGATGGTCCAAACTGGATCGGACCAGGAAGACGAGATGGACTTTTGCCGCGTAATTGAGAAACCTGGTGAATTCAGAGTATGATTTAGGACTGGAGGGTGGAGAAGACACCCGCAAGCGCAGGGATGGAGGATGATGGATGCAGCACGACGCAGGATCGACAGAACAAGACAGGTCGGACGTGGGAGAGGATGTCGCGCGGTGGATGTAGGTAGGTACGTGCGCGAGATACTATCAAAACGTTGTTTGGTGTATGAATGCCCAAATAGAAGACGAGGTTTATTAGAGTATGAAGTATTAGTGGTTCTGGTGAAGATGGGTGAGGTACTCAGAGTCGAGGTGGCGTTTTGGTGATGGTGATCATGCGTGAAGTGACTGACTGAGGCCGTCATCTGAGGTCCAGTTTAGTTGCTACTGCTAACTTAGTGGCATGCTTCCCCCCGTACCTCCCTACGAAGTAAGTCGTTTAGCTGCGCCCCTCTGGCCCTCGGCACTTTAGCTAAACCACCGGTACGTTAGGTGTCACCATCAGTGTCTCGGCCACCCACCGGGTTACTGTTAGGCCTAGTCTATTAGGCATTGGACACCAAATATTCTCCATCCATGGGCATCGACTACTCCGTACAGTGCCTGCGAAACCAGTGGGCATGCCTCCAGGTGCCTATAACATTAACGACAGATCTGTTCTCAAAAACGCCATCCTCATCTCTTCTCGACATAACAGGTATCCAATCAATCTGCATAGGTGGCAATCGAGGACACAGCTCATTTGATTAGGTATTCGTACTTCGCAGACAATAGCCAACTAATTATGAATACCTTGCACGACCCTGGTTAGCAGGTGCAGCTACATCCCTGTTCGCCACGCCGCTGAAATCACACCCAACCAGTCCGTATTTGCATGACTTGCATTTGCTCTTGTCTGGCCTCACTCTCTCTGACTGGCTGAGCAGATCAATCTGGTTCAAATTTAGCCGGAACATTTGCTTGGTTCACTCCGTAGCAGTCTGCAAGGTAAGCACTCATTCATACCCTGTACGCTAACTAGATGTCCACGGGGTGTTCGCGCTGGTATGGAAGAAATCCGTCGAGGTGGACACGACTGTACTCGTAGGTATTTGCTACCGAATACGGAGTGAATCTCAAATATTTTGAAGCAAACATAGTATTTTGATACCTCGTACCAACATCAACAAGGACATGAGCCAATCCTTTCCCTGTGATTCAAACAAAATCCCCAAAGCCACATGCGCCGCCGCCAGTCATGCTTCATCAGAATCCAATACGTGCAGCTTCAAAAGTACAATGATTTCCTGGTGCCAATGAGTTTCTTTCTTCCTGTCCACTGACTATTGATCCGAGTGATAATAATAATGAATATGCCATGAACCTCTTCTCTTGGGCACAATGGCGTCGTCATAAAATGGTTCTTTGGCGTGGATCGCTGGTGGCCTGATGATGGGGTCCGACATGTGCTTGACTTTGGTGGAACACCCTTGCTGTGGTGTCGACCCAGACCCGAAGAAATCGATTATCGATGTGTTATCGAGATCTATATCGCTCAAGCCCGCATCGTCCTCGGAATCCAATGCCTCTCGAGAATATGTTGTCGCTAGTACAGATCTAGGTGATTCTGACGACTTTAGAGGTTTCCCAATGACCGCTAGTGGCCATCGCATCTCTATCTCCGTGCCCGGTCGTTTCTTCCCGGCCATGACTGCCGCGCTAGGTGGTGGAAGCATCATCCAAGCGGCCTGGTCTCGCGTGGCTGGTAATTGGGAGACGACGGGTGGATGCAGTTCATTGAGTGCTGGATTTCTTGCCCGATGGTAGTCGTACCGATCGCTCTCGTTCGTGAGTGCTCGTTTCCTACGGCGAGGAGAGTCTTCCGACGCCTCATTTTCCTGGTCGTCTCCGGACTCAGGCCTGAGTGCTCGGTTCCACATCCGGGTCATTCGTTCACCAAAACCCCACAGCACTTCATCCTCGCGGTCATATCGTTTCCAATTCCATGTATCAGGATTCAGGGTTGCTCTCAATGAGTCTTTGATGTTTTCCATAGCGATTGACAGCCTTCTGTCCATAGACGGCCTCTTCTGGCTTGCATTGGACTTGTCATCGCTATGGTCCAGTATAAAATCTTCGGTTTCGGTGGAGGAGGGACGTGTCGAAGGTTGGGTTTGTGGTAGAGATGGTTGCTGCGATGACGTCGTGGTCCTGAGGTGCAGTTCGGGCAACTCGGGCGTCACAGGTGTCTGCGGTTTGTCGAATGAGTCGGCAGTATCGCTCTTCTTCAATTTCTGTAGGAGCTCGTCTGCCTTCCAGCCTCTTGGTGGACCAGGACCAAGCATTAACTCTTCGGCCCATTCCTCATTTGTTTGAAATGGTCCTGGTTGTCGGACCAGGCCAGGTTGGGTGTTGATGATCTCGGAGTGCGCTTGGGCTTCTTTCCGTCGCTTGCGCTTGTGTTGGTATTCGAGGCATGGTGTAAATGAGACGTAGTAAAAAATGGCGGACTGAACTCCTCGAAGGAACCAATGGCCTGGTTCCGCCACGTAGGGCGGAGGCACCATTTCTGATTTACCAGGAGCGGAGCCTCGAAGTTGGGCTCTCAGCGCAGATTCGAACGTGCTTGAGAGAGCGGCTTCCCTTGGTTTGAATATCATAAGATGAATACATGATATCTATCATCAAAAGAGCACCCGAGGCCACTTGCAATGAGAGGAAAAGCCACAGAATCCAGCTGCGGGCAATGGCAATGGCAGGAGGACGTTGCTGACGACTTCAACAGTTGAAAGGTAGCATGGGTCTTTGTGCAGATAGACTACATCATGAGTGACTTGTCTAATCCTTCAATCCTCCTCTATCTGAAGAGCGGGTTACAATGAGAAGTCGCAGAGAAGGGGACGTGGATCTCCCACCCGAGGAGAGGAGTCGCTGCCAGCAGTAGTAGAGTGGTCGTTTATTTCCACTTCCACCAGGTGGCACCTGCACCTGCGCCCGAGGGGCTTGGGCTTGGGCTTGGGCTTGCCTATTGGCATTATTTGGGTTGGCAACGCCAAATTTGCCGAAGTGCCAGCGAAAAAGAGGAGAGGCCACGCGGACGGCCCCCAAAATGTTCGACGCGAGGCCGGATGCGGCAAGATTCTCGACTGTCACATGACGCAAGCGGGAGTGGCAATCCGATAAGATTAGATGCTCCTTCCTTCGTTTGCGAAGTAGTCGCTTGTTCCCCATTGGGGAGAAACACCTCACCACACCTTCCTAGATGACCTTCGTGTTTCTGCTTGCGTATAGCATGAACCCAACATCGAAGACAGCAAAGAATGCCAGCATACGTTAATTATCCATTCGATGTCTACTCGAATATACCTGTTATACATTCTGCAACTTCGATGCCTGCCATGATTTCCTTCCGTAAGTCATCCTCCTTTTCAGCAGGTGCCCATCACTTAGAAACATCAACCCTGGGATGAGGTTCTCTTGCTACCAGCATAAGTGAAGACGCCAAATCCAAAGAACTCTACCTATTCTGCCTACCCATAATGAGTTGCAACGTAAATTGCTCGAACGGCGCCGAAAGGTAAGGCGTTTTGGTAGCATCCTGATGGTAAGCAAGATAAGATCTGCCCTCGTGTGAACAACAACCTTGGATACTGAAGCCACTCTACATCCGTTAATTCCTCCACTCTTTCAAGGAGATAAGGAGACGCGCAGAATATTATGTGCCGGGTTTCAGGCATCAAGCAGCATCCAAAGTCCCTACAATGAATGTCCAACGCTCGGAAAGTCTCGCTCGGAGACTTTTTAACTCTCCGTAACACAATGTGAAGACTTATAAATTGCCTCTATCTAGGCTTGACATCTATGTCTCTTCCAACAAGTTCGTCCACAACATCGACAGCTATACATAATCTCAAATATATAATCTCAATTTCTTACGACATAAGCAAACTGCCAATTTCAAGCAGACATACCCCATTATGAAGTTGTACGATTCACTCATCATCGGCGCTGGACCAGCCGGACTTTCGGCAGCCCTAGGTCTTGGTCGAGTACATAGGAGTTGTGTTGTCTTCTCGAACTCTTCCTATCGCAATGCAGGTGTCCATGCTGCACACTCTATCCTTGGACACGATGGGAAGTCTCCTGAACAAATTCGTCAAGCTGGTCGGAAGGAGGTTGAGTCCTATGGACATGCCGAGTTCATCGAGGCCGCCATAGAAAAAGTCCGTAGAGAAACCAACCAGCAAGGTGGGGACTCCCAAGATGCTTTCGTGGTTGAAGACAATCAAGGCCGAACATGGAGTGGCCGTTCTGTCGTCCTTGCGACCGGTGTGAAGGATCAATTCCCTGATTTGCCAGGGTATGTGGAAAATTGGCCCTCAAACATCTATCAGTGCATGTTTTGTGACGGGCACGAACGTCATCATCTACCCAAAGGTATCTTCGCCTATCCTAAACTCACTCCGATGTATATCAAATTCGCCACTATGGCACACTTCCTCTCTTTACCGCCGGGTTCAGCCCAGGATCCGACCATCCATACAAAGCCTTCATTAGTTACTGTTTTCACCAATGGCCCTGCCAATCCGGACAACGATGAAGCCTTAGCGAAAGGTCTCGAGACACTTGCAGCACATCGAATCAAGATTGATGAACGGCCTGTCACCAAGCTTGTTCCCGACCAGAAGGAAGGGCTGCATGTCCACTTCGGTGACTCCGAGTCCGTGTACATGGGATTTCTCGTTCACAAACCTTGGACTCAGCCTTCAAGGGTGGTCCAATCCATCATTGACCACCTCGGCATTGGCACTGTCGACTCTCCGGTTGGTACATATATTGCGACTTCACCACCATTCAACAGCACAGTCGTCCCTGGTGTGTTTGTAGTGGGAGATGCTGGAACAATGATTACCGCCGTCACATCAGCGATCATGAGCGGTGCTGCTGCCGCTGCCGCTGTGTCACATTTTTGTAACGATCTCGATGATGAGATTGCATTAAAGCGCCATCGAGTGTCTTTTGGCCAGGTCAAGCAAGATGCCGCACTTGAGGGCTAATCTCTCACTGCATGTTACTTTTTTTTGGGTCCGTTAAGGAGGACTATTTCCATCTAACTCAGTGACACTTTGCTATATGCCAACCATACTAAAATCTAGTCACGATGGAAATAAACAATACCATTCATAGACCACTCAAAGACTGTATAGCCTGACAAATGCCCTCTTCCGTCTTGAAGTTACTACACTCAACATCGTGCGTAGAAAAACATGCCCAGCACTGAATCCCCCATCTCTCATGCCCTTGTCGCCAACACGGCCCCTGAAAAGTTCCCAGATCAACTCAACGAGGTTGCCGCGCCTTGGTGACAATTATGTGCGATTCCATGAAACACCCGTGAACCATAGTGAACAAACCCAAAGATCAACACGACATGGCCAAACTGCTGACACATCCCCGAAGCCAAGTAGAGCGTAATCCGGCCCAGATGACCCGGGGCTGAACGACATTGAAGACGAGACGAGGCTTGGTGCGCCAAGGGTGAGGTGGTCAGCGGAGTGTCGGAGGCGCCGGTCCACGGTGTGGTAACCGAGCGCGAGACGATCGTGCATTTCGCAATGGAAACGAACGGCGGTTCAATGATGATTGTTCGCGGCTCCACCAGGGTCTGCAATGGGTTGTGTCGTGTTCGAAAGCGGTAGCTGCCCCCCCTCCCCCTCCCTTTCATGTTGGGATGGCTGATGTGGTGACTTGATAAACGAGACGTCTTGGTTGGTGGCTGCATTGCATGCTTCGTATCTACGATGCTGAACCGATCTAACGATCCACATAGGTATCCTTGTTTCTCTATGGATGTCGTACACTAGTATAGATGTGGTTGCTTGGAACGGTTTGGTTTACGATTCACGGTGGCTCGAGCTTACTGGTGAGAATCAATAGGATATGATATGGCTCCAAGAAAGCCTGGAGGTCTGGGAATATTCGGTTCGGCTTTGGCCTTGTAAGTGAGTCTCATGCAGTGCCAGAGATCCACGTCCATAGTCGCGAGCAAGTGTATTCGACATGAAACATGCCCCTGCAAGATCGCAGGCTTTTTAGAGGGGAAAGAGTTCGTGCAAATCATGGAAGAGCCCAGTGACAAGGGTGGGTCACTGATGTTACGTGGAACGTGACTCTGTATGAGAACCTGGTCTCGTGACCAGAGGGACTAGAATCCAGGGCTCCTCTCACGATTGATAACGATGAACCGAGGCAACTCGGACAGGAGAAGATCATCAGCTGGGCCCGACAGAGTGGTAAAGGAGGGAGACTAAAAGGAGCGACGAAACGGGGGTGGTTGCCTATTTGAAGTCTGCGAGAGAGCGATGGCGACCAGGGCTGTGTAAAGAATCGGGTCATACGCCTTTTGTGTCGCCACTGTTCGTAAAATTACACGAGCAGGCGAGAGAGATCGATCCAGATCCCCCAGAGAGGATGAAATAGAGTTTGACATGACCGGGGATGAGGCCCAAAAGCGTTGCACGAAAGTACCAGGGTGGCCCCAGGGGTGACGGTGACGGTAGTCATCTCTCTTGGGCTCCGGCTTATCCTCCATGTCTGGAAGTCGTTGCAGCCGCTCATCATCTAAGGGAAAGTTCCTGACGATCAGGTTCATACGTAGACAAATCGGGTCATCTTGGTCGCAAGTGGATCTTGTTTTCACTTTCGGATGTTCGGTCACACCGAGCCAAAAATCAACTAGCTAACGTTCCACTCCCCCAGATCAAGATCCGATAGCGCATCAGCCTGTAGTTCGGAATGCCCTACCGATTCACTGTTGATGCAGCTCGATTCTCTGCTGGAGAATACATGTGAAGGTTGCGGGTGCGATCCTTGTAGCTTGTTGATCGCAAGCATGTGAAAGAAGGGGCGGATGTAACGCACGGCGAAGTCGATTTGGAATTCTTATACAAGTCGAACGAAGTCGAGGGGGCAACCCATCATCAGATATTAATCTTCAGCAGGGTGATTCATGCTTGCTGGAATCTGTTGGTTCGATTTGTGATGTGTATTGATTGTAGACATGTTACTGGTAGTTCTGTTGGATTGCCATCGAGAATAGACCCAGCCCCAGACGGCAACGGCCCGACAGAGTTTGCAACTAGCATAATTCAGATCAGACAGAATTCTGACGGCTCTTGCCGTTGTGAGCATAAGCTGAAGAAGAAAGTACTTCTCATCAGCCCAAGGCTGATTGAAGCTTCCATACGAGCCAAGACCCATGGCTCTTCATCAGAGTGTGGCACCATTCTGTGGAAAGATTGTAGGTGTAGCTGATGCATGGAATTTCGGGGCTTTATCGAAAGCGATCCCTAGTTCCATGGGAGATCATGTATCTATCCGCTGTCATATAGCGTTCGTCACACAAAGGTGTCCTGGTAGCCAATCAAGGCAGAGACTTGCACTCAAATCATTGGCCCAGTCAGACTCCGGCTCCGTGCCATCCATTTCCACTGCTTGCAATTACCTTACCGTAAGGTGGAAATGGAGCTTTAGGGTGCTGCTAGCAGAGATCACTCGTCACTGTGGCACCAGCTACCCGCACAACGCAAAGAATGTGACTGGTGGTCCGAGCACTGTTGTGCAAAGGGGGGAGTCAGAATGCTGGCCCGAGGAGCAGATGGTGGAAAATCAAACACTGACTCCCAGGGGAAATATCCAAATTATGAGGGTCCATAATTCAAAGTTACCTAGGTACTTTTCCCACCACAGGCACAGAAGTGTATCCCGGTTGAAGCATCAATCATGGCTATGGTCATAAGACATGCCAATTGCAAAGAGATGCAGGGTGTTGAACGCCACAAATTACACCCTCCCACAGAGCAATGCAGCCTCCACCAGCAAAGCCCTACCCTGGCTTGCAGTAGCGGCCGCTGGTCTGCAGTACGATATTGCGCCTTATCGTATCATGCATCATGTGTGTAGTTCCCAGGAAAAGGCAATCTGCTTTCATCAGCTCTGTGAACAAAACGGCTTGTTCAAAGAAAGCTTGAAACTGCTCAGAGTGGCCGGATGCGGACAATCCGATGCAGACAACGTTCGCAGTTCGAGCGAAAGCAACAAGGTCTAGACACACACAGCTTGTTGAAATGCAAGTTCTGCCACGATGCTTTTCTTTCTGTTCTTCTTGCTTTGACAAAGATTTCCAACTGGTCGGCCTTCAGGTCTCAGGTATTGAGATTGCTTCAAACACCACTCCGCTGCGCAGATAGTAGTTTTGAGACAAAGCATCAGCTAGCGTCACTGAATCCCATTGGAGACAAGCACATCACTCACCGCAACACTATCAACCCCCCTAGTATTGCTGCAGCATACCGGCACCACTCCTCAGGCTGTGGCAACTCCCTCTTCATCTTCCCCAAGGTTCTAGTCCGGGTTCCTGCAACCAGCAGCTCTCCCCACTAGGCAAGGCAGGCAGATAGCATTCCCGTGACAAACTCATCCCAGAACAACGGAGCCTTTCATCGGCTGTCAAGCTGCTTCAAGCACAGTATAGGAGAAAGAACGGCTTGCATTGACAAGTGCCTTACCGCGGGAAGCCTCATCCGTCAACTTGCGTTATCCAACTGCAGCAGGTATTCAACACGCTTCAGCAGCTGATACATAACCAGCCTCTGGGTCGGCAGAGGAAGAGTGAAAGACCACGGAGTCAACAGATTTATCACTCATCACAAGGCTGACTGATATCATACCCAGTCATCGCTAAACAACGGCACCTCTCATCACAGAATAGAGCTATAGAGAGATATTCGATCATCCCTCTGAGATCTTCAACATCGCAAGGCTTTCTTACGGGAATCATTTGCTCGCATCGATGGCATTGAGCTCAGCCACTGCACGACCACCTTCTCCACCACATTCGACAGACGGCAACGAGGTGCACGAGGAAACTCGAATTTCACCAAGGACAGTCATCAAACAGGACCCTTTCACACCCCCAATGGCATCCAGATTGATGGAGTCAGGTGTTCTTGCAGACAACTCATATGTAAGTGACAAATCTTGACGCAAAAATATAAAGCAACAAAGACTGAACATTCCAGGACCCGTATGGTGACCCAACTTACTATCAGACTGCTCCGACTGGAACATACTATCCTCCACCACAGGTAATTCTCCTTGTTCTGAACACTATTGTGAATCCATGCTAATAATAGTAGCCAATGCCAACATCACATCCTGTGTACGCTTCTCCTGAGACTGGCAACGGCATTGGCATTCAGACACGTAGCGGAAGGGCGCTTCGTTCTCCATCATCCCCTGACACACCTGTATCAACGCGCCGATCACAGTCACCCCGGGTCCGAGCCAGAAGAAACATGAAGAGAAACAACAAAAAAGGTGGACCGGTACTTGAAGCGCCCCTCAGTCAGCTGACCAAGGACTACAAGACTCCAGTCCGGGACATGTCAATCTGGGTGCACCGTCCAGTGGAAGAGCGCATGGCCGAGGTTGAGAGGAAGAAAGGATATGTCTCTCGACCCATGAACTCATTCATGTTGTATCGCAGTGCATACGCCGACAGGGTCAAGCAGTTTTGCAAAGAAAACAACCATCAGGTCGTCTCACAAGTCACCGGCGCAAGCTGGCCGATGGAGCCGACAGAAATCCGGGCCTTGTATGAACAACTCGCCATTATGGAGAGAGACAACCACGCTGCAGCCCACCCAGATTACAAATTTGCGCCCAACAAGTCGGTCAAGAGGAGCCGCAACGACGATGCTGCCAGTGACAGTGATCCAGACTGGGAGGGCTCGACCAGGGGTTCCAAACGGAGTCGTAGCATGCGTCGCTTCGACAGCAGAAGCGCATCTTCCACTCCCTTCGACGACAGGCACACTCGCTATGCATATCCCATGACGGCATTGAACCTGTCGGGCTATGAGATGAGCAATCCATACGGTCCACCACCATTGATGGTTGGTCCGGACGGCTTTGTCGGCCAGTACTACCAAGCCTCCGCTCAAATGGGCCCCTACGGCGACCAGATAAGCGACATCAGGTATGAGCGGATGGACGACCCATTTCCACCATATCAACAACAACAACCAAACAACATGCTTGCAGGCATGCCCCTAGGTGGCCACCACGAGCTCTTGACTTCTCAACCACAAGCCATGCAGAACAACTATTACGTCCAAAACGACATTCTTGACCCAAGGCTAGGCCAGTATGGTGCGGACTACCAATTGCTCTATGCGGATGAAGGCGCCGACCAGAGTCAAAAGCGCACAATCTCTTTCGAGCAGCCCATGTCTCAGATCGGAATGGGTTATCAGCCCGAAGCATTTCATCCGGGCTTGGCCACTTTGACGGAGGAACACGATATCTGGGGCGATTCAGGAAATATAGGTGGTGATTTTGACTCGGAGTTTCAGAAATTGGGTTGATAGGCTTTTTTGGATTATTATGGAAGTTTTGGAGTCCAAGTTATGGAATGCGAGGATGTTATTGAGCTGTGGAGAAGAACTCTCTATGTAGCCTCAGGACAGGAAGGTTAGATTCGTGTTGTTTTGTCTTATTTTCTTGCGGTCGACTTGGTGGGGAGAAATATGAAGAAATATGTGAACACCTATATTTTCCTGTTGAAGAAAAGACCCTTAGAGACCCTTTGAATGGTGATGATGTGACGCTTCCAAGATCTCTTGTGAGACAACTGATTCGTAGTTCCTTAAATACCTTGGTGCTTCGACGCACGATCTCATAAGTTTCCAAAAATGTCCCGTCAAATGAAGCGCCAAGTAAGGGGTGGTACAGGGAGATTTCCGACGTTGCTTTGCATGAGAAAAGTACTCCAGATGAAGTGGTATCCGGAAATAGTAGCCAACGCCAATCCCACGAATGCTGAAATTGGTTGAGAGGGCCTTTCGTAGTCGACCAGAAAGCGACTCTGCTGCAACGACAAAGGTTCTCTGTGGTACTACCCATCTGGGTAGTAGTCGTTCGTCAGGAAATAGTCACTGTGACTCCAGCCGTTAGATGATTATTTGCTGTAGGAATTCCGAAAGCATGTCTCAGCAATTGGAACTGCGTCCGACGAGCTTCAGAAAAAGGCCTGGTAGCTAATGTAGCGAGATTTCTCGGAGCTGTCGCCCAAAATTGAGGTACGTGCAGTGGGTTTTCCCAGCCACTTTCGTCTTCGATCTGGCTGGGAGTGACACGGCGAATTTAAGCCTCTAGGGTTACGGAACTGTGTCCTGGGTGGGTACCAGCGACAAAGAACGGATATAGGTTCCCGAAAGTCGTCAAAAGTACCATCACATGCTTGAAATCTCGGCTGAGGTAGTGGCTTTGGTGTCTGCCTTCATCGGCATAAGGCGAAGAAAAGATTGAGTAGAGTTGATCTGGCTGGATGAACATTCCAGTAAATTGAGTTGAGATTCATGACGTTGTAACAGAAACGCGAGGTAGGAAATAAAGGATGAATCAGTATTTCACCCTTCTGGAGATCGCATCACACCATAATTGTTAACTCCAAGATTCATGGCATGCGAATGCTGTTTCGAGCTCGGGGAGACAAATATCGAATTGGTGGCCATTTGATTCTGCTTTGAATGCATCGCATGACATGATGCGCAACCCCAGAGTCGAGCCGAACCTGGAACAATATCAAGTAAACTCGTTGCAGTTTCGAGCTTGAGTATCTGCTCTTCTGGCCCAGAAAGCACCTCGAGCTTACCCATTTGTCGTTCGTAGAGCTCTTTAGCCGCAAGAGCACCCAGGGGGATAAATCGCATTGCGGCTGGGACCGCACCTAAAACATGCTGGCGCTTCAACGTTGAAGAGACTGCTTCATGGAGAGACAGGGAGTTTATCGGGTTTGAACGAGACTTTGACATTGTGAGATATGTATACAGAGCCTGCGAGCAAACGCGTTGTGGATGGAGACACGGGTGGGACAGAAGTAGACATCATGGTGAGAGCAATCCTTCTACGTGATTCGAAGTTACTCGATAGGCATTATTGTTGTTTCAGTCTGTTTGCCGACGGGAAACTTCCGCAGCCAAACAAGGCGTCGGCTCAATAAGCGACATTATGCACGACGCTATGTACCACGTCCAATATCCGGCTACACTCCAACATTTTTGAAAATGCAGGTAATTAAATACTGGACAATGCTTGGGCTCTGTCATACCACTGAAGTAAAATAGCTATTATGACGAAACAAAGAAACGTCCAGTGGGGAAATAATCACACAGTCGGATCAAAACCAGAGCCCTGGGAAGAAAAATGTTACCCAGGTCGCCTACTGAGAGCGTACTAAGTACTTGTTACTCATGTTGGAGACAGTGCTTCGAGTATGAGCTCTCCAGTAGGCTAACCCTTTTATTCAAGTCCACCTCATATTGGTCAGCTGTTCTCCAAGCTCTAAAGCCCAAACCTCTGCTGGATCTTGACCCGCCGCCAGCGCTAAAGGGGGACTGATGTGATTATGCCCGTGAATTTCCCAAACACTCCACGATGACCATGTTTCAGCAGCTTGTATGTAATTCATAATGATGGTCTCATAGCCCAACCTCTCTGCCATGAAATGGCCCACATATCGATAGACGAGACCACCGGGGATTTCTGGAAGGATGTGACTACCGGTGATGAAGGCCCCACCCTAAAGGAAGAGTAATACTGGGGCTCTTGCAGATGTGGTAGGCTTCGGTGGCGAATAGATGTCAAGATGTTGTTTAGGCAGTGATTCGCATGGAAGACTTTGGTAGCTTGTACAGTAGATGGCGTTTAAAATGGAAGGCTTATTCAGAATATCACCAAAGATTTTATAAGTTGGGTCAAGCACCCGGACAATACTGTTTCCTAGTGCTGAAAGTTGCTCCATGCTGCGCTGTCGGACTCTAAGGTGTAGGTAATGTGTCTGAGGACCTGTAAGGTATCTCACTGAGAGACTGTCAACGCCACTTTCCCCAAAACCTAACTCAATATGAGTTTCTGTTCTGTCACACGGTAACTACTACAGCCAGCGTTGACGGGAGAGCACTCCTTACACTCCTGCTCCTCACTCCTTGGGGTTTTAGAAGGATCCACTGAACACTCCCCATCCTCCGTCCACTCCCTTACGTCATAGGAGTGCCAAGCCACCATACATTCTTTATCTTCACGTGATGATAACAGCCCCTTACTTGCTTAGTCATTATATCTCTTTATCTCAAGGACTAACTATATATAGCTTAGCGCCCATATTTTCGGCTCCACAAAGATCCGCCAAGGGATTTCAGTGCGTTTTGAGGGTCTATCCACTGTCACTGGATCACACTCCCAGTGGATTGAGTGGATCCCAGGAGTGCTCTCCCGTCAACGCTGACTACAGCTCAAGACGGGAGCTTCTACCAAAATCAGGAGTGCTCAGGACGATTTCACACGGTTGATGAAAGTCCTGTTCTGCGGCGCGTCCATCCTATGATTGGAGTACCCGGATTCCTGAAGCCCCTGCACAAACAAGCCTATGAGTACTTAGTAGTACTGAGTCCAATGAATGGTAGCTTCTGGTTGCTGCATAGCCATCAAGGCCACCTGAACTCATCCGGCATACCTTTCTTCGGTCACTGTATCACATCTGGATGGGGTTTGGCAGTAACATCTCCATGGAATCCTTGCAGATGTGTTCAACTTCGTCAAATTTGCTACAATGCTCTAGCAAATCCTTTCACACCTTGACACCACTTGGCTAAGAGAGAGGAAATCATCCGAAGAGACAATATTGTGTCACCAGGCTTCCAAGCCTAAATAGGAGAAGAGATAAAGAAGCCCTAGACCGAGGCTTAGTGTATTAGATGGCACATCGCGGAGACTACGACGGCGAGCTAAAGAACAGAGGGAGATGCAATATAGCGAATATGCCGGATCTCAAACAGAGCATCTGCCAGAGGCATGTCAAACGTGGCACAGCATATCAATGAGAACTGTCAAGTCGCTGGAAGACGTTGAAGATTGTAAAAATTACTGCCCAGGTGGAATCCTTCCTCCTGCCAGAGTCTGGAGATCTAAAGTTCGGTATGGAGACAATAACAAGTTTGGTGAATGGTATCCATTCACTAGAACTAAGAGTTTGAACACAATATATTTCTACGCACCTACGGATCGGCCGCCGTCAATCTCCCAATTGACACCCGTGATAAATTTGCCTTCGTCACTCGCCAGATATGCTGCGATATTGGCGATGTCTGTTGGATCAGTCAGCCTGCCTAAGGGCACATTAGATAGAAAGTTGTTTATATTCTCCTCGTTATAAGGCACCCCAACAAATTGTTCGAAAAGACCAGTCCCTGAAAGTAGTGGGCACAGAGCATTTATGCGGATCTGGTCCTTGCCAAACTCGGCGGCGAGTCCTTTTGTAGCCTATTGACTCAGACTTGGTTAGCTTTACAAAGAGCATCGGACAAGGGAAGAAGCTCTGGTATGATGTGGTTATAGCTCACATTTGCCACTGCGCTCTTCGACGCGTTGTACCAAACCAATCCCGGGCGTGGTCTCATCGCTCCTATGCTGGAGATATTGATAATTGATCCTCCGCCTCTTTCTTTGAGTACAGGTAAGGTAGATAGAATGCTCAAGTATATGCTCTTGACATTGACAGACATGACTTTATCGAACTCGGCCTCAGTCACTTCCAGCGTAGGCTTATTCTTATAAGATGTGCCAGCATTATTAACAAGAATATCGAGTCCGCCAAACTTAGACACCGCTAGCTCGACTAGCTTCTCCCAATCCGCTTGTACAGTAACATTTGCGGTAACGATTGTAATATGGCTGTTCGGAGCAGAATGGTATGCAGCAGCTAATCCAGCTTCATTCATGTCCGCGGCGACCACTTGCGCCCCCTCTTCAACAAATTTGTTGACACATGCAAGGCCAAATCCCGAGGCGGCACCTAAAAGTCCGTTCATCATTAATGACATCGTGCTTCTCTAAATGGCAATAGGAAGCTACATGCTGAATGAAAGCGAACGCTATCTCACCTGTTACGATCGCGACCTTTTTAGCTAGTCGCCCAGAGCTCGTTTGTATCTCGTCTGATGTGGCCATGGGGAAATCAGTTGCCAGTATTGGAGGATAAGAAGCAGTAAAATCGATAAACAGGATATTACCCCGTAAAGTTGAAGAGAATTGACGTTTTCAGAAATCATGGACTATCACAAACATGCGTCTGACCTTTTATACGCTTTTTCACTGCCTGGCGTCATCCCAAGACAAAAAGGTGCTGTTCGGAAAGCTTGTGGGGATTTGAGCGACAAAGACACTATGATACCAAGTCGCGGCTTCTAAACCAATCATTTGCAAACCTGGAAGCACCAAAACAGGATACTCGGTGTAACTGAACTGCGGTAGCCCGGCATTCTTGAATCCCATAGATAATTATTCAGTTGCGTCAGATCCGTGTCCTTGATATTCCCGGTGGTCTTGTCCATCTCGAGTATAATGTCGCAAGGCATGCGGTCGGTTGCGAGAATTAAGCTACATCGACTTGCCACGCAGCCGGAATGCTTTGGTGAAGCAGCCAAATGCGTGGACGACTGATTGACAGGATTTGAATGGAGTGCAGAACATTGGTGAACCTGACTATCTTCTGCGTTTCGAATGACCAGACTTTGCTTCTTCGCAAAGGAAACCGAAGGAAGGTTAGAGTTTTAAGGCTGTTCGAATGGAAATCTCAGATGCAATATAGGCATGAATGAATTTGAGAGGCTATCTTGTGTGAGTAGGTAGTGAAAGTATCTGGCTCATATACGTTCGCTATGGGTTAGTGTCTAGAACAAATCACAGATATTCGGGTAAACAGATTGATCAATTACTGTCCCCTTGGTCGCACCAATGGTCCTCCCATAGGGATTATGTGGAGGAGCTCCGCTAGTACTGCAGGACTTCTTTGCCCGTCTCTGTGTGACTAGTGGTGAAAATGCACGTGCTTCAAAATCTGGCTGTCTCTGAACGAATCGAGTGTCTCGCTGATTGTATCAACTGATAATCCGTTCAGAATCCGGTAACCCTGCACGGGGATTATGATGCGCTGCTCCAGATAACCCTCCAGCCTTTTCCAGAACTCAATGCACAAGCCCGGATGCTCGCTGGAGATGCCCAGTGTGTTCTTGAGCTCGAATACGGCGTTCTTGTTCTTGACTTTGCTCTGATCGATAGGCATAGGGATCAATCTCGCCAGATAGCCCTTCTTGGATGTAGATAATGCGTCGAGCGCCAGGATTTGACCATCCGGAAAGTTCACGGCGTCAAAAGCGTAGATGAGCTCGTCTTGGACGACAGCACGAACCTGACTCAAGAGACGATCTCGATCTAGGTGGCGATCAAGAACGTGTGTTGCTCCATATTGTTTCAGCTCCTCTTGTGCGCCGCCAATCACGATAATTCGGCCGATACCTGCAAGTCGTGCGAGCTGAACTGCATACCGCCCTGCGATACTACCACCTCCAACTACCAGTAAACTCGACCCTTTGTAATCAAAGGTTTTTGCCTGAGGTGTCCATGGAGCCGGAATCGGTAAATCATGAAATAGTGCTACCAGTGAAGCAATGACGTTAGTTGGTAAGGTAGCTGCGTCGTCGTCGCTGGTATTTTCAGGTATCTTGATGGCGAAATCCTCATCAAATACAGCATAGTCCTGCAATCCATTCTGAGGTGTTCCACGACTGAAATCGGCTTGACTCAGGATTCGATCACCCTCTTTGAATCTTGTAATTCTAGACCCTTGCTTGACAACTCTTCCCACGACATCGTTTCCGAGGACGGCTGGCAACCCAATCCGATCTATGAAGATCCCTAGGTCGCGAATCTTCTGGTCATGGCCATTCAAAGCGGTGACCGTCACTTTGATCTGAAGCTGCCTTTCTTGTGGTTCAGTAACTGGGTGTTTTGCAGTAAGAGTCAAAGGCCCTCCTCGGCTAGCTAGGATGATTGCCCTCTGAAATGCCATTGGCTCGACTTTATCTGAACACTTTGGACTTTGCGACTGTGGGATGGATCATCAGTTTATGAAGGTTTATACTCCCATGCAGATTCTACTTGGGACCAGCTGACAAATCTGCGCCAGCGGCGTGGACCACGGATGGAACTGGCACTGGACGTGAGAAACGAGTCTGGGAGCCGCATATTATTCAGCATATGAGATATAGCTGTGCCAGAAGATTATACGCCCTGGAAGTCGAGTCTCAATAGAAGTGTGCAACGACACATTTGTCATGGTCAGCCATGACTGGGTCGTTGCAGCAGTAGTGGCAATGAATGCTTCAACACCGTGAAGCCCGTGCCCACTTTTCCACACGGGCGACTGAACCTGGCTCGTTATAGGCAGCATAGCTCCGGCGTAACCGCTGGACCAGATCCCACGCGGTTGATGTAAGCAATATGAATAGGCGAGCATAACACCAAGCGGTTTCATTTCCCATTCCGGGTTAGGAAGATATCAAACCAACGAAAAAGTGTAGATGCTGGCGCCGTTGAATTTCAATTCCAGCATCCGTTTGGCGCCAGCACTTTCTACTACAGGTAGAAGGTACTCTCCCTATATCTGATACTTTGTTGTAGCGAATCTGATTTTCTGTGATTTCATTACTTCCTAGTCAAATTTTTGCTCTCTCCCCGCAAAGTCGAGGCTAGCTAGGCATGGTAGATAGTCCTTTCCGACATTATCGACGTCTGGGGAATTATATATGAACTTTCGAGCAACGTAGTCTAAACGCTCCATCCTTGTTGTATGATCTAACAGAAACACAGTGATACTCAAATTGAGCACAAGTGGATACGCAACTTAGTCGGGAAGCTGGAATTCTTTCAATCCCGCAAAGCCAACCTCAAAGCTAAGTCGTCAGTGTACGAACATGTCGCGCGTGCAATGTCCGCAAGACCAAGTGTGACAGACAACGTCCAATTTGAAATTGCTGCTTTAGGGCTCAGTCTTTGTGTGAGTACCATACTACACGGGAAAAGCCACAGCATACCTCGACTTCTCGTGGAGGCTTCGGACACGTAGTTCATGATGTCAGTCGCTTGATAGAGCTACTGGAACGAACACGAGCGAATTTTAAAGATGCAAGCACAGAGATCGATATAACATGTACACCTCCAAGTACAATTGCCACTCTTACAAACCCAATAGATCACGGCAATTCGAACTCCAGACGTCCTTCTGCAGTGGACTGAGCATATGCCAGATGTCTCGACTGATCTACATGGCTCAGCAGACGAAATCAATGTTGCTGAGTTTTGAGAGGATTGGAATGTGTTCTGCGCTTATGGCACTACGTTTCCACGAAAGCCCTTCCAAGACCGGAGACGGTATTGGACTATAGTATGTCCGCTATCTCCTCACCCTCGCCTTCGGTAAGACGTCTGTGGTGCACAAAACGAAGTATACATTTACCTCCTGCTGTAGATGTTTTCATCCATGCGATGAATCGACTTCCTGATATGACTTCATTGTGTGGAGATCCAATCGACGCCACGGAAGTTCTGTGCTGCGTGGTATTGTACTAAGTATCTACAGGGACTTGATTTTCGAAGCTCAACGTACAATCTTGTAAGTCTGCTCGTGATTGGTCCAAGTATCCATGATCCCGACTAGTTGATAAGAAACTATTATGGTAAAATTTCTTCCAAGTAGAAACAATGGACGTTTCATTCCGTTTGGCTAGAAGTATTCGAAGGGACCTCTGAAATTGACCTCAAGAAGATACGCCCCAAACCTTTCAGATCACACGACGCTCTACGATCCACAACTTTTGTCCCATAAGATTAAGTGCACTGTCCTATCCTCTATGGTGAGAGCAGTCCTTCACGCTCTTGCTCAAGCCTGTAAATGGCATTTCTTTGAGGCACCTGATCAATGGAAACAACGGCAATGTAGGAGAGCAGCACGTCTTCTTCGGCCAAATACTGCAGCTCGAGCAAAAGGGAAAAGGAGCGGGCTCAGAGAGAAGGACCAACAGTCACAGCGACAGTTGGTAGGAAGGAAAAAGAACACAGAGAGACCAATAAAAAGACTCGCGGTGTTCCTAACGTTAAAGGAAAGAGAGTTCGACGTCGAGACCTATAATCGTTGCGATCTACCAGAGGCTTTCTTTGTTCTCTGACAGATCAGCCCTTGCAGCTGCGGCGCGAATATTTTATCTTCGTCAGTAACTTCATAGGACTAAACAGTGGTCGCAATATCAAATGCGCGAAATGTGTAGGCGAGAATTCTGATACTAATTTCCTACGTAGCTCGTAGACCTCTTCACGTCGTCTGTCCCTCCGAATTAGTAGGCAATGCCTGTAGTGTTATTAGCTGGCTTCTCCCCACTCGTTTCAGAGAGACGGTAGTTGCTTACCTCCATCTACAATCATGGCTTGCCCCGTGATGTTTCGCGAACCCGGGCCGGCTAGGAAGCTCGCAATAGCGGCGATGTCGTCAGGGACCTGTAGAGCGTCAGCGAATATCAATGAACGCAGGATCTAGAATTGAGCGTACTGAAGGTCGCTTCAAGCCGCATCGAGTTTCGACAGATCTTGCAAACGCTTCACCCTTGGCTAGTCCTTGTTCCTTGGCCAAAGCTTCATCGATCTGCTCCCACATCTGTCGTCCTCCATATCAGATATTGTCCATCTTGTGTGGGTGGTGTAGGACATTTGGCTACTCACCGGAGTATCAACGGGACCCGGACAATAGGCTTCAGGTGAACATCAGTAAAGGTGACATTACTGAAATTGAGACATGTTTTCGTACCATTGACCTAAGATGATATAAGCGATCAGTCGCGTCCGTTCATTACTCTTTGCTGGGAGCTCTTACATTAATATCATGCTCCGCCAAGTCATAGGCCATGCTTTGAGTCAAACCGCGAACGGCCCACTTGCTAGCCGCATACGGGGTTGACCCATGTGACTTATGATGCGGGAGGAGCAGGAAGTCAGCGACAATGGGCGAGTAGATGAATCTGCCGCAGTAGAAGTCTACAGTCGTTCACTTACCGGTCTGTAGGCTGCCAGAGAAGCCGCTCCGATGATGCGTCCTCCTCTGCCTTGTGCGATCATCTGACGGGCTTCACTTAACCATTAGAGCGGAAAGCGGAGTAAGGCCTTACACGTCTTACCTGCCTCACGGTAGCAGATAAACGTTCCCTTCACGTTAACCTAAGTACATCAATGTTGCGTCCATTCAGAATTCTCGTGGGGCTTTAGGGGATCTTGCTTACATTGAGAATGAGACTGAATTCTTCCAAATCGATATCCATCATTGATTTGGGGATTATGATGCCAGCATTGGCCACCATGACCTGAGTAGCATGGGGATTAAGCAGTCGAGCGATAGGAGATTTCGTGGCAGAGCAATGAACCCACTGTGAGATCTCCAAGGGTAGCGACTGTTTCTCGTACCATGTCTCGGACTTGACTTTCGTTGGTAACGTCGGCGGCAAACCAGAGGCATTTTCGACCTGCATTAGAGCATGGTCAAACATAGCGGGAGATGACGGGTCCAGATCTCTAGGTCATTGTTGACTCTCGCCCTCAGCGATCAATATTACGTACTTTTTTGCTCAACCTCTGCCTTGACCTTCTGTAGTAGCGGGGCTTGCTTCTCGAGGTCATTGATCTGCTACAAAGTCAGGATGGATCTATTCGAGATTTTCCACGACCAGAGAGAGAAACAGACTGCAATATCCATGCCATCGTCGGCGAGTCTGAGAGCAATGGCTCTTCCTATTCCTCTTGAAGCTCCAGTGACGATAGCAACAGGCATGGTTACCAAGGCGTGGGATGGTCTGATGAGTTAGCAATGGACCGAACGGCCCTGCAAGTTCGGGCGGAAGGTAATCATGCCTAGTATTCCCACAACAGTCCAAATCGTTTCAGTATGAGCAAGAGCCACGAGAAAGAGAGTCACGAGTGTCGTCCGACGTGCGAACAATTGAGACCTGGGTCCTGTCTAGACTTTGACCTTCAGCTTGTATTGTTGCATTTAGCCGCGGCAAAATCCAGCATATCAAGAGCGGGAAAAGCTGCGTGGAGTGGAGAGTGTGTTGGTGGAGAAGCATTGGCCAGATCTCCGATGGACCGATATTCCACGGATCTACAAGTGGAAGGGGTCTGGAGTACCATTACGCGGTCTACTGTCACGAGTCGACTGCGCTTACAGCATATTAGCAACGACTCTCGGAAGACGGATGTAGAGCTTCGAAGGGCACGCGTGCTCGCAACTTCGACATAGAGTCTTGAATAAATATCCTTGTTACCGAGCTTTTGGAATTTAATGGCCGTTTCTCAAACCTGTGGTCGATTTGAAATCATCTGATCCTTCCTAACGTTGTCAAGATTTTTGCCTACGCCTGTACCACTCTCTCATTCTCCGTTCAAGGCCGCGGCTGCGCAAGCGTGGATTCATTCATCTTCCGAACTATTCAGTGTTTCACTCCCTGAACGACCGAATTATGTCGGCCAGCAATGGAAATCAATCCCAACCGGTGGACAAACTGGCCCTCGGGCGTCAGATGGTGAGGAAATTCGCAGGAGACAAACACGTTGATTCAATTGCTGCAACTATGGTCCGTCTTACCCTGTCCGCTCCTTTTAGTGCCCTCTAGAAAGATATCTCAGCTAAATCACCGTCAACGTTGTAGAAGAAAGACTATTTCTCCGCCGTGAGCGAGGAATTCATCTCGGAGGTCTGTTGGTCTGGGTACGCTCGGACAGTGCTGGATTTCAAGGAGCGAGCCTTGATGAACATCGCCATGTTGACTGCATTGGGTAGAGCCCCGGAGTTGCGCATCCATATCCGTTGCGCTGTTTACAATGGTTTCACCGAAGAAAAGGTCGCCGAGGCATGTCGACACGCCATGGTTTATTGTGGTGTCCCTGCTGGTCGAGATGCTCTCATCATCGCCAGCGAAGTCTTTCAAGAACTGAGGGAGTTCGATATATATCCACCTAAATCAGACCCAACTCCATAGACTGTATGTATAGAGCGGTCGCCTCCGATTTCAAATGACATATGGCTTCATAAGGCACCTGCCTCTGTCAAAGGCAAGTTCTGTGCATCCAAAATGTGACAGTGCTTTCGGCTTCGTTGTCAGCGGTCTACTATCCCACGACTGAATTGAATTGACAGACTACTTCGTAGGTATATGCATGGCAATACGAATCGTGTTGAATGATCGGAGTGTAGAATATATCGCCCACTAGAATGCAACCAAAGACGGAACGAAGTCTCTGATTATCTACTTGATCTTGCTTATTCACTGTCTCGCTTAAAAATTGCTGTAAACCCATCCTTTTCCCGTGGTCCTTCATGAAGACGAGCCACACGCCCTTATCCTTACTGTTTCTTATCGAAGCGGGATATCTCCTTGGCGCTAAAAGATCACCTCTATGTGTATGGTAAAGACTGCTGAAGGCCGTCATCAGCGCTGTTCCAGACCTCGGTAATATTAATGTAACTAGTGGAGATGAACCATGTCTCTGGATACAGGTTCATTAGCGCCACTTGTGGGTGAGATGCTACATGACCTGAGGCTTGAGCGCAGAAGATTCCACCGGGAAGCAGTATTCCTAATTCCTACAGGTGGGGGTGCTTGAGCAGGAAATAAACAAGAATCCAAATTTTAGATTTCATGCATCATCTATTATGGTAAGACAGACGATACCTATGACGCTGCGGACACTGATTCCGGTCTTTCGAATATGCCCAACAAAGTGGTCCCGTCCCAGAAAGTGCACCCTGTACTACTTCACCACGGTTCCCATGCCCCCTTTGAGAACCGCGTGAATACAGTGAGATCGAGGCCAACAGTTGAGTCACTCAGAGCGGATATCTCCAATCGGGGTGATAGTCACAAAGGGTCTCGAAGTCGCCAATGTCGCTGGGGAGTGGTGGTACTGTCCCGTTACGACGGGCTTGGGCCGCGGCATCGCGCTTACGGTTTTCGCGTCTTAACCAAAAGTAGAGAATTGCAGTAGACGTGAAGGCAACCACAAAGACACCCAGCAAGATACCGTTACCCTTGTAGAACTTGGGCGGCGTGTCAAAGACTTGGGTGGCCATAATGATGAAGCTGTTGATAAAGATTTGCTGGATGCCATAGACCGTGCTTCTCTTGGTGTAACCACCATGGATGGTGCTAATCCAGGCGACCGCAATAGGGTTTCCCGGATACGTGCCCGCGGCGACGAAGCAGGTGCCTACCATAGATACAGTTGGGGTTGAAGAAGCCAAGATGATGATGATGCCGATCAGGCAGGAACCGAGACAGATCGCCATTGCCAGCCCGCGTTGCTGGTAACGATCCGAGAGCCAGCAAGCCACCGGCATCGACACCACAGCGAAGCTGTAGGGGATGATGGTATAGAGTTGGGAAGTGAGCCGGTCAAACCCGAATGCGTTGATGAAGGTTGGGAGAAAGACGGAGAAGGCGGCGGCGCTCAATCCCACAGCAGTGAGCATCAAGGAGCCTAGATACGTTTTGGGATCCTTGATCGCGATCCATATCTGGCGGGGCACCACCTTGGCACCAGCAGTATTTTGACCTAGGATAGTAGTGGGTTAGTTGCCGCAAGATACACAGATGAGATGTTTCCAAAAAGGTCAAAACGTACTGGCCCTGGTCCGCGCCAGGAGCAACTCGTTCTCGGACTCCTTGAACAAGAAATGTCCATTTGAGACCACCTTATCCGGAAAATCCGGCAGGATGGCCATGATAGTGAGTCCCACCACGATGGTGGGGATGCCTTCAACGATGAACAACCATTTCCAACTTCGAATACCGTGGGCGTTGTGGATGTTCTTCTCGACACCATAAGCGATCAAGCCACCGGCAAAGCTGGCAATGCTGGTCGACCAATAGATCAAACCTGTATAATCCCAATCTGTCAGCCACTATACATCGAGTTTCCGACAAGGGATCACAGAGTTCGAGAGCTCACAGCCTCTTAGCGCAAGTTCGTCATGCTTGTACCACATGCTGATATACAAAAATGACAGTGGTACGATTGCTTCTCCAAAGCCAAGGAGCAGACGAAGACCGATAAGGTCGCCAAAACCACGCGCCACGGAGAATAGGGTGGCAACTAGACCAAACATGGTGATAGACCCGCCGAGAACCCAGCGAGGGGCCAAGATCTTCATCAGGAGAGCCCCAGGTGTTTGAAGGACCAGAAAACCAATGTCTGGGGGGAGACAGTCGTGTTAGTTTATATATCACATGGCCATGCACGAATAAGTTCGAGTCGCAACTCACAGGTTACCATTAGAACTTGGAAGAACTGATGGTTGCTCAAATTGAGATCCTTTTGGATACCCATAAGACGGGCGTTGCCGATGTTGCTTCGATCCTACAAAACATAGAGGTGTCAGACTCAAACAACACGCAACAGGGACCAGTTTCTTTCCTACTAGTACTCCCATCATGTAGCCAACTCCGAGCAGAGGAAGAATGATCATATCTTGCTTGCGGACGAGCTTTCTCTCCGCCTTTGGTTCGATGGCCGGAATAGCGTCTTCGATATAGACTTCATTGGTCTTGGCGGCTTCAAGCTGAGAGTCGAAGCTGATATTTTCTTGAGCCTGGACAGGCGATTTCTCGCCCAAGTTGACAGCACTGACGGCAGCGTTGCTCTGCATATTGATGAACAGGATGAGAAACAGTACGAGCTAGGAGATGTCAAATCGCATCAATCGATGGCTAATTGTGCTCTCAAGGGAGGGGGGTCCCGAATCCTTTTATATGGTGCTCGTGCGTCTGATATGATGGACGGACCCTGACTTTACCCTGTAACCCTAACCTCCGCGTGGTCTCCAGGCAAAAAGGGAAATGCGGAGATACAAGACTAGGATTTTACACTACCTAGGAAATGAAATCGCCCACCCGTCCTGTTGCCTTCCACGGGCCGCGGTATCATCTCCCAGCAATTCGATGGTGGAATTTAGCCACGGTAGAATGCCAGAGCATGCAGATCCACGAATTTACAATGTGGACCTCCAGCCTCGTACCTCAACAGAGTGACTGCTCCAACCAGAGCTATGCCGTTGTATCTATCCAATGGCCAGTGCAAGTAAATCCGAGGGCCCTGGGAGGGCTTTTCGTTGAATGGGAAGGTCGAAAGGGGAATGTGCCCGCAAGTCAAATCAGTCCTGTATTTGATTCTCATGAACATTATCGTTGTCCGGCAGATTCAAATAGAGTCTCATAAGGGCGTGACCGGGGCCAAGTAGGCTTTCAAACATCGTGAGGGCTGTTGAGACCGATCTCCACAACGTCCTACTAAGAATTTATCAATCCAATTGCCTTGCCAGTTGCCATGCCTCTGGTCAAAGAACAAGGCGGGTCCAACACTGCCTTGACATCCCACGCACACCTCACCACCGACCAGGGCGACTACACACCTGCCAATGAACCTGGTGGCATTGCAAACGGCACCTACGGCAACGGTTATGGCCATTCAAAGTCCGATGCTGAGCCGCTCATGTGTGATGCGCCAGCTTGGACACCGCGTAGGAAGATCAAGGTCGTCACGGTCGGCGCAGGCTTCTCCGGGCTCATATTCGCGCACAAGCTACAGCATGAACACCCAGAAGTGGGAGCAATGATAGACCACAGCATTTTTGAAGCGAGGCATGACGTGGGTGGAACATGGTTGGTCAATACATACCCGGGCATCCAATGCGATGTGCCCGCCCATATCTATGTCCGTGGTCAAACAGTCCAGAACCCCCACAGATAGAGCAACACTAACCATGGTGTCAGGCGTTCCCTTTTGATCCAAAGCCGGACTGGGATAACTTCTATGCCTCCGGCGCCGAGATTCAAGCATACATCCAGAGTACCGTCCAGAAGTGGAACTTGGATCGCGACGTGAAACTTAATCACCGAGTTCTTGAGGCCGTCTGGCAAGAGAAAACGAGCAATTGGAGAGTTGTAGTGGAGAAGAACGGCCAGGAGACCTTCATCGAGTACGCCGATGTCTTGGTCTCCGCGCAAGGAGTACTCAACAAGTGGCGCTGGCCTAACATTACAGGACTTGGCCAATTCAAGGGACATAAGTGTCATTCCGCGGCGTGGGATTCCAACTACGACTACTCCAACAAGAGAATCGCTGTCATCGGGAACGGCTCGTCAGGAGTTCAGATCGTGCCTAAGCTAGCTCAACTACCGGGGACTCGAATCACGGCCATCCAACGCAGCGCCAACTACGTCTACATGCCTCTGCCTCCAGCCACGCTCCTAGGCCGAACGGAAGACACTCGAGCGAATCCGCCCTTCACCAAAGAGGACAGGAACCGCTTCAGTGAAGACCCGTCTTTCCACCGCGAGTACCGACGGAGAATCATCCACCAGATCAACGACGGGTTCAAGATGTACATCAAAAATTCGCTGGCAAACCAGGCCGCAACCGAGACCGCGCGCAAGCAAATGGCAAGCAAACTCCAACACGACCCGGACCTATGCGCCCAGCTGATTCCGTCGTGGGCATTGGGTTGCAAACGCATCACGCCTGCCGACGGATACCTCGAGTCCTTACTACTCCCTAACGTTGAGCTCGTTAGTAGCGCCGTCACCACGGTGACCGAGAACTCGATCGTGACCGCCGACGGACGATCCTTTGAGGTCGACGTCATTGCGTGTGCCACGGGATTCGACGTCTCGTTGCGACCCCAATGGCGCATGATCGGTCGCAACGGCGTCGACCTGGCGCAGGAGTGGGAGGTGGATCCGGAGTCCTACCTCTCCGTAGCGGCTCGAGATATGCCTAATTTCTTTATGTTCCTTGGGCCTAATGCTGTGATCGCCCACGGCTCCTTACTAGAGGCGATTAATTGGACCGGTAACTATATTGTCAAGTGGCTCCAGAAGATCGCTACCGAGGATATAAAAGCGACCACTCCTAAGACAGGGACAGTGGACGATTTGATACGGTACGGTGATGGTGTCCACAAGTCACTAGTCTGGTCGGAAGGCTGCTCAAGTTGGTTCAAGCGCAATACGGTGCACGGAAGAGTCACGGCGGCATTTGCAGGAAGCGCCTTAGTCTTCAGGCAGTTGATCTCAGACATCCGGGCTGAAGACTTCGACATCGAGTACCGTAGCGGTAACCAATGGGGCTTTTTGGGAAATGGATTTACCGCCTACGAACTGGACCCGGCAAACAGTTTGTCGTGGTACATAGAACACTAGACAGATGTAGTGTGTTATATAATTATAAGATACATTCATCAGAGATTCAGTACATGTTTCCATGTAGTCCTCAAGAGCACGCGCTGGGCGAATTTCTCGACGGATCCCAAGCTATCGTGGGCATAGCCACCCACATGTCGGTCAAATTGGAAAAATCCAGATTGAATAGATCGTCATCCGGCAAGTTAAATCCGGACCCCACCGCAAGGTCCTCGTAGTCAAGGGGACCAACTCCCGACCCTTGACGTGTCTGCAGCTCAAAGAGATTGGTATTGGTGCAATCTTGCGCCGGAGCTTCAGATGCCACGGCCGAGTTGGCGTTGGTCTTGGACGTCGCGGGCGTGGCGATATGCTGTGTCGAGCTTGACATGGTCCGCCCCAGCTCACCGTCCTGCGGGATGAGACGGATCTGTTTCTTCTTGAACAGTCGACTGACGTGCGACGCCGCAAAGTCCAGGAACCCGATTGCCCACTCAGCGGCGACATTTGTGTCCACAAGCTCCCGAAGGGCCAGCTTACATTCTTCAAATCGCCGAGCCCCTCCTCGACGTACTTCGTCACTCGGCGATTGGAGATCAAAGACATGGCTCCAGCTAATGGTCAGGATGCAAGAGATGCTCGTGCCAGGCAAGCGGCGCATCAGGTCGACCCGGTACAAATCCATCACAATCTTATTGAGGCTTTCAGCTGCAGCGCGCATCGATGTTTGCGAACCCCGTATCTGATTTTGACTTGCTCCTAGGCCCATGCGATCGGCGAGAGCGCGTGGTCGGTGCAGGCAGAACTGAGCGACCAGATACAGCATAGCTAACAAAGCACGGTGTATTATCATGGCTTCTTCAGCAGAGGAAGTGATTACCGGGACTGGGAATTGGTGCAGTAGATCGTCCGGCATCTGGTCACGCCACTGCTGCAGGTCTTGTTCACACATCTCGAGCTTTTCGAGGCCGTCAACGGGTCGGGTATGCGTCGGTCCTGCATTGTGCTTGTTGTCTTGTTTCGGGTACAGGATGCCAATGTGGCCAATCGGATTTTCCGCGTAGAGCAGATCGATAATCGTGCTCAGGATTCGGCAGAGCTTCGTTGACGCGATAAAAATCGAAGCGAGCTTTGCTTGCGCTTGATCTGAGGAGTTCAGGAGACTGTTCGTGTTCAAACTATTGTCAGAGTGGTGCATGTCCTCTAATGTGAGCGGCGTCACAGTGAAGTCGTGGGATTGGACTCTCGGCGCTCGGTTTGTACCTAAGGAGGTGAGGGCATCACGCATTAGACAGCACCACCAGATCCTTCGCCGGAGTTTGCGAACTGACGCCGAAAGACCTTCACTATGTGCGTCTCGGTGTAGTCCAATGGATTTGGCCACGGCCAGCGCCAAACTGCACCAGTAATACCCATCCTTTTGTTCCGTAGGTGTCACCCACCAGGTTGTGAGCAGAACGAGAGATTGCACGATGGCGATGCGATCACGCTCGTAGTTGAAGTCATAAAGCAACTGTCTTCTGTGAGTCAAATCCGGGTGGTCATAGTGGGGTAGAGTCAAACCTTTGTCTTGAGGTAGAACGCCCGCCGCATCTCATCGCGGGTCAGGAAGCCTGCTTGGCGTACCAGCTTGACGTCCGCCCAGGCTGAAGCAGAGAACATGATGGCCTGTAGGAGAAGCAAACTGATTCGGCCATGGCGTGCCGGGTTCCTGATGCTGGCTTGAAACGAATTTAGATCGATGAGAGGCAGGCAAGGGTGGACGAGGTCAACGTAGCTTTTGAGCAAGTCATTCCGCAAATCCGGATCGGGAAGTGTCAACGCACCCTTCTGGCGCAGATAGACCAAGTCTTCGACAGAGAAGTCCGAGGAAGTTGGTTGTACCAGTGATGAAAGATCTTGATCTTGGAATGCGGTATACGATAAGTGAACCCGAGCATTCGATGGCGCGATCGTCTCGTCAGATGATATTGGAGATGTCAAACTCTGCGTGGCGGCGGCATACCAGTCGAAATTGCAGTCAGGAGCGATAGTCTCGTGAGTGCTCCATGATTTGGAAGAGATGTCGCCGCCCAAGGTATCACGGGGTGGCGGAGGAATGGGGGTGGGTGACACGGACTCGTCGATATGGCGAGGAAGGTCAGGAGTGATCCGCGATTCGGACCATGTGCTTGCAGGCTCAGTAGCCGGCCTGATAGATTTGGGGACTGCGGGAGAAATGACCCGGGGCGCTACTGATGGGATTTGAGCCTTTGGTTTGCCTCGCGGTCGTCGTTGCGGCAGGACACATTCAACCTGTTCCAGGATACAGTTGTAACATGGATTTCCACCCACCACACTGCATTTCACTTTCCGGAAGCGACAGTAATTGCAAGCGACACTGGCTCGATGCTTTCTCATTGAAGTCCGGTAGGCAGGGGTGGTCTCTTGGACTCCCAAATCCGGCGCGGACGCGGCCGGCGCTTCTGGAGTTGGACACCATGCTTTGGGGTGGTCGTTGTCCATCGTAGTTGTTTCCTTATGTTTCACCAAGTGACGGCGACCGGTGAAGAAGACGAAAACCCTAGCTGTCTCGAATTTGAGAAAACAGCGACAACTAGCAACATCACGCTTAAGTGGGGAAGAGGAGGATCGCGAGGATGGCCTGGCCACCCGGAAGGATAGTGGTAGGCGGGGCAAACCCAGGGGAGGGATTGGCACCGCTAGCCAGCGTGGATTGGATCTCTGGATCTCACCACCCGCCAGACCCTTTCTCTGCCACCATAGAGCACTCGTAGACGTCCATGTCTTCAATGACGGACGTCAAGCTGGGCGTGTCCAGGTTCTCTTTCTCTTGGAGAATAGACCTGGAAACTAACTTTGCGGGTTAGTACCGCAAAAGGCCTCTTCCAATGGGATTAAGTTGTCGGTTGAAGTCCTCCAAATCAAGATGAAGGCCTCGGATCTCGGATAAACGGCAGATTGTCGACTCTGGACTGACTTCTTGGCCCCGGATGGCCACAGTCACGCCATTCAAATCAAGGAACGGTCGGTCTTCTGTGGTTGCGGAATGTTATATCACAGGTGCATCAAAGAGGGGTGAATGGGGAATCCACGTCAAGTGTTGAGTTCATGTCATTGTTGCCTATCTATGAGAGAGAGGGGGAAGGCTCCTTGGTAAATAAGTGGTGCAGTATACCTTTGTGGCACAATCATGGGCTACAAGTCTCAGCCACAATTTGATGGATCTTCATGCCGATTCGTGAATCTCTTGCGCTTCGACTGCCGCTTTGAAATCTCTCACGAAGTCCCAAAACATCTTGTCTTTCCAACCCTCCTTCTTCCAGCCATTAGCCTTGAGTGGGAATAGATCCGCATAGCGTTCAACTGCCTTGGAATGAGCATAAATGAATAAGATGTTATCGTCCATGTCAGCTTCCTGGGCCTTGATAATCGTTTTCATAGTCTCTTCCGCGTTGAAACAGAAGCTGGGGTTCGGGATGAAGAAGGGTTCGTCGGCTTCGCGGCTGCGGTTCTTGTTGAGATGCTCGAGCTCCGACCCTGGGCAGATCCACGGCGCCACTTGATCAGGGAGCTCAACGTGGATGTCCTTGGGCAGACCAATATGCTTAGATGGACGTATCTCGCCACCGTTGTGACAGAGGTCGCCACCAAGAAAAATGAAGGTATCTGGGCATGAGGTCGTCCGTACCAGGCCGCCGAGGTGCCCAACCGCGTGGCCGGGCGTATCGAGTAGATAGAAGGATCCGTCCCCAAAAAAGTCCAAAGCCCTAAATTGCCCGATTCGAAGCTTAGGACTTTCATCGAAATTGATTTCTCTTGTTGTCCGACCTCTGTTGTGGTATGATAAGACATAATCAGTTCACCGGAGTGCAGTCAGAGAAGGGACCTACTGACGCAAAATCACTTTCCCTTACTGGTGCATCCTTGATAACCGGGTAACCAGGATAGAACTTATCTTTGAATCCAGGACCAACGATCAGCTCCGTAGTTCCAGGAAAGGTGGAGGGATCTCCAATATGGTCGAAATGCCAATGACTATTGAGATGTAATCAATTTGGATTCATCAGATCCCATAGGGCTTGACAGGCACAATACTGACCTCCAAATAATGGAATCAATCGAAGCAGGCTCAATTTGGTTCTCTCTTAGGATATCTGCTACGTGTTTCTCGGCGCGGATCTCCCAGGCCGGATTTCTCAGCTGTTCTTGATTGACGGGCGACAAGTCGAGAAAGTTGGGTGGCACTCCCAGGTCGAACAAGGCCTTCTTGCCTGTCGGGCTCTCAATGAGGAAGGACCACGTTGGGATGTCGGGCATGTACTGCATGCCATATACAGGTGGTTCCATCAAGAAGCTGACCGGTAGTCCGGTTATCCTCGAAGTACAGTCAATGATACTAACTTCGGCCACAGCACCAGGGGGAGCGTTGAAGAAAGTGTTTGCGCTTAAGGCCATGTTGTGATCCAACTTGTCAATCGTGATTGTGTGACGAGGCTGGAATAAGCGCAAAGCTTCACAGATAGGATGATTCTCGAGCGATATGTTCTTGACTCAAGGAAGACGACCACAAGAGCACATTGTCGCAGAACAAGAACACTCCTTTATTAACCAAAATGACGCGGCCCATTCCCTTCTTCGTATAACATGGCGCCCCGCAATGCCGATAACGTTGTATCTCCATATACAGGTAGCTGGACTCATCTAGAGCGACGATGTCAAAAAATTTTCTGTCCGACTGTCGCTTAGTCAAAAATTTCCATCAGCGGCCCCAGAGGAGAGTCAAATGGGTCCGATGGACGAATCAGACATCCATCCGGCAACCCCATCTTCGCCAGCATATTTCCTCGTTCCTCGGCTATCTGGTGGGCATCTGATTCGTCGTATAAGCACCGTCACTCACAGTGATTCGATTCGTTATTATGGGACATACTCTGAAGTTAAAATGGTCTCCAGTGATATATTGCGCGATGTTCGCAACATTGAAAAAGCCTGTTATGTCCAAAGAGTCAAGGGGATAGCAGCAGTGACTTGGAAGCGCCTTGAATGTGACTTTGACCCGAATGTCGTTGCAAACCGTCTACCGACTGACCTCACGGACTGGATTTGATGGTCTGAAATCTTTTCGAGAACCTGTGCCCTCTGCCAACAAGCATGAGATCCTCGTTAAGGTGCGCAGTGTTGCCTTGAACTTCCGGGACATTGCCATTGCCACCGGCACCTATCCAGTCCCGGTTAAGGATCATGTAGTTCCTTGCTCAGACATGGCCGGTGAGGTTGTGCAAGTGGGCGACGGTGTGAAGAATTTTGCAGTGGGTGATTTAGTCATCGCGCCAGTCAGCCTAGATACACTCTATGGCCCAGTCAAGGATGGTGCGGATAGTCTTGGTGGCTCCGAGGACGGTGTACTCCGGGAATACCTCCCTCTACAGGGGAATGCCGCCATCAAACTACCCAAGTCTAGCCACAGCCTCAATGAGTGGGCTGCCACGGTAACTGCCGTGTATACAGTGTGGAATGCCTTTTATGGCGCTAGGCCGCTTAAACCTGGCGATGTAGTGTTGGCATTAGGTACGCGGAGTATATCTCCTTTCATCAAGAAACCTCGCTGACTATCAATAATAGGGACTGGAGGAGTTTCCATCATCGCGGCAATTCTCGCAAAGGCCGCTGGTGCCACCACCATCATCACCTCTTCCAGTGACAATAAGCTAGAGCAAATCAAGTCAAAGTACGGAGTCGATCACATAATCAACTACAAGACATATCCGGAGTGGGCCAAAGAGGTCTTGAAGATCACAAACGGTCAAGGCGTGGATCATGTCATCGAGGTTGGCGGTGTCGGGACCATTGAACAGAGCATCGCATCGGTGGCATATGGGGGAACAGTCTCCGTTATTGGGTTTCTGGCTTCACTCACTGACGATGTGATGCCCAACGTCACGCTGCAGACCCTGCTCAAGGGCGCCACCCTTCGCGGCGTCCTGGGAGGTTCGAAGCAACAACTTGAAGAGGCTGTCCGATTCATCGCCGCGCGAAACATACCAATTCCCGTCGACAAGACATTTCCATTTACCAAAGAGGGCATCCGTTCCGCTCTCGAGTACATAGCTTCGGGTCAGCATACGGGCAAGGTATGCATCAGCCTAGACTGAAAATACTTCACGAGATGGACCTTGAATAGTTACTCAACTTGAATCCCTCAAGCCTAAAACCTGGGGAGATTTTGAGTTGATAAAACTTGATATTGCTGACCTCGACTTCTATGTGCCCCTCTTGCATCTGTGGGCCCTGTTCGAGACCATAGGTCGCCATGTTATGGGCAACCCACTGCTGGAAGCGATCAATGAAACAGGATCAGGGAGTCTGAATACGGACTAGGCTCCACAGATATGTTGAAGAACGACTTCGCTGAGTACATCCTGGTAGATTTAGATGATATCGAGTGCGAGAATAAGGCCAATTGCTAGTTACTGTGCGCGAAGATTAGCATATTTATAATCTGGCTGCGCGGGGTTAGTTCAGACTGGAGAAAGAAATGGAGCGGGTGCTACAAATAATTAACGGCCTCCTTATAGATACAGCTTCAAAAAGAACCACGCTGACTGATTCAAAGCCAGTTGAATAGACTAAACGCGTTGCTAGGGTAGTTTACCACAAAACACACGATGTTGGAGGTCATTTCCCAGCCATCACCATACCAGGAATTCGGATGGAAGACGTTCGAGCTTTTTTCGGTGGCTTGAATGGCCGAGCCTCCTAGGAGAACGCAGAGCTACTGGGAAGTGGGGGAGTAGAAGGGGTGGTAGTATCAGGTTGCAAACCGAGAAATTATTGTCTACCTAACAGACCTGCCTAAGGGGAAGATATGATATCATGTTTATCACATATGATTTAATTCTCTATGGTCACTATTGTGATGGTTGCGTGGAGGACGCATTCTTCAATGGGGCGATAGAGCGATTTGCTGTCAGATCTCAAGTCTGCGATAAGTCTCTTGATTGTCTCCATCTTTCAAAAGCTTAGGCCACGGAGAGCAGGATCGCAGTAGGCGTCATGGTTGCATTTGTCTGTTGCATTTATCTGGGCAGACACTTCCCGTTTCGAGGTGAACCACATTTCTTGCCAGCGATCCTGCGACTGGAGTGCTTCCTTGGGTTGCAGAACAACTTGGATCAAGGAGTTCTTCAAGCATTGCGCCGTCTCGAACTCTAATAAACTCAGGTGAACTCTATTCGATCATGAATGGCATCCTGGAGATGACCAGATTTCAGATAGAAGAAAACAGGATAGTGTCGAAATCTCCACCAGCTTCTGTCGTACATACAATCGACCGTATAGTGCCGAACACTTCTCGACCAGCTTGTAATCCCCGATCACATTCTGTAAAGACCCGGTATGTGGGTCCGAGTGACGAATGCCATATTCTCTAACCAAAAACTTTAGTTGATCGTGAAACCGAAGTTTCGGGTAGAGACGCCCTGGAAGATCCAACTTGGCTTCCCAAGCAACCTTATAGATCTTGCCTAGATCGATCTGCACAATGAAAACATCTCCGCAACCTTATCAAAGCTCCGAATTGTCGTCAGAACAACTGTCCTTTGGATACATTTGTGCGACAGGATGCATCAATTCATTTCTTGATATTTATGTACCTGAAGCCTGAATTTGGCTTAGTTATGTCGTAGAAGTAGAGCGATGGAATAGACCAGAGCAGAGCTCAACATATTCGCGTAGATTTCTCTGGAGGTCTGTTGTCTGCGGGATCCGACACAATTCCTTGATTGCTCAAGCCTGAGAAAGAGACCAGGCTTGGTGCTCCGTCGGTATGGGTGGAAATTCCGCCTGTATTGAGCACATGTTGAATCGGAAATGAAGATTCTTCAACACTCAACCTTCAAATTTCGGGGTCTTTGGAAGTACATCCTTGACACGCTCTCCAATCTGAGTAGAACGTCGAGACCGAGCTATGCAATCTGCTCACGCATAGGACCACCATCGGAAGTGGCATAAGTCGCAACATGGGGCACAGAAAATCGCCAGACTTCCAATCTGCTGTGTCCAACAACTCCATGGTGTTGAATATCATCAAACCCAGATCAGTCGCCTGGTTCACAACGGTGAGATTGCTTTGTGACTGAATGGCTGGCTGTTTAGAGGTAGCGCCACCTGCCAGGATGATTCCCTGCTGCTGGGTCTCTTGAAGGAAGAGAGGCCATGTATTGTACGTGAAGTCGGCAATCATTTTGTAAAGGATATTATCTGTCACATTGAAGCGGTAGTGGAGCTTGATCAGACAGAACTGCATAAGTAGACAGCCACTTGTGCGAAGGTAGTCTTTTGCAATAGGATGATCTGGTCCATGGGATTGGAGGATTGGAAAACGGGACGTTGCTTTCAAGAAGGAATGGATTCTGGCCTGATGTTATGCTTCCAAAACTGACCCTCTTGCAAATCTGGTCAAGGTATATATCTCCGAGCGAATACTGCGGGTTGTACCACAGAAATCTTGTATAGCACGAAGGACTGCAGGTGATCATGGGAGGAGGTCCCATCTTGCTCCACCCTGTGTTTTCCATGCTGTCCACGCTGTCCACGTTATCTGTGTCGTCCATGTTGTCCATGCTGTGCTTTGTGAGATGTTCTCATCGACAAGGGCACGGGTTGATTAGACGCAGGAGAGACGAGGAAGAGAGCCAACGTTTGGGAGCTTTGCGGACTCATTGTCACAACTCGCCATTGATTACCGTGCCGACGAATGTGCTTTCTTGGTACCGCAAAGACGTGGGAGTCTTCGGCTACCTGCATCATCACCAGCTATAAAGGGTGGAAAGATTGAGTGCTTGCCCTTAATCAATGCGCCGGCTGTCCATTGAGGCTTGCTGTTGGCGGCATGGCGGGTGAATGCCAGTCCTCGGGTGGTCGGAGTTCCGGCAGCTCTTTGGTGATTTGGGTTGCTTTGCTGTAAAGCGATGTCGGCGACAGATTGCGAGCGTGAACGTTTATTTTTATATACTGGAGAAGCTCCGCAAACTCGGAGCTCAGGTGAATGGTATCGATCCATGGTATTCCGGAATTGACTGGCAGGTTGATATTGAGGAGATGTTTCGACCCATGGCTGGTGTTTGCAGACGCAGTTACAGGGTGGTATTCTGCCTGCAGGGTTGCTCGGTGAGAATTTCCCTTTCCAGTACCTACAGGCTGTTTTGCTCCAACGGCGGTGGCTTGGGCCTCTTCACTTTGCGCGAGCTCTCGTGAGGAAGTCGGCACAACTCTCTTGACGACATTCAGTGCCACAGCAGTCAGAAAGGCGCTTGGTATATGTAGCCATCGCATCTCTGTCCATATCGAACGTTCGAACCTGTGTCAAGCGCCTCATGAGAAGGACCACCGGTAATGCAATAGCAGAGCTTCGTAGCATCTGGTGAGACCGCTCTCAATTCCTTTACGCCGTGCAATGGCTTGTGGAACCTCGCTTGTGGTCTTCTTCTGCCCCACCAGGAACCTGAGGTGAATGCTCACTGTGTTAGGGTTGATGCAGCATTGCCATTCGTGTAGATCGGGAGATCAGAGCGTACATGCGGGATATTGGTCCGTTATGAGTTTGAACCTCGTCGATGGAGTTCATATCATCGAAGACCGTGAGGCCGTGTTCACCAGGAGAGGGTGGTGACATCTCAGCTTGGATTGGGTTGCTTGCCTTGCATCTCAAGTCGAACCAAAGTGTAGCAAGTTTAGGGATACTCGATCTGTGACCGGCTGTCCTGCATGTCCAAGATGCGTTCTCCGACAGACTGCTGTGATAGATGACCGTCTGTTTATTTGTTCATATATATTTACGTACTGAGAATCGTGATTCTTGCGTGATTTCTGTTCAGTATCGTATGGAAGATTTGGTTTCGTAGCGTATGCTGTTACCCACGCCCGCACCTCAGGAAGGTGCGTCCTTGCGGGACAAAAGTAATGGCGCGAGCTTGATTGTTGCGAATTCGTAAAGGGGGGGCCAGGAGCTCCCTCACTGTGATCAAGAGATTGCTCCCCAGAAGACTCCTAGTTGGTGAGGAGCTTCATCCGGGAATTGGTCGCTTGAATCCTTCGGTCCGGCAAAGGGGCCTCAGCATCCTTTAATGATAGTGCCTCGAATCTCGAGGCTGATTCTTTCTTGTATGTCCTTGGCCTTCAGCAGGCCTGATAGATCCACTAGTCGCTCGACCATTCGTTGATCCCTGAGAAGGGATCGTTATTGAGGCAGCGTATGAGAGGTCTTGTGAAGGCTCTCTGTAAAATGAGTACCAGTATTGTAGTGCCCCACCGTACTAGTAGTTTATGAAGGTCTTGGTTTCGCAGCCCATAGGCGGTTACTCACACCCCACACCTCGAGAAGGTGCCTCCATTTTGCGGGGCGATGATGTGGCGCCGCATTCTGTTGCGGCTGCTTGCTTCATCGACGACACTGACCCAAACTCCTTCACGAGTGAGCCCTAGAGCGAGGCAAGTCAACGTTGGTTGTCCAGGCTCTTGTTCTCTTGCTTGCTTTTGGTGATTGGGATTGTAGATGGCCTGTTTGACTGATGAAGGGCTGCGAAATGCCTCTTATATAGGTTTCCGCCGACCTGTGGAAAGTGTACTTCACTGTTCTTGCCTTTTGTCCTCGGGCTGAGACCAAGAATCGAGGATAAAGATCGAGGATTATTTATTGTAGCTCTTATCGATTGCTCAAGTGCTTTGTCAGAAGAGTTCGAATGCTCTTTGGTCTTCGAGTACAGAGCTGGATGCTTTGTGTTCAATTGTGGAGGGCTTGGTGAAGTTCTCAAGCTCGAAACTCCACCGTCGCAGGTAGGTAGTTATTTGGAGGAATTATAAAATGCCAGGTAGATGTGAATCCAACCATCCCGTTCACAGGCAAGTGAGAGTTCCGCTATGAACGGGCTGGACACTGAGTTGAGATGCTCGTGATTATGTCGAAGGGGTTCGGGAACTGATATGAAGGACAGTCGAGCATATTGTGTGTGAGCTTTCACTAAGCAAGCGAACGGTCAAAGCGACGGAGGCTGGTGGAAGTACGCTTCGTACACTGTTTCAGATTCCTGATAAAACAAAGTTGCAGGGCGTCTTCATTGAGTAGGCAAGAATTCTCGCTGTAGCCAGCATTCTTTCGGGTGGAAACAATGTAAGGAGGTGGACATCCCTTTCATCCATGTGACATGTAGCACAAGGGACTCTTCTCAATGACTCATTTGATCTACCAGACACAGAAGAAACCCATCTAGCACTGTGTATTTTGGCTATGTTAGTACTTATGTATTGAAGTTTCATCTCCGATTGGCTGTTGCCTGATTAGTGACTGTCCACGAGCTTTTGATGATGGTCTGATGATCTGTTTTCGATGGTAGGTGTGAATCCATGGCTCTTGGGACATCAGCTTTCCTATCGATCTTCCAGGAGATTGTGCAGGTAATCATGCTTTATCCGGTGGTTGACAGACAGGTCGATGACTCCGATGAAAATGTGGAGGAGGAGGACTCTAGCGGATCGCTACCGTCGGGATTTGAGAAGGAATGATCACTTCAACGGACCCAACCCGATGATAGAAGAGGATGAGGGCAGATCATAGAAGAAAAGGACTGTTTGAAAGAAGAGACTCCGAAAATAAATCATCGAGACACATGATGGAGATGATAATGATTGAGGACAACAGAAGAAGAAGTGGACGAGGAAGAAGAAGGACAAGTAGATCAAAGGTAAGATAGCAGGGCAGTGGTAACAGAGAGTGGATCTGCAGAGGCAGTCCTGTGGCGACAGCTCACTGTCGCCACGACTACTGTCACTACAGCAGCCTGTTGGCCCGCAATCCACAATACAAACCTCGTCTGGTCGTTCTGCAATCAATTTTGCTTTCTTTCGAAGTTGGTGTAGTCTATATCATCCACTTTTTCGCCTATCATCCTCCATCTGGACTCCCCCTAATATATAGCACTCGATTTCGCGCATACAACATCACAATGGACGGTCTCCAGATGCTGGAGTCTCAGCGCTTCTCAGACTTCAAGATAGTATGTCGGGGATACGAGTTCAACGTTCATAGAGCCGTCCTGTGCGTGTCGTCTCCAGTTCTGTTGGTCACCTGTACAGGAGGTTTCAGCGTAAGCATCGGACTTCCAAGCGATATGACCGTCTTGCTGACATAAAGCGGGAAGTAGAGACCCAGAGAGTCGTGTACGATGAGTTCAGCCCCACTATCATGAGCAGAGTCATTCTTTACATATACACGAAAAAATACGACGCTTCATCTGTGCCACCCATGTTCAAAGAGCTAGCTACCGACCCCACAGAAGTGCAATTGGGCAAATCGAGCCCTGAACCCGAAGTTGTGGAGGATGAAGTAGACTCGAGTTCACCAGATGATTGGGATCCTGAATGGGAAAGCAGTTCCATGAAAGCAGTTCGACTGGTCAAGGCAACGTCTAAAGCCAAGCCGCTGAAGGTCAATATACTTGTGTACAAAGTGGCCGATTACCTGGGGGTCAAGGGCCTTGCCGAGTTTGCTTCAGCAAAAATCAACGCACTGTCTGATGAATACTTGTTCCACTTAGATCCAACCGTCGAAGGGCTCGAGTTTATGCTTGATGAACTACCCGCCCGTGACCGAGGCCTTAGGCTTCAAATCGCAGCGTTTCTGGCAAAGCATCAGGAGGAAGCACGACAAGTGGCATCACTCGACCAGGCTCTCGACTGCCATACTGATGGACTCTGGGGTGTTTTCAAGACCGCTATGGATGAACAGAAGCAAGCTGAAGAGAGAGCAGTGACAGCTGAACTAGGATCTGTCCTATCACAGCTAGATCAAAAGTATATTGGGTGCAGCCACGGGCGACACATCAAATTCTGCATTCTCACGGCGAGGGAATTTCGGGGCAAAATACACAGGACAGAGAGAGCAACGGGATCTTACGGGTTGCAATATATGTCAATACGGACAACCGATGGTGGACCTAATACGCCGTTAATCGGAATTAGACAGCACACATACTGGAAACAGGGCTGCTGGGGCGCATCAAAGACAAGTTTGTCTACGGAGGCTGCGTGCTAGCAAAGGAAGCTAGTGACATGAGCTATTGAAATCACTCGACTGTTGGAATGGTCATGATGATATGTGGGAGCTGTCATGGTGACAGCGCTACATGGATTGGACATGACCGTATTTGTATCTGAGTACTGAAGAGCACAGTTGCCCTAACCTTACAGCCTGAGCTCCCGAGTCGCAAATCAGCGTTTTGCACTTGTCATCATGTCAGGATGGCCTTGTGCTGCTTTTTCCACACATTGTCTCAGTTCACTGGCCTGGGCGAATGGCACAGGAAGGCTGTGGGGCTTACAGATTTGCTTCTGGGTTCGAATTTGTTAGGATAGGTGTGAATCATAAGGGCACCAAAAATTTCATAGCCACCCTGTTCCTCGACGTAGGAGAGAGGAGTCCTCCACAGTGAGAAAGCCGAGTTACGTCTAATCTCGGACCGGTTTCCATCCTGATAATACTGTTCGTGCAAGGTATGAAGGACAGACGGTATAGGCTGCGAGTCCGCCTGGACTCCCAAAAACGTTGATACTGTTCACTACCCCAGGTTACCGTGATGGCAAAGTTTGGTTTCCATAGATCTTGTCTCTTTTGTTGAAGTATAACTGATTGGGATGGGTAGATTGTTCGACTATAAAATTCGACATATTGCTGTTCACTAATAAATATAAGTGGCATCCGCTCGAAGGTGTGCTAGCATAGTTTGTGGGCTCGTGCTTCCGTAGATATTGTCAATGTATACCTGCTTGGTAGCCTGGTAGCTAAGGCTAAACGCTTCCTGATCGATTCTACTGTCTCCTGCCTCAATGGAGTAGTATTGAGGGTTCCATACGACGTACTCCTGGAACTGCAACTCCTTGGCTGCGGATTACCTGATGAGCACAGCGACCTCGAACGACGCTTTCGGAAGTGGAATCCTAATGTTGAGATGGATACTCAACATATTGCAATTCTCGTGCAAGTCATTCCATACTAAATACCTGTGAATTTGTGAAATAGAGATTGTCGTGCGTGGGTGATCGACGATAGCAAATGACCACATAGTGAAAGACACGCTGCGAGTGGTTGGAATGGGACTTGGTCAAGGTGTCAGCAAAACAAGCCTGTCCCCCCTACTTAAGATGTTCGATGTTTCCAACGCCATATGTTGAGTTCGATTCAGTGTCCGATCTTGCCGTAAGAATCATCGGCGTAGAGGTGGTCCTTGACGATTGTTCGAATTGAGAACCTTAACTAGTATTTGCGCATCTTTCCGTTCTTTCTGGCCGGTCGCTCCCCTGAGAACCTCCGTAGATTTCCGGTACAACATTAGCTAGAACCTACAGTAAGTATCAAATATATGCGATGTACCTGGAAGCCATGATAATTTAAAGGTCATAGCGGATTTTGTCTTCGTCAACACACGGCCTCCATGGTACCGATCATGCATAGCACCCTGGCATGTCCGTTCGGCCTTGTTACGGGGGTAGAGGTGGCCGTGCCGTGCCACATCTCGTATTTTGGTATCGTATTGACGCGCAGCCAACGCATCTACCCCTCCTGGCTGCATGATCATAAAGTCTTCCATCATAACATGCCTCCGCCCACCATCCTATTTCAATATTACCTGGTTCGTTAAAGGTTGATACATTCGACAGCAGATTTACACGGCCCTCGACATGGCAACACTTACTAACGGCCCGGAGCAAGTGTTCGGCCAATTGCTCGAAACAAACCGCGATTTGCACAGGTCCCTGAATGATATAAGCAAAGTACTAAAGTGCCTAGCTTCTATGATGGAGAAGGACGCAAAACTAGTAGAGACGGACTTGGAGCGCGGAATGATCGTCAGTTGCAAAGTGCATACTATGTTGGCTTTTTCAGCTTGTTTACCTCTATGCAGAGCTTTCCAACGAATCCTGCCCCAGATGGGTACAGGTTGAGAGCAGCGCCTGCATCCTTTAAGAGGGGTGAGAGTGATATTTCTGGTATTGCATCATTCATCAGACATACTGTAATGGAAGGGCGTTACTAAGATAAAGCAGGAAATATGTATTTCTCGCCTACACGGCAAGACACCGGCAACGAATCGATCACTCGATCACTCGATCACTCGGAACGGCCCTCCAAACTGCAGGGCCTTTAGGTCGACGTGCTAGTCGCAGAAATACCTGGGCTACGTACTCAAGCAGCTCTGCGGAATCTGAGGATGACGAAGAACAAGTGCATAGTCTTTGCCAAGAAAAGCCCCTTACGCAAAGTGCGATGTCGTTCATTCTGAAGGAAAAAGTGCCCGACATAGATGAGTATAATGGTCTTGATCCCTTCATTGTCTCCACAGCTATACCCCTAGCTTATTGCATGTTTAGCACATTTCCAAGATCTTCAAGAGACGGGACGTATCTCGCAATTTGATGAAACCACAAAATGTACTGAGTGGAAGACGGCAATTGTCTCGGGCCTGAATGGATCCGCTCCTCCATTTGCAGATAACAAGCACAAACTTAGCGCAAGTCTCTTCGATAAATATGCATCAATGATGATGTGCAGTCTCTTCTTGTCGGAGACCACCTATTCGTATTTCAGCAAAATGTCAAAAGCCCAATTTGAGATCATGCACGCCCCCAGACTCTACGAGTTCTTGGAGAGCACCATGGCACCATACGCCTGGCGATCAGACCAAGTGATAAGTCACTATCACCCTATTGAACAGCACTTCGACTGGGACGTTGCGTTGCGCCTGGTTTGCAGTGTTGGAGCTGCTCTTCGGCGTGCTCAGCACGACAGAACTGACGACTTTGATTACTACACAGCTGGGTTCGGGGATCGTAGTGGCGAAAAGACGCGTACCCGCTTCGAATTAATACTTGAGAACGAGTGTGCCAAGGTAGGACTACTCCCAGCAGATCGTGGTGGTCAGCGTCGTATAGATTAGCGAGTGAACCTTCGCCATGAGTCCACTTATTGGCTTGCAGAGAAGGTCCGCAGGGACTTCCTCGTCGACAACCCAGGACTCTCCAACCCTCCTCGCATTTCGTCACTCGCAAAGAACTACCACGGAGCGACCTATGTGCCTCAGCCTAATCCTGTCTCTTATGATGTCTTTTTTGGTGGCTTTCAGGCAGACCGGAAAGAGAGAGACTGGGCATTGGTAAACAGTCGAACGTTTGAGCCGAAAGATCTAGCACTGGAAACGATCAGAACCACCCAGAAGGAGTGGTCTATCGTGTGGACATCGAGCCTCGAAGAACACCTGTGGGTTGAAGACTTCAAGATTTTTGTATATTGGTGCCCTACAGCGTTGTTTCATAGGCCCAAGTAAGTTTCTCCGAAAATCTCATTGCTGTGCCCCGGCCTTCAAGGAAGCGCGTCCGTTAACACCGTAGTGGCTAGAGGTCCACGCTCCCTCAACCCTGAAGAGCTCCGTAAGACTTAAGGTCTACTCTTTGCATCAACCAAGAAAAATCTAGCCAGTCACCGGCAACAACTGGTCAGGGAGACGGACAAATATTCCGTTAACAGTAGACCGCTCAAACCATTCGAAAAAGTAACCAAAAAGGTGAATCCGATCGACCCATTCAAAAAGCCCTACAAGGGGCTTCTGGACACTTGGCTTGCAACGCCGTGCCCACACCACATTACTCAAGTTTTTGCTCATAATGGTCAAACCGCCGATGTGCGCACCGGTCTCGTATCCGAGATGACTATCGGTGAGGTCCTTGCTCTCCTCCCTGACAGTGGTATCCCCGAAGACCTGGTCATCCAACTACAAGGAATCCTTCTGTATCCACACACATCCACGACTGAAAACTACTCCGAATACCCTTATTTCGGAGAGCGGCTACAATATCTGAACTACGTTCTGCAGAGCCAGAAACCGCGCAACTTGAGCGAGCTGTGGCGTGATCAGAGAGACAGTTTACAATGGTGGACGTTCTGGCTCGTTGCGTGGTTTGGCATTGCGAGCGTGCTGTTGGCCTTGGGTAGTCTGGTCGCCAGTGTCGCGCAGACTTGGGCAGCGTTTAGGGCGCTGGGCTTGAACTGATCGTCAGCTTCAACCTAGAGCTCCTTGTATTTGGCTATCTCGATCATGGATGAATCCCCCCACAGTGTCGACAAATGAGTGCTATCAGCATAGTGTACAGTTAAATCCGACATTGTTCAAGCCCGTCGCTCAATACATTCATCATTCTTACTCCGTTTGCGCACAGGAGTGGATGATCGCGTATAACTCAAATTTCCAGGGGCTTCAGCCTTGCCGTGAACATGCCGGGCTTTTCGGGTAAGCTGTCCCCGGAGGACACAGGGGAGGCCGCCGCGTGTAGAAAGCAGCATTTTACAGTGCAGAATAATGTGCCCTACCATTTTTCCCCCAGTGCTTTACAGCCATATCGCGGAATCTTCTAAGATGGATTTCTCTAGATAGCGAGCGTCAGGGCATCAACCTAGCCCGGGCATTGCAGTCGATGATCGCAGTTTGTCCTTCACCTTAGTGTGGCAACATGTCAGCTCAAGATCATCAGCACACACGCATTAGAAATTGCGAGCACTTCATTGGAACCGAGTGATATTGAATATTCGCCGGGCGGACGCCCTTCCTAGTGTCTTCAGAACCATCGAAGGTAATATCTGCCTCGAACACAAACCACTTCCGAAGGCCAAGGAGACCGCCATCGCGTCCGGAATGGCGGAGTGGAGATCCGCCCCTCACATACGCGTTTTTGATTATCGAACCCCGCGGCTGCGAACTTGGAGCATCTCAAATCAAGATCCCTCCTCATCAATAATCAGATCAACCTCAGATTTCCACCACATCCAAGAAAAATCCCACATGTCGCTCCAATGCACGGAGAGCTTGGGAACAAGCTGGTGAGTCTCTACACATAACTACCACAATCATCACACCCAAGAGATCTCGTTGCCTGTTCCCCCATCCTCTCAAAAACCTAACCTAACCTAACCAAACCACCCCTCTACAGGTCCAACAAGCAAAACGCACCTTGACTCTTCCAAACCTCCCACCCTACGCGACAGAAACGGTGCGGGCGTGCGTGCGCGAAGTACGCGACCTGGACCGCGACGTGACGCAGATCCTGGCACCGTACAACAGCAGCACGACCTCTTCCGATGGCGAAGTCCTCACGCAGAACACGTTCAACCCGGCCGAACACCCGGCGACGGCGTGCGCGCTGCTGGTCGACCACCTGAGCATGCGGCGGAACAAGCGGTGTCTGCTGGCGTACCACCGGGTGCGCGCGCAGCGCATCGAGGCGTGGTGCTGGGAGGGCCGGGATCTGTTCGACCACAATCAATCAGACCGGCAGAATAATAACAACCCATCGAATGACGAACAAGTCGCGGCTGCTGTCGACCAGGCACAAGCTCAGCCGGCGGCGAACAGCTCGCTGTCGCCCGAGGAGGAGGAGTATTTCCGCCAGTACACGGACCTGCTGGCCGGGTACAAGGGCCAGTGGACCGACGTCGACCTGACGGGCTCGCTGGTGCCGCCGCGGGATCTGTTCGTCGACGTGCGTGTGCTGCGCGACGCCGGCGAGATTCAGACCGAGTACGGCGCCATCAATCTCACCAAGAACAGCCAGTTTTACGTCCGGCTTGCGGATGTCGAGCGCTTGATTCAGCAGGGGTTCTTGCAGCGACTGTCTTGATGACCCGTTCTGGTTGTCATCGGCGGTGGAGTGGGACGGATGGATGGATGGGTGCAGGTCGAGCAACGCTACGTTTACGACGAATGAGGCATACTGTTGGCTTTGCTCTACAAATGAAGAATACCAATTTTAAGGTTACGGCTTTCACAATTGCCGCTTTTTTCGCTGACCAGATGCAGTTGGATCTTCGTTGACTTGATCAAAGAGGACTGGAGTCTGCCTTGGTGCGATGCTATGATTTGCTTTGCGATTGAGATGTATTGGCGTGGTCAGCATCAAGTACCAGGCGAAGGAAGCCGCTCATGCCCAACGGGGTCTCTCCTTCTGTAATGATTAGCGATAAAGCACAATGATACAATGGAGAATGATTTTATTCTGGCTCTACATTATTGTGTTTCATCTACCCGCGGACAATATCATCCGATAGTGTGCCTTTCAAATATCATGAACGTCGGAAAATTATGCTGCATGCTATTGTTTCGCCGTTGAGTAGTCTCCATCATCTCCTCTCACTGTTTTTCTTGTGATAAATCTGACCTTGTTCAATCTCAAATCCTCAAATCCCACTATTTCCTTTATGAGGTTTGAGTTTCTGCTGCCTGGCTCAAGGTCAATCAGAGCCCGAACAGAGCATAACCAAGCGTCATCGCCAGAGCAAGGGCTAGCTCAGGCTTGACTATCTTGTTCATTCCATTTGCACCACCAGTTGAAGCATTTGTAGAAGTCCCGTTGCTGTGTGTGCCATTGCCTCCGCCTCCGTTCAGAGGGTTCCAACTCTCTGGTCCATTTCCACCATAGCCTCCACTTCCATTATTGGCAGGCCACTGCTGAGTAAAGTTGGCACAGTTCAATCTTGTACCGTTGAGTGCGTGAACGACGACAGAGCGATTGCCAAAAAAGGCCGGGTCTCCTGGGTTTGTGCTAAGGTATAGGTCGAGGTAGCTTCGCTGAAAGGTCTGGGATTCGAAGGTGTTGTCGATGTTGAAGTGCTTGCCGCTCAAATCACCAGGCTGGCAGGTGGCAGGGTCTTGATAATCACACTCGGGTTGATCTTCACGACCATATGGTGACAGATGGCCTCCAGCACCACTGCAATTGCCATCTTCAGGAACTGCATTCACATGAATGTGGTACTCTAGAAAGGAAAAGAGTATTTGTTAACATTACGGCGGAGAGTAATCAAGGGTGGCAGCAAACTCACTGAAAGGTCCCTCCTCAGAATCGGGAAAGTCAAAGAAGTTGATGTTAAAATCTACACCAGTGCCATTGTCATGAGAAACACCAGTGATTTGACCTTGAACTGGTTTTCCAGATTGGAGAACTGCTTGGAAGGTGGCTGACTTGGGATTGTTCTCAACGAGTGGGGCAATGTGATCGGTGTGATCTTCATCTTCGTCCTCGTGATGGTCATCAGCTATGACTTTGATGGCAAGAGGAGTGATGCAGAGGAGGAGAGTGATGAGCTTCATGATGCAGGTTGATGAAGAGATGCCTTGCTGTTGTTTCTTGGTTGTGGCTGGAAGGAAGAGAGCAGAATAGATGGTGAGAATGTTGGCCCAGAGAGATTCAAGACGGAGATCAGTCAGTGCTAGTAGTAGATTGAGGAAGAAACGAGGATTGAAAGGACTAGGAATCGAATTTTAGGAGCTGATGATGCTCATGATGATACTCGAGTCTGTGTGAGATTTTCGATATCTGAACAGCAACTGCACCGTGGCAACCTGCAGGAATGAATGGACGCGAAACGGAAGGAGCGAAGGGCACAAAGCAACCACCCGCGAATTCCAGTCGGATCATCATCGTCACCATGGAAGAATCACTGAAACAGAGACTCGCTCACCTTCTTAGAAACAGAGCTCCTAGTCCCAAATAATTGAGACATGGTCAAGGTTGAAGTTGGACCGTCGACAAAGAGAGCAAGCTACCTGATATCTGGTAGACGCACTGCAGCATCCTGTCAAGTGTCACGTGTCCCACACAAAATCAGCAACCCGGATACAATGGAGATGAAGCTGAAAACTTGGATCTGTTTGGAATAAAACCTGGACTGAGGATCTGTCATTACTCTCGTCGGCATGTTGAACTGATACCTAGGTAGCTCTTTGCAATGACGTGAAACGTGCTGACCGGTGATGGAGAAGTCCTTGGCTTTATCACTGCTCTGACCCGTGTAAAACACCAGTAGAGGGTAGACCACATCGTTTCCACGCCCGAAAGACTCACCATCCATCGAGTCCATCACATGGCGGTCCTAACAGCACATCTGAAGGGATAAATCTTCGCATTCTTGACATCCCACGCACCGCCCTTGGTATAAGCATCCTTGTCCATCCACTCGCGCACCTTCTCTTCACTCTCGGCCTTGATCATCATAAAGCTACCCACCATATCCGGGCTCTCTCCCTCGGCCGGCTGCTTGGAAAGCAAAGCACCACCAAACACAATCTGGCCCGATTCAATGCTGGGCTTCAGGTTGCCCAGATGCGTCGGTCGAGCGGCAAGTCGCTTGTCCAGAGCGCCTGGGAAGTCTGGAATGTGCACTAGCCATTCGTAGAGGGGTGCGGAAGAGGTTGAGGTTGAAGACATTCTGCGATGGGTGGTTGTGGTTGTGAGGTTGATTGGTTTCAGGCCGCGGTATCGGGCGAGATGCGGGGATCCAGAGGCTGACTGACACGTTTTTTCGAGGGTAGTCACGCAGGCGTATGAACGGTGAATCTGGCTGATCTGGCGTAGAGAGGTGCGGGAGGATATGGAAACAGACATGGGGGAAATTGAAGGTGTCTGCAAAAAGGTTGTATGAAGTCTTTCGTCAAGGAGTTCTTTCGGGAAATGCTCGACGAAAAGTGGTGGAAGGTCAGAGACGAGAGTTGCTCCAATTCCCCACAATGTCAAAGACAAGCCACTCGCATTCAAACTACAGCTTCACAAGGCGTGGTCACCCTGCCCACGACGAATAGGGCGTGCATGCTGTCGAGCTTCAAGGATTACACGGAAGAGCTAATGTTGGAGCTGTCTGACTGATCTCATCGCTGTCAGGGCTTTCTCCAGATCTTGCTTTCGGAATACGAACTATCCATCAGCCCGTACTCTTACAGCCTCGTGCGATCCCCCTATCCGCCAAAACATTCACCCTCTTGTTGTATATCTTGTATCCATACATGCACGAAAAAGAATAGGAACTCTCGCTCAAGCCACAATGCGACTTCTTCTTTCCCCGCTCTATCTTTATAGTCTAGGTCTGGGTATATCCTTGGCGAGCATTGAATCTGCCACTTTCCTTCGCTGGATCTTGCCTGTCGCTGTCTTGGGTATCTCTTTCAAAATCCAAACCTAAAATAACCACCGTTAGCACATGTTCGACCCCAAATTTCTGGGGTTAAGGTTTCCAAACATACCCTGCTTGGCTTTTTGAAACTAGCCGTTTTGCTCACCACATATGCAATGATCTTGTCCTCCGTGACCGTACTCCCAGGTTTAGGTACAACGGCCACGCCAATTTCCTGTCCAAACAGTTCCGAAGGAATGGCAAAGCTGACTGCTTCCGACACTTGAGGTAGTGTAGCGATCACATGGTCTAATTCAATCGGGCTGATCTTCTCTCCTCCTCGGTTAATCAGCTCCTTGATTCGACCAGTTATGATAACGTAGCCATCCGGATCTTTCTTGCCTTGATCGCCAGTCCGGAAGAACCCGTTGGATGTAAAAGCTTCCCGATTGGCCTTTTCATTGTTGATGTAGCCTTTAGTCACGTTCTCCCCTCGGATGCAGATTTCACCCTCTACACCTTGAGGAACTTCGTTATCCTGGTCATCGAGAATCCTGACATCCACACCCTGTCCAAGACCAACACTTCCGGGTTGTCTTTTACCATGGTGGGGTAGTGGATTTGAGGTCATCTGGTGGGCGGCCTCCGTCATAGCATATGCTTCGAGGACTGGAGCACCATATGTTTCCTCCAGTTGGCGGAACGTGTTGGGAGACAATGGAGAAGAACATGATCGAATGAACCGAATCTGAGGCATGGGTTTCGGTGGGTCATTTTTCAGTAATATTTGATGTATCGTAGGGACTGCCGTATACCAGTTCGCCTTGTGTGCAATAAAATCAATCCAGAAGGTCCTTGCAGAAAAACTCGGGGGCACAATCACAGACCCTCCAGCTTTCAAAGGGGCCAGAAATCCTGCCAGCAGCCCATGGACATGGAACAGGGGCATCACCAGATACGTCCTATCTTTCGGTGTGAGTTCATACGTATTGCCAATGTTTTGCATGGTCCGGGTCAGATTGCGATGAGTCAATGGAACGGCCTTTGGTCTTCCCGTGGTTCCACTGGTGTGTAGAACCAAAGCGACATCCTCAGGTTGAGCACGTGCCACCGATTCGGACTGTCGTTGAGCCAACTTCCCTCGCTCTTTCACATCTAAGACCAATTTAGAGTCCTGGAGGAAACACTCGGCTATCGCAGCCTGGAACTTCCTTGCTGCTCGTACTGCAGGTCCATTCTTGGCGAATGCTCCTTGGGGTACTATGACCACGGCTGAGGAGAGATCTTCAATGTAGAATTCAAATTCATCTTGTTTGTATGCGGGATTTAGAGGTGCGGCAATTGCTCTCTGGTAGGAAGTTGCGAGAAAGGAGACGATGAATTCGTAAGTGTTGGGCAATGCTATTGAGACTGCATCGCCATGTCGGATACCAAGTTGAGCGAGCTGTGCCTGGAGTTGACGGATATCATGAGACAGTTGGGTAAATGAGATGGTGAGAGGGTTGGGCTTGCTGGGAACGATGATAGCAGTGGCCGAGGATTTGTCTGGAAAAGACGATGATAGAGTAGATGCTACCATGTCAGGCAAGAAATCAAGAGAGACTGAATAGAACAAGAGAGCGACGGAGACGGAAGGAACGACGAAGAGATGAAAGGGTCGGAAGCACGAGACTGAGAAAAATGGAAGTGTTATCGGGTGAAACAGAAGAAAAAAGACGAGCACCTCAGGCTGGGGCAGATAGGGAACCCAAATGACGTGACACGAGACCTACTGACGAACGCTCGAGTCTCGATGGTCATGAGAATGCCATATGATCTGGCGGATCACATTCTGATAACACGACCAAGTATGTAGCACACTAGAGTCTGTATATCGGGTCTTTTTGGTTGTGTTTGCATGAATGATGAATGCCAAAGGAAAGCCAGAATTATTCGTGTTCTCACATGTTGATCACCAAAAGCCCCCTGTTCTCAACCCTGCTGCATGCCGGGCGAGTGGATAGGCACCAAGTTCGGTCCAGATAGGGATCATGCAGCTCCAGATACGGATACTCGGTAAACTTACACCGAGATACGTTGAACGTCTCGAATTCGAATGAATATAGAGGCAAAAGAATAGACTGAGCTGATCCATCTCACAGGTATTTACAATCATTTGCACTATGAGGCTGTAAAGTGCAAACGCTCCTTCCTCAGACCGTAAAATACCACTTGGTCATACTGAATCGCAATAGACATATCTGGCAGTGAATGAATCAAGCAGCTTTCCCGAGTTATCTCCATGTCGACGTGGGTCACGGGACTTCTTTTACCCAGAAACTCGAAGCACACTTGCGCCCTCGTCCTCAGCCTCAACCATCGCTTGTTGATTTGTCCCTCTTCCCGAGAAATCGCAACAATTGCATAGACAAGCATGTGATGAGTGTCTCTCACTCTGGCAATGTCCAAGATTCCCCCTCCTGCTCCACCTCCGCCACGAGGTGGCCTGTCTCTCTATGCCAATCTCCTCGATCCCAAAAATGCCACCGCGCCCGGCACCATTTCGAGTGCTCCCGTCTCATACAATCGAACGCCTGAACAAGATGAAGCTGTCAAAAAGCAGCAAGCTCTGGCTGGTACATCAATCATCGTAAGGACCTAAAAGGTTGGGATATGGATTTGCTCACGTCTTGCCATGTTTCGCTTGGTCAACAACAGCCTCTTTAAGATTTCAACCTACCAAAAGACCTCAGGCCACTGCTCAAAAGGCAAAGGCCAAAGCCATTGCGAGCAAATTTGCACCACCACCTGTCAACGCCACTCCCGCCACTGCTACTACCACTGCTCCAGTTGCCCGCCATGAATCCCCCCAACGTACTGCGACTGATACCCCTCCGCTGCCCGTTGCGCCTAAAACTACTCTTGCTGATTGGGTTGCGACCGCGTCGGATGACGAAGATGTAAACAACTTCTATCAAGGGGAGAAGCGACAGAGAGGCGGTAGGAAGAAGCGGAAGAAGAATAAAGAAGCTGCCATACTCACTCAAGATTGGGATGATATCTACGATCCGAGCAGGCCAAACAACTATGAAGAGTACAAAAATAGTGAGGAGAAGATTCGTGAGATTCGAGACTGGAAGGATCTTCTCTACCGACACAAGATGAAGCGACGAGACTCCTCCGCCTCTGTTAGTGATGACCATCGACCTACCATGAACAGTGAGTGGTTCACCCCTGTCCTGCTGAAATATGTGCTGATCATTGTCGCAGAACAATTTGCACCACCCATGTCGTTCGCACCACCTCCAAACATCAATGATGACGACCACATCCCTCCACCACCAGCTGATGTTCCCGATGACCCTACAGGGGAAGATGCTTACATGAGAAGGTTACGCATGAGTCAAAACAACTCAAATGATCAACCTCCTCCACCTCCGCCAGCAGATCTACCAGACGATTCCAATGGCGAAGATGCGTATGCGCGAAGATTACGCCTGAGTCAAAGTCAGACAGCAGGTTCTGTTCCGCATCCACCTCCACCACCTGCTCCTGGCCAAATCTCGAGGGCGCCCGTACGGTACAGCCTACCTCCCGCACCCGAAGAAATCCCTTCCACAGAAGCAGAATTAGAAAACAGGCTGGCCGAATCCGGACGTGAGGAAGACGCAACGACCGATGCACCTCGGTCCAACAGACCTGGCCAAGCTGGATTTGCCGAAAGACTCATGTCAAAATACGGATGGGCCAAAGGACAAGGACTCGGTGCTCAAGGCACTGGTATCATCAATCCGTTGTATGCCAAGGCAGAGAAGCGAAAGAAGAAGTCTGACGCAGAGGGAGGAGGTTTTGCCACGCCTACAGCCATGGGCAAGATTCTTGGAGGAAACAAATCCAAGTCGGCACAAGCCGAGGAAGAAGGCAAATTTGGTACGATGTCAGAAGTTGTCCGGCTGGACGGCATGCTTGACGGGCTCGATCTAGACGAGGAACTTCAGCGGGAGGAGGGCGGCATAATGCAGGAAATCGGGGAGGAATGTGGTGAGAAGTATGGCAGTGTTCAGCGGGTGTACATTCATGCAGCAGAGAATCCGGACGAGCAAGCGCTGGTGTTTGTGGCATTTGTGAGTCAGCTGAGTGCCTTGCGTGCAGTGAATGCCCTCGAAGGTCGCATTTTCAACGGCAATCAGATCAAGGCGAGATTCTGGCCCAAGGAAAAGTTTGATGCACAAGAGTACTATTGAAGCTGAGATGCAAAGGATGAATACTAGGCTCAGTGCTACCAAGTATCCAATACTCTACACGCATTGGTTGATTCGAATGCAATGACAAGTGTCTGGATACGAGTTGAATTCTTGAGCTTCCAACACTGAACAAATGCATTGATACCCACCTAGATACTCATTATTGAAGAGACGCGTCGTTCCCGTTTCCGACGCGTCCTGCCCCGGGCCAACAATTAATCCGGGGAGCACATCCGTCATTTCTCCTGATCGTTTTATTGTTCCTGCAGCCTCACGAATTCCCAGTGTCATTCCCCTGCGCCCAAGTTCAACAACCATGGTTTGAGTACGATCACCAGTCTTTGTTAGCCCTAATGATGTCTTCCCGCGACTTGATAGAAAGCGCCTACGCCGCCAACCCCAACTTAAAGAAAAGGATATTTGATGCCATCAGTAAGACTACCCCAATCAAATCTTGATCTTTGCAACCATGAGATTAACACAGCACTTTTGCACAGATGCAACGCCTCAACATGATTCATTATTCCGAGACATCGCCCAGTATCAACTTTCCTCACATAACTCAAACGGGATTTCCACATCTGGTCATGAGGAACCTGCATTAAAGAAGCGCAAATTGAATGGGTCATTACCTCTAAATACTGGCGATGCTGCGGCAAATCAAAGTCAACAGCCACGAGAAGTTGTGCTTGAGGCGCGAGACATATCTTTCTCATTACCTCAGCGCAAGAAATACCATCTGGGTATTGCACAGTATGGCACAGACATAAATGCACCAAGCACAACCTTCTCCATCTTTATACTTACACCGGCCACAAATGAAATTGAGCTGGAGGTTCCTTTGTCGGATTTTGCCTACGCTTTGAGACTCCCAGTTCCAGAGAAGACGACTAAACAATACAACTTCTGCCTCCTACCAAAAAATGGCTCCGCTTCTGCATCACAACAGCCAAGGGAACCAGTCATTTGGACAGTCCCGCATGGGCCGGTGAAGACTCTCAATATTATGTCGAGTTCGTTGTCTGCAATCGCTTCCAAAAAAGCTGGTTCTGATGATCAGATTTTGGAGAAGGCTTTATCCTTCGTCTTATCCAGACATGATATCCAGCTTACACAGCCTTCCAAGGACGAGTTTGCATCTGCCAAACCCGAATCGCATCACAAAAATGACACCGCTTATCACGTGCGTGCATTTCGTGGCAGCAAAGAGGGGTTTTTGTTCTTTCTCGATAATGGCATTTTCTTTGGATTCAAAAAGCCTCTACTCTTCTTCGGGTTTGAGAACATCGAGAGCGTCAGCTATACCAGTGTCTTGCAGCGAACATTCAACTTGAACATAGCGTATCGAGAGGGCGACCTCAATGATGACCAGCCCGCTGACATTCAGGAAATCGAGTTGGGCATGATCGACCAAGCAGATTTTCCAGGCATTGATGGGTACATAAAGAAGCACGGACTACAAGATGCAAGCCTGGCGGAGTCTCGGAGAGCGACCAAGGTGAAAACAACCACGAATGGAAAAAGTGCAGAAAATGGAGAAGGAGCAGCTGATGATGAAGAAGATGGAAGAACAGAGCTCGAAAAGGCCCAGCAGCAACTCGAGGATGAAGAGGACGAAGAAGAAGAAGATTACGACCCTAGTAGTGATGATGACAGTGCAGGTAGCGGCGATGACAGCAGTGATGCAGAGGATGAGGACCCAGAGTATGCGAAAGAGCGGAAACGTGCCACTAGAAGCAGAGATCTTGTTGCAGAGGAGCTGGGCAGTGAGGCAGAAGACGTCAGTGTCACAGAAGACGAGGATGAAGCCGAAGATGGTGAAGGAGCGGAAGAGGAAGAGGAAGAGTACGATGAAGAAGAACCCGAAGAGGAGGATATCAAGCCTGCTGTTACCTCAGGCTTTGCCTCCGTTGCAATGACAGGGCCTCCTCCACAGCAGCGTCAGGGTCGATGGGTTCAACCACCACCTACATTGCCTGACCCGGACGATGAAGATCAACTGTGACAGATTTGTTATCAATCGCGAAGCATACTCCAATAAGCGGTTTAGATAGCATGGGTGAAGATAATGATGAGGCGTACAAAAGGCAGCAACTACCAATTTCTACACAAATGTAACTATAATCCACATTCCCACACATCTTAACAGATCACGAGTATAGAGAGTCTTGGCAAGTTCTGGCGTTATACGGCGTGAAATGTGTAGCGTATTCTCTAGTACCAACCTAGGAGTATGTATATGTATCTATTGCATGATAGAGGGTGTAGGGAGTAGACGAAGATGGAAGTTCATCCGAAACGAGAACGACCTTCCATTTCAGGCCTCTGTGGCGCCTTTTGACTCAATCATTTATTACTTTCCATTCTACTCTATTCCTTGAGATTCTTACCAACAAAAGTCGATAGATTCAATTTCAGTCCATTTAGACAGGAGGACAAGTTGTATGTTATTTTGAGTCACAAAAGAACCGGATTCGTCTTATAAAAAGCAAGGTGCGAGGGAAACTTAACACCGGGATAGCGAAGACAAAAACGCCATCATTTCCATCATAGAAGGCTTTTACAGTACCTGTCATTGTCTACGAAAATACGATATATCACACAACTCTCCATCGAGGAATACCAAGAAGCATCCACTATACAACATATAGATACAAGACCACGCAATCAAAACGCAAACAATGTCAAGCCCCACAGCACGCACGATCCTGTCCTTCCAAACCAATGGCAAACTCCACAACCTCAGCACAATAATAACATCCATCACACCTTTCAGTGCCCTCGCCGAGCCCAACCGGGTTTTATTCAAGACGGGCACCGACGAAGACACGGTGATCGCAACCAGAGAAACCATCTTCCACCCGCAGGGCGGCGGCCAACCATCCGACACCGGCACCATCACATCGAACAACAACGACGCCAGCGCCGCAAAACTCACCGTCTCGGCCGTGCGCATGGACGCCGTGACCGCCGGGCAAGTCCTGCACCTCGGACGCTTTGCCACGGCAGACCAAAGGTTCAGCGTCGGCGAGAGCGTGACACAGGCGATCGACGCGGAGAAACGCCTTCTGTACTCGCGATACCACACGGCCGGGCACGTCCTGGGCGCAGCGGTGCGCCATCTCCTCGAAACGCAGATCGACGGGTTCGACGAGCTCAAGGCCTCGCATTTCCCGGACGCCGCATCCTGCGAGTTCCAGGGTCTGATCGACGGGAAGTTCAAGGCGCCCATTCAGGAAAGGCTCGATCGGTATGTCGCCGCGGCGATGCCGGTGGAAATCGATTTTTGGAGTGAGGACGATTTTCGCGCGAATGGCCTGGAGAGGTTGATTCCGGCGGGGGACGGCGTGCAGTTGGCGCCCGGGGAGAAGTATCGGGTTGTGAAGATTGTGGGCGCAGAGGTCTATCCTTGTGGTGGCACGCATGTCGATTCGTCGGATTTGTGTGGTAAGGTCGGTGTTAAGAAGATTAGTCGGAGTAAAGGGACTAGTCGAGTTAGTTATACTGTCGATTGAGAGGAAGAGATAGATATTGGGGAGGCTGTGGTTTGAGGCGGGGATTCAATATGTTCACGGTGTTGGACGAGTGGAGATATGATTTACGACGACTAGATAGACGTGTAGACAATTTTCTAGACGAGAGCTCGCCTTTTCGGACATAGAATAGAAATACATATATATAAGACGGTGACAATTCTCCCACCTGTGTTCCATTTCTTAGTTCACGACTTACTTCCCGCCACCCCTCTCGTCATCCACAATCCCCCTTGCCGGCCGCCACTCATAATGGTGCCTTCCCTTAACTGGTTTTCCCGGCCCCTCAGACTTCAAATCATAGTTGTGCGCACCAAAGAAATCCAACTCTGCTTCCATGAACTGGGTCGGCAGATCCGTCGATGCCGAATACTTGATATACTCCAGTGTGGCACTGAGACTAGGGACGTAGGCGTCGGCTTCAATAGACCGCAAGACCACATTTTTCAGTGACGTGAATGCCTGGCTTAATTCGTCGCCGATGGAGGCAACGGAGAGGAGAGAGCCATCATCGGTCTCGTTGGGTTGCTCGAAGACGTGGTCCAGTAGGTCGGAGATGTAGTCGGATTGGATGATGCAGCCGCCGCGCCAGATCTGGATGATATTGCGGTAGTCCAGGTTCCAGGATTGCTGGGCGTCCATTCTCTTCAGGATGTGGAGGCCTTGTATAAAGGAACAGAGAAACGTAGCGAAAAGGGCATGCTGGAGGTCGTTGATGAATGCAGTCTTACTTTTCGTGTTGTCATCTGAGCCTGCGAGTTTGATCTTGCTTGGCTGTGTCCCACCGTTGAATGATTTGTTTACTGCGAGGCGTTGGGATCTGTCTGCGGAGCCAAGGCGGAAGGAGTGTGCTGTCAGGATTGTTGGAGAGGGGACATGCAGGCGGATCGTCTCGGTGCAGGTCCAGATACCGGTACCTTCTGAGTCGTCCGCATCTTGCACGACTTTGTCTTGCACGTTGGTGAGTACATAGTTGCCGTCTTTGTCTTTGCTCCTATTGATGTCAATGCCTATCGAGACGAGAAAGTTGTCTCGAAGTGGCCCTTTCGCATTCCATGACTCGAAGATATTGGCAATTTCATCGTACTCCATCCCAAGGCATCGGTTCATGATGTACCACACTTCTGCAACCGCCGACATCATGCCTTGCTCGATACCGTTGTGGACCATTTTAACGTAGTGCCCGCTCCCACCAGGTCCGATGGGGGTCACACATGGTCGCCCCTGTTTATCCTTCGCTGCAACGCGTTGCAAGAATGGCATGACTTTTTGCAAGGCTTCGCTGTTGCCACCAGGTGACATTGATGGCCCATGTCTGGCACTCTGATATCCACCACTAACGCCACAGCCAATGTAATGAATCCCATCAGGTTCGAGGTCCTTTTGTCTTCTCTCAGTGTTCGTCCAATGCTCGTTCGAGCAATCAAGAATAATATCCCCTTTCTTCAAGTATGGGCGGAGTCCTTTCACCGACTCATCTCCAACAGCTCCATGTGGAATACTGAAGACGAAGAGCTTCGGCTCATTTGGCGCTTCTAGACTTTCACACAACTCTTTGTAATCGTTCTGGTGGACGATGAGATGATCGACATTGTGGCCCGCATTCCTTGCATACTCTCTCAATTTGTTTACATTCTCCTCGCCTAAGAGAATGGCAGTCAGTACGGCTGGTACATTATGGATTGGACGCAAGGGTAACGAGTAACGTCCTGCAATTGTCTCCAAGTATGAAACTCACTTGGATCATAGTAATGGATCTCGACTCCATATTCTGCATACAAGAGCGACATCATGCCACCCATACTTCCCACTCCTATCATGCCAAGCTGTGGATTCCAAGGCTGTCAGTAAAGATCATCCATGAATGGCCGCCAATCTCCAATTGGGCGTTTACCTTTTCAAATTCTGGTCCATCGTTCTTGGCCATGATTGGCGCAGGATATTGGTATTCTTCAACTGTGTAAAACCTCTAATACTTCAAGACCAAAACATATGTCACAGAACTAAATCCTCAAGCTCAACCAAGATCTTAGATATGCTTTGCCCAACAATGTACCAGTCGCCATGCTGTCCTCGAGGCTTCCGATATATGGTGAAGGACTTGGTCATTCAAAGTTCTGACGCGAACCTGACGTCACGTTCGGATACTCTCTCCACCGGCAGATTTAAGCATTATACAAACAACCTCAACAATACTTACATTTGAGCCAAATCGTGACTCATAGACGGTTGAGTATTCCTCGGACCAACTCCAACCGCGACAGTTGAAAGAGGGTTTTTATCGTGCACTCTTATCGGAGCGGTTACCTGGATTGAGGATCAACCAGACGAGACTTGTTCTGCCGTTCCAAAGCAGCCATCATGGTGACGTTCAAGGGAGAGAAAATCCCAGTATGCTACGCCTCGTGTTCAGTCGGGCACGATGGCTCTAAGCATACACTTCCAAAGAAGCTGGCAGCCATTGCAGGCGCTGGATTTGAGGCTATTGAACTGTCAATGCCAGATATTCTGGCATACGGCAAAGAGATATCCAACGATGGCTCGGAGCCTGATCCCAAAGATTATGCGAGACTTCAATCCGTCGGGAAAGAGATCCGTCAACTCTGCGAGCAGCATAAACTGAAGATACTCATCTTACAACCATTCGCCAATTTCGAGGGATGGCCAAAGGACAGCGACGAGAGAAAAGATGCATTTGAACGTGCCAAAGGATGGATGTCGATCATGGAAGCAGTCGGTACCGATATGCTGCAGGTAAGTGGCAAGTTCAAGGGCTATGAGTGTGTCACAGGCTTTGGGATCAGTCATTGACAAACGCTTAGGTAGGATCATCGGACGCCGAAGGGATCTCGAGCGATTTCGATCAGCTAGCTGCAGACTTGGCAGAACTCGCAGACATTCTGGCTGAAAAGGGATTCAAAATTGCATATGAAAACTGGTGTTGGGCAACACATGCACCATCATGGAGAGATGTCTGGGAAATAGTACAGAAAGCAGACAGACCTAACCTAGGACTGTGCCTGGACACCTTTCAAAGCGCTGGAGGGGAGTGGGCATCTCCAGTAACCAAATCTGGCTTGGTTGAGGACACTCAAGAAAAAGAGATAGATCGCAGGTGGAAAGAGAGCTGTGAGCTACTGTCAAGAACGATACCACCAGAAAAGATATTCTTCTTGCAGATCTCGGATGCTTACAAAATGGATCCGCCCTTGGAAGATAAACCCGATGAAAGTGGGCTGAGACCTCGAGGTCAGTGGAGTCATGATTATCGACCGATACCTTATGACGGAGGTTATCTGCCAGTGGAAGACTTCACCAAAGCTGTACTTCAGACAGGGTTTCGAGGTTGGCTGTCACTTGAGGTGTTTGATGGCAAAGGCCCTGAGAAGTACGGTGATGACATGGCCCCCTTTTTAGGCAAGGGCTTCGAATCTTTGCAGACGTTACTGCAAACAGTTGAAAGGGACCAATAGCTGTGGTTGATATTTGGTAACCTACAGATGACTGAGAGAGCTCTGGTCTGTCGCCGATCTTGCAATGCAAGAAGGATGATATATATGATTCGTGGTAGTGATCGTCAGTGACCGGTCCTTCAATTATGGAAATGGGTTTTTGATGATTTTCTGGACAAATGCGTTGCTCGCAGGAATGTTAGCAGGAAGCAGACATATATGTAACTTTTCTGAAAACTTTTAGAGCAAGAGAACCGGGTTCGTCATGATCCAGGTTTGGTACTACCTAGGTATACCCCCAGCCATTCTAGTGGTGAATCGTGGCCGTTCCTGGCTGACTTAAAAATGGTGTTCTCAAACATAGAAAGAAGTCCTGCATATGCTGTGCGACTAGGACTTCCCCTGAAGCTTGACAGGACCAGAACCACAGGAGTCTCACTCGATCGTTGCGACGTGAGGCGTTCCGTATGCTGCCGGGAAGTCGACCGATTGTTATCACTGTATATTTACCTGGGGAGCGATATGCTACCGGAGTAGATATTGTTTGTGGAACAAACGCGCTGTAACTTATCACCAGCTGGACGCGTTGCACGCGAACGACGTGTCGTTGGCTTGAAGAGGCAACCGCACAGTACTCGCCGGTTGTTTTGCGCGAAGGGCAGCCCTTCGAAAATTCTAACATACTGTGGCTTCATAGGATGAGCTTTACATGGAAGTCTGGACATAGTTGAGGGGATCTTCAAGAAACTTTGATTGAGATCGTCCAGCACATGCCAAACAAGATAGCCAAGCAATTTCCGGACCGGTTGTCCAATCTCCTTAAGGTCTTTCTCTCAACTTCCGACTCGCCGACCTTGATCCCGATGTACCTACCTTGGCTGCTTGATGGCTTCTTCACCCCTTTGACCGCGTTCAAGAATGCCATGGACTCCCTCGAGCAGCATCCACAGTCACGTCATACCCACTATACACTTTGTCGTGGCTTTTTGTGAAACAATAGTAACCATGAACAGGCTTCTTGTCAGCTTTACTCAGTACGAGGGTACCTTGATGGTGATATGCCTTGGTCGTTCTGCACCTGGCAAGCTCAGAGAAGTACCTGTGTAAGTGGCACAAGCAAGCATTCATATCAATAGCGGCATATATCCCTTGAGGGCATGATCGTCATAACCCTGTATCTAGTGCCGGCAGTCGTTCGCGTCACGAACGATCAGCGTTGTCAAAAGGATATCTTCATGCAAGGGCCAAAGCAACGGCCTGTGGTACACCCAAAACAATCTGGCCCCACCGTCATTGATCCAATTAATGACTGCTTCTTGCTTCGAATAATCATCTTCCCGACGCTTATGATGACTGGTGGCTTGCTTCTTTTGAGCCACCGATGAAGCTTTGTACCGCAATCATGTCACCCCAAAGTCAACAGAAATTCGAAGGTGCATTCCCTGTTCGCAGGAATGGAACGGTGCAAGCAGCCGTCAATAGTAAGTCGGGCGCTGCTTAGTCTCCGGTGTGTTCAAACGTTTCTTTCTTATCGCACGAAAAACGCGTGGATAGTTGGTGCATGGTCTAACTATATGCTGAAATATCTCCCCATGGATCCTGCATACCCTCCTTGACAAGTCGCCACAGCCATCTCTCGTTTTACGTCTCCTCGACCTCTGCGTAAGTTCCTCAAATGTGTCAGCTGTAAAACACCTTTGCGCTATGGATTCTACGCTTCACAGAGGGCTGAAGCTCGATATTCCTGCAAATCGCTCTCAGGAATCAGGTCAAGACGAAAAAAGCATGAAACCATCACAAAAACCTGCAGGTGTTCCAGCAGGGCCGCCCGGTCCACCTGGAGGATGGCTACATACTCGAATGTCTAAACAACAAGAAATTCTCTTCAATATAATGATCGCCTTCTTACAAATTATCCCCCAATCTACGTTAACGACAGTCTTTCCAATCAGTCGGTATATCGCTCAGACATTTGCGATACAGAACAACTTGATCCTACCTTGGGTGGTGGCGGCTTATGCATTATCATTTGGCACATTTATCCTCATCGGTGGGCGCTTGGGGGATATTTTCGGTCATAAATCCTTAGTCGTTATCGGTTATTGCTTCATGAGCTTCTGGAGTGTTGTTGCCGGGCTGAGTCATTACGCTGGGTATGAGCTATTCTTCATTGCTCGAGGTTTCCAGGGCATCGGAGCGAGTCTCATGGTCCCCAACGGACTGGCCTTACTCGGACGGACCTATCCTCCTGGTTCAAAGCAAAAGATTCTCTCCTTCACCCTGTTTGGACTTTTCGCACCAGTGGGAGCATACTTGGGTATGCTTTTTGGTGCTTTATTCACCGAGTATTCTACCTGGTGGTGGGGCTTCTACACATTAGCTGTTGTCACGATCCTACTCGCAGTGACCGCTCAGGTTGTTCTCATTTCACCGCCTCGAACACCAAAACAGATGAAACCCACCAAAGACAAACTGCGAGATATGGACTGGCTTGGAGCTATTACCGGCGTAGGTGGCCTAATCTGTGTACAGGTCGCTCTTGTGTCTGCACCTGCTGCCGGCTGGAGCACACAATACATCTATATGCTTCTCGTCATTGGACTGATACTGATCGCTTTCTTCATCATTGTTGAAATCAAAGTAGCCGAGCAGCCATTGATACCGTTCAAAATGCTCAAGGCCGATGTGGGCTTTGTCCTTGGAGCGGTAGCCTGTGGATGGGGATCTTTCGGTATCTGGACTTGGTTTCTCTGGAAATATCTCCTTGGCATCAAGAACGACTCTCCACTGGATGCCGCATTGCACGTGGTTCCTATCGTGCCAGTCGCCTTACTTGCTTCAATTCTGACAGCGTGGATGATGCGGAAGTGTCGGCCTGCCTGGACTCTTTTCTGGGCCTTGGTGGCATTTACGTTGGGGCCCCTTTTACTGGCAATCTACCCTGATATCGACAAGACAAGTTACTGGACCTTCACATTTATCAGCTTACTCGTAATGCCGTTTGGCATGGACATGTCATTTCCCGCCGCCACCCTGGTCATGTCGAATTTCTTTCCACCACACATGCAAGGAGTGGCGGGCAGTCTTATTAGCACGACGGTCAACTACTCCATTTCTCTAGGCCTTGGGCTTGCATCCACCGTCGAAGTCAATATCAACAAACACACCGAGACCCGGTTGGCTGGAATTCGTGGAGGATGGTATATGGGTGTTGGGCTGGGCGGCCTTGGTACAATAATATGCATGGCGTTTGTGGTAAAGTCTATATTTTACCCTTCGTCACCACTTCCAAAGGGTCCACCTGGAGGATCGGGCGTGCAGATGGCTCAAGCACCACCCAACGGCCGTGTTCTGGAGATGGAGCCTCGCAAAGGAAGCGATACTGCCATTTTGAGCCCAAGCTCGACTATCGTTCCTGACAGGATAGGCTCGATGAGCCCAGAAAGACGAGATCACGGCTTTTTGAAGAAATTTAATTTTGAAATGTCTCCAAGAACTTCTATGATGAATTCACCGCGATCATCCTTCATCAACGGCTTTCAGTCGCGTACAAAGACAAAGCAACAACAGGGAGAACGCACAAAATACTACCACAGCGTCACCAAAAAGGAACATCACTCCCGCAGCGAGAGTACTCAGCACATTCTACCGCCGTTTGGATCCGATTCGAGATCCAACGCCCACACACCTTGGCAGAAAATCCCGTCGTCTCCTTCGGGCCCGGCGATGCGCCTGCCTACTGAGCCACCAACAGCCCTGCTTCGATCTAAGGCAACCTTTGAGAGTCTTGACGCTGATCAGCCAGGCCCAAGCGTGGATGAGGACAAGGATGGCTGGACTCACCATAGTCGCAATAAATCAGACAGAACAATAGTCGATGGCTATGTGTGTGGACGATCACCACCACAAAGGTATAGGCGAACTTCAGATGCTGATAGAGACCAGGATGGATTTCGGCTCGACAGCCCCGTTGTGGTGCCTCGGGGTATGCTGGGTGATCAATTTTGATCGTCTCTAGTTGATTCAACTCATGAATGGCGTTTTGGTCTGGACTGGAGATTATGATTGGGTGGGATTCTGGATTTATGACGACCGGAACATGACTTAGAGGTCTCAGCAGGATAGACGAGGTGCTTACTTGCTTTAGAACAATCAGAAGGAGTACTTATGTTATGAGACGCGATAGCACAGCATTGGCTATCTACGGACGAACAGGATCTTCGGCTTATGGCAAAACATAATCTAATCTGCCTTTCATTGGCACTATGCTCTCAATCTGAGAATGATTAGGAATAATATCTCCCATACAATCATAAGTACATGTGTATTGATAATCTGGCCTGCAAGGCCAGCTGAGTATGTCTACGACATTTTCACCCAAGAGCAGGAGTTCCCACACAGGAGGTGAGGTTCTTTCGTCACTAACATTCGGAAAAATGAGAAGCAGAGTAACAGTTATTTTGTGTGAAAATTGGCTTTAGAAATTCAAAAGATCTGCACAGAGCGCCTATTTGAACCACCTCCAGCTGAACCCTGGCAGCCCTACGCCGTGCAAGCAAGGCCACCGACGCCTCTCACCAATATCATTCTCGGCAAAGAAGCAAGTATTGATTCGAATGCTCGTGGGATCAGAGAGGCCTCCGCCTGATATACACATGCAATTGAACAGAGGTTTGACCCTTGACTGCTTCTTGAAGAGTTTTCTCCTATCTGTCCAGCATCGTCTCACTCCGTCCAACTCCGATGTCGTCAGCCCAGAGAAAAGCAAAAGGTGAGTTCGCATTGCACCGATTGAACATCTAGGACCATTGTTGGACTTGGACAAGTTTTCGGGCCAAGCAACGACAAGGAAGAAAAGAAAAGGAAACACATCAATCAGAGACCGCGTATTCGCAGCTCCAATCGTCTCAAATCTCTTTGTTTTCCACTTGAACTGCATGGACCCCCACCATTAAATATTGTCAGGAACTGGAACTCTCCAAATCTCCCCGATCCGTTTGAGTTTGGCCGGCTGCAGCTAGAAAAAATTGTCCCTCCCTTCCCCCACCATAAGAGGTACGTTACCACCACTGTTCTCAATCACAGTCACTGTCACCTGCACAAGACGACGAACAAGTTCTCCCTGTAGCATATCGCCATGCTACTAACCTAGTCATCACAACAAAGCCTTTCCTTAACACAGCGACCCAAACAAAAACCCTTCCCCATTCTCCCTCTCCTCGAACCTCCCCTCCGACATCGCCCAGTCATAATACCCTCAAACTCTCACCTACCAAGCCATGCCTGTCACTCTCGTCCTCGGCTCCCAATGGGGCGATGAGGGCAAAGGCAAGCTCGTCGACATCCTCGCGTCGTCAGCGTCAATGGTGGCCCGAGCTGCAGGCGGCAACAACGCAGGACACACCATTGTCGTCAACGACGTGACTTACGACTTCCACATCCTGCCCTCCGGCCTGATCAACCCCTCGTGTCAGCTCAACCTGATCGGCACAGGCTGCGTCGTACACATCCCGAGCTTCTTCAAGGAGCTCGGCGCCCTCGAAGCCAAAGGCCTGCAGGGCGTGCGCGACCGCATCCTTATCTCCGACCGCGCCCAAGTCTGCTTCGATCTGCACAGCGTCGTCGACGGCATCGCCGAAGACTCGCACAAGAACATCGAGGGCGGCAAGGGCGTCATCGGCACCACACGCAAGGGAATTGGTCCATGCTACAGCGACAAGGTTGCCCGCCGTGGCGTCACGTTCTGGATGTTGGTCAACGAGGAGCAGCGCTGGGTGCAACGCCTCCGCGACCTGGAAGCCAGCTATCGTAAGCTGTACGGTGACGCTGCGCTGCAAGGCTACAGCGTCGAGGACGAGATCAAGAAACTACAAGGCTTCCGCGAAGAACTACAGCGATATGTCGTCGACCAGACCCCATTGCTCGCGCAAGCCGTCGGCAACAGAAGCATCATCACAGCCAACGGCAGCGCCGCAGCGCAAACCCAATCGCCCAACATCCTCATCGAAGGCGCCAACGCACTCCTCCTCGACGTCGACCACGGCACCTACCCATACGTGACCTCGAGCAACACCGGGCTCGGCGGCGTCTTCACCGGCCTCGCGGGCCTCAGCCCACAAGCGCTCTCCGCACCGGGCTCCAACATCGTCGGCGTCGTCAAAGCATACACGACACGCGTCGGCTCCGGCCCATTTCCCACCGAACTTGACGCCTCCATCTCACCCGTCGACGCCGACTACGGCGAACGCCTGCAACGCATCGGCCGCGAATTCGGCGTCACGACTGGCCGCAAGCGCCGCTGCGGCTGGTTCGACCTGGTGCTGGTGCGCTATTCGGCGGCCGTCAACTGCTACACGCAGCTGAACGTCACGAAGCTCGACGTGCTCGACGACTTCGAGGAGATCCGCGTCGCCACCGGCTACCGCGTCAACGGCGAGCTGCTACCCAGCTTCCCCGCCGATCTCGACGCCATGGACAAGCTCCAAATCGAGTACAAGACCTTCCCTGGCTGGCGCACCCAGACCACCGGCGTTAAGACCTTCGAGGCTCTGCCCGTCCAGGCCAGGGAGTATGTCGAGTACATTGAGCGCGAGGTCGGCATCCCTGTCAAGTGGATTGGCACGGGCCCCAGACGCGATGATATGATTGTGCGATGAGAGGTGTGTCCCTTTCCCTTTGCTGCGCATCGGCACGTGGGATTTCTGCATCGTGGCGTTCTTCGGAGGATTCCATTGAGGTTCTGTTGGGATTTTATACTACGGCACGGCATGAGGAAACGATAGAGATACTACGGTGATGCTTGCGAAACATCAAAGTGCTGGTCGCTGGAGGGCGAAATTACCCTATACATGAAGAACGTCAGGTCAAGAAACGGGATGATCTTTTGATCTCAACGGGCTCAGTTTGTTCTCAGTATTACCAGAGTTTTTCTGTTCAGGTCGGCTTGGTGTCGCTGTACATACATGTTCTTTCCCCATCCTTGGGTCTGCTCCCAAACGCGATCAGCCAGAGGCCGGATTTAGACCAAAAAGAGAGCTAGAAGAAAACATTGTCCAAAGTACAACAAAGCAAGAGCCTTCCCTTCTCCAGATGTTGTAATGGTTTCGCGTCTTGGGCAGCTTGTTTCCCCGTCCTGCGAGTAACTCGCCACGATGCAAGGTATTAACATCTGTACCTATGTGACCGGTGCCCAAATAAGTCTTCGATTCTTCCAGGGTATCATCCGCTCGTTCAACCCCCTGTCAGCTTGAACTCCTAGCTCGCTCACTGCCATGCAGATAGATAAACACAAAAGCGTCAACTGGTCTTGCTTACAAGACGGCAACCACACCTGCAATGGCGATTGCTGCTGCAGCGAAGCTACCAACTTGCTTAACGTCGGCAGCTGCATTGCCAGTTGCAGATGCTCCACCAGCAGTGTTTGATGCTGATGCACCAGATCCACCGGAGTTCGAGGTTTGAGTCGCACCAGTTGTTCGAGCAGAGCCTGTAGCAGTCGAGGTTCCAGTAGCTGTGTAGGGGGCTACGAAGATAAATGTTAGCGTGGAATTCAACTTGTATATTCCGATGGAATGTTGCGGGCTTCATTGTGTAACTCACCAACTGTCGAGCCAGCAGCAGAGCATGTAGAAATGAAGGCAGATTGTGCTACTGAGGCGTTGTCAGAGCACAGACTGGCGATGGCCTGTTGTACATCTTGTGCATCACTGCCACATATTGCAGATAGATCACTGGGTTCGTCTTGTGTATTAACTGCACTCAGTAGACAAGCTGGAGGTACGTCGGCCAGAACTCGCACAGCGAAGAAGGCGATGGGGAAGAAGAGCGATGCCTTCATTATGGTGATTTTGTGGGTGGTAGAGAAGGACTCGTTCGAAGAAGGTAGTCAACAAAGACCGCAGTGAAAGTAACTAGGTCTGCAAAGTTTCGAAAGGACGCGTGATGGTCTTGTGAATGAAAGGTCTCCGCAGGTGAACGAAGTGATAAAGTTTGGGACTTGTCGTTGAAAGGAGGGACTAGAAATCTCGAAAATTCCAAAAAGGAGAAGAAGAAGTAGAGAGTGTTTCCTGCTTGGATGGTTAGTATGAAAAGGAATGGGTGAATGAGTGTGTTGTCGAACGCTTTGGAGAAGGAAATGAAGAACAAGAACGGAGTTGTAGAAGGACTACCTCGTCCAACATGGGCGCAGTGGCAGTAGCGGAGCCCCTGGAAATTTGGGGTGCAGGGAAGAAGCCCTGAGCCTTGGCAGATCGAGGCTAGCGAATCATTGTCGATGGCTCCCGCCCAAGGCTGAGCTAAGTCACGTGCACTCCTGCACTAGCTTGGCGCTTTCAGAAGACATTTATGGGGGCCACCATTCCCGTTTAAACCATCCCTCCTCTACCATTTGCCAGTGTTACATACCCAATCGACAATGGGCTTTACTGACTTGTCGCCACGACTATCCTGGAGCAGAGATCTAGACCAATCCCAGACTATCGTGAATTTCAAGTGTGGTCTACCATTTTGAAGCAAAGTCAATGCGAGGAAGTATTAAGTTTCTCTTAGTCTTGATTCACGCTTGAAACTCAGGAGGATCAGCGACGATCTCCTGGCAGCATACAACACCGAATACCACATCATGATGGCATTCATGGCATACCTAGCTTGGTACGTTTGTCTTTCTGGCAGAGGCTGATTTCTACTGCATCTATCTATTCTGCCACCAACTCTCTTCTTGACTTTGATCAACTTTGGTCAACTCAACCAGCCCTAATGCTGAAAAAGATCGTTCTCGGCCAGAAAGTTAACTACGTCTTGATTGAAACGATCGGGGTCTTCTAAAAACAAAAAGTTGCCGTGTTCTTCTCCCCACATCTTGACCTTCAATTGTGGCACATGGTGGAGCCAGGCTTGCTTGTCAAACCATTCCAACCTCGGCGTAGTGAAGTGCACAGCTGGGACCTGGTGTATCTCTGCCCAATCCATAGTGTGCGTGTAAGGATTCGCCAATGTATTGAGACAGGAAAGTCTGTCTGCCCTCTTCATCGAACACTTCAGCAATCGTTGGACGTCCGGATTCTTCGAAGTCGACCAGACCTCGTTGATGGCCTGATTCAGAATGCCAGGGCTGCTGAGATTTTCGACCTGGCGTCTGACGCCTTCCGCCGGTATGTAACTCTGCGGCAGATGGAGGAAAGACTCAACATAGATGATGCCAACGACGGAGATGAATCTCGAGAAACATCGCAGAAACATGGTGGAAACAACTCCTCCCACCATGTGGCCGACTAAGACAGCGCGATTGATCTCCTCTTTCTGCAAGACTGCGTGAACCGCTCCTGCAAAGAAATACTGGGTGTAGTCTTTTTGGGGAGCATCACTGTCACCATGTCCGGGAAGATCTATCACGATGCAACGATTTCCGTTGAATAGTGGCTCTTGTCGGTGCCATAAAGTCCTATTACACCAGAGGGCGTGGATGAAGACGAGAGCCTCGGTCCCGGATCCGTAGCTGTCGTATGTGATCTTGTTACGTTCGAAGTCTACCATGTTCGATTGCTTTGTCGCCATGTTGTAGTTTGCTGTTGGGGACGTGTTCAAAAGTTTCGTTGATGACCAGGCTTGGGCAAATGTGGGCGTCTTTAATAGTAATGATGTGCAAATTGGCCATAGTCAGGTATGCTAGCACGAGACAAAGACCATTGGTCTGTACACCTGGTGGTAACCAAGTATTCTTGACTGGCTACAGGAGCAGGGATTGTACAATATTGAGCCAATGGCAGAACATGTGGCTGCCTTCCCAAAGGCGGAGAAGAGCAGGGATGCGATGGAATGGCGGCCAATAATCGATCCATCCAACTACACTTGTATGAGCCCTACACGCGCGATATACAGAATGGTACATGAAAAAACACCAAACATCAGGATGCCCAGTACTTCTAGCGCTGCTTATGACTCTTGCTAACGAGACCGAAAAGACGAGTGAATAACTACATCAGAACTGTGCCATCAAGAGAACTTGACATGATATCGATCCGAGCCCGTCCCATCCCGATACTGATCAAGAGCAGCATTCACCTTATCGACATCCAAGCCCTCAATAACCTTATAAGGCAGCGGCTTGACCAAACCGCTCTCCAACCAAGTCGGGAACACCTTCCAAAACAACGCCCCAAAAGCCGGGATCGCCGCGGAGAAGCCGACAACATGTTTATCCTGCACGCCCGCCTTCTTCTGGGCGAGGGCTGCCTCATCCACTGGGCCGCGAGTGAGACGGACGAGTGTTCCGCGCTGGGTGTCTGAGAGGACCGACAGAGCCAGGTTGTAGCCGCCAGCTGAGACGGTGTCCAGTGCGTGTACCAAGTCATCGCCGACGATCTTGCGGATCTGCGAGTCTGCGTCTGCATCCTGTCTAGTAATGACGTGGGTCGCTCCGAAATCTTTCAAGATGGCGCTGTTCGATGCTGACGCCGTGGTAATGATCGTGCCGATGCCTGCAATCCGTGCAAATTGGATCGCTAGCTTCCCAGTATTTGAGCCGCCGCCGATGATGACAATCTTCTGGCTGGCATAATCGAAATTGGCGGATTCTGGGGTTCCGGGGAATGGTAGCCCAAGTCCAGCTGGCGTGAACAAAGCCAAGGCGATGGTAACAGCATTGATAGGGTAGAGTGCTGCTTCGGTCGCCGGGATACTTGGTGGGACAATCGCTGCATAGGTTCCATCGACTACTGTGTAGCTTTGCAAACCTCCTCTCGGCAAGGCCATCATTTGGACGAATATCTGAGAACCATTCGGGAAAGTTTCAGTCATGTCTGTCCCCGTCCTTACAACTGTGCCGACTAAGTCACCACCCAGCACTGCGGGCAGGCTTTGGCCGATGTTCATCAATCCCCTATCGCGAAGTTTTTGATCGAAGGGTGCCACTGCAGTAAGTGCTTGGTCAGATGTGATAAGTCTTCAGAGATGTTGTGGAGAGGAGAATCCTGTAGAAGAGGCTACTGACATCCGGTGGCTATGAGTTTGATAAGGACTTCATTGGCCGCGAGCTCAAATGTGTCGGGGCCACGGAGAGATACCTTTGTCAGGGGCTTTCCAATCTCAGTGAGAGCCAGGACAATTTGAGTAGACATGATGATGAGAGGTTTGATTGAGAACAAAGGGTCTTGCGAATGTGGATTGGAGTGAGCAGCTCAATATTCGATGCTTGAAGATGTAGATGGCGCAAATGAAATAAATATGTTCAGGCGGTGCATCGACGCATTTTATACTTTCTTATAATACCTCAACTTCAAACTTAAGACGGAAAATGACACTTAAGTCCGGAGCCCCAGCATCATTTTGCCAGTCACCATGCAGCCTGATCCTGACTGGTGAGTATTCATGGAGGCTTTGACTCTGGCATCAGGCTCGCTCTAACCATATCGAGGTCAATCGCGCAAGCCTAACCCAAGACGGTAAGGTGGATATTTTCACTCTTCATCCCTATTCGACGGCTGGTCAATTCGAATGGGGAACGTCTAACTAGTTGATCAGAGTCCCATGGTAGAGTATCTCAACGAGAGACCCAGAGTTTGACATACATTTCCAAATCATGATGATCTCCGGCACACTACCTGCCGTTGTCTGTAATAGCCGGTATGATGGAGAGAGGTGCATGGATGGTGCAATTGTTCGATGGCCAGACTCCCCTTTCCTTTCTGAAATTTACCAAGCCGATCGCATGAGACTGCAGTACGACGATTCAGTCCTGAATCCAAGGTGGGAAGAGCCCCAAAGCCAACGCTAGAGCAACCAGGAAGCTCTAGGAACTCGGCACTTCGCATCTTCTCAAGCAGATGTATGCCGACGCCGTCCTTAGCCAGACCTGATGAATATGCCTGCCCAGATAAGGGTCAAAGCTTGGAGAGTAGAATCGTTTGGAAATATCGTTGAAGCCTACTGTGGTTAGCGACCAATACCACTGGTCTCTTGTTCGATTTATGTGCTGACCTTCGAAAATACGGCAGCCTGTCCAATGCCCATATTCTCACCAATCCATGCTAAACAATCTCTCATCTGATCTTGCAAATGCCGTGGAACTATTGAGAGGTTTGCTGCCACGTAAAGAGGGTGCATCAGTAGTAGGCCACCAACCGCTCTCCCTGGATTCACCGTCACCGTCGTTGAATGACCAAGCTCAGAGAGGGTTTCAACATTATCTGCGACATGAAATGGGATGGATGCCATGATCTGATAAGCCAGAGCTGTGGCTTCTGCCTGCTTCTGGCCGTAGGTGTCTTTCTCCTGGAGTCGAGATAGGCATCGTACCATAATGTCCAGGAGCATAAGACGGGTTTTGCGAAAGACATTCCATGCTGCTGCAACATATACTGATGATTGTCAGCAAGATAGCGCGAAGTACTTGGTGGAAGAATTACAATCGAGGTATACGTCCAATCTTCCTGGCCACCAGCTAGGATAAGACAGAGATGGACCAATTTCAGATCTGAGACTTCTTGGTTGCCATGCATCGGGCTGCCTTAGTACCCATTTGGAAAATTCTTTGTCAAGAATAATAACCTTCTGCAGTACCGTGCGGAGGTCATCCGATAGAGCTGAGGGGCTGGCCAGAATCACTTCAGCATCTTGCAAAACCGGATGAATGTCGCTGACAATCGTATTGACTGCAGGGCATGTGTTGATGGAGAACCTATCGCAAACGACAGCCAAACTTTTCGGCCTTTGGAACTATATGCCGTTAGTAAGAACATGAGTGCACACTTCGCTACGTTTTCGCCTACTGACATTCAACGGATCGTGATACCAGAGTGCATTGGCAATGTGGAACAACTTTCCGGAATTCGCCAGATCGACTGGCGAGGTTGTTGTGTTCAGTATTGCAGCAATACCTCTAGCATGAGCTATATGATTCTTAGAATTCGCCACATCTGCTGTGATGATCTACTATTAGTGTTAGCAATACCTCTAGTCTCCTGGGCTGGAGGTGTCAACGAACCTCATACAGACCCAGTAGGATGGCAGTTGTGAATTGCTGAACCACATTTTTGGATGCCGAGTCCGATGATAGGGTGGCATTGAATGATCGCAAAAGATTTAGATATAGCAATCTTGCTCTCACCAGAAGAGGGTATATATTACGTCGATTGCCGAGGCTGGCCAAAGCAATGACTGTTGAAGCCTGAAGCATTTCGCTTTGCGGCTTAGCCTCGTTCAGAAGAAACTGCAGGCCATCGAGATAGCCGCCTGAAAGTGAATGATCTGCGGGTGACACCGTATAATTCCGAAAGAAGGCTGTCAACGCGCACTGCTCAATTTGAACATCTTGCCAGCCGTTTAAAAGTGACTCCGGCGCCCAGAAAGTCGACTGAGTCGCGATCCGGGGACGCAACTGCAAAGACATTCGTTTATCACTTGGAAGGGACCTCCGAAAAATCATGTCTCCTTCATTTCGATATCCTGAGCATATGATATTGGCTTTAGCGCATCGGACGCATGACTATGTTTGGCACTGTCAGTTTCATCCACAACTTGCGCCACCATGTTGATGGCCCTATTTTCAAGCGAGTCTGTGACAACACCACGAGTTTAAGATAGTGCAGAGCCGTGATGTATGGTCCAGCGATATCTCAACAATCAGAAGAATGAGAGATTAGATGTGTAGCGTTACAGGTTGACTAACAGGTTTGGATTCATCACACTAGCATGAATTGTAAGCATCGCTTGGGATAAAACACGTTCGCCTTGCCTTTTTCCGCCTCCGCCTACAGGTGCCACAACCACGAGAGACACCATGATAGACCATTTGGACAGTGCTCAGTTGCTGCAGTGGTTGTACCTACCGTGTACACGGCAGAGGCACGATGGTTTCAACAAAGGGTACGCAGTATGGTCGTGAGTGTTCTACAACTGGGCCCTCCTAGTTAAAGAGCATAATCCTGGGGAAGGTTTGACGAGCGAATACGTCATCTAAGGGAGGCCCCGAGGAAGCCGTCGAAAAAGGAGATGCAACCTGCTGTGGTTCATATATGTTGAACATTCACTGTCTCCTACTAGTTAACTAACACATTTCAAAGTTTATTCAGATCTTATCTAGTCCTCCTGGCATTAGCTAAGACCAAAGGATCTTTCTCGTTATCTTGGGCAGATCGGTCATCGGATATTGTCTTCGCTCGAGCGACGCGGGCCAAGTGTATCCCGTATCCACAGGCCTGGGGTTCCTGGGAAATCCGAGGCTGGTGTTAATCTGCAGCATGACGCAGGCCTTGTGACTTCCTTTTGTCCAACGTCTCTTTTGTCAATCATATGAGTGCTCACAACCACTCGCTACGAAAGGATCGACATACTTGATAGTTATCACCCCTTTTGAGATCCATAGGTAGGTATATATCAAAACATCAACCGAGCAAGCCATCTTGCTGTCATTGCTTTCATGGAATCTCACGTTGACCGGCTGGTCAAGCAAACCTGGGGTAGGTCTATACACACGAGTCTTCCTACTTGCTTTCCGCCTCTTCTTGCTATATACTTATCACCTACTGCCACATTGCAGAGAAATTCCAGCAATGTGATGGCTCTCAGCGCCTCCTTATCGCCATTAGTGGAATACCCGGCAGCGGCAAGACCACACTTGCCGCCTGCGTGGCGCATGGCATCAACAATGTCTTCCACCAAGATTACCACACTAAATTCCCCAACAGCCCTCCCACTTCTTCATCACGCACCGACCCTTCTCAACCTGATATAGCCTTCGTCGTGCCACTGGACGGCTACCATCTAACACGCAAGCAACTATCCGAGATGCCCAACGCTGAGGAAGCCATTTTCCGACGCGGCGCGGCCTTCACGTTCGACGCACAAAGCTACCTCGACCTCGTGACTAAACTGAGGAAGCCCATCTCACCCGAGACCCCAACCATCTTCGCACCAAGCTTCGACCACGCCGTAAAGGACCCCGTCACCAACGACATCGCCATCCCCGTGACAGCACGCATCATGATCTTCGAAGGCCTGTACACGGCCCTCAACGAAGACGGCTGGCGCGAGGCGCACGAGCTGATGGACGAGGTATGGTTCGTCGACGCAGACATCGAACGCGCCACACAGCGCGTCGCGAAGCGGAACTTGGCGGCCGGCATTTCAGCGTCCTTCGACGAAAGTCTGGCCCGCACCAAGGAAAGCGATATGCGCAATGCTCGTCACGTGCTGGATAGTAGGCTGGAGGTCAACGAGGTGATCCCAAGCGTCGAGGACGAAACCTGGGTCAGCCAGGATCTCATCAACGTGCAGGACGAATTGGATCGCAAGAAGGACGCCGCTCAGGAGGACGACGACGAGGACGACGAGGACGACGAGGACAGTTTCAGGAAACAGAGGATGATGCGCATGGACAGTATTGCAGCGTTGGCGGCCGATGGCGTGGGCATGTGATCATGAAGGAGAATGAATTTACGAATGTAATGGACAGATCGTGCAGGCCAACTAGAGGCCGATTGAAGACTATGAACGCCGGTAGCTGGCAGATCAAATGCGACAGGTTCACAATTCCACGCAACAACAAGACTTGCAGAGATAGCACAGGAACAGCAATGTTAATTGGAAAGTCGATAGTTTCTCCTTCCTAGGTACCGATTTTCGGTACCATATACCTATATCTCAGGTAACGAGGTAACTTTTCCATGTTGGCGCTCAACGTATCGGAAACACAGCCACAGAGCGGGAAGACGCTACAGTGAAGCCATGTACACAGACGCCGGCCTCACGTCCGCCCTTTCGCTCTGTCAATCCCAAAGGCAATCCGATGTTGCTCAGGTCCCTAAGTCATGTCACATTGCCTCATGTGCCCAGCACAAAAAGTGAACCTACTAGGGGATCCCCGAAAATCAGTCCTATGTAGTTGCTACCTCCATGACCTGTGTGTGCCCATAGATAGATACCTATCCAACAATTGTGAAGAAGCATTTCCCAGTAAACGCAGATAATGCAGCGCCTCCCTTTCTGGGACCTATTCGATACAAGAAAATTAAATGACCATCATCATTGTGCCATCAAGGTGTGTAGTACCGTGAATACCACAGCCTAGATGATCGTACTTTTTGTTGCGACTCAAACCTATTATTGTGTGCGAGATCGTATATCTCGACAATCTGTAGAAGTAGTCAGGCTCGCCATGCTAATGCTGGCGATAAGATACTGTTGTTCATTTCTTGTGTGTCTCGCATGTGGTCGCCGACAAGAATGCATCTTCGCCACTGTTGTGCCGTTGGTGTGGTAGTAGTTTTGAGAGAAATTTTGATCCTCTCGCAACAATACAGGCATAGCATAATGCGAGTAGCGTCGGCGCAGCTGCCCGGCAAGCCTTTGGGCTTCCATCGCTGGTCCACGCGGAGAGAAAGGGGCCAGATATCTGACTGTGTTTCCCCAGATAGTTCAAATGTCACCCCGGACCATCATGGACATGTTCAGTCAAAATCATCAACTGCATCCCAGGTACAGCTCCGAATCTGCAAAACAGACTTTCGCCAATCCCAAGAACAGAGAGAGATTTTGAAGCACCTGGAAGTATCAGGCACCGCCTCTTAACACAACATCTGGCGACAGTCCGACTGCGGCCCACATGTCATCAGTGATTTCCTCCCTTCGTTGCATTCGCACGAGGATATTGGAGAATAGAGTCAATTCATGCATCTGGTGTTCGCTTCGATCCATATCTCGATTCAAGTCCTCGTGCATCCTCTCCATGGACGTGCGGAATGTATCTCGCGGTCGGAGTCTTCCAGCGCGGGCGCGGATGTCGCGGACATCATCTTCGGTGATCCCAAAAGGCAAATCCAGGTCACACGAGTCATCGCCCCCAATTTCTCCAAAACTTGTCGCGGTGGTAGCTGCTTGTGATGATCGATTCGAATCGGATTGAGAATCAGACCTCGAGGACATGAATGACGTCGCATTGCTTGCCCTTCCTGGCTGAATGGTAGTCAAAAGATTGGCCCAATTCTCTTCGTCATGTCCGTCAGACACTGGGCTGGGACTTCGAAGCCGGTCACCCAGGCCATCTACTCTGGCACCAGTATTGTTCATAGGGCGTGGAGATAAGTGGCTGACGCGACGTAAAGGAGGATAAGGCGGTTGGTTTTGGGTTGTGTCTGATTCAGGATGGTCTAGAACCGGCGAGAGCGGCAGACCAGGAACGGCAGTCGACGACGCATCAGGTTCCCGAGAAAATCGGTCATCGATCGGTTGTGAAGTTTGGCGAAAGGGGCCATGAGCAGGCGCAAACCCCGGGGTTAAACTTGCGATGTTAGGGCCCGATCCAGGTGGACCGGCTCTGCTGCCAGCTCTGCGGGTGAGGCGCCCAGAATAGCGCGGTCGGCGAGGCTGTTCAGATTCAGAGTGCGAAGAGGCCGCAACCTCAAATCTCAGCCCGGATTCTCGAGATGGGCGTGGGAGGTTCTGTGAGACGGTATCCAAGGCATGTGGGGTTGACATGTCAATAGTCAAATCTGAACTAGTATCATTCATAGGGCTATCATCGAGGTGGCTTTCAGCGCGAGTGAACATGTCGAGGGCGTCTGGTGACATGCGGGAAGTAGGGATGCCATTTCTCATTCTTTCCATGCGTTGTCTCCGCAGGAATTCAATTTGTGTTTCCAGATCAAGTTGTGTTTCTATCTCGGCATTTCGAGTATAGGATTCTTGGTCGCGTTGATGGCGGGAAATCAAGTCTCGGAAACGATGAATATTCTGGGCTCGTGGACTTGGTCGACGAGCGGAATCACGTTCGGGAGGTGATTGACGATGTGGTCGCACGGTAGATTCGCGGCGGATAGTTGAACGCCTGGTCGCGGCAATTTGATCGAGTTTTGCAGCGGCTTGTTCTGCAGCGATCTCATCGGGTTCTCGGAACATACTAAATGCGAACATTGTCAGTCAATGGCAGTCTCGTGATGAAAAATAATTGGAAAAGGCTGCTGCCCAGGCAAAAGACGCGCAGCCGCGGCAAGCTGCGATGGAGGGATGGGAACAAACTTACGGCAAACCCATGATGTCGCGATAGCCGGTCGGTGGTCCGGGGCAGATAAAAATTGCAGGAGGGGAGATTCAACGAAGAAGCGACAATAAAGAACAATTACAGACAAAGAATGAAAGAAGAGGTTGAGTGGAGAGATTGGTGGTGGATTGTAAAAGAGTTGTTCAAGGTTGTGATGTCGGCTGAGAAGGTGGATTGATACAGTTGTCGATGGGACGATGGAACGGGGGGCTGAGGCGGCAAGGAAAAAAGAACGGGGGGAGCAGCTAAGACTCAGGCTACGAGTACGAACAATTGATGTTTGGTGGGGAAGAGTCAAAGACCACCTGCGCAGCAAACAGCAAACCGCAAAAACGAGTGGCAAGTGTCAAGTGAGGCTGGCCGCCGCCGAAAGGGAACGGTAGCCTAGTGCAACTCGTCCCAGTTAAAACACTAGCCCCTAAGTGCCCCTAGTGACCCTGTTGTTTAGGCTGACAGCCCTAAAGAGGAGTGCCGCCAGCCACTACTTCCCTCACGCCTTAAAAGTGACTCGCATAGCGGTGGCTTGGCAAACAAGTCTTGGCATATTCACATCACGCCGCTTGGACTTCAAGTTCTTCTTTGCATCTATCACGGAGCGAAGGATTTGTGAAATGTACTGGATGGACTTGTTTGGCAATCTTTTGTTCAGCCTGCAATTGATCCGTGATCTGCCTCCTACTTGATATATTCTGCCTTGATTCTTGAAGCCCTGCAGCACATTGTCGGCAACGACGTGTAGGAACCCCTCGCTTACTGGTTGGTGCATCGCTTAATCGCCCAGGCGCTTCCTTACTGGTTATTGAGGTGATCATGGCGACCTCCCGTATCCGAATACGAATGCTCAAGTGATATATACAATGATACCTCGTACGGAGTACCTGATATTCGGCCTGTTCGCTTCTCAGATCTTGTTTTTGATATCGTCTTCTTGTCCATATTTTCTCTCGTCTCGATGGACCCAAAGTGGTTTCCACCACCGGACCGTCCATTTCAAGCAGGTGACCGTTTCACGGCTGGTGCAAATCTTCTTGGGATTGCTACATTGCTTCTTCCGCAAGGGCAGTTCCGCAATGTGATCGCCATACCCCCGATCATATATTGTGCATATAGCCTCAGACAGCATACTACAGGTCGAGCTGACCAAGACTATATAAATGCAATTAATGTTTGCTTGGCGATGCTCAAACTGGTGGACTTTTCCTTCTTGAGAAATCCTGAGCAGACATTACACCGTATCCGTCCTGATGGAACTATCGAGACTACCAAAGAAGTGGAGCATATGACTCTTTGGCAGAAGTTCAAGTGGAACCTGGATCTATACACTACTGCTAGGGGGATCGGATGGAACTGGCGTGTCAAAGACACTGAGCATGTCCCCAACAATGTATCACGAAGGTAAAAGGACCCATATATATCGCTTTCAAACCACCAGCACTGACTCGTTAGCACCTTCGTCCTGCAACAATTGCTCAGAGCTTCACTGGCCTTTCTTGTTGTTGACTTTCGCGACTGGTACCTGCTCCGGACCCCAACTGGCAACAAAAGTCATGCACCAGACTTTTTCTCCCTTTCGGTCACGAAACAAATCAGCCTCGCTTGGTTAGGGGGTCTTTACAGTGGCTTCAGTATGGCCTTGGGCTATTACCTCCTGGCAGCAATAGCTGTAGGAACAAGTCTCTCTCGGCCACAATCCTGGCCACCCATGTATGGCTCTTTCATCAAGAGAGGTTATACAGTCCGAAATATCTGGGGCAGCTGCTGGTATGTTGGACCCTCGTGCGCCTGTCTGAAATTGATCTTCTTCTAGGCATCAATTTCTCCGACGAATCTTCGAAACGTGGAATACGCTGCTAGTCGGCAGCCTTCGAGTGAAGAAAGGGACTCTCACTTCGCGCTATTTGCAGCTCTACAACGCATTTCTCATCTCCGCTTTGATACACCATGTTGGGTCTCTCAACGCCGAGTATCACCCTGGTGTGAAATACCAGTTCATGTTTTTCATGATTCAGCCAATCGCAATTACGTTTGAGGACTTCGTGATATATCTTGGAAGGAAAGCTGGCATCGAAGAAAGTTGTACGCGATGAGTCTGACTCTATCAGAAGATGAAGACTACTGACGGATAGACAGGGAAAACGAGAGCACTTGGATATGCATGGGTCGGGGCATTTCTGAGCTTTAGCCTACGCTATGCTGCCAAGTACTTCTCTGACATGAACTTGACGATATTGCGCCACCCGATGGTGGGAAAATTCAGTATCATGGACCGTGTGTTTGGTTAGACATCTCATAGGCCAACGAGGAAGGAGCAAGAGATCTGTGCTGGCATCACCGCTGCCATCACTAGCTTCAACGCGGGGAATGATTGATAGACTTGGTGACCACATGGCAACCAGTCGTTGGTGCAACAGGAAGAACTATTGCTAAAACACTCCTCTCGTAATCGGTGTGTACCTGTACGAACATTTATCACTGTGTCACCATAGAGATTGAAAGCTGCATTGGACAATGAGTCCCACATAGCCGAATGCTGCCTTGAGTTGAATGTCGTCCAGGGTCGCATGCTGTTTATTTGTTACGCACCTACCTAAGCACAGCACCCAGCCTCATACCGGGCTGGTAGTCCGAAGCGTTAAACTCAAATTCATTGATAGCCAAAGCCCCCACCTAACTCACCCCGTTTTAGGTGCCGGTCCAAGCCGGAGGGGATCTTTAGGCACCCCGTAAAGAGCCTCGGGAACCCCCCAAGAAGCCTATTTGGTCCCCTGGGTGAGTAAGCGAGACGAATTCATCTCCCCTCCAAGTGCCAGCGTCAATAGCGTGCACCTGCGTCTGCGTCTGCGTCCGCGCTTACATCCGTAACCTCGCCTCACACATCCACATCCACCTCGGAATCTTGCATCGTGCATCTTGCATCTCAGCCAAGCCAGACCAATCTCGTGCTTGTTCCTGCACATCAATCCATACTATCGCTGGTCAACTTGATCGTCAGTCCTCGCTACGCCTCCTCTCGTTAGATGGATCGATGAACCAACAATACAACACTCCGCCCGATCTGCTCGAGCGAATGGCAGCTGCATCAACACCCTCTTCCCTCTGTTGATGCCGGATGATCAGTTCCAATTCCCCATACCTCACACACGGCGTACTGCCTTGGACCTTGGACCGATCTGCCAATCACCTCTTCCTATCGAAACCGACTGCAGACACTGCGAAGAAAATGATCTATCTCTTATTCACCACTGCTCGCTAACACACTTCTTCCAATCCTTTCAAAATGCCTGCTCGCACCGCCGATCCTCCAGACGATGTCCCCTCTGCCCGGCCCACAGATGGTTTGGCTCTTAAGGCCAGGCCAATCAAGACCCCCTCAAGCCCTACCAAGAAGGACGACAGGACAAAGGCCCAAGATGTTGCTGAATTGAAGGACTACCAATTGGGTGATTGCCTTGGAAAAGGTGCATTTGGTTCGGTCTATCGTGCTTTGAATTGGGGAACTGGCGAGACAGTCGCTGTCAAGCAGATCAAGTTGGCAGATCTTCCCAAAAGCGAATTGAGAGTCATCATGCTCGAGATCGACCTGCTGAAGAATCTCGATCACCCAAACATTGTCAAGTATAATGGTTTTGTCAAAACTCCCGAGACTCTAAATATCGTCCTGGAGTACTGTGAAAATGGCTCTCTTCATTCCATCTCCAAGAATTTCGGCAGGTTTCCGGAAAATTTGGTGGCCTTGTACATGTCTCAAGTCCTCCAAGGACTCGTCTACCTACATGAACAAGGTGTCATTCATCGGGACATTAAAGGGGCCAATATTCTCACCACCAAGCAAGGTTTGGTCAAACTTGCCGATTTCGGTGTCGCCAGCAGGACAACTGGTTTGACCGAGTCAAGCGTGGTCGGAACCCCTTATTGGATGGCACCTGAAGTGATAGAGTTGACTGGAGCGACCACCGCTTCCGATATATGGAGTCTAGGCTGTACTGTGATCGAGTTACTCGAAGGGAAACCGCCATATCACACACTTCAGCCCATGCCAGCCTTGTTTCGTATTGTCAATGACGACCACCCACCACTGCCTCAGGGTGCTTCGCCCGCCGTACTCGACTTCCTTATGCAGTGTTTCCAGAAAGATCGCAATCTGCGTGTCTCTGCAAGGAAGCTTCTCAAACATCCATGGATCGCCAATGCCAGAAGAACCATTTCTGTTGCGCCCACGAATGCGACAGAATACACAGAAGCCGTAAAAAGTGTTCAAGAATGGAACGAGGCTCTAAAAGATTCGCCCAATGGTAACTCAATGAGAAAGAATTCGAGAGCCTCTACTGCCAGTCCAGTGCCCATGGCAAAGGAAATGCATAATCTCAAATCACACACAAAGTCACCCATTCCACTAAATACGGATACAACAAGATTTCGCTCGATTGAGGATGACGATAACTGGGACAATGACTTTGCTACTGCAATATCCCCAAGTGCTTTGGATCTGGCTCATCTGAGGCCTCAAGACAACTTTGGTGGTATGTTGTCTTCTGAAAGACTCAAGGCATTTGCTGCTGTGGAGAGCGCATACGGCAAAGAAAACGATGGCCCGGAAGACAGAGACTCGACATTGAAGGCAACTTCCACCATTCTGTCTGATAATTCAAGAACAGTCCGTTTAGCTCCTGCTAAGAAGCCCGAAAAAGGCCACTCCAGGCATAAATCTGAAGCACCTCTCAAGTCAAAGACCAAGACAGCTCCTTCACCAGCACCACGTAAAGCATCCCTTCCTTCAGCGCGACAAACCACGAATTTGTCGAAAAGCAAGCCTCCCTTACCTAAGACTACGCCCGAGCCACCACCAACAAGACTTTATCGAGAAAGCTCAATCGAAGACTATTCCGATATCGTCAAAGGTAATGAGTTGGCCATAGACACCAAACTGGGACTCATGCGCTTGGACAATGAAGGTCCCTCAAAGATCTTGCAGTCACCCAGTGTAACTGATCTCATGCAAAGCATGCGGCCACCCAAATCGGGTGGGAGCTTGCGAAAGAATCCGGTACCAAAAAATAGATTATCAATGCGGAGAACGCGATCTTCAATCGAGATTCAAAGATTTGCCGAGAATGAGGAAGACGAGGATTTCTCGGATGTCTTTGCACAAACCGCTAAAGTGTTTGAGAAGCCTGACAGTGAAGGCAGTTCGGAATTGATGCTTTCGAAGATTTCGAATCTTTCATGGCTTCCTGACGCCGATGATGAAGATGACCCATTCGCTCAACTCGAAGAAGGTCTGCCAGAGCTAGATCTCGAATCGAACATCGCACGTGACAAGCACGCTCGTCTCAGAACAGATGTCGAAGCGCTGGTTAGACAACTCAAAGTCCTGCAGGATGACGATGCTTTGCTTCAGATCTCGGAAGACCTGATGAATTTTTTTGAAATATTCCCAGAAACGAAAAATGTCATCGTCAGTGCCCATGGTGTTCTTCCTATTCTGGAAATTCTGGAGGATTGCATGAGGCTTGATGTCGTGCTCAATCTACTCAAAATTGTGAATGCCATCATCTTCAACGACGACGAAGTTCAGGAGAATGTTTGCTTCGTTGGCGGGATTCCCAAGATTAACAAGTTCGCATCAAAAAAATTCCCGAGAGAAATTCGGCTCGAAGCTGCTGCATTCGTAAGGCAGATGTATCAGACGTCAACGCTGATACTACAAATGTTTGTTAGTGCAGGTGGACTTACAGTGTTGGTAGATTTCTTGGAGGATGATTATGATGATGATCGTGAGCTGGTTCTGATCGGAGTCAATGGTATTTGGAGTGTCTTCGAGTTGCAAGGCTCGACTCCGAAGAACGATTTCTGCCGGATTTTATCTCGCAATTCCGTCTTGGAACCACTGTCGCTTGTGCTGAATCGAGTTTTGCTCGAACCTGCAGACTCTGGCGACCAAAAGGAACTCGCTGATCTTTGCGAAGGCCGTATCGCTAGTATTTTCTTTGTGTTTTCACAGGCCGAAAACTATGTCAAAGAACTCGTGGCAGAGAGGACAGTTCTCCACCGAGTTCTCAAAAATCTTAAACGAATGGCTCCGGCACACCAGGTGACCATGCTGAAGTTCATCAAGAACCTCTCAATGCTCTCCACCACCCTTGATGCTCTGCACAACTCCAACGCCATCGATGTTCTATCCGAGCTCCTCAGCAACAATATGAACAAGTCACATTTTAGGGAGATGTCAAATCAGATCTTGAACACGATCTACAATCTTTGTCGCCTGTCTAAGCGAAGGCAGGAAGATGCTGCTCTGGTCGGCATCATTCCTATCCTCATCAAAATTGTGAAACAGGAGAAGACTCCGGTCAAGGAGTTTGCATTGCCCATTTTGTGCGATATGGCCCATTCTACAAGAGCAGCAAGACGAGAATTGTGGCAAAACAAAGGCCTAGCATTCTACGTATCGCTGCTCTCCGATCCATATTGGCAAGTTACGGCACTTGATGCCATATTCACCTGGTTACAAGAAGAAACTGCGAGGGTGGAAGATCATCTTCTAGAAAACCAAAACTTCACCTCGGCCATTGTAGCTGCACTCACCAGTAGCAAATCCACTTCGTTCGAGAATCTGTTGGAGCCTTTGCAGAAACTACTACGGCTATCACCACCGCTCGCAGCATCCATGGCCAGAAGTGGACATCTCTTTGAGACTCTGGGTCAAAAACTGATGCACAACAAGCCAGCCATCCGTCTCAATCTGCTCCGTATCATCGGCAGCATTTGTGATTCAACGGAGGAAGGGGGCTTCCTCCTGGATCAATACGGTCTCTATGACGTCATCCACGAGCTTTCCTTCTCGGACTCAGCGGTCCTTGTTCGCAGTATGGCAGGTGAAATCGCTCGTTCATTCCAAGACACAGATAATGTGAGCATTAAAAGCGGTCAAGGCGGAAATACCGCCATCAATGGTGGGAGAAGAAAACATCCGCAATTCCAGCGGCGGACGAGCTCTACCACCCCTCCACATCTCCTTGATCGTCAAATGAGCATGCCCACATCACCTCAGCTTGGCAGATCCGAACGTGCCTCCATAAATATGCACGACGCACCCATTGCGCAAACTCCAAGAAGGCAACGCAATGGTGTCTACGTCAATGGAACCAATGTCATGCGTCCGGCAAGCCGTGATGGGTCAGCTTATGGGCGTGAGAGCTCGCCAGCATTTGTGATGCCTAGTCTTTCCCGCGCACAAACTGCTAGTGCAGTACCTGACATGGGAGTTAACAAGAGCCGTTTGCCACGTCAGTCGACAGCCTCAGTGGTAAGCCAACATCGTCTCTCTAGACAGAGCACTCGTGAAAGCATGCTGGCTTCTGCACGAGGGTCGGGATCTAGCGACAAGGATATAAGATCTCAATATGGTGGCCAGAGCAGTGGTGGGAGTACACCTGTTTCTTTGACCCCTGTGGCTGAAGGCCGAGCACGTCGAGACGAGAGGCGTGGACATGGCCACTCAAATAGCATCAGCCAAGGCCAAAGTCGTGTGGCGGTTGGTCCAGGGCGTATGTTGAACGGAAACTCGAGTAGTGATGGTCAGAGTCAAGGACGAGTCGAAGTGACGGTTGCAAGTTCTGCTCGGCGGACAGCAGCAAGAAAAGGTACGAACGCAGATGACAGATGGAACTGAACGACCCAAGTCCGAGCAGGGCCTCTCACGAGAATGCGAGCGCACTTAGCAATAAATTGCGCATTATGATCGATGTTATAAAGGTTGAAAGGTGGTAAAAGGAAGCCTGCATGATTTGTACCTTTCGTTACGCCTAAGTGGCGTAAAAACCAGATGCTGGACTTCAATTTTGGCTTCCCAGAACATTGGAATCGTTAGATAGGGTCTCTGCGCGGGTGACTACACACCACGCACTTCGAGTATTCATATTGGCACTCGCTTGGAAGATCAGGCGCACAAGCGAACAAATATATAGAGTAACGTGTTCGCAAGGTGCGAACTACGCAACCGGCCGGTGGAACTGGCCGGTAGGTCTGGAATCCCGTGGGCTTTCTTTCAATGAAATAACACAGCCTCTTGACAGCAGTGGGCTTTTCACCATCTAACCTCCTCTTCCACTCCTACGATCGTTTCTGGCGTGTATTCTTCTTCCACGTAGAAGCGTAGCCGGACTGACTATCACTCATCCATTTGCATGGCTCGCGAGGCAGCAGTAGCCGAGGAACAATCGAAGTGAACTGACTGACTGACTGGGGCAGTCATTCATTGGTGGAGGACAGAGGACCGCCCGAAGTGGACATTTCTTTCTGACTTTGAAAATCTACTATATTCTGATATGCGCCGTCGGCACCTGCGTGACCTGACATGACGGGCTCCCAAGCCCACTTTGACTTTGCGGGGACAGACTGGCCTGCTACACGGGAGTCTGTCTGGGGACGACAAGTATTTATACAGTGTTATTCGAACCTGGCAAAGGCTTCTCCTTTTGGGGTTTGATTCTGCAAGCAGCGACTCGTCTGCGCAGAAGATTGCGGATACGAACTACCGACCACATTGATATTGATCTCGTCGTCTCTTGAGAGCCTGGACTGTAGGTGCGGACGATAGCAAGCATTCTTAGCGAAAGGTCTGCCTAACTACAGCGGCAATCTCTTGTTCGAGCCACAGACAGACTCTAAGCGTCTATTCGAAGTGGTTCTTAACCCTCCTTCTCCTTCACTGGCACTTGAATACTTCTTGGCTGCCTCAAACATCATGGCCCAGTCCAAGCCTTCCATCGTCATCATTCCCGGCTCCTTCTCGCCGGACTACTTCTACTTCGACACGGTTGATAAGTTGCGCGAATACGGATACGAGGCGATTGTGAAGAACTTGCCATCCGCGAGCCGTCTTCCTCCGGAGAAAGCGGCGACCCTGTATGAGGACGCGGACTATTTCCGTGGTGTTGCGGAGAAGCTGGCTGATGAGGGCAAAGATGTCGTGTTTGTGACACACTCGTATGGAGGCGTTGTTGGCTCTGAGGCGGCGAGAGACGTTCTCAAGACACAGCGGCAGGCGGCTGGAAAGACAGGTGGTATCGTTCGCATTGTGTATGTGACTTCCGTGGTGCCGCCTGTGGGGACCTCGTTGAGGGGTCTGATGGGAGATCTTCTGCCGAGTTATCTTGAGGTTGAGGTTGGTTGAGAAAATGGCGTTGGTCCCGGCTTAGCTTTCAGGTGCTTACATTTCTGACAGGGAGACTTTATGCGTCATGTCGATTTCGAAGCCACCGCGAGACGTACATTCTCCCAGATCCCATTTGAAAAGGGAGTGGAATACGCGAAGAAGATGTCTCGACATTCGGCACCGAGCTTTACTGGAGAGTTGACTTATCCTGCTTATGAGCATGTGCCGGTCTCGTGGGTATTCTGCGAAAAGGACTTAATTCTGGTCCCGGAGTTCCAAACCAGCGTGATCGCAGCCATCGAGAAGGATTCTGGTAACAAGGTGCACGTTATTCGCTTGGATGCTGATCATTGTCCCAACATCGGTAAACCCATCGAGCTTGCAAATGCAATCAAGGACGCACTTGTGGGAGCATGATAAGGGATACATATCTGCATCACGCTTGAGGAAGATAACAGTGTTATCAATAAAACAAGTAGCCCCATTTCTCTGAAAACTCCTTCCCAATCTTCCATGCCGCGGGATCCCATGGACAGGCATCGGGGTCTAGAGTGAAACTAGTGAGACAGAATAAGTCTCCGAGGAACTCCTCTTCGTTTATAATTCCTAACAGAGTGATCATGTTGTCTCTCATCTTCGGGAAAGGAAAGCGGTCGATCCAGGTTGGGTGAACAGTGCTAAGTTGTAAATTAGTAGGATGTAACGATTCTGGTATTTCCAAACCAGCCGCACGAGAGATATCTGGTATACCTGTCGAGCAGGAGATACCTAACAGAGACCCGTTGTTGAAAAGGGCAGCGTATACTGATCCTGACAGTTGAGTCGAAATGGCTCGGTCACCCGTGCTTAGAGGCACTGAAGCCTGGTAGTACGAGGCGGGAGAGCGAGGTATACTGGAATGGTGGCATGGCGAGCCTCGTTCGCTTCTCATGGGAAGCTTGACACAACGAGAAACGATGGTACTCGTATTGGCATTATCGCCTATGTCAGAATCTGTAGTCGCAGAGGGGCATTTCCTCGACTCTGCCAGGCGCTTCCCTGATAAGTCAAAGCTGTGTCAGAAAACAGCGCCAATTTCACAAGTCCAAACAGGATTGAATGGTGCAAGCCAACTCACTTCTGGCTCTTTGGGCCAGTCGGTCCTGGATCTGTTTTCTCTTCCGAGGATCCTGGATACCAAACCAGTTGTCGTCTTCCGGATTAACTGCTCGGCCCATGCTTCTAGTATGTGACACGATACGCAGTTGTCGATGAAGATGGATGGCACTGGATTATTGATGAGGTGGACTTGAACTAGGCGTACGACTTTCTGACAAATGCAAGTGCTCTCGGGCTGTTGCTCTCACTCATCAAACATAGGATAAGTGGCAGGTGGTGGAAGAAAGACTGGGAAGGCTCGACATGCTCCTGGTCGGTACGCAAGACCTACTACTCATCCAATCCAGACAGTCTGCTGGCTTATTAGATCAGCCCCAGAGATTCAGATGCGGGGTGCAGGGGTCTCTAGACACAACGAGGTCGAGAATTGTGATGATTTGAAGGTTTGGGTCTTTCAAGGCGGGCCAGGCGGGCAGGAGTTGGCGTTCAATAAGAGACGCGGTTCACATTGTTCCATGGGATTGGATCGTGAAATGCTTGTGCACGGGCATGAGGGCCTAACTTCTGACAAAATTCTGTCAGGCCTTTCAATGCCCAATCATGATGCATTCAAGTAACCGACATCTTGCCGGAGTTATTCAGCATCCTCTGCGTTTGGGGCTGAAATGCCATTCTAGTGACGACAGTGAGCTTCTAGCTCAATTATTATTAATATATGTATATTCAATCATAACAAATCGACCCCGTGTGATGATTGCGAGTCTCGCTAAGTGGAGGTCATACTCCGAACTTTTGAGGCTACTAAGAACGACTATGAGTTCAATAACGGCCAAGGCAATGTATCAAGACTCAGCTGAAGATCTAGCCTGCACGGACACCCGAATCTCGATATGTTGTAGGCCAAATCGCTAAATCCGTGGACAGCAGAACGGGCCTCGTGGTTTGCGAAATCACTCAGCAAGTTGCAAATCATACCTGCGGACACCGAGAATAAGACCTACAAATGTCTGAGCTTATTAAATAAATACTCGTCGTGCCCCATTCGTGCCTTGGATGAAATACTCACCTTTCATAATAGATAGCGAGTAACAATCGAAAAATCGCAGTAAGTCTAGTCATCAAGATGCAGAAAACTGGATTTGTAGCCGCAAGAAGGTGCACTATAAAATGGATTTCAACTTTTTCTGCAGAGGCTCACGCTTTCCTGTCCACGGAATTTCGGCGTGTGGCACTCATCCTCCCCGGAAATGAATGAACTCAATTTGGTGTGACTAGTACAGGATATCAATTGCACGATCAGATTCCAATAGTAGCTGCAGGCCAATCACGTCAGCCTACGAGTCGTAACTCTCACTCCCAGCCATGGACTCTGTCATTGGTGGCTGATGTGTGAACATTTCTTTCGTGCCGAGACCCAGGACCAGGTGGAGCAGGAGGTCTAGAATCAGAATCAGCAACACTGATACCAGGTTTCGTCACCGAGTGCATCTAGTTTGTAATCGACATCGGACTTCGTGGCCCGGATGAAGTTAAGGTCTTGGGTAGCCTTGTATACGGTCTCTAGGCTCTAGCAAATATTTGTACGATTCGTAGGATCGTAAACTCGTCGTAGCCTCATAGCCTCGTAGGGTGTGAAGAAGAGAATCTGCATGCAACTCACATGAATCGGCTCTAGCTCGAAACAGAACTTCAGAACTAGTTCGTATATCTGGGATTCTCAGCCAAGCCCATTCATCGGAGCCGATGAAGCGGATCACGAAATAGTTCTCGTCTTTCCCTGCCGTCGGACATAATGTAAAGGATCGTTGAGGTTCCGGAGACCTCGGAATAGGTGCTGATTCGCCCTTATGAGCCAGTCACATGGTGGAACGGCAGGAAAAACTTTTCACAGCACCAGCGCCGACGGAGACTTCAATTAGCGTCAATTTGGTGGTGGGTTGGTGAGCCTACTCGTAGTTGATTCTGGAGACTTGCATCGAATGAAAGGCATTCCCGTGCGCTACAGTTATCTGTTTGCGAAAAGCTAGCTTTCATTTCTGAATGCGGATGCTTTTGCAATGTCCCTGTAGAACAAGAAATCTAAACGAACAGGCATGCTCTTGGAAGGTTCCATCCTTCTGGCCGTGGACTTGTAGCCCAATTGTTGAGTTTCCTCCAAGAGTTCTTGGATGTTGATGGTAGGAGCCATCTCCGGATGAGCGCACGATCAGCAATGCCACTGAGGCTGGGTGTCACAGTGGTCTCAAGACATGGGGATGTTGAATTGTCCGGGGCTTCCCGGAGACTCCAGGAACAAAAGTGGCCTCACCCCGAAGCATCTCCGCCATGCCGTTCCCACAGTCAACCAGACGTACGCCAATGGCCCCTGGCCTGGGCATCATTCGTCAGCCTAGCCTCGCTAGCTATTGTGGCTTGGGGCTACTGGTGTTCCCTGCCGACTCGATCCATGATCACTCTGACGTGAGTACCGAGTAGGCTTGAAATCAAGGCCGAGAATTGGTTGAAGAGAGAGAGTACGAGCCATGCGATCAATTTAGTTCGGCATTCTGCATACTGCCTGGTCGCCATTTGATACTAAACATCTCGATCGTGTTTCGCAAGCATGGGTACATTCTGACTTGCTGACTTGTCCGACTCGGGCCGAACACATTTCATCAAAATAATGTTCCCATGATGATGGTCAGGTCAAGCCTTGGACGACCCACGGCCGTAAAGTGTGTATGTCGTACTCACAAAGACATGGTAATTGTGAATGCTTTTTGAGTTCATAAAGCTCCCTAAATTAGTACGTTCGTTTACTATGATTGCATATTCCTGGACGATTAATACCCCATCGCCCGTCCCTCAATCCTATTCCTCTATTTCCTTTGGCGCCTTGTTGACTTCATCCCTCCCACTTATCAACCATCCACCATTCCATGTTACTGTTACTACAATCAACCACAGTTTTCACAAGTCACCAGCAGCGTCTGGTAGTCGTTGACGCCTCGGCGACTTTTAAATATGTCTTATATCGATCTTCTATTTCCTCGCGAGGAACTCGAAGCTTTGGGTAACAAATGGACTGAGCCAGCTACCAAGAGGCGCAAGCTAGATCTCAATGCGGGCCTTGCACGAGGGAAACCACAGCGGCAGCAACAGCCTGTTCGATTAAACCAGAATGCGCAAGTCACTCAGCGCCGCCATACTCACTCAGCACCTTCTCAACAGCGCAGTAAAACTCCGGTGTCAGCGGGAGGCATAAAACAAACAATCAAAAGATCCAATTCGGATGCTAGACTGACAACATTGTCAAAAACACCTACGGTTTCCGCAAAATCTGTTGTGACACCCAAATCGTGTCTCCCTAGTTTCATAGAGCCGTCGCTCTTGAAAAACTATCTCCAACATCTTCACCCAAACGATCGATCACGATACTCGATACCAAACAGTCCCGAGCCAGAACATCAACCACAACGTAGCGAGAGCCTCAAAAAGACTCATATCTACCATGAATATGACGACGATTCGTGCTCGCCCGCATCTCTCATTACCGATCATTCATCATCCGCAGACAATGTTGATTCTTGTCCTACCCCCACTCCAGGAATTTATGAGCAGCTCCATGAAGGACCTCTCGGCAATCCCTTTGGTTATTTGTTGCACGGCCTGCGGCTCACCGAGCACGAGAAGGATTTGATGGAGAATCTGTTGAACCCTGGACAGGTTGACATGCCGCCACCAGCAGTGCCCAGCGGATCGAGTAGTATGAAGCGAAAAGCAGGAGAAACAGACATGGGCTTCGACCTCGCACACTCTTCGAGTCTTGATCAACCTCTCATACACAGAAACAGTACGATATCCAATTTCGGCATTCTACACAATGGATACAACGACTCAGATGTCCATTCTTCGGGACTAAGTCCAGGCCCTCAGGAGGAAGAGGAGGATCAGAAGGATCAGCAGAATGATTTCGATGATCAGCCGGTGATGTCTACACGTGGATTTGCCATCAGTGTTAACGATTTCTTTGATTTGGACGAAGCATCAGGTTTCACAGAACTAGGCGATGACTAAGGTAATTCAGGGCAGGGAAAATGGGCCTTACAATAATGAGTCTTCTGGTCGTCCTGGGTTGAGTTCAGAGCACTATGGAATAGGAAGGCGTCGTGAACGAGCAAAGCAGTCAAATGCAAACGAGGAACTTAGCAATAAGCTGACCATATGACGCTGAGAAGGCAGGGAAAGCACTGCGCACCATAATCTGACAGGTGAACGGAAGAACACTATCTGCTACCCTTCTGCTTACGTATGGATTCTCACAGTGACATTGCGAGTTTATTTTTTGCGCGCAACTTGTTTGCACAATATCCGTAGCAGCAAATGCGTTCACTTTACCGTGGTTCCTTCGTTTGCATATGCTCCGTCTACACCCGCCAAGACGGCAGTATGGTCTACGCTACTACTCGCAACGATCTGAAACCCTGCACAAACAAGGCATTTCAGAACGAAAGAATGATGTACGTTATGCAAGGGATCCCAATCCACACCTACCTACCTAGGTAGTTCGCCAGGCACATTTACAGTTCCAAAATCTCGTACAGGTAGAATTCACACCCTGTTCGGCTATATGCCTTTCCATTCATGATCGCATAGCCGTTGAACCCAAAGGTATCAAGCTCGCCAGATACAGAACCTTACGCCCACATTTGGGGGAAGTAGTATCACGTCCGACCCGACAAAGAATTCTAGTTCAATCAACATGTGCCAGAACGCTATTACCGGTTAACAACAACAACAACAACATGGCATTACCCTCGGGCCATGGCAGATCCAATTAACCGACGGGGGTCGAGGACTTCAAGGCTGCTCTTGGGGTTCCGGTGGGCGGTCCGAGATCCGGTGGATGGAGCTTCAATAGTGAATCAAGTACAGACAACCTTAGCAGCAGGCCCTTCCCACCAATTTACTACAAACATGAGCCCCGCCGTGCGCGCGAAAAGACTTCTGCAGCCTCATGCAAGAAGCCGAGGATATGAACTTTCTTTTCATCCCTCGGAATATTGTCATGGTTCAACCTGTCTAAGATTCCCAAGGTACCACCGGCACAGAAAATTTGTGTCGACCAGTCTTCTGCATGTTGAACTCTACGGAGTTCCAGCAAACCGATCTATCTAGTCAAGATCAGGGGAGCCATTTTTAAGAGACAAGTCTACCCGGGAGGTCCAGCAAGAAGGCCAACCGCGTTTGTGGCCTCGTGATAAACCACACCGCGACAATGCGGGTCGGATCCGAGAGCCCTTGACCCCAGGGGCCCCCGGTTGAGGTCGAAAGTGGAAGTTCACCGTGCCACGGCCGCGATTTTAGGACCACCCGCTCCCGCAGATGGCCAGGTTTCGACACCGCCGCAAAATCGCCCATGCGTCCTATGCTGCCAACGAATCCCAATTCCGGAAGAATCGATGTGCTCGTATAGAAAACAACACGAATTGCCTGATTGACCCTTTCCCCAGAAGCTATTCGTGGCTGAGGAAGCTCTCGCACCGCGTTTCCACGAGGATGGAGTGGCATACTCCATAGGTGGAGGTGATAGGATTTGGGGAAGCCGCTCCTCCTGTCCATCAGGAGATTGTTTCCTTTCCCTCAGCTATTATCGTCAAACAATTGAAAGATCCTCTCGTCCTGTCTGGATCGATATCAGCTCATCCTTGCATTGCGTTACAGTGACTTCTCGTCATGGCTGATGGCCCACCGAGTCAATGGATGCCCGGAAACCCCAGGTCGGTGATTCTTCTGAACTCCGCGGTCTCCGAATTCGACTTCCTCGACTCGCGTTTGTCGGCGAATAATCTTGTACCGAGATCGAGTGACTTCACTTCCCTTCACACGATGGTAACTCCGGCGATCCTTCGTTCGTGCGTGGATGTGAGAATCAGGATCAAGTCTGTGGTGTCGATGCGCAGTTGGACTCCGGTTTCCAATTGCCACAGCAGCTCGCTCATACGCCATCGTGCGGAAAAGAGGTCTGTGACGTGAGATATGTGATGCTCCAATACTGCGCAGCTCGCCCGGTCAAGTTAAGAAGTCTAATTTTGAGCGCCCTTCTCGAGACTTCCAATTTGAATCGAGTTCATTTCACGGGAGGTCGATTGAGAACTTGGCAGCGACTACTGTCCCATCTCGTTGACGGTGCTTTGTTAAGTTGAGCGAGAAGGACAACGCTCGGTTCTCTCGTTCTCCGTATCTGGCTGGCTACTAATCCTCGAGGCTCGTGAACTCGAATGTTTTTCGAGATGCCACTTTGTCGAATCCTATAGATACCCTGCTCCTTACTCAATACCTTTCCTCTAGCTGGTCACCCCTCTTGACGTGACCTATGATTTGGCGCAAGGGGTAGACTACTGCATGCGCAGAAATTATGAGAAGAGTCTGTCTGTATAAGGTACCTTGATGTGATCACACATATCATTTGGCATCGATCCTCCGCATCGAACAGAAAGCACTTCAATGGAATTTGACAAGTCTTCATACCTAGAGCGACGCCCAAGTCCATATCTCGAGACAAATAGATCAATTGCCAGATTATTACCATGACCAAGACGGGCGTCACAGGGACTTATAATTTCCTGTGCAGTGCCGTACAACTAAAAGACGCTAAATAGCTGTCGTTTAATCTGCGATCAACTACCCGCCGTCAACGCCAAGCACGCATCGACAGCCAGCCCGACCCGTCCTTCCTTCTGCCGTACAACATCGTCAATGACTTCCCTATCAAGATTCGGGAACATGCCGCACAGCGTCTCAACGACAGTCCTGTGCTCGGCGCGCTGTATGCGACGTGCCTCAGCCACTTCGGCACTGGCTTGCCGCGCCGCTGCCTCCTGAGCGTCGTAGGACGGGGTGCCAGCCTCGCCGCGAGGCGGCTGGAAAACTGCCGGGCTCAGCCTTGCTGCATTTGCGGGTGGTGCGGGACTTGATGCCGGTCGTCTCTCCTGCGAGGTATCTTGGTCGGAGAAAATCCGTCCGATGGTAGACAGCGGTCGCTGGATCGTCCGCAGCAGTCCAACTACGCTGTCGTCGGAATTGCCCTCGGAGCTGCCTGCCATGCTACGAGGATCTCTGCGTATTGGACTCGTGGACGTCACGTCCATGGAGTTTCGCGGCGTGAGCTCCGGTTCCACCAGTGTTGATTTTTCCTGGAATGATGCGCGTGGACTCACTGCCTCTTCGACCTGGCGGTTCTGCGCTGCGATCTCGGAAACAGCTTGTTCGACATTGCGCTCGAAATCTTCGTCTGATACGGTAAGAGTTGTGCGGTCGAGGCCTTCGATGAATTGTATGGCGCCCGAGAGTGATGATAGGTAGTAACCAGCCTCGCCGCCAAGCTTGTCTTGGTTTCGGAATCGTAGAATGTATTGGATGTTCGAGACGAGGTTCTCCGGATTTGCCTGTAGGACCACGAATATTAGTAACGGCACGAACGAGTCGGCCGATGTGTCAGAGCTCTTCGCGTTTTTGAGGTAACCGAAAATCACTTTGCAGCAGTTGAGGACACAGATGACTTTGTCTCTTGGAGCGCGATAGCCTTTGATCTTCAACAATTCCTGTTGCGCGAGACGAAGAAAGCGTTCGCCGTTGGGCCCCACAGAGACCAAATCGAGATGCTCCTCACGCACCCAACTGTAGATCCGAATCTTTTGAGCTAAGATCTCATCTCTCTCGACATCTTCCTGATGCTGGCCTTTCCTCCAGCTCGGGTGGTTCTTCTCCTGCTGTTCTTTCCTTCGTCCTCTCGACCGTGACCGTGCAGGTTGAGATGGCTGAATGGCTGGTGAGAAGGTTTGCGAGTAGAGTCTATTCATGACCAGTTTTTCCATGCCTTCCTTCGCATTATCGAACTCGTTGTCTGAAACCTCGCGCCAAACTTCACACAACGCCATTTTATTGGTTATGAAGGTCAAAAAATCACTAATGATCTTGACCTGCTCATGTACCATCCACTGCTTTTTACTGAACTCGGTCAAGAACGAACGGAGGAACTTGGCAACTGGGTCGGCGGATTTGTGCCGCAGTTGATCGAGGAAACGGTGGAAGTCGAAGGGTAGTTCGGGCTCGGGCTCAGGGAGAGGAAGAGCGTGTGCAGCTGTGGCTGCCGCCGCGTTTCGAGGTGGAGATTTGAGCGGGCTGCTTTGATCGTCGACTGAGGTCGAAGGAGGGGATGGTAGAGGCTTGTCGTTTGATGAAGAGGGAACGACTGGTGATGTGGCTATTATATCCATATCTCTTCTTAGATGCTCGAGGCTAGATCGCCTTGGTGGGTAACCAGCTCCGGTGCTGAGGATGGGATTGGGCATTTCATGGCGAGGGGACATGATCTCTTCCTTTGACGGAGCAATCGAGGCATCTGCAAACTGATCCATGATACTTTGTATTTCTGACGCTGACTCGGCCTCATTGTCCTTGGTAGGTTTGCGATAAGATGTTCGCTCAGAATCCTCTGGGTTATAGGTGGACCCTTTCTCGTTGTACTCCTCTTCATCTTCACCAGTAGCGGCTTCTAAGGCTCGAACTGACGGGTGGCGAGAGACAACAGGAGTCTTCGGTGTTGGGTCTCGATATGGTTTCTCGTGATGGGATGGAGGCTCGGGCGGAGGGGGTGTCGATGGAAGGGTTTTGGGCGGTGAGACATGATCCGACTTCAGCTTGTCCTTGTTCTCATTCTCCTGTGGTGGTGATTCGGCTGATGAATCCTTCTCCTTGCCAGATATGGTGGCCGATGTCGCTTCCACAATCTCACTCGATTTAGAGGCGTTGGGGGGCTCAAGATCTATGAGATTGGAACTGGTTTCCGACGAAACGGCTTTGTCGTCTGTCTCCATGGCTGCATAATTGCTGCTGATGGACATAGAGAGATTGAACTGTGGAATCACTTGAACGGCGATGCTATGCTGCTCCGGAACCACTTGATGTATGTGAACTCGAGATTGCTATTAGGACATGATGGTAACCCAGGCGTCAACAAGGCTGAGTGACGTTGAGGCACCTGATGTTTAGGCCACGGGTAAAGTTAGAAAGATGATCAAGGATGCCTGTTCTAGCATTTATGTAAAGGAGAGAGCGTCTATGTGAAACTGAAATATCAGAAACCTAACTGCTGTCACTTATGATGCTCAAGATGCATCGCTTCTCGTTTCGGACCCTGGCGACGCTGCAAGGCCACCAACGTGTTGCACCCACGTTCCTAGTGTGATGCAAGCCCAGCCTTGTCACGTGGCAATGGTCGGCTCGGGGGAATTTAATGCCGGGCTGTCTTACCACTTTCAGTCACCTCCGCAGCCTTGCGAAATGCCATGGACACCACTTGATCGAACCAAAAGAAGAGTCGTATGTGCCGAATGCTTTTCTGATTTGTATGTGCAAAGAGTCTGCTACTGAGAAAACCTGCTCTATCCACGAGGGTTGACAGAAGGGATCGATGAGCGTACAGAGGCTTGCTGATGCCAGCGTTGGTGCAGCACGGTTCTAGAACACAACAGTGCTGGAATATTTTCAGACTTAGCATGCAAAGCGTGAACTAGGTCAGAAGGGTGTTGCCAATTCCATAAATTCTTCGACGCAGCTCACAGACTCTGAATGAAGCCGATTCAAAGGGATCGTTTATCATTTACTTCGAGCCATCTGCTTTTCAAGAATATCCGTCAACGGCCCAATTGGTGCGTCCTCCCTATCCATAAACACTTCTACCATCTTCAAACCCGTCAAGTTACCATTATTCAACCCTTCCTCCCCAAGTACCTTTTCCAGTTCACCATACGTTCTTGCTGCGCCTGTGAAACCATTGCCCTCAGCAGCACCGAAGAACGCGGGCGCGTTCAAATACCTCCACTTAGGAATATCATTGTACTTTTGACGGAGACCGTGGATACAACGCTCAATGGTGTACCCATCGTTGTTGATCAACAGAATTATCACCGGTAAGTCATGTGCGATGATGGTGGACAATTCCTGCACCGTCATCTGGAAACTTCCATCTCCAATTAACAATATCGTTCTACCAGCCTTCAGGCCATGGTATTGCGATGAAGCAATGAGTTCTCGCTGTGCGAGGGCTGCACCCTGTGCAGCGGGTAGCATGTAGCCTATCGAAAGCCAGGTGACTGGTGCAAACAGCCTAGTGTATCTTGGGAGGACCATCTCACGGACGCCATAGCCTGCGGTGCCGGTTTCTCCGAGAAGAATATCGCCTTCACGTAAGAACTTGGACAGCAGGCGCCAGACTTTGTCCTGTTTTATAGGGGCGGATGATGATACTTGAGAGAAGGAGAGGCTTGTATTGCGAGAGATTTGGGCGGTTGATGTGTCAATTTCCAAGAGTTTGGTGGTGTCTAGCTGAGTCAGAACCCGTGAGAGGAGGCTTGAAGGTGAAACATCGCGGTGGAAGGTGCTGCCAGTTTTGATGCCACCAAAGGTGAATGAGATAGTGACTGCTGGGGAAGGTAGCGCTGTCCAGCTGTAGCTATTGGTCGAGCTCTCGTGGGGGCCGAAGAACAGGACGAGATCTGCGCCATCGATCAAAGCCTTCGTTTCAGGATCCGCAAAAGCGCCCTCATAAATCCCAAGGATATTTGGGGATGACATATCTACAAGGCCAGTACCGAAGGTTGTGGTAAAAGTTGGCCATCTGGTTGTTTCAATCAATTTTTGAACATCTTGCATCAGTCCAAGTGGCCGAGTCTCACCATCGACCAGGATGACCGGGTGTTTTGCGCCGTAAATTCTGTCCATCACTTCAGCGACTGCGGCATCATGGGCTGGGGTTGGCAAAAATCGATGTAGCTGGATTTCTGATTTGAGTCCGTCCGCAAGTACTGGCACACCCACCGTATCCACTGGAACTTGAATGTATACTGGTCTGCTCTGGAGAAGACACTGCTCAAGGACAGCATCGATCTGTTTCGGAGCGGTCCTTGGATCCAGCAAGTTCACCTGTGCCACGGTGACGTGCTCGTACATTCTTGAAAAGTGGCTGTAGTCGCCATCTCCTAGTGTGTGATGGATCATCTTGCGTCCATCCTGTGCATCACGTCTCGGTGTCCCTACAATATGTACGACGGGTGCTCTTTCTGCAAACGCACCCGCTATAGCGTTAATGGCAGAGAGTTCGCCGACGCCATAGGTGGTGATGAGCGCACCAATGCCTTTGATGCGGGCGTAGCCATCGGTGGCATAGGCGGCATTGAGTTCGTTGGCATTGCCGACCCACAAAAGGCCAGCAGGCTCGACATAATCCAGCAATTCGAGATTGTAGTCGCCGGGAACACCGTGAATCGCACCAACGCCTAATTGACGGAGGCGGGAGAAGAGATATTCGGCGAGAGGGACGCTTTCGCGGCCGTCATGCGCCATCTTCGCAACCGGGAAGAGTCAATGAAAAGATTAAGGTCACAAATACCTGGTTCAATAGGCCTAGATATAAAATAGCCGTTCCGTTGTGACAGTGCAGTACGAGGAAGCTTGCTTATGGGTTAGAAACTCGCCCCTCACTCGACTTCTCTTACTAATGCAAGGTTACCGATTTCTAGAATATCTCACCTAGTACCAGGAAAAGCTTTGAGGATTGTGCTGGGAGCTTTCTTTGCACTTCGACGTGTGTTGGCTGTAGCTGGAGTGTAGATTTTACAAATCACAAGGCGTGGAAAGGATCCCGTCAACGCGATGTCGTATTTTGCTAAATACTATGTGGTAATGTCGTCAATCCCTTGGCATACATGGGGCCGCCTTACTCCGTCATCAGTCACATAGTTTCTCTGCTGAAGCCAGTGAGTACTGGCAATAAACATTGAGCCTTCAATATCTCTGATCAAAATTGTACCAGTCCCAATATCCTCGTACGGCCAATACAACGTAGGTGAACCATTATTAATTGATATCGACTCAATTCTAAGGTCACTTGTGATTCCCAAAATCGAGACCTGGAACCCTAACGTTGAAAAGCGATTTTTTTCACCACGTTGCCTCCTATGTGCGTAATTCAGATATTGATAAACCTCGGTGGTCAGTACCAAATATTTCTCAGATAAGATAGTATTAGACTAGCGGAGGCAAGTTTCCCCACAGTAGAACAATTATAAGTAAAGCTAGGTACCTTTCGAATCAGGGGAGGTGTCCAAGGAGACTAAAGAATATTCATTGTTGTCACCTCTCGTGTTCTCGAGGAAGCAGTGTTCCGATCCGAAAGCTCCTGAAGCGAGGTCGACATAACCTCGAACAACGCTCGGTAGTCGGGTTTGGTCTTAGTTCTTACGATTTCGCGATCGATGTATGACTGCCCGGCACGAAAATACTCCAAGTCAAGCTTTGAAGATATTCGATGAGGATTTCGGAATATCCCCCTGTAAATGGCTGCAAGAGCTGCTATAGCATATTCTATGTGTAAACTTCAAGCAATTAGCAAAGAACAACATTTGGTATCAAGGTACTAACTTCGGGGCTGTGACATGCGGATGGCTGGCTTTGTCAGCGAGGCTGTGAACGTTAGCATACACGAGAAAGCAAATATGTGATGGATTTTTGAAGAACGTACTCATATAGGACTTTCACAAACTGTCTAGCCGCCGAAAGACAAATGACATCGCTCGCCTGTATCCGCGGATTTGGATGAGCTTTAAGAATGCTGGCGTTCGTGGGGACTGAAGTTATGCATGCCCAGTGCAGTGCCCTCAGCATGTTGTAGTATTCAAGATGCAAGAATGCAACAATTTGGTGCACGTCATGCTGCGCGAGTATCTCTTGTTCCGGCCGGAACTCCAGTGGAATCTCGTCTCTCCATTTCATCAGTGCAGCATCCAAGGTTGCCAATGCATCAAGTCGGGCTTCGACAGATTCAATGCGGCAGAGAATGCCACAGAATTGGTTCTGAACATGAGCCAGCTGAATGACCCAGGGAAAGAAGTTCTGTAAGATCGCGGGCTGTTTGGAGCTATCTAGACGCTGTGCGACTATCTGGATTGCTTCGGTATCATAGCAGTTCTCATGTATGGCAGTAGGTCGTCCTTGAGACATAGAAAGGATGCTATGAAGGGGTTAGTTGCTAGTATTGAGCAAATCAACGATAGAAGGACCGTACGCGTCGAGACCGAATGCTGTCCACCAAAGTCGAGACCGTAATGATGTTTGCTCCTCGGTCAAATCAAAATCACGCGGGCTCCTGCGATGCAATCCAAGAGTTTGCGCAAATCGAACAGCTTGTCCGCATATCACCCATGCCATACCAAGTTTTCGTTGAGTGATAAGAAATACAACCTGGCATAGTGAGCCGCCGCAGACGTTAATGCTCAGTGTGACAATATATCATACCTGAAGTAAAGAGATCTGGACAGTTACAACGGACGGCTTCGAAGCAATGAGAGGGGAAAGATTCCATGTTCTCTGAAACAGGCTATTCGCTGCATTGTTCGACTGTATCGATTCACAGCCAGAAGATGATTCGCAAGAGCAGCCAATGGCAATAACGAGACATAGAATCAGAACATCGCGAATCGACCTTTCTCCAGGTTCTTGGTCGTATGAACCTTGCCAACTGTCACAAAAGCTGTGCTCGTCAAGAACTGGGTAGAAGGCATGAACACGGTAGAAGTAAGCTGAACGAGCATGTTAGTGGTTGCTCAGGCCTTCGAGAATTTTCCAAACCGCATTACCTTTGACGCTGGCAGCAGCGAATGTTTTAGTAGGTAGCTCCATCATGGACGGTTCCACGTCCATGCTGGTATCAAGCTCATCGACGTGTGGCCCTGCATCAATCATCCATCCAAACGATGTGGCTTTGGAGACTCCAGGATTGCTCTCTGAGATCTCCCGAAGACCACAAGCCAGGGTAGCACCCAATGAGTTCAACCCTATCCATTTAGACCATCACAGTATGCACTTGATCAAATTCAACGTACCTATAAAATTGTTGTTGAAACCATCTTTACGAATAAACAGACCTGGTAAGATACGTTTGTGCTTAGCGTCTGCAGCAGCATGCGGTTTGAGAGATTGCAACCCAGATATCTTTCCTGTCCGTTGGTGAGATACCTGTTGTTGCGCTGAACTACTCGGTCTTATCGAAACACCCATTGCAATGTCTAGTGGACTCTGCTGGTCTTCGAATAAATTATGTTCTGCTAATGAATTTGCAGGTTGGCCAGTGAGTGAGACTGACGATGGCTCAGGAATACCACCAATCGAAATCATTTCATGTAAAGATATTTCAGGGTCCCAGAAGTCAAACGGTTCGGTAAACACCATATCTGACGTGAAATCCATGAAACTATTTGTTTGTGCCAGAGGCTCGTATGATTGAGTTATCGAACCCTCTTCCGGCATTTGTAGCCCTGTTCCTGGTTCTGGGGGCACAATATTAGTTCTATCATCCGGCTAATTTGAGCGGCAGAGCAAACCTTGCAAAGGCGTGTCCAGATTCAATTCATCTTGCATCTGAATGAGATGGGCTTCTTGGGCCAGAGTGCCCTGTACTTCAACGACAGAAACCCCATAACCGCGCTCGCGGTTGCTGGATGGACTGGTTGATTGTGCAACCACAGTAGTGCTTCTATTCCTCTGAGCTGATAAAGCTTGTCGTGCTCGTTGCTTTGGCGCCCGGGTGTTTTTGCATTCAACTCTGTACAATTGGCAATTTGTGCATGGCTGCTGATCAGCAGTGCATTTCAGCTATGGAGGTTGTTAACACAAATTCAGGGAATGAACAGTCATGCCGCAAACACACTCTTTTTTTCCGACAATAGTCACAGGCAACGGCGACACGTTTGGAATGTTTTGACGGAGTCTGTGAAACAACGCCGCTCTCGTCTCCAGCACCAGCATGCGCGGAATGAGCGTTCACCATCATGTGCGAAGGTAACTTACGAATAAGCTGAAGATCCCGACCTGTTATGTTGGAACGAGTGAGCGGGTTGCCTCTAGCAAAGTAATTAATAAAGTTGTGGAAAGACAAAGTTGGAAAGAAGTAGACAGTATTGCATCGGGTTGCAGATGTCATGCTCTCAGAAATACGGGGAAAGCACCTGGACGATTCTCCCCGGGATCTCCATTGTGCGGGCACAATTAGGTGGTCTAAGTTAACTAGTTAGTTAAGTTGGTCAAGCGAGAACCCAAGTCAATTCAGCTAAGCACGCCCAACCCGCTCGGGCTTCGTAACGATATTTCTTTCGCGGCATATCGGCCGAGATGGCCTGCACGGCGAAGGAATCATCTAGGATTGGGATACTTGCACATACACTCCACTGCCTCACCACCGACGATGAATAGCCCCCTAACTAGGAACCCCGCTGTCTAACTTGTATACTTAGGTAGGTACATAGGTACCTAAGTATTATTTACTGTGCTGAGCTACACAAGTAGGCAGAGAGTAGTCCCTACTTGCCTAGTCTAGGTGTTCTCCCAAGAGTCGTAACCACTCGCAAATATCTCAGCTCACTACAACTCCTACCATTCACTATTCCTATCTGGTAATCTTCGCTTTGCCTTCCAGAACAGCCACATTATCGTATAAAGATTCGTGCGTTATATTCTTGTTTGACAAACCATGAACTGGTGTATTTGGTTTTCCCCGCTCCTCCCACGATCTCTATATCGAAGTTCCGATATATCTGAGGGAGGACTTTCGTGATCTCAAGCAGGCTGATATTCTTGCCAAGGCATTGTCGTGTACCAGCACCGAACTGTAAAGATACTCAGCACGATACTCGCAACAGACATGAGTTCGAGCCAACTTACTGCAAATGATGACGCACGATCGGGTACTTGTTCAGTCTTGGATAGCCATCGCTCTGGTCGAAATACCCACACATCAGAGCCATATGTGTCTTCATCGAAGTGTACCGCCCAAGCATTGCTGCCTACTTCGGTCTATACCTCATGTTCAGAATGCCAAGTTTTTTCCAAATTGAGTCAAGGATAGGGGTGCAACTTACACCTTCGGGGAAGAATCTGCCCTCGATTACCTTCCCGCCTGGTGGAACTGTCCTAGCCAACTGCTTTCCCACTGCTGGGTGTATACGGAGGCCTTCCTTGATGACTGCCTGGAGGTATTCCAAACTCTGCGACTCCGAGAACTTGACAGGATCAGATATCTCACCTCGGCTTTCGTGTTGCTGAAGCTCGTCGCGAAGCTTCGCTAGGACGTTGGGGTGCTCATATATTTGATAGATCAAACCTCCCAAGCTGATGCCTGTGGTATCTGACCCAGCGATCACGTTGTTGGCGAAAGTGCCAAAAACGTCCTCTGACTCGATCTTCCCTTCCTTCTCGAGCTTTAACAGTTTACTGAGAAAGTCTGCACCGATATAACGATCTGGCTGCTGTCGGCGTGCCTCGATCTTGCCTGATATATAGTTGTAAAGCCCCGTTGTAGGAGGCGTCCTGCCGAGGAGCATCAAAATCTTGTAGATGAAGGAATGCCATTCGTAGTAAACACCAACTAGGTTGACGTAGTCATGCATATAGTCAATTGCCGTGATTAGACCGTATGTATCCATCTCAGAAATCATCATATTCAGCGATTCAGCAGACTGGTCCGAAAGATATCAGCTAGGATGAACGCTGAAACGAAAACTCGCAGGTTTGGGGACTGACCGTAATATTTGCAACAACGTCAAAAGCATACAATTGCATGAAATTCGGTAAATTGATTGTTCGTCCTTGTTTCGCAAAATCTTTGAATTTATTCTCCAGTACTACGTTTTGATCATCAACTGCAGATTCATACGAAAGTAATGTAGTCATTGAGTACAATGCTGCCGATTTTCTTCGCATCAGACTATGGGAAGAATTGTGGATTTCTTTCAGTATTGTCTTCGATCCAGGAGTACCGAACGTATCATAGAAGTGCGACTTGGGAAATCCTGAGGACATTGAATAAATCACTTTGATCGCCTCTGGACTGCTGAAATCATAACGACCAGGACCAATTCGCACAATAGAGCCTATTCAATTAGAGATGATCTAGAAAATTTAGAAAGGCAGAATACCATATTGCTTGTGTAGCTTGATTATTTTCTGGTGCCAACCCCCTGAGGTGATCTGTTGCAGTTCCCACAGTCTGGTGAAGCGTCCTAGGAAAGGTCCTTGTATGTCCCTCAGGGGGTCGAAGGCAAGACGGTAAGCAAAGGTGAATAGGGAAATACACGCAATCGAGATGGCAAAAACTTTCGCCAGATGAACAGCAGATTCACCCTCAGATTGCAAGAGACCTAGCATTTTGCCAATCTGCAATTAGCAGTCAGAAGAGGAGAAGATAAGACGATCCTTTGACAAGAAAGATCGTGGAAAATTTTCAGATGTGAAACGACATCTCAAATGTCATTGACCCATGTAGAGATGAAATGGTGTACTTTGTAACAGCTCTGAGTCCATGGCAGTATCTGATTTTATTCCATTTGGGCTTGTGTTGCGGTAGCTTCCAAAGCTTTGCCAATTATTCCACACTGTTGGACCGTACACAGAGTCCTACCCCACAGCAGATCCCGAACTTGTTCGTAATTCCTGGGGACAACCTAAGAAATTATTTCCCCGGATGACTGGGTTCCGGATACCCCAAGCTTCCGGGGAACGTGTGAGATATTGCTCAGTCACATTAGGTTATGGACGGGATGTGAATGTCCACACATGTCTCCATGTTCATGCATGATATCCAAAGAGCATTTCCGTGCCAAATAAGGATTATTACTAGACAACAGATTCGAACCTCCTGTAAGCATTTTCGCCTTTACAGTAAGAGGAGGTTTTGATCTCATCAAAGCACTTGACAACTTGAAAACTTGACAACCAACCGGCGCTATGTCTACTACCGCAGATAAATTGAGAGCTCAATTCCCCGATGTGAATTATCTGAAGTTAACTGCAGCCTCAGAGAAGCCTGAATATCGGTATCCTGGATTTCGACCAGGCAAGGAGATACTCCCAAAGGGTCATGTCAGAGACAGTGGCCACCGGGCTTTCCACACGGACGTCATTTTCGAGCGTGATGTGGGCGTACTCATGAGAGACGGCATCACTATTTATACCGATATCTTTCGACCTGTTGATTCAGACACGACTAAGATCCCAGCAATTCTGCCTTGGAGCCCCTATGGGAAAACTGGCAGCGGTGTATACCGTTATGAGGATCAAGGACCCTTCAGCTGTGGCGTTCCCAAAGGAGCCACGACTGGCTATGAAAAGTTCGAGGCGCCAGATCCAGCGGAATGGTGCCCACGAGGATATGCAATCGTCAACATAGACGCTCGGGGAGCTGGTATGTCGGAGGGCAATACTGTGTGGTGGGGTCAACAGGAAGCAGAAGATATATATGACACAATTGAATGGCTGTCGCACCAGTCTTGGTGCAATGGTTCAGTTGTCATGGCCGGAAACTCGTGGCTTGCAATCGCTCAAATAAACTTTGCTTCCCGATTGAGCCACCCAGCATTGAAAGCCATTGCGCCGTTCGAAGGCATCAACGACCCTTATCGCGATGGCATGGTTCGGGGTGGTATTTTGTCGAAAGGGTGGATAGCTTTCCATCAAACCATAAACGCTGGATTTGCTGGGCCAGGCTGTGCAGAAGACATAGGAGGTGCGGTGCTCAAACGCCCTCTTTACGACGACTACTGGCGTAGCAAAAACATCAATACAGCAAATATCGATATACCTTTATATGCTACAGCATCGTACTCTGCCACTGGGTTTCATCTCGATGGCTCGATCAAAACTTGGAGGAATGCTAAGAGTAAGAACAAATGGCTGAGAATACACTCCCACCAGGAATGGTACGACTTGTATCGGCCAGCAGTCACGGAAGATCTGCAGAAATTCTTCGATCGATATAGCAAGAACATCGACAATGGATGGGAGCAAACGCCACCAATAAGATTATCTCTCCTTGGAATGGATGGCAGTCCGGCACTCACGATCATAGATCGGCCAGAGAAAGATTATCCGTTGGCCAGGCAAACACTCGTCAAGTACTACCTTGACGCTTCAAATCGGAGTCTAAGCCTTGATGTACCTTCATCAATCTCGGAGACATCGCATGAGGCTCATAGTCTGACAGCCGCATCGGTAAGTAGGCACCATCTTGTGATTTTCCATTGCTGATTGACGCCGGCAGAGCTTTATCCTACGTTTCTCAGAGCATACGGAACTCGCTGGCTATCCAAAGGTTACCCTCTGGATGTCTTGTGCTGAGAAGGACGATCTTGATGTTGGTGTGGTAGTCCGCAAACTTGACTCTATGGGTGAGCCGATGACTTCGCTCAACTATCCCTGTCCCGTTCCCCATCACGAAGTGACTACTACGATGATATCAAAGTCATATGGTTCCGAGGGATTTCTCCGTGCCTCACATACCATTTCCAGGGATGATTCGCTTTCGAGTCTCGACGGACAGGAGATCTTCTATCACCATGATCGCCGTGAACCGGTTCCTCCAGGAACAAAAGTTCGTTTGGAATTCACAATTCGACCAATAGGTATGGTATTTGAGAAGGGTGAGGGCCTACTATTGAGCGTTGCAGGCCATTCTCAAGCATTGCTTTCGTTTGTTGGTCTTGAGCCAAAAGAGCCGACAGACGATAATGTTGGTCTGCATACTATTTATACTGGGGGAGAGTACGATTCAAACCTGATAATTCCTGTGGTATAGTGATAAATCACGAAGTACTGGTCGGTATACACAACTCAACATGGTAAAGATCATATTCTGTATTCAATGTTGTCAACATGCAATTAATTAGACATTCATTGTAGAAAGGGATGTCCATGCAACAGTTGCGGCCGCGCATTTTGGCACGGCATTACATTGCTTAGAGACAGGAAGAATGAGAAAGAGGTTAATGATTAGCCTTACCCTACGGAGATTTCCAAGACCTGCCTCAGGCCTACCGGTCTCAAGAGTCAAGACCATGCTCTTCACCATCACTTTCTGTGGATTAGTTCGAGTAAAAGTCCTCAGCGTATCTTATCCGCATGATCAATATTACGCAATCCCGGATAGAAAATGAGCCTGCTAATCTCGACAACCAAGCAGTGGCACTGAGCAGTGGGGATCCCGAAGATAGTGCAAAAAATGCAACTTTAGGTTCAGGTGAGCTCAGCGTGGTGATGATAATACCGCATTAGGCAATACGTCGACACTAAGTCACGCACCCATGTAATGACCCACCCGTGTAATGACCCACGCGTCGAGACGCGCACGTTTTGACCACTCCCCCTCTTCTACACCTAACTACACTCTCAAACGATCTGCTCGTACGATAAAATGGCATCAAGTCGAGAGGCTAGGATCCAACAAGCCATTTTAGACTATGAGACTCGTCGATATCCAACTATTCGCTCTACCGCCGCGGCAAATGACGTGGATCGAAAGACCCTAGGCCGTCGACTACAGGGTAGTAATTCACGAGCTATTGCTCGTAAACCACAGCAACTCTTATCAAATCAACAAGAGCAAATGCTCGTACGATGGATACTCGACCTTGAGGCGCAAGGACATCCTCCTAGCTTTACCCAAATACGAGATCTCGTCGTAATCATCTAGGGCAATTCTACAGGGCCCTCAAGCATCGGCCATAACTGGATATCACGATTTATACAGCGTCATCTAGAGATTCACTCTAAAGTAGGTAAAAAGATCTATAGTTTACGTCTCCATAGTACTACTCCTAAGTCCCTAAATCGCTGGTTTAAGCATTTAAATACTATACGAGAGCGATATCAAGTTTCCTAGAAGAATGTCTACAATATAGACGAGACAGGTATCGCCCTAGGCGTCTATACCAATCAACGAGTAATCGGTAGGACCGATACTACTCAATCATATAAAGCAACACCAGAAAACCGTGAATAAGTCTCAATTATCGAGACTATTTCCGCAAATAGCCGTCGACTACGATATCTCGTTATATTTAAAGGAAATACACTCCAATCGACTTGGTTTACCGATCCTAAGATCCTAGACTACTTATATACGGTCTCACCAAACGGTTAGACCTTAAACGATATTGGATTAGCCTAGCTACGTCAGATATTCCTTCCTTAGATAGCGACAAATAACTATCGACTACTCCTTCTCGACGGGCATAAAAGTCACACTACATACGAATTTATATGGGAATATCATATTAATCGAGTAGTGTTAGTCTACTTAATACCTCATTCAAGTCATATCCTTTAGCCACTTAATCTTGCTTACTTTTCACTCCTAAAATACCGTTATAGGGATGAAATCGCTAACTTAGCAAGGTACGACGACGCCTCGGCCGTTAAGAAGAGCAAGTTCCTCAAAACCTATGAGAAAGCAAGCAATAAGGGCTTATCCTCATATCGTATCCGTACGGGATGGAATGCGGCTGGCATTTATCCTTGGGATCCTCATAAAGTTATTCGATCTCATCAAGTCCTCCAAAGCAGCCAGAATAAGCGAATTCTACCATCTACGCCGCCATCACGTAGGCAAAACTAATATCTAGTAATAGATATTCGTACACCATTCAATCAACGCCAAATACGACAGGAAACGGAGTTAATTTCACGACACGAGACTCTTTCTCGCTTAGTCCGTTTACTACTTAAAAAGACGGGTAAGGTATTTAACCAGCTACAGTGGGATATCACTATAAAATCACAAGAACTCGCAAACTAGCGTGTACAGCTGGATGAACTAGTCGCTAGGAGACAACCGCGAGTCGCAATCGACTGCAATAAGGTATTTGCGAGTATCGAAACGATTAGGCAAGCTAGGCAGGGTATAGAGGCATTGGAGGCGACAGCGAGGTCTTCTGTACGAACGAATACTAGAAATACTACGCGAAATAGGCAGGTGAATGACGTCCTGGCACCATTCGTACATCAATTCAGTGCCAATGAGTCTGTAGGGTAGATAATTATAAATTTATCACCTTGGTGGCAATGCCTAATGCGTGGGTCATTACACGGGTGGGTCATTACATGGGTGCGTGACTTAATGTCAAGGAACGACATCCAATCGCCCAAGCCCCATCGAACCTTGCTTAATCACCTGCCAAGAATGAATACTTGTGATTACCTAGGTAATATACGAAACCTTTAACTGTGGATTGTGTCAATGTCATCAGCATCCACGACTGGAACCTTTGTCATCACTTTAAGCTTCAACGCGCTGTTGCAATCTTCGAGTTAAGCACGTCGAGGCTCGCTTAGTGTTGAGTGGTAAGAACGATGAGCACAACCCTCCCCGTCACGAGCGAGTCTGTAGGAACACTTGGCTTGCAATTATGGAGCTGACATTATAAATGAGGTTCCTCTCCGTCCAGAAGGTTACATGGAAAGCAGGCTTTACACCTAAGTTACACACGACGAGAAAGAACTGAATCACCCAACTTGTGGGCGTGATGGCAACGGTTGAAACAGCAAAGACACAGTACGTTGTGGCATCTGGTTGCAAGTATGCATACCGCCACCTAGGACCCGCGCTCGAGAAGTCCACCCCAATTGTCTTTCTTCAGCATTTTCGTGGAACAATCGATCATTGGGATCCTTCCCTCATCAATCTCATTGCTACAGAGTACCCTGTGATACTGATCGATAATGCCGGCGTTGGGCATTCCGAGGGGGTGGTTCCAGACACGGTGGCGGCTATGGCTCGCAATATCGAGGCTGTTCTCGAAGCACTGAAGCTCAGGGAGATTTACCTTTATGGCTTTTCACTGGGCGGCATGGTCGCACAGCAGGTGACGCTCGACACTCTTTCATCAGGACTTGTGAAAAAAGCCATGTTTGTGGGTACCTCACCAGGCGAAGGCCCAACGACACCAGCTGGCACCTTGGAGCTACCTTCAGATGTTAGCGGTCTGCAAGCAAATTCAGGCGCTCCAGAGCCGAAAATGGAGAACATGCGCAAGCTGTTCTTCTACGACTCAACAACTTCGTCCGCGGCTGCCGAGAAGTGGTGGGAAAGAATACACCGGCGCAGTAAAGAGACCAGTGGCGAGGCCCGTGCACCGTACTTGCCTATTGGCATGAACGTGCTGAACATGGTAAAAGCCGGCAGGAGCTGGGATGCTGGGGAAGGCGTACTTGACCGCCTGCACGAAATCAATATTCCTGTCTTTATCGGAAACGGCCACAAGGATTTCATGTTACCAACTTCGCGCAGTTGGCTCATGAACAGGGAGTTGCCAAACTCGATGTTGATTATCTACCCAGATAGTGGGCATGGTGCCGGATTCCAGCATGCTGAGTTACATGCTCGCCACATACTGTCTTTCTTAAAAGATGGCATTCCATGAGTAGAATGTTAAGTATTCCATGAATAGAATGTCACACTATAATGCTTATCACATGGACTTGAAAAGGCTATTTCGTTTGGAAATGTAGACGGTGAAAAAGCCCCAACCTCTTAAAACCGTTCCCTTGGTGTCTTGTGAACAAACGTCATAAACACTGGTTTGGGAAAGAGGATAAATCGCTTGCAGCTGAGAGACTTCGTAAAATTTTGTGCCTGGCGATCACTAATACGGTGTACAAAGATAGTCGTAGCACCCCTGCATGTGCATCACACATTGTCCTTCGACTGCACGACGAGAGACTGTGGGTCTCCACGGGTCCCATAGATCTAAATGTGTGCTGGTAGCTTACTAGTCGGAGTGCTGAATAAGAGTCGCTATCAGAAGAAACTTCGATGCAGGGTTATTCATTTTACACTTTGGCAAGGGTTTAAACAGGACTTGAATATGAGCTATTGTCATCATCTGGTCCAAAATGACGTTGTAATGCTCGGTGGCCAACAAGATGTCGGCTGTGCTCAGATTATGGGGCAACCATGCGAGTCTGGGTTATGGGATTGCATACTCGTGCGAGACGGCTGACGAACTCGGCTGCCTGATGATTAAGTAGTCGGTTAAAGGATGTAGGCAAGCTTCGACCACGAGACCGGATGCTGATAGATATATAAGAGGGCGCGTCCACAGCCATGCCGTGGGACGAGAGAATCGCATCGACTATCGCCTTGCTTAAACATGAAATTCACAGACCTCCTCCTTATGGGTAGCACCATCATGATAGCCATAGCTGCGCAGCCTTCTCCCATATGTACTCATGCCACACATGACCTTTCGGTCTATGTCTACCATCTCGCGCCCGAGCCAGTCTCCTATCAAGGAAGCCGCAATCTCACTTTCTCACCCACAGCATTCACGTTGCTCGTCGGCGCTCATTCAGCCGTCTTAGTCGATGCTCCAGCCACAAATGCCCAAGGCGCTGAGGTAGCCTCATGGGTCTCCTCTATACTGGGCAGCGACAAAACGCTCCAGAGCATATATATCACGCATGGCCATGGTGATCATTTTTTCTCTGCTCGTTCCTTCCAATCGATCTACCCCGCGGCAAATATCCTGGCAACAGTTCATGGGGCGGAGCACGTCGCACAGCAGTATAGCGAGCCATTCTACAGTAGCTTCTGGGGTAGCTTGTTCGGAGATACGATCGATACTGAACCGCTTGAAGTGCAAACCCTGGGCGACGATGGCATCTTCCACCTTGAAGGGCATGTACTCCGAGCAGTCGAAGTAGGGCAGGGTGACACTTACAACAGCACTGTCCTTCATGTACCTGGTCTGGATCTTGTGGTTGGGGGCGATGTCGTGTATGGGAACTGCCATCAGTTGTTCGCGGAAGATCACACTCCCGAGCTTCGCGGCCAGTGGTTGGCCAGTTTACAAGAAGTAAACGGTCTGAGGCCGAAAGTGGTGATCCCTAGCCATACTTTACCGCAAGATGGATATGGTGCAGAGCATGTCAACGGCACAATCGACTATATCAGGGCGTATGAAGAATTGCTGCCGAAGGCGAAGGCATGGGAAGAACTAGAATCAAGCTTGAAAACGAGATTCCCAAAGAGAGATGGAAGTTTCATACTTAGGTGGAGTTCTCAAGCACCTTTTAATCAGGCCTTTTAGTGGTATTGGCAGATCAGAGTGCCTAGATAGCCCTGGTTTACGTTTGCCATTCTACGATACTGTTGTGTTGAATTAGAAATAATTGGGTCTCAAGGGGCCGTGTTCTTCAGCTTCAGCCTCGCGATCTCGCTAACCGGAGCAACCGGAGCCAATTTTACCCTAGTCTTAGAGGTCAAGTTAGTATATCTCTATCCGGCACCGCCTTGGGAGAGTTGCAGGCGTCAAGACCATGATTAATCCCGTGATATAACAAAGCGTTGATTGAACATTTCCAGAAAGTAATATGGTTGTGTCCATTACTCCATATCGTCAGTACCAATAAGACGATTGCGCTGATGATCAATGTGTATGAGGCGATCATCCACGCTCAAAACACTTCAACTCTAGAGTGTCCATAGCTCATATTCCACTCAAGTCTGTAATGAAGTCAACTTTCAATGATGGAGACAGCACTGTGGCTGATATAATTTACTTTCCTTCGAGCACAATGAGTCTGTACACAACAGATCCTATGAAGCTTGCGGCACGCCTTGAGGGGCTCTGGATTGCATGCTTTTGGTAGTATATTTTCGGTATGATCAGCACTCCTTATCGGATCGTCCTCGAAACGATGACCGTTCGATACTTCATCTTCACTGGCAGTTGTTGGAGTGGCTATTATCCAGCCGGGTGACTCTACAAATCCTGTCGTTTTTGCGTGTACGACAGGGTTTGGATTTGGGACGGCTCTCATTCTCATTGTTTCTACTGTCCAGCTATGCAGGCCACATCACTTGATCATAACTGCCACATCGGTTATTACTACTTCTTGGGCGGTTACTTGCTCGGTGTTTATCGCAATGTACGCCGCACCTTTGCACGCACAGCTCGACAAGAAGTTGACCTCCTTTGTTGCTGAAGCAGCACTCGGAGTGAGGCTACCTTGCGCCTCGTGCGAGTTTCCTGGAAGCATTGCTTTCTAACAACGCCACAGTCTTCAACAAAGTTCCTTGATCTGGAATTGAATCAAACAAGCTGAGGCGAGAACTTTTTCTGCGGTGATCGAACCAAGATCGCTTCCATGGTAGGAAAGGCCCACATCCATGGAACTGTTGCTGCTGCACGTCTTGGCAAGGTAGTTAGTGTGCGGCATACAAGACAAAAAGAGCGATAAGGAATTTGGCAGTCAGCCTTGGCATGAAGCAGTGCTTAGAGTTGTTGCTAAACAATATTTCTTCCCCGGGAATGGTGCAATGTGCTATTCATGGGGTATATGTACAGGGCCAGTAATCACGGGGATCTTTCTCCACACCCCATATACTACCTCATTCTCACTAGATCGGTGGACTCTCAGGCAACTTTGAGAAATTGCAAGTCCTGGAAACTCAGACAATGGACGACAAGCCACACTTCACAGAACATGAACCATCGACCACAGGTTCTCGAAGGGTTGATCTGGATGTTTTGCAGGAGGACATACAAACCGAAAACTATGAAGGCCTTAGTCTCAGCGTTATCATGGTTTACCTTGCCATGTGCGTGGGAAATTTCTGTCAACTTTTTCAGTTGGTCGCCTCAGGTGCATACAGATTCCAGCTCACAGCGACGGTCGGGGGTGCTGGTGCAAGTATCTGGGTACTTCAGTGCTTGGTGATCTTAGGCACCATGACGGCGCCAATGACAGCCCAGTTCGCAGACATCTGGGGTCGCAAATGGCTCGTCGTCACCTTATCTACCCTGAATTGTGTCGGGGTGCTGATCGTTTCTCGAGCAAGCAGCATGACCATGGTCATTGCCGGTCAAGTCTTGTCTGGTATTGGTTTCGGCGCTCAGTCTTTATACTATGCGATCCCCTCGGAGATCGTTCCTCGGCACTATCGACCAATTGCACAAGGCGGTATCAACATCGTGATTGCTATGTCTGGTATCACGAGTCTCTTAGCAGGCGCAGTCCTAGTCCAAACCGGTCCAGAGGGTTGGAGAATCATGTGGTATATTCTTGCTGGCTTATTAGCATTCATGGTGATACTCACCGTGTCATTCTACAAACCTCCACCCAGGCCACTGTCTCTAAAGTTGACGTCACGAGAAAAATTACAACAACTGGACTGGATCGGATATGCATTGCTGATTACCGGCATATTACTGTTCAGTATGGCACTCACCTGGTCTGACAATCCATATTCTTGGAAGGATGCTCATATCATTGCTCCATTTGTCGTTGGCACTATTTGTCTATTGGGCCTAGCATGCTATAATGGAGCTTTCAAGAAAGATGGCTTATTCCATCATACGCTTTTCAAAAAGGATCGGAATTTTGCTCTCGCTTTGTTTTGCATTGCCGTCGAGGGTGCGACCTTTGCTGGCGCTAACACCTTCTTTGTTGTGGAGATGCTTGTCTTTTTCGAAACAAGTCTCCTGCGGGCTGCCTTACGTTACTCTATTTTCTTCATTTCGATGATGTTTGGTGCTGGATTCGCGGCAGTGTACGATTCGTTTACTAAAACCATTCGGCTACCCACAGCCGCCTCCTATGGTTTGATTGTTGTTTTCGACGGTGAGCAACTGCTTCTGACATGTGCTTTGAGGAGAAATTCTGACCATCCTACTCTCAGTACTCATGGCAACCGTGACATCAAGTAGTGGTACCGCAGCCTGGGCATACCCTATCTTTCTGGGTCTAGGTCTTGGCTGTGCGGTGACTGGCACAGTTGTGGCGGCGCAGCTTAGTGCACCTCCAGCATTTATCGCTCTTACAACAGGCTTAATGCTTGGAGGCAGATCTTTCGGGGGTTCAATTGCACTGCCCATCTACAACTCATTGGTTGCTTCACAACTTTCAAAACATCTGGCTTCCGCCATCGCTGCGAAGGTTCTCCCCCTCGGAGCGACCACCGAAATGCTCCCACAAATTATAAGGGCGGTGGCTGCTTTAGATATCGGATCCATCATGAACATTGAAGACATGACACCACAAATATTTGGGGCTGCGATAGAGGGCATGCATGAGGCCTACACGCCAGCTTTCAGAAACCTTTGGATCACGGCTGGCTGTTTCGCATCGCTCGCGACCGTTGGTGAGTCACAATTACAGGTGAATGAATCAAGTTCGTCTAACATCCAGATTTTGCAGCATCCTGCTTCTTCATCAATCCTCAACACGACTTTACTATGCATGTCGACGCTCCTCTCAGCAAGATGAATGAGAAAAGTGACACCGATGTCGACCTGAAGAACAGAAAACAGCCACTTACAGAATAAATATGCTGCCTCAGGGTCGCTGAATTGTTTCATCTGCAGCCAAGGAGAAGGAAATGTGCGATTAAGCAATACTGAGTGATCTAATACCTACTGCTGATGTTATGAAGTTTCAGTGGCGCTTAGAGCTATTTGCTTTTTGCCGAAGCCTTGCTACTTCCATAGAATGCATGCGGGACCGTTCCTCGCCACAGGATTGGCATCTCCTAGGCTTAAATGACCCTTTATCTCTTTCATCAGTCCACTCTGCTGATCCCTCTCGAACACGATGAGATCATTACTGTATTCATTTGCAATGGCCAAGTATTTGTTGTTTGGATCTGATGACAATGCGAAATGGCGGGGAATTTTGCCTAGTGTTTTATCAATTGACAAATATGTTAGGTGATTTGCGGATTTCGTGTCTTTCAGCGAGTAGATCACAAACGTATCGCTATCGCGGCTGCTGGTATTGCGATTACATGCATATGCAAAATTTCCATCAGCAGTGAATACAAACTCGGAGGCCAGATTGACACGATCCGGTGCTGTTGGTGGGAGGTTGGGGCCCAAGGTTGAAATTGTTTGATGCAATGTAAAACTGATAGCACTAGACGCTTGACCGTATTCCACACTGTACACACGAATCGTGTTGTCCAGTTCGCCGAGAATATAGAAGAAGGTTTGTCCTGTGGCGCTTTGACGAAAAGCAGTATGCCGTGGACCCGTTCCAAGAGGTACAACAATGTCTTCAAGTTGGTTGACTTTCTCCGCGCATGCGACGAAGTAAATGTGGACACGGTCCTCACCTCGCGCTGGCACGACGAGGAATTTTCCCGTAGGATCAAATGCCGATTCATGAGGGAAAGGTTCCGACTGGCTGTCGTCGGCGCCTGGACCGGGCTGGTCGAGAGTGTATTGAAACCTATACGTGGCTTCACTAATAGAACCGTCCTCTGCTAGCGGATAGATAGCCATTGTCGATGCTTCGATATTTGCGGCAGCAAGGGTTTTTCCATCAGGGCTGACATCACAATGAACACCGCCTTGTCCATTGCTGGTCTCAGCATCTTGTAGGGTCAAAGATTCCCCTTCGGTCGCGGGACTATGAGGTCTTAGAAAGACGAAAATGCCACCTGATGTTGATGAATTTGTTGGAAAACCGGTACGACTGATTGAGTAAATCTTGTCGTTGTGGGCTTTGAGCCATTGAGGTTGTGTACCTGCGATCGTGGTAGCGACAACTGATAGAGAATCGTTCAGGGACTTGCTCGGATCGAAGGAGACCTCAAGAATTCCGGTGTTTTGTTGAGCGACGTAGAAGCCCACTGCTCCTTCATTTTCATATCACAATGCTGGTGCCACAGCTGCCAGCCCCAAAACCAAGCTGATCCGTGGCCGCATTACAGATTCAAGGTACCAGTAACTGGTAACAGATGACAGACTTTTGGTGTTCCTTTCCTGGGCTTCACTTGGACCGTAGAAATCTATGGGACTTCAATTTTTGTTTAGCGACAGATAGAAACTCCAATGCCTTCAACGGTAATGTTTTATATACGACGTACCGCTAGACCGCTGTTCCGCAGCGACATCATTGAAACTGCAAAAAATTGATTCAGGCATCCTTCATCAACCTGGGGGTGGAAGCAGTGCTGCCAGTGCACACCAGATCACCTAATTAACTGTGATGTACATCAACAACACCCCTGCATTTTGCCCAATATCGAACACCCTTGCGAGCTTGCTGCTCACTTTATTGGCACAAGCTTCCTGGCTAAATGGGATAAAGTCAGTGGCAAGAATAATCGCAAATTGCAGACTGCGAAAGGGTTCCTGGCGTATCGTCTACATCCTTCTGCGAGGCTCGCAAATCGGGGAATTAGTCAGACAAGGAGGCCTGAAAGCATGATTGCGATAATCGCAATCCTGCGAAATGACCACGCGCCTGAAAACGCTTCAGAACTCCAGCCTAATCCTCGATCGACCTGCACTCCACCTTGCCAATACCGTTCATTTATTTTTGGAAAGCTTGTTCACAGCGAGCATCTCATTGAGCAAGTCCAATAACAGTCCGCTGTGCAGCCAGCCTGCTTAGCAAATGCAACGAACTGAGTGGGCTTATGGTTAGCGAAATCAAACGGGATGGGATCGACTTTCACTGGGTTGTGGGCAAAGACTCAAGGAAGAAGCACGATGAAGTGACAAGCTCGGTGAAACCAGGCTTTGGACCGGTTTCCAGCACGCATCCGGAGTGCACGACGATCAAGATGTCAATCAAGCGGTAGGCGATATCTTTGGCAGAGGAAATGTCTGGGTAGAAGCGGTGGGGGATCCTCGGAACTCAAACTATCCTTCCGTGGAATGAATGCGTGCAATATTGCCACGGAACTTAAGCTAAAATAACGACAAACTTGGTTTCGCCATCATCTTGGGTCGCGGCCACCTCATTTCAATCAGCTAAGGTGCTTCCAAGTGGCGGAAAGCCCAATTCAGGCCCTTGCGTTATCATTCGTCATTCTAAGCAGTTGAATCCAGTGTTTATTATTTTCTTTCTGGAACAGAGAAGATAGTTCAGACACATGACACTTAAACACAGACACCAGTTAGATAAAGCCTTCCACTGATCACGATACTACCAGTGATAGTTATGCCATCCAAATTGACTAATGCCTGAGCTAATTGGATCAAAACTTACAAAATCACCATCACATTAGCAGGTTGCGAGCTTTTCCAATTCGCTTGAGAGCTCGTTGCGTAGCTGTGCCAGATCAAGAACCTCGGGAAGTGGTGTTTTGTTCCAAGCTGCGATTTGTTGCGCGACTGCGTCAATAGTACTCAAAATCTCGACACTAATCCCCAGTTGCATGGCTGCTTTCGTATGACTTCGTGCTTGTCGGGTAGCACCCAGTCCTATTATTGCTGAAACCACAATTGTCTCAACTTCTGCAAGGCTGAAGACGGTGGAACCCCCACACAAGTATCCAAAAATACTAAAGGTGTTATATGTCGCTTTTGTTCGGTGTCAGTACATGATCAGTGGTATATGTTTGCATATTTTCCATTACTTACAGAAGTCAGGCATATATTGAGCGAGCATTTGTCCCACCTCTTTGTTGCCCACGCCTCGATAAATGGCTTGGCTCGTGGTGTGTCCGATTTTCTCATAGTCCTCTTTTGCGAAGTTGGCCCTATAGGTAGGACATGTAAGTCATTTATAGATTCCTTCCCTTTCATCGCGTGCTCGGCTTTGCAATTTGCAATACTCGCCTACTCACCTAGACTTTGATTCAATGCTCGCTATCCCACGGTCTTTCAGAACCGCAATGATGCCAAAATTTGCTGGCATAGTGTTGGGTAATCCTACAAATGGAGATGCTATTGCAATAGCCTCTCTTACAGCCACGAACAGCTCCTTGACAATCTCGTCATTTTGCACAGCTGTCACATGTTTGAACAAATTTGAAGCTGCATCACCGCGACGTTGTCCAGTGAGTATCGCCACCTAAGTTCAAATTTCAGCTCCTGGTCGACAAGAAATGTAGAGTCGTGAACCTGAAATTTACTCACCATGACACCAAGGGCAATATCATGCCGCATTCCAACAGATTTGAGACGTTCAAGCCAATCCAGAAACCTTACTGTTTGGTATGGTGCTGCATTACGTGGTATATTCGCTAGAGTATATCTGCTTGCGAAATCTTCTGACATTTTTGTTTCAATGCGGCTTGTTTTATTTTACTGCTGAGATAGTATTGTTAGAGGCCACAACGCTCAATTCGCATATCAAAGATGTCAGCTCGGGACGTTTTTTCGTAAGAAGGGAAATCAGAGCCGTAGAGCACACAAAGAAGCGAACCTTACTCGTGTAGTCACTTTGTGGACTTGATCAGACCACCCAGGAGGCGGCATGCAATGGTATGGCAGAATAGTTTACCTGACATGTCTTGCCTTTGGTCTTCCATGGCTCATAGTCCCGTTCTAGAACACTGTGCCATACTTCCAGGGAAATGTTCCCGAACAGAACTCCGGAAAGTAATCACCACTAATGCCCACTCATGGCAGGCTCAGTATGGCCTCGGATAATCAGGACACTTACTGACAATACTATGCACGTCGCATATTAGACTGAGTAATTGTTCTACGATTAATGATTGTAGCGCACAAGAAAGTGGCAAAGTACCACACATTAAAAGAATAATCATTGTTATCGCAATGCCATACACTGTCACTATCTGAGGATTCAAAAAACCGTCCGACACGAAATACTCAGTAGTCACGGAAAAAAAATGGGACCAGTGGGCGTTACGACATCGGACTACTCACAAGCAGACGACGGGAGACGTGACCCAGTTACAACAACGGCTCTCATTATTGGCGGGGGCGCCACAGGACTTCTTGCTTCAATACTACTTGCACGAAATGGCATTGATAGTATTGTCGTGGAGAGACATGAACAAAGGCTGGGTCAGCCAAAGGCACACGCTATCAACCCTCGTTCATTAGAGATATTGAAGCAAGCTGGTATCGATACGATCGCTCTTCGAGGAATGGGCATGTCTCCAAACGATGGTGATATGGTCCGGTTTGCTACCAGCTTGGATGGCCTTGAATTTGGCAGCCTGCCGTACGAAAGACAAGGAGATGATACCAAAGCAATCACACCGGAGCCATTGTTCAATATTTCTCAGCCTGTATTCGAGCAAGCTCTCACTGAAGCAGTTGAGACCTACAAAATGTGTTCTCTCAAGAAACTGGCTCAGTTCAACGCTACTTATCCCTGTGAAGAAGAAGATGGAGCACAGAAACGATGGGACTCCTCTATCTTTGACAAAAAATCGAACAAGGACTTCATCATCAGAAGTAAATATATCTTGATTTGCGATGGGGCTAGTTCAACATCACGGGCCAAGTTTGGAATTCCTTTTTCTATAATGCCAGGCCATTCTGCAGAGGTATTCCATAATGTTTCGATACATTTTGATGCCGACCTAAGGCACTTCAAGAGTGGCACTTTATGGTTCTTCATGCGAGAGAGCCAAAGAGGGACCATGATATGCTATAACAGACAAGATAGTTGGGTGTACGTAGTGCGTCGCCAGCCCGAAGATGAACCTACATCATTGTTTACTGAAGGTTACTGCAGATCCATGATTGACGATGTGAGTTACCCACTTGTCAACGGTTGAAATGCTACGGAGACCACTCGAGCAACTGGTTAAAAGGGCTAACTTTTGGATATGAATAGGCTATTGGCCAAATTGTCCCATATAACGTGCTGTCTATCACGCATTGGACAACTATGCCTCAAGTTGCAGAATACTACCGCTCAGTGGCTGTACCAGAAGCCTTCATTCTTGGTGATGCTGCACACGCGTTTCCCCCAACTGGAGGCTTGGGACTTAACACAGGTATTGCCGATGCTCACAACTTGGCATGGAAAATGCGGGCGGTAGAGGCTGGGTGGAGCAGTCCCCGTATCCTCGACTCCTACGACCGAGAAAGAAGACCCATTGCAATTGCCAACGGTCATCAAAGTCAGATCAATCTTCGCAATCTTCATGAGCTACTGGCGAGGACTTTTGCCCCGGAGGCGACAGATGACCAATTGATGAACGACGTGAAGATTCACCGGCTTTTAAGGAGCGCGATCGAGAAGAACAGAGACCATTTTGATTCGATCAACCTACAGATAGGGTATGTATATGGTGAAGTATGTCTTGGAAAGTTGAAATGCAGTCCGTACATTCCGCGCTGCGTTCCCGGCGCCCGACTTGTGCATGTATGGATCGAAAGAAATGGGCTGAGATGCTCGACCCTAGATCTGGTTAATGGAAGTTCTTTCGTCCTAATCTCATCACTAAAGTTTCCACAAGTGGTCTTTTCAGCAGAGGAACACAATCCTTTGCTCAATGTCCCACTGAGCACGTTTCGACTTGGGAAGGATTTTACTGCCGATCCGATTGATTGGTTAGAAAAGATCTCGTTCAGTGGAGATGATGCTTGGGCCATCTTGATCCGTCCAGATCAGCATATTGTTGGCGCTGTCGAGAGTGCTTCGGAAGTTGCACCCATGCTGCAGAGCTTCTTGGACTTTAGAAGGTAGAATATTGGTCATTGATAAATGCTGCGGTAGTCCTAAGAATTTTGGGTTAAGACTATGCCCAACGGGCGCACTAGGCCATTCAAACCTCGTACACGGAATATCTGACGATTCGGACATCACCAAAAAACAATTTCCTAGTTCTAAACTACGACCTATCGTCTTCGTTGATCTCTGAATTGCTCGTTGTCGACGTGTTGTGCGTACCAGGCTGACATGGACTGGGTCTACTTTAAAAGCAGCATGAGATGCCGCTCTTAGCGGCATGATCTTAACCTTGGCATTGTTTTCGTTCAATTCTTCCCGCTTGAATTTGCACTTCAGATAACCCATTCAATCACCTTCAATACAGACAACATCTAGGATTGCTCCGTTGGTTTCACGTGTCTTCTGAACGACTCCATGATCGGATGTGTGGCATTTTCTTCTCCATTTCGAAGGGGCAACCCCATTTGCCCGATAATGACGCGATTGCAGCACTAAAAGCACGAGGTCCTGACAGTTACAGGACCTTTCAGGTTGCTCTTCCTTCGACTGACTCCCACCTGGTCTTTGCTTCCTCGGTCCTCGCACTTCGAGGTAGCACAGTACAGGAACAACCATTGGTAGATAAGAAAACTGGCTGTATCTTCTGCTGGAATGGGGAGGCCTGGAAAATCGGTGGCAAGAACGTTTTCGGCAATGATTCCAAAGAGGTCTTCAGCTTACTACTATCTGCTTCGTGTTCGCCAGAACCTGCGACGTCTCGAGAGATATCTAGGGCACTCAGCGACATAGCTGGCCCATTTGCTTTTGTATTTTACAATGCCCTCACTTCCACCATTTACTATGGACGAGATAGGCTAGGCCGTCGTTCTCTTCTGATCGACACTTCATCAATCAGACTGCAATCGCTGACTTTAGCTAGTGCTGCAACAAGAATGAGCCCTTCGGTCTCAGAAGTTACAACTGATGTCATTCACTCGGTTTCACTAGCCACAGGGAACTTTGAACTGGACAGGGTGGCTTGGCAACCGTCAAGCTTCTTGCTCAACAAGTCACTAGCCTCAGGACTAATCGTTCCAGGGAGCCCGTCCCCTGCCTCCAGGGAGAAACTCCGCATTTATTTAACGGATGCTTTACAACTACGAGTCAGAGATATTCCTGATCACTCTCATTGTCAGATAAGTACAGGCGCTGCTAAAGTTGCTGTTCTATTTTCGGGTGGTCTCGATTGCACTCTACTTGCACGCATCACACACAGCCTCCTCCCCTTAGATGAAGCTATTGATCTGATCAATGTAGCTTTCGAGAATCCTCGATCTATGGCAGCCAGGACAGGACCCCCAGTATCTCCCTATGAATTATGCCCTGACCGTGTCACCGGCCGCTCCAGCTACAATGAACTCACCCAAGTATGCCCTGAACGAAACTGGAGATTTGTGGCCGTCAATGTTCCCTTTCTCGAAGCTATGTCTCATCGAACAACGATTGTACAGTTAATGTATCCTCACAATACTGAAATGGACTTTTCTATCGCCATGGCACTATATTTTGCTGCTCGTGGTCAAGTCGAGGAAGGTTCAGACTTCGAAGAACCTTCCAAAAGCCAAGCAACCAGAGACAACTATACAGCACGGGTACTACTCTCCGGGCTAGGAGCAGACGAGATTTTTGCCGGGTACTCTCGTCATGCTGCTGCATTTGCACGTGGGGGGTTCTCCGACTTGGTCAACGAACTCGAGCTTGATTTCAACCGCATAGGATCCCGCAACTTGGGCCGAGACGATCGCATGATGAGCTATTGGGGAAAAGAAGTTCGTTATCCGTACCTAGATGAAGACTTTGTTCATTTCGCCCTTGATCTTCCTGTATGGGAAAAGGCTGGCTTTCGGACTGGAAAGCCAATTCCAAAGCAAGACGAAGCAACCAAGACCGCCGATCACTCCGACGACCTTGAGCCGGCCAAAATGCTCCTGAGACTTCTAATGTGGGATCAAGGCATGAAGCATGCTGCATCAGAACGTAAAAGAGCGATCCAATTCGGTGCCAAAACAGCCAAAATGAGCGCTGGCAAGGGGAAGACAAGAGGCACTGATCTTCTAGATTTTAGGCCCTGAAGGCCCCAGATTTCGAGTGCGGAATCGCTACCCCAATACCGTTATGGAGGGCCAGCCCCACAAGAACATTTCGGGATGTTTTTTTTACGTGCGGCGATGATGACGGACGCCCTGTTGTGCCTCAAAGGGCCCATCAGGTGTCCACAGATACTTCTGAGGCCTTGAAGAACAAGTGCTGGCTGCGACCATTTCTTTTCTAAAGGACATGGTCAGAGCCGCCATGTTCGCCCATGAAGTCCAAAGGCAAGTCTGAGCCGCACTATCATGGATGTCTCGAGTGATGCAGATCAGCACCAAGGCTTATAAATACACTTTATGATCAGGGCAATGGATATAGCTATCAAAGATTACGCCTTCAAAAAGGGTCGTTGACCACACTGAAACATCTCTTTACCACATCCCATCGTTTCACAACAACACTGTGAGGCCAAGCAATGCAATACCAGCTATACCAAAACAACTACTCCAAACAAGGCCAGCAAAGTTGGTGCTGGCATTGGATGACACTATGGTGCTCGATTCAGAGGCTGTGGAAGAGCTAGTTTGCGTAGCTGAGTCACTGGAGTTCCTAGTGGCACTGGAAGCTGAGGATAATGCCAAGGCGAACACTTGGTCCCATACTACACAAACTGCATCCAGATCGCGCACGTCCTCGACGGTAGTCACGGCATTGGTCCCATTCACACTTAGTATCCCCACGTCTGGCCACTGATCCCAGCCTGGTCCCCGTTCTGGGTTTTTAACAAAGTCGGCGAATTGCTTTTGCATGGATTGGCTCAGTGCTGCCTCGGCCTCCGTCGAATTCTCTCTGGGATACGTGCCAAAAATAAGCGCAATCTCGGAGGCATGATAGACACCCAGTCCGGGATATTCCTCCCACTCATTACTGGGGACCACAGCATCGAATACGTACTGCCAGACGGGCACATCAAGCCGTGTCGAGGTAAGATTGGCAACGAAACCACTCGTGCAGCGAAAAGTGGCGTCTGTCGCTATCTGCGCGATTATCTGTTGACCAGTGGTGAGCCCAGCTGTAGCCGGGGCGTTATAAGCATAGAGCTGGCCAAGACTTTGACTCAAAGCACTGCCGACACCGAAGCTTGCTTCGATGAATGCAGTGACGTTGTCACCGGCGCTTAAAGTGAAGACGCTACCGTCATCGGCCGTACTACCAATGAGAATTGGAACTTTCGCAACCTTGCCCATTGTCCAAGCCTCAGCCGGGTACTCGAGGACAGTGAAGTTGTCTAAAACCGCATCGCCAAACAAGATGGCATTAGTTTCGGTGATTTCTTTCAAAGCTGTAGCAGGCACAGCCCGAACACACGCAAGGATTCCACTATCCGGAGTGTTACTGCAGTTGAGGTGCTCGAGCAAGCCCGTCCATGCTGTGGCATCGTCGTTGAGCGTGCCAGGTGGAATTTTGACGACGCTACTGCCAGATTGGAGCACCCCAGCGCGAAACGGTGGATCATCAGGATACGTATTGATGAAGTTGCTTACTGCCATTGCGCCGGCCGACTCTCCCATGAGTGTCACTGCATTTAGTTAGAATAATTTGATCTTGATGGTTCTGGGGCGATGGAGCGTGCTCACCCTTTCTCGGATCACCGCCAAAGGCACGTATGTTTCGCTGAACCCAATCAAGGGCCAAAATTTGGTCAAGAGCCCCCAGGTTCCGTTCTGTAAGTGGAAGCTGTGGTGCTCTTGGAAAGCCAAACACTGCAGGATGTTATCAACTCGAGCCTGCTGGGCTGCGAGACGTAACTTACCACCAAGGCGATAGTTCATTGCGACCACAATTATGTCGTGGTTTGCCGCGAAACTCGTTCCATCGTATAGGGGCTCTGATGCAGCGCCGGCCCTGTTCGAGCCGCCATGTATCCAGAACAAGACAGCCTTTTCCGCTGCTCCGCCTTCAGGAACGTACACGTTCAAGTAGAGACAGTCCTCGCTCTCTCCAGGTGGTGGTGGTGAGTTGAACAGAGCCACTCCGATGTCTTTCGCAGGTCCTGGAGGCCCCAGGTACTGCATGCACGCAAATGGCTGCGAAGTCGCATTATAGGCTTCATCCCAAGGCTGTGCTGGCTCAGGAGGCAAAAAGCGTGAGTCCTTGATAGGTGGCTGAGCGAATGGAATGCCTAGAAACTGTTTCACTGGTGCTCCTGAATCGGGAAGCTTAGTAGTTCTGCCAATGATAGATCCAGAATCAATGGTCGCGGTCGGTGCAGAGGTATTGCACGACTGACAGCCTCGGGCGGTTTGAGCGGCCGCAATCGAGATGACAGATGACACATGCAACGCGATGGCTCGCAAGGCAGAACGCATGTTGAAAATAAATCAGATGAACAAATGCGAGAAATCTATGTGATGGAGCATAGTTTCTACTGGGACCCTCCATACTTATGAACCATCGCACAGGCTTGAGGCGGAGGCCTCCCTTGTACCTGAGCCATCAGATTTGCTTGGAAATCACGATCATTGCATCATGCGCAATATTCAGGACCCATCTGGCAAATAATTGTCGATGTTATCCACCGAGATATGAGGGAGCCAAGATAAAACATAACTCGACAACCCTTAGGCCAGCCTGCATCAAGTTGTCTTTCCAAGGCTATGGTACCGCAGATCACGATATGTGGCTGAGGCACCGGGCTCTGGCGCCTCATCAAGCCAACCTCGGTTAGGTTGCCAAGACCTCCACCGGCACCCATGGGTGAGTCATGCCGTTGGCATTGCTGACATGACTTAGGTATGGACATAAAACTTCCATGGCTGAACATATCCCAATTATGGAGCAGTGAACTTGGACATAGCTGGTGAGACATTCGGAGGATGTGAATTACTAAAGATACGAACATTTGATGTCTTGTCCCGCGCCCTTACAATGATGCACGTAAAGGTTCGGCGAACACGCCATCTTCAGCTGATGCCGAGCCATTACCTCCACCAGCGTGATGGTTGTTGATCACTTCTCTCAACGCCTTTATTCCCTTTTGAATATGTCCTTCATTCGCGCTGACAGCACTATAACCCATATGTCCGAACCGAACATATTTATGACCAAGCTCCTTATGCATGCCTCCCACAAACGTTATGCCTTTTGCCGAGATCCTTGCCAGGAAGTCCTTCGATGATAACCCGTCAGGAAGCCAAAAAGCTGTCAGCCCATTGGCTTGATTTTCTGATTTCACTGCTAATTGTGTTAGACCCAGGCTCGCCACTGCCGCTTTCACTTGTGCACTCGTTTCTCTGTGTAACATGAACCTCTCTTCCAGCGACGATGACAAAATCCTTGTTAATGAGGTGTGGAGAGCGTGAACAAGCTGTGTTGGCGGTGTGGCAAAATAGCTAGATTCCTTCTTCTCATAGTTTTGCATTATGGGCAACCACTTTGTGAGGCTAGCGTACCACGATGCCGGTGCAGCTTTGCGTCCTTGCGCCACTTCCAACGCCCGTGCAGATACCATGAGGATGCTGAGACCAGGAGGGCAGCCAATGGCTTTTTGTGACCCAGTCGCAACGATGTCAACACCCCAAGCGGTGAATCGGAGGTCCTCACAAGCGACACTAGCAACGCCGTCGACGACGAAGAGAGTGTGAGGAGACACACGCCGAAGCAGATCCGAAAGTGGCTTCAAAGGTGTTAGAACGCCTGTTGACGTATCGACATGAGTCACGACTAATGCTTTGTATCGAGCTGATCTCAAAGCTCTCTCGACTTCGGAAATGTCTGGTGCGTCCCCAATAGGGACTGTTATCTTTGTTGTCTGAGCTCCATAGGTGGAGAGACACATTTCGAAGGTATCGGAAAAGTACCCGGTGCTGAGACAGAGAACTTGTTCTCCAGGTTCGATGAAGTTTGTGGCAACAAAGTCCCATCCCAATGTACCACTACCCCCAATGACAAATGGTTGTGCGTTTGGATCCTCGCTTTGGAAAAGCACTCGAAGCATGGTCAATACATCTCCCAAAACGTTACAGAATGGCTGAGCAAAATGTGACTCTGCGAAAGATCCCATGGACTTGAGGACCTCAGGGTCTACTTCCGTCGGGCCAGGGGCAAGGAGGATAGGGGTTTTTCGGCTCAGTGCCATTTTCAATATTTTCCCCTCAAGATTGCGGTGTACTCGAGCGTTACAATCTCAAAGATTTGCCTGCAGAACAAAGAAGTTGTCTCGGATGTTATCAAAAAAGACGAGATATTGGATACATCTAAATGCGCAATTCCTGACTGAGAGGCGCTCATCCTCCGGCGAAGGGGTCAAAAGCAAACACTCAGGGGCATACACATGCCTACGACCCTGCTTTCGAAAGACGACTTACGACTAGGTTCTCCGGGTCTTCTCGGAGGGTACATGCAAGCAGTCACCGACAACATACTGCCTGCTCAATTCTATGTTTGATGGCGTTGTGGGAAAAGGTTTTACCACCCCCCTTTTACTGTCAGCCTAACAGTAGGACGACGAAACAACAGTATTGCTGAGAGAGGAATGCCACGCATACAGCTAGAGGCTTACAAGAAACAGGCGTTTCATTCATACCGGATTAATTGACCTACTCGGGCCTAAAATACCGTCTCACCGTCTGTTGTCAGTAAAGGAGTCATATCGAGCGGTCCGGCTTTCCAGATTAATCACATCGGCAAAGTTTATTGGCCGGCATTCATCGACCAGGATCAGCGAGCTCCCCCGTATTTTGCTATCATACCCCAGGCATTTCCCCGCAAAATAGCGACAAGTATCTATTTCTTTATCGCAACAATCATCCGAGATCGACGCGTACATCGCATATGGTTACGAACTTACGAGATACGTCGGGAAATTTCGGGTCCCGAACAAGTCCATTGAAGACTTTTGGATCATTCTTCCCAATGGAAAGTCAACAAGGAAGCGACGATCTTATGCTCTGCCATCAAGCTCGCCCTCTATTTCCTGTCCTGGCAAATGTAACTTTTTTAACCCCCGTTGCCAGAAGTTCTCTCCGAATTTTGATTGCACATGTTCAACGAAGCAGGCTTTGCCCCGTGGTTTGGCTCAACGCCATTCATCACTGACACACGACATGTTTGAAGTTTATTCTTGTCGGGGCTCATTCTCGTGTTGGCTAATCAGAGTCCTTTATCGAGTATTCTTCATTTCAAGGGTCACTTACTAGCTGCTTCCAAGGTATCAAGACCACTAGATACGGATAGTGATCACTATGAAAATGTGCTTTCCTCCGTTCTCCCTCCCTTATCTCAGTTCATGGCATGAATACCCGAGTTCAAGTATGAAATACGCAATTGTTTTACAAGGAAGCCTTGACGGGAGTTTTCCCTGCGGTCGGAGAGGTCGAGTACATGCCCCCACTGGATACATCATTCTTGAGAGGCTGTCCTGCTAGAAAGCGACGCAGGTTCTCTGCAATAAGTGCCTCTGAGTATCGGGGCCTGCCGCCAGCGGCATGAGGCGATAGAATGAGATTAGGTGCTTTCCACAACCGAGAAGTTGTAGGAAGTGGCTCGGTGTGAAAGACATCTAACGCTGCACCGCCAATGTCGCCCTTCTCCAGTGCATCAGCAAGTGCCTCCTCGTCCACACATACTCCTCGTCCAACATTGATCACCCAAGCATGTCGTGGAAGTAGTGCAAGCCTCTCAGCATTCAGTACCTTGAAGGTAGCTTTAGACCCAGGTAGAATAATTATCACAGCGTCCGTCTCTGGCAGTAACTTTGGTAGCGCTGAGTTTGTTTGCACTTGAATCCCATCGATAATTTCTTCGTAAAGACCAACGCCTCGGACGTTCGCACCCAGTCCTATTAAGTGAGGCGCGATCTTACGCCCAATGTTGCCCATGCCCCAGATAAGGACATTAGCACCTTTCAATGAAGTAAACGAGCCCTTGGGTCGATCTGGAAGTGGGCCCCCTAGGTGTCCTGGCCATTTCAATTGAATTTGGTAGTCTCGCATTTCGTAAAGTCGCCGCGCTGCACTCAGTAAGAGTGCGAGTGCATGTTCAGCGACGGTCTCATCATGTAAATTGGTACCGGCGGTCATGATAACGTTAGGGGCGAAGCCCGCTGAGAGCTCATCGTTAGGACCAGCCCAAAGTGACTGAACCCAGCGAAGATTGTGCATTCGTTTGGCAGCATCAGGAAGGTTTTTGTTCACCCACGTAACCAGAATTTCAGCATCGACGAGGTCTTCGGGGACAGGTTTGAAAACGTCATAGCTATGTAGAGAGACACCAAATCCTTCAAGACTCTTCACATTGAGCTTAATAGAGTTGGGATAGAGAAGTTTCATGACTTTGGGCTGGGGACCTTGTGGTATGGGAGGCAAAGGACTTCCTGGGTAGACTGCGAAGTAATCCGAACAAAATGTGATGGACGTTATTATATTCCGCCAAGTGAGACGGTTCTGTACTTATTTCACTATGTACTCATCAGAGACACACACCTTTCTTCAGATGTGCAGAGTAATTAGATGTCATTCTCGATTGGGTGGTAAAACTTTTAGCCGTCACGTAGTTCGGAACAAACCGTGAGTCCTAACCTTAGAATATTGAGCTGTCAAGGACAGAACCGTAGTCTAGGATGACCCAGTCAGATTTCACTGGCGAACAATCCCTTGGAGGACCTATGGTAACCTTCAGGCGCTTTCTCGGAAATCCTGGGGTATCTGTCGTGTCGCCTTGGTGCAAACAGCAACATTCAGCGGATGGAGCGCTATCGTGTGGCCCGGCGCCACTATACTCAGTGGTACACTCTCCAAATCCAATTTCGATTTCCAGACTTGATTATCTCGCCATTTGACAGGGTTCACGACCAAGCCACTCTGGGCTGTGCGCTGCGCAGTCATGAACAACGTGTCGATGGCCTCACACCCTTGATCACACAAAATGGTGCTGGAGAGAAGTTATACAACACTCAGCCGCATATATTCACAGTATATAAACAAGCTTTTGACCACTGACTTTGTTCTTGCGTAGTAGATCTACGCCATCCAGAACGTTTTCGAGTCCATGGTTGACTTTGAGAGGGTGTAAACTCAACTTTCCGTCTGCTAGAAGTTGCTCAAAAACTTTGATCCATTCCTTCATGAATACAAAGTCATCGGGATTGGCATTGATCTTGGTTTCATTCTTGTGAACGGGTTCACCAAAGCAGGTATATCCAAGCGTGAATTTGTGGGGGATATCTGTTCGTGGAAATGCGACCGGGTATAACGAACCATATACACCATCACCGCTTAGAACGTCCGCACAAATCTTCGCTGAGCCCTCGAGAGAGATGCAGTCCCAGGCCAGCCGAGGTTTTCCGTTCAAATAATCCTTGATTTTCGATGCACAATCCGGGTCGCTGTAATCGAAAACTTCATCCGCCCCAAATGATTTGACAAGTGCAAAATTACTAGGGGAAGAGGTGCTTATAACCTTGTAACCCGCCCTATTGGTGTTAATAACGAGCACAACAGAATCTTCAAGTTTAACTTACAGTTTGGCCAGTTGCACACCCATTGTACCCATTGCTGAGCTTCCACCATAAATCAGGATTGGCTCACCGTCGTTCTTAGGATTGTTGGGGAAGTTTAATCCTAGTGACTGGAAAAGGCCCTGTCCACACGTGATGGCTGCTACTCCGAGCGTCGCAGCCTCTGCGAATGTAAGGCTGTCGGGGATTCTGATCTGAATATCAGCTTTGGCGACGAGTTTTTCTTGGTGAGACCCGTCGTCGTTTTGCAGGCTATTTCCTCCATGTACAAAGCCACAAATACGGTCGCCAACTTTCCACTGTTTATCATAACCTTCACCTGTCTCCGCCACGACACCCGCATAATCACATCCAAGCACGCAGTTAGGAGGTGCTATGAAGTCAATATGTTTCCAATCGGTTGGATTTAGTGCAACCGCCTTCACATCGACCAGGACGTATCCAGGCCGGGTGGTTGGGATGGGACGATTCGTTGACAACTCTGCCTTGCCTGGTCCAGAGGAAACAACTGCTTTTTGCGTGGTCATCCTGTCGTTGAAATCAACAAGCTTTTGGCCTGTGTGGTATTGCAAAGTCTAGAATTATCGAAGAGAGAGAACTGGAAGGGATGACTCCCCGCAGTTTGGTCAAAAGCATGAAATCCAAATCTTAAGTCTTGAGTGTTGTCGACTTTTGAGCTATCTTGCTTCACATCTCTTTCCAGCAAGCTCAAGGTATGTCCAGAGTCAACCTTTGAAACACGAAGAAGTTGAAATGGTAGCACAAACTCGATATGGTTGACTCGATCTAGACCTAAGAGGATAACCTCGGACATGCCATCCAATAAACTAACTTGGCCGTTGTGGGACATTAAAGCACCATGTCCCCACGGCCCGTTCTCACGGAATGCAGACATTGTACTGAATCGCACTACTGACACGAATAGTTCACGAGGGCTTCCATTGAAAGAGAAGGAGCTGTCAGTATCTGACCACTTAAGAATAAGAAGTAAGCTCAACCGAAGTTACCGAGGTAGAACTTGTACAAAATGCTTGGCGAGTCGTTGGGGCCCCAGTCAGGCCCTACCTACTAAACGAACATATACTTTTGGCTAACTGCGTGGATAGGACTCCATGAGCGAGGGGTTGAGCAGACCGGCACGGGATGAACCCCCGGCCCACAATGCTTGCCGAGTATAACTACCCTCGACTGTACAAAATGATGTGCAGACCTTGAGCTAGAAGATCTTCGATACAGTTGAATGTGTGATCCATCTCAATTGGTAGTACGAAATCCGAAACGATGATGAAAGCTTTCCAGTATGATGGCGCCACGATTGGAGTGAAAGAGATTCCTGTCCCAGAACCAGCCGCTGGCCAGGTCCTCATAGCCGTCGAAGCAGCAGGACTCTGCCATTCGGACTGCACCATCGTGAATGGCAAGGGGGCCTGGGTTTCTAAGACTCCCATCACCCTAGGCCATGAGGTTGCGGGCACCATTGTCAAGATATCTCCTGAAATAACGGATTTCGATATTGGAGATAGGGTTGCAATTGCCCTAGTCAGCCACCCGCTCGAGAATGCAAATTGGTCGACCACCGTTGGACTGGGTTACGATGGCGGCTACGCAGAATTCACATTAGCTTATCGCGAACATCTTGTCAAGATTCCAACTGGTGTCTCTTTTGCGCAGGCCGCAGTTGCAACGGATTCAATATCAACAGCGTATCACGCTGTGGTAGCCGAAGCACGTGTTACGTCGTCAACGGTTGTCGGAATTATTGGCTTAGGAGGACTTGGTCTCAACGGCGTCACTATTGCCGCCCTTAGTGGTGCTCAAGTCTACGGATTCGATATTAACGATAAAAAATTTCCTGATGCTAGCAAATCTGGTGCGATCCAATGCTTCTCTCGGCTAAGTGATGCCTCTCACATCAAATTTGATGTACTTATCGATTTTGCTGGCGTGGGTTCGACCACCACAGACGCGATCTCTTCGGTTAAGGTTGGTGGTACTGTAGTGCTGGTTGGCCTTGGTGCTGCAGAAATGACCGTCTCGACACATACATTGGTTACCAGAGGCGTTCGTCTCTATGGATCCATCGGGGCAAGCCTGGAAGAGCTCCACTCTGTGCTGAATTTAATCGATACTAGAAAGATCACTCCCCTACTCGAGGAAATACCTTTCTCCACAGTACGAGAAGGGCTTGAGCGACTTGATCGCAACGCTGCCATAGGGCGCCTCTTTACATGTCCCAGACGCGAGACGAAGCCTGAATCGAATTCTGCCTAGGTTTAGCATTTTGGACATTATTCAATACAGCCCCTTCGCATTCCAGAGATTTTTCAAGTTCTCGGTGCTCCCCTTCACAATTTATGCTTCAAGATTCCCCATTCAGCACAGGTATCAACTCATATTTTACTTGGCCGCGACTCGTTTGGAGTGGTGACAGTCAGTCTGGACAATTTGGTTGTGCACCAGGCTAGTCCAGTTCACATGATGACCGAGTGAAGTGCCAACAACACTGTACCGATCAATAACAACGCCTGCCCATCCGCGGCCACATACAATCAATGGCAATCCACTTTCTCTTGCCATCATGCTTCAATACCACGGATACACTATCTTTGCTAACACCACGTCAAGCTTATCGAGCACCCCGAGGCTAATTTCTGGCACATAGACCGCAAACGTACGAAGAGTATACGGGCCTCCTTTACCAAGCTGTGACGCCGAAACCACATTGCCTAACTGGGCCATCACAGCAGCTTTTGTTTCCTCGTTGTCGAGTAAATCATCAATAGACGTGCATTGAGTTGAGTACGGAAACACTCGGGCCATTATGATTGAGTCGAATTGAGGTAATTGTCGAGCCGCATTCACCCGATCAGTAATCCTCAGGCCGGCAGAAGTCCCACTTCCTCTTTCAAGCGCGTATGCTACTATGGGAGGCCTCTGCGTCGCGAGAGAATTGACATTCACACTCCTTTGCAGAATGACGGTTTGGCTCTCGCCAAGGCAAATCGTGATCCGATCCTGGAACGCGGTATGAATGAACTGTAGCGTGATTTCAAAGACATTAGGAGACAACCAATTGCCACGAGTAGCCACCAGCATTTCTGAAGCATCGTAGCTATGATGCAGAGATGGAAGAGAAATAGTAGTCTCCGATTCCAACCAACTTTCCAACCCTATATCGACGCGATGGAGTCCTCTTGCGTCCCATAAGTTGAAAATGTACTTGTTCTTCTCAGCACCAAGTGTGAAGGCTTCTACCCCGTCCACGTTAGCTCGGGCGACGAATAGCCTTTCCAATGCTTCGTCTATTTTCTCTGGTAGCTCTGATTGAGTGGGGAATTCGATATGTACTCCGCTCAAGTATCTCTTTAACGATCCATTGACTGAGCTTGGTATTTGATTTTGAGAACTCAGCATTCTTGGGAAGTGGCGGCCAATCAAGGCTCGAAGTTGTTCTTCGCCGGGTGGTACTGCGCTCGTTATCACGAGGACCGTCTCAAATTGTGGGGAAACATATGCGAATTGCCCGAATACACCATAAGCATAATAGCTGTTGTCATTTCCCATCCACCATTGGTAACCATAGTCATTGCCTCGTTGAGATCGCGTGGCAGAAGCTACCCATTCCTCACTGAGTAACCGTTGTCCCTGCCAGACTCCGCCTTGTAGATGGAGTATAGCCAGTTTCAAGAGGTCAGATGACCGACAACTGATTCCGTTCCCACCAGGGTTGATGTCTTCCGGGCCAACATCCCACGTTACCCCTGTCATTCCAAGAGGCTGGAAAAGTCGCGGCATAAGAAACGACTTTGTGCTCTGACCAGTTGTCCGGTGGATGATCGCGGAGAGTAGATAACTCGGTGCACTACTGTATTTGAAGAAGGTGCCAGGCTTGTGGACAATTGGGATCTTGAAGAACTGTTCGATCCAGCTGGTGGACACATTGCGCCAAACTGCGCCCGACGATCCAGTGGCGTGTCCCGACGTCTGGGTGAGGAGATCCTCCACCGTCAGCAACTCAGCCATCTCTGAAGACGAGTTCGTTTCTTTCACAGCCTGCAAATATTCTGGAAAAATTGACATCACTTTACTTTGCAGTGAAAAGTGCCCTTCTTGGATCGCCATCCCAACTGCAACGGAGAGAAACGACTTCGTGGCCGAGTGCATCATATGTCGGAGGTCCGCACGATATGGGTCCCACCAGGCTTCTGCTACGACAGCCCCTTTCGAGTAGAGCATAAAGCTGTGAAACTCAACACCCGATGCTTTGCCATCCTCAAGAAAATCGATAATGCTTTGGGGGCTGATCCCCCGACTTTGTGGGGAGTCTCGCGATAGACCATCGAATTGCTCCACATATGACATGGCTGAGAGTGATGGCCACTTTTAGACTCACCAGATATTGTGCTCTAATTTGTAGATATAGGGAAGAGGCCACCTGAGCTAGACCTTCGACATGAGCCGAGGTTGATTGGGCCTGACAATCCTCAGAGAAAGCCACAGCAATGTCTGAATGCCTCATTAATTCCAGATCACCAATACCTCAGAGTTGAAGTGGACTTAGCACTGCTAAAATCTGGATGAGAATAGTGCATTCGGAAAGCCGGCTACCAGACCAGGGCGAACTTCGTTGACGGAGCGAATTTCGGAGTTTTGTCCTTTCAACGTCTTGGCAAGCCGCAAAGTCTGGTCAATAGATCTACTTGAAAGGTTTTGGCTAGTTGTCAAGATTGAGCCCGATACATTGGAGTTTTCCGATTTATACTGATGATACGCACAACCCAAGCTCAGCTTATTTGAGCCTTGCACAAAAGTGCGGCTTGCTTCACAAGGCTGTGGGTTCAGGGGTTGTTGGAGTCCCAAGAAAGTAATTGGTAGGAACTCGTTAGTGCACATAAAACTCGGTGCAAGATTTCCTATTGGGATTTTCAGGCTGAGGACCAACATTCGCAAAACTTCGGGTGATTCATTCAGGTCTGAAATATGAATGCGTGGTGGATCGCAGGGATCACTTGGTTAGACTTTGCAACTATCAACCTCTTTGCAACAACATTGGAGTGTGGAGGCCAATGTGGGAGCCTGCATCAAGGTCCCTCGACGGCTCTGGGTTCATTAGAATATCGAGTCGTATGGCTGCCTCTGATTCAAGCAAAGGTCTTCATGATACAGCTTCCGATTCTTCATTTCTGTTCTCCCTGACCGCTACAATTTCCTGGCACATGTCCAGAAATCGAGTTCTGTACTCATCAGGCGTGGTAGTAATGCTCATAGGACCTTGTCGATCGACAAGGTTCCACGCCTTGATGAGCAAGGTCATCATCTTTGCGTGGACCTTGTGCTTGGCCCAGAAGAAGTCGAGGATGGTAGCACGGAAAACGTACTTGTTGTCCTGCGACGGAATGCCAGTGCGCCAAGTGGGAGGGTCCCTGAAAGGGTCACTGGGTGCAGTTAGTTGAGTCGTTCTTGGTATCCGGACTAGCATAAGGCTGTAGTCAACTGCATTATAGTGTGCTAGTAGCTCAGTGTCCTTCTCAAGTCGGGCGAAGAATCTATCGGCGTCTTCGCGGCTCAGTAGCATCTTGTCATCGAATTTATCGGCCAGCTTTGACTTGGTTGCTTGGGATGCTAATCGACCACCTGCAATATCTCGCTCAGGGAAGAAATAAGAATTTGGCTTCAGATCGAATGTCTCCCAGTCGGAGTACTCTGACTGGCCATGAAGGAGATTTTCCATCACTAAGTGATAAGTTGGCGCAAAGCCGAGTATCCCCCCAAGACTTTTGTAGGACCAGGCGAGAAAATCGGTAATGCGAACAAGAAGAGAATCCGGGTTAGATTCCATGTGTGAGATGTAGGGCTCTAATAGGTCATCCCTGAAGAAGCTATGCTCGAATACTCGCGGCACAGATTTGATGATATACCTGTCATCCGTCGTGTTGAAAAAGGTGGAGCCTGAGTAACCCATATCGCCCATCGCTCGGAGATCATGATCGGTTTCAAAGCTTGAGTGGTATTCTGAATCGATAATGTTCCAAACGTTGTCGCGGAGCTTCTGAAACAACTCAGGACGATATTTGACAAGAATCAAGCCATATATGTAGAAAAATGTTCGGATCGACCGAATAATCCGGTTGATAGCATTTTTGGGCTTCGGCTCCTCACCGTGTATCGCAGTCACTATGGACCTTGAAATTTGAGTCTGCCGGCGACCCATCACAATTCGAGTCGTTTGGGCACTTGAATCACGAGAGCAAACACGGTCATATCCCTGAACGTATAATAAAGATGTGGCTTCAATATCTAAAGAGGTGTCTGAGAAGTTGGTCATCGGGACCGGATAAGCACTTCCGTCCACATCAGGGAAGGCAATGACGTCAGTGGAAGACGAAAGTTATTTTTGGAAAGCCATGCTTAAGGCTTTAAAGACGACTCCCAAAGTGCCTACCATTTGTACATCATCAGCTACCTTGCTTTCTCACTTGCGTGTCTTCCAAGCATGTAAGCATACGTCGCGAAGAATCACCCTGGTATGTGGGGATTTTGATTGGTTATCTCGAGAGCCTCGGTACCTTACTCGCATGTTCGGTCAACCCCACACTTGAGATGGACCTCAATTCCCCTCACAATGGGCAGCACAGTCAGCTCATCAATATTGTCTGCTCTGAGGCCGGGCATTGGGTTTCGAAGTACAGGATCAGTTCTCTGACTGTCAAAGTATTTTGCAACTAGTTATAATTTATTCCTCTCTTCACCCCGTCCCCTCGGTTTTCATCTTACGGTGAACTCCTCGCCACCTCGACATAACCGATGTCGAGAATATATAGAAACACTGGCCCGGAACCATTCGTGGACGTCCCTAAACTAGATTTGTTAACCTTTTTATTCGGTAATATCCCGTGGGCAATGGCATAACCACAGCTAACGGGTCGAGAGACTCCGAGTATAGCGTTGCAGCCATCTCCGAAGAAAATGTTGTCTTGCATGTCGACGCAGACAATCCGTCCAACAAGGTGACAAGGAATGACCTACGGGATCTAGTGGAACGCATCGCACATGGCCTGAGGCAGAATTATGATATTGGTTCAAATGGCCCGAACAAGGATGTGGTGACAGTGATCAGCCATGGTCAACCATTGGTAGCTGCTGCGTTTTATGGTGTTATTGCTGCTGGCGGAGTCTACTCAGCAGCAAGCCCTTCCTCGACTGTAGCAGAACTTGCTCGTCAAGTAACGATTGGCACCAGCCGGTTGATCATTTGCAGTGCTGAGTTCAAAGAGTTGGCCACTCAAGCCGCTAAGCAATGCAATGTGCCTTTGAATCGTATATTGGTCCTGGAATCGTCACCCTTTTGGAGCCTATCAAGTTTGTACGGTGGTATCAATGCGATCTCAAAGGAAAAGCTCAAGTGGGAGAAGATAAGTGACCCCGGGAGGCTTAAGAGAAGTCTGATTACGATCCTATGGTCGTCTGGGACCACGGGCCTACCTAAAGGTACGAAATTGACGCGTCCAGATTGTTAAAGCTAACCGCAAAGGTGTTATGCTCTCCCACGAGAACCTCGTACAAGAGATTTACCTGTTATCACTTCCCGGCCGTGCCTGGGCACAGAAGCAAGTCGAAGCAGGGAAGACACTCACGCCATTCCGGACACTATCACATCTACCGATCAGTCACATTGCAGGACTAGCTGGATACCTGATAATTCCGTTCTACTCTGGTGGAGTCGTATTTTGGATGCGTAAGTACGAATGGGCCAAACTTTTGAAGTATGCCAAAGACTATGAGATCACTGCTTTTTACACCGTTCCATCGATCTACCTCCGCATTTCTAAATCGGCCGACGTGAAGGACCACTTCAAAAACGTGGAAAATGCGTCTACAGGAGCCGCGCCGATGGATGGGGACCTTCAAACCGCTTCAAATGCGAAGCTTGGGCGAGGACAGACCTTCGTTGGCCAAACATGGGGCCTCAGTGAGACGACGGGGGCTGTTACCATGATCCCTAAAGGAGAAATTGATGTCACTGGTAGCATTGGCCAAGTGATGCCGAACGTTGAACTAAGGTAATTGGCCATAGTTTAATTTCAAGCGCGTACTGACTCTGGACTAGGATTGTTGATGAGGATTATAAAGATGTGGAGCCAGGGCAGGAAGGAGAGATGCTTGTGCGAAGTCCCCTTGTCACCCAGGGATATTTCAACAACCCACAAGCAACAAGAGAAACCTTCCATGGAGAGTGGTTTTGCACCGGAGATATCGGAGTTTTCAGAGATGGGAAGTTCTACATTGTTGATCGCAAAAAGGTAAGAAAATCGCCCCACCAATCTGCTTATTCTTTCTTTTCTAAATCTAACGAATCCCGCAGGAGTTACTCAAATACAAAGGCCTCCAAGTCGCACCAGCCGAAATCGAGAATCTTCTGTTTACACACCCTAAAATTCAGGAAGCCGCCGTGGTTGGTGTGAACCTACCTGAAGACCCAGGCACCGATCTTCCCCGGGCGTACGTCGTGGCAGATCCGTCACAGGTGACTGAGGACGAGATCAAGGAGTTCGTGAAGCACCGTCTTGCTCCGTACAAACAGCTTCGCGGCGGCGTGGTGTTTGTGCCAGAACTCCCCAAGAATGCTGTCGGCAAGTACTTGAGGCGAGAGCTGAGAGATCGAGCGAAGAAGGAACTGGGCTTGGTGGCGAGCGCGAAGCTTTGATGAATTCGGCCTCCCTATGGACTCTTGGAAGACATTTTCCTTAGATCAGTGTCGCGTACCGTCCCTGTGTCTAGTTGACATTTGCAGCATGAGCCAAGCAAGGTCTGAGCAGCCTTAAGAATAAGTTTGAATTATGCAATAAGACCCTTATCTACATGCATTTAGACTTCTGCCAAAACGGCTCGCCATCCCGGACGGATTTTCCCTTGGCCGAGACCTCCGGGCACTAGCCACACGTCATGACATCAACATTTTCCAAAGCCTTGCCCACCATAACGAGCCAAAGGTATGTAGACTCGGAAATACGTGAGATGGTGCTCGCTTCCTTACCTAGGTAATGGCTAGTACGACTGCTTCATTTCCACGATCCGGTGGCCCTAGCATTGCAAATTGATTTGTGTTCCCCTCCGACTCACATTCTGGGAGAAGGACTATTTCCTTCATCCCCGTCATGTCGGAAGCCTCTCTTGCGGAGAACCGGTCCAAGCTGAAAGACTTTATTGCTGTATGTTCTCTTCATATCAATGGCTCGGTTTACACGTGCCCTATCATTTGCCTGCTTAATTAAACCGTTCGTGCTATTTGCTTCGACGTCCTAATACCTGATGCTCTCACAGTCCATCGCCACCATCCGAGGCGATCTATCAAATATCACTGCCCCACCATTTGTTCTCGACACCAAGTCTGCAGTTGAGCTTCCTGCTTTCTGGGCGGAACGGCCCTCGGTCTTTGTAGCACCTGCAGCTTCGGAAGACCCTGCGGAGCGAGCGTTGTTGGTGCTCAAATGGTTCATCTCGGCATTGCGAAATCAACAATATGCCGGCCGCTCGGAGGAAGAGGGCGTGAAAAAACCTCTCAACGCTTTTCTTGGAGAGGTTTTCGTCGCGCGCTGGGAGGATTCGTCTGGTACGACGAGGCTTGTGAGTGAACAAGTCAGGTGAGTGATATTTTGTGATCTTTATGTCAGTACGTTGGGGTTAACCACGTTCAAGTCATCATCCGCCTGTGACAGCTTGTCGTGTTTGGAATGATGAGCACGGAGTTTCGGTAAGTAGTTAGATGACAACGGCGAAGCGAGTACTCATTTTTAGTAGGCAGAAGGTTACACTCGTCAAGAGATCACCTTCTCAGGGAGTATAAACATCCAGCAGATAGGCCACGCAACACTTTATCTCTCCAAGCATGACGAGACCTACCTGATACCTCTCCCTAACGTCAAAATCAAAGGAATACTCACTGGTGGTCCTTACCCGGAACTCGAGGGTAATTACAAGATCCCTTGTACCAGTGGGTACACGTCAAGTATAGAGTTCGAGGGTAAAGGGATACTTGGGAGTGCATCGAAGAAGCACAAGTTCGATGCAAAAGTGTACCGTAATGGCGAAGAAGAACGCCCTTTATACACTGTTACGGGCAACTGGGATAGTACATTTGTCATTCACGACATTGGAAAAGCCCAAGATATTGAGACTTTTGATGTGCAAACAGCAAAGACCACCCCGATCATGACCGATTCACTATCGGAGCAGGACCCATGGGAGTCACGCTTGGCATGGCGTGATGTGAGGGAAGCTTTGCAGAAAGGCAATATGCAAGCTGCTGCTGATGCGAAGTCCAAACTTGAGAACGGCCAAAGAGATATGAGAAAACTTGACGGTGACGGAAAGAACTGGAACCGTCTGTTTTATGGGGCAGATGACGTCGATGAGGTGGCAGAGCGACTGGCGAGAGAGTTGGGAGACACCATCGACCCGAAGGAGACAGTTGCAGCGTGGAAATTTCGACTAAAGGACTGGGATGAGGGGAAGTTCCAACGTCCATATCACGGTGATATCCTGCCTGATAACAGTCATGGTCAAAGGAAAGTGAACAAGGACAAGGATGAGGCACCAATTCAGACCAACGGCAAGCCTGTGGAGAATATTCAATCATCACTCTCATCCAGGGAGGGAAAATCCGACGAACACTCACTTCAGATCAATGATCTCCATGATGCTCCGCAAGGCCTAGCCCTCACGCCTTCAGAGACAGGCAGCGAGAAGGATATCATGAGCGCCGAAGAGAGGTCCAGAATCGAAGAATTCTTGAGAGATAGAAATTCAAACTCAGCACGCCGATAGCTGATTGAACTCGTTGCTTTCGAATTGACAGCCAGCTTTGTTTCCGTGGAACTCCTGTAGTAGCGACTTGCATTATGTCCACAGGGCGAATGCTACCCGGATCCACGGCTGCTTGGGGGATGCCTAGAAATTGGGTTATTGTTATGGTTAGGATGATATTGATTCCTTGTAGGGACCTGTCATCACAAAATGTTGATTTTCACATCGCCGTACAGAAATGCAAGATTGGTCAGGAGTCAAAACATGGAACATATGTTCTGTGGACCACCCTACGCTAAGACAGCTTTGGCTGTGTCGACGAGTCCTCTTACCGGGTGGGAGCAGCTCTGACGTGGTCGTAAGATCGACATGTTGGGATGATTCAAGATCTCGAAAGTCGGATCTGATCATGGATTGAGCGGTGCTTGATTTCAGACACCAGTGAGGAGAGTGTGGTTAATTGTGGTTCTCATTGATCTCCAGTAACTAGTAGCTTTGCGAACAAGCGACTGTCCAGTGTATTTTCTCAAGTCAATTTAAAACTTCTCTTTCAGATACATGATTCATGTAGGTGTGGGAAAGAGTTCAAAGCGCCTAGATCTGCAGAGCACATCATACCATGCAGTTCATTTTTAGCGTGTCAAAGTGCAGATCGAGAAGGTCTTTTGAGCCGATCCAGCCCGTGAGACATTTCAAGGACTTCGATACGAGCGCTCTGTCACCTTCAGAGATGAGGGGCATAACAGGCTAAGAGGCGGGCGCTTTGGAGGGAGGGTGGAACGCGGCTTCTGGAGCTGTTCTCCGGCAGTTAGTGCCTAGCGGCCAAGTAAACTTTCGGAGACGGGACTGTTTTCCTTTAGGGGGCTCCCGCCCCTAGCCACCCGATTTAGGCAACCTAAAGCCGACCTCAATTAACTAACTGACTACAAGCCCTTGCTTCCGAAGAACAGAAGCAATTCCGGATCACGCTGCGGAGATCTCCCATGAGAGTGAAGTGGCAGTCGCACTTGTTGAACCTATTGCATCCTCAGGCATTTGGTACTGACTTTGCTGACATTGAAGGCGGTCACACCTGAGCCTGACCCTTGTTCTTGGATTTTCCACGGGCGAGTTGAAAAGCGTCCTCTGGTGACGTGGCCGGGCTACACAAACATGTGCCAGCCGATAAAATGCAAGTATCTCAAACAGGACGAGGGGCATTCATCTACACTGTGTCTCCCGCCTACAGACATGAATCGGTTGTGACTGTCTGCTTCCTTGTATCAAGGCATCGTGCCGTCTAACCGATGTGAGTCGTATCAATTTGGACCAGTAGGTAGTTGCAGGGGAAGCAACTCCGGCCAACCTAGTATTATTATCATTATCACCGGTTTGTGCTACAATCTTGGGGTCGGTGCTCAAGAAGAAAAGATATCGATGAGACTGAACCCGATGGAGATGGTCGTTGACTTTCCCTGAGCTTCATGCTTCATCATGTCGACACCCACGAACAACGAACACGCATCTGTTGTCCAGGACGCGCCTCAAGAAGTCCCACAACAAACGCCACAGGATTTACCTACTGGTGTATCTCAGCATACTCAACCAGCACCACAGATTGTGCCAGCTGGCGTACCGCAGAATACTCAACCAGTAAGTTGAAAGTCTGGCAGATCTGGAACCCGATATTGGTGAAGGCATAAAGCTAATTTTGAGGCTAGGTCGCTCCTGAGGCGATCGACGATAATGACTCGGCGATAGGAGATGTGTGAACATCACGCCTTTGAGATTCTGCGCCAGTGCTAACGTTTTTGCGAAACAGGAGGAAGACCTGCTTTCAACGTCCTCCTTGACTTCAAGCATTTTCAATTATCGGCAGGAGAATGGAAGAACTTACAATAGCTATGGTGACGGTTTGTCGGTATCAGATCCGCGATGAGATAGCTGCTAATGATTGTAGCCTATATTCTGCCGAATGATGAGGTATGCATATCTGGCCAGCCATTTACCAGAAGATAACTTACATGATTTGATGAAGACCGAGCTCGACCGACTAGGTACGTATGTGATCCGACCTCGGCACAGGTCGTCCTTGCTAATTCTTCGACGACTAGATCTACAACATCATCTTCTCAAGTTGACGTGGGGAGATCAACTAGCAACGATTGATGTCGCCAAAAGTGGCCAAGCACATCGAGTTCTTGATGTAGGGACGGGGACGGGCATCTGGGCAATCGAATGGGGTAATTCTTCTTCACAAATACAAAATGGGTTTTGAGACTTTGGCTAATTCTAAAAGGGGATCAATATCCAGACTCAATGGTAAGGAGATTAACATGTCTACTTGAGCAAAAGAGGACTAAATTGAGGAAACTAGGTGCTTGGTGTCGATGTCAGCCCGATACAGCCAGCCTTGTGAGTTGCAGTGCACCGATCTTGTAGGGGAGTCGCTAAGGAGTATATCGACTGACAACATATCAGTGTACCCCCAAATGTGTCCTTCGAAATTGCAGATCTTACTCAAAGTTGGAGTTTTACCCACAAATTTGACTTCATCTTCTCGCGAATGATGACTGGAGCTTTTGGCGACTGGCGGAAGGCAATACAGGAATATTACGAGTAAGAAACTATTCAATGCTCTTGGGGACTCCTGGGCCTGGGTATTCTCGTGTTCGCTAACTCACATCAGCAACTTGAATCCAGGCGGAAGTGTTGAGATTCAAGATATCAACTTCGATGTGAAGAGCGATGATGGCTCACTTCACGAAGACTCGCCTTTGAGAAAATGGTCCAAATATATGTTGGAAGCTAGCATCAAGCTTGGAGCGCCACTTGATAGCATTCTATCCGTAAAAACGCTCCTGGAGGAAGTGGGATTCGTGGAAATCGAACAAAAGGTTGCGGTTTGGCCCATGACCTGGTGGGCCAAAGACCCTCGATTCAAGAAAATTGGTAGGTGACTCAATCCCCACAGACAGGGATTATGAGAGTGACATTGCTCATCGCTGGTCATAGGACTCTGGACGTACCACAACATGTCTGGCTCATTATCCGGCATCAGCCTGGCCCTTTTCACCCGAGGTCTGGGCTGGACTGTGGAGGAGCTTGAAGTTTTCTTGGTTGGCGTCAGAAAAGACATGCGGGACACCAAAATTCATGCGTACTGGCCAATGTAGGAAACCTTACACGCCGGCAAACTAGTACGTCTTAGCACACTGACGATCTACAGATATTCGGTTACCGCGAAAAAGCCGATCACGTAGCGAGGTCCAGATAGTGGCGGGGAGAAGGGAAAGAGCAGATTCGTCTAAGGCGCGATTGCTCTCTCAACCAACCAAGGGGGCTTTGAATCGGTCTTGAACGCGCTCGAACTCTGGCGATTAGGGCTGATAGCAGCACAATTTCCCTGCTGCCAGGGTGCAAACCTCACTCCTTGTGGTGATTTGCCTAGGGGCACGACCGGGTGAATCAAGAGGGGTCATAGGCAGCTAACCGATAGTCACATTAGTTCCTCCGTAGCTTCACCCCCAGGGTCCTAGGGCTTGCATGACAAGCTAACCAGTTAATAATGGTGGTGAGGCCGTTGTGACCAGACTGCCAACTGCCAACTGCCTGTGATCCCCCCTCCGTGAAATTGTCCTCATGTGATATTCTTCTATCACAGATTCCCGACGTCTCATTGCGTTCCAAAGTACCGGGTCATCGTCCTCCACCACCACCAAGCTGACCACGGCTAATTATTACCCAAGAATAAGTGGAATCTTCTCCAGAGGTCATCATGATAGGAATTATCGTCCTTCTTGTCCTCGTACTTGTCTTTTTCACCGCTAGAACCCTCTACATTTGGAACAGATTGCGGCATGTTCCTGGACCATCCTCTGCGGGGTTCTCAAAATGGTGGTTACTGAAGCGGACACTGAATGGGACCATCCACATGGAAACCGCCCAGGCCACTTTCGATCATGGTGAGGTTACTCAAGTCCGCTGCCAAAGCACAACTTTGGCTCCCGGCGCCACTCTTGCGTAACTAACCCCAATCATAGGCTCCCTCGTCCGCATTGGGCCCAACGAACTGGTAACCAGTGATCCTGATACCCTCAGAAAGATGCTGGCCGTCAGATCCCCTTATCTTCGCTCAGATTGGTATGACGCGATCAAGATTGATCCCGACCACGCCAATATCTTGTCTGAGAGAAATGTCGAGAAGCACCAAGCACTCCGAGCAAAGATGGCACCAGGAGTTAGTTGCAGCCTTCCACTTCGACGCAGAATTTAACTGACAGTGCTGCAGTATGCTGGCAAAGAGAATCTGGATCTCGAAGAGACTATTGACAAAGTCATTGCTAGTCTGGTGCAGCTTATCAAGAGCAAGTACATTTCAACAGCTTCAGAGTATCGACCAGTCGACTTCGCACGCAAGGCTCAATATCTCACCCTGGACTTGATCGGCCAAATAGCATTTGGTAAGCCATTCGGGTTCATTGAGAATGACGACGACATGTATGCCTACATTGAGACAACTGAAAATACCATTCCGGTGATGATGTTTGTCTGCGCATTTCCAGCACTGGCAAAAGTGATTCACTCTCCGATCTTCAAAAGCCTGATGCCGAAGAAGACTGACTCTTATGGCTTGGGAAAGATCATGGGGTGAGTCCTACCAAGTCTTGACAGCTTCATTCATCACTCTGACTTGACGTAGTATGGCGAGAGAAGTGGTCGACGAGCGGTTTGAGCCTGACGCGAAGCGAAAGTGGGATATGCTTGGTTCTTTCGTTGCCCACGGCCTAACAAGACAGGAGGCAGAGTCAGAAACACTCGTTCAGATGTATGAAACCCACTCCCAAATCTTTTGATATCGTTGCTGATCTCCACGAAAGCCTTGCTGGTAGTGATACGACTGCATCGGCCACTCGCGCGATCCTCTTACATGTCATTACCAACCCTCCGGTTCTCGAAAGACTACTAGAAGAGATCAAACAGAGTGATATTTCCGACCCGATCAAAGATGCAGAAGCTAAGAAGATGCCCTACCTGCAAGCCGTCATCAAAGAGGGACTGCGGATTCATCCACCAGTGACGGGCCTCATGCTCAAAATCGTCCCACCAGGAGGTGATACCATTCTCGGCAAATATCTGCCCGCTGGTACCAAACTTGGTTATTCGGCATTCGGAGTTTTTCTCGATCCCAAGCTGTGGGGACCAGACTCGAAAGTCTATCGTCCAGAACGCTGGTTGGAAGGTACACCCGAGGAGATCAGACGCAAGGAGAATGACATGGATCTGGTGTTTGGTTGGGGCCGTTCTCAATGCCTGGGAAAGACAGTCGCAGCTATTGAACTAAACAAGATCATTGTGCAGGTAAGCACCAATTCGTCTGACTCGGGATTTTCTTTATACGGAAATCAGCATAAACTGACCCATTTGGCAGCTTTTGCGAAACTTCAATTTCACCATTGCCGACCCCCAGAAGCCCTGGAATTCCTTTGGTGCAGGAGTTTTCATCGTCAGCGACATGTGGATGCGTGTCACTGAGAAGGAACCACCACTCTAAGTCATGAAACTGGCCTCAGGTCTACTCCAACCCAAACGATGTAACGACTTTTCGAGGCCAAGGTCCTCGTAACACGATATGATGAGAAATGAGCTGGTGGACTTTCCGGCGGCAACGTGGCCAACATTACATACACTTTTTTTCTCCATGTGTACACAGTCGTATGCTCCTTAACGGACTGCACATACTCATACTATGGAGACACCCGGATAGATTGAGGGAAGGTTTGAGCTATGGGCACTACGCAATACTATTTCCTTGCGTTAATGCAAGCCCAGACCAGCTGGTCACGGGTCGGTCCGGATGGGACGAACCCTTTCTTAGTACGATTTCTTTGCTACCAACCTTGGCAGTCCCAGGAAAGGCATGGGATGAGAGGTTTTCCTACTTACTCGGCGTGGTACCGCACGAACGCATACTGGAGCAGCCGTGATCAAGCCAAGTTGTTTGTGTCCATGGATCATTTCTGCTTTCCCAATGTAAGAAATGTCTCACTCCTTTTGTCTTAGGGAGAGGGGACCAGAGCCCCGATCAGCACCACCCTTCCGTCACTATTCATTCTGCCGGTCCTCCTGTAATCTTGAGACATCCTGCTTCTCTCCATAGTTCGCCGAGTATCACTCTTAGCTCTGCCACTTACGTAGGAAAAGGACGCATAAGGTATTCGGTGAATGAGAAAGAGTATGTGTAATGATCTAGCATGATCGATCGCCAGCCGCACAGTCGCCGACTGGTCGCCTTCACACCACTTGGGTCCCGGCCAGATTGCTCGACCTTGGGCGATCTTCTATCCAGTGGTATTGCCGTACAGGTTGCTTCAATTAATCCTAACCTAGATCTGCAAATTAAAAAGTGAAAGGACTAGGCTGCGGAACTGGGAATTGTGAACCTCCAAGACTCAAATTTCGGACGCACCAGCGGTTAGCAATAGCAGCCGTGCTGTGCTTGCTGACTTATAATGACCTTCTCACAAAAAAGATGCAGTTCCCATTCTCGATCTTGGTTGATTGACTTCAATAACAGGGACACGCGAAACCACTCCGAATCTACGCAATCTGCTTTTCTGGAAGCCAATGTTACATGGTAGTCAAGCCTGGGCAGAGGTGCAATTGTTTGATCGCCGTTCATCCACGTTACACATATATGGGAACCATTAGGTCATAATAATTCAAATGCTCGTTCAAAGTATCTATGATCACAACGAATATCCAAAACCTCAATCGAATGACTCAAATGATCCAACCACAAGTGCTGAGAAGCATTCTCACGGATTCCCATATGAGGTGAAGGAAAGAGATCATTCGGACCAGAACCCCAGTAGCGATCAAAGTCAGAATTTTTTTGAAGAATCTTTCGTCGCTGCTGGCATCATATTCCTCCGGGATCGAAATGTCTTACTCTGTCTTGCCTTCCGTCTTCGCGCAGACTGAGTATTTTCCCTAGCAGCGGGGGAATTTCGCCCAAATCCATCGACGATCATCCGTGCTGGCTCCGTCGAGAGTATGTCAAGCTTTTTGCACGTGGCATACTCTTGATGAGAGCCGAAAGCGCTGGGAAAAAATTAAGATGTGTAAGATGGTTGGAATCTCTGGTCGTGCATCATAGATTACTCGTCTTTGAACTTTCTCGAATCTGAAGTACGAGTTTCCCAAACTGTGAACCCTCTTGTAACAGTCTAAACAGCCATTCAATCTCATCGAGATTGTTCATACCGTACACAACATGGGAAACTATCGGTCTGATTCTCTGGGTGCGTACTAATTCGACCATGTCGAAGAAGTCTTTTCTCGACCCCATTGTCGTGCCAACCAATTGAATGTTCTCTATCAATGCTTTCATGGTGAACGGCATCGTAGGGCTCACGGTCATACCATATGCCACAATCGTACCGTTATTTCTAAGAAGTCTTGCTGCTGATTTCACAATGTTACCACCAGCACCATCAATTATAGCATCGAACTGCTTCCTGTCTTGTGGCAAGAGTGACGCCAATTTCGATTCCCAATCTGGTTCGGTATACAGGACCCCGCCAGCCGCTCCCAGCTCCTTCGCTCTGCGTAGCTTTTCGACACTGCTTGAGGTTACATACACATTGCATCCCGCTGCAAGTGCAAATTTCAACACAAATAGCGCTACACCACCACCAATACCAGTAATAAGAATATTCCTCCCTGGGAAGGCGTTCTTCGAGCGGACCATCAAAGCTCTCCAAGCAGTCAAGCCCGCTGCAGGCATGGCGGCAGCCTCGGCGTCTGTCAGATGTTCCGGGCAGCTCACAACGTCGGCTTGATCCACAAGCATATACTGTTGCATCGTGCCAGTCCCAGCGGGACTCGCACCTAGGGTGAGGTATCCCTTGGCTGATTCTGGGGCTTCGGGATCACTGACCCAGCCCTGACCTGGGTTCACGATGACTCTTCGGTTCATCCAAAGTCCTGAGGCATTGGGTCCAATGTCGACCACCATGCCCACGCCATCCGATCCTAATGCCATGCCGAATTGTGGCATGGGATACAAGTCCTGTCGTAAGAAAAAGTCGCGATGATTGAGTGCTGCAGCAGACAGTCTGACAAGGACGTCGCTGCCTTCTGGTTTTGGAACTCTCAATGTGGCGAACTCGATACTATAATGAACATTATCATCTTATTCTAGCGGGGGTTTATAGGAGGATTGTGAGGTCCGAAACCCCCTGGAGTATTTCACTCGACTTACGGATAGTAGACCTCGCCCTTCTTTCCAGGTATCCATCGCATGACAACTGCTTTTGACTCCATCATTTTCCACCAAGGCCAACTATCGAAATACTAGTAATGAAAGGCGGGTTGGTCGCAAGACTTCTTGTGACTTATGGCTCTATAGCTGCAGCAGAACTAATAGTAAGTTTCCTGTACAAATCTGCTCTTATCGTCTCCTCGTCCCTTGCTGGTAGGACCATGGAAATCGTGTTCGGGCTAAGATTTGCGATCTCAAGAACAAAAATCGCGAAAATGAAAGCTTAAAGCGAAGCATTGTAGTACACGGAACTGTTGAAAGACGTACCCGACATCCCAGTGGTGAAGATGATCGGCCCATCGAGGATACCGAGGCGGCCGCGGCTAGCGGAGCAATACTTATATCGTGAACTGCGGCTGGTTCTGTAGGAGAGCATAAGCCAGTAGAGACGATCGGTTTTAGTTCGGTCTACTTAGAGTCGACTGACTCTAGTGGGTCTCTGATCCCATCCTGTTCACCGGTCTTTCCCACCATATCGGCCCTGAAGTTTATTAAATTGGCCCGTGGATGATACCCGTCCTTTCCATGCGGCTTTAAGAGGTTTCGACCGACACCCAGGACGGATTTAATGTTGTAAGATGGTCAGTCTTATCTTGTTGGCTACGGTTATCTATAATTTGCTTTGTTCTCGTAGCTCAAGGAGCTCAGCTCGACCACCAGTGATACACAGCTTGTCGGTCTCAAGCACTCTAGTCTGAAACAATACCAGATTGTCTTCGGCAAAGACCCAAGCTTCAGTTCGTAGCGTCTGCCCAGGCACCACCGTACCAGCGAAACGGACACGAATGTTTCTGTACGGCCCATATTGCTGGTAGATGTGCTTTCCTGATATGCCAAAAAAGCAAAGACCGTGAAGAATAGGTCTTTCGAAACCAGTCCGCCGTGCTACTTCAGGATCTATGTGTAAGTCATTGGTATCGCCGTTAAGGCGGTATAGAGCAGCTGACTCTTCTGTTGTTTTCTCTTCTCGCATGAAATCCGGTTCGCGCGGTGGTGGGCGGCTTGGAGGTTCTGATATAGTAGGTTCAGATGGACCACCGAAGTTTCCGGCATCCCGAATGTATGCTGAGGACTCATTGTAGAATATATCTTCTCCTGTGCTAATGTCGCGAGTTGTGTACGCTATTGTGACAACAGCAGCCTTGCTTTTATCCAGCACATGGAGCAATTTCGGATACGTAACAAGCTTCCCCCTGGTGGGAACAGGATATTTTCGAATCTCGAGATAAATCTCACCGTGTAAGAGTTTCAGAGGATCCCATTGCGGCAATAGTTCGTGGTAAGTAAAAGGCAATTTGGTTCGAAACCATGGGATTGCTCCGAATGTTGGGAGTACTTGAAATTTCTTGTCATTTTCGTAGATCAGCGGGATTTCCGTCCACTTGACTCCCAGGGTGAGATCTGTAGAAGGTCAGTTTCTTAGTACCAGGGCCTTAAGAACTTTAGCCATATGTGACAGACCACAACTTACTGTATAGAATGGCATCTCTCTGCGTGTACTCGAATATGGACCCATCTCCCTGGACCTTTTTCGCATCCTCGATTCTGCCCAAAGTGCCTTGTCGGTAAACTTGGTCATGGAGACGTTTAAGACCATTCTCGTACTCTTCAGGATATGACTTTAGTTCAAAATTCGTAATCGTGGCTAGGCATTTCAACGCCTCCTCACCACCGAGGTGCTCAGTCTCGTTCCATTCAATACCCCCGTTGGCCTCTAGCCTTGTACGTGCATGCCAGCCACCACCAATCTCGTACAAGCCCCCTGTTGATGGATAAGGCACAATGTTAGAGCACATCAATGCCACAAAAGGCGCTGAGAACTGAGGCAAGATCTCCGTACTGCTCCCCTGGAGCGCACCTGCGAGGCCAGGAGTCGACGCCACGGGAGCTACAGCATTGACAGTGATGTTATGCAGGGCTCCTTCGTGTGCCAGGGCACTCGAAAAACCAATGATCGCGCATTTCTGAAAGTTATTAGCAATATCCACCGCAAAACATGCCGCGCGTCTTACTGCTAGAGAATAGTTGGACTGTCCAAAGTTACCATAGATGCCGCTGGTGCTGGTAATGTTCACAACCCTACCATAACCCTGGCGTACGAAGTGGGGCCACGCCGCCTTTGTGATCCTATACGTGCCTCTCAGGTGAACATCCATGATAGTATCCCATAGGGAATCAGTCATATTAGCAATCGTTTTATCTCGCACAAACCCTGCATTATTGACGACCACATCGAGGCGGCCAAACTTGTCAAATGCGTCGGCGACGATTTTCTCGCCTTCAGTGACGGAGTGAATGACAGTGTGTGCCGTACCTCCTGCATTTCTGATCTCTGCGGCAACTGAAGACGGGTTTTTTACGTCATTCAACACAACTTTTGCACCGAGCTTCGCGAATTGCAAAGCGTATGCTCGGCCTAGCCTGCTCATCAAGTCAGTTTATCACAGATATTGTCATCGCCTAGGAAGGGAAACATTACCCTGAACCTGCACCAGTGACAAGAACCACCTTTCCATCAAATCTGATGTCTTTACCAGGGCCTCCTGGCCTTAACTTCTTGGTCTTGGCCACAACGGCCTGGAAATCTGACGACGAGTTCGGATACGAGCCTTTGGCAAAGTCGTTGATATCGGGCCACCTGCTTTGTATCGAAGCTGGCGTCATTCCTGTATCCGGATTCTGCCACCCACCTGCCGCTCGTTGCCAGCGAAGCATCTTGAGCTGTCTTCCCTCTACGTGATAAAGGTGTCCAGTTATATCACAGTTTGATGGATGCGATAGGACAGCAACGGAATGCAGCACACCATCCATTACACTCTGCGTTGGCACTGTGGTAGAAGTCTCAGCCACTGGGGTGGCCAACGTACAAGCGATAATATTGTATCTGGCGCCTTCTCTCGCGATAGTCTGCATGAAGCCTAGGTGACCGAATTTTGCGGCTATCAAGTTAAACCTTGAGAGATCCTGGAAACGATCTTGCTTCACATACCAGACTGCAATATAGTGTCTCCTGAGCTCGTGTCGGCTAGCACTGAGCTTGTACTGATGATTCTTCCGTACTTCTGCTGCTTGAAATAGGGCCAAGCAGCATGTACGCTCTGTTAGCAGCTAACATTAGTCATAGGCTTCCTCTTTAGATTCACGCGTGAGCTTGCCTTGTAGGTCAGTTTGAAGCTGTCTTCAAGGAGAGAATTCCAGTCGTGATCCTGAAGCTCATCCCATGAAGGATCATCCTTGGGCATAGCATTGCAGATCAGGACGTCAATTCGCCCGAAGTTCTTGATCGCGACATCAACAATACTGCCACCGTCGCATGGGCCGCCGTAGGCTGCTACTGCTTTCCCACCGTCGGCTTGAATTTCTTCGACAACCCGATCAAGAAGCGACTAGAGTCCGATGAGCTATGCCGAAATGAACAACTTCAGGTGGAGAAATCCCACCTGGCGAAAATGGTCTTGAACCACAATATTTGCTCCTAAGGATGCGAACCATTTTGCATAGGAACATCCTAGGCCATGGCCTACACCTGTTATAAGTATCGTCTGGTCATCAAAGCGAAGTGACATCGTTGTTGCTATCGACTTATTCTGTATTCTAGGCTGAATTCAACGGATGCTGTAGCAACATCAAATACATTATGATAGCCAGTCATATGCTGTTCAAGTATATGCTTCTAGGTCCGGATTGCCGCATCTGAGGGGCGGTTTTCTGCAAAGTAACTCACAGGTCGTGAAGGTTGTGACTACCGAGCCGCGTACCACGGTTAAGTAAAGGCTCGGTCAAAGGGTGGATCGAGAGTACGAGGGGAGCGGGGACACTGTGCACGGTTTTGTGGAGTAACGCGCGCGAATATTCCAAGACCCCGTCAGCCTGCTGTCTAAATCTTGCATCGGATACACCGGAAAGTGTTGTTATGAAGAGTACAATTGTGATGTCTCAAGAGCTGTTAAGCAAGCTTCATCATAGTGAGCTGACTCTCCTCAGGCAGTAGATTATTACACCAATTTGAACTTCATTCATTCATCTGTACGTGCATGGAGATCATCTACAGCCTAGCACTATTCGATTTCGTGGACGAAATTGATAGTGTCCGACCCTCTGCCGGTCCCTCTATAGCAGCCTTCTCCCTAAGTAACCGCCGCAGTATTTTACCAGACTAGTCTTCATTAGTGTATGTTGAAAATTTCCTTGGGAAGAAAGAAGGAGGCGTGACAAGCGAGACCATAATGGCTATGAGCATAAATTAGACTCACCGGATTCTTTGGAATCATGTCACAAAAAATAATTCCGCCCGCGATACGCTTGATCTTCGCAGTCCTCTCGGCCATATACTGCAAGATCGCATCTGCGGAGACCTGGCTTCCAGATTTTCTGACGACATATGCAAGCGGTATTTGGTCCTCGTTTCTAGTACATTGTCAGTTGGATACCATCAGGAAGCTCTATGAACATACCGCTCAATGCCAATTACCGCAGCATCTAGGATGTCCGGGTGCTCTAGTAGTAAGGCTTCTAGCTCAGCAGGTGCAACCTGATTGCCCTTCACCTTAATCAATTCCTATTCCCCACGTCAGCTTTCACAGCCAAGAATCCGGTCGCTCAGGCTATTCACCTTCTTTCTGTCAATTATGACATATTTGCCGTTCCCGTCTGCAAAAGCGATATCCCCTGTTTTCAGCCAACCATCTGGTGTAACAACCTTGGCTGTTTCTTCCGGCTTGCCCCAATAGCCTTTCATCATTGTTGGTGTTTTGCACCATAGCTCACCTGCCTGGCCGGGAATGACCTCTTTTAGGCCTTCATCGTCCATGATTTTCACCTCACAATTTGCCACCGGTTCGCCCACCGCTTGAGTTCTGGAGACTTCACGTTCGTCCCAATTCAGGATCGAGATTGGCAGCCTAAGTAATGTCAGTGATAAGTTACCCAAGCCATTAAGAACTGTGCTGTCAAACTCTGTCATTCCCCATCCTTGCTTGACATTGACATGACCTTTGGGCCACAGCGTCTCTAATTCTTCGCATTTTTCTCGTGACAGTGGTGCAGCTCCCACACTTACTTTGCGTATGCTCGAGAGATCGTAACTGCCCATTCTTGCCTCTGGGCTATTGGCCATAGCAACAAGAATCGGAGGAACAAGCATCAACTCTGTGATTTGGAATCGTTGAATATTTTCCAGCATCCCTAACAAACTATAGCGTTTCATGATGACCGTTGGCCGCCTATAATAAGGGGCCATTGTGGCAAAAGTCAGTAACCCGAGTCCATGGTACATCGGTAAAACTGCTAAGAGGCGCTGTGGCTTAGTCCTGTTAGGATCCAGCGTGCGAAGATGGCCAAGTTGAACGCAGTTGGCAACGAGACCGTAATGGGTGATTTCCACGCCCTTGGGCACGCCTGTGGTGCCGGAAGAATACAACAAGGCAGCGGTTTGTCGGGCATCCTCTATTGTCCGCATCTCTTTCCAACGAAAGCCCTCCGTCCTTTCTTTAGTTGCGATCATGTGTTTCCAGTGGCGAATTTCTCCAACATCTTGGCCGCCAGATCCTAGCGGCGGCGCATCATCAAAGATGGAAATCCGGTGAGGACTGTAGTTTGCGAGCCTGGCGGCTTCTCGTGCACTCGCAATGCTTGCTTCAGCAATCAATAGGAATCGGGGTTGTGAATCCTTAATCTGGTATGCAAGCTCTCGTCCTACAAAAGCTGGGTTCGCGGTTGAGATGATCCCGCCAGCCATGATCACTCCCATGAAAACCACCGGAAAGAAGATATTGTTGCCTGAGTAGACCAAAACACGATCATTGGGACAAAGACCAGCATCAAGCAGTCCTGCTGCGACTCTTTTACACCATAGTGCATAATCTCTCCATGATAACTTCAGTCGGTCAGGGTCCTGGGCGTCGATATACGCAGGAGTATCTGGTAGTAACGCGGATGGGTCTCCTAGCAGTAGTGATGGGAGTGAGATAATGGGGATATCGACAGTCCACCTTGATTTCTGCGGCATATTCGACGTGATATTGAGGTCAAGGTTCGATGAACGTTTGTAGGGCAATGTGTCAATATGAGTAGTGGGAGGGACTATGTTGTGATTCAAGCAAAGGGGCGTTCGCTGGTACCAGTAACATCGACTGTGAGCCTACTTCAGTATATGATCTCCAAGAAACGTCTGTCGGAGGACTGGCAAATGGGATATCAAACGCAATTTGCCGTGGCAATGGCTGACGGAAGAGTATTCAACGGCAAGCCAGACAAGGGAGCCTCGGCGTTAATTGGAGAACTCAATTTTTCACCCGGTTCAAGCATCGTATCAATGACTACAGGCAAACTTGGGGACCTTTTCTTTTAAAGTAACACAAAAGGAGAGCTCCTCAATGCTAGGCCTTAGATACGCTTCGTCCGCCGGTCTCGTATTCTCTTGCTGAAGTAGTCACGAACCCGATTTGCCTGAGGAGGAACAATCTGCGAGCTTTACGCTCGACTTCATATCGTAAATTCTAGTTTAGACGAGAAGAACCCAGCAACCTCGGAATATCTGTCTCAACATTGAGGAAAGAGCATTTCAATGATTTAGGATGCGTTATGCAAGGCTCAATGTCCTTACTGACTATTATTGAGGAGAGATGGAGCGCACTCTCAAGCACATGAACGATAATCGGCTGACAAGGTCGAGCTGACGAACAACAGCATTACTGACATCATTAGCTACCTAACCTTCAAGCACTAACTATCAAACGACTGAAGGACTTGGCGGTAATTTGCTCGGAACCGCAAACCCCACAAGCCATGCCTCACTTGTGGGCGTGCCTGGAAGCTATCGCTCTCCCCGCTTCTGGGCGGGCTGCCGCTGCCTCGGCCATCTCATCGATGTAGCTGTGCGTGGTCGTGCGCCAGCTACTGTAAGTAGCCAAGTAGGTAGTTGATCACTTGACAGGTCCCCTGGCTTAGAACCCGGGTCAGACATCAAGAGAGAAGAAGCCCCTCTTTCTTCGTATGACCCCGTTATGCTCCCAAAGCCATGCTTAGCGTTCAAACATTTCATGTTCTGCAAATCCGTTAACCACAAACACCTCGGCTAGTCTTTTAATCCAGGACGATGTCTCAAATTTCATCGCAAGGGCTCGCACAGATTCATGCTCAGTCTAGCCAAACGAGTGCAACTATGGCAGCTACGATGCCAAAAAGCTTCAAGAGGCGTGCTGGCAAGGCGTGTTCCTTCTGCCAGTGGCGAAAGATTCGCTGCAATGTCGAAGAAAGACATCCATGTAGCAACTGCGTTCTGGAAAGAATCGAGTGCTCGATCACTAAAACGAGAAAGCCAAAGTATGCTCAGAGGCGCATTTCCGGGTTTCATGTAGGGGTAATTGACCTGCTACAGAAAAGCAAAATTGAACCACGCTGCCTCAAATTCAGAGCAGCGTCCAGAGCGACAGATTGTGATACCGGAGAGACACACCAATACGATGGATGTTGTTGATCTCACCGACGTCACAGCACCTACGTCCTACCCACCTGCCATCGACGTTGATCATTTTGGCACTCAAGAGGAACAGGCTTCCTTGCCAGCTCACCGACCTGAAACAGTCGTGCAAGGCAGGTGTTGAATTTTCTGCAACGTGACACAGTCATTGATTAGTCTTATCAGCTCTTTCCCTATCTCTGACACCAAGTCTTGCATCGGCATCGCCACAAGGGGGATCTGATGCCTTGCTTAAAGAAGGTGCTACACATTTCACCCTACCCGATTTTCTAGAGCCAATACCGACGTCCTTGTTGCCGGAAGATCTTGGGTATCTTCACAAAAAGGGCTGCTTTGATATACCAGCTCCCAAGTTCCGCGACGCCCTCTTTCGAAGTTATGCTGAATTTTTCCACCCATATATGCCGCTTCTAGACTTGGGTAGATTTCTTAAAGTGGTTACTTCACAAGTGCCCCAGAATTCCCGTGTCAGTCTTTTGCTTTTTCAAGCCATCATGTTTGCCGGCAGCGCCCACGTTGATATAAAGCCTTTACGCATGCTGGGGTTTCTGACCAGGAAAGCTGCTAGAAGAGCCTTGTACCTGAAAACGAAAGTGAGTCGAGCAATGGGCATTTGCCATTGAGGCAGCGCTAATTGCTTACAGACGCTGTATGACTTGGACTACGAGAAGGACAGGCTTTGTGTCATAAGAGTCCTCATCATCATGTCGCATTGGTACGAAACTCCGGATGACCAGAAAGATGCTTGCCACTGGTTACAGATTGCCATATCCCTGAGCAGACGTGCCGGTCTAGATCAAGACCCAGCAAATATGCCTATTCCTGAAGCCGAGCGACGAATAAGGAGACGTATCTGGTGGTCATGTGTGAACAGAGACCCTTTATGCGCACTTGGTCTGAAGTCACGGCTCAGTCTTCATCCGCGAGATCACGATGTGCCGGACTTGCGAGTTGATGACTTTGAACTGGGAGATGTTCCTCCGGACGGATTCGAACGCGTCGGAATGGCTTGGCCACCTGGTAAGAGACGCTTGTTATGCCTGGGGTCCGTCTGGCAAACACAACTTCACAAGCATCTTTCCGACATCCTCGGTGAACAGTATAAACTTGGAGACTACCGAAGTGCGTCACAGAAAGCAGACTCTAAGTCAACAAAGATGATACTTCTTCCTGTGGCCAATGAAGCAACTCGATTGAACCTAGAGAAATTGGAGACTCGTCTTCAATCATGGTACAGTTCTCTTCCATCAGAGCTTCAGACAGCTGCTGTAGGCTCAGAAATACCTGACTCCGGGTTCGAATCATTTGTGGTCTTCCGTACAGCTCTGCATATGCTTTACCACACCTGTCGCATCACATTGCATCGACCTTGGGTCCGGTCACCACAAAATATTGAGCCGACAAATGGAAGTGAAACAGAGGGCGACCTTCGCGGAACACTACAGGCATCGGTCAGAAGATCAGCGCAAGCTATCACTAACTTAGCGATGGAGCTACATCAGATCGACCTCGTACGTCATCTACCGCAGACAGGCATCAGCGCGCTTGTTGCTGCAGTTGTCAGCCATATATCCGACATGCTCGCTTCTTCCGATGATGTCCAAAGAGCTGGGCTGAAAGGCTTCGAGCAGTGCTCACATCTGCTGAACGAACTCCGCGAAAATTACTACTCTGCGGACTTCTCGGCCGATTTTGTCAAATTACTGGCTCAGGCTAGGAAACTGACAGATAAATCGAAACTCGCTGAGACAAGCCTCAACTTCGTTGGGGAAGTTCTGGACAATCAAGTCTCGGCTCAGTCTGGCTTTGCAGCACTACATATGGAACCACAGAGCACTGATCCGGAATTCACTGCTCCCCCTGTGCTAAGACCTCTACCAGAAGCTCTGTTCCCCGAAGGTATCAATTTATCAAGTCACGAGGCAAATAATCAGAACAGCCAGTGGAGCTTAATCGGCGAATTTGATAGCACCGTGGATGCTCACCAAGCAATAATTCCTTCAGAATTTACTGAAGACTGGGATAGTTATCGCAACTTCAGGGACGAAACAGTGAGACTCCTAGGGGATATCTATGAGGATTTCCTACCTGGTCAATTTGGGACACTACCTGAAATCGATGCTTTATCGGGCTGATCACGCTTCTTGTCAAAGGAAAGTTACTCCACATAACAATGAATCCACTTCAAACTTGACATCCATACCTCATAATGATCCTACCAATTGTCCTCTCAAGTAAAGGATAGCCTAGATTCACAATCTGGCCTCTAAGAGCAATTTGAGTACTTCTTACTATGTCACCATCAAAACCTAGCCTCAAGCTTCGTCTGCGTATCTCCCAATGCCCATTCACTGCCCGCTGTCGCCGAGCGCACCTGCTGAGCCTGAGCCCTGGTAAACCCTCTCGCTTCCACGGCAGGGTTGTAACCCAAGCCAGTCAATTTGGCAACCTCATGGTCAGGTACCTTCGCATTGGGCTTGCCATCAGCACGTTTATAAACAGTGACGACGCCAGCACCTCCAAGTCCAAGGTTATGTGCAAGAGCTGAGTCTGTGCCTTCGACTAGGCGGTTGTTGGCCCAACCCCGTAGATGCCATACTAGCTCCGCGCATTGTGCAAGGCCGGTAGCACCGAGCGGATGGCCTTTCGACAAAAGGCCACCTGATGGATTAACCAATGTTCTTCCACCATAAGTGATATTTCCACTGCGAACGTACTCATGAGCTTTTCCGGGCTCGCAGAGTCCCAACGCATCGATAAAAACCATCTCTGCAGGCGAGAAACAGTCGTGAAGCTCCACCAGTTTGATATCATCAATCGATCTCACTTGTGCCTCTTCCAAAACATCTTTGATAATGGATTTGGTAATTCCATGGCCGACTAAGTTAACTGCTGAACCATTGTATGTGGACAGCGGATCAGTGGCGATACGTTGGCCTGCGATTAAAACCGCTTGCGATTTAAGTTCTGGACGAGCATCTAGAAATGCCTGAGACACGACAACTGCAGCAGCTCCTCCATCGCTGGTAGGACAGCATTGCAATTTGGTCAGAACACCTTCAATCTTTGGTGCACTGAGTATTTGATCTGTCGTATACACATCTTGAAACTGGGAGTATGGATTTCTTTGCGAATGTTCGTGATTGACTCTTGCGATCTCTGCGAAATCCCGTGGTTCTGCACCATACCTATCAAACCCAATTAGTTATTATACCTTAAATCCTCTGTCTCAGGAGTCTCACTTACTTATCAATATATTCCTGAGCGGCGTTTGCAAATAGCTGCGCAGCAAAAGGAGCTTTGGACAATGGTCTGATCGTCTCACTCATGGCCCGACTCCTCGCCAAAGGATCCGTGCGATCCTTCCAGAAAGAACTTAAACTACCAGGATTCATTTTCTCAAATCCCACGACAAGGACACAGTCGGCTGCGCCGTGTGCGACAAAGTTCTTCGCCATGGCCAGGCCCGTTGATGCTGTCGCGCAATTATTGTTTTGGTTGTAGATTGGGATACCGGTCATTCCAAATTGGTAGAATACGCGCTGCCCACAGGTGCTGTCGCCGTAGCAGTAGCACGCCACTCCCATTTCTACATCGTCATACGTAATGTGAGCATCCAGCATGGCTTTAATGCCCGCCTCGTACCCAAGCTCCGTGTACTCGACCTTCCCTCGTGGTTTGACGAATTTTGTCAAGCCCACACCAAGCACATATGTCGGTATAATCGAATGTTTCGGGGCCATCTTAGTCAGATGTTGTTACGGTGTATGTATTGTAAAGCAGAAACTGTAAGCACAGAGGTCGACTACTCACCTAACTCTTGATATACGTTATATCAGATATGGATCGATCTGTTCGGTGTCGTTTCATAAACCAAAACGTCAAGCGTATTTAGGGGATGCCCAACTTGGCCAGTTCTCTTCCCAACGCCACGGTGTGAATCTCTTCTGAAGCGCTAGTCATGGTTGTCTGAATCCCGTTGTCCCTGCAAGACACTACATGACACTAGCGCATACAGTCAATAATTTCAGCCGGCTGACGGCTCCGAAACTAAACTTGGGCGGTCATATTTTACTCTTGATACGGATCGGTGGAAGACAATTGTTTAAGCGTTAGCCGCTAACCGTCAACCGCTAAACGTCAACCGGCCGTTAACCGAGAGCATATATCTTGGCAAGGCTGAGATTCGTTCGTTACTTACCAAGAAGGTAACTCGCATTGACCTTAATGGCTGGGAATGATTTTGTTAGTCGTAGGTCCTTTTCGCATGGTATCAGCGTTATCCTTGCTAGCACATATCTACCGCTATTTGGCCTGACATCATCGCATCACAACTTATGCCTCTTTTGCCCACTTCGAATCTTTTGGAACTCGATGTCCACCACCCCAGAGGCCAGTCTTCCCCATCCTGCAAATACCTCAGCAACATTATGCAAATCAATCGCGTCCCGTGTCGGCTGACGCAGAAGCACTTTGATACCAAGCATGCTTTCACTGCTCAAATGATCACCGAGCAGTACTTGGAGCTCTTTCAACACCATTGCCAAGAAGTCTCCATCATTATCTCCTGCATTTATGATCTGACTGAGAAATCCGCATTTCAGCAGCTCTTCGGCAGAGATCTTCCTTCCCATGAGCATAGCCTCGTTCGCCAATGAAATACCCATTCTTTGGACTAACGTTCTCGACGTGCCTACTTCGGCAACTAGACCCAGTGATGCGAAAGGCAGTAATAGGTATGCTTCAGGTGTTGCGTAAATGAAATCTGCAAATGCAGCCACTGCAGCACCACCTCCCACGGCCGGACCATTGAGTGCGGCAACAAGGATTTTCGAGTGTGTGGCAGCTGCACGCGTCAAGTAGAGATTTCCAGCGACGAATGTCTGTAGCAAGTGCCGACGTGTGTCTTGATTTGAAAGTGGCGGCGACCTGCTGACATCTGCGCCGCTGTAAGTTGGTTTTGTATCAGATTTGCAATTCGTGGATTTTTATAGCAGAAAACAAGAGAAAGGAAATTTCTTACGCCGAGAAGAACCTTCCCGTACCAGTCAGAATGGTTACGACAATTTCATGTCGTTCGTCGATCTCTCTTAAGAGATTTGCCAAATCGTAGAATTCACTCAGAGTCAGGGCGTTGAGCTTGCTAGGTTTATTCAATGTGATGATTGCAAATTTACCCCGAGTGGTGTAAGACACGACTTCATGTGAGACAGACATATCTATGCAACCAAAAATCCTATAACTTGCGTGCAGAGCGAGGCTGGTATTCCTATGAACCCAACTTTGTGAAGCGTCAGACATTCAAAGCACAGTGTGCTTAGTATGTGTAATTGCTATTCGACAAGAATAAGGCAGTCTAATGTCCCTCGGTCCGCGGGGCCACAGCGAAAAGGATTTGAAAACATGCTATACGGCTGATGAACTGTCTAGCTCGAATAAAACAGCACACCCTGCTCTCTAGTTAGTGCTATAAGCGCTCAGTTCTACAACGTTACTAACTAGACTCAAACATCCCATAATCAGATCAACTTCGAGCACCCGAGCACCACTCACGATTTAGCCACAAATCAGGTATGGCGTCATCTCGGTCGGACCTGAGTTCAACTTGGAGAGAAGGAATTTTTGGTGCGTCAACTACGCAAGTACTATCTTGTCGTCGTGATTGTTCCTAATAAGTGCTTCTTCTTATAGACAACAAGGTCGTCTTCTGTACCGGTGGAAATGGGGATATTTGTAGTGCACAGGTACGCGCGTTAGTGTATCTTGGAGCGAATGCTTGCATCGTCGGACGAAATGTTGAGAAGACGAAAACGATGGCACGCAGCCTGGCAAGCGCACGCCAGGGGTCACGCGTCCTAGGCTACGGAGCTGTTGATGTGCGAGATTTCGATACCCTTCAAAAAGCCGTAACAAGTTGTGTGAAGGAGCTTGGGAGTATTGACTTTGTCATGTCAGCATCATGCGTCACCATCACTGTATGTTTTTGACTAACTATCTGTGTCAGCGCTGGAGCGGCAGGAACATTCCTCTCGCGAATTGCAGACATGTCTCCAGGTGCTTTCAAATCAGTCATAGATATTGATCTTATTGGTTCCTTCAACACACTGAAGGCCACCCTTCCATATCTGGAAGAGTCTGCTGCAAAATATCCCGCAACAGGAAATGCCAGTTAGTGAATCAACTCCAATTCGAAAACATGTGAGCGACTGATTTGAATGGATAGCACCAAAAGCCGGCACGGGTGGAAGAATTGTTTTCATTACTGCGACACTCCAGTATCAAGGGACGGCGCTTCTAGCACACGCCTGTGCAGCCAAGGCTGGAGTTGACACGTTGTCCTCGATAGCCGCCATTGAGTATGGCCCACGGGGCCTGACCTCCAACATCATAGCTCCTGGGCCAATTGGAGAAACAGAGGGAGTCAAGCGATTGGAATCCGCCGAGGGTTACAATAAGTCGGTCGCAACGATTCCAAGCGGCCGATTTGGCACAGTGAAAGAGATTGCGGATGCAACAATTTATCTTTTTAGTGACACAGGCAGCTATGTCAATGGCGCAACTCTGGTTGGTAAGTCGCATTTCGCACCCTATGAGAAGTTTCCCCTGGCTTCTTGGTTAACTCATGGCAGTGGATGGCGGCGCTTGGAGAACACAAGGAGGTGCTAACAAGAATGGAGACTACCCCTATCCGGGATACTATCTTTCAAGTGGTGGTCCTAGAAGCCCAGTTTCGAAGCTATAAGCAAGTAAATTAGAGTATTGCCATAAAGTTATAGAGAAGTTGTTCTTGCCTAGAAATCCGAAGATAGCTTCGCGCGTAGCTGGACTTCTTGCTAAGTGACTGCCATGAATGTGTTGAAAGCATTTTCAGTATCAGTGCTCAGAAGATTGCTCCCTCTCGATGAGCCTAGGACGGAAGTATTGGTGTCTGACGTGTCCAATCGGTAGGCAGGCGACATCAGTGGGGCCCCCTTGCCACGTATGTTTACCAGTCTCGGCCGAGGGACTTCAGTGCGGAGAACCTGGGGAAAGCATTGTTGTTACCCGAGCCTATGGGTCTTCTGCGATCCGGTTTCGACGAGCACTGATTCAAGCGTGGTCCAAGGTCGGGCGAGCCTTGACCTGCCAAGTTCTGGTGTTTCGACTCGTTAAAGTGGAAATTTATGGGGGCAAGGGACAGTCAAGGATCTATTTGAAAACGCAGATCGCCATGCATTAAGCTCATTACTTGACACATCTCCAAAAAAGATAACAAGCGCTCCCTGCTACAATTTCATACTGCCTCCAAGATGGCCTTGAAGAATGAACCATCGGCAGGCCTTGAGAAGGTACTCTCTCAGAATTCGCAAGACTCCATCCATAAGGAAGACATCGAGCAGCCGCAGCAAGCTGCAAGCTCACAGGAGTGGAGCGAAAAGGAAGAGAAGGCTCTTGTGTCAGTAACATGCCACTGTATTCCCGAAGAATCACATGCTGACTTGTGCAGGAGAAAAATTGACTTCAATGTATTTCCGATGCTGTGCATAATCTTTGGCTTTTCACTTCTCGATAGAACCAACATCTCCGCAGCATATATAGCAGGCATGTCTGAAGACCTGAAGCTCTCAGTTGGGTGGGTTGAGACTGCCGTAACTGGAGAAGCACACATTGCTGATGAAAATACGGACAGTTCTCGATATTCAATTGCGTTACTTGTTTTCTTCATCGGTATGTGAGAAGTATTTGACGATTGGGGCAAAGGCTCACGAGCTTTAGGTTATGCTCTGTTCGAGATTCCATCGAACATGGTCATTCGACGCATTGGATCACGCGTCTGGCTTCCTTTTCTCATCATTGTTTGGGGCACAGCTGTCCTAGCTATGGGATTTGTGCACAGCTGGGTGTCACTTACTGTTCTGAGGGTTATTCTCGGGATATTCGAAGCGGGTTGTAAGTATACTCAATCTTTGCAAGGCGAAATATGTGATTGCTAACAAGAATAGTATATCCTGGAGCCGTTTTCATCATTGCCTCCTGGTATAAGAAGTATGAGATGGCTGCGAGAATCTCTTTATTTTATATGGCGGCTCTTTTAGCCTCTGGCTTTGGTCCCATTGTAAGCGTTGAATCTCCCATCTATGTGCAATTGCTTGCTGACATTGGGAGTTTGCGTATGTATTGTCCTTGATACGCGTGGGGGATGGGATGTACCGGCAAGGCTGGAGATGGAGTAAGTGCCATTCCTCAAAGCCTAGATCCTTCGGTGTTTGAACTTGAGCATTAGCTGCTGCTGCTGTCCTCTTTATGTTGCTTCTTGCTGCTAATATTGGTGGTGTAGTTTTCATTATTGAAGGGATCCTTACAATCGTTGCTGGTGTTGTGGCACCATTTTTCCTCGTTGACTGTAAGTTTGCTCAACTCAAAATTGGAAGGAAAAAAAATTGATAACACTGAAACTGATTGAAATGTACTCAGTCCCAGAAAAGGCGAAGTTTTTGAACGAACGACAAAAGCACATCGCTCTCACTCGTCTGCAAGAAGGGCGAGGAAGTGAGAATCGCGAGCATGTAACTATGGGACAAGTACTGCATATGCTAAAGGATTGGAAGTTAATTGTCTTGTAAGTCGTGACCAGTGACTGCATGGCTGGCCCATCCTACTTTGTACAGCAGCATGCTCACGGCGATTCCCAGTTCTTTCCAATACTATGTGGCAGCTGTCACTGTGTATGCACTCGCATATTTTCAACCAATCATCCTACGGCAAGGGATGGGATATAGCTACGCCTTGGCCCAACTCTTGTCCAGCCCGCCATATGTCTTCGCCACAATAATGAGTTTAACCACAGCATGGCTCTCTGACAAGCTGAAGATCAGATGGCCAATTATCTGTGCACAGTGTACCGTGGCAGTTGTTGGCCTCGTGATCGTCCTTTACGGCAAGGCCCCCGGATTTCGCTACTTCGGTCTCTTCCTGGCGGTATATGGATCTCAAGCAAACGGACCGCAATTTCTAGCATACGGCCAAAATCAGACAGCAACACTGAACAAGAAAGGTGTGGTTGCTGCTGTGATGATCAGCGTGGGGGCTGCAGGCGGCGTGACCGGAAGCACGATCTTTCGAGCTCAGGATGCACCGGTAAGTCAAATTTTCTGGAGCACTGTGCAGACTTTCTGACGCAAATTTCGATAGGCGTACATCCCCGGAATGTGGACGACTATCTCACTCCAAATTACAGCGGGGGTAGTCACATTTCTGACCTCTATGTGGCTAAAACGTCAAAATCAGCTTGCTGCTGAAGGCAAAAGACCGGCTTTGGAAGGGGTTGAGGGTTTCAGATATGCCCCATGAGTATGAAATGTAAGGGTGACCTTTTCTAGGGGTACTTAGTATGTCAACGTTCATGCCTCTGAGCAAGAGGGTGTTCAGCAGAAAGGCTTTCATGAGTGGACAGGATCTGAGGCTCACCGGGCGCGCCGCAGATAGATCGTGGAGGGCCGTAGCCTCGTACAAAATGGCCGTAGTCAATTAGAGCTACGTCTTGGGGATTCAATTGTTCTTGGTACCAATCCTAGTCAGGGTGGTGTAGTGCATAGTGAGCAAGCCGCCATAGGGGCCAGCTACTAGTACGCATGGTGGGCGGCCAAATATATCCGCTTTTTTAAGATCCCATATTTAAAGCTACATACGCGATACATCCTCTCGACTTTCATCCGACCTAGCATATAGAAGTTTCTCAGTCACGGGAAACTTTCAAAGGTTACTACCAAAAGAGAAAGTGGTTTTAACTTTAATGGTCATGTTGTTGTCCCATTTCTTCTATGAAGAACTTACTATTATAAAGTCACCCTATATCTATCTGATCTAGAATAAAATCTAAATCGAGAGGCACTTCGAAGGTAAAGTAATCGAGGACTTTGAGATAACTCTAGAAGTGCTCTTTATGCAGACCCCCGCAAGATCCTTAGGAAGAACCTGTGATGGTATCAAAAGCGTTCAAAGAAACCTTTCCGCTGCAGTATTGGATAGTTGACAGAAGGAGAACGCTCGAGAGCACCGAGTATGATCAAGTGTACCATGGCTATTTCATTAACAAAGAAGTAGCATTGACCTTTGAACAATGAGGAAATGTTTGCTCTGATTCTTCTAGTTGGCTCAGCATTGAAGTTAGGCCATTTAGAGCAAAATTTCTTCTCCTAACACTGCGTGACTAGTTAAAGTCAGGACTTGCTTGCCTCCGAGTCAACCTCATACATGATAAGAGCCAGCCAGCCAGCCAGTTAGACACTCCACGAAAGGGGGCCTGCAAGATCTTTCTTGACAGTGTACCTTGCATACCTACCAAAAAAGCCTCATGCAACTGCAAGTTAACATCTCCTTCACCATGTCGTTCCCGATGCCTCTCCTCCCACCTAGGCTACCAGGCAATCCGAGCCAAGATCCCACGTGGGTATTTCCTCACGCACATTTTTCTAAGCTCATCAATTGAGAGCAGGCCCAGTCCAAAAGCCATGGGAAGGAACCAATGCTCGACGGGAACATGCTCACAGCCCAGATCTTGCATTCCGGGTACAAGAGTGAAGATTAGCGCGATGGTCAGCGCGAACAATATAGCCGGGAACAAGAGCCAATTCTGTGTGAGTCTGTTGAGGAGTGGTGGATGGGAGAAGATACTCAGGTGACGCGTTCTCAGTGCCATGATGTTGAACCACTGCATCACAACCAGCGTGATGAAGTAGATACTGCTGGCGACAGTGAGGTGGTGGGTGACATCGTCAGTGGTCTGGCCTTCAGGGGTGGGGATATTGCCAAATGAAAACCACAGGCTACCGAATGAGAGACCTTGGCGGGTCAAATACCAGTAGCTCATTGCAAATGAGCTGACGGTCTCGAGGATGCCGATGAGTCCGTAGGACTGAAGGAGTAAGCGCCAGTCGACGAGGCGATCCTTGTTGACGTCACGCGGGGGTCGAAGCATCACATTTGCCTCGGGCTTTTCGTATGCCAGGACCGTTGCGGCGATGCAATCGGTGAAACAGCAGATGATGATCATGAGGAAACTGGAAAGGACTTGTGGTAGACCAAAGACCACACTAGTCATCACAGGCCAGAATTCGGCGAAGGAGCCGGCAGGGAGGAGATATGCGATCGTCTTCTTGAGATTATCGAATACCACACGACCATAAAGAACGGCTTCTGGGATGGCTGAGAAGGACTCGAGTAATACCATGTCAGAGGCTTCGATGGCGATATCTGAACCAGAAACAGGAGCAATGCCAATGTCAGCTTGCTTCAAACTGGGAGCGTCATTAACTCCATCTCCAGTCATGGCCACCACAAACGACTTAGCCTGAAATTCTTTGACGATACGTAATTTCTGGTCCGGTGTAGTCCTGCTGAAGACAATCTCCGAGTACTCAGTTGCTAGAGTTGACCATTGATGCTCTGATAGTGTGAGAAGCTCTGGACCGGTCAGGACAATGGCTTTGGTAGTAGAGGGGAGAGCGTTAGATCTCGCCTTTCGTGGCTTTATGACAGCTCCATCGCTGTAGCGGGGAAGATTGTTGATTGAATGCACTTCAGAGCTGTCAACGGTGATGATGCCACACATGCGAGCAATGGCTTGGGCAGTCAACTTGAAGTCTCCCGTCACCATCATTGTACGAATTCCTGCGCGACGTAGAGTTTGTATCACACTCGGAACCTCGTCTCTTGGAGGATCGACAATGGCGACCAAGGAGATCAAGGTAAGCCCTCCCTGAGCCTGCGATATTGCTTCACCTTCAAAGGAGTTGTCGCCGGGATCTGATTTCAAGGCCGATGCAGATAAAGGTTTGCGAGCGAGCAGTAGTACTCGTTTACCCTCGTTCGACCATGAGTCTTTTATACCTTCAATAGAAGAGCGTATTCCATCTTCGAGCTCGTGAGTCTCGCCATCTTCGCCGACATACTTCGCGCAACGAGGCAGCAAGATATCTGGTGCACCTTTGATCATCAGAAGCATGTCGTCTTCAATACGAAAATCTTTAGCTTCAGCGGCACTCAGAGTGGTCTGAACTGCAGACTGTTCATCTGGTGATGATATTCTTAGTGCAAACTTGTTCTTGGAATTGAAAGCCAGGTCAAACCGTTTGCGCCACATGTTGCGAGATTGATTCACTGGTCCAAGGCTCTCGGAGAGTCGTAGGATAGCTTGATCTGTAGCATCGGCAATAATTTTTCGGTCGGCTAGCGGAAGGTGCATAGTTGTGGGATCGAATTCGCCTGCATTGCATACGGCTGACACAACCTGGAGCTGTTGAAGCGCATCCTTCCGTGATGTCGACTCATCCTTCTCCGCCCCTATTTCCTCAGCGGCATGAGATGCTGTCATGGTTGTATATCCGAGGAGAACATCAGTCACCACCATTTGATTCTTGGTCAACGTTCCTGTCTTGTCGGACAGCAGCACAGAGACTGAGCCAAGAGTCTCGACCGTCTTGAGAGATTTGCAGAGAATGAAATTCTTCTTCATAATGTTGGCGGTAATGGTCAATGAAGCAGTCAGAGCGATGGGTAGGCCTTCAGGGACGAAAGCAATTGCAACGCTGACGATATTGACAATCAAAGAGGCAACCGGCATATACCCAGGGTGTTCTTTGCGAATATAGCCTGCCCAAACAGCTATCACGATAATGTTCATAAGTACCATAAGCGAAACAATAATGATAACAAATCGCATGATCTCCCTCTGGAGTGTCGTTTGACCAGTCGAAGGTTGATTGGTCAACTTGGCGATATGGCCAAAAACTGTGCTGTCTCCAGTGGAGACAACGATACCAATGCCGCTACCGGTCGTGCAATGAGTTCCTTGCATTCCAATCGATCTTGTCTCAAGATAATTGGCATCTGTGGACGTAGTCGAGGCAGGGAGGGGCAATGATTCCCCTGTGAGGATACTTCGATCGAATTTAGCATCAGAAGAAACGTCGATGAATCGAATATCTGCCGGAAGTTTGTCGCCAGCCTTAAAGAACAGAATATCTCCAGGCACAACGTCCGGAGCTTGGATAACTTGTTTTGTTCCATCACGTAGAACTTGACATGCTTCCGGGAGCATTCCAGTGATACTGTTCATGACTCTTGATGAAGAAAAGTCCTGCCAGGCGTTGAAGGCAGCCTGAAGAAGGAAGACGGCGACTAGCACAATGGCCAGGGCAAGATTAGCAGGAGCTGGAGGCTGACCTAGTGGCTTCCAGGAGATGAAAACGAGGATAGCACCAATAAGTAGAATGGATCCGAAGCCGCCAAAGAAGTAACCAAAAAGCTTAGAGGCAAGTTGTGAAGGAGGTGGTGAAGGAACATTGCGACCATATTTGGCAGCCTTCTCTTTTACTCCGGCGACGGAGAGACCTGTAGAGGTGGAAGTCTGTAGCCGCTGGCAGATTTCTTCCTGTGATATCGTATGCCAGTCAAGACTGCCGACGTCTAAGACTGTCAGCAAGATGTAAACTTGATTTAGTATTGCTAGACTTGCCGACGGCGGTCTTCTCTCGAGCATCTTTAGCCTTCACAGCATCTTGCTCGCGTTGGAATGATATGGTGTAACTCAGTGTGCGATACTGGACAGGAAGAACAATAGCTGGGTCAATGGCACGTCGCCCGCTGCGGACACTGGATAAGGAGTGAACGGAGTAAGTTGAGTTGGTTCTTCTTAATGGATGTCCCATCTCCCCAGAGGAAGGGCCGCCACCCTTAGGATTTTCCTCCTCGTCATCAAAATATCGAATACGACGTTTAGCAGCAACTGCAGGTGGAATGTCATCATCGTCCTGTTGACTCTGCTCTATTGCCGCAGCATCTTTCTCGAGAATGCTCTCAAAGTCGTCGATGGCAACCATTTTGGCCCAAATAACCCGGGGGAATGGAGGAAAGCAAGACAGAAGAAGGAACAGAAAATTATTATGTGAAAACTTTGGGAAACTTACGGTTGACTTACAGGAATTTATGGGATGAGTGGTCCCTTCACATGGCTGAATCGTTGGTGAAGATTAAAGAGCTCGTGTGCCATAATGTGCGCTCAGAATCCTATCTTTACGCTGGACAAGGAGCACGTGTAGTGTAACGGTTCAAGAAAAAGGCTATATTCATGGAAATGAGAATTCTGGCAGATGAAATCTGTGGTAGAGTAGCTGAAAGCTATTTCGAGGTCCAAGTGCACTGGCCACGGGTCCCATGGAAACAGGCAAAGGATTGTGGCCATTGCACAAAATGCCTCAATATCAACCCGATCAGGAAAGAGGGAAGCTCATGCAAGCCCGGCAGTCTGAGTGGGATGCGACAGAAAGGCAAAGTTGTGGCTATGCTAACTAGCCAGCGGAATCAGAGCCTGAAAAAGGGGATTGATGATGGAGAAGATGGATTTTGGTGTAGAGGAAAACCTCAGTGGGAGAAGACTCAAGGTTTGGGGAGGCGCGAAAGATGGAGATTGGCTCTTGCCAAGCTCTACGCCTAATCGACTTTAGATCCTGGCTGATGCAACTTGATCCCACATCCCTCGGTAAGTCCCCCCGGCCTCCAAACTAAATAGGTGCTTATTCCCTGATGGAACAGTGCGATAGGCACCGCTGAAGCCCCTAACTCAGTCAGCAGTCCATCAGTGTCCATCCCACTCTCATACAGACCTGGAGCTACATGCTCCCTACAATTCTCTATCACGCCGATGTTGAGGATGATCTTGCACTAACCGGCCTTTGAATTTCTATGATTCAAGAATTACCCATGTTGACCTGTACTAGCTGTTATGACTTGTCCTGCGTGGCTGTCAAGTGGATGTTGACCACTGTTAGTATGAGCGATTTATTCAAAAGGTTGTGAATAGCCTATGCCATCAGCCAGCGTAGAGATGAGATGCTCCCGTGAAGACTAACTTCAGTCTTCAACCTTCACCGACTGGATCTCACCCACGCTTCCCCTTGAATCTTGAGTGAAAACCACCGTGTCTTGCTGAGAGATATACGCGTTGCTTTGGCCAATTTTTCTGTGTCATGTTTACGGGTACTCCGAGTTTCACGGACAAACAAGTCCCAGGAGACCATCATTTGCATGCCACCACCCAAGCATATCAAGCACTTTGCTCTCACTAAATATATACCTAGGTATCAAGTCAACCCAATAATGTGATATTGTCCCGTCATGAAAATCGTCCTTAAAGGTCGCAGCATTGGTTGCAAATATATTTTTCACTCCTAAGAACAACCTGATTTCCTGGCCTGCTTGCTCATCGCTGACGATGAAATGGCGCTCATTAGGGAGCAACTATGGACTCTCCCATGTATCAGGAGAAATGTTCAATCTAGCATATGCTTGTCATGGAGAGATTTATTTGCCGTCTAAGAATTCAGCAGACATGAAACTCGATGTCTACTTACATATCTAGGTACGCCGGTATCTGCTCTTCCATCTCGAAGTCGGAATCTGGCATTCTAACCTTCGTGCTGAACCTAAACACTTTCCTTCCAGCTCTTTTGTCAATAAAACTTTCGCTACGGAGGTATTTGATCATCCACTCCCACCCGTACTTAGTAACAATGATGATGCGAATACTCAAACCCTTGAAAGTTGCTAGATTACTGCCTACTTACCATAGAAGGTTGCAAGCCTACCTAGGTAGTATATGTTAGGTCTCGAGGGACGTAGGTGAGGTGGCGTAGTACGATTGCCCAGGAACTGGTGCTTCCTTAACTGAGGCTAAGGGAGCCTTGGCATCGAATAATTACGAGTACCCATCTAGTTAGTAGTAGCTGCGTAGGTAGGCGCATTCTGCAGAATGTCGAACCCAATGTCATGTGGCCCAATGATAGCAAAGCCAGCGCATCCCATGTGCATATGTCTGGCGCCAGCCTCACTCGTCGGTCCGTATGGCAGTCTACGAGAGCTGCCGACTTTTCCACATGGCGGATTCTTTGCACCGGTGTGTGAAGCCGAGATGATTGATTTATCGCGCACAGCAGAATGCGCCGTCTTCTACCATTGAGACGCAAGAAGCACAAGGATAAGGTAGCAGATGTGGGAAGCCCGGTAAGATTCTCAGCCTTGAACAGCAGCAAGAAGTATCACTGAACCGCATTCAGAATTGTAGTCGGGATGCCAGCGTCGATAAACCCCGTATCGCTCTACCGAGCCCACCAACTGCCTCCGAGTCAAATACCCAAGTTCGAAGTGTTATTCCCACTGAAGAAATTGTCGAAGGCCTTATCGAAATCAAGGGATTTGAAGACAAGACTCGGTTGAAAAGGAGGATAGAGTGAGCTACGTCACAGTACGTACACGAAGGAGTGAAATCTGACATCTACGAACAGCGTCGTGGCCATTCATGGCCTCAATGGACATCCTTACAATACCTGGAAACATGATGGTGTCATATGGTTCTCCAAGTTCCTGCCACAACATTTGCCTGGCTTTGACCTGAGGATATGTACGTTTGGGTACAACTCTCGTGTCTTGGGTGGCGGATCGTTTTTTCGGGTCCGTGATTTTGCGACTCAGCTGCTGGAGAGTCTACTCTCGAAGAGAAGTCAGGTATTGATGCATTCGCTGTGGGTTACCTGAGAAGACCATCTTTGACAGGTTTGATAGACCGACACCAAGGATGTTCCATTGTTCTTCATTTGTCATAGCTTAGGCGGCGTGGTCTTCAAGAAGGTAGAGGCGATCAATCCTTGATTGTGTCGTGATTTTCTCTAACAGTTGGCAGATGCTGATTGTTGCTCATGAGAGAGAAGGCCTATACAATGACATCAAGATCTCCACTAAAGGTGTTATCTTCTTTGGTACCCCCCATTGTGGATCAGATATAGCAAATGCAACTAGAGTGACCCGCGACATCTTTTCTCTTTGCACAGCAAAGGCCTTCCGGTCAGATCTCCTCAAGAGCCTCGAGTCGAACTCCGCAGATCTGATCGAGATCGCTGCACAGTTTGTAGAACGAGCTGTCCCTCTGCAGATTTTATCTGCGTACGAGGGTCGGCGCTTTGGATCCACCATTGGGATGGTGGTGAGTTGGTCTTGGGCAAATCTATCGCTCGCTTCCATACTAATGCATTAGTACAGATTGTCGACAAGAGCTCAGCGGTTTTGAACCTTCCAAACGAGAGACTTCTTCCTATCGATGCGGATCATCGAGAAATTTGCAGGTTTTCCGATCTAAAGGATCCTCGCTTTCAGCCTGTGCTTTCTGCCATGGGTCAAATGATCTGTGAGTCGGTCGCGATGGAAGGTTTGTCTCGAAGCTCAATCATGGATAGTCCAACATGCAAGCTAACAATTAAAAGATAATGAGATGAAAGGTCAGCATGCAGCCTTCAGAGAATTTCCCCTTAGTTTAACTGATAATTCCTTTTTAAGCCTGTCTTGATATGTTATACTTCCCTGCCTACAAGGAACGGCGGAGCAATGTCACCGACGCTCATATAAATACTTTCGAATGGTTATGGGATCACCCGAAGTACAAACTATGGGAGAACGGCCACTCTTCGTCATTACTGTGGCTACAAGGTAAGCCAGGCAGCGGCAAATCGACGCTTGCAAACTTCTGCCGGAGTCGCGTGCAGAACAGAGTCGGTCTCTCCCCCAAGCGACAAACCATTGTTGTCGATTTTTTCTACAGTGTGCGTGGTGGAAATCTGCAGAGTGGCCACTACTGGATGCTCCGATCTATCCTGTATCAATTTCTTCTCCAGACCCCAGGATTATGGGAAAATTACCGCAACGATTTCAGAGACTGCCGCACAACTGAACAAAGTGATATATGGCGATCTCAACGAAACAACCCCACAGACCTGTGGTCACTGGAGCGCTCCAAGGCTCTTTTGAGCTCACTTGGATCATTACACACTCCTTGGCTAAAGGTGACTGCATATATCATCGTGGATGCATTGGATGAATCAGAAGAGCCTAATCGACAAGAGATGATTCAATTGTTCCGGAAGATCAGTCAACGTGACTTAGGGTGGCCTATCTCTTTCAAAATACTTTTAACGAGCCGCCCGAGCCCAAAGATTGAGACGGTACTTACGAATTGCCACAAAATTGTACTTGAGGACGAGACCGCGATGGACATTGTCAACTATGTTGACGCAGAGACCGGCCGGATTGCAGCGCAGATACTCAATTGCAAGCACGAGGAGTTGTCGTTTATATCGTCACACCTCAAGCAAGCTTCTCAAGGCGTTTTCTTATGGGTCAAACTCGTGCTGCAAGAACTCGACGAACGTGCGACCGAGGGTTTCTGCAGCGTGGCAGAGTTGGAACAATTGTTACTCACCATTCCAACAGACTTGAAAGAGCTTTATCAACGAATACAGGACAAGATTGTGAGAGGCGTCTCTAAGAATGTACGAGAATGTCAAACTCTCTTCCGATGGATTGCTTTTAGCCCCAAGCCTCTCCTTGTTGAAGAAGTCCTTGAAATTATTGCGGCAAGTGCCTGTCTACATCCAGGTACAACTCGAACTGAACTTCAGCGGAATCGTCTGCGGAATACTGAAGATGTCAGAAGAAGATTAATCAGCCTTTGCGGAAATCTCGTCGAAGTAAAAGGACGCATTGTCCAATTCATTCATACCTCTGTCCGAGAACATTTGCTAGCAACTCATTCGTATGGCATGATCTCGGTAACTCCAGCAAACAGCTTGTTCGAAATCGCAAACTTGTGTCTGAACTATGTGGACGGTTTCCGACGCGAGCTTGAAAAGGATCCATGGCTTGCCGAGCAAACCGAAAGCCCAGCAGGGCACTATCAGGGTGGTCTCGCGATCAATCTCGACACTTATATCGATTTGATCAACGAGTTTGGTTTGCTTCGTTATATGTTCGGTCACGAACCAGCATTCATACAACTTCTGGACAACGAACTCTGCTCCCACGGCGGTGATCGAAATCTGCGATTAGGGATGTCGTCTTGTTCGAAGGTGCTGCAGCCTCTTGTCCTTGAAGCGATAGCTCAAGGGAACCTCTCCGCCCTCCGCCAACTCATCTTGGATTCTGATCAAATCAATGCACAGTATGCAGTTCCACGGCTTGACAGTCGTTTCAAACAGGATTTTATCCACTCTCATTTCTTTGATGAAACGACTTCCAGCCTAAGATTATGCCAAATTGGCATATTGTGCGATAGCAGTTTCAGAGAGGACCTATTAGAGCTACTGCATAGTCTCGGAGCCGACCTTGATGGGCAGGATAGCTTGGGTCGAACGGTCGTTCACTTGTCGATCCTCTATGAAGCTTGGGCATCCGGATTGCTGAAGGGAGTTATAGAGGAATCACTCACGCTAACCATCAAGAACGGGTTCATCACACTTGGGGGCTATGCTCCTGCCCTTCTGTCGCTACCAGATTTCCGTTCCAGAGTACCAAGGCGATCTACAGCGGAGGTTTTCAAATATTCTGTGATCCTGTCAGCTGCCATTAGGTCAAACCCAGCTCTGATGAATGCACTTCCCCCCAGGGGAAATATTAATTCAACCGCACTAATCTCGATCGTGCGGAGGAAGCCAACAGGACCCAAATCCATTTCAGTGCCCCACGAATCTCTCGTGGAAGTAGTCTGGAACTTACACTTCGCTCATCAACGGCACTTAGCTCAGGTGTTTCAAAATTCGTACATGATAACGGATGGCTTGGGTATTGTGGAAGCCAAGTGGAAACTCAATTCTGCCAACACAGAGGTCCGGCAGAGCCGTGCTTGTATAGCTCACCTCTTGCGGCTTGGAGCGAACGTTACCATAGAATCCGTCCAATCACAGTACACAGACCCTGTGAATCTGAGTTTAATGTATGATCTGGGAAGAACGACGCAACGTCTGTTGGACAACCTTGAACGCAATACAGAATACCAACTGTCCCTTGCTAAAAGCAAGACGGAAAAATCACGTTTGCTGCGTCAATTTGGAACAACTGTTGCAAATTATCTTCGCAGGAATGCTTACACCACGGGGCTTTCTCCGGTTTTCGATTGGATTGATCGCAAGTGCCACAGCGATTCCATTTTCGGTTCTCTTCCACTAGATCTCATGGATCTATCTCGTGAAGAGAACGGATGCTCGGTGATGCATATAGCAGCTTCGCATGGATATGTCGATCCCTTGCGAAATATGATTGGTATGGGATTCTCAGAATGCGTGAAAGATGACCGTGGACGTATCTTGATGGATATCGCGCTTGAAAAGCGTCATGGCCGGATCATTGCGATGCTGCTAAACCGTCGTTATCAGGGAAGAGACCGCAATCGGAGGGCGTCCTACGAGTATAGGGCTAGGTGGTCTTGGGCTGTTCGTGGCTATCTCTGTGAGGGTCCGCGGCTTGACGAAGCCATCCGACACTACACAACAGCTTGCGCTAACCCAGAGACTTTCCACAAAAATCCTCTCTCGGAGAGCGAAACCGAGTTCATCAATAAAATATCTGATCGCCGAAGACCTGTGGCATGAGGATCCCAGATGAGTGGAATGAATCGAACCCCGCAGAGCTGACACAAGCAGGCATTTTGAACCATTTCTACCTACTTACAACTTACATTTTCCGCCCTCTCGTCGATGAATATGGACTAGCATGCGGAGAGTGGTAGCGTGAAGTCTACAAAGAGTATGTCTGGGCCCTAAACTGGTAGGATCGATGTCGAGGGGGCCAGATCACCAGGTAGCACCCTTGTACCGTGTCGATCCCACAGCCCTGTGTTTACACGATACTGGTTATTGAGCTGTGCCTCTGAGTAAGGACCTACTCAACCTAATCACATCATGTACCGAAAAACAGTATTCTCACCATCAGTCCGATCAGTGATGGAAACCTCCTCTTCGACCATATCAATGGTAGACTCATCAACCACACCAAATACTCTGTCCCGACGGCTGTTTTCATAGCGAGTCAACACCAACAGGCACAGCATGAGAAGAATAGCGATGCCGAAGCAGCAAGCTGTCGCCGTGAATCCAGTCTGTGCATGGAAAGTCAGCTTCTACAAGAGACCTCGTTTCTTCCTCACGTGAGCACATACCTGATACTTGGGTTTCTCACGCGGGAAGAAAAGGAATGGTCCGATCATGTTACCCCCACAGTAACCAAGAGTGGCCATCGACGTGGCGACACTCTTCTTGGTAAAGCCCGCGACGTTGGAAGCTATCATGGAGAGCGCAATCGCGACCGTGCATGGGTACGCCCAAAATATCAGGAACCCGAAGATTCTACTGCCGTTGTTGGGACCAAACTGGACCAGAAGAGCTCCCGTGAGACTTTATGCGATGTCAGTATCGAAACACTTTCTCACGTAGGGGCAGAGATGCACGAACCTCACTGTGCATATGGTAGCACACGTAATGCAACGAATGTTCTTATAACGAGAGCAGAGATAAGTTGCAGTGATTCCGAAGAGACCGTGGATGCCACCGAGAGCGATGGTGAAGAGATTCGCCTGGAAGACATTGAAGCCAAGACCCACGAGAACAATGTGAGTGAACTGTAACTTCTATCAGTGAAACACTCTCCAATCATGGCTCAAGGGACAAACAATACCGCGGCAATGGAGCTGCTGCATATGGACACTGCCATAAGGAAGAGGCAAAGCAGCCAGATCCGAGGATCGAGCAAAGCCTCTCGAAACTGATACCATTGGAACTGGTTGTTTTTGACAATCATTTGGTTACTCCGCAGGCGTTCCACCGCATGGATTCTTCGCTCTTTTGACAGGAATTTTGCGGTTGCAGGCGTGTCAGGGAGTGTCCAGAACATTACCACTGCCCAGGCGAAGGTGATGACGGCTAGGGTTACGAATAGCCACTAATTGAAAATGTCAGAGAAACTGATCAATAGATCCTCGTGTCTCGCAGGCGTTGCACATACCTTCCAAGCACCAATACCGGACTTGACATGAGCAATACCAAAGGACAGCAAGCCAGCGATCATGATGCCGAGCGAATTCCCTATGAACCAAAGTCCGTGCCTTAAGGCGTGCTCCTGGCGCTTGTAGAACATGCCAGTCAACAGGCTGAATCCAGGTATAGCCGCAGCTTCAGCCATTCCCAGCAAGGCTCGGACGGCCATGAGACCTCCAAAGTTCTTGAGTGTCGCATGGCATCCGATCATGACTGCCCAGCCGACGCTGCAGCTTGTCAATTTCTTGTGTACGGACGAGAAAGGGGAGGCGACTGAGCTCACAAGGTGCAAGAGAGGACTTTGCCGATAGGGAGGCGAACCATCAGATATGGAGTTGCATATGTGGATGCCAGGTAGCCGAACCAGAAAATTGAGCTGGCCCACGAATATTGGGCGCCTGAGAGTTTCTATGGATTGAGTCAGCGTTAAGTCCTGGAGCGGCAAAGAGTTGATGGAAGTCTCACAAGGTCCTGAATGATTCCCAGGATTGAGGCGGCGGGAAGTGCCTGCTTGTCCATGTATTGAAGCGTCATCGAAAGCGCCATCATGGGGCAAAGACTGTACGTTCCTAGTCAGAATCAAGATCTCCTCCAGGCCAAGACAGTGCTCCACACTTACTATAAATCGATACGTCTCAGAAGCTTTCTGTCTTCAGTTGTTGACAGTGCTACGGTTTCCAGCTCTGTGACTGGGTGGCTCTTCTCAATCTCCTGGGCTCCGGTCGCCATCTCGGGAGATGCTGAAGTATTCATGGTAGTCGCTAGTCTTGGAGAGGAGTATGAGGGTCAAAGACAAACAGCTTGAGATACTCTGCGATCTGTCTGGATTTGTAGCAAGAAGGCTGATGCTATCGTACCTACCACCATGACAGCAGGAGGAATGCAATATCTCTTATAGATCTCGCCATTCCCCCAATCCAGGTATATCCCGTCCGCTTCGGACTCGACCATGCCAAGAAGTACTCTACACACAATTTGAACCGTCTCGCCGAGAGCGCCCAGGAGGAGTATCCTGGCCCAGGTGCGCCTCTCACACTAGTTCCCCAGTCCATTGTCCCCAGATCCACCAAGACGAAAGGCGGGGGACCCGAGGGAGGGTTTTGGACAGTCCAAGGCTAGACCGGAAAGGGGAAACGAACTCCAGAAACGGCCATAGTGCATTTCTGGGGCCGCTCTCGTCCACCACGAGACGCCGTATAGACTATTAGAGACAAATTAATGACTCCTCGAAAAAAAATGTCGCTTCCGAATATTTGAACTGGACATCGACGGACTTGATTTTGTGAAGTTCTAGACTTCCGGTGGAGGTCAAGCTCGAGATGTGGGAGTCGGTGGTTGTGGTCTGATGCCTCGGGGTGATGAAAAGGATCGAGCACGATTGAGCCTCGATGGCTTGAAAGGAATACTTGCAGCGTCACTGACTGACACGAGCGGGGAAGTCTAACATAGGAGCACTGAAATACGAACCATGTTAGTCGCGATACGATTAGGCATTCCTCCATGCCAATGGAAATCTATGCGATGCTTTCACTTGGATCATTTCTCACCTTCGGGATCTCAGAATCACTTTCCCTACTAGTCAGATGATTTTTACTCTGAAGAAGGGCGATGTATTACATCCTTGACAGCAAGTCTCAAAAGGTATTTGAGGCTCATTCAAAACCGCCATTGGACGTTCATTCAACGAGCAAAGATAAATCGCATTCAAGGCCTTTGCCCACGGTAGCTGAATCATTCTATTTATCAATAATACTCTAACCCCCCGGCGAGCATCAAGCAATTAGTGGCAAGGCCATGTTGTAGACATAGAAGGCGATGACTATGACTATCGCAACGATGTTAACCGGATGACTTGATTAGTACACCACTGCAAAGTAGCCTGCCGCAGAAAAGTAGAACTCCAGTACGTAGCTAAATTTAAAAAGTGCTCTGATGCTTACCCGGCTTATACACTACCTGTATAGACTAAAACAGTCCACATCGTTTGATCCTACCAGAAGAGTTTGTGTGATGCATGATAACGCATTCAACTTTCTGTCAGGCACACCCTTCCCACTTCGCAGTCTCCAATTGATTGATCGAGTACTTCCACCAGACAAAGGCATTAAAGAGCCCAAAGGCTACCCTCTCTGGGATCTCTCCAGAGAAAAGCGGCCACGCACCATGATGCATCGCCACGGCTGCAAGCTCTGACAGCAGCGATATCTTCGCAGCTTCCCACGATTCCGTTGAGACGCACAAGCGCGAGTCCGGCCATTGCGGTGATATAAAGAAAGGCATTGATAACTTCTGGCTGTATACGTAGCTTGTAAGCCCATTGCGGTGGACACATAGCCAGACCTCCGAGAATGACCGACAGAAGAGCCAAGAACATGTGAAGATTCAGTACAATCTCAAGAACACTCTGCTCCCCTCCGGCGACGTCAGCTACGAATGATGCTCCAAAGGCCACATTCCGTAAAATGAGAGGAGATGATGCACATGTCGTCAGAATCTGGGTGAGGACAATTTCTGGAAGATGAGGTGTTTCGAGCTTGAAAAACTCATACCATTCCGTTTCTATTGGAACCGCCCGCCCTCGAAGGCCCATCGGAGAATAGGTCCAGGTCCAATTGGTCAATTCTAGCAGCAAACACACGAAAGCGGCAACGAGGCTGCCAAGAGCGAATAACGCATTCACGTTATCAAAATCGGCATCCGCATGCTGCAAAAGTCTCGGTAATTGCCCAAGTTTAGGGGGGATGACTTTGAGTCGTCGAAAATAGAGAGATATCACACCGACGTCCTGGACTAGGAAGGCGAGGAGCACGCCTACCCGTGCCGCCCAGAGTATTCCTCTAGGTTTAGTCTTTCTCCTCAGCAAAAACCGGTTGGTGCTCAGCTCCAGTAGCTTGACGCCTTCCTGGCTATGATCTCGAATTGGCGATGCTCGCATCCCAAGACCCACAGCGACATAGTACTGGAAGTCGGCCCGGTCAGATTTCTCGGAAAGATACGTTTGCGCGCTTCTGTAAATATCCACAAGCAGCTCTGCTAGCGGATACATGGGTGCAAGGATGAAGGCAATGACCGGCACGGTGAGAGCATAGCTGGGTGTGTTTTTCAAGCTGGTAAGATGTCCAACTATAATGGTGGTGGCGCAGTGGATTGACAAGATCTTCACCAGTATGTCCATCACTCCGCGGCCATCCTTCAGGAGTTCTTGGGCCACCGGATCATCCAGATTCCAGAATCCGCCCGTCTTCCCAGCCTTATTCGCCTACACGATCATAGCGGATCAGCCTCCCCTGTCCAATGAGCAAATCTCTAGTGGTCATGGACCTACCATAGATCTTAAGTGATAAGGAGGACTGCAAAAGAACGGGCAAACTCTCTAGGATCTCATTGAGCCTAGATTGCAGCTGTAGATCTCTTTGAGTTGGAGAGCTGAAAATCAGCTCAATGTGAGAGGATCAATTCGCCTTGGCACCGTGGACATTTATGATGTCATAGTGGAAGGACTGCCTGTTAAACATGTTCTAGAGGCGGCAACCTTCCCTCACATTAGGTTCTTAGGTATCTTTAAGATTTGTCTTTGCTATAGATTGACATTAGGCTGATAGAGATTCAGAGAGATCAAAGCTTAAGGATAACTACGATCACAAGAAGACACATATACATAAACATATACGTCGACTCAATTTGGCAAAGCAAGCTGTTCTGCGAGCCACTTGTAAATGACCTGGTTCGCAAAGGCAGTGGCACCGACATGGCAATGCGCCTCGGCGGACTCAGCCTTTGTGAACTGCTTGTACGTGGCCTTCTTGCCCAAGGCCTCGGCGACAAGCGGGGGCTGTGAAGCCGCGACATACAAGTCATGCTCTGCATCACCGACAAAGACGGGACAGGTGACGTTGTTCAACAGGCCACCGGCCAAAGACATGAGCTTCAACTTCTGCAGGGCGTCGTAGACGGTGTCGGTCTTGAACGCCCATCTAAAATGGCCACTGATCCATTCGATGCTTGTGCTCGACCGGCCTTTGAGGCTGATCGCCTCGTGGAATTGGTCGATCGTGTCGGGATGGTCGTACTGCATGACGTCCGGGCCGTAGAGGGCGGTGGCGGTCTGGGAGACGTCGAAGATGCCGTCGATGAGGATGAGTGCGGCGAGGCGGTGCTCGAAACACGCAGCGCGGCCGGCGAGATAGCCGCCCAGTGAGAGGCCGAAGAGGGTGACGCGGCTCGAGTCGATGAAGGATAGAGGCTGCAGCCAGTCCACGACGGGCGTGACGACTCGCTCCCAGTCGTGGATGAACCCGAGATTCTGAGCACGGCGGAATCCTGTCTGGCCGGGGCCTTCGTAGATGATGACATGGTAGCCTCGGTCAAGGGCGGCAGGGCCGTGGAAGTGGAACATCTCTTCCATGGAGCCGTCGAGGCCGCTGCCGAGGATGACGCACGGTCGCGGCGTGTCGTCCAAAGAGGCACGAAACAACATGACGGGGATGGTGAATCCATCCGTCTGAATGGTATGGTGCTCCGGAGGAATGTCCATCAGGCTGGTAGCCTTTCGGAAGTAAAGGGTCCAGTCCTTCCAGACTTTGATTATCCTTTCTTCGTTCTTAGGACCCGCCCCGGTGCCGGTCAGGTAGAAGCCCGAGCCGTAAGCATAGCGTGAGATACGGAAATATGCTTCTCGCAGGCTGATTTTGTCCAACCCTTCCTCTGGCTCGATGGTGGACTTGACCCATTGGGCCATGTTGTCAAAGGCTTGATACCAGCTCTCATAGTCACCGGGCTTGACACGCTCGCAGATGTTGAGCACTTCTCCAACGTCAGCAGCGGATGTGCGAACTGATGCTAGCAAGCGAAGCAGCTGGAAATGGAAATTAATGTCGGGGCTGAGGCTCAACATAGTGAATGATCGAGGTGTCAATAGGAGGTAAATCAAGTTCTGGAAGTGGCAGACAAGCAGGCAGATGTTGTGGAAGGAATTGCTCTCATATTTGTAGCACTTCCTCTTCTTTGCATCAATTTATGCATGACCTACTACGAGAATTTATACAATACATAACACTTACCTGTGGCAAGCTCTGACTCAATATTCCAAACAGCAGCATCGGATGAATCTCGTCCCTTGGAAGTACCCATCGACTTCATCGAGGAACAATATCAAGCTGGAGGGCTCAAGAGACGAAGCAGACTAAGCCGAATAAGGAGTTCGATACCCTAATCGAGACGTTCGCTTAACCCGGGGTCCCTAGCCTCCTTCTCCACAACTTCAACCCCACAACATTCTAACAACCGACATGATACATGACCGAGTTCTCTCTGGGTTCTGATGGAAACGTCTTATCTCTCTATCCACCACAAACTGTCCATAGGCCTGCTTGCTTCCACCAGCGACCATTCGTATCCATCCCCCATTCCCATGGTGCCATGGCAGAATGCACGAGTGATTTCCTGACTTTCATACCAAGCGAGTCACGATCAAGCGCCGCTCAGGAAGCCATCCGAGTGCACGTACTGCGCAATCGACATCGGCAGCGGCGGGAAACACATCGGATCCGTGGTGGCAATGGTGGTGGGAAGGAGCACAGCAACAAGGCGCGCTCTCCTACTGCTTCTGGTTTCGCGCAGTATGGTGGCCAGTTCCAGATATGGCAGCCTGATGTGCTTTCAAAATCACGATATGTCGCATCCCCTCCTGAAGTAGTGGGGTCGATTGGCTTGGAATATATCGGGACTACAGGTTCAAGTACCTCCAGTATGGATGATGCTGCTTTGACCTACCCGATACAGGACGAGGGCATCGAGTGCATCTCACCGTTGAACCCGGCTGGACTCGGTGAGACAGTTTCCAACGCCACTTCAGAGACAGGATCACCCTCGTCGGACCGAGAAGCGATCGAGGAGACGCTGATCCAACACTGTGAGTCTCCCCCCGCTCCCAAACTTCCCAAGCCCGTCCCCGCTCGCCTAAACCCCCTCAATCCAAGAAACCACACCACAGACAGAAAACACTAACAAGCCATGCCCAAATGTCCAGACATAGCCTCCGGCGGCAGCCCGATCGCGCACGACTTCCTACGGGCGTTCCGACAATCGAGCGCGACTTTCAGCGCGTTTCTGGCGATGGTTTCGGCACGAGTGTGGGACGAACAGGGCGGGAATGCAGCACCACTGCTGGACCCGACGGAGCTCGAGAGCCAGGCGCTGCAGGGCGTGGCGCGCGAGATCTCGGCGCACTCACAGACCCGGCCAGCGTGGAGCACGATCCTGACGGTCGCGCTGCTCGCGAATCTGCGCGACGGCCGCGACCTCGCGTGCCACTGGAGGGGCCTCGTCGAGATGGTGCGGCTGCACGGCGGCGTGGGCGGGTTGCGTGCGCACGCGGAATTCCACGCGTTCCTCCTCTGGGCAGAGGGGATTGCGCCCGATGGATGCCCTGAGTCGCTCGGGCATCTGGATCCGGCGTATGTGGCGGCTCGGGAGCTGGGGGCCGGATCCTCCATGAACGAGCTCCAGGAGTTTCTCGCGCGCGTCGACGCGCAGCTCGTCGCCGACCACGTCGAGCCCAAGCACACCAGCTGCGCTCCACCGCCGGCGCCGCCATGCAAGCTCACCAGCCCGGTGCTGGCATCACTGCAACGACCGCCAGTCAAGCGTGCCGGGTACGTATGCGACAAATGGCGACGGGCGCGCCTGGCATGTCTGGTGGTGTTCGCGTCCTTCAGCCTGCAGCAGCACCCGGCGTGTCGACTCCAGGATCACCCGCAGTACCGGGTCGTCGAGGCCGAGGTGCGCAGTCGCGAGCGCCGCTACACCGTCTTCGCCGAGGAGCTGTACTACGTCACGGTGCTGGTGGGCAACACGGACCAGACGTGTGCGTTGACCTGGCTGGTCGCGCGCCGCGTCAACGCCCTCAAGCGCCTGGAGATGCGCGACCGTAATACCTGCTATCGTCTGCTGGCCTTGTATTTGGGGTTTCGGGACCCTCATGCGGCTGAGATGCTTGGTGGTGAGTGGAGAGATCTATCTGAGCGGCTGTTGCTGGTTGATGATGGGGTCCGCACGCGAAAGGAGATGGATCCACCTCCCGACCCTCCCTGAGGAAAGTCCGATGGGGCTTGGGTAGGTTGTGCTGTATGATGCAGAGCAGGGATTTGGAATGCATATAGCGTGGATATCATATATTTAATTGGTCTTTTGGTCCGGCGGATTGACATCAGGGCACTTGAGTTCTGATGCGAGGTATCTATCATATGGCAAGCAGATCAGCCATTCAGTGTTAAGAAAGAGACGATGTCATCAGATCCGTCAAGTCTATAGCTGAATTATAGGTTATGACAAAAGTACACTGGCTATGTATGCGTTTCCTGCATATTGCTCAGGAACTCAACAGATCTCGGACACTCATGCCCTTGCCCTTGTCTCTCGATCCGCCCATCAGATGATCCCGACTACTGACCGGCAAACCAGCACCAGCTCTCCAGTCATTGTTCAGCATCATCAGAGCCGCCGTGGCTGTGGCTTCGGCCGTCCCTGATCCGTCACTCATGGCAGGTGACCTTGAATTTTCCCTACCGGTGGCAAAGGGGGGAGGGAGCTGGAGAGTGTTGGTCAGGGGTGGAAGAGGGAGGTGCATTGAGGCTGTGGGCGAAGGTAAGGGTGCCATTTGAGGGCTGGGCTTCGATGTAGATGATTGGTTTAGGCTTATCCAGGGACTGGAAGTTGAGGGCAATGTTCCGCTATTGACCACTGATCCAATACTGCCACTTGTTTGCGTCCTGGTTAAATCGGGGGAGAAGTGTATTGAATTGAAGGCTGGACTCAGTAATGTCGGGGTATTTGTGGTACTTGAGGATTGTGCATGGGTCGATATTTGTGCTGGTGAAGCAGAGAATGAACCAGTGCTTACTGGAGGTAGAGGACGCTGGTGTGAGCTACCTTGTTTTCGTCGAGGCTCATTGGTTCGAGGTTGCGGTTGTCCATGTAGAAATGGTGAAGGATAGGCGGAGCTAGTTTGAGAGGCCAAAGATCCTTTCCGTGAATCACGGAATGACCACTCATCATGGACCGCCGGAATACGTTGTTGATTGGAGTAGTTGATATGCGCTTTGGAATGGCGTTCGAGAAGTCGCTCGTCATCGCCCATTTCATCGTCTTCGTCATCTTCGTCGCTCTCATCATGCTCCTCTTCATCACGAACAGTGGATTTTCTGATATGCTCGAAGACCTCTTGGTGTATATCTGGTTCCTGAGTGCCTGGGTCCGGCCGGTTTTGGTTTTGGTTCTGGTTCTCCGCCTTGAGCTGGGCCACACAGCCTTCTAAATATCGCAGATATTCTATTCCAGCCTGTAAGATTGCAAGCTTGTGCATTTCCACACCTTCACACGCAGGTATCATGTCCTTGAGAACACCGAATTCTTCATTCATTTTACTCCGCCTCCGTCGCTCAATGATACTATGAGCGGTCTTGCGGGCGATTTTCCGACCTGCAGCGCTTGTTGCAGAAGGTTGCTTGCGCTTGGAATTGGTGGCTGATGGGGCATGACCTGTCGAGCCTTTCGAGGGCGCAGCTGAAGTGGAATTTGAAGCAGGAGGCTGATAGCTCGCGTCGCTATCCGGGGACGGATGATTGTTGGAAGAAGTCCCCTTTGGCTTCATTTGGATAATCTTGCGCGCTCGGCTTGGTGGAGGAGGAAGAGCATAGGCGGAAGATGTGGCATTCTGTCCGGTGGAAACCGAGTCGGTGAAAGTGGGTTTGACCATGCCTGAAGACGTGCGTTTCTGTCGAGGATTTGAGGGGAGTGGTTTGTCTTTTGGGGAGACTGGAGGGGTTCTCGTGTTGGCACTTCCTCGATTGGACGTTGTTTTGAACGGGTAAGTGGACTGGGCTTCGGATCGCAAGGCTGGAGGTGGCAATGCGAAAGAAGATCCCATATCAGTGGGGCCAAGATTCCTCTCCAAAGCTTTCAAGTCTGTGGAACTGCTTGGGGTAGGTGGTGCTTTGGGCCGGGGCATGCTTGGAATGGGACTGCAAATGGTGGGAGGATATGATGCAATATGGAGGTTGAGACGAGATCAATACGAGAGACGAAAGTGGAAGAAATGGGAAAGGATGATAGAAGATCAGAACAAGCACGCACTCGAGAGTAGCAACGTTCAGCTTAAACATGAGAAGACAGCCATACCGACCAGACACCGGCGAACCTGAAGCAACGAAAAATGAAACGCAGAGTCAACGAAAAAGGAAGAGCACGTGTGCAAGGAAGTGGATTGCAGTCACGCAGAAATGGCAGAGGGAGAGTGAAAAGGGCACACGACACCTTGCTGTCAAGGGGTGAGTAGCAGTAGCCAACCAACCCACGATCCTCGTACGCGACGTGTGATAGGTGAGCGGCGTCGATGCTAGAGCTCAGGGTCAGGACCGTGGACTCCGAAACGACACGAGACCATGATCATGATTTGCGAGGTGTAGAACGTGTGGGAATGTTGAGAGGTGAGAGGTGAGCGACGAGAGGGAAGTTGGATGTGATAGAGATGGTGAGCACGTGTGGTGGACCGGGTTGATTGATTGGTGTGTTTGGGAAGGAGGGCTAACCACCACTGGCATCTGGAAGGCTGAAATAGGTGCACTAAGGGTACCTCTGTTTTCACTATATCGAGGCACTGGGCAGTACCTACTCCTAGGTACCTGGGGCACTTGAGGATATCCCTCGGTAAGTTACGAAGTAGTCCTTGGAGTTGATGCCCCTCTTGCCGGTCGACTTCAGCTACACATGGAGAACAACTCCGCATCACCCCCACTCTCGGTCTGCATTCCTCGCCCCTCCTTCTTACTCGTAAATCCAAGTGACATGCATCCCAATGCATGCACGGCACAAGTAGTTTTAACTAAAACACCAAAAACACACGCGGGACGGCGGAAGTTGAGGAAACTGAAGAGGGGTAAAGATCTTGGTTTGCGGCATGTCTTCATTTTCCGTCAAGACTCGAATCCCAGAGCGCTCCCATCATTAAGAATGCCATTAGTGGTATATTCAATCGTCCCAACACCATTTTGTATGTGTAATTCGTCAAGAACAGCCAAAAACATCACTCATCTAAGAGCATGCACACTGCTCTGATCTTTAGCGTCCCCCATGCCGTTCTTTTTCTCTCCATTGCTCACCCCACGCGACTTCTCGGGTCGTTTGAAGTGCACCTTGAGTGGTTCCCAGCTGTGCGCATTGTATTCTTCTTGTACTTTGGCACATTTCTTCAATCCCCATTCCGTAACCCCAAGCATGAGGCAAGTCTCAAACATAAACGCCATGCTCCCCTCTCCAACTTTGGTTGGTGGTAATTCGGATGTCGACGCCTTCTCAAACGTCTGCATGTCTGGTCCATGTCCACTCATCGTATTGTGTAAACTCGCTCCCGCAGGTTGAAACCCTCCTTTGCCCGCTCCTTTGGCATCGTAGTTGCCCTGGATGAGACCCATAAACTCACTCATCGTGTTACGATGATACCATGGCGGTCGAAATGTGTTCTCTTGAACCAGCCAGCGCGGTGGGAATATGACAAAATCTGCCACGGCCGTCCCCGCACCATGCGGAATCGACGGGGCAGTAAGAACGGTAAAAATAGATGGATCCGGGTGATCGTAGGAGATACTTCCAACGGGGTTGAATCGCCCAAGATCATACTTGTAAGGATAGAAAGTGCCGTGCCAGCCAACAATGTCGAACGGAGTGTGATTCTGTTTGGCCGAAAACAGGTTACCTCCAAATTTGCTGTACAGCGTCCACTCGGTGTTCTCATAGTCCTCAATGAAGTCGGCGACTGGACTTTGAAAGTCACGCGCATTGGCGAGACCATTGGACCCAATGGGGCCCAGCTCTGGTAAATGGAAGTGGCCTTGGTACAGTTCCAGAATGTATCCTCGAGCAGGCTCATTGTTGTGTAGCGCGACATGATAGCGAATTCCCCGAGGGATGACGGCAATTTCATTCGGTCTCACAAGCAACTTGCCAAGCTCGGTTCGAATGTCGAGAACTCCATGCTGTGCAACAATCAAGAAGTCACCGTCGGCGCTGTAGAAGGCTGTCTTCTCCGGCATCGAGGTGCCTGCAGCATAAATGTAGATGCCAAGTCCTTGTTTCATGGTCGGGTCGCCCGCGCCGGCGACCAAATGAAGTGAATGGATCCATGACACCTCTTTATCAAAGTCAAATGGATCCCAACGTAGTTGATTGGGGATGGCGTTGAAATGCGTGCCGAAACTCGGCGTGGGAGATGTCAATGACTGGGAGGAAGATGAGGGTACGGGTTCGAAATTCTGGTGGCTCGCAGAGGGCAGGATGCGGTAGAGCCATGTCTGCAGATTGTTGTCGCGAGGAGCAGTAAAGGCGCTACCAGACAGCTTCTCATTGTAAAGACCATAGGGGCATTTTTGTGGCGAGTTGGCCGCCAGCGGCAAAGCTCCTTCTATCGCTTCAGTCCTGTGGAAACTTGGTTAGCTGACGATTCTTCGTCACGACTAAGGTGCGATCAGGCTGGCATACTCTTTGTACCCCCCGAACCCATTCTGATATTCGTACGGATCGGTTACAGCGAATTGGGTTACAGGCATCGTCGATGGCTTGCTCGTCTGTAAAGGTGTTTACGTTGCGTACTGTGGAATCGCAGTGGTCAGCTCACCACCCAGGTATGTAGGTGTGTTGAGAGCGGGGGCGCGTTGTAGTTGGAATGGTGCTTGGCAGTGGGAGAAGTTGACTTACTCGTGAGGGGCGTCTTGTATTTGATGTTGATGTCCTTGTTCTCACGGTGCCTTTCGATGGCTTCTTGCAAACGTTTGAGGCCCTGCATGAAGGGCGGTATTGATATGGTATCACCTGTTCAAATTCATCAAGTGTCAGAGCCGTGGACGGAGTGCGGAATCACAACATGAACCGTGTGAGGGATGGTTCCGTGTTGAGGGTTTTGTAGGAAATGAAGCGCTCGCAAACTGGGTCTGCTACAAGACCCAGGGTGGAGCCCACGCCATCACCACGCTGGGGCGGCCTCCGATGAGCTGCGAAGTCCGATCAGCCATCGTTTGAGAGCCTGAACAGCCTGAGAGCTCGTTACGAAAAGAGAGTCGCGGCGGAGGGTGGCAGAGCGACACCACTGGCTGGATGGAACAAGGGTGCCGGATGGAGACGTGAGTTAGATAGCCCAAGGTTTGAAAGTGCGGGATGGACGCTTGGTATCGACGGCCGGTGATTTGCAGCGTCAAACACGACAGAAGTCGGGCGATCGGCAGGGCGAATGAAAGTGAGTTGCTTCAAGCCCACGAGGTGCCGAGTTTGCCTTAGGGTTTCGTCGGGAGGCCAAAGTGCCACTAAACAGCCCACCATCGCAGCAATTGCCTCCCCACTGCAACTGGAGCTTTGCAGTCATCTTTGCTTCTGAGAACCTGCACGGGCTGAGCTTGCTTTCTGACTCGTATTTTCAGGCGCATTCTTATCACAGAGTAAAAGGAAAGGTCTTTTTCAAGCGAGTACTTCGTAAATGGGATCGCAGAACTCATTTGGTGCCTGGGCCCGCCTCATGAGTCAATAGTCGGAAATCGGAGTTTGATAGTGGCTGGGTCCTGAAGCAACTATTGAAAGAGAGGAGGCCTCTCACGGACTCTCGAAACAGAGTAGGCTTGGGTTCCAATCTTGGGTGCGGCTCTAGGCGCAGTGGCCAGCAAAACAGGCCTGAAGATCACTGCCCTCCAGGGTATGCCTAGCCCAGCAGTTTCAAGTTCTAGGGGTTGAGGTCTCAACCCAACCATCAAGGATGACGCAATTGCTTCGTCCATTTCTTCTGGAAAGCCATGGCAGTGTTGGCAGCAACAACAAAAAGTTGACGCTGGCGGGTGAGGGTGACGATCACATCGCAAATAGCCTGAAAGTCCCGAAAGGAAACGCCTGGTACCTTGCTTGTACACTGCGCTCTGGGCATACTCCGGGTGGCAAGCTGCCTCAACCTTTGGGGGTCCACGGGTGTCCAGATTCGATTGCCAGTTGGCTGAGTGTGCAAGAGTGGCCACCGGCAGCTGTACGGGTATAACGGCTCGGCAGCCATCAAACCGAGAGGCGATGATGAAATCATCAAGGACATTTATTCGTGCACCTTCATCCCCAATCTTGTTCGTGCGTACTTCTGGCTGCCATGTCCGGATATCAACCTCATTCGTCCGCGGTCGTGGTGCGAGATGATGTCCATTGTCAAACCATCGCAAATTTGATTAATGAAAGTTCATATGGTACAATTCATAAATAATACCCTCATAAGGTATACAAAAGTCACGCGTGCGATCTGCTTACTTACCAGAATGAGCGTTATGGATCTTGTTCCTCCGTCGTTCCTCGATTGTATCAACGGCCACTTGGATCACTTCGGATCTTCGCCACCATCGCACGTACTGGGTAGAGTAGCATCCGCTAGGCATGGCTCGATCTTGGTGGAATACTAATCAATGTAGGATACTTTGAACTGGTGAGCTGTCAAACGGACTGTATGTGTTGATCTCGGTCAACTTTTTGACACCGTTGCCATGTTTGTTTGTCTTTTCCTATGTTGCGTTGATCGAAAAATGAAGGGAAATGCTAGCACAGTTAATCAAAGGAGTGTTGCCCTACAGGGCCATCTTTTATAAGGCAAATTCGATATAGGAAGTGTGCGAATCAAGGTGTTCAGGAATCAAGGTTCGTGATATTTTGGTAAAGGATGCTGGTTCTCCACATTGGTAAGAGTTGAGGCGAACAAAACATTGACTCTGCAGGACTTGATCAACCAAAGTATGCTGCTTCCTGCCTCACACGAGCCCACTCACGAAAAGAAAAAGGAAGGCGCGATACACTTGCACCCACCACACAATACCAAGTAATGATGATCAAAAACTAGATAGCACAACCAAGTCCCTAATTAATGCTCATGCAATTACACTCCACGGCATATCCCATGTCCCATCACGGCTGAGCTGAAGCCTGGTGGATTTGACAATCGACAATGCTCAATCCCTTCCTGCCATCGTTCGGAAGCCCATCACAAATCCTTTGTCCTCTCATCACTATCACGAATCCACCTGTCGAGTGCTTCTTGGTTGCGAATGCGGAAACCAACTTTGAAGGGTTTGGGCTCAGTGGTCAAAGCAGTGGGAATACTGTTACACTCCAGAGCATCCAAGACGGGCCAGTCCGATGAGTCTTTCGCTGGCACAAATTCAAATGCCACAATCATCCTCAAAAAGGCCGTGTAGATCTCCCGATTTGCCAAGTGTGATCCCACACACATCCGGCTGCCTGCGCCATATGCGTAATGTGGTGTGCCACTGCCTTCCTGATCGTTCAAATATCTCTCGGGAATAAATCGAGCAGGGTCTTTGAAATGGGTTTCGTCGTAGTCCGCGGACCACGCGTTCATGTAGAAGACGCTACCAGCTGGAATCACCGTGTCGTTGTACTTGATGTCCTTGATACTCGTGCGTGGTAGGCAGATCGGGATGACAGTGAAAAAGCGAAGAATCTCTTTCGTCAGCGCAGTGATATATGGCACCTTTTCTTCAATGAGACTTTTCTCCCACGCTTCACCATCCTCGGGGTAAACCTTCATGATTTCCTCATATGCCTTTTGCTGGATGTGTTTGCCTTCAGGTGATGCCAGGTATCCAAGACCCATAATCATGTTCCCAGGAACGGTGTCAATACCGGCAGAAACCATGGTGAGGCAGATAGATTTGATCTCTGCATCATTCAATGTCTCCTCGGGATCCTTGAGGATATTCCCAGTGATACAAGGTCTATCGGTACCTTTGGCAATGCGATCCTTGAGCATGTTCAAGAACGTGGTCAGGTATTTGTCACGTCGTTGGCGATACTCAGCAGCAGACTTGTTCTGTCGTGAGATCAATGGCAGTCGGAGAAGTGGAATATAGTCTTGCCAATTGTTGGATGTGCTCCGGAAGTTGGAAACAACTCGCTCAACGTGTACGACTAGAAACTGTTAGAATATCTACGGAGGCGCAAGGATTATTCGAGTACGAACCTTCTCTGAGTAGCTCCTGGTCAATACCTCCATCGATGCGAATACCATAGTTCAAGGTCAAGCTGGTGTTGAGGGCGAAGCGATGGAAATATTTGCGAGGATCCAAGTCAACAGTACCGGCTTTCGAATCCTTGTACATATCCTTGATAGCCACACAGCTCTCCAAATCAATGAACGGCATGTAGCTCTGGACAGCTGGACGGTTCAAGGCAGTGGCAGCTACCTTACGTCGGCGCTTGCATGATTCATCCCATGGGGAAGTACCAATCGTGAAGCCTTGACTGCTCGAAACCACGCTGTGGAAAGTATACAACGTTGGTCGGGAGATCAGAGATGACTGATTGGTGATCCAAAAGTGCTTGACAGATTCAAAGGTGTTGGCCCAGATGATACGGCGATTTCCCAAGCGAGTCTGGAAGACGGGCCAACCGTGATCCTTTGCCCATTTGGCACTCACTCTGGCATGGTCTTGACCCAATTGCAAAAGATTTCCGAATAGTGGTACACCAGGTATTTCAGGCAGCCCTTTGATCTTCGGTTGGTCGGTGGAATTGAAGTACCGGATCAGAAAGTAGCCCAGACTTAGGAAGAGAAATGAGAGAGTCGTTGGCGACAGTGAAACCAACATATTGGCTGTATCTTTGGTGGTGGGCTCGGGTATGGTCGTTAATTTTCTTGACAGGCCGTCTCAGGGGGTTCGGGAAGCGACCACGGAATCAATATGCTCTGAGCCTTAATGTTTGTAGATATATTATTTCGACCTCGTCGTCCCTGCTTATTCACTGACGCACGGGTTGTTCGTCTGATCGGGCGGCTGCCGGATCTGACACTGTGAGATAGAGTAAGACTCGGTAATTCGGTCACTCAGACGTGTTCTTAATCCGTTCACTCAAGACAGCGATTTGGATAGAACTTATAACTACAGTCACTCACAGAAGAGACAGACTACACCTGGAGGTTTCTCGGTCGAAACAAAGAAGACCGCGTTGCACAAAACTTTCATCGCTTACCGTCGGCGCAGCGTGCCTTCGAACGGTCCAGTTGATGTCACCTGTAAGAGGGGTTGATTAGAGAGGGGTGGGGAGTGGAATGCATCAAACAACGGAATGTCCACCGCACACATCGTTTTCCAGTGCATGTTTTACCTTGTGGCTCTTTTTGTGGGGATGCTGGGAATGCGGCTTTCCGGGGTAAAGGCAAAATCAATATTGAACGCCTATTGATTGGTTGCTAGCAGTCTTACTTCTTTGCATTAAGGCCCAAAGTGCGGAATTGATACCATCGAAGTATCTCACGGGCGTTCATACTCCGGCTAGTCTATTAAATGTACTCTCAGTATAACAATAATGTATGCAAGCCCTCCATCTATGAATTGCGGAATCAGATCTTCGGCGCAGGTATAATCTTGCCGGAACATTCACCGAATCCTACAAGTCCGGTCTCCTCGTTACCGGAGACTCCATAGAGAGTGACCGTATCTCCATCCTGGAGGAACTTCCGCTCTATTCCACCATTCAACTTGATAGTCTCCTTGCCGCCCTTGCTCAACTCAAGGAAACTACCTTCTGTACCTGCATCTTTTCCACTGATTGTGCCAGAGCCGAGAAGGTCGCCAACGGCCATCGGGCACCCACCAATCGAATGGTGGGCGAGCATTTGGGGGAACGAAAAGAGTAGATTGCTTCCATTGGAATTGAGGATATTGGTCGTCTCTTGTCCCTCGGCTGCTCATGACACCTCGTTAGTATTATTGCAATATTGAGATCTTCGTGAGTTATTAAGACTTACGTGTAATGTCGACCTGTAGACGGATATCATAGACATTCTTGTCCTCCTTCTCCTGGAGATAAGGCAACAACTGAGTGTCGTTATCAAGTCCCTTGGTTCTGAAGGGCTCCAGGGCGTCTGCCAGCACTACCCACGGACTGATAGTGGACCCAAAATTCTTCGCAAGGAAAGGGCCAAGCGGAACATATTCCCAGGCCTGAATATCTCGGGCCGACCAATCATTCAACAGCACATAGCCGAAAATGTGTTCTGCAGCCTCGGAAATCGGAATATTCTTGCCCATAGTATTTCCTTTGCATAAAAATGCGCCAAGCTCTAGTTCAATATCAAGTCTTTTGCAAGGACTGAAGATTGGAACCTTCGATCCAGGGGCTTCCAGTATCTGGCCATTGGGTCGTGTGATTGGTGTTCCCGATACCACGATTGAGGATGCACGGCCATGATAGCCCACTGGAAGATGTGTGTAGTTAGGTTGGAGGGCATTATCTGGCCCACGGAAAAGACATCCGACGTTGAATGCATGATTCTTGCCAGCATAGAAATCGGTATAGTCTCCAATGTGCATGGGAACATGCGAAGTGACTTGGTCTCGCTTGAGCAATGCCTTATCTTGCAGACTGCTGTTGTTTTTCAAAATGTCTGCATGGGTGGAGTTCTCGGCAAATACTTCCTGAAGATACTCCCTCACAGATCTGTGGACAGGTCGTCCGAGGGCCGCAAAATCGTTCAAGGTCGGCTTGGAGAAGACGGCCACATCAATGTTGAGAGATGAGAAAGCCCCCGATGCCGAGAACTCCTGTAGGTCGAGAACATGGTCACCAATGGCTACAGCAGGTCGTGGACTGGACTTTGACGCCGTCGAAATTATTCCGAATGGAATGTTCGCAAGGGAGAAATGGCTTGACTTTGGAATCGGTAACCATGATTTGAGTGAAGCCATCTTGATTGTTCCTGCGTAGTGATCTTTTCGTCGATGGTAAAAATATCTGTATTGACGGTCGTATCTGTGGTCTGATCGAAATCTTGACTTTTCTTCCTACTTGACTGTTGTTGACGATCTATGCAAGTTTGAGTGAAGGTCAATGGTCGGAGCCATTCCGCCATTTCTCCATAGAAAATTGCACAGCATGTTCCGCGTCACGTGGTCGGACCGGGTGCTGGAAATCTTTTCATGGGGAGATTTTAGGAACCTTTCAAGTTTCCTAAATATTCTCGGAGTGTCAAGAAGCTGCTATGACTGGCCCTGGTCAAGCAGATGGCTTGGTCTCTGTACCTCGGTATACAATGATAAGTGCTGGGTATATTTGAATGAAGTTTGCAATGGTGATGACCATGCCAAAGAACCGACTGTGGCAGGAGCTTCGGATAGCACCTTTAAGCCCAAGGTACTCACATGTCTGCAGTCATATGTCTCTTGCTGCTCTTTACATTCCCACTAAGGTGTGATGATCCCGAATCTGCTGAAGAGTGATTGCCATGTGAAAAGCACAAACGAAGGCATTATCCTGCGGTGTGAAGATTGTACCGGTCGGGTTTCCTATCTGGGGTATGACGTTATGCTTGTGGATGACGGAGTTACTTTCGCTGGATTGGAGATCGATATAAAATTGAAAATTCATGACGATGAGATAAACACCTGTAGATAAGACGAGATCATTCATTGTGTCGTCCACTTCTCCTCCTCTTCCGATCAGTTCCCCTTGCATTGTTATTCAGCAGGAATCATGCCAGAAAAATCTAGCTACGCAACACCGAAATGGTGGAAAGAAGCCGTCATTTATCAGATATATCCTTCCTCGTTTCAGGACACCAACGGTGACGGTTGGGGAGATGTCAAGGGGATAACATCACGCGTTGATTATCTCAAGGACCTGGGTGTTGATATTGTGTGGACTTCTCCTATTTACAAATCACCACAAGCAGATATGGGCTATGATATCGCCGACTATAAAGTGATCGATCCGATATATGGTTCCGTAGAGGACGTGGACGACTTGGTATCAGAACTCAAGAAGAGAGACATGAGATTAATGATGGATCTTGTAGTCAATCATACCTCAAACATGCATGTATGCCTGAATCAGGCATCCCACAAGGCTGCATAATCAACTAATCTGGGATGCAGGACTGGTTTCTCGAAAGTCGATCTTCCAAGGATAATCCCAAACGAGATTGGTATATTTGGAAACCACCAAAATCAGTAAGCCCTCATGGAACGCCGGAACCCCCCAACAATTGGGCTCAGATCCTCGGCGAGGCAAATTCTGCCTGGACTTATGACACGGAGACTTCCGAATACTATCTGTCAGTCTTTACCCCTGAACAACCAGATCTGAATTGGGAGAACCCGGAAGTTCGAGCGGCCGTATGGGACGTGATGAAATTCTGGCTTGACCGCGGGATTGCCGGGTTCAGAATGGACGTCATCAACATGATCTCCAAGGTCCCAACTTACCCAGACGCTCCTATCGTTTTGGATCCTGCGAGTCACCAGTATCAGCCGGGCACACAATTCTTTGTTAATGGCCCAAAGTAAGTCATGACCCCTGACGTCCTGATAAGCTTCCCTAACAGTTGCACAAGACTTCATGACTACATGCAGGAAATGTATCGTGAAGTCTTATCCAAGTATGACACGATCACAGTGGGGGAAATGCCAGGTGTGTCGGACGAAAATGAAATTCTGAGGACCGTTGGTGCCAATGCTGGCGAACTGAACATGATCTTCATCTTCGATCTCGTCGACATTGACAAACCCAATGTACGAATGGCTTTGAGGCCATGGGATGTGAAGGAGATGAAAGCTATCATCAGCCGATGGCAGAGGTGCATGATCGATCGCGATGGCTGGAACTCTGTCTTCATCGAGAACCATGATAACCCGCGAAGTGTCAGTCGATATACGGACGATAGCGATGAGTTCCGTGACAAGGGTGCAAAGCTTCTCGCATTGATGCAGACCACCTTGGGAGGGACGCTATTTGTGTACCAAGGAGAGGAAATCGGAATCCGCAATGCACCCATTGATTGGGACATTGATGAAGAATACAAGGATATTGAAACCATCAATTTCTGGAAGAAATGTCAGCAGATTTACAAAGACAAGCCAGAACAACTCGAACATGGTCGGAAGATCATTCAGATGAAAGCAAGAGATCACGCCCGCACGCCCATGCAGTGGAACCACGAAGAGAATGCTGGATTCTGCAAAACTGGCGTCAAGCCCTGGATGCGAATCATGGACGATTACAAGCAAGGGATCAACGCTGAGGATCAGATCAATGGTGGTTCGGATGATGAACTATCAATCTGGCAATTCTGGCAACGTGGCGTGAAAGACCGAAAGGAGCATGCTGATGTCTTCGTTTATGGTGACTACCAAGAACTCTCGCCAGAGGATCCTAGCATATTCGCCTACGGCCGGACCAGTGCCTCGGGCGAGCGGTGGCTTGTGGTGTTGAATTTCTCTGGCAAAGATGTTGATTGGTCGTTGCCCGAAAGCCTCGCCGTGGACTTTTGGGCATGTAGCAACTATGTCAGGGGCCAGCCAGAGAAACCACAGCAAGGCCAAATTCCTCTAAAGGCTTGGGAGGGAATCCTAGGGAAATGTAAATTAGTGTAGGTAGGGATCCGCTTTGAAGAAACCATCTCGAAAGTATCCCTTTAACTATTAGCTTCAACTTGACTGGAATTGTCTCGGATGGTTTGCTCTCGGTTGATAATACGGATATCGACCACAGTGGTTTCGGAAACCTGCATGTCCCAAGGCTTCCAGTTCTTGAAACGTGTGAGTAGTACCAAGCAGCTGCAACAAGCCAGGATCCGATGCAAATTGGGATTGGTTCGATCCTATGGATAGCAGAAAAGGGTAAACGCAATAGTAACGTCCTCGTCCGCATGGGTTTGCTCGCTGGCGTCGGTTTGACGGCGGTCAAGTCTTTTCACCATCCCGTTTAGCGTTAATTGATTATCCCTAACGGAGGATAGTGTTGGGTTCTTTGGACACGGGAGGCTAACTCGGCTTGAAGGACAGAAATGTAGAGTGCGCCTGGAGTAGAGGCTTATGGTGATATCTCATACGAGTGCTTCGGGGTCCATATTCAGCCACATCAGGAGGAAATCTTTATTCGTCGACAACATGTACCCCAGCGCTGCGTCGAATGATGGCCGTATTCCAAACAACTGATACCTGCCACGTTGGGATCAAGAAGAGCAATAGAATTGGCATTATTGATAGGTATAATAGATCGCAACAAGTCGCTTGATAAGATCTCCACTGTCCCGGATCGAGTACCAATACCTTGACTTGAACACATGCCTAGCTGATACGCCACTCAGTACTCGATGCTTTCGTTGCAGGCCATCATCTTTTGGTCCAGTGATCCAGAGGCAGCTTGGTCTGATGAGAAGTGCCAACATCGAGCTTCCCGTACTCTAGGTATTTGAGTCATGCGCAAATCACAAGAGTGCGAGGCGTCGACGTGTTCGTGATCTGATCAAAGTGCCATGAGGCTGGGTTGTGTCTGAGTTGTGGCATTACCATTAAGACTCCACCAAGGACTTGCCTGATGGCCGGATAATTGATCCCCCTTTAAGTCGGGTAGCACTGGCAACCGAAACATAATTTCCAAACAGCAGATGACGGGTTCTATCCGTCCCTCCTCTAAGTTGGATTTCTCTTCCAATCGAATATTCCATACTACCTAGTTGAAGCTTGCAAAATCTGGGCATAGTTAGTGCGCCACGCGCGCATCTTCCGCATCAAAGTGGGGAACCTTGCAAGTGTCTGAGGTATACGGATACCTCCCCGAGGTCATAGGAAGCCCCTCTACCTCCCCTATCTAATACCGTGGAAAGTGGATGATACGCACAGAAGTACTACTAAGATACAAAGATACCGAGGTACCTCTCTCGGGCTACTCCCACATCATGGCCCATGGGGGTACCAATCCTGACCTCTGGAGTCGCTAATGCACCCCAAGCAATACCCATGAATCAATACTCCATATCTATGGAAGCTTTAGGAGAACACCCCATGGGATCCCCATCCTTGAGCTCCACAAAGCGGAAAGAGCACTCGTCCATCATCTCTGGCTCCAATTCACGGTAAGCGTGCGCGGTATGTTTTGGTCCTTCTGGATTGGACGGCGGAGCATGAACCCCAACCTTGGACGATCTATGCTCGAAAGCGATAAATTGTGACCATTTCCCCCCTACGTGTCATCGATCATGTCGTCAAGGAAGAAATTATAACCCTGGTTCCCTATCGTGCAGCCGAAAACCCTCCCTCGTCTTACGCCTTTCTTAAGGTCGTTAGCATTGCTTTACTTTGACGCTGTCCAGCGCAGTCCTCACACGATAGCAATCACCCATCATGGCTTTCAAACCAACCGATGGGCTAAGGTCCGAGATTGAGGACGTTCCTGTCGAGAAAGAGAACGTCAACAGTCTCAAGGGCGAAGCTCAAGATATCGACCCTGTCCTCGAGAAGAAGGTCATCCGGAAGGTCGACTTCAACCTCGTACCCGTTCTTTTCCTGTTGTTTCTGTGCGCCTTCATCGACCGGTATGTTCTGAATCTTGCACACTTCTGAAGCTTCTCAATCAAGATTCATTACTTTGCTAACACTACTCCCAACCAGAATCAATATCGGCAATGCACGCATCCAGGGGCTGGAAAAGGACTTGGGCATGACAGGACAAGACTACAATATTGCTTTGTTTACGTTCTTCATCCTGTACATCTTGTTGGAGGTTCCCTGCAACATGATCCTGAAGAAAATCCGCCCTTCAGTCTTCATCTCATCAATCATGGCTGGATGGGGCGTCGTTACGGTAAGTCAGCGTGCAACAGGAGAAAGCTCGAAATGAGATGTTGATTGGCGATTTAGGTTTGTCAAGGTGTAACACAATCATTCGCCGGCCTGGTGGTCTGCAGAGTAATCATTGGAGCGCTAGAAGGTGAGTACTCAATCACTTGATGCGAGTATCTTTGGTATCTGACATTCAATCACAGCTGGTTTCTTCCCTGGCTGCGTATATCTACTCAGTATGTACTATCGACGCCACGAGCTGCAGATGCGCTTCAACTTGTTCTTCTCGGCTTCAATCATTGCGGGCGCCTTTAGCGGCCTACTGGCCTACGCCATCGCTCACATGGATGGTATCGCTGGATACGGAGGTATAATCACTCTTTGTATGTCACTTGCAGAATCCACACTAACAATAATGTACAGGTTGGAGATGGATCTTCATCCTCGAAGGCATTGCCACCGTCGTCATCGCGGTCGCCAGTTACTGGCTGATCCCCGACTGGCCGGAGACGGCCAAGTTCTTGAAGGAGGACGAGCGTGAGCTTCTCATCCGTCGTCTTGCCCTTGACAAAGCCGGCGCCACCATGGACCACTGGAACAAGAAGACGGCCAAACGTGTCTTCAGCGACCCGAAGATCTACCTCAGGTATGCCGATGTGAAATGTGTACTAAAGGAAGGGGACTGTCCACTAACCTTGAAAACAGTATCTCTATGTATCTCGGCGTCGTGACGACCAGCTACAGCGGGTCATTCTTCACACCGACCATTCTGCGACAATTGGGCTGGACCGCCATTCGCGCCCAAGTCATGTCGATCCCGATCTTCATCTTTGCGACCGTCTGCGCCCTCTCGGTCGCCTTCCTCAGCGACAAGGTGAAGCATCGTTTCGGTTTCATCATTGCAGGTTGCCTGATCGCCAACATCGGGTATATTATCCTGCTCAATATGCACAATGTCAAGGTCGGCGTGCGGTACTTTGCCCTGTTCACGATTGTGGGCGGTGCCTATATCGCTCAACCCATCACTCTTGTGTGGATGAGCAACAACGTTGCGGGCCACTACAAGATCGGCATTTCCGCTGCTATGCAAGTCGGGTTTGGTAACCTCGGAGGTATTATTGCTAGGTAAGCATGCATTCGTGTTCATTGAGTAGTAGTATGAGCGACTTTTGGCTGACATCAATTCCTTAGCAACATGTTTGTCACCACGCAAGCCCCAGAGTATCCTCTCGGCTTCGGCTTGGGTCTTGGTTTGATCTGGCTTTGCATCATTAGTTCGGTCGTCTTCTTGTTCTATCTCAAACGGGAGAACAAACTACGAGAAGCCGGCAAACGTGATTACAGATATGAGTTGCCTGAGGATGAGAAGAGGAACTTGGGAGACGACCATCCTTCATTCCGCTTCACATACTAGACAAGTTGGTATTATTGGTGGAAAAGCTGGTGCTGAATAGCCAACTCGCCAGCGTCTCTTGAATCCTTAGAGAATGAAACCATGTCTTTGTTTGAGCTAGAGTTATCCTACATGCTCTCCAGTTCGCCATAGACGCGTATAGACATAGAACGTGATATTCCCAATCCAGAACGTCTCGAGCAGTCGTAAAGTCTATTGCCTGAACAACAACAGATTACCTCTGATTCCGATGTTCTTCCTCTAGAGGTGTCGTGACTCCAAAAGAAGCAAGGCTGGAGCACACAACACTGCAAAGCCCCAAACTTATTTCAGGATGGCAGCATTCCAAATGGGCGCGATCTTCCATGATCGATCTTGCTAGGACTAGGAGCCCACTTATGGCAGCATGTTAACATGAGCTGTAGAAGGAATGAGTGCCATGACATACACTGTGTTGGGAGATATGAAATCTCGTTTTGGTGTACCAAGCCGGCCAGGCACTCCATCTTGAGTTTTCCAAGTCTACTTCACGACGCAGCCGACAGGGCCACAGGTCCAGACTGTCCTTCTTCCGTCCATAGCCAGCTCGTGGGAGGGTCATGTTGTGTATGTTGTAATCTTTACCACACTGTAGGCTTTGACATTCACACATGTTTCGTGGTCCCAATGACCTCCCCTCGAACCTTCTCCCAGTCGATACTGTTGTCCAACTCTTGATCCACCAGGCCTACTATCGTGATGTTGTCGCCACGTACAAGGTACAGGCCATGGCTGACCTCTGAACTGGGCTCAGGGTCATCTGCAGGCCGGATGATCCGCTCGACAGTTTCATTGAGAACGATGTTGGTGACTTGATCGCAGGACAGTAGTGTGCCGACCAGTGTTCGCCCGTCAACTGTGATGACCAGGACCCTTTCTAAGCGACCAAATTAGCATATAGAAGATTGTGGAATGGGGAGCACGCACGGTCAATGTAGGCTTGTAGCGACATTTCCAAGGCCGATGATTAATTTGGTGGAGGAGGAAGGAGCGACCACCAGGCAGAAAAGGGCAAGAGCAGCGACGCGACGCGTGGGAGGGACTCCTGCTTGACCCTCAACACCACTGTATCTGACTTTTGGCGTGTGCAATGGGAACGGGACTTTGTTGCCTTTTTCCACGTTGATCTTCCGAGACGAGAGACTAAGGCACGCAGAATATTCAGACTTTACGAAAAAATCCGGGGTTCCACTATGCAGCTGTCTGACCAGCAATATCGGCTTTTCGATTCCTATGATTTGTCGCACACCCAACTCATCAACCCATGTTCCCTCGTTCCAGCCCCCGCCCGAAGCACCCGTAGTGTTGGCAATGGATTTCATTTGGGCCCCGGAAGAGCTATACATGGACGGTAAGCCTAGCTAGGCAAGACTTTTACAAATGGAATCGTGGGGAAATCCTCCAGTGCAACATCTGTGCTCCCTCGTCAGACCAGTTCACCCCAAACCTGCCCCGGCTCCCGCATTATTGCGTCTGCGGTGTGCCACCCGGCTTCAGCCTGATGGGTACCCAACCACGACCCATTTTCTATTGATCATTTGTAGGGATGTTTCCAACTACGCCTTTCTTTCGGATATGTCATAATAATGACTTGTGATTTCTTTTATTCTGATGCTGATTGCCGTCTTCCTGAGCGTGCACAAGGCTTGCACAAATGTCTCTTCACGAACTTGACTTGAGAAATCAAAACGAGCCAGCTGGTATCTCAACCATCAGCACATTTTTCCTTGCTACAGCTAGATCACCATGCTATGAAAAACAAAACTCCTTATTGTGAAGATGGAGTCTGAATATTCACCCGCATTGGAAGACTTGCTCAGAATATGGCCTATTGCAGAAGCCCTGAGTACTTATCTTCCAGTAGGAGATCTGATATCACTTGCTCGGTCCAGTACCATTCTGCGTGCGGCACTGCACGGATTCTCAGAACCCTATGAAAACGGGTCCAAGCCTACTGATCTGCAAGGCAATGTTCGACAGTCACTCAAAATCGGTCAGCACGATACGACTTCATGGAACAGGTTGAAGCTTTCAGCACCATACGAATGCTCTTCTCCCAAACATACCAAGAAAAATCTGATTCCTAAACCTTGTCGGTACTGCTCGAGGCCCATTTGCGATGCATGTATTGTTCAGTCATCATTCTCTCGTGGAAGAGAGAACACTTTTCAGAATCGGGTCCGATACTTATGCAAGCCCTGTTGGGGTCAAGGAAATCTGAGCAGAGGCCACCGCTTTCCCCTTCATAGGCCGAAAGACAATGCTTTGAAGGCGGAGTGGTATGACCCTGATGGCAGTACAAAAGAATGCTGTACCTGCACATTAAAGGTGGACGGTACGCTTTGCCTCGATTGCAAAGACCTACAAAACTGGGAAGCCGTCGCTTCAGCCGAAAGCCAATGCCATGGCATGGCCTGCACCAACCCACTTGAGGAGGATAAAGAACGACGTCGTATTTGTCTGTGGTGTGACAAATCTCTCCCACGTCAAGTTGGAGGGACTACACGGCATCACTGGAATCAAAGAATGATCGATGCCAGAGCTCGCAACGCGGCTTCTCGTCAGGCCGACTTGGAGGAATACAATCGTAAACGATTCAAATCACTGACCATGTCGAGGCGTGAGCTGAGAGGTGATGAAGCCGTGAGAAATGACCCGGATGCAGACCTACCTCAATTCGTTCGCCATCTGGATACCATCAATTATCGACCCTACATGGCTGTTGAGCGTGCCCCAAGTGGCGAGGCCGTGTATCACTCGAAGAGGGGTTATTGGACCTACAATCAGAATTTCCTGCTTGCTATGGGCGCCAGGTGTCGCAAGATTACTGCTCCCGGATTTGACCCGAGTGTAGCATGTTTGAAGGCGAATGCCACATCCCCATTTGCTCGAACCAATGGGGAGAAATGGAGCGAACTCGAGCAATTCAACTCCGAACTCCCATTCATGTCGGCACATCGCTGCAAGGAGTGGCACGAGCTCAAAGCCACTATCCTTGACCTCTTGGTGGTTCAGAACATCCACCCTAAACAAATCAAACAAATCATGAAAGATGACTACGACTTCCGAGCAAAACGTGCGGAGTATGAGAAGGTGATGGAAATCTGGGACACTGAGGAATATCGAAGAGCACAGCAGAAACTGCCCAGACGCTCGACGTCGAGAGGCAGCACCTCCTCTGAATCCACAAGGAGTAGGACAGCCATCAAAGAGTTCAAAGAAAAACTTGCAGCTTTCGGAGTTGGCAAGCGGCTGAGCACGACCTGGGAAATCCTTACGTCGTCAGACTCAGACGCAGATGAGGAGGACGCGGCGCTGGATACCAGTTCTATTGACTCCTCTCCACGTGAAAGAGACATGTGGGCAGATGATAGAGGTGAGAGTGGTACAGATTCTGGAGCCTCTGATGAAGTGGTTGATTCGGGGTCTGCTCCATTTCCGTCTGTCGCCATCATACCCCAGCAATCGGTACCTATCACCATTTCACAGCCTCCTCAACAATCGTCTTTGCAACGGCAGAATACCAACCAGACGGAAGTTGATCCCATCGATCTAACATCTCATACAGAAGGAGGCCCGGCTGAGAGGGATGCTGGGATTGGTGCCTTAGGATCATCACTGCAACCACCAGCGGAGCACAGCGATAATCCACCACCATACTCGGCTGAGGGATGGGACTGGCCGCCGTCGCCGTGATCTGCTGATAGTTTAAGCTTCTGTATTCTCTCATGAGTTGAGGATGAGACCATAGTAAAGATAGAACATTCTCAGTTTGCTGAAGCAAATTACGCCGCTTTTGGATGCTCAACTGGATCAAGCTAGTGGAATATTTAGGAATTGCTAATACCACATCCCGTCCTTGGCAGGCACCCGGATGCGGCCAGGCATGCAGCAGGAACTAGGAATTGTCGGCATTAATTCGTACTAGTAGTTACCAGGTGCTTGTAGTCGCAGAGGAGAGACTCCAGCAGAGACTGCGATCAGCAACAGACAGAGTGACTTGACCATCACACTCACTTCGAGTCTCATTGCAAATAACATACAACTGCGAACGGACGATTTAATTGTTCAGAGATATTACGCTTTCGTCACGCTTCATCTACGCCACCATCAAAGGTTAATTTATCTCGACGTTCTCATCTAACACCCGTTACCCAACGCGTCTCGGCGACCTCTTTTCTTCGAACTTTGAATTGAATTCCTCCTCCCTCCAACCACCAATCCTCGGATCGCCACAGATCTTAAACAAGATGGCAGACGAACTCGAAGTCAAAGATGAACACACGGAGCCTCAAACAGAAGGCGGTGACGAGGTCAGTGGAAATCTTACGCTCACCACATGCGCCCAGCCGACGGAGACGTCGGTTACGCGGCAGGCTACCATGCGGTTGAAAACTTGCCAACGAGACTGATCAAATACTTATAGGATGAGATCACCGCGATGAAGAAACGTGTGGCCGAGATGGAATCGGAAGCAGCAAAACTACGAGAGATGCAAAGCCACCTCGAATCACAATCCGAAGCCGTGCCCCGAGAGGACCGAGAAGATGTGGACGCACGCAGTATATTTGTGGGCAACGTCGACTACGCCGCTACGCCCGAAGAAATCCAAGCGCATTTTGCCAATGGAGCGGGCTCGATCAACCGAGTGACAATACTGTTGGACAAGTTTACTGGTCATCCGAAGGGGTGGGTCTGAATCTTTGAAGCACACATACTGTTCTTGCACCTTTGTTTCAAGAGTTGGATTACCGTTCGGAGAATCACCGTTCAAAGGACACATTCTCTACTCACATTTCATGCTACCTGGCAAGAGATGGATGGCTAATGGCATTTTCGCGCAGGTATGCATATGTGGAATTTTCAGAGCCGGGCTTGGTGGCACAAGCACTGGTTTTGAATGAGAGTCTCTTCCATGGTCGCAATTTGAAGGTAAGTGTCTGGTTGGGAAGCTCGTTCTCTGTCACGACGCCGTGCTAACAGGCTCTTGTTCAGGTCGTACCAAAGCGCACCAACCTGCCCGGCATGACCAGAGGTGGCCGAGGAAGAGGCGGTGGTGGTGCACCACGAGGCGGTCGTGGAGGATTCGGTGGCCGCGGTGGTTTTGGTGGCTATGGAGGTGGCTATGGTAGTCCTCGAGGAGGCCCCCGAGGAGGTGGGTTCCGCGGTAGAGGTCGTGGATATGCACCCTACTAAACCAGCAAATGACCACCTTTTGCTTTGTCCAAAAATGACCAAGCAATCTGGGAGGCTACGGGTAGTGATGGATGGACGATACACTCGAGAATCACACCGGACCAGAAATTTGGGCTGAGCTGGGCTGAGTCAAGCATGGAAACGGATACCCTAGGGCTTCTGCACTGGCAGATGGCGGCATTACAGTTGACTAGGACAGCTGAGGATTAAAAATTCAGGCTTTGGCCCTCGACAAGTGTCGAGAGCAAGGACTTGGACTGGATGGCGTTGAGGACAAATAATATTAAATGGTCGTCGAGACTGCTTTTACCATAAAATAATCAAAAATATATTCACAGGGCCTGGAAGATCGAATCTATGGGTGAGATCAATGCCTTGGCTTGCAGTGAACCGCGTATGCCATGGTATGGTAGGATGGAGGTCATGATGTAAAGACCGGCCTACTTACTGCGTACCTGACATATCTCAGGTACGTAGTCACCGGGCTCCGAGGAGGATAAAGTCTCAGTGACAGATTCTACCACCTACGAGCACGATTTTAGATAAATGATGTAAGCGAACAAGTGAATAAAACTTCGAGTGTCTGTAAGGCGGAAAACATATCGCGAGAGGCAAAGACTGGTCAGCGCTGACCATTAAATATAACGCTCCAGGCTGTGGGAAAGGGTGCAAAGGCACCTAAAGTACATGCATCCCTAGGTACCTACCCGCCCACCGAAGACACCGAGTCTTCTCTAGCATCACATCATCCCTTCTGCTGAAGATTTATCACAATCAACTTGCGAAACAGTGGTAGAAGCGTATTATGCAATCATGACATGAACAGGCACCACCTTTGAGTCTCTCTGAGCCTCTGAGTCTACCAAGTCAAAACCACAACCGCGAGATTCCGCTTTGGATCTTAGCGTCCTGAGCCGGTCGAGCTGCGCCTCCGTCCACCTCTTGTCTCGACTGCCAACCAAACCAATCCATTCACCACCAAACCACCAACAACCCGTCCTCCATCTGACAAACTCGGCCCTGGCACGGTACCTTGCGAATACGATATTGTTGCTGGTCCTCCACTGTCGACTTCCAACGGACTCGATTGTCCTTCTCTCATCTGACTTCCTTTCATCAGTTCCCTACCAATTACCCCGCCGAGTCTTTCTCTCCTTGCATCTTAGAGTCCGCCAACTGCGTGCCATTGTGCCGCATATAAAGTCAGGAAGATGCCTGAGGGGAACCTGCCTGCGTACGTGTTCATCAAACCACCTCCTCTTGGCCTGTAGCTGACATTGGCGACACAGAGAACCCAATCTTCGAGTTACCAGTATGTCCATTTCTCCCATTTGACTCGTCGTTCACCTGCGCTGACCCGAGAACCCAGTCATCGCCGCCGATGGTCTCTACAAACGAGATGTCTTCCGTGAGTTATCCTGCACTGCCTCCATCTATAATCATCGCTGAGAAATCATCAGGATTCCCGGATCCTTTCGCCGTGGCGACAATCGGAGGAGAGCAGACAAAGACCACCTCCGTCATTAGAAAGACGCTGAATCCTTATTGGAATGAAGTGTTTGACATGTATGTCACTATCCGCCTCATATTCATCATTTCAACTCTGACCTTTTCTCCAGGCGAGTTACGGAAGACAGCATCTTAGCTATACAGATCTTTGACCAGAAGAAATTCAAGAAGAAGGATCAAGGCTTTCTAGGCGTCATCAATATCCGTGTTGGCGATGTCCTTGACCTAGACATGGGCGGCGATGGTTTGTTTGACTGCCTCCAGCTCCTGAAGACGCTCTACTGACTGCTTCGCAGAAATGCTCACTCGGGATCTCAAAAAGTCTACGGACAATTTGGTGGTTCATGGGAAACTGATTGTCAACCTCTCCACCAACCTGACCGCGCCTCCACCCACTCAACAGAACAGGCCAGCACCCAGCACTGCTAACAGCGTCAATGGTTCTAACCCGTATACGAGCAGCACCAACGTGAATCAGCAGCAACTTCCTAACCGTACCAGAAGTCCCGCTCCTTCCCGAACTGCGACCGCTGGCTCAAGTGAAGCAAGGGCCTCTTCTACTGCTCTCAATGGTGGGTCTTCAGCACCACCAGCAGACGGCCCTTCTGGAAGACAAGGAGGTTTCAGTTCATTTGAGGACAGCCAAGGACGTTTACCTGCTGGATGGGAGCGTCGAGAGGATAACCTGGGCCGGACGTATTACGTTGATCATAACACGAGGACCACTACGTGGACCAGACCATCCAACCACATGAGTGAATCAGAATCAAGAAATCGTGTCGAGGCCAACATGCAGATGGAACGACAACGGCATCAAAATCGTATGCTACCGGAAGACCGTACCGGCGCCAATTCACCCAACCCGCCAGAATCACGAGGAGGTTCGCCTTCTCAGCAAAATGCTGTCTCGATGATGGCTACCGGTGCTACCACTGCTGGAACTGGTGAACTCCCAGCTGGCTGGGAGCAAAGGCATACTCCGGAAGGTCGAGCTTACTTTGTCGACCATAATACCCGGACGACCACCTGGGTTGATCCTCGACGACAACAATACATCCGCATGTATGGCAATAACCCAGCTGGTAACAATACCACCATCCAACAACAACCCGTTTCGCAACTTGGCCCTCTACCCAGTGGCTGGGAAATGCGTCTCACGAACACAGCTCGTGTCTACTTCGTTGATCACAACACGAAGACAACCACCTGGGATGATCCCCGTCTCCCATCTTCTCTCGATCAGGGAGTACCACAGTACAAGCGTGATTTCCGACGCAAACTGATTTATTTCCGATCGCAACCAGCTCTGCGCATTCTCTCCGGACAGTGCCATATCAAAGTTCGACGAGGGGCAATTTTCGAAGACTCTTATGCTGAGATTATGAGGCAAAGTGCTACAGATCTCAAGAAGCGACTGATGATCAAATTTGATGGTGAAGACGGTCTTGATTACGGTGGTCTATCTCGGTAAGTCGCATTTCCACTGTGCTAACTCTATTCCATGGCGGTGACCACTAACCATTGGTCCAGTGAATTCTTCTTCCTTCTTTCACACGAAATGTTCAACCCATTCTACTGCTTGTTTGAATACTCGGCACATGATAATTATACCTTGCAAATAAACCCTCACTCCGGAATCAACCCTGAACATCTCAACTACTTCAAATTTATTGGCCGAGTCGTCGGTCTTGCCATTTTCCATCGTCGCTTCCTCGATTCATTCTTCATCGGTGCATTCTACAAAATGATGCTACGAAAGAAAGTTGCCATCAACGATATGGAAGGTGTCGATGAAGAATACCACAAGAACTTGACATGGACTTTGGACAACGATATTACTGACATCCTTGACCAAACTTTTGCCATTGAAGACGAGCAGTTTGGTGAGACCAAGACCATCGATTTGAAGCCTGGTGGGAGAGACATCCCTGTTACGAACGAGAACAAGAGAGAATATGTTGAGTAAGTTCCAATCATCTCCTCTAAAATCACATGACCTTAAGGCTAATTTTCCCATAGGCTTGTCACAGAATGGAAGATCCAGAAGCGAGTCGAAGAGCAGTTCAACGCTTTCATCACTGGTTTCAATGAGTTGATTCCAGCTGATCTCGTGAATGTTTTCGATGAACGTGAACTCGAATTGCTTATTGGCGGTATTGCTGATATCGATGTTGATGACTGGAAGAAACACACCGACTATCGTGGCTATCAAGAACAAGATCAGGTTATCCAAGACTTCTGGAAGGTTATCCGTACATGGGATGCTGAACAAAAGAGTCGTCTTCTACAATTTGCCACGGGAACTTCACGTATCCCTGTCAACGGTTTCAAGGATCTGCAAGGTAGTGATGGGCCCAGGCGCTTCACTATTGAGAAGGCTGGTGAGATCAATGCACTTCCGAAGAGTCATACTTGGTATGTTTACACCTCACTTGTTCGCATGAATATCTTACTGACAGAATCTCAGCTTCAATCGACTCGATCTACCTCCATATAAGACATATGAGGTACTCAATAGTAAGTTGTCGACCGCTGTTGAGGAAACATTGGGTTTCGGCCAAGAATAGAAGAATCGCCTTCAACGAGATGCGGGAGTCTGGATCTGTAGCGCACGGATCTCCACGAGTTCCTGGTGGTACTTGACCTGGAATTGTTATCTGTTATACACGGTCGGTGTTGGTGATTCTTTGAGGTCGAGCAGGGAGTTGATTTAAGGTCTCATCACCTGATGGCACATTGCAGTACGAGTCGAGATCGATGTAATACAGCAATATGGGAGGGGAGGAGATATAAATCTCGCTTTAAAGTCAACAGTCGGATGCAGTGGCCTACTACCATTATATGCAGAGCAGGCAGAGCAGAACAAAGTAAAATTGCTGTGTTTTTTAGAGCGAGAAATGTCTTTTGAAGGAATGCAACGCATGCGATGACTCGGAGTGCTTTGGTGGCAGAGCAATGACTTAGTTGATGATGACTTTGTGGTAATCCACCCTTGAATCAACAAAAGCTGTTTAATAAAGTCCATTCGGCACAAGTTTCTACAGATCATACGCTGGTTAATAATGAGGATACATACATACCCCTTTGGACTCAGATCGTCCCACTTGTCTAACTACTAAGAGTAAAGACCTTGTCATTGACTGAGTGTCTGGAGGATCTCTAGTATGGTGCATGTGATATGACATGACACTTCGAGATATAGCATTACATTAGTAAGGATAACCTTCGGATCACAACGCCGAATATTCTTAGCTAAGCACAGACAGACACGGAGAAGTGCGGCCGGCCCAGCTAACTAACTACACATTTCCCACACAAAGTGATGACACAAAGGGTGTGCAACAGCCCGTTGCTGCAGAATGAGTACTAGAACGCGGACGCCACAGGGCGTGGCCATGTGTGGGCTCGCCAGAGTCCGGTACTAAGTACTGCGGATCGTCACAACTGTGACTAAAACGACTCCCGAGAAGCAAAATCATCGTGATGACTTTTAGACGAAAGTTTCTTTCGACTCTACTGAGCAAACTGAGTAATTCCCATCCCTGCTCACCTAATTGTTTTGGTTCTCTTGGTTTCTGAGCCTTCCCAAGGGGTTATTGCGGGCTGTGTGTACCGAGCACTGATCCGATGGACGCCGTTTCGTCGCCTGTGGTTCAACTTGTCGCTACCAACACCAGTGAGCAGCTGAGACGGGAAGATGCGGGTGCGGTGACACAGCCTGCCAGTGGTGGTGAGAGGAAAAACTCACCTTCGGCTGAGACGAAGGCCCTGGGCCGGGAGAATGATCTTGACTTCCGCGGTGAGCGAGGATCAGACATCCATCACAACAATCGAGTGCCCATCGCTCTCGACGTTGAGGATGCCGGTGGCGATCTCATTCGGTCGCCGCTGGATGATTTCCCAGAGGGCGGACTGCAAGCCTGGCTTGTGCTGATCGGAGCATTTCTCTGCCTGTATGCGTCCTTCGGGTTCATGGTTTCCATCGGGACGATCCAGGAATATCTCCAGACGAATCAGCTATCGCATTACACGGCTCGCGACGTGGGTTGGATCCCGTCGGTCTTTGTGTATCTGGCCCTGGGCCTTGGGATCTGGGTTGGACCGCTGTTTGATCGATACGGGCCTCGTTGGATCGCCCTCGGCGGGAGTATCTGCTACATCGCCATGATGTTTCTGCTGGCAGAGTGTAAGATCTATTGGCATTTTCTTCTCTGCTTGGGCGTGCTGGGAGGCATAGGCGGCGCCGCGTTGTGCACGACCGGCCTGGCTGTCGTGAGCCATTGGTTCAAGAGGAGACGTGGCATGGCTCATGGGCTGGCCATGGTCGGATCGAGTCTCGGCGGCACCACGATCCCATTGATACTGAGGAGCACGCTTCCGAAATATGGCTATGCTTGGTCCATCCGGATTTTGGGGTTCGTCTTCCTCGCTTGTCTCGTCGTTGCAAATCTCCTGATGAAGCCGCGACTGCCGCCGTCGCCCGAAGCTCGAAACAAACGGCTCTTGTCGCTTGGGCTTTTCGGCGATCTGAAGTTCACTTTCCTCACCATCACCGTGTTCGGCTTCGAGATCGTCTTGTTCGGTGCGTTGGGGATCCTTCCGACATATGCCAACTTTGGCACGGACTATCCCGAAGACACCGGTTTCTACCTCATCGCCGTCATGAATGGCGTATCCTGCTTCGGCCGGATCATCCCAGGCTATATTTCGGATAAAATCGGCCGCTTCAACACCTTGATGATCATGATCGTCTTCACGTTGATCATCATGCTCGTCTTGTGGCTCCCCTTCGGGCACACCAGCCTTGCAGCATTATATGCTTTTACCGCCTTGTTTGGGTTCGGTACGGGTTCGTGGATGGCGCTGACCCCCGCTTGCATCGGTCAATTGTGTGAGGCTGATCAATTTGGTCGGTACTATGGAACGTTGTACTTCGTGGCTTCTCTTGCGACACTCATTGGTGTGCCCATTAGTGGAGAACTTGTCGAGGCGATTTCGCCGCAGGTTTTGGTCGCGTTTATGTGTGCTATTCTGGGGTTGTCGCTGCTTACTTTCATCCTAAGTCGCTGGGCTTGTCTTGCTTGGAAGTGGGACTGGAGAACAAAGGTCTAGTTAGTCTTTTGGCAGACTGCAGGCCTTGCCTTCTAGCCCGTATTTGTATTGCATACATGGATGGAGTTACGCATATCAACGAGAAATATACTCAGTACGTGAAAGGCGCAAACGTACAAAACATTTCTTTTGTCATGTTAGGCAGCCCTCAAAATACTGGTCACTCGCAGTCTATGCAAGTAGTTTGCCCATACATTTAGATAACTAGGTCCATTCCACTCTCGTCCTTCCAAGAGGCATCGATCAGTGCCAATGGTGATTGACTGTGATCATCATTCGAGCTTGGTGTTCTCGCCCTTGGATAGCCTAAAGCACTCGTCTTAAAACCGTTTGTGACTTTATATAAGAAATAGTTTAAATCCTCGGTAGCCGCGTACTTGGTGCATTACTAGTACGTACGGTGCCCTCTAGTAAACCGTAGCCTACCACTGGAGCCTTTCTACGGGCTCCAGGTATATACTTAGTAGTATTACAGCTAGGCTGCGATTCCTGTCGTTGGCTTACCACCAACAAGATGTAAACTATCTGTAGAACTAGGTAAGTATTCTAGCCATATAATGGATAAGGAGATGGAACAGTACTTAGTATTATATATAGTATGTCAGGCGTTACATAGGCGGCAGGTCGACATAATAAATAGGCTCTTAGTACTTTGTTATATTCCGGGCGTGTCAGCACTACCGCTAAGATTAGCAAGATTTTGATTTCTCATTACTTAGTATCGCGGTCGATTCTACACGGATTAAACTTATCTAGGAGTTTAAGGCTTAGATGGATGTTTCAATTGAGGCATTGTATATAGTATGGACGGGACTGATAGAATAGGTGCTTTGAAGATGATATTTAACTGCTCGAATCGAATAAGGGAGCGGACCAAGAGAAAGGGGGAGTTTAGTTATTGATAAGATTATAGAAGGGAAGTTAAGGGTGCTGGCAAGTAGGGAATAATGGGAGATCAATAGTACTTAGTACTTCCTAACGACCGAGCCGTTTTTCGCGACTAATCGCCGCTAGCAGGACCATGAGTGGTGGAAGACATCAACTTGTTGCTGTAGAGGAAGGGGTCAAGCCTCGCGGACAACAGGGTAGCGGACGCTCTCTCTCGAGAGCCCTTTGAGCGTATCAGCTACTCGGCCGAATACTCCCTCCTCTGTTCTCCATAGAAGCGCAGTAATTTATTCTAAGCTGATAATTCGGTTAGACTTGCTATAGCTCGGTCAAAGAAGAAATCACGAAATCAAGAGCATCAATGAAACATACTCATACTCTATAGAGCAGCGTAGCCACCATCAACATTGTTCACAATTCCGGTGCTGCCACACTTCATAGCATGTCCTGCTGTGATAGGTGCTTAGGAATACTTGGTAGCCAACAACGATTAGCTAACACCATCCCTCACATTCAGAGTACTGCAACATCAGCCAGTTCCAGAATTTGTCCTCCTCCTGCTTCCTCGCAGCCAGAGTTACTAGCTATTCGCAGATATATAGAGATAAATTTTGGAGACTAATTATCAACATCAATTGGAATGAAATGATGGGACTACTTGGTTCAAACAATGGGCTATGAAGTCGTGCTACTACTTGTACCTCCCAGTCTGACAAATAGTCAGAAAGGTTGCACAGGGGTACAAATTATCCAGGAATGTAGGATAGAAAGCAGAAACAATTATTTTTAGTGAGCTAGTGTTTTCTGAGTAGGTAGTTCGTGATTACCCCAAGTACTGTCATCGCCGGCTCACTTTCGGCGACGATATATGGTGAGAATGGGTTCTATGAATCATGTACCTAAGCTCCTGTGAAGAAGTTACCCTCGTGCACTTCTGTACCGTCGATACCTTTGAACCAAGCCATCCTATTTTTGGCAAACTGCTCAATCTTCGGCCTCAACTGATTGTTCTGCACATCGAAATCATCAACAGTACCAATCCTGGGAATCAGCTTTCCAGTGTACCCAGAACTGACCCTGTACATCAATGTCCCGCAAATGGAGCAGAAGTAGTTGGCCATTTCGTTGCCTGTGGCGATAGTCTTTCTCTGAGCATACCTAGTAAGCTTGTCCTGGCCGCGGACATGCACTGTAGCAGACTCATTGACGACAAAGTTGGATGCGAATGCCGACGCATGGATCTTATGGTCGTCGGAGCAGTTGCAGATGAAGGTGGCGATAAGATCTGGCCCGTCGACAGGCTAAGGGGCGTTACTTAGACCCCTTAAGTACTAGAGTTAGAGGAACTCACGAGGAGAAGTTGGACCGCACCGCAAAAACAGGTCGCTGTCGCTCTTCCATCAGGCTGCAGCCCCTTTGCACCTGCCGAGGGTAATAGGATATTCGACGTACTCATCGTGATTGGAGGTTGATATGATGTTACTGAGAACAGATGGCAAAATACTAATGTTAAACTCCGGTACACAAAAAGAACGAGCGCTACGCTGAATTTATAACTTGCAAGTTCCAACAGTAGAGTGCTCTCTGCAGGAGGAGCTGGTCAAAGTACTCTCAATTTGGCAAGCATTCGTACGTCAAGGCCATCAAACCTTGGTGCCGAACATGTCTCAATAGACTATGGCGCTGGCAACGACCTCCTACCCGTGTTTACGGAGGGAGGGTTAGAGCCAGGGAGGTGGAGTCTTCTTTGTCTTGAGAAGGACGGGAGACGGAGTAACTTGATCTCGCGAAGGCCACACTAGACTGCAAAGGGAAGTTACAGGGTACAGGGCCAGTTCCTGCAATAAACACGATTAGCGTCGACGGGAAAGAATTTGAAGTCATTGGGATTGAGGCCTAATTAGTCCAGGGCTCTAAGAGGTGCGTCGTTTCTTCGATAAGTCATTGGTCAGACTGCAATCCTGCGTCTTGTCTTGGTAAGGACGGGTTGCGACAGTTGAGAAGTCATTCAGAATTCTATCAGTATGCTTGTTAGTCAGCTACACCAAAGCTGCTGTCAAAAGTATAAATTTCCAGCACCGAAGTACTCAATTGGTCCATGAGCAGAGATGCCTTAAGGCGACCAGCTCCGAATGGACGTTCACAAAAACCGTCGCAGCTACCAGGAGCCGCCTGTTGTTCGACTCTGGATCTACATTGCAATATACCTTCCACAAATGGTGGGACTATCACCTTGCACAATGTAACAACGCGCACGCGGTTTTTTGCTTGCTGTTCACAGTTTCTGAGGCTTTGTTAGATTAGGCTGGCACCTCTTCCTAGACTGGTGCCACCGACATAAGGACCTATGCTTCCAGCGCTGCACTGCTGGCTACATTGAGCTCGGAGGAACCGGCTGTGCGTGTGGAGTGATATGTTGATCGTGCTGTGCAGGGAGAAGGTATTGATGGCGCACCGGACATGGCGCTTGATGGGTGGATGATAAGGAAGACGTACGATCCGTTCAAGTCCAAGATATAGAGGCAAAGTAGTCAAATGGCAGGCTGAAAGAACCATGATCACTGCAGCTCTCAATTCCGGTAATGCGAGCCGCCCCAGTTGTCCACTGAGTTTCTATCCATCATCGATCCCTGCCTGTACATGGAGTCAAGTGCGACGATGCGCATCTTGACTGACATTTCTGCTTCAAGCTTCAATATGGATGTCCACACTGTCTAAGATCAGAGTAGATTTATGCGTCTTGGGGCACCAGAGGGAGAATTCTCCAGCCGTCAAGTTTCGCTTTCAAACGAAAAGGCAAGAACATCTAGTAAGCATTGGCAGCCAATTAAGTAGCACGAGAATTCAAGGTATGTCCTGTCATTTTAGCCTCTAGGTGGTTGCCTAACGTCTGTAGTCGACTATGGCAGTCCTGTGTGCTTAGATTCGAGGCGAGGGCATGAGTGCGGTGCCTTATGCACGCATGCAGGATGTTGCATTGCTCCGTGAGTGAAGAGGTGGATCTATATGCAGGCAGAGGTCAGTAATATTTGGTCAAGTTCTATATCGCTATCTAGTGACTTTAAAATCGACAATGGGATTCGCACTCTATCGCCACCTCCCAACCATCTTAATTCTAGAGCGAGTTGGAAGACAAACACCGGAAAGTGGTGATCCAGATTAGCACACGGGTACCCTGTACCTTCCGCTTTCGAGCATCGACACCATTCCAGGTTGTGCTCTGACAATCACTGTTTGGGTAAATTCTTGTGAAATTCTCGAATGATGCAGCTTGCGTGATATGCTTCGAGTGGCTTAAATATTGGGAAACTAAGAAAGACACAGAATCTTACCATTTTCCGTTGCCTCCCTAAATACGACCCGAACACTAAGATGGAAGGACAATGTTTGTGCGGCGCTGTTGTCGTCAAGGTCCACGACTCAAATCTCTTTTCTGGTCATCGCAGAGGGCATTTCTGTCACTGTCGAAACTGCAGAAAGGTTGCTGGTGGGATATTTGGTGCGAACCTTGCGATTGAAAGTGAGAAGGTTGAAATAATCGGCAAGAGCAACCTCGCTGAATACATCGACAAAGACACGACAAGTGGCACTCCCATGGCACGGTGCTTTTGCAAGCATTGCGGAACGTGTGTCTTTCCTCACCCACTTGAGTGTTACAGCCGCTAATCAACTCTGTACACAGACCAGTTCAGTCAGTGACACCTGTTATGGAGGGGAAAGTAGTACTGAAGCTGGGCATGTTCGAAAAAATCCCTGCCCCGGAGTGGGAAGCGTTTTCAGTACGGCGGCAAAACTGGGAGAAGCCTGTCGAAGGTTGCACTCAGTATAAATTGCTAGGAGGTCCCGGCAAAGCAGAAATGTAAGGTCGATTTGAGAAGTATCGAATCAAATTACTTCGGTGCCAATCTTGTGCTGAGCATTCACTAGTCAAACGCTCATTTTGGGCCGACTACAATTCCTAATTTACTCTCGATCTCTGCGTTGGTCAGTCTTGCATGCAGCAAAGACTCTCGAATCGCTTCAGTCTTTTCAGAGGCTTGATAGCTGACTCAAAACAATAATTCGATAGAGCGAGATCTTGAGTGATTCGTGCAAATATGGTCGTGCCTAGCAACGGAAAGCACTGTCCAGCAGTCGAAAAATGGCATACAGAGACAACCCAAAATAGCAAACCTCTCCGTGTACCCCAAAGATTCCGAAGATCAGTCATTCGAAGCCGCCTGACAAGTCTGGGTTGAATCCGTACCTGTTTTGCTGCTACGTGTATTGGAATGCTCCGACTTTCCGTGGCGAGCATCACCAAGCTAGCCCACCTGCAACACTCGTACATAGCTTCCAACTCGGGAGTTGAGGTGGCGCTCACAGGCTCGAAATTTTCAATATTCTTGCGTAATTCTCGACGGTCTTGAAGAACATGTTTCGTTGGTACAGAGATGTGCGCACTTCCGTGGAAGAAAGTCGAAAGCCATCTTTGCACGGTGTAAGCAAGAACAAGAGTTTTTGTTTCCACAGGTGCTGTAGAGGTTCCAGTAACGCTCTTGGAAGTGAGAGGCGAAGCCCAAGCATCAGGAATGGGGCAGTCGTCGCATGAACCCGTTGGAGGGAACAGGTCTGTAATCCTAGCCGAAGGAGTATTTTGGTAGCTTGCGGCATCGAGGGCCATTGATCTGCCAATGGTGTCAAAAAACAACTGAGCTACGGAAGGATGCAAAGCAAGCTTACATATTCATCCAGTTAGAGACATAGCGTAACAAAGTGGTGCTCTCGGCGTCCAGATAGCTTTCACTGCTGGTGTCAAAAAGCCTTCGCGTCGCTTGACGATGAAGGGTCCGCTCCTTAAGAGCACGCTGAGCTGTTTCTGCGGATTCCGGGCAGCAAACGTTGTCGTCTTGCATGGATGCAATGAGATAATCCCACATACTCAGACGATTCGGTAAATCATGAGAAACCAAGCAGACAATCGGAGCAGACAGCACCAAAATAGCAGTCAGGCTCTGAGGGCTGAGCAAAAAGTTCGAGGACTTTAAGTTGGCAGTAAGATTCTGGATGACATGACTCTTCAGCTCCAGGAGCATGGTCCTGGTGCCCAGGCCAGTTAGGGCCATCGAATGAGCGTAACTGAGCAGTCGACAAGCACTGAGCATGGTTAAAGAATCATGATGGTCGGATATGATGAATTTGTGGACGAAATCTTGCCCGAAGAACTCAAACATTGTTTGCGTGTCTGCGAAACCAGACTTCGTTGTTCCGGTCTTCAGGAATTCCGGAAGAAGGTACTGCTGATCGTTGCATGGGGAATCGATCCATCGAAGCGCCTCAGAGCCTACCCCTAAGGGCAAACCATTTACGTCCGCATGCTTCTGTCTGTTGAATCTTGGATGTCGTTGGGTTGATACAATAAAGCAGTTGGAGATTGTTTTAGAGCCATTGCTATAATTGAGGCTGCCATCCGTCTTCAACACATTAGTAGTTGCATCGTTAGACTCCGGCTCTGCGCTCGGTTTCGTAGACACCTTCTTGTACTTGACAGCACCTCCCCAATACGCTGCGTGGCTTCTAAGCGACCTTGAGTGAGTTTTCAGCCAATTTACTTTTTTCCCCTTGAAGTCTGTAGGCACAAAAGAGAAATTTGGTGGAGGCTTGATACTCTTACGTGAAGGCATCGTCAATTGTGGACGTGACAATTAATGTGGGAGTACTCGGCTGTGGCGTTTCGCATGTCACGGATTAGATGATGCATGAACATTGTTGCATGTACCAGATAAACCTAGGCGACTTCGTCCGTGACCTAGCAATTGAATCATATGTGTGCAATAAAGGCCTTACGACCACTGCGTGATGACGAGTTACTTAACTAGTAAGGATCAAATGGATCGTTTATCAAGCAGCTCGATGGCCCACAACCCGCCGTTTAAGCTTGTCAGTGGCGCCCGGCTTAACCGTATTAAGGAGTTACAGGGTGCATGCAACTCAAAACAGCCCTACTTTCATGCCATTCGGTAGCTTCCCACCCAAGGATCATCAAGTCCTGATATCATTGGGAAAGGGTCTTCAACAATGACACGCTGAAAGCATGATTCAGCAACACATTACGAGAAGCTCCTACTCGTTGAGTATGGAGAGCTGCTCGTATTGACACAGTACTATCACATAAGTAGTTGCTGAGGGTAGCTAAAGGACCAACTCGCAACCTTCAACCGAACCGTCCAATTGACATGGCACCAGTTTCTACACTCTCATTCAAATGTGCTCTGATAACTGGGGGTGGTGGAGGGTAAGAACTTGTTCCTTAATGTCATCGTTGTACTGTTATCGCTGACGCTCGCTAGTAAGCCGCAACTGCTCGCGTTCATTTTTCCTATTCTTGGGCACTGAGAAGCATTGTCAACCAAGGTCCGATGTCATCTGGACGTACCAGCGGTATCGGGGTTGATAATATGTTCAGAATTCAGTTGCCGTCATCGATGCACTTCACTCGCCGTGAATACTTAGCTTATCAATGCTCAAGTCGGATGAATTTCGCTAACCCTGGACATTCTAGGACTTGGAAGGGCCATGGCCGAAGCGCTGATTGCAATGGGAAAATCGGTCATTATCGCAGGTCGGACAGAAGCTAGCCTTCAGAGAACTGCCACAGATATTGGAGCAAAGGATTATTTTCTGCTCGACGTGAGCAACGTTCCCGCAATTTCTTGCTTCGTTGAGGAACTCGTGTCGAAACATCCAGAGCTGGACTGCGTGATCAACAATGCTGGCGTGCAGCGACCGTTTCAAATCCTCGGGCCAGATTACGACTTCAACCTCGACCATGCAGATCAAGAGATCGACACCAACATCCGTGGGCCGATGCATCTATGTGTGTCCCTGGTTCCCCATTTTAATAGCCTTCCGAATGGTGGTGTCATCATGAATGTTTCTTCTGTACTCGGTTACAACCCTTTCAGTCTGGTGAACCCAGTGTACAATGGCACGAAAGCGTGGATCCATTTCTTTACCATGAATCTCCGATCGCAGCTCCAGCAAGCAGGTAGTAAGATCAAGGTTGTGGAGATCGTCCCCCCAACCGTCGAAACAGCCCTGCATCGAGAGCGGAAGGATCCAGATGACAATAAGAAAACTCATGGGAACTCGTCAGCTCTTAGTGTGAAAGAATTCATGACGCAGATAGAAGAAGGCTGGCAGAGCGACAAAGATATATGCCCGGCTGGTATGGGACACGAGTTGGTAGAAAAATGGTATGATGCTTTCGGAGAGGCATATACAGGTGCAGGAGGGTGAGATGAAAGATCTGATATTGGTTCGCCTCCGCGCTAACTGGAGATGGGTCTATACTAAGTACTCAGAGTACCTGGTATCTATACTGAATTCTCGAGAAAACTCGAATAGAACACTAAGCACGTAGTATACCCTAATTCCGTCTCAAATTATCACCAATACTCTATTATCCCATGGGTAGTCCAGTGTTTCCTCTTTTGGAATTTTATGTGTCGTGTTCATTATCGGCTAACCTTCTTCACGGAGTGCATCTAGGTAGCTACGAGTAGATTGCTTCGTCGTTGGCGGGCTAATAGGTAAGCTAGCTCTCAACGCTCAGCCCGAGGATTCTCAGCAAGCTAAGCTCCACTGAGCGAGATAACCGCGTTACATAATCCAGCCATATTTTAGGAACGATTCCGAGGAGTATTACGAGTGGCTCCAAACAATCTCGATACCAATTTTACCTCGAGAAGAAAATTAGTCATCCTAAGTATAAGTACTTAGTACTATCTGGCCCCCTCTACGGGGAGCCAACTCGATGCTATTATAGACTCTTTGAATTAGGTTAGATTTAATTAGCTCAATTCGAATACTCAGTACATAACTTCGAACTGATTGAGTTCTATAAAGTCGGTGAAGTAAAGTGAACGCATTTGAGCCGGGTTTGAAATCGGTGTAAAATCAGTATAAATATATCCCGTAAACCGAGTAAACCAATCCGGCGATTTAAGCATCATATTCAGTATTAAACCGGGCTTGAAGCTGCTTTGACTCCCTTGGGCAGGCAAGGAAAGGGTAAAAGTACCCTAAGTACTGAGCAATACTGAGTAGAAACCGGGACGTGAGACTTACTTGAAATTCGGGCTAGAGGGGAAAATCAGGCGGTTATATGTATCTCTCTAAGTTCTTTGCTTTGTTACTGAGTTCATCTTCGAGTCTTGGTCGCGGCAGCTCAAAGGTCTCCCTAACTCGACCATATGATATACCACCCAGCTGCACCAAGGGTCTCAATTTCTCCAGATCTATAGTGGTTTTTTCTGCATTGATCGCATCCTCACGGACCCAGAATCGAGTCGCTTCGATGATCGCCAACGCTCCCTTTGCTTGATCGGTGCCATGTGTCCCATAATCCAATTCTTTCATCTCAAGCAATCGCCCTTCAATGCTGAAGATTGCTTCTCTGACTCTTTCCGGTTTTACTGTGCTTGACGGGGCTGCAGTGAGTCCTGAAAGTTCCCATTCGGAAACGCCATGCGGCAGCTCGAGCGACGTAGCATTTACGGCTTCGACCATATGTTCACTGACAATGTTGATAACGCACTCTCCCGTTTCCATCAGGTTGCGACTTGTATCCTTTGGTCTGGCCTGGCGACCAGAAAACCCGATGACCAGAATCGGAGGATCGTGATCGACAACTTGAAAATAGCTGAAGGGACTCAAGTTTTTAGCCCCATCCGAAGAGGCTGTGCTGACGAAGGATATCGGTCTGGGTATTCCGGATATCAAGACCTGATAGTTCTGAATCATCGTTCGGTCCGGCGCATTGGGATCAATTTCTGTATGGCGATTTTCTTGCCGTGATTGCTCTTTTGGTACGAGGTCTTCAGATGTCTGGTGATCGATTCGAGCTCCATCCCCATACTTCCATGCTGGATTGGGTGATTGGGTGGTGATAATCGGCATGGATCGATCAAAAGTTGGGCGACTTTCTTGAACCTCCTTGAAATCTGCATGCCTCGAATTCAAAACGAAGGGATTTGCTCCTGCTGCTGTTGAGCTGTGTCTTGAGGAGGGAAGACCTGTTTTGGAAGCCTTTGAGCGAGCATGGGCGAACTGCCTCACAAGTCTCATTGAGCTGTCCCCCATGACTCTTGCCATGCGCATATCGAAACAGTACTCAGTATTTTTGGCGCCGAAGAGCACACGGATTCGATCGTAGCAGATTCCAGTTACCTGTTACTGAACAAACAATGGATCAAGGACGCCTCAGCATGAACCATCCTGTTGCAGCATCTGTCAATACTAAGTACTTATTTGGTCTCATGTCATCGATGAGCATCGGCATTCCATCTGAGCATGTGTTCTTCGCGTGTGATATGATGACAGAATTTGGGAAAGGCTTCCTCAACCTTGGTATATAGCTTACCCTTGTAGAACGGTCACAGACGCTGGCTGATTTGTCAGAGGGTTCGGGATAAGCCTCAATTCTTCCGATGAACATCGGCACAAATCTCCGACGTACAGAATATCGGCCCTGGGAAGCCTTGGTCTTGGCGCCTACTCTGAACACCTAATGGTTCATTTTTCGTGAGAGGGCACCTCGTCGATCGTCAGTCGTTTCTTCTTCGAATTAACGCAAAATATTGTAGGTCAAGCTGCGACCAGCGCCAATGTGCTGTATTTGTTTGTTTGTTCTCTTTGGCTTGGACAGCCTAGTGGACATGTCAAGTTACTTCCTGAGCTCGGTTGTATGGGTAGAGTTCAACTCGATCTGAACTTGTATCTGCGGTGGCTCGATGATTTGTTGATCTTGATAGATTCTTCCCAGAGATCTTGACCAGTCGCGGTGCTTGCTGATTGCTTGGGCCAATCATCGAACTGCCTTCTGTTGTTGCCAATCCACAGTTTGGGAAGTATCGACGTAGCACAACACGAATTGAGGGCATGCAGATGCAGGCAATACCGACGTTGAATTCAAGATCTGTGAAATAGCCAAACGGTATGAAATCCCCTTGAAGATGTTGCGATTAGTCAAGCTGGACCTGAAGGAGAGAGATAAGTGTAACTCACAGGTCTGGTTCATGCTGCCATCCAACTGTACCATGCTATAAAGTCGAAGAATGCTCACCAGTGTAACACTATAACACACATTTGTCAAGTCAGCCCAAATGCCCTTTGTTCAGGAGTTCTGTTTCGGGGATCTCTCACAAAAAGCCAACTGAAAACATGAGCATCACATGGATTTTCTTCTTGCGAGATAAATTCAAACCCCAAAGTTGAGTTAGTGGGAGGATGAATATGATTATGTCCAACAAGATATTGATGATGGCATGAATGACAGCACCCAGGTCGAAGTTCAGACATTTCCCATCCGCCTCTCCATCCCACTGCATCCACGTGTAGGAGACAGGACTACACTGGAAGATGAACAAAAATGTGAATACGATACCATACACAAAACAGATTCCCAATAGCGGATAAGCAACCTTGCGGAAGGCGCGAGATGGAAATAGTTTGAGGTAGAAGCATAGAAAGGCGATCTTGATAAGTGCGACTCCGATTGTGTAGAAGACGCCACCAATGAAAAATACCTGCAATGTCGCTGTCAACGCAAGCTTTGTAGGGCCTAGGAGTTCAAGCTCACCTTCAGCACCTCATTTGTATCACTGAATGGTATTCTCCAAATGTCCTTGCCATACCCGAAACGTCGTGCTTGCCAATTGTAAGTTGTTGGCCTTGCCTTCTAGAGCGCCGGTGTACTTACATATCGGATTGCATACGGCGTTGCCGATCATGACGATCTACTGATCAGCCAAAGTCTTCCAGTCTTCAGTCAGTGATAAACTTACAGTTGCAAGACCAGTTGCAATGTCGTCCCAACCCCATATTTTGCTGATTCCAAAAACAATAGCTCTGGTAATCACAAAGCCAAGAGCTATCGCCAAAGAAGTGAATGTTACGGCCGAACTGACGGCTCCCCTATCTCTGTTGGGAAACTGGCAAGTGAGTGAGGTGATGTTGCGACCGACTAGACATATGAGTCAGTTTGGCCGTGCTTGATTCGTGACATTGATCATACCCAGAGCCTCCCGGACAGTGCAATTCTCCTCGAAACAATCAAAGCCGAGCTGTGCAAGCTTATGATCATCACAGAAGCACTGGATCCCCGAACAGGAAGTAAAGCGACTAGTCAATTGGACAGTGCAATTTGTCTGGACATATGTCAGAGTCTGAATGAGCAGCCTCACTGTGTGAGGGGTGAAAGGATTGCCAATGGCTTACTGCACATGCTGACATGGTCAATACTTGACCAAGCACCAGCTGGTGCACACAAAGGAGTGCGACAAATACCGTGGGCGTGACCTTCATTCTGGAGATAGCAATGTGTTAGCAGAAGCGCGACAAGCTCCAAATGGGAATTGGCGAGCTCTTGAGCTTTTCTTGCAAGGGGGATCTTCTAGAATCAGCCTGCTAAGCTTCTCCTCCTTGTCTGGTGGCGTTCGCGTACCATTCGTTTGATCGTGGATTGCCGTGGCAGGACGGCCCACGCTTTGGCGAGAGAGCTGGGATAGGAAGACGGCAGTCGATGTTACAGGATTGTTTGAGGCTAGCTGCTGAAAATCTGCGAACACCTGGACTTTGCGCCATGAAATGAAAGAACACTATCTCCCAGATTTGGACATGCCCATCTGAATCCATGTTGACTAACGTCTTCAGGGAACTGATATGTCTCCATGGAACATGAAGCACAGACCTGATTGGAGCTAATATAGGAGCATCGTGGTTCGGGGGAAACTGTGTGGATGAGACATGCATTGATTAACCATTCGGAGGCCTTGCCATCGCATTAGCGAGAGCGAGCACATGGACTTGGGAACGCAGCTATTCCCGGGACGGGGAACTGGATATCTTTGAGTAGTTTCGGCCCAAGTCTCTGAATATGTCGTTGTATGGAGACTCGTAGGGAAACCCCTAAAAGTGGAGAATATTGGGCCAAAGTCCGTACGGAGGATTCGTCAATTGACTCGTTGTTCAAGCGGTCTTAGGGCCTTCGTGTGGCGTACCTGAAAGTAGGATAACACCCACGAGCTGTACCTCATACTAATTGATATTCGGTATTCGTATAGCCACGACCGGATTCTGACATTCTTCTTTCTCGTATATGGCGAATATCAGGACCGTCCTCTGGCCGCTGAGTGTTTGAGAGAGATGATGTGGCCTCCAACAGGTGACAATCTGATGAGCACATGAGAAGACAAGCCATCCTCGCCCGGAAAGCTCATATTCCTTGAGAGGCGAAGATATGAAACACTAGCTCCTGAAAATTGAATGGGGTGATGTGTGAGATCATGCGAGGAAGTTGCGGAGTGAGGTACTTCGTCTGAGTGAGCAATGTCCCTCACAGGGAGGGTTGCGCACGGAGGAGTTTCCTGTAACGGACTTGGGGGTGGTGGGAATTGTGCCCAGCAGCCCTAGCAGCCCTAGTCAGCACGCCTAAGGGCCCTAGGAACTCGGCTGTTGGGGCCCCAGGACTTCTGAAACTCAAAACACAGTCTGAATCATGAAGATGGAGCAGTCTGACTCTGCTTATCTAGTGTCTGAACGCTGAAGAAACGTGCAATCTCTCGCAGTCAAAACCTTAAGTTGCCGTGCTCTGGATAGCAGTGGAGAATGTATGACAGTCCAGATTTCTTTCATAGCCTGTGGCCCGGTCTGTAAGTGCTGAGACGTTGGCTGAGCTGAGCTTGAGGTCAACTAAATAATCACCTCAAAACTGGTTCTCGAGGTTGAGATCGCTATCGAAAGACTGGCTTGTGATCTGCAATGCTCGGAGAAACGATGCCGTGCCAAGTGTTCATGCTCCATGAAATACTTTGGTGAAGGGAAGGTACTTAGGTACTTTCCAAGTGTTCCTAAGTTTGCGATGGGAATATTTTTGCTGCGGGCCAGAGAATGCCTGCCAGCCCAACTGTTCGCACAGAGTTTGAAATGTACGAATATATCAGCTTGGGGGCTGGGGAGTGCCAACTTGCCCCCGAAATTATGTTCCAGAACCCCAGCTACCTACTCCGTGCTACTGCTGAGTACCTGTATGAGGTACTCCCTACTGCTTATCACCGCAGCTTTAGACCTACTCCGTTCGAGTATAACGCCGGTCAGGCGAAGCTGGACTTTGCGATGTCGGAGAGTCTCCCCGCAGTTGTCGGCCCACTGATCCGGCAGTTCTAGCGAGCACTGAGCAACGACAATCTTCAGGTCATCCAGATCAGTTTCAAGGCTCATTGTGGTTTGAGTGCAGCTATTGAAAATGTCCGTCCCAAGGCGAAAATCGGATAACGAGCCCAAACGGGCTAGTAATGCGTAAGTTCTGTCAATATACCCCAAACCACTACACCGCCGTTGAGTAAAAGGGAGGCAACAATCAGGTATTGAGAAATGCAGAGATCGTTTAATCGATGCCCACATGATGTTCTTTTCTACGGCTTGGCCCTATTCCTATCACGTGGAACGATTGCACTTCCTCTGAATACCCACAGATCACTGATCTGTTTTGTTGAAGATGTCAGCGATGTCGGCATAGCAAGCTCAAATGCTCTGGGACGCAGCCTTGCGATCGATGTCGAAGGAGGAACAAAGAATGCATTTTCGATGATAAGGAAAAAAGAGTAGTTGTCTCTGAGAGGTGAGCACATCCACGATATAGCTACAAAAACTCTCTTGACTAACAGCGTCACTTGAGCTATCTCGAAAATCTCAGACGAGCCGCCCAGGCGGCAGAATTTGCTGAGAATTCAGAACAATTGACTGACCACCATGGCAAAAGTAATGCCAATACTGTGGGTGCCGAGGTCGATGCCATGGACACGGAAGTTGGCCAAGCGGCAGAATTGGAGACACCTTCGTTCTTCCTGAGAAACCGACCAAACAAGCGCCGCAGATGGCGTTAGTGTGCTTCGAAAGGGCAACCCTGGGTAGTAATGCTGACAACTTACAGTGTACCTCGGGACGTCCTCCACATGGTCATTTAACATTCGAGCCGTCTCAATCATCAAGGATCATTTATTCGACAAGAATGGGCCTGAGGAAGACAATGCTTTCAGCTTGGATGGTGATGCATACAAATTCTCATGGAAACGTGTTGGTCTAGAGGATAAACCCGATTTGAGTCGACTGCCGTCCTTAGACTTCGCCATATACCTAACCAACACGGTCAAATTCCATCTGGGCGGCATTCTTCGTCTCTTCGATGAGGATGAGTTTTTGCAACACCTCCACGAGTTCTACGCTGAAGCGCCTGAGAAAGTTGGGAGCTCCAGGCTCTGGTATACTCAATATCTACTTGTTCTAGCGTTTGGGAAAGGCTTTCTGAATGGGCCCAAGACCCCAGGGAGTCTTTCAGGTTCCGAGTTCTTCACACGAGCAATGTCCATCTTACCTGATATTCCGGATCTTCACGAGGAGCCAGTACTGGCAGTTGAAGTGCTAAACTTAATCGCATTGTATTTCTACTGTCTCGACATGAGGCAAACTGCCTATTCCTATGTGAGTATTGCCGATGCCTTTCGGTATTGACGTCGACTTACAGTCAACGCTAGATTGGTCAAGCCTTGCGTATCGCACTGGCAGATGGAATGCACACACGTATTCCGGCTGAGTTGTTAGGAGAGAAACTCGCCGAACGATGTGCCAATATCTGGTGGACAGCTTACGTCCTAGATCGAACGTTATCATCATCCGTTGGCGCCCCAACCTCGGTCCATGATGAGGATATCAAAACCTATCTGGCTTCACCACAACAGTCTTCTCAGCGTTATGCAACCTTGAGCTTACACGTTAAGCTATCCAGATTAATCTCTCATATACTGAATGGTAAGTAAACGGTTTTTGACTCATCAGGCCGATCTCTAACAAACTTCAAGAGCTATATAGTGCAGATGGCAGTCTTGAAGCTTCATACCTCTCAAAGATAAGATCTGTCTTGAGAAGGCTGGCTGAAATTGCTGAAGAGCTTGAAGGGACAATCAACTTCAAGTTCAAAAGTTCTTTGGAGACGCTTTCAAAAGGGGCAACCCACCTTCGCCTCCTCTACCATCAGGTTTGTAGCCCTGACAGACCGTTCGTCGTAGGCTGACCGAGTGGATAGTGCATAATCCTTGCGATAAGGCCTCTACTGCTTTGCCTCCTACAGGAACGATTGAAATCGCTACAAGATGGTACTGGGGTACAAGATCTAACAGGATCCATTCGTGACCTGCTTCAAACTTGTGCAGACTCTGCAGCGAAAACACTTGCAATACTGTGCGCGTTGGCGGAAAACAACATGCTGGACAGCTTCCTCCCATTCGACCTTGAATTTACCTCGTCTGCTGCATCAGTTTTGATTATCCTCGACGATATACTTCGGATCGTACCGATTTCGACCAGTGTCAAGCGCCGCGGAAGCAGGATCTTGCTTGACATGAAGCAGAGAGGCAGTGTTCCAGCACAACTACGCCAGAACGAACTGGACCGGCTCAATCGATTGGCAAGGAGGCTTTGGGAGAGGTTTCCCACATCGATGACTGGGAGTAAGAGCAAATCCAGGGCGAGCACTGCCGTTCAAAATCAGCCAAGCACCATTTCTGGAGCAGATCTACCGCTCGCGCCGACGAGCGCTCCCCAGATCGAGCAGAATTCAACCCAGGGCAATGACCCACCGACGAACCCCCTGTATGATCCGAATCTCTCGCCTCCATTCCAGACACAAAACACTACACCTTTCGACCTGATATCTCCTGACCTCGCCGAACAATTCGAGCTCTCTCAGGAACAAATGTTGTTCGTCGCTGATCAGCTGAACGCCGATGCAGATGATGCATTATTCATGTCGAACTTGGACTTTGGCGCCCCAGGCGGTGCGTCCGGGTCTGGGAATAATTGGCTTTGGAGCATGTCTTGATTCCCGCTTTCTATCGTTTTGTGATTCTGGCTGCTAATTCAACGCGGTGTGCCTGCGCCAGTGCGTGGGAAATGCGGCTTAGAGGAAGAATTTGGCACGAATGTGAATACTGGAATCGGAGGGAGGTGGGGGGAAAGGATAATTGATTTTCGTGCCATTTTTCAACGCGTGGAATGATGAGAACAAGTCGGTCGGCAAGATACCCTGATTATGACGTGGGAAGAACATGCTGAAGGGCTGGATACATTGTGAAATATCCCGGAACGAGATTAAAAGCTGATTTTCAAGATTATCACGTGCTCGATTCTTGCAAGTAGACTAAGCACTCTACGCCCAGTCTCAGAAGGCAAGCAGGGCGTAGCCTCAGTCTATCCGAGTTAAAGTTCCTGGATTGACAGCCCCTCACTCGAATCAGCCTCGTGCTTGTCATTACCAACACGATCAAGCCACACACGAAAGGCCGACATCTCAACCCTGTCGAACCTGTAGCCTCCATCATCGGTATTCCAGAAGACAACTTCCCCTACAGGTTTGCCAGCATACATAAGAAGATCCACATTGGTTACGCAAAAGTCGTCCCACACGCTGGGCGGACCACCTGAGTGCCGTGGAACTACATCAAGGACGGCGCGGAAAAGTTCCCCCCTCTTGTTCTTCTCGTCGCGATATAGCAGCGTAGGAAACAACTGTACCGTGATGTCGTTGGCTCCGCGGTCTGCGAAAAAAGCGAGGAGCGCGGAGAATGTATCGGTGCCGTTGGAGATGAATTCTGAGACATAAAGGCCTTGATAGGGTGAGAGAGAGACAGTGAGAGTAGTGTTGATGTGGGGTGCAGCATAGGTCCCGACATATTTTTCGTAGGCTTGTCGCTGGGCGAGCTTGTCCGTGGCACGGATGAGTTTGGTCGTGATGATCTCGCGAAGTTTGGACATCAGTGCAGTGTCGCCTGCTGTAAGGACAGTGATCCCCAAGGAATATTCGGGTACCAGTATGATGTTGGTTATGTAGCCTGGTAGACCACCGCCTTTGGTGATAAAGGTCACTGGGCGGCCGGTCCTCGACAAGATCTTCTCCGTTCGGAAAATCTCCCACGGCACGCCATAAAAAGAGTTGACGCCCTCGGTGAATGAGGCTGGGTGGAACCAGTTCAATTTCGGCGTGATCCCGTTAAAGTGTGTAAGAATGTATCGGAGGTACGTAGACAGGTCACTAGAAGTCGCGAATAAGCCCCCAGTTGGATTCTGCACTCCTTCATCCACATCCCAATACCATGCTTCGCCTTTTGGTAGGACCGCAAACTCGTCTGGTGGTGGAATGAATGAGGAGCCTTTCATTCCTAAGGGCTCTAGGATAGCCGTACGGATATAATCCTCGTAGCTGAGTCCAGTGACATTGGCGAGCACAAGACCAAGGAGGTCGAAGGCCAGATTCGAATATGTGGACTTCTGGTTGGGCGCGAACAATGGATTTGCGGACCTGAGGAAGTCTGTGAAGTCTTTTGCCGTGCATGGAGTATAATTCGCATACGAGTCACATGTCGGCAGACCTGCATCTGAGACTGGTGGGAAGCCGTACTGAGTTGCATCTGGGATCTCGATGAAGAGGTCTCCTTGTGCGAAATCTCTAGGAATCCCGCTCAGCTGACTGGCAAGGGTTCGAAGAGTTATATCCTTCCAGGGTATACTACCCCTTTGGTGACCACGGAGGTCGGAGATATAGGTATCGACCGTATCATCAAGGCTGAGATTCCCTGCGACATCTTGATATAGGAGACCAAGAACGGTAAATGTCTTCGTAATGCTTGCAATACGATAAGCGCTCTCTCCATTGACTTCCTCGGCACCAGGCCGCGAAACATTCTTGTCCTGTGCAGTGTGGTGTGTAGACCATAATGTGGAATCTGTAGAGGTTATCTCAATTGAGTAGGATGATGCATTATAGACTGGCTTGCTAATCAGGTTGCTCAGCGTATTAGATATGTCGTTGAATGCCTCCAATAATTCAGGACTTTTCTGTGAATAGTCTGGAGAGGGAAATGCCGGTGTATACTTCGAGCAATCTGCTACGATTTGATTAATGAGACTCAAGGCCGCGAGAAAAATTGATGTGACCGAAAGTCGAGTCATGCTGTGCCCACAATTTGTAGGATAGTGCCAGATGAAGATGAGAAGACGCTGAACAATCTCGCGGTCAGGGGTTTTGGTAGGTCGCTTCGTCCGAGTCACTGGCTACAAAGTGCTCAACTATAGTTCGATATCAAATTCGCTTAAGGCAACAGATTTGAATGTTGTTCTGTACCTCGATCATAGATGGTTTCCGTCAAACACTGACGAAGTGTTGCCTAAGTAACTTACCGAGTAAGTGGCATGCCTCAATCTCGCTTCTTTCCTGGGGTAGCACCAGTGACGTCAACAACCGATATTGCTGCTTTACCCGTGCTCACAAGTCGATAGTGCTATGAGAGTGATGATGATGTTGGTGTTTACAAGAGGACATTAGGCAATCTGATGGCTATGAAGGAATATCGCATTTATGCTCGTAGGACAAACCTACAGGATTTGGCATCTACTTCGCTTGATCTATCTGAGTGGAAGACTGGTCGTTACTAACGATATCGGTTGGGGAGCGGGCCAGAGCGAGGGCGGGAGTACCGTTGCGATCCACCTTACAATTGCTGCGTTGACTTCATTCGGTTTCTCTTGTGCTATCCAATGTCCACCAGCGATGTTGACCTGGGTGTATTTACGGCAAAAACTCCTCATAGGCTCCGACAGCTTGGTCTTCCCTGCTGTCGTTGCGACTGAATCATACTCGGCACCAATAAAGAGAACAGGAATATTAACCAAGCCCTCATTGATCTGCCAATCCTCAGTATACTGTGCATTGTCCTCCATGTTGAGGTAGTAAGAGGTAGGAGATCGGAAGCCTCCCTCCTTAAACGCTTCTACCAGCTTTCCGTGCATTTCTTCATCAAGGACGTCAGTATCGAGAGGCAGTTCGGGCGGATTGCCTGCCTCGCCAAACCACCCATTGTTCTTCGTCACAAATGCTGTGAAAGTGGGTTTGTTGAGAGTCTCCGGATCGCCCTTTCGATAGACTGCGCGGAAGAAGTTCGGGATATCTCTTTCGAAATCTGCGATGGCTTTGTCGAAGTTCTTCTCATCTTGATAGTACACCATATAATCCCATTGAGCGTTCGGAAATTGGTCTTCCGGGTACAGCGCGCGATCTGCATATTTGATCAAGCCTTCTTGGACGCCGCATTCGATCGTTCGGTACGCAATGCACATATTCGCAACACCAAGACAATTCTCTGGGTAGTGAGATAGAAAAGACCAAACAACGCCAGCACCCCAGTCATGCCCGATCCATATTGCCTGGCTACGGCCGAGATGTCTCTCGAGAAACCTCAACAGAATTGTATTGATGGCTTTGAGGGAGAATTCTGTCTTGTCATCAGACTTGAAGGATTTTCCAAAGCCAGGCAGATCTGGAGCCACTACACGGAAGCCTAGACCAGCGAAGGTGGTAATTTGTGGTTTCCAAATCTCAGCAACTGCGGGCCAACCATGAACAAAGATTACCAGTGTACCATCTTGAGGCCCAGCTTCCAGGTACGAGATTGTCTTGCCGATAATTGTAGTCTCTTTCCTTGAGATAACGACCATTTTGGTGGCGGCCCAAGGTTATGATATCTAGAGTTTTTGGGACCGGTTGGCTTCCTCGATCATCCAAGACACCTTTATAAGCTGTTTAATGGGGTTTGGAGTCGGTCGGTGTCGGATTATGGGGAATCCTTGTACCAAACTCCCCCGCTATTACTTCGATTTAGCGAAGGCGAAAACTGGGCCCATAGTCACCAATGTAACCGTCAACTGCCGATGCGGAGAGTGATGAAGCTCTAAGAAGTCGAAGAATACCAAGAAAAGAGCGCTACCACACTATGATAGTCAACCTGGGTGAAGTAAAAACTCGTTCCACCGATTCCAGGTAGGAATTGCTTTTCACAAGGCTGTACAGTCTACCGCCCGATAAAGACAAGGCTTAGGTGACATCGTTGTCTGGCATCCGCTGTTAAATATGGCCCTCCTGGTGTTCACTGTTCAACTCAGGGCTGATTAATTATGAAGAGAATACTCACGTATAACAGCCCCATTCCGAATGTTGAGCGCATATCTCGAACGCAGTTACTAAGCCCACAGAGAAGCAACTTGACGAAGACCGAAACCCGATAGGGGGCCCAAGTGGGGAATTCCAGCCAAAGACACCCAATGGACCTCAGCTTTTAGGCCCTAGAACTGATTTATCTGTACCAAAATGATTGATAGCGGCGAGCCTGTGAGTCAATCTAGGCTTCAGGGACAATTTGGGACTTCCTTCTGAATGTCAAATTATTTCAAGAAGGAATGAAGTCATGGTTCACCTTCTTCGTACTGCGGAATAGATATTTGTTGATTCAAATGGCTGCCTCTTTTACGGCGTGGCAGTGAAGGTGTCGCTGTTATGGCGTAAACCTTGACACAACTTAGGTAGGGACCCGATTGCCTTCAGAGTTTGGTACTCGTACTTCTGCAGTTACCCTATCGGTTAACAATTCACTCTTCTAACAAATGAGGCTCTCGTCGTCACACCTCAAGATGGGTTAGCAGCCTTAACTAGTCATCGTTACTATGATCGTGGTTCCAACTGGGGGCAATTTTGCTGAGCAAGTGTCGTCGGCACCGTCTCAAGGCTTCGAACTCTCATCTCGGCCTCTAGCCAACTATGTACACTACAATGCTCTTTGATATTCTACACCGGCAGTGGAAGAAATCTCATGATGATCCACAGCAAGGGAATTCGAATTGTCGTTCTAAAGAAAGCACCGAGCATCACCTTCTCTGTCGGTTCCTTTCCACCTATCTTGGTTCTGGGTCTGCCCCTCCTTCAAGACTCTCAGCCCCAATGGAGAAGAGGCTGCATATACGAGTTAGATAAACTCTCGAATACGGGCTGATTGGGCTACCTGATTCAACTACCGCACCTTATCATCAATCACTGGACATTGGCCTCCCGTATTTGCGGGAAAGGCAGCATGAGTACCAATCGAAATTCGGACCATGCGCGCTGCCTACTAGGCACGGGGGTTTCTGATATTTTGGCTCGAGCTGAGCCCTTCCCAACTTGCGCCCACCACGCTGTTCAAGCACCACAAGTCCGGGTCAAGACTTTTCTCAGCCCTGTGGCGCTCGGAAGGTCCAGACCAGGCGTTTTCGGATTTGAACCACACGGTTTGGCCCCAGCCTTGAACATCTTGTCAACCTCGTTGTCGGTCCTTGCAGTTCTACCAAGGCAATGTTGAGACTGAATAAGTTGTCTCTATGCATTGAGGCTCCCCAGTACATCACTGAGATATGATAGACAGTGGTTACCGAGATCAGCAATCAGGCTGAGAGAAGAGTGCTATTTCCGCTGCACGACAACAATCATGGCTTCCCAAGGGAACGGATCGCAGGCTTTGTTGATCGGCTATCTCGATACAAACCATACATCTTCCCTCGAAGCATCCTGGGTTACACGGCCCACGCCGTGGCCTTTCGTCGCGGCCAGTGTCAGTCTATCCATTCTCCTGGGATTCCTCGGTGTCCAAACCTCCTACAAATCGTGGGAATCGTTGAGGCAAATCAAATCAGGCGGCAGTGTGATTTCGATGAATGATATTGGTTACCAACCCGTCAGACAAACATCCTCCCACGAACAGCAGCACAGAAGATGGACTTCGGCCTCAAGCTCGAATGATTTTTCAACCACGAGGACGTTGATCGAGAACGACGCGATGAGCACATTCGTAAATGATCAACGCCGGGCGAGTAGCTCTACATATACCCGACATAGTGACTCCAACATGCATGGTGGTTTAGGGAAATTTGCACTCACCACAACGGCGATTGGCATCACATGGTCGACGATACGAGCATCTTTGACTCTGGCACTCATGATTCAGATCGTGATGGGCGAGAAACATACCTACCCAGGCATTGCCAGCCTCGTGATCATGTTCACTTCGGTCCAGACATACATGGGAAGCCGAGCAATGCCACGCATCTTGTACCTTCTGATCGCCATCGATCTACTCATGATATACGGATGTATCGTGCTGGCCATATTCTCCTTCCTACAAGACAAGAAAACCTCATACCAAGAATTCGCCGTGCTTGGCGGAAACTGCCCATGTCTGCTCGGGTTCAAGACAGGCCACGACATGAAGACGTGCGCCGAATTCCCAAGCCCTCCGGCCTTCGTCGGCTGCGACACCCAATACCTCTGGGCCAACAACACCAACCACGCCACAAACATGACGGCCACCTATCCCAAGTCCTGCCTCCTCTCCGACCACAACGACGGCAGCGACAGCGACCTCAACCCCAACCTCATGACGTACCTCGTCCTGGCGGAGATCGTCGTCGGCGGCGTCGGCCTGCTCTACGGCCTGATCGTCCTGGGCATCGCGTCGCGCTGGATCCCACGCGCGCTGTCCCACCCGAGAGAACTCTTCGTCTCGTTCCCGCTCATCGCCCCGCCTCGACAGTCCAACAAACGTCCAGGGCCCAACCCGACCGACCCGTACAATCAGCGCCCAAAACACCACAACATGCCCACCCGCGCCGTCGGCATGACCGTCCTCGCCTTCGTCGCCATGCTGGCCTTCGCCACCATCACCATCGTCGTGCACGTGCTAGACGAAACCCGCCCCATCCGTCTGTTCTACATGGACAGCGTGGGCCCACGGCTCGACGGCGCGGGCAGCATCGGGGGTAATAATGTCGTTGATGTTGGGGGTGGCAATCTCGACTTGGGAGCGAGTTGGTCGGATTGTTTTGTTGTCGATACACCGTACTGGGCCGATGGCGGGTTCAAAGATTGGTGGGCTTTGCATAAAAGTAATCTTTTGAGGGCCATTGCGTTGGTTTGAGCGTGAAGAGGAAAGGGGGAGAGCTAGGGCGAAAGGGGGCCGAATCAAGGGTTGGTTACATAACGCTCGACAGCATGGAAGTGGTGGGAGAACTGGTTAATTCGTCGAGATAATGGGCATGGAGGCGTCTCTACATCTATCTACAAACACCAAAGACTTCTACTAGACTAGGAACAGCATGAGACGAACAGTGAGGGAATCACGCAACGTCAAACGAGACATATTTAATAGTGATTCAATCTAACATTATATGGATATCCATGAATCCAAAATCTCTCCAACGGGATTTTTCACATCACCAAGCTAGATAGCTACATCGACAGGGCCAATGGGCCACGAATGTGTTGCAAAATCTTGATGCCTACCAATTGCCATCTGTCCTGAGACTGTATCCTATTCTACTGTAGTTCGACCTCAGCTGGTACGGGCTCCAGTGCACTGTTCTTGGAGATCAATGGAGTGGACGTCAGGGTGGTGTTGACCCGATGTACCATTGGCACAATATTGGACACTCAAGGTGTGTTGTCAAACTGTATTTCTTGAAAGGCAGAAGACGTGTTCTTGATGTGCCTGGTCCAATCCCCCAATGGACTCGTTGGTGGTCGAGATTCAGTTGCGGACGTGGATCCAATGTGCTCAGAAGCCACTCTCGAGCTTCGTACTCAATCCCAGCCCATGTTCCAGCCCTCGCCTAAGAGCATCAATGCTCTCGCGGCGGGTTTCTCCTGCATCTCTCTTGGCAAAGAGGCTGGGAAAGCAACGACAGCTTGTCTCAGAGCAGCGATTCCAGCAGCCCCATAGAAGAGTACGAATCTGTCGCGGGCGATATTCTCAAGCATGGATTTGAGTAGGATGAGGTGACTGGTTTGGACTTCGGTGGGTGGGGTATTGACGATGCTGGCGAGGCTCGTCCAGTAATGGTGGGGTGGCCAGGGGTTGATGAGGCGTGATCTGGCGAAATTTCGTAGGGCGATTGAAGCGTAGCCAACCCCAAGGCCGGTTAGGCGATCGTATTGCTTTTGCTCACTGACGAATGCTTTTGTATCGTCTGAGACTGACTCCTTACGCCAGCCCAGGCGTAGTTTTCCGGCGGTGGTGGATTCGGACCCAGAGATGCCAAAGAGGATAGGTGCCACCGCGTGGAATTTGCACATCAAAACTGCGATCAGAGAGCAGCTGCTGGGTTTCATGGGTGGTGTGGGAGTTGAACCGCCAAAGGCTTCGTAGTGGATACCGGAATTGACGGATGGGACATTGCGCTGGAATTGCAGCTCTGGCATGGAGAAGATCTGAGCTGCGAGTGTGCCAATCGGTTCTGCTGCCTTGGGATTCACAGCGCATTCGCCTACAAAGGCGTTCATAACGGCTTTGCTGAACATGGAGAGTAGGTAGAGGAGGAGTTCTGGGACGGTGGTCTGGCCTTTGTCCAGGAGACTGAGACCTGGTGGGAGGTATTCGTTGACGCTGACTGGCGAAGAAGGAATTTCTTTCAAGGCTCTCAGTAATATTGTGCGTATTCTTTCATGCTGTGTGAAGAGAGTGGTTAGCATCGAGGGAATCGATAAGGGGATCTGTGACTTACAGGAACTCTATTGCCAACTTTGTCGTCCGTCAATTGACCAATACATGTCTTTATTGTGCGTCTCATGTCACCAACATGAGGCTTCAGTGTCGCATTTTTTCTTGAGTTTGCCCAAAATTCTTTCCGAAAGGCTTTGAGTTTTCGATGGAGTGCCAAATAATGTCTATGTTCCGCTTCCTGATCGGACCGACCAGGAGTGGTAGTATGTGTTGGGTGTTGTCCAGGTATCGCTGAAGGTGTCACTGCTTGGGCTTGAATCTTATGTACAGCCTCTTCTTGTTGTTGTTGCTTGAGTGCAAGTTCCTGGTCAGACTTCTCCTTCTGTTCTCGTGCGAGTTTTTCAGCTTGTGCAGTTGCTTCGCGTTCTCGTCGTTGGTTTTCTTCAGCCTCAGCCTTCTCCTTTTGAAGTCGTTCTCTCTCAGCCCGTTCTCGCTCTTCTGTCTCAGCTCTCTCTCGCCGCTCTCTCTCTTCGCGGTCTCTGCGTTCCTGTTCAACGCGTCTTCTTGCAGCCTCTGCCTCTTGTCTCCGATTCTCCTCTTCTTCCTCCTGCCTCCTCCGCTCCTCTTCACGCCTCCGTCGATCTTCCTCTTCTTTTTTCAGAAATGATCGGAGAACGGCTTCAGCCTGTTGTCTGACTAATTCATGCTGAGCAGCTGCATGGCTAATCTCTTTTCGATGGACCTCAGCCTGGGCCATCTCTTTTGCGTCAAGCTCTTCTTGTTGTTGGCGACGCTGAAAAGAGTCCAGCTTCTGACATTCGGCATGATGGAGATGCACTTGGTTGAAGGCGCGTTCCAAATCATATTCCACTTTCCTTGAAGGACTGTCGTCGCTTCTGCGCGATATCTGATATGGTGACGCGCGTGTCATGACTGGGTCACGTGCCTGTGATATTGAAATTTCCAAATTTGGGCGATAGTCACGGCGACACCAGAATTGCGATATTGCAGGTCAAAATGATCCAAGGGAGACACAGCAGTTGCCTAGTGAGCTGGAAGTATCGGAATGGTTCCGAGCAGTGACGAATTTCCAGCTCCTGGCTGCATGCAGAAATTGTTGATGCCGGGAGTCGGTGAATGACAACAAAGGGTGAATGCCGAGCAGAGTCAAGTCATCACGAACCGGCTGCTCACTGATGGGTCTGATGATGAAAGTCCTAAGCTTTGAAACAATCAGGAGTGTTTCGATTAAACAGAAATTGACAAGTTTTGACGAGAGATGGGGCGATATGAGAAACACGATATGTCGTTTCGAGTGAAAAGCGCGCCAAAATTCTGGGGATGAAAAGCTCGACAATGAGGCTGCAGTGGCAGGTGCGCAGTTGGTGGTTGGTTTCAGGCTCACACAGCAAAAGTTTAGGTGTGGAGAAGCCCAGGGCCCAAGCCTCGGGGATGGTAGTTGAACTGTCACAGTCGCTTACTATATATTACAATCAGGGGAAGAAATGGTCGCCTCGGGCGGTGCGGTTAAGGGATCTAGGTGCCTAGGTACCTAGCTACGAGGGTTTCTCAAGTTGAGAGAGCTGGCATTAGGTTGAACTTAACTTTGGCGTGCAGGCCACCCAGAGCCTGAAGTGGCAGTGGTAGCGGGTGAGGGAATGGCAAGCCTAAATTCAGCGTTCAAAGTTGCCGGGTTCCGCCCGCACTCGACTCTTGGCATTATGGGAAGGCTGGATGCTGATGTGCATTAAGCGTCAGCCTCAGGGGGAGTTGGTCATTTGAGATGTTATTATTCCTGAGGATTGCGACTTGTTTGTTCGAAGGGGCAGAAATAATGACAATGATAATAAAAGAGAAGAGTGCTGTGATTGAAGCCGTCGAGTGTCTCCGAGCGGCATCAATGGCATCCATTAAGACACTGTCCGTACAGCCATAGATTAAACACCCCCTGCCACCGACGAGGGCCTAACTAATAATAATGATATATAACTAGATGAGCTTGAACATCACTCGTGCTTTGGACTTCTTAGCTGTACCACTTACTGAAGAACCTCCTCCTCAGTGGCGTAAAGAACATCCTGAGACTGAGACCTTTTGTTGGAGACACATCCACTCCCCCCCCCCCATTGAGCCCCCATCCACTTCCTCCTCCAGGCTCCCAATGCCAATGCCATAGAGACAACGTTCGGTTACTGGTCGATCGTGCTAAACTACCACCATCGGCGACCACTGGCATTGTCCATCACATCCGGTCTAAACCGTATCAAGTCCGATATCTCTTGCCCTTCTCAATCCTGGCCAAGACTCAAAGAGAAACTCATACAGACAGACTCGTACTAGCACTATTTACCACTGCCATTAAGTTGCACCCAAACTGCACCTTGGTCTCTCACACTCCCTCCATTCACTTTCATCCACTGCACCCTCTCTCTGTCCCTGTCTTTCCCTGATTGCAACTCATCGCCTTTTGCTTTCGCATCCAATCCTTGTTCAAAAGCCAGACTCACTCTCTTGTGCTGCTTGCCGAGTCCCCTGGAAATCATCTCTCTCTCGGCGACTGTCTTGTCCGTCGACTCCGTTTCCTGTCCTTTCCTGACATTTGCAACTGCCACTGCAATTGCATCTGCGGCCTCCCATCGAGCCTGCCTTCCTCAGAGTCAATCTTGCACTCACCGTCACTGCTCCATATCGATCCTGACGACTGCTTGCTGGCGTCAGTCATCAGCTCTACGCTATCTCTCCCCTCTTCCTCATCCCCACCACAGTGTCTTGTCCGAGTCTTGACACCTTTCTTCCCCTCCACACGGTACCGGCCTCACATAACTATTTCTCTGGCTGGGCTTTCATCAATACCAAGCTCCATTAATTGCTTCCTTCTACTCCTTGAAGGATTGCAGTCTCTGCGCAGCATTGATAGCCCTTTTGACCGATACACAGACTGGTGAGTCTCCGCATTCCAAGCTGAAAGCGTGTGTCCAGATGGAACATCACTGTTGTGCTACTCTCTCTGCCCCTACCATGGCAGTCACCACCTGTCGTTGGATTCCACTATTCATCAAGCATTGAACCCTACTGACCATCGCCTTCTCCTTGCGCAGTTTGAATCCTTCTCGCCCTTCTTTGATCAGCTAGAGCAACCAAGGTCATCCTCGTTGTCCTTCTGCTCAGCAGTCACCAATTTTGGCCCCATTCACACAGAACGATCTCCATTCCGTTTCTGATTCAAGAGACGCAAGATGGCACAACCAGGTTCTACTGGCGTGCCAGGCCCTGCCGGGCGTAGGCTCCATATCGCCCATCGACGCAGCCCATCCGAGCTGACTCCATTGATGATGGAACAACTTGCTCTTCAGCAACAAATTGAACTGCTTCAACAGCAACAACAACAGATTGCTGCCACTCATCAGCAATATGTCAACATGGGCATGATCCAGCAGCCCCTACAAAACATGCCGGGCTATTCCCCTATCCAACCCCAACCCATTCCCCCAAATAATGCAAACTATCAGTTCCCGCAAATGCAGCAGCAGATGGGAATGCCGGGAAATCCCCCAACACAACCTGCTGCTCATCGAAGAAATAATTCCGCCCTGCCAGGTATGGCTATGGGTCCTCCACCTGCACCTTCAGCCGGTACTGCCGGTGCTGCTTATGGGGACTTCAATCAACAAGCTGCCTCTTCAAACCGCGAGAACGCAAGCAATCGTGGCAGAGGTGGTGGAAATGCAGGCGGTGGACATGCTAGACGCCATTCATTGGCACTTCCCGAAGCCAAAAAGGCTGCAGAATTGGCTGAGAAGAAGAGAACTGCTGCAGGTTTTCAATTCCCCATCCCTGGGGCCACTGGTATTGCTGAGAGCCCTGTGACTGCGACTCCCGTTGACGACAAAGCACAAACACCAACTTCTTCTCAAGGACTTGGTCTACAGCGTGCGGGTAATGCTCGAGGTGGTGGTCATAGTCGCAGCCAAAGCATGGCTGCTGGCGGCACTCGTGGTGGTGGCACAGGTGGTCGTTCAGCTTTCCAGTTTCCTCCACCAAATGCCACTGCCGATGGTGGACAGTCTGGTCAGTCAGACTTGCAACGCCGTGGCAGCCAGAGCAGCCACACAAGACAAGGCTCCCGAAACTTCGAGGGCAACTGGCGTCAGCAAAACAACCAGCAACCTGCTGATCAACCACAACAACAGATGGGCCAATTCAGTCAACCTGCAGGCATGGCTGGCCCTGGCTTCCAGCCTGGTCATAGAGCTGGTAGAGGCTCAATCAATCAATCTGTCGGCTCCATGAGTGGGTTCCAGTATCCTGGTCAGCCCCAGCTCATGCAAATGCAAAATGGGCAGATGCTCATGCCTCAAATGTTTGCTGGTCAACAACTCAATGCTCTTCAAATAGCACAACTTCAAGCCATGCAAGGAGCTCAGCTTGGGGGTCTTCAGGCCAGCCAACACGCACCACAGCTGGGCATGCAACAGAATCAACAGCAGAGAAAGACTCTCTTCACACCTTATCTTCCTCAAGCAACCTTACCTGCCCTGCTCAATGACGGTCAACTCGTTGCGGGTATTCTTCGTGTGAACAAGAAGAATAGGTCAGACGCGTATGTCACTACCAGTGATCTGGACGCCGACATTTTCATTTGCGGTAGCAAAGATCGTAACCGAGCTCTCGAGGGCGATCTAGTCGCAATTGAGTTGCTGGACGTTGATGAGGTCTGGGGCCAAAAGCGTGAAAAGGAGGAAAAGAAGAAGCGCAAGGATATAACAGATACTCGCTCTTCTGGTAATGCTCAGAACGGCAAGAACGATACTTCTTCATCCACAGAGAATCAGTCCATCGCTCCAGACGGCAGCATTCGTAGGCGTGGAAGTCTCCGTCAGCGACCAACACAAAAGAAGAATGATGACGTTGAGGTTGAGGGTCAGAGCCTCCTTTTGATGGAAGAGGAAGAGATCAGCGACGAACAGAAGCCTCTCTACGCTGGACACGTGGTTGCTGTCATTGAACGTGTTGCTGGGCAAATGTTCTCCGGAACCCTCGGTCTCCTTCGACCAAGCAGTCAAGCAACCAAGGAGAAGCAAGAAGCTGAACGACATGCCCGCGATGGTAATAACCACGGACGAAGCGAGTCCCGCCAACAAGACAAACCAAAGATCGTTTGGTTCAAGCCCACCGACAAGCGTGTTCCACTCATTGCGATTCCTACGGAGCAAGCTCCTCGGGACTTTGTCGAGAAACATATGGATTATGCCAACCGAATTTTTGTTGCGTGCATCAAGCGTTGGCCCATAACTTCTTTGCATCCCTTCGGAACTCTGGTTGAACAACTTGGCGAAATGGGCGACTTACGTGTCGAGACCGATGCCCTTCTTCGTGACAACAATTTTGGCTCTGATGAGTTTTCTGATGCTGTCCACAAGAGCGTTGGTTGGGATGATTGGTCCCTTGCAGCTGAGTCCGAGGAAAGTCTGGCCAACCGTCGCGACCTTCGCGACGAGCGCACTTTCACTATCGATCCCAATGGGACCAACGAGCTTGATGATGCTCTTCATATCAAGAACCTCGGTGATGGTATGGTCGAGCTTGGTATTCATGTGACTGATATTGCACACTTTGTCAAGGGAAACTCTCTCGTCGACAGAGAAGCCAAGAAACGGGGAACCGGTGTATACCTCATGACACGTGCAGTCAACATGCTCCCAGCCAAACTTTCTTCCGGAGTTTGTTCCCTCGTTCCCGGAGAGGGACGCTTGACCGTCAGCGTCATCCTGAAGGTTGACATCAAGACTGGAAAGGTGGAAGGTCAACCCTGGATCGGGCAAACCATTATCCAAAGCTCGGGTAAACTGGCCTATGATGAGGTTGATGCTGTCATTAAAGGTGATGGTAAAGTCGATCTGCACGGTGCCACTGTCGACGACATCAAGACTCTTTATACCATCGCGAACAAATTCAGGGAGGCTCGCTTCGGCCATCGTTCCGCAAATATTCAACCTCTTCGCTTGCTGTATCAGCTGGATGACGAGAATGTTCCTGTCGAGCATAACATCTTCAATACTTCTGCTGCCCATGAAATCATTGAAGAAATCAGCTGCAAGGCGAACTTTTTGGTTGCCCAGAAGATTTTTGCTGCCATGCCAGATAAGGCTTTCCTCAGACGCCAGGCGTCTCCCAACCCCAGACGACTTCTTACACTCGCTGAACGAATGACCAAGGCTGGCTTCGATATTGATACCAATAGCAGTGGAACTTTGCAGGACAGTCTTTTCAAGGTTGAAGATCCAGACTTCCGCAAAGGTATGGAGACTTTGTTGGTTAAGACTTTGCAACGCGCCAAGTACTACCTCGGCAACCAGATTCCTGAAGATCAACGTCAGCACTATACCCTCAATCTGCCAATCTATTGCCATTTCACGAACCCGACCCGTCGCTACGCGGATATTGTTGTCCATCGACAATTGGAAGCCGCTCTTTCCGATGGGGCTATCGAGTTTAATGAAGATCTTGAGAGTCTGGCCAAGACATCCGAACAGTGCAACAACAAGAAGGACTCTGCCCATGCAGCTCAGGAACAGAGTGTTCACATCGAGTCATGCCGCCTCATGGACAAGAAGAGCAAGGAATTTGGTGGCGATTTGATCAGTGAAGGTATCATCATCTGTGTCTACGAATCTGCATTCGATGTATTGATTCCCGAATATGGTTTTGAGAAGCGTGTTCATTGTGATCAGCTACCACTCAAGAAGGCTGAATTCCGCAAAGATGAAAGAGTTCTTGAACTCTACTGGGAGAAGGGCGTCCCATCATCAGCATATGTACCAGAGGACGAACGACCTCGTGCTTCGGCAAGCACCAGAGGCAATCATACTACACGTGATTCCGAGACTGCCAAGGAACGTGCCAAAGAGCGATATGAAGCCCAGAGGAAGAATGTTGATAGCAACACCATTTCGACCGATGATGTGGACGCTCTTTACGACGATGACAGTGCCTCTGAAATCACCGAGATGGCGGCAGGCGTTTCGCTCAATTCTCCAGTGGATCGCTCCACTCAAAGCATGCCACCATCACCAACTCGCAACGGATTGTCATCCAATGGACCCACCCGAACCCAATCCGACTCTCGTATTGCGAAGTCGGGGAATGACATTCCAGAAAACCAATTGACAGACAAGGAGAAGTATCTCAGCTACTTCAAGCTGAGGGAGGAAGGTGGAGAGTACATTCAAGATGTCACCGAGATGACTCGTGTTCCGGTCATCCTCAAGACAGATTTAACCAAGAGTCCTCCGTAAGTCGTCCACTCTATCATGACATGACCATTACTGACCTCTGAACCAGATGCCTCACCATCCGATCCATGAATCCATATGCGTTGTAATGGACGAGCAAGAATCACCCCCACAACAATCGAGTGATACAATGATACCTTAATTGGTAATATGATAACAGCTGTTTGGCAGCAATTGAGTAAAGGAGCATGGTTAGCTGCAAATACTACAAGTCCTAGTTAGAGAATGGAGTGCTAACAAGCACACTGAAGAGCTATAGTTTCATTTAGCGTTGTATTGAATAAAAGTTTCTATTTTCTTGATCCCTGGTTCGGTGTAATAATGGTTGGTCGTTAGTATTCATGTGCTTTGTGCTTCGCAATTCACCATCGCCTCGAGCGAGGAAGTCGTATGGACCCCGAGCCTCTGTTTCATGCTCCTCCCGTGATCTTTTCAAACACACCCACTCCATATCTCCCCAGCGCACTCGCCACACCTACAGCAGCGGCACCAACCTTCCTCATCCGCTCATAGCCCGCATTGTCCTCGACGCCACCCACACCGATGACGACGACATCCTTGGTCTCGGGATAGGCATCCAACAACTTCCTCAACTGTGCGACATTGCCCAACGCCAACGGATGCAGGGCCGCGCCAGCCAGACCACCGATTCCGGTGCCGGCCTCGCTGTTCAAGACGGGCTGCAACTCGGCGTCCAGCAACAGCGAGGATCCGAGGGTGTTGGTCGCGGTGACGAAGTCAATGACGCTGCCCTCGCCGGGCTCGCTGGATTTGGCGGCGCGCAGGGCGTCGACCACCATCTCGAACTGGCCCGCGTACGTGTACGGCGGCAGCTTGACGCCGACGCGCGGCTCCGACTCGGGCGTCGCCATGCGGCCGCGGTACGTGCTCTTGCTGTCGCCAATGGCCTCGAGGTACTCGGCCAGCTGCGCCGCGTCGTAGGCGGGCGGTGGCGCGTGCGCGATGTTCGGGCAGCTGAGGTTCACCTCCATGGCGAGCCGCAGGTCTTCGTCCATCTCGGCCGCGTTGGCGATCAGCGCGTATGCCATGGCGATTTCGTCGGGCGTGCCCGTCACGGACAGGATGAAGGGTTTCTTCGTCGGCGTGTCTGTCCCCAGGTGGCGTTGGCCGACGATCTCGTTGATTATCCCGAGGTATTCGGAGAGTGTGAGTGGTGAATAGCCTTGTGTGTTGAGCGTGCTTAGTGCTGTTGTTGTTGATGATTCGGATTTGGACGTCGAGGATTGTTTGGCGCTCTCGTCACCGAGTTTCGCGTCTGCAGGAATACTCGTCTTTGCTGAAGAGTCGAAGAAGACATGTTGGTGCACTGCGTCGTCGTGGCTGAAGCCTTCCAGTAGACTCGTCCGGATCGTCACTGCGCCCGTGTAGGGCGTGTCGTAGAGTGCTTTGATGTCTTCGAGTGTTGTGGACCATGGGCTTGCGGAGTTTAGCAGTGGCGGGTCGATCTTGAATCGTGGTGCTGATGCCATTTTCGGAGTTGTGTGTTTGAGGATAGCTACGGAAATACAGACGGAAATCGATATCGATATCTCTGGTTGTTGATGTTTTGGTTTTATTGTTGAAGTCGTTTATGCGTGAAGGTAAAATGATTCCGACCCTTCACGCTTGGTGACACGAAGTTGACAGCACGGTCTCCTGCTTCAACTGAAATCTGGACAGAATGGTACGGTCTTCCCGTTTTGGTAACCCGCGCCTGCTCTTCACGTGGATTCTGCCAATGCCACAGTGCTCAGGATCAACACTGGTGGAAATAAGATGACTGAGAATAATCAGGTCCTATAATTCGGTAGTGTACGCGTTGCCCTTGGGGCCCTCTTTGAAGCGATTGGTGGGAATAGCCTTTCGTAAGTGCGTTGGTTCAAAGTTAACCTCTACTTAAAAGAGAGAGAGAATTAAAGGCAAGCCTTGTCGACAGCCCAGCCCAGCCCACAGAAGAATAAAATTGTTGATCAATGGATATATTAGAGCCAGAGAGTGAGAATTGAGTTCAATTAGCAGTGACAAGATAGTGGGGAAAACCAAGAGGGATTGTTGGATGACTTAAGAAAGCTCGAGAAAAATATCATGTGCTTGCGGTTGGCTGATGAGGTCCGCGAACCAAGGCATGTCTCAGATTAGGAAAATAGTCATTATCTACCTTGGGTACTCTGTATGACAGTCTGGAGTCTGGAGTCTCCTGGCTTACAGACACTGACTATATGGATGCAGTCTGTCAAACACATCTACATGTTCTATGACTTCAGCTACGAGTTCCTGCTTAACTCCCCACATTGGATACTCAAGGATGGGTCGACTACTGTTATGTTTTGACACGTTTCGAAAACAACTTGAATCTTGAGGTAGCATTCATTTCATATTGGCAGTAGGTGCATTTGTCATCTCATCTCGTCTATCATGAAAAGGCATCCCGCAAACGGTCTAGAACCAGGGTTTGGCTTGCTTGCTTGATATTTGGGTGTTCAGGGACCCCCACCTTGGGACCCGATCGCGAAGCTGTGAGCCCATCTCTCGAATAAACCAAGCTGACTGTTCTCTGCACATCGATATCAGATTGCGTTCCCAACTCACAACCACTCTTTACAGCTTCTGCATGGCGGCGACATCGGTAGATTGAACGTGGTCTTCATCTTCCTCGATTTGCTGTTGGAGCTCATCCACGGAGACCTTCTCGTCCTCAATGACCACATTGATCTGCAACTTCTTGATACCAAAGCCGACAGCGACCAACTTGTGACCACCCCAGGTGAGACCATCCTTCTCGATGGCCACAACATTCTTCGTCAGTTCTTCCATATCTGTCTCGTCATCCCAAGGCTTGACGTCAAGTGTGACAATGGACTTCGCGGCTGGCTTGGCCTTGCCCTCCTTCTTCTTCTTGTAGTCTGCCAATCTCTTCTCACGCTCGGCAACAACTTCTGGGTCTTCCTCCTCCTCGTCGGAGCCGAACAGATCAACCTCATCCTCGTCATCTTCGGGGGCATCCTTGGGGTTTTGTGTCACTGCCACGGCTTCGGGGCCATAGGTGGTGAATGGCTTGGATGGGTCGCCGGGTAGTGTGGAGAAGTCGCCCTCGTAGGACTTGACATGGTTGTACCAGCGGTAAGCATGAGGATACTTCTCGACTTTGGGGGCTTCTTTCAGAGCCTTGAAGCTCACGGCATCGGCTTGTGATGGGGTATAGCTGTAATATGAGACGTCAGCAAGTCATGTTTTGCCCATGGGTATAGACTTGAGTGCGACGTTGCTCAAACATAGGAGTTCAGTGGTGCAAGAAATTGCGATTTGGAAGTAGTCATTTTGCGGGGTCTTAAACCGCATCATCAACACGGACCAATTTGTTCTCATCATGAAACGGGGATTCAGAAGGGTTTGGAGAGTGATTTGACCTACCCAGCGATGTATGAGCGTGTCTGGAGCCAGTTGTTCAAGACTGCACCATGGTTAGTGGGGGAATCAACCTCGTTCTCGAACCCAGGACATACGCAGGAGGCCACTGTCGGAAACAAAGTCGGTGAAACCCATGTTGGTTGAGTTCTGTTATGTGTTTGCTGCTTGGAGTCTGGCTGCAAGGTTCAGTGCAGGATTGTAAACTTTATAGTGGTCGCAGGCAAAATGTTTCGACTCATTGAATCCAATTTCTGAAAAAAGATGCATGCCAATGCCAAGATCACGTTGACCATATTTCGGCCCATGCCGCTTTAATCTCGGAATAACTTCTCGCCGAGTATTCTCTTTGCATCTCCACAATTTCACTAACATGCAGGTGAGTCAAGCTCGTTCCTCTTAACACGATGCATAATTGTGGCATGCAACGAGTCGTCAAAGCCCAGAGAACAAGAGACAGATTGACTCACGCACAATCAGGTGTTTTCAGGATACCGTATTGAGAAGTAAGGGTTCCAAGGACGAGCTTTCTCGACCTGCCCTCTTACTACCGAAAATTCTCGAGGCAAGGAATCGCGTTATTCTGCTCCAGTGACTTTCAAACGACTAAGGTACTGGCTGGCGCCATCAAAGATAGAGCCTCAACGTTCACAGCATTGGAAGTTAGTTCTCGATGGCGCTGTCTCATCGTATCACAACTCTACTACATCTTCTTATTTGGCACTTAACCCGCGCTTGTTTCGCACACACAATATGAACCCTTCTATCATGTGCCTCCTGGGCTCACGGGCGTCTGACGTCCTCTGGAGGCCTCGCTCAACATGTTGAACTTTCCCAGGGAGTCATATCGAGTCACTTGTCGATGACTGCAAACCAAGATTGGTTAGATGCGGTGGCCGCCATTCGGGCTGGCGCAAGTCGCAATCCTTTGCCGACCTTCTGCAAGCCCCGGCATTACGGCCGCTCTTTAAGAGGCATGCTATGACCAATGACCTAAACAATCCAACTTTTGAGCACGCACGACTCGGCCTCCTGCGGAACAGGTGATGAAGCTGGGCCGGGTGCTATCATGCTTCTTTCACACCAGACATCCTCGCAGGTAGTGATACAATGATAATACGCCGTGATGCTGGTCGCTGTTGTCGCTTTTCAAGCTTGCAGTAAGAGAATAGCAGCGCTGATCGAGCACACAGCCTTACAGAGGCGGCGCCAGAAGTTCAAGAGTGATGAATGACGTACCCGCAGGCTGTCATCAAGAAAAAGGTCAAACTCTAGCTCAGAGTCAGCATCATTATGGAGAGGCATATGCACTAGCGGTGCCACCACCATTTGGGGCTTTTCCTACTGGTCGGCACCATTGTCGGCCAGGAGAAGCCCGTCTAAAGCGCGGACAGTGACGCTTTTCGACTTGCGCGTTGGCTTGAAACCGATCAATGAGCTTCTGAGGGCAATGGACTGCATCTCTTTCGCCTTTGAACCCAGCAATTGCGTATGCAGACAGAGAGAGAGAGAGAGAGAGTTGAGAGGAAGAGAAAACTGATGAAGATGAGAACACAAGTGGCATGGGGAGAGATTATGGAGAGAGCACGAAAGAAGGAAGAAGCACGAGACAGAGACATAGAGAGTGGGGGCAATGCAAACAGAGAGAGCGTGCAGCAACCATTACAGCAAACAGCAGAGGAGGAGGAATTGTATCCCTCACGAAGAGCGAGTGTTCAAAACACATTTGGGCAAAGAGTTTGTAATGCTGTGAACTTTGCCTGTCTTGTGCGCGGTACTAATTCGTCGATTAGAATCCTGACCTATATACGAAGCAGAAGACTACACGACTCCGGGATCTCTCTGGCTCTGAACCCTCATCAGCGCTGCCTCTTGTTATTCGGACCACTTTATCTGCAAATGCAGCCGCAAAACGTCCAAGTCAAAAGAGCCAAGCTCCTGAGCATGATATCAGTCGCCAATTCCATGAAGAATCACAGGACCTAACGGCGCAGAAGCAATTATTACAGCAAAGCCTTCATGCTGGGGAAGTCAAGTCCGAATCCGAGGATCAGTCAAAAGCTCCGCTCAATGCTGTGAATGGCGGGATGACCGATATCTATAGTATCCAGCCAGACAGACACTCGAATCCCAGCAGCTCACTAAAGCTAGGCCACAAGGACTCATTCGCGGACGGTGTTGATTCATGGCTTGAGGACGTTGGGGCAAAGTACAACAGAGCGCCATCTTTCGGTTTCGAGTGCTTGACACGATCACGGTCCACTTCGACCGATTCGCCGTCCTTTGCTTCCGAGGGAGAGGCATCGTTTGTCTTGGAAAGAGAGCGACTACCTACCGCGGACCAGTACATATCAGAAGCGCTTGCAAATTATCGTTCAGAGTTGGCTGAAAAAATTGTCCATATTTTTGTTCAGAAGCATGGATCTGCTCTATCCGATAATGGTGGGAGCTCTTCGAACCTGCCTTCCGGCAGCTCGTGTCAAGGAAATCCACCCAGCACAGCGCCGACCTCGACTGGCCACCCTCAGGGTTCAAATCAGCCCCCAGAGCGCAGACGGCGGCGTTCTGGAGATGAGGAAGATGGTGAGGATACAAGGCGTGGAAAGAAGCCGAATCGCTCGCAGGACCGTCAACAGGAAGGAGAAACCCGGCTTCTTGCATGCCCTTATACCAAGTTCCAGCGTTACAGATACTCCGAATTAAACCTCACGGAAAAGAACTATCGTGGATGCTCGAGTTGTTACGCCAGAGACATACCTCGTCTGAAACAGCACCTCAATCGGGTACATAATCGACCCCCGAACTATTGTCCCCGTTGTTTCTCTTCTTTCGCATCGGCGGCACAGCTGGAGATTCATCTTGTAGAAGGCCGTTGTCATTCCATCGCTTCGCCTTTCCCAGAGAAGATGACTCCAGACCAAGTAACCGCTATCAAGCGACGTGAGCCTGGCAAGAATCGGGTAGATGCATGGTTTGACATATACCGCATTTTGTTCTCCGATGCACTGTTGCCTCTCGACCCATACGTCGACAACACGGAGTCGGGCCCAATCCAAGATTTCCTAGCACTCTTTGAGCAAGAGGCTCCTCAAATCTTAGCTACCGAAATCGATGCTCGCATGTTTGGTGATACTGAATGCACCATGGAGCAGCGAACATTCAGAGACACCGTTTTGGAGCAGTCGATCTCAGTCTTGGTACAGCATCTCAAAGATGAATATCTGCGGAGATCATTAACGAATAATTTGTCAATTCAACCCCATACAATACACGGCATATAATCGATTTCTCAGTATTCGAAGAATGACGATTGCGTATCTAAATCCAACCATCAACCCACTTCCGCATCCAATCCGCACGAATTCCATCCAGGCCCTTCAAATGCTGACTCTCCTGCAATGCTCTGTTGCCATTCATGGCAGAAACCTCATCCCCGACAAGAAGACCCTGATAGAAATCAAGCAACTTGACAGCAGGATTAACATGCAACATGGCCTCGAGTTTCGCAGTCGTGTTGAGTGCACCTGCATCGGCCCGGACACGTTCTATCCACGTGCTCAACGACACCTCCTTGATCTTCTTCCCTGGTGTTTTCGCTAGTAAAGCCTCAATGACCACAGGTCTCAGTTGATCCCATGTCGTTGGTTGTGGATTCTGTGGATGGAAGACTCTTGCTGCGGTATCCTTTCCTGTCCCTGTCCTTGAGACATCGCTGAGCGCAAAATCAGTCAATGTGCGAGCGAGGATATCGATCGGCACCCAGTCGATTTGATTGTTCCGTCCCTTGCCCAGGGAGGTGGGAATCATGCCGAGATGGAACGAGCTAGTCACCAGGCTGGGAAACCATTCCCACCTGTTCCATGTTCCAGGCATCTCGGCTGGACCTGCGACTTGTCCTACACGCACGACTGTCACGTCGGTGTTTGGGATCTTGCCATCAGCCGCGGCATGGTCGAGGATTCTCTCGGCCACGTACTTGCTCTGACCATAGCCCATTGAGAGTGGAGCAGAGCTATCGTTGATGATAGTCTCCGGAATGGGATTCTCAGGGGACGCCAGGACAGAGCTGATGGAGGAAATGAACATGATATGCGCAGCATGGATAGTCGAGGAGGCCAGCTTGAGTAGATTGACCACGCCCTGTAGATGCGGTGCGAAGGTCGGGAGTGTCAAGTTGAAGTTAACGGGCCAAGCGTTGTGGATCACGTTCGTAACGCTCTGCTGAAGGCGTGGATATACCTCATCGTCGAGTCCGAGATTCACCTTGCCGACTTCAGACTTTAAGAATGTCACACGAGCCGTGGGGAAATCAGTGGGGAGACCACGGTCCTGGGATCGTTTCTTCTGAAGTGCTTCCGAATCCGCCGACCGATTTAGGCAGTAGACATGCAATACGGTTGGATCTGCCAAAAGTACCTGCAGCAAATAACAGCCAATTCCGCCCGTCGAGCCTGTGAGAAGAACAACTCGACCATTGAGCTCGACGCCTGAATCTCTCTTGTTGCGATCTTGCGTGGTCGCGGATTGCACGATGTTGTCAACCAAGGAAGTATAATGCTGTATTGTTTCTTGGACCATATATACTCTGGACAGCTGTGCTGATTTATCCGACGTGAGGCCGTGGTGCGCGAGGTCGACGATGGCTTTGGTCAACATTTTTATAGTTGGATTCGCGTATACTGTACTGATCTCCAGGTCTGGTATGGTGAGAACGGCCTTCAAGCGACGGGTCATCTGGAGGGCCTGTAGAGAGTCCATGCCAGTGAGGAAGAAGTTATCTTCCTCTGAAAAGTCTTTCGACTCAATGAATTTGCCTAGTGTCTCTGAGAGGAATGGGGCAACTGCCTCAGTGTCCTTGCAATCGATCGACAGTCCTGATATATCGAGGTCTTCGACATCGACTGCAGAGACTTTCTCAGCATCGGCATAGAGTTGATCAATCTCTTTCTCGTACAATTGCAATGTGGGCCGTCGTTGAATGGTTCCTTTGGCCGATCTCAGCATGGGTTTCGCCGGGTTGATGAACATGATGTGTGATTTCTTGACCTGAGCATGACGAGGGCAATCTGCGTTTGCATTTTGGATCGTAGGCCAGATTTCTTCGATGATTTGCGCTCGTTGTGGGGTTGCTATGGTCTCTGCTTCCTCTAGTTCAACCAACAGCGCGGCTTGGAACCTCCTTGAACCAAGGACGAGAACAGATTTGATCTTCGGATGGGCTGAGATGCTTTGCTCCATAGTAGTTGGGTTTGTCTTCTCTCCAGTGAGGAAGACGATGATATCGTCTCCCCTACCACGATAATGCCATAAATCAGGCTTCGAAGGATGTGGGACATACAGATCTCCTGTTCGGTACTCTGTCGTTGTTGGGAACACTTTGAAGACAGGTTGCTCCTTGTCTGGATCAGGGTGACGCAGAATTACTGCTTCATATTCACCTTCTGAAGCTCTCTGGAACTCGAATCGGTATTCGGGGTTGAATTGGAAGTATCTCCATTCGGCAGTCGGCCAGTGGTCGGTAGGATATATTGTGGGGAACAGACCAGTCTCTGTGGTACCGATTATGGAAAAGAATTTCATCTTTTCTGAGATCTTGTCGCCAATTGTCTGACTGATTGTTCCTCCAGAATAGAACATAGAGGCGAGATTCTGGGAAACAAAATCCAATAGCGCGGGTTTATTGGATAGCTCTTCAGCGACCAAAGGGACAATGGCTGCGCAGCTCGCAGTGGTATATTTCAACCCATCCACGAGAACTTGCGCAGAGGGGATCAGACCTGCTGGTGGGAAGATGATTGTTGTTTGTCGAAAGATCGCTCCCAAGATTGAGCCAAACATAGATGCGGCCTTGACTAGAGTCAGCTCGAACAAGAATGTCATATGTGAAACTCGGCACAGGGCCAGCTTACATGGAACGGAGGAAAGAGAAAGAAAAGCCTTCCAGGGGACCACAATGTGTGTTGATTGGTGTGGCCACTAGACCCATCGAGGCTGACCCAGTGCATCCAGCTGTCTGCGAAATCGTGATTCCAGATGATCGGTTTCGGCAGACCTGTTGTTCCAGATGTGTGCAAGACGACAAGAGGATCTGCACGAGCCTGCTCGAACGATTTTTCGTATGTATAATGAGGATGAACAGTTTCCAGAAGCTCCGCCACTGTTGGTATCTCGAAGGCCTCAATTTTGTGGGAGGCTACTATCGCTGAAACCGCCTGTGGCCTTGGATCTGGTGTAATCAACTTACTACATTTTAGTAGATTGAATAGATTGATGTGAGCTGGCATGCTATTTCGTGGCGATGTCAGCAGGACCTAGTACAACCTCTCAGTGAGTAATTCGTCATTCACCAGAAGTGGCAGACCTTGTAGCCTGCTTTCACTGCACCTAGCAATAATGCGTTGTACCTAATGTCAAGTGGCCCTATGTATGCAAGGGTCTCGAAATTCTTGCCAGGCCCAATCGTATTGTGCAGCCACCAGGCAAGACCATTGATGGCATTGGCTAGATCTGCGTAGGTAATCTTGAGGAATCCTTGTTCATATCCTGTGCTCGAAATGGGATACTCAGCGTAGATGGCAGTAGGTTCCTCTCTTGCACGTCTATCGACGACATGGTTGAGGAGCTGCTTGCGTGGGAATTGAGATGACATTACTGTGATAATGGCAATAGAACGTGAGGTTGTGTCACGAAAAGAAAGGTTCGAGCAAGATCGAAGCATGGGTTAACAGCAAGAATCCCCGGCACGAGCCATTCTTATAGAATTTTAACAGGCTTGAGATGAGAACAATATCGAATTGTTTGATGTAAACCTCAGACGCCCTACCTATGGACTCCAGATATTGCCGAACATGATCAACATGGAACTCGCTGTAGCTGCGCACTGAGCAGCTCTAGCAATCCCTTTCGCACCAATAGGCAGTAGTGCCCTTCGCATCGAGACACAATGCGCAAACAGCCTCATGTCAAACTCATGTGTAGATCTCTGAAGCTTGGTATATTGACTCCACTAAGATAGCAGTCGTTGAAGAGCAATTGGAGAAGGTAGACTGCTGGACTTGAAGGGACTCACCGTAGCTGGCTATGCAGATTACGTGAAAAAGCTAAGTCCGGCATCGCCGAATGCTGGTGCTAACGGTCACTTGGGCTGTAAATAAGCGACGTGGTTAGGCCGATGTACGTACAGACCAACGAACCAAGTTTTGCTAAACAGTCCGGTGCGCGATAGATTCCCTTATACGTTACATGGTACAAGCGACAAGTAGATTGACCTGTAGGTAGACAACAAGACTCGAGTTGCAAGTAGTCAGTATCTTGACTTATTGCCTGTAGTATGTCCTCCAAAAAGAAGGGTGAACATGAATCTACATTTCAAGATGATGGAGAACTAATCCCAAAGTGGTCAAGCACACCCCTTGAGATCTTGGCAAAGACTAATCCCGAAATGGATGTAATGACGGAGGTCATACCATCTTTTTCGGCATGTGATTTCTTCATGTCGTCGCCCCCAGAGCCTTCCAGAAACTCCGATTGAGGTCACAACAATTTGTATTTCTGTTTCTCTCCCCTCAGTTCCCACCGCGGTTTAGGATGTGTGCCTGCTTGCTTGATCACCGATAACAATAGTTCTTAGCGCAAAGCGCTTTACCGACGCGACCCCCCAATTCTCGACGATGAATCCGTCAAGGTCTATGCTCGTTCGCCGAGCAATCAATTCACGCTCCATTACCTCACCTTTGCTCTCACGGGCCACGAAACCTTTACTGGGTTCTCTTAATAGAACGACGCCGGTGCATAGATCAGTAACACCTGCTCTATACGCAACTCGAACATATGCAAGTGGCAGACCACATCCTCCCGGTGGTACACACCGGATGAATCTCGGTGGAGAGCCCGAGAAGCCTGCTCTTGAAGAGTATGGGGTCGACCTGACCCAGAGAGCCCGAGACGGCAAATTGGATCCCGTAATAGGAAGAGATGGTGAAATACATCGAACAATCCAGATCCTCTCGCGACGAACGAAGAACAACCCAGTATTGATTGGTGCTGCTGGAACCGGAAAGACCGCTATTCTTGAAGGATTGGCGCAAAGGATAGTTCGAGGTGACGTGCCGGAGAGTATCAAGAACAAGAGAGTAATATCCTTGGATCTTGGTCAGTTGATTGCAGGTGCTAAGTTCAGAGGCGACTTCGAGGAACGGTTGAAGAAAGTCCTGAAGGAGGTCGAAGAAGCACATGGAGGTGTTATTCTCTTTGTCGATGAACTGCACACTCTTCTTGGTCTTGGCAAGGCCGAAGGTTCTATCGACGCCAGCAATCTATTGAAGCCTGCCCTGTCTCGAGGTGAGCTGCAGTGTTGCGGTGCGACGACTCTAAATGAATATCGCCTGATAGAGAAAGATGTCGCATTGGCCCGACGTTTTCAACCCATTCAGGTCGGCGAGCCATCAGTTCAGGACTCGATCTCAATATTACGCGGTATCAAGGACCGCTATGAGGTTCATCATGGTGTTCGTATCACCGATGGAGCTCTGGTTGCTGCTGCCACTTACAGCAATCGTTATATCACGGATCGCTTTTTACCTGACAAGGCAATCGATCTTGTGGATGAAGCCGCTTCGGCGCTCAGACTACAACAGGAATCCAAACCTGACCCAATTCAACGTCTAGATCGTGAGATCATGACTATTCAAATCGAGCTCGAATCCCTTCGAAAGGAGACTGACGTCGCCTCGAAAGAACGTCGACAACGGCTTGAAGAAACTCTTGCTGACAAGAACAAAGAGGTGACTCGACTGACTGAAATCTGGGACCGTGAAAAAGCCGAGATCGAGGCTATCAAGAAGACGAAAGAAGAGCTTGAGAAGGCTCGTCACGAACTAGAGGAGGCACGACGGCAAGGAAATTTCGGAAGGGCTGGTGAGCTTCAATACGCAACCATACCCAAGCTCGAATCTCAGCTTCCTGCGGAAGGAGAAGAAGTCCAGACGACGACTGAAAAGGGGGAGACCTTGATCCATGACTCAGTAACTGCTGACGACATTGCCAACGTTGTGAGCCGAAGTACAGGAATTCCTGTCACCAAGCTCATGGCCGGCGAAGTCGAGAAACTGATCAAAATGGAAGACAAGCTCCGCGAGCATGTTCGTGGACAGGACGAAGCACTAACAGCAGTAGCCAATGCTGTTCGTATGCAAAGAGCAGGTCTCAGCGGTGAAAATCGCCCCCTTGGAAGTTTCATGTTCCTTGGTCCAACTGGTGTCGGCAAGACAGAGCTATGCAAGCAGATTGCCAACTTTCTCTTCAGCTCTGAGTCCGCCGTCGTAAGATTCGACATGTCTGAATTCCAAGAGAAACACACCGTCTCCAGACTGATAGGTGCGACGGCCGGCTATGTGGGTTATGAGGATGCCGGTCAATTGACAGAGGCCGTCCGCCGAAAACCATACGCGGTCCTCCTCTTTGATGAGTTCGAAAAGGCACATCGCGACATCTCCAGCCTGCTTTTGCAAGTTCTGGACGAAGGCTTCTTGACCGACAGTCAAGGACACCGCGTGGACTTTCGCAATACGCTCATAGTCCTGACCAGTAATCTCGGTGCGAATATCTTAACGGAAACAGAACCTAATGCCGAAAATGTGACACCCGAGCAGAAAAAGGGTGTGATGGAGATTGTCCAGGCGTCGTACCCACCCGAGTTTCTCAACCGTATCGATGAGTTCATCATGTTCAACAAACTCTCCAAGTCGGCGCTGAGAGATATTGTCGACATTCGAATCAAAGAACTACAAGGTCGTCTGGACGACAGACGGATGAAGATCAGTGTCTCGAATGAAGTCAAGGACTGGCTGTGCGAGAAAGGCTATGATCCTCGGTATGGTGCGCGTCCGCTGAACCGACTGATCCAGCAGGAGATTGGACGCCGACTTGCGGACAAGATCATCAGAGGGGAGCTGAAGAGTGGTGAGACAGCTGATGTGGCGATCGATGAGAAGGGCGACTCTTTGCAAATCAAGCTTGCCAACACCGCTTGAAGGCGGTTTGGATAGCTCTATTCCCACGCAAGGTTCGCCTTCGAAACTCCTCATCTTGTCCCGACAGACGAACATCTGGTACTCTACCACGTCCATATACTGCGATGCGAACATTTTCCATAGTCGTTGCTCAGAATTTGTGTCAAAAAACGAAACAAATCGCACATCAAGGATCGCAAATTAAATAACAGGATGCCACATCATCATTCCCTACTCATTGGCGTTCTGCATAGCGTGGCTGCATGGACTTGCATGGCATGGCATGAAATTGCAATAGCATAAAGCTTGGCATATGAAATCTCCCTTTTGCGGTGTTATACATGGATAACAACCAGGAATTCTATTTGGCGGTGTGATGAGCAGTTCAGGTGCGGTGCATACAAGATAACGACAAAAGTGATAAGACATCCTGACTGCTTGGAATCAGAGACAGACGAGTTGTGTATATTTATCTGCATTTGTACTGTATTATATAATTAGAGCTAATTAGCTGGCTCGGATTCTCAGCTCAACCAGCTTATTATATATATGTATATTAGTCATGTATGATATCGACCCTGAACATCCCTTCCAGAATCCTGCTTGCCTCCCAAATTATACCCAGGACTTCATTGTGGTTATCCCCACACCACACAACACGCACTAGAAGGCCAACGACTGACTGCACCAAACCTGACCCCCCAAGTACCCCCGGTGTAAACCAGTGCGAGAGGCACGAGGCTGAGCCTTGGCTCTCGGGCGGGCTTTTAGCCTTAGCCCCCAACGTCAGACATCCCAATAGGCCTATCACTGATGTTTGATGGATCAGACTTCGACGCCAGGAATCCTTCGCGCCGCATTTTCTCACGCACCGCACCGCGTGACTCACGAAGCGGACCAGCAGGATTTCTTGGTCGGTGTCACATTTTAACGTCTTGCGTCGCTTGAACCAATATATAGACCTTCGCGGGACGTTGCTGATCTCGGTCTTCCAAAACTTTGGTGATTTTTCTCCTCGGGCGTTTGTTCGAGTTGTAATTAGATGTACTGGAGTTCAGAAATCACACCGCGACTTTCAGACATTGATTCCGCATGCGAGCAGGACATCTGACCGTCACTTTGGCATCGAACAACGATTCTCGAGAACAGATAGCAACCACGTACGTTCGGGCGGTCGCAGAAAGGAGTGAACATTCAAGAAACGAAGTTCTGCCGGAATTTCCAACGACTCGGCGTCTCAAGTCTCACAATCTCGGATAGAACGATGCCACGGCACCAGGGAGGATCGAAATATGCACCGCTGTTGGAGATGCCGGTTCATCTGGGAGCCTGGAGCATCGAGCTTCTGCGCAATATGACGAACACCTTCTGGCAGAGAGTTACTGGCCGTGGACGAGCTGGGCCTGGAAGGTGACTCAAGAGCTAGACGGAAGGTGGTGCTCATGCTCCAAGCAAGAAGGTTCGAATGTCGCCTGATGTCTTCTTGCGGTCTCGAAGAAAGATAGGTCTTTGATCGATGGTGCGCTGGGAGGCAGGGGCGACACTGCATGTACAAAAGGCTCGGGAGGTAGAGCTCTGTTCCCCACTCAATCAGGGTTGTCAGCCATTTCGATCGACTTCCTGCTATCGGCAATGACCGAATTGTTGCCGATTCGTCGAACGTAGAACTGTGTCTGCCATTCGATCATTTGGCCGCCAATTATAATCCTCTCTTCAGTACTGGTGGTCGTTCAAGAGGGTCTGATATGATCCGAACTTCGATCAATTATATCGACTTCATAACAAGTGCCTGCGTGTAGTCTACCGTAGCCTGATCCGGGACTAAGGACTGAACGGTGATGGATGATGAGTGATATGTTGGTGACAGCATACAGCGACATCACGCGCCTCCCAATGTGGAAGTACCGAGTACGGCGGCCAACAGGTGGTATCAAGGGACGAGGTCGGACGGAGAGGTCACATATGTCGTCGAGCTTCCGACTATTAATTCCTCCAGTCGAGTAGGTCCAGGGATGCAAAAGTCACTCTCCATTATGTGCCAGGCACTATAATGAGGCCACAGCGTATTTCCTGTTCTCAGTTGAATCACTGTAGCAGGAGCCTTTGGTCTGCCACGGGGTGCTCGTGCACAGGGGCTTGTATATCCCAGTTTATTGTCATGGTTTCTTCTTTTGATGGTGATGAACTTCGAGTAGATTGGAATAGCAAGTCTGTTGCTGTTCGAATTTTGTCTGAACATTTTCCTGTGGGATGAGGGAATGAGTTTGGTGCCGACAGCCAAAATTCCCGCATGCAAATGGTATGTCTGTTCACCCGCGAACGATTTTCAGTCAGTCATATGGTTGATCCGCAATGAGCGGAAGGCGTGCCAGTGCAATACTGATATTGATTTGTTGCCTTCAGAACGAGAGAGTTTGGTTGTTTCTTGCACCCGCGTCCAGGGTTGCGTGCGTAGATAATCTGTGGTGGATATAACTCATCCACGAGGCCAGTTCCTGAAGCGGAGAAACATCCTCCTCGACTCTGTAGATATCGCTGTTGTAAAATATGAGAATGGTTTCCAGCTCAAACCTACCCCAGAGTGTAGTAGATCCGAGAAATAATGGTTTTCGATGTTAATGATGGTGTTTGTCGGTTCATGCCCCATTATATACCATGTGCCAGAGGTGCAGCGGGCAGTTCGGGGCCCTAAGGTGGTCATGTACGTAAAACATGCTTGAGGTGCAGATCCCAACACTTTCGGGCGTCTGGAACACAACTTGGTGCCTGCGCTTTTGCAACTGCTACCTGATCTCTTTCCTGATGTCTGCACTTCAAGATTTATGCTCGATCTCTCTGAACGACACTGATGATAATTGTGTGGTACGTCCGCCACAGGTCTGTATACTCAACCCGATAAATATGACCACTCGAAATCCAATTCCTGACAAAAGGTGCATTTCTGCTGTCATCCTCGGTGCAAAAAGAAAAAGGGCCTGAAGGCTTCCAATATGGCAATAGGATGATAGAGGTGTGAGGAGTCAATAGAAAGCAACAGGAGGATGAAAGTACATGTTGAGATATACATGTTGTACAACCGCTTGCAGGTGGGAAAAGGAAAAGCTTGCATGAATCGATGACCAGCACCGAATCCACAGTTAAAACACTTGAGCCAGTCACTCAATGCACAAAACGGCGCACTGTACTGATCCCGAAGTGACTGGCGTGCATTGGCTGTGGCTCAATTAACATCCATCTAAGGAGAAGTCCCTATCCTCCCACTTGTCTTTCCAAGGACGAGTCGCCACACCTGTCTCGTACCAGACGTTGCCACTCACCCTATTCCATCCATGGAGGCCACCGCCTGCTTGTACTGGAAAGATACCCTCTACACGAGCGGTCGATCTTGTTGAAAAAGGAAAATTCCGCTGGCTATCATCACATTAATCGTATCCCGGTAATATTTGCACACCTCTTTGACGGCGCCAGAAATTGGCTCTCTGACCCCATTCAGAGGTGAGAAGCCAACCCCCCCACCGTTCCAAGACACTGGCAGAAAACTCCCATGAAAAGTCGTTGAGCCAATCTTCTCCCCAGATGGTCATCTGTCCAGTATCCTCAATCTCGCATGCAATCGTACATGTCTCTGTGAGAAATGTATTGGCATTCGCAGGTCCAATGGCAATGAGTCTGTCTCTTAACATAGGTGATGGTATCATGTCTATATAGGCATGATGTGGAGTAGATAGTTGTAGCTGTGTCGGCTTTAGCGCACTTGGTAAGGTAGGCTCTAGCGCCGCCAAAGTGGCTAGGTGACTTTGAGGGTTTGAGATGACAGGAATCTCGAGGAGAGGTGCAAACATATGATGGAGTGACCGTCGAATCTCGCTAATATTATTGGGAACGACGACCACCAGGTTGCTGGGGTCCGTGTTCGTTTGCGGTAACGGTGTTGAGACGGCTGGGGGTAGTGCAGCAGAGACCGGATTGACAACATAGGGATGTCCCGTTCCTATACCGCTCAGGAAGGTATGAGATGGAGTACCGTAGGCAAGGAAGCCTGAGGGTGAGGGTCTCAATTCGGCAGGGCTGACAGATGGACCCGGTGAACTCGCCTGTGAACCATAGGCGGCTTTGAGAGATTCATTCTCTTGAGCCAGAGCCTGATTCTCACGACGAAGACGTTCCACTTCTTCTACCTGGACACTATTGAGTTCACGTTGCGCCGCCTCAAGCTTGGTAAGGTGTTCCTTTCGCCTTTGACCTGGTTTTCGTTAGTTGCGGAAGGTTAGTCCCGCGCATGGACCACTTACGGAAGACACGTTGGGCGTTTCGATTGTACTCCCTAGCAGTAAATCAGCATTGGCCGAGATTGATGGAGGCGAGATTCTATACCTCTTCTTTTCTTGCTTGTTGGACTCATTATTAGAATCAGACATGGCGAAAAATTGAATAAGATCACTACTGGCTTGATGAATGATCTCTGTGGCGACCGACATCATTCAAGTACCCGGAGCCGTTCGTGCATTGACGTATACGGGTACTCACGCGAATGCCGTAGTACGTAAGGTCAGACAGCGAAAGAAAGGATCCGCAGAAATAGTGGTTTGAGTTGGTGGCTTGTCCTCCAGTGGAATCAGCAGGGCTCAGAGCTGAGGAAACCGAATATATTTGATTGCGACGGCGAGCATGCAGCAGACTTATCAGGCCAGAATCAAAGGGAGATGAAGGTGAAGCCTGACAGGAAGCGTGCGAGCAATATCATTGGACGAAGAGGATGATTCTGGGAATAGTAGCGCAACGGGCTGGTGTGCCAGTGAATTAAGGCTAATGAAAGGTCGACAGACACTCAGCGACGACTGGAAGCGTGAGACATCGCCTCCTGGGCACAGGTTTGGTGGACGGTGACATATATGTGTGGAGAGCGGTACTTCAACCGATCAGCAGGGATTCGAATGCCAAAGCAGAGGCTTGGGGAGGGATTCGCAATAGAGGCCTCCACTTTTTCTTATTAGGTTGAATATTTTCCGAAAGGGAGCAGGGGACGAGCAGCCAACGGATGCTAACAGATGGTTAAGGTTGTAGCTAAGAGGGATACAGCGGAGTATCCCAGCTAGGGTTTGTTTAGGAGCAGCCGCGGAACAGAAGCACGAGCTCGCCTGCTTGAGAGAAGCATTGAATGAGATGGACAGTCAGTAGACGATCAACTCGAGGACCAAATCGAGTGGTCGCTCACAACTTTACCAGGTGAGGACGGACGACCCTTGGCCATGGCCGTCGGAAAGGCAGACAACAGTGTGTGTGTGGAATAAGCCGCCAGACCACTCATTGTACGATAGTATGTAGGTGGACCAGGATGAGGGACGAACCCCCTGGAAGCCCAGGTCGACTAACGACTGGCAATAATAATGCAGACTCGTACGGTTGTCAGTGTCAGATGCAAGATCGCCGCAATCCGCAGGCCGGGACCGCCGTTTCGGCAGTGAGCGAAAGGCTTGAAAGGGAACAATGACGGACAGGTTGGATGGGCAAGTGTTGGCGGAGTGGAGGCAGAGAGCATTTCCGCAAGCCCCAGAAGGATAGTCGTCTCAGATTTGACGAGCAGGGTCCCTCGGAAGGGAATAGCTTGTCAAAGGGCAGTTTGCGCCCATGTTCCAACAAATACGGGGTTCCTCTTTCTGGTGTAAGTGACTTTGGGCTTTGCACTAAGAACAGCCTCTTTAGAGGGGCTTGCCAGGTAGGTCCGCTTGCTCAGCCGCGCAACCAAAGGCCGTCCGGACAGCATTTGCCCTCGTTCCTGACTCGTAGGAGGTGCACAGGCGTTTGCATTTCAAGTTGGTTTCAACTTTCAAGGTGGTTTTGCACGTGGCTCCAGCTAATCAATCAACGTCATTACTCACCTACACGGACTGGTTCTACTTGTGTGGACAGTCAAGCGCATTACTAGTAGCGACATAGCAACTAAAGGACTGTCGTTGACCTGACAGCAGAGCGATGGCGGAGACAGGCGAGCCAAAAATGGGAATAGGATAGACCGAGTACCTAGCTACGAGGAATTATTTGGTCGCTTGTCCAAGGCTGGGACGAAAACATGTTCCGCGCCCAATGGTGTCTGGAGCTGCCAATTCGCCTTTATTGCATAGGCAATCAACTGGTCGAATTGTTGTTCGCTTCGCAGGACAAGAAAAGCAATTGTGGGCTTGGGTCGCACCGTTCGCGGTAAGCGGAGCGAGGTTCAGCTCGATAGAATTTTTCGCTTACCCTCAATAGATCGCGTAGGATCCCTGTAAAGCTGGACGATCGAGACAAGGATGTAAGATGGCATTCTACTTGGAGAAACATGGTGGGGAAGCCATGTACTTCGCATGTCTCTTGATCATCCAAGAATGAACGAATGCAGTGTATCCTGTAGATTGGCTGTCACACGGTCGCTGAACTGTCGTCCTTCGAAGCCTAGTGGCAGACTGGCAGCGCCAGGGTGATCCGTAACTCAACGGGCACAGCCACTGATCTCACAGGGACGCTTCGTGCCTTAATCGTCGCTTTCACCTGCAGCTGCACCCAGAGTTAGAAATCTCAAGTTGCACAGCAGTCAAGTTGCAGGAGCAGATGGTCGAGTCAAGAAGAGCAAGCCCAGCATCCGTACGAACTACTCGTACCTACCGGAGAACCCAAGAAAAGTTTGTTACACTGCAGGTGACGAGCATGATGCTCATCCCCACCATCCATCCTGATCACTAGACGCACACCTACCTTACTTAGGTACCTAGGTAGTTAACCAATGCTGGGCACGCCTAGAGCCAAGTGTCGGCGGGTCCATGTTGCGCAGCACGGCGTGCACCGAACTGTTACCGCCGCTCAAATCAGCTGTGGTCGCTTCGTTCCTTTGAGAGAATGGGTTGTCTGGAGGTACCGACTACCTCATTCATCACGAACCCTGTCCCTGGGTACTTACGACGGTACTCCGTACTGGACCTCAGTTGTTCTTTTTCACCTCTAAATCATGATGGACCACCCATTTGGGGCAGTCAGAACCCAGCTGGCCCACCTGCCTCCCAAGCCGAGTCAAATGGAGTATCATTGACAGCTGCAGCATTGGTTAAGCGATTCTTTCGAGCCAATCCAGGTCAACTAACCATACCCATTTTTCCCTTGTAAGTTCTCAGCGGAGTCGTCCCTACGAATACAGACATCCGCTGAAAGTTCGTTCTTTTTTCCCTCGAAACTAGGTCCGGAGTCATCCTCTTGATTTATCGTGGCCATCCCACCACAGTCCGTTTCATCAATTGCCGGCAATTAGCCTACAGTCCCAATCATGTGCCTGGGGCTTCTGTAGGCTGATGTACGGATACACAGGCTTAGAACTGATACAACGCCTTAGTACCTGGTATCCAGGCATCAAGAACGGCTGATCTAGGACATCATTGAGTACCCCGAAAAAGTAGGTACCTAAGTACTTATTGCACACGTGCACCAAGTACCTGCTCGTACTCCTCGCGTCTGGATGGAACATGGCAACTTTTGATCAATTAAACTTCCAACGGTAAGGAAATGACTGGCATTGCAGCGCCAGAATTATGGATAGTGCAACTGCAGACGGCGGTCGTCAAAACTTTATTACTACTTGCTGATGGTTCCGTACTTGGGGAATGCAAAGACGGGAAAGCAGAAATGAAGGGCTGAACATTGATTGTTCGACGGAGTTCCCATGGTTGATGCTGCACCCCAACAACGACTGAGTAGACTGGAGTCGATCACCAATTTCCTCATCACGGATCGGATCCAGCCCTATAACACAATTTTGTGCACCCGGTGCCGCTCTCTGAGTAACGACAGCTGCGGTCTTACCGAAAACACCGAAAATTTGCTGAGGTTGGTGTAACTGATTGTTCCAACCCTTAAAGCAGTCTTCATGCTGTCTTAGGTCTGTATGCGTGTCCGGCTTTGATTTCATTCCTCCTCATTTCCAAGGTTCATGAACATATGCTCAGATGGAAACTTTCTAGCATGGGTAGCGTCAGACTCACCACTCAAAACCACTAGTCAGCTTGACCAACGAAGACTCCATTGACCCAAATTCGTCAGGCAGTCTCAAGTCACCTTTCGTGGTAAACTTATTGAGGACTCCCCACAACCATTTTTTATGCATATCCTCACATTTGGGGATTCGACGTTGATCACCATCACTCGGCCCTTCTCCGTCTTGACAGAAGAGACGTTCACGTGTGCAGGCTGTTTGCTAAAACGATGGGCGATCCCTTCCTCGTACAGAATGCTCAACCTCGCTTGGGTGATCCTCCCTTCACCTTACTGCGTACGGACAGTCCTTCGCAAGATGGCGCTTCGGCTACAGTCTGACAGAGAAAATCGTAAACCTTGCTTCAATCGGTAACCATCGAAGCAGAGCATCTCTCTATCTGAAAGAGAGGGGGCAAGACAGACTCCATAATATGATCACAGGGTCTCACGGAGTGGTACCTAACTCGACCACCGTTGACCCGTCACCTAAGCGGCGTTCTTCTCTTGCTCCTCTTCACCCGTTTCAGAACCTCTAGTCTTGGATAAGTCGCATGAGAGCCATGATGACGTTTTTTGTTAGCCAGAAACGGGGAAAAGGGCACGCTTGGCGCAGCTATGTGACACTCTCGAAAGCTTTTACTTCCAGAGTCTGGAGTCTGGACCGCCTGTGCACTGTTGGTTTACTAGAGCTGCATTGCCGTAACAGCCGAAGGATAAAAAGATCCGGTGAAGGAATGCTAGTGGTCCGAATGCCCCCGGGCGTGGTTTTTTTGAGCCCGAGGAAAGAATAACCGGGGTCGACTCGACAAGCGATCTGCATTCAAAAGCATTCCAACCTCAGGCCTGACTTAATTTTGGATACTAACTTGATTAGCCAACGTCATGCCCGACTCGGATGCAGTGCCTGTGATTGACCAAGCTTTTCAGCCACTCTACCCTCTTTATTAAACTTTTGCCAATGACAATTCATGCGTGCCTTTCTCGCATTCGGAACGTTCGGCCTCACCGGGCACTTCCATGTCGAGTCAACCCCCTTCCTCACTAAGGATTGGTGTGGACGGTGATGTCAAACCGCAGCAAGCAGAACTGTTTTCTTTTTTCGTTTGTTTCTGGAAAGAGTAGCAGTTCCAATGAAACACTCGGTGACGCCGAATGCCAAACACATCTGGGGTACATCCACGCTTGGACCAGACGACGAAACAAGGATTCTATCCTGGGCCCAACCTGAACGAGGTGTCAGTGCACCAGCGGTTGGATGATACCAAAAACTCAAGAAGCGGAAAACTCTTTTCGAACAACATTCTACTGGGCTCCAATGTCTACCTCAAATTCTGGAACACGGCCTTGTCGACGAATCTCCGTTGCCGCTTACAGCGGGCTGCTCTTTGACGATCAACGTCTGTACGTAAATGTCGACGCAATACTCCGATGTGGACGCAGTGAGAACCGTTTGGCCGGAACTATGGCCTCATGGTGCTTGATTATTCGTCCTCTACTTTGACCTTCAATTACCCTCTCAACTTGGTCAGCTTTGATGTACATGCAACGTGGCATTCTCAGCCTCACTAGTCATGCAGATCATGTGGTTGAACCACCAACGGTACAGTCCAGGGAGCTTAGAGCCTCAGCACGTCTGTGCTTGACTTATGCAGCTCTCCACTGTTGAGTAATGATGAGCAGATTTGAAACACTACGCATAGCCCCTGAGTATACCAAATAGCTCAATCTTCGCCATATTCTCGACTCTCTGTCTTTCTCTCTTTTCGGATTGGACACGTCAAGTAAGGTGAATGACATGACCAAGACAATGGTGGCAAAGCCTAACATGCAGGGACCAAAAACTTTTGCAACCACATTTTCTGCCATCCGAAGAGTTGGAGATTGCAAGGGCTTCGAGCACCTTCCGAGCCTCGCACGAATACTGGCCGATGCAAACTGGTTGTTCTACCACCCGTTCGTCACGGTCACGGCACGGCACGAGATATGCCACACCCGGAAGAACATGTGGACTTTGAGCACGAGCCGTCAGGTATCAGTACACCTTGCGCCTCGAGGTTGGTTGAGCTCTTCACTGTTCTGGAGAGCTGAGCCCTTGTGACTAGAAGGCGTCACCATCAGTGCAGTGGATAGTACAGCAAAAAAGCCTGTAGTTCTCCGAACATTTGAAGCATTCCCGTCCTGAGCTCTTTGTCCCTCTTTGCACACCTTCGAATGCAGCACCAGCAAGGATCAAGCATTCAAAGACTGTCGAGAACAGCATGCACTCGTGCGGATACTTGACCTCCTCGTCTGGCCAGCCAGTCAGTATGCCATGTCGGCATGGCGCAACTCGGATCCATGATTCAAACCATGCATCGAACTACGCATCAATCGCAGCGACGCTGGCCGCCTGGCCAACATACTTTCTCGGACAGAGTCTCGACCCTCCAGCTGTCTCCTTTCTGTACGTATAACAACCCCACCCCCTTCGTCACAGAGTCACCGGTATCCTAGCACACAAGTAGGTGCATGCAAGCATGGGTATGATCAATGAACAAGTGTCCAATCCTACTCATGATCAGACTCGAGGGGCACACATACTTCCGCAGGGATCTCCCTACTCACCGTGACCCTCCCACACCGAAATTAGATCCGAACCATACAGAGCGCACAATCCCGTTCTCACCAATTTTACTCTTCCCTTGAGCACAGCTCCTCCTGCATACATGGCATAGGATGCCGCGAACCTCCCGTCCGTCCCTGTCGGAAGTTCCGCACTTGAGTTTATTTCGCAGCTGCATTTAGGTAATGCATTCATTGGGAGTCGATCCATGTCTCCTGTGCATCTTCCTGCCGTTGTCATTGGGTTTCTGGGCAGGGTCTGACATGGTTGCCTGACTGTCTGCACGCATGCACGAACGACGTGTGCCCTGTGGGAGTAGTGTAATGCCACACACAGCGCACGGGGGGATGAAGGAAGAAGCAAGAACGGGAAATGTGAGGCTCGTTCCTGCATCCTCTTTCTTGAAGCCATTATTGGCACGACATCTTGCCCCTAGCTAAGCACAGGGTGATCACAAGTGAGACTACGCGCGGACGGCCAGATGCCCGTCTGCTAGGTGTTGGCCACCGCTCGTCCCTGTGGTGGGCAGGTAGATACCCTATTGAGCCCCCTACTACTTACGACTAAACCACATGAAGAGCTACATAGACAGACTTCTCTCTTCTCAGATCCTAGCTACGCGCATCACTGCCCAGTCCAGCTCAAGTCACGCTGAAACTTACCACACCAGCTTGACAGTCATACATACATGTACATAATCTGACACTACGGCAAGCAAATAGTGTCCTCAGAGTGCCGATTATGATCAATTTCACCAACTACAGGAATCGGCGCAAGGAGAACTTTTTACACCATCTATCGAGACATCAATTCCTCAAAGCACATGCCGGCTGCCGAACAAGGTCGCGGTACAAAATAGTGTGATGCACGTAAGGGATGCACCAGGAGCATTAGAGTCTAGGGCGAGCATTTAATCTCCCAAGTCTTTAGTTATAACACCCGGCGCGACCACTAACTATGACCTTCCACTTCCATTTAGTCCATCGGTATCGGTGTGTGTTTGTGTTTGCCATGAGCGGTTCCCGGGCTTCCATCGACCAGTTCGCAAGGTTCTGAGAACCGCTCGCTTTGCCTGGTCTTCTGCCCCCCTGGTTCGAACGAGGAGCGGTAGAGTCGGCACCACTGCCCGTGGCATCGTTAGCCGTTGGAATTTTCGGACTGGCGTGACACCCCTGATGGAACGTTGCGAGTTATTACTGTCCTGTCTTGTTCTTGCCTGATCCTTAGAAATGAGGTCCCCTCACCGCCTAGTAGAGGTATAAGCATATCGGCTGGACTGAGGCCCCTTGCTCGGGGTCTCGTTTGTGGTCGAGGGAGTCTCGGACGAAGAAAAAAGAAGTTGCTTAATTCGCTCAGCGTTCATTCATTGGTTTGTTTACTAACCTTGTGCTGCACAAGTAGGGGTTCACCGACCCATTTCGTCTCTGCTTTCCGATCTTTCGGTAGTTGTGACACGCAATTTGGGAAAAAGTAATCCGATGTTGGTTCTCATCTCCTTAGCCGACAAAGTATTGCTTCATCAGGCTTTCTAGCCGACCCAGACCCAAATGACACCCACTACCACGTCGAGACCCTTGCTGTCAGCGCCGGGATATTTGAAACTCCACATTCCATCCTTCTCATTGTTCCAATATGCGCCGCTGGCAGCATGCATGCCTCTACGACCGCTGATCTTCTTGGATGAGTCCTCGCCTGGTGTGGTTGGTCCTGTAGAACCGGCATGTTGGATGATGGTGCTATTGACAACGTACTTGAACTGTGGTTGCGCTGGTGTCGAGCCACTGGAGCTTGACTGAGTGGTTTCACTGACTAGAGCTCCAAGGATGTTGTTGATTATGGTGGTATTCCATGTCTCTGTGTCTGCGTGTGAATAGGAGGTGACGCCTGAGAGAGCCGTTTCGCATGCCTATTTGATGAACGGGAATTAATCAGTCCGTATCAGGTAGATAGAAATTTACGTGAAGAACATGGGCAAGGAACGGATTAAATTGGGGTTATTTGACTTACACTTTCGGTGATTTCCTTCAGCCGAGTATAAGGCACTGGAGGTGCTGATAGGTCGCTAGCCATGGCTGTGACTGGGAATTTGTCTTCTTGAATGGATGTGTTGTCTTGGTGGATGCCTGAAGACCACAATTTGTCTTTTTGGTCCTCGGTTTTGGTAGTAGATTTAGTAGCTTCCGATCCAAGTGTGGAGACGGAAGAGTTGCGTGGAAGCAAGCGATGGTGATGATAGAATGGGGCTTGAACAAGCGATCTGCTATGCCAGTCTCTCAGCTTGATAGGGAGTTCGATGAGGGAGTTCTCTGGGACGACAATGACTGGTGGTGGGCAAGTTGATTTGATGATACTTCGAAGAGCTTCTCTTCTGTCAATTACAGCTTGCTCTTTGATTTGTTCTTTTCCCGCAGCTTTTGTACGCGTAGGACAGAGGGAGAAGGCGGACTAGAATGGATTTCGCGATGCTTGCCTCTCAGGCTGAAAATGGGAGCTTTCTTGAGAAGGCGACAACGCAGTTGCGACAAGATTGATTGGGGATGGTCTGACTCTGTCAGGTGAGGGTGTGTCTGCGGGTTGTTCAACTGCTCTGATGAGCTAGGACGAGGTATCGGAGAGTGAAGGCTTTTGGTAATATTAGCACAACTTTGAAGCAGCAGAATATTTGATTGACTTGCAGGTTTGGAGAACTGGTGTTGTTCTGGTTGGTGTTTTGATTGGTGAACAACAATGATGGAGGTGGAGTCGTTGACAACTTGTGTCCCTCATGTGCATCGGCCGTCGCTGGCAATGGCGATGGCACGTGCATTGTGGCGGTTGTGGTTGATGTGACCGTCCGTATCAAAGAAGGGTAGAGATTGGAAAGTGAGCCGAGGTCCATACAAGAAGGTTAGCCGAGAAGTGGTCACTAAGTGGGCGTGCACGTGCTAAATCGAAGCGGGCCAATTATACAACGCAAGTGCAGCACGGGCATTCGTGTTTGTCCCAAACGGCAGGTGGAGGACAAATGATCCCCGCAGCAGCGAGAAAAAGAGCAACCACAAGCAATCTGGTTGCCGGACCGCAAGCACGACCACTGCCACCAACATCCGCAATGCACCAGTACCAGCAACAACCAACTTGGAACCTCACCACCATTTGAGCACTCAGACTTTTTTTACTCCCCTCTCCCCACTGTAGCTGTTATTGTGCGACATACCTTACATCAACTTGTTTCCACCTTCACTGGATCAGGTTATCACTCGCACTATCTTTGCTTGTTGTTGCTGGACCTGCTCACCACATTACACAAAGATCTACTCAAGAAGCACCTCCTTCTGCAGAACAGACCAGCTACCTTTCCTCTCAAATCTTTCCCCGGACTACCCAGACATCAACTTCACCATCTTGACTTTCATTCCGGCTGATTGGAGTCTCGCAGAAGAGCTTGGGAAACTGGTACTCCCGCCTGTACTTTGGAACAAGAGCTGTTGAGCCCATCGTCGCTTCCAGACAGCGACTATCAAGATTGCTTGGAACATCCTCAACCACGTATAGCTTCTCGCAAATATCACTCCACAGGGCGTTATCCTACTGCCTTTCTCTCCCGTGACCTTGACGGAGCAAGCCCAGTCCAAGCCTTGAGCACTGTCCGAACAGCGATCCGCATACACTGTTTGAGAAGTTTCAAGTCGACAAAATTAAACAACGGCAAAGTAGTCCTGCATCCAACCTTTCCAGCGACACAATTACTACAAGTCAACAACAATCCAGTTACCGTCTTGCCATTTAGATCAAAACCACAGGCCGTCGACACTTTACGATCGAATCATTCCTCGAGCGATACATCTCGATCTCGTACCATAAGAAACCATTCTTCCGATTCCGGTAACATGTCTGAACAGCCATTGCTCCAAAGCGCTCCTGGTAAGTGCAGTGGCTTGTCCGGAGTCAAAATGTTTTCTAATCCATTCTCATACAGGCAAGCGCATTGCTCTTCCCACCCGAGTCGAGCCCAAAGTCTTCTTCGCTAACGAGCGTACTTTCCTGTCATGGCTCAACTTCACTGTCATTCTAGGTGGGCTCGCAGTAGGGCTTTTGAACTTCGGTGATTCGGTAGGCCGGATTTCGGCCGGTCTTTTCACCCTGGTGGCTATGGCAGCCATGTTGTATGCACTATTCACATTTCATTGGCGTGCCAAGAGCATCAGACAGCGAGGACAGGGCGGATTCGACGACAGAATTGGTCCTTCCGTTCTTGCCCTTGCCTTGCTTGGTGCTGTGGTTGTCAATTTCGTCCTCAGAGTTGTCGAGGCATGATGAGGGAGTGTTCAGCCAAAATGAAGCCAATACTCGGGGCATTTGGAGAAAGCTCAAAGCCACAAAACACATTGTATATAGATTGTATGACGGCTGTGCTCTGTTCTCCCCTCTATGTTCCTGATCGGAGTTACTGACAAGGCGACGGGGATCTCAAGTATGAAACGACGTTCAACTATGGAGAGGTGCTCTGGGAAGTGTCAATAGTAATGCCAACTGCGGCGTGTCTTCTATATTATATCATCCACAATGTGGAAAAGAAGACGAATAAGAAACTATCAGTCCACGCCATCTACGTCCCGTTGCAAAGGAAGCATCTTCCCCTGTCCTCTTTCACCGGAACGAACCCAGGGAAAGTGCGCAGTAATCTCAAGTATTGCAATATTTGAACTTCGCTGTGCTGCACGGGTAGATCCTCAACCGGGAGTCACCCTGCCCCGACCGAAGATGAGTTTAGTAGTTCAGAGCAGTCGAGTGATCCCCGTTCTCTGCAACATATTTTGTGCCACACTGCTCGAGCTCTCATGATGGTCCTTTCCGAATTCCAGCGCCACAGCTCAAAAGAAGGAGGGGTGAAGAGAAATAGAAAACCAGCACGCAGTCACGATTGGGATGTTCTTCTTTAGCGCTCTCCAGCCCAAGATATCCAATGTTGCCCAATCCCAAATCCTATACTACATGACCTATTCGGATCTCAACTTCACGGCGGGTTCGAGTAGTCATTCAAAGCGACACAGACGGCGCCGCGGTGATGGCCATTGTACTGGCGGATGATACTGGCGGTGCTCAGCTCCCAGAGTCGGGCATAGTGGTCGCTGCACACGGTGACCAGGTACGCAGAGTCGGCGCTGAACGCGCAGTCCCACACCCAGCGCTGGTGGTTGTCGAGCACCGTGCCGCATGGCAGGGGCCGGCGTTTCTCGATGATCTCCGAGATGGCGCTGAATGAGTGTGGAGATGAGACGGAGGTATGTGTGAGGGAGTTGCTGCTTTGTGAGGGCGTGAATGTCTCTGGATTCGGGGTGTTGTTGCCGTTGCTCGAGGTGGTGGCCGGGTGGCTGCTCAGGCTGCCGTTGAGTGGTTGGCGCGGTGTGGTGTGTGAGGTTAGGGCCTGGTTGGGCGTGGTGTTGGGATCAGTATTCGGGGTGGGTGCCTTTCTGTTGGTATTTTGGGTTGTGGTGCTGTGAGTGGACTGGGATTCGGGCACAACTTCCAAGTTGTCCTCGCTCATGTCGATGTTCCAGATCCGCACGGTGTGATCGGCACTGCAGGTTGCTAGGAGTTTGATGTCGGGGGACAGGAGGAGACGTGTTAGGTAGTCCTTGTGTGCTTTGAATACCCTGCAGGGGAGCAGGGTTGTGGAGTCGTGGTTCTGGTACATTCGCCAGATGTAGACATCGCCCTAGAATGAAGCACTCAGTTAACGATCTTGTCCGCAGCCGGCCATGAAGGCCGTCCGATTGGAGACCAGAAAAGACTTACACGATTGTTTCCAGCAGCGAGAAGTGACCCATCACTAGCAACACTAACGCTCGAGACGGAGACATCCTCATCCGGAATCAGTTGGTGAGTACATTTACTCTCTCCCAGATCCCAGATGCGAATATTTCCACCTCGATCTGCAGAGACCAGCTCTCCCTGATTAGGATGGATCACCACGTCGTTTACGGGGTGTGTGTGCTGGTAATGTCTCTGTACCAAACCTGATCTGGTGTCCCAGACTCGGACCGTCATATCCTCGGAGCTTGTCACCATCCATTTGCCCTCACAGTGGAAAGCCACACCTGTGACATTGTTGGTGTGTCCCTCGAATGTCATAACAGGTTGGGGATTGCTGGATTTGATGTCGTAAAGGCGCACCATATGACGGCCAGCTGCAGCCAGAAACTTCTTGTCTGGTGTGATACATAGTCGGTTCACCTGGGATTCTGGGTGTTGGATTGTCCTAGAGCAGATGCCTGAGAGGGCTTCCCAAAACCTAAGTGGAGTAAACGTCATACGCTGATCTTTAAGGTGTCGCGGTTGGATTAGGGAGGGCCATGATCTTGTGGTTCGTACCTGATGGTATGGTCATACCCAGCTGGTTGTGAGATGTGTTAGTGGATGCCCATGAATTTGAAGGTCGGTTTGACGCAGAACTGACCTGTGCAAAGAATTACGCTCATGGTGACTCCCTCATGATAGGATGGGATTGATTGACCCACAGGGTAGAGACTGAGGTTTGACAAACGCGTGGAGTTCGACTTGGGATGTGGAAGATGGGTGAGAAGCACCGCAGTCCAAAGATGTGCAGAGTGGAGAGGGGTGAGAAAGATCACTGTGGGGAAAGATCACTGTTTATTCCCTTGTTTGGAAGAGCTGCAGGCGAGTACGGAAGTGCATAAAGACCAGAAGAGCAATGGCACGCATTCTGTCAAATTTAATGATCTACGAGGTACTTGATTGGAGTGCAGGAACGGGATTTCCCACATTGACACCGGCATCATCAAAGTAAGACACGCGGAAACCTAGGTAGCTTCTTACTGTGGAAAATTCTACGCATGTTCGAAGGACTTCGGTGCCAGGCACTCAGGCTGCCCTCCACCACCCTGTGCACCCCCGGAGTCCGGCCGAGAAAGCTTCTACTGCGGAGGACAAAGACTAGCGCTGTTTGCAAAAACCATTAGCGCCGGATTTCCAAAGCCAGCGAATGAGAAATCGAGTGACCTCCCTGCCTCACAAAAGTTCATGCAAGGCTGAGTTTCCTGACACACCCCCTGGCAATATCTGACATGGGTGAAGAAAGTCTACTAGGTACCTGTGGTGATTGCATTTCACCCTGCGATTGTAGTATTTGTAGTCAATGTTCTCTATCAAATGGCGGTGCTGTGATAGTCTATGTAGGCCAGTCTTGAGACCACTTCAGCAACAAAGCCTCCCAGATCGGTAGCGTTGGAGCCCTGGTGCTGGTGTGAAATGCAACGCTTTACCAGTGCTGTTCCACCCCGCCTACTACGGGGAATGAGATTCTCATGGCCGCCGCTATTCTCCGGGGTTGGTCTCCACTGCTCCCCTTCCACCGTCAATCGATCCGAGGTCCTCTGCTTTCCCTAGCATTGTCGACTCTGTCGCTTATATAAACGAAAACAAGTTGTGTGCTTGTCAAATGGATATCCTCTGTCACTGTATAGCAGTAGTTCTGTAGTCGATCTTGAATTTCCCCCGATCTGCACAGTCGATCTTTCGGCCTGGTAGTGCAGTGAAATACGTGAATGTTCACTGCGATTGTCTGTTCCGCTGCAGGGTCGTAGCAGTGGGTGGGGCCTTGAACTGTTCGTTGCCTTTCCATATTCATTCTCCGGTGAAGACCTGAATGGCTCCATTGAGGACCTCCATGGCGGCGTGAATTCCTCGATTCTTCTGTTTTGCCAATAATAACCTTTCGTCTGTCTCTTTGCGCTTGCAAGTTGCCCTCCATCTATCCACCTTTTCTGAACCTTTGTCGAGGACCTCAAACTTACAACTGTGGACTCTCCCTTCAGAATGCATAAAAGAATCGGAGCCTCGCCCTTTCTCAATCTGAATCTTCCAGCCTCAATCACAGCATTGGACCACGAGACAAGCAGACCATTAGCCTTCACCCCTTCAACTTCAACCTACCCATCTCACCAAAGAACAGAGTAAGTACACCAATGCTCCTTTGCTCAAAGCCTTGTAACTTACCTCATGATAGAAGACAGACACAAATCAGTCCTCCCACCTTTCTCACCCTTACCCCAATCGATCTCACCACAGACAATAGAAGAAGCGCCACCCACTTCACCCGAAACCCCCTTTGACTTACCTCGTCATTAATAGTAAGAATATCATCCTTTGTCTTCATCGACACCCTCTAACTTACCCCAGCACAGTAACAGACAGCAGCTCGGCATCAACAACTCCTTTCGACTTAACCTGACTTGATTGGTCCGGCGTGTCTGCAACAAACAGCAGACATCTTTGACACCATTAGACACTCACACTCGACAAACAATTTCTTCTTTTCCACCGACATGGATCCCAACGGCTCACAGTATGGGCTGGGCAGCGACAACCCATACTTCCAGTCCAATCCTGATGAGGCACAGTTCCAAATGGATTCCAACAACAACAATCCCTTTGCAATGGATTCCTATGGCACACAGGTTCAGATGAACGCCGACAGGTCCAACATTCAACTGAATGCCAATGGTACCCAAGTGCAAATGGGCGCCAATGGGTTCCAAGTCCAGCTGGGCACACGCTCTGCACACTACCAACAGCAGATGCGTCAGGCCGAAGACCTGCAACACCGATATACTCGGCTGAACAGAGAATACCAGAGACTGCTTCACAACCACGACCTCCTCCGCCAGAGGGAAGCCCGTCTCGCGGAAGACAACCGCTCTCTACGAGACCAGTTGAACGCTAGGCAGTTCAACCAAAGCGCTCATCAGGCGCAAATGGCGGGCAGGAATGTTCCTGTTCAGCCTCTTTACCAACAAACGACGGAGAGCGAACGGTATGCTACCCGCTATCCTCAACAACAAACGCCTTGGGCTCTCCAAGTCCAGCAACAACAACAACAGCTGCAGGAGGAGCTGCGACAGCAGCGACAGCAATTCGCCTCCCCACCAGCGCTTGTTGAAAACTACCAGGGACTAGTAAATAACCGGCAGCCACCACTCTCAAATGGGGGCATTGATCTTACATTTGGTGATGTCCCTGTCGGCGTCGCTCTTGTCCCTCCTGTCGCGCCTCTTCCGGTTGCTGCCGGTGGCGTTGGTACGTTCACTCAAATGTTGGTCGATGAACAGTCCATTGGTGAACAGCAGCCATTCTTGGGCACATCTTCAATCACAACAGGGTCGGAGAGTTCACCATCCCTCCCGGTTTTTTCCAGTGGTGAGGAGGCATCAGAGACAGTGACGCCCAACACCGATGGCATGGTCACTCAGGCAGCCAGTGACGACAATACCGAGCAGTCTCCTGCTAATGGAAAGAATAGCGAGAAGCGTACTGAGAGTGATGACACCAGCGAGGAGCACCCTGCCAAGCGCAGACGGATTGGTCAACCCGACTGGCTACCCCCTTCGCGCAACAGGGCCCTCAACCTCGCCCAGAACAATCTCCAGGGGCAAGTCGTCAAGGAGGCAGAGCAAGCTCGCATCATTGATCAGCTAAATATGGAAGAAGATGGAAACAAGCGAAAGGCTCGAATGGAGCAGCTGGATAGAAAAAAGAAGGCCAAGGCTCAGAAGGCCAAGGAAGAGAAGGAAGCTAGACAAGCCCAAAAGGAGGAAGAAAGGGAAAGAAACGCTGCCGAGAAGCTTGCTCGTGATGAGAAGATGAAGGCGCAGCGGGCGCTTGTCCGGAAAGCTAAAGCCGCAGAGAAGCAGGCGGCGGACAAGCGGGCGGAGGAGGAACAGGTCGCAAAGATGGCTGAGAAACAAAAGCATGTCGATGAGGATCACGCTGCCGCCGCCACGACTACAATTGCTCCCGCTGGCCCAATCGCTGCTGTCGCCGCTGCTGCCACAATTGCTCCCGCTGCCACAATTACTCCAGTTGGCCCAATTGCTGCCGCTGCCGCTGCCGATGCCGCTGGTGCCGCTGGTGCCGCTGCTACAATTCCTCCAGCTCCTATTCCTGCTGCACGGCCTGCACAGCCTGTAAGGAGGGCGCTGGGCCTTGGACATTGGGTTGACATGGAAGATAAGGAAGACGAGGACCTGTTTGGAGGAGACCAACAAGAGGAACCCCAACCCGAGAGAGAGTCGCCATCCCAAGAGGAGGAAACAGAAGAAGAGTATGATGAAGCCGGTTTCATGGAGGACTTCGACGAGTTAGAGGGAGAGACAGCCCAGGGCAGCCAGGAGGAAGAAGGAAAAGGTGCAGATGAAGACGAAGATGGGGAATATGAAGTGGAGGAAGAACCTCAACAACAAGTGGAGGAGGCAGTTCAACGTGAAGTGGATGAGGAGAGTGAAGTCAGTGAAGAAGAGTGAAGGGGACTCTTTCTTTGTGTATCATTTTTGTTTCCCTGAAACCCTGGACAACGGTGACAAGAACACGCGTCTGGTTGTTCTGCATGACTTACAAATATGGTGGTCACGTCTGCATTTGGAATTGAACTTGAACTTGAAATTGGAGTTTGGATTGGAAATGATACCCACAGGGAATACTGGGATGAGAAGGGCCTCTTGATGTCTTAGGGAAGAGGTTCACGGTTTTCTTGTCAATTGGAATTTGACGTCAAGTTAAGAGTCGTCCATGACGTCGGAAGGATATTTACTCATTCACATGGAAAACGGAAGGGGCGTTTCGGCTCCCCGAGTCGGGCCGTGAGCTACCAGGGTACTGGGCGTGAAAGTCGCTCAATATAGCAAATACAAGGATTCATAAGACCCTCACTTCATGTATCTTGTTGCCCATGATTTCACCTAGAACTACATTGTATATGTCACACACAACATTCGTGGAAACCGAAGTCAAGAGTCGAGCTGCTGAATCTGGTACATTGATGTCTACATGTTGGGTCAGAGTAACACTCAGCGCTTCTTCCTCCCCAACCCACTGCGATTGCTGCCGGCTTTACTGGCTTCGGAAATGACACTAGCACTACGTTTGTGCCCCCTTCCGCCACCAAGGACCGCGGCACTCACAGGTGCCAGATTGGGAGAGTCTTCCTCTGCTTCTTCATCAGCATTGTCGGGAGCTGCCGATTGGGTTTCAGCTTCGGCTTCAGCATCAGAGCCTGAGTCTTCAGCATCGTCCTCTGCCTCGGCTGCCTCGGATTCGTTGTTTTCTTCCTCTTCCTCCTCGTCCTCGTCTTCATCGTCTTGCTCTGCATCTTGCACGCTGGGGGTTTCGGCAACAACAGCATCATCTTCCTCTTCCTCTTCGTCCTCATCATTGTCAACGCCAAGTGGAGGTCGATCGTCTTCTTCCGACTCCTCATCTTCGTCCTCATCTTCATCTTTCTCTTCCCCAGCATCTTCGTCTTCCTGCTCAGACTCTTCGGCCACTCCTGTCTCTTCATCCTCGTCTTCATCCTCCTCGTCATCACTATCAGCATTGACTTGTTTGGTAATGGTAGTTGTGTCTCCCTCGTCGTCCTCGTCCTCGTCTCCATCAGCATCATCATCGTCATCTTTCTCTGCTTCCACGTCAAGCTGTAATTTACTTCCATCATTCTCCAGGTTGGTCTTGTCTTCTTCCTGCGTCTCAAGCTGAGTTTCATCTTGCTTGTCTTCAACGACATCCTCTTCACCCTCGGCGTCTTGATCCTCATCCGCGACCAGCTGTGACTCGATCTGAGTATGTTCAAGTTGTGAATCTTCTACAACTTGTGAAGAATCGACGTCCATAGCATCTGATTTGGCATTTGTGTCCTGTTCGCCCTCCTTCGGCTGGCCCAATCTGATCCGTCGAGCTTCCTCCAATATTTTGATCTCAGTCGTGATCTTTTCATTGACCTTTCTTGTATCGAGAAGAATATTGATTTCACTGGTAAGCCGCTCAAATTCGCGACATACTCTCTCCGTAGGCATCAGAAGTCTAGGTGGAATCCCCAGCTCCGTCAACGCAGCCAGGATTTTGCTTGTTTGAGTCTGACTTTTAGCCATTGTCAGACGACTAATCTTTTCATGACGAAATTGGACTCCACTGGTCACTCGCTCGGTAGGGTGGGAGACACCAAAGCGGGCTTCTTCTTGAGGTGTCAGCACTCGTACAACCGGCTGCGAAGTAGAACCCTTCTTCTGCGGACCCGGTGCGCTTTCCTCTGTGTTTGTGTCAATGGTGTCTCGGCGATTGTGTTGAGTATTATGTCTGCCTTTTTCGTGACTTTTATTGTCGGCGGGTGTATTAGCGGCAGGTCCAGCTTCTGCACCACCAGGAACTGGAGGACGTTTCAATCGCTTTTCCTTTGCAAGCAGCGATTGCAATAACATGGACAATCCTTGAGATGTCTGGTACATGGCAGTAGACTGTTCTTCTCCCCGCTCGCCTCTGCGGATTGGAGCGACGGGCTCGAGTCTGGCATACAGATCACGTCTCATTTTGATGAAATCATCCTCGTTCTTCGTGATACGGTGCAACTCCTCCAGGAGGATTCTCTCTTCGTCGGCCTCATCTTTGGTACGTTCGAATAGCTTCTCCGCCATGGCTTTCCTCATGGTCTCTGTTTTAACGTCGAAGTTTCGCATCTTCTCCCATAGTTGGAATTCCGTTGAAGTCATAGTGCTCGCAGGGGTGTGTATCTCGAGCATTTTGGCCGCAATGGCGTAGTACCTTGACTTGAGGGCCTCCATTGATCGAACGGGATATTGCGGTTGGGGAATGACTTCGGTACCTGATACATGCTCAGGCTCCAGACTTGTAGTAGAAGGCAATATTTCTGTTGGATCGTAGCGGTCTGCGATGAGGAGCCAACGGAGATCGAAACCACGACATAATTCCATCAAGTAGTCTGTCTCCTCCTTTGTCCACTCCTCCGACTTTAAGAAGTTTTGGTATTGCTCGTCGGTATAGGAAGCGACACTGACAGAGATGTTCCATTTATGGGAGGGATACTCCTCTTCGAACGAATATTCCTGGACCGTTGGAGTTGCCTTTGACTCGTCACTCATCTCAACATCGCCAGAATTGTGCAAATCAGCAACCAAGGGACGTCGTTGGTTTGACCCGGGGATAGCACGCTTCCAATGTTTCAAGATCAGTCCATCTGCTCGCCCTCCATGTTGAAACTGTTTTTCCTCCCAATGTCTAGGGACAAACGATCGGGCAAGGGAAGGTCGAGGTTTGTAGAGAGACTGATCAACAATGGCGATGGGAGGGACCGAGTCGCCCATAAGAGCTTGGACTTCGCGATTGATGCCCGTCATGCGCACCTGCGGTTCACTGTGTTTCTTCTTCTTCGGCGCAGGTTGGCGGGGACCAGCCTGGCCCAAGTTCATGATGTCTCGAATGTCGCTCGTGGTCGCCATGATGGCGGTGTGATTCGATGGAAGTTGGCAGCGACGTACAAATACAGGAACTCGAGGGCGAGTGTCGCCGTCTTTTCAAAGGCACTCGAGATGCGTTGTGGTGGAGAAGTGATGCAGAGCGAACAAAGAGGACAATTCTTGATGGGATTAAATAGAAATCACAGTCGTACCGCGCAACGAATATGGGCGGCAGAATTCACTGAACGGTGTAAGGGTTCTAGCGCCTCGGGCGGCAGGGTGGGCAGAATCTAGGCATTTTAGGCGGTGGACTTTAGGCTTCTTAGGCGGTGGGTTATTATCGCCAGACGGCATAGGCGGAGTCATACTGTCACGTGACTTCAGACCATGTCGACACCCCTTTATCTGTGCTCCAACGTAGGAAATCTTGGCAGATTTGCGCCTGGTCGTTCCCCCTGAACTTCGAAAGTTTTGGGGACACTGAACCGGAAAGTCGCAGGTGGTGGTGGCATCTCCAGTGTCAATTACAACAAAGACACTTCGATCAGAACCGTCACCCCAACGTACACCTCTTGCGCAGAAATGTCCATCGTGAGGATGAAGTCACTTATACTGGTCACAGCCGCGTTGGCTTCACTCTTTACATCCTCGCAAGCCCTTTACTTCTACGTCGATGGCACGACGCCAAAGTGCTTTTACGAGGATCTGCCCAAGGACACCTTGGTCGTCGGTGAGTCTCCTTTCCTCCTCAATCCTTACCCAGAAGTCGGAGCCAGACTAACAACCAACGCAACATAACAGGCACATACAAATCCGAAGCCTACAACGCACAAACGCAATCCTACTTCGTGACCAACGACCTGGCCATCCAAGTAACTGTGGAAGAGACATTCGACAACGACCACCGAGTCGTCACGCAGACGTCGACGTCGTCGCACACGCCCTCGAAGTTCACCTTCTCAGCCGCCGACGCGGGTCTGCATCGTCTGTGCTTCACGCCCTCGGGGCCCGCGGCCGTCAGCGTGGGAGGCTGGTTCTCCGGTGCGGGCGTCACGGGCGGCGGGGTGAAACTGACCATCGACATGGCCATTGGCGAGACCAGCAAGATTGAGAGCGAGGATAAGTCCAAGATCGACAGCATCGTCGCAAAGGTCAAGGAGCTGAACGGGAGATTGTCGGACATCCGTCGCGAGCAGATCTTCCAGCGGGTATGTTTGACAACACGTTCACAAAGTATAGAGTATCTCGAGCGGGTGCTAACCATGATGTGGCATATAGGAACGAGAGGCCGAGTTCCGTGATCAGAGCGAGTCGACTAATGCAAAGATTGTGCGCTGGACGCTGATTCAATTGGGTGTCCTGGGCGTGACTTGCGCCTGGCAATTATCGCATCTGCGTTCTTTCTTCATCAAGCAGAAATTAACATAAAAGACGTGGGAATTTGGAGAAGAGGAAAAGTCATTAGCCGTTCATGGTCCAATCTGATGATGATGATAATTGTTTAGTGCTTTCTTCGTGTTTTCTTTCTCATGCACCGCCAGTGTCCCTGAAGAATACACGTATCCTCGATATTGTCATGATTTAACACCAGGTCTAGGTAAGGTGTCCATCTGCCAACAAAATGCAACCGCGCTATGCTAAACTCAAGTACATTATACATCGGGTCTCAAAACCCCCTTCTTTCCCGGTATTGGGTATCAAAAAGTCTCGAGGACGAAGACCGAGCGTTCCCAAAAAGCGAACCTGTATTCCCATCGTGGTTTCGAGAAGCGTCGCCATCTAAGGATAATCCAACAAAGCCATTCATGACTCCAGTCGGCCCATTCCGAGCCATTGTTTTCTTGGATGATCGAGTCGCAGATCTGTTCGAGTTTTCTGGGGGCTCCCATTGATATCTATCAGAGCGAACATTGGGAGTGTCCCAATCCTTTGTGAAGGAGCTACTGGTAGCAGAACTCATGTTATCGGAAGATTCGTCTGAGTCTTGTCGCGACAAAGTCTTGCGAGATTTTGGAGTGGATGCGGCCTGCGCGTTATTGATGTCCCTATCAACCATCAACGTGCTAGCACCATGGCGGTGAGAGCTCTCCGTACTTGGGGAGGGCTTTGTATGCGGAGATCTGCTGCCTGACGCTCCACTAGATGAGCTCATTCTGACAAATTCTTGCGGCAAAAGAAGGGCCACACCTGCGATTGCCAATTTGTTCCACAGATCTATGAAGCCTCCTTCAAGCATGTCTCTAATCAGAATAAGGCCCACCAACGCGGTGGCTTCTATCGTGAAAATGACCAGCCACAGTGGGTGGCCGTGCACTCGCCCTGTGAGAATATCTCCAACAAAGTGTATAGTGGGTATTGACGCGCTGGTTAGCACAACATAGTACCCAAAACTGGATCCCTGCGGCTTCAAAGCAATTTCTAGTAGCCAGCTAATCAAGGCCACCAGAAGGGTGAAGAATGCAACTCCGCTGATGATCGTCTGGAAACACACCTTCTGCGGTGTTGTTCCCGCCCTCGAGGCTGCTTGGTGGCCTTGGACATTATATTGTGAACCAGATGGGATGCTTGATCGAGTTGTCTCTGCCGGTGGTGCAACTGCTCGATCCTGAAAAGAGAAGACAGTTTCAAAAATATCTTCTAATCCGGTATCTGCCTGACTGTCATGCCCAAAGAATGTAGGCTGTAGTATTGCGTCGTCAGATACTCTTGGTTCTCGTGGAGGAAGGATAGAGCCTGGGGTGCGATCGAAATATCCGGGCGGTAGTCCAATGGCGTCCTTGGGGGCGTGTGGAAGATGTCCGGATTGCGTTTGAACTCCTCTTGCAGGCACGACCGGCAGCTTACCATGAAAAGGAGAGGGCCCGCCAGTCAAGTAATGAATTTTCTTGGGCTGTGGTTGGAACACTGGTTGAGACGGCGTCCAGTCCATCGCCTCTGCACTGTCATCAGGTGGCGTGGGTGCTCTCCATGCCTCGTATGATTGCGTCGTTGCCGTTGCCAGGTTTTGGAGGCCGAATGATCTCTCCTGGGTCGGAGTTGGTTGGGATTGGTCATCGCTTTCTGGCGGAACGAACTGCCTGCTCGATAAAAGGGGAGCTGGGTCCGCATTCCAGTCGATGGGCTTGGTCAATCGGACTTGAATGATTTTGAAGTTCGACCACAATGCCACGGCCGTGATAAAGATGGCAAAGAGTGCATGTATGACATTGGTAGTTCTAATGTTGAGTGGAACATGTTGCAGGATCGCCCAAACGGTGAGTCTAGAGAGTAGAAGACCGAGTTGAGTCAGATAGTATTTCTCGAGTCCACCCAGTTTGCCGTCGTTATTCGATAATTTGTGCTGCCATTTCGGATTCCACCAAACACAGAGAAGGCCGAGGCCAAGGGACAATCCCACAAAACGTTCCATCAAGTTCAGGCATTGCTCATTTAGAGGTCTTCTGCTCAAACATTGGGATAGTTTCATTCCATCAACATCCAAACTTGGCTGTATCTGTGATCCGTAGGCATGCCATGCCACTTGTGTCCCAAGGCTCACCGCATAGCCTGCTCCCGCAGCACCAACGAGGAGACTTCTCCAGCCCCATCGACTAGCAATCATCCTCTGTCGAGACTTGATGAGAACTCGACGGACATGATCGCTCTTCGCATTGTATGTAGCCTTCATCAACTGAGCTCTGACCTTGGGTTCGCATTTGGCGCAACATTGTGGGAATCTCTCTTCCAACCCTTTCTTAAAGGATGGTAACTGTGCTTCTATCTGGTCATAATCGGGATCATCAGGATCAGGGAGAAACTCGGAGAGAGTTTGAGTGTAGAGATGTTGATTCTTCAGGCACGTCGCGCAAAATACGGAGTTTTCGGCCGAGAATTCGTCGACGAGAGGATCTCTGGTGTTGGTGGACGTTGCAAAGGCCCGTGGTGGTGCAGTCTCCTCAACTGGAACATCCGCTACTTCACCATTCTAAAGACGAGTTAACGGCGATTTTTGGAAATCGGAATCGATATGGCTATACCTCGTCGAAGTAATTGACAGCCTGGCAGTATTCGCATTGGAATCTGCGGCCTTCTTTCTTAGAGAATTTTGACCTGCTCCCACATGAGTGGCACTTCAGGCGCGGGCGAAGTTGGATCGGCATGGTGTTTCATGATATCAGTAGAGATGACCAGGACCGCCAGAGGAAGTTGATTGTAGAAGACCCGGTTTATATTGAGCCGAAACTCAAGATTCCGTGAAGCCGCTTCATTGTACCCCATGGGTACCTCAACTGCCTGAGTGACATCGTCACTGTGAACAACTTACTTCCCTTTGTACTACATTATCTCGCCGCCTCACAGATATATCTTGCCAAGGCCCTAATTGTTACTAGTGCAAGCTACGTCCTACTGACCCAGCGTCTGATGGTGTCCACGTTGAAGTTCTTGTAGTTGCGCAGACAGGCACTTGACCGAGACCAACAAGGTGTCGTTGGATCTACAGAGCAATTAGATACTGGTATTGGCGCCATGAAAGGATATCCAGACACTGGTGCAGCATAGCTTTCTCCAGCCTTGTTCTGAAAGCACCAAAAAGCAGCGTCATTATATCCTGAAATGGCTAGAGTGGCGGAGTTAGTGCACAACTAATAAGTATCAGACATTGAGTGATCGCACATATCCTCCGTACACTTACCTCGAGATAATCATTACAATGATGACGAGGAATCACTAAGTGGTGGGTGACTGAACTGTAGGTGGATCATCTCAATTCGTATAAAGAAAGTGTTCAAGTCCACAGCTTCACAGCTATTGTCAATACACGGGAAATGCTTTGAATACGACCCACACCACTGCAGAGCTGATTACCACGACTAGGCAAACCATCAGATTCTGCAAGCACATCGTTCCATTTTGAGACTGCCTAGTCCTCTGATCGACTGAATAAAGTGATCGGCAGGATGGACTCACAATTCCGACGGACAACAAGTCCACCGCTGGATCCAAGTGGACCATCATTCTTCAGTATCCCGAATACTTCCAACCTAACACCATTTCAAAAGGTTTTGCTCATCAGCCTGGCCGTGTCGTTCCTCGCCATCAATTTCACTTTCTATCGCCTCGCCAGCATTCTTTCCCGTGAGAGCAGGAAGTCCGGATCGATTGGCCAGTCAGCAGCAACACCTACGGGTCAGTTTGCTCATCTGCTCGTCGTTCTCGGCTCAGGAGGACACACGGCCGAAATGCTCAATATCCTCTCTACTTCTCTACCATCACTCCAAGCACCATGGACCTTTAATTTCCGAACATACGTGATTAGCTCTGGGGATTCCTTTTCCGCCCAGAGAGCCCAAGAATTCGAATCTGCTTTAGCAGAACGCAGTGCGGCCGTCCAAGAGGAATCAGTCCCCTCCTACAGCATCATAACCGTCCACCGCGCACGCAAAGTCCACCAGTCACTCTTCACTGCGCCGCTCAGCTCTTTGAGGTGTCTCTGGGACTGCCTCCGCGTGTTGATTGGATCTCATCCCAATATCATCCAAACTGGCACATCTGTAAGAGGCACTCCGGATCTGATCCTCACCAACGGACCAGGGACCGGTGTCATTGTGATCTTGGCGTCGTTGATTCTACTTTTCTTCGGCCTCGGCGGAACCTCTACCTCCTCTCCCTCGATGAACGAAAGCAAGACTCTCGCGCAAGACGCGGCTCAATCCGGCCAAATGCGCAGCATCTACATTGAGAGCTGGGCACGAGTCAAGACTTTAAGCTTGAGTGGCAGGCTGTTGAAGCCGCTGGTGGACCGCTTTATTGTGCAGTGGCCTCAGCTGGTGGAGACGGAAGGGAAGAGGGTTGAGTATATTGGACCTTTGGTCACGTAGCAATGGTGCCGGCTATGATACGTGTGTGCCAAAGACGGTAGATATCTTTCGCCACGGGAGAACGCTATGTGTAAATGTGTATGCTCAGAGTGATGCTTCGTGTCGTGTGAAGAGAATTGGTCTTTAATTGTTCTTGTACATGAATATATGTGTATGGTTACAACTCAACAGGCCTTTCCTTCAAGGCCTTCTTCTCTTGTTGTTCACAATCGTGAAAACCCAGCCATTCAGTTGCTCATTTGCGTACTCTTTTTTCCTCTACGGGAGCGTCATGGACAACGAATTCTTTGTTCAAATCAGCCAAGTAACCCTGCACATCCTCTTCACTGACTTCTTCATTATCCTTCAAGCCTTCAGCAGGCTGCTCTGCTGCACGCCTAGCAAGCACTTCCTCTGTTAAGACCTCTGCCTTCAATGCATCCACTAGTGATGAGAGAGAATTGTTCTGGTACTCCAGTGCATTGACGTCAGCGTGAAGCTCGGGATGATGGAGACCCTGGCCCTTGTAACTGTGTAGTAGCTTCTGACGATATGACGGGAGGAATGCAGTCAGTCGTCCTTCCTCGAGGAGAATCTGTATTCTGGCAGCTACACCTGCACCTTTTCGCTCTTCAGCCCTTAAGAGACTCTTCTCTCTCATTCTTTGCCGCAGCTCCATTGCAGGTGTGTCGATGCCACGGTCTTCATACCATTTCGAGCGTGCATCCTCGACGATCTTTCTGCGCACGTAATCAAACTCATGAGCCGTCCGATCGATCCGGTATTTGGGGCGAAGCTCGTCGATAATCGAGAGTTGTGGTAGCGGATCCTGTTGAACACTGGGCGTATATGTTCTCTTTTCCAGTTCTAGACGGCGAGTGTCACCCGGGAATGCTCGCATGGCCGGAACATCAACTTCAGGCCAAGGGATCTCGATATTGCAACCAGACACGTAGCGGGTATGGCGAGGCAAAGGGGATCCAGGTTCTCGTTGGACGTAGGGACCATCACCTACAATGGTATCGACGAGGACATCGCGGTCTCGTATTATATGGCCTGTTCTGGGATCTTCTTCCTTTTGTCGGTAGACGAGACGGACATCATCGATTGAAATCGCCCGGGGCATAGCTACGAACGGACTGCGCTGTTGTTGAACCGAGCCGACCGGAACTTCAAGATCAATCTGTCAACGTTAGTTCCAACCAATTTACAGCATGCTCACCCGAGCAGGACATAGGAACGTACTGTGTTCAACCCTTCAATGGTAAGTGTCCCCTGTTCCGGAAATACCTCCTTGATTTTTCCAATCTGGCCCTTGATGGCATCCGGCCCTCGGATCACACACACGCGGTCCCCTTCTACAAGGTTTCCACGGTTGCCCTTGCCTTTCCAATTGTCACCGATCAGATCGTCGCCTTTACTCGTCGGCCAGTCTGAGAGGGCATTGGGGATTTCTGGATTTTGCATAAACTGTGAGTCGAAGGTGCCGTATTTTCCACGCTTCAGACCGACATCTCTCTTCGGAGCTAATGGTCCTGCAATCCAGTCCTCACGTCGTTCTTTCCGCTCGGTCTTGACCATGTTCCGTGTCACACGTAGTTGGTAGACAAGGTGGTCATCGTGCTGTGCCCATTTCTTTCTAGTATTTTTTAGATGGTCGCGGCGAGCCTTCTTCAGTGCTTGGTTACGGGCATTCAAATTTATCCGTAGGACTTTCTGCATTTTGGATGAAGAGCCCGCTGGCGCGTGGTTTCGTGGGATTGAACGGCAATGGAACGTTGGATGGCAAGCTTGCGCAGTTCGAGCGAGATGTGTGGCTCAGGATCGTAGTTCAAGGCATCGCTTCTAGCTGCAGTATGGACGGATGACAATGGAAGTATATGAGATTTTGGTATCTGAGGTGGTGGCTAGTTTCATATGCAGAAATATAGTAGCTCCTTAAGCTATCATTGCTTGGTGCTCATGAGATACATTTCATGATGTCCGCATGCTCTCGACTTTTTGGAAATTTGGTTCCCCATAAACGGAGAATAGTTTCGGCGAAAGTGAGTCACGTGCCTTATGCTCACGGTTCTCAACTTTATGTTCTTCGAACTTGCGATTTACGGCTCCTAGTCTACGTCAATGAGAATATTATTTCACTGAGGAGCGTGTCATTAATTGCATGTTGAGGATGAACCCTGAGATGACAAACCTCGTCACGCACAAAGATGAGCTGTCCATGACGAGACTATCAATCTATCAGGAGTCCTTGTTTGCTTTTACCGTGCCATAACCGCAAGATTGTCGCCCACCCAATCATCCCCGAATCACCTCTTCGACTCCCCGGCAATGCAACGGCATAGTGGATCGAGGTTAGAGGACATCCTCACGATCCCCAGATTCTTGCTATGTCAGCACATTAGCTGTGTCTCCCATAGCCGCTTTTCCCCGGGTTTCAGAAGTTAGCCTGGGTGGATTTAAGTGGTTGACGAGACTCGGAGGTTCTCGTGCAGACAATATACCCCGAATCATGGCTTCCACCGTCATGCGGACAGACCTTGGATGTCGTTTTCTGGGTGTTACTTCATCCTAGGTGAATCATGATTGTGATGTGAATTGCACGTACCCAAAGAACACCACGGACGCATTTTGGGACACTCTCTCAGCCTTATTTATCATTGATAATAGCACTGTTTCTTCTCCGAAACATTCCTTTTGGGGCAAATACATTGAAGTTTTGATACCATATCTCAAGGTTCGAACTTCTGGCGGACATACACAACCATGCCTGATATAAAGTGGAACATCCTGCTCAAGAATCCAGCAATTGCCGTCAAGATCCTCCTGCTTGGATCGTGGCGTAGTGTACTGATCCTTCTAGCACGCATTGTCGTCCCATTTCGAGCACGCAAACTCACGCTCCGAAATGCCTTTGCACGAGCATGGATCAGGACAGCCCACTCCGCACATTCTAAGGTCTTCTGTTCGGAGCCTTGGAGCCACAATTGCCAGGAAGTGGTACTCGCTGGCTCTACCGTGGATACCCTCCACGAGAAGCCAATCGTTGGTGGTTGGGTCATCCCAAATACCGATGTCGACGAGTTGAAGCAGAAGGATGCGGTGATTGTTTTCGCCCATGGTGGCGGATATGCCATCGGGCATGGACTACAGAACGCGAGCGCTTTTCGTCGCTGGGTTGGAAAGGCAAAGTCTATGGGCCAGGAGATTGCCATTGTAACAGTCAAATACCGTAAGTGTCTTGCTATAGGGAAACTCAACTTGTGGCGATGTTACATTCCTGGTATGTGGTTCTCCAGGCTGATTTTGCCATCAACTACAGCGTTATCTGGTGAGAAACAATGGCCCGCCCAGCGAGATTCCTTCATGGCCATGTATGAGTGGCTGCTTCAACAAGGTGTTTCGCCCTCAAAGATAGTCTTCTCTGGGACGTCCGCGGGAGGTGAGCATATATATAGCTTCTACTCCTACAAAATTTGTATCATGTACTCACGCGAGTCTTCTCACTTACTAGGCGGGTTGATCCTCCTCGCCATGCTTTACATTCGAGACCATACCAATCTCCCACAGCCACGCTGTGCTGTGGCACACTCACCGTGGACCGACGTCTCAAGTGCCTTGACTGGAGTCAAGGGTCACCCGCTACTAGACACCGACTACATTGACACATACGATCAGACCTGTGTTGCAATGAACGACCTTCTACGACCCGACGGCCTACCCTTTAACACACCAGAAATAAGCCCCGTGCTCGCCAAAGATGTCTCAAGGCTTCCTCCACAATTGGTATTCTATGGCGATGCAGAGATATTGATGACGGACAGCATGAGGTGGATCAAACGCTCGAGGGATGCCGGTGTCCGAATCGACGTGCATGTGGGCAAGGGCGAGATGCACACGTACTCAAATGGGTGGCCTGTTGGCGGGCGGCGGACGGAGTTGGAATGTGATGAGCTTATGTTGAACTACATATTCTCGGAAGTAGCGCTACCGCTGTAAATTGGTGATGTTCTGCTTCTGGGCAGAAGATAAAACGCAAGGGCTGGATTGTGCTATAATGCGAACAATATATATTGCTCTTTATCGAATTACACGCTATCCATGACTACCACAATAATTACCTCCAAAGATGCGGCGGTGTTGTTGTTGGCTGTCCCTGTGTTTGCTCTTCGACTTGCTGCCCTACAGGCACGGGGTACTCTTGCATGGGTGTCTCAAACGTCCCACTAAGTTCAAAGTTGTCCAAGGCATGATCTGTGAATAGCTCTTGATATGTGCTGGGGTCGAAAACATCAAAGTCAGCCGCACTCCATGGGAATGGATACATGGATGCCAGGTAATTGGACATATGCGGATTATAACTGTTGATGCTTGTAGTCCTATGCTCAAGTGTTGATTGTAACTGTGAGCTACCCTGTCTGTCGACATCGCCTGTGTGCTGGAGTTGATTCCCCTTCTGACTCTCTTGGTTCGTCGAGTCAGGGCTGCGAACCGTCGACTTTTCCGACACTGGGGTCTGTTTTGATACTGTGGATAATGGCTTGCAGAGCATCTTGAGGCACCTAGCGTACCATATCTGATTGTTTGTCGTCATCTGGTTCACCATGGCCCATGTTCCTTCCGCGATAGGCCACACATCACGAAGTTTCATAAGAGACTGAACGCAGTCATGATATTGATGGCCTGGAACATCTACAGGCGACTTCAGTTCCATTCTGATATCGACCAGGAAAGATGCCACGGCGGTTAGAACGCAGCCCACAGATAGCGGAGGGAGATACCCGAGCAAATTCTTCTGTCGAAATTCGCGGAAAATTCCCCCCATCTCTGTAGCAACTCGGCTAACACGGGTTCTTGCCCTAATAGTAGAATTGTCTTCGGATTTTGTGCATACCGAAGTGAAGCGTTGTTCCAGCCCTTGTGGGAATGTTAAAGGACGGAGCAAAGCCTCCTGTGCCATCAGGTACAGTAGTTTGAGTGCTGCACGATGCACAAGTAAGACGGCGCTTGAGCTGTCGGAAGCCTGCCATGAGCTTTCACCTTCGTCGTCGTCATCTTGGTAGTTCAACTGGCAGTAGTTGTTCAAATTATGAGACCAACGTTCAAGCTTGTTTTGAAGTTCATCGAGGCGGGTTGGGTCCAAGTCATGCTTGGGCTTTGGAACATAAAACATTGCCCATTCTGTTGTCGAACTGTCGAATCTCTGGATCTGATGTGTATAGGTAATGATCTCACCGGCGATCATCAGAAGACTCAGCTTGGACATGAACATATCTGCCAGCATGACTTTATTGACGCAGCCACTTAGAATAGGGGAATCTTCGAGCAAGGCAATGGTGGTGGTTAATGGTTGAGTATCGAAGTCCTTAAATTTTAACACTGGTAGGTTGGTTTCTTCACATTTGATCCGCATCGGCTTCCTTGTTGCGATGCAAGAAATTCGGTCTCTCGAGACGCATGACCACCATATCCTTCTCCAGAGTCGGCTAGTTTTGACATCTAAATTATCATACGTACTCTCCACATTGAGCCCGATACCGGCTGCCAGGCTTAAACAGATGCCCAACCAGTAAGGAGGGTCTTTCTGATCATTACTGGAAACATACCAGTACACGTAATGTAGTAACGATTGGATCAGTATAACGCGATCTGTCTCCCAACCAACATCATAAAGCAACTGCAATTGGTTACAAGAACGTTTCTCATTGAACAACGCATCATAGAATTCTCACCTTGATCTTTTGCGCAAAATGAGCTCTGGCGGAAATTCTGTTCTCAAAGCCTGCATCCAGCAAATACTGGAGGTCGACAAATGCAGTTCCTGCAAACATGACGGCTTGAAAAAGAATCAGGCTGATCTTACAGCCATGCTTGCCGTCAACTCCATCCAGAAGCTCTTGGAGATCTAGCACTGGAAGAAATGGACAGACGTAGAGTGCGACGGAACGAAGCAGCTGATCACGCAGCTCGTCATATGGGACTGATAGTGCACCACACTGACTGAGATATTCAAGGTCAGCTGATTTGATTTCATGCAGAGGGCGTCCAATGTAGTCTGGAAGGTTCTCAAGGCAGAATGACTTGCCAACCATCAGTTGGTGAGGAGGTGTTGCCACTTGCACACTCTTTGACGGATGTAGACTAAATTGAACTGGCGAAGTTTTGGGTTCGGCTGATGGAGATATCAACGGCTCGTCTCCTTGTTCCTGTTTCTTCGGAAGAAGGATTGCGCTGGAGACCGAATTCCGGAGAAGCTGGGCTTTCTGAAGGCGATATTTTCTAGTTCTCCTGGATAAGGATGTTGTGCATTCGATATGATCGAGTTGACAATTGTGACAAGGTGCACCAGTATCGACCAAATCACATTTTATCTTCCGAGACCGACATTGATGACAGGCTTGAGAAGCTCGTTTCTTAGCTTGTGGAGCGGTCTGCACATCGCCGTTGAGTGAGCCTTCTGGTGGAGTTGCCGACATTACCGCTGACAACGCTTCGAACCTTTGCTTCTAGTCATATATGAGCGCCCCTAGATATATACTCAACATCCACGACAACGACAGGGAAGCGAGCAGTATGTCGTCAAAGCAGGATGCTCAAAAACAGTAGTTTCCAATGATGGAGTGCATGAATAGCTGCAAGACGTACACGGTTTTAGATAGGTCGACAGCAATGGAGAACGTCGTTTGGGTTGCAAAGGACGGATGGTGGGGTTGAGGAAAGAATTATCTAAGCCGCTTGTTTAGATTTACATCTCATGCCACACCTACCTAAGTCACCGACCATCTTCCATACACCGTCGAGGTCCTCCTAAAGGCGTGCGGTGAAGAGGACTAAGCCAGGATCGTCCATAAGCCGAGGACGAAAGATCCTGCGCTATGATGTAGCCCAGAGCATCTGCGACGATTTCAATCGGGCCATGTCTCGGATTCCCCTCGATACCTTCGGATCGGAGCTAGGCGTCTAGTTCGGGTATCTACGTGAAGTAGCCAGCTACAATAGACCAGAGCCTGACATGCAGCCGTCATGAGGGCATCGTCTTGAATTGATAGGCTATGAACATTGAAGCGTGGAGGGCAATGTTTCCTAAACTTGAGGTCGAGAATCCGCACCTACTCGTAGAACTCAGGCTGACAGACCGGTAGCTTGGCAACCTAGCCCCTATCGGTTACGGCATCTGCTTCTAAGGGCAGCAACTCTTCCTCCTTCCCTCAACTTTGGTCAAGAGCTGTAAAGATCTGACTGGACGAGAGAGTCCCTTCCTACCCTGCTTGCGAAGTGGCGCTGAGTTCATGGCTCTGATGGCTGAGCGAAAGTACCGGAGATGAGATGTCTGCCAAGGTCCTTACCCTTCACCAGAACGGCAATGAATGACAAAACGCACAGTCGGCTGACGTTTGTCAAAGCCTGAAGAATCAAAAGAGCATCTTGGAAGTGTTTTGCAGAGCACAGAAGTGACCAAGGTCTGTCAAGAGACAATCATCATGCTACTAGACATGGTCTGTCTTAATTCTGCGCCCATTAAGCCCCTTAACCTGGACCGATGAAGCCGATGATGGTTGACCGCTGTCAATGTGACAAAATGCTGCCATCTGAAGGCACCAATATTCGAAACCCCATTCACATATGCAAGCATGCCTCAAACCACTTGGATCAATCTGCGCACTGTCTCCGGACCACGACATCCTGGATGGGAACGGCTCTCCTCTGATTGCCTCTGAGTTTGTGGTAGGAATGCGAGGCTTGCTCGTGTTCGTGTAGCTTGAGGATCCGAGCGTAAGGACAAGCCATCGGATCTAATGTCATATTATACACGCCCCTATCCATTTGAAGTACTAATTTCATTGATATCTTGCTCTAATATAGGCATGGCCCCTTTTGCTCGTTTCGGACTTGTTGCTTGGCCCTTTGGTGCATCATATGATGTCCTATCTATCGGCATTTCACCACTGGTCTTTTCAGTTCTTTTGCATCCTCTGTGTTCAAACTTCTCGTCAAGATGGAGCAATACGTACCACTTGTCACTCGGGACACCCCGAGTATACACCCCGAGCAGCATGATTCCGTCGCGGCGTCAGATGTGGATTTCGAAAGACCCGATGGCCTACCACTGCCGAGATGGTACCAGCTGCCTAGATGGAATGCATCACCGAAATGGGAACTAACAACAGGCTGGAATAACTGGTCATGGCATGGCATACCCGATGCGAAAACTTCCTTGTGGGGCATATTATCATTTATTGGCACTTTGTTGCCGAGATACGCGCAACCTGGAGGTTTAAAAGTCAAAGGAGAGCTACATCCTACAGCGTATTTAGACGCATTGAGAGGGTGGGTAGCCATTCTCGTCATGAATTATCATACTTTCGGCAACAAGGCGACGATACTCGAAAAACCCTTGTTCAGTGCCTTTCTCAACGGGCGAGCCATGGTGGATATATTCTTTGTCATCTCAGGATACGTTCTGAGCTACCGACTTCTTAGAATGATACGCAATCACGAGCCAGGTTTTCAGAAAGCATTGGCTTCCTCGACGTTTAGGCGATGGCTGCGACTTTATGCTTCGACCGCTATTGCATCACTTGTCACTGCTATTGCCGTATATCTTGGCTGGTGTCGCCCAGAGTTCAGAAAGGCTACGTTCCTTGCTCAATTAGATCATTGGATGTGGGACACTGTTGCTGCAACTAGTCCATTTGCCAACATCAACGGCTATTGGTCTCGCGATGTGTTTCGAACCCAATACCTTGATCAGATGTGGACTATCCCTGTTGAATTTCGAGGCAGTCTCGTCGTCTTCTGGTTCTGTGCCGCGGCTGCGTGCTTGTCTACAAGAGGGAGAAAGATCTTTTGCTGCGTGGTGATGGCACTCTGCTATCTATGGGCAACTGCGTATGCTGGGATTTTCCTCCTAGGAGTTCTTATCGCGGATTTCTCATTCGATCGCTACCCTGAGAGACTTTCTCGTATTCGACTGGCCCAGCAACAGAATCTGGACACATTACCGGAGAAGGCGTGCCAACGACAGTCTCCGTTCGCCAAAGCAGGATATGTTTGCCTACTCCTGGTGGCGATGTTCCTTCTTGGGCAGCCGCCCACCGAGTTCGGCTACGCAAACTATTTTCTATGGCCAACTCTGAGCAAGGCCATTCCCTGGTACTACCCTCCTGAGCTGGGTCAACATGTTTGGTTGTCCGTTGGATCTGGTCTCTTGGTCTTCACCCTAGACAGATGCCGCATGCTTCAAATTCCTCTGGAATCGGGATTTTCTCAATATTTGGGCGATCTGTCCTTCGGTGTGTACGCCATGCATAACACTGTAAATTGGTGTCTTTATATGCCCTACGTTGAACCATGGCGGGCCATACATCTAGGCGATGGTTTCTTTTCCGGCCTTCCTGGTATGGTCTTCACCACTTTGGTTATTCTCTGGGTAGCGGATTATTTCACGAGGATTGATAATTGGGTAGTTTGGTTGGGGAAATGGCTCGAGTCAAAGACATTTGTTTGATCGAGCGACTGAGTCAACCGCAGAGCTTCTGAAAACCCGATTTACGAGCCCTTGTCGGCCTGATGACCAACGGGAGATATTCTGGCGTTTTATTGCCGTGGAAGATAGCTTAAACCTGTCGTTCAATGACTGAATTCATAGTGGCACACATATTTCAACAGACCTTCATCCAACTTGACTCCTCGAGTGGTTTGTACAAATTTCACACAGCATTTACGTTGCCTCCTATCTCCAGCTGATCATCTGGTAGACTTCGATTGGCGGATGGTCGTGCCGAGAATGCCATGAAGGACGTCCGCCTGATATCTGCAGGCTGTCACTGCGGCTCGGACAACACTTGCGGCAAGTATCCTCTATGGACCCGTGCTCGAGTACGAGCCACCGTGATCAGAATGAACGTGGTGGTGTGTCCCACAGTTGTGCACAGAGCTCCGGACCGTGGCCGCTCCGACTCCATCCGCCCTGAAGAAAGGGGTTATCACAGAACCTTGACTGTCTGGGTTGACCTGTTTCTCGCAGAACAAGACAACTCATTCAACCGCCTTTGGCATGGATTCATACGCTTCTTCATTCAATTTATAGTCCTGTAACACTATTTAACCCCCAAGACGAACCAATATTTCGAGAAATCGCTATCCACAGCCAAGCCGACCCATATCTAGGCAAACATCATCCGCTGAAGGGCTCTCGCAAGACGAACGACGGTCTTATCCACCCGCTCAAAATAATCCGACGCAATCAACACCATCAGAGGATACACGATAAAGCCTGGGATATACTTCAAGACCGTGTTGCCCATATACTGCTCACGTAGTGGTATCATGACCTGCATGTATGGACCTAGCAGAAAAGGGCCATGCATTGCATACAGTCCGAACGAGATGTCACCCAGGTATTGGGATAACCGCCAATGCAGCGGCTTCTGTAAAGTTGGGTAGAACTCCAGGGCGTAGACCAGTGCGAAGGCGCCGAAGCCGTACCAGAAGAGGTATTTCCCGTTATCGTTCCACCAATATGGAATGGCGCCTGCCATGTGATTCCACGGGTAGTTGTTGAAGGTATCTGGTTGACTCAAGAGGAACAGGCCGAGGAGAAAAATACAGATATGTTTGATCTTCGTTCGCTTTTGTACTTCTGGTTGCTTTGGGATGACCCATGGACTGTCCAATCGTTCCGGACTTCTGCTTAGAGCCAAGTCCGCAATGAAGAGGCCAGCCATGAACTCGGCTATGTAGACTGCCTGCCAGACATAGCATACGATCATGACGACCCAGGTGGAAATCATTCGGGTCTTGGTTGGCATTTTGCAGACGGCAGTGCAGAAGGCGAAAAGAGCCACACTCCCGCGATATTCTGCTGCGATACTCCACATCGGGCTGAGGTATCTCGAAGTCGCGATATCACTGTCTGGCCATCCTCTGATGTGACCAAAAGGATTGGTGAAGTATATCATGTCAAAAGTGAAATCCACGAGCTGGCCCCATAAGGTCTCTTTCCGTATGCTGTCTGGCGGATAGCAGCCCTCATATATCCGCAGCCGCATCAGAATCAGGCCAATGAAGCAAGCGCAGGCCGCACTGCCGTACAGTCTGATATATCTTCGAAACGTCGATGATGCAAGAGAGGTGAGCAGGGCTTCGGATTCCCCCTTCCGCATGTAGATGAGGAAACGGTATCCCAAGACATATCCCGAGATAACGAAGAACAAGGCCACCATGGACGCGCCGTTGAAAATGACATTGAGAAATGGTTGTCGTCTCCAGTTGTCGCCACCGACGTTGAACGAATGTGCCCAGAAGACACCCACGGCCGCCCACCCTCTGAGGGCATCCAGGTAGGACGTCGGACCGAGCTTTCTGTGTGCGATACCACCCGGCTGTGCGAAACGTGGCAATGCAGAAATCACTCGTTTCTTCACTCCATCATTCGTGGAGTACCATGTCTCGGATTTTGATTCGAGCTTCCACATTGGTATAGGGTCATTATTGCCGTTGAGCGTGTGAGTCTCATCGTGGCCGCCTAGAGGAGTGTATCGCGCCATCCTAGCACTTCGTAGTGAGTGTTGCCGAAGTTCGAGAAGGGTTCACCGGCTCTTGAGATGGATAGAGCATGCGACATGGACAGAAATTCAGGGAGACGTGCTGCACAGTTTATCAACAATCGGCTTACATCGTACGAACGTGAAGAGTCCGTGCATACGGACAAGTGCAAGGGGGAACCCCACCTGGACTGTCATCTCGTGAATGATGTGAAGGGATCAACACCTCTGGCGACTTCGTAGTCTTGACAGTTCGGAGCTCTCAGCGAGTGACCTCAAACCGTACCTAGGTGCTGTTGCTTCATCCTCAATCAGAGCGGTTGGTTAATCCATTTTTCTGTGAAAAACTTGCATCTTCTTCACAAGGATCGAAAGTGTCGTGTTTCTCCCCCAAGACAGATCAGCATAGCACTAGTATAAGATACAGATAGATACCTATCTACCAAGCAGTAATATGCTGTTGTGAATCGACGTTAGGAGGGGTTTCAGGGGCAAAAAGGCTTGGCTCAGGAGTTTGACAGCGACCAAGCTCTTGACTTGTACGAACCCTTTCTTTCAGGAACGTGTCAGTCCTGTAACTTATGCATCGTATTTGCCTATTCACCATCCTGAAGATTGATCCGAGATTGTGACAGAGGTGCGGGGTTATCGCAATTTCTAAGTGTGTTTGTCGAGAACTGGCTCCTACGCGGAAGTCCCGTACGCGCATGTGACTTTCTCAAAATACATACGGCAATAAGCCTTGCTCCAAACTCCTGGCGAATAAGAATAATTGGTCTTTTATCGTTGAGTTGCCACAAAATGTACTTATCCTGCCTTGCTGAACATGAAATTGATTTCCACCAAGCAAGGGCCCACGTGGACACCCGACAGGCTAGGGGAAATACCGAAAACTCCTCCATTAATCATATATCTGAATTAGTTAACGCTTCAGAGTTTTGAGAATGGCGAAAGCGAGGACCTTGCAGTCCGAATCTCCCGTGCTGGGTGGTCGTTGTTGGTAGTCGCTGCTAACAAAGCCGCTGGTGCTTTGTACAGCATAATGTGAAAGTGTTCTAACGTTCGAGTCAGCCAGTTCTTTCCTGGTCTATTCAAATCGCTATTCCGTCACGTACCTAGTTCATGGACACTTTTCAGACTTTTCCAGTTCTTGAACCACGTAATCTGATTTCGACCCATTTTTCTAAAGCGTGGCTCAAGATCGTTATCACTAGCACAAAATGTTTTGGCGATAAACTCTTCAATCACAGCCTTGGCTTCTTCAGTCACTTCTCCGGTCTTTTCATCCTCGTCAATGAGAAATTTGGTCCAGACAACAAGGTGAGTGATGTCTTGATCGATAAAATAAGGCCAGTCGTTGTATAGAACTTTGAAGTCTGTGGGGTTGGAGAAAGGTCTATCGCCTGAAGGCACGGTATCGTTCCATCGGAGTCTTTCCTGCCTCACGAAGGACAACACCGAACCATGTGTATGCTTCAATTGGTATGTATATTCGCGGTATCCACGAAGGTCGTTGGCGCAACGTTGAAACATGTCTATTCGGTTTGATTCTATTGATAGCTGTCAGTATCAATGAAAAAAAATCTTTGACCTAGCGCTCTATGCCTGTTTCGTCACTGGGACGTTGGCCACCATGAGGCGAAGAAAAATCCAAACTCAATACCTACGGACGAGATTTTGAACCTGTATCCAGGATAGTCTCTGGAAATCTTCATTTCTTGTAGACAGAATCTGAATGCTCTTTTCGCTTTGTCCAAGAAGATAGTCAGGGCAGTGTTCTGTCCAGTCTTCCTCGGGTTGATTTACATTCCAGTAATGTGTTGAAAGATGCTGTTTGTCAGAGATTGTTGCTCGAGGCGAAGTATACACAGAGCCCGGCATTTAGTCCCCAGTAATCCGCCTTCTTGAATCTTAGAATTTTCTTCGGGGGAGAATAAGGGAATAAGGGTAACTTAGGGTGAGATGGTTGAGGGCTCGATCATGTTTATCTGATGGATGCTTCTGACTAAGGGGTGGACTAGCGTGAAATTTTTCGCCGCGTTGGCCTCGTAGACCATGCACTATGGTAGACTATCGTGGGTTCCATGATGGACAGTTATTTGAGCTAGGTTGAAGACGAAATAATATAAGTGAGCAAGGATATGGAAGGCCCGAAGCAATCACCCACTGCTCTTGTCATGCATCTTGTGCGTGCTTAGGAGCAGTGGCTGAAGTTGAGGAGGCTTTGGTAGGTGAGAGCGCCCCCAGAAGGACCGAAGTTTTGGTGCCTATACGGGGAAAGCCGCAAGGTGGCATTGGGCGACACCTTGGGGTATGATCGACCAATATGTCCGACATGTGTATGGGCAGCCTCGGATTGCTTGTTCCTTTGGCAATGAGATTCTGAAAAGCATTATTACAGGCAGAAGAATACTCCACATGCGATTTGAAGCGGTGATTCCAGAGAAGTCCGAAACACTTCATCCTTCAAACCGCCCTTATGCCATGCTTGAATTGCTTGGATTACAGAATTCGGCTTTGGTGGAATGGACACATGGCACACCATCCTCGAAGAGAATACAAACCAGGACTTTTCCTGGGCCCATCTTGGTCCAATCTCAGACGACCACTTGAAAGGATTCAAAGTGGCCGCTAGAGACAAATGTTTCGAGCAAAGAGATCGATATACCCCCACTTGCCCCCCCCTGTCGCATTGGACTACAATATCATCGGCAAAGTGGTTACCGTTTCAACAAGACGCCCTTACCATATACCATTGATCCCTCAAAGTCCCGTTGGGACGAAGTCTTAATACGAGCCGGACGCAAGGACGGCGGGGTCCAGAAGCGTCGCCCACGCTGTTGTTCAGATTGTAGAGACACTACAATAAAGGTGCAAAGTCACCCTCTCGTTCCTGCTCAGTTTTTATACCGGCCAGCCAGACCAGAGGGATCGACGTCGGCGTACTTGACGAAATGTCTTCCGGATAGAGCCCCTGGGCTTTGCAAGCGCTAAATCCCAGTCCAAAAATCCTGTCTCTGGAATCGGTGGCCAGAAAAGTTTCCAGAGCTTGCCATGAATATAGCCGGTAATTTCCAACTTGTTTGGAGTCGATACAGATGAACAATAGTGTTGAGAAAGAGTATCTGACTCTACCCTATAGTCGAGGCGGCAGAAGCCAGAACGGCTCAGCCAGGTATTACTCCAGGATAATTCATGTCATGGTTATTGATGATCACCGTGAACGATGATCTGGTTGTGTTGAAGACTGCGACTTCCTGTATGACAAAGACTCTGCGGAACTCTGAGTTTTCCAAGATGTGCGCAGATGTTCACGAAGAGTCCTATCGACGTCTGGAAGACCACGAGCAATATGCGAAGAGCGTCAGGACAATCGGAATTTGATGCTGGACAAGCAGGCCGCCTCGGGATTCCTCTTTCGGCGGCCTTCAATGCCAAGAGAGCCACACCCAAGTTTTTCAGCTGAGCCCTGGACGTTTACTTCGTACCTAGGTACAATTCATGAATAACTGATTGAAGGCTGACTACGGATACTCAGTGCTCAATCGACTCACAGCTGAAGCTAGAGACCCAATAAATGCAGGCCTCGTTCTTGGCCGCCTAGAGTGACTTCATATTACGCAAAGCAGTCAGCACAGTCATGGCCAAGATTTAACAACTTACTATTATGAGGCGAGCTCGGTTGGCAGACTCCACTCCCAGTAAAACGTCACCCCAGGTTCGCCGAGAAACCAGTGCCATCACCCACAGGAAAGTCTCTTCTTTGGATGTTGTGAGGATCGATGAATTGAATACCCGATAAGCTCAAAGCATCTCGAAAACCCGTCTTGAAGAGGGTCAGCGTTCTGAAAAGCGCGGAAGAACAACGCCGAGGCTACTTGACCGCTTGGTACATCGCTGTGAGGGCGAGATCAACTCAAAGTTGGAATGGCCAATTGCAGCCTTACATGTAAGCCACTTCGTGTTGACAAGACCCAAGAAAATCCTACATGTTCGAGACCAACTTCGCTCTCGAATCAGCTTCTGCAGCAACCACTGCTGAAGATTATTGACACACGTGAATGAGAAAGATACATTCCCAATTCTGGTACGCTCAATTCGTGGTGAAGACTTTGACTGCTTTCACTTCCGATTGTGGCTAGGATAGCACTTGGCATGCAGTAAGTTGAGGTGAGATTCTGCGTTGGATTCAGGTAGGCACGCCATTCGAATCTTCTAAGACCAGGTCATGTGTGAAGGGCAACCTGCAGCACGCTGCAGGACGTGACATGCTAGTCTCACGGCTCATCCGAACAACAACATAAATAAAGTATGCTGGCTGCCCGGAAGGCCCAAGAGGGTGTCAAGCATCATCTCTAGAGAAATTGCCGACTTCTTGGCTCAACTCGCAATTCGGCACAATGGTAACTTTGAAATGGATTGCTTCAGCTGGCCTGGTAATTACTGGCGCACTGTCCGCCCCTGTACCAACCTGGAGTGATTGGGACACCACAGCTCAGTGCGGGAAAGTGAATATCTTTTTCGAGTATGTATTGTCGTGGTAGCTCATTTGAAGTACTGCTGACGGGAGTCTTCGAAGAGGTCTGCCGCCGTATCATCCGCTTGTCATAGCCCAGGGGTACAATCCTGCATTGGTTGAAAGTTCATTGAGGCAGGATCAGGCTAGAATCCTTGCTGCTGGTTATAACCTTCTGTGTAGGTCATGAACGACTAAGCTACAAAGCTTGGAACGCTCGGCTGAGGTCTTTTCAGGTATCTTTGTTGGACCAGAGGTTGATAAGAGTGTATTGCGTGATCGGCTTTCGAAACACCACTGGGATGCATCAGTGACTGGCTTCGGTGTGAGGGGCGCTGCTCGCGAAGATCTCACAATCGAGTTCACAGGTACGTCTTAGCGTCTAGGAATTTGCAGGATTCAGTAGCTGATCGTGTCTATCACAGAATTGGTTGAACTATTCCATGAAGAAATCGATGGTCCAGCGCTGTACAACTACTCTCCCAACAGCACGCTTTGGGCTATTCAGAGGTATTTCCCGATAATCGCAGATTGTGCCGGCTCACCGGGGCAAGATCTTGTAAGCATCTGCGCCCATTGCTGGTTTTGATATGACTAAAGCCTTGGGAATAGGGATTCGAAGTCGTCTGCGATTCATCAGTCTGCTCACGAAACGAGATTTAAGATCCAGTCCTACCACAGCAGTGTCCAAACATTTTCGGAAATTGATATGATGCGATAGAGCCAGTGTCATTGCTGCAAAAAACGCGATACAATGGTCGAGAGCTATGTCAGATGTTACCGGATGCAGAGATCGCTTTTGATATAAAGGGTGTTAAAAGCAGAGTTGTACCACTGCTAAAGCTGCCAGTCTTGGGATATGGCAAGTATGTGATAATATGGCAAGCCAAGCGCAACTTTGCCCAGACTGTGCGACTTTCCACTTATCTAATACGAGTAGTCTTGCATACTAGTTTGTGCAACCTCTCATCTTGACTCATCCTGGCCGTGCTTCAATCACTCCTCATGTGCAAAGGATATGCTGGGTCATTGCTCAAGTCTGGTGATTGCAGTTGACATTATTTCCAGGAGAGTTGACACCAACGCATGATAGCATCTGGATATGAACATGACTTTAAGATCTGTTATCGAAATGGCGGCGATCATACCGGATCATATTACCTTGCATTCAACACTTTGTCGTATTTCATATTCTACTCAAGAACAACAAACAAGGATGTCTCAATGTTGATAAAAGAGAAAAGCCCCAGCAAAGCGACAAGCTCAGGTCCGATCGTTGTAAAGCAGCATGAGGTCGAATCCCAAACCAGATGTCAGAATGTGTGGTCTAAACCTTAAATGGCCTAGCGTTGTCATCCTTCGGAGTCAGAAATTAACCTCGACTTCAGAGAGATGCTCGGTGAGTTGAGTGACTCCGTTGCCAATTCCAATTGAATCGAGAATACCCGCTGGGTGTTCTCAAAGACCGACTCCATCGAGACTCAGGGTCGCACGCAGAAATGTATCATCCCGACGGATGCTAGGATGCTCCGAAAACTGACAAGGCACAATCATCCTTACCAACGAGATCATGAGCCGTTCGTATCCGCCCGAAAGATAGCTTCTGGGAAGGTAAGTACTACTTAGTAAGTATCTACTTGGGAATGTCCGCGAATGGGATGATATAACATGTGCGGCAACTATCTCAAAGCGAGTAGTGTCCGCAGCATATTTTCCGCTAACAAATTAACGCTCTGCGAACCTGTGTCCATCGTCTTTTACACCAAAGCCTTTCGAGGATTCAAATTTCTGTGGTCACTATGTCAAGAGCTCCGAGGACGAAAGCGTGTGACGCTTGCCACCGCGCGAAGCGGAAATGTGGGAAGCAAACACCCTCGTGCCTGAGATGCACGAAACGTGGTTTCGAATGCAGATACCCAGCAACAAAGCCCAGCTGTTTCGTCCTTTGCGAAGATGGCTTCAACTTCAATGAAAACGTCTTTGGTATTCGATATCAAGATCTCAATAGAGATGTGGACGCAGTGCCCAGCTCATGTCTTGCAGTGAGCCAAAGTGTTCCAACACATGAAGCCGCGCGATCTCCAGACTTTGACGTGTCGCAACTTCCTAGCAGCAAAGCCAGCAGTCTTGTAAGACAGCATTCATTCTCAAGCTGGCTTAAGGCGTCAGATTCTCACGACTTTGACTCATTGCAACAGCTGGGGATTACCACACTGCGGTTCATAGATGTGAAATGCCATGTAGTGACCATCCGACGGTGGCTTCACCAATGGGTCGATACAGGCAGTAATCCTTTCATTCACAAATTGTTGTACATGGCCTACTTTCCACGCTGCATTCAAGACGCTTATTTAGCTTTGTCGTGTTATCTGAGAAAAGCGACGTCAAACGAACGACTCGTGACACAAATTATTGAGGATCGCGCAACACAATTGATCCAAGATCATGCGGTTGTCTCAGGAAAAGCTCGCGAAGGACAGGTGGGTACTGTCCCAGTTTCCTCAGCCAGTTTTGCACACATCGCGCGCGTGCAAGCTTTGCTAGTTTACCAGTTCATCGGTCTTTACGACGGTGACATTCGGATGAGACATCTTGCAGAGGGCCGCATACCTGTTCTCTACTCTTGGGCGCAACAGATGTTCGAGCACTACAGCAGAACAACCTATGCGGGAAGCACACTGGATTCGCAGATTATACGAGATTTAGCTTCCTTTCACTCCGTGGAGTCTGCCATTCGAAACTCCGACGACTTTGCCTGGTATGAATGGATCACTGCTGAGACGATTCGACGCACTGCCATCATTGCGTGTGGCATGCAAACACTGTACATCGTTTTGCAGCAGGGAGGGACAATCCCATGTCAGAAAGACATCATGTATACGCCCAATAAAGGACTGTGGGAAGCGGAATCATCAATGGATTGGGAGAAATTATGTTCTGAGACCAATGCAACGCTCGTGCAGACTGCAGATGTTAAGCAAGTTTTGACCACTTTGGGACCTGCAAGTCTTGATGATTTTGCAACTGTGCTACAAATTTCGAGTGGTACGTAAGGATTGGGAGATAAGATGTCCATGCCGGCCAAAAGCAATGGCTTGGGCCCAGTACGATCTTCTTCTTCAGTGCTGATTGTTTGACGCTGCGAAGTGTCTGCAAAAATGTCATTTTGAGACTGAATCAGTGAATGACGACCGGTTGTCCGCAGTCATTTGACTCAGACTTAATTAGAGGGACAGCATCCAAAAAGCATGTGCAGAGTCAGTGTGGGTCCTTTGGCGGTCTCCAGGCTGTTGGCCGCAGCCTTGCGGCCCCTTTCCAAGACGGGATAGCGTCCGCCAGCCTTTCGGCCTGCAAGACCCGTTGAAGACCGGCTTCGATCGTCCATGGAAATAATAGACCGCAAGATGGGTCTCAGGAATGAATGTGCAGACAGGTCTATCAATTCTTCCATCAAACCCGGAGATTTTTCATGTAATAAAATCAAAGCATGTATGCAGTTGCTCCGTACCCGGCAGAGCAACCGGGCGCCCAACACTCGAAATGCTGGACATATAAATACACATGGCACCACAGGCATATCACCTCTCCTCAGATTCTGCACGACTTCTACCCAGCCAGCCCTTGATAAACAGCAGGTCACACATTCAAACTCTGAAAAGCGCGCCGACATTGAAAAGAATCGATACCCTAGAACTGCCGATCATGGACCGAGAATTCCTGGAGAAGATGCTTCGACCACTAGCCTACACCAACGTCACAAAGACGATCCACAGACAAGCATACCCTGCGCTATCACCCTCGAACCCCGAATTCAGCCAAGCTGGTAAAGTTATCCTAATCCCCGGTGGTGGCACCGGCGTCGGCCTGAACATTGCCAAGGCATTTGTGCAGGCCTCTGCCGCCACGGTGATCATCATCGGCCGGCGTGGCGACGTTCTGGCGGCTGCCGCATCTCAGCTCGAGGCGGACGCAAAGAACGCAGGCTCACCAACGAAGATCGTGCAACGCGCTGTCGATATCGTGGATGTCGCTCAGGTCGACAAGTTCTGGAAGGATCTCGCTGCTGAGAACATCGTCGTCGATGTTTGGGTCGCCAATGCCGCGAAGGGGTCGGACCCGAAACCCTTGTTGACGCTGGGGGCGGATGAGGTCTGGTCACAAGTTGAAGTGAATGCTAAGTCGGCTCTTTATTTCGCTGAAAGGTTCTACGCCCAGCCAGGCGATGAAAGAAAGGTAACCATGACTCCTCCATTTTGATTGCTGATAGCTCCTTGATCTGCGATATCCCGTTTCTGTAGTAGACTTTGCGGCTAATCCATGCGATATTAGTTCATTATCAATGTCTCGACCGCGTCGGTGCACGACACTGCTCATCCCGGCGTGAGAGATCGCCCAGCATACACGCTTTCCAAAGCGACCAGCACTTTAGTCTTCCAACTACTTGCACAGGACGTGCCGGCCACAAAAGTCCAAGTTGTCAGCTTCCATCCAGGCATTATCTACAGCGATGGCTGGATTAAGCTGGGCGTGCCACGCTCCGATCTCTTCGATGAAGGTAAGCCGTATGAGATATACACACTATGATCGAACGCTCCCCGATCCTTTCCACTGAATCTGGTTGTGCTTTAAACGGACGAAGAGTCTCTAATATCTGGTGTTAGATGCTGTGCCTGGCTCGTTCGCTGTATGGCTGGCAACTGAACAGGCTGAATTCTTGCATGGTCGTTTTGTGTGGAGTCTCTGGGATGTGGAAGAGCTTGCGACTGGAGAGCTTCGAAAACGGATCGATTCAGATCCTCACTTCCTGCGATTGTCCATCGTGGGGTTGAACGGGGGTGCACTCGCTTGATCAGAACGGAGATATTTGAAGAAGTGGAGTTGGCGAGTGGGAGAGGCATAGTTTGGACCATCATTTTTGCACGAAGCCTTGAACATGAGCTGCCTTGGCCACGACATTTGAGTTGGAAAGGAATGACAATCTCATACCAGCCTCTAAGCAAATTCCTTCGATCTACACATTCTAATATCCTCCGGCGAAGAATATAGCGCCTACACAGCCGCTAACAGGGCACGGCAACATTTTTTTGGCTTGACGGTCCAAATTTCTCCACGAGTGGTTTTTCGCACGAAACTTGATCTCAATCAGTTCTATTGATGATACAAGCTAGGGTTATATTCACGATATGCCCTGTGCAATCGCGTAAGCGTGAAGCAGAAAGGTCCTGAAGCTCTTTGCCATGCAGGCCTGTGTGACCCCAATGTATCAACATGCCTAGATCATCGCCGTACCCTCGCGACAGCCGCTTCCACCAATAACTTTGTATACTGACGATGTGCCCAATCTACGGGACCTGGGATGAACTTTCCCCCAGGAGGACCTTTGAATCCTGTGCCCGCAAAGAAAACCGTCTTGAATATGAGATCAACATGCTTGTTGGCAAAGTCCGATTCCACGCGCAGCTCAATCAGCCCATCCATGTCTCGCGGTGAGTCGGGACAGTTCCTTGGAGAGTCGGACATGCGAAAGAGAATTGACTGTTGGTCCTTCTCGACGACGATGCCGTGGTCGGTGAACTCAGTGCCAATCTCGTACTCGTTCTCTATTAGCTCTTGTTTCGACCACAACTGGTTCTCGCTCTCCGGGAGACCGCCCAGAACCAGATTCAGGAGGAATCTCTGAGGTGTGTAGCCTGACAAGTAAGAAAAGCAGTCATGAGTTAGTGTCTAACTCGGGTATAAGTGATTGCCGAGGACTTCTTGTCATGTGCCGAGTGCTATCAAATCAATGATATGTCCACTCACCAAATCCACCCCAGACGCCTTGAGCAAATCCTTCCACTAATGCCGATCCGCCTTTGCGGCTGTTCTCTAACAGGTCGGGCCTGATCTCATCGAGGGAAAGGCGGCGAGTACAGATGTCACGCATCTCAGACGAAGGCGTTGAGGACGGGTTAAATTTGGCGAAGGAAGGCCGAAGAAACACAGGATCATCTCTGCCCAGGCCTTCCATCCGACATTGTCTGGTCCAAAGGGTGAAGGTTCCAGCTCCAGCGAGAGTACCAAGGCCAACGGCCCTGAACGCCCTTACCATCCTGCCTGGCATGTTTCAGCCTGATTGTGTAAAGAGTTATAAATTTCTCACAACTTTGGCTCCAGAGTTTCTCCGCAGCAGATTGAAAGCACGCGAAGTCTAACTTATGTTAGTCTGTAGCGCTTTCCCTCCCAGTAGACAGTTCTTGTGGGGAGCTGACGTGGCGAAGGTGCTGTCTTGATAAATTTCTTGTAATCTCGTGCGAGTCGCGCCCAGCGCCAAAGGGCGTAACTATTTGGGAGTCGTGATGCTCATTTCCATTTCGGATCACAGTAATTCGAACCGCGTTGTTCTTAGCATAAGCAGCCACACCCTGTTCTTACTGGTCGCATAGATCTTCTCAGACCGTGGTTGGGGCGTGGTGTGGTCAAGCGAGCTGACTAACAGGTGGGCCAGACACAACAAAATGACAACTGACGCAGTCCACCAAGGAGCCTCATAGAAGCATTGCAAAGGTTCTGTAACGGGTCAACCGCTTCACTGTTTTCACGCTCTCCCACCTTATCATGAATGAGACAACCCCAGTCTTATGCAGCCTTGTCACTCTGAGACGCCAAGCCTGTATGAGGCCCCTGTACTTAGATTTGCTGTGAGCCCATGAGCTCTTGGCTGCCTTCAGTTTCTTGAGTCATTGTATATGTGCTATCCGGCCAGGTTCGCTCCAGAATCCTGACCCTAAACTAGGTTTACTAGCTAGGGGTATATCAGGGTGCGGAAGTAACTCCCAGGGGTCCAGCCTCGCCCCTGGATCCAGCCTTGCCAAGTGTTGCAAGATAGCCGCAGCTGTCTACCCGATCCCGTATAGCTACTTGAGCCATTTCCTGGTCTCCTTGCCAGGTCTTACGGTTGATTTACGGACTGTACGTAGATATCTCAAAAGGGATGTTGTTGTTACCTATCTTCTGCCTGGTCCTGTGACACGAGATTTGTATCAGGGACAGGCCTAGGCCAAAGTCAACAATAAAGACTGGTAATTGGGAAACTATTCTAGATTAGGCGAATTAATAAGGTAAATTAACTACCAGAGTCCTATCCACTTGAGACGAGTCGTTCCTCCATACAGTCCTTATAGGTGTGGTTGCTCTATGTACTCCATTCCTCTATAGGACAGAGCACCTCAGAGCATATTAAGTGATGGCCCTGAACTGCCCGTATGAGCCCTTTGAGTGATATTGGCTCCACCGCACTGTGGCCCTAGGTCGCAGCCAGAGTCGCAACAGCTCCTCAGCGTCTCCGCGATATTGAGAGTCCAATATATCGAGTTTCCCTCCCAACCCGTGGCTAGCCTTTTTGATTCCTCTGTTTCTGGAGAACGAATGCGAAATTGAAATTTAGCCTCGTCAGATCATTCTTTGGTTTGCCCCACAGATTTGTGTTCCCAAGTGCCACCTCACAGATCGCCAGGGCACCGTCCCACGAAGCACTGGACACTGTCGATGACGTCGTTCAGCGCATTTTCGCTCAGTGTCGCCTCGTCCACCGAATCGCCGGAGCTCACGCAGAGCTCACCACCGAGGATGGAACTGCGGAAAATGCAACGGGCGTTCTGTCGGTTGAACCGATCGCCGCCCTCAGGGACGACGCCGATGCTCGAAATCCCGATCTCCCGGTTGAGGTCAGGGAAGTTCTGAGTCTGCCCATCACTGAGGAAAAATGCTTGGCAGATGTTGCTCAGATTGTCATCTGAGCAGAGTAACGCTTGCGCGATCGCACCACCAGATGTCTGGCGACGGGTGATAGAAGTCGCTGTCGTCAACGAAACAAGGGCCGCAACTCGGAAGATAGAAGATAGTGAAATCATGGCTGATTTGGTTGATACGAGGATTGGGGAATTGTTTATATGGGTTAGTTTTTCTTCGTTATTGATTGATCAGGATGTATTAGTGTACCTGTACCCATTCCTGTGGAAATCACAGCCTCTTATATCACTTGACCCCCCAGTATACAAGAGCTGGCTTGCGAGGTGTTTAGAGGAAACAATGTCGCAAGGCTTTGCGAGCTGCCATTATTAGGTATTATCAATCGCTCATCTCCTGCATGATGAAGGCCCCTGTCTTAGAAGCTACGGCCCAAGTTGAGTGAAGATTTCGTGAACCTGTCATCGCGGCATTTTCCAGGGACAGCCTGATTCTAGATCGAAAGTAGGAATGCTTACATCGTGGCTCCTAGCTCTAACATGGTGATCGACGCTGTACATAGGTCGTCGCGTTGTTGGCTCTTTCGCAAAGAAGCCCTATCAATAACTGGTACTCAGACATCGGAGTCTTGGCTGTAGCAATACTCGGTAAGCGTTAGGTAACGAAGTCAGCTCGGAGTATGCAACATCTTGGCAGGGTTGGTTGCCTCTTCAGCGTCTATACCACTACTCTGCTGCACTAAGCTAAAAGCAGATACAAGATATGCACAGGCAGTCGCAAGCAATACCGAAGTCCGAAGTTAATATCCATTACTTGCCTCCATCGATCGAACTTTGTTGGATGTATAGGACGGTCGTCTAGGTGCTTGAAGGCCCCCGATCACATGATCTAGCTTACCTATCCACTCTTGTCGGAAAGTATGTTCTGACACGAGCGTACCAAAGCTCGAGGATCGAAATCGGAAAGGAACTAAGTAGTAGAGTAAGTAGAGAAATCGTTGGTTCTGTGTTTCATTTCAAGCTCTCAGACTATCAACAGCTACAAGATCCATCATATCGTTCAGTTTCCTCCTCATTGGTACAAGCATGCAGCACGGAAAGGAGGGGGAACGGGTGATACCTCCTCATCAAAAGCTCGGGGTTGTCTTCATCCTCCATAAGTCTGGTGTACTTTTTCATCTAAACTGGTATTCCTTGTTCCCATTTCCATACCCATTATCATTTTGTTTGTTCCTCATTCAAGGTTGGGCCTTGGTTGTGTAGGAACAAGGCCTCACACTCGGGAGCGCAGTTTTTTTTTCTCGATTTGTTCCAATTCAAGCCCAAAAGCATTTGTCCTCCCATGCTTTTTCTTGCGTGGTCTTTTCATTCATCTGACTTGCAATAATTTTGTCTCAATTGTACCGTCCCTTTACCAACATGGTTCTGTCCGACTCCTGCGGCGACATCCAACGTTGATAACACAAGGAAAAGTGAGAGTAAAGGAAATCCAGCGCCTTGCTGTCTAAAATCAGGGTATCTGCGAAAGGAAATTCAGGTCGTGTTTCGAGCGTCGTCGTTGGGATAGTGCTATGCTAGAAAATGGAGATTGTGTTCAATGCTGATTTTGTGTAGTCTGCTGTCAGCAGTGATTACGAATTGTTGTCGTCTTCCGAGTTCACATTTTCTTGTGCGAAGCTCCCATCATCATGAATTCCTCTTCGGAATCATCGTCGTCGTCGTTGTTAATATCATCAGCGTCGTCATGAGATGTACCTTGGCGATCCTCAAGCGCTGAACCGGTGGCAACTTGCACGGGCTTGCCATGTCTTGTCACAGTGTCTGCTGTTCGCATGAACGATGGCTCGGCTTCTTTGCCCACTGAGTATGTATCATTTTGGTAATCCGTGACCTCCGGGCCTAGGAAGCCTTCACCAGGAGGTGAAGATGCACTTGAGATTATGCCAAAACTCGGAACAGACATGCTTTGCGAAACACTACTAGCGCCATAGCCATCTGTTGAGGAGGCAATTGTGCTTGCTGATGGCCCGGCTTGAATTGGCACGGGTGCAATGGATAATTCTGAAGGATCGGTAGCGGCTCTGGCCTCTTGCTTCCTCAGGAAGGTGATGTCATCTGGTGACGGTGGACATTCATCTTCGAGTGTAGTTTGACTTTCAGATCGTCTTGTCACTGCGGCGTCGGCTTCGGCTTGATAATGAGCTTCTAGAATCATACGTCGCTGATTGACCTCTTGAGCATGCTCGAATGCTTCTGATGTTGATGCTGGTGCCTGGAAAGCAGTCTTGTGAAGCGAAGTGGTGTCAATATGAGGGGCTGGTGGAGAAATGTTGTAACTGGTGGGCGATAAAGTGGTCCGCAGAACATCGGGTTGCTCAAATGCACCTGTGGCAGACGCGGTGCTTAGTGCAAGGCTAGGGCCTCCACGCGGTGCCTGAATATCACACTCTGAAGAATCTCGACTCAGATTAGGTGAACAATCGCCCTTTGAGCGGCGATCACGACTCCCAATCCGGACAAGGGGCTTGATGCCTTCCCATATTCCACCAACTCTTGCTCCAACACTTCGCTCTTGTGACGCAGACCGCTCAGGTTCTTGAGCAATCTCGGGCATTGGCACAGGCAATCTGTGTATTTGAGAGGCCCGAATCGTTTTGACCGAATCAGCATTGGAGAAAGTTGAAACGACTCTGTCCGGTCCTTGAGGTCGTTGATCCCTTTCGACTATTGGACTTGCTCCAGTTGATGCGGCCTTATGGTCTACCGTATTCTGGCTGAAGTATTCTTGAGGGTGATCGAAGGGACTTGCAGTCTCACTCTGAGCCAGCGGATGTTCAGTGTTTTCTCGAGAAGTCTTGAGGGCCGCTAGTACTTCATCTCCACGAAGACTCGATCTCCGTGTTTCTCTGATCTTATCTCTTTCGAACCGGCCAACCGTGCTTGCGCTGGATGGAGAGGCAAGAGAGTCACTCGAATGGCTAGTGGTTGTTGCAGCGCTTGGAGCTCGCTTCCGCGCACTGGTTCTACCGAGATAATTCGCGGTTATTCCGGCAATGCGGCCCGCCGTATCAAAAGCACGCTCGATGAGGTTTCGTTTTCCAACCGCGTGAGAGACTTCTCTCTCGTCCACCTCCAATATCTTTTTCATACTTTCTTTCTCCAGTCCAGGGTTTTGAATGAAGCGAGCCACATTCTTCATACCCTCGGTAACCCACGGATGTTGCTTGGCTTGACTAATAGTCATTCTCTTCATTGGGTCTTTGACCAAAAGGCATCGAATTAAATCACGAACAGCCTCGGGAACCTCTTCAAATTTCAGTTCATAATCTGTACGTTTGTTGCTATTGATCGAGACAGGAATTTGAGAAGATGGTTTGTCAACCGATGTATCCACAGGGACTAGTCGGGTTTTGGGAAGGAAGACTTCTGTAGTGCATACTGCCTCATGCAAACCCATTTCCTCATTGGCATAGAAAGGGAGGCGAGCGTAGACCATACAATAGAGAGTGATGCCTAGTGCCCATAGATCTAGAGCACCGGTTATTTTCGGAGCGACGCTGTCAGTGAACATCGAGACGTCCTCATAACATAACTCTGGTGCCCAAAAGGCCGGGGTTCCAACCGATCGTGCAAGTTCCTTTTCATCATCAAGCGCCGAGACATCTTTTTCCGTCAGGTTGTTCTCAGGATCCTTGTCTGTTGTTGGACGACCAAGGTATGAGACACCAAAGTCAGAAATCTTGACACGATCGTTGCTTGCTATCAGGAGATTGGCGGGTTTGATATCCCGATGAATGATACCGATCCAGTGTAGGAACTCGAGTCCAGAGAGTGTATCCTGAATTGCTCGGCGTGCTTCTTCTAGGGTCAGTGCTGGCACATACGAATGTTCGTCACTGATCTCTTCGAAGTTGAATTCTGAGGACATGTGTGAAGCAGCACTTGCCGCTACGCTGAATTTTCGCTCGCGGTAGTCGTAAGAATCATATGCACCGTACATACTGCCAGCCAATGTTGTGTCAGGGAAGGTGTCGTGAGAGTCTGTCCGGCTAACGCTGTTTGACCCCTGGAATTGCTGTGAAGGTGTTCGTGAGATATCATGTAGCTGATCGTCATCCTCTGGTTCATCACCACCATGCTCCAGGCTCCAGTTAGGAATGGAATGAAATTGCTGAAACTGCAAGGCCCTGGCTCGGTCCGCAGTTTGGTGGCGCCGATGTGCTTGTGCGACATGGAAAAGGTCCCGCTCACTCGGTTCGAGCGTGAGGTCGGCGCCACGACGTTCTTGGTCGTATCTGGAAATGTTGACAGACAGGACTTCACGCACGCCAGGCTTTCTCCATTTGATCTCCCCTTTTTCGACGCATTCGAGGATGAGGTAGACCTTATTCTTGGTTGGGTCATCGATGACTTCGATCAAGCTCACCACGTTAGCATGCCTGGCTTTCTTCAAGATTGCCACTTCTCGCTTCGTACGGTCCTCGGGCGCGCCCAGACGACCCAAGCGGCGCTTGACCGAGTACCTGGGAACGATTTTGATGGCAACCCAAATGCCGGTCTCCATGTTGCGTCCAAGCTTCACTTTCCCATGTTCACCACGACCTAATTCTCGAACCACTTCGTAGTTATTGATGAACTTGTTTCCCGTATAGACGTCATGGTCTATATCGACAAGGTCAGTCTCTTTTGGGACCTGGAGGTGGTGAAGTTGTGGGCCAATATCAGTTAAAGATGAGGCAGTGAGGAGACCTGCGGAGCTGAACAGACCAGGGCTCGACATAGGGGTATTGTCAGCAGTCTTCGCACCATGAGCGCTGACACCCCGGTCTCGTGATTGAGCGATCCATGTTGACATGTCGTTGTAAAGGAGATTCTGAGCCGGGTGTGAGCTTCTCGTTCGCAAGGGAGGGTGAGGCCTTGGATTGTGAGATTGCGATTGTAGAGCGGTAAAGGACTGATCTGGGTATGGCGGACGTTCAAAGGCCGAACGCTTTGTGGTGGATAATGAGGCAGATTTAGAGTGAGAAGTCCGTCTGCCACGGATCTGACCGTGTGAGGCTCTCGCTGAGAGAGCTCTTGAGATTGACTTGCCAGAGTGATTAAAATCCTTCTCACTCAACGCGTTCAGTGACTGCGAGGAGTTGGGCGCCGAGGCTGGGAGTGACTGTTGCGCCTGCAGTTGGGCAGATGCTGGATTGGCACTATCATGCGGCGACAATAGGTCCAATTCGCCGTATATTGTATCGTCAACAGGTTCGACAGAGCGCTGAGCAGAAAGTGCGACGGGGGTATTTCGTTGTGTCAGGAGATCATCGCTATCGTTGCGGGTGGATTCCGCCGCCGGAGATGTTGCTTCAGGCTGAGTGGGAGGTGTTCCGCTAGCAGAGCATGTCGAGCGACGGGGCTGCCGCAAGTTTGGATCCCACCTTATTCCAGTGTTCTCCGCCATTGTGAGAGGAAAGGCTGTGATTTGATGTGAAAGGCCGAGTGTGACTCTCGAAGAGTATGCCGTACTTGAACTCGACTCAAAAATCGACTCCACCCACGACACAGCAATTCACACGCTCAGCCATTTGCGTACTATCTGAACACCTCAGGTCGAAAAGATTTCAACATCCAGGGAAACGTGTATAAATCAGTGGCGGATAGGGTTTGGAGAAGGACAAAGCAGAGACTCGGTTGTCCTGTAGCGGTGCGCGAGGGGATTTTGCAGAGGGAGAACGTCTCGACCAGCGAGGAGTATGGTGGACTTTCAAGAGAATGTGCGAGCGCCTTTCAGCGAGGCGGTTATATTAGGTGAATTGGTCTCGAGTAGTGTCTGACAGCGATACAGGTGTGTAAGTGAAGGACAGTCTCCGACTAAACCCGGACCGAAGCGACAACAAACAATGACCGTGGAAGTAAGAGGAAGTAGTCAAAGAAGCAAATGATACAAAGGCATATACTAGAAAATTGTGAGGAAATGAAGAGGGTCAACAAGGTTGAAGGTTGAAGTCGATAGGCAAAAGGCAGCACGAGGACTGAACTTGAATTGGTTGGAGGGCAGTTTTGGAGCGCAGGACAGGATAAAGAGTCAGAGGGCTGAGGGCTGAGGAGAAGCCAACCACTGCAGCTGGGGGAGCCAGTCACCAAAAACGATGAATGACGGCAAGAAGTGGACGGAGGGGGCACCACCCAAATGTGGGCGGTGGGCTGTAGGTTTTGGGCTGCAGTGGTGGGTGGTGGAGGGAACATTGCGTTGGAGGGTCAGTGAGGATCCCTGGGCAAGCCTGAGGGCGCTAGTTGACGAGGAACTTAGCGGCCCTTGAGTGCCCGAGGGGTTCCACTACGGGCTGCATGACACTTGGACTTTGAGTGGTACGAGGGACATTTCCACACATCATGCCCTGCCCCCCTGCTGCCTCAGTATTATGATTCTCATAATTTGTGGGTGCCGTCTGCAAAGAAACCCGACGGCTTCAACAACAATAACAACAACGTGAAGTTCTGTTCCCATCTTTCACCTCCGACCTTGCACTGGCAAATTCCAGTCGCCAAGCATGTCCTTTCGCCGCCGTGGTTCTACTGCATTGGCTATTCGATGCCTGCTGGGGTTTCGATACTTTCTAGGAGTTCGGCCCGCTCTGGCTTTTGTCGGTTGAGGCCCTGCTTCGTCAAGCCTTCCCCAACACAGTTGGACCTATTCCACCATGCACCTTCCACCACCACCATCATCGCTGCACCGCTCGAGTTTGACATGATATAACCGAGTTAGTCTCTGGTTTCTCTCTTGAGTCCTGTTCTCCGACCCCCCTGCTCATCGACGCCAAAGTGACACCTCCAACAAACAAGACACCATCCACAGCAAGTGGTGCGCACTGCACTTCACTGCACTGCACGGCACGCTCACAACATGTTTGCAAAAGGCAAGTCCCGCTGGTTAGTTGTCGTAGTGGTAACCCCTCGTACTCCGTAATTGTGCGGACATCCAGTTTGGCAGGAACGCCTGGATCGGCTGCTTTGATCTACAGTACTGGCAGGGGTTGAGAAGGCTCCAACTCCGATTTTGGCTGGCGGACCATCTATAGGTCTTAACCACCATTATTTCACCTCCCCTACAGGATGCATTTGAGGACAGAGGAGAATCGAAGAAATGCTCTGTTGGTGACTAGGGACGGATACCTAGGTATAGACGCCGAGCATGTGAGGCTAAACAGAAGATTACTAACGCAGGTATCTATGTAGGTCCCTAGTAGCTTGTGAAGCAGCTTTTAGCACTTTAATCCGCTGTGCTCGTCACGGAGTGCATTCCCAATGCCAGCAGGATTACTAGGCTTACTGCAAGGGCGACGAATACGTCACGATGAGAATGGTTATCATTGTCGGTCAGACCACTGACACTGCAGTTGGCCGTGAATGATATTGCCACGTTTGATTGCAGTGTGCAGTGCAGATGCAGCAGCAGCAACAGTAACAGGGGCAATATGATATGCCATTCATTGCAGGTTGGCTGGACTGGGCTACATCCGGCCTTGCACAAACCTTCTTCTCTGCACCTTCGCGATCTCCTGACAGCCTACGAAGTGCGGATCCAGGACGAATGACAGGGGTCGGTGGTGAGGTCAAACAATGTCCTCAGGTTGCACCCTTGCACCATGAAGCAACCAGCAATTATAATGACAGAACGCTGGAGGATGAATAATGTACGAGTACTTGGGAGTAGGCGCAGATAATGGCATCGAGATGTGGAGAAAGTTGTTCAACATCTCCTGCCAGGGCTTCAGGCTCAGGGAGAAACTTACAGGGATCAAGGGGCGAATATTAGCACTCGTAAATTGTGGAAGGGAACGGAGGCTAGGCTGGCAGCGTCAGCCTAAGCATCCCCTAAGAAGCCCGTGTTTGGCTCATCACGATACCTAAACTTACAAGCACAGTGTCGTCACCTCCAACCTGGGCACCCGTCTTCATGTAAGGTACTTGAAATGATCAGAACAACGGACATTGGAACTCTCTACGTATGATTATTATTGGAGCACGCGAGCCGACCTTCTTCCAGACACGACAGCCAAAGGCAGACAGTTGTCAATGTGGTCCTGCTTGACAGGCACCTAGAAAGCGGAATGCATGCGATGGTACCCGAATCCTGTTGGGAATTTTCACATGTCAAATCAACAAAAAAAATAGTTTGGGCGAGGGACCGATCTTCACTGATCGCCAAAGGATCAGCCCATTGTGATGTTATACGAAGGAGAATTAAATGCTTGTCCCTTTCAATTTCTGCTGATGCCGCTTTCTTCGAATACTAGCCTCCTGTTGCATCTTCAGATTTTGGTTAGTCGACAGATAAACATTCATCTGCCAGTGCCATGTCGCAAACATGGGGTTCTGACTATCATTCACGCTGTTCCTCTTCTTGCTTAGAGCCTTCGAAGCCAGACTAAATGCGTGCCGCCACGCCTGGCGCTCGTTGCCATCCAGCTCCACTTTATCCCATTCAAAATCCAATACCGAGTAAGCCTCACATTAAAATGACGATCGTGAACCACATTGCACCATGTGCGTTGGAGGCCGGTCTTCTTGGCCGTGGAGTGTCTCTCTACTAGGACGAGTAGCTCCAACCTCAGCGAACCTGCAGCACAGATAAGTTTAACTGGCCACTGTGCTCGGTGGTCAGGCCATTGCCGTATCCACAAGTGGTCCTTTCGACCTGTCGCATGTTGATGCTCTGCAAACAACCCGACCTGATTTCAACGCGCCATCCGTGTCGTTGGAGCTGGACTTTGCCGGATATTTCCATCTCTTTGAGAGCCACATGTCGGCATTATAGTGGGGTGAACAATTCCCAGGATAACAACGACGATGGGGGACTATTGTCGAAGATGCTCATTAGAGTCGATCTCATATATGATAACTCCGACTTGAAACTTGTAAAATTGGTGTTTCTCAGATCTGAGGCTTTCACAAGTGAGGGCTGAGCTCAGCCTTCAGCACGAAGCTCGGATCTCTTCTGGTCTGGCTACAGCGCACGGTAGAACGGAAGGACGCAGACGCCTCTTTGCCCACCAGGCTGGTCTCAGACTCGGCCGGCTCAGGCTGCAACGATGGACCGTGATTTGTCCGTTTTGCACGGCACAGCAAAACAGCTGCAGCTGGATATACGAGTGCTAGTAACTGCGAACAATTGCCAACAGGACCAGGCATCCCCCGGTCTGTTATCAAAACGAGGTCCCCAGCTGTGTTGGATCAGTTGCAGGGAAGGACTCCCAGATATACAATAGTGTGACTGAAGTCGTAGACTTTCAGGCTGTGGGATTCTCTTCCCTTGGATCAACTAGGCAGCCCATCATTTAGTGCTCTTTGCGATAGTATTACGATTCGCGCATCGTCGATACCGCAAGATCGTCAAATCTGTAGCAGTGCCGACAATTTAAACACACAAAGACAACCCGACATGAAAAAGCCTAGAATCAAGTCGAAGTGGTCGAAAAGAGGGTGATCCCTACCTCGTAGAGACACAGGAACCATCTGGGATAGGCAGGCATCATAAACTCAAAGGTTCAGCGGCGAGTCAATCCCACGAATGGCAGCTTCCAAAAGGCTTGCCACACCGGCAATCGAGGAACTCGGTTTCTGTACTACGGGGTACTCATCGTCACGCTGGGGTTGTCAACGCGCCAAAATGCCAGCTCCCATCATCATCGATGTCAGACATCTCCTCGATGCATGGCTACGGAATGGCCCATGGTCCACGGTCCACGGTCCATGAGCCTGGAAACCTATCACAAGCACAACTGGGTGAATTGACCAAGTCACAAATCTCGAGTTCCTCCTGTCCAAGGGTGTGATCCGAAGTGATGGCACAGATGGGAGAACTGATGATGGCGACCGTTTTGGCCTAGTTGCCAGCCACTGCGGAGAAGCCAGCCGCCCTTAAATATGCGCATCATCGATGATCCTGGTTTCCAGGTCCTTCCCCATGCCAACCCGTTGATTCCCAATCGACGATCCGGAGTAGCCATCCCCTTTAATCGCCGCCTCACCTTTGCACCTTGATGGAAGAAACTCAAAATGCAGCAGCCAGCTCTGAGAGGGAACTTAGGATGTCACGACTTGTCGCATGTCGCCTTTGCACCTTGGCTGGCCGTCGAGCAGAATGAGACTGCGAACATGACGTGTCAGGCCGAGATAGTCAGTGCACTGCTATGGTCAATGCTTTCGCCGGCTAGACGCGGTCTTGCATCCCCAAAGATATTGTCGCACAGACAGTTTAGTTCACCTGCATGAACATGCCCAGGGAATCGCGAGTGCTACTTCCCTCCTGGCGAATCAGCAGACTGGTTTCCAAAAGATGTACGTTTCAGGGAGATTTCGATAGGTCATCTACTGCATGCCATGATCACCAGGACGCACAGAACGAGAACGAGGCAGGGTCGCGCCTCTCCACAACACGCGCCCTTTTCAAACCACCAGCGTGCTGAGTCATGACGCTTATTGGCTTTGAGCGTATGACTTTGACAATGGGGAACCTGCCGCTGTCAGCCATCCACACCCGCTTTGCGAACCATTGGCTCCTTCAAGACCGTAAGGCTGTGGCCGCTGCGATTGAAGTTTGTGTAGTCTGCAGGCTTCAATCATACCAGGGGATTTATCATGAACTATATCCAAGGTACGCTACACTCTATACGTGCTTCCTCGTTCCAAGGACTTCTCACAGCCTTGGTGAACCTCTTTGTACACGTTCATCGAACCTCAACCAAGCGCACGTAGCGAAAAATCTTCTTCCTTGTGATCTTGAGCGACGCTATTGATGCTAGTACTGGTCCCCCTGCAGACCGTGCCTTGACTACCACCATGAGGACGACCGATCATCGTATCGAGGACTCGTCCGAGACCAACGGCGTGCGACTGACACATTAGGATTTGTGGTGCGAAGCTGATGAGAATTCGACCAGCCATGTTGACCTCTAACTCGTTCATCGATCAAAACTGAAGAACAGCACTTGGGATTTCAGGAAAGCATTATCACGGCGTCCACCATGATCCTCCATCCTCGATGTAGTTTGAAGTGGTCAGTGCGGATTTGGATCCTGCGCTTCAGGCATGTAGGCATTGAGGTATCGCTGATAGCTCAGACTGTGTGATCCCTGGGAATATGCTCGGCGCCACGTGGAACAGAGCTCAGAGGTTTGGCATTTGTTGCCAGTCATTTCAGCCTGGGGGTCTCTAGCTGGTCAGAGCAACCTGTTTGTTCATGTCAGTCTGAACCACCAGGACGGCTCACCTTCATTGAGGATCAGACTACGATATAGTGGTAAGCAGAGACCTTCTACCCGCAAACAGTAGCAGCTTGCTGAAGGGAAACTGCGGCTCTGCTGTTGCAGCTGATTCTGACTCCCAATTTGTGACATTCCATCGGTCAATGCCGTCAGGACCTACACAGTCAAGTGTATTCTGTGGCTCATGGCACGAAGACAACCACACTCTTATCGTCGGACACATTTCAACACTGAAGCCGAGTGATCAGGACAAACATGATCCTTCCCGACGAATGTCGGCTAATTGATCTTGACAACCATTTACCTATGGCATATATCAGGTTATGCTAGTTGGGACGTTACTTACCCACCGGGCCAAGTCCAACTATTCTTGATTACAGGAATTCCTAGCGGCCCCATGACTATGGCGATCCTGTGTCCGGATCCTAGTGCGGGTGCTTGTGGAAGACTTAAAAACTGTTGATAGATCTGAACAGCCATACCCTTGCGCCATTGTTTGGGGTTGCAGTAGACAAGAAAAGCTTGCATCCCTTCCATAAGTCATTGACTGATACTAAAAGACCGAACATGACCCAGTGGATTTCCTTGGTCGAAGAAAACGAATCTGGACGTTTTCAACGACGGTTGCAGTAGTACCGGTAGTAGAAACGGTGATCTGGGATAGCGCAGTGCGGTCAAGATTATCATCAGAAGGTCCCTTACCATTGAACTAGTTAGTGGGTAGTACGCCATGAGTCAGCCATGACTCTCTGGACACAGACCAAGAACGGAAGACCACATCTGAACGCGCCCCAGCCAGCTCGACAGCGAAACAAAACGGACAGAGATTAACCTGAAGGCAAATATGGTATTAGGATCCGACACGCTGTAACTAGAGGGGCTATTGCGTCGTGTTCTCGACCGATAGTGAATGCGATCAGATTCTTTCCATGATTAACGAGGATCGAGCAAGGTGGATGTGGATTAGGTCAGGAAATCGTTTTCCCAGCTGCGGGATATGTCATGAATTGATAATGCGCCAGCCACTGACACGCCGAGAAACCAAGCCACCTGCGAGATTTCCCGTTAAGCGAAAACCAGCCGTCTCGGGCTTTCCAGGCGGGAGGAGAGGCCCCTCGGCCTGACCTAATAATCAGGGTCTCCAGGCGAATCATTGTGTTTCGGGCTTGAGTTGATGCCCGTACCCTTGTACGATAGACCCCGGAGAGAGTCAGTGGTAAGTGGTGTTTTGTACGGATTAACCCCCGGCATTCGAATTCCTTTCGCTTGTCATTTTCGCGTGATTTACGAGCCTGTTGACAGTTTCCAAACTCTTTACAAACACAGATTGCTACCAGAAGGTCTGATTTCCAATCCCTTGACTGATGAACGCACAGAGATCTCATGCTTCGCATCACAATTCCGCTTCGCAATGATGGCACAGCGTTTGACACTAGGTGCATCGCCAACCGCCAAAGCAGGCTCCGTAACCAACTGGGTCTTTCGCAAACCCAGACGTCTGCTTAGCTGTCGAAGCATGTAGCCCCATCAGGCTTGGAGCTGCATCGGTTTTAACCTGTCGACCGAAAGACCAATCATACATGAGGGATGAGTTGCTCAACGAGGTTAGATTCAATATTAACTCTCCTTTGACTAGCATCCCATTGGCACGGTGTCCAAGCCCCCTTAGCTCGTCTATGATTTCGAATACTTCCATGGAAATCTCATGCTGAGCTAAGGATGAGGAAACCCATATAGAACTCTCTTTCCGATTCTTGTCGCTTGTTGCATCATGGGATCCAGATCGTTTCGTTGAAGAACACCGTGACTGTTCACCGATAAACCATGGCGACTCTTATATATCATCACACAGTGGCAAACCTGGGAAGCTCTCGTCACGACGACCACTTACTAATGTCTAAAGAAAACAATCAATCAGACACGCCAGCACCATTCCGTGGTGAGTTCTCTTTTGTTAACAAAGATGCTGGCAATATCGACTCAAAGGATCACAACGCCGCTGTCTCATGGCATGTCATGAACCGTTATGAAAGATGGAAGAAGCAGGAACAAGCCAAGAAGTTGAGGGCATCTGCCAACGTTCCTGTCGGTCCACTCTCGCCGCCCTCACAACAGCAAGGCCAACCTTCTCAACAACTACATCCACAGACGCAAAGTCGACAGCAACATCAGTCTGTACGTCGTGTTCCATATATGAACCCAAGAAGAACAGCGTTGACATATAACTTCTATCAGCCTAGAACCATGTCGACACAACCACCTTTCGGCTTTGATCCATGGACAGCCGAAACATTGCAGCTTGGCTACCCAGGACCCAATTCAACACAGCCTTCCAGCAGCGGCCTTCAAACATCTGCAGCATCAACGCCGTCTACTCATTCTAGCATTATGACGGATGACCCTGCAGCTTTATTGGGGTCCTTGGACTCACAGTTATATCCTGTGGACAACATATTCGACCCGAGCCTAGCTCCTGTTGCGCCCCTCGTCAATAATTTGATCGGATACGCCTACGAGTTTTTGATGCCATCCATCTGGCCGAAGGAATCCGAGAGGGCTCAACATACCTGGGAACTCGCCAGGAGCTGGGACGACATAGCTCTCATCAATCAGGATACGTGCTACGCCAATGCCTATCTGAGTCTCCTTGCAGCCGCCATGGGCAGTCTTACCGATGACGACAACTTGATGTATCAGTCTCGAGTCTACCAAGGACAAGCAATGACCGACTTAAGACAACGTGTGTCTGGACAAGGTAACCAAGATTTAATCACTCTGAAAGCTATCCTGAAACTTTTTTCTTCCGAGACTTTGGTTGACAACACTTCGACGGCGCGTATCCACCTCAAAATGCTCCGAAACTTGGTGCAAGCGGCCGGAGGCATGATCTTGCTTGACTCCTGGTTTCGGGAGGACCTTCTATCTTGCGATTGCTATTTTGCCCTCAAATTCGAGACTCGGCCGCTCTTTCCCGCACAAGAGTGGACTCCAGGGCCGTTGAGTCAACCGTGGAAAGCACGATTGATGTCTGCAGGCATCTACGGAGATCATTCAGCTGCGGTCGATCCATTGATTGAAAACCCACTGTTGAAAGCGATTGTTACTGACCTTCGAGAGCTCTTCAAGGTGAACGAATACACTCGCAGCCACGATGTTCCAAGCGACGACCAAGTCCTCCGATGGCAGCAACTTCGCCGATTTGACTGTATTTCACGACTCGCAGATCATCATGTGGATTTGTCGATCTATCCTCACTTGTTCAATTGGCCGCTATTACAAGACTACTCATGCATTGCGACTGCATTAATGGCGAATATGGTGCTTGGGTCACCAGAGCCAGTACGATTCGGAGTGAAGTTGATCAACGACCTGAGGAGGAAGTTAGTAGAAAGTGAGAGAGGCGGAGAAGAAGCACAATTCAAACGACTTCGTCTCTGGGCCCTCTATGTCGGCTCCTTGGCCGAAAAAGTACACATGTCAACCGAAGAAAGTCATTGCTGGTTCGAGAAAAATTATCAGAATCTGGCCGCAGGCATGGGATTATCTGCGTGGGAGGATGCTAAACGAGTAATGAGGCAATTTTTGATTTCAGATCAGCTGCAGGAAGAGATTAACGCCGGCCGCGCACATCGAACTTCAGATGCTCGGCAGGGTCTTTACGCAGCGTCCGGGTGCAGTTGGAGGGAGCCCCTACAGGATTCCAACCCTGTGATCGGAGAGTCTCAGGATGATCTCACGGGGGACCGCAGAACAGGAAAGCAACGAGCGGACCCTTGATGAGTAACGAGCACAATGCAAGTACAAAAAGAGATGGCACGTTACACTGCGAATGGCCACTAAGAAGGCAGGTTTATGCTGCCTGAGGGAGCACATTGGTCAGGACTCCAGTCCAACAGATGGTGGGATGGGTGGGAATGGGGGGTTTAGACGGTCATGGTAGCGCAGCGTTTTATGTCGTTTTACACAACCTTGGTACCTAACCATCGCTGGATTCTACTCGGACGAGTACTTTTGAAAGATTGGAATGGACTCTTAGCAAGCTTAGTGCCTGGATGATTGGCTGGCATCGGTTTCCAGATTGGGACCGCTATGGCGATAACGGAGTATCATGGAAGTTCCTGAGGGCAAAGACACCACTGAAAGGTGTTGATAAAAATCATTCATAATTTGACGTCTCTGCGATAGATGGACTTCCCGCAGCAGTGAAAGGTTGAATTTCAGGCAAGGAGTGACGATTTGAAGATCACCACTGCACCTGGCACCAGCAGGGCCATCGGATAACATTCTTTTTTTTACACGTTGAAGGGTTGCTAGTGGGGGCTAAAATGGACCTAGTGATGTTAAATCCAATTCTATTATTCCTTGCAATATTGTCCTGCGCTTGAGCTCTCAACTCCTACTACTCAAGACATGAGGCTCACTTCTCACGGAGTTCCTTTTCTCCCCTATCTTGTTTCCTTCTCAAATGCGGAAGGCGCTCTCGCCGCTTCTTTACTCATCAAGATGCCTTCTAGCTTCTAGAGCGACAGCTAAGACCAGGCCTCATACCTCCCAGGCCTTCGCTCACCAACAGCAGCCATGTCGAACCACGACAGCAGGCTTCGCGACCACTCAGCACCTCAGGAGGTGGGATCTGAGTGAAGTACTCCGCGTAACCGAGGAGACCTCCCCTCTGATATTCCACCTCACTTCAGACAATCCCTACCACAACTTATCTCTCGAGCACTACATCCTGACCAATTCGCACCCCTCCTCGACCATCCTTCTGTTCTACACGAACCGGCCGTGTGTCGTGATCGGGCGCAATCAGAACCCGTGGCTGGAGACGGATATCCAGAAGCTGAGAGATGGGCTAGAACCCGAGGAGCCTGTGCCTCTTGGATCGGGCATTTGGGGGAATGAAACCACACAACGTAACCCGATCGACCTCATCCGGCGTCGAAGTGGGGGTGGGACGGTATTCCACGACAACGGGAATCTGAATTACTCGGTCATCGTGCCAAACAACAAGTCCTTCAAACGCAGTACGCAGGCCGAGATGGTAGTGCGCGCCCTCACGCCTCTAGCGCCGCGATACGGGTTCAGTGACCTCCAAGTGAACGATCGCAATGACATTGTCATGAAAGCCAAGGACAACGCGCTGCAGTGGTTGAAGGTCAGTGGTAGCGCGTATAAGCTCACCAAGGGCAGGGCGCTACATCACGGCACATTGTTGTTCTCGAGCCCGAACCTGTCGAATATCTCGAACCTGCTGAGAAGCCCGGGTCGAGGGTTCATCGAAGCGAAGGGTGTCGAGAGTGTCAGGAGCCACGTGGCCAATTTGGCATGGACTTCTGATTTGCAGCAAAGGAAGCAGGTGAAGGAGGTCATGACCAAAGCCATCGTCCAGCAGTTCTGGGAGACGTACGGCAACAATCAGCGACGAAAAGTCGGCCACAACGAGATCTTTCTCGGCAGCGAAGTGTTCCAGGCCATGAACAACCCATCACTTACCAAGGGGCTCGAGGAGCTCCAAACCGACTTGTGGCTGTACGAAGGCACCCCGCGCTTCGACTTCGCCAGCGGAGCGATGGAAGGTACCGAAGTCAAATTCCAAGCGAACCACGGCGCCGTCGTGTCCCTGACAGTCGAACACCATGACAAACAGTATACCATCGACGAAGCGGCCTTGCGCTCCGTGAGCGACCAGAACGGCCATGGATCCAAGCTCCTGGGCATCTTCGACTGGTATAACTTCATCAGCGCGCGTGTCCAGGAAGCGACCAACACTCATCTGAGGATCCCCCGGACGCTGGCCAGGCGCATCGACGCCATCTTCCCGGGCGTCAGAGGCACGCCGAGGAAATTGAAGTCTGATTCGTGACTTTGCTTGTGATGGTGAGAGCAGCAGCGGCGATAGAGTGGCTTTATCGCTGATGTAAATCTAGCTACTTGTACCACATAGCTGGATGATGCACGAAAGGGGTACTGCCCATGTCTATCATCTCACCCTTAGATAGCAATACTCATATATGCACTTGGCCTGCCAGATTCTAAAGGACGTCCCTACACCTGGGCGTAGAGACAGAATGATGACTGGGACATTCAAGTTGTCTACAGCAAATCCACCGATTGATTTACTCATAATAGTCAACAGAGTAGCTGTATTGTAATGGTACAGCAAAGAGAACTCCCAAAATACAGCTGGCCGCCACGCCGCGATATCGTCCTCCGTGTGATGTTTCCATGATGGTACCGCGTCAGACATAAGGGTTTCATGAGTACATATTTCACTTAATGTAAATTGAAATACTATTCGAGGGCCTATCAGGAAACTATCAGGCTCCTACCAAACCCAAATCAGAATTAAGACATGGAATAGACACATCTCGGCATTTGTCTCTCTTCTCCAGTGTCCAGATAACTCTTTCGAGAGCTCAAGCATCACTCACGGCCAACGGCGAGTACATGCGATCAGATGCGAATCAGGCCATGCCGAAGACAAAGTCTTGCGGACCCATGCTGTTTCCACTTCCACCAGCAGGGTCAAATAGATCCCAACCAGCGACAAAGCCATCCGCACTGCCACTGCGGCCGTCACTAACGCTAAAGTCATCCCAGTTCAGTGAGCCCACATCGAACATATTGACGCCGCCGGAATCGAATGCACCTCTGGCACCGAAGCGCAGCTTGTCTAGTTGTGCAGGGCCTGGATATAGCAGTCTTGTGAGTTCTGCATCCTGCGCCGGACCGAAAGATGATAGACTTGGGGGTTTGTTGCTAAACACAGACTCGAGCAATGGGCCGAGGAGCCGTTCATATATGCCGGCGTAGTTAGAAACTTCGTTCCAGCCTTGTGCGGCAAGGGACAAAAAGTTGGCGGTGAAGACTTTTGTCATTTCGAATATCTGTTGTGCGTTGAATCGGGAGCTGATAGTATCGAAACCATGGCGAAGACAGAACAGCACGACCATACTGTTCTCAAGGACGTGGTGTGCGATCAACCATGAGCGACGGTAAAAGCCGGTCAGGATGTGATCACGGAGGGACTTGGCTGAACTGCATGCCGCTTCGAATGCAACCATGAGACTGCGTGGTGCCGGCATAGGCACGCGCGGTGATGGACGGTGAAGATTTGTTAGACCATGCGCCAGTGTGAATTCGGTCAATTCGTGGCCGTCGTTGTAATCTTCGTACCATGCTTGAAGACGCCTTTCCATAAAAACGAGCCAGTCTTCCCAACTTTGGCCTTCTTCTAGAGGTTTACCTTGGAAATGGACTTCCGTCATCGCAGACTGCAAGCGCCGAAAATGGATCCAACGTAAATTGTGCGTTTTGGTCTCTGTGCCTGTCGGATCTATGCCGTGGATGCTGATATGGCGGTCATCGAGAACAGATGGAAAGTGTGCATCGATTGTTTGATCGGGTATACTGAGTGGTCTTTGTAGCGCCGAGCAAATTGCACGGTCAAAGTTGTAAGTACTCCAAAAGAGCCGACGGCGAAGGTCCAATGTCAGTGGATCAAAATTCAGACCCTCTGGTGCTTCACGGTGCAGACCTAGTTCGAGGCAGGCACGCATGGCCGCACCTGTCAGCATCCATACGTTGGCAAGCCGAGGATTGATGGACGCGTATTGTAGAACCAACAAGGTCACTTGAATGCCTGCAAGATCCGAAGGTATCTGGGCCTTTTCAGACAAATGTTGTATGCCTTCTTCGAACAGACTCCCCGAGAACACCATATGCTTCGCTTCATGACCAGTCTTGGCAGAGCCCAATGTAGCCGAGATGGACAACATGAGATAGATGACGAGGAAGTCGAAGGAGGGTGGGACGGTCCGATGGCGTTCGGGTAGGTCTTGTAAGGTTTTTATCACGGTATCGAGTTGTTTCCATAGTGTGGGAGAGTAAAGAATCGGAAATATAGGATAAACACGTGTCATGTATTTTTTGACGAGCGACCTCAAAATGGCGCCAGGAATAGACTTGAGCATTGTACAGCTGACTTCGTGAGTTGTTCGAGAGATGGATTTCCGTCGGGCTTCTCGTGGTGAGCCTGAAGCAATGGCCATAGACGGTGTCAAACTCATGCGGACTCGGGCAATAAGATCGGTGATCCCGGGCCCTGTTGGTAGAATGGCAAAGATCATGGCTTGTATCTCGCCACAAGACATGATCTCATCTCGCGAAGTATCCCTCTGGGTTGTTGGGGGTGAAACGTCAAGAGAGAGTGTTAGTTCGGGACTTTTGTGGTCCATGGGGTGCATATCAATTATTGGTAATGCTGTGGTAGTCTCATCGAGTGGGACACCATCGTTGGTGGGCATCCCGGCGAGTATGTCGGAAGCGTTGAGTTCTTCGAGATGGCCATTGCGAGCAAGTTCGCCCTCAACTTTTGCAATTTCGGATTCCAGATGTTGGACAATGCTGCGGGGAATATTTGGATCGTGATCCTTGGAACTGTAGCCCGTACAATCCGACTTTGCAGCGACACACTGCCCACAAGGTATAGCTCGATCACACTTGATCTTGCGCCGGCGACACCTGGCGCAAGAAAGCACGGAGCGACGACATTCGGCCATGACTTACATTTGACGTTGAAGGCAAAGAATCATGGTGATGGGGACGAGCCTCGGAGGAAGATAGCAAGATTACCTTGGGAGTCGTAACTTGTTGACTAGTGTGGACTAATAGTGGTGGCTAACGTTACAGGGCAGGTAAGAACGATGGACGACAACAGCCGGGTAGCAGCTAGTGGTTGTTAATGAGGCAAGCACCCTCGGTCTAGGTAAGTTGTGAACCCCCAAATGAGGCACTTGGCGAGGTGTAATCGATCAGTGGAGTAATGGAATGAAAAGTGTAAGATATTGTAGGTTGGGAGTGGTTGATTCGCAATCGGCAGCATGCAACAGGGCGTGGGTATAATTGCCCAACTCAAGTTAGGATGAGATGAAGATTGGGCGATCGGGAGGAGCTCGTTGGTTGATGGCATTGGCAGGGTTAGGGCAACAAGGCAAGAGCAGTGGGCGACTTGAAAGAGGCAGGAGAGAAGGAGAGCAGGAGTGGGCAGGGCAGGGCAGGGCAGGGCAGGTGCGACTGGCAGGTTGAACATGAATGCTCTGCAACTTTCCCTTATCGCACCTTCCTCCAGGTGCAAAATAATCATGGACTCGGAGTCCTGGTGTTCCCCGCCAACGGACCGGCTAATGGACCGGCTAGCAGCACGTGTGCCCGCACTTGCTAATCTCATCATTCTCTCTCCTCCTTCGTTTGGTATCACCATCGTTGTTGCTGCTGCTCTCGAGTGGGAAACAATCCATGACATTGTGGCAGCGGTGGCCAAGTTTATATGTTTCGGATTTCTGCAAGGCTGTGTATTCATCAAAAGCGCACATGTCCTATTTTCGTCTCTCAACTCCTTTAGCCCGTTGACGGACTTATTCACCGAAACGACAATATGGACCTCGACTCTACGACCATCTCCGAAGCGGAGCTAACACGTCTCCTGCCAACCTGTCAACGATGTCGCCGACTTCGTAGAAAATGTGATACAAATCTTCCGGCATGTCGACTTTGTGAGAAGGGCAAGGCAGAATGTACCTTTTTCGACCACGCTCTACAGCAGACTTTACCACGAAGCTATGTCCACTCGCTGTTAACTCGACTGGGTCGTTTGCGTTCTGTCCAAGCTGCTGTCAATGGCAACAATGATCCTTTGGCTCATTTCCAGGCTCAAATTTCGCAACATGCCCGCAATATCTCCTTGACATCAACTCACCTGGATCCCCCACCAAATGAATGGGGGACTTACACTAGCGATTTGTCCTTTGACAAGCATTTCATCGTTCAAAATGCAAATCCTACATGTTGGCAATTCCTCGGTAGCTCTTCACCTTACGCTCTTATCGTCGAGGTGCTTGTCCATGCACAAGCTAAGCTGGGACCCATGGTACACCATCCAGATTACGCAGGTCCAGAGTTCTGGCTGAATGCCCAAAGCACGGAAATTCAGCAACCAGCTCAACTCAGACCAACCCCTTCTCGCTCAGAGGTGGAAATGCTGATCAATTTATACATGGCAACGACCAACGGCCTTGTCGTCTTTGTCGACTCGGAGGACATCTCACACGATATTGAGGTATATCTTCGTCACCAAAGCTCCAATGCCAAGTACCTCACTGGTAGAGATGCTCATCAGTTTTTTCGCGTGGCAATGATTTGCGCTGTGGCTTCTGCCAACAAGGCCAGGCATCACTCAATTTATGATACAGAGTCTATGGCCTACTATGCAGAAGGCCTTCAATGCGTCGAAGAAGTCACGTCAGAGGTCAATGCCGATGCTCTGGAAGCCCTTCTCCTATTGATCATGTTTACTTTGTTCTATCCACGAAAGGGTGATATCTGGAAGCTCCTGGATTTTGCCTGTCGTCTAAGTGTGGAGCTGAGCTACCACACAGAACCGAATGATGATTATGAAGACGAGAGGGCAAAGCGCAGACGACGGTCGATCTTTTGGGGTCTATATACTATCGAACGTACTGTTGGTCAACACCTTGGTCGCCCTTCAGATCTGACAGAAGAGATTATTACTGCTGAGTACCCAGCTACACTCACCGACTCTACCATTGCAGACCCAGATTCGCTACAACTCATTCTTACAAGCCATTACTACCGCCTGACGTACATTCGCTCTGAGATCTTTCGAGAACTCTACCTCCCTGCTATTGCTCCTAACCTGCCTCGGATATGGTACGAGCAAAATCTTGAGCACATCATAGCTTGGCGGCGTGAATTGCAGTTTCTTGACACCGGGCTTGGTATGGGTAGCATGACTTGTGATATGGGCTTTGACTCATCTATCTGCTTTCTCTTCCAACCTTTGCTCCTTCGCGCATTGGTCGCTACAAAAGACCATATACTCCCCCAAGAGGTGACTGAAATCATTCCTCGAGAGAGCTACTACTCTGCAGTTCATGTGGTGGAGTTCTATCACAAGCTTTTTCGCGGTACAGAAGGCAGCCCATATGGGATGTACCCTATCACAATCGTTTCGGCACACTATATCTTTCAAGCAACCATCATCATAATGGCGCATTGTCTCTTGGCAATTGACGGAAGGCTGCCGATCGTGAGCTTCTCCCGAGACTTGGCAGGAGAGGAGCAACCTGATGCTATTGACTTTTCCGAAATCCACGAAATTTCTGGAACTTGTTTGATTTTATTGAATACGCTGGCAAAGAAATGGTCGGGAATGGTGGGTCTTCTGGACATCTACAAGAGCTTACAAGACAAGGTATTACCCATAATGATGAGAAGTGGTCTTGGTTAAGGGCCTCTTTGGGTTATGGGGTTTTGGGTTGTCATGTGTGGGAGGCCGACGATTGCTTCTTTGTTTCCGTGCACAATGTCTTGCATCAAGAAGCAATAATCCAAAACAATTTATATGCAGTTTGCCGTTGCGTCTCACGCCGCAGGTTCTTGCGAGGTCTCAGCGCTTCAGACAATCTTCTTTGTGGCTTGTCAAACACTCCCAGGTCAAGGGACGAACGGCCTCAAATCTTGCGACTCTTAGACTCTCAGTGCATGAGAAGGTCAAACGACTGTCTCATTGAGCAATCAGCAACTAGTCCAAACAGAGGACGTTGCATGTTGCAAGACCATTGATGATGTTGAGTTTAAACGGAGATATATTATTATAACTTTCCGCCCTGGTGGTTCCATTCTTCATACTACAACGCTCTCTTTACTACCGAAGACTTTGTATCATACAAACCAAGTATCTGAAATCAGGACGATCCGATCAACCTCAGAACGTCTGCGAAACGCACCAACTTCGGTGCCACAGGGAAATATCTACAATTTCCTTTGATCAAGACCAAAGACGATATGAGTAGTCATACGAGATCCAACGGTTAGCACACTACCTCAAGCAAGTCCTCTGACAGTAGGACAAGGCTGACCAGCGCTTCTTACAGGCACAATGACAATAGACTCTGACACTTTTTCAACACCGAACCAAGAGCCACTAAAATCTGCCAACAACACAACGCGCTTAGTGAAGCCGCTCAACCTCCGCAGCTCTAGAAAATCAGTGTTGGCCCACTCTAAACAACCAATTATCAAAACATCGTCCAAGACCGTATCACCATCCTCGCAACTGCGAGTTCGATGTCAAGGGATGGTTTCACACAAAGTTCAGAAGCATGGGCCAGGATATGTCTCCAACCTCAAAGAGAAATTCAATAACGCACGGAAAGGTACTCGCCTTCGCTTTACCCTGAAAGAAGGTAGAGCAGTAAAAGTTGAGGTTGTTGACTGAGCTGTGGTTTGTCTGATTTGGGGGCCGAAAGTGTGTCGCGCGTCGGTGAGAGAGGGGAAATTCAATTTCAGTGCATCCAAGAGCCAGTGCCACGCTGTACTGATCCATTCGGACGCTTTGATGATTCAACCAGAGTCTTGTTGTGTAGGATTATGGGTGGTCTAATAATGGCTGGTGAGGCGCCATGGAGTCTCCTGATGTGGTCGAAATGGCTACTGTTGATAGCGAAGCTGTGAAGTCAGTGTATCAGAGTATCTCAATTCACATGCCATACATCACTCCTGCTCAGTTGCTAACCTACCCTATGGCCCATGTAAAGCACCAATTGTCTTCAACATTCCTGGTGCCGCTTTAGCGCACACAGCATCCGAGTCATGTGATTTAAAGCGGCATTGCATGGTTAAAGCGATTCAATCATCGCGAACTTGGCCTAGAGGTCCTCTTGGACTTCTCCGCATATCCATTCATACTCTCCGTGCCTTTGAACCCGTACCATTTGTACTAATTTTCGCTCACAATGGCTACTCTACAAGGCTCTGGCATTCCCAAGGTCAAAATCGAAGGCGCTCCAGACCAGACCATCAAGCCAGAGCCTACAGATGATACACCTTCACCATACGTCGACGATGATGAGGACATGTATGAGGAGACGGGCGATCTTGACTTTTCTCAAGCACAACAACAGCTGTGGTTGAGTCACATACCCAGATCTCTGTGGGAAGCTATTTCCAACCTCAATGATGAAGACGAGGTCGAGATCGGTACCATCAGAGTCGAAGGCCCAGAGTCCAACCCGTCAAGGGTATGAAGATGACCTATCCAATGTTATTTTATGTGGTTAGAAGCTGACACTTTCCGGCAGGTGAGCTTGATGCTGAACAATTTACCTCAGTTCGAAGATGAGCCTAAAGAGTACAATCTTTCCCTTCCTCCCATCGAGAAAGTCAGAAGTCGAAGGCCAGGCCAAGCGTTGGTTTTTACAGAGAAGGATCTACCCGGTTACAAAGCGAGGCCATTCACGTGGGACGACTTGGACGAGGATGGGAATCCGGCGCAGGGGCGATCATATTTGTACGAGAACCACAAGCGTCAGATCAAAAAGAAAGAGAACAAGGGCCGGTACACTCCATATGCGCGACGACCTATTCCCAAGCAGACTGCCATCACAGGCACCGTGGCAAAGGAGTTTGAAGTGGTTCCTGTCAAAAATGACGAGTACTATGTACTTGAGAGCAAACAGGCTCAGGAACTACTGAAAATTCCCGATCGAGAACACGCCATCTTCGCAAGTGGTGACCAAGATCCTTCGAAGAAACACCTGCCGTTCATGACCCAATCGGACAAAGCAAACGCTCTTAAGGTAAACATTCTGATGCCCATTTCCAACAGCCTATTCGTTCTTCGCTAACTTGAAACTCTTCCAGAATGCACAAGCCAGGCGACAAGCGCAGAAGGAGACGCGCGCGGCACGCGTCGAGAAACACGTCCTCATCGACAAACTCCTGGAAATGTTCCGGCAGCACCGTATCTGGGGTCTACGCGACCTCAAAGCCCGCGTCAACCAACCGGAAGCTTACCTCCGACAAACACTCGATGAAGTAGCGTTCATGTGGAGGGCAGGCGACTTCAACGGCAAATGGGAGCTGAAAGCCGAGTTCAAGCAGAACGATGAGGAGCTGTTGAACCCCAAGGGCGTCGAGGTTGCGCCGGAGGTGAAAGGCGGCGATTCGGACATGGAAATGGACAAGTCCGGCGCTGACGATGACGATGACGACGATGTCTTCGAGGACGTCGATCAAAAACCCTAGTTGGGACGGCGCGGAGACTCTTCTTCGACGCCCACGTGTCTTAAAAACTGCATAGCGATGGCGTTGGTGGTGGCGCGGTGCCGCCAGGGCACCCTCTTGGCTACAAGATACCCAGGTGGATGATGAAATGATATCAATGAGCTTTTATTTTGCTGCGGGAGATATCGAGACAACACCACCACTACTACTACTGCTATCTATTTGCATTTCGTACTTGCGAAAGACTGGTTTCAAACAACCAGTCGTTCGTGGGTACTTTGCAACTTCCAAATATAGATCTTCTCCCTCTTCATTCACCACCACCGCTGGTTTTACTTGTCCTTGACTACGAAGAAGATCTCTCGTCTAACTAGAAAGAGTCTATGAACCTGCCACCATAGATCATAGGAGCGATTCTGGCATGCACGTGGAAATGTGACCTCACGTGAGCATTTCAGGGCTCGCGGATCCGAACGACTAACTAAATAAATGCGAGCAGGCGACACACGTGCACAGAGGAGGGCTACAGGCATGCATATTTGCTGGTGAACCTGCTTCAACTAGTCCCCGAGATGTGGGTCCAGCAGTGTTGCTCGCACTGGCACCTCTGTTGAAATTGTGAGCATTACATGTGTACCATGAAGTATCTCCGTGCCAGCATGGTTGACGTGATCGTGAAACACATACTCAGGAAGAGCACGAATGACTTGAAACGGCAACGGCTCTTTGGGGTTATGAACGTGAATACAAATTAATAAATGGATTTCCATTGATCATATGTGGAAAGCGAGGCTGGGGGCTCCAGCTCTGCAGCCATGCACGATATCGCTAGACAAATACCCACTCCTCCCATTTTGGAGGATTTCCGAAGGGTTGAGGCGACAAATTATATTCAGCTCTGGTGAGACTGACAGGTTTTGCCAGCTTACAGGGTATATCTGAACGCTGGGCTCCTGTCACCGAGATCCGAAAGCTCCTTCTCGGTCAGGCCCTCAGCAGCACCGCTCTTCTCACGATTGCTGTTTATTCGGCCGTAGGAGATCCTGAGCGTAACGACGGCAATGAGGCCCAAGACGACGAATCCGATGTCCAGGCCGTGGCCGAGCAGATACTTGGGGGCGTCCTTGGAGCGGTAGAAGTTGCTGGCCATAGCACCACCCAGGTTGCCCGCACCGATTTGGAACGCCATGCCCGCGGCACGCTTGTAGCTGCCTGCGAGATTGTTGCTGATCCAGGTGATGTTGTTGGGGAAGGCTGGGTAGATACCGCATGTCGCGATGAAGACGCCGGCGTACACGACACCGGGAACGCCGCCGACGGCTGAGGCAGAGATGGCCATGATAAAACCGATTAGGATGGCACACATTGGGAAGAACACAAATGGCCATCGGGATTTGCCTTGCTTGGATGCTCGGTCGGAGAACCAGCAGACGACGATGGTGAGAATTGCAGCGGTGATGTAGATTGGGATGGTGAGGAGTTGGGCGGTGGTGGAGATGTAGCCCAATTCTTTGATAATGCTGGGCAGGAAGAGTGAGATCGAGTCTATTTCGTATTATTAGTTACAATTCGTGATAGAATTCATGGTAGAAAGTGAGGCGAGAGAATATTATAGCAAGCATCTGACTTACACAAAGGACAAACAATTCCCCAGTACATCAAAAGAGACAGATACAGCTGCCAATCAGTAACAGCTAAATGTCCATTAGTCGAGATACTTGGTAAGTTCCACAGATCGTACTTACCTTGAACAACGTATTTCCACTCAAAATGGTCACTTTCAGCTACAAGCTTTCCATTCTTGCTGCCTTGGTACTTCAGGCGGTGCACAACCCAAGCCTTTTCCTCAACGGTCAAGAAGCTGGCGGTATCTGGGAAGTCGTAGAGCATAAAGAATGCAGCGAAAGCGACGAGAACGGTCAACAAGCCTTCCAGGATGAAGATCCATTGCCAACTGAAACGATAGGTCAGTGGAAATTTCTTCGGGCCTAGAACAGTAAACTCACCCCGCTCGGTTTCCTACTCCATCCATCTTTGCAATCGCAAATGCTAGAAGTCCTGAGAAGGAACCTGCAATGCTTGCAGCACTGAAGAATAGACCTTGGCGGAATGCTAGCTCTTCTCTCACATACCAAGATGTGAGGTAGTACGCGCAACCCGGATACAGACCAGCCTCTGCAACACCAAGGAAGATCCGGGAGATGAGAAGGCCGTGGTAGCTGTTCACTAGACCCATCAACGTCATGACTGTTCCCCAAGCAACCATGATACCAGGCAACCAAATTGATGGCCGGAAGTACTTGAGAAGTAGATTTGAGGGGATTTCGAAAGCACAATATGTGAAGAACTGGCTTCATTTGTTAGAGATAGGGTGCCAACCATGCATAGTATTCTGGAAATGCTCACAAAGACAGTAGCGCAAAGATTGTACTGAGGTCCAGTAAGAGCCAGATCAGTCTGCATGCCTTGGATTTTTGCATTTCCGATGTTTGAACGGTCCAAAAAGCTCAGAAGATACAGTAGAGCTAACATTGGAATTAAACGAAGGTCAATCTTGCGTAATGTCTTTGCAGGATCAACACCGGAGGTGTCGATGCCGTCTCCTGTCCAATTCGGATCATGATGCTTTTCGTCCTGTTGAATGGGTGTTAGAACGGGTGAAGGACCCTCAGCCGCTCGAGAGAGACTTACAACATGCTTGTCACCGTTGACTGACCGTTCAACTTGATCATCCGCCCACTTCTCGCTGACTGAAGAAGTGTCGTGCATATTGGTAGCGGTAGTGATGGCCATATTTGGGTAGAAGAAGAAATTGAGATGTCACTGGTACACAGCTGACAGGACCAATTCCATGACGGGGTAATGAGGTCAATCAACCCTCTTATACTCCTTCCAGTTCTGCAGTTCAGGTAAGGCACTGGTCCCTGATACTGACATGCGCCCAGGCCACGGATGCGAAGAACCCTGTTCGAGTCCACGTTTTTCGGTTGAGAATTGGCTGGAGAAGCATGCATGATTTGCTCTTGGTCATCTGGGGGCAAAGTACGGAGTAATCTGGGGACAAAGAAGTGTTGAGCATTGCCTGTTTGGTGGATATTTCGCTTAGGACAAAATCTTGTTGGTTGAAAGCCTCGGCTAAGTTGTAAGCTTATCAGGTGAGACCAGGGTCCTCAATCTTCGGATCCGAATGCAACATGACGCATGGGGCTGACTTGGAATTTGCCCGTGGGGAGGGAGGCATTCTCCCTTCCCCGCAATCTGGCAGACGGTGTCCCTCCCGACTCTTGACCGATCAAAGATGTTTCTGCAGTTGACAGGTCACTAAGATTGGTATACCTCGCCACGGAAACTGCAACCGGCGGTGGTCGTCCTGAACTGGTGCAGACAGGTGCTTCGTTCTAGAACCTGCAGCTTCTATGCATATCTCAAACGGCAGGCCCACACAATCATCGGCTCCGTAGGTATGTCCATATGTTCGGTCGACTCGTATCACCATTTGGTAATACTGGGTGGCGTGTTATTACCACGGTGGGTATGCTGGCTGGGAAGGATTCTCCGGTTTTGCAAATTCGGCTCTTGCCATCTGTACTGACTTGGAACATTGTGGTAATTGTTCGAGTGTCTGCCTCAAAGTGGAGAGGAGATTATTGTGGGCGTCTGGACCAATCTTTCCCCTGGACGAGTCCCTTTCAATCGCTTGTTGCATCAGCTTCACAGCTGCGACCACATGATGTGGATATGGGTCTACCGCAACTAGAGGAACCGTGATTGAGGACTTTTGTGTGAAAGGTGCTTTCGGATCAGAAGCGCCTGTCTCGCTTCGAAGTTGCAAGGTGTACTTGTTGTTCAACCCAAATTCTAAGCAGTTCATGACCCATGTTTCTGCATTCATTCGTTTCGACGAGAACAGGGATAGGAGATCCTCACGATGTGTGGTGGCCACTATATCTGGAACCATCAAGATACTAAGATTATAATGCATCACTAGTTCATCTGCGCCAGGGTCAGTCAGAAGGCTGGAATGTTCTTGACGGAGCAGCTTTACTTACACCATCGAAGTTTGGTTTCTTGACTGAAGAACTGTATTCGTGTCTGGCATGCACTGAGCAAATCTCGATAGGTGGCGTTGAAGTGATCAATGGCGTCGGACACAGCGTTGAAGGCCTTGTCGACCTCGACTTCGTCATGTCCATCTCTCAATGATTCCTTGAGATTTGCCGTCAATTTCCACTGTAACAGCTTCCACGCTGCCCCAGATGCGATGATCTGATTTGCCTTTTCATTGGTCATTTCAAAGTCAAGCTCCTTCCAGTCCTTGGTCATTCCTTTGAATATCTCGGTGCATGTTCGGACCATGCGCCAGGACGGTTCAGCGTCGAATCCAAATAGTCCAGACGACAGCAAAGGCCTACAACTCATGGTCAACGATGCAGATGTGTCGAAGGTCAGTGCAGCCCAGTATGCAGTGCTCTCAGCATTAATGAAATTAGTCGTTGCAAGTGACTGGGGGCTTGTAGCTGAAGTACGCCTCACGCTGGCGAGGCTTACTCGGGTACCATTGAATTGAAGACTTCTCTGGCGAGCACGCAGTGTCTGAATCTGTTGAAGTGCAGCATGAACGCAATGTTGACCGGAAACACCATCTAACTCTTCATCCTCGCCTATTCCAACCGGTATCGGAGTCAGAGCGAATAGTAGTAAGGCCAGCATGGATCGATAAGAGGGTCTGTTGATAACTTTGAGCATATCTCTGTGCGCCCGTCGCCATAAGGCTCTCACAATCTCGAGTCGTGGCACTACTTCAGTCTCGGTGGGAAATACCAGTGGCAGCCATCGAGCTGCAAAGCCTTGGATAGAACAGTCGAGATAATGATCGATCTGCAAGTCATTTTCGTTTCTGAACGACTCTGGTGAGGCACCAAAATCCACCATGGTGCCTGTGCCATCATGTCCATCCTCGATCCACTTGTCAAGCTGGCTACAAAGCCGACGAATACTTACGATGTCTGATAGACTTTGCTCTCCGAACCTAGATCTGTTAGACCATTATCAATGAGGTTTGACGATGTGAGTAACATACGCAAATGGATTACTATACCTCCCCATCCAGGAACCGAAGACAGTCTCAAACCCCGAATCGTAGATAGTATGAAGCCATGATTGGTCAACTGCATCGAGCGAATTTTCCTCACTGGGTAACGACGTAGGCACTATCTTGGAAGGCTCTCTGAATGACCATGCCGATGCGAAACTGTACTCGTTAGTTCTGGCATGTCGTGATTTCGTCAGTGGCCATACCTGAAGTCTGCGTCATATAGACCAGGGCTCGACTGAAGTACTGCAGAGCGTGGCAGGTCAGAGGTTTGGGACTGGCGTTCATCGGCGGAAGCACTTTCTGTTTGCGCTCGTTGGCGAGCCTTCCTCGGCCTCTTTTGTGGCTCAGATCTTAAAGCTACAGAGGTGCCTGTGGCCTGCTTCATCCACTGTCGACAACAGATTTAGTCCGAGGACAAGTAGAACAGCTACTCGGTGAACATTCGGCCTACCTCGAAAGTGCATTGCCACTGCCGGTTTGAACACCTTGTGCAAGATAGCAACTCCTGTGGGTCGTGCTGATTGCGACGCGCTCTGCCCGCATCGCAGGCGACTCGGGATTTCCGGCATTCATCGCAACTCGAGAATTGAACTCGACGATGCGTGCGGTCATTGTGCGCCATTACCTCGAGACAGGACTTGGTAAGCACGGATGACCATTTCGAGTCTGCAGAATTAGTTGAGAGTCCCAATTCTGAAGTTGAAAAATGTTGTTGAGGTAAGAATTAGTGTGACACACTTGATCCAGTTAAAAAAAGAGGTTGTGGCACTACTGCCCAGTTGGGGAGACTTAGCCTCGAACGAATGCTTGATTAGGACGTTTCCGGGGTATACTCCATGGGGAAGAAACTCCCTCGTCCCTGATATTTACTATTTACCTACCCCGTCAACTCTGGTATCTGTGTTGTAGCATTCTTGTTTTATATTAAACATTCGACTTAAATACCAAGCGTTCATTTTCTATGGTTATAAGAAATCCACCAGTTCGTGTCCACACCAGAATTCCCACCAAATGCCGCTGAGACTATTTTCATACATCGTAAGGCCATCCTCACTTTAGCCAAAACCCATCAATGTCTTATCACAAAATTCGGAAATTGCTGTTAAAGGTCCTGAAAGTCCGTGTGTGAGTCTTCCCAATCAGTATTCGTAAAATCCACGTCCATTTTTGACTCCTAATTGTCCATTATCAATCAATTTTTTCAGATAGTCTCGAGGTTCCGAAGGAATGTCCGGCCGTTTCTCTGCATAGTGCTCCTCAATATTGAGCACAACATCCAATCCCACTACATCCATCTGCTCGAATGGTCCTTTTGGTGTTTTCAAGACGTCCTTGAAAATGCTATCTATCTCTGCTGGTGTTGCCACACCCTCAGCTGCTGTGAGTAATGCTTCCCGTTTGATTGCTGCCCAGATACTGTGAACCTCTAGTCAGAAATGATCACACGAAAGCCAAAGAGCCAGATTTGCCAGGTCCAAATCTCACCGGTTGTAGATATAACCCATCGAGTCCTTCTTGACGTGAAACGGGCTAAAGCCATGTTCTCGAGACTCCTCCAGGAGCAATGATATGCATTCAGGATTAGTCCGTTGGTGACCCATGATCTCGAGTGCTATTCCTCCAGGTCAGTGTATCGTCCAGCGTTAACCATCGGTATTGACTTACCAGAAGTTTCTGGAGGCCAGTCTTCATTCGTTAGCAGATGTCGGACTTGATCATGTAAAGAAACTTACAGCTGTGGGCACTGAGTATTCGACGATCATTTGACAGTTGCAGCCCTTCTATCAACTCCGAGATTGGATAACTACTCGAGTTTGAAGCGATGATTGTCGAAGATGGGGCCAATTTGTCCAACTGTGCGATCATACTTCGCTTGAGTTCGAGTTTCTCCGGCACACACTGTTCAGCGAACCCCCGTTAGTGATGGATATAAATCAAAACAAGTCAACCATGGGTTAAGACATTTCACATACCTCAACCACGAGCCAGCTTGATTGCAATGCCGTGCTCAACTGATCCGCTGAAAATGTCTTGACTTCGCCCCATGATGCGTCAGGCTTTTTGGCCGACATACGGAGTCCTTTTATGTACTCCACGCCATCTTGAAGTTGCTTTTCTTGTGCGTCGATCAAGTGGACTGGCCGACCTTTGCTCGACCACTATCTCATAGTCGAAATTAGCAAATTTCGCTTTCCATCTCCAAAGAGTGCATATTACCATGTATGCCAGCCTTCGACCTTGGGTCCCAGCACCTAGCAAGGCCACAGGCCGTTGTGTCAAGTTCGCTACCATGGTTGAGCTAGTGAAGTGTCTCTCTGCTGATGACTATTGTTGTTAGAAGACGATGCTGATACGAACGGCTCACGGGGAAGGAAGATGTCCGAAGCTCCTGTGAGTCTAAATGCCTTCTGCACAATAGAAGAGATTAAATCGACCAAGGTTAACTAGATATGCACGTCGAAAACTGTTTACCTACTGAATTACGACCAAGATATTGGAATCCTGAGACAGACACTTTATCACTTGCTATGGCCGCTGATGATCTATCGCTTGGCAGTGACAGGGAAGTTCGGTTCCGACACAAACCTCCTCTGCGACAGGCTGAATTGACAGCCTTGGATGACGTCGAAGAACGCCACCGAGCGCCACTATTCTGAACTGAGTTTGTGAACATACTTCCACCCTCGTTGCGAGAGTCCAGGGGCGTTCATTTTTTATGGTGGAAGCCGTTGATTTTCTAATCATTCTAGAATGAGATGCACGTGAAGCCTCAAATACAGATTTGATGCAGAATTCCCAACCCTTCTCGGACTTGGCTTTCTCCTACGGCCCCTGACCGTATCGATGTCGAGTGTCTAGACATGTGCCATATTCTATCCGTGGGGCACCCACGTTTCGATTCTTATTCCATGTGATAGATTATCGTAAGTCTGGAGCAGGTTAGCTGACATTGTACCTTGTTCCATACTCCTCCACAACCCATTGGCAAAAGTCCTCCCATTTCTGGTTCCACTCCTTCATTCGTCTTGCCTTCGTGCCGGAGCCGTTAACACCCATGTCGATATCATGCACCCATTCTACCTGGGTCTGGTCCTCAAAATTAGACCAACGCACACTATTTTCAGCGAGAGCACCCTATTATCAAAACGTTAGCACGACATGCTTGGTCCAGAGACAAATCTCACCAAACCTCCAAGCCCAAGGTTGTCATATGCTTGAATGGCTTGGTAAAAGTCGAAGCTGAGACCCGGTTCATCTTGGCCCATGATTGACGGGTCATCATTACTTATGGCTGTTGCAACGCCGTGCGCAATCATAGCTGGTATGGGATGATGGAGGACGTCTGTTGCGAGACGGAGCACTTCGTTCGATATAGGACATACTTCAACCATGATGCGTTGCTCGATCACTTTTTCTATAAGCTTGGGATGCTTGTACAATGAAAATCCATGTCCGATACGCCGGGTGTCGAACAGGATGGCATCAAACAAATTTGAGTCCGTACTGTTCCCGTCGCCAAGTGTCTCTCCTGCGTGGAAGAAGAAAGGTAAGGAAACATTGTGAGCCTGAACTTGCTCTTGAAACCAGATCAACTCTGGTGCCAGGTCTGATAAGGGCCGTCCAAGGTCTTCCTGGGCAACTAGGTCGTAACCACTAAACAGATCAGGATAGTTCAGCTTTCGCTGGATTGCAATTTGCATGGCTTTTCAATCACGGTTAGTTGAGGCTCGTTCCCCGGCGCCTCGCCACTAAGACTACTGGGAGGAACTCACTATTGGTAAGTACCGTACGATTCCAGGCCCTAATGTCCGACCAGATAACTCGAACTCCCCAAAAGCTCTGACCTCTCTCCGTTGCCTTGAATTTCTCAATTTCATCCAACATGACCTCCCACCAAAAGTCCAGATCTGGGTCGGCTACTGCCTGTCCCTCGGGAATCAGCGTCGCTGACGAACCACCACTCCGAAGTTCAACCCACGAAACACCATCGTCCACCAGACTCTCGAAGAGACTTTGCCAGTATGTGCGGATGATGGGTTCGTAGTTCAGCGCTGCACCTATGGGACCGAAGCAGCTCTGGAACTTCCTCCAAATGGCATCGACGCCGAGATCATGCCGGAGTGACTCTTCCGGGGTCAACGCCATCTTGGATTTCAGGTGAGAGATGAATGCCGCACGGCCTCCGGGATGTGTATCTGCTGCGACCGTGATGGGGACGAAGGAACTTGGTACGTAATCTGTGGAGTACAATGAAGGCGAAGATGTCGGTGCAGTCGTGTTCACATGTGTGAAGGAAATCGATGCATTAAGACTACTGATCTCAGAGGTAAGGCTCTGCGAAGCTGAAATGACGATACCCTCCGTGGTCAGAAGACTGTCAATGATGATATCCACGGATACCAAAGCTGTCGAATGCGCGTGCAGCAACGACCCCTTGGGCAGTCGCTGAACGATTTTCCACAGTTCTGTGCTTGGGATGAACGGCTTGGCTTGGGGAAACATCATCCCGGCGAATCTCTCGGTGTCTTGCTGACCTAGAGGAGCAGGTCTTCGCCAGTAATTATCGATCTCGTCTTGTCGGATGGCCGCAACGATGCGTTCGGCCTGCTGGGCAGTTGGTGAAAGAGAACTGCGGAAGGCATGGTCTACATTACCGGAGTTATCGATCTATTCCAAAAAAAAAAAGGTGAACTAGGATTGGAACCTTAGTTACCTTGTCTCTGTTCCTTCTCGGTTGCTATTAGACTAGACCTAGCTTCGAGGTGAGCTTGAACCGTCGAATCATTGGCATATGGCACGCCGGAACCATCACGAGAGCAGTTAACGATGCTAACAGTCGAAACGAGTGCGAGGAAAAGCCACAGCATGACCTTTGGGAAAATAGTTGAACTAGTCATTGCCTTTTTCCTACTACCATCTCTATGAGGAGACTAGGTCTGTGATTTCAGGAGGCAAGGAAGCGAGCGAACAAAACTTCCAGACGGCTGTCCGGTAAGTGTGTAACCCAGTTAATATTTGACATGGGATTGCGCACGGCTGGAATCACAATATTGAGTGCCAACATCTCCTCGAGCTATGACCACATGTTCTTGGCCCGCTACATCGATTCAGGAAAGTATGTAGCATTGTTTAGAACGCTAACTCAGCATTTGGGGGTCATCCCAGTCTCTATCTTTGACTGGCCATGTATAGAATAGTCATTATTTCCTATTTAGGATTGGGTTGTCGCAGATGTCCTGTCAAATGATGAGATAAGAGATGAATAGGCCAATTATTCGGAGGGTTTGGGGGTGTGCCAAGGAGAGTAGTTCTTGAGCGACCTTAATGGAGTTTCCGAATCCTCAAGGAAACTCCATTGTTTTGTGGATACACCTGGAATCGAGCCGGCTTCCGGACAGGCATGAGTGGAATAATGTAAGTAAAGCACTATCTGACTCTCGTTCACTGCTCCGAGCCAGACGTCCCAACGAGACGATTCAAGCACTCGATACTCTCTTCAATCATGCCTGCTTCACATCGAGCTCTCAGGAACTCAATCACAACAATCAGCATTCCACACGGCTTGCTGAGAATCACCATACTTTGTTCGCCAGCCTCCTGATGCATGTTGGTGGCTACGTGGAGATACTCTCGGCATTGCTTCTCGGCCCGGTCCATCGACATGATTTGTCCATCACGGACCAATTCCCTAGAGAAGGTTGTTGTTTTCGTGAGTGCAAACCCGAAATTCCAACATATCAGACAGGCGAGATATAAGCACCACAAGCAGTGGTGGCAGTGTGTCTGTGGTGACTCTTCATTGAGCCGCTCTTGTAACAAAGTCGCCGCGTCTGCAGTATTTCAAGTAAGTCATTCGATCAAATTGTGTTGAGACTTTCAATATGTACTCACAAGATACTCCTAATGAAGCACGATCGTGCTTCGCCCATAGGCGCAACTTCCTCTTGGACTGTGCATAATCAGCGGCCCCCCGTCTCTTACCTTCAATGACTTCTTTGCCAGCGACCGTCTGAAGATCCATGGGACTGATTTCGTAGAGGGTGTGTGCAAGCCTAACCACACACAAACAGTCACGCCAAGCAAAGCTCTTGAGGCCTAGGGGAGCTGGGACCTTCTTCCAAGAGGCTTCCCAAATTTCGAATGAACGCCTAGCTTTATGCCCGAGCCAAATGAGACTATTGCTCGATCGGCTAGAGAGGCTGTTGTCCTCCCTATGGGATAACTCTCGAGCGATCGATATTAGGCCATACATGATGATGCTTGCACCACGAGGAAGGGTCTCATTCAAGATTTTGGTCGAATGAGGATTCCACGACTTCTTCAGCATTGGCAGGAATGATACTGGCTCAGCCTCTTCTTTGATACCCATGAAAAGCTGTGCCCATTCGGTTGCAGATGTGGCATACCACGTATCCTCTGAAAAGGGGAGTCTCAAGTTCAATTCAAAAGGCGTCATTGAAACCTCACCGCCATGCAGAATTGCATGCTTTACATCGAGCGCAAACGTCTGGAGAATCAATCTGTGGTGGAGTGTTAGTCAATGTCGCGCAGTGATGTGGTTAATGGAGCGCGAAACCTCCTTATCGTCTCGGTCTCTATCCACTTCATCCACACTCGCGTGGAGATGCCTTCCCTCGGCAACATGGTGATGCTCGATCGATCCCACCTATAATCTATGCGCCGAATGGCCTAGCACGAAAAGTCAGACAGCGAACGAAAGTATTCTCGTTTACCTCTCTCAGAACGTCCCATGACTACGGAAGTGTCATGCCTCACCTCGATCAAAACGCCATGAAACATGGACGCAAATCCATACTCTTCGCGAGTTCCCTGATATCTGGCGAATAAAAGAGCTAAGAACAAGGTTTGGACTATCCACACTGGGGGTGTATTCGTCAACCCAGGGTGCTTGGGGCAAAAGTCAGCATATTTCGGTGGACGAACAGGTGGCAATGGTACATTGATGATGGAAGTCCTGATAGCTCGCTGTATCTTTGACGACATGTGATACTCGTGGTTATTGTCGCTTCTCATCAACGTCCACCCTAGGGTTATGATGGTCCAGATTAGTTGGGGACCTGACTCCTCTCCAAAGACATCAATCACGGCCTGCAGATTCTCTTTGGAGGACGAGCAGATGAGTTCATGATGGATAAAAGCATATTCGATATTGACATTTCGACAAAATAGATGTATCCCTTGTTTCATGCTATTCAAAGAGAAAATAGGATCACGAACATCAACATCTATGATATTGCGTAAATCCATGAGAAGCTCAATGCGGCGTTCGTCTGTGAGAGCATTGCATACTCGGAAGCCGCAGCTTGGAGGGTCGAATTCGCCTGTCTTGGCTACGTAGATTTTGGAATGCAATTCTTGCATATATATGGGTGGCAGCTGGCCGTTGATGTTGTAAATTTCTGCAGTAATAGTAGCCGTATCTCTGAGTGGCGTGACTATTGTCAATGCTTCAGAGATATGGAGGGTCTGCTCGGGAGGCCATTCTTGTTCTACCTCAGATGAGAGCTGATTGTCGAAAAGCCATTGCATATCCGTATTGGTAAATCGTGTGCTTTGGTGAGTACAGAAATACTCCCCTAGCTCCTGTATCCAGGGTTCCTCCAAAGTCGTACCCCACGGATTATTTGGATTGGAATGCACGGGCAGGTAAGTCTCTGAGCCTTCATCATATTTGCTTTGTGGTTCCGAGGTTGCATTTTGCGCCATCGGGATCTGTAAAAATCCATCGTGCGAGGATTGATCTGATAATGGTGCCAGATCGCTGACTGGCCAATGGGACGGATCAATGGGAGTGCTTTCGTGGACTATCTCTCGAGCGTTATGAACGGTAGTCTCCCCCAGATCAGATTGCGGGTGTTCAGAGTGAAGCTCCTCCTTCCCATGAGACACTCTGAGATGACGATTCCACAAATCCTTTCGCACAAATATGACCGAGCATGATACGCACCTCCAAGTCTTTCCAGAGTTATGGTTTAGTTGATGTCGTTTCAAATGCTCGGCGCGCGTAAACGCTTTTGTACAACCGTGAACTGTGCATTGATATGGTCTGATGTACCCCGTTTGGTTGCCCAGAGCTGCGTCTGTTGATCTCTTACTTCGAGTGCGTTTCACTTCTTTCCGCGGCCGATCAGAATCAGTCATTACGGCGACATAGTTCGTGGACACTGTCCCATTGACACCTCATAATATCATCTCACCAAGAAAGAATTATGACCTTTCCCCGAATGTTTGCAATGTAGAACACGGATGATCATGGCACAGATGGGCGATATTGGTCAAGCTCAAAGGGATGGACGATAAGCGATCAATTGGATGACTGACTCATCCGCATCGGTGCCGAGAAGCTTCGTTGGCAATCACGTATTCTGCACTCAGGAGCATCGGCAAACGCCGAAGCTTGGGGTAAATACTCGATTTGGCGGCCCAAACGATCCCACCGGATTTCAGCAGGGAAAACATGACATTCTACTGTGGAATGCGGAAGGGAAATTCACCATCTCTCATTCTGAGATTGTCTTGTCTTCAAAGAGTCGACCCATTCCCTGGGCCCCAAGGAATGAGTCAATGGTCCCTGGTATGACCTAGTAAGGAAGATCAGCAGAACTGAAAGTGTCCGAAATGTCTCCGCTTGAGGCAAATGAATATAAAACTCGCGGGTGGGAATAAAAGGTAGTGTTTGACGACTGCTTTATTTCGCTACATGTTTCTTACTTCCAACTTTATTGATATTCTACTACATCATGGCTCCTAAGCAAATTCTGGTCGTCGGTGCCACTGGCCAACAGGGGCTTGCCACAATTGCTGCTCTCAACAAACTCTCCTCACTATCTCATGTTCCTAAAGTCCTTGCCCTTACGCGCTCGGTCGCTTCACCCAAGGCTCAAGCTTTACTTGCAAAATTCCCAGACATAACGCTCGTGGAAGGGGACAGTCGTGATCCACAACCTTTACTCGAGGAGTATCCAAACATCGATTCGATATTTCTGGTAACTGTCCCACCAAATGATGAGCAACAGTCCCTAGGCCTCATCGACGCAGCGGTCGCGCATGGTGTATCACACATCGTATTCTCGAGCGTGGATCGTGGAGGCGAGAGTATCAGCTGGGATAATCCGACCAGCGTACCGCACTTCGCTGCTAAACACCGTATCGAATTGCATCTACGCACCAAGTCTGAAAACACCAAGACTTGTTGGACTATATTGAGGCCCACCAGCTTCATGGATAGTTACAACCCGGGAGTGTTTGGCAAGATGATGGGTACGTTGCTGACGACAATGCCAGAAGACTGCAAGATGCAGTTTGTCAGCACGCATGACATTGGCATCTTCGCTGCAAAGGCTTTGATGCACCGAGACACCTGGGCAGGCCGAGCAATTAGTCTTGCGGGCGATGAATTAACATTTCAGGACGCCGATGCCGTGTTTCGACGAGTGACGGGGCAACCACTGCCCAGAACATGGTCCCTCGTTGGTCAGGCGATGCGGCGATTTATCGAGGATGCAAGATCTAGCATGGAGTTCTTCGAGAGGCAAGGCTTTGGTGCGGATATTATCTCGCTACGAGAAGAGGAGCCAGAGCTGCAAACATTCGAGATGTGGTTGAAGCAGAGTAGTCAATGGCAGCCAGCAATTGGGGCAGTGCGGCCCGTGACATAGAAATTACGAACTGTTGCCCTGCCACGTTTGCAATTGAACTTGATGTTAGCAATAGTGATTAGATTTAATCTTGGGAATGGTAATTGAATTTGTACTAGCACTTGCTGCGAAAGGCAATAGTAGGTGATCCACTAACCTTCATCCACACAGGTCGTAAGATAGATATATTTGTGGCCGTCCATCTCTTCCATCGAAGGAATTCTTGAGACGGGCATCGAATAGTAATGAGACTCTGCTCGTCCATAGACGAGTACATAAGACAAGCCTTTCAGAACAGCAAGAATGATAGTCTTGAGATTAGCTTGGAATAGGGCTTTTGCAGAATCCATCAATGGCGTTCGGCGATTGAAAGATACCAATACGAGATCCCACTCAGTGACTGAAAGCTGACGAACGAATGGTTCTGGAGAACCACTCGCACCCGGGACATCGAAGAAAGTCTTATCCTCACAAAGCGTCCAGAACATGGTCCGGTGCCCATCATCTTTCAGCATCTCGTGGTAGATCTGGAGACCGTACTTCAAAGCAAGTTCGTCAGGGAAATATTGGAGAAAGTCCTCGAGTCTTTCGCCAACCCTTCGCACAGCGTCCGCTATATTGGTATGCTTCCATATTCTCCTATCATCAGGTGGCGATGTGTATGTCAAGTTATGCCTTAAGGTTGGATAGGGATAGAAAGTCAAACCGACCCCAACGATCCAGCCTCCTCTAAGGCCATCTTCTTTCGATGCAATAGGGGTCTTAAGTTTGCGCCCATCTTCGAACTGAATAGACTCCCGATAAAAAGGTGGATATCCTTTCATGATGCATTCGAGTTCGCGTTTCGTAAGTGTGGGTATGTGTATGACCGCAAAGCCGTCGTCTCCGCCAGTGTGCAAGTGCGCGGTCAAGATCCCATCGACTTTCTTGAATGTCACAACCTTACTCTTATCTCCGTATTCTTGTGCTGGTTGGCAAAGCATCACGTATGCTCTCAGTGTCGTTCGATCTGTGCGAATGTATGGTCGTCGAAACTCCAGAGCGTGTGGCTTTCTGACGACCTTCTGGCGCCTGGACGGCGATACCCATGCCTTTCCAAAAACAGTGCCCAATGTTTCTGAGAAACATTCTTCGTGCGTGGTCGACGGCTCCTCGTGGAGGGCTTGCAAAGATGTACAGGTGCATTGCCCCTCTGCTAGATTTTCACAATTATGGAGGAGCCCGTCAGGAACGTCTCGCCATTCTAAGACCTCACACAAGGCATCCTTTGGCCAAATCCGCCGCATCAGTAAACCCAAGAGCTTGCTGAGTAGTTGTATTGTTGCTTGATTGACCATCAGCGGCAGAGCGACAATGGCAACCAATGCAGCAAAGATGTCCCAACGCATGGCTATGAAGGCTGATCCAGGTGTCTTCGGGCTTTCCGTTTGGCGATTCCAGGGTCTTCAGAACACTATGTGGGTGTAGATATACTCTTTTCGTGTTGGCTTTCACATCAGCCTAGAGCGGCAGAGGTCATTTTGCTAGGGTAGAACTGATGTATATTTGGAGTGCTTTTTTTTCGGTCTTCATCAACTTCTGAGCGTTACTGACATTGGCAGGAGATGATGAAAGGGCAGATAGTTAGGATCTATGCTACTGCTGGGTTAAAAAAGGTATGAGTACATCCTTAGTGAACGATCTCCCTGCAAATCCTCGGCAGCAGCTGACGAGTCCTCGAAATGCGGCTGAGACCTGCATGAACTAGGTGATGCAGCACGCAAGCTTTCGCCGTCTACTTAGCAATAGCTTGATTAACCGCAGTGATTGGTCAAAGTTACTTTTGGGCATTGGGAATGCTTTCTCGATCGTGATTGAGTTGATATTCACAGTGTCGGGCTGGTGGATCAAATCGGTGTCTTTAGGGCAATCGAAATGGGTTCCAGTCTACCTAGTCCGGCTAAGGCGTCTGATAGCTCAACGGGGGAGACCACAGCCGGGAGAAGTTGCAGCTTTTAACGTCATGGTGTGATAGGCTTAGTGAATACTGCCTTCACATCTTTCATCCAACCACTCTTGATGAATTTCTGTATGATGTCCTGCTGATTGTGTGCATCGAAAGCGGCTTTGGACTTGTACCGCTCGAAGAAATGAAATATCGTGGGATCATCTCCGTCGCGTGACAGGCAATAGTAGACTATGCCCTCCTCGGATTGTGCAAGTCTAGTCGTCTCTTTGTAGACAGCTTCAACCTCGTCGGCGTGTTCAGGGTCGGCGTAGACCTTGCAGTGTCAGTCGTGAATGAAATCGAGCCATTCATGAAGTTGACGGTGCCAGAGCCCTCGTCAAAGAGTGAGTGATTACCGTGCCATAAACGCAAAACTCCCCGTCAGGGATGTTCCATTTCTTTTCCTCGCTCATGCTGATTTGCTCCCAGTTGTTACTAACCAAGCCTTGTAGGATAATGGGATCTTTGGAGTGAATAGATTGAGTCAGCGGATTCGTTGCTTATTCAGATTCTATAAGGAAGCTCGATAGAATCACTGATATTGAATTGTTCGAAGACGTTGAATATATGGTCTCATGGAATGCCGCAATACCGGGCTATGTAACCTTGCTCTATGACGAATATGCCCTGTCTCTTTTGATTTGTCTCAGTTCGTCGATGATCAGCTTTGAACAGATTCAAGTTGCTGTTCCAGCTCCAGTTACTCATCAAGGAAGGTCGGTCCAAAATCAAGAGATTAGGAGTCCAAATGCGTCATTATTGGGGGGCCTTGGGCTTTTGACTCAGAAAAGATAGGTGTCTTGGCACCCGTGAGTCAATGCCTGACAAGGCTGTAGACCCGATTCTCTAGGCACCCTAACACCACGCTAGAAACAAAGACAACGCCTGGTCAGAGGGATCATTATCGACCGTGCTGAAACAACCCAATGGATGACTCTCCACCATACATTGGTCAACGCCGGTCATATGCGGCGGCGCTTTGTACAGTTCGTTATCATGGGCCTCTATCAGGTACTAAAGGCGCCTGGCTAGGGGTAGAATGGGACGACCCATCAAGAGGGAAGCATGATGGCAAGCACAACGACCAAAGAATATTTGACTGTTTGTCTTCGTCACCGACTGCCGCATCCTTTGTGAGACCTAGCAGAAAGCCCGATCCAGAGAGGACTTTGCTTGAGGCTATCAGATTCAAATATGGAATGTCTAAGACAGACCCTCGGACAGAATCTGCAGAAACTGAAACAACTCCGATCGCCATTTCGGGGAAAGTGGTCGAGGAGGTTGGCTTTGAAAAGATCCAAAAGCAACTCTCGGTGCTTGGCGATCTTCGAATCGTCCTGGTAGATGAATTGATAGTCTCCGGGGTTGCCAGACGAGATGCCACGACGCAAGAAGTGGAGGACGCTCAGGAAGAACTGAGCAAAACGTGTCCCAGTCTCATCGAGTTGGACGTGGGATGGAATACCATCGAGAACTGGCAGGATGTGGCTGACATGAGTTTACCCTTTAAGAAGCTGAAGATCCTCAAAGCGAGCGGCCTTCGACTCCATAACTATCAACGAGAACGATTTGCGAAGAAAGATCGATCTTTTCAGAATGTGGAAGAACTACATTTGAGTGAATGTCTCCTTAAGCCAGAGCAAGTCATCCAAATCCTCTCTCCATCAGCCGCAGTCGCATTTCCCGCTTTAAGAACCTTGCGACTTGCAAGCAATGCTTTCGACTCTTTCACACTTGTCGCGAGGCAGGACTTTCCCACTATTACGACGATAGTCTTTGACAACAACAATTTTAAAAACCTTGCAGATTTGCTAGTCATCTTTGCCCTCTTCCCGAATACCAGTTCTTTGTCATTCCAAGGGAATTCAATATTTCAAATCGGGCTCAATACAGTCGCTGGCGGCAAACTACCGGTGTTCGAGAAGCTTGAAAGCTTGAATCTCACAGGAAACCATGTCCAAAATTACAACTTTATCAACACTCTGCCGACAATATTTCCCAACCTCAAGTCCCTTCGCATATCACGAAACCCTCTGTACGAGACTGTGGCAGAGCAAGACCCACAGAAGCAACATCTAGATAGTGGCAAACAAGCCCAACCACAGCGAGGGCCCCAATCGGCTGGCGCCCAGTCCGACTCGATATCCTATTATCTCACGCTGGCCAGAATCCCGAAATTAGAGTCCCTGAACCACACGACGATAACCACCCGTGAAAGAGAAGAAGGCGAAATTTATTACCTGTCTACCGTCGAGAAGGAGATTTCTGCATCGCTAGATACTTCCAGTGAGTATGACGAAGGGTCAGATATTCGCCCGTCCAATGGAGCTTCTTCCACAATAGGCAAGCTGGTCGACTCCATTCGGCTCCGACATCCTCTCTACGCCAATCTTTGCATCAAATATGACAGGGATGATCTACTCGACCGCGCCATACGACTTTCACAAGCCAATGAGACAGCTGAAGCGACCGACCCAGGAGCGGAAATAAGTGGCGGTGTCAAGACCAAGATTCAGACATACGCACCGGGAACGCTTGGCGCGAGGCTCGTCGACGCCTTCTTCTACGTCCCGCCCACGAAAACAGGCAGCTCTTCAGGAGATGAAAGTTCAACTCCAACATTACACTTCAACCGCGCCCTTCCCACCACGATCTCAGTCTATCGCTTAAAGTCGCTCGTGGCCAGAGCCTTCTCCCTTCCCCCACTGCAGTTCAAACTAGTCTACGAGTCTCACGAGTACGATCCGGTAGAGCCAATATCTCGGAACACGGGTGCCAACAACGACGTTGCCGGAGGTAAAGGCCAACGCGACGACAAGCAGGAGTGGGATGCCTGGGGTGACTGGGATGTCGATTCGAGCGAGCCTGCTTCTAGTAGCGATGGCGGGGAAGACGTTGCAGTAGAAGTAGCCGCAATGGATTCAGTCTCGGAGGATGCTGGAGGACCTAGCCAGCAGCCATTGTATGTCGTTAGAGATGGGCAGAGGTTCAAAAAACGTGAGGCGGAGATCCTCGATGGGATGCGGCCGTGGGGGGATTTCTTGGATTTGGATGGAAGTCCTTGGAGTGCTTTGGGCACGGCAGCGGGAGGAACAGGGAAATATCTGAGGGGGGTGAGAGTACGTGTGGAGCCATCTACGAAACAGTAAGATTGGAGATACGTATGAGCAATGTTTCCTGGCGGTTGAGGTAGTGGATGGTTTTACATTATCGACAGCAATTATGTTGTACATCGGAGTATGTTACTGGAGAAGCGTATGACGAGGACGATCGACAAGCATAGCAAGGTCAGCCTTGTCCCGGAATATTCAAACACATCATACAAAACTTGAATCCCGAACATTCCCAGTGGAAAGAATCCGTCTTGGTCAAAGAAATGAATCGAGTCTTCACAGATTTTCATCATCGAGATTCCCAATAACCACCTTTTCGGCTCTCAGGTTTTGTATGGGCACGGCGCGGGTTTTCTCTACACCACTTGCGATCCTGTTCGCTCGTGCTTCCTCCTCGGGATCAAGAGCGAATCGTCTCATTCGTTCACCGATTCGACTATCGATGACAATGTCGTTCAACCAGATCGGTTCGGATGTGTCGCCTTCAGGTCTGGGCTTTCGGATTGATTTGTGCCAAGTTCGCTCTTCATTCGCGAGGACGGATTGCTGTTCCCACGTCTGGCCGGTCTGCACGATACCGGCATCGGCATCATTCTCAGGTGCCCTCGTCGCCAATGGGTCGGCTTCCAGATCGGTGGCAGGAGTGGCAAAGCTGGAGTTCTGTTCATATGGTCTGCTGGCTGCTAGGACGATGGCTGCAGTCTCTCGACCAATTTGATCGGCTAAATGCCGGCGATTGAGGAAGTTGTATATCCGTTGGGGTGTTTTGAGGAATCCGAGGAGATGTTGCTGGTGAATGGGTTGTGAGGGTTCCAACTGTGTAGGTATATGCGGAGATAGAGGTGAGGAAGAATACTGGTCAATGGAGAGATATGCTGGAGGTGGTGATGGCTTCTTCTTCTGTTCCTTTTTCTCTTCCTCTTTCTTTTCGGGCTCGGGCGGCACTTCCGTGGTTGCAGTAGGGCCATCTGTTTGAGCCTCTGTAGTAGGGTGGATGAGTGAGGGCTCGGAGAAAGGTTCAGGTGCTGGCGGAGGCTCCGCAATGGGGCCGAGCCAGCCTTCGTTCAACCCGCGGATATATTCTTTCCACGTATGTCGACCAAGGACAAGATCACCTCTTAGACCAGGCTCGAAGTTGATGCCCACTGCATCTCGAATGTTTTGAATGACCGTCTCTGTGTCAGGCTGCTCCTCCTCGGTAGAGTCTTCAAGGCCTTTCTCCCCTTTCCTCCTTCTTAGTCTCCTGATTTGCTCTGCGGTGCCATATCTTACGTCTCCCTCTTTGCGACCCTCTATCACATCGTAATCCAAAGCGGCCGCGACAAGAACTGGCTTGACGTACTCCTTGAAGAATTCCCTGGAGGGGCGAATCCCGTCACCTGGAGGAGCTGATAGGAAAACTGTCAACCTCCTGGGCATTTGTTTTACATCGAGAGGTTGTTGGGCAATGTGAGAGACCAGGTCACACCATTTCTTTTGGACCTTTTTTCGTTCGCGACGGTCATAGACGACAGCGGCAGTCCAAGAACCGGTGATGGTTAGAAAGATCATCCAGTTTCGCGAGGGCAGTCTGAAACGAAAGTTGGGTAATCCTGCAAGTTGTCAGCAAGCACAGTCGAAGGCAGTTGATGGATACACAACTTGCCCATCATGCGGAAGACTGGATTCTGCTTGGGCGGAGGTTTTGGAGGCTGATACTGTCCACCTCCGGGAATGGCATCAGGTTTAGGAGTTGTGTCCGCCATGGTAACGTAGATCGTGTATACAAAGGATTCTGTCGGTGTGTAAAGTGTCGTAGTAGCACATGCTACTGTGAATGGCTGCGACCGATGTGAGTACCGTGCAGTGTAGTGTGCAGGTGTAGCCCGGAAAAAAAGATAGCCCTGAACTTGGAGTCAAACCTGACTCGCAGCTTTAGCGTGACTTAGTTGTCGCCGACTTTCCGGGCTGCCCTTTCTGAATCATTCAAGGTTCGGCTGCCACCTGGGCAGCCGAACTTCGTCCTTAACGTGCCAAGTTCTCGGATGAGTTTCCTTTTGGAATTGGCAGGTGTTTGCTCGCTATTAGGTACCATAAACCCTGGCTAGGGAGGAACCATCCTCGTTAGGCACCTCCGAAGTAAACTAGCCCTGTAGGAAAAACCTTTGGTTACCTAGGTAGGGTTCGTGCTCCCTCCAGGCTCTGTTTGAGGCGAGACAACACACGCCTCCACTACTGTGTCCACTGGCATGCATAACTGGCGGAGTCTTCAACCAGGAGGAACGGGGTATTGCACCACCAGTCACGATAACATCTTGTCCCAAACTCTCGTGCAAGTACACTGTACAAGTCTGGGCAAACACCTTCTGTAGCTTGTGGTCGCACTTTGTCTCGGCCAAAGGCTCGGGCAGTGGTCACAGAGGGGCAGTCTGGGGTTGTAAATTGTGCCACTGTTCGCTACTCTGACAGAACCATGGTTCGCCACGTGAGCAGTCCTTGTTATTGACAGATGATCGTGTGCACCCGAATAACGAGTCACAGTCTCACAACAGAGGCCTGTCAGTTCGGGTAGCAGTGTGAGAACCAATGGGCTGCTTGTGCCTGGAAAGAACATGTCTAACAGCGGCTAAGGGGGCTCCTACCCAGGCCCAAGGAGCCCCAGATATCCAGGGTGTGGTGGTTTTAAGCTTGCCCACTAGCATCAAACTCAAGCCGATCAAGCCTACAGGACCCAAGGAACCCCTAACCACGATTGATCCCGTACCGATCCTCGTAGGCTGTGGCCCGCTGAAGTTTCTATCCCTCGTTACCTCGTTAGGTCATCTGCTATCGTACAGACCGCAACCCTTTTTTCGTGGTTTCCAGACTCCAGTCACCATCGGCCATCCCCAACCCTAACACTAAAACACTTGCTCCTGCTCTCCTTCATACCACGCCTTTCCATATCTACTGACTCTTCTTCCATCCTCCTCATCCTCATCTGAACTTGTCCGCTCCCAATACCTCCAGACTTGGCCCTGCATCGCTATCTGCCCCCAGCTCAACAGGTCGACAAGGTCTCTTGCATCCTTGATACATCCAGCGACAACTGACACAAGGGGTGGGTTATCGACACCTGTCGATCTTGAGAGTCCCTCTCCTCAAGGTACGAACAAGCACACTGGCTCTGCACACCCTCAGCTCGTGAAAACCACCTTCTGACTTCAGAGCAGCCTTCGACACCTCGATCAGTTTGGTGTCCGTAGGCGGTGAATAGCCTGTGACTAGCCACACCACTTCCCTCACCAAACCATACGACCCACCATCATGGACCACGATACCAATCGACTACGCCTGAACTTTCAGTTTGACAATCAACATAACTTTGATGCTGCCAATGCAAGAATGTATCCCACCACCCCCTCAACCTTCCCGCAGCCCATCTATGGCGGCCAACAACAAGATCACATGGGAGGAATGCTGTCTCCCAACCCTGCCAACAACAATGGATACTTCGTGCACCAACAATACTCCCAGCAACAACCGCCGCCACAGCAACAGCAACAGCACCCCCATCAGCAATATCAACAGCAACAACCACAAGCACAAGCACAACAACAGGCGCAATATCAATATCAGCAGCAACAGCAGCAGGCAAACCTACAGTCGCCTCAACCCGCCTATCAAGCCAATTCCAGGCCGTATATGGCTAATAACAACAACGATGGCACAAGTGGACTGATCCAACAGTTTTCCAACCAAGACCTCGGAGCGACCCCGCGGCCCAATGTCAATCGGACCCCTTCTCCTGCCAACTCTCGACCACGCACCGCTGGGGACGCTAGACAGGCCCCAAACCCCTACCAGAGCCATTTGGTACCTCCCATGCCCAGAGCTGCGCCCAAGCCGGAGGAAGAGGAACAACCAAATCCACGAAAATACTCCGACAACATACTGAAGCGTGGTACAGCCGCAAAACAATTGGTCAACAGTTTCTTCCAAGAGAACATTGAGCGAGCTAGGGATAGAAATAGTCGTGCAAAGGAGCTGGACCTTATCTTGAAAGACCCCAATGTTTCCGAGCTTCAAAAGCAGAAGGATATCAACACTCTGGCTCAGAAGGAAGCACGGTTCCTGCGCTTCATCCGAACAAAAGAAAGCCCACAGAACTTTACCACCATCAAGGTAATCGGCAAGGGAGCCTTCGGAGAAGTCAAGCTTGTGCAGCGCAAATCAGATGGGAAAATATACGCATTGAAGTCGCTCATCAAATCGGAAATGTTCAAGAAGGACCAATTGGCTCATGTACGAGCTGAACGAGATATTCTCGCTGACTCCAAGGACAACCCTTGGCTGGTCAAGTTGCACGCTTCCTTTCAAGATACGGCATTCCTGTACATGCTGATGGAATTCTTGCCCGGTGGCGATTTGATGACTATGCTAATCAAGTATGAAATCTTTTCGGAAGACATTACTCGTTTCTACATGGCTGAGATTGTCATGGCGATCGAGGCTGTGCACAAGTTGGGATTTCTGCATCGGTAAGACCCCGTGCTCCATTATCTTGCGACGCATGAGTGACTGACCTTTTCCCGTCTAGTGATATTAAGCCAGATAACATTTTATTAGATAGGGGTGGTCATATCAAGCTTACTGATTTTGGCCTATCAACCGGTGGTCGCAAACAGCATGAGAACTCATATTACCAGGCGCTCCTCAAATCAAACACAAACGACAAGTCTGGCAACCGGAACTCCATGGCTCTCAATGAACAAATCAACTTGACTGTTAGCAATCGTGGATTGGTCAATACCTGGCGAAAGTCAAGGCGCCACATGGCTTACTCGACGGTGGGAACACCTGACTATATTGCCCCTGAGATCTTCCTTGGTCAGGGCTATACCTACCTGTGCGATTGGTGGTCAGTTGGAGCAATCATGTTCGAATGCCTGGTTGGTTGGCCACCATTCTGTGCCGAGGATACCCACGATACCTATCGAAAGATTGTCAATTGGCGCGAGTCGCTATATTTCCCTGATGAACTTGTATTGGGCAGAGATGCTGAAGATATGATCCGAAGGTAAGCAACCGCACTTTAATTTTATATTATGGACATCTATCTAACTTGAATAGTTTCCTGTGTGATGCAGCAGATCGGCTTGGGAAGGAAGGTGGTGCTCATGATGGTGCCTCTAGTATCAAGAAACACCCATTCTTCCGTGGAGTTGTGTGGGATCAATTGAGAAAGATTCGGGCACCATTTGAGCCTAAACTTTCCTCCAACATTGATGTTAGCTACTTCCCCATCGACGAGATTCCACAGGAAGACAACAGTGCCATGCACCGGGCACATGCCAAACAAGTCCTACCAGAGCAAGACGCCGAAATGAGCTTGCCGTTTATTGGATACACATACAAGGCATTCAATGCTTTCCAAAACTCATAAAAGCGAATGGATGATCTGGATCATCCTAGTCCCGCGGCCGCGCCGCAGTCTACGGCAGTATGGAGCGAATAGGACAACGATAACGAATGCATGTGATTCACGTGTTTTTAAAGGAGTGGGCGTACAGAAGAGGCGGTCGATTAGTCTTGTTGATTCACGACGAGTCTGAGAATCTGGGTACCAGGGAGATAGTGGTACGGTGCAAGACAAGGACGTGTTGAAAAGGCATTAAGCAATCTAAAATACTCTTGACGGCTCCCGCGTTGGTCTATGATAATGTGCTGCTGCTGATGGCACTCCTTTATCTCTCTCACCATGCTAGCATTTAGATAGGTCATTGCAATTGCTTTACCAGAAACTGGCTATACAATAGGCTTTTTGAAACAGACACTGCAAGTTCCGCTTCAAGTTGTACATGAGGATTGTTGACTGGTACATAACGCGGTGACGTCAACCTCCAAGCCATAGTACGAGTTTAACAACCACCTGCAGGTAGCGACCAAATCATTCAACACCACCATCGCCTATAGATCCCAGCGTCAATACCAGGGTCTTGATTGAAGCAATTCTAGCTTACAATTTGACCGAATCCCTTTCTAGTACCAAAGAACTCCCAAAGTCGAGGGTCCCGAAACATGGATGTAAGTTGCTTTGTAAATCACTATTTTATTCTTGCGATTACCAGAACTGGGCAAAGAGGTATCATAAAACTGCTCTGCTGACACCTAACCTTGATGGGCTCGCACCAAAAAGGTCTTCTATTCATACACGTACAGTACGGCGGCATGGCTGGGCATTCAGGCATTGCCGCTCCTGGCATATCCCAAATTGGTGATTACGTTGCTCGCGAATGAGGGCCATCAATCTAGCGGTATGTCTGATTTTGTCTTCTTCGATACCACGAGGGATGAGTGCTTGTCACTCTCGGGTCACAGGGCTCCCGACATTTAGAAGTTCAAGGGCTGTAGCAGCTGATTGATTGAAAATTGGGAGGTCCCAAACAGATGTTGAAATCTACCTCTCCAGATCGCTGGGGCTCTCGCTCATTGTTCTCGCCATAATCGTGCTGTTCTTCACGGGCACGATCCCGCTTTCCTCAAGCATTACCGGCCCTGCGGTCAGACTCGACGAAGTCAACACCTCAACCGACCCGAAGGCTCCATACGCAGTGCCGATTTTGCGCGTCACGACGCTGTTCCACTTCACCACCGCCATCTACTGCTATATGCGGTACGTGAATGTCGCACAGACGGGGTTCATGTTAGGCTGCGTCGGGTATGGCGCTTTGGCTTGTATGGGATCGGTGAGTGAGGTCCTCTTTCGAAGGAGAGGTGTAGGAGACACCTCGCTTGACTCTTACATAAGCTACTATGGGACATATGCTGTGCTCGGACTGCTGACCGAATCTTTCTAGTGGTGTATGATCTTCGGGACGGGCAGTGGACACACGTCGAAGCGGACTGGCGCGGACAAGCGCACGACGGGGTTTCCCTTCAAGAACTCCAGCGCTTATGATAAGAAGAAGGATCGCAAGATGGGGTGAGGATGTAGATCTCGATTGCTGGCTATGGGGAGGAATGTTTCCCGCAGCAGACTTGGTACCTACATAGTGGAGAAAGCAAAAAAGAGCATCAAGTGGAAACTTATTATTTCAAAGACTGCGGCTACCTCGCTGTGGTTTTTATGAGCGCACGAGTGGGTGGGTTTGGTGGCGAGCGATTGCTTTAGCCGATGATGCTGCCACAAACCTGACCATGCGAACAGGTCCTTGATAGCATTACGGATCGATCATGCTTGGACGGAGGATTTGTAAGTATTGACAGGCAGTATGGTAATGAGCCTGGAAACGCCTGAGAGAAGAAATTCGTAGTGTACGGGGAGACGTGATGCCGTCGGGCATCGCTGAATCAAACGCTCAATCGTCTATTGAATCGATCAAAATGATATATCATTTCGAAAACTCACAAGAAGAAGTTCTGAGAAGGACACTCCTTGCACTCAAGGTCCCTAGTACCTGGATAGTGAAGGCTCTAGCCAGTGAACGCGCAGCCTTGCGTGAATACAACACACCATATGACCAGCGTCCAAAACAGCACAATATTAATCATTGTTGTGGAATTGTGCTCAACATACAACACCCCTGGTAGGGTAGTGCAACCGTAAAGAATCCCATCTATCTTCAGGTGTTAGTATGCGGGTTTGGCGGTGGGGCCTCTCTCCTGGATATGAAGGTTGCAACCAAGTAACTTGGGGTTGCCTGCTATAGGAGAAGGTTTTAACGGAATCTGGACGGCTGAAAACCGAGGACTGAGGGCTAAAAACTGTGGGATCTGGGGCGCATTCGAGGGACGAGGGATCTGTATTAGAATTCCGCCTGCCAAACTTTTTGCAATTTTCAAGGGGACTGGGTTCAAATCTCTCTTGCGTCGTATGCTTTTTTGCGTTGATAGTCACATAAGAGAGTCGAATATAATATAACTATAATAAGATTTTAGTATTAAGTTGTCTATACTCGGAGTAGTTCGTCCCGCGAGAGCAGTGAAGAGAAAGGCAAGGTAGAAGTGAGCACATCTGTGCAAATCACCTGAATGCGATCGTCAGTGAGGTATTCTTTTTCTTAGTATATAACGTATCCACTTAATGACAGCTGGCTCAATGATGAAGATTCACTTTGTCTTTCAATGAACTCAGAGGAAGTGCGAAGAAATGTGAGGTTGAATCGGAAGCAGCCATGACATCCATATTGAGTTAGCGTCGTAGACACCAATATCACGTGTCGTTCTGTGGATTCACGTGTCGCGACTAGTGCACTTATCAACCTTCCGTGCTTGCCGCTTTTTGTGACTTTTCTCTTCACCTGCTCCTTCCCAACTCCAACTCCCCTTCAACTTCGAAAAGCAGCGTCCTTTCTCGATCCACCAGAACCCTTCGCGTCCCCAGCATATCATCGAGGCCATCGAGAAATACGGCCTACCATTCTCACATGATGGACCCGGATCCTTTACAAAACTTTGCTGTGCCAGTTCAGCCCATTCAGTTCGCCACTTTCGGCAGTCCCAATGGCTCTTCTTCACAAAATGCGCCTTCAGCTCCAGTGGTTTCCGCGTATGCTGACCCAACCGAGTCAATGAATCTACAGAATGGCACAAGCCCTGCACAAAGAAGAAGCCAAAGCGTCGCGACTAAAAATTCCGATGGCCATGCATCCTCTACGCGCAGCCCGCAGTCGACGCGACAGACGCGCACCTCACTGTCCCAGGGTCAACAGCCCACTGCGACTCCCTCGAGGAACGCAAGCGTTGCAACCGCTGTTTCCAACCCACAGTCAGATGACTTCTCTATCGCGCAGCCTTCTCCACACCTCTTGACACAGTCTACTCCCTCACAATCACTCTACAATAACCTCAGTTCGACCGGTAGCAGTCTCGTCTGGAAGAACTCTACCTCAACCTTTCCTAATGGCACACCTCGTCAAGCCGCGAAGCAGGCTCCCGTTTACACAACGCCACAGGGTCTTATTCATGCTGATCCATGGTCTGCGCGCCACAATGAACAGAATACCACTCCTGGAAGTACTGGCCCCAACCTCGGCGATGAAGAGGGAGTTGTTGCTGCCAACCCTTTCAGCGACACATTCCCACTCATGACTCACCCACCAGATCTCGAAGCGTGGCGGGCTAAACTCTTCAACGTCACTGACACTCTCTTGCTCTCCGAGGAAGAGTACCTGACTTATTTCCCACATGTTGACAACGTCTATTCCCATCGCTCAACCCAGAAATACAAGCGCAAGCCATTTGTCTCACACTATTGGGACTGCCGACTGAAAGGCCGACCTAGTGGTACACCCAAGAGCGATGATCCAAACAAGAAGAAGCGCAAGCGCCAGGCCCGCGAACGTGATCTTTGTGATGTCAAAATCAAGGTCACTGAGTACTACTCACTTGAAGAAGCGCGGAAGCAAGGACTAGTGCAACAATCCAGCCCTAATGAACTACCCTCGCTCTACAACGGGAACATTAATCCTGAGCTACTGGGTGAGGCGGGTGCTGCACTCTCTTCCCTGCAGAATAGTGGAATTGGTGATGAAAACGAATTGACTATTATCCAGGAGGATGGCAGCAACAATCCGACCAATCCGGTAAGCGATCAGAGTTATGGTTTGTTGGAACTACCTCCTCGATACCCCAAGGGCCATCCAGGAGCTGACGGTAAGCGCTGGTTCACAATTCAGCGTGTGCGCGGGAATCCTGGCGGAGGTGCTGTCAGTGAGTTGAAGCGTGCAGACCGAAACGCAACTGGCGATTTCAATGAGTCGGCTTTGGACGAGGAAGGAGACACAAGCATGTTGGACCCCAGCCTTGCTGGCTTCGACTTAGACCACAAACACAGCTTGGAGGAGAGCGATCGAATCAAAAAGAACACCGTCCAGCGATGGTTACTGAAGGAGGAGAAAGAAAGGAAGCGACTGAGTGTAAGTTATTGATCTCTTGTCTTGTTCCTTTTGCTGCGAAGATTTCGGTATTGGCCTGGCTGGCGATGTGTGCCATGAATCTAGTGTTTCCAAACCCATTCAAATTTGTGATGGAATCCTCAAAATATCGTGTACTTTCCAAGCTGACGTATTTGGACGCAGAAAATCACTTCGACTGCGGCACCACCCAGTGTGAGCAACACCACCATAATTGAAAGTCCCAATCCTCCAAGATCTAATGAATCACAATCCCCAACCTTCCGCGCCAGTGGCATGGCATTCTTCACAGCTCGTTCACATGCAAATCCAGCAACATCGAAAATCACACTGTTCGCCAACAGCTTCTGCCCCTTTGCCCAGCGCGTTTGGATTGCACTCGAGATCAAGAGCATACCCTACCAGATTGTGGAAGTAATGCCTCCCCATCTCGGAAGTTACATTCCTCCAGACTTGCTCGAGATCAACCCTGAAGTGAACATTCCTTGCATTCGTCATGGGAATTTTCCTGTCTGGGAGAGTGGTGTGATAATGGAGTATCTTGAGGACCTGGCCATGGGTCATAATTTGCTCCCACTCGGAAACCCGCAACTTCGAGCCCATTGCAGATTGTGGGTCGACCACATCAATCGCAAAATTCTACCGAGTTTCTATTCCTTACTGCTGACTCCACCACCAAGTCCACAGAGTCAATTGGAGGGCCTTGACGACGAAATTGAGCCCCAAACCCGCTCCAATACTGAACAACATACCATGTTGGTTTCCACACTGCAAGCAAACATTACTGCCCTTGTCAACGCCAGCCACGCAACGGGCCCGTACTTCCTAGGTACAGAAATTGGATATGTTGACGTGGCCTTCGCACCGTGGATCATCCGGCTATCTCGAGTGCTCAGCTATTACCGCAACTTTCCTCGGCCGGAGATTGGTACCCGCTGGCGACGATGGGTGGATGCGATTGAGAGTGATGAACGCGTCCGTCGAACAGTCAGTGACGAGCATTCGTACCACGGTGTCTATCGCGGCGTTGGGGAGGATGGATGGGACAGTCTCCGCGCACGGGAAATCGAAGGCAACAATGGAAGATCAGCAACCGTCAAGAAAGCAATTGCAGAAATTGCCTATGCTAAGCGGATTGTTGCACAGGAAGGGTTTGGTCTTGGTGGTGACGTCTGGGGTCAGCTTGGTGTCCAGGAGGACGAGGCTGTCGATGGTATGACGGGCAATTGATCAAGTGCTCAACATGTCCCAGATTCACGATTGGAGAGTCGTCCAAGATTCAATTTGTCATGACCGTTGATGCCGTGATGCGACAACTCGGGGAGACATCTTGTAACTTGTCTGAGTATGATGGTGTCGTAGCGGAGAGGAGGCCAAGCGAGCATTTCAAAAGTGATTCAGCGAGCAGAATGAGCTGGTAATGGTGCTATTTTCCGTGTGGATTGCTCACTTCTTTCGATGAGAATGACAAATGCAGAAGAACGTATCTTGCCTGCGCTATATGTCTGAGTTACATGACCGAGCCATCATCAGCGAAGCCTGTGGCAGGTAGGCTAGCTAGCTACCTAAGTAGGTACCTCAGGTCAAGTACTTGCGCGAGTTGATTCCAAGCTTGCGCTATCAACGTCATCGAGCAAGTAACCATTCCTGCTTGCACGACTGTGAGGAGAATATCTATGTAATGAAATCGACGAGTTACGTGCCAGAAAATTGCTCGTTGACTTGGAGCTGCATGTCTCTACTGTGCTGGTATTAATGCTCCGTCTGAGACTTGGCTAGTATTGAATGCTGTAAATGTTGTGAGATGTTGCTTCGTGATATCTCACTACCTGTTCGTCACTCTGTTGACCGTGATGGTGATGATACTGGTAGATTTTGTCGCGGAGATGGGGTTGCCAACTGAGTGAGTGGGTTGGTTCAACTGTTAGGGCGTGATGTGGAATGGTGGGTGTTGTTGGTGATACAACCGAGCCACAGTGGTTTGGTTCGAACTCGTTTTGAGTTTTGGCCAGTGGGAGGGCGTGAGGATCGTGCTCACTTGGCCGGAATTCTCGGTCTACGGACCTATTGCGTCCATTTGGCGAGCGTTGAGGGGGAGGGATCGGACCGATGGGCGACCAGACGTCTGTGTTCATACAGTCAACCAACCAATCAATCAGGCAATCAGTCAATCACGGTTGTTAAGAGTTGAGATTTCAGACCGATCTGCTCTGGACTGATGCAGGATCAGTCACCCAGGATGGGCGAGGAGGAGACTCGAGGCACACCGAGTGTGCTGGCGTTGGAGTGATGCGCTAGACAATGGACATCGCCAGATCGTGTTCCGAAGATAGTTGTGCCCGAGAGAGGTACGATGGGGGTGAACGACCGTGCAACGCATCGAGCTTGGGACCGACTGTATCTGTATCCAGACCATTGAGCCATTCCTGCATTTGTCCCGATTGTCTTGGGCCGTGAATGTTTGAGTGAGACAAATGGATTGTGAATCGGCCGACGACATGCAAGAAATAGCCGAAAAGGCTTTGGAAGTTCGTTTTGTTAGGTGCTTTGATAGCGAATTCAAATCGACATGATGAAGGGGTCTGGTTTAATACGCTGAATGATCTCTTGGTGGCTAACTCGTAATGTGTGCACCACGAGGACTCGAGAAGCCGAAACCTCCTCTGCCGCTCCCATCTGGACCCCGAGGTGTGCGAATCGGGTGAATGTCGGGAGTACGGACATGCTGCACATCCTCCCTCGGCGGCTTGGAGGTGTAGGATGGGTCAAATAATTCTCGGTGTTGAGAACCCCTCGACTGATTCCTCGTCGAGGGATGTGATGATGGACCTCCACCGCCTCTTCCTCTGCCTCCTTTTCCCCGACCACCACCGCGACTCGGAGTGCCCGAGCGTGACCCAGGCGGCGTCAGACTAGCTGGCGTTGACGTGCCCGATTTATTATGGGTATTTCCCAGATGTTGTTGGGAGGTATTGCCGCTGCTAGTTGCTGTGCCGAACAATTCTTGTCTGCGTTCTTCGTATTTCCGCTGCTTCTCCTCACGATCTTTTGCTGCTTGAGCCTGGCGCTCAGCAAGGGTGAGCTCTTTTGCCTTGTTTTCTTCTTCGTCTTCAGATGACTCTTGGTTGTTCCCCAAGGACGGAGAGTCGTTCAAGCTCAGACCTTCCACACCGTTTGGGGCTGCTCTGCGCTTTTGAATGACAGGACCTTTTCTGGACAGGAGGACAGGCGGCGGCTTGAACTCTGAGCGAAGGGGGACGACATTTCGAGACTCGAGAAAGTAATTTGTTTGTTTTGGGCCTTCACTGGAGGGACAATTAGTTGTGCAATTTTCGGAGATCGTCTCGAGCAACGTACGCTTCAGCCCATAATTGTCTGTTGAACTCAGCTTGCTGAGCCCTTTTCTGAGCCTTGGAAACCTTGGAGGATATTTTCTTTGGTTCGGTGGCCTGGGTTGCGGGGCCGGTCTATTGGGAGGAATGTGTGAGTTATGTGGCCATCAGGGGAGTAGGTGAGGCCACAAATGAGGGCTCATGTCACATACATCGGCAGCGTTAGACCATTCGTCCTCCCAAGCATCAGGAACTTTGCTCATGGAGGGCGACGATGGGGCTTTAGCCTCGCCTAGGAAACCCTGCGTGTCCCACAAGCACGTTTCGATGAGGACTGACGGGAAGTAGGGGAAAGCCGAGTGAAGGATGGACCTATTTTCTAGAAAGGAGCTGTATTTCAATATGGACCGAAAAGATAGGTCAAATATCTAGGTGGGGTGATGAGGAGTTGAAGTCGGAGCGAAGATGAACGTGAAAAGCGGATGTGGTGGGGAGTTGAAAATCGGAGAAAAAGTGAGACCAATGGGGACGAAGGCTGAAGGGCACCTGCAGCCACATCTCGCTTACTGCCGTCGACGCCCAAAACTCCGCTTAGGGAGAATACCTGGAATACCTGGATACGTGTCCAAGCCTCCGAGGTAGGTACTCTGTACTCAGTGAACCAAGGAATACTGACAGTACAGTGGCGGGCGCGTGTTCGAGGAAAAACAAGGAACACATGGAAATGCGTTTGCTGGACGGTCAAAAATGCTGAAAATGGCTTGATTAGGAAGTCCACGCTTCTCGGATGGAGTAGCAAGATCTCGACAACTGTCAGCCCTCAATGTCCTAGGTACATCTGCATGCTTGAAAAGGATAGAGGAAGACTTTGAATTCTTGATGTAATGTGGAGCGATGAGAAACCCAGGCGCTGGCTGCAACCATATATCTTGGTGCTTCTATTTATCATGCATGCTGCTATTCATGCTTCTGAAGTATTACTGCAGGTGTCTACCTCTGTAGCGGTATCCATACCCTCCACATTCAAACTTGATTACAACAGGCTCGCTCAAACCCGTTCCAGACGGCGTGCTACCAGGATATCAATAATAACAGTCAAACCACCAACCCCCAACCCCCAACCACCAACCAACTCCACATAATCACCTCACCTTGCTCTCGAGTGGGTAGAGGCTGCATCTTCCTTCTTCCGCTTGTCCTTTCCTAATGCTATCTTTTCCCACTCCTCCCATTCTTTGGCAATTTCGCCAAGAACTGCAGACATGGCGGACGCGGAGGCCATGAGTCCATGTCCTTCGTTGTCCAGGACTCTTAGCTCACATCGTTTCATCACACTGTGCAGCCAACGTACGTTATCGAGCGGTACACGGGTGTCTTTGGCGCCATGATGAATCACCACCGAGCGTGTCACCTCCGGATACCGAAATCCAATGGTTTTGCGTCGCTCCAGACACACCACTAGGTCGGTTGCTGGATTGGCATTCTGTGTAGCCAATGACCAGATCCGATGCGTAAGAGTCTTGTTGTACAGGGCATGGCGAGCTTCAGTCGTCAATCTAGGTGACACAGGCCGTGATTGTGGCACAGTCGACCTAACCGAGTATTGTGTTTGACGCTTGGACTCAAGGCTGGGCATTTTGAGTCCGTTGGACTGCTGTCTCAGAGCCTCGTTGTTGGCTTGATAACACGACATTCCTCGCGTTCGGCCAGAATTTCCCGCTGGCATGTTCTCCTTGTCCATGTCAGCCATGGTACTCTCCATAAAACTTTCTTCGCTCAAGTCTTGGAACGAGTAGTCCATTGTGGCGTCAAGGTTTTCACGGTCCTTGTTCTTCTTCTTGAGTGGCTTGGTGTCCACAGACGCACTGGTCGCGGTCAAGAAACGAGAGTTGGCGACTCGGAGGATCTGTGCCGGCAGCACACTCAATATCTTATGAGAAAAGGGAAGATTGGCAATTGGTTGTGAGTCAGGACCCAAAGCCGCCCCTTTGGGCATTTGTGACGGAGGGATCCAAGGGGCAAGAAGATGAATCCGCCCTCGAACGTATTGGGGCATTTTCAAAGCCGTGGCCAGGGCGTATATCGCTCCAGCAGAATGTGCAAGGAGTGAGAATCGAGTTATTTCCAACTGGCTGCAAATGACTGCCACGTCATCTACCCAATTGAGTGGTGTGCATGACGATTCCGGTACCGATGAGCTTTCCCCTACACCTGGTCTGTCCGGTGTAATCAGTCGTAATCGAAGAGTCCTTGCCAACTCGTCATAGAACGCAGTTAAATATCGGGTCAAACCCATTCCAACACAGCAAAGGACAACGAAGCCGTCTGGATCTCCCACCTCTGAAAACGCAATAGTCCGGCCAGTTCGAGGATGTCGAATCTTCTGCGTCAGGCGTGGCGCTCCAAGGAACGTGTCGACTTCATCGGATATAGTTTTGAGTTCCAAGAGGCTGGAATCTTGTTTGATTGACATGGTGGTCGAGTTCCTTTTGAGATGAGACGCGGCGCTTTTACCGGAACCGTAAAAGCTGTTTGTCCGCGATGGTGCACCGCTACTGGGAAAGGTGTGCGTAGGTGTTACTGCGGACAGAGGTGTCTGGGGGTCGGTTCCTATAACCGGCATCATCGCCAGGTCGGCAGCGGTGACACAAGCGGATAATTGCACTGGGCTCTCGGCCTCTGGAGTTTCAACCACCACTTCTGCTACTGAAAGCCTCGAGTTGGGATAAGGACTCGACCGTCTGGAAACCTTGGCGGTTGCAATTGTATGTCTCTTTGCTGCCTTTTCTGATTTGCGAGCCTCATTCCGCCATTCCTTTTGGCGTTTTTCTCGTGCTTCCTGAAGCTCTCGAATCCTCCGTACTGTGGAGTCTTCGCTTTCGAGGAGGTCAGTGTCAATATTCAGTTCCCTGAGCTTATTAGTTGGCATGGAATGACGGTGGCTTTCCGATGACGGATCTGGAATTCCCGAAATGCTTCGTCTTAGTGATGAGCGGCGAGAGGGAATCATGTGACTTCCAAGATCACCTTTACTAAGACGACTAAGAGCGCCCGTGGAAGGACTCTCTAGCGGATAGTTATCCCCATTTTGGGCAGCAGCTGGAGAATAGCCATCGATGGAGGAGGATCGAGCAGAATGGCGGATCTCTTTTTCTTGATCCACGCTGTAGAGAGACTCGGTCCTTCGCCGTGCATCTGAGGGAGCCCTCCCAAGACGGGCAACCGGTCGTGCCGTGGCCATGTCGCGGATAGATTCACTGGTTGGGTGCCTTCGTGGAACGCTGAAGCCACTAATCAACGAAAAGGTTGAACTCGCACTTGATCCGTGTCTTCTCTCAATGCTAGGGATCCCAAAACTCTCGGATTCGGCACGGGAACGGAGACTCTGCTGTGACTCTCGAGCAGCCAGACCGGGTTGTGAAGTGTTTAAAGAATAAAACCGGGATCTGCTTGATCTTTTGGATAGCACGGGAGGCCTTCTGGCATAACGGATCACAGGCGCAGCGGCGACATCGCCGTCACTGCTATCGTCAACTGTTGGGGGGTCGTGCAGGTCACGGTCCAATTCATCTGCATCGGGAGGATCAATCGACGCAGGAGGGATGGGACGTCGGACAGGTGACTCGGCTGAAGGTCTAGGACTTGTTTGATCAAGGTCGAAATCGTCCCGCAGATCTCGCCTTGCGGAGGCTGAGAGTGCGCTCAAGGAGTCGATCAGGGAGGAAATGACCTGGACGGATTCGGAATTGTCGCGAGAGTGATAAGGTCTGTGTGATGATCGTGAAAAGTCCAGGATGGGCGAAGGAATGACTGGGTTCAAAGGTAAGGTGTAGTTGTAAGTGTGGTCAACAGGCGCTGCAGCGTTGACTTCCATACCTCGAGCGCATGCAGTGAGTGAGGCGTGAAAAAGGTGTGTGGTGTGCATGCACAGGAAGTCGAAGAGAGGGACAGGGGGATGGGCGGGAAGCCGGCCAATCGGTGGCACTAAAGGCTAAAGGGAGTTCTTGGGAAATTGACTCTGCTTAGAGGGCTTTTCTCCTGCAAGGCAAGCGAGAGTAATGGAGAGCCACGGATGAGAAGAGATATCTAAGGCTGTGAAAAGGTCAGGTTGGCCATGATATTGTGCCTTGCGATGAGAGACAGACGATGTAAAAGTAACAGATGGACAATAGTGGGCGGCGTGTGGTGCCAGTGGGAAGAGGAAGATCCTCCAAGTTTCAGTGGCAGCATGATTGGAGAGAGGCGCCCATAAGGAGACTCGTGTGAACGTGGACTGGCCCGCGGTGCGTACAGAGATGGAGCATGGGCTTAAATCATGAGCCCGGAATGGTTTAAGCGTCCACCCAAGAGGGCCATTGAGAGGCTGTTAGGCGTCGGCTGATCGACCGCATCCTCAAAGTGGACGACGGACTTGCACTTGGGCTGGAAAAGCTGCATCTGATTTGCGCCGGAAGTCCAGGCACAAAATTCCCTGCAGGTTCGAGATGGAAGAACAGGGGTTCGCCAATCTGTTCATGAAGCACTCAAAACTCTGAACGAGGTAGCCATCGGCACGTCCGGGTAAATTGCCCGCGACCTGTTGACTTGCTGTGGTTGCCTGTGTCATTTGTTAGTGCCCGTATTCGTATCGTGACCTGGGCCCTTCCCTCCAAGACCGAGACTTGCCTGCCCGGTCCGTGCAGATGACACCCCGAGAGCCTTGTCTGGTGCGAGGAAGCCTTGTATCATGATCATTACACAGCAACTAGGAGACTGTTCTCGTATGCTAGTAGGTTTAAACATTTCCATTACTGGATAGTTGAGTATCTAGAGAGTCTCGTATGTATAGTCACAATAGTACCCTGAGGTTCTAGCTCTTTTCCGCCCCCCTTTCCTGGTCTAATATGTCTAATAATGCAAGAGTTAGGTGGTATATGTGGTATCGTCAATTCTTGAACGTGACTTTTCCCGCCAGGGCCGACTCAATACCTGAACGCCTCGCTGAAACCAAAAAAAACAAAGTGGATTTCGCCTGGGTCATTTCCAATGCCCACTGCAGCAGCCAACAAGTGGTGGTGTGGCTGCTTTGACCGGGGGTATACGCCAGGAGATGCTCTCGCTTCAAGTGATGCTCGTTATTCGTGGTGGGTAGGGATGAAAAACGCACATCTCGCATCCATCAGATGGTGATAGGTTGTCCGAGCTTGATCTTTTCACGTTCTTCACCAAACACTCTTCGGGACATTTCGAGGACCATTTCAAACCCCTCCCGTCCTCGTGCTGCGTTTTCCCGGAATCGTTCAACACTGGCTTCTTCGATCTTGGTCCGGATCTTTTGCCACCCACCGCAGAGGGCAATGATTTTAGCTTCTTGTTTGAACTCTGTCTTTCCATGAACGTCCGAAGATGAAGGTTGATACACCACCGTTTCTCGACATTGTAGCAAGTTGGACCATGTCATATTGGTGCTAACCATAGTGACTTTTTTCGTGGTGGGATCTACATAAGACACCTCATACACATAGCTTGTCGTATCTCCGCCCAACAGGGTCAAAACCCACTGGGGAGCAGTCTGTCTGCATGTGATCAACCTTTCCGTACGTAGAATTCCGGTGGCGGCATCGATATGGCGAGATAGTGTGTCCACACCTAGGACATGGGAGGCTTTATCGTTCCACGGGCAGTATTTCCGCCAATTGTTTGTCGTGACTTCTTCCCATGAGTAGTCAAACTCGTATGTTGATGAGAAGATCTTCATTTTGTTTGGGGTTCACGGGGTAAGAGTGATGATGGAGGTTGAGAAACTTGTCGCGTGAGCGAAGTGAGGTGGTAAAGAGCTCTTCTCCGAATGTGTGTGAGTCGTGCTACTATCTGCTGTCGAGCTTAGAGGTGCCCTCGAAAGGTGAGAGTACGACGCCAAGCGGACGAGGATAATGGCAGGTAGATGTTGAGAGAAAGAGCGTGATGTTGATGAAGAGTAGATGAGAGAGATTGAGGAAAGGAATTGGATTAGTGAAGCCTGCGTGCAAACAACGGAAAAAAGGGAAGATAAAGGCGAGGTTTTGACGAACTTTTGGTTTTTGCCGCAGGGCAGGAAAGAAGCGGATCTTGGACGGGCGAGCTCGGGGTCTCTGTGGAATTCTGATAGGTTCATCTTCTCGCCAATAATGGCAAAAATAATTCTTGTGCTTTGACGTCGTCATTTGGCATTTTGGCCATTTATTTGAGAGGGAATTCATGTCTGTCAACTGGGCAGATCGATTTAGCGGATCTACCTACAGTACTTACTACTCGTAGGGACTGATTCTCGGTATTAATGGCCGAGGCGCCTGGAGGACAGACCCTGGAGGACAGACCCCAGAGGCAGTCAAAGGCCTCAATCGAAGTTGAACCTTCTCGAATCTCAACCCTCCTTCCCCTCATGCTCCCCTCCCTTCTTTGCCCACCAAATCTACTCTGGGGTGGTTTTGCCTGCGATCTTTTCTGCGTACCTGCACCCACTACTCGCAGATCTCCAAGCCCTTCTCTCCGGACCTCTCCAATCCTCCGGCAGCGACATTGTTAAACTTGAACGCCAGGAAGAGACCGGTGACAAACGGCATGTCATTGGGCACTTTTTGGTCCACGTCTATTCACCACCAGTCCATCATCCCGCATTTCAACTGACTGGCGACCGTCATGTCTGAATACTGGAAATCCACGGTAATTTCCCTTTTACCTGCCACCGGCTTGTATCGCACCTTGACTGACCATTTGACCAGCCCAAGTATTGGTGCAAACATTGTACCACCTATGTCAAAGACACCTCTTTTGAGCGTAAACAACATGAGAGTACTGCCAAACATCAGAACAATCTTAAACGCTTTCTCCGAGACATCCAGAACGGCCATGAACGCGCCGAGCGAGACAAACAACGGGCAAAGGCTGAAGTCGACCGATTAAAAGGCACTTTTGGCTCATCCTCCGAACTTGCAAATTCTCCAAACTCGGCCCAACGGTCTGGCCTAGCCCCGACTAAGAACACAGGCTCAGTGCGCCCGTCAGCAGCCGATCAAAAAAGACAATGGGCGCAGCTTGCCGATATGGGCATCAAAATCCCTCAGCAAGCCCGCTCAGAGGTGGCTATGGCGGGCGACTGGTCCGCCGTCTCCAACGACGTAACCACGACTGATCACCAACAACGAGAAAAGCCTTTGAGCGTCGGAATAAAAAAGCGGAAGCTCGAAGGCCAGGAAGAGGATGTCACAGAAGGTGGCAGTTTTACTGGACGTGGATGGGGCAACGCAACTAAGCGCTTTCCCGCGCGTGATGGCACCGACTTGGACGATTTGCTGTCCGGCCCATTACTGAACGTGATCAAGAAAGATAAACAGGAAACCCAGGTGACATCGATACCTAGGGCGCCGGAGAATCAGATTGAACAGGCTGCGCAAGACCGAATTGGAACCCAACCTGTCAATGCCAACCAAGATTTGGCCTCTGCCAACTTGGAGTGTCAAGAGATCGACAAGGCAACGAAGGGCGAGGATAATCTCCTGGTCAAGAAAGAAGAGACATATGATGCCCTAGCAGGGTCCACGGTGGACAACATTCCAGAAGAAACACCAATACCAGTGTTCAAACGCCGGAAAGCCAAGGTGTCATGATACAGGTTTTATGAGCAATTTGCAGAGGGTTTCCATGCAACGAAGTCGGCGAGGCACAAACGAGCCGAGGACAACCAGATAAGCGAGATGACCGATCAGGGAATATCAACCACGCACAGATTGCATTGTGGTAGGATTAAACCTTGAGACGATTTCCCTTGATCGTTATTGGTCGGCTTGATTCTCAGAGCATGAATTTGCAGAACATGGTAGTCCACGTGGATTTGGTCCAGTGCGGCGTGCCTCGTACCGTCTGCAGCATCGTGTTTACGGAGTACGAGGAGGAAGTGTTAAGAATGATTAACATTGGACAGATCCAACCTCGTTAAACTTCGGTGATGAACACGGGATTACCTCCAGTATCAGCTAAGTATCCGTGGGCGGTGGGTGACGGAGATCAACTTTTTGCTAGATTCCAAGGTTACCAGCATGTTCCTTGATTTGAACTTACACTTTGGGCTGCAGCCGAATGGTACGTCCCCGTAATCGATTGTTAGCACCACGCAGCAGACATTCAGATCAGGGAATTCATGATTGCTGAGCATAATACGAAACACTTTGAGTATGCATACTCGTACACTGAGGAGAGCCCATGTATACGATTCCATCATTGATCAATATTGCTCTTGATAGAGCTACGAGTACTTCGACGTCTCAGTGGCATGGACCAGCCTCGAGACCTCTCGGTGGACAGGATAATCCGGATTGTCAGACGTAGTGGAGGTACTTGGTACGAAGTACAGCAGTAGCAGCTCGCAGGCTACGACAAGTCGCTTGGCCGTGTTTCAAAAAAATTAACTTGCGGATAGCCGACACTCACTAAAATGCGACTTGATGATCGCGCGAAGATTACCCACAACCTACCAATTGGCCCAATGGCACCCGCGAACGACACTCGAGTCATTCCAGACCCTTCGGTTATTTCTCAAAGGTCAAGGGCGACGACAGCTTATGCGCCCAGCCGTTAGGGCCACAGCCCGGCAGGTTGTTGTTAACAGCTTGCTGTAAACTAACATTTGGACTGGATTCATGGTCCAGTCAAGAACCTGGACAGCCTGGCTCGGAGAATTGTCCAATGCACTGACCAACATGCATCCCTTGCAATCGTCCTCTCAAGCTTCCGGCCGACGCGCATCACTCTTTATCGAAAGTGAAAGTTGGCCTTGCTTGATTTTCAGCACCAAAGAATGACCAGGGTTCCAAATAGGCTGTTAGGCGCTATCAAGCCTGAAGGAAGCTCTGCATGACCAACCCATGCCCCTTGAAGAATGTCCAGTTCTACGTCTGGCCATCTAAACGTTGTAATTTCATTTCATGCATTTATCGTATTGAACTCAACTGCTCATGTGACAACAAGGCAGATGAAAGGATAAACGTGTTGACAAATGCTCCCTGTTTCGGTGCCGGATCAGACGCGGAGGATCAAAGCGTGGCACTGGGTGGCTGGCCACTTAGCCCTTGGACCATAGGGCCTTTCGGGCCATGCAACGAACGACTCATCTGGTTTACGGGGTCAAAAGGGCCACAAATTACAACGGCCAAACGCACTCCCGAAAATCAAAGAGTCGGGAGTTGAGATTTGGTTTCTTTGCAAGGAGCACATGGCGTCCGTGCACCAGATTCAAGTGGAGCAAACGGATTCTGGTGGCTTTCTCTCGCGATCATGATGCAGGATACCATAGTATCGTACAATCGGTGTCGTAGCTTTAGTGGCCTTTGAGACCCAGAGAGGGGGAGAGGAACTTTGTATCTTTCAAAATGTGTTTCACACGATAGCATACATTGTAACGAGGGGGAGGGTGGTTGTGTGTGGTGATCAAACCACTGTTTCGATGGCACATCACACATCACCAATTTCCCTCGGTTTTCTCCAAACTGCTCCAAGACCGGCCTAGCGAGGGAGATAGCTAGACGCTCGCTCTGGTATGTAGGAGCTACAGCCTACCTACGACGACGCTTTTTGAACCAGGCTAAGAGCAAAAGCCGAGTGCGGAGGGCCGGACAGACGAAAACGGACAGGAACACGAAGAAAACGGGGGAAGGGGAGGGGGGTGAGCGACCAGACAGGGAGCAGGGGGAGATATACGAATACTGTGATGCAGACGGATAGTCCGTAGGATACAGGTGCGAGAACGAACAAGATACCCAAGATCGAAAAGAGGCACCACGAGTACGAGTACGGGCTATGATTACTTTGCTAGACGGACTACATGCTGACATGGTCACATTGAGCAACAGACCAGACCAGACTTGACAGCCAAACCAAAAATCAGATTGGCGGGAACTGCACGGGACACCACCGCATTGCCAGTGCTACCTACTCAGGTCACCCGGTGCTGATGGGGTTGTCATTCTGGCGTTGCTTGCGATCGGTTGCCAATCTGGTTCGAGCGTGCTCAGCCTGTGGACTGACTGTGAGTTCCTGCCTGCCACTGGCACTGGCACTGGACGCACCCGACCTGCAGCAATTCTCGAAAAGCGACTAGCAGGGTTCTAGAGTCGCTTGGCAACGGTCATGACATTTGCGACAGAACAAGTGGTCCCCTCTTGCCCCCCCTCCCCGTGCCCCTGGTCCTGCTCGAGGACGGTGGATTGCGGAAAGGTCTCAGAGATCAGACATCCACGAGTCAAACTAACTCCATATCCATTCAAGTCCCAGAGACAAGCAGGGAGGAGTCAAACCCAACGTCCAAACTTCCAAGCTACCGGCAATGTTTCAACAGGCTGGGTCGAAGGTGGATTGAAGACTCGAGAGAGGAGACAAGTTGACCGACTCACACAATAATGAATGGTGGATTCTCGGTGTGCCGGCGGGTTCATTTCTTTTTCGTTGTTTTCGTCCATCAACTCTGCCTCAAGTTCGTCCTTGCGCCGATTTTTATTTGTCCATGTTTGTGGACCCCAGTCAGCATGGGTTGATGACGATGATCAAACCGGAGTTCCTGTTCCCATGTATCGCCCTTTTGGACAATGCATTTTCCCTCGAGGTGGCATTCTGATACTTTTCAGCTCCCATCACCTTCCGTATTCGAAGGCACGCCATCGCAGCACCAGGAGATGGTCCTGGAGCCTGTGATAGAGTGAATGTTACTGTGTCTCTAGGTAGCTAGTGCCCTCCGATGCATGATAGACAAGCTCGATGCAAGTGGACTGAGTGGGAGCGCTAGGAGTGGTCATAACCTGCGGGCGGACGCTAGCGAGGAAGGTTTCTCTCTAGGCCACCTGGACTTTTTAGGCACCCTCGTCTTGCTTAGCTTGCAGCCTAAGGTCGTTTGGCGCCGGGAGATGCCCTAAGCGAGAAGCCCGTTTGACTGGGATACCAGGGGATGGTTGCACCTCGTCCAGCGAAGATGAGAAGCATCACCGTGGACGTGTCGGGCCCCAATCCTTCGCTGGTGGGCCATTGGCTGTGGCTATTTGGCAGAGGCCGCAGAGGAGACTGTGTGGCACGCTCGCTCTCAATATGCTTGTCGTCTAGGGCGGCTGAGCGACTCGAAGCGACTCGAAGCGAGCGTTGTTCCAATTTCGCCATCGACCGTCTGATTCATGCTCACTGTGCTTCGGCACTTGGGCGTCCGTATCGCCTTGAGAAAAGAGTATCCTCTTGTGCAGCACACAACTGTCAACCCCCCTCCGACACTGGAACAGACCCAGAACAGACATTCAATCGTTTCACGGGGCCTGAATGGGCGACTAACCCAACCAGACGCCCAGGGTATCGCACCGCTAGTCCACAGGCCCTGTCTTGAATTGATCCTCTCTCCGGCCATGCCACTTGCTTGCCTGTTGTAATAGAGCATCATCATGTTACTATGGTGCAGGCAGCACTAGCGATCAATACAAGTCTTGACTCTTCGATTGCTTTGAGTCTCGTCCTCCGCTCGGTACTGGCAAGATCCGCTCCCTATCCCAGTCGAGGCCGGGTTCATCCCTTCTCGCCTTGATCGTTCTTTTGTGTCGCCTACTTACCTGCATCTTGCTGCTTGTCCCTTCCTGCTTTGCTACCCACCACGACCACTGGATCTTTCTTGCGAAACCACTCAGTACTCTTCATTCCAGACGCTTCATATCCCAGAGTAATATTCTGGCTGGCTGGAGAGCAGCGTGGGAATCCTTGAACGCTGGCATTGATCCATCATTCAGTGACGAAATTGCTGGTGGTCCTCTAGCAAAAGCAAAGAAGTCGCTTGCGCCCGGAACTTTGGTGGAAAACCAAAGAGAATCCCATCCAGACACCCTAATCGGCGAGGCCGTGGTTCATCAGCGTTACGAACGCTGGCAGCTGAACTGGAGTTCATCAGCCCTTATTCCTCGACCCTTCAAGGCTACTCGCTGGGGACGGTGGTGTCACCAGCGTACGAGTCGATGAATTATTCATATTCGACCTCAGGGTCGTTACAGCCTATGTCGACATCGATCAGTCTACCACCGATAAGCAGCATCGATTTCAATGCGCAGACACAGAGGTCGTCACCAGAAGTCGTACAACCACTCCCACCACCTCCACCAGCGGCGCCACGCGTGCTGCCACCACTGCCATATCCATATGCTGTACGACCTGCACCTCCCCCACCTCCGCCTCCCCTGGGTCACGAGTATCTGCAAGCTCGACCTATATATCCGGGGATGCCTTCAAGTATTCACTCTCCATATCAGCCGATGCATGGTCGAATGCCACTTCCTTCGACGACTGATCCCAACCTGATTGTTGCCCCGACACGACACAAAGCCAAGGAGGTGAAAAGACGGACCAAGACAGGGTGCCTGACTTGCCGAAAGAGGCGTATCAAAGTGAGTAACGATTTATGTTTTGTTCTGTTCTATTCCAGATGCAGCCTTGTCCGAAGTTCGAGTGCATTATCAACGGTTGCAATTCCCGCATACCAGAATTCACGGGCCGAGCAGTTGGCAGGTTTTGGGTGGTGGGCGTGCTTGGGGGGCAGGATTACACGTGCTCCACTCGGTTGGTGGCGCACCTGGAGTTCACCACGCACAAACCAATTTGGAGGGCTAGTGGCCTGTGCCCTGAGCCTAAACTACCCGCCCTGGGGGCTTGCCAACGGTCTCTCGGTCTTTGTTTCTGGCCTGTTGCCTATCCGTATCCTCGCCCTTGCTCCGCCTGGCGATCCTCACATCCTGGGCACGCACACACAAACTCATTCGCCTGACACACACACAAATCCATTCCCCAACCAGAAGCACTCTTTGGCTCTGATTTGAGCATCCGTCCCATTTTCATATCCTGCACATCAGCGCTACACACTTGCACAAGCGACTCCCTACCTTGCGAGGCTTTTCTCGCCACGAGATTGCGCATAGGCCTCTATCTGTGTCTTGCTCATTTTCTTTGGTGGGGAGCGGGGATTCAATCTCCTCGCTTCCACATGCTTCTCCTCACTCCTTCTCTCTTGGTCCTGTTTACCCCTAGTCAAGACAGACAACTAACGATTTTCTTCTCAATTGACAGTGTGATGAAGGTCGACCAGAGTGTAGGAATTGCATGAAGAGCAAACGTGTCTGTCAAGGTTACGACCCTGTCTTTCAGTCACAGGGGCCTCATTCAATCCACCCTGCGCCATCAGCGTCAACCAATAATTCACACACTACCCATACCCCAACAACCACATCCATCAACAATCAATCAAGGCGTTTCACGACCACTGGCACGCCCATCAGCCCACCCGTTCCTTCTCACACTCAAGGCCTCGTCAATAGCTCCCCTCGTGAGCCAGCAGATTACCCGTATCCAAGACCACCTGAGCAACTTTTGCCCCACTTGAATCAACCCTATCATATGGACGGCCCGTCTCATTCTGGACTTTCGTATCCCCCGACTGGACGTCGTACGTACAATTTCGATATCAAGTCTCTCGTCTCATCTCACTAACTCCCGGAACAGTATAGCAATGACAGACATTGATTCCCGTCCAGACCGGCGGACGATCGAGTCCATATGTACTATTGCCGGCACCAAAATCCCAACTGTTCCACCTATTCCACCTGATTCTGTTCCCAATCTTGAGTCCATCCGGAAAATTTATGACATCGCTTTTGCCCCTGGTCTCGACAAGCTTTTGGAATCCGGTCCTTCAAAGTGGTTTGCGAAGGAAGGCTTCCAACTATTGTGCGCGGATCGGGCTCAGCTCGGGAATGTCCTTGCCTACCTGACATTGGTCAGCAATCATACAGATACGTCGAATTCCGACATTGCAACGTTGGCAAGTCAAGAAGCCAGGGTCACCTGGGCACTGCTCGAGCTCTGCATCAGACCAGAAGATGCAAGCGCAGAAGAAACTGATAAACTCGCACGACGGTGCCGAGCATTGGGTGCCATTTTGACCGGCCAGCCTTTTACAAGTCCTACAACATCACTTGCCGATTTTGTGCACCAATATGAGGCTGAGCCGGAACCAAAAGCCACCGTCTTTGAGAAGCAAACGGTCAAAAGGTCGGACGATTTTTGGAAACTGGTCGAGACCGCCGCTGCCAGCCTGGACCCAAATGGTCACGGAATTCCCTCTGCTATGTTGACTCGAATTCGACCTTTACTGGATAACCAAGAGAATCGAGACACGATTTACAGCATCATGCTATTAGGCTCAAAAGGGGCTCAACAAAGCGAACTATCGTCGGAACGAGACCTGGCCAAGCGATATCTCGAAACGCAAGCCAACGGACGTGCTACGAACCAAGTTTTGGTCACCATTTCTGGCATGGCGTTGAGGGCTTATGCAAATTGATGGATTACACTCTTTTTCTTCACACGGAGGGACTAGTCTCCACCGCTTCTTGTCACTTTCTATATTATTTTTGCCCAACAGGTCGGTCTGGAACACTACATGCTGCTAGCATTACGAAGATTATGCGGAGAGAGCGCAGACACATACCCCTACTGCTTGAGTGAGCTCTTAATGTTTTCCCTTGGCGTTTGAAAAGCGGGTTTTCCTGTTCCTCGTCTTTTGTTTTGTGCCACCAAAGTTGTTCATGGTTTTTCCCTTTTCATGTGGCCAAACATTTTCTTGCGACGGCCTTCATTTATTTCTTGGACTTTGAACAAGAAGAGGGCTATTGTCACTGTGGTGCCTGGGTGGACCTTGTGAGCATTTTCTTTCTCAAACTGGCATTCATCATGCAGGCAGTCTCTTATTGGGGTTCAAATAGGCGTAACATTTCAGTCCACAAGGCCAGATGGATTGAGATTAGGTGTTCCTTGATACTAAGGTTGGAAGGGTAAACCAAATGCAAGAACCCAAGGCACTTTTGCCAGCTTCTTCAAATTCCACCCTCTTAGAACCACGATCAACAATGACCCCTTTCCAAAACAAATGATCCTGATAAAGCAACCATCTCCAGAACCTACAGCCCCGTGCGATCGGACACGAATATAGTCACGTGGGAATCCGGCAACAGGCCGCATGACATGACAAAACAGCTCGTAAAGGCTCTCGAGGCACAAAGGACCAGGCAAGGTCGAAATAAAGCTCCCAATATCCCTGCGTCGATCAAGGAACGAAAGAAAAAACGACCAGGCCAGGCAAAGGCCGAAAGGGCTAAGCTGAAAGCCTGTGGTGGCCCGGTGGGTGATCGACATGCCAGGCTCAACAGCCTAAACCTCTAGGTTAAGGTACGGAGTAATCTAGCAAAAGACGTTGGTGCCTTGTTGTGTGCTTTGTCGGGTGAAACTCTTTTTGGGCAATTCGAGACTCGAGACATGCATGCAAGCGAGGCCCATGGTTGGAGGCTAATGTTGATTGACAGCGTTGAGATTGCGAGGGAGGGCAAGATAAGGCGGTGGGCATTAGGGCTCGAAACTAGGGGTGGGGGAGGGCTCCTCGGGCTGTTAGGCGCGGAGTTGGTGCCCCGTTGGAGCTGCCCAGGTGAGCCTAGGACCCCTTGGTAGGACGTGGCTTGGAGGTAACCCTGGGCGTGGCTCTTCTCCAGGAAACGCAGGGACCTCGAGGACCTCCTTGTCCTTGTCCTTGGAGGGGTGGAAGGAGCAGGCGAGGTTGCCTGTAGGGGCCTCTTACCTCGTATCCGTGCTCGTATAGGCTATCCTTTACCAGTGCCAAACTCCCTTGTCAAGTTGCTTGTCAATATCCGTCCTCCGTACCTCCTGCCTACAACCGAGAGCCACCATTATTCTTCTCCTTCGATAGTCTCATGCATTATCCCTGGAGCGTTCAAGGTCAGAATATCTTCATCGTCATTATCCTCATCGTCCATCCGGAATGATGAGCCATCACTTATCTGTCACATCTCGCTTCGCCGTTGAGTTTACAGGGTATGCACCACCTCCACCAACGACAAGTATCCAAATTCCATTATGGAGTGGATCTCGAAATTTCTCCTGAGTGCTAAGACATTTGATCTCGGCCACCTCGGTGCAGGCATACCTTGTCGCATCGGTTCAAATTTCCCATGTCTCTCATATCTCATCTCTAATTCTTTTTTTGATCTTCAGTGAATCCTACTAGCCACCCCTGCTTGTGCCAGCCTCGAACCTGTCAAGTTCGTTCAGATTCATCTCCATCAAGCCTTTTACCCCAGCGCCTGGCGTTCCTATTCATAGGTCGTTTCTATCACACTAGGGTTCGCTTATAGTAGGGCATTGTTTGTTCTATTCGTGGGTTCAATATCTTTCCCCTTTTTCTTGCATCAAGATCTTCCGAGCTCTTTCCTCTCCCCGCTCTACTTTTGCACATCGTGCCGCTTTCCAGACCAATTTAGCACGGCGCGGTAGGTACGGTGCATGCGAAGTAGATCATTGCATGGTGTACCTTACGTACAACAGGGAGAAGATCATGGAGTTTGTCATCTCAGAGTGGGCATTGCCAGTCTGCCACACACCCTCTCGACTGGCACACACGTGCTTGACATGTCAGTGATGCGGATGAATGCAGTCAAAATGTCGGGGGTCGACAGTGCATGATGCATGATGGCTCGTGCGCAACGGTCTTGAAATCTCCATGTTTGACAGATCTGACGGGTGTCAGTGCACTGTGGTCCGTGGCCTCGATTGCATGCACACGCCTCAGACATGCGAGCTGTCAGACGGCTGGATGATCATGACAGCACGTGGGAAATATTGAAAACTTCGGATGGCTCTTCTGGGGTGCCCAGAACGGTCTGCATATCCTCTCTCACTTCGATGGGTATACAGTGTGTGCCCGCCGACTGCTGAAGAGGAGTATACTGCTCCAGAATTGCTGGCGGTCTTCCTGGGGTGGTCGTCAGCTCAAGAGCCGAGAGATTTGACGCTGGAGGGCGCAGGTAAGGCTGAAACTGAACAAACCCAACCCTTCGCTGTGACGTGCCTTCCCGTTGATTTTGGTGGTCGACGGCTATGCCGCTGCTACCACAACTGAAGTTTACCGCCCTGACCATGTCCAAGGCTCATCAGCTGAACTCTCCCAAATAACAAGTCATGGATCACAACTCACTGTTCTTAGCAGAATGATTGCTTTCCTCATAGAAGCATCACCTAACCCCAAGACTGGAGTATTGTGCCGTTATACACGTGCGTCGCAATTTGTCTCAAAGGGCTCTCCAGGACTATATATTCACGTGGCCACTTCTCTTCGCTACCTCATCTCAGTAAGTGGCAATGCTGGACTACCTTGTTGACAGAGATCGACATATGGCTGACTGGATTGGACTTAAAAGATACGAAACGTGACGTGTTTCATGCAGCCCAGTCTGCCTGATGAGCGGAATACAACGAACATGCAACCTCACCATAACTGCGTTGAGGCTGAATTTTGCAGGAGCAGACATCTAGCCCTTTAAAATGACCTTTCACTGCGCTAGCTGGGGAAATATGGTCTTCTTGACACCCATTGTTCTTTTCTTCTGAACTCGCTCGACTTCGAGAACAGGAGCGATGTTTGGTACTTGCGCGGAAAGTTGCCTGGGACGATGGGGCTCAGGAGATTTGAACTCGAAGGCTCTCTACTGGCCTGGGCATAAATACGCCTGGAACATGACGGCACTCGAAGCATTGAATTGGGATCCTTGCGAGAAATTGGTGAGTGCAAGGGCTGCACTACGTTGCATATCATCGGAATGTGGTATTTTGGAATGTTGGCAATCTGTTGATCAAAATTACGGCTCTCAACTCTGGGGCTCCACGGTGACGGAATGGCGCATTCACAAGTTTGATTCAATCAGATTCTCAAGACTACCACCCTTCGCACCCAATTCCTGGGAAATACGGCTCATCCCTATTGGCCTTGTGGCTGCTTGTTTTGATTATCCAAATCTAACAGTGCCCGCGTTCGAGACAAATGAATGCCCCGCAAGTCAATTGGTATCGATCTCGGCAAGAGACGGGAGGTTTCCACTCTCTGAGAAGCTCAGGACATGGCTGATGCCTATGTGGCTCTCTTCAGAAATAAACTGGGAATATTGTCTCAAGCTGGAGCATATCGACGAAGTCATTCATATTCCGAGGGGTCTAGAAGACCTGCAAGTCCATCTCGTGGCAATTTACATCTTTGCTTTCATTGCTTACGCAAGTCTCGAGGTTTCGGTGTGGGGGCGGTTGAACTCCTGATTTCGGTTCTGGTCCCTTTGTACCCTGTGGTACAGTTCATCCATCATCTCATCAGCACTATCCCATACGTCGCAGCAGGTGAACCCTTCGAATGGGACTTTCTTCTGGCGGGCGTTTGTGGATGGCATACCTATGCTCAAATACACAATCTTGATGGGACAATAAGACACTTCCGGGCCTGGATCCTGGATTTATATCCTAATGAACTCGAGATGCTTCCGATATCGGTCACCAGAGATACTCGATATTTCGCACGACTCGCGGCTATACTATCAAATCTTACGCTGCTACTTTTCACTACTACGATGTATCTCCATCGTCTACATTATACCTTCAGACGTGCTACATACTGCGCCGCAACGGGGTGGAATCACAGGTCTGGATGGGTTGCCCTTGCTGCTTTGGTGCCCGTTCTTCAGTCATTGGCTTTGCATATCTCCAATGTGAAATGGGGCTTACGGCCGAATTTAGTCCATGATGAGGTCAGAACATACGACTTGAACTTCCGCCTTGCTCTGGACACCATGGCGGCCGCTGTCATACAGGAGCTGTTGATAATGCTCACGGGAAGTTTCACGTCCATCACTCTCATCATTCGCCACTTCTTGACACAGGAAAACCGTCGATATCTCTTGACAGCATTGTTGCTGTTTGGGAGTGTTGGCATCGTCCTCTTACGACCGTTAGCCTTGACGTTGAACAACCCGAACCACTGGATCCGCAAGTCTGTCTCCTGGTTGATGTTGATTGGTGCAACAGCCTATGCAGTACTGGTTTTCGTGCTTCAGATCGTGGTCGATATGGAAGAATATGCAGATCTGAGGCTCAACTTTGTCTTACCGTGGAACTATCGTTGGCAAGTTCCTTGCCCAGCAGGACTTCGTTGGTGGGGATTGTGACGGCACTCCATAAACCAATCTGCACTGGCAACCACCATGTGCATTGGTTCTAGGGAGGGATCATGCAAAGTCACGGCCAGATTGATCTTAAAGAAGTGTGTGTGTGTGTGTGTGTGAGTGTGAGAACAAACTAAACTGAGCTGGGGAATTGGTTTTTGGGATTGGACATGATAAGACTTGGGGAAAGCGACAGACCAGAGTGAATGCAGCTGACCAGACCACAATTTAGACCGGACGATACTTCTCGAAGTGCTGCTGATGCTCGACAAGATATATATCCTCGCGGCTGACAAGGTAGCTACTGTGAGATTATCACCAAGTTCACAGGAGTAGAGAAGAAACTCATGTGATTTACAGAGCAGAGAAGGAGCAGTCCTGGGATCAATATCATATATCCAAGAGATAGTAATCAAAAGCGTACTGTAGATTTGTGCTCTCTTCGATGCTCGAGATACTATTTGTTTACGGAAATACCCAAAGCTATGTTCAAGAATAAATAGAAAAGCCGTTTACTCGCCGTCTCCTGTACTACCGGCGGTAGGTACCCCAACTTTCCGTTTAAGGCCCAGGAGGCTCGGCCCTCGTTCCAAGAGCACATAGCCACGGGTGCCGCCAGGGCATTCGACCTAAGGATGTGCGTTTGGGTCATTTCTTGTTACGCAACCAGTGGTCCTTGTCCATGATTCCTCGGATTTGTAAGCCGTGGGCGGTAGAGGCTGGTGGTCTCGTCCTTCGTTCGCTGAAGATATCAATGAGTGAGTCATGGGTGGCCCACGAAATACTTGGCTCGACGCTGTTCTGAGTCCGGAGTACGGGCTCTGTTGGAGAGGAGAGGCTCTTGCCTCTCGCGTGGAACCTTGTGCTCAGAGGTGTGGGTGTGTCTCCGGCAGATGTGGCGTCATAATCGAAGCCACGGACTCTGCCTGAGGTCGTGGATGTAGACAACGGGCGTGGCGTGGGATATGCTCATTTCGCTGTGCTGTGCTGTGCTGAGGAGTTGTACACCTTGGGAGGTAAGTTCAAGTCCAAGTCCAAAGCACTGCTCATGACTATGAAGCGTGATGTCAGGGGTGACAGGCGAGCTTTGCATCCGAAGTGATAGAGCACGTCGCAATGTGCTAGGATGGCCCGTCGACCTGCCGGCGTAAAGATACAAGTTCCGACGGCCGGGCTGAGCGCGGTGTCAGAAGTGCCCTATTGTGCAGAATGGTACTCGGTCTCCAGATGGCTGTGGTAGGTGGGGAACTTCCCAGACTGTCGTGCGAGCAACGGTAAAAAGGACAGCCGCCGCTTCAGAAGCGATCGACTAGCGACCTGGAAAATCCATCTCAGGTCTCTTCGCTGTGCTTAGACTTCTCGACACTGACAATCCTCTTCCCACCCATCTTCTTGATCTCATCGGCAAGTGTACCGTCAGCATGCATGCGAGCGATATCATCGCTACCACCTAGGCTCTGGGCATTGATCATGATGTTCGGCACGGTGTGGCGCCCGGTCAGGCTTGCGAGTAGATCTTGGAGTTTGCGGCCGATGGTGGGCGGAGGTGCGTCACCACCCTCACCCTCCTCCTGATCCAACTTGTGCTGCCGGGCAGGTCTGGATATAGGCTTGTTCATCAAATCGAGCTCGACGACGTAGGGAGTAGGTGAGATGGTGTAGGTCTCGAGAAGGAGTGCTTTGGCACGTTTGGAGTAGGGGCAGTAGGACTTTGAGAAGATGATGACTAGAAGGATGCCAGTCAGCGTTGTCGTCCCTTGCCCAATAATTTGTAGCAAAGAGAATGAAAGTACTCACTTGGACTCTTCTTGAGAATCGCCTGTAACTCCTCCCGCGCCATACTCTCACCGTCCAAGGGTTCATCCTCATCGTGATGACCAGTTGCAACGCCACTAGGATATTTCGGCTTGTCATTCGTCTTGGGCATGGAAACCCTCCCTGCAATAGCAACCTCGTCGCCATCTCCGTTGAACGTAGCCTGGTCACTGATGGCCTTCTGCTTATCCAGAATCTTCTGTAGCTCTCGGTTGGTGTGAGCCGTCAAGTCTGCGTCGGATAGTGAACCACGCAGGACACCTCGACGTCGCGACAAAGATGCTTCAGTGGTCCTTCGGAAATCGGTCGAATCTGACCCTGCAAAAAAGAGGAAATAGATGATGACGATGCTCAAGGCGAGGCCGAGTGCCTGACCACGGCGGATACCCATGATGAACAGTTGGCGGGCTCGCTGTGGGTTGTTAAAGATAGTAGGAGTGACAAATGATTTCGGAGAAATGACGTTTTCGTGACCTTGGTTCGAAGGATGACACAGGTGTAACAAGTCAACTGTGATTATCGATACACAGGCATCTCTTTTACACTTATATGATTCAAAATGAAAAGGAGATGCGAAGTACAGCACATGTCACGCGCACACATGCCAGTGGCCTGTGGAAGAATAAAAGGAATTCTTTTCGAGAGATGGAAGATTAAGATTTGACAAAAGGCTGGCGTCCATGGTGGCAGATTTGAATGGGGAGAGGGACCCAGGAAGGGGATCTGAATGGACGTGATGGACACCCGACGGGCATGGGTGGAGATTACGGATAAGGTGCCCTGAGTTAAAAGCCATGCGACAAGCCCTCGGCCCTGTTTTCTCCATCGTTGGGTGAACCCGCGATGCCTATTCCAGCTACCTTTAGGGGCTATTCGCCTCACCACTGGGGCAATGCATTAAGCATCGGGAGGCTTTTCTGGGGAAGGAGAATTTTGGGTTTATCGACTGGATGGGAAGGTCAGGAGCCTCCTCGTGCTACAGGGATCCAGAAGCATCTTCAAGTTGAGCGGGGTTTAGCTAAACACTCGATGCTTCAGAGGATCACGTTGTGCACTCGTTATGAGAAACGCTCACTCAATAGAAAGAGCACCCTTCTCATCAGAGTTCGTTGTCAATACCGACATCCAAGTCAAAAGCCATTCATACAACGTACCTGAACTTCATAACCCGTCAGCTGCTGTCACACGCTCACCCTCTGATTTGACTGCCCCTGGATCTTGGCTTTTGACCTCTCCCCTCGTGTCCCATCCGTCCACCATCATATTCTGAAACGAGAGAATGTGGTCCGTCAAGAGATTGGCTATCCTCATTCTTCGAATACACTGAGGAGAGGGTAGAGCAATCAGCGGTGAGTGCTATCCTGATACACAGTCTAGGTGCTACTATACACAAGGCTACCAAACACCACTCGTGAGTCATAACTTAACCCTAGCCAGGATTCTGCGCTTTCCATAGTGATCGTCCAGGAAAAAGGAGTATCTACAACTAGGAACCTTGCCCCTCGAGAATGACATCTGTATATAAGGCCAGCTTCCAGCGACTACCCGAGGCTACAGCCACCTCAGGTCTACACGAGATATATCTCGACTCCTTTGAGGTGCTTGGGCACTGTGGTTGGCTAGGTCGTGTGATTAAATGTACCAAAGCCGTTCGATACTCGTCTCAGCCTCGCCGACGACCATAGCCATGACCGTTCGACACTACTCTACAACCTGGTCTAGGCCCATCATCATCTGTGATCTCGCCACAAGCCTGTCCTGGTGTACCGGGGAAACATGTCCCATCATGAATCCTACCCATGCAGACAGCCAATGTCTCTCTGACTGCATTATAGCCCAACGCCTTGCTATCCAAGCATTGTGCAAAAAGTGGAAGTGTAGAGCCAAGGACCGAAATCTCCGTACTATGCCATCAACCCAACCAAAACCACTTTTTGTACTCCCATCAACTCCCGCTTTGCATTTTCCCGTGAAGCGCTCTCAAATTCTCGAACTACGGCTGAAATCATCACTTTTCTTATCCGAGCATCGACTTTGTTGAATAGATCGCTGACAAGAGGTGTGCATGCACTCGAACTGCCCAGGATCTGTATCAGTCGCTGATAGGTGTCGATGAGAACGTCACATAACGTGGCAAAGACGGTGAAAAAGTCGGGGGAGAAGGGGAGGGGCGGCGTCTGGAGATATGTGTATGGCCCTTCATTGGTGAGTAATGTTGAGTTAGGCGCATCAAAGGGTCCTGGAGGGGGAAATGCTGAGGCACTGGCAAAATTGCCTGAGGCCAAGGGGACCGAAGGAGAAGGTGTGACAAGAGTCGTGGCATTGGAAGAGAAAGTCATCCCAGTGGCGGTGGTGTCTATAGAAGCATGTGGTACGTGATGATGACCACCTTCTGGCATGCTGGGGGGAGAAGAGGTAGGTGGCAGCATGGGGAGGCCAATCTCTGACACTGGTCCGCTGGATTTTCGTGGTCTTGCGATGGTACCAGATCTTTTAAACATTTGTGGGATGCGGGCTCGGCTCAGAGAACTCGCTGTACTTCCGTCAGGGGGATGTAATTGTTGGAACGATTCGAACTCTGCGAGGAGGGTGTTGAGACTTCTCAGATAGTCTTGTGCAACCGCGGTCATTGTGGCCGCCGTGCTTTGAGCATGTGGCTGTGGGTGCACATCTATAACAATAGGCAACGACATACCCAGGAGCATATAATTCATGGCTCGTCTTGACAATCTGGTCACTGTGTAGGATGGTAATTTGCAAATGTCGGCCTCGGTGAAACGGACCGTGTTGAACCAGAACGATCTTCCCTCATGGGCTTTCCGCAAATAATCCAGTGTTGCTATTCTTTTGGTAGTCATCTCTTGTATATGTGCGTGAAATGCAGATCCATTGGTGAGAGCGGCAGTGGCACTGCTGGAGAGCATCCCATTTGTGGCCAACGAGTATGCAATGTCCATTTCTGACGGAACCGCCTTGAATCCATCCGCAATTGTAGATGCAGGCTTGCCATTCAGCCCATTGCTAACAATGGTGTTGGGATCGCTAGGAGATTTCTGAAGAGGAGTTCGGGAAACCATATCGACGGCAATAGGGAACATGGTCTGAGAGGAAGCGCTCGAGGCGCCAGTCACATCACTATTGCGGGCAACGATGTCGGCCTTGATCGCATTGAGAGTGACGGGGGCAGCAGGAGCAGTGGTGGTACGGGGATAGCCTGGTCGAGGACGAGGGCGTGGTGGTGTCGAACCTGTGACAGAAAGAGTTGCATCGATGGACCCGTTGGATCCCAGAGGTTTATGCCTGCGAGAGGGAGATCTGGTGATTTTGGAGAGGAAGGCACTGGCACCGCCTCCTGAATTGGTCGAGCTGATGGAGCCGTCGCGCTGGGAAAGGGAAGTTTCGGTCATAGTATTCGCGCTGGCGGTGCCAGAGACTGAGTGGTACAAGTGGTAGTGGTTGGAGTGGCCCCAACTCTGAACTGCCAGTGGTCCCTGAATGGCCCGAATGTGCCTAGCCGGGTACTCTGCAGTGGGAGTGCAGTCAGACCGATAAAGTTCTCTGTGTGGACTGAGATGCACAATGTCTCTCGAAACTCTAACGACCAGGTTATCGTTCCTTGAGATCCTCGTGATGGGATGGAATAGGGATTGGGAGGAAAATGGTCGGGATGCCAACGCGACTAGTCGGAAGTTAGGGGGGTTCCTGCAGGTGTGATTACGACTTCACCAGGGGTTGAGGGGGGCGATGTCACGGCTTCCGGGCGCAACTGCGGCATCTTCCTTAACTAACCACGGGCGCCTGCGGGGGAGTTGGAAACAAGCGACCACTGAATTGGTGCCATCTGTTCAGGGGTCATCGCGGCTGTTTCGTATTCCTCGTCTTGGCGCTTCCCCTGCCCTTGCTTCTTCCAAGTCTGATAAGGAGCACAGGTACCTAGGTAGTTATCTGACTCGTAGTATTCATATTTGTACTTGAATATGAGTGACGACAACGTGCCCAAGTCTGGGGACTGGCCAGTAGACCCTCAAGATGAACAAGAAATTTTGAAAGAGCGCATCTGGGTCGATGGCTGTTTTGATTTCGCCCACCACGGTAGGCCAACTCCCAACACTATATGCCCCTGATCGAGGTAGGTAGAGAGCTGGTGAATCTAATGCTCAGAAATTCCAGGCCATGCGGGTGCCCTACTGCAAGCGCGTCAATTAGGGAAGGAGCTGTACGTAGGCATTCATTCCGACGAGGAGATCTTGGAGAACAAAGGCCCGACGGTCATGACTTTGTGTGAGCGGTGTGTTTCAATTTCTTCTTTACCACAGGCGGTCGTTCTTCTCTTCCATGGTGGTTGACTGATTTCCACAAAGAGAGGCTGCCGTTGACGCATGCCGTTGGTCAACCAAATCGATTCCCCATGCGCCCTATGTCACATCGTTGCCGTGGATATCGCACTATGGATGCTGGTACGTCGTCCATGGCGATGACATCACATCCGATGCCAGCGGCGAAGACTGCTACCGCTATGTCAAGGCTGCCCAGCGGTTTCTGGTCGTGAAAAGAACCCCAGGCATATCAACGACCGACTTGGTTGGTCGCATGTTGCTATGTACCAAGGGACACTTTATCCGCTCCCTAAGCGACGAATTGGCCGGCGTCTCTGACGGCAAATCCGACCCTGAGCGAGTCGCACAGGGCGCTGCCATGCTACAAAGGATCAAGGATTACGCGACAGACGAGACGGCCCTTCAGCCCGGTTCAGAAGTATGGACCTGGGGCCCACGTAGCCAGGCCAACACCGCCAACAAAACCCACGATTCGGGGTTCTTCGAGAAACTCGTCTCTGGCAATGGGCCCAAGCCCGGACAACGCATCGTCTATGTCGACGGTGGTTTCGATCTATTTTCATCCGGCCATATCGAATTTCTCAAGCGCGTAAACGAGGCAGAGAAAGGGGAGGCTTACATCGTGGCCGGTGTCCACAACGACGCCGTGATCAACCACTGGAAAGGCCTCAACTATCCCATCATGAATATTTTTGAGCGTGGTCTTTGTGTACTGCAATGCCGTTACGTTCACGCCATCATCTTTGGCGCCCCCTTCTCACCCTCGAAACCATATCTTGAAGCCATACCTCTAGGTCAAGTCAGTGCAGTTTACCACGGGCCCACCGCCTTCATGCCGTCGACATATGACCCCTACACAGATGCCAAGGACATGGGCATCCTGCGAGAGATAGAGCCTCATCCCTACGCAAACGTCAATGCGGGCGAGATTGTCCAGAGAATCATGAAGGGCCGTCAGGCCTTTGAAGAGCGTCAGAGGCGGAAGGGTGAAAAAGCCGTTGGGGAGGAGGCCACTCGTCAACGAGAGATCATGGAGCAAGAACAAGCCGCCATTGAGGAAGAAAGACGGGCTGCATTGAACTGAAGTCATCCTCGGGCTTCTCTTGGTTTCTTTTCACTTCACTTCGCATTTCTATTGCAACCTGTGCCCACAGGCATGGGCGGGACTACATATGTACAGAGTGTGTCCACCACGACTGCAAACTTCCAGGCATCGGGTTTTTTAAAGTAATCATTTTTATAGAATCCTCAAAGCCTCAAACAAAGCTCCGGCAGGGATAGCTGTGACGCAAAGTTAGCTCAACACCACCAAGAAATCCGTGAAAAAGGAGAGATGGGTGAATCCAAATCCCGCCACGTAAGAGAGATACATACTCTTCACCATAACTCGTATGACCCAACTCATATTTCTCCGCCTTGACACTCTTCGACCTGACCGCAACCGGTAAAGGCGGCAGCCCATCCGCAGCCAACACAGCGGCGCCCGAACCCTTCTCCGCCTCAAAGTAGGCCGCCAGGCCTTTCTGACCCTGCTCCTTGACGGTGACCAGCTGCTTGGACCCTTCCTCTCCGGCGAGCAGTTTCGGACTCGGCGCTGCGGCGCTCCCGATCGACAGCAGTCCGACCGCGTCGCCTTGTGTGACGGTGCTCAGGGTGGGATATGCGCGGCGCACGTCTCGCTTCCAGTACGGATTGTCGGCGATGTCGGCCGCGGGGATCGTCACGGCTTCATCGTACGCGAGCGGGTCGCCGCCTGCGGGCGGTGGGTTGCGGAAGTGTCGCACGGGGACACCGTTGCTGCGTTCTGGGTCGACGGCGAAGAGGCGGCGTACTCGCTCGTAGAGGCCTGTGCTTTGTTGCGTGTATTTCTGTTTGATGGGGAAGAGATCATTGGTCAGTCATTTGCCTTGGAAGCAGTAGTAGTAGCTGGAAGCTGGGGGTCTTCCTGTATAGTCGGCGCAGTGGTTGCAGGGCGGGTGGGTAGGTACCTTCGCGACGCTGACGACGTCCTTGATCGGTTTGGCGGCGGCCATGTTTGGCCTCAGGAGTTCTGGTGGTGTGTACGCTCTTGGTATGTGGATATGACTGTTGGGAAGAGGTCTTGAGCACCTCACATCGACATGGGTGTGGCAGTTGGTGTTTTATTGCACTGCAGCTTTAACGTACGTTCAGATTCCACCAGTCAATTGAGGGATGAGGTTGAGCTGCCCATTCGAAGAGATCCGAGTAAGTCTTGGCATTACGGAGAAGCAATTGATGGGGCGAGATACTTATATTCCACCGTAGAATAGCGATGTCTGAGAAATGGAAGACCGATTGTTCTTGAAATCCAAAAGGTTTGGTTAACCTCATCGCATGAGTCTGTTTAGAACTGAACTTTGACGCAGCTTAGTCCGGTATATCTGAGTTGGCACTCATGAAAGTCGTCCCCACTGACTGGTGAAGCATCACCAATCAAGCACTGCGTCCCCAATAATGCCACCATTTAATGTAAATCGACCCATGGACGTTCCAAAATAAGTACCGTATCAATCTGGAGTGTCATAATGATACAGATATCGAGAAAATCAAGGGTATATAATTCTGAAGATGTATTCAATGCTGCAAAAACCCTCCAGTCCTTGCCAAAGCCAATGATAGGGGTGAATCCTCCTCAAACCGTTTTGTACCGTATCAAGCAAGATAAAGGGGCTGCCGCCGAAACCCATCACCAATATGTGTAATGGCAAGGTCGATGGCACCTTTTTGCGTTGCAGTCGGATATGACGACCGTTGCAACAATTTCAACGGGATGACCAATTGCATTGTTGCAACCACGTTGATCTCTTGAAAGCCACCGTTCGGGCTCCGGCCAGAGGCTGACGAATTGAATGCACCTGTGGGTGTGACATCTCCCAGAGCATAGGCCGTCAGCCCTATGAGTTCGGCTGCAGTCATCTGTATAATAGTCCGATATTTCGAGAGATGCAAGTTTTGAGTCGATGAGGTTCGGCGCTGGTCTCCTCCTGGGGCAGCCTCTGACGAAATACTTTTTCTCAATTCAATCAAGGCTTCATAAAGCTTGACGCGAGCGCTGAGGAATCGGAGCCAATAAAGATAGATCCAGAAGCTGTAAAAATAGTAGACGGCATGCGAAGGGTAGAGAGCCCACATACTGCCAGCCTTTTCGGCTCGGATTGGCATAATGTCCCAGCCAGGCTCGTCTTTACTCCAGCCTTCCATACTGGCATCCAAGGCTTCCCCAAATTGAAGCAGCGTATTTCCGTCTGCTTTGATCCCATCCACCAATTCGGGCTTCTTTGCACTCCGTATAAGAAATTGTTTTATCTTTTCCAATAATCTCGCCACACGATGGAAGTAAGAGGTGGCTTTATTCGCTGTTTTTGAAGGCACAAATTCTTGTTCTTCATTGTAGACGTCGATCTCTAGATCATCGAAATCTTTAGAGGTTACCGAATTCAGAATGAAAAGACGCATTTGCTAACGATAGTAAGTTTTGAATATAGATAATAACGACACCATCAGATCTTACAATAGCTGCTTTGAAGACACGAAATATCTTCTCTGATCGAGGATGTGTAAATTGCACGAGACCTCGAAGCCTCAGCAGATTCATCGCCCCTTTGACATGGGATATGTGAGACTGCCATTCTTCTTCCTCAGTCAGGGAGCCTTCTGCGGTGCGACCATGTGTGAGGACAACGCTGATCATCTAGATTTGGCTTAGGAGTTGTACATAACATGCTGGCTTGGCGGGTTCCATACCTCATACAGCCCCAGTAGCCAGACTGCTACCACGGTCTCGTCTTGTATACTTGCCGCAGTGTCCCGGATTGTTGCGTTGGCCAATTTCAATGCATAGCCGTATTCTTTGCCGGTTTGAAGTCGGATATCTTTACCGCTATACTGATCGGCCAAGGTCATACGAGACACAGCCATTGCTGCTTGTTTAATACACGAGTAAGGTGTTGCATTCTGGAGCATATCTGGTAGGAAGTCCAGGACAGGGGCTGCATAGAGTCGTCCGGCCTGAAAACAAAATAAATTCAGAAAAAAGCATAGCGATTGGTGGTGTATATCATAGCGCGGTGGGGGTGAAATGGCACGGGATGTGGGAGCCTTTTTAAAAAACGGTTTGCTAGCAGTGGGCTCGACCTTGATCGTGTCGGACCGGCCGTCATGGGCACGTTGTTCTCTTGTTGTCGCAGCAGGATGATCGGGAGGGAGAACGGGCCCAGAAAGAATCGAAGGGCTATTCGACCCCTCTGGTGGACTGTTGGAGGATGTGCGTAATTGTAGTTGGACCTGGAAGGGATAACCTGGACAAGGTTTGCGTATTTGAGCGCATCTCTTGCAACCCGGCTTCCCTTCATCGCACTAGTGGAGAGTAAGTATGACAAGATCTGTTGGCGGAGATGGAGTTGATTACAGACCTTGATCTTGCGCTTTCGGCATAAGGCACAACCTGTGCTCGACCTGCCAATATTTCCCATAACACTGTGTAGATAGATATGAGAAAGTGAAGGATAGACGGATATACCAGGAACGATATAATAGTGGAGTCGGTTGACAGGAATAGATCTTACGTTTCAAAGGTTGTTTTATAATGAACCTCGGACAGAGATGTCAAGGGAATGGAACATGGTCGGATAGTAGTAGCTTAGGGATGGAATTGTAATAGTAATAGTCACACTCTCCAGGAGTCATGCTGTAGATGTTTGTCTGAAGAACTCGCGCCAGCAGGCCCCCAACTTGAACGTGCGAATACGATGTAACCAAAGATCACATTCGGTGGAAAAGCTTTCAGCTGGCAGAAGACTGTGATCGAGGCGCACGCAAAACTAGGGTAGCTGTGTCGGTTTTGTGGCCCCTTACCATGATACACTCACTAGACATTGGCTCCAAGCACATGTAGGGAGGCCATGAGAGTAGAAGTGGCTTATGGGAAGAGTTCAGAATCCAAAAACGGGGAAACTCCGTCATGTAAGTAAACAACCGACAGGGAGGTTAGACCGTTGAGAGTGATAATACGGAGCCATCGAGACGAGGGGAAGTTGAATCGGGGGACCCCTGGAACGAGCATCCCAAACCCTATTCCGGTCTCTGTGCCGTACTCCTTGGCGATCAGGAGGAGTCGCCCGGACGTACCTAAGGTGACCTTCCTCGTAAGTCCTAGGTCACTGTAAGGTGCCCCATAATCTGAAGGGAAATGGTGTGCCGAGGACAATACCTTGAACAACGTTAGTACGTTAGCTGTAGGATTGGTTAAAGCGGTCTCTATCTTCCGAATTCTCTGACCAACTGATGAGTCCCTACGAAGCGCGGCCATCTCGCAAAATACCTATACAGCTCTAGGCCGAGAACCGAGGAGGGACGGACACCTCATATGTTCAAATTGCATGGACGCCAAAAGTTCAGCCTTATGGACGGTGGTCTACTTAGCGTTAAGCTGGAGGAGCCTATAGGATGTGGTGGCCAAACCCCTCATTGAAGCCTGTAGTGCGCCGAGTGCCACTGCGCCGCACCTGACTTCGCATGCGCTAAAGTAACATTTCTGAGCCTGGGTCTCCAGGTGCCAATTCGGAGTACATACTCCAGACTCCATACTAGACCACGATTCACCACAGATCACATTCAATTCATTTGGCACCTATCCTTTGACCTTGCGCCCCCTTCGGTCGTGTTGTGATCCCAAGGGCATGCACAAGTGCTCATTGCGCAACACCTTCCTCAGCTCAGAGGCATGGCCTCAAGATTGGTTTTGGTCATCGGTGACCTCTTTATCCCAGACAGAGCCCCAGTAAGTCCACTGTCTACTCCGGCGCAATCAGAATGGTCATGTTGACATGATTTACAGGATCTGCCAGCAAAGGTTGGTGGTCTCTAGTCCTCCCCATCCGCTTCTCACACCCGATTGACGCTCTGTACCCTAGTTCCGCAAGCTCCTTTCTCCAGGAAAGATCGGTCAGATTATCTGCCTAGGCAACCTCACGGACAAAGAAACCTATGATTTCCTACGGCAGACAGCACCAGACCTACACATTGTCAAGGGTGATTTCGATACAGATGCCACCAATCTAGCCCTATCAAAAGTAGTCCAACATGGTGGACTTCGCTTTGGTTTCACACATGGTCATACAATAATACCCCAGGGTGACGCTGATGCATTGCTCATCGCCGCCCGCCAGATGGACGTCGATGTTTTGCTTTGGGGTGGAACGCACAAATTCGAAGCATATGAGCTGGAAGGGAAATTCTTCGTCAATCCAGGGAGTGCTACAGGAGCCTTTACCTCCAATTGGACCACTATTGATGAGGAACCGGTTCCAAGCTTTTGCCTTATGGATGTATGCCGCAGGAAATCCCTTTGATCATAACGCAGCTCGCTTACATTTTCTCACAGATCCAAGGTGATGTACTTGTACTATATGTTTATCAATTACGGACCGATGCGAATGGGAACGAAAACGTCGCGGTGGAAAAGGTGTCATTCAGAAAACCCGCTCCAGCTGAAGAGGCATCCTAGACGTCTCACATTCAGTGCATTTACTTCACGTCTAAACCTGACGTCGGCAACCATCAATCCTCACACGAAGGAAATTGCAGTCTTCGACCATGTCCAGCCGAATATCCCTCAGAGGCCATTCCATTCAACTCAAGGCATATATCCAGAGCTTTTATACTCAAGGCATCTTCGGAGTATACCGGGACCTACCTTATACGGCACGAAGCAGCTTGAGCTGCACATCTCTTGTGACATCTGGAGGACATCTCCGCAACACGAGTTGTTCTTTACACCTCGATTCTCTGTCTAATAGATATGGATTGTGGCTATGCTCCGAAGCGAACAAGCTCTTAGAGGAGACTGTCCATTAATTCATAGACTCACGAAAGACTGCAAGTCGCTTGGAGGTTGTCCGGCTCATTTTCATACATTCATGCCCTCAGTGAGATGGCCACTTCCACGGTCTTGACCCAACGTAGACGAGCTTCAGGCACATCATCCTTATCATACATGGGTCTCGTGGATTTCTTTCTCCTTTTGCGCTTCCTACTCTCCCGAACTGGCTGGCTCTCCTCTGCTGTCATCATCAGCACGTCCTCACTCTCCCTCTGAACCTCCGTGGCCGAATTTTGTGGCACCGTGCTCGTAGTGATATCACCCAGTAGCTCCAAAGTGGTCTCACCACACTCGACCTCTGAAGACTCATTGTCCTCGAGCGCATCGCCCTCCTTTTGCGCATCGTCTCTCACCTCCTGATCAACCTCCACCTCCACAATATCATCCACAACACTAACACTCCCCGTCCTCACCACGACATCGCACAGCACCTCTTTCTCTTTACTGCGGAACCACTCAGCGACATGCAACGCCTGCTCCATCGCCCGGCCACTGGCCTTGACCAGCACTTCCTCCCGCTCACGCCTCAACACCTCATTGACCTTCGCGACGCCCTGCGCCACGCCTCTCTCCCCTCCATCTCTTGCCACTGACCGTGGCTTCCCGCCCCTGGTACCACCCCCGATCGCCGCCTGCACGGCCCGCCGCTCGATCTCCCGCAGGATCTTCTTGACGCGCTTCACGGCCGCCATCACCGGCGTGTGCCGCGACACGTACACGCATTTCGGCACGTGCGCGCCCGCGTGGATGTCTGCGATCGGGGCGTGGTTGATGGGCCGTCGTTGGATCGTCGTGGATGGTGGGAGACGGTTAAGGTCGTGGTTCTTCTTCTCGTGCCGCAATGATGCCAGTTCTTTCTGGATGTTGAAGGCCGTTGCCGGTGTCGTTGCGGCGGTGGAGGGAGCGGGCGCTGCCACCACTGGTGTGGGCGCGGACATGGTGGGTAGGGTTGATGACTTGTGCTTCTTTGGCGGTCGGCGGGGATGGAGTGTGTGACTAGACGCTTAGACCGGTAGGTATTTCTTCATTCTCTCCGGTCCTCGAACCCTCAAAGCCTCGGAACAGAGACGGCAGTGTACAAGTTTTAATCTGCGTGACTCTCGTGTCTGAGGCTCCGCAGCTGATGCAGAATGTCGGGACGATCACCTAAATTTCACGGTGGATTATTAGATGCCAAAGTGCAGCTTATACGGCAGACTATTACGTCAGCATCATAGCCTCGTCTCAAGTGTCCTTTCTCGTTACCTAATCTCTTCAATTTCACGTCAAACATGTACGAAGTACTAGGTAGTACTTGAGCAATCGCAAAACGAAGGCAGTGATCTGCGGAAAGATGGCACTGGAGCCAACTCAGTGAAAATTAATCGTTTCCTCCACTGCGATCCCTGTACTTCATCCCTGCCACATGGAACCAATAGCAAATCTCTCCGGGTATCAGGGACGTCGGAGCAAAGACACTCCACGATTCGGATAGCCCGAGTGCACGCCCCTGACAATTTTTGGGTGAGCAGGCCTCCAAAGTATGACAGGGCTGTGAGTCCTGACGCTGTCTATGGTCGCCTTAGGGACATAGGCTTTGAATCGATTTATTTGTGTTCAGAGCAGTACTTCCTATCCCTACTGCTGCCTCTCGAGCCCGAAGGGGAACGAACCTTGGGCGAAAGAAGACTGGTAAGTACTAGTATATTATGGGACCTCGTTGACCTTTCGTTTGCACAGCACTACAAAGCACGTAGTACTAGTACTCCTATTATGGGTGGACCCTTTCATATGTCCTCCATAGTAAGTAGTTGTGCATGTACTGTGTAGACATTAAGTGGACGAGGCCAGCAGACTTTCCCACTTCCGGACCAAGTCTACAAGGCGCGCCAACCAAAAGTCCAAAGTATCATAATACTACCCACTTGGTAGTGTTTTGTTCTGCTGTTCACTCCGGAAGCCGAGCAGGGATGGGCGTATTCGCCGGACTACCTTTTCTTGGAGCTGAACACTACAAGTACTCCTACTCCTACTTTGGATATATGTATTGTAGATAGCACACTAGATATAAATACTTCGGTTCCCCCAGCTTCGTCGAAAAGAGGTTCCCATCCAACAGCTCATTGCGCCCAGCGTAACCAAGACCAACAATTGCTTCAACTTACCTACGTAGTCCAGTATCAGTACCAAATCGGAGAAAGTCAATATGGCTCCCACTCGTGCCCAATTGATCGAAACCGCCACAACCCTCGTCAAGGCATTCGAAACACTCGAGGTCGAAGACGTATTGGCCAAACGCAGTGCCAAATCGATACAGCAACTGTTGCCCGAGTCTCTCGGTCGTGGACCTCGTGACCGCGAATCCTTTGGTCAATACATCGGTGGCATCAAGCAACTGATCCCCAATGGATTCCGAGTCACCTTCAACAAGGAACCCATTGTCGACGAGGCGGCCCGTAAAGTGGTCATCTTTGCAAAGACAGCAGCCGACACAATCGCGGGGCCATATCATAACGAATATGTCTTCATCATCCATATGAATGAGGAGGGAACCCTGGCTGACAGGGTCGAAGAGTTTCTCGACAGCTGGTTGGTGAAGGAGTTGGAGTCGAAAATGGATGCTATGAAGAAGCAGATTCCAAACTGAGTGATATAGCTGGGAAATTTTTGTGTACTTGGCAAACAGCTCCACTAAGTACTTAGTAGTACTGATAGCCTCCACAACCTGACTACGGTATGTAGTGCAACACTCGTCAGGTACGACGAATCAGCACTGTCTTTCTTCGTTCGAACCAGTCCAACGGGATAATGTAGCAAACAGCACGTATACTACCATATGGAAGTGGTGGCTTCATGCTCGCGATACCGTGCTTGGTGATGGAACACAAATCAAGTGTAATTATAGTTACTGCTGTCGGTTTTCAAGTATTCCAAGCCACAGAATCCCACAACCATGTCTGTCCAACAGTGTTCATCATGTCAAAATCAGTCCCGACAAGACCATTTTCACTGCCACTGACTGATTCGACAAATGCACTTTCAGGATTGTACTGTTCGGGATTCCAAGACTCATCCATCCCAATCTCGGGTTGTGTTTGAACAATGTCCGGTGTTCCGACAATCGATGCCGGGAACATTGCTGCGTAGGTCAGTATTCCTACCCCTCGTAGATCTCAGAAAATATTTGAAAGGACCGCCAAAGACATACCTTGCTGTAATGTATACAGTCCATTATTAAAGTCCAGATCTTCGAGTCCAGACAAGTCGAAGTTGGCTGGATTTGTAGGATCAATCACCGGATCAGTTATTCCTGGCTGTTGAGTATCAGGAAATTGAGGCTGCATATCGATCAGAGGGTGTATCTGAGCAGGCGGAGGGTCGGCGGGTTTGGGTATGGGATCAATCGGTCGCGAATCCTGTGCTTTCACGGTGTTTGTGGTGGTGGCAGCCGCAGCAACGTTTTCGAAGACCTCGGATCCTGACAATATCACGTCAACCTCCTTGTCTCCAACCAGACGTACAAGATCCTTCAGAACTTTGTTCGTTTGCGCAGATAGAAGGACTCGACCGGCTAAGAAGCGAGAAAGCACCATTATGCGCGCTACCGCCTGTTTAGCAACCTGTGCTTGCGATGAAAGTGGACGCGATAATGCGATGACGCATAATACCATCCCTGCTGTAAATAAGTTAATTCCCAGGAATGCAGCTGCATGACTCTCTCGAGCAGACCGAAGACATTGCTGGTATCTCCCCAGATTTGATGATCGTATCGCAGACTCCCAGCAATGATCTCGACTTGAAAGAAGGACTTGGTGAACATTTCTCGAGTACGGCGAGGATGACCGCCTTCCTGCCCGCAGATTCAACTGGCCATCGGACCTGGTGATTTTGTTTTCTTTGAAGTCCTGCAGATCTTGGGATAGAAGTGGGCGATGTAGTAAGATCTGAACGTTATCATATGCGACCTGCAATGCAAGAGCTTGCAATACGAATGGTCGTGTCTCAGGAGTCACTGGTATGTCTGGTGTTGGACAAAGCTCTTCCAGTTTTAATTCAGGCGGTAAGCTGTTGTGAAAGTTGACGAGCTCTTCATGAATTCGAGACACTTTAGCGGCCAGTCCAATGACGTTTGTGTTTCGATGGAAGTACAAATCGCCGATAATGGACGAGGATATTTGGTAGAACTTAATCTTATATTTCAAATAAGAGAATGTTGTCACAGATTCGACGTCACCGTTCGGCATTGTTGCCATAGATTTGAAACGAGGGTGCTGAAAGGTTTTGTCGCCTATGACCTCAGGTATTTTTACCTCGATGTCTTCAAGAGGGATTCCACAAGGCTTTCCGAAGATTGTTGCCGCAAAGCTGTATGTAGAAATCAGTACACCTTAGCCATTATCGAACGAGGACAAACGCACCGATCGAAAACAAATAATGCCCAAAAGGTTCTTCTCCGCTCTTCTTTAGCCACGTCTGAAAGCCCACGCCAGGAAGACTCATTGTGTAAGTTCATCAATTGTGCACACTTAAGTCCAGAGCCGAGCATCACAAATGCAAGGTTTGGCTTTCCGTGATAGCTGTGAAAGCTTCCCAGCAGGACACAGACCTGAATCGATTCGATCCCAGCGGCATCATACATGTCGTTCAAGTTGCTCTCGACATTCTGCAAAGCTTCTTTCCGAAACGAAAGCAAGTCGAAAGAGGGAAACTTTTGACGGATTTCATCCTCCGCTGCATAATGTGCTCCGAGGCAGATGAGAAGCAGGATCACCCGAGCCCGATTTAGTCCTGAGCGGGGACAACTTCGAGAAGTCATTAGCCTGTCGTAGGTCGACCGGAGACTCGGTTCATGAAAAATGGTCATGAACCAGTGTACAGCGTCGATATATTTGTCGAGCAGATAGTCAGTCACCACTTTTGGCGGCAATGTGATGCCCAGGAGCTGATCCAGGGGCAAGTGTTCTTGCTGCCTGCCTCTTGAATGTCTGACTTCGACGCGACCACCGGGCAGCGCTGATGTGGAACTTTCAAGTACCGTCTCGGGACTAAAATCGTCGATTATCTATGCCAACATCAGTCTAGGGTGCGGAAGTGTGACAAAGCAAGGCACATATCTTCCACTGACCTGGTGAGTCAGCCCGACGGCCGAAGTACGCTCATCAAACGCCTGAAGACGACTTGCAATTGAGGATGCCGACTGCCGGCTCATGGAGGCTTTCCTCTGCACGACTTGTGACGTTCGACCTCCTATGGGGCTCTCTTTATCACCCGAGTTGTCGCCGGGCGAGTTTTTGATACTTGCCACCCCAAGATTTGGGGCAAAGTGATCTGGCTGAGTGGGTTGAGAAACTTGAAGCGCCACATCCTCATTGTGCACACTTCCACCGCGGAAGATTTTTTTCCGACTGCGGTCGCTTGGTTCCATCATTAGAACCGTCAACTTTGAGTCTGATGCACAAGAAACATACCTTTCGGCGGATTCAGAGACACACTCCGCATCAGAACGAAGACACAGCGAGCAGGGTCGCTCTTGATCACACTACCCACGAAACTTTAGAAAACAGCACCAAGATCCGGCAGGATTCAAAATCACCCTTAATTTTTGTCGTCTACATCGTAGACATGCTGACTGAACTCGAGGTCGTCGTTTAGCTCTTTGCGGGTTGACCTCATGATGCGACCACTGGATGTTCATCCTGAGTTAGTTGGCGGTGCCCATCGCAATGGGTCGTCGTGCACACGAGAGAGGGGGCACAGAATTGGTGTGCCGCGTCTGAATCAAGAAGGCTCCTCCACCTTGCGAGGCAACAATTATACGTTCTTCCAGCAGTATTAGGATTATGTCATCGTCATCTTGCGACCGGATAAGCAAGCACCATGTACTCGTATATTGATTGCGCTTTGAACGAAAAGTTAACAGGAGTCAGCCACCAATGGTGGTGCTTGAGGTTTCCATGGTCCGGCGATTGGCAAAGCGGGTGATGTTCGGTTCCGGGGTTGAATTAGATCTTTACCTCGGGAAAGAGCGGGTTCGAGGAACAAATTGAAACTGAGGTGGCTGCAAGGCTGAAAGTCATACAATTCATTTTTGACTGCTTAATACTGTGACTACCTAGTTTAGTAATGAATGGACTCCTAGACCACCCACCGTGAGTCTCCGAAACTAAATCAAGTACTTTAGTATTGTGAATACTCGTAGACTCTTCATCTCTTGCTCATGTATGCTAGGTGAAGCCTATCAACGATAAGACCACAATACCTCGTGTCATTACTTAGTACTTATATCCCTCGCGCTGACGACCCTGTAATAGGTATATATGCCACGTTCATCCATGCTCGGTTCATACTGCTGCTACTCTGACTGGAAAAAATCCACAATCGCCTGTGCACCCTTAGGGCCCAAGCCTCTGGGAGGATAACAAAGGAAAAGCGGATCATCCAGAGTGTTGAACTTTGACCTAAACCCTGTCTTTTGGTCCAGACTGAACTTGGCTGATAGGGTCTGGTATACCGAATTCAATAACGTGGACTTCGCCTTACCAAGGTTGTTCCCAGTCGTGAGTTTGCTCGTAGCTCCAGCGCCGAAAGTGCAGGTCTTGTTCCCAGCATCAGCGGCGCTTTTGAGAGCGGTGAAGACAGTGAGCTCAATGGATCCGTTCGTGCTCTGCGGAAAGTCAAGAGCCCATTTCACCTGGATACCCCATCTAGGTGCCAACTGAGCGAGGACAACCAACGAATGTACCCGGCTTTCGCGATCCTCTGTGACGAAGTATTGGCGATGCTCAGTGTCGATGAAGGGAGTAATCTCGCTAAGATGAACCTGTGCCCCTTCTCTGTTCTTTTTCCATTCTTCGATACGATCTTTACATCGCCTTTGAACATCATCTGGTACTTTGCTCCCATAGTCAGTCACTTGTAGTCCCTCTTTCCGTGCATGTCGGATTTTCCGGTCAACATCACTGCTGATGTCCAGATGTTCGTTGTTTGCCAAGTTAACGCGCTGCTCCGCAACGTTTGAGAAGCTCTTCCAACCTAGGCGGTCAGCTAAAACGTCCTCCACATCCTTGCCCACTAGTATAAACAGCGGCCTGAGTTTGGTTTCATGACGCAGCCACTTTAAAAAGGCGGTGATGACATCTTCAAACTGTCGTGGATCGCAAAGGGGGTTTCCCGCACATATAGCTCGATCCTTTGTCGGTACATAGGATATTGCAGCACCAGTCTTCTCATCGCGCCAGATCTTGTATCTTTGATCCATCCAAGACGTGTTGGTTGCATCACCGTAATTGGCAATTAGATTTTGTAATGCAGGTAGATGACCCTTCGTCCTTTGTAAGGTACCATCCTCTGGGTGACGCAGGGCTGAGCTTGATTTGGCCTGTGGAAAGCTTTTCGGATCTCGAGGGAACAGCGTCGCATACCGCAGGTTCCCTAGATCCAGAATCAGTGATACCAGTCGTTCAAGTCCAATGCCAGCTCCAGCATGAGGAGGTGCGACCCATTCAAACCCCTCAATGTATTCTTTGAGCGATTCTGTATCCATATCCGATTCTTCCATACGTTGTGCTAATATCTGATAATCGTGCACACGTTGACCGCCTGACAATATTTCTTGTCCCCGTACCATGAAATCAAATGAGTTCGTAAACTTATCATTCTTCGGATCCAGCATTGTATAAAATGGTCGTGCAGCCGTGGGAAATTTATCCAAGATATAGTAATCGGTCTTGTACTTGTCTTTTACAAGTTCCCCAAGATGTCTTTCTCCCTTTGTTGGCAGGTCCTCGTGTTCCGATTGCTGATCACCACTTTCATTTCTCCATCCTGAATCATTCAGCATTTGAACTCCTTCGGCAAAACTTATTCTTGGCGTTTGAGGCAACCATATCAAGTCGTCATGAGGAAAATGGTGCTTGAGAGTGGCAATATTATCACGATGTCGGTCGTAGATAGCCTTGAAGACCTCTTTCAAAGTTGCATCTATCAACCACATAGCCTCATGGTAATGATGGTCGATGGTCATTTCCAAATCCAAACCTGTATATTCAGTCATGTGTCTTGGGGTATTGGAGTTCTCTAGATCATAGTTAATGAAGGCGGGCAAAGGACGGAACAAGACGAAAGACATACCAGCCCTAAAAACAGGTCCAATCTCGTAGACTCTTTCCATGTCAGCCGATATACACATTTGCTTAGCCAGCTGGGGACTTTGAGCAAGAAAAGCAGGGCGACCAAAATAATTGAGCTTGAAGACATCAGCACCACCTTCTGTTGCGCCTCCTTGCAGTTTCGGAGTGTGGATCTCCAGAAATCCGCGCTCCTCGAGGAAAGTCCGGAAAGTCTTGCAGACCTCGGATTGAATTCGGAAGATTGCTTGTGATGTCGGAGTCCTCAAATCTAATATCCTGTTACTCAATCGAACTCGATCTGACAGTGCATGGCCGTCAGTGGCAGCCTCTGCCTCATAAACTGAGAAGGGCACTGGTGCTGTTCTCGCTGACACCACATGAAGTTGCTGGATCAGAAGTTCCACATCATTTGTACTTGCTCCATGCACTTTCTTGTCGGGTTGTTTGATTTTTGCTTGTACAATAACGACCGAACCAGGCCTGATATGTTGAGCCCACCTTACCATGCTTTCGGAGATTCCGTCCTCCTGGGCACTGATAACTCCTTGAATGGTTGTAATCTGCTGACGGAAGACTATGAAAGCCATTGCTGCACTCATGTGGCGCACCACATGTATTCGAGCACGGAATGAGACTTCTCTCCCAAGCATCCCCGGCTTGACATCGACCAAGCGTGTCCAGGTGACCTTCTGGCCGGGATCAAAGGCATCATCTTGCGACTGCATCAGTGGTAGTTGACCATAGTGACACTTTATTTCTGGGGGATCGTCGTTGTGTAAGAAATCGTCCAAGGCTTTCCCTGGCTGGCTATGGAGGCCATCTTGCTCGTCGTCCTCGCTGCTCGACCAATCGTCAACCTCACCATGAATTACCCGTGCAACATCATCCTCAGAACCGCCCCGCGACTCCTCATGATCGTGGCGATCCAGCTTTGAGCTAATATCATCCTTGTGATGCAGAATCCGGACGCGTAAGTTTGAGAGCGCTGATTTTACCTTTGACATTGTGATGGAATGAAGACTGGAAATCGAAGGGAGGAATTGCGAAAACCAGGCGAGGACAAATGGTCATACTTACAGCACTGATGAAATTAAGGAGACACTCGCGGGAAAGAATGCCGGTCCGACGCGGACCATGCGTGTACCTGAGTAAGAGTGGGAGATGTAGCATCGAAGGATCACAATTTGTGCTTTGACGTCAGAAGCTGCAATCCCGGGAAGAATATCCTCAACAGCGAGCCTGCTTGATCGAAGAAAATATCTGGAACCAGGGAGACTAGTGCCATAACTTTTGTAACATCATTGCCAATTCCAAGCAAGCAAGCAAGGTTGCTTGTCTGGCTTTGTCGGGATGTTTACTATTGGATGCAGGCTTGGTTTCACACAAACTCCAGAGTTGAGGTAGCAATTCCGACATGGATCTGCATGACGACACAAAGTCCGTGTTGCCAGCATCATTTCCAGTAAGTTGTTTAGATAGTGATGAATCTAGTTGAGATATCCAGAGAAACGGAGTCAATGTGAAGCTCGGTAACAATTGTTTTTCAATTACATCGGTACCTAGGTAGTCGCCCTTGTAAATAATGGCACTGAAATCGAACCTCAGGTACGGAGTCGAAGGCGAGAGGAAAGCGCCACAACCGTCTTAGTACTTGCCTCGGCAAACTTGCATTGTTCCCGTGTGCCTGGAACTTTTTTTTTGGTATCTGGAGGTTGTCCGTAGGAAGTTAACCTCGCACCACTCGGACTTATTAAACAGTGCTTGAGACCAATCCTTCCCCTGTTCCTCGAGATAAATCTCGAATCATGGCAAAAACAAAGTCGAAAAGCCACTCCAAGAATGGGAAAAACAAAGATATTCTCCGTTCTACCACTTCTTCAGTGGTCAAGTCTCCAAAACTCCAAAAATCTGAACGGCCGATCGAAGACCTCCTGACAGAGGCGACCTCTCTGTTCGAACAGTCACAGCCTGAACTCGCACTACCCCTTGCCGAAGAAGCCCTCCGAAGACTGGAGGTCGAACGACAGCAGCGAAAGCGACAAGAAAACAATACACAGGACGAGATTGACACCCTCCTCCAAAATGCAGCACAAGGCAAACCTACACTTCCGACCGCCCTGAGTCTAGAAGGAGAGATTCAAATGGCACTGGGCGAAGTTGAATCTGCCCGCACCTCTTTTCTCCGTGCCACGGTGATTGACCCAGACGGTGCTCTTGTCTCCGCGGAGCCTTATCTCTGGCTTGCACAGTTGAGTGAAGGAGGTGGGCAAGAATCTATATCCTACTTCACCAAGGCGATCGAGGTGTTACGCAACGAAATTGACGTCCTTGAGGACATTTCCGACGACGACGACGACGACGTGGTGCAAGTCTTGGTTGAAAAGCGTTCCAAACTCGCCAACGCGCTGGCTGCCATGACCGAAGTTTACATGACCGATTTGTCCTGGGAGCCGGACGCAGAGCAGCGCTGTGAAAGCTACATCACAGAGGCGGTTGCCATATGCCCCGATTCACTGAGCGCGGGTGTGCTACAGACGTTGGCAAGCGTCCGTATTAGCCAAGAGAGACTTGACGATGCCCGTCAGGCACTCAGGCGAAGTATGGAGATCTGGAAAGACATCCCGTTCGAGGTACAGAGTGAAATGCGACCTGACTTCGCAACAAGAATCAGTCTCAGTCGACTGCTCATGGAGGTCGAGGCAGAAGCGGAAGCGTTCGGAGTGCTGCAAGGCTTGATCCGTGAAGATGATCAGAGTGTTGAGTCATGGTACCTCGGTGGATGGTGCCAAGTACTGGTTGCGCAAAAGGTATTGGGTGACGAGGAAGCACGGAAGAAGAGTCAGGAGCAAGCAAAAACATGGCTGGATAACTGTCTACGATTGTTCCGTATCCAGCAGTACGAGGATGATCGGCTACGAGAGCATGCCCTAGAACTGACCCAGCAGCTGAACCAAGCACTCGGTATTGAAGATCAAATGGACGACGATGACAATGCCTGGGAAGATGAAGAAGATGACGGAGAAAGTGACGGAGATGAAGATCTGGAGGTCGAAGCCAACGAACATGATGACAAAGACGTGGAAATGACTTAATCAACATAGAGCCAAACATTACTATTGCTAAAATGCAAGAGGGATTGGCGAACATAAGGGGAAATAGACAAAAATGATACTGCACCAGTAGGCCCAAATTGGTAGTAATTGCCAACAATTACTTCTGGCCGTGCTTCCAAATTTATTGATTGTACTCATGTCATGGATCTACTTCTTTCTTGGCACGGCTTGGTTCCGAGTATGACCAAATGTACCTAGGTATCAAGTAAATCGGTATTCGAGAAGCAGGGTCGAGCATGAACAGGCCTGGCTCTTACCCTCCCGTCGTAAGGTCCCAGGGGAGAAGCTTTCAAGAAATCCGCGGGTAGCCGGACAGTAGTAATTCGACATTCATCCCGCAGATCCACATACACGTTGCTGGACTTTCTCCGAAGTGACAACGATATGGCCAAATGTGAATCGGTGCGAGGCAATTGCCGTTGACAGATACGTCTCGCAGCAGTCGTGGTCAACCCGACGACAGTGGTCCTTGGTGAGGCGTGTACCGTGAAGCCTATGGCCTCTTAACGGACATCCTGGAGGCTCTGTAAAGCCCGAGGCATACATACTCAACAGTTGATGCCATGGGTCTGCCAGAGTTATGCTAAATGTCGGAGGTGGAATCCTGCATCGTCTGGCGGGGCATAGAATCGAATTCAAGGAATTCGCGGCTGCGAGTCCGTTAACACAGTAAGTAATTCAATGCTTTTCAGTCCTCCTGCCAGGCACTCTTTTTGACGGTATCATGAGATCGGCTTCCACCAACACCGACCTTGACTTTCGACCAGTCTCGCTCCATGACGTGATCTCCTTCGTTGATGCTCTCCCTTCTGCCTTCGAGATAGAACCTACCTCCTTCATAGCAACCCAGGTAGAGACCACTCCCCAGAGCAGTCCAACCCGCTCGAAGTAAAGCACCGCGGAAAAGTCCGCGAATGCCTTCTTTACCAATGATCTCCCGCGCAACAGTAAAACCACTTTTACGAGCGCCTTGAGCACCTTGGTATAGCAGGGTCGTTGCTTTGGACTTTGCGTCAGGTCTGGACGGTACAGGGTCGTCACCAGAACCTGCAGCCAACATGATTCTTGTTTTTACAACATCGATAGGTGTGGTGATCCATGCAGACCCGCTTCCGGCGATACCAGCACTCACGGCAGTGATCCAGGCGCGCTCGGCTATGCCGTCAACCGGATCGCCGCCTTTCTTCGCCTTCCTACTCTTCATAAAACGCTCCTTCAAGTATTCGAAGATGGGAAACTGAAGGCCGGTGAAAGGAAGATTTCGCGCAGCCAAAGCAGTGTATCCCCTCCATAGTCGCGCCGGGTTGCTCCTAAATTGCCGGAGCACCTGCAACGATGTAGACCCTCGTTTCCCTGAACTCAACATCTGAGCATTTTGCTTGAGAACCTCGGCTGGTGTCAAAATCGCACAGCTCACTAATTCAGCGCCAGCGCTGGCGGCAGCATGTACGGCAGGTTGAGGGAGGTATAGTGTCGAGTTGGGCGGAACGGCGGCATTTATGCCGGATTTGAGAGCTTCGTAGGTGGTGAAGAATGCGCCGGAGGATGGGATCGTGATGAGGATGATGGAGCCCACACCTTGGTAAAGCCCACGGAAGAGAGTGCGCTTGGAGGTGCCATCGACATTTTTGTACAACTTTTGGTAGTCTTCTGATTGAAGTCGCGTCTTTAAAGTATCTAATGGGTAGACAAGTAGGTCGACAGTGAAAGCAGCAAATGCGCCGGCCTGAGGTCACGCGTTAATATCATCTGTGTTGGTTGTTCCTCTGGGAGAGCTTACAAGCCAGATATCAGTATTAGTGTTAGAAGACATGGACAAAGTGTACAATCAGGACAATACATAGAACTGCAGTTAAAGAAAGGGGAAATGTCTATCTATCAGTATGCATATCATCGTGGGTGACCAAAGATTGGGATGGGCACTGTGGCAGAGAAGAATAAATATCATGCCATCATGGATGATGTTTCCGCGCTGGTGGATCAAGCTAAATATCCAAGGATGGAATACTGGCTCTTTGGCCCTACCACCACCAATATTGCTTGTAGAACGCTTGCATGCTGTAGTCACTAGATGCCTCTCGATAGTTGTAGGAATTGTAGCGACAAGGAGTACTCTAGACACATTATTGACGGTGATCATGGGAGGTTTCTTCACACATCTAATCTGATATGAGATCGTGATACTGCACCTGGCACGCCCGTTCTATTGACAGCTAGGTAGCCTTGGAAGGTGTAGAGCTCGGCGACGACATCATTGATTGTTATCAGCTGGGCATTCATGTAGACAATATAATCTATCCCTTACTTTGGTTTCACTTCCACTTCCTCCTCATCGACCATCAACCTGAACAGTGAGTTCATTGCACAGCGTTATCCATCAAAGACATGCCTGTCGGCTAACCTTCTTTATTGATGACCCCACTAACTTTCCTGGTGCACGCTAGTCTCGCCTAACCTGCCACTCGATCGGAAAAATGTTCGGAACTCCCACAAAAGTATCGCAGTTGGATGAGTCCAACAACTGGAATCATGTCCAACTGCGTCCAGCATCAACACTTGTTCCCGGTCTCCTTGCTCCTCCGCAAGGTTAAAACCCTTTCCCAAATCGACCTCGAACTCCCACTTTCATCCGACCCTCAGCCATGGCAACAGTCGAGTTAGTAGCCTCCAAGCCCGCAATTGAAATTCGAGGAACCCCACCACTGACTTGATCACAGGAAAGAAGTGCCGCTGAAGGCGGTCCAACTCGAGGCTCTGGTAAGGACGAATAAAGGAAGAACTACGGATATCGATCTAATACGAAACTAGGTGGTTATGAAGGTCATCAAACACTGCTCGAGCCGTTTCCCTACCACCGCCACTGGCAGTCTCGTTGGCATGGAAGTCAACGGTACGCTTGAGGTCACAAACTGTTTCAATTTCCCCGTCGTCGATCTCCCAGCCGATGCCCCGTATGAGCAACAGCAACACTTCAACAGCGCTGCTGCGGCTCCTCGTGCCAAATCCAACACTGCGTACCAAGCCGAGATGATCAGACACTTGCGCGAAGTCAATATTGATGCCAACAATGTCGGATGGTATACCAGTGCTAACCTGGGAAACTTTGTCAACATGAACTTCATTGAGAATCAACTGCACTATCAGAAAGACTTGAATGAGACGACTGTTGCTCTCGTCCACGATGTCAGCCGAAGTGCCCAGGGAGTCCTCAGTCTTCGTGCATTCAGACTCACACCACAATTCATTGCTGCACAGAAGGAGAATAAATTCACCACAGAAAAGTATGTCCAAAAATGTTGTTCCCTTTGTCATATTTGACTTCTTAGATACTAACAAATTGTCAACCTAGTCTTCAAAAGTCTGGTTTCAAATACACTGACATTCTGGTTGAATTGCCCGTCCACATCCACAATTCTCTTCTCGTCAACACCTTCCTTCACCAGATCCCTTCATTACTCGCCAGCGGTGTCCTCAAGCCACCTACCTCAGTCGCAGATATTGAGAACAACCCAGTTTTCAAAGAAGATAGCCTGGCCCCAACTTTCGAAAACTTGTCCATCAGCATCGACCCCTTCCTGTCACAGACTGCCGATAATCTGCTGGAAAGCATTGAGACTCACCACGTTGAAGCCAACAATTTCTCCTACTACTCTCGCGCCCTTGCCCGTGAACAGGCTAAGATCCAACAATGGCAAACCAAGCGAAAGGCTGAGAACGCTGCACGTGCCCTATCCAAGCAACCCGCACTACCTGAAGACGAATGGCAGAGACTGTTCAAGCTACCTACTGAGCCTAACCGCCTCGAGAGCATGCTGAACTCACGCCAGGTCGAGCAGTACGCCCGCCAAGTTGATGGCTTTGTGTCAGGAACCACGGGTAAGATGTTTGCCGTCAGAGGCAACCTTCTTCCCAATGAAAGTAACTCTGAATGATTGATTCTACCCGAACCTGTCAAAAGTGAATGACCTCACCAATCAATGATTGAAGGAACCTAGACAGAGTCTCAGTCGATCCAACGTCTTTTGACCAACTTGAGCTGACTTCGAAGTCTCTCGGTGAGCTATTTTATGCGAGGTGAGACACGGCTGGCTATGAACGACTCAAGGTTACTGGCATAGCATTGCATGATACAACACTCAAAAAGGAGCATCTGGGGGTGTCTGGCGTTGGGGGTACATTGAGCCCAGTGGATGCTCAGATGGATCAAAAAGTCACACTTTCAATGCAACCAGAACCAATTGCTCCATGACATGTATGAGGACGGTATTTCGATAACGGCAAGAGTCATGTTATCAGAGGAGAACAACACGATACCCAGAGTGAGATAAGTGATCTTGCATAGTTCATCAATGACCAGAGAAACCGGGTGACTATTTGACACGTGTGGCTTCCATGTCTCTTGACCGAGATGTCCAACTGTCTTAGTCTATCCTAGTACTTAAGTAGAAATTGAGAACAGAATCGTACATTCCCAAACATCCATGACTTCCCATTGTTCTTTCTGGCTTTCATCTCCTAAGCTTTCATCTACTTCGCCCCTCAGCTTCGTATGTACCGTGTGATAACTTCAAGTAGATCCCTTCCACTACTACCACAGATCTGAAGCTGTGATTCAGCCGTGAACTCGCACAATATAAGTTACCTTTAATTCACCCTGCATACTATCCATTACCTATGATTCCCTATGATTCAACTCTGGTCAATGACGTCGCCCAAGGCACCCAGGTCCACCTAGACCTGTCACCTTGAGCGGCTCGATACATCAAATATAGTATACGTTTGGCCTTTGACAGCAGCAAATCATTGACATGTTACAAATACCTCTTCCTATTCCGGTCTTGTTCCTAGCTCCTGATCTCATTCTGATTCTGGCCTTCATCAAAACTCAAGTCATGGCTCGTTTTCTTGTTTTACACTAAACTTCGTCTTGCAGAATATTTTCTGACTGTCTTTGCCCAAACTCCAAGATCCCTTTCCTTGGGTCAGCTTCCTTGCTGTGTTATTTGAAGCCTGCTGTTTACATATGATGGAGCATAGAGTGAACCTCCTTCCACGAGAAAGAACTAATTGGCTAAGAGGCTCTTTCGTCAAGGCTGCAAGATATAAAGCATGCGGTATTGCTGTGAATGTAGACTTATGAATTGATATTTTTCTTGGCAGCATTTCGCAGAGGGGGGGGGGGGGGGGTTAAGGGGGGGGGGGGGGGGGGGGGTTAAGTGGCGGCGGTGGTGGTGGCAGAGACCTAGTCTCGTGTTATACTAGCGGACTTTGTGCTATGTACAAAAGGTTCTGAGAGCATTGACTCTAGGGGCTCTGAAAGGCCTTCGAGTCTGTGAAGTTAGTCAATGCCCGCGAATACCAACGACCTGATTTGTGGAATTATACTTTGAGAACTAGATCCAGACGTTGTGCTCCTGCCTCGGAGCCGTTTTCGCCTCGATAGCAAATACTACATGCCACAAGCTGCATGGCTTAGATGGCTATCCTGACTTGCTTCCGTTTTCAAAATGTGTAACATTCTCGTAAGCAGTCAAATTTACGCATTAGTACCTAGTAAGGCTTATGATCTCGGGTATAATGAGGTAATATGTTCAAATCGTGTATGCCGTGGAGACATAAATAAGAGCCTCGAATCGACGAAATCCGCACTTAAGATAGAACTATGCAGTGACAAATGATGCTGCTAATCAGCAGAGCATTGGATTCACAATTATCATATGCACCGAGCAGCAAGATGTTACACATAGAACGGCAGTTAATCTCGATTACGGTGTTGCACCACTATTCTGGGAGGGCGGCGTGATTATGAACGAGTGTAAAGTACATGCGGTTTAGCGAGATCTTGTCATGCACATGAAGGGAATAGTAGGCCATGTAGTGGAAGGGTTCATCCATTTGGCTCATAAAGTTGCCGCAGTGTTGGCAGTCTAGCGGTTACGGGAAGATAGCAGCGTGATGAAGCAACGACGATGTGGAAAGGGCAGAACTGGGAAGGTGACGATGGTGGGGAATGGGCGGCAGCAGCAATAAGGTGGTGAGGTGTGATACGCCGACAAGATTCAAGATATATTAGAGCAGCAGCGACTATAGGAGGCATTATAGAAGTGGCTGGTTAAGAATCTCATTATTATTGCTATCCTCGTTATTACTATGGACAGTTACTCAAGCGCTATACCAATGGTGAGTATCCCTAGGGCAATGTTAGCATTGAGTCAGTTTGAAGCAGAAAGAGAAGAAGGGAGAGGAGAGAGAGAAAGGAACTGAGGACCCTCCACCAACCCGCACCCCTAGGCCGCCGGCAGAGGCTAACCCTGTTGAACCAGAGCCAACCAAAATGGAGATTAGTAGAACAACTGTGAAAGCTTGCAAATGTCCTAGGAGTGCGCCTCAGTTGACTTACCGTGGCAGTTTGAAGAGAAGAGAAGGAAAGATTCGAAGAAAGCGAGGGCACAGGGGAGTTATATAGACTTGAAAACCACGACAATTCGCCAAGAATGGCTCGAGATCAATTGATTGTATTTCGAGTGATTGAGATATGTACAGAGTAATCAGCAGGTAAATGCTCACTGAATCACTGCTGTATGCCAAAAATCACCCCAAGTTGCCCACATCAGGAAAGACAAAGGTGGATAAACTCCACTCAAAAGCAGTATCTGAGTGTTCGCATGCTTTGAAATTGCTGCAGCCTTGCCATTGCTACGTGTTGGATCCACCTCCGGAACTGATCGTCGGACGGACGGACGGACGATCGACCGACCGACTCAATCTCAAACCTTAAAAACCTCGACAGGTATTGTTGGATGTGCCATCTGATTTCTGGCTCACATTGGATGTTCTGCATTTTGACAGTGGGAAAGCAGTCAATTCTCAGCAGAACGAGGGGAAGATGTCGTAGATGAAGCCATGGGATTGGACTTTGGAGTCGAAAAAAGACCTGGTGATCATATGGAAGTGGTAGGCTACCAGGAAATGTAAATATTGTGATTTCGTGACAATGGAAAGAAGGGTTTTCCTTGGTAAGGTGGATACTGAGATGCCTCCGAGATAATCTGAATGCAGAAAGAGCCGGTCAATTATAGTTTCGTGCTTCGGCACTCGCATCTGCATCTCGTGCTCTTCGCTCGGCTTCTGCGTCCTCCTTGACAAGCTGTCTCGAATTCTGCTTTTTCTGATCCTGCAACTGCTTTGCAAGTTTACCACCTGGCTTAGATGCGCTTGCTGCTCTCTCCTGAAGAAAGACAGCTGTTAGTAGAGAGGACTGGGCTCAACTTGCAGGTGGTCACAGGGTCGTCACAGGTCAGATCCTCGAATCCGGAAAAACTTACTTCGGCTGCCCTCGCTGCTGCCGCTCTTGCGTCATCGGGGCTCGGAGCTTCAACTCTCCCGCCCAGGGTCCGCCCAGGTGTGTTTGCGGTTACTTTCTTAGGTACAGGGGTTGTGGTGGCCGTTGAGTTCTGTGGAGTTGCACCGATTGTTCGCCCTGGAGTGGAGAAGTTGTCGGGCTGATTGGCCGACTTTGAGCAGATGTTCCCCATCTCGACAACGGTCAGAACTTGTACCTCGGAAATCTTGAGCGAAGATGATTTCCAGTAACCTGGCGGCAGAGAATCTACAACCGAAGAGAAAGAGGAACTACCCAACTTTTAAGTCGAGGGGTGAGAGCGGGAGGGGAGCGAGTCTTGGCGATTCGTCGCCTCCAACTTCAACTTCTTCCATTCTCCCTTCCGTCTGATCACGTGTGCCTAGACGCAGCAGCCACTAGAAATGGACTCAGCTACTCTATCTGGACTTCACCTCAAAATACCGCGAGACGAAAAAAAGTGACGGTTTAACACTCTCATCACCGTGTCGACATACATGAGGTTCACTGCGTCCCTCGCTTCAACTTGCCGAAAGTGATGCGACTACGAATCAAAATGTTAAACTAACTAGGTGGGCCCCCAGAACATCTGTGCATACCGTGCAGTGCAAACTCTGTAAGGCTCTGTCGCAGCCTGGTTCCATCGGCATCGCAAAAAATCGACCTCACCCATTGACCCACCAACCATGGACTTCGCTTCTCAACTCAATCCTGTAAGTCATTCGTACTGACGAATCAATGGTATGTTCCCAACTTAGTTCTCCAAAATATGCGGAAATTTGATTGCCTCTCGGAAAACGGACGTAATGTCCGTCACAAGTAATGGGATTACTGGTCATCCCCCTAAGATCAGAAGTAAGTCAGAAGGCCCCAGATGAAAGGCAATACGAGGCTATAGTACCGTTGACTCACAATCAGCACTGTCTGTAAGTCTTGGAGGAGCGGCTTGGGCACTGGCTGGGAGCCAACTGTTCAATCAATGTTTCTTCGACGAATACAGAGACTAATGCAAGATCGGTTAAACAAGAAGTATAGAGACGACCTGATTGAATGCGATCAGCTTACAGACAATTCGCACCTCGATATCAGCTCAGTGGAAGCTTTAAATACAGAAATACTTACAGCAACCGATGTGTCATTTGCATGAATAGGGAAGCTACTGAATATGGCCGTGTGATTCCAAGGAGCTGTCGCGTTCACGAAAGCCCTCCACTTCAGGTTCTTATGTTACAATCTTTCGCGGTGGACCGGTCTTTCTGTTCTCAAACTCTCAAAATGGTTCTCCAGTGACCAATGGCGGCACAAAGAGTCACCCCCCGTTAAGAGCCAGGACCTGTTCTGGAGTCCTTTCATTGCCCCATAGTCCCACTCAGATCATTACAGCCTTGAACGGACTACAGTCAGCCAGAAAGTCCGATTGATGCTACTGATTGCGAACCTATAGCCTTGCAAAATCACCTCCCACCAGGCGAACATGATTCTTGGTGTCCACCCCGGTTCCCCTGCTGGGGTCTCCTCTCTCGGTGCAGCCTTACAGTCCGTACTCGGCCGACAACAGGGAGGGGATGCTCAGCAAGCACGACTCTTTCCTAGCGTTTGGTCGTCATGTGCTCATGGAGCCACCTTGGCAGAAGTTGAACTCACACAGGAAAGTTTTCCCTTGCCACCAATGTCGCTGGCGTTCTCTGGTCTAGACTCGATTGCAGGTACTGCTATTACAGGCGGAAACTTCAATTGAATCGGACATTCATACGAACAGCACTCACCAGCATCTTCTCATTTCCTTCCTCGATCTTTCCCTCTTCACATTCATCCAGACGCACTCTACGACAACTAATACACTCTTTACAAGAACACCTCACCGCCTTTACCCTCCCTCATCCAACGCTCTTTGATACGACTCTCGCGCCATTTCCTCCTCTTTTCGGCCCTTTTACCTTCGACAAGCCCTCCCCGACCATCTAGAACTCTCGACAATGGCCGGCAAATACGTGTGCACTGTGGGCGGTTGCAAGAAGAGCTTCACTTCGAAGCCCAGCCTCGGCGAGCACTTGAGGTCGCACACGGGCGAGAAGCTCTTTTGCGGACAAGATGGGTGCCAGTACACCTGTTCTGGTCTTAAGACCATGAGGCTCCACAGAGCCAACAAACACCCAACGGAGGACACTTCGTTGATCTTTTGCAGGTGGGAGAGCTGTCAATACAACAGCTCTCGCAGTGACAACTTAAAGCGGCATCAACCCAACTGCAGCCGCCGACCACAGATCTGGCGCCCAGTGCCAGACCAAGACTTACCTTCGGGCATCAGAGTCACCCGCGCTCATCACGATGACGTGCGGAGACAACAATTTGGGGAGGATCCCGCCAACCTCCCAGAGCAATGGCGCCCTAACGGAGGGCACATTGTACCACAACTAGAACCGCCAACTTCCCAGGCGGGCCCCGAGCTCGCGGCCCCTGAGCTCACTGACGACGTTGGCGAGGACGGCCAACAGGCGGTCCACCAAATCCTGGACGACAATACCGCCCAAGGCGAGGATTTATTCAACTGGGACCTTGCGGCCGCTCCAACAGCGGCCTCCAATAACATGAACGTCCTTGCCACTCCAACAGTGGCCTTCTACAACTTCAATCTCCCTGCCGCTCCAACAGCGGCTTTCGTTAACATAAACGTCCTTACCGTTCAACCGGCGGACTTACACAACATGAACGTCCCTGCCGCTCCAACAGCGGCCTTCGACAGCATGGACGACTTTGATCCATATCCCCCCATGCCCACAATGGGCTTTGATCAACCAGAGCCCGCCAACCTGGAGGCTCAGCCATTGGTTGAGCCAAACCCTGTCTGGGACTGGTCCCAGTTCATTAACCAAGAATACGTATTGTGACCTCAGAGTTAGGGAGGCTCTCGGAGTCAAGACGGAACAAAAGCGCCAGCATTGGGACTGGGGCAGCTTGATATTCAAAGGCACCGGTAGTGGGATTGGTAGCCTTGGTGGAAACAGAGAGCGCCAGCATTGGGACTGGGACAGCTCAGAGAGTAGCTCTTGGACTACGCAAGAGAACTCAATGGAGACAACGACAGCCAGGACCTCAAAGGTATTTCCCCTCGTCCTCACATCCTAATGTCAGCACATGCTAACTTGATGGCCACTCATAGCAGCCTTCCTTTCAGCTGAGGCAAAGCAGCAACACTCTTATCATCGATCTCAGCTTCATCAAAGACACAAATATCACCTCTCCCGCAGTACCCTATCTTGGAAAGTGGGTGGATGGGAGGTTTCCAAGAACTCTTTTCATCTTTTCATCTCTGTTGGCTATCGATCAACATTCTAATGGGTGTGTACTCACTTCCTTACACGGCCTGTCATTCGTATCTGGTATTTCTGACGTCTGATTAGCAAACATATTCACGACTTTACGACTTACACTCAAACACAACTACTGCAGACTCATCGAACGCAGTGGTTACTGGGAAGAGGGCGGTTGGGTGGTCCCCAGTAATACTTCATTACGACTCTACACGGCATGATCTACCACGGCTCTACACGAATCTCAACAACAACCAACACAGCAACTCCTGGGAAGAGGGTGGTTGGGAGGACCCCAGGAGTATATCGTTCCATTGAACTCACCAAACATGAAAACAGTAAGTCTCTAACCATAACTGACAAGCTCAAGCTTGTGCTAACTTTTATTCCTCTGTACTCTAGATCTTATCATCTCTCCACCAACAACTCTGAGACATGAAAACGGCAAATACGCTGTTGGCAGTCATAAGGGCAACAAGATATACCCAATCTCTTTTCTAATACTACTGACAACTGCAGACAACTAACATCTAGTTTCTCCCTCTACCAAAAACCTCCCGAGCCATACTCTCCTCTGAATTCAAGCCAGAACCTCCTCCTCATCAACAAAACAAACTCCATCCTCCCTACCTTACACACAAAGTTCCACCGAACAATTTTCAAGATACCACAACACCAACTATTAAAGAGATGGATTCAAAACACATTGAAAGAATCAAGATACCAACACTGAGATACCCCTGTATGCATAAATCGCTTGGAAATAGATGGCTCGGAAGAGTGGGAGAAGAACAAGACTCTTCGTATACGGGCATTGCGTTATGGGAGTTGCAGGACACATTTTGTACAACAACACTACGACTTAATGTTATTACGACCTATGTATCAAGACTACTACACGAAACCAGAGATACCCATTTGACGAGTTGGACGGATTGATTGTGATGGAAATTAGATAGTAAACTAAATATGAATGCAGGAAAGCATTTCATACAATTTTCTTGTCCCAGAGTATTGCGCCAATTGAGTCAGATTTACTAATTCGGAAGCCCTCGCTTTGCGATCGACATATCACTGACGTCGACGGAGACCTTCGTAGATCCCTTATTCACGATCTATCCGGGTGTCTGGCCTGGAGCATAATGATATTTATACATGATGAGAAGTGTCAAGCAATAAACGGTTTCGTTCTATGCCGCCATCATCTCAAAAACAGTGTCATTTCTTACATCCTTGGTTGCTGCTCAGCAGCTGCAATCGTCTTGACTCTTGTCGGCGAAGGATGGAAATTAAAAATAGCTCAAGCATGCCCCATGGAGTCGCCGATATGGTGTGGGTACCTCAACTGACGGATAAGCTAAACCAGTATTCAATAAGCACATTCTGTGGACATGAACGCCTCGTGTACAAGAAGATTGCACATTGGATTTTGGCTCTGGTAGGCAGCAGCAAGCGAGTGCGAAGCATAATGCCAGGACCTACCAGCTGCACCCAGGTGATGCATACTTCTGTCACCTCATCTTCTTGTTTAAGATCCAGATCCACGATACTTGAGGGACTTACTGAACCGAAACCTAAATAAGGCTCAGAGAAACGAAAGATAGGCACGAGAAGTTTGCGGAAGGCCACTTTTCCAATCTGGCTGCTGCGTCAGCGTGCCTAGGCTGAGGTACAAAGGTGACTTCGGGTTGTTAATTGCCCTACGAGTAACTTGCTCGTCATTGCTTGGCGACGGAAGTGCCTCTACATCTTCGTTGCTGTGCCAAGGTCAGGTAGACTCAAGGCACTACAAATCACTACATAAATAATCCTGAACTGCACTGCTAGACTCACTTGTGTAATACTGGCGTCTACTCCAGGCTCCATGATCAATGACAGAACCACTGATTCGCCCTCCCTTTGGCCATTGAGGGTAGGTATTTGGTGCTGCGAAACACGCTATTCAGGTACGTGGTACATTAGTTCCAATTTAAGGTACAGCCAAGGACCGACCCGAAACGTCTGCGGGAGCCACCGAGTCGTCCTTAGCCGACCACAATTGCACTCGAGTCGGTAGTTCGTCTGCTTCGTACTTTTGCCAACTTTGTTCCGTAAATGCCTGCCTACGAATGCGTCAGACCTCCTCTTCCTTGCAGGACCAAACCTGCGCCACAGAGCCAATGTACAATATGGCCTAAGCGCCCTACCATTAGCGTCTAAGCAGGCGGCCTTGAAAGATGTTGCTATTACTGCAGCCTCATCCTGCGTTCCAACGATGCTTCCCACGCTGCTCTTCGTATAGCCAACGTCGAAATTCATTGTAAGGTTAACTCTGTCACTTTTCGCGTCCCGAATGCGACAAGACGCTTGATCGAACGACGCTTCGTTTCATGGCTCTATCCCTCGTGTACGCCTCACAGGATGCAGCCTCTTTACCTGCGGTTGAGTGAGTTCCCACTGGACACCCAAATAGTCATGACCCTTCTCCGATAGTCTCGCTGACTGCCGCTATATTTTAGTATCGTGGCCGTCCACGGTCTTAACGGTGATGCAGTTAACACTTGGACACACCCGAAGTCGAAGGCGTTCTGGTTGAGGGACTTTCTTCCCAATAAGGTTCCTGATGCGCGCATCCTGACGTTCGGCTATAACGCGGCTGCAGCTTTTGGTCACTCGACGGCGGAGATTATCGACCATGCTAAAAGTCTGTTGATCAGCTTAATAGATAAGAGAGAAGAGTCGGAGGTATACAATTTGATGAACAGATTTATGAATGAGATGTTAATACGTTGTTAGGAGCTTGAACGTCCTCTGATCTTCATCGCACACTCTCTTGGGGGGATTGTAGTTAAACAGGTATACTTATTGTGGAATCCCTCTAGAATCAATCGACGGCTAACTATAGTTCTAGGCCCTCCTTCAGGCACGATTAGATCCACGGTATCAGCAAATTAAGGACTCAACTCTAGGTATTATCTTCATGGGTACGCCGCATGGCGGTAGTGATAAGGCGACCTATGGTAAGGTACTAGCCAATATCGCGCAGTTTGTGAGCCGGCGGCCTCATTCTCACCTATTGGCGGCCCTTCAAACGAACTCGGACGTTCTTCTCCGATTAACTAGCGACTTTCGGTTTCAGCTCCCTGACTACCATGTGTGTAGCTTCTTCGAGTTACGGCCAATGAAGGGATTTTCGACCCTTGTATAATATCCAAGCTCTATTTTAGTCTTCGATAGCTAATTGTACTTAGATCGTCGACCAGCATTCTGCTTTACTACAAACGAACTATGAAGAACAGGTCCCTATCGATGCAAATCACAGTATGATATGCAAGTTTGAAACAGAGGAAGACGACACTTTTGAGAAGGTGTATAAGCGGGTACAAAGAATGAGGGACTCACCACGGCGTGTACTCAATAACCAACTCGGTATGACTTTCTGAATCAATAACGAGAGAAGACTAGTTAAAATTATAATATGCAGTTGCACACAATAAGCACTTTGAAGTACCTCATTTATTGAGCCCTGTTTTTACGGGCCGTGACGACGTGCTTAAACGTCTGACTACGTCATTTACCGCCAAACGACGATCCCTAAAACAACATCAACAACGATTTGTCCTCTTTGGCCTCGGAGGGTCAGGAAAAACTCAGACTTGTCTGAAATTTGTTCATCAACACCGGCAGAGGTATGTTTGACCTAAGAGTGCTCTACAGTTGTTAATCCGGCACGTCGCCAGGTATTGGGCCATTTTCTGGGTTGATGCGGGCAGTGACAACCTAGTTCAGCAGTGCTTCGTTCAAATTGCACGGCTGCTCCAAACAGACGAGAATATTAACAGTGTCAAGCGAACGCTAGCGAATACTTCACTATCATGGCTACTTATATTCGATAACGCCGACAACCCCAACCTCCGCCTCACCCCATACTTTCCCCCGGGAGACCGAGGCGATATCATCATCGCCAGCCGAAATCCTCAGCATCAGCATTACAATACTGTAGGTTATGAAGAAGTAGACCAATTATCACCCTCCGACTCATTGGTATTACTCTCAAAAGTAGCGTACGGTGAAACCAGCCCCTTACTCGATACTTTAGAGAAAAGGAAGACCATCGTAGAGATTCTTGGTTATCATGCGTTAGCCATCGTGCAAGCAGGAGCTTATATTCGCGAAACGTCCTGTTCTCTCTCCCACTACCTCGAAGTCTACGAACAACGCAGGAAAGATCTCCTGGATAATCTCCCGCCACACCTGGGCACGGACTACCAGCACAGTGTGTACGCTACATGGCAAGTGTCGGTCGATATGATTGAGTCAACACAGATTTCGCGGATTTCAATGTCCAATTCTTCACTCCAAATATTGGGTCTTCTAGGCTTCTACCACCATGACCAAGTCCCCATCCAGATGTTCTACTGTTCTTGGCAGAATTTACAGGCGAGAGGGATCCGACCTGATCATTTCCCGTGGCATAATGCACCCTCTGATTTCTTCGATTATCGACATTCGGTTCAGGAATCAATTACACTACTCGCGATGTTCTCGTTGGTAACAAGAAACGCGGACCTTTCGTTATCGGTCCATCCGCTGGTCCACGACTGGTGTCGGGAACGGTTGTCCATCGAGCAGCAGCACTCGACCTGCCGACGAGCACTATATCTGTTGGCTAATTCTGTGAACTGGGAGTATCGGACTGAGGATTACACGCTTCGGCGGTCACTGACGCCCCACGTGCACGAACTGCTTCGACTACAGGCTCTGTACGGTGATATCGGGCAGGACAAAACACAATATTGGCCAACATTAGCACTGATTCTAAGAGAAAATGGATGCTCGAAGGACGCAATAATACTGTCGGAAGAAGTTTTGGAACTCGACATGACTAGACTTGGCGATGAGCATCCTGAAACCTTGAAGTCAATGACTAATCTCGCAAATCAGTACAGCGATGTCGGGCGATACAGTGAGGCTCTACAAATATCAGAAAAAGTACTGAAAGGGTATCAGAGTAAGCCTGGAGAGATTAGCTCTAGTGCGTTAAGATCAATGCATGATCTCGCCATTCGCTATAGCGAGGTTGGGCGATGGACTGAGGCACTTGATCTAACCAACAAGGTATTGAAACTCCAAAAAACCTATCTCGGGGAGGGTCATCCTGACACGCTGAGGACTATGAGTAATCTTACCGCTCGGTATACGGAGGCTGGGCGACACAGAGAAGCGCTACAGCTAACGGAAGAGATATATGAGTTGCAGAAGGTCAAGCTCGGAGAACATCACCCAGACTCATTAAGATCGATGCATAACCTAGCGATTCAGTATAGCGATGCAGGGCGACAGCCTGAAGCACTACATCTAACGGAGAAGGTCTTGGAATTAATGAAGAGCAAGCTCGGAGAACATCATCCTGATACTTTGGCGGCGATGCAAAATCTTGCAATTCGACGAAGCGAGGCGGGACAGAAGAGTAAGGCACTACAAATCACGGAAGAAGTACTAGAACTACGGAAGGCTAAACTTGGAGCGGACCATCCTGACACTTTGATATCGATGCATAACTTGGCAGTTTGGTATGGTGCTGCTGGACGGCAGGGTGAAAAGCTACAATTAACTGAGGAAGTATTGAAGCTGAAACAGAGCAAGCTCGGAGACGATCATCCTGATACTTTGATGTCGATGAGCAATTTAGCAATCTGTCATGACGAAGACGGACGGCAGAGTGAAGCAGTGAGATTAACGGAAGAAGTATTGGCACTTCGAAAGACTAAACTTGGAGACAGCCACCCTCATACCCAGGCATCGGAGCAATATCTGGAATATCTCTTGCAAACAAAATCGGAGACATCTTCAACGCCTAAGCAGTCACAGCAGCGGAGGCGTTTCAGGCTCACTTTTTTTCGTGGTCGTCGTCCAGGAAAAATGGGTGACGTGGGACAAGGGGATGGCCACGAGAACGCGGTATAGATGCCTCCAGATATTGAGAGTAGATAGATATAAACACATAAGCGCATAGGAATGCCGAGCTTTTAGAGATTTTCCTACCTTGATAATAGTCGAAGTCACTAAGTGTGTATATTCAGCTAGCTTACAAAATGACCCAAGGCTCTGGCCCCTTTTCCAGTGGTACTTGTCACGTGTACCGAATTTATACTAAGTCATTATTAGGGATTTGCAGAGGTCCCGAATCGCTCGCCAAGCATCACATAAAAGGCAGAATTCCAAGTATTTAAGAAAAGCCAAAAAACAATAAGTCAAGTTCAAGTTCTTCTTCTCCATGTCGAATTAGGGTGCAGGATTTTCCAATCGGCCACTTCGGTTCGCTCCATTTAGTAATACCTCCAGGTAGTTATAAGAGGCCCTTGGCTGTCGACCATCGTGGCACTGGGTATAGTCCCGGAGGTAGCTTGTACATATTGATCGTCTCTCTATCCACAGGCAACAAGAGGTACTGCCAAGGTATCGTAGCCGCTGAACAGCGGACAGTGAGCACGGGAAACACATATCCACCAGAGAAATAAGTGTGGGGGATAAAAATTGCTTGCCACTATCGATGACACGATCATGATTTAGCTCGTGCAGTTCTAACTAAGCTTGAAAAGAAGGGCATCGAGGCTGCGGCCTCAAACAACGGAGTATCGTCCAGTCGACCGATCAGCGGCATCAGCGGCACTCATAGTGCCTTCCTTCAACAGCCTCATTAATTCACGCATTGCGTCGTGTACCACGACCTCAGTATCGCCTTCGACAAGAATATACAGCTTGGGGTTTTCGTTCGGCCCCGGCTCCTTGCCTGTAGCGTAGAAGGAGCCCTTGGTGGTGATCGAGGTGCCAGTTGATTCGAGGATCTTGGCAACATTTGTCCGATTGGTGACAGCCCAACGTGCTTTTTCTGTAGAGAATGTCAGTGATTGTGAACTTGTAGAGAACTAAAAGATTAGGGAGGAACTTACGAGGAAAGTCATTGATCTCCAAAGTGGCGTGGAAGGCACCGGCATCTGGGCCTTTGTTGTCGATGGGTACACCAGAGCGCATGACTCCTGCTTTAGACAGTTTCTGATTGATCGCGCCGACCGCAGCAGCAACTTTGTCCATCTGGTTCGAAGGCCCAGCAGACGGTGTTTCCCTTTCGGTCTTGTGAACTGTGATTTTGCCATCGAGATCGATGCCTTTAGGTACGCCGGGGAGACTGGTTGCTGCCGGAGTTGAATTTTCGAATGGTTTGACACTGGATGCGGCTTTGGAGAAGATATCGTCGCCCACCTTGACATCCTTGTCCTCCTCCTTGTCTTCTTGTTCTTCCCCGTCTTCTCCAGACTTGAAAGTCTTGCGTTCACGTGCCTTGGCAGCATCGCGTTCTTGGTCAAGCCGCTCGAGACCTTTGCCACCAAATCCAGAAGCACCGGCCTTTTCTTTGCCAGCCTTGACCTTTTCCATGAAAGTATCTACCAACTTCTGGACGGACTCAGGTATAGATTGGCCACTCTGCTTCAAGGCCTTTGCTATGTCAACGGCATATCTATCCTGTTCGTCGGTAAGGAAAGTAACTGCGGTTCCAGTATTCCCTGCTCGGCCTGTACGACCAGCACGATGGACATAGTCTTCCAAATGATTGGGAGCATCGTAATTGACCACGAGCTTCAACTGCTTTACATCAAGTCCACGAGCAGCGACAGATGTAGCGATTAGAATGGGCACAACACCAGCTTTGAAGTCGTCAATGGTCGAATCCCTGTCAATCTGATCTTTGCCGCCATGAATTGACATGCATGGATAACCCTTCTTCATCAGATCTCGAAGTAGACCATCTGCCGACTCTTGCCGATCAACAAAGATTAAAGCACGATCATCCTCATTCTTCTCATCCTCATAAAGCTTTCCGAGGAGCTCAAGTAATCGAACAAATTTGGTGCTCTCCTCTCGGACTTCAACGACTTGAGTAATCTCAGGAGCAACAACGCTACGTCCACCAACGACAATTTCGACCGGCTTGCTAAGCGTCTTTCTTGCGAGCGCTTCCATCTGCCGAGGAAATGTTGCAGAAAATAACACCGTTTGGCGATCCGGTCGAATATTGGACAGAATTTTCATAACCTGAGGTTCAAACCCCATGTCAAACATTCTGTCGGCCTCATCTAGGACGACGTATGTGATACGTTTCAAGTTGGTAACCCGCCCGCTGTTGGCTGCAAGTAGATCAATCATACGGCCTGGCGTACATACAACGATTTCAGCGCCACGCTTCAGATCTGCAATCTGATCCTTGATCGGAGCACCGCCGTAGGCGCAAACTGCTCTCAGTCCCAAAGCTTTCAGAAAGGGCTTGCATTCCTTGTGAATCTGTGTTGCTAGCTCTCGCGTTGGACTAAGAACCAATCCGATAGGCCCATCAAGGGGCTCAAGTGGTCGTTGATCTTTGATATGTCGAAACATTGGTAGCAGAAATGCTATTGTTTTGCCTGATCCAGTCTTTGCTACACCAATGACATCTCTGCCAGACATGATTGCAGGCACTGCTTGGGATTGAATACTAGTTGGAGCATCGTAACCAAGCTTTTGAATGACTTCCAAGACTTGAACTCCAAGACCACATTGTGCCCATTTCTCAACTGGCTTTGGAACATCGACACCTCTAACTTTGATATTATCGAGCTGCATTCGGAGACTCGCAACTTCGTCTTCGGTCCAATCCGCCATTTCGATGGGCTCCGAATAGAAATTTCGACGGAAAGATTGATATTGAACTTTGGAGTGGTTTACAGTAGGAATATCCTTTTTCTTCTTCTTGGCAGTGGCACTCGCCAGGGATAAGATATTGTCGGGATTTTCATCGTCGACAGCAGTAATGTCAACTTCATCGTCTCCAAAGAGTGCCTCTGGCTCACGTTGCCGGGATTTCAGATTATTCTTCTGCGTAAAAGTCTTAACTTTGGCGACCGGCTGGAGGTCTAGCATGAAAGCATCAAGGGCATCAACTTCTTCCTCATCTTCTTGTGTTTCAGTGGTTGTGGCACCAGAGTTGGCAGGTGCGTCAGTCATTTTCGTGTCCTCTCCCCTTTCTGCTTGACTCCGTTGCTCAGCAGCGGCACGGGCGGCGGCCAAGGCCTCTTCTTCTGTGTCTCCATCCTGTAGATCGAGATCGTCATCTCCTTCGTCAGCTTCATCAATTTGAGCGTCGGGCGTACCATTGCTCTGTTCGAGGGCCATGTTCGGCAGTTTCTCGAGCTTTTTCTTTGTGGCTTCCTCATCCTCGAACGCCAAAGACTTTTTGGCAACATCGGTTTCAATTGAGGCTTTGCTTCCAAGACCAAACTTCCCCATGTTGCCAGTTGCTCTCAATGACTTTGTGGGCTGTGCTGACAGTGGCGAGCCAGGTATAGAAGAAGATGGCGCTATTTTAAGGGCATTACCATTGGCAAGAGAAGGCGCAGCGATGTCACCTCCGAGTACTTTGCTTGCAGCCGACGAATGATGAGCCTTTTTGGCAATGGCTTTCGGATCAAATTTACCGGCGTACGGCGTCGGGGCTGGAGAGGGTACATCTGGAGTTACGGGCCTTGACGCAGAGAGTGGTGAGGAGGCGGCGGGCGACATTCCTGCTCTTCTGTCAATTTCGTTCAAGATACTACGAGCACCACCAGCGGCCTCGAGTTCTTTTTGCTTCTTAGCTTGTTCTTCAGCCTGTTTCTTTTTCCATTGCTCCAGTTTGGCAAGCCGGGCTGCCTTTTGTTCCTCTGCAGTGAGAGTGGTGGGGGTCGATGGTTTTGATGCCTGTGTGGATTGGTGAGTCGTGCACGAATAATATAGCAGAGCCAGACTTACTTCTCGGGAGGTATCAATTGAGTCTTTCTTTGCGGGACGATCCCTACTCGAATCTCTCTTACGCTTCCTTGACTCGGTCGATTCATCTCTTAACCGACGATCCTTGTCGCGAATATCGTCATGCCTAGGGCGAGTATTTCTGTCTCTACTCCTGCGGCGATCATCACGATCCCTTGACCGTCTACGATCTCTTGATCTGTCTCGCCTTGAGTAATGGTAGTCATCGTCTCTTCGACCGTCGTAGCGGCGATCTATGGAGCGATCTCGTCGGCGATGTCCATCCCGCTCGCGGTCCCGATCTCTGTGTCGACGCTGAAAGAATAGTAGATTAGATGCCTGTTTCCAAAGTGATGACCGAAGAATGGCTCACCTCAGGACTCCGGGATCTTGAATGCTTCCTCCTATGACTTCGATCGTCGTCCCGGCGACTTCTTTCGTATCGATCGTCATCTCTTCGAGTGCGTTTTGACGAGGAATAAGAACTGCCTACAGGTGATGGTGAGCGAGTGTCCCCGTGCCTAGCCATCCTGTGGCTGCAGATTAAATGAGCTTTACTGCGTGACCCGCACCCAGGACCCGGTTCGGAGTGGTGACTCTGCTCGACTATCGCGTTGAATGAAGATGCTTCACTACGTCAACCATAGAGGACGAGCCTGCGAGATATAAATGGCTGACAAGATTTCAAAGAGAAACTGAATCAGGCACTGGTATGGAAGTCTGCTGCGGGACATTCATTTGAAAACCCAAGGCTACAATCCCGAAAGGTTCAACTTGAAGTTTGGTACCACCAGTCCCAGCCTGAGGCACATTGCCCGCAGTCCACTTTGCTTGGCAGTCGGATCTTTATTAATCCGGTTACCTCTACTCGTACACCCTGAATTATGTCACGCGTTTTGAGATACGGACCAATCGAGCCCCAGCCACCCACAACTCATCGAAAGGGTACAATGCCATTCATGGTGCACCAACTGTCTTGATTGTCATCTCAAGCTCTGCTTCTTTTCTGTACATTCCATCTCCTCTCATTCTTCGTGCAAGGTCGCAATGACGACCGCAATTCCATATTCACGGAGCTTGGCTCAACAGCTCTGGTATAGGTCAACCCGACCCTTCACGCGACCTGGTCACTCCAACTCTCTCCTACGCGTCTCATGTACCTGTTCCGGCCAGAATTACTCTCAGATCTCCCATAACTCCTATTCCACCCATTTGTCAGGGTCGAAACAAGGTCGAACATACGCAACAGCTGCTGCCAAAACCACTCGCAAGCCGAAAGCAGCCTCCGTCCGTACTGCAGCAACTAAGAAGACTACCACCACCAAGAGAAGCACAAAGAAACCAACAGCCAAGAACGCAGTCAGAAAACCAAAAAAGAAGGCAGCCGCCAAAAAGCCGAAGCCGAAGAAGATCAGAGTCAAGAAAGCACCAACCAAGACTGCTCTCGCACAGAAAGCACGACTTGCTCGCGCAGACCTCCGCCAGGCAGCACTTCTTGACCAACCCAAACAGCTTCCTGCAACCGCATTCACCTTGCTCCTCGTTAATGAGGCCAAGAGCGCAAAGGGCGCTGTCTCTGCAGCCGCCAAGACCAGCTCGGCCAAATATAAAGCATTGTCGGCAGAGGATCGTGAGGTAAAATGACATAGTCCCTCCTAATATCTGCGTCTGCTGACTCTCTTCCAAGCGTCTCAATCATGAGGCGAATCAGAATGCCGAAAAGAATGCACTTGCCTACAAGGAATGGGTCCAATCCCACACCCCTCTGCAGATCAAAAAGGCCAACAATGCTCGTAGACAGCTTACTGCAAAGGCCAAAGCTGCTGGCCAGAAAATCTCGTACCGTGCAATTCATGACGATCGAATTGTGAAGCAATCACGCACAGCGTACTCATTCTTCTGTCAGGACCGGTTTGCGTCAGGAGACTTTGCCGGCATTTCTATTGCAGAGAGCGGTACGCTCGTCGGAAAGGAGTGGCACGAGCTTTCTGAGAGCGCAAAGAAGGTAATTGAATTGACGACCTGTGAGATCTCCAAACAAAGCACTGTTGACTGACTTTTGTCTCGTAGCCATATATCGCCCAGGCCGATGCAGATAAAACTCGATATCTGGAAGAACACAAATCTGTCTACGGAGTGGACCCACCTAGCGTCGTACGGCGACGAAAGACTACATAGGTCTGATCAGGCTTTTTGGGATTCCTGAGTCCATGAAGATGAATCTTCGAAGCCCCAAGGTTTTGGGATCTTAATGGAAACAAAGATCTGTTCTGGGCCGAACTGGTTACCAGGTTATGTCTTCGGCATGTATGAATACATACTGTGGATGACTTCGTCGACCGGTGTCTTGTATTGTACCTCAACAAAGCGAGGACTCCACCTTCGCCCTTGGTGTGCAGATATGTACGATGCGGGTGTTTGTCTAGCGCTGGATCTTTCCCGTTCTCAATTTCGAGCAGTGTACGGCGCCAAATGATGGTGCAATGAAAGGTCGCTGGTGAAGCGTCTTCCGCCTGTGAGGAGGAATGGAAGTGAGTGTTCACACGTTGGTTGAGGAGAAGTCAACGTAACCAAAAACAGGCACCCTGTGAAGTGCGATAACTTGGTCTCAATGACAATCGCCATAAGAGGCATCCATATTTTATGTACAGCTACAATAAATTCCAAAAGAAACATCCAAGGCACTGTAGATTGTACAATTTGAATCTGATGTCGTTGTGATAATACAGTGTGTCCTGGGAAATATGATAAACCCCAAGGTCTGATCATCCCCAGGCGACTGCTCTCGGGAGCGAAAAGAAATGTTCCCACAAAGATCACTGAACCCGGAGTGACGTTATAGAAACAACGTCTTGACCCTACTCTGTCTTCGCAGGCTGCTCTGCCGCATCGGCCTTGCCGCCCTGCTGTTCTTCCTCCAGCATGTTCCTTCTACTCTCCATGGTGAACCAGATACTCCTGCCGGCGCTCTCGAGGGTCTGCGTAAGACCAGCTCCAAAGCCCTGGAGCATGCCGACGAGCTGAGCACGCAAGCCATCAATCCCGCCGTTGATACCTCCGACCCACCTCGTGCCGTCCCTGTCGAAAACTTCCCCGTCGATTCGGGCTCCCAAAAGCATCAGTTTTTTCAGTCCTTCCTGCACGGGTAGTTCGTAGAGCGACGGATTCAGACGACGCGGCGGAGCGGCGAATATAGGTGCCTGTGGTGCGAGGATCGAGAACGCCGTTTTGATATACTGTGGAGACACGGTAGGGAAGGTCAAGATCGCGAGTGAGCCCGTCAATAGTGGTGACAGGGGATGTACGCCCTTCTGTGGCTTAATGGCTTGGTATGCTGATTCGGACAGCGCATGTGTGAGTGCAGGGCCCTGCTGTTCAGGTTTGTAGTACTCGGCGATCCGCAGCGCAGGCTCAAACATAGTAGTCTTTATGACTTGCAGCTTGACGTACTCTCCAATCAATTCCTCTTGTGTTTTGCCTTGCGCAAGCAATTGTGCGTCCAGTTTCCGCAGTGCGGACGTGAGCTCTCGCCGGATGCCGGTCCATTCTACGGCTTTGAGAGAATTGTGTTGGAAGAGGATGATCAGGGGTGTAGTTTGGAGGAGTGATACGTAGGACCGGATTCGTTGAGACTTTCGATACTTGGGGTCTCGGTGTGATGGCGGTTGACTGGGAGGGTAATGTTGTGAAAGTGATCTGGAAGAGTGTATTTGCGAATCTGTTGGCGCTGGTACCGTTGCGCTTGCTGTTGCATAGGAGCAACGGCCACACAGATGAGGTCTTGCATAAATTTGTAGCTCCGCTAGCTGGCCCAACGACCGCAAATGAAGCCGTGGAGGCATTGGTGAGTATCTTGGAGGAACGGGTATTTTGGTGGTCGTGCTCTTGTCACGTCCTGGGAGATCTGAACCTCAGACGAAAAAGTAGCCCTCAGGTCGGTTCCAGCTGTAGTGCGGCTCGGATATCAGGATCACGTGGAGGCATTGCCGCTTTTAGAAAAGATATGCCGCCTGGTACATAATCCACCAAGACGGACCGAGGTTCAGCGTTGGTACATACGGTGATCCCACCCGGGCACTTACAGTACACAAACACCTTTCCCAGAGTTTAATGCTATGCTATCATAGCGAGAGAAAGTCCGTGGACATTTCATCTCCACGTTGCAAAAAGCTTTCTCTAACTATAGAATGAGAAAGTGGTTAGAATACTTTGGCATCTCTCAGCTAGATTGGCAGACTTCGCAGCAACTAGGTATGTATCTGGAGCCTGAAGGTGAAGATGCGCCACGATCGATGCGATTCGCTAGAATTGAACGCAGCGCATAACCGCCGTGCCCGACACGTTTGGGCTCCTCAGCCTGATTTCAATGTCAGGTCTTCTGGTCGGTGTAAAACTGCGGCCTCGTCAAAACCGATGGTGCCACGTTTGGCAGCAAAACCCGCAAATATAACACGCCTTCCGCTCTATTTGGGAACATGCGCCGCACTCCACGTTCAGCATGACAACCCCTTCTCCACCTCGGAGCCGTGATAGGTTCAAGATAGCCATCATCTGCGCCTTACCTCTGGAAGCCGACGCGGTGCATGCCGTGTTCGACGTCGATTGGGAAGATGAAGGAATGAAATACGGGAAAGCACGAGGTGACTCCAATACATATTCAACAGGAGCAATAGCTGGCCATCCAGTTGTTCTCGCCCATATGCCCACTCTGGGATTGTCAAATGCGTCAGCCACGGCTGCCCTCCTTCGATCGAGTTTTCCTCAGATCCAGCTTTCCTTGGTCGTGGGGATATGCGGCGTTGCTCCTGTCCATCCGGTAACACGAGAAGAGATCGTTTTGGGTGATATCATCATAAGTACTGCCGTTATTCAGACCGATTTTGGCAGGCTTTATCCAGGTGGGTTTCGAAGGAAGACTGAGATTGAGGATAGCCTTGGCAGATCGACCCCTGAAATCCGCTCGTTCGTCAGCAAATTGCAAACACGGCAAGTTCAAATGAGAATGATGAAAAACATGGCTTCGTCCCTGCACTCGAATGGTTTCGCATCATATCCAGGGGCACATCATGACCACCTGTATGAGGCAAGTTATCTCCACCAGCATAAAGAAGACACCAGATGTGAGCAGTGTTCTCTTGGCTCAGGAACCTGCCCAATGAGTTGTGATGAGCTTCAATGCGAAGCGGAGTTCCTCATCCCGCGCCAGCGGCATGCATCTTACCAAAATAGTTACGACCTACTTGATTACACCCCATCCATCCACTTCGGCAGATATGGTTCGGCAAGCTCAGTGATCAAGTCTGGGCAGGATAGGGATCGGATCGCCTTTGAAGACAAGGTAGTCGGATTTGAAATGGAGGGTGCCGGAGTGTGGGATCATGGTCCGACCATCGTTATCAAGGGTGCTTGCGACTATGCCGATAGCCACAAGAACAAACGTTGGCAAACTTATGCCGCGGCAAGTGGAGCAGCTTGCCTGAAAGCGTTTTTGACTGAGTGGACAGGAGTTGATGAGTCATCCACAACAGGTACGAAGATTTGTTCAGTGACTGCTGGAATCGTTCTGATTTTCCATTTCCTGACGTGCGCAGATGAACCATCGCCAGTCGTGTCGCCAATCGATAGACAATCCAAAACGGTATGGCATGTCCCTTTCGATCAGCTCTCAGGGTTCATTGGCCGTGAAGACGAGGTCAAGCGCCTTCAGGAAAAGCTGTTCGAGGTCAGCAGCCGTCGAGTTGTAGCGATCCTCGGTCTTGGTGGTATGGGGAAAAGTCGACTCGCCCTGGAGATTGCTTTTCAAACTAGAAAAGATCAGCCGGACTGTGCTATTCTCTGGATCGACGCCTCGGACCGGCTGACGTTCGAGAAAGACGTCCTTGCCATTGCAAAGAAGCTAGGTATACCAGGTGCCACTGACGAACAGGCAGACTTCAAGCAACTATTCAAGCAAGGTCTCAGTAGTTCCTCTCTCGGTAAGTGGCTACTTGTAATCGACAATGCGGACGATGAGGCTCTTTGGGGAAAGCCTGCAGATCTAGACCCGGATACATCGATGCTGGGGCAGTATTTACCTAATACAAGCAACGGATCTATTCTCATCACGACCCGTACGCGACGAGTCGCCGTGACTCTTGCTGGAAGGGACATACTCAATCTAGCTGAACCATCTGCTGAATCTGCATCTAAAATGTTTATGGGTATGTTGGAAGACGAGGCTCTCGCTGGTGATGCTCTTACGACATCGAGGCTGTTGGAGAAGCTTACTCTTCTCCCTCTCGCAATTACACAAGCTGCCTCGTTCATCAACATGACTCAAATTTCCGCAAAAAGCTATCTCAATCTAGTCAATCAGCCCAAGGAGGAGGAAGTCATTAAGCTTTTGAGTAAGGACTTTGGGGATCCGTCACGATGTTCGAGCGCAAAAAACCCGGTAGCAACTACTTGGTTTATCTCCTTTAAGCACATTCGCACAAACCACCCACTTGCCGCGGACATCCTCTCGTCAATGGCTTGCTTTCACGAGAAAAATATTCCCCAGTCACTTCTGCCACCTCTCTCACGGACCATGTCGGATGTTGACACACACGAGGCTATCGGGGTCTTGATTGGATATTCGTTTGTGAGGAGGCATACAAGTACTACGACCTTCGAGCTTGTATATGATCTCCATCGTCTGGTGCAACTCGCAGCTCGGAATTGGTTGTCAATGGATGATTCGTTAACACGCTGGAAACGGTTATGCATCGAGCAAACGAATCAGGTCTTTCCAGCCGTGCTCGACGAAAACAAGGAGATTTGGACCATGTACCTGCCACACGCACAGCGTCTTTGCGACGATAGCGAATTGGCCACGACTCCAGCGCGCTATCACTTACTCCAATTCGTGGCTGATTGCTTTCTTGAGATGGGAAAGTATGCTGAAGCTGTTAGAATTCAGAAACTAGTAGTACAACATTTCGAGACGAGCAATGGAGACGTTGATCGAGATCGGCCACTGTCACTTGCTTACGGTCACCTTGGAAGAGCATTGAGATTCAATGGTGATGATGTTGGCGCACAGTATTACCTGGAAAAAGGATTATCCATTGCCAAGGAAGTATTTTCACCTGATGATGTCGATGTGTTGGTCATACAAGAGATGCTCGCTAGTATATACCGTGGCCAGGGGCTCTTGAAAGAGGCGGAGGAACAAATGGTGAAACTCATGCACACAAGTACGAGAGCGCTAGGACTCGAGCACTTCCGGACACTGGGCATCATGGACGGTCTTGCAAAGATTTATGAAGACCAGGACCGGGTTCAAGAAGCTGAATTGCTCATGCATAAGACAGTACTCCTAGCATCGAAAGCTCTTGGGGAACTCCATGGCCTGACTCTCGGGTATAAGCGTAGGCTGGCATCGTTATTCTATCGACAGAATCGACTCAAGGAGGCAGAAGAACTCAAGATATATGTGTGGAAGACGCAGACCAAACTACTTGGGCCAGATCATCCAAGCACGTTATGGAACATGGGTGAACTAGCGCTCGTGTATGCTGCTCAAAATCGACTTGAAGACGCTGAAGCAATGGAAACACAACTCCTGAAGAAGCTGACACTGGGGCTAGGTCCACAACACCCCGGGACGCTGACGTGTATGATCAACCTTGCGTGTACCTTGAATAAGCAAGGAAAGATTGTGGAGGCTATTCAACTTATGTCGCAATGTGTTCAAATAAGTGTTCGGCTCTTTGGAGCTGAACACCGTGATACTCAAAGATCTGCTTCGACTCTAGCTATTTGGCGATGCCATCGAGATATAGCAACGCATTCTCAACATAACCCAGGTGCTTCACAGGAGCAGGAGACTCAAGACTACACGGCTCAGGTGACTCATATCACACCCCAAGCTGCAAGTACGACGATGAGGGTGAATGATTCTGAACAACCTAATGCTCTACTTGCTGCGGCCCCTGCAGCTCTGGCAGATCGGCGACATCGCAAACGGGCGCGGCGGTCAAGGGCGCGTAGTGCTAATGAACTACTGAGGTTGTAGCCAGTGTCTGTACTGTGGCATACTGTTGTTGCGTGACCATTTGAGCAAATCTGAATATCACATACTGACCGGCGTGGGATTGGGTACTCTGGCTCCCTCGTCAAAACGAGCGCAAGGTTTGACTCAGGACCAATCGAACAGATTTTGCCCCAGTGTCTGGAGCGATGAAGCCGATCGCCAGAACGGCACAGAGCTCGGCAATCAACAGTGGAACCCATCGGAGAATTCTGGGCAGGAGCTTTCTCGATGTGTCAACGCCGGCTTACGATGTCAAACAAGTTGCCAGTTCAACCCCACGAAAGTAGAATCGCCCGTGTCTGGGTCATACTATGTCTCTTAATGGCAATGCGATCGCCCTGCTCGCCATGAGCAGCTCGAACCAATCCGATCCCTGCGCAGACATGGATTCGTGGTACAAAAAGCCATTGAAGACAACTTTGGCTGCACTCCATGTCCGGATGCCCATTGCTGCTGCTTGCTCAGCGAGGTTCGTGTTGAACCATGACAAGGACCGCACAACTTGGGCAGAAAACGTGTTTGGAGCTCGCTCAGCCAGAGCGCCAACATACAGCGCCCATAACCGAGAATTTCTGTACCTGTCCCAGCTACTCATGTTGAAAGGGCGATCTGCGGACCCACGGTCCAGCTCGAGTGCTCTTCGGAGCGCGACCAACACTGCCGTTCCATCGTATATGGGCTTTCCGAGAAGAACGGGATTCATAAAAGGATCTCGCACATGCCAAAGGGCGGCTAGCGCAAGGTACTGCTGGGCATACAAATGGTCCTTGACTTCCTGTTGCAGACCTGGACGATTCAATCGTGCTTCAGCGTTCAAATAGTGGTGGACCATTCGCCCATTGAAGATACATGTCCTTGCAAAGCGCCAGGTAGTAACAACAGGCGAAACCACTGTGAGCTTCTGCTCAAGCCGCATGAATACATAATTCAGCTGTTCCTGCCGAATCCGGAACCACTGTTGCAGTTCCTCGGTATCGACAGAGGGGTCGAAAATTGCATCTGGACACACAATCTGATGTGGATGCCTGGCTGCAGCTTTCCCAACTGGTGCGAGGAAAGTAAGCGCCCACGAATCGACGTCGAATATTGTGCGGTGGAGAAACATTGTGCTTAGTTGAGAATCAAGGTACATCTGATATAGGAGGTGCCTATAATCGAGCTTCCCTTTTGCGAACATTTGCTTTTGCAGATCGAAGAGCATCTTGCCATGAGTCAGCGCATTTTGCAGATTTGCTCCAGTGACCTCGGCCGCAAAGATGGCCGTCATATGCCAGATGTAAGGGAATTCTTGCTTGTCGCTATCTTTCGCGATCTTCTCGCGCAATGCGGTCATACTTTCATTCATGAACTTCAGTGCCATCGGCCGCATCGTGGGGTTGTACTTCACAGCAGCAGCGCTATGAAAAGCTAGCGTGGCATAGCCAGTCCCGGAATCATGCAGCCCGGTCACTTGGTCCTGCCAATTCTCGTTCGCGAGGGCGGCTCTCGTCTTGTAGCGAATCTGGAAATATGCTGCAGGAATAAAATAATCTCTGTAGAACGTCAAAAACTTATTTGCCTCTGCAGTAATCGGCACGGCGAAAGTGGAAAAGGGATCTGAATTGCCCTTCCCCACCAAAGTCTTAGGAGAAGAAGGAGCGTGAACAAGCGCCTTCTTGTTCTTCTCGGCCTCTTTCTCGATCGCATCTCTACTCTTACTCGTACTCCATGTCGATCTAGGTACTTTTGCAGATTCTCTCAAGGCTTTGGCCTCCTGTCCGCGTTTCCATGGCCGATACCGCCTTTGGACATGCTTGAAGATCTGCTGTCTATTCTCTGGCTGTGGTTTCAGATTGTTGCTGTCGTGATTGACCCAAAGAAAATCCTGCTTCGGCGTGGCTGTTTTGGAACCTGATGACATTTTGTTTCTTGCCACGGCGACATTTTTCGTAAAATGGGAAGCGTGGAACTCGCCAAGGTCATGTGCGTCCACATGATAATAATGGTAGGAGAAGAGGGGAGAAGAACTGGGTACACAACCTTGTAGGTGGTCTTTAAAGTAGATTTCTGTTTGGCTGAACCCACCAAGGTCTAACTAGATATCTCGCTATATACCCATAGGGTATGGAGTGTGTACACCCTAACATCAGCCACTTAGCACTCTGGACCCGGGTTGGGCTGATTGCGAAGCCGACCTCCACCTGAGTCCGAGGGAAAATGGCATCGTCACTCGTGTGGCCGTTGTTACCAGTCCCGAAAGTGGGATGGAGGGACTTAACTAGGCAAAGACTTTGCCCTCGCTTCCCCGTCACGCGTAGCTTGGTTTCAGACTGGTGGCGCCCCCAGTCATCCTGGTCCCGGGCATCTGCCGTACGGTCATCAATACTTGAAAATCAAGATGAGTATGTCATTTCCACGAGGGGTGTATAAGGCTGCATAGCTCCCTCGCACTCTGATTGAACATGCTTTAAGTGGATGATTTTCACAGCCAAGGCTTAATCATCAATCGCTTGCGGTTTTAAGCCGACAAGGAACAAATCTTCGACGAGATCGTCTACTGCTACAGAGATCACCTTACGTACCTAGTATATTGTTAACCGAATAATGGACTGCCCCTCAGGATCGACATGGTTGGCACGGAGTTGCTGAATGTCGTTGCCATTACTTCGACATCGTCCACACTCCGCATCACGGTCTCGATGCCGTCCAATGTCGTATGTGACACCTGACTCCGATTACTCAACGTGACAAAACAAAGACTTCCGGAACTATTTATTTAGCCTGCTGCTCCTGTTTGGGCACCGAAACTTAAATGTTATACAGGAGTGCAATTTGCCGGGCTACTTGAAATTATCAGCCGTGCATCAAGAACTCTTGGGGCCCCAACCAGGCACTGAAGTGGGATACATGTTGACCGATATCGGCAGATGGAAATACCTGAGAAGACTTTCGTGCATCCCAATACTCGGATGAAGGTCCTCACGCTCAATAACATTCAGTGTGCAGTCAATCATCAACATAATACATGTGGCGTACCACTCACGCGTAGTCAGGCCGTGTAAACTGCCAACACGTCGCAAGGCTTCAATTTCAGGGGCTCATTGGATTTCGAACTCACATGGTAGATACGGGTGCGCCGTCATAACCCTGGATCAACTTTGATACCTTTCTTCTGCTCTTCCCAATTGGAGTGCCCTCCCGCAGGGTTCACTCTTTCCCCGGGGCCACTTCATTCGTGGAGATCTCCACCGATGGTCCTAAGGCGCGATCGCGTACAACGGACAGTCCCGCAACTGCGATATTTGTCCCGAAATGCAGCGCACATCAGTCATAGCCATTTGACATATACATGAGGCTCAAAGACACGACTCTTGCTAAGTGAAGGATCTTGTTAAACTGTCCTTTGCAATGGCTTCAAGTCCGGGTGGGCGGAAACCTCTCGTGGTATCTCTGGGCGACCCCAAGTACATTGGCAAGGAGTATCTAGACTCTCTCAGGAAGGACTTCGACTTCCAAGTACTGGACGCCATCAACAGAGCAGAGACTATAGAGAAACTGCCGAAGCTCGTCACGGAATATGGGCCCGTGGACGCCTTCATCATCCGGATGGGCACACCGGCCTACGAGCCATTTGACAAGGAATTACTCGGCGCGCTTGTCCCTCACTGCAAGATAATCGCTAGTGCTTCTGCTGGATACAATGAGTTCGATGTGGATTGGATGACTAAGAATGGAATTTGGTTCTGCAATACCATTGATGGTGTCGCAGAAGCAACGGCTGATATGGCCTTGTTCTTGATTCTCGCTGTTCTACGCAACACGACGGTGGCTGAGAGACAGGCTAGAAACGGGACGTGGAAACAAGGCATCGTTCCGAGCAAGGATCCTACTGGACTGACCTTAGGCATTGTGGGTATGGGCAGCATTGGTAAGGTCAGTATTGGTCATCCTCTTGACTGTGTAGTTGGCTCCTGGTGCAGGATACAAGAGTACCGGCTAATGTTGCTTCGAGATTTAGTACATTGCGAAGAAAGCAGCAGTTTTCAACATGAAGATCTTGTACCACAACAGACATCAGCTATCCCCGGCTGAAGAATCTAAGTACAGCGCTACATATGCAGCTTCACTTCATGACCTTCTCAGATCGTCTGATGTGGTTTCGATAAGTTGCCCATTAAACGCAGAAACCACGAATCTGATATCAACTAAAGAATTCGCTGCCATGAAAGACGGCGTATACTTCGTCAACACAGCCCGCGGAGCAATTGTCGATGAGGATGCACTGGTCGAAGCACTACAAAGTGGGAAGGTAACACGAGCGGGGCTAGACGTTGTCGTCAACGAGCCTCATGTTCGAGATGAGCTCAGACAAGGGGAATTGAGCGAACTGAAGGTCATTCTGCAACCTCATATGGGAGGCTTGACAGACGTGGCTTTCCACAAGAGTGAAAAAGAGTGTTTTGAGAATATCAAGAGTCTGTTCAAGACTGGTAGACCAGTGGCGCCGGTGAACGAGGTGTGACTTCAGCTTCGGTTTGTTTCCTTCGTGGCACACCCATGGTGGCCATTTCAAAGATGTTTAGTATGCAACTTGATATTTGAGGGTGCTGATGGACTGGATAGTCCAGAAATGCAAACCATATTCGTTCACTCATAAGCCCCATGATATCATAGAAAAGATTGTTGCAATTCGTCATTGTCATCAGATCGTCTTAGCAAAGAACCTGTTGGAGCAGACCATCTCAAATCGAAACACGACGCGAATACCCCTCCTTATCTTGTGACACCCGCTAACAATCGTATCCCAACTGAAAATTCCACTCCGTTCTAATTCGATGTCAGCTGTGACTGCGGGCGAGGGCGCTCAGCGCCTTGTTCACGACATGTCATGGCAAGCTCAACGGCTCCACGGTCGTATCAACCACAGAACTTTGGGGTTTAGGCGTTTGAAAGGTTCGCCTTTTTGCCAGAACCACACACTGGTTCGACATCCTAGTCGAGATCTTGCGGGCAACCTAAAACCGGCAGTCAATTTCATAACGCAAGCCTTCGTGATGCGGAATCTGACACTTACCAGTCCTCGAAATCTCTTACCAAAAATGTACATGGGGATTGTCAAAGCACATAATCCCAGGTTCAAGCCTCCAATCGACCAGAACACTGTTTTCGCCCCTTGAGCTTGGAACCAGCCATTCACAGACGTGGTTGCGAGAAAAGCGAGCAGAGACTTCACAAGTCCAATGGTTACAAAAGCTTGATTGGCATCGTCAGGATGACAGTCAACCACATAAGTGTAGGCGGCCTGACTTGCGAATGGAATGGCGAGAGAGTGGAGGGAAATGAATGTCAATGGCCAAGCAATGGGCGCGCCCGCATCAATTGTCGCTCCAAGACCGAAAAATCCAATTGTAGACAAAAGTGCCCCAATGGCCATGAGAGTGAGTCGAAATTCGGGCTCGTAGACGCCATTATTTCGTTTGGCCATTGAGCGTATGACCTTATCCGCCATCCAACCAGAAGCTGGAGCTCCCAAAAGTCCAGTGGCGAGTAGTGGCAGATTTGTCAAACCAACTTGTGATGGCGTCAGATTGTATGGTGGTGCAGAGAACATAGGGACAGATAAGACGGACAATGCCACAAGCCAGGTAAAGAAGCTTCCATAGATGAAGCTGCCAAACACTACTGCGGGACAGACGAATAGGGGGAATGGCTTGATCAGCTGCTTAAAAAAGCTCTCATTGGAGACTCGGCCGCGAAACACAGCGTATTTGGATGATTGTGAGTTACCAAACTCAGCGGATCTAATGGTGATCGTGGTCTGATTTTTCTCCCCATCAGCAAGTTCGACTGTTTTGAGCACTTCTCCTCGATGGTAGACCGTCTCTGGCACAAAGAAGAACGTTGCGATGAGTAGAGGGATGAAGATCAAGGCACTAATACCAAAGGTGTATTTCACACCAAGTCGTTCAATGATAACTCCGGAGATAACTTGTCTATCAAGTCTTAGTTTCAATCCGAGACAGAATGGCAGCATACCCTAGGAGAACTCCAGATGTCAACATCAGCCCCCAGATGGCTAGTTTTCCGCCGCGCTCATGTACGAAGAAGAGGTCTTGAATGGTAGAGGTTACAAGCGTTTCGAACGGTGCCGACGCGAAGCCTTGAAGCAACCGCATGACAACGAACTCTTCGAAGGACTGCATTTAATGTCAGCAAATAGGAACAAGATATGTGGCACCTTGTGAAGTTCAGACCTTCACAAATGCTCCCCAGGCATTGAGCGCAAGTAAAGCGGCCGCGGAAAGAACAAACACCACTCTTTTGCCCCAGACTGAAGCTGCTGCCGAGGTGAAGAACGTAAATGCACCTGTCCAGAGTATGAATAGTCCAACTAGGTATGTAGATATCACATCGAGGCTCTTCTGGTATTCCATGGCCAGGAGCGGTAATCCAGGGGAGATCATAGGGCCCAAGCTGTGGATCCATCGAGTCAGAACTGCTCAAACCCAAGACACATGTCCGTATCGAAAAGTGGAATACTTACGAAACTGTGACACCGGATGCTAGGGCAATCACCATCAAGAGGACATTCTTCGTGAGCGACGGCCTGATCCATTCGTTATTCCACAATCCACGAAATCTTGCGTCACATAACCCACCAGTTCAAAGGATCATGCGGACTGTCGTTAGGCTGTGGTACCAAAGTGATATCTCCGATCTTCTTGACATTGCCGTCCGTGTAAGCATCTGACTAGATTGTGAGTAGGCTGAACTTTGCAAGCGAGGTTGGCGAATTACCCTGGACCCTATTTGCGCCTGATTCTGTCAAGATCACAGTTCCTGGGACCTGTGACAGGGTGTGATCCTCTAGATTCCGAAAGCCATCGATGTAGATTAATAGCTCGATGAATCACCTTCGTATCTGTGACTCTCTGGTGGCAAAGAAAAGATATGACCTTCCAGTGAGGATGAATTGAGTTGGAGCCCAGCCCATGGAATCTGAGATGAACAGGTAATGAAGCTCAGAGACCAGCTCGAGTACGATATGAATACAATCCCTCAGGTCAATGGATGTCATACCGTAGGGCAGCCTCCCACGGTTTTTGTACACTCGTTTTGATAGACATCATCTACCGAAGGTTGAATATTACAAAACCTGGAACAAATCCAGACACGGATGTCAATTTCAGGAGTGGCTTTGAGACGCTTGAGCTTGGACCAATAGTCCACCTATACCACGTATAGCATTTCGCAGAACTCCATACCAGGTTTGCCAAGGCATTGTGGCTCCATACAGTTGCGTATGTTGTTGGGAGGCAATGAACAATCTGCTGTTTCACGTACAGGGGGTGAGGCCACGAGCAATAGATAAGTCAAAGCATCAAGATAAATTTCATATCTCTAGCATACGAAGAGATACAAGGTATCTCTGGGTGAAGCTCGTGAGATTGCCTTGGCCTCTGGTTCGCCCAATCCAGATGACAGTTGCGGTGCGTGCAAATAAAGATGTTGTATGAAGAATGCGAACCCTCTCTGCCCCGATTTGAAGCAACACTTGGACCAACTGCCGATGGTGTCCTGTGAGGACCATGGAGATTCTAGAAGACACCTGGGAAGGCGATAGATGTTGCGCGGTGTGGGTCGCCGACACCAATGCTCTGACTCCTCCATACTGTGCTGTCCGTCGACAGTACTCTGTACCACATCTTATGATCTTCGAGGTCGGAGACTTACCCCACAATCTGGAACACACATGCGACAATACCGCTGTGGGGCGGCTTGAGTATGAGAGGTGGGAAGGCTCTTTGCGCTTGTGCATCTAGCAATCCAGAGACCCATATGGGTCCCGAGGCACGGAGGTGGACACCACTGACACAGAACTGGCAAGTCTGATAGGCCCGTGAAAGCCTTCTCCATGAAACTGATCAGGAGAACGCACCCATGAGGCACTCATAAAGTTCTCCTATCGGAATAGGCAGAGGACATCTTTGCACCACAGTTCCCACGACCCGACAAAGTATTGCCCAGCTCTGAGTCTCTGACCAGTAGGAGCTGGTGGATGTAGTGGGCTGATCATCACGAGGCTTATCATCAGATAAATGTCCTGAAACGTTTCATGTTGTTCAACCACGACAATATCACCGTTGTGGACCTTCGGGTGAAGACAATTCTTGATTAGGTAACAAGGTAGACCTCGATGATAATGTCCTGAAAGAATTCGAAGAACTTGGTGGGGAGGAAAGGGTAAAGAAACAGGGTCAATTTGGGAGATCGGATGGATTGGGCCACACTACTGTACCTAAGTAGGTACTCAGCTGCAAGTAAGGTTGTAAAAGAAATGCTGCAGGGATGTCGTCATTTAGAAGGCACACTTATATTGGACGGTGATTATCGTTTATTCGCACGACCAAGTCCGCGCATCTACACAAAGCAATATCACAAATCAAAGAAGCGGCATTGATGGCGAGTTTCAACCCCAAAATTAATGATGCAGATGTACCCGTAATCATAGTAGGCGCAGGCGTGTTTGGACTAAGCACCTCTTTACACCTTGGCCGTCGAGGCTTTCGGAACGTGGCTGTTTTCGACAAGCAACAATATGACGAAGCGCAGTATTCATATCTGAAGGGATGTGACGCGGCGTCGGCTGATTTCAACAAGATCATCAGATCTGCTTACGGCGAACAGACTGAGTATCAAGATCTTTCGACTGAAGCGTTGCAAGCCTGGCGAATTTGGAACAATGAACTGGAAAATGGATCCTGTGTCCCGGAGGGCATGAAAACTTCAGACAGGGTTTTCATCAACAATGGCAATCTATCGTTTACCAACCAAGCAGAATTGCCACCCTTTGAACTTGCTTCCGTTCACAACCTGGAGAAGGCAGGAATCCCGAATACACAATTGATTACTGGAAATGAAGAACATATTGCTCTCGCCAAAAAGAAGAATATCTCGTATGGCATCGATCCTTTTGATTGCAAAACGAAAGGCAAGTCATATATTGGTGTTTTCGATACGACGGGAGGAACCGCGGTGGCAGACAAGGCATGCAGAGTTGCACTTCACAGGGCAAAAACATATGGTGTTCAATTTGTGCTCGGGTTAGGGAAAGGTGAATTTGAGTCGTTCTCATATGACTCAGCAGAGAAGGTCAACGGCATCCGAACTCGAGACGGCAAAACACACTTTGCGAAAATCGTTGTTATAGCTTGTGGTGGCTGGTCTCCTGGGTTGATACCGCAACTGGACGGGCTTTGTGAGACCACAGCTGGCTCGGTCATCCATCTGAGAATACCTCCCGACTCTCCACTTTTCGGTCGATTTGCGCCTGAAAATTTTCCAACATGGACCTACAGGGTAAGAGATGGTCCGGAGGGCGGTCTGTACGGGTTTGCGCGTGATGAACAAGGTTACATGAAGATCGGTTATAGGGGGACAAAGTATACGAATCCGCAGCAACAAGCAGATGGGTCCGAAAGGAGCGTACCTATCACCAGATATACTGAAAACGAGCAGCTAACTCAGATACCGAAGCAGGCGATGAGAGTCATGAAGGCTTTCGTGAAAGAATACCTCCCAGAACTGGCAGCCGAGGGCATCAATGTCTCGTTCTCAAGGCTCTGCTGGTACACGGATTCGTTCGACAACCACTTCGTTATTGATCGGCTCCCTGGCCAGAGCTCGGTTCTGGTAGCCACGGGCGGGAGTGGCCATGCCTTCAAGTACTTGCCGATTATTGGCAACTGGGTCGTTGACATCCTTGGGGGCATCGGCCTCGAAAGGGAGCTGGTTCAGAAATGGCGATGGCGGCATAGCAAAGATGACACCGAGGTTGTGAATAAACTCATGGAAGGCACAGCGAGCTCGAGAAACTTGCGAAGAGTACCCCTGACGACTGACCACGATCTAGAATCACAGCTGCAGAACAAGATGTAGCATTATTGATAAAAGAAAATGAATTGAGATAGTGAAGAACCTCAGGTGGATGTGCTGCCTAATTGGCTCATATCGACGTTTGAGCTAGTAGAGTTTAGTGCCCGCGGCCAAGGCTAGCGTCGAGAATAAAGCCTTGGCATTTCACTAGCAGGATCGATCCAGGAACGCTCGCCTGGTAATAAATTCCCCCGCATCAATTGCCAGTGGGGTAAGACTGTCTGAAATTTGACTCATTCGTGTTCACCGCAGATATAAGCTTGAGCTTGACCCTGCCCGTTTTGACACTCTGATGTCGATAGCAGATTCTTCTCCTTGTCTCTGATCTGCACTATATAGCAAGAGCCTCGTGTCCCCAAAATGGCCGACCCTCCACCTCGATACGTTTCCATAGCTCCTCTCCTCAAAAAGCTCTCTGCCCCTCCACCGCTTGACAACACCGTCAAAGCCGAAGACATCGCGCTTGCATTCTCTCGGACTTTTGAGAATGAATTAAATGGCACACAAACCGCCGCATTGCTGACCTTACTCCACTCCACGGGACGAGATAGGCATCCAGATGTCATCGCAAAATGTGCCGAAAGCATGCGCAATGCCGCAATACAGGTCAATAGCAAAGCCCTACGAACGGTGGTCAAGAAGAGGAAACGAGGACTTGGATCATATCGAGGAGGTCTCTGTGACATCGTCGGCACAGGGGGAGATTCACATTCGACGTTCAATATCTCGACTACCTCTTCCATCATCGCTGCCCCAATCCTAATGATGGCAAAGCATGGCAATCGCGCACAAACATCCATGTCCGGGTCTGCAGATGTGCTCAACGCCATCTCCCCCGTCTCGCCCAAGATTGAGGCACTGACCGCAGAGAGCCTTCCAGAAGCATATGAGCATACCAACTACACCTTCCTCTACGCTCCCAATTTCCACCCAGGCATGAAATACGCCGCAACAGTCAGAAGGGAGTTGGGCTTGCGAACCATCTTCAACCTAATGGGGCCTCTTGCCAATCCCGTCGAGCAACATATCGAGGCCCGCCTCGTTGGTGTCGCCTATCAAGAGCTCGGTCCAGTATTCGCACAGGCTTTGTTGCTGTCCGGCGCGAGAAAGGCACTGGTGGTGTGCGGCCAAGAAGATCTCGATGAAATTAGTTGTGCCGGAAAAACGAATTGCTGGTTGCTGCGAGAATCGCCCAACCCAAAATATCAGGGCGACCTCAACGACGAAGATGATGATGATGATGACAGTAGCGACGACGAGAGCACTCCTAGATACCTCGTGAAGGTAGAGAATTTTGAGGTTGGACCGGAAGACTTCGGCTTGCCATCGCATCCACTCTCAGAGGTAGGCGGCGGCAAGCTTCCCAAGCAGAACGCGGCAGTCTTGATGAGCATTCTTCGGAACGAGAGAAATAAGGATGATCCCATCCTGCATTTTGTCCTCATGAACATTGCAGCACTGCTCGTGGTGAGTGGCGCCTGCGATTCAGACACATGCGAAAGTGGAGAGGTCATCAAGGAGGCTGGCCCTGCTGGCTTGAGATGGAAAGAAGGTGTGAAAAAGGCCAGGTGGTGCATAGAGAGCGGGCGGGCGCTCGCAGAATTTGAAAAGTTCATAGAGTTCACCAACAGATTGTAGATTGGATAGCATCTTTTGGGAAAAACAAGCCATTTATTTCGCGACCCAGGCCTCTAATGTCACTGGCATTTTTCAAGTAATCATCACAAGGTGCCATCGATGGTCAAACCCAGAACGCCGTCGCTGTCTTCATGCTGGAAAAAAAGAGCTTCTCCAATCCTCCCTGGGACGCCTATTCAACTTCTCCTTCAAGATAGATGTGCGCCAGCAAGCTATCGACATTCGACCTGAACCATTCTGCATACGAGTCAGCATTATCGCCATCACGCCTGGAGTCTGACCGCATACCTCTTGGTTCTCTCCTTGTAAAGGACTCGGTGACCGCACATGCTGCATCGAATGGCATCACCTTTTGCTAGACTGACTTTGGCTGCGCATTCACCGCACACATATTGAACAGTGGGACCGCTCGAGCCTTCACCTGCGGCGTAACCCGTTGCGAAGGCGGTATAATTGGTAGACTGCGATGGCAATTGGTATGATTCTCTTTGGGACGACATGATGGAAATGTGGCGACTGTAGAGGTGTTTTATCGTTGGCTAGTAGTTGTGATACGTTGGAGGGACGAAAAGAGACAATAACGGATGGGCTGAGTGTCAGATAATGAATGAATTGTGATTGATGATTTGAAAGACGCTCCTCCGCTTTGCACTGGAATATTCCTTTCCTCTCACGTGACTTGATGCAATCCTCGGGCTTGGCGAACCACGGAATATTGCCGAGGCTTATCCTCAGGCAGTCTAGTTCTGTCCATATTGTGGTTGGCTTGGGCTGTGTATCAAATATCGAGTAAGACAGCTGGACATGTTGGACTCAAGACGTTTCACGAAATCCTTTGTTATTTGCTAAGTTGCTCGACTTGAATATCTAGCTTGTTTGCGCTTGATGTTGGGGTTAATCATGTAGCGTTCATACCTCATTTCGCTCGCACTTATTATTGCGCTTCGTTTCCATCTTGAATGTCTGTTTCACGCGTTTCCACCCCTTTGGCTTTTGGGGCGTCGGAGAAAGATGTCAGGTCCTGCCCAGTATGTCATAATCTTGACAGGAACAAGATCATCTACTGGAAGGGAGGCCCTTCGAGACATAAAATGTTCAAGAGATACTTTCAATACAGTGACTATCACAGCCTCCCTATTCCCTTGAACGACTTGAAGTTCTCTGCGAGTAGAGAATGCCAGCTTTGTGTCATCGTCTTTGATATTTTCCGCTGGCTGGCCCGGACTAAGTCTCACGGGATGAACACGATATATCAAGCCAAAGTGGAAATCTGCATTCCTTTTGATGCAAAATATCCTTTGGTTTTGACGTTTTCCTGGCTTCCGGCTCCAGGAGCACCCATTCCAAGACAATATGATTTGCAGGTCTCTGTGCCTAGCAAAAGTTAGTCGTCCTCCACCGCGAAATGGCATCCAGAACTGACCCTTGACTCTAGGCCTCCAGTTGCCCTGGTCGACAATGAATGTAGGTTATCAGCTTCCCAGTGAGCCAAGGCAGAGCATTTTCAGACCTCGTTCATGGCTTCAAAGCTGCCTCAAGGATCACAGTCCAAGTCTCTGTAACACTGCTGCCAATGGAACTCCTCTGTCAATGCCCAAGCGGCTTATTTGCATTGGAAATAACCAAAACCAGGTCCGGTTGGTGGACGACTTCAAAGGAAAGTGCATTCCTTATTTAGCTCTTTCGTACTGCTGGGGTCAATCAGAACATATCATCACAAAGTCATCCAACTATGAGCAGCATCTGAGAAATATACCCTGGCATTCACTCCCAGCGACGTATCGTGATGCGGTCGACTTCGTCCGAGCTGTAGGTTACAGGTACATCTGGATAGATGCACTGTGCATCACGCAAGACGATGTAAATGACTGGAACTCTGAGGCTGCTCGAATGGCAGACATTTACAGTGAGGCGATTCTCGTCATATCGGCAGCCAACGCAAATCATGTCGGCTTTGGCTTTTTGAACGAAAGGTCTGGCTCCCGAACTTTCAAGAACAAACTTCAGAAATATCCTAATGATCCAACTCATCTTTTGGTCCAAGAACCCACCACGCACGGCAACATTCTAGGAGATCCGACTTTGGAGCAGCAATGGCCTGTCTTCCGTCGTGCTTGGACTTTGCAGGAGCGACTTCTAGCCACAAGATTGGTCCATTTTGCTGCTGGAGAAGTCATTTGGGAATGTGCAAGTACTTGTGCATGTGAATGCGGTCGTAAGTGCTTCCAAGCATTAATACCAAATGGTGCTTTTCTCTGGTCCAGTTCGCACAGTGCTGACTATTCTCAACCTCGTAGATCTTGAAGCAACGAACGCTGTCACTTCGAGAAAACGATACGATCTTTCAAGTCTAGAGCTATTGACAGCGGTTGAACGAGCCAATCGATGGGACGAACTGGCCTTGTCCTATCAAAATCGACATATATCAAAGGACAAAGATCGCCTTTCGGCGCTGTCTGGTCTTGCACACCGCTTTCAATCGGAATGCCTCGGGGATTACCTGGCAGGATTGTGGTCAAACTTTGCATTGGGGATGCTGCTGTGGGAAGTGAAGCAAGGTCGAAAATCAACCGAGTATGTCGCACCGAGCTGGTCTTGGGCCTCCTTCCAAGGCCGTCTAACTCGCAATGATGCTATACAGCACAACAGTGAATTTAAGGCGGTCTTGGAAGAAGCATATTGTGCACCAGCCACTACTGATCCGCACGGCGCGATTGTTCTGCAGTCCGGGTTCATGAGGATTCACTCACCTGCTATCGATGGTGTTATTGTTCGAGACCCCCTGAATGGTCACCCAATGATACAACTCATCTCAGAATTACAGGCATTTCTAGTGGCCGATGTACAAATCGTGGAGTCGCAAATTGGTGGAACCGTTAAATGCCTCTTCCTTCGAGGTCTTGAAACCGGATCTTCTGGTCGTTATGTAGAAGCATTGATCCTAACAGTCTCTAGGAATCTGGTTGATTATGAGCGGTTGGGCATTGCTCATATTCCCAGTCACTCATTTGACGAGGACAACTTGCTGCGGGTGGAAGTGCCATTGTCTTTGCAGACAGTCAACATCGTTTGACGCCTTGCCATTTGGGATAGTGGCCTCAATTCACATTTTTCTGTCCATCGAAGCGTTTGGTCATCATGGATTTGTGTCAGGTGTCGAAATACTTCCTGCACGCCATCTGCGGAGGAAGAATGACTGAAGAGGTCTAGGACTTCGTCGAAGCGGGTGATCCAACCAAGCCTATTGAAAGGATATCTCGGGCGAGCTTTCCCCGAAGACGTAGGGGCATACCTGCACGCCCAGCGATGGACTCTACAATCCTACCTGTGGCTACTCGCCCATTGGAGCTTCAGCCACTCGCCTGACAGACACTAGACCATTGCGGCTCCTTACCGCCCTGGTAACGTTGGACATTACGATCAACAGGTTCTAGGCAGTAACCGATAAAGACCGTTGAGTCTCTGCTCATAACAACAAGGAACAATAAGACCAATTAGAAGGCTTCGGAAACACACAACCATGATGCTTGAGATGCCTCCACTCCGTAGTGGGAGACCGGGGTGGACCTTGGGATGAGAAGTGGGTGTGCTCCGTATTCACATGCATGTCTCAGTCTCATGACGACACTCAATACATTGCTAGAATACCAGGTCGCCACGCATGACTTATCCATAGCCCAGGCTGTCCAGTAAGCAAACATAACAGCAATCAATCAGTTTCCGGCCCCATCAATTCGAGAAACTGATGGAGAGCAATCTGGAGCAAGACCAAATCGTTTACGAGCAATCCCACACACACTCTCTCACACAGTGATCACAGTTACGCTCATGGTGATCTGTCAAAATCGTTGAGAGATTGACTGCCTTCGACTATTGCATTCCTGAAACTTTGAAGCCTCGTATAGATATCCGTAGACGTACGAGATATACGTACTTTAGTTGACTCGCTCATCTACGGATCTCCCGCAATATTCATTAGTTGTCAGAAACCTTGAATACCGGGGGAAAAGGCTCGGCACGCTGGCGATTCCCAGTATTTTTGCCAGCCAGCCTGTTTGTATTCTCTTTTTGACCGAATCGCGCCCGAAGGAGGTCCGCAGCGAAATTTGAGATCTCATGAATGTTGCAGAGAACAAACATATTGCAAGCCACAACCCTTGCATGGTGCTATTGTCTTGGGACTTCATTTGATGTCGATCAATCATCTATCAAATGGCCCTGCACTATGTATAAAGGCTATGACATGGGAACTGGTTGGATGACGACTCGACAAGATGGAAAAGGCTTCCCAGTCCGCCATGTGATGGTTTCGTTCGCTCCACGAGATTCCAGGATAATTCAGCCGTGGCATCGAGGATCAAAGTGCAAACCCAGAAGGTGATCGACGGATTTGCCAATCTCAAGACCTGGCGATCACATAGTCCAGGCCATCGCGGGAGATCTACGCAGGATGAACATTTCGCTCACACTCTGTCCGAATGGACAATTTGGGAAACCCAAGAGCCGTCTGGAGAGAATGCTTTTGAGTAGGACTGAGCACAACAATTGTTGGGCGGGCGCCCAGTTCTCCAATCTCGATATCATCACACAATCATGCTCCGTTGTGTACCTCGTACTCCGTACGCCGATACTCCGTGCTCAGTGCTCACCAGGCCTCCTGGCCTAGGGCAGAGACCCCGAACGTTGTACCAGTATCCGTACTCGTAGGAAACAGCCATACCCATGCCAGCGTAATCCGCACGGCGCGTTTCGAAGCAGAACACGCCTCAGCCTTTCTCTAGATTGCGGTCTCCAGGCACTGGTGGCCCCCCGGGGCAGAGGACTTCACGCGCGCCTACGAGCACCTCCCTCTGATGCTTATTCCTTCAGGCAGGGAAGAATAGGCCCAGGGGCATCAGCATTTCGCGGGTAGGGGCTAGGTTGTTTCAACCGTGATCCTTTCCCATGGGTTTTTCTGGGCGGGCGTCCCTGTCGCTCGCTTGCAAGGAGGGTCAACCGGCGGCCATCAGCCTGGTTTCCCCAAGCACAGTGCCCACAATCCTTATCCGAGTCCGTAGCTCACTTGTTACGGCTGTGGCTTCCCAATATGCCATTCCCGCACGCTACGGTGTACCCAGCAATTTATTATTGTTGATTATCTTTTTATCTGTGCGATTTCGAAACAGACCGAAGGCGGCCTCGTCCAGCAGCCGCCTGGCCGGAGACGCAGGATCTTGTCTTTTGCCTTCAGCCTCCCCGGTTTCATCACAAAAGCAAGGTTCAGCCACGGGGTTCAGGTTCAGGTCAGCCCTTGCATAGCCATCTTTAGGGGAGAGTGCGCCTCGCCCGTGGATCCGTCGTTCGGCGAGGCTTATGCAAGGGGCACCGGCGAATAGCGCTACGGCAAGGGGTTAGGGGCACCAAATGGTCTGGGCGCCACACCCACCTCAGAGTTTGACGTCGTCATCACCTCGACGTCGTCTCTGCGTCTGTGCTATGCGCGTACTGCATTTTCACGTCAAGCTCGCTGTTGCTACGGGAGCTTGTGTACGGAATAGAAAACCAAGTGCGTTTTTGTAAATGGATATGATTTTCCCCTAGATCGTCTGGTATCAAGAATCGAAGTCTATCTGCGTTTTGCTCGCGAAAGCTAAAAGGTAAAAAATGGGAAAAAATAAAGTTCCTCCTCACGCATCTGCACATGGTTGATAAGAGTGATCACCCCCTAGCACATAATTTTGGCCGAGGCACTTATGCCATGTCGATAAGAACGGGACAAGGGCCGTAGGCAAGGCCTGATAACCTGCTCGAACCCAAAAAATTCCACGTCATCGTGAGGAAAGGGAACTTGAGTGAGAAGTTGACAAAGGTCAAAAAAAAGAAGAAAACTTTGCGGTTCCATCCTACGCCACGCGCTGGGCTTCGTTTCGACCGTCATAACGTTGTTGCTGTCCATCGCAATCGCCTTTGCTTGTTGATTGCTGTTATCATAAGGTTCGTTCTATTGTTGGATTTCATTCATTGGCACCACTAGTCTCCAGAAGGAGCTCGCGGTCCAAGCCGTACCACCCGTTTCCGAGTATGTTTCGGAAGATATGTCGTCAAGAGATACTACTTGTCCTGTGGGGTAGAACAAGAAGGTGGGGATGTAAAGTAAGGTGTGATCGTTGAGATCGGTTACTATCCTGCAGGGGTATTGACATGACCATGTGTCGACTCATGGAGGTGCCGTAAAAGAGCGTATATGCAGGTAGCGTGACGCGGAGCGTGAGAGACAATGCTGCAGAACTTGCTGCGCAAAAAAGGATGACGGACACAGAAGGGGGTTGCTTGGGTGGGTTCCATCGCTGTTTTGTTCACCATTTATGCCTCGTCGGTGACGAATTGACGTGCGTGGACGCGGTAGCGGATGTGTTGTCCCTTGACCTCGACACTTCGCTTGGCACTTCCACCAGGGCACATGGTCAGAGTAAGGCTGGTATTCTCATCGCAGACCATGGTTCGGACATCGTCTGGGGCATTGTAGGCAGCAGTGCAGACGGCTTGTCCGGCAGGGCAGTCAACCACAACGCAAGTTGGATTGGCAGAGTCACCTTGCTTGGATGGGACCACTTGCATGCCACCAGCGGAGAAGGGATAGCCATCGATGTTGGAGAGATCATAAGCGATCTTGCCATTCGCCCAGGTGAATTCGAATTGAGAGACGGGTCCACTGCTGGTAGCATTGGGAGCCAGCTTGATAGAGATGCCAACACCTTGTTGAGAGTAACCCTCGGAGTAAGATCCCTGAAGGGGTTGCATGTTGGCATGGTAGCTTTGACCGACGGAAGCATAGTAGATTGGATATCCACAGTTGTTGATGACGGTGGCAGTGCCCAAAGCCATGACAGCGGGGGTAGAGGCAAGCAGCACGGCTGCGCCTGAGATGATGTTCTTGAATTGCATATTGATGAGTTTGAAGTGTCGTAAGACTGTTAAATGTCACTTGGGACGATGAGTTGGTCGAATTGGACACAAAGGAGTGGTCCTGTATTTTGGTGTAGGGAGTTACGTCGACAGAGGTTCTTGCAGCTAAGGAATGATGCTGTTCAGAGACCTGCTCGAGGTTATAGAGAGGGGATGAGGCTGAAAAGGATTGACAGAATGGATGCAGAAAGAGGAAACTCAACAACAAAGGAAGGCCGTGGTTTAAGTAACATAACACACGACCGAGCTGTGTTTGTCCCCATCAACAACAGCACCTCGAGCCGCGCGAGAAAACTCAACTGCCCTGCTTACACCGTGGAGCAGATGATGGATACTCCTGCATCGTTCAGAGATTTTCGCAGATGCATTAGCGCTGTCAACTGTGGACAGGGCGGACCTTGAGAACCCCCGTTATCGAACTCAGTCCATGACCCATCAGGGCCAGGATCAGAATGGCAGACTGGCAGACGAGAAGGACATGTTTTCCCTCCCTGGTCTTCACCCACCCCGACCCAAAAAACGGTTGAAACAATCATTGCCGACGCGGCACAACACCCCTGGCGGATGGTGGATGTGCCTGGGATCTGGCCATCGAATAAAGACTGGAGCGCAACGCCAGTAGCGACTCACTGTCAAGGCTAATGCAGGCGGGGATGGTCAATCCGCCTGAATCCTGGTTCGAAGGGTGCCCAGAGAGGCCCCACCGGCAGGACTTTCACGCCCAGCAATAATGGCCAGGTACCAAAGTGCGCCGATTGGAAGTTGAGTAGAGAGCCACCCGAAAAATACCGCAGTCAATGCCGGACAGCTAAGCAGAGTTGGGTTGGCTTCAGGCACCGCCAGGAACCAGCACACCATCTTTCTCAAGCCTCCCGGCTGCCGTTGTTCGCTTGTGCTTACCCACGTGTCGACGGAGCCGGATGCTCTGTTCATCAACCGCCTATCCGTGCTCGAAAAGATCTGTAAAGTTGCTGCCGTGTTCAAATGTCTGATGCCCAACTTGCGCGTGTGGTTTTACAACACATGTGCTCAACAAACCCTGCAATGCCATGTAGTCTTTGTTCACGCACTTCTAGGTTCCCTCAGCACCCACTGGCTAGGACGTACTTGTGGTTGAGGTCACCGGGCGAAATCCGAAGCCCACAAATTATTTGGTCTATTCGAGTTGTCAGTATCACACATTCACCTTCATGTGAAGTTTGTATCCTAGTCTGGCAGCTTTTTGGGACCAAGATTTCCCACGAATCAATCTGCTCAAAGTGGGAGAAGATTCTTAGTGCCTTTGTAGAGTTTACTACGGGTCTTCCTCACCACTCTGTCACACTAAAGGTTCTGGCAAACTCTGGGACCAGAGTGCTCCCGCCGAAATCTAAGCTAAAGATCCCAGTTTGAGAACTTCGCAGGGTTGTGCCCCGCGTAAGATATATCATGCTTGCGATAACAGTTGAATACCCTCGTCCGAAGTTCTTTTCGTGGGGCGCCAACAATGCGACTCCGGATCCATTTGACAAGGTGTCAAGTGGTCCCAACCTCCCCCAAGCGATGCAGAAGTGCTTGCATGATGACCGTTGGACTATCATCGAGCGCTTCAAACTAGTTAATGCATCCCTTGCTGGCATTCATATGCCAAGTCCGAAGTGATGAGGAGATGGCAGCAACTTGAACGCATCTCATCATTTCGAAAGTGGTTGTGAGTCGAGGGTCTCAACGTTGCACAGTAGGGTGGAAAAGCCGCTGAAGCAATGCGCCCGGCTAAATGCTGCGGACCTTGTTCTTGTTTGAACTTCGCCAATGTCAGGTTTCTTGCACATTGGCCGAAATACTTCTGGGAACATTTCTTAGAAAGTCAAGGAGCTAATCGCTCAGCATCTCCGAAGTATCGTAGACATCTGCCAATGGTTCCGAACTACCAAACTTTGTTGGAGTCGTCGCCTAATTCTTGAAGAAAGCAACTGCTCTGTGAAGGTCGACAGTCACGCAAAAGTTACACCGCGACTCGAGACAAATCAGAAATCTTCCAATTGACAGAAATCGATAGCTCGGCACCAGGAGAGGTCCGACAGACGTTCAATCGGGCAAAAGGAAGACTGGCACCAACTAGTAAGTCCGGTTAACATTTCAATCCTACCGAATCATCTTGACAGTTGAACTGTGAGAGGACCCGTGGACGCATCAAGTACCCGTCGCTTCAGTACCATAAAAGTTCCCAGACTCGAAAAGGCGACATAGTATGTCTTCGAGTAGTTTTGAACCGAACAGTATGACGTAGGTAGTAAGTGCCACTATTGCATTCCAGAATATTTGGCAGGAATACGCCTTGAGACAGCTGTCATTTGAGGATACTAGGCCGTCGGAGGAATAGAGATGCATTAACCGTAGTTGTTTCGTGCGAACTGAACAGCATTGGCTGCATATTGATAATGCGATTGACGACCATCTGAAGGCCCACAAAACAATGCATAGAAAAATTCGACACTAGAGGGAAACAGGCAGTCGGCGGAAGCGGGTGCTGAGCCGAAGCCAGGGAGAGTTTTGTGCGTGTATGTTGTATCATGCCCGCGCGTACCTTGACCATTGGCCATGACTGAGGATGTCCCGAAGGTGCACCGATGCGGGCAAAGCACTGGCAATCGGGTTGGAACTGGAGACTTCTTACCAGACATATGCAATTCATCATCAATAGTTTACTGTATGCGGTCGTCGTACCTCATGACTCGGCTAGAGGACAGTGGGCTGACGAAGGAAGGTCAAGCAAGCAAGCACTTATGGCTCCAATACCACTGGAACTAGGAGGAGTGCATTCCAGCATACTTCGTAGGCAGGGAGTCGAAGCCGTTGGCCCTCTCTCACTGCACGAGCCGGCAGATCGAACAGATCAAGCGAGGAGATGTGAAATGGCATTGGACATCGAATCGTACCATCTTGAATAGTGCTTTGTCGAAGCATCGGTTGGAATGTTGTTGCATCTCCCAAGGTACCTCGTACTGGAGAGTCGTAGTCAAGTGGGAAGAAGGAAAAAGACCGTGAGTGTCAGTCTGGGAGGGGCAAAGCAACGCTAAGGCAACCGCCAACATTTCTCGGGGCTCCAACGCTTCCTCTTCCGCCACAGAGGCAACTCACTCAACACACACATACCCAACGACCTTTTGCTGACTCGGTCTATCCGATTTCTCCACCATCCCAAAGACCATACTGTTGGATACTCCGTCTCACGTAGTACTAAGAGTACATATCATACTGCTGGAATTTCTGAGGTCAGTGCTTCTTCTATTCTTTAGTTGTCAACAGCCGAGCATGGGCGAGACTCGGGATGGGGCTGCACACATCCATGAACCAGTCACTTTACTCTACCAAGGTACTTGGTATCTGCAGACTGCAGTACACTCACATTCCTTGAACCTACGATCGCGTGCCCAAGTCAAATTCTGTTGCATTGCGCTACGCTGCCTGTAAATCGCCGACTGGTACCTAGCTCGCTCGGTACGGTCGCCTCTCAATCACGAACCGCTGTTCGCGAATGGTAAGTGGCGTGGTCGGAAGAAAATTCCAGTACCACGTGTACGCATGGGTCGACGGTGACTGAATTTACACTTTGCATTTTTCCTTCTGGCGTTCTCCAGAACATTTGCCAGATATTGGTTACTAGTGGTACAATGATACCTTCGCTCGAAGGCTGCTGACAACGCTATCATGATGCAAGACCTGCCTAGGCCATCATTCCTGGTTGATTAACCGAACAAGCAGGACCGCAGCGCCTGCTGCAATGACACCCACTACCAGCATTTGTACCGCTCCTCCGGTACAAGCTTGGTAGTTCTCTCTTCCAGTCCAACCACGGATCACTCCAGTCTTGACATAACCGAAAATGAGTAAGACCACCGCCATGACTCCAATGGACCACAGCAACCCGGCCCAGACGTCGTCCCTTGCCACAAGAAAATACGGAATTAGGGGAACAAATCCGCCGATGAAGTAACTTATCCCCAAAGTAAGTGCCGAAAGGTAAGGTCGACTAGTATCAGGCTTGGGCGCTTGGAAATGATTCTGCATCAGGAAATCTTTGAACATTGGTGTCGATGCTTTGATATGATCGGCTACTCTTTTCGTCTCTTCGGGGGAGAGGCCGAACTGTTCAAAGTACTCCTGAACACAGTCTGTTGCCGTGCTGGAATCGTGCAGCATCATCTTATTGCATTTGCGATCTGTGGCTTCATATGAATCACTGTCCACTTGTCAGTATATGCATCCAAGACAGGCACCCCATGCAGTCGACTTACACCTCGCTTTTGGCACCGACATATCCTCCAAGCCCCATCGATATAGCCCCAGCAATCAATTCGGCCAGGCCTCCCAAAATGACGAACTTGGTATCCCCCAAAGCTGTCAACCCTGCCGTGAGGGCGAAAGGCACGGTAAGGCCATCGGACAGTCCTAGTATGGCATCGGAGACAATTCTTGCATCGAGACTGAAGGACCAATGTGACCAGGATCTTCTCCGCGCCTCACCCTTGTCTGATGTGAATATTGGTGTATCTTGACCTCCATTGGAGCCCTGCAGGGTCGAGCTCCGCGATAATAGAGGTTGGCAAGCTTCCAGATCTGGTGCTGTGGGATTTGTTTGTCTCTCTGGTGTCGAGTGACCACTGTTCAGTCTCAAGTTTCTTTCGTCCTTTTCTGGCATTATGGGCAAAATTTGTGTCCGGGACTTTTTGGTTCGGTGAATCCTTTGCCGACTCCTTCCCGACCAACCGAACTGCAATGGCCAATTTTTGATCTTGAAGCACCCACGAAAAAGCCTCCCAATGTCTATGACGCTTGTTCCTGCTGTTGTCGAAACAGAAAAGAAAGGTGAATACAACTTATATCCAGCAGTTGTACACCCGACACGAGGTGACAGGAAGCAAACCTCACTCTGCTATTGTGCAAAGCGTGTCGCAACTGACCAATCACCGAGCGCGGAATGGTCAGCTTGTGCTGGAGGTCAAATTTCACCACCACCCAAGCAACAAGAATCTGTTTATTTGCTTCGACTCTTATTGGTAGTAATCTTGCGTTTGACTGCAGCTCAGAAACTTAAGTATTCAACTAAGAGCACACATTCATTCCTATTCCACCTCACTGACCGCTGTCCCTTACCTCATTTATACCAAGCGAGGCATGCTCGCACTTTTGTTTCGCATCTCGCTCCTAAACTTCCTCTTTCGGCCGACCCAACATAAAATCCGCCGTGGCCACTCGCCGCTCTCCAAAATCCTCGGAGTTTGGTGGGTTTCGTAGGCAGTAGTTTGTATGTCAGCAGCCAGGCAGCAAGTGACACCTTGGTACTCGTATGACGAAAGACATCTAATCGAGGCTCTCCTACAACAGACAATCAATGGCAAATTGATTTGCCCATCTATTTCGAGAAGCTTCTCGACAGCAGGTCATGTAAATTGACTGGGGGTGCATGTACGGGTAGACGCAATCGTAAAATCATCATGAGGTACGAGTGAGTGAGAGAGAGAGACCACATAGACAAGTATTAGCAGAAGAAGAAGAAGAAGCAGTTTTGACTCGTCCCTGAACTGTATTGTGTGTTCATGCAGGAATCGTTCATTGCATTCCTCGAACGCTAGGGTATCAGCGGTAGCACGATCAGGAACCAGACTGTATATACCATCGCCGCCCCACAAGTGTTGAGGAAACAAAAACACGCGCTTTTTCTATCTAATCTAGCTCTACACCTCCCTTCGTGATCATCGTTGCGCCATTGCGGAGAGAAGGAAATGAAATCAAGGACCACAAGCAAAAAGAGCACTTGAAACGTGGAAGCAGGACGGTTGAACGTGCGAAGAGTGAAAACAGCAGCAGTGGCGCCTCGCAATGCTATGGACCTCCATCTACCAAGGCCATGACGGTCGCTGCGTATACAAGAGCGCTCTAAGCACTTCCATTCTGCGACACTTCGGGGGCCTTGAGTTCGCCTCTCACGCCGCCTTTCCCGCCGAGCTGTCGAGCCGACAGGTTCAATGCGAGGTCGGCATCGATGTTGGCGGTGACTTCGACCTTGGAGCCCTTCTTGAGGCCCTTGAACACGAACTCGGCCAGCGCTGTCTTGACCTTCCACACCTTCTCCCGGATCTCTTCGGGTTCGTCGTCCTCGTCGTCTTCATCATCGTCGTCTTCGTCGTCACTTGCTTTGGCACCGTTGGTTTCGGGCTTTGGCGTTGGTGCTGGTTTCGTCACTTTGATGTCTCGCTCCGCGTCGCTGATGCGGATGAGGACATCGCCTTCTAGCCCGCTGATGACGGTTGTTCTCCGTGCGGGTGCTGCTGTGTCAGGGGGGACAATGACCGTGAACGAGTCTACGGTCTGACCAGTGTATTGATATCCAATGGCCTTGGTGATATGGGGTGTGACAGTAACCATCTCGTGTGTGGATTGTTCAATGTCCTCCTTTTCGAACTCCTGAATCAGCGAGGCTTGTAGAGCGGCGCCTCGAGCCGACAGTTCTGAGGGGTTCAGCGAGGTAGGTGTCGTGGCAGGTGCCAGTACTTGTGTAGATTCAGGGAATATACCCTCGATGTTCTTGGCGATTTTGGGTGTGTGAGAAGTCCCTCCAGAGAGTATGACCTCGTCGATGTCAAGGACGTCCAGCTCGGCCTTCTTGATGACTTCCTCGACGAGGCGAGTAAATCTGCCAAAGACCTTGAGCGCTAGGATCTCGTAACGACTCCTGTTGATGGTGGATCTGAAATCGACACCATCTGCGAGACTTTCAACACTGAAGGTGGCGCTGTTGCTCTGGCTGAGGGCTTTCTTTACAGACTCAGCCTCCAGCTTCAGTTTGGCCAAACTTCTTTCATTCTTCCGAGGGTCAGACTTATGTTTCTTTTCAAACTCTTTCGCAAAATGATCAACCAAGACCTGGTCTAGTAGTGTCCCCCCCAACTCGTAGTCGTGAGCGGTAGCCAGAATACTGTACATGCCACCTCTGGATGCAATTACTGCGGCGTCAGATCGGTTTCCGCCAAAGTCAGCGACAAGGACTACCTTGTCAGCAGCAGGCTCTGTGGAGCGAGAGTCATATGCCAACAAGGCTGCAATGGGTTCTGGGATGTACTGTAATATCTCGACTTGGGTGTTTGCGGCAGCCTTTGCAATGGCTGACTTTTGTTCTTCGTTGGTGTCGGTTGGGACGGCGACCACGGCAGCAGTCACAGCCTTTCCAGAGAAGTCCGTCGCCGAGTTCTTCAGTCTGCGTAAATGACGGGTTGCGAATTCTGGCACCGTGACATTGTTGGGTGTTTCGCTTTCGGTATCCTGAACAGAGAATGCAATGACACCCTTGTCTTCGATCGGATGTGCTGATGCGTGACAAGGGGTGGGGTCTATCGACTTGTATTCTTTGCCAATGTAATCTCTGAAGTATGCAACAGTGTTTTTGCTGTTTCGAACCAACTGCGACTTGGCCTGGGTCCCGTGGAACTCTTCGCCGTCAATGTAGGAGAGGATGGAAGGAATTTGTCGGTCGCCCTCCTCATTGGCAATGACTTCGACTTTGCCTTCACGAGAAATGTGGGCTATTGAACTGTAAGAATTGCCAAAGGAGATTCCAATGGCATATTGTTCGGGGGAGCCAGGCGTTGGCGCCCCGTTGGAATCGTCACTCATGGTTTGAGAAGGAGGCGTGAGTAGAAAAATGGTTTGGTATGGTATGTCAAAGTTGCGGTTCGAGAGCGTATCTCGAGATAGGAAATCTAAGGTGAGGGGAAAATACTGCTCACAATTCCTTGGTCAGGTACCTTTTCGTGGAAAAAGATGTCTGAACTTTTTTTGAGCCTTGCGGAGCCATTCCGGAATGGGAAAGTCAAGCGAAATCAGCCTCGTCAAATCTTGGCATTGCCATGTCGATGAAGATATCGTCGTCGAAACATCGCTAGAAGTGAAGTGGCAGATACGGTTGAGGCGATAACAATAATTCTCTCAAATCACTAATAGGCCACCATGGCCGCTGTCGAGGTTTATTTACCCGGCGACACGGTTGACACCAGCCAACTACCAACTTCGCAAAAGCGCAAAATTGGAGCGGGCCTTCACCAAGAAGCCGGGACCGGAGATTTCATGTCAACAATCGGCGGGTTCGTCGATGTTGATTTCAGAAAGAAGAGTGCCCGGATATCGACTCCAGATGCTCGATATATTCCCAAAGCTGGGGACTTGGTCATAGCCCAGCTGCGGGCTTCATCCATGGACTACTTCCACCTGTACATTAATTCACATTCACAGCAGGCAGTTTTGCACCAGTTAGCCTTTGAAGGCGCAACCAAGAAGACTCGGCCGCAGCTCAAGCCAAATGATGTTGTCTACGCCAAAGTGGTAGCTGCGCCGAAGAACATGGAGATTGAATTGACGTGTGTGAATCCATCAACTGGCAAGTCCGAACCGGACGGTTTGGGAAAGTTGAATGGTGGCATGGTGTTCGACGTTAGCCCAGGTCTCGCAGAACGTCTGTTGAGAAAGAATGGTGTTATCGCCTTGGACGAATTGGGCTCAAAGCTACCAGGAGGGTTTGAAATTGCAGTCGGCAGAAATGGAAAGGTTTGGGTGGAATGTCCAGAGGCAGGCGTGAGAGGTGTCTGTGCGGTGGGAAAATGTCTACGCGAGATCGACGAGAACGAGTTGAAGGAGAAGGAACAAAAGAAATTGGTCAACAAGATCATCACCGAGCTTCAAAGAGGATGAAGCAGTGAGGTGACAGGCATGCAACCGTCAACCAAGATGCGATTCGATGAACACTGAGCTATCTGTCATGGGCATAGAAAACACACCCTACGGAAGACGGCAATGGCCCAATTCTATCAGAGACACAAGATTCGTTCCAGTTACGGCAATCGATACAGTATCGAACCTGCAGCAATCAGTCTCCCACCAGGGCTCATGAACGTGGCTATGGCTCAAATGGTGAGCGACAAGCGACTACGAGAGCAAGCTCCAGCCCAGAGGTTGGAATGGGGAAGAACAATCTAAGTGACCCTAGAGTCTCGAGGAGTGGCTACAAGGTGACGAGGTATGGCAGGATGATGGGATCAGAATGGCAGGGGGGAATTGCAGATTTGTTGCTTTTCAGAAGATTTTATTGCTTGACTTTGTACTATAAGTACATGCTCATCCACACTCAACCACGGCCTAGCCTCATGGGATAGCGAAGGCCTCCTCAACAGTGAGACTTTGCCTTCCTCACATCACAAAGTATGTTCGTGCAGAATCTCCTGCCTCTGCCGGTCGCTCCGATGCAGAAAAGACTTTTTGTTTGCGAAAGACCATTCCGTCCGTAGAGGAACTTCTTCGCTCTTAATTTGTTGTGTTGGTGAAAACCAAAAAAACAATGCCCCGCCATGCTAAAGTCTTTTTGCAAGATATCCGGAACTCCATTCATCGTGGTTGGGTTTCAGGCCAGGAATCCATCTTCTATCTAGCAAACAAATGCCATCAAGTCATGTCCAGAAATGTCAATCTACTTTCTTCGGAAAGAGCAGCCCTCTGTGAGTCTGGCTTTGCCACCGGTGGGCTGGCAGAGAACAGTCGAGCAGCCTGCGCAGATGACGACGGTCTGTGCGTGCGAGAAGACGGTGGTGATTGTGAAGCATCCAGGGCACTTGACATCCATGAAGAATGATCGAGGAGCGGGGACAAGAGTCTGAACAGACAGTTATTAGCCTTGATCCATGGCTGCGGTGTGATTTCATCCTGGCTTACCTTGAGCTTGTGCTTGCGGGCCTCAGCCTGAGGAGTAGGGTTCAAAAGATCGACTGCGAGAACCTAAGCAGAGTATTGTTAGCCTTTGTCTAGATGTAGAAAGCGATGTTGTTGCTGTTGTGACAATAGGGTGGTCGTGTGCTGGACCCGTTGGAAAGAGGGGATAATTTTGAGGTCATCGATTTGTGCATCTTTCGCTGGACATCTGCATACCATTTTGACGGATTGTTGAGATCGATATGGGAGCTTTTCTTCCTGATGATGAGAGTTCTGATGTCGTTTGAATTGAGGAAGATGCGATTATCGAATGAGGTGCTGGTCGAAGTGGCGGTAGAATTCGTCTTGAGGAGTGTGCGAACGACTTCGATTTTGGCCAAATCTTGGCGTCGACCACGCTAGTCCTTTTTGATGGTTGATTTCTTCACGTGACATAAAAGCATCGTGCCTCCGGGCCAATCACTCAGTTCTCTTGCCACCTTTATGAGTAAAGTCGTGTCATCAATGGAACAGAATTAGGTGTACGGCCAATCGTTCTATGTCTAGATCATTGCATCAAGGGTATATGAACAAAATCCTCTATCTAAGAAAACCCTCGTCGCCGCGGATGACTCAAAATGGGACATCCATGTCTTCCACTCGCTCTTCCTCCCTCCCAGTTTCTACCTTATTCGAGGTCGTGGTCTGCTTGATGAATGCTGCTATTGTGTCAAGATACTGTTTCCCGTTTGGGACGAAGTGTCCTCCGGGGTGTACCACAACTTGCGTTTTTTCTGCGCCTCCAGCGGCATCAATCAGAGCCTGTGTGCGTGACTCCTCGACCACGGTGTCCAGACTGCCAATAAAGTGACACATGGGAGTCTGGATATGGGGTCCTTCGTAAAATGCGGTATATCGCTCACCTGGCGCTCTGAAACCGCAATATGCTGCACAGAACTTCAATGGTGGGTGCTCTAAATTCGCAAAAGCGGGCGGATAATCTATAGCGAACTTTGATTTTTCCTGTGCTTTACTGAATGCTTCCTCCCTCAGACTTCCCTCGAGGAGAGAGGCAACCATTGCTGCTAATGCTGCTCCTTGTGAAAACCCTATTATACCATCAAAAGGACCTTCTGACTCAAGAATCTTAGCCACTGATGCTAGACCTTGATCAAGACCATAATAGTCGGGTGGATCGGAGGTATCTGAACGACGCCACCAACCGTAAGCTTCGAGGCTATCCGGGTCTCCGTCAGTGCTAGGTTGGTATCCCGGTACATCTCTAGGCTTCAGTTGTAACGGTGCGGTCGGATAATTCAATGATATCCCTGGAAAGATTTTGTTGAGGTTCTTCTCCATTGCACGAGTCTTTGCATGAAAAAGGGGCCCATTTTGAGTATATCCGTGTAACATCAATATCTTGAGAGAAGAGGAGGATTCTCTTGCAGCAGGCATGATATTGAGATTTCTTTGCTTGCTTTGGCCAGTGGTTCGGATGTGGCCTGCGACCTTAATCGAGAATCTCGGAACTTGTAGAACGCTAGAAGAAAAAAGTCGAGTCATAAGAGAAGGACCAAAAGAACGTCGATTGAGTGGGAGCGAGAATACCCTCTAACGCTGAACCAAAAGCCGAGTAGATTCATGGATAGAAGTTTGTAGTTGATAATAAGGTCACTCATATCGCGCGTCCTCTGCCAAGAAATTCTAGTTGAATCTGCTCGCGGCTCACTCCGTGTCTGTCTCACCAACTTGAACCTTTGGAACAACATCTTCAAGTTCCTGACTTGCATGGACTTAACCAAACAATCCGCTTTGCGCGCTCCGCGAGCCGATAATGGGTATCATAAGTACTATTTTGCCATTAAGACCTTGAATAGTCTCATTTCTACAGCACAACACACACTGCTGAAATTGCATGACCAGCAACCCGAAGCGCGCCGTGTACAAGGCTCTCGGCCATCGACACCTTCATCGTATGTTTGAACACACTCTCCTTCACCGTCTGTGTCCGTTGGTGTTGGATGCGCTGCTCCTCTCGTGTCCGCTCTGCAATCGCATTGTCTATGGCCGCTATGGCCGCCCGGTCTCGCTGTATCATGAGTTCTAGTGTTGCGTTTTCGAGCTCTGTACGCTTTACGGCCGCTTCCTGTGCGTGCTTGGTCGCCTGGTCGCGCTGTGTCTGGAGCTCGCGCAGCTGGCGGTTGAGCTCCTGCATCTGCGCGTCTTGCGCCTCTTTCTCCTTCGCAAAATCCCCTTCCCGCTTCTTTCGCCCTGTGCCTTTGTAACGCGCAAGTTCTCCATGTCCAGCTGCATCGCGGGCAGACTTTTGTCTCTCTCCGCCAGCTTCCATTGATATTCTCGCTGGCGCTGCAGGACCTCCTGCACGTCGGCCGCTTGCTCCATTTCGACTGGTAGGCAGTAACAACTTTCAGAATGTCTTCATTGGCATGCCTTTCTGCGACGTTGAACATAGCGAGATCGTAGCTTCGAGGGAGCGGATCTCGAGAAGAGGCTCTTTGAGGAACAGCAAGCCAGGTATTCAGTTGAAGAGGAACTCCTGGCCTGTGAGAAAATCTGCCCGCAGTTCAAGAGGATAACGAGATGATGAAGTTGCAATGCGAAGCAGAGGAAGCAGCGAGACAACGAAAGGCTGAGATAGACAAGAAACTTGGAGAGGCCAAGGCATTGAAGTCGAAAATGGAGGAAGCTGAGAGGCGACGCCAGGAGAGGGAGAGGCGAGATTCAGCATTCGAAAAATGGTTGGCTACAAGCAGGTAATGCTAAAATGGATGTTTCATGGTTTTGAGACCAAGGACAACTTACCTACCTACTGAGGTAGGGAGTAGGAAAACCTAAGGAGTGGGACGCGGTTATCCAAATGCATCGAATGCTCATCCAAGTGTATTGGCTCTTCGAAAATCCCAAATGACTTATGCCCAAGCAAGTTTTCCCCACGAATACACAATCACTATTGCTGAGATCGCAGAGAAGATCCCGTAGAAACCTCCTGGCCATTTCCCGTCAAGCTCAGCGCGGCGCCCTGCTTGTGCCGAAGCGTAGACTGACATGAGTCTGCCCGCGGACATCATAAAAAAGCACGTACTGAAACCCAAGCCAATTCCGCCACACATTACTTTGTAGGCTAGCTTATTTGTTGCCTGTACAAGACCCGTTGCAATGCTGCTGATTTGATAAAAGAAGTAAAGTTGTAATGTCTGGATGACGATACCTCCGATCAGCACTGGTGGATATTTGGTCGTCTGTTTCGCGGCTTCGTTTCTGTGGCCGACATCGCGAGTAGGTGCATCCTGCTTCACAACTCCATCCTCCTTCTTGGCCTGAGTTGGCTCTTGAGAAGGAATTTTCTCGTGGCTGTCTAGCACAGTAACGAGTACAGGCTCGTTGTCTGGTTGAGTTTCGGACTCGAGCTTGCTGGCATCCTTTGTGCCCGTTTCTCCTGAGGTGGGATTTTCATCCTTTGGCAGATTGTCTAAATACTGGTCGCTAATCGCCATATGGAAAACGGCAAGCACCAGTATCACGAAAGGATAGATTAGAGTTCCCAGGAAAGCCTGGTTCTCGAGATGCTGCGCATAAGACATGGACTTTGCGGATGACTTGTAGGTCGTTATATACTAGCTTTGTGCAAGGGCGGTTGTTCAGCTTGCAAATTTTAGCTCAGCTCTTTCGGTTGGGGACAAAGAACGCTTTATAAGACTTAGCATCAATCGAAAAGGCACACTCGTGGTGGACGCCTAACCTTGGGAAATAGTGAAACTGCCTCGCCCCCACGATGCACAGCCTGCCCCTGATGCCCCTCTGACGATCACCAGACCGCAGAATGGTAGGGTGTATATCTTGTAGAGTAATAGTATCAAGTCGACATCTGTGTTGTAAACGATGGGTCTAATGGGGTCCCAAAGGGCGCCATGAAATGCTTGAGTCCACAACAAGCCAAACAAGCTGTATGTTGCGGTGTATTGGGCACGGATAGCAAGGGGCCACAGGTTCTTGGATCTTGGATCTTGGAGTAGTGCTGTGGCATGATCAATTCGTTTAATCTCATCCCTTCAACATGCCCACTGCACTTGTCTGTAACCTCTCCTGTGAACCAGCTTTCGATTCGTGGAAGACGGTATATGGAGCGCAGCCTTGTGAGTTAGTCAACGAGTAGGTACAGCTTACTACTCCTGATGTACCAAGATAAATGATAGCCACATATAGACAGGCCAAGTGCTTGGAAGAATGCCCGCACATGAGTCAGCCAGACGAGTACCTACACGTACGTAGGTAGTCATGGTTGACAGTGGCACTAAGGTAAGTCTCTCATCGATCTACCTTGGCAAGAGGAATTGGCACTCGTCAACGAGTGCTTGTCGTGTTTAGGTGGTCCCTACTACGACGTACGAGTACCTACTCGCAGGTAGCTAGGGGGTAACCCGGATGCAGTGGTGCGGGTGGCGGCTTCCCCCTCCTACGTCATACCTCAACGACTTCAATTGACGTTGGAGTTGTGCCTCAGCTTTTAGCACTCCACCCCTTGACTGTCCGTGGGAAGAACAAGAATGAGGCCTATTTGCCGTCCTTCCCATCGGGTTCTTTGTCCAGCTGACAAGCTTCGAGCAGCTTAGCTTAGCTTATCAGATAGGCATAAAGTGTTGCTCGTCGTGGGTTAGCCTTGTACGAGCCTTCTCTGCTTTCATCCCCGAGCGAATGGACCGCACTGCGTCGGATGCCCCGGAATGCCAGCAGCCCTGTCCAGAAAACCATTTGGGTATTCGACCATCAGTCATGGCCACCCATTCAGGGCCCAGAATCACGTTAAGCCAGTGGATGAGCAATAAAATTCAACCGTAAAGATTTCTCAGCGACACTCAATTCGCACGCCCGAAGTGTCGTTGGTTCTCTGGCCTTCTTCCGATCCGCTTAATCCCTTATGACATATGCTGATGGACGAGGCGTCACATGGGGGTCGAATGCAGTAATCTGCTGGTGCTCTTAATCCTCGCCTCGCCTGATGCTCTTTCTCATGTTTCTTCACTCATAGATCTTTTGTGATCATTGGACTCTTCGCTAACGCTTTCTGATCCGTTCCCGAGCTCGCCATATTGAACTCCACTCAATTGGAGCGGCTCAAGAAATTGTTACATATCTCAACTTCGACTTGGGACTTTCACCTGCAGCATGGCGGTAATATGGGGTTTAGACTTGAGGGATATGAAATGGGGCAAATTCAAGAGCTCATATATGTTCGGAAACAAAGACTATCACCTACGGAGAACAAAATTTGTCGTCTATCAAATTGCCATGCTATGCTGTGTCGTTTCCGAGTCGATCGGGACGGCAGCGCTTTCAGGTCGGTCCTTCTACAAACCGTGAACACCCGCCAGATCGAAAAAGCTCACATATAGCAGACTACGTCCAACAGCAGGATGAAATCGAGCGTCTACACTCGTCAGCCGCGGTCCACAATGATGACTTTGTCGGTATGGCATCATACAATATCTTTGTCGGAGTTTCGGTGGCCACCATATTCGGTGCCGCCTTCTTCTTCGATCTCTTCTTTCCTGAGAGGTTTGAGCCACGCAACATTCGATGGTCGTGGAGGATATCCGCTCTCGTCGTCACGCTCATGACGTTTGCCGACGCCATCGGCTTTACAGTCATCGTGGCTACCGGCAATGCTTGGATCTCCGCCGATAGTCAGGACGCCGCAGATATTGCTCGCGAGCATCTGAGTCCTCCCCTACGGTACCGTGACAATGGCCGAGCGATTGCAAGCGTGGTCTTCCTGTGGATTGGGCTGGTAGGGACGATTGCTAGGTAAGCTGACTCTATTCGTGTTCGGGGATGATGACTAAACTCGTCCAGTTGCATCATCTTATGGCTTTACTATAATCATCTCGACACATACGGACCGAAGTCTCACACCGCACGAATGCGGGATGAGGTGGACAAGACGATCCTTACCACTGAAAGGGCAACCACCAACCAAACTCACCGCCAACAAGCGGCTTTGAACATGAGGAATCCAGTGGTCTGATTGGATGGATTCTATCAGGGAATCTTTCATTCAGGACAAAGATCGATAGAAAAGATCAAGGTAGAAGGAGTTACTATGTTTCTTCGGAAACCCACCACTCAGCCCGCCAATCATTTGGCAAGCGTGGGGCGGCTGAGCCTCGAGCCTTTAGCCTTGCCATATGGGACACATTGGAAAACTTGAGCGTTAGGGCGTTTTGGACAGGCAGAGCGAGTACAGCTCTCAGAGCAAGCGTTATGATCATCCCGGCCATATGTTATCAGGCCATCCAAGCAGAGACTATATTGTAATCAATACTAGAACTTCACGAGCTAGGTCCGCATTCCCTAGACTATCGTGTACTCGGCGTACGACAGGCCTATACTAAAGGAATAATAGTTCGGAGGTAGGCTAACAGGGCGACTACGGATAAATAATACTAGATTTAAAACGAAAGGCCGCTCACATCCACACGCGCGACATATATACCCTTTACACCACATCTACCCGTGATCGCGAGCATCAAGGATTGGCGAGGAACACAGAGACAGGCGAGCATCTTACTGCACTACATAGATCAACGAGAAAATCACTTTCGCACCATTACCAAGGAAAAGCACATATTCTCGTGCATTGGGGGTAATATTGGTCTTTTATTGAGAATTCTCTGCGCTCTCTGGGTTATAGCTCTTGCTATACTGGAATGGCTGGTCCATTCTCTCTCTCGCTCTGCGATTTTGTCTTGCCTCTCTCTATCTCTCTCTCCGGTGCTTTTTTGCACATTCATCTGTCCTTTGGGCTTTCCACCCTCTCTCTAACGACGACCTCCGCGACCACCACGAACAGCAGCACGACGGGCAGCACGACGAAGACGAGCGAAACGACGGAGGTTTTCTTGACATGGATCGACCGTCGCATATGGTGGTCTGTAGAGGGCGATCCACCCAGCGTACTCTCGCCCGTTGTCGTCGCGTCCGTACCAGAATCCCGAACTGTGCCAGGGAGCTGCCGCCACGAGCCGAAATCCTGGTCTTGCGCCGCCGGACCCATCTCTGATGTGTCGGTTGAACTCTCCTGGTTGTCGCCGCACATACCCGCACATGTCGCACCTGAAGCCCCATTCATCATCTGCCGTGATGATGACCTCCTCCTCCAGGTCGAGCGGGATGATTGAATTGGCGCGGACGGAGTTGGCATTGAAGGTTGGCGCGTTGGTCGTGGCCCGCGCAGTGGTTGGCGTCATTGTGGTGTAGGGGGTGGGGTTGTTGCCGGGATTGGTGGCAGGATTGTTGGTGGTGGTGGTGGTGGTTGCAGGGGCAGCAGCGACAGTGGTGATAATGGCCATCGAATTGACAGCAGGAGTGGTGAGTGCAGGGTCAATGGCAGGAGGGACCGTTGGAGGATTGGCGGAGGAAGAGGAAGAGGCACCTGTCGAGCGAGGGGTGTAAGGAGCCCATCGTAAAGCCATCTTTCTAGGATAGTTGCTAGATATTGGTCGAAGAGAGGAAGATGGACGAACAGGCCGACTTATGGCCGAAGATGCGAGATGATTGAGTCTGAGTTTGAAGAATGGGTTAGTATGGTGCTCAAAGAAATGTAATGGTGATAGTCAAATCAAGAAGTTTTTTGGATGTCGAGAAAAGAAAGTACATGGATAGTGTAACCGAGATATGGCCCAGAAATACAGATAGTGGAGGATGGTTTCGGGGAAGATATGATGGAGAAGGATGTCTCGATCAATAAGGTTGTGTGTATCTTTGAGAAGAGAAAGAAGCTCGATGTTTGAGAAAGTATATAGATGCAAGAGTCCACTGTATGGTGGAGGATATTTAGGAACGATGGAGAGGAGGGGGAATGGAGAAGTATGTCTCCGTCAATTCGGTCGTGGTGATGTTTCAGAAGGGAAAGGGGTTTGATGTTTGGGACAAGTACATAGATGGAAGAGTCCACTGTGTGGTGGAAGGGGTTTGAGGATGATAGAGTTGGGAATGCAAGAGAAATGGGTTGGTCTTGAGGATGTGTGGATGGCTGAATGACAAGGATCATTCGGTGGGTAGGGTGAAGAGCTGGATGGCTGGATTTACCAACTTGTGCTTGAGGGAACTTGAGGAGTGTGGTGATGTTCCGGGGATGGAGGAGGAAGGGGTTGATGTTGGGAGTGTGTTGAAGCCTCAATGACAAGGATGACTTGGTGGGCAGGATAGAAAGGAAGGTGGATGGCTGGAATGACCAAACTGCGCTCGTGGAGTCTCGAGGAGTATGATGATGTTCAGGGGGTTGGGAAGGCTCGTGGAGTCTCGAAGAATGTGATGATGTCCAAGGGATTGGGAAAGAAATAGTTCAATCTTGTGGTTGTGTGGATCTCTGAGTCGTAAAATCACTCGGTGGGAGAAGAGGAGAGCAGAGATTGTGCTTGTGTTGATGACCAAATGACGAAAACAATGGACAGGAAGGGCAGAGGAGTGAACAGCTTGACTTTACCGGATTGTGTTCGAGGATCTTTGAGGGCTGTGATGAGGAGGATACGAGGGTAGAGTAGAAAAGGTCTGATCCTGGTGTTTTGCTCGCGTCTGAAAAAAGGGAAAGATCGAGAGAAGCAGATGGAGAGATTTGACAAAAGAAGATGGAGGTTTGTGATGCAAATGGGCAGAAGCTGACCGGTAGATCAGTGAAGAAACGTACCTTGGTTGTTGTGGTTGTCCCAATCGCTCCGGATCTGGGTACATCGAACGGCCTTCAGGAGGGCTCCGTTGCATATCTCTCACTTCACCACCAGCGGGATCCACGGGCATGTTTCGACGTACCAAGTAGTCTTGCTCAGGGAGGTACTGAAACATGGTCCATGCCAGTAACCCATTGAAGAGAAGATCTAAGCCACCTCGGAAATCGATCCTGTTGTGTAGATCCAATCGTTGTATGAGAGTGTTGAGCCATGCTGTTGGCCTCTGGCCTTGACTACCACGCTCGAAGTACCGCTGCACCGCAGCAAGCACCGCACGCCGGAATTCCGGTTGGTAAACGGCTGCTGCAGTGTTGTGGTCCGCTAGCTGTTGGACGAGAGAGCTCAGTATTCGTCGTCCTCGTTCATCTGCATGGTTGAGAAGTTGTCCAAGTTGAAATCCGAGTTGGGGCGCGACATAATGGAGGATTATGACTGAGGAAGCCGACTGAAGAGTTGATGAGTTAGCATTTCGAAGGGCAAAGCAGCTGTGCTAGCAAGAAGCAAAAACGAATAGAAGATACATACCTGATATCTGAAAATGATTGACTGATCACTGGGAGAGACTGAGAAAATCTGAGCAGGGCGGGGCGGAGAGGGACAACACAACGAGTTGACAGGCAGCTGGTGTCTGATATATAGCTGTTCAGGGGAAGACTGACAGTTGACGAGGCTGTGCAAGTGGTGTTCAATGAAGAAATCTGGTGGACTGGAAGAAAAAGAAGCAGAAGAGGAAGAGAAATCAGATCCACAGGAATCTTTATTGTCGTTGATACCAAGTCGTCACCCAGACTAGCTCCGTTACCATGAACGTGGGTGCATTGCTCGGCGAGATCGAGCTGCCTCATTCGCCGATAGAATGATGTCGTCGACCTGTGACTGTGTACTCAAGCAAAGCCGAGACGACCCCTCTGGGACGCGGCCACGGCCACTCCAGCTCAGGCCGCTTCTATAAGAACCAGGAGATTGTTGTCATTGCGGACTAGAGCGGTACTGCTCCAGGACCGGAGATGGTTGTCCAACTTAAGGCATGTCAGTCATGTATTGTGGGCAACAAGAGTAAACAAAGAAGCCAGGAGTTAGCGGAGGACAAAGCAAAGCATATTGAAAGAAGGGAGATATGCAGAATGCTGGATGGGATAAACAAAAGGTGTTCAGCTATAGAGATAGCAGACAGCTACTGTATAAAACGGTAGCTTATTTCGATGCAAAACATGGATTGACACGTAGAGCAGTGTGGCAAGAAAGAGAAAGAGAGGGCAAAAGAAGAGAAAGGGGCACAAGGAGAAGCATAGGAGGAGAAATGCAGCATGTTGGTACCAGGATATATCAACATCTTGGGAAGACAGCATGGTAAGACAAAAGTGTAGCCAATGTTGTGGGAAAGAGAACACAGACTGACACATACCAAAGCGGCAGGATATCTAAGAAATGAGACGAGGTTACGGAAAACCCGGACATTCTCCATTGTTGGAGAGGATAAAGAGCTTGTATGAATATTGATCATGATTGCAGTGTGCCTGAAATACTGCGTCACTGGTATGGAAGTAGGATTTCCGACGAGCTTCTGAACATTGAGAAGACGGAGAGATGGCAAGGCGTTGACGGAATAGGGGGCGGCCGAGAGAACAAGCCCTCAGGGTGGCCTATTCTTGAGTAAGCACCTCTGAAAGCCAGAACCTAAAGGATATGGGGCAGCGAACAGAACGAAGGAGATGAAGAATGAAATAGTCAAGAAATGTGCATGGTGTGGAAGGTGTATTGTAAATCTATCAATCAGACTTTCCACCTACCAAGCAAGCACTCCCTGTGCTGCAAATTTGACAGGGCGATGAGGCTGCTGAAGGTATTCAATGGAGTAGAAGCAGGAAAGCCTCTGCTGGTCATTTCTGGTGCGCCGTGCTCGCTGCTTCAGAATTGATGACATCCTCCATCTCAACAAGCTGGGGTCTGGCTATCAGAAATTTGTGATTTAAGAAATCTGAAATTTCTGCTCGTGCGAACATATGGAGATAGCAGAGCTGAAGCCATTTTCGAGCTTGATCAAGACGCATCGCAACAGCGAGTTCGTCCCTGGAAGCTTCTACCGAGGGCAAGTATTAATAATTGTCTTGCCAGCCGTTTGTCCATTGTGCTCTGTTGGTCGCATTTCTCCAAGTCAATCTGCTATGAGTGATCGATCATGTGCCAAAGTGGCACCCGGAAAAAAAGCCCGAAAGTGGCGGCAACCGGTCTATCTCGCTGTGTCTGAGGTATCTGACGCTCAAACCAGGGCTATTGCTTCGGTTCTCCATCATTAAACCTGTTCATTGGCTGGTGTCCATTGCGTCGCCAGATTGTTCGACACTAGTGGTCGCATCCTCAGTTTTGACCGTCTCCACGAAATCTTTACGCCGATTCCCGACCTTTTCTTCCTTGAACTTGATTATTCTTTCCTTTAGCTCCGTCGCTAGAAAAAGACTGGTCAGCATCGACTTATGAATACGGCATGCAAACAGGACTTACCAGGAATAACATCCTCAATCTTGAGTGGCACACGGTTAAAAGGATCATGAGGATCGCTGAGAAGATGACTTCGAATAGTACTCCGATCAATAATCGTTTTACTAACGGGCAAGATGACAGGATCGTCCATGAGTGTAAACATGAGCGGATCAAGGAAGTCATCGGGGAGATCACCCAAGTCAGCATCTGCTGCTTCATCCTCTTCCTTATTTTTGGCGAATTTCTCGATCAACAGACTCCACCGCACAAGTTCCTCAGGGGTCTTGAGCACAAACTTGCGTAGGATGCTCCCAGCAGCGGTGAAGTTGTCTGGCTTATATGATCGCCCATCTCGCGCAACGGCAAGTATGAAATTTTCTCTCTCACTCAGATTGAGATACACATCGACGATCTCGCTAAGAAGGACTTTGGGCTGGAAGTTGTACTCCTGGAGATTGTCAACCTTGAGAGACGTGCTTTTTGGCCCGACCATTGCATCGAGGTTGTAGTCCAGCATATCAGCCAGTCGCTGCACAATTTCTGGCATGGTGAATGCATCTCCGAGGGCCTCTGTGAACAGCTTCAGCATTCCAACAGTTTCATTGGTCAATTGCATGTACGATTTGGCTTTGCTTTTGGCCGATTCTAGAGCCTCTTCCTTCTCCTGGCGCTGTTGTTGATCCAGGGTTGTGCCCGCGAGGGCCAATTCTTTCGTGAGGTCATAGATCTGATGGAACGATGTAAACGACTCGTCAAGAACAAACGTGACGTCGTTGAGAAGTAGGTTGACAAAACGGACAAAGAAGTCTATGTTGACCTTTGCTTCCTTGAGAAGGCGTTCCCGGTATACGGTATTCGACCAAATGCACTTAATAATTTGGAAGATCTCAAAACGGACATTGAACTTGTCGAAAAATTGACCATGGCCACCCATGAACTCGGCTTCAATGAAAAATTTCATCAAGGAGTGCAGCAGATGCTCTGTCGCGAATGGCATACTGTTATACTGATCTGCCAGGATACCTCTTCCACCCTGACGCCAGGTCCAGGTCCCTCGAAACAAGATGGTGACCAGAGAGGCTTTCAAATAGGGATTTTTGATATATTCAGAATTGCGCAAGAAAGTGATGCAGAGCATGATGAGCTCATCCGACTGCGTGGGAGAGATCACTTGTGGCATGTTGTACATGATAAATCCAAAGTTTCCACTAATGATGTCCAAAAAGTATTCCGGAAGGTTCATGAAGGCCTCAGGTTGTTCTGTGGGAAGGGGTAGGGCCAAGGACTGTTTTGGGAACTGCTTGTGAGTGGAGACTTGTCGAAGTAGCCAGATAGTCACAAAACGCATGAACTGCATTGATCGTGTTTGCGAGATTTCATCCAGAAGGACTCCTTGGACGGCGTACTTGTATGCTAGTCCTTTATCATGTTGATCCTTGTACTTCTTAAGTGCGTTCTCGAACATCTGGAGCTGGACCGGGTTGTTGATGTATTTGTGTCTCTCGGTCTCGAATTGCTCAATCTGCTTGGCCATGTACTTCAATTCTCGATCCATGTCCTTCAACATGTTCCGGGCAGCCTCACTACCGTAGTGATGAGAAGCGACGGTCAAAAAGAACAGCTCGGAAATGAAATTGTTTGTACCTGTCGCTTTGTGTTCGTAAAATTCATCCGATTTGTCTTGATCGGAATTGATCTTGGTCTCATCCTTGATGTCGATTCTGGGATCTCTCCGCAGATAGTCAATATCGACACGATCCATCTTCGAAAATTGTGCATCCATGAAGGGTTCACACAGCTTATCTAGGACGGCATTGACGTTGACCATGAACCCATCACTCGAAACAGTCGTCTTGTCGACCCTCATGGCTCTGCGCTTGTGATTCGCATTGACGGTAAGGGCAAACCAATCAAGCACCCGTTCCCGCGCGTCGGGAGAGGATCGAACGAGTGTGTTGACTATGTCGAACAGTTCATCCTGATGTGTTCTTAAAGCCAATTGTAAGGAGTTTTGAGAATTTCTAATCTTGCCTGGATCCATGGTCTTAGGCTCGAAGAAGTAGGATTTGGTAACGTCAGCTTGCAATGGCGAAATTTGAAAGTATGGACCGAGTAAGGTGGCAACTTCTAGCTGCGCAGCTGGTGTGGACTTGTCAACAAACATCGAAGACTCTGAAATTGCTATCGCAATTGGCTTGTATCTAATTAGATGCCGCAACATGCCGGTGTAGCGTCGATAGTCGGAAATCATGGTCTCCTTAGCTAAACGTCGACTCAGTGTTTCGATCGCCTTGATGAAAGCATCCTTAATGGAGTCATCCTCCTCAAACCTGGTGATGGCTTCATTAATGAAATCTTGGCACACGCCACCATCATCGTCAGGATCATTCAGCAAATGATCGGCCAGTGCTTCGATGCCGTCGTAAGCAACTCCAAATATGTCCGGGGTTGTGATAGACAGGATACACCAGTTCATACATAATCTCCTTGCCTCTGAGAGTATCGACCATTTCTTGTTTTCGGGTGAACGATCCTTTACCGCTTTGGTCATTCGTGTGATCCTCTTCCAACATCCGAACAGCCATTCGTGTGGGGTGACTCTATGGAGCGCAGATCCAGCCTCCATGATCGCTTGCTCGAGTAAATCGGTGGTCAAGGAGGTAGATCTGTTCTCAGATTCCAGTTCTTCTTTAAGTTGCGCGGCTGGATGAAGTACTTGTCCATTCTGGTCCTTCTTCTGAGTGGGATCCAAAGTGATTCGAAATATGTTTCGTAGAGTTCGGTCTTCCCACTGTTCAATGGTTTCAGCCTGTCTCGAACCCGGCCTTTCTAAACCATTCATCTCTCGTTTCTGAGGGGTGACCGTGGCCGAGGTAATGTGTATTCGAGATGATGGAGGAGGGGTTGCTGACTTGACCATGCTGATGGCTGGTTTAGGTGACTCGGTAGGCGTGACTGACTGAGGAGTGCTGGGTTGCGGAACGGCATCGTGAGAAGTAGTTGATGCGACTGGTTTATCTTGACTCGAATCTATACTCTCTTGTGAGGCTGACTGGGCTGGTGGTTGAGACTGTTGTAGTTTGGCCAGTCTCTTGTTTCGAATCTGAGGACTGTTAGCAGATTCTGATGTATCCATGACTTGCGCACCTTGTCCGAGTCTGCAGAAGGATCCGACATGATTGTTGAAATGAGTATCCCCAATATGACAAATGTGGCGGGATATTGAGGTCGAGATGGAAGAGTACAGACGGGTTTGGAGAAGTTGATGGAGACGCAGCCTAATCAATGAGTACTAAGATATAGGCAGGGCACCTATCACGTCATGGCTTGTCGTTTTATTACGGCTAGCTTCCCGCTAGTGTGGTTAGTAGGAAACGGACTCGGATTCTCGGACTTGGGGTGCAAGTGGTTTAATAACCATGATGAAGCAATCAGGATCGCGGGTGGAAAGAATGGACGCGCGAATCACTGTCAATCATTGTACACAGACCAGCGACTTTTCTGATCAAATGTCTCGCTGCCTGAATGAGCCGATTCATTGTCCAGCTAGACTCAACGCTCCACCAACGCCAAACGCAAATGCCATATTCAAAATTGACATCAGATGAATCTGAGTCTAAGACACCACAGCACTTGATCAATACTGCTGGCTAACTTTCAACTCATCCAGCCGTCGACATCCCGGCATAACCATATTCCTGGCCCGCCGCACTCGATCTTCGTCGGTGTAGAAAAACCCCGTGGCATCATTAATCTCCTGTCGCTTTCGATGAACCTCATTTTCACATTGGTACTTCAGTGTCGTGATGTAGTCAACTTCTGCCTGTTTGTCCAGGGAGTTGAACTGCCTCGCTTTCCAGCCATCCACCTCTGCCGGGTTGATAAAGTAATCGATCTTGTACCTCGGTGTGACCCGGTGCATTGTGTGAGGAGGAGCGGGTGTATCAAACCGAACCTGGGGTCCTGATGGTGTCGATCCGGAAAATAATGATGAGAGCAATGGGAGGATGAAAAGCAAAAGTAGTGGCAAGAGTTGAGTCAGTGCAGACAGTCCGGTCGGAGCAGGCTCGGCGTTGGCATCTCGAGGCCGTCGTCGAGGTCCTCCCCCTCCCATCCGATGAACCGTGAATCCAGGGCCACCACCCATGTTGAAAACAAATTGAGGCCCGCCAAAGCCCCCACCTGTTCTAGTTAGCGGTTGTTCAAGAGGACGCAAGAGGCCAAATCTAACCAAAAACACCTGGGCCCATCCCCCCTCCTCCGAAAAAGCGATTGAACAATTCCTCAGGTGATATCTCGTCCTCATACATTGGGCCTCGTCCGGCGGATCTTGCGAAACCACTGAAGGGACTGGCTCCAGCAGCAGCAGCGCCAGAACTGGAGAATCGATTGTCTGGATCACCACCAAACTGGTCGTATCTTGACTTTTTATCGGGATCCGAGAGAATCTGGAAGGCGCGGGAAACCACTGTGCATGTCAGTTGGAGAACAAGTAGATCGCATAATTGACCAGCGCTCACTCTTAAAGGCCTCATCGGCACCATCATAGCCATTTTTATCGGGATGGGTCAACAGACTGATCTTGCGATACGCCTTCTTGATTTCGCCATCGCTAGCCGTTTTCTCAACCGAAAGGATTTCGTAGAATGAAGTCGCGGTACATCTCCGTATTCGAATGACTTCTGCCTTCTGTTGAGGGGTATATTTTCTATCTTGGTTGCCCTGGTTGTGCTCTCTGGAAGTGGCCGAGCCATTTGCCCTGGCGTTGGAGCCGGAGGCGGTTGCGGACATGCCGCGACAGAAAAGTGTGACACGAGGTGATCTGATTTTGTGGTACTCAAGGAAAGCCGAAAGGGAAGAGGTTGGTCTGGGAGGAATCGAATGCAGTCTATCTGGGGCGTGGGTGAAAAAAGTGGCGCTGCGATCATGCAGCAAAGGTGTTCATACCGATTATTACCAACGTTTGAGACGGAAGATGCATGCAGGCGCCATTTTGACACTAATCAGCAGCTGCACTTTGGGAGGGTGAAGGGTGGTGGGCAAGCGGGGTGATGTGAGGGTCTTAGGCTCTACCTCCCGCACTCAGAGACAGCCTAAGAACCTTTCGCGACGTCCCTGGATTTAGGTGGTTGTCCACCTATTCAAGCCCGAGGGCCCATTGTCCAGGCACTAGTCACCGAGTCTTATAGGTGGCATAATGCGCCACACCTCTTGCACGATGCCAGATTGAATGCACGTGCAGCTGCAGCGATGACGCAGTTGTAAATTGATGAGGTCAAAGCACCCCAAGCACTCGGTACTCATGCGACATCAAAGGCAGCTTCAGCAACACCCTATTCCTCGTCATACAATTGCCTTCAAGGTGTTTCAACAGTGCCTCGGTCTGCGTCTCTATCCACAATGGCTGACCCTGAGAAGCAAGAACAGGCCAAAGAGTCCTTAATTGTCACTGCCAAAAAATGGGGAGGTTCGTTGATCTTTGACTGTGCTTTGGCATCTACATCCATTGACTGCTACCAGTCTTTTTACTTACGCTCTTGACAGAAAATCCCGTACCACCTGCTCTTCTCGCAACACTAGTCTTTGCCCAGCATGCACGCCCATTTCAGCCCGTTCCAATGATCTTTCCACCTTTACTGCTGTTCTCAACCTATCTCAATCTACAAGGCTACAAGATTGATAGTGCGGGCACAACAGCCGCACTGAGCGGCACATATTTAGTGTTGGCTGGTAGACGACGACTCGGACTGATGAACAAGTTTGGTGCCAGAGGCATGATCAGAGGGGTCACTGTTGGTCTCTGCTTGGTCAACCTCGTGGGTGGAGGACTTGCATATGGCTTCGGAAGCCGTTCCAAGGAGGACTCGGAGAACAAGAAGAGCTTATGATCGGGCTGATAACGAACAACAGCATCTATGCAGTCTCCGTCTTTTGGGGTTTCTGTCTGATCTACCAGGAGAGAAAGCACGATTTTCTTCGAGAAACACACACTCAAGTGAGACTAACTATTCAGCAAGTCCGGTTGTTTGAGATTCATTGGTGATATACCTCGCTCCGGTGCCGAGGCCAGATCAAAGACGCGTTCATAGCATGGCTTGATACAGGAAATTGATGTGAAATGCGTGGGAACGATGGATATGTACATTACTGTATACCAAAATGGTCGGCCTTCTTCTACAACGTATTTCTAATTATCAGATGATAGTAGAGCCATAGCGCAAATGCGTGTCTCAATCAGTGCGCCTCTCAATAATACGGCCGCCTCCCAGGACGATGATAATGATGGACTAGTAGTCATCTTTAAAGCTTCGCATCAAGCAGCATATGTATCTGGAATCCCCAAAAGCCGTCCAAGGCTGAGATGACTAAGCCTCAAAGCGATGCAAACATGCCAAGCACAAACATTTTGTATCCCGGAGGTCCCTTCGACTTTCACCTCAATCCAACCTTTAGAAAGAAGCGTACCGAGCTCCCTTTGCTACAACCACGCATCACCTACCAAGCCAGGACCTCAGAGGTCCCCCCAATCGCCATTATGGCACGCCCCGTGGCCATGTCTACCATGTGTAGATCATGCCGAAGATCGTACCTGACACAAGCCGGACGCGCGAATACCCAAACTCCCCGAAGTCCCCGAACGCAAACCGCCGCGGAACGATGGGGCGTCGATTGGACCGGCAATAATAATAGCAACAGCGACGGCTCCAAGCCAGGAGGCACAAATAGCGTAGAAGCGCAAGACCAAATGATGGAGGCCCTACGAACACCACAGAGAGCACGAGCGGGCAACCTCAGCGGGTTCGGCAAGAATCTGAGTCAGGAGCTCACATCCCAAGCACAGCAGAACGCCATAGACGCACAGCATTCCAAAGTCAGCAGTTCGGAGCCCTACCATCTCAACGTCTATGCCCACAGACACAACATGCACATAACCTTCACGGAGCCCAGCCGCGACCCCATCCTCTCCATGTCGGCTGGCGACATCGGTCTGCGGAAAGCCCAGCGCAGCACCTACGATGCAGCTTACCAGTTGGCTGCATATTTCTTCCGCAAGATGGCTGAGAAGCAGTGGCGTACAGGTGGCAAGAAGATGACCACGAATCCGACAAAGACCATTTCACACATTCAGCGACCTGGGGCCATGACAGGTGGTGTGGGTATTGAGGTCATTTTGAGAGGTTACGGGCCGGGGAGAGAGGCTTTTCAGAAAGCCTTGCTGGGAACTGAGGGACGACAGATCAAGCCTTTGATTTCGAGAGTGACGGATGCGACCAGGTTAAAATTCGGTGGCACCAGGAGTCATAAGGTCAGGAGATTGGGTTGATCTCAATTTTGTATGGAGGGAGATAGCGAAGCTGGGAAGAGGAGAGGAAGAGATACTTTGTACAAATAAAGGTTGAAGTTTCATTCGGCCACGACTGCTGTACACTATCAACTTGACACGGACCTACACCTGCTATGCACTGCAGACCTAAATTCAGACCCATGACAATTAGCAGAGAAGGCAGCTGGCTTGATGTGCCTCTCGTTGTCTTGCGCACAGCTGGAGGTGTAGGAATTCGGAATCTCCATTGCATCGTCCAAGATCATACCAACAGGCGAGCAAAGTGGTTGACGTCGAAGTCAGTCCAGTACGACTGAAGGATCTTAGACATCCACTGAAGAACAATAGAAATGTTCCAAGAAATATATATTATGTTTTGCTTTCTCTATCTATCAACACGCGTGCATCTCTGCTCCTGTACCATCCAATTCTTCTTTAATCTGACCAAATCCACAATCTCACCAGTTCCATCAAGCCCCCCTCCCGGTTAATATCCTCCAGGCGAACTCGAGAAATAATCACCGGTAGCACTGGACGGACTCAATCTCCCTTCGCTGCCACTAGGGCTACTACTGACACCACTCCCACCACCACGCTTCGGCCGGGTCCTAGTCGGAGGGATCATCAATGTCGAGGCACCACCAGCACTCGCGCTTCCGCCACCAATCAAGCCTGATACGCTCCTCGAAGGCTCGAGATATTTGGGTCTCTGCACCTGTCCGCCATCGCCATCTCGGAACCCAACTCCGACGACAACTCTACGCAACGCCTCGCCCCGCGGATCAATACCCATCAAGAAACGCGCGAGTTCCGACAGCGCCTCGAGATCGTTCTTACGGCGCGCCAGCCTCATCAGGCGAATGACGTAGCCTTCGAATATGCGGGCGTCGTGGCGCCGTGTCGTTTCGCTGGCGGTGGTGTCATCGCGAGGCTTGTTGGGTTGTTCAGCGGCCTTGTCTAGTTGCTCTTCCTCTTCCTCTTCCTCTTCTTCCAGTCCTTGTAGGACGATGAGATAGCCGCTCGCGGTCTTGAGGTCCTCGAGGGCCAATGCTTCCTCGAAGAGTGTTAATGCGGGAGGGAGGTGTGCGAAGAGTGTCCGCCACGAACTCAGTTCGGTTTTGCGGATGCATTGTACGACGGTCGAAAGGTAGTTTGTCGGTGAGAGAACGAGCTGGAGGAAGGATAGCACGGCCGGTAATGGTCCCGGGTTTGTGCTCTGGTCTGATGATAGCCTTGGCAGTGGTTCTTCCGTAGAGCCAGGTAGTCCAGAATTAGTGTTTTCCAGTTCTTCGTTCTTTAGTTTTTTCCTCAGATCGCGTAGCCGGTCAACTTCGTCGTCGAGGACGTGGTGAAGTAAGATTTCCAGCGCATGAGGGAAGTAGCTGAGGTGGTTGTATTGATTCGCGAGACCAAATGCCGTGGCGGTATCATTGGCTTCGCACAGCTGATGGCGGAGGACGTAGGGGAGGAACAGCTGGGTGCGGATGCTCGAGCGGAACTGAGCATAATTGACGTCCCGCCGTTGCACAAGCTCGGACTCGATGCCCAAAACGATGCCTTTGGTCAAGAGAATAGACAGTGGATAAAAATCGACGGGCATGGATAGTACTGGGGTGGAGTTTAAAGTCCCGTCTGCTGCATGCTGGAATAGGTCCCGCACATCGGGCCACAGTCTGAGGTCATCGCCACTAAAGACCCATAGGGAGTCTCGAAGAGAATAATGATGGTGAGTCCTCATGGTGAACGACGTTCCGGGTGAAGGGGTTGGGGGAGCAGATTCTTCTGGACCGGTGAAGTTGTAGTAGATTTGATCACGCATGAGTATATAGTACTCAACGTGCTGTGCAATGACTCGCATGTCGTACTTGAGTTCATCTTTGTCGTTACGAGATGATTGCAACAGGACCAGCTTGTCATCTACCAAGAATAAGACGGAGGCAAACTCCACATCCCTAGATGGATCACCATTCCGAAGCTGAACATCAGGAACGACCCAGCTCACCGACCGAACACGACTGGGTGCACGTACGATCCCATGAAATGCGATCTGTCCAACTTGGACAAGCTGTGCTCCGCGAGGCGTAATGTTGAGGATGTAATGATAGAGAATATTCTCATATGTGTAGACCAGCAGGGAGTCTTCGCCTGACGGGCCAACGAAAACAATCGGCATTGAGAATGCTTCCGTATGGAGTGGATGTCGGCCAAGATCGAGCTCTCGAGAATAGAGACGGAGGTCGTAGCCCGCAGCATTCTCAGTTGCAACAGCCAGGATGTGGTTGAACCAGCACATCCCACCACGAACTGCGAAGGATGCTTCAATCGCAACATCTGAAAATGTCTTCCAGCGTCCACTTTGGAGGCTGTAGTGAGCTAAACCCCGTCTGCCGGCTATTGCAATGTATCTTCCATCTTGTGAGACGACACAGGTTTTGATGGGCCACTGGTTGTGCAGATACACGGTAGGGTATTGGGCGTGATGCCACAAAGACGCCTCGTTCGATATCGAGGTCAAATCCGGAAGTTCATGACCACGGTACACGGTGAGTTCAGAAGGGGTCTGTAGGAGGGCCCGTACAAGATTAGCACATGAAAAGCAGGCCATTGCCGCGCTCCGTGACATTTCGACCTTCCATATTCGACTATCTTCGCGGGAAGTGAGGAGGATTTCCGCCCCACCACTAACCCATGTGGCTCGATCGGGCGAGAGTAGCCAATTCTCGCTGTTTGATTGAGCATGACTTAGATTGCCATGGAAGCTAGTGGCACCTTCCTTGCCAAACACCGACCAAGTCGCCCAACCATGTTCGTAGCCAGCGAACAGACAATAGCCATCTGGAGACCACGTGAGGCACACGATTGCACCTCGTGAAGCCGGAGATGTGGATTGTTTGAAGTGGTGAGACAAGGGAATATTGCCAACATAATCCTTTGCAGAATAGCAAACAATGTCTCCCACAGTTGTTGCGATGGCTATGAGAGAAAATCGAGCATTGATGCTGACAAGTTTAGCCTCTCCCGCATCGGGTTTGTGGAAGCAATAGCCGTCAAATAGCCTTGGAGAAGGAGATGTTGAGGACTTTGACGATGGTACGGAGTCCTCTGAAGATGGCGCTCTCGATATATGTGGTTTTGCTCTCTGCACTGCATATGCATGCCCACATTGTGATAACCAGACGAAAAGGTTCATAGCCCGATCGTGGACCATGGTCGAGACGCCGGTCTTTTGACCCAACCAATCCATTTTCGCCACTAATTGGGTCACGGCATGGGAGCCGTCCTTTTGTGGCTCCCATTTGATACACTGGATAGCAGCAGGTTTTCTTGTTGCTACTACCAACTCTGAATCTTGTGCAATAACTGCGTTGATCCCGGCATCAATTTTGAATGCCCGACGAAATCTTAGTAAGACTTCAGCGACACCTACACTTTCATCCACACCAAAGTTCCTCATCAAATTCTGTCGCTTTGCTTGACTGTAACCGTACTGTTGCTGGAGAACACGAGCATTCTGCTCACTTTCGATCGCGTAGGTGATCAAATAGCTCTCCCTCGTACGAATTACTATCGTAGTCGCGTCTGGTTTGAGAGCGAGCGCGAGATTCGCGCCATATGTCTCCAATGATTTAGGAGATCTTGATAGTGATGCAAGCAGAAGCACTGGTCGCATGGACCAGATGTCCAATCTCGAGGTAGTGATCGTGGCGAAGACATGGTCATTCTTTGCTGCCTGAATATCAATGATGGCGTTCGCGTTCGAGTTCGAATCCGAGTCCTTGACCTCGAACTCGGCCCTTTTTCCATTCAGTCCCTCAGCATCATTGTGATCGAGACCGGTGTCATCGTGAGCTGAACTGGACCCATGATTTGCATAAATTTGAGGCACGGTACATGGCCAATACATAATTTGGAGTGCCAAGGGCCGAAATCATTTTCATCGCATCGTTATAATCGATTATGGGACCAATCAAACGGGTCACCAAGTTCCCAGATATTGATACGAAGTATTCTCGTCGTCAGTTGTGATGGGGAAGGAAGGATATTGAAAAGGAGAATAATGGTAGTTTGATGCCAAGCGGCGACGACGACGACTCACTCGGATGTTCGAGTTGAGGTCATCCCTAATATGACCCAGTGGGGACGAAAATCATGCCGCCCTGTCCCTTCTGTTGGCCTAACCACTGCCCACATCTTCTCTCACCACTGCTAAAAATCACATAGACTTATCTAACCATCGCGGGGAATTCTTTGTGACTGAACAACGACGAAGATCTAGGTCTCGGGCTCTGCTACACGCCAGATCAACCTAGCACCACTGACTTCCTTACTCCTCAGCTTAGATAAGGCATTCGTTGCTCTTTCGAGCAGGTTGGCGCCTCCCACCTCGAGGTACTCATTGGGTTCGATTGTGCCGAATGCTAATGCTTCAGGCATGACAACCGATTGTAAGTTCTGGGCCAGAAACTCATTCTTCTGATAGAAATGAGTCCTCACCCCAACGGCTTTCACCCCGTCCTGCCAGGTGACCGCCTTTTCAACATCCATCAGATACTCCGGTGTGACATCTACTGCAGCGTCACGGACAATGACAGGCAGCATCACCGCAACAATTGCTCTTGACTGAGCGATTACGGCGATTGGCAACAGACTCTTCTGTTGGCTGCCAACACAGTCTAGGATGAACGGTACCACAGGCGTGTCCCCGGTTATAACACTCTGGACTGCCTCCAATATCCTCTGTGCAGTGCCTCCTTCTCTGTAATCAAAGCATTGCCGAGCGCCATACCGCCGCAGCTTCTCATGATGATGCTTACTGGCCGTGACAAGCACCTTTTTATATCCGTACCACTTCAACAGCTGCAGGCAATACTGACCGACACTGGTTCCTCCACCCCAAATCAGGATCCAGTCGTTCAGCTCTCGAGGCACGAATCCCGAGGGCTTCGGCCAGGGGAACTCGAATCCGAAATCATGCGTGAGGGTATGCCAGGCAGAAACAAAGTTATTACAAGTAACGACCGCCTGTCGAATGTCAAACCCTCCAGTCGCAGAGAGTTTCCCCAGCATTGTTTCTGGCGTCGTGACATATAGCTGATGGGCGCGTTCCTTTTTCTGTCGAAAAGTGTAACCGAAGACCCGATCACCCGGCCTCAGCCGTGTTGTGTCGGGTCCGACTTCCAGCACCGTTCCAGCCACGCTCGAACCAAGGATATGTGGTGGATTGACCAAAAGACCTCCATCTGCCTGATGCAGGTCCAGCGGCGTGGAAACCGTCCATTCGACTCGGATGCGCACTTCGTTCGCTTCTGGTGCGATGGTCGGCACCTGGTGGATCTCGAGAGGCTGCCCTACACCGACCGTCACAACTGCTGGGTGAGTGGCAGACATACTAGATGTTGATGGTGTTGTAGTGCCCAGTAGAAAATAAAATCCAAACCGCTTAGGGAATAGGTCATATAAAATCGAACACACAGCTCCTTTTTATACAGCCCACGAGATATAGTTTAAGAACCTCGCTTGTTCGGTCCGACTCAATAGAAGTCCAACAAAGATGCTCATCTTTCGTCACTTCAATTGAATCTCAACGATTGCAGTGATTCCCGCCTCAAAACGACCTTGAGCATCTCAACCGACGGCTGACAAACAGAAACCACCCAGGGCAATGGGCGATGCAGATCGAAACCGTGTACTTCATGTAAGCTAGCACGCTTCCCCCTAAGTGACGGTCCCGGAGACCCCTCACCGGCTAGTGACCGAGTGCCGCGGACTTTTTCAAGTGTTGCTGAATAACTAAGCCTTGCAGGCAGGAATGCTACAGGAAGTAAATTGATTACGATGATACCAGGCCAGGGTTTGACTGGGAAGCAGATGTCACGGCACAGGGCCTTGTGATAGATGGGAGTTTCAATTCGAATGAAGGTGAGATATGTCTCGATATGTGCAGCCTGGAGTCTGTCTGTCTTGCATCTTGCAGCGCAGCGCGCGTCAACTATTTACCTCCTTCTTCCTTGCCCCGGCCTAACTCAAATATGTAGTTGGTAGTATATGGTATCGTTCCAGGTAGCTCCATAGATCGCTCCACGATCCTCGGTAGGTATGTATGTATGTATAAGTATGGCGGATATAGACATCGAAGAATAAAACCAAAGGGATTCGTAACGCAAGAGCACCATCCAATGAAGTTGATGGCGAGATACTCAAAATTCCTCTCGGGGCTTCCGCATGACGCTTGTCGTCTTCCATACCTTAAACCCCACGAGGGCAGCTGGGAAATTAATCTCCCACGACTTCCTTTTCGTCCTTGTTGGAGTCACTGGTACCCCAGAACCGTCCGTCTGCACGGCCAATATTGCAGAAACCCACTCTAAGCCAGTCTTCAAAGCCGCTCGCCCATGTCGATTCCATGCCTGGTGACTCCAAGCCAAAGTAAAGTCGAATCAACGCCTCAAGAACCGGCCAAACACAGCGCCCACCTTATTCTTGCTCTGGCGGCGCCTCGTCTCTGCCTCATCTGCGCGACGTATCATCTCCTCAAATCTGTCGATGCTCGTAAGTTGTTGCTTCGCCGCAGTTCTGGCAGGTGACGCGAGCTTCAGACTCGGTCCCGCCCGCAGCGCGTGGATTAGAGACTGTAGGCCATCTTGATCGGTGCCACTGTCGACACGGACGCGGCGATGGCGCGTGATGTCCGGGGGTGCGTCGGCGGAGATGTGTTCGTAGTCTTCCTCGTCGTCGTCATCGAATAAATCGTCGTCTTGGAGGTCGGCGAGGCCCTGACGGGTGCGTGGTCGAGTAACTTCTGCTCGCGTAGTGGGAAGAGATGTCGCTGAGCCAAGATTTCTTTTGCCGGTGGTACTGCGTGGGACTGATTTCGCGGGAGATCGAAGGTCGGTCCCAGGGGTAACCACCTCTTCAATCGGGATGGTGGTGAAATCAGTCGTGAAATTGTCTTGATTCCGCCGGTGGGATGCTGCGAACGTCGCGCCGTCGCTCGTTCTTTCCATTTCCGACTCCGTGCCAGTATCGTACTCGCTCGAGAGGCGCATGAAGATCTCGGCGCCAAAGACACCAGGTTCACTTGCCTGGACCGTAGGCAATTTCCATGCTGGAGGAGCTGACGACTCATCCTGGGGTCTCGCCTCTATGATGCGTGACAACGGTGGGTGTTGGGATCGTGATTGCTTGTGTCTTTGGAGTGACCGCGGGCCAGGCATTCGAGGTGATTTGGTCCCTGTTTCCCGTCCTCCGACATGCTGATATTGCTGCTTCTGGGCTGCTGGGCTTACTTCGGGACTTCGGACGATCGATGGCACACCAAAGCTGGGTATTTGGGGAGCAGGACTTCTCGAGACATGAAGCGTCGCATTGGTCAAAATGTTTGGCTCTGGCTCTGAAAATTCACCTGGCTCTTCTTCGTCTTGTTGAGTCATGAATTCTTCAACAGCAGCCTCTCGGGCAGGCGACTGCCACGGTACGGGTGTCGGTGTCCTGGCAGCAGCACGCCGGGCATTCCATGAATTTGCTGTTATTATATTAGGTCGCGATTCATCGTTGGGAATGTCGTTATCCACAGTTCGGTAGTATCTCCTATGCACATGAATGTGGGACATTGATTGGGTATCAACTTCGTGCTCTCGATCATCATCTCCGCTGCCCGCAAGGTTGGAGAAATGGAGCTCTGAACCCTTGTTACGTGCCTGAAGAGGTAGTGACTCGGCTGATTTGCTCGAAGGGCGCCCGTAGAAAAGTGATGGCCCAGCGTTCGCATCGCGTTGTGAGGGATAGGGTAATCCTAAAGACCTTCTTTTGTCATTGGAACTAGTGCGCTGAAGTGGGGAATGCTTCTGCAATGGAAGTGGCCCGAAAGGATCATCAAAATCATCGGAAGCTTGCCTGGTATGCTTGTGGACAGCCCTGAAAGCCCTGAGTGGAGACTTTGGTGGAGGTTGAAGCTCATCGACCGAAGATCCATCTCTAACCGGAGAGGGTGGAGGACTTTTGGTTAGATCAAGTCGTTTTTTCCCTTCAGAGGCTGAGTCTTTCTCAAAGTGCTGCGTAATCTGCTTTGTGGGTGGTCTAGCTTTAGGAATGGGTTTTGGCACCGTCTTCGCACTTCGTACCGAGGTCCCGGGCGTGTTGTCGACATGATCATCTTCATCCGAAGAGTCAATGAAACTCGTTCCATTCTTTCGGCCCGCGGAAGTCGGCTTGACGACTTCAGAGGAGAGTTCTGGTGATGCAAGTAACTGTTTGGGCGGTGATCGTTGGTTTGGGGTCTGCGCCCGAGGCTTTGGTACATCAGCAATCTTCGTCAAACGCGCTGAAGAATCGAGGAATTGCTGTAAAGATAATAGTGCCTCGCTATGACTGTTGGGTGATGCTCTGGACGCAGTTCGTTTGAGAGATACTGCTGGAGGTCGCGTGCCCGCAGGAAGCACCGTCCCTGAACGTGGTTGCACAGTTTGCGCTGCATACGCCGTAGTTCGCTTCTGTGGCTGAATCCCATTTCGGACTTGGCCGGGTTTGTTGCTCGAGAGAGGAGGTTCGCCAGCATGAACCGGTCGTGGATGATGAGGAGAGGGATCATATGGTGATGTGAGTCGAGCACCAGATGATCGGTTTCCCTTCGCCGAGTTTTGATTTGGCGGCTGGTCGTGATTTGAAGCATCGTCCTTCTGTAATTGCCCATTTACCGTATCAGCTGTGGGAGTACGAGTTTGCACGCGAGAGCGGCGACCCTGGCTCAACGGCCTTGCTTGAGTGTTCTCGTTTAAAGCATTCTGGCGTGACGAGCTCCGGTCGGTGTAGTTTGAAGCGACGGTCGCTGGTCGCTCTCTTGGGGAAGAGATTGACCTCGGCACATATCCTGTTACTGATTTTGGCTTGTCACTCTGTGGAGTCCGATGTGCGCCAGCAATACCATCAGATTGCTGGTTAGCTGGGAAAGCGATGATGCCTTGGCTGGAGTAATTTGCTAGCACAACACTGTGTGAGTATTTGCTCGGCATTGGAAGATGGAAAATATCATGATCCTCGTACAGAAAGTCGCACAAGTCAAAGTCCAGAAGAAGAGAAAGATGGTTGAGAACAAGAGGTTGAACCTGAGCTGAAAACAGTGTCGGCTGCTGCCGTAGACCAGTGCTTCTTGAGGTTGGATTGAGCGCGCGGCTGGTGGATAAAGGTTTATTTTATGTCAAACTCTTGTCGTTGGTGCTGGGATGGAGACTTGGGAAAGAGCTGAAATCATCGAAACAGCCAACGCCACATGCACACCAGAAAGGAGGAAATAAAGTTTGGCAAACCTATGGCATCGGTACTAACGAAGTGTTTGGGCTGGAGAGCGCTGTCTACTAAGATCTCAATTGCAGAGAAATCAGGGGGTTGATGGAGCATAGCCGTCGAGATGTCACTGCATCACTGCATTGTTCTTTGGTGGATACGAAGTCCGTGGGCTAGTCGGCAAGCTTGTGGCATGTGCATCATTATTGGCCTATCTGATAACTCGATTGCAGAGATGAAGATTCATGACATGTCTAGATCGGAGATGCAGAGAAGGTTTGGAGCCTGTGAGAAGCGAAAGTGGGTGGGTGCTGGTTGAATGATAATAGGTATGATAGTGGTCATTTTTGGCAAGCCCGGCCTAGAACACCCCTCCTTTGAAAAATGTTTGTGGGGGAAATGCGCCGGTGGCGAGCATGATGAATAGCTGAAAGGGTTATCCCTAGCACTAGATAATAACTAGAACTTAAGCGAAGTAATGGTTAAACCAAATGGTGGTAGCTAGCACGACACCGATAGCCGGGCACCTCGCCTTGATAACTAGCCCATGCTCCGCCGCACGCTGCAGTATGCCAGGATCGAAATCTTCAGGTACCATCGGCATTAATCGCGGGCATACGCAGATTGCGATGGTACCTAGGTCCTCCATTCTTCACGGCGACGACATGAGAAGACCACACCTCCTCGCGCCCCAGGGGCAATCGCAACTCAATTCCGGGGTCCGGGTTATTTTATGAGGACGTGCAACCTCAATGTGGATGTCCGCATCACTTCAATGTGCTTACTCCGTAACTAGTTGTTCCAAACCTGCCTCAAGCTTTAACTCCTGCTCATAGGTAGATCACCGTGGAGCATTTCTCAAAGCAGTTGATGGACGGTTGTGCTCCAAACTCAAACCAACGGCTACCAAACTACCGGCGTGGTCCACTATCAACGACTCATCTGGTACAGGATGAAGAATTCAAGCGATACCACATTTCGAAAGATTCAGTTACTGAGGTCGTCGGTCTTTAGCTACCTTGGGCACCTTAGATGCTAAGTACCTTAGGCAGGTACTTGTACCTGGACCGCATACTCCGCACTTAAAAAGGTACCCGGAGTCCTCGGGGTAGCGCGAAACCAAAGTACGCAGTACTGAACCATCTAGTTACATCTAGTCTCGGCTTAGAGGGACTCGTGACCTTTGTAGATACAATCACCATATACGAGTACGAATGTCAAGGGAGTGGGCTTCAAGATTGGTAATACCAATAATAGAATCCACGTCCTCGATTCGATTTCAATCAAAATATGGGCATCACTGAGGAGCATGCTTGGCGGTCTCGACAGTAGGTTACCTACCTATAAGTACCTAGGTAGTTTCGTCCTACGTACGGGCAAGCAGACAACATCACATATGGGCCCCATGAGGCGCTGGACCAGATCTTTAGTAAATTTCAAAAGCTCATCTCAATCATGTGATGTGTGTAAACCCTTTTAGATTTCAGACTGAGGGACATACGATGACATCCTCCTCATCCGTGGGATAGTATTCCTCCTATCTCGAGGCTATCCATGTCAATTGCTCTGCGCGTTCAACCTCATTATCAGCGACTATGATGTACATCAATGGTCCAAACATCCGCTTATACCTGCTTCCCTCGTTCTCCATTCCATGTAGAGTCATCATGCTCCAATCCCAAAGGGATATGCTTGTCACATACGCATAATTACCGCCCAAACGCCGCATGCTAAGTCGTATCTCGTAGCCACATCCCAAAATCCTCAGATATTTCCCAAATACCTCTTCAAGATGCTGCCATTTTTAAATCCCAATACTGACGCCATCAAATCCACCAGAGCCTTAATTGCAATAGCCACCTCGCCCGAACGGGTCCAACCGTCCCAGTACCTGGCTGGGAGCTTCGTTTGTGGTCACCGATTTTTTTTGGTCCGCCAAATGTGTTTGCCTTAGTCATTGAAACTACCACCTTTCTTTTTGCTTCCGCCGAATAACTTGGTCATCTTTTTCCAACCTCCACTCTCACTCCTCTGAGATTTGGGGAGAGGCATTGAAGTGAAACCACTCGATTGTCCATGGTGGCCATTTCCACCACTGATATGCATGTCGCTGGTGGGGGGTGTTGTCGGGGGCGTCACCATAGATTCTTGATCTCCTGGTGGTGGACTCTCAAGACCACCGCTACTGTCGGTAAGGGCACTTTCCGAGACAGCGGATGAATGTGAAAGATGTGTCGAAAGGCGTGATCCACTTTGTCGACCGAGAGCTGAAGAGAGTGATGAAGATTGAGTAGGACGGTGGGTTTGCGGAGGGGATCGGGTGGCTTCAAATGAGGCTGCCGAGGTATTAGGCGGGGACCGCTTCCGTCGGGAAGGTATTCGGTTGTGCAGTGCACGCTCATCAAAAGTCAAGTGGGACACTTCCATCTCCTCGGGTTGCCAAGCAGACATGTTGGTGTACGTTTGTGCGTATGAAATGGTCTTGAGGCTATCGCAAAAGGGGATGAAGATGGAGTCCGACATGAGGTCGTACATTCTCTTGATTGCAGGGTCAAATGCCTCTGGTTGTGGGGGCCTGAAATCTGCAGAAAGTTCTACCAGATCATCTCGTTCCTCCGCAGGCAAGTTGATCTCACGCGGGGCTCCTGGTTTGACATAGATGTCTAGAATTCGGTTCCAATCCTGGATCAAGTCAAAACCCTCATTCGTGTCGATGGTCAGAGGTATTCCCGCCAGTTGCGCTGAGACTTCATCGTACTTTTCTGCATACTTTTTCGCCTCGGTGGTGAATTCTAGTGTCTCTAGACAATGTTTCTGAGATAGAAATGCGGTATATGCGGCGAGGGTGTAGGGTTGAGGGGCGGTATTGTTGAGTACTTCGTCTAATGTCGGTCTGACTGGTGACATGATACCGTCCTTCCGAGACCTCATACTGATGGGTCTCGCCCGTGGGAGGTCCTCGCCCGACATAGCGAAATCCTCTGGGACGTCTTCCAGGGGATAGACTGAAGGCTCAAGGTGTGGGGAAGGTTCAGGTGTGTATGGCCAAGATAATTTGTTCGACTTCTTCCTGATCATTGCGCTGGACTGAAGCCTCCTTTCGCTGTCGTGGTGGATTGATCGACAGAAACAAAAGAGCGGTATGCTTGGTGGGATGTATTAAGAGAAGATAAGGCGACGAGATTCCAGTAAGGCAGACAGAGAGTGAACGCTAGCCACCGCCTAAAGGCTGATTTTCAGTTGTCGAATGTTGCTCGAGAGCTGCAACAATAGATGAGAGAACAAAATCTTCTTTGCCCTCTGCCCCCGAGATCTAATCTGCGAGTAAACTTCTCCCTGTGTCACAGAAGGATGCTGTATGACAACTCAATGAGCGATCCAGAATGTATGGTGCGTTGGGAGTTTGTTGTCAAGAACTGCCAAAATTCCAGCTGAAGACAGGTTGATATGTGATCAGGGACAAAGCTATGCCAGCAAGCGACCAGGTTGTATGCACGGATGGGTGTCGTCGGCTTGTGAAGAACCGTCCGAGGAACTTCCTTTGGAGAAATATAGAGGGAATCGACGAAATGGTAGGAATTATCCGGTTATGGCAGGCAGCTGGCTCTTGTCTAGACCCTTGAGGCTGAAGGAGTGACTGAGGTTGGGTTGTGAGGCAGCGGGAATGGTAAATCAGCACAGTTGGCTGAGCAGAGGATGTCGACAAAGGTGATGTGGTAGGAAAGTAGGTTGACGACACTGTTGGTGCCGCTTGTGGTAGTAGTGGACAGGCTTGGTGAGATCAGGGCACCAGCACAGTCATGTTGTAATCAGACTGGTGAGTCGTAACGAGGAGAATGAGTTTGAGAAGTGGGTTTGCGTTGTGGAAAGTTAGGTAAGAGTCATGGTCCACAACATGGATTTCAGCGCAGGCGGATCATAGTACGGGTATCCGTAGATGTGGGTGGAGATGTCGTGTGTACGAGTAGGGTCTTTCAGTGAAGAGGGAATTGGATTGTGGATTGGACTGGTATGACGGGCTGGCGGCGTCAGTGGTTCCAAGGTGACAAACGGCCGGCAAGGATGTTTCGGTTTTGTCCTGCACAGGACCTGGAAAAGACGGAAGAGAAAAAGGATTCGGAGATGAATGGAGATGGAAGCTGCGAAGTGGAGGAGGTACGAGTAAGCAATGATACAAGCAAAGGTGAACTGCGGGTGGTAAGGCAATTAGGTAGCGGACAGGCACCAAAGAGAGAGAGCATGAAGGCACATCTTCCACTTCCGAGCCTTTGAAAGGAAGGCATGAAGCATCAAGAGTCGCTAGCCCTGGCAGTGGCAGTGGCAGCAGGCCAAGTCAAGAGAAAGAAGAGGGAAAGGGCGACCGGGCTGCAACGTTGCCTCGCTAGCCTCCCCGTGAACCATTATTATTTCTCCACTGTTCAAGGCCCAACCCCTCATCATTGGGTCCATGACACAAGGGCGTGCGCGGTACGAGGTAGGTGGCACAGGTTCACCATGATGGTCCAATTCCTCTTTAAATGGGCAGGCATCCTCGTTTCCATCGGGGCCCTACCTGGAGATTCAGCTTAAGAACATCTCAACGGCGAGACTTGGACCTTTCACACCTGCTTCAACCTGACCACAATCTGAGGTATACCCAGTTTGATCGACACACCGACTGATTGCCAGACCAGGGGCTGTGCCCATCTTCCATTCTTTGCAGGTAACGATCGCCACCCCCAGGGCCACAGCCTATTGTTACGGGCCCTTCAGGCTTCTAGTCAGGCTTCCTTCCGGCTTCTACCACTTGTGTTCCATTGCTCGTTCCACGCCTTCTAGCCTAGAAATTCATTCTCCTTCTGTGCGTTTTTCTGGAACGCCACTGGCACCCACAACATGATCTTCATGTTATTTTTCAATGCCTGATCATTCCCCTCTCACGTGCCACTGTCGCGGATTCGGACCACACCTTTCCCCCCCTCTCGTTGCCGCCTGGCCTGTACAAGCCACTAAAGTACACTGCAGTATTAACACGCTCTCTTATTCGACCAGTCCCTGCCGCTCAAGACATCATCATCATCATGTGTTGCTGGGGGCTCCAATTCGTTTCAGGAAAGCCATTTACCCTTAGGATCCATTCCTGTTCTGGCTACCCAGGATGTTTGATCTCTCGCTTCACCTTGCCCTGCACCCACAATGGCCATCTACTTGTGACTTTGAATTCGTAACTAGTACAGTAAAGGGAATACGGTGTACGCCCAAGCCACATTCTCCCACCACCCTTCTTCAGACGACACTGACAGTCAGCCGTGGATAATTCTCTTCTCAGCATTGTGGCAATAGGTATTTTTGGCGACAGTCAAACTTTGATGAAGTCACACGTGATACTCATGATCAGCCAGCCCTCCAGGGCTTTTCGACTTACGAGTACTTCGATTTACTAATGCTCCGTTGTATCTCGTTACATACCTACCTAGGTAGGTGGTACTAGGTACATAGATTTCAAATGGATTATGACGTAGTACGTCGTATAATTGTAATACTAATACCATCCGCATTGTTTGGTCGGCGCGTATAACAACATCACCCAGTATTCCAGCCGGAAGATCATACTGCCGACGAGCATTCCATTGGCCGCCGCTCTCTCGTGTTCTGGAAGCCTGCCAGACAGAGAAAATCCCGACATTTTACCTTTCCGGTAGTCTCCCCGTGAAACTGTGGCACGTGGGTCAAAGAAAATTGGAGCATTTCCCACTTCGCGACGCCTCCGTACCCTCATCCGAGGCGTTGCGAATCGAGGACCTGGAAAAAATCTTTTTCCGGTCATCGGCACCCATTACTATTGCAACCAAGGACAGGGCTCCGATGCGAGTCGTATATCTGAGCGGTGCGAAGAACAAAAGTGGCTAAAACGCTCTGGTACCCTGCTCCGCAACCCATCATACGTTGCAATCGACTCCAGCTCCACCAGGAAGAAAATGCTTTTTGCATGAAAGGGCCATGATCACTTGGCCTTGGACTTACCGTCTCGCCGGTAATAATGCAAGACTCCGGCGCAGAGCCTTCTCAGCCCGAGCAGATGTTGTTTAGTAGCTCGACTGCTGCATCATTACTTGTCCTTCTTGGTCTCGGGACAGTCCCCTGTGCGGATCCGGTAGCATTCTCCTTGCTCAAGATTCCCCTTTTCCAGCTCCCAGCCGGCTGCCTCAACGCGTGCCACGATTGCAGGCCAGTGTTCGTTGTTCTGATCAAGTGTTTGTTTGAGACGTGCCAGAATCTCATCGGTCTGTGGGGGCAATGACATGGGTTCTTGAATTCCCTTCACTCCCTCTTTTCGTTCGCTTAGTGAAGATGACTGAGATCTCAGAAGCCGCATCAAATGTAGAAAGCCTTTGGCTTGAGTTACACTTGAGGCGTCTGCTGTCAAAACTATGACTGCTCGATTGGTTGTCGTGTTCACCCATAACAAATATTTTTCTTCCCGGAAGATTTCCAATAGGCGTGCGAAGCTCTTGTCGACATCATCTGAGCCACCTATCGCGCCTAGCTCGTGCAGTCGCATACATTGAAGTAAGTTATCCACAGATGCACCGATTTTGCACGACGAGAGTAATCGGCCTTCAGCTGTGCGCAAGATTCTGGCTCTCCCTAGGACCGTTTCCTGCCTGCCTACATCATTCAAGCTTTTGGTGTGTCCATGGAGAATTCCGTCAAATAATAAGACAGCCCTCTCAGTGTTCAAGGTCGACAACCTCACGCTTTTCACTGCTTTCCAATTGCACCACAGATGTAGTGCGAGTAGAGGCAGCAAGCAACACCATGTCTCTAGCGTACCTTCCACTTTGCTGACGACCAATCCTCCTACCCACATGCCGATCAAACTGACCACAGTCTCTTGACTGCCATCCTTGGCGTTGAGTTCGCCAATGTTTCCTGCCTTTGCAAAGTGGGTGCTCAATATAGCCTTGCTACTCCCACCAGCGACACCGCAAAGAGCACGACAGGCGTTGCTCACACATAAGGTGAGTGCCCGCCCAAGTATTGGCAAGTTCGGGCTGATACAATCAAGCACAAAGGCTGTGTCATTGACAATGTCTGCGAAGAAGCGATAGAATTTCACATCGGCCTCGATCCTCTGGGAGAAACGATCCGCGAATGCAATGGTTGCGAGTCTTCCGATAGTGGCCTGTGCGATGTATAACAACATCGTGGTGATTACTGACGCATCCTCAGACCCAACTCCCATCCCTACAAAAACAGCCCGGGAGGCCAGAAGGCCGGCTATCGTAGAAGCGAATGCTTGTAGGGAATCGTATATCTGATATGGCGTGTAATCCGGGGTAACTGTTGCAGGATATCCTGCAGGGAGGAACGGGCTCAAGTACCGAAAGACCTGAGGATTTCCGTCTCTTGCGATTGTTACCGGAGACGATTTGAGCGTACCAGTAGAGACATCGTATCGATAGTTTGCTGTATTGTGACCCGTGGTATCAAGTTCTTGAACCTGAATCGGAATGTCCATCGTCATGGACAGGGGATTGCGTTTCGATGAGTTGAAAGGCCGCTATCTTCTCTATGATCATTGTCTATGTATCTGAGAAGTTTTATCGATTGATTCAGCTTTGAGCCACCAAGTAGTCTAAGGCCATGTCTCTGAGTTAGGGTGTTTGAGACCAATATTAGCCTTGATATGTAATGGACATCATGGTTTTAAGGTTGCACGGGCACAATTTAGGCGTGTACGGCAGAGCATTGGATATCTAACGCTCTCCTCTTGGGCCACGACGACGACACACCACCATAACTACCTAGGTACTTGGTTCTACGCTGCAAGTTTCTATCCTTGGCATTATGGATAGATCAGAGAGCATTCAAGGACAGAAACCACGTTCACTAGAAGGCGGACGAGTGCGAGAGGCGATCTTCCCACGCATACAAAGACCGCTTTCAAACCCTTCGAGGGCAATATTGGTAGGCGCTGTTCTGGCAGCATTGCTTGATGGCTTCCCACAACAGCAGGGACCATCGTTCCTTCCGCAATAAACCAAGACAACACCTCCTCTTCCCTTTCAAAGGTTTGATGTCTTTCCTCGTTTCCTTCTAGCAAGTTCTTCGTCTTCTCATATTTGCTTCTTGGGCACTGCTGCGTAATTCTGGCTTCCTGGTTGCATCAGGTGCCAGAGCTTACTTGTCTTTGCATTCCTTTGGCTTCCATCTCACGCCGTATCCAAAACACACATCGATTTCATAATATGTCTTTAATCAGCAAGGTTTCATCTTGTATGCCTTGCTGTTTTCGTGTCCACCAGTCAGATGAAGATGAATTCCCCACGAACCCGAATACCTCACATGCCCAGTCCCCGATATCTGTCAAACTTTCACCCAGCACAGTGCCTCATGCATCCAGCAAATGCAAGAATGGCCCTACGGACGATGATGAAGCTTTAAGAGGCATCTTCAGATCCACTTCTTCAGTTCGCGGATATCAAACCGCTTCCGAGCAAATGCAACTGCCGGCACCAGAACGTCCCTCGTTCGATGTTGACTTCAAGTTTGGCGTTCAAGATTCGGACAAGAAACCTCCTGGTCGATTGGGACGACTGAGTAACCATATCAAGCAGAGGCTTTCCGAAGGGAGATTGAGCAAGACCAATTCAGTGGACCGAGATACCTCTGAGGACATCGGCCAGAGCCCTCCTCTCGGCTTGAACACTGAAGCACTCATGATTCCAAAGTCCAACGGCCTTCTTGAATTGATCATATCTCGCACAGGCAGTGAGCGAGGATATGACAGTGACGCCAAAAGCATTCAAACCATGCTTCTCAAGGCGAGTGATCCTTTCACAAAGTCAAGCCCATTGGCCACGAAGGAGTTTGCGAGTGTTGTTGATGATGCTCTATCGTTGACTGCATCTCCCATCCGTTTCAAAGATGATAGTGACCAATTCAAAATCCATACTCAGAAGTCCTCAAATGACCATGTCTCTCACACACTTGCAGCCCGAACATCTTTCACCGAGGCTCTTTTGGCCGAGAAGGATTCGTCACCAACCGCTGCCCTGCAAAGGCTGAGCACGTGCATATCAAATGGTACCATCAAGCTCCCAAGTTCTCACAATTCCACCGGTGGCCTCAAGAATGATGCAGGGAGAGAGAAGATATTAACCAATCCGGCGGACTTGTCCTCTGCAGAAACTATGTATAACACCAAAGAAAAAGTTGAGATTCTTTCGACGCTCAATAAACTGGGCAATACTGTTCTAGCAGCCCAAAGAGACAGCTTGGCTTCCATGCCTGAGAGTGATCTTCGTGCTAGTATAGTATCGAGCCTCGACCCAACTTTTATCAATTTCATCTCCAGATTCGCAGAACCAGACAACTCGAAACAAATTCAAGACTCGTCAAATCCTTCATATGACCCCGGCTCAACTATTGTGGGAGAGAATATCTTCAGCTCCACCTCCAACATTTCCCGTTTGGACAAGAAGCGGGAGTCTCACAATACTGAGCGAGACCTCAACCCATGGCAAGGGTCAGATCAAGCCTCCGTGCATCTCTACAACATGCGTATCTCACAAAATCTTGCCTGTCCTTCACTCGCCGCATATACCTCAAGGCCGACAACCAGTCAAACCACGATCTCAAACTCCAAGCGACCTTCCATGAACGTTGGTGTTTTTACAAAGCGTCAGTCTTCGGACAGTTACGTGTCTCGTCGAGTGACCACTGAGCATAACAGACGGCCATCTGATCCTCAGACAAGACGACTCTTTGAACCAAGTGACACGGCAGATAAACTGCGGTCTCAGTGGAAGACCGTGACATCATACAACAGCGGAATCAGCGACCCGAACTTGAGGCCTGTTCGTTCAGGGGATGATGGATCTTCATTCTACTGGAGCGATAATGAGCTGAAGTCCGGCACCAGTTCTCTCAGAGTTCCTCCTCGGAGGAATCCCAATAGTTTCGCCATCGGTGGACGATCTGAGTCTATCAGTTTTCCGGTTGGCTTTTCGACCAAGAGCATCGACATGGTTTCTGAAGTAGGGGGAGATAGAGGTGTGGGGAGAAACGACTCTCACAATCGACGTAATGACTCTCGGCGAAGCAGAAGCAGCAGTATGCCAGTGAACATCAGACCGCAGCACTTGCATCCGGAGAACAGAAATAGGTATCTCAATTACACTTCAGACAATGAAAAGTTGAGCGAGATCAGCATCGGAGTGCTTGAAGATGCTAGAAGAGAAAATTTGACCGAGATCAGTGTCCAAGCCATTCATGACGCGCGAGATGAGACTATGAGCGAGATAGATCACACTAAAATTCTTGAGAAATGTGATCAAAGGCTCTCCCTTCACGTTCCTGTGGCATCGGATCGACGGCGGTCAAGGAGTGAGTCAAAGGACCTTCGAACCCACTGGCAAACAAGAAGACGATCTACCAGTGGAGCCACCCAGAGTTTGGGTCCGCCAACACTTCTCGAAAGCACAACGGACATGTGGCAACGAACCTTCCGGCAAGCAGTAGCTGAACCACATGATGAGACCATGGGAGGCTTCTTTTCCACCCCCAGATATGACCGAGACGGCACGCGATGCAAATCGAAGGGAAGCAGCGTCAGCAATATGGACCGAGATGCAGTTGATCCAATGACAAATGGCCCCCACGATGACCCAGAGCACCCTCGACTTACTTTTGATTTAGAAAAAGAGTTGGATGTCGAACAAGGACGGTCGCCAATTCTGCCCACCTTAATGGAGAACAACAACATCAGGAAGAAAAGTCTTCTTGATTTAGGTCGACGATTCGCAGGCACCGCCACCAAAGACAGCTCGGAAACCCGTTCTGAGAATTTGACTCCTCTGAGGGACATACTCGGGCTCTAGGGACGCTTCCCGAGTCATAATAGGGCAGAGCGTTGCGGTTCCGCTGGAGTGGTGGATGGTGTGCAGGTTCGAGATTTTGGTCTGATGCATGATGGCAAGAAACAAGCTTTACATTTTGTTGATTGTCCACATTTGAATACATCTGGTACAGATGTCAGTATCCATACCCCTGGCTCATGGAAGACGGTACCATTTGGAAGAAAGAAGCGTGCTGAGAAGCTGTCAAGCAAGAGCATGACCTTACCAAGGATCAGCAAGCTGACTCCAATCAAAACCCGAACAGGCATTCGAGATCGAAAGGGCTTCGCGCGTCGTTGGAAACAGTTGTACAAGAGCAACAGTTGGGAGATGCGTGCGTATACTCATCATCATGGACATCGGAGCAGTATCGGTGCTGGTGCTACTGCCGAGTTCCCAGACCTTGAATGTATTCCAGGTATTGGCAATTTGGAAGGCTTAGGGCAACATGCGGCTGATATTGATGGCACCTCAGACTCAAGACAACAAGTTGTTGGGCCAACGGCGAAAGCAAGAGCAGAAGGAACTCAGAGCGCTGCAACGTCAGTCAACCAAAATTGGATCCACACTTATTCTGATTGTGTGGGAAGTATCTCTGCACTGAAGAGTGACTCAGATCTTCCAGATTCCACTCGGAAGGATGCTCAAGACACACATTTTTATAGCACGAAAAACCGTGCACGATTCACGAATACAGACCTGCGGGACAGCACGGTCAATTTCGCAGCTGAGCTGAGCAGAAAACACGAAGAAGCCAGGGAGGGTCTTCTCGCACAGGTTAGCAAAATGCAGAATTGAGTTAGTATGAAGTAGGGAATTGAATCAAGAAATTCATTGATAAACTAGTACTGAGAACTAGATACGGCGGTTTCCTGAAACTCAAGGCTGCATAAACCTGCAGCGTCCTCCAAGCACGAAAGTGCAATTTCTGATCATTAGTCATGATGTCGTACGCCGGATCATATGCCAATGACACCAGCCGTTGGCCGCTAGGAGCCCACCCTGCGTATCTTCATTTCGCGGTTCCAAGGGGTCCTACAAAACGTACCAACAACCCACCACGACCAACACAAGAGTTCCAACTGCCGACAAGCCCAGGACCGACGCACTGGAACTGGCTGTCATGGTGGTACTCGCAGTGGGAGCTGCAGTGTATGTCTTGACGGTGGTGTTGACAGTGGTGATTGAAGTGCGGGTGGCATGGACAGTGGTGGTGCTGGAAATGGTGTGGGTCGTGGAAATGGTGGCGGTGATGTTGCCGCAGGAGGCGAGTGATGAAGAGGAAGAAGGTGTCTCATTGTATCCAGCAGCACCAGGAGTCGTCATGTTTCCGCAGGCGGGTGCAACACTGGCTTTGACGGCGGTGGGGGCTTTGATCACGTCTAAGACGGCCATGATGCGTGCAATGTGTGCGAAGACGCGGTGTGGGGTGGGTGCGCGTGCTGCGGCTCCAATGGCGGTGGACGTGCTGGCTGCGGCGGTGGCGGTGCTCACGGTCGTGCTGCGGTGAGTGGTGTGATGGTTGGACGGCTGGACTGCGGTGGACACGATGACGGGGAATGAGGTGTCAAAAGAAGACGAGGGGGAAGCAGTTGACATGGACAAAGTGCCAGTCGACGCGTTGATGTGCAGACCAGTCGCGATGAAGGTGGAGATGTTGAGGAATGGAGGATGGGAAGTCTCAAGCACAACATACGAGGTGGTGTTGACGATGATAATTGTTGTCTCTGTCTCTGTCTTTTCAATTGCAGAGGTGCTGAAGGTTGTGGCGGTTGAGACTGCAGACTGCGAGATGGCTTCAACTGCGGTGGCTGAAAGTGAGATTGAAGACAAGGCCACGGCGTAGCTGGAGATGGCAGGGGCAGGGCCAGTTGCAGATGAGGTGTTGGCTGCGGTCTGAATTGTGAGGGTTGTGGTCTTGGATGCAATCACAGATGACAAAACGCTGGTGGTGGTCATGTCGTTCAGAACAGACGTGGACGCCATGGCAGCAGACGATGATGAGGAGCCAGATGAAGTCTCAGCAAAGACAGAGGAGGTTGAAGTCTCATTGTTCATGACAGATGTGGATGCAATAACACTGGACGAGGGAGAGCTACTCGCAGTCTCAGCAGTAAGGCTGGAACTCAGAGAGCTTGCAGTGGTCTCAATGGTCTCGGTGCTTGGGAAGTCAACAGAGACGGTGGTTGCAGTGGTGACAGTGAGAACAAGGGTGGCAGTAGAGTTGTATGAAGTCAACGAGCTTGTCAAAGAAGACGAGATTGTGGCCATGACACCTTTGCCGCTTGCACGAGTTGCAGTCAGGTTCATGATGGGAAAGGGATGGGGAACGCTATTGCTTCGAACAAAAATCGAGAAATTTCCGATGGGGACATGAGTAGCATTGAAGACAGGACGAATGGTGCCACTGGGGATTGTGTCATTGTCTGGAAGTTGTTGATTAGTGATTGTATCAATGGGTCGACGCGTTAAAGGGGTTGAGACATACCAGAAGCAAAGCCATGGAAAGAAGTTGTGCTGCCAGTGGCTGCAGTGGTAGAATTGGCACAACCTGGGGGGTATGATTAGGAATTGCTTGGTATTCTCACTTTCGGAACGATATGGGGGGGGTGGGACAAACCGTGAGTACGGGTCAAGGCCTTGGGAACAAACACAGAATTATTACTGCCAACTGGAGGAGCTGTTAGATATAGTGTTGTCTTGTCATGGGGATCAAGGGTTGAACTTACCAGAGGTTGGGAGAAAGACAGGGCTGTCGATTGGAATCCACACCGTGAGAGTCTCAATGTAGTACACAGAGACAAACACGTTCTTGGTGACAGTGACCGTAGCGACTGAGTTGTTGCAAGCTGCAGTAGAGCTGCCAATGGGATTGAAAGTCGAGCCATCAGAGGCTGTAACAAGAACTGTGGCAGTGATGTCGACAATAGTGGTGGTTGTAGTTGCGTTGGAGCCTGCGACAGAACTCACAACACCAACCAAAGGAAGGACAAGGAAGGGTTTGATGAACTTCATCTTGCAATGAAGGTCGGGAGAAGTGGTGATAGGAGAAGAAAGGAGTGTTGCTTATTGATGAAAGAATGTGGAAGTGTTGACTGCTTTCCAACAATGAGCGAAGGGAATTGTTGTAAAGGGGTGAAAACAATTCGTTGTTGAGTCGGTAAGACGAAGTCTTTATATCTTCGAATTGTGGCACCAGATCAACTCGACGAGGCTACCGCTTGGCAATGATCAGTTGCAAGGCTGTGATATTCACGACGGTGTGATCACTGAGCATAGCTAGCTCCGTAAGTGATCCAGATCATGATCTGGGGATGTCGTGGCCTCGATGTATAGGTGGCCGTCGTAACGAACAACGACCGGACACAGATGGAGCGGCCACCCGTTCCATCGACCCAGACTCAAGGCCGGGTATAATCTCCTGGGAAAACCCAAAATGAATTCATGATCATGAATCCCTTCACCAGCTTGGCAACCTAGCCAAAGGTGTCGAGGCACTTTTTGTCAGCTGGATTTTGTCCGACCTCACACCGCCAACTGAAAGACAGACCCATCTGTAGATATCCAAACGGTGAGAGCCTCGCTCTGGACCATCGGTCATGGCGAGACCGACCCCTCTCTTGGAATCCAGACAGTGAGAGTCTCAATGAAATACACAGAGACAGACCTGTCGGTAGGAATCCAGACAATGAGAGTCTCAATGAAGTACATAGAGACAGACCTGTCGGTAGGAATCCACACTGTGAGCGTCTCAATGAGACACACCGAGATAGACCCATCTATTGGGATGTGAGAGCCCCGCTCTCTTCCCACTCTGCAGGTAGGAATAAAGATAGCATGGGTCCCCCCCAGAACGCTTAAAGAGGAAGACAGATCCGTCTGTTGGAATCCAGACGGTGAGAGCCCCGCTCTCTTCCAACTCTCCAGGTAGGAATGAAGACAGGGCGAGCCTCAGCCTCTGCCAAATCTTCGCTATCCCTTCGGAATGGCGGCAAGTCGAGCTTGGTAACCATCAAGGCCAGGGTGTTTCACAAAGCGTGCGCTTGGCTACATTCTGATGATGACCAGTTTCTGTCCGGGAAACTGGACGATTACCATCCTGGCTTTCGAATACCCTGGCGACCGCCAACGTCAATTTGTGTCTGGCGTTGCCAGTAGCACCTCCGCAGACGCATTCGCCGCTGTATGCCAGAAAATCGTGGCATAGGTATCACGTCTGCATCAAATGATCTGAGCCATTTTTTCCGATGACCGCTCTAGGGTATCTGTATCCAAGAGAAGCCAAGAATTACCACAACACCGTGAGACATCAAATCTTGTCGTACATGACCTACTTTACCGTCTCTCTGTGGTTTATTGATGTCTTTCGGCGTTGGCAAGACGATCCTGTTCCTGCCAGTAACTTGGACCGTCTCCGATGTACCGTTCTTCAGATTCCGACTTGTTTCTTGGAAGCCACAGATCCATTCGAGCTTGAAGTCCAAGATAGGGATGAAATTCTTCAGACACCACTTGTTGAGATTGCCGGCTTTGTAGCCATGTCCACTTTCACGAGAAGTGTAACAAGGATAAGGATCGCGTCTGATGGACCTTCAGATTCAGGAGCTTGAGCTTGAGCTTGAGATTCAGACTCGGAGTCACCACGTTCGAGAGGAGACAGAGAGAAAGATTTTCATGAACGTATTGATCGATACGTTTCTGTTCGAGAAGAGCACCCTCTTCAGGAACTGCCCAGGTCTCACACCAGTTAGAGTTTTATTGGCCTGACATGGTGACCTCTATCAAGGGCCAAGATAATTCAATTGTTACTGCAGAACTGGGAGGTTTGTTGATCTTGAAGTGCGAGTAAGTGCTGGAAATTTAAGGCGGGGTGTGTCATTGGAAGAAGACGAGGAGGATGAACTCAGGCATCAGGTATATCAGTGCTATCGGCAGCTCCGCTCCACGATTTTCGATTCATCGATTGTCCAGCTTTCCCTCTGTGGATTTGTGGTTGGCTTTAATTCAGGTTGAACACATAAGCAAGCTTGTCCAAGATCTCATCAGTCTGAATGTTTGACTGCTGTCAAGAGGCCAGGATCTTCTTGAACATAACTGTGCGAAAACCACGTTGTCAAGAATAAAGCAAGGTCCCAAGCGATCCAGGCACCGCATGAGACTCATTGTGAAGTGACTCAACCTGAAGTCACCCGGGGGATCCTCAAGCGTCAGGTATTGCTTTTCATCACTTGTTCAATCTTTGAACAAAGATTCAGTGTCCGAGAATCGCTGTTGGAAGATGAGAGGGAAGTTTCTGAGATGGAGAGTCCATGACTTGAATGGCAAAACCAAGATTCAAGCCTTGGAGACCCTGTGAGAGCTTTGCAATCCCACTACATACCGTTGCCGTCCATTGCACACAGATATGAAAGGGTGATGAGAGCGCGTTGTGAGCTTGATGATGTGAGAATGAAAGAGAGAAAGAAGAAAGGAGGATGCGATGCGAAATAAATGTGGTGCTTGCGCCGAGAAGGAGCGCCGAGAAGCATATCTGCCAAGGACGGGAAGCCCTACGCGAAGGGGAGGATTTAACTAGCACAGGGCTGAAGCTATTCAGGGGCACGAATGATGCCTACAATTCTATTGCCAGAAGACTGTGATCAAGACTTGCTATTGTCCTTGTGCTAATTGCCAGTCTTCCCACTATCCAAAATACAGTGTGCAATAGATCCCAGCGGTGGCTTCACGTGCTTGGTTCTCTCTATGCCAGAAGTTCTTAGGACGATGCACATCATGAATCAATAAGAACAGGGGCTTCATCCAACGGGTGACTGTGGTTTGAAGTCTATCATAATGGACACTCGCCGATATGCTCACCCGGTGTTATGCAATACGGCAACATGCCTACTTGTCTTGGGTCGTGCCGATCTGCCCTATGCAGAAGGGAATCAAGCGCAGCAACACGTCCGACCAGAGCTATGGCTATGTCTATGACCGAAGCTGGGAGGATGGACCAACCTACGCTAGGAACCGGACGGACTTTTTCCTTGATATGCTCCAACTATGTTCCTATACCCCAATCCATTGGCAAAGACTGCAAGAACGGCCACTGAACTAGGTTGCACGTCGAACACGGCACGTTAGCAAGGGATCATCGTCTTGAGGGTGTCTCGTATTTCCTTCGTCTCCAACGGCGATCGTGACTCAGAGCCAGAGATGGACCTCCCGAAAACAGTCTTATTCGTGGTTATTTGAGATTAAGTTCTTGAAAAGGATCCATGCGGCATCGCTCTCTATCATTGGCTTTCGCAAAAACCGTGCCAGCTCGGGATATCAGTTGAGGAATCACGTTGCGAAGCGGCTACTGAATATTGCCCCTCTTAATTCGCAGCCTCCGCATTACGACCGCTGTGAGCTCAGCATTCGAATCATACAACACCGAGGAGTGACGATTGTACGAAAGCTTGAAAAATAATATACTTGGAGATGGCTGCAGATATTGATACAACTTATCAAGAGGCTATCGATGCTGGAAAAATCAACGGTGTTGTCTTATGTGCGATGGACACGAAAGGCGATTTTATTTATAAGAACGCCCTTGGAACACGGACCCTACCAACTGGGGAGAAACGCCCACAGCAGCTGGATGATGTTCTATGGCTGGCTTCAGCAACCAAGCTAATCACCACCATTGCGGCACTGCAATGTATCGAAGATGGGATATTGACACTTGACGGTGACATATCACTAATCGCTCCAGATCTAGCTTCCAGACAGGTCATCACCGGATTCTCTGAGGACGGCGAAACTCCTTTGCTCGAACCATCAACTCGGCCCATCACACTGGAAATGCTACTTACTCACAGCTCCGGCCTCGCCTACGAATTCTTGAACCCGGACTTAATGAAATGGAGCGAGAAATTCAGTGCTTCTCAGGAGGGTGTGCTACGAGGAGTAGAAGAGGCCTTTGGATACCCACTCAGCTTTCAGCCAGGCGATGGGTGGCTATATGGCCCAGGACTGGACTGGACTGGTAAAATCATTGAGCGCGCAACAGGCCAAACACTTGGTGAGCACATAAAAGTGCGAATTTTTGAGCCATTGAATATCGAGGATGCATCATTCTGGCCGGTCACGCGCGAAGATCTACGTGCACGTCTCGTTGATCTGAACCCACAAGATCCCGAAGGTCTGGGTATGGCTGTGGCAGGGGGTACTGGAGATATGAACAAGCGCAGTCAAGGTGATTTTGGTGGCCATGGTCTTTACATGACAGGTGCCGACTACATCAAAGTGTTGCATTCGATACTGGCCAACGATGGCAAGCTACTCACACCTTCAACGGTCGACGATATGTTTAGGAACCATCTTTCCACCAATGCGGCGGCAGGCCAACAAGCTGCTTTGTCTAGCCCACTTGGTGACTTTTTTCGTCTTGGAGTGGGACGCGAAATCAAGATTGGATATGGTCTGGGCGGGATCGTAACATTGCAGGACAGTGAAGGCTGGTATGGGGAGCATACGTTGTCGTGGGGAGGAGGTGTGACACTCACATGGTTCATTGATCGCAAGAATGATCTTTGTGGTGTTGGTGCCGTACAGTCTGCTCTGCCAGTGGACATACCTGCAATAGAAATACTGAAACAGACGTTCCGTCGGGATATCTATCGCAAACGCGCTGAATGGAAGGGGTAGCAATAGCCAAATGGGTGATGATCCAGAGATTGAATGCAGTGGTTAGCTCTCTCCTCTTAACTAGAATCCTCTCACTCTTTTTTGACCATACATCTACGAAGAATACATCGGCTCTCCAGATTTTGCTCGCTCAATGGGATTCGACCATGAACAAATAATGTCATAGGTACAGTTCACCAGCTTGGTGCTCAATGAGAGATCGGGAGGCCAAGGCGGTTATCTCATTGAAGTTCACCGCTCGACGCAACTGAAGCACCTTAGCCTATTCGTGAAACCTAGTATAGATATCTAGGGCTGACTGCTGTGGAAAGGCCTTGGGAGGGATAATTTCCTAAGGTCCGGTAACTATAACTAGATACCCACATAAATAGCATGATAATGAAAGGAACCAGGTCGTTAGATAACGCAGTTAATGAGATGGAAAGGAACAGAGTGCTTTAACTAAGCTTTTAGCGCCCCTCTATTTATTTAGTGGGGCAAATAGGTGCGAAATGCCTAAGCTGATTAACTACTCTCGCCACTACTATCGTCCTCAACTAAAGGCTGTCCTCCATCTCGAATCACAATCAACCTGCGAAAGAATTGAATTTTCGCGTAGATCGTCTGCTACGTGGCCTCCGCCTCGAGGAGAAACGGAAATGCTGGATATGTCCCAAAACCTGTGACCAATTGATTGTTCAAACCAGAACGAACTTCCAGACCAACAGCAAAATGTCTTCACATCATCATGATCATAGTCACGGCCATGATCATTCCCATGGTGGGCATGGGCATGGACATGGACATGGAGATCACGATCATTCTCACGACTTGGAGCCGGCTCTCCAGTCAAACCTCTACAAACAAATTGGTTTCGAAAGCATCAGAACCCTCAACGAGGCTGAACCACGATCAGGCGCCGGAATAGTGCAGAAGACATGGGACGAGAGATTGAACGACCAACCAACACTCGAGAGTGACGCAGACGAGCAACTCTTGATGCATATCCCATTTGCGGGATCTTGCAAATTGTACTCGATTCTCATCCGCACATCCGACTCGGATTCGGCTCCTCAGACTCTCAAATTGTTCCGCAACAGAGATGACATGGACTTCAGTACCGCGTCTGATCTCAAGCCGACCCAGACTATCGTCCTACCCAGAAGTAGTGAGGTGGCAGACATCCCTCTAAATCGGGCTCTCTGGAACGGTACCACGTCGATCAATCTTTTCTTCGAGGATAACCATTCTGGAGGAAGCGAGGATGTGACCAGTGTCAGTTATCTGGGGTTCAAAGGAGATTTCATGACGTTGAATCGTGAACCAGTCAGTGTACTCTATGAAGCGGCAGCCAATCCAAAGGACCACAAGGTCATCCAGGGATTGACGAATGCGACCCATTCTATGCCAGGACAATGATGGAAGTGGGATAGGACCCTCATATGTACTGGTCTCTCGCTTGCTACGAATCACTTTGCCGCTTGTAAGATAAAATTGAGCAATCGCGTGCGCTAAAAGGAACAAAAAGTACATCCACATCTGGAAATAGGATCACGAAGCCTCCATCGCAATCCTTCTCTGTTTTGCCCTTTCTTTCTGTTTCTGCACACGGTCTTGCTCCAATTCCAGCTCCGTCTTGGGAACTTCAGGCAAGACACCTTCTCCCACGATTGTCTTGTTTGGCGCATTGGGAAGGGCCGCCACGCCGCTCACTTCCCTCTCCATGGCTTCGAGTTCATCCTCGACTTCGTCTTCATCCTCGTTGGACATCTGTCCCGCCAGAGCCTCACTGATCTCCTCTTGATATCGTCTCGCTTCCTCCGTGTCGGCCATCATTTTCTCCACGCCCTCCAACCCGCCCATCTCCTTGTGAATCATGTTGAGTACTTGTGTACCCTGTTGAAGACCAAACACGACATCCTTTTGAACCTGCGCAAACTCAACGCTACTCGTCAACTTCTCCAATTGTTCCAGTTGGGAGTCTGTCTTGGAGAGTAGCGACTCTTGGTATTTCTTCCGTCGGAGTGCGAGGAGTGCTTTGGCTTTATCGCCTTTCGCGAGGCACTCGCGCGCGATCTCGGTTTCGCGTGTCGTGATGACGGTGATTCGTTTCTGATATTGACGTAGTTTGTCTCGTTGATTTTTCATATCCAGGATTGCCCTTGAAGAATGGAGGTCATGTCAGCACAAGGACGCAGGAGGATGTGGGGTGTGAGAGAGGGATGTGAAGTTCCACCTGTCTTGTGCAGAGATCTTATTCGAGCTCTGAGAATTCCCCATCTCTGCGGCATCATCTTCAGATGACTGAAGATTTGCCCCCAGAATTTCCTGTGTAGAAACGGGCCAGAAGTGGTGATATGGGAGAGTCTATTTGGTGACCTGCACCAACTTGAAACTGCAGACAACTTCTACTCTGGTGCTGTGGTTCCAACGACGTAATTCACGGGAGTGATAACGATAGTGGCCTATCCACGCTAGCTTCATTGGATTACCTCGGCCTTGCTCCGAATTCCTTTACAACTTGAATATATTGCGGTCCTTGCGGTTTCTGAGCAACACTCGGGATAGGTCTTCATCTCATTATTCATCTTCACCGAGATATGCTTGATGGTCCTCTACCACATTGATGAGCACAGTCGCAAGTAAAATCCAAGGCTGTATTTGATGTGCGTCCTCTTTTCTCGATTGTTATTTCAAACCTTGATTCGTACCTGAAACTCCCATCTTTCATTAATTCCAAGACAAGTATATCTGTCTTGGTATCAAATTACCTGTAGGATGTTTCGCCATGCATATGAGCTAGTTGTAAGTCGGTAGATTTCGGGGTCGCACCAATCGGAATACTCCTCCGGAATATCTGGTCGATCGTCGATTCGACAAGAAAGGGAGCATTGATCCTCACACTCATAGGCTCTCTCGTTCCTCATAATTTCGTACCTGAATGACTAGTCGCAATTGATCATGAAGAGAAGCGGACGATTTGTCCGAGGAGACCCCTCGGAAAATCCAAATGCTCTACATGATTTTCACAAAGCTCGTCGCGGCCCCAAGAATGTTCCTCACACGGTCATGGCTAAACCGAACCAAAATAACGAACCAAAGGACCCGGGACATCCATACTCGAGGACTGAGAATATCGACTTCAGGTTTTATGATCAGAGGACCTCGAATGCTCCATTTGGATATGAACATTTTGTGTCCTTACCGCCTGCTTATGGGGGAGAAGAAAGCAAAAAGTGGCCTTTGATTCTTTTCCTGCATGGCGCGGGCGAGTCTCAGCGAGGCAAGAATGAGTCGTTAGCATCTATCAGACATGGAATACCTAAAATAATTCTCTGCTATGACAAACTGAAAGCAGACCCTAAAAACGCCTCGCCCACGATATCGATACCTCTAGCCCAAAGATTGAGACAGAGCAGGCAGACTAAGCAAGGAGACAAGTCTGTCGATCCTGTTAGTCCAGATGTCTGTACGATGGTGGCTGAGAACTTCATCACTGTGACACCGTCGTTGAACATGGAGTGGGGATATGGATGGAATGCATCGATCTTGTCGGCTCTCCTGGATGAAGTTGTAGAACGATATCAGGTCGATCTGGATCGAATTCATGTCACCGGATTCAGTATGGGTGGGTATGGGACATGGGAACTCGGAATACACTCGCCCAACAGGTTTGCAAGCCTCATGCCCATCTGTGGTGGAGGAGATCGATTGAGAGCTGGTCTAATCAAGCATGTCCCGCAATGGTACGTTTGTTTAGGTCGATAACTTGGAATTGACACTGACATGGTAGGGTCCACCACGGTGATTTGGATGATGTGATCCCATTACGGGCTTCCGAACAGATGGTTGAGACCTTGACAGAGGCAGGTGCCAAGGAAGTCATATTCACGAGATATTCAGACCTGATGCACGACAGTTGGACGGCAGCGTACAATAACCTTGATGTTTATTCCTGGATGCTAAAGCAAAAAAGGGAGTATCATGGTGATGAAGAGGTGGTTCCCGACGAGAACAAGGTGATATTGCCAACTTCGTGATCACTCGAACATTATTGGCGTCTTCTCTTCAACCCTCCCAGTTAACGATGATATCTCCTGCGTCCACCACGACGTCCACCCCCTTCACAACAAACATTATTCACGATGACTTGGACAAGAGGGGTTCGCCGGTCTTCATCGTAGTAGTCTCTGGTTTGGTGTTAGCGAATGTCCAAGTTGGGCCTACTCCTCCACTTTACCTCCGGTCCTCTCGATGTTCCCTGTCAAAATAGTCGTCGTCTTCAAGGTATATGATATTTCGACGAATTCCGCGCTCGTCGACCGCTCGAATCCTACCACCAACTCGGAGTAGGACATAGTGATCGTAGTGTCTGAGGTCGTCGGCATTCACATACACAATCTGTCTGGGCATCTTGACGTCAATGAGTTGCTATTTGTAGGAGAGGAATAGATGTGGACTGAGCCCTGGGTGGGGCTGAAGAGTGAATAGAGTGGAGGATCTTGTTGTCTGTGAAATCTAAGATGTCTGATTGAAGATGAAGAGAGTTTCGAAGATGTGTTCTTCTTTATGTTGTTCAAAAACCAACCTTGTCTCATCCTTAGGCCTCTTTTATAGGCCGGCTGTATATGCTGGTGTAATTGCGGCCAAACGACCTGATTGCTTGTGCTGTTTGCTCTCACCAGTGGCGACACGTTGTGTTGCTTGAATGATCTCTTTGACGAATGGATTTTGTTTATAACCTTCGCGTAGTTAAACTCATACCCAACGTCGTTCAGGTCTATAGGCTACACCGCAATGTGTACTGCTATCTGGTGGGCCGAAGCATACTTGAATGGCAGACAAAACAAAGTATGAGCGGGGTATCGGTTTTGACCAACGATTCAAAGATTGACAATGAAAAAAGATGGATGATCACGAAGAGAGAATGCTTCGTGGTTGCGATATATACCTTTCTATAGTGCCAGCCTTGTCATCTCCCTACTTCCCTCATAAAGCTGGCCCACCCTTTGAATAAAAAGAATGAAAAATAGAGTAAACGCATCTGCTGCTCGTCCTGCTCGTCCTCCAGCTACCGTGACATTTGATTTGCTCTGTCAGTTTGAAGTCGGCGTTTTCCCACTCCGTCCTCTCACCCCCACCTACTCAAATACATCCCACGTCCACACAACACCCTCACAACAAAAAACAATTGATTGGAGAGCCAGAAAGCCAAAAATTGATCGATGCGAGCAGGATTTGAACCTGCGCCTCCGAAGAGAATTGATATACCAACACAGTAGTCTACCGAAGCAGATAACTAGTTCTAGTCAATCGCCTTAGACCGCTCGGCCATCGCATCTTCTTTCTTCCATCAGGCAAGCTGAATAAATCTCCTGGGTGATTTATGGCTGAATTTCATATTGTTTGATACATATTGTTGTTTTGCAAAGTGGTGAAAGTGAAGTATTTCGGAGTGCATGTGCTAAATTGCCTTCCCCGCACGCCCAAGCCCATGTGCAACTCCAAGGAGGTTTCCCCGCCCACGTGATGATGCCTCGCCCTAACATATCTCCGATACCCCCTGGGTGCCCCCCATCATCATGTTGTGATCGGACTGGCAAATTATAAGTTTCATTTACATCTCAATGCACTCAGGCTCAACTGCACGACTATGACTGCCAGTGAGACTTGCAATTGTGAGGAGGTTGGATACTTGAAACAAAGCCAGAGGATACCGTGCAGATCCCAGCTCACGGGTCCAGACAGTAATGGTTATGGTATTGTTATTTACATTTCAGGACAGGAAAACCTAAGAGTACAATCTCTGCTTGTGAGTTCAATGTCCTCCGCCGAACCGCTTCAACGTTTTCCATGGAGGCTCAGCCTGGAGTCATGAGGACAACAGGCCTGCACACTTCCCGCCGAGACCCTTTACTCCAGGCCAATATCTGTCTGTGCTGAGTAGAATTCTTTGACAACGCCGACGTCTTTCCGATGAGTCTACAGAGTGACTTAGTCACCTGAGGTAGACAGCTCATGCACTCGAAATGGAATGTTGAATCCAGTCTCCTTGAATGGTCGGCTTCAAAGACCCAATTTCCAATGAAGGGCCGCTGTGATCAATGGGAGCTCCCATGTGCTCGCAGGCATATCCAGGTGTTTTTGAAGGCGCTCCCACTGCACTGGCCGCATCTACAATTCACTTTCGAATATTGTGAATGCCACGCTATCGATATTCCGACGGCCATTTCACATTGAGGAGAGCGTCTTGGTCTCAAGCTTAGTAGGTGATATCTACTCATGCTCGAATAAGCAGTTTCTCTCTGGTATAAATACCGAGAAACCCAGTAATCGTACATCGCATCGTCGATACGTTGGCTTTGCCTCAAGTGTGAGAGTCACTTGTTCGTAATGCATGAATGGCTGACGCAACATATCGCACGTTTCTGGTGTTGACTGAAATCATTAGTGGCATATCCTTGTTACTCCCAAATACGTTTACTCACGTCCTGCGACCGATATCCGTCCAGAAGAAAGCATATAAATGTGAAACTGTTTCCGAAGGATCTCCACTTCAGTTGCGCTCAGGCCGGTGTAGGAGAACATGCCGATCTACTTATATGTTAGAATGAATTGCTCAACAATGATCAAGCGGCAACATACCTGGTCAACGATATGAACCCACGACCCCGGAGTCTTCAGACGACAAAGCTCATCATAAAGCGCAGCTCTCATCGACTTGATGCGACCACTAATGGTTTTCAGATCGGCCAACCATTCCTTCGACAACGACTTGCTCTCCAAAACGGTCTTGATGATTGTGGAGCCATATCGCGGGGAAACAGAGTATTCCGATCGAATGAGGTGTGATAGATTCGCAAGGACAGTATCTCGGGCCGCATAAGAAGGGTCATTCATGACCAAATGGAACGCGCCAGCTCGCTGACCATAAAGGCCGAAGTTCTTGGAGAAAGATTGCGCCACACACATCTCCACGGGCGGTTGTAGACCATAGAAGTGGCAGACAGCCCAAGCGTCCTGCACGGGACTTCCAGAGGCGAACCCTTGATATGCACTGTCGAAGAAGGGGAATAGTTGTTTTCTTTGGCAGAGTTCTGCAATAGCCATCCACTGATCGTGCGAAGGATCGATACCAGTCGGGTTATGGGCGCAGGCATGGAGAACAATCACGTCTTCGGACTGTGCTTCTCGTTCCAGCGTGGCTATCATGGCATCAAAGTCGAGTGTTCGACTGTCCTTGTTGTAGTAAGGATATTCTCGTACAGGCACACCTACAGACTCCCAGATCGCGTGATGATTCGCCCAGGTAGGATTTGACAACCAGACACGACGCGGACGAAGATTCTCAGCCAAGAATCGAGCGCCGATATGATTGGCACCTGTGCCGGAGATTGTCTGGACGGAGACGATGCGGGAGTCGGTTGATCGTCGTAGGTCGTCTTCCGATTCAAAAGCAGAAGAGAAAAGCAAGTCGCGCGCAACGGCCAGGAACCTTGGGTCCCCTTCGATGGCCAAGTAGTCATGTCGGCCGATATCTTGCAGCTCGTGGAGATTCTTCTCAACTTGACCGACCACTCTCAAAGGCCAGGACTTGCCCTCGTCGCAGCAATACACTCCAGCGCCCAAGTTCACGCGATTTGGATCTGTGTCTGCGTGGTATTGTGCCATCAGACTGAACACTTCATCCTTGGCGACTTCCGGGAGTGAAGAGAATAATGAGGGCGGCATGGACCCCATCTTTCTTACTATGGAGAATTGAAGCCAGGAAATGAGGACTGTGTGATGAAATGAAGAAGATTGGAAAATTCCAAAACTGAATCGCGTACACACTCACCGATGGGAACGCCCGAAGTACTTTATGCCATTTGAGTGACGGTTGAGTTAATGCAATCCAAGACACTAGCTCACTAACGTTGAAATTTTGGCAACCCAGGAGCACGCTGCACGCTGCACGGAGACGGCGCACGGCATCGGATATCGGTCAGGCCAGAAACACTGGTCCGGTGACCTCCATTTGAGAGCCACAATCACTTCTTCTACGAGAAACATACTTTTCGAATCATATCTCGAGTTGCGTCAGAGGCCGGATATTCATTATATGCGCTTGTAGCCGGTAGTGGTACAAAAAGAAGGGGAGGAGAAATTTGATCAAGATCATTTTGTTTTACAATTGGCCAGGCCTAATGCAAGGCACCAAGGATAAGCGAAGACACATTCCACTAAAGTCCGAGTTTCGAAGGCCGAGCACCGCTTCATGGCCAACTACATGGTTGGTACCGATGGCGCACATCTTTTGAAACTGAGCGGCATAAAGAATCTAGAGAGCCGAGATGGTTATGATATGGGAACCACGTGTACTCTCAGCATCACGACAAAAGGTCAGGACCATTTCCAATATGATGCCTGGTGAAACTCGAACATATTTCTAGGCGCTGGCAATAGATATCTTCTGGCTGTTTTGCCACTGCGGAACGGAATTCCAGATCAACCACGGTCCGTGTTTGCAGTATAATTTACACTTGGGTGATGAATGGACTAAGCCGGCTTCTTATGCTGCATGGCCGCTCAAACACATGACCCGTTGATCCAAGTTCATCAGTATCAAACACAATATGTACGGCGTATTTGGCTACAAGCTACCTACTCGTAAGGTATTTATCTGCCCGTACTCGCTTAACCAACATGTACTTCCTGCGGAGATAAGGCTATCTTCGGACATGAGAATACCTAAAAGATGGCAACTTCGCAACTATCTGATTACTAAAGCGTCATGAATCCCTAGGCACTGATCTCAACTTCATTGCACACTAAGCTCATCGTAAAAACAGCTTCCCAAGTTGTAGACCAGTAATGGCAGATGAGAACCACCGAGATCTCGTCGTCCTTCCAAAACCTAAACGAAGAGGACGGACCGGCTGCATCACCTGCAGGTATGTCCGGTCTCAGAACTCCACTCCAATCCAACAGCTCTAAATGTCATATAGAATCAGGCGGATCAAGTGTGACGAATCAAAACCATCCTGCAACCAATGTACAGGGACGGGGCGAACATGTGATGGCTATCTAACCCCCAAGCAACAGCCGCCCGTCGCGTTCCTCATGGTGATCAGCGATGGAGTTCAAGTAGAGACACATCCAGAGGCAGCGCATGCGTGCCAGTATTTCCGCGACGTGTGCGCTCCCGCTCTCGTCAATTATGGGAGCGCATCGTTCTGGAATCGATTGGTCCTTCAGGCTTGCCACAATGACGAGAGCCTCAAACATCTGATGATAGCCGCATCCCACCTGGACAGGCAGATTTGTCAATCCGGCCTTTTGGACAACATCGCGTTCTACTCGCACTATGGAAAGGGGTTGCGCTTGATCACTCAGGCCCGAAACCCAGATACCGCATCGCTTCTAATCGCGTGCTTGTTGTTGATGCTCTGTGATGAGCTTCAGCAGAAGTATTATTCTGCGTTGCAACATTTGATCTCCGGACGGAAGATCCTGACCGCGTATCATCCATGTATGAGGGGCTCGACAGGGAACATTGTCATTGAAGAAATCGGGCCAATCTTCTCCAAGTTGGAATCGGACACAAGAGAATTTCAGAAACAACTGGTCCCAACAATCTCAAGGCAAGCCACCGATGTCCCTTATACCGACGACATCCACCACCTCTCATGCTTCAGCCTGCTCTGTCCATTCATCAGTGTTGACCAATCTGCTTTCGCTCTTCAAGCGATCGCATCCGACTGTACGAGATCTCGCATCCAGGGCATTGCACCCAGGACCCGATTTCATATGGTCACCTCTCTGACATCGGATCTCAACACCTGGCATGCACGCTTCGTCGCCTTTGAGAAAACCTTGACCGCGGCGACAGAATCGAGGATGTACTTCCACTTGAATCTACTTCGGACGTACCATTTATGTCTGCACATTATCTCTCGCTGTGCTCCTTTCAACCAAGAGCTTGCGTTTGACGGCTACCATGAGAGCATCGAACTCGTGCTGGTCAGCTGTGACATCTTGATGACCGGGGCATTGTCGACGAAATTCATACCACCCTTGTTCTTCGTGGCGACGAGATACCGCAGCCTGAGTTTCAGAAGACGCGCCATCAAGTCATTGAGGAGGTGTGGACCGGACGGTCAACTTCTCGCTGACATGGCGTCGAGAATTGCTCGTGTGGAAGAACACGGAATTCCTGGTCCTGTTCTGTGCTCCGATATCCCTGAAGGAAAGCGTGTACAGATACAAAGCATGGAACTGGACCCCTCGAATCAGTCCTACAATTTGTACTTCAAGCGTCATCCATTCACGGAGAACGTGCTTCCGGATTATTTGACCTTCCCGTCACAAGGTTGGGTGTGGGGTGAATCTTCCTCGACATTGTGTCATGCGGTAAGCCTTTCGTATTTCCTGTGATATTGAGCCAACATTAACTTCCATACAGTCCCGGCTGCTCGAAGCTGTTCAACGATTTGACTTCATGAATTTCTGGTATGACGAAGATCTGGGTTGAAAAGTATGATGATTTCGTGACGAGTATAAACATTATTCTTGATCATTATGCCACATATGCAGTAAGACGACCTTTAAGCTGCACCTCCACCCATGTCGAGTTTCTTTCCCTTTACACTCTTCCATTCGAATCCTAGTGAGAGGATAAAGGCAATCCCAGCACAAGCAATTGCCAAGATGAAAGCGGTGGTGACGGCGAGATTATAAGACTCGAGTACACCTGCAAGCTGATCAGGTGGTGTCACTTCTTTGATATGAGTAGCACCAGCAGCGACAATGACCCATGGGTCAACCCCTGTTGTATGTTTTGGGATCTGTTTAACCAGGGTATTGGAAAATATGTTCTGTGCAATCGAAATGGAGACGGCACCTCCCAGGGAATTGAAAAAGATGGCCACGGCGTTTCCAATTGGCATATCTTTCTTGTTCAGAACAACTTGCACGGCGATAAAGGGAATCTGAACACATGCACCAGCTCCAAACCCAGTCAAGATCTGATACCCAATCCAGGTGCCGGTGGAAGAGTCCACTTTGAGCGTATACAAGAGACCACAACCCACAGCAAAAACAGCCGATCCTACCCATGTGAACGGTACATAAGGACCAAATATGGTGATACTGGCCCCAACACCGATTGAGGAGAGTGTGATGCTGACCAAGTAAGGGATTGTTCGGATTCCAGATTCTTCGGCGGTAGTTCCCTTGACAGCCTGGAAGTAGAAGGGAAGATAGAAGATATGAGTGTAGAGGGCCATGGCTAGGAAGGTGGAGAAAAATGCACACACGAACACCGTTCGTTGCCTCAACATAATACGTGGAGGAAGAGTCGCGGTATCACCTTTCCAGAGTTGAATACCTGTGAAGACCGAAATCAAAAGTCCGAAACCGAGGATATTGCCCCAGACCTTGGAATGTGACCAAGGATAGGTGGTTCCGCCCCATTGGAGTGCCAAAAGTAGGCACACAATTGCGCAGATCAAGAAAAAGGCACCCAGCAGATCGATCTGGCCGATTTTTTGCTTCAGAGTCAGATCACTGTGTTTTCGAACCGGGTTCGAAAAGAAGAAGAAGACAGCGGCGATAGCAATGGCACCGATAGGAAGATTGATATAAAAACACCAGCGCCACGATACACCTGCGAAAAAGTCAGTATGACAGGCACCAATATAGATCTTGATCGGACCAGTTCAACTTACGATCAGTAAAGGCACCTCCCAAGATTGGTCCCACCACGGAAGCAATACCAAACATACTGGAAAGCAGTCCGATATAGATGGGTCTTTTCCGTAAAGGCACTGTATATCCAACAATGGTCATACCTCCCGAGAACAAGGCTGCGGCTCCTGCACCGGCAACAGCTCGTCCAACAATGAGCATTACCGAATTGACTGCAGCACCACACAAGACGGAACCAACTTCGAAGATTATCAGGGCCGATATGTATGTCCATTTGACGTTGAAGTATGTGTAAACTTTGCCGAAAGAAGGTTGGAGAGCTGTGGTCGTCAATAGATAGGAAGATCCGTACCAACCGACATCATCAAGTGAGTTGAAGACAGTGGTGATCTTGGGAATGGCTGTTGCGATGATGGTATTGTCAAGGGCGACAACGAAGGTGGAGAGCGTCAACCCGAAGGTGAGCAAGTACAGGGGCGTTCCTGTGATATATTTTGACTCATCATCGACACCAGCTTCACCTGCTGAGGACTGTGTAGCCGTGGACAGGGTACGAGTGACTTCATCATTACTTTTCTCGTCTGTGACTGGATCGGCAACGGTCTGGTTTTCTGTAGCTGTTTTAACTCCATCGACCTCTTCAAAAGGTCGCTTCTCCAGGTCGACATGCTCTGTTGTTGAAATCGGTGTATCATGTACTGTGTCGTTGATAACACCGGTGTCTGATGAAGTGGTTGACTTTTCGGCCTCGGCCGTCTTTGACCAAGGGAATTTCATCACAGATGAATGGGAACAGCCAGTGGCGCAAAAGTGCGTCAAGGTCGATATTGGAGTCACCGGGGTATACCCATGTAACGTAGGTCTAACACGATTCTTTGAGACGAGGCTATTGTTTCAAAAGGGACAATATGTGTTTTTGTAAACCTCTACGTGACAATGTCTGAGGTTAGAGAACACGAAGTGTTTATTAGCTGCGGACCACATAGGGTGACATTTACAAGTCGGCGTCCGCCATCTCGGAAGGAACTCTATCCGTACTGTGAGCCGAAGGGGAGAGCCAGTGGTCGGCAATGATAGCTTGCGAGTGAACCTATGAGGAGGGAACAAGCTCCAAATGTAGAGGTGCCGACGATGATCGGAAAAAAAGGTTGGAGGGAACGACAGGGTCTCCACACGCAAGAGGCGAAGAGACAGGCAAAAGAAAGCGCGTGTCTTTTTTACCAAGTAGTACTCGTAGCTAGGTCTGGAATCGGTATCCGTATTCCCTCCATCGCACCCGTTTCGTGCCATTTGAACGAACGATGGCTTCGCTTCGAAAGCGAACTGACGAACGAGATTTTAGCCATGGGACATTGATGGCGGTCTGAATGACAGGCATGCCGCGTGATGGCTCCACGGGCGTCCTTGGTCCGGTCCATGGCGTCGTAAACCATTCCATTTGAGGCTTCAACCCACTTTCAATCTGGCTGGTGGGTTCTGGGGCAAATCCGCCAACTGCAAGTCCCCAACCAAATCGCAAGAATCATGTCAAACGATCGTGATGCTTTTACGGAGTACCTTGAGCTTGTCTCGTGTCATCTCGCTTCGAAGAAGTTCCGCCGGTAGACTTGATGCCTCTTTTTGACAGGTTTCGGTATCGGGTACACCGTAATTGATGGCGCCATGCCCATGGTGAGGCAGGCAAATGGTGACAGCAGAAACGCGGTGCGAGTTGACGAACCACTTTTTCCCATTTGGGTGCCCTTCTGGAATAAAGTGCGAATACGATGACAATGCAGCAGAATACGGATCCCTCGTTCGAATATTTGCACCTACTCAAATACTACAGAAGCACCTACTGCGGGCAATTCAAAGGTGTGTTGATCAGACCTTTAGCCAAAGCCTGGACCAACCTGAGTCCTAAACGACAAATCAATCTCTTCAGACGAGCGCGGACCTCCCAATGAAGGCGTCTCGTAATAACTAACGGAAGTGAGTGCTGACTCCAAGCCATCCTTTAAGCTGTGGCTGTTCCTCGGCAGCTGATTTCTCCTCTGATAGGCACGGCAGCTCTCGGTGCCGTGATGCTTAGAGAACGCTTTTCATTTAGTTGACAGACTTACATCAATCATGATTTAACCCCTTCCTCTGGACATTGTTCATCGAACTTGAGCGAACTGACTGATGTTGATATTTGTTTGCAAACACAGGAATTACAGGAGCAAGCGCCCCACAATTGCTCAAGACGCGTTCAGGTTGGTGGAAGAACACCGTCATCTATTTGGGACCCCCCTGGTCCTCTTCCAGTGTTCAGCGCAGTGAGGGTAATCTAGTCAAGGTTTGAAGCCGTCAAGTTAGCTGCCAAGCATTTCCTCTAAACACGAGACGTCTGGTCGATAGCCATGACCACCTTCTGAGAATCAGGTTCCCCTCAAAGAATGGCCTCTACAACTGCCTCTCGAGGGAGTTTCACGGAGAGAGGGGACGGGACTTGTCGATGCCGTCTTTCAATGCTGTTAGATTGAACAGTATGAGGTGGACCGCTCGAATCCTAATGGCGACCCTGATATCTCCCAGCGGCAGAAACGAGATCATCATATGCTTGAATGACTTTTTGATTCGTGATTGTCTCATTAGGACTCATCTCTATCATACAACTCGCTTAACCTGTAACCAGACAGTTGGTCAGCCACATATGTTCGAATCTCCCTCTTGAATGTATATATAATTTGCGGACACGCTGAGTAAAAGAAGAGTGGTCTTTCAAGGAAGGGGGCGACTATTCACCTCAAAGAATCGCTTGAGCCACCAGACTTGGAATACACCTTCTCCGATCAAAACACCAAGCTGGAATATCGACCACCACTTGACTCTTGCGTTTGTGCTCTCTGCGGTATTTCGGTGGGTTCGCTCTCGCATCACGATGTAGGCTTGTTCGTCCTTGACTTGTGCTAGAAGGTCGGAAAGTTGACGGACTGCAAGTCGTTAGCATTGACTTGCGCAAAGTTGGAGCCACATACTTTCTGTCTCCAGAGGATCCTGTGGCGCCTCAGATTCAGGTACATAGACAACACCATGGACATTGAATGAGACTTCCTTGCTGTTCGCCGACCAATGTTCATTGCTGAAGCAGTAGATATATCGACCATCCTGTCGAGCTTCGAAAGAATAGTCGCCGGAAGACACTGCGTTGATTTGTGTCTCATACGAGCCAGAAGGATCCGTGATCTATATGTTGCAAAGGGTCGTCATTAGGGAAGGACTTCACCAATCAACGGTACATGGCCTAACTCACGTAAAAATCAATGTCCAAATTGGCAGCACCGCCAAATTCACGATCGCCGACTTGGAAGGTGACTGTCATTTTATCATCCTTGTGTAGTTCTTCATGAAAGCATTCTCTTGTATGTGCCTTCAATTGGATATTATGTGCCAGACCAACCCCTAACCAGCCAGCAAAGGCGGCAACGGTCGCAGCTGCGCCTATCCGCATGGTGGAAATATCTGATGTGAGAACAACGAGCGGCGAAGACGAGTGGGATGATGAAGAGGCAACTGACAGTGACAGGTCGCCGGGTGTTGTGGTTGAGTTGTTGCGGTAGTTCAGCACGAACACAAAAAGTGTCCAATTCACTCCGCAGTTTCCTGTATGCGTCCTGGAGTCGCCCGATTTCCAGTTTCTGTGCACGTGCCCCTGAACTCCAAAATCTTGGCATTTCCCACCCCCTTTTTCTATTCGGGCTCTTCAAGTTGCCCCCTTTAACCATCTTGTTGCCGTCAATGTGTTCAATTCGTTCAATTCGTTCAATTCGTTCAATGTAGGTCAATTCAATGGAAATTTATCAATACCCTTTGTTTTGCAACCGACTGGTATTAGAATTGTATGCTTGGGAATTAGTGCCTGACCAGGCCAAAAAATATGGACATTTCCACTTTGTCGCCTTGTGCGCGCACTTTTCACAAAAGGGATATGGCAGATATGCTATCTGGATATTTCCTCTCACAATATGGAACCCGAAAGAGCAGACATCAACGTCTGTTTCATGTTGGCCCAGCTCCAAAATGTGATGTGCACCCAAGATGAGGAGCTCTAGGTTCAGTCAACCAATATAGGTCACATTAAAGCCTAGACGGCGACCCGACTGACAGTAGCACAACATCAAAATCCATCCTTCACTTGAGGTTCAAGATTCGCGTTGAAAATCGCATACTCTGTTTCTGTCACATGTTTCTGATTGTCTTGGTGTCTTTAGAACCATGCGCAAACAGCTGACCACCCTTCCTCTTTCATTTTATATTCTTCGACTAATCTCCCGCACTCTTGCAAAAGCCTGGCTACCTCCGTCAACATGTCTTTCACCGTGTTTTACAAGAAGAATGGTGTGGAGAAGCCAATCAAGCTGTCTTTCCTCGATGCACTTCGAGGTGTTCCTGACCAGAGACCACAAAAGCCTAAGTCAGTAAGTCTCAAGGCTCCAGCACAACCTACAGCTTCCATTCACTCCCCGTGCGACCATCATCATCTCCTAACAACTCCAGTGCTCCTGTTGTGGCAAAAATCATGGGAAGCAGTCGCAGCCAAACCAGAAGAAGGACAAGAAGAAAGAAGAATCATCCGAGAAAGGCGACGATGATTTCACCGAAGATGATCGAACCATGATGCGCATGAAAGAAGAAAAACCGGGCAGACCATGGTCAGATATCCTCGAGGCCACCAATTTCAAGGATAAAAGCACCGCAGTGGCTCGTTGGAAGGAAATCGAACACAAAGTTCAAGAAGACACCAATCAAGCCAAGTCCAAGAAACAGGAGCCGAAGCACAAGAAGGAAAAGAACCACAACGCAGAACAAGAGGCCAAGCATGCCAAGAATCGTGAAGAAGGCTTGAGGAAGAAGGAAGAAGCGAAGAAGAAGGCCGAAGCCGAAACGAAGAATGAGTCTTCGACCACGGAAGACAAGAGCGTAAGTTGAAAAGGAGCTCGAAGACGAAGACATCTGACTAAATCTTGCTGGCACAGGGCGGCAAGGTCAAATCTTCCAGATCTGGAGACTCCAGCGGCAAATCCAAAAACAGCGCTTCCGGCATCAACGACATAAAGGCCTTTGCGGATGGGTACGACCGGAAGAAGTGGCAGCTAGCAGCTTCAAAGCATTACGACAAGACTGGAGAACGTATCACAGCCGCGCAGGCCAAGGCTATGGCTGAAGGAAAGTGAGGTTGAGGGAGACACACAATCCCTCAGCACTGCAATTGGATTACTCGCAAAAGAGATACAGTTTACGAATCGTTGTTCAAAACTGGAGAAACTTGGTACTTGCTTGATGATGGGTGGAATTCTTCGCGGTTGAATGGATGATTGGTAAACTTGGAAGGCCATCGATCTGCGGGGATTTCGGTTCAGGGATCATCAACCTCTCCGCACAAACCCCTGAACTTGATTCAGGCTAAACATGGATGACCAGGTCTGTCCATCGTCGTGCTTTCATATTGACCACCCTCATATACTCTACGTATGCAGGGTATGCTTGTCATTAGCTTCCGCACTCCATAAAGCTCAACCGCAGCAAAACTGATGATGCTCATATTCAAGCTTCCGCTATGCTTTCGTTCACGTCATGCTCCCCACCAACAACGTTGATGCCTTCTCGAACAAGACATTGCCATTTGATCATAGGCATCCACCACAGTATGTGCCTGGCTAAAGTGAAGACAGTGTACACTTCCAGCAGGCTGTAGTGGAAATAGCCGATGTTTGAACAGGACTCAGATCAGGTAAGTCTCCCACCGGTGGTACCACAAGCTTCATAGAAAAGCTCCCCATTCCCTACGATTTCCTTGGTTGTCGATCCTGCTCCAGTGACTTCCTTCCTTCAATCTCCCAGAATCGTGCCGACCATCCACCAACATGCTGTCCTGTACCGGCACCATAGGCGCCCTGGCCCTCTCTCTATTAATCACGTCAACATCAAGCACCGCTCTTCCGCGACACGACCACCCATCCAAGAACCCAGTGTGGTCGGTCTCGAACTTCAGATCCCTCATCACGTTCGGTGACAGCTACACCGACGAAAGTCGACTGGGGTGGTTCATCAACCACAACGGCACCGCACCCGTGGCAGGGACATTACTCCCGGAGTCGTTCTCCACGGCGGGCGGCGGCAGGACCTGGCCACGTTATGTCGTGCAGTACACGGGTGAGACGAGCAGTGGTGGAGAGTGGAACCCGGCGTTGACGCTATACAACTACGCCGTCTCGGGAGCGGTGTGCTCGAACGAGATCACGCCCAGGTAAGGAGCACCCTCGACCAACAATCACCTACCATGCGCTTGTAACCCGACGGGACCCACTGATTGACTGACCCACCTCCAGGTATTTCAAACTCGTCAACGCGAACTTCCCATCGGTTCTGGAGTACGAAATCCCCGCGTTCCTGGCCGACATGCCCGCGACACAAGTCAACAGCACACCGGCGACGCCACTCTACCCGGCGGGTAGCCTCGCGCCGTCCGCGGCCGTCTACGCGCTGTGGATCGGCACGAACGACCTGGGGATCTGGGCATTCCTGACGGACTCGCAGGTGCCGGGGAAGGTGCTCGCGGACTACACGTCGTGCGTGTACGCCGTGTTCGACGCCCTGTACGCCGCGGGCGGCCGCACCTTCGTGCTGATGAACACGGTCCCGCTGCACCTGGCGCCGCTCTACGCCAACGACACCCTCCACGGCGTCGGCGACAACCAGTACTGGCCGGAGAAATGGACGAATCACACCCAGGTCGCCGAGATCATGCACGAGGCCACCTCGTCCGTCAACCAGATCTTCAGGTTCCAGACCCCGTTTGAGGTTCTTGTCGCGCGCCGCTACCCCGGTGCGCATTTTGCCATTTTTGACACGTATTCGCTCGTGTCGGATATCTACGATGATCCAGGTCGTTATCTCAACGGGACGGGTGTTGAGGCCGGTGGTGAGAGCGTCTGGGGTTACGAGAATCACTGCACGGTGGATCAGTCCGAGTGTGTCAAGCAGCAGAATGGATCGAATCCGGATGCGTTTCTTTGGTATGATGAGTTGCATCCGAGGTAAGTGATTTCTGTTCCCTTGTTTCATTTGCTTCCCTCGCTTGAAATAAGGATCAATCACTAATGCTTGTGTCTTTGCAGTGAGCAAGCGGACCGCATCATTGCGCAGAACTTCGTTGAGGTGTTGGATGGGACATCGAAATATGCCACGTACTACTGAAAAAAAGCGAGCGATGGTATCTGTATTTACTGGGGTTGAAAAAATATCATATCTAATTCATACACATACATGCTGTGGAACTCTACACTTGCTCCCGAGCAATGTTTACCTTCTTGCAAAGCCCCACAATGCTTCGTGTCATCATACAATAAAGCCGCTGTCTATGAACCAGCATCATCGTCTCTATGTGAACCTCATCTGGCCTTGTGCTGTCGTTCGCGTGCGAAGATTGTTTGCCCAATCCAGCCATTTTCAATCAGCAGGAGCTTTCCTGCACGACTCTAGAGTCGATCCCACCAACCCACCATACTGCAGCATGGATAATCTGTTCGACAGCTTCAAGATCTTCTTGACTTCGTGGTGCGTAGAGAACAACTCGAGAGGAGGGTGTTGGGTAAGCTTGAGTCTGGCCTTGCAGGTGTAGAAGCCAAGAGGCACTACGACTGGACATGGGATGTCTCTGACCCCAACCTTTCTCGATGATGGTCCTGACATCATTTGGATGCAAGGTCATGGACAAGAATCCATCGATATTGTCAGCCCGAAGAATCTCGCCGTAGTATTTGTTGTGGTCAAACACGCGATGGCGAGCAAAGAGGGTGATATTGCCGTCCTCAAACGTTGATCGACCAAGGTAGGTGGTGTGGGGATAGGTGGTGTTTGTGTTTATGATGACTGCTCGCAGTCTGTCGACGAGGTCTTTCTCGCCAGCCACGGTTTGGGCTGTCTGTCTAGGGTTCATTGTACCAACTACTGAAGGGCGAGGGCCCGCACGCTGGGGTAAAGTCTCCAGATAGCCACGCGAGGAGAATGCGGCAGACCGGGTGGGTGGTGTGAGGGGATCTGAGACTGAAAGAACGTGGGAGAAGCGGTCGAGCACATTCCCGGCGACGTTTGAGATGGTGATGCCTTGTTTGGAGGAGAGAAGTGTACCGATGTCAAATCTGACGAGTCTGAGGAGACAAGTAACGATGGTGGATCCAGTAAGGATGGCTCCGAAGACGTAAATCAGAGTGAGATCGGAGGAGGAAGACATGATGGCGATGGAGGAATCTAGGGGAAGATTGAGGTTTGTGGTTGGTGGTTGGAGTTGAAGTCGAATCAGAATTTTATTTTCTCCTTGGGTCAAATTGAGAAGGAGGTCACAATAGTGAAGAAGGATTCTTTTGCTCGTTTGTAAGGCAGGATCTATCGAGAAATCACGACAGATATATCACTCTTACCGTCGGTGCTTTTGGAAAATCTTGTCCGATTTGATTTCTCATGGAACAAAGAATTCCGGCAGCAGGTGGTGCAAGATGGCCGTGCCATGAGAGAGGGATAATGCACAGGACCACGCACACAAAGGAATTTGGTGGAAGATAGGACCTGCTTGAGGACCTCAGGGCCAGGACCTGCGTCAGAGGATATTGACTGATAGAAAGTCAACTACCCAACAGAGGAAAGTCAACCTCTGTCATATCCAATGATCAAAGAGCCGCAACTTTGGTGCGAGGCAGCGGCTAGAAACGTAAAATGGATGGAAGCCCGCCGGAATTCCACAGACCACCTCGAGCCTTTGCGTCAGTGGGAGGGTATACGCATTCCTATTCGAAGTGGATACTGGTGGGTGGACTGTGTCAATTCAAGCCGCTGTGGAATGTTCAAGGCTGCCTCCAGTATTTCTCGTTGGAGGGGTACAGCATGTGGCAAGGCCCGCCTGGGTATTGAACCGTGGCTACTCTCCGAAACAAAGTACGAATGTTCCGATCTACTGAAAAGAGCATAATGCCAACTTGAAAGAGACTGTCACTCATGGTCTGATGAACTTGAAGGTAGTGGGGGTTATTGCGAACACTCCCGCATCCGAGTCCCTGCAGCCTGAGGTCGGCGTGTCGGCATCTCGGCGACAAACCCTCCGATATTGAAATCACAGGAGAGCATCAGATATCGGTGTTCCATACCGAAAACAAAGGCTTCGTCATGACACTGTCTCCAGCTTCAAGGAACGCTGAAGCTGACAGATGGCTTTCTTTGTTGGAGCACTGAAATGTATCGAGGTTGGTTGCACAAGATGACATCTTGCGAGCGCGAGTAGATGTACCCGATCATCAGCCTCGTATCACCTTGCGCGACTTCTGCCCACAATTTCTGCTGACTGTCAACATATCCTCTATTATTGGGCGTGACAAGCGGTGACAAAGTGGCAGTCGTCACCGTGTTCGAGCCTTGTGTATTTTCAGCTTCAGACTCAAGAGCCTATCCTTGGCCGATTTCTTTGTCACTCGGGTCACACCATCGGCAACGCTTCGTAATCCCGCTCATGTACGACATGACTCTCCTCTACTACAGCTACATCTATACTTGGCTATAGTGTATCAGATCCCTCGATCGTCAGTAGGTTGATAGTATACCCTACAGGACATGAAGATATTGGGGGAATTTCCGTGCCCGGTTCTCCACATTCCCCATCCCTCTTGACTCCACTTACTTATTATAGAAGTCCGTATGGAAACCTCAAAGACTACATGTCTGTGACCACTGAGTGCCCAGCTTGATAGCATGAATGATGAACAATTCTCGATATTCATTTCACCAGTTGCATCGCGCAATCGGAGGTTGACTTCTAACCTCTATCATGGCACAAAGTGCCCTCACAATCGGAGTCCTGGGACCATCCGGTATGGGAGGATCTCACATTGTTACGGAACTCCTGAGCCGATCGCATAGAGTTGTCGGAATGTCTCGAAATCCAGAGAAGATTGGCAGTCACTCACGATACGAACCTCGATCAGTTGATCTCGAGAATGCTTCCATTCAGGACATTGGGATAGCTCTCAGGAATCTAGATGTGGTGATTTGTGCATACGGCCCTCACTCTAGTGGCGTCGATGCGATGAAATACAGTAAGTAGGGCGATATACGACTCGTAAGAAGTCCAAAGTGACATTTGGCGAACCACAGTGCCCTTTCTCGAGACCTTGCGGAAAATCATTCTTGCGTCCAAGTCGGCAAAGGTGGGTTATTTCATCATGATCGGAGGCTGCGGAAGTTTGTATCTTCCAGGAACCAACATTTGCGCCATCGACAGTCCGGAATTCTTCTTGGCCTATTGGAGATCAATGGCAGACAGTTATGCGCATGTCACTTACTTGGAAAAACGGTTTGGCGACGGCGCTCCTCGTTCCGATATACGGGCCTATCGAAGTGCTCGAGCAGCCCAGCTCGAAGGGAGAGATACGCCGGAGGCGGAATTCGTGCGAGAGAGTCATGAGAGACGCGCCAGAGAGAACGACCATGCAAGACCACTGATCACCGCCTGCAGGACCTCACTCATGTTCTTCGAGGGCAACACTTCGTTTGATTGGACCTTTATTTCTCCTCCTGCAATGTATCGCTCTGGTCGAAAAATGGGCAAATACCAGACAACCATTGACTATATCCCTCTGAAAGGGGAGCAGGATGGACCCGGCACTCTAGAAGGTCGACTGCTGGGTATCACGACTTTCGATTTTGCTGTTGCAGTGGCAGATGAAGCGGAAAGGAGGCAATTTAAGGGGAAGCACTGGTCGGTATGGGGAGAGCTGAGTGATGATGAACCTGCCCCGTCCCCATACATCAAGATTTCGGACCTTGAAGATTCGTGATACAGGCTCAGTCCTCCATAAATAAAAACGAAATAAATCTATACCTAGGAACCATGAGAATTTTTAAAACAGACATGTATCCACATGCACGGCCCGCTCAAATAACACTCTCATTGGTCGTTTCTAGACATGATCCTCGCCATGACATGGCGCTTCACCCTCCAGCTCAGAAAGGTTCATCCTTCGCAATGTGCAAGTCAATATGCGTGCGAAAGTCCTCGTCCAACATACCGAACAAGACCTCATCCCTCACCGCAGCCGTCATCCAGGTCGCATCATGCGCCAAAGCAATATGAAAACCATGAGATTTCTCCATCTCACGGATCTGAGAGATGGTGTCTACGGCAGCAGGGACATCCTGATGAATACACCGCATCGACCCATCCGGTAAATGATCCACTGCAATCTCATGTGTCCCATCGATCAAGGCCCTGCATTCGCAGTGAGGATCAGTGAATCAAGTCCAGTGGGAAGGGGCTCGTTGGTGACCATAAACCTACTTGCTATGTGCACAATCCGAGCCAAGCAGCACCCACTCCCCTCCCTCGACGCGAACCGCCGCACACAGATTACCCGGCATGTGCCCTGGTGCTTGGATGATCCAGAAACTGCCATTGCCAAAGACGTCCATGGCGCGATCGAACACGCCAAACGGGACCCAGGGGCCTGGAAGCTCCGACCAGCGTTCTTTCGAAACCTCTGGCTCGAACATCCGCGGATCGTATTTGTGTGATATCGATGGATCGGTATTGTGTGGTTCCATCTTCGACCTACATTCGTCGGCCGTGCCGGGCCCGAAATATCCGTGAGCGCGAGGAAACTCATTCGCGATGGGGCGTGCGTGGTCGAAGTGTGCGTGGCTGTAGTCAGGAGGTGTTGATTAGTTTGGGAAATCACATAGCACAAGTAGTACCCATTTACAGGTCTTGAGATGCTGACAATGGATATTGTATACCTGAAGAAAACAGCATCGACGTCCTCCGCTTTCACGCCCAGAGATATGAGCTGCTCCACGAGGCTTCTTTCTGGGCCGACGCAAGACATGAAATCCATGATTTTCCTGATGGAAGGGATGTAGTCTTGCCTATCCTACATCAATGTTCAGCAAATCTCACAAATTTGAGCCCCAGCAGCGAAGGAAGACCCCGGATGGGAGAGACGGACTTGTGAAATGCCAACGTCCCAGAGCACATGTCGCCCACTGTGCGGCTCGTGGATGTAAAAGGCCCAATCGTACAGTCGAAACGATTCATCGATGTCGACGTTGTGGTGGATGCCCTTCGTCGTTGCTATCAAGCTTCCGCCATTCAGAAGGTGGAGATGCACAAAGGGTGCTGCAGGGTCGACTTCGGTCCCCATTACGGATTTCCAGATATCCAAGGTCATAGAGTTTCCTGCGTCTCCTCTCCAGGCGAGTGATCTGGCAGAAGGGAGGGTCGAATGCTGTTCTGCAATGGGATACGATAGTCTGGTCGTGGTGTTCTGTGGTTGGGGTCAACTCCAACTCCAATTCGATACCAGAATGGCTCGGTGGACAATGCAACTTGTAGGCGTATTCGATCCCAGATACCGTGACCTGGGGATGTGGGGAACATGGAGCTTCCAGCAACGGCCCATCGCCCTTTGTATTCCATAGATATTCCGCACGAAGCGTAACAATAATTCCGAAGAAAAGGAGGGTTCAATTCTTCGGCTTTCATCTCATTCGAAAGTGGCAAGTCTCAAAGTCTGCGCCTGTTTGATGGGCTTTTATTGCTTCAGAGAGTTGAATCGAGTTTCGTAGAGATGGTTCGTCGGGTGTCAGTATTTTTTTACGTAGGTCAACACATTTCGTGATCATCTCGATTGCCTCCTCTTTGCGACCTTGCTTCATCCGCACGTAGGCAAGGCAGTACATAGCCCAAGCATACCCATCACGGTCCTGACTTTGCATTTCTTCTCGCACTTCGAGCGATTTCAGCAGCAACTTCTCTACAGCATCATATCTCTTCTCGGTCATGTAGATCTTTGCCAGAGTTTTCAGGCCACGGAACCATACTCCGAAGTACCTGCGGCTGCCTTCAATCTCAGATTGTTTTATCACATCCAAAAGCAAGTCTTCTGACTCGGCAATTTGACCTTGCATCGAGAGCGCCAGTGACAAATCCACTTTGAGACATGCTCGCCTGTCTGAGAACGAAGTAGCAGAGCCCGCTCTCCGTTCAGAGGCGTTTAACGCTGCCTCGCAGAGTTGCTGAGCCTCCTGCGGTCGGCCAGAACGAGAAAGAGATCTGGAAAGGGGCGTGATGGAAATTATTGTTTTATTGTGGCCAATGCCATAGGTCTTTTCGTACCATTGGAATGCTGTCCTTGCGTATAACTCTGTGTTTTTGTAGTCATTTTGGTGCAAACAGGATTTTGAGTAATCCGCGTACGCCCGCATAGTTCTTTCATTCTCTTTACCCAGGTTATCTTCCGACCACTTAACGACCTCGGCTCGTAAAGCCATTGCTACTTCCCGTTTCCCTGAGTGATGAAGAAAACGGGCAATCTTCCGAAGTAGACTATACCGGTCTGAATATGCGTAGCTTTGGGGTGAGTCACACAAAATCTGTGCGTGTGGCAGAAACAGAGATCGTAACTCTCGATTATCAACAACATCTGCAGGGAATATGTGTTTCACATGAGTAATCGCTTCTTTTATTGATGTTTGGAGCAGATTCTGAGTTCTGAGCCAGTTGCGCATCGCGAGACGCACCAGTCGGTGCATATCAAAGAGGCGAATCGACCGATCGTCATCATTTTGGACCCTAAGAAATGAGTATGCTTTGAGAACTCCCAGTGCCTCCTCTTTGTTTCTCGTAGAGGATAGTGTGGGTAGAATTGATTGGGGGATACTTTTCTCGCCAATGCACGAGGTGAACGCGAGATATTGAGCAGCGGAAGGGTTCTGATCCTGGATCTGCTTGAAAGAGAGCAGCCATGTGGTAGCAATAGGGTTCTGTTGACTTTTGTACCGGCCTTCATCATTGAAGTCTTCACTGAGGAGTGCGATGACCTTATCCTCCGGCTCACTAAGCAATTGCAGATATGTTTTGATGGACATATCATTCATGTTGATATAAGAAGCGGCCTGGACGATAGCTAGCGGAAGACATGTTAATATTGCAAGAAGTTTTTGGGTGCTTGCAACATCACTGAGAGATCGAGTGTTGGTCAGCTGGTCTGTCAGCAGCTCTTTAGCCTGGTCGAGCCCCAATTCCTGTAAATCTACCACGTGCTTTCTTGCTAAAGTCAAGGCCACTTGACGATTCCTCGTTGTTATTAGAATAGAGCCTTTCATGCCTTTGGGAAGGCATTCAATCAAGCTGTTTGAAGATTCTTCACTCGAGCCGAACCTGCGCCAGAGATCAACATCGTCTGCGTTGTCCAGTATCATGATCCATTCACCATCAAAGTGAGAATCTAGATATTCTGGTACAAGTTTTCGAACGTCGTTATCACCTGTGTTTAGTCCTGGGATCTTCAACAACTTAGCGATTGCATTGTAATCGCTCTCGAGTGAGGGGATGTCTTTGGCCTGCACCCAGAATACCGAACGCTTCGTTCTTTGGCGCTCAGCAATCTCAATAGCAACGCGGGTTTTACCCATCCCACCAAGACCGAGGAGCGCAGCTCTACCACTTGGGTGTGGCCCGAATAGTAAGGACTCAATTGCTTGGATCTCTTCTGCGCGACCAATCAATGTAGGTAAATCTCTGTGTACGAATGGGATGTGCCACAGGGAATCTGATCTCGGGCGATCTATACAAGCGAGAGCTCAAGTCAGTAATGTGAGGACTAGCTCTGCCGGAAATGTGGTAAATACCTTCTGCTGATAGATGCCACTCTAAGTTTGGGACCCGATCAATAAATTCCCAAGTATGGAGTAGCGCTTTGAGACACGACGCTGCAGTCGCCGCGGCAAAATGTTGCCATCGCTTGTTTTTGTGGCTATCAGCATAGTCACAAACGCCCTTGAGTACGAGCGTGTTGGGGAAATGGTTCCACACCCCAGAGCCCTCCATCTCAAAAGCAACAAGGTCAAATTCTTCAGCGAGTCTGTCTCGACGCTCCGCTGACTTCATCACTGTGTCGGCCGAACCTATCCTGCCTAGATGCACTTTTGGCGTTGGAATACTTGTAATGGAATCTCGCCCTTCTCGGTCTTTGGCTAGCCGTCGACGCAAAACCAGCTGCCCAGGCTCACAGCCAACCACATCACAGCCCTCGTCTGCCGCTCTAGCACAGAATAATTGTGGTATCGACTCGCATGCATCACACATAGGATGATTCGCTCGATGCCTATGAATATATGATGACTGATAGAGCTTATCTGTCTCTGCTCCGGGGTAAGCCGCATGTGGAAGTTGTTTCTGTAGTAAATTAATATGGAGTAGGATGTCATCCTGGAGCTTGACACGATTAGATGTGACTTTGAGCTTTGCCAACATTGACCGGCTTTCCGAGCCCGGTTTGGAAAAAGAGGCTTCAGCATTTGCGATAGCCTTAAATGCGTTGGGATACTGTTTGCCCAAGTCGTATTGAACAAGTGTCTCGCTTATTACCACGTCCCCAAGTATAATCTCCATTTCTCCTCTCGGTCCGAACGGGGCTGCACCACAAATGCCAACGACAAACGCGAGTCGTATATGCTTGAAGCTGGAGCGTAAGCCTGCAGCGACAATTGCAGCGCTTACTTTTCCTAATTCAGGCATGTGTGCAAGGACCACGTTATGTTTTGCGATCAAGCCCGTAGTATATGTATTGTCATCTCCAATGGCTTTGCCATAGTTTTGGTACCATTGTTTGTCAAATGAGGCCTGAATACATTCCGCCTCAAGGGGGAGAGCGCAGATGATGGCGATATCAAAGCCATCACGGTTAGCAGGAGGAGAGACGGGCATACCGCTGGAAAGATTGTGGCTGTTAATTTGGTTCGTTCACGAGACGGTAGCTCATACTGTAAGTTGCAGCATTCGCCGATCCAGACAGTATAATTTGTGCCTCATAGCATGACGAACTGACCGAGGATCAATGTACCATAAACTGAAAACTGAGTTCTCGATAAGGTGAAGATTTCACTAGGAAAGGGAGAATCATCTTATGCCTCAATATGTGTCGCGACCTACGCGACGTTGAATAGGTCACCAATTCAAGATTTGACGGACTGGAATCTTTTACTCCGCTGTACATCCACTACGGAGCGCCAGTTGCCCACCAACGCCATTCATCCAACATTTTGGCTGCATAACGACTCACAAGGTCGCTACCCAGCCATATTTGGTCTGATGCATCACGGATGAGGATACAGGCGCAAGGGGTTCGACAATGGGTGTGAACCAAGAAAATAGGTGGTAAAAGCTGCCACCTTCCTGATGCTGCTCGTCAAAAACAACTTTTCATTTTCCCATTCCAAGATCAGCCAAACTCCGAGAGTTTTCCTGAGAACTCCTCGAGCGCCAGTAGGTATCGTAATAACATGATTTCCATGAGTTTTGCGAGAGAGAAGAACAGCAGGAGTTTGAAAGAAATCTGCCTTCATCTTCAATCGAGATCCATCTCCTCTTCGGTCCCACCACCAACCAACATCTTTCTCTTCGTCTTCTGTCTGAGTCTCTCCTCGCCCATGACCCGACTGGCCTCCATCTCCTTCTTGACCTGTTCGACCATGGGGCCCATCTCGGACCTCGCGGCCTCGAGGTCTGCCATTTCCTTGCGAATAAGGTGCTCTCCTTGGGCGACGATCTTAAGATTTTGTTGTTTCCTAGCCTCCCGCTGTGCTTTGCCGCTGAGTCGCCGCCTCGTGTAGACGCGCTCACGTCTCGACCGAATCTCCTCGATGCGCTCCATCGCCTTCATCGTTGCCGCCACCAGGTTTCGGTCGTACTTGACGGGTGCGTTGCGGCGCTTCGCGAATTGTGACAAGAGTAGGTTTTGGTCCACGATCATTTCCTTCCCGCGGAGTGCTCTCGACGTCTTGGTCCATTTCAGTTTACGCGGCTGTCTCTTCATTTTAAAGTTCTTATGGCATTTTGACCGGCAAAATCGAAAAAGTTTGGCATCGTTGCGGACGAATGTGATGCCTTTCGACGGGTACACCGGCCGCGAGCAGAGATGGCAGGTTTCGATTCTGTGGATATCATATCAGTGTCCGGGTCTGATTTACAGGAAGACCGAAGAATTAGAGTCTCACCTCATGGCTGCAACTCCGCTTGAAGGCGGTCACAAAAGTTCTGTCAGGACTTCGGCAGGAAAGTAGTGCTGTTGATAGTATGAGCACTGATGTGTAGCGTTCGCTGCACCTAGTAAAAAGGTACCACGAAGCGTAGAGGGTCGTAGAACAGGAGACCGAGTAACAGTTGCACGCTTTCGACAAAACCTGGTCGCCGCCTCCAGAATCTAAAACTGCCCGAAAATTATATGAATGCCAAGAGTTAATCGGCTGTTCCTGATCGAGTAACCCAGCCGAGAAGGCGCTCGAAAATGAGAGCAACTTGAATCGGCCATCTTCAAAGTCTTGAACAGCATCGCAATCAAGAAACCAAAACACAAACACCCTCAATCTACTGCCTCCGTTCCTTGGAATTTTTGATCTTGGAGTTGTTTGTACTTACACCAGTCCTCAATCGATATCCTCCGCCCATATACGCGATGGCATCAACAATCGCAATCGGTGTTGGCATCGCCGCCGCAGCTTTCTTCGTACGTTCAGGTCTTTCTCATCCCAAAGCCACGCATCGATTGCACCCATGACCACCCTCAGAAAAACTAACACAGCCAATTTTCCATCAATACAGGGACGCGCGGGACTCGTGGCTTTTCGACGATACCGAAACCCCAACGGACTCAACGCACTGGGCCGACCATTCTACAAAGGCGGCTTCGAGTCTAAAATGACCCGACGGGAAGCCAGTTTAATCCTCGAACTCAGCGAGCGCACTCTCACCAAGGAGAAGCTTCGGAAGAGCCATCGAGGGCTGATGCTCGCCAACCATCCCGATCGCGGTGGGAGTCCCTACCTGGCGAGTAAAATAAACGAGGCGAAGGAATTTTTGGAGAAGAACGGTTGATGTGCCCTGTTACTGTTGTTTGTATAGACCCGTGTTTGTGGTTTCGGAGCATAGCGTGGCGTTGGTCATTTCACAGTGGAATGTCACTTCTCTTCTAAAGGAAGTCCTGGCATGTCACGAAATTTAATGTTTATCATGGGGAGAAACCCGTGAAAGGTGTACAATATATCTCCACTCGCATGTGTGGCTGCTGAGGGCCAGTGTGGAAACAGATGTACAAAGATCAATTAAAATCAATCACGAACCATTGAGTGTGTCTGTTCGAAGTACTGGAGTTCCAATCAACACAGGAGTGATCTATTGAAAAGCCTTTAGGACGAAAAGGCATGAGGAACCAGTTCAATGTCGCATGGGCGGTATGTCAACACAAGATATTGTAAATTCTCAAGAGCAACTATCACTTCCCAGCACTCCTCCGATCTACGAACTCCTTGACGAAAGCATTAAACTCATCTTCCTCCTCCCACATCAAGACATGGCCCTTGCCATCCCAAACCCTATACGTGGGGCCCTCACCCATCTCCTCGCGAATGATCTCAAAATGCTTGAAAGTAATCATGCGATCGATCGTGCCATGGACGACGGCGATCCTCTCGGCGCCCACCTTGTGCTTGATCTCCAACAACTGGGCTTTCGTCTTGACATGCCAGCCGGCCGCGACGGCCTGCAACATGAAGCCCTTGCGTGTGAAGCCCTGGGTGTCGCTGCGCTTTTTGAGCTCGTTGGCCGCAAACCGGTCCCAGTTCGTCGGGTAGTTGAGCGTCGGGTCGGTCGCCGAGTGCTCCGTGTCCGGCAGGGCGAGGAATTCGTCCGAGAAGAGCCGCTGGCCGATCTCGCGCAGCTGCGTGTCGATGTCCCGCGGCACGAACATGTTGATGCGCTGCCGCAGGTTCTCGACGAACGGGATCGTCCGCACCATGCGTGAGAACGTCGATACTAGTATGAGGCTCGCGATGGATTGTGGGATCAACACCGCGAGTTCCTGCGCGATCATCCCGCCCATGCTGACGCCGATGATGTGGAGGTTGCGTTTCGAGGGAGATGATGTTGTTGCTGCTGCGGCGGTGTCGAGCCAACCTATCTGCCTGAGGAGATCCACGATGTCCTTGGCCATCTCCGAGGTCGAATAACGACACGTCGGCTTGTCGCTGAGGCCCATGCCGCGATTGTCGAAGACGAGTGATGCATATGTCTTTCCGTGGTCATGGCCGAAGAATTTGGTCTGTCGTTTCCATGCTGTACGGTAGGCTCCTAGACCCATAATCCACTGGTGTGTGCGAAGAAAGGGTTAGCCGGTGGAATGTGTCTGCCATTTGACATCCTTCCGCCCACGGATTTGTTGCTCTTCTTTTTAGAGCTCCAATCATAGACCAAGGAATCCCCTCGAACACGGCTGCAGATCAAATCGATAGACTCACCACTAACTTCGTGTCCCCATCTCCATGTACCTCCCAGTTCAGCTTGAAAGGCCCACCGCTCCGCCCCTTCGCCACCTCTGCCCGGCCCTCTCTCGTCGGCGGCAGATCCCATTCCAAGTTTTGATAAGAAGGATGTGCCTTGAGTTCCTCCGCCGTGAGTGGCATCTTGAGACCACGACTCGCTCTACAGGATGGAGCAGCTGTCCAAATATCGGTGCACTGCAGATTCAATGATCGAATATTATGTCAGAGTGACGGATTCGCTGTGTGGAATCCCAGTGCAGCCTCCTGTCCAAGAGATAAGAAGACTTGGTATCTCAGCACCCGAAAGAGTTGGTTAGGAGCAGCTTAGGCGGCCTGCTTTGACACACTCCACGCTGAACAGCAGTTGTCGTACAGTGACCCTCAGCTGTTTCCAAATGCTGCCTGATTAGGTGTCCGGGAGGCAAGGCTGAAATACCTCGGTCTGCCAGCTCTCTGGCAAATTGTGGTTGGTGGGCTGGACATGATGGTCCGGATCGTTTGAGCCAGTGGCCCAGCGTTTCCAGTGTATATACTCCGCGGAAGGTGTCTGTGGGGTACCCAACTTGAACGACAAGTCAGGGGTGAATGGAGCCAACCAGCAGATTACGGGACCTCTGCACGGCAGTCGTGCTTTACTGCAAGTTGCATAGCAGATATCTTCGTGCAAGACCAAACAAAGTCTTTGAAAAGTCGTTGGTCGTGAATTATGTATTTCGAGGACTTACATGCATGGGCAAATGGCCTCTCATCAGCCGGCCTCAAACCTGACCCAAATATAAAATCAGAAAGTGAGAATGAAACTCGGGGTCTCACGATGTGTTTCGCGGTACCGAGTACGAGGAGTTGGTGACCGACATGGTGATCTTCAGATCCAGATCAATTAGAGTTCGGGTTGGCTGTCTTAGCCGAGGCCATTTGGAAACTGGACTTTTGAGGGGGCCTCACAGGGGTACACGACTTTCCCCAGATCAGCGCGATCCGTCAAGCTTAGTAGCCTGGAGTCCAAAGTGGGAGGATCTACAAAGTGTTTTCAGAAATGTCAATCATTATTGCATATGCGTAGATCACGTTGATCACTCTGAGTGGGGAAAGAGGATTTGAGAGAGAAAATTAAACATCCAAGAAAAACGTTTGTAAAAAAAAGCAAAGGTCCGCACATTCTTGAGGGATTTGAGAAAGTTTCATTTCGACTAGATCTCTGTTCGTTCAAAGTCGTTCATAGGCCTGACATCGTATACCTACTTGGTCATGTTCCAAGATTCGTAACTAGCCCTCACCATCAATGTCCAGACCTTGATGGTTACAAATGAAATCCCAGCTACAAGTCCAATCCATGCAACCAAATATCGTTTGATGCTAGTTATACCTCAATCCCAAGTGCTTGTCTCTCGTTAACAGATGTGGATCCGCTCAACGCAAAGTCCTGACAGTCCCACTCGCTTTAACCTCGTCGACTGCATCTCTCAGTCAACTCATCGGTGCTTTGAGGATCTGTCTGCGGAGCATGGACCTGGTTTTCCATTTTTCTTGCAACAATCAAATACATACAAGTTCAAAAAGCGCCCAAAAGTCTGCCCAAAGAAACGAGGTGAAACAAATGATCGTGTAAAAGAGTGACTGAAAGTAATATGGTCGGCAGTTGGCCGCACACGCAAAATGGTTATTCTTCCATACGGAACATTTCTTCATCGTCCATGTGGATGTCCTTGTCTTGCCCAAATTCTCGGTAATTTCTTTCGTCCGACAGATTCTGAGTTAGGGTAGGAGGATGCAATTGCAGAAGAGGATTATATACGTTGGTCAATGTACTGTCGGAGGACTTGCTGTTGAATGATTGATATTGTTGTGGCAACGGTGGTACAGGTGGTACATCTGAACTTAGGTAGACTGGCTTGGTGCGCGGGGTTCCGCTGTTGAATGAGAGGCCAGCTGTGGCGGCAGCCAGAGTGCCGTCATCAGTTCCGGAAGTGCTGGGCCGGAAATCAACTCCTGAGAGTCTGTGAGGGGGTAGTCCGGGAGAAAGAACGCTCTCGGCATATGAGCTCGATTGAACAGAACGGTAGGAACGTGAGAAGCCATTACTGCTCGTGCTGTAGCGTTTGGAGGCAGGGACCGGATATGCACCTTCGCTCATGGGAGGGGGAGTGGTTTCGACGGAGCTAACTCCATCATGCATCTCGGAGGATGATAAACCGGGCGATCGAGATGAAGCCTCACTAGGGTCGATCTGGGACGATTCATTCTCGGATTGACCCGATGTCAAACTATCCGAGGTCATGTTGCACAAGACAGACGCAGCCTCCAAGAGTTGGACTTGCTGATGCTTCGAGATGAGGAGTTTAGAGGTGATGGCCCACGCAGGGTCATGTTCCCATCTGACAGTATTAGCATTAGGAGGGACGAAACTCAATCAATACTTTCATACAAATGTTTTGTCAAGCAACTGCTGTGTTTGTATCCCTTGCCACAGGTATCACACCGAAGATCCGAGGACGATTTTTTGCCTTCACCCTTGATCAGGTATGAACCCTCACTCGCTCGGCGGTTTCTAGCTTTGGTGCTGACTGACTTGGAAGAAGGGGCATCTTCGTCGTAGGAGTTGTCTTCTAGGGCCTCGTTGTCTTGAGGAGAGGGTGAAGTGGCAGCACCATTGAAGTAAGAATGCATGCTGGGCCTGCTACTCATCGAAAGTGATTCCGTGTTTCTCTTGGAACCCATGCTCCGTCGGTGGCTGTGTAGAGGGATTGTCGACGCATCTCCTTGCTCTCTTAGTGCTGCTACGATGGCGGCTTGAGCAGTGGAGGAGGCAGCGGAGTTGACGCTTTTCCTGCGGTTGACACGGTGGGAGGGATTGGTAGCAGCGAGGGAAATGGAATGAGAATGTTGTCTCGAGGAGCCGGACGTGTGCTTGGAGAAACTGCCAGAGACAGGGCGGGAAGTTGGTTGTTCCTTTGTTTAGAAATCAGGTCAGCACGGACTTTTTGTGTTGAGAATGGGTTGAGCGTGACTCACTTTGGAGGAGGCCATGTTGAATGTGAAGAATGAAATCAGACGACTCTCGAGTTCAAAACCAAATAAAGTCTCGAGACTTGAGAGTCGTCAGGAGACGACAGAGAACAATGTGTGGTGGTGGGTGTGCCTCTTTGTGCGTGTGTGGTCTGGTGGGGGGAAGCCCGAGTTGGATTCGATGACGGGTCAGCGAGGGGGGAGACACGCGGGTGGCTGCAGGTCGAGACAGGGAAGGAGAGCACGTCGATGAGGTTGCGTCGAGATTGCAAGAATGGTTGACGATGGGATGGTAGGAAGGTGCAGCTTAGAAATGCATGTATGGGAATCCGGAGTAAGGCAGCAACGATCAGAATAAAAAGTGTAGTGAACAGAAAAGAAGGAGATCTGGGCAAAAGTGTGACCGTGGCCCCGGCCCTGGCCCTGGACGTGGACGTGGACGTGGATGTGGATGTGGACGGCTGTCGGTCAATCAGCGATTCAGTTGTGGAATCAGTGCCACTGTCAACTGGAAATGCTAAATGTGGATTTATTGGGGAGTTTGAATGTTCTGGTGCCTCAGGCTTGCGGGACTCGGACTGTTGGTTGCTGGATGTTGGACGCTGGGCGCTGGACGCTGGATGCTGGATAGGTGAATTGTGGCTGTGGAGTATGCCTCTGTCTCTCACACACCCACGAGTGCCGAGCTAATTAGGTAGATACTCGACCCCCGTATCTCGTAGTTTTAGTCTGCAGCTCAGTTGGGGCAAGGCCCGATGGACCTCGAACCTGCTGATCGCCCGATTCCGTCTTGCGTGCTGTGCTATTGCTTTTGGCTTTTTTATCTCTGACCTTTTGGCTGATACTCAAGCTAGAAGCTAGACCGTGCTCAGTTGGTTTGCTGCGGGGTTAACCGTGCCTGGATCCAAGGGTCGCTTCCAGGAAATTAATCCTAATACGTTCGAGACCTGGAGCACAGTCCACTGGGTCACTGGTCTCTGTTTCAGCGGCACAGGGCGGCTGAAGAAATTTGAGCGGACCTCCTTACCCAGGTCTAAGCGCACAACTGTTTAAAAAAAAAGGTTGACAACTGGAATGGAATGTGTCCACCCAAGAAATATCATGATACGAGGGTGGCCTTTGATGGGGTATCGATCAGCCCAGGCAGGTAAACGGCGGGTAGACCAGGTTTACGTGGATGTGAGATGATGGCTTGCTTGACTCGATGCACGGGCCGGGATGGCGAAAAAAAGAAGCTGTGGACTGTGGTTGCTGCATGAAGATGATGGGCAGGGCATGGGTAACTAAATGGAAGGGCGAGCTCATGGTTTGCTTCCTCGAGTGTTTGCGCTCGTGGGCCATGCAGGTTAATGGCATGGGCATGGATGGGCGTGCATGGGTCAGGCAACCCAGGGCAGCAGACGCTCACACTCGTTCCGTTCCTGGCTAAGAAGACCTGACTAAAAATTGACTGGTTCGAGGCGCCATCAAGTCATCCTCCAGGCTTCAGACTTCAATTGGGAACTCCTCTCAGGGCCGAGGGCGGCCTCCACATTATTCAACTCCTCCTGTCGGCAGTAAGCCTGAGCCCAAACACAAATCGGGCTTCGACTTTTGGCCACTCCGATTCTGGCGAGGGCGCAGTCACGTTCCACGTTTCCCATGACCCGAAGTCGTCGTAAGTTCCAACTCCCAAGCGCTCGACCTCGCACGGGCACAAGAACGTGCTTTCCGGCTCTCTGGTTACTTTTTCAGCTGCTGGAGAGCCCGAGCGATTGGGTTCATAGAGGCAGAACGTACGCGGAGGGCCAACATTATTGTGCCCGCCCGCTCCCAGTGCCATGTTCGCATCCACAGAGGTCCTGACACTTCCGACGAGGGGTAGTGTTGCACCGGACTGACTGTCCAAGTAGGTAATGATGGGCGTCACAGCACGCCAAATATTTGCGAATCATGATAACCAGCGGGCCCTCAGGCAGTTAGCGGCTGATTGGGACAATGGGCTACCCCATGGCGCCTGATTGGCGATATGCTAGTTATTGGACCACCAGCCTGGCCGCGCGAATGCCTCCGCGTAGGAGCCAGAGATTGTGGAGCACACAGGAGCTGGGTGAACCAGCAAACACGAATCTAAGGGGGCCATTTGTACGGAGTAGCGCCATCAGCAACACCAACACCAACACCAAACCAAATGCGAACAGCTGCAGCAGGGGCGAGAAAGCGGCCCTTGGGTACGAGGCAAGTAAAATGTCATGGTCAAGTTACAACTTCCAAGCACCCGCGAGGTCGCATGATTGCGTCGGAAGTGGACAAAATCACGCATCAACCTCTCCAATGCCGTCATTGCTCCCCTCTCAGGTGCGAACAATGCAGGCTGGCGCAAGTTCTGACACGATCCCGTGCCTGAATCCCCTCACTGGTCGGTGGTCAGCAATCATCACCGGGCTCCAAAGTCATCTTTTTTGTCGTCATCGTAACAGGAACTCCCAGTACCAAATACTCATGCATTTGACGGGACGGGAGCACGGGGCGCCGTTGTCAAAATGTGACCAAAAGTGACAAATGGGCAAGCGCGGTTTGAAAGGCTATAATACGAAGTACCAAGATAAGATAAATTCGGAAGCGAACATCAACAAACTAAACACGATGAAGGGTGCCTTTTCCGGCCTCAGAATCATTAGTCAATCATCATAATACCGAGTACACTCGCATGGCACCCGACGGCTAGACAAAGCAAAAGTTATGCTAAAGTCGGCAGTCTATTGACGATCTCGACGATCCAGGTGCCACGTTGATCGACCAAAGGTTAAAAAAAACTGGGAAAAAAATAATTCAGGATAAGTACGAAGAATACAACGACTTTCATCAAAGGCAACACACTGCAATCAACAAATAGAAGAACTGTCCGGTGTCGAATAACACGGATGATCTTGATCCTGGTCAGTATCTGCACATGACCATCGCGGCTGGACGACATTCCAACACTCCAGCTCCCTTCAAGTTATGCAGCTGGCGTGGCACTAAACGGTGGGGTAAAGAAACCGAGTCACCTGCCACTGCCAGTGCCTCTGCCTCGGTCATGCACCTTCCCTCCAAGTAGCTAATGCGGTAGGTCGGTAGAAGGAGAAGGGTTGGAGATTCAAACCTGCGTCGTGTAGCTCAATAGTGGGAGATTCTTGAACCATTGGGTTCCTCTATCGCTGCTGGCGAGATCAGGCTCAATATCTGGAGGCCGAACATGACTTTTTATTTTGCACTCCACCTCTGTACCTATCTTTACCATCTTTACCATCTCATGCTAATCAGTAAGCTTAATCATCGTCATCACCACATCCTACGATTCACTAGCCACCTTTACCCAAGCCACTGCCTTGGCTGGATCTGTCAAAGTACGAGTACAAATCCGGCAAGCTGACCGTGGTTGATGCTGATGGCTGGCTGTGCAATCCAAGAACATCTCATGGAGACAACGGACAAAGTAGATACGGATACTCGGAAGGACACATACAGGTGGGCTGAAGGTGGAACATGGTCTTATCAGTAGCATTTCCTGAACTACACCACTTACTCCAGGCAATGCAACTAGTCCATAGGCGAAGAACCAGTCCTCCAAAAGGAGGGGTTTCGTCGAGATTGTCGCTCGGTAAAGAGCAATCTTGTGTGGCCTTGACAATTTCAGAGAGACTCGTTCCTCTTGAACCCGTACACAAAGAAATAAAACAAGCGGCGGATGTTGTTATCACAGTGTCAGTTCCTAGTAGGAGTTAAGATACCTACACTTGATGAAACCACAATAGCCACTCGTGATACTCGTAGATTTGGTCCCTTGGAACACTAGTGGTCCTTCATCTCAGCCTGATCTTATGGCGTGCTCATCTCATCCCAGGGGCCTGAGGCTGCCAGGTCTCTGACAATGGTCATCATTGTTGAACGCCATTATTGCATCGACAAGGTATTTATATCTACCCGTCAACACTATTGTCCGCTTATATCGACCTGATCAAGCTTAGAGCGAGACCTAACTCGTAGACGCACAATAGCCTGAATGAAGCTACGGACTATCCAACTCGCCTGACAGCTGAGAATGTGCTCAATCATTGGCAGAATATGTCCGATAACCATCTAGGCAGCACGGACAACCTATAGTACGAGGTACCTGGTCAACTGAATACTTCTTTTGTGGTCGGACTTGCACAGGGCAATAACAACTCGAACCACTCTCAGGCTCCTGCTGCTCTATTTTTTGTTTATTTCGCTTCCATGCCAATCCCAAGTCGAGTCTCCCAGATCTCCTCCACGCCCCCCAATGCGATACCCCCCAATGATTCATCAATCGTCACTGCAATCTACCGTCGAACGCCCCTCTCCTTGTCCGGCGCCACGGACCGGCAATCACCAACGCCCAATCCAATAATGTACTAAGTATTTGTTCGCTAGAGCTTGTTCGCATCAATCAACGCCATGAAACGTCTCCTTTTCCCTCCTAGATTTTTGGTGATAAGATTGTAAAAGTGTAGCTGGTCTTTATCGACTTCCAACACATTCTTACTGCTGTAAATTTCAGATAGCTTGACCACTCTTGCGACAGCATATCCATCGTAAACTGGTACAAGCAACAGACGAGGGAATCCTCGGGAGTTCTCAATCTGGCTTGTCGGAGAAAGATTCCCTCGATCGTCACCTTGCGCACCTGCGACTGCAACGCCTACATCAAGCAGGGTTCCTACCATACTATTCGACCAAAGAATCTGTATCTGCACCAACATCCGCCCTCCCAAAACAAGGAAATACACGGAAACTAAAATCGAGCAATCAATCAAGCATCACATGGCCTCAACACAGTCTTGGGCCGCATGGCTCCTTGACTCATATGCATCATCTGTCTCGCCGGTAAACAGCCACCATGACGAGGATACAGCTTCCGAAGCTACCACCTACACCACCTCCCCAACCCACAGTCCCATGTCATCAGTTTCAAATTCGTCTGCATATGGACCTTATGTACGGACGGGCCGAGGGGGAGCTGGTAACTTTACCTGGCAGGCATCTGATCTTGCAAAGTCCCAGGCTGTGGCAGATGTGGAAGCTCAAAAGACTGGTTGCCAGCCTCCTTTAAGCGAACGGCGGAAAGCTGCTGCCACCTTGGAACATATAAATACACACGAAGCATTGCGGCTACGGCAAAGCTCAGCACAATATCTCCATGCGGGCCGAGGAGGTGCGGGTAACTACCTTTCGAGCAACGATGTCGCACAGGCAAAGCGCAGTCCCAGTCTACCGGTATCTCTCGGAACTGTGAGACCCCCGAGCCCGACCACACCGTATTCTGCCCATCCCGGACGAGGAGGAGCTGGAAACTATGCTGCTGCTGCAGATAGCACTTCGCGGAAAGAGTCAGAAAAGGAACAAGAAGAAAGGATAAAAGCTGAACAAAGGCGCGAACAGATCGTGGTTGAGGTCGATGGTATGCTCCAACCTCCTCCAGGAGCTTGGCTGGGTGGCCGACGGAAGAGTGAGGTAATGCACGATGAGGATTGAGATGCACGACAATGTAATGAATTTGGTCCAGGCCGATTCTTCACACCCTTTTCCAGAACATGGAATCTATCATTCGAAATCGAGAGTTTCAGGTGAGAGTCCTCATGACTTGAGTGCCATTTAACACACGTCGACCATTCGACATTATTGTTATGGCGGTCATCAGTTTGATAGAGCTGAGTACTACCCCTCGACATGGTGGAAAACATCGACTATTGTCGAACCGGACAAAAACAAGAACGTCACTCGACCAGGCAACGTATGTTTTCGGATTGGACACGTCTGCCATCGCAAAACTGGTGGCTATGACGATCATCCCTGCTTCTACATACATCATGACTGAAGTATGCATCCTTTTGAGCTGAAAGCCTCTTCAAACAGTCCAGCGTGCAAGCCAGGCAACACAGTTGTCAGTATATCAACTCCACCGATAATGTCTACACGAGAGCTACCCTGGTATCAAGACTACACAATGCTTGACCATGTTCGCCCCTCATCCACATAAAATTTTATTTGGCGCACGCGAGCTTTCGAAGAGACAATCAAAGCCCGGCGTTGCCAGAAATCAGCACCTCGGAGTCGACTTCGAAAAATTCTGGATCCAGAGAACGTCCTCATCGACGTCCTTTGCTGTGGGGCGCAAAATGGCTGGCCGTCATCAACATTTAATGGATGGAGGAAGACCGGGAACGTACGAAACCTAGACCGTAGACAGCTACAGATCACTACTATACCTTTGAGTAGTCTGCAATCATAATGACAGCAGAGATGAACCAAATGCCCCGAATACCTTGCTGTCTACTATCCGTGTAACATGTCGACTGTGGGGACGAATGTACTTCCTTCTAGCTTTCCAGATCCGCCATGGCAACATCGCAGATGATGGTCCTCACAGCTTATTGTTCTACTCGGTCGCGACGGATGTTTTGGTCTTTTCGCGATTTAAAGCAACCTGACATAGTCCTGGGTCATGCACCGAGACCAGAGATACATGAAATTTCAGCGACGAGGAGGCAGGCCTATCTATGCACAGCTGCAATATGATGTCACATCGAGAAAAAAGATCAAGAAATGTGGATGATGGTGCGTTTGGGTTCTGTGAGTTTGTGTTTGCGTTTTGTCTCCTGCCTCTCGAATAGAGAAAAGGCAGGACTTCGTTCTACTAGAGCAGTGAAATAGCACTTCTGGAGACAAAATCTTCCGCATCCAGGGTGCCTGCCAACAAAGATATTATGCGCATTTGGGCCGATTTACCGCTTCATGGTTTGCTGCTTTGGCCTTGGTCCTACATCGCTGACACGGCATGAAATCGTACTGTTTACCATGTCTCACCTTCGCTGGCCCCTTCGTCCCATCTGTGCTTGAGGAATTCCTCGACGTAAGTTGTCGTGGTAATTCCTGCCAGCCTCGTACTGAGGAGTGATGCAGCTTGAAAGATGGGCGGGTGCTTTAACTGAAAGCCTTGTCGAAATACTTCATGAAAGTGTTCCTGAAAGAAACAAGGGTCAGTTGAGGTTCGACATCTCGTTGAACATGTGTGCTCCAACTTACCTAGGCGGTCTCGGCATGTAATTACGCTCATATTCGGCCAACTCGTCCATATCTTTGGTGAGGTCGACCTCTTCGGGTTTCAGCCACTTGGTCTTCTTGATGAATTTCCAGCCAAAGAACAAGATCGGGAAAACTCCTATCATGGTGTAGCTGAACAAAAATGTGGGGATGTCCCAAAAGCCTGGAAGGAAGACGGAGTAGCCTCCAACGAAGGTCATGATGAACGTGCCGGTCAGAGCATAATAGGCAGCGTATGGCTGCAACCAAGCTGTGTAAGGTAGCGTATTTCGGTCAATACCCTGAACTTCTAGAGCTTTCTTGAACTTGAGGTAGGTAAATGACATCACAGAGAAGTTGATGAGTTGAGATGCAGTCACCTAACGAGGATGTCAATTATGAAATCTTTCCAAAGGTATTGAAAGAATGCAACTTACCAAGTTCACGAACCAGCCGAGGACGACTGCTGAGCTGTTGCTGACTTGCAAAAAGCTCAACAGACTGATAAGCAACACCAGGGCGACACAGTAAATGGGCACACCATTTCTCGTGCAACGCCTGAAAATCTTCGGTGCTTTGCCCTCAAGGGCAAGGCCAAACAAACTTCGGCTAGCACAATACATGTAGCTGTTACCGGCGGAGAACGCGCTTCCAAGGACCATTGCATTGACAATGTGAGGTAGGACACTGATGCGGAGGCGATTCATTGAGACCACATAAGGAGAAGCTGCAGCACCAGGTTTGCCATCATTAAAGGCAGCCTTCAATTCTGGGTCGTTATAAGGCACGAGGATTCCCACACACAATGATCCCAGGACGAAGAATGCGGTAAGACGGTAGACTACGGCTTTGTATGCACGAGGCAGAACCTGGCGCGGGTTTTCTGCCTCACCTGCTGCCATCGAGACGTAGTCAGGGCCAGCAATTGTGAAGGAGGCTTGAATCAGGCATTGCAAGAAGCCCACGAATCTGCCTGTTGAACCTTCATACCATAGCTCGGTAAATGACCCAGGGTTTTTCCAATACCGAAAGCCAAATCGATCATGTAAAGGATTACCTCCAAGCATGACGATGAAAGTGTAGATGATCAATCCGATAATCAGAAGCATTTTCCCCAGAGCTAGCCAGAATTCGGATTCTCCATACCATTTCACGGCGAAAAGGTTGATTGCGGCGTATGAAACGATACATATTGCAATGATGCCTCCAGCGGGAACAACATCGCTCCAGAAGTGGATGATGACGTTGCAAGCAACGATTTCGAACGGTACCAACATAGCCTCGAAAATGAAAAAGTTGTAGCCGGCAGCAACTCCAAAAGCATCATCAACGTAGCGACCAGCGAACCGGATGAATGGTGATGAAATCGGGAGATATGTGACCATTTCAGCCATGCAATTGGTAACGCAGAGAATGAAGGTGCACCTATAACAACAAAGCGAAGGGTCAGCCAGGACATGATATCGCCCGTTTGAGCGGGTTATAGCGTGAGGAGATTCTGATATTGAGCAATGGATCACGTTTCCTGGCTGGAGTACTGACTCAGACTTCGAATCCAGCAGGCCTAAATCGAAGTTTGCAGGCGTGAAAGAAAAGCAGGAAACCTACCAGATGGTGAAAGCCAGGAACAAGCTGCCGGGGCCGCCATTCAAGAGACCACGACCAATCTGTACATAAAGCGCGGTACCAATGGTACCACCGATGCCAATCAGCTGAATATGACGTGGCTTAAGTTTCCGATGGGTATTATCGTATCCTGTTTTTATACTCTCATCATATTGCGCATCGGCAAGTCCATAGTTCGCTTTGAGAGAGGCAACGACCGAATGTTTACGAGAGCCTCGTCGAACGGCTTCCTCGTCATCACGAGAGTGGGTACGAACTCCTCGAGCCATGGGAGTCTCATCCATCATGTGTGGGGGCATTCCTTTCTCTCCATAGAAGTGGTCATTGCCAGAGCTCGTCATTTTGGGCAATCTGGAATCTCAACTGCGCACAATTTGCAAAAGAGTCTTAGCAAGTAGGAATACAGAGAGCACATGGGCTGCGTCCCATATATAATGGTGGATCGCCACCATTTGAGCTCTGAGAGAAAAAGAGATAGCTCTCCATGAGGGTCAAGGATATTCGACTTCCTTCTGGCTAGAGCCTGACCATCACCCTTGACGGCTGGGGCAATGGGATCCATAGAGACACGGGTTGAGAATTCCTGGTACATGGAAAAGCGGTTCAAGACATCATACCAAGCCCTTGGTATGGCAAGCACTGGTCTTATCTAGAGGAAGATTTTCTTGTAGCGCAGGATAGCGAGTACGACAGGGTGGTAGATGGCACCCAAATGGCCAATACAAGCTCGTGTGGAGAGGATGGAGTGAAGTTCGTGCATCCTCGGCTTACATCGCTTGCCCACTTCTGAGGATCTTGCTTCTAGCCAGCCTTGGCTTGGGTTGCTTCAGTGGTTAGCACCACCTTGAAGAGGCAAGAGTCCACTGGGGCGGAGGGGCCTCTGGGTGGTCAGGTCCTGCCCGAGCTGCCTCAAACAGCTCACTTGAACTTACAAGTTACGAGTACCAGTCGGCTATGATAGGCATGAGCCATCCTGAGTTCTGACAAGGCGGCTCGGATCTGATCCCTGGGCCCTAGGAAAGCAGCAACATGCGCTCTCGCCGACACTCTAAACCAAGGACAAGACTTGGTGATTCTTCTTGTAGCCAAATTATGACCAGGCCTTTTGACAGTCATTGACAATCATACCTTGTTATCCATGCCGAGCCTGTAAGTGTCCTATCGTGACTACGAGTACGCACCTAAATTATCTGGCTCCTACCTACGTAGTAGTTTCCAGCTACTCATACCTCTGGACTCTGGAGCACCCATCCATGCAGCCTATTACATATTGCATGGCTGCAATTTGTTTAGTGCGACGGTCCACCAAAAACCCCCCGGCGGTCCTCACCCACGCTACCTATCACGACTTGTTGGAGCTTGCCCGCAATGAATACCATGTATACGGCTAGTGTGGCCTCTGCTCATTCAATCGTTTCTCTTCCCAATGGACGATTCTGGATATCAGGACCCCCGTATCTACGGGACCCATAGTACCTGGTCACGATTGGAAGCTTGCGGACAACCGCGGCCATCTTGCTAACTTTCATCAAATACATTTACTCTTGTTGCGATATTCTTCGCCTTCATGCCTGAGAAAAGGTTCATCTAGCTCAAGGACCCCTCGGGCTCCAGGTTCCTGAGACCCATCGTTAATTGAATCATTTCGGCATTGCTCTCGGGTCCGAGTGCAGATGCCAAGTATATGTAGTTTATGAAAGGAGCGTCCCCATGTGCTCCATGCTCGTAGTCCACCTCCGGCTTGCATAACAGCTACTCACCACACTCTCATTGTCACCTGTTGTTGTCACCTCTCGGTCGTACGCGGTCTAGAAGCCTGGGCACCGTAGATCGCATCATCACCATGCTCTCCTCTTGGTGGATTACTCAATTGGCACTTCTCATCAGCCCAACCACATCGCTTGCACGAGATATCATCTTTCCCTCGATCGACCCACTACAAGTTAATCTTGCCAGTCCACGACACCCAAGTGAGGATGATCTGTCCGAGGCCACGATCTACGCAGGTCTAACAACCTTCGCAAATCTACCCTGGCGCCACTGTCTGTCATCCGAGGATCATATCGAACAATATGATATCGCGTTTTTGGGAGCTCCATTCGACACGGCCACAACTGGACGACCGGGAACTCGGTTTGGGCCAACTGGTATCAGACTGTAAGTTTGACAAACTTTTATGGTCGAATGGTTCATCTTTGAGGCTTTTCACATGATCTGACATTCTATCACCAGCGGTTCTCGACGTATCAGTCCGTTCGCCTCCTGGAGCCCCTATGCCAAGGACAGTAGCTTTTTCGACTGGGCTCGGATCGTGGACTGTGGTGATGCACCCCTGACCTTTTTGGATAACACCGTAGCCTTGCGTCAGCTCCTGAAGGCACACCAAGCGATTTCCGGCCGAACAGCAAACGCATCGCATGTTGCCAGTGTGCCTCGCGTAATTACCCTTGGGGGTGATCACACCACAACGCTAGCGGCTCTTAGGTCCACCATCGATCACTGGGGACCTGTGAGTGTCATACATTTCGACTCTCATATTGATACTTGGGGTAAGTTGGTCGGTCACGAGATCAGGCTCGTGATGTCCCTTTTCCTTCTCACTATTTCTGATCACGAGACAAAAGATCGTGTACACTGACTATTACTCTCGTGTAGACCCGAAAATCCTTGGTGGAGGGATATCTCACTATGCAGGCTTGAATCATGGCACCTTTCTTCACATTGCGCATGAAGAAGGGCTGATCCTCAACACATCAGCCCATGCCGGGATACGTGCCCCCGTGATGAATAAGAAACATGACTGGAGGAACGACAGACGTTGTGGATTTGAGATTACTACTGCGAGAGAGATCGACAAAATCGGCGTGGCAGGAATCATCGAGAAGTTGAAGGCACGGGTTGGAGACAGCAACGTCTACATTACTGTCGACATTGATGTGCTCGACCCAGCATATGCACCCGGCACGGGCACAGCTGAAGTTGGTGGGTGGACGACCAGAGAACTCCTCAGTATCCTTGATGGCCTGGAAGGTCTGAAAGTCATTGGAGCGGATGTGGTTGAGGTTTCTCCTGCCTACGACAACGCAGGAGAGACTACAGTCCTTGCCGCAGCGGAAGTCGCTCTCTCTTTGATGGGACTGATGGTCCATACTCCTGTGAAGCCTCTCAAACAAACCGACGATGTATAGAGGCGAGAGATATATATCTATGCGACGGTAGAGGTTGGATAAGCCCATTCGAGACAGGTATCATGCTTGTCCTGTACATATCAGCCATCTGGATATCTGTGACCCGGCGAGTGACCTCGTGCTCTCGCACCAAAGTGGGCCACTAGCAGAAAATGTACATATCAGTAGATGGTCACGGGTGCGACGTTGATTGCCAGAGCTTGGGACAGTGGCCCAGTGATAGTTCTGCTGACTGATGGCGTGCATAATATTAGTCGCAAGCTATCAGTCAGTCGCTTGGACCACAGTGAGTGGCTTCCGGTCAAACTTTTGCCCCGCGGCAGACGTCCCAATGGAGCTGAGGGGCAGAAGATGCTCTTATCGATTGCGATTGCGAGCTGGACCACGTGAGTGCCCCGCACCTGCCAGACCGCGGTTTGGATCATCGCCATCATCCCAGTGGTTGTACCATCACCAGCTCGCAGCCACAGCTCTTGTTCTTTGCCCAGTCTAGATTCTCGTACCACTACACCCAAGAGCTAGAGTCAACAAGGAGAAATCCCCTTTCCTAACACAGTTCAAAGAGTATGTAATCAAGTCCCCTGCTCATCACTTCATGGTCACTGGGGCTGTGCAACACACCTTGTCAACCCATTGGCATCTGCCTCTTCCAGCCTTTCCACTGTCTTGTGTGATTGTGATCTCCATTCTCCGGCTCTATTTCCGTGATCGCTTCACACGAGCAAAACCACTATACGTGACAGGAGTCGAATATTCTTTCTTACCTCTTTCTAGTGACCGACAGCAATCGAGGTTTGTCACGACAGTGTCTATCTACTCTTCATTATGGCGGACCCAACCTCACCCAGTCCCTACTCAGAGAACAAGCGGTTCGAACCCAAGACGAAAGTTGAGCTGCAGGCTCCCAAAGATGATCTGATTTCACTAGAAGAGTTGGCCGCTCATGATGGTAAGGAACATTCTCATCAGCCACAACGAGCTCAATGTTCAAATCCGATGGAGATTGACATGTGTCGCAACTTCAGGCTCGAATCCGGACAAACCAGCATACGTCGCGATCAAGGGCACCATTTTCGATGTTTCGAAGAACTCTGCATATGCGCAGGGCGGATCGTATCAGGGTAAGAGTTTCTCAAACCAAGCAGATCTTCCATTGTCACCAATGGATTGAAACATGGCTCTTTCAAATCTTGAAACTTCATCTCATTGACACCTCTGTGCGCGCAGTCTTCGCCGGAAAAGATCCATCCCGCGCCCTTGCGACGTCGAGCCTGAAACCCGAAGACTGTGTCCCGGAGTGGGATGACCTCGACGACAAACATAAGACTGTGCTGGACGAATGGTATACGTTCTTCAGCAAGCGGTATAACGTTGTGGGCAAGGTCAGTCCTCCTCAATTGCAGAAGCTGTAAGAAACGAGTTGGAGCTGTTGTGTGTGCTGTCCCCGACCTGTCCACCCGAGATGGCGGTCGTCAGGGAGAATCGGGTGATCTTCATGCTGTGGAGATGCTAGAGAGTGTGCGGTTGTCTTTGCATTGACTGACATGAAGTCCATCTTCGACGAATGCTAATATTGTGTCTGCTCTACTCTATTAGGTTGAAGGAGCTCACAACACGGGAAAAGACTGATCCATCAAACTGGGAACTTATCATTTGCACATGGTAGCATTCAGTAATGTTGAGAATCCGACTATATCTAAAGAGATGGATGAACATTGCTCGACACTCGGAGAGTAAGGAGACACATCAATCGCTGTGAAGGAAACTGATACCATTTCAAAATGAAAGCCGAGCATGTTCTACATGCTTGTCGGTTCACTAAGCTGCACGAACCAAATTTATAGCACCACTTATTTGCATTCATACCCTTCAACCCTTTCGCACCTTTCTTGCCTGCCTTTTCTTTGCAATGATGCGATTACGTTTGGCCAGGCGATTCTTGTCCTCAGACTCGGAAGCCTCGGCAGTCTTCTCAGGCGCCTTAGTGGTTTCATCATTCGGACCGCGCTTGCGTTTCCTACCTTTCTCTCCCTTGTCGTCCCCAGGCGCGCGCGCCTGTTGTCTGCCCTTGAATTTACCTTCTCTGGGCCCTTTGTCAGGGTGTTCCCGGACTCTCTGCTCGCGCTCATTTCGCCTCTGCACGACTTGGGCATTCTCAATGGCGAACTCGACAATCAATCGCTTGCCTCGTTCACCCGCGCCCTTGACTGAGTGGCCATTGAGCCATCGTAGACCAGCCAGCGCGTTGCGGTGACTGACATACTCGATGAACCCGTAGCCTCGACTCCGACCCGCGCCGTCACTGACTTTGCTGCCTTCTTTGTCTTCGAAGACGACCTTGGCTTGCCTCACAATACCCTTGCCCTGCTGTTTGCGCTTCTTGTCGGCGTCTCGCATCTCTGCGCCACCACGGTTTAATTCTTCCTTGTTCAGCGGCTCTCGGATCCCGGCCTTGACGTCCTTGGCAAACCCGACGACCGCTTCACGCGCGAGAGCCTTCAGTTCTTTGCTTGCAATATTCCGCGGCACGTTGCGAATGCTCAGTCTGGTCAAACTCAGGCACAAGTTGGGATTCGTCTTGAGCAGACGCTGACGTTGCCGCACACTACTCTCGCGGATGTCCATCTCCGCCTTCCCCAGCTGTTCTGCAAGCTTGGTGCCCCGGCCAACTGATCCTTCTGACAACAGGTACAAACGTCGCTTATCCCGGTCCCGTATGTCTCGTTTGTCGCTCGCTTCGGTGGCGCGCCGTTCGGCGTTCTCTCGACTCAATGCTCTTGTAACGTTCAGCACTCGTCCTTCTAGTGTGTACTTCCCAGATGGGTCGCTGGCTTCATTCTGTAGGACTGAGTGCTTCAACATCTCGCCCTTGCGTTTCTTGTCTTTGCTGTTGGTGTCGGGAGTGGTGGTGAGCTCGTGTTTCGGTGCTTCCTTGACGCAAGATTTGGCATCCTCGACGTTGAAGAAGCAGACGAAGCCTGTGCCTTTGGATCGTTCGGTCTCTGGGTCATAGACCACACGGGCATAGCGGACTGGACCGAAAGTGGAGAAATGTTCCTTGAGAATCTCATCATCCGTAGTGAAGGGTACATTGCGGATGAATATTGTGGTGTCATTGCTCTTTTTCTGCTCTTCTTCTTCCGCTTCCTCATCAGCCGAGTCCGAGCCCAGATCAGTTTCATCGTCTTCATCGTCTTCATCCGAGAGGTCTTCCGAGCCAGCCTGGACTTCCTCGTCGATGTCCACTCCTCCAGCTGAGCCCGTGTCTGACACATCAGCTGCAATACCAGGCTGTGTAGCCTTCTCGTCTTCAGCCACGTCTGCACCTGAGGTAGGCTCTGCTTGCTGCTGCTGCTGTTGCTGTTCCCAAGTCTCCTTGTCCACAGCCCAGTCGACAGCAAGTGTGCGGCCATCCACCTCCTTCCCATTGACACCCGCCAAAGCCTTCTCGGCATTCTTCTTACCCCTCAAAACGACAATCCCAAACCCATACTGCACGCGTGGCCCCTTCTGAGGCACCACCGCATGTTTGACCTTGCCATAACTCCGAAAGAGCAGCGAGAGATCCTCGGCGGTCTTGATACTCCATGGCAGATTTCTGACGATCAACCTAGGCGCCTGCGTTTCCTTCCTGTCCTGCTCTCTTTTCGCTCGCAGTTGCACACCGGTGGTGTTGGGCCCACTCTTCTTCCCACCGCCAGGACCGGGAGTCACTCCAGTGCCAATCTCATCTGCATCTCGGTGTCTCGACTGGGCCAGCTCGACTTTGATCTTCCGCCCGTCGAGCACCGAGTTGTTCAACTGCTGGATCGCGGCTTGCGCATCATCAGCGTCTGCGAATGTCACGAATCCAAAGCCCTTGGAGATCTTCGTCTGCGGGTCAACGACGACGGTGGCGTGCTTCAGAGGAAACGACTCGGAGAAGTATTCGGTCAGGCGTTCCGTCGTGACTGTGGCAGGTAGTGAGCGGACGAATAGTGAACGTCGTTGATCTGGCTTGGTCGAATGTTCTGCTTCGGTTGGCGTGGTGGCGGTGGTGGTTTCAGGTGCAGCATCGACGGCTGTAAGGGCTTCATAATTACCAGCAGACAGCTTCCGCCTTTTGTTGTCGGGACTCATGGCTATTTTGGTGGCCTTTCTCTGGACCAAGACTGATTGACGGTGGACTATCACTTGCCCATGAAATTTTTCCTGAAGGTCGAGGAAAGAGCCTGAGGCTGCGGAAACAATTTTCTCCAACTCCGCCTTCTCCAATGTCTTGGCGGCACTAGCACTGCCGGTGCATTGAACTTCAACGACTTCAAGTTGCGGTTTATGATCTGTTGCTCATGGAATGGAATGCACGCTTGAAGTTGATCTACGTTATTGACTACATCGGAACGGGCCATAAAACTCTTTCGAAATACCGTTTATGACAGGTTGTGGAGAAGTAGGTAGATTAATAGCGTCGAAGCTAAACTACAATGCGAAGCAGAAGGGGCTCGCAGGTGAGGCCCGGTACCATAGGTACCTAGCTAGTACAGCAATCTGCCACCAGCCCAAATACAATAGCATCACCTCTGTTGTTCATTCCCTGAAACTGAAAGCACTTCTTGTAGAGATTGCAGGCATTCGTCACCATAATATGATGGTGCACACTGAATCATTCACCCCATTCGTGCGCCCCTTGGACATGAAAGCACCCAACCTCATTCTTCATCATTTTCCGTTTCGGCTTCCGTCCTTAACTCGTATGCTAAATCGTAGCACTCGGCGAGAAGATCGTTGACACTTCCCTGGCCTTCGGGAATGTCTTTGCCAATTTGGAATTTCCCATCAACTCTCATGTTGTCAATCGAGTTCAACTTCATACTGTAGGGATAAAGTTCGCGAGGGTTGGACACTCCACCTGCCTTCTTGACCTCGACTAAACATCTGCGCAAGGTCAGAAGTTGGTTGTAGATGGGAAGTAGAGCTTCCGAAACAGGTTCTGAGGCGATTAACAGTTGATATATGTATGCGTAGCCTCGTCGGATGAGATACAAAAGTGTCTGTTTCAAGGTTTTAGCCATAGGTCGTCGGTTAAAGGCCAGTCAACTTACTCTCTGAGCATGTAAATCAGCAGGACGTCCTTCAGCATCGAAGAAATTGCCATCCCGGCGGGAGTCATCGATCCTGTCGAGTTTCCTCTGCCACATATAAAGATCGGTTTCACGGAGAGACCAAGCCTGGGTCATAGTCAAGCGGTCCAGCTGATTTCGAATTTCGATCAGTTGGTCGTAAGTGTCCTGAAATCGTTCATCGATTTTGCCTTTCCTGTTCGTTGATTAGCACAAATGGCCGTAGATTCTCAACGATCAACGTACTTTTGCTCCACAATGTCCGTGAAAGCGAGGCACCTGTGCAGGAGGGGCACCACAAGATCCTGCCCAGATGATGTATTTCCGGCTTCATCTGGCAACTGTCCGTTTTTCATGCTTGTCTCCAACTGGACCAGTTGATCCCGAAGTTCATGAAGATCTTTCACACTGTACTGTTTCTTCGTCAGCTTCACACATAGCTTGCCTGGAGGAATGCTCCTACCTTGCTGCGCGTATTCAAGGCCGCGATCGCACGCAGAATGGAAACGAGTTTTTCCCAAGTGGGAACCATCTCTGGAGACAGGACAGACAAGAAAGACCTCATCTCTTCAAGGAGCTTCTGGCAGATTTCCAAACGATATTGTATCCTAGTGAGCAGGTGGTGGGAGTAAACTTCCTTTCCACGCTCTAACGTAGCCTCCATCTTGGCCAGAGAGTGTTCCAGGCTGCCCAGGTCTTTCTTGCTGTAGAAAGCAGCTTCTTTGAGGTGATGGCACAGGCGCATTATAGTACCGGTCATGGAGTACAGCGCAGGGGCTTCATTATTTCGACCAATAGCCATGAAAAAGAGAGAGATGAGTTGGAGCGAGTCATCGAGAACGGTATCGACCCGGTTCTGCACCAGATGTTCGGCGCCTCGTGCTTCGTTGAGGGCGGAGACCTGGTCTATGACCTGCTCGTAAAGAGGGAGGACATCGGAGGACTTGACGTAAGTGCTTTTGTCTTGTTTCAAAAGAAGGAGCTTGTCTCTGAGCAACAACAATTTATCCAAGATGGGCTTCTCTTGAGGGCCAACTGGCGCGTTTGTAATGGGAGAATCAGCCATAACGAAGGCCGACCATGAAGAGGGGTTGACTTTGGGACAATCGCAACCGTTGATCTGGGATATGACCTGTACGTGCGCAGGCTCAGTCTCAGGCTCGAATGATGTATGAAGATGTTGTATAGGGTGTACGACCGAACAAAATATGGAAGTAAAACCCAGAGATGAAGTACTATTGTTTTGTTGGTGGCGGAGATAGTGGTCAACTCGGATGTTCGGTTGTGCCCCAGACCAAAGGAAAACGTAGGTGAACTTGGAAGGTGGGATAGCCGTGCCTTGCCCCGCGCAAACCAATTCGGGTGATTGCCAGTGTGAGGAGGCAATTCGAACCTCACGTAAATTAGTCATTCTGAGTTAACTACCTCAGGCTACGAGTAGGTAATCACCACCTCGACCAGCCAAATGCTACTTAACTAGATAAATAACTAGTTAGTGCTTAATTGTGGCCAGCTAGGTGCCTATTTCTTAGGTGCTGTACCATGGTTGTAGGTCGTAGAAATGCCCTATCCTCCGTTCAGCTTATCGCCCCTTTGCCGCCTGCGATCTGGCTCTCAGGCAGAGGCAAGATCGCCACGGGTCAATTGCCATGCATTTCAATTGAAATTCTCCTCGATATTGCTCCATGTTGCTTTCTGATTACGAATTGGCAGCAGTCCCTCCATATTAGTCACCACAAACTCCGCTTTCTCGACAATCCCTCCAAGCACTGTACATGAGCAAGACCATACTTTGTCCCTCACTCGTCTGCTCTGCAGGTTCTTTGCTGGGAATGTGTGACACATCGGCTACAGGGCTCACATTTCCCAGGCTGTCAACGTGAGACAAGACTGCTTTGCGAATTGTGTTTGCCCAACCCAGAAACTCAGAAGTGGCAAACGTATCGGGTAGCAGTACAGCCAGTCGATACACAGCGGATGCCATCAGGGCCGTTCCAGCGGCCTCTCCGTAGGCCCACGGCGCAGACGCACTCGAGCGACCATCTAAGTAGTTCTTGAGGAGACCCGATCCTTCGTCACGCGCCTGATGCATTGCACATTTGATCATTTTGATGAGGATATCGACAAGTATTTGGGTACTGTCTTGAGAGAACTCTTCGTAATTGACGTTCCGCCGGTCGATTTCCGTAGGCTTCCACTTCAGTAGGGTTGCTAGGACTCTGGTGATGCCTGCCACCGCCCACGCATTACTGGTCAACCATACATTATCATCAGAGCAACAGACTCCTCGAGGCAGCTGTGCTGGCCGGGAAGCAATATGCCTCCATAATCCAATGCACACGCTTCCATCCTCGAGTGTGATATGCGTGCCCAACACTTCATCATGAAGCCGACATTGACGCACAGCTTCGTCCAGAATTTGGAAATCTTGAGTTGCAACTGCAAAGGCGGCAAGGAATGGAGGCACCATATACACAAAATCACCCCACAATTCTGAAGGTTCATCGCGGTGCGATATTGCCGAATGCGTATCATTGATCGTAAATCTCGTGGCGCGCCCCAGCAGATATTGCGCTTGTCGACGTGCTGCCGCAAAATATGTAGCATCGTTTGTCCCAATCAAGAGGGCTGCGCAGCCCAAGGACGCTGGATCTGCGGGAGAACCTATGAAATCGTGAGTAATGTCGCCCCGGATCCATCTATAGAACCTGCTTCCAGACCGGAAGGAGTAATCGATTCTAACCCAACTATTTCTTACCTTCTCCATCCATCAAAAGGTCACTGTTGTTAGTCTGGATCACAGTTTTGGCGTACTGTAGACCGTGGACCATCGAAGGATCATGGACCAGTGGAAGTTCGGCATGAGGGAATGGCTCCGATCCAAACACCGTCAAGGGAGGATTGTAAAGCTCCAGCATGGCCTGTACTAATGTGCCGTATTCCCAAGATCTTGAAGTCAGTGTCATGGCCCTTTTCAAAACCTTTTCGGTATTGAACTCGTGATCTGGAGCCTTGTGAGTTAGGTAACGATGCAGCCCCAAGGCTGCAATGAATATCAAGCTCGAACCAATTCGCAACATCATTGTTGTCCCTGCGAGAACTATCTCGACGTCTCCTAGGGGTTCCGTCCTTGTTATGATTTCAAATTCGAGATTTGATCGATCATAGTTCTTACACTTGAAGTTGATCGTTATTGATGACGTTAGTCGGCCAAACCCCGGCAGACTCGAGTCAGAACAGGGAGGAATAGTTGACTGTGGCGATATGCAGGGTGAAATCTATATGAAACTTGCTGCGAAAGCCGCATATCACGAAACTCAAGGGACATGCATACCGTCCAAGGTCTGGCAAGCTGTGGGCATTGTCATCGATGAGGACCAGTCAATAGACATAACGATTGGTTCGATTGCCGTAGGAATGAATTTCCGCTGATGTCGCTAAGCCTCTACAGGGGCTCATCTGTACAAGAGAAGTCCGCTGAAAGGAACCTTGTGATGAAAACTTCAATACTATTTAGCTTGAGATTATGCTAAGTCTCGATCTCTGCCTGATGAAGATGGCCCATTGATGGGGAGCTGAAATTGGTTCGAAGCAAACGAAACAAACGGAGCACACCTTGGCCGAGATATTTAACTAATTGACAAACACGCGGAGCTTAGCTGGGGGTGGACGCAGAAGATCTGTTCGCGTATCTTCCACATCCGCTTGGCTGCGATCTTCAGGCCATGGCAGATCCGCAACCGGAAGGCTGTGGCGCTGGTGGGGCGACCCTGCCTAAATCTTCGTGTGAAGGACACCTATCAAGCCCCAATAGGCCCTGTAGGAAGAAGAGCCGCCTTACTGTAGGCCCTCAACTCAAAAACAAACATCCCGGCTTTCCTCCTGATGGAGAACCACCTACGTCAGTCACTGCATGAAAGAGACGGGCCCTCTCAGCACCGCAGCTATGGTCTATCGTTCCTGTTTCTGGGGCTTTTCGCTCTTTGCCCATCGTCTTGCAGAGACACGAATCCTTGCAACGACTGAAATATTAGCATCAAGATCGACCTCGACGCTTCTATCATTAGTCGTACCCACTATCAGATCTACAATCAAACATCCCACCTTCACATACTCGATTGACATTCTGCTGAGACGGGTTTCATGTGATGAGATAAAGCCAACGATCATGTCGTACAAGCTCTCATGATAGGCATAGTCGGTAAGGATGGACAGCCAGTCTTCCTTTTCCTCACCGCAGAAGGATCGACTCCTTCTTGAGGAGTTGGGTATTTCGGCCACCAATGACCGAAATGGGGATGAGCGATGGACTATTTCTCTTGACTTGGGTGCAGGTATTAGCCAGAGTGCAGTTTTCGACCATGCAAGTCGCCGTTGGAAACTTGAACAACTACCAGAAATTATAGCACCACCTACTATATCACAATCTCTTCTTCAAAATAAGAGTACGCATCCGAAATTGACCAAGAGCCGCGAAAGCACTGTGGGCAGATCTTGGACAGATTTTCTTCCACAGAATGAAAACGTGGACTGGTTTCTAAATAGCGTCGACTGGTCATTAACAGAACTGGGCCCTTTGGAAGGATGGCCTGTCACACTTCAGGCACTTGTCAGCCTGATCATGGCTGACAGTAACCCGGCAGTTGTCTACTGGGGTCCCAGCTTGTCCTCTTGTTTCAACCTGAGAGCTTATCAAGACGTCTCCCAAAGGTTCAAGAAGAGCTCAGGAATCCAAGGGGTTCCTTTCAAAGAATGCTGGAAAGAGGTCTGGCCTGACGTCGAAGCGCTTTATAATGCCATGCGGACTTCCACTCAAGGTTCAGAAGTCATGCAAATGGCAGTATTTCCACAACAGGCTAATGGGCGTCTTGAGGAAACGTTCTGGATGGGCTGTATGTTGCCAATAATTGGTGAATTCGGAAGTGCGTCAGGCTTCTACAACCGAGCTGTTGACACGACCAGAGAAACCGTGAATAATCGCAGGTCAAGTACACTTTATTCCCTTGCCTCGCCTTCTAGAGACAAAGGTGATACCATATGGAAGCATATTTTTCGGTCTTTACGTGAGAACGAGTACGACTTTCCCATGGCTTTTGCCTACTCGGCTGATGACGAGCTTGTCACATGTAAATTGACTCTTCAGCAGTCCTTCGGTCTACCACCTGATGGCCACCAGCTGGTACCAAATGAGGTCGACATTTTTGAAGGTTTTATGGGCTTTCAACCGCTTTATCGAAAGGTTAGAGATTTACACGAGGTTTTAGTCCTCCACAAGGCTGATGGATCAATGTCATCGGATCTGTTGAAGGGCTTTGAGTGGGGCGGCTATGGTGAAGAACCAGATGGGATCGTCGTGATGCCAGTTTCAGTGAGCAGCAGGCTGCTAGGCATTGTGGTCTTTGGTATTAATCCTCGAAGGCCATTTGGCGCGGAAGATCAAGCTTTTATCAACACTCTGTGTCGCCAGGTCTCTGCTACTGTTGCATTTGCCATTGATCACAAAGAGGCACAAGAGCGTGCTCAACGGCTGACGTTGGAACTGGCTGAAAATGAACGGCATATTCGAGAGGTTGCTGAGAATGGAGCTGTTGGGATGATACGTGTGACTCCGGAAGGTACGTCCTGCTAACCCTAAGCCATGAGTTTGTTACCATGCTAAGTCAGGTACGTAGGTAACGTCCTGTGGGCAAACAGTCAGTATTACAAAATTACAGGTCACTCGGCCGACGATCATTATTCGCAGTCATTCATCGACGTTGTTCATCCTGAGGATAGAGCCGCTGCCGAGGCCTTCTGGTTGAAATTGGTCAACAATCATGAGTCTGCGGACAGTGAATTCCGATTGACTCGCAAATGGGAACCACCAGTAACTACCGGGAGAGCTTCAAATGAAGAGGATCATGAGTGTTGGATTATTGCAAATGCGTTCCCTGTGCTCGAGGACGGTGTTCTTAAGAGCATCTCAGCATGCGTGACTGAAGTCAGTGAGATCAAGTGGACTCAAAGAGTACACAGTCAATTAGCTGCGGAAGCAACAAAGGCACGCAAGTTACAAGAAGCCTTCATCGACCTTGTGTCCCATGAAATGAGAAATCCCTTGTCGGCTATTACCCAACTCGCCGACGACATTGCGAGTTCCTTGGATACCTGGAGCCCGCCTAACCGAACGAGCGAGCGGGCTACTCGATTACTCAACGAAAATGTTGAAAGTGGTAAAACAATACTACTCTGCGCCGCACATCAGAAACGAATCATTGACGATGTGCTAACACTATCCAAGCTCGATTCTCAGTTACTATCCATAACACCTGTGGTCACACAGCCCTGTGGGGTCGTTGATTCTGCCCTCAGAATGTTCCAAGCAGAGTTTGCTTCGAGCGGGATTACAATTGAGAATACATTTGAGCAAGCTTATGATGACTATGGAATAGACTGGGTCTTGCTTGATCCAGCCCGACTTACCCAAATATTGATCAATCTGATTACAAACGCGATCAAATTCACTAAGCGCGAATCCAGGCGTCTCGTCACGATCAGACAATCGGTGTTTATCGACGATAGACCGCCGTCTTTGGATGGACTCGTATGGTTTCCTTCCGATAAGGAAACCCAGGATATTACCAACGCTCCAGAATGGGGTAATGGTGAGCAAGTCAATCTCTTATTCATGGTGTCCGACACCGGAAAGGGTCTCCAGCAGGAGGAAATGATGCGTTTGTTCCATCGCTTCCAACAAGCCACAAAGAAGACACACATCAAATACGGAGGATCTGGCCTAGGCCTTTTCATCTCGCGAGAATTAACAGAGATCATGGGTGGTGAAATTGGTGTTATCTCAGCGCCAGGAAAGGGCAGTACTTTTGCATTCTATATCAAAGCACGGCGTGCAGTACCACCGGATGACCGTGATCAGATCATTTGCCAATCAGAATCTCGTGCTAGCTCACGCCGTGCGTCTGAACCTCTTGACAAGATCAACTGGATATCCAGGCAGCTGAGCAACACAGTCATCACCCCACCCCGACTTTCTGTGCTGCTTGTCGAGGACAACATTATCAACGCTCAGGTCTTGATGAAGCAACTCGAGCGGGCGGGCTGTGTCGTCTATATCGCCAACCATGGCCTAGAGGCCTTGGATTTCCTTACGAATTGCAAGGTTTGGCATCAACCAGCCGAAGACTCGCCTCTAATCGAGGTCGATTGTATCTTGATGGATGTCGAGATGCCTGTCCTCGATGGCCTGACATGCACACGAAGAATCCGCGCACTTGAGGTTCAGGGGTCATTGCGTCAGCGTATCAATATCATTGCCATCACCGCCAACGCACGTGCTGAGCAGATCGATGATGCGTTTGCTGCTGGGGTCGATGGAATTCTACCGAAGCCTTTCAGGGTTCTTGACGTGCTTTCCAAGGTGGAAGAGCTCAAGCCGCGGAAGTCTATCTCTTCTTAAATTCTTAAAACGTACTTGCCTTCTCGTTCTTTATGATTTTTAGATTCCAAATGTACCAAGCTACGATCTAGTTACAGACGGAGTATGCTATTTGAGGAACTCAAAGTCTGAGAACCCAATGTCCGTCTTCTCCTGATACCAACGGCTACGAGGCTTAGATTAAGTGTAATAATGTATAGCCACGCACGAGATCCGAAAGGGTTGAACTCCCCTAGTCGAGCGTAGTCATTGCTTGAACTACGAGGTCTTCTTTTTCATGGATTTCCTCTCGGTTGCGACTGAACCAATAATGGTAAGTATTCCCAAAGCCAAAGGTATGTACAGCGTCTGTGACACTGCATTGCTGTACCCGGAAAGCACATTTTTCAGATTTGCACTGCCGATGTCATGTCGAAGGTCGGAAAGTCCAGAATGGCCAACCGCAGTGACATTTGCACCAGGAGCATGCTGTTGGATCTCCTCCACCAGACGGTTCTGAAAAAGTGTCGCTGAGGCACAAGTCCAAAGGGCAGAGCCCATTCCTCCCCCAAAGCCAACGACGGCGGTTCCAATCGAGACATCTTTCGGCGACAGACTTGTCTGCACGATGAGGATGGGAGTCTGCATGCCAAACCCTATTGCAGCGCCGAGAAATCCAAGTAGTGCGGCAACTTTGGCGGAGCTCTCGTCAAGATTGATGGTTGTGAGTATGCCAGAGGCAACGGGCGCTAATATGCTGGTTGCGAACATAAACGCTAATAAATCCAGTAAGTAAGGCAGAAGGAATATGAATTGACATGAAGTAAACTCACGGAAGTAGTATCCGATTTTGCTGATTCCCATGCCTGCGGCTAAGCCGGCAAGCCCCAGTCCTGCAATCATGGGCAAGCCCAACAGTCCAGAAGAAGTTGGAGATAGACCTTTCACTCCTTGGAAGTAGATGGCAATGTATGACTCTGTCACAGCCAAGATTCCATTGCAGCAGCTAGAAAACCAAAGAGCGGCCAGAATGCTCCGTTGTTTCACTATCCTCGTTGGTAGCGTGGCTGCCTCGCCTCGACGATGTTGAGCGTAGCCAAAGACAGTAAACAGCACTCCGAACAGAACGAGAAGCAAAATAATCCGCCAGTTGTTCCATCCATACTTGATACCTCCCCATTGAAGAGCCATCAGGAAACAAGTAATTGCAGGAACGATGAGAAGTGTTCCCAAAGGATCCAGCCGATTGAGTTTCTCTTTCCAAGGCAAGTTGTTGTCAGGGTTGCCAACAGGGTCGGAAAATCCGTACCACGTCAAGAGTATGCAGAGCACGCCCAGCGGGAGATTGATCCCAAAGCAGGCTCTCCAGTTGAAGGCATCGATCAACACTCCACCGATCATCGGTGCAGAGACGAGACCAAGGGATGAGAAGACCATGACCGAGCTCGTCACCAGTGGTTGTTTCGCCAGGGGGAAGCAATGTCGTAAGATGGTGACACTTCCAGTATTAAAAGCACTGGATCCCAGACCCGCAATGGCACGACCAAGGATAAACATCTTGGAGTTTGCGGCAACGGTGCAGAGCAGGGAGCCAAGTTCGAACGTGATGATCCCGAACATGAAAAGGGGTTTGGACGAGTATAGAGTATACGCCTTTCCGAAGCTGTGGCAATGGTTTTAGCTTCCTGAAATACCAATCTAATGGGGCAGAACTGACAAGAAAATGAAGGCACTACTAGTCATCATACTATATCCAAGCATCAGCTCTTGTCCAGAAGTCGGAATGTCCATCTACATACTAGGCCGCTGCATATCAGCCAATGTCATTGACTGTCTTGAATTGGTCTGTGAGGCTTGGTATCTGTTTGACAAGTCAGACGGGTTAATGGTGGAATTCTGTCTCCCAAAGACCACTCACAGCCACAGTAACTATGGTAAGATCCTGGTGTTGTTGGATTAGTGACGTTGATTTCAATCGGCACGTCCGAGAGACTGTAGACCCACCAAGCCATGTAGGAAGAATGTAATGCAGAGGCAAAGTATAGTCAGCCAGAGCTTGGCACCTGTTGGGTAGTTGATATTATCTTCTGCATCTCTGGCAGATTCTGGTTGTTCAATCTGCAATTGTTCTTGCGGTCGGCCGGGTATAACAACTGTCTCACTCTGATGGCCTAGTATCGAATCACCATCTGTACGGTTGCTTGATGTGGCCATGCTGGAAGGTTGAATAAAATATCACAAGCGGGAAGAAATGACGACGAAATCTCGAAATATTCTCTGGACCTTATAATGTCTGGATATTGGGGCATCTCGGTGCTGCCTGAATGATCGATAACCGTCTCCTATGTCACCCCGCATGCTTGACGCTGATCATTAGACAACTTGGGAATAAGTTGCACGACTAAAAGACCACACGGTTGAGTTTCATCTAGGCATCTGCCATAATTGCTTTTGACGTAGAGGACTTAGATTTCGATATCATGCAACAAGAGAAAGTGATCAAGATACAAAATGGCTGCCACCGTGCGAGGATAAAAAGACTCTAGTTGGAGCGACTTCAGGGGTAAATCCCAAGAAGCCTGAGGCTAGATTTACAGAAGAAATGCCTACGTCATAGCATGCATAGCCATGGATTTGTGACTTTCTGGTCTTTCTGGGATGCCACTTTGTCCAAAATTCCTCACTAATGAGGATATGTGCAAGTCATGGACATGAAAGCTGACGTGCAGATAATATCGTGCCTGCCTAGCCACTTAAGAGACTTCAAGCCCTTGTTGAAACTCCGGAAGTGCTTGATCCAATATCCCAATACTGCATAGCGTCCTCCTACGAAGATGTCGTCTACGTAAGTTTCAGGCGAACCTTCTACCATACTACTTAGCCGCTTCGAATGCGGATTTGAATGAGGTGATATACTTGAGAGGATGTCCGATCGAATATCGCTGCTATATCAAGTGGACACGAACATCACGTCCGCAGGACTTCCACAAACTCAGCTTGGGAGGTTGGAAGACGGACATTTGAATATAGATCATTCATATGTTTGTCCTGGTTTGCCAAGAACCCCGAAGAACGACGCCCATTGTTGCAGTCATAGAAAAGCGCGCAGGTCTGTACCACTTGAACATCCATCACGAAAACGCGAAGATCATCTTGCGAGAACGCAGATCGTCAATGCAGGAGATCCTGATCATGGGACGCCTTGGGTGGTGGAGCCTTGCTGAATTACCTAAAACATACGTGAAGAATTTGTTCCGTGGCCGCCTTTGGTCTGCATCAATACCAAGGATGGAACGCCTCTCTGCATTTTGAACACATCTTTATCGGGGTGGGTCAATCTCAATGAACCGATACGCAATATGGTACGGAGCAATTGATATCACGTTTATGGCCATCAGAGCTTGACCGTGACAAATATGTCCAGAATGAATAGTATATCAACACCGCAAGAGCCATGACAGATTATGGGACAAGCAAAACCATCAACTACTCTACTCTACTCCTTAGCACGACTTCCTGACAAAAGCAAGAAGAGAAGATGAAGTTCCAGATTTTCCTCTCAGCATTCGCGCTCTCCACCCTCGGTCATTCGACTCCAATTGACCTTGCTCCACGGCAAGCTTGCACTCCTTACACACTCTTCTGCAAGAACTCGCAAACGGTCTCCTTTTGCAATCCTTCGGGCGGATCTATCGACGTTATTTCCTGCTTGGGTGCGCAAAAATGCAGCATCGTGCCACTCGGCAGTGGCGGCCAAACTGCAATTTGCGTTGACCAGTCGGTCTGGTCAGTGTGGGAGTCTTTCCGGCTTGACATGAAGCGCTAATTACTACATTTAGATCCGTCGATGAGCTCAATCCATGGACCATGTCAAAGGCCAGGAACAGATGATAGAAGACCGGAGGGAATGCGCCGTGTCACATGGTCTCAGATTGTGGTAGGCATTGTGATCAAGATTATGAACTGATCCGCCCCGCTGCAAACGACAGGCAATTATCTCTAAGTAAATAGTAGCAATGTCTGAATTCATGTCGACCCGAAAAGCGTCGGCCAATCACTCCTTAATTGACTCATCACCACAAATAAATCCCCTTCTTCACTGTAGGTCTCATTGCCACTTAGTCCCCACGTCTCATTCTGCCATGATTCGGAAAATGACATGAAGTGGCCTGTGAGCTCGGTCTCATTGTATTCGGCACGTGGGGTGGTCGTGATGTAATCGGTGAATGCCAGCCACCGAGGAAGATAGTAGGATGATACCAGCCCACTCCAAACCTTGGAGGCATAGTCGTTGATCTCCCCAGTAGGGCCCCAGAGAGTCAGCTGATTTCGAGCATTGTACTCGTAGTACGATGTGAGGTCGGTATCGTTTGCCCAAGCACGTGCGTCTGCGATCCATGTGGACAGGCGGAAGTGGCCGTTCGTTGCTAACACGGCGTCGAGTGATAGTAATATGCCGGATAGCGTTGAGCTGTATGTGGACAGCATGTCTGTCTCGTTGTTGGAGGTGGCTTGAGACCCATTGGTGGCATTGTAGCTTGATACAAAGTCGAAATATGCTTGTGTGAATGCATTACTCAATACCTGGCGTGAAATATCCACATAATCATACTTGTATGCAGGATTGTCCCATAATGCTGGTGTTTCTTCGGAGGCTTGATAAAAAAGCGACCAGGCCATGGATAACACCGACGGGTCGTAGTACACCGTGGTACCATGGCGCCCGGTTTTGTTGTAAATTCCATTGATCTTAGGCGAAAGCTCCAGGACAGACTTCTGGACACCTGGGATAAAGGTGGTATTGGTGCTGTTGTAAACTGTAGTCCGCATCTGATCCCAAGCACTGTACAGGGCTTGAGGGATCGTGCCAATCCCCGTCCCTGAATTATACCGACTGGAGACCCAATCATGGAAGTAGATATCGGTATCGATGGGTTCCTCTGACCAAGCCTGGTCGAGAAGCAAATCATACACGATTTGATTGCCTTCCTGTCCTTCCATAGACAGCCCAAATCCAACCAATGAACTCGAGTTCTGAAGTGCTTGGATCGGATCTATTGTCAGGTTCATTATTTGCCCGTACAAACCAAGATTACCTCCGTAATTATGTAGTTGACACCAAATCCAGGGCTTTCCATAATATGAGTTGGTTCGCTGCCATTGGGGGCTTGACTCGGAGAAGAGGTCCAAAATGAGCATATCTTCGTTTGGAGCGCCACCAAGGTATGCTTCAATCCGCTCATTTGTCCAGAAGTCGACATTGCTGTGGAACAGCCAGGCTTGCATTACCCATATTGATTCAGGATCCGCAGCCTTCAATGATGCCCAAGTATTTTGTGTCAGGTTTCTGAGAAAATCGAGATCTCCAGAGGATGGGTCGTTCTCGTTATATTGATCTAGTGTGTATATGTGAGTCACGTTGCCGTACGCGTCCTGTTGCTTCGATATGAAACTCTTTTGGAGCTGGGTGAACAGTTCTGGATTCTCTGAGGGATTGAGAAAAGTGTCGTTGGTGTACCGTGGTGAGAAATCCTCCCATTGCGATCCGATCAGAACTGATGCATTTGGATACACCCGATCGATAGCCCTTGGCACAAATCCGGTGAAGGCTGGAAGGATGGGAGTCATTCCAAGCTCGACCATCCGAGCGACAATCTTCTTGTTTAGCTCAAACTGTTCATCAATCCAAGACATTGGCAATTGACCACCCCAGTCTCCTTGAATATTACCGAATCGGTTCCAAGCTTGAAATGGCGGTCCACTGAGAAAGTCGAATATCTCAGTGTCATTGAAGCCTGCATCACTGAACGTCTCAAAGAGAAGCTTTTCTTGTCCCACCCACGCCAGCGGGAGATTGATACCATGCAGAGCCATCCAATCGAGTTGGAGTTCCCAATCATCCCAAGTCCAGAAGGCGGACGTATAAGAGAAGGTGACTGTACCATGTTATCAGCAAATAGATGGAGAGTTGGGCCGATCATACCTGTGTTGAAATGGTATCGATATGGGACAATACTGGACCCTGCTATGGGGTTTGTGATGTTCGGCAGTGTCTGTGGTATGAGGTGAAGGCGACTTCCAATATACCAGTATATGTCCACATTTGCTTGTTCTGTCAAGTATCTTCGAAGACTGGGCGTGGATTATCAGCAGAATCCGCAATGCTTCTGTATCAGTACTTCGATCCACTTACCCGACAGCGAGTGCTGATATTGAATTGCCTGCCACGAGAATCTTGCCATTCGAAGTTGACGAAATGTGGTAATCGTCATTCTCGGTGTCATTTTTTTGACCGATCAGTTGGAACTCGAAGCCACTCGCGTGGTTTGGTATCAAACGTTGCACAAGACTATTGATTCCGTCTGTTCCAGCCTGGTGAGTAGGTACGGTGAATACAAGGAGAAGGGCGAGGGCGAAGAAAGTAAATGGGGCCATCTTGGGGCTCTACAGCATTAATGGCACTCAAGCGACGTTAACCAAAGCATGAAGGTAGAGGTCACTTTTTTAATACCTTACTATATGTCATGGGTAAGTTGGCGAGTACCGGGAGACGAGCAGAGCCACAAGAACAGTCTCGGCTTTCAACGTTGCATTGAGTAACCTGCAAGGCACGAATTGTAACCATTCCAATGGACCAACACGATAGCGGCACGATGCCTTGCGAATAATCCAACCGTGTGCGGGGAGACGTTGAATAGCCTCTGTCGATCACTCCAAGTTACTGGAGCTTGAAGTTATGTCGGTGGGTGGCATTGAGAAAGATGTAACCGATCCAGTCAGGCCCGTCGATCGGAGCATGATGCTATCCATATCTCCGTCCCAATACTGAGGGATCCCGGAATACTGATCTCGGTATGCTAGAGAGTAAAGAACCTGGGGCTTGACTTGTTAACATACACTCCTATGGTCCACAAGGAGCGCTCAGGAGTTCGTTGGAAGTCCAGACACAGGCACGCAGAGGTAGTGAAGGACGGCAATATCCGATCTACGTCAGTGGCGTTCTCCGGGTCGTCCTTCAATCCAGAAGTATTCAATCCAAGTGTCTACCTACCTAGGTAGGTAGGCAGCCAAGTGCGGTACCTAGCGAGCCATTGCCACTGGAGTTGGTATCACGTAGCAGTCATGTATGTTCTCGATTCTACGTGAGATCTGCACTGGGTCTTGAAGCTCCTAGAATGCTTGTCATGTCGTGGTACTTTGTTTAACAGTTGAATGGAACGCGTAGACCTTCATGGCTATCATACCTGTCCCACAGAAATATCCATTTCCAGGATTCTCTGCTGAGTACAACTCTTCCTAGCAGATATCATCACATCGTAACAGGCCACCCTCAGCCTTGTCCAACTGGTTCATGAAATTCCACCCAAATGTTCAGATTCCCTCACAGAAAAACACCCCGAAAGTCACTCACACGAACGGAAAAAAAGGTGCCCAACTACCTAGGTGATTATCTGCCTTTGAAGTGCGTTTGGTGGTCTTGCTGCTGAGGGCCGATCATAGTCCTGCTCTTATGATTTGGTCGTTGAGCCAATCAAATCATCCGAGCTTCAGCCTCGCTTGAAGTCAAGACCCTCACAAGGTTCCAGTGCCAGTAAGAGTGACTCAATCTCAAGGACCAGAATTTTAGTTTGGCGTGACGAGATCGATGCACGGATTTGTTTGGAGGGGTTGCTGCTCATGCTGCAGTCGCTGTCCGCCACTAATGGAATTTCAACCTGTTGTTTAAGGTCCTCATTTTTTGCCCAGCGATGTTCTTGTGAAACCTCCTATTTTGCTAAAATAAGTCAAGGTGAGTCCCCCTCCCTCGAATGCCACCTTCTTCCAAACCTTTCAGAGCCGCTTTTGCAAACAAGGGCACCAAGAATATATTCTCTTCGAATACTGGCCATATTGCCGACCTGCCCCCAGGATTGGAGATAGTTTCGAAAAAGTCACACATACTTCGGACATGGAAATCTGATCTGTATCCTGGTCCTCAACATATCCTTTTCTGTGGCGTCGATAGCTTTCGGAAGCTTTTCGGTCTTCTGTTATTTTTGCCATCCGCAGAGCAAAAAGCATTGATTTGACTCTGATGGTAGGGTATCCGGGTACCCATTCGAAGAAAGCCACATACCAGGACGAATACGGCCACTTGGAGGGCTCCTAGAGATCCGATGAAAATGAAAAAAGAAGGATGAAGTTCTGAGAAAAGAATACCTCGAGCTACCTTGACTCATTGCGCAGGTCAAGTTCTCCCTACGTCCTGGCTTGAGACTATCACAGTGTCTCTCGACAAAAGCCTTTCGTCTGGTGATGATGTCGTTGAGACCAGAGTCTGAGTTTCAAGAGATTGTGTTGTGGCATGCAGGCAGAGGATGTCTTCGAACATACGACCCTGCTTCGACAATTCAATGGAATCTATCAGATGGATTACTAGAGCGAAACAACTTAGATCACTGACGGGTTAGCGGTGAGTCGATTGTTGAGAAGACCGCGTACAGATAAATCGCGGGGCGACGCAAACACTGAGCGAGTCCTTGTCAGCTGTTTCAAGCAAGGTGAGAATCTGTAGTCAGATCTGCAACTTACCTGCCAGGAATGGGGAACCGCTCACAAGTTCTATGAGCAACAGGTCTACAGTAAGGGAGTGGAAGGCTTTGACGGTATTACTGATTGTTTCTATCTAGCCATCTGACTACGTTCGAAGGACTTGGGGAAGTCCACTGACAGCGAACGTTGTTTGGTAGGTCCACTTCTGCCGGCAAGCCGTCCAAAAACAATCTTGTCTATGCAGTAATACAGTTGATCCATCATTCCTTCCAGGAAAACTTGTAAGAGGGAATGATGTTTTCGTCAAGACATTTAGTGCTATCGATATGTTAGCAAGGACTTGCGTGTTTTACAGAAAGATCCCATACGGTGCAGCAGGAGCATCCGCTGCAATCACCTGAACCGTGCTTGCATGTGCTGCAGTGAGGATCCATTGCGAGTAATTTGTTTGTTTGTTTGATTTGATTGAGGTGGCGTAGACGAAGCTGTTGTTACTGACTGATGATAAGACTCGAAGTTTGAGAGTGATGATGGGGAGGTCAGAACGAAAAGAGTTGGTTGTTTGAGATCTTTTATAACCACTCGCTCACACCCTTTGCTTCAGGAGAGCTTTGAGGTATGAGAAATACTACGGCGAGCCAACGCATCCCACGCAATAAGCAAAATGCAAAAGCTGATTCGAAGGGCATATCTTGAAGCTTCAGGCCTCATTGGCTTCCAGTACTTACCATTGCGTAATACCAGAGAGTGGTGTGTGACGGCTGTGACCGAGGGCCCGTTCCACAGTGGAAGGATCACAAGTTCACAACGGGCTTTTCTAACGCGGAGATCTCTGCCGGTTCAAGTTATATCAATTCAAGTAGCCACTGTGAAGGATACCTTAGCTGTCTCCAATTTTCGGACACTCTTGTTTGGTCTGAGCTATCCGACCGTGCATTTCAAGGTTGGTCCAGGTCTTGGGTGTAGGTTCAAGACGTCAAATGCACGGCACGATGTAATGGGATTGGCTCGTTCAGGTGTGATAAGAGTAGAAGCTCTCACAGGAGCGTGGGAGCTCTCTTGGGCAGCAGGATAATAACTCTGGGGTGGCGTGGCACCACCTGGGTGCACATGTGGGAGGTACTGCAGAGGTCCGACCCTTTTGATTTGCCTTCTGCCGTGAAACCTGAAGGAACACAGAGAACGGGATCCACAGAGTAATTTGTCGACGTAGTCTGGTCGCACTATTGTCCACTGACCGTGGGGAACAATGAGCAGGGCTTGAAAAGCAGGTGATGCTGGATCAGGCCAGAGCTCAACCATGCCGGGTGCCACGATAGCACAAGTAGGTTAGGTAAACTTTACATTGTACCTAGGGCGTGATAGACTGAACGCAGCGATCGATTCTGCTGCTTCCTTCCATAACCCTGACTTAGGCTTAACGTGAGATTCATCGAACAGTCCTTCTTGACCAGAAAGTCTTCGTTTCACCCATTGATGTTCTCGTATCCCCGCGTATTAGCAACGGCAGATGCTGCCTGCAGTCAGTAGTAACTAGCACTCAAGGCTGACGAGCTTGAAGGAACATACAGGCAGACCCAGAAAGACCGACTAGACCAGCGACAGTGGATTTCAAAGGCCACGATTCACGGGTTGATGGGCGTCCACACCACATATTCCTGAATGACTTACATACGTAGACCGTAGACGGCTTCAGCTTCTCGGATCATCTACAGAAGACGTTGGTGTTGGTCTGCTTGCACCGTGGCCATTCTCTGCTTAGCCTAGCTAACTCAGGTTGAATGTGTTGGCTGCTCAGGGCTGTGTTTGATTGTACCTGTACCTTCCACTGGCCAGAAATATCGCTTGCTAATGAAACTGCTTGTTTGCAAGACATGAAACGTTTGCTATGAAGAGGCGTGATCATGATGAAGAGAATCAAGCCAAGATCATGTTGACTTCGTACCTTGGTAGGTAATGATGGTGGCTACGAGTAAGTTGTAACTCGGATATTGAGCCAGGGGTAGGGAGGGCTCCGCTTAAAGCAGCGAGCTTTTTGTCACTTTTCGATGATTGCCAAGGCTTCACACGAATTTGGACACCTCTCCCGGTGGCCGGTTCAATGCGCAGGGAGGACATCCACAGCGTGCTTTGCCCTGAGATATTCTATACCGTGTCTTTTGGTACTCTTTGACATTTCAAACCGCCTCACCGATACTATTGGAACGCGAACATCATAAGACTTTCCCGGAAAGAACGACTGCTTAAACAATGTGGTGAATGCCCTCAATTGCCCGCTGTCGTCCACGAACTCGTTCCCTTCGTCTCACGACGCCCTGATCTTGTCCCCTTCACCCCGCAAGACTTGCAGCCATGGCTAGTTCCCTCGACAGTTCCTACAGCCTGGTCCATTTGGACAACACGGCAGACCAGCCAAGTCAGCAAGATCTCAAAACCCAACTCGAGAAGGGCACCGATGAAACCAAACTCGACACCATGCGCCGTATCCTGACAATAATGCTCAGCGGTGACCCAATGCCCAATCTTCTCATGCATATCATCCGATTCGTCATGCCGTCAAAAAGCAAGCCTCTCAAGAAACTTCTGTACTTCTATTACGAAATTTGTCCGAAATTGGATGCGAGCGGAAAGTTGAAGCAAGAGATGATATTGGTCTGGTAAGTGTGCAGATACCTCATCACCAACTGGCGGCACTGACAAGCCCAAGTAACGGCATTCGGAATGACCTTCAACATCCTAACGAATTCGTCCGGGGAAATACCCTTCGCTTCCTCTCAAAACTCCGCGAGCCTGAGTTGATCGAGCCCCTACTGTCTGCTGCGCAGACCTGTCTAGACCACAGACATGCCTATGTTAGGAAAAACGCTGTTTGGGCCCTCGCTTCAGTCTACCAGCATGCACAACATCTTATTCCAGATGCTCCAGAAATGCTCTTTGCATTTCTCGCTGCCGAGAGCGATACCACATGCAAGCGCAATGCTTTTGGGGCTCTAATGACTATCAGCCATGAGAAAGCTCTTGAATACTTGACGGGGGTTCTTGACGGAGTTCCAAATGCCGATGAACTATTACAACTGGTCGAGCTAGAATTCATCAGAAAAGACGCCGTACAGAATCAACAGAACAAGGCGCGATATCTGCGGCTTATCTTTGATCTGCTCGAAGCGAACGCCAGCACTGTCGTCTATGAGGCCGCGACATCCTTAACAGCTCTTACTAGCAATCCAGTTGCGGTCAAGTCTGCTGCCGGAAAGTTGATTGAATTGAGCATCAAAGAAGCAGACAACAATGTGAAGCTGATCGTGCTCGAGAGAGTAGATCAATTGAGACGACGGAACCAAGGTGTGCTCGATGACCTCACTATGGAAATCCTTCGCGTTCTTTCCAGCCCAGATCTTGATGTTCGCCGAAAGGCATTGTCTATTGCACTGGAAATGGTGTCCAGCAAAAACGTCCAAGAAATTGTGATGCTCTTGAAGAAAGAACTCAGTAAAACAGTTGTGGAACAGTATGAAAAGAATTCAGAATACCGGCAACTCCTCATACAATCCATTCACCAATGTGCTATCAAGTTCTCGGAAATCGCCGCTAGCGTTGTGGATGTTTTGATGGATTTCATCGCCGACTTCAACAACAGCTCCGCCGTCGATGTCATTTCCTTTGTCAAGGAGGTGGTGGAAAAATTCCCCAAGCTCAGATCTTCAATCGTGGAAAAACTCGTCTCAACTCTTGGGGAGGTGCGAGCTGGAAAGGTCTATCGGGGTTCCTTGTGGGTTATTGGCGAGTACTCTTTACAGGAGAATGATATCAAAGAAGCCTGGAAACGAATTAGAGCAAGTCTTGGAGAGATTCCTATTCTTGCATCCGAGCAAAGGCTGCTTGACGAACAGGCCAACGAGGATACCGAATCCAAGGAACAAGTCAATGGCAACTCAAATAAGCCAACTACAAGCAGCTCGAGGAAAGTACTCGCAGATGGAACATATGCCACTGAGACAGCATTGACCAGCGATTCGGCTGCCAAAGCTCGACTCGAAGCAGTCAAAGCAGCACAGAAACCTCCGTTGCGACAGCTCATCCTGGATGGTGACTACTACCTCAGTACTGTCCTTTCTTCAACACTCACAAAACTTGTGATGAGACATTCGGAAATATCATCTGATCAAGCCCGCACGAATGCCCTAAGAGCGGAAGCAATGTTGATCATGATCTCGATAATTCGTGTTGGTCAGTCACAATTTGTCAAAGCACCTATAGATGAAGATTCTGTCGATCGGATCATGTCTTGTGTGCGCGCTCTCGCCGAGTTTACTGAACGCAAAGAACTGGAAACATCTTTCTTGGACGATACACGAAAGGCTTTCCGAGCTATGGTACAAGCTGAAGAAAAGAAACGTGCTGCCAAAGAAGCAGTGGAGAAAGCGAAGACTGCAGTTCAGGTCGAAGACGTCTTCACAATCCGGCAATTGACGAAGAAGAATGCTGGCGATGGCGCCGACGAGATGGGCCTCGATCTGGAAAAAGCCACTGGAGGCGATGCGTCAATCGAAGATCTATCGTCGAAGCTGAGCCGAGTGGTTCAGCTTACTGGGTTCTCTGACCCTGTATATGCAGAAGCCCATGTCAAAGTCCACCAATTCGACATAATCCTGGATGTGTTATTGGTCAATCAGACAAACGAGACACTACAAAATTTGTCAGTCGAGTTTGCAACTCTTGGTGACTTGAAAGTTGTTGAGCGGCCCACCACTCACAATTTAGGTCCCCAAGACTTCCTCAACGTTCAATCCACAATCAAGGTCTCAAGTACCGATACTGGAGTCATCTTTGGAAATGTCGTCTACGACTCTCCATCAGGCACAGATACACGTGTGGTTATCCTCAATGATGTTCATGCTGATATTATGGACTATATTCAACCCGCCACCTGCTCAGAGTCGGCATTCCGCACGATGTGGACAGAGTTTGAATGGGAGAACAAAGTCAACATCAATAGCAAGAGCACAACAAAGACATTGAGGGAATTCTTGGATCAATTAATGAAGAGCACCAACATGACATGTCTAACACCTGACGCAGGCCTCAAAGGCGACTGCCAATTTCTCAGCGCCAATCTCTACGCTAGGAGTGTATTTGGTATGTTGTACTTCTATCAAGTGGAAATGTCGTAAGTTCTAACCAAATGTGTTTTAGGTGAGGATGCTCTCGCGAACCTGAGTATCGAAAAGACAGCCGACGACTCAGTCATCGGATTTATCAGAATCAGATCCAGGTCACAAGGATTGGCACTTAGTCTCGGATCACTTAAGGGGTTGAAAGCGGGCACTTATTAAAAGCCATAAATGGGGTTGGCTCGGATAAATACTTCAGAACAGAGCACGGTGTGTTTGAATCGGTGCCAAGGACACCGTCTCCTGATAGATACAGCTTAGCCACGACGAGTTACTTCCATCACACGAGTCAAATGTGAACATGAGAGCAGGTCGGACATGGACATGGAAGAGCAAGCATGCACATGATGCATATGAGATCAGTTCCTCCTTTTACTTCTCCGAGCATACGCGCCTTCGCCCCTGTAGACTATCACAGATCCCACGTCCCTACCATGCTCACCGGATGGCTCTTCTGTGTGTGAGCGGGGAGAAGGGAGGAGTGACTTCAGATGACTCTGAATCCCCCGCGTTGAAAACATGTAGGCAGTCCAATAGTCGCTTGATCTGTATCTACTTTCTCCGCCTCTGAACCACTAAGTAACCCAATACCGCTTGCTTGCTTCTCACTCGCCATGTCACACACAGGCTACGCGGGAGTGCGTCTGACATAAGCAAGGCTGCCACGCCCCTATTTTGATCCCAATTCGGGAGCATTGCTCGAGCACCACACGCAGCAAAGCGCAGTGCACTGAGGTTTCGACAAACTCGATCACTACACGGTACCGTTGCTACTGAGAGTAGTTGGTACTTGGTGTCGAATGACGTTCACTCCGCACGAGATGTTGTAGTGTAATTTATGCATTTAATTTGGGCCGGCTGTAAGGATACTTAGTACCTAGGTCATAGTTGTTGGTTCTAGACTTGGCCCCTGATCAGTGCTACAATTGTGCACTGGAGCGTGGCACATTGATACCGTTCCAAACGACACTGATATTGCCTCCACCACTCCCTCCAGACCAGCTGACGGCCACGTCGAGCTTCTCACGAGGCCACAACGTCACGTAATTGTCGCTCCAATACGCGGTTTCCACTTCGGTATCATCCTCAGCCAGCGCCAAGCGGATAAACACAGCTGGGATGTCTGAATTGTTCTCCAGGGTGACCACCTTGCCTGTGCTATCGGTCCCAGAGCTATTCGAGCTTCCTGCACTGCCTGTGGTGACGGTGACGCTCGCGTTGTCCATTGTGAATAGGGATGTTAAATTGGCGAACTCCACGACTGGAGTGTGGTACCAGCTTGAGTTGGTCCAGTTCATCACGTCGTTCTGTACAGGAAGCCAATAGACGTTTCGACTCAGAGTGATGTTGTTCTCGTCCGCCAATTCCAATTTCAACAATGCGACATCTTCTAAAGAATCGAGTCCGTCGACTTGGGAGAGTTCCGAGCTGGCGTTTGGTATGGCGTCCAGGGTATTAGAATCTGTTGTTATGTTGGTGCCGTTCAGGCTAATCAAATCAATGGACACGGTTCTTGTGCCGTTAGATTTGAGAGAATTGCTTGTCACCCAAACTGAGCCGTATTCATAATCATAAATGACATGCTCGGTACGAGTAGCCACTTTGACACCGTAGTAGCTGCCCATGGGTTGCTCGTAGTAGTCAAACAATTGCCAGTGGAGATTCGGCCAAGCACCCTGCAGCATCCAGTATATCAGGCCTGTGCTCGGCCTCTCGTTGCCCTTGTATGCCGAATATGCTTCAAATTGAGCTCTTGTTGCTTCATAGTCGGAGATTTGCGCCTTCAGAAGATAGTCCTCAAGACTTGTAGGTTCGCCATAGCGATTGTACAAACCACCATTGTATATTGATCGATCATAGAAGCTTGACTGATTGGTAGACATGTGGTAGAGACCCATGTCTGGAGCTGTCCAGAGATCCTCCAAATCCTGGTCCGAGAGAAATTTTCTCAGGCCGCCCATCTCAGGAGTTCCAACTCCGGCTCCAAGCTCAGATCCAAATCCAAAAGCGGCTCCAAGGTCATCGCCGTACCAATAATTTGGTGGTACCCAATCATATGGACCATCCATCTTCATTCCTGAAGGCCCAAGAAGCGCTGGGTAGCTTCGCTTAGCAGCGGACGCTATGATCGGATTCGGCCAGTCGAGCTTGTCCAGTGCATTCACGTATATCTTGACAGCTTTGTCATCTGGCCAGAAATCCGAGCCGACAAGAAATGCGAGCATTGAAGGGTGCGACTGCATCATCGCTGCTTCGTGAAGCATTGAAGCATTGGCCGTCGAATAATCTGCATCATCCCACAAGACTCCATCGGCTTCGTCGTTGTATGTCCACCCCTCCCATTTGTCGCAGCACTCCCAACCGGCCATGATCATTAGTCCCATCTCATCAGCCAGTTCATACATTTCAGGATGTTCTTGTTTACCTTCCAACCGGATCGTGTTCAGACCCATGTCGAGCACACGCTGAAACTGTGATTGCGTTCGGGCAGCATCAAATCGATAGAAAACATCAGAAGTGTAGCCTGCACCAAGGACGAGGAACGGATAGCCGTTTACAATAAACGCTGTGTCGTTGTGTGAATTGACATAGGATGAGACATGCCGGATGCCGAACTTGAGAGGCACAGCGATGTCTGAAATTTTACCCGCGATCGCTGCATTGACAGACACGGTGTAAAGAGGTTGAGAACCCCAAGCGGCTGGCCACCAGACCTGAGGCTGGGCTAAATCAGAGCTGATCGAGATTGTCTTAATCTGCCCAGGCGATAAGCTGACAACTTGTGAGATGGCGACCGCCTCTGACCCATCGGGACCATTTATGATTGCTGTGACTGTGGTATTGACAGGCTGAGCACCGTTGTTGGACACGTCGGTTCGCACGGTGACCAGTACCGTGTTCTTCCAGGTGTACTCAAAGTCTGTCTTGATACGGGACGCTGATAAAGACACCTGATCTGATTGAGAAATCTCAACATATCTCCAGACGCCGGTACCATTATCTGGTGGGTACGGATTCCAATCTACGTATCCCATAGCAAAGTCCCGTAGATAGTTGGTCGGGTACGCAACAATGAGAATGGCATTGCTTCCTTCCGACAATGCCGTCGAAATCTCGTAGCGCTTGCCGCCATAGGCTCCCACTTGTGTCTCATTTGAAGCTATCAATTTTCCATTGATATAGATATCTGCACGTGAAGTGATACCATGTGTCTGTAAAAAGTAATGCTGGCCTTGCTGTGGCGAGAGAGAGAACTCCTCTCTGTAGAACCAGGGAACCTGGAATTCAGAATAATCAACGGCTGTCTCGAGGTTATCAGAGAAGAAAAGAAACGAGTCGTTATAAATGCTGTTCTTAAGCAGACCAGCGAAGACAGATCCACGAGCCTCAACGCGGTACCAAGAGGCGGTGTCAACGCCAACATTGGACAGGTTGCCCCAATCATCAGTGACGCTTTTGCTTGACCTCATGTACCATCCTGGAAGCACAGCTTGATCACCAGCTGCGTTCAAGATATTGGTCGAATTTGAAGCAGCTGCACTCAAGGCAGTCGTGAGGGTAAGTGTTAGGACAATAGCAAAAATAGAAAGGTGTCCCATCGTGCTGGGTTTTTGTGACTGCACTTGGGGTTTGGCCAGCTTTCCATTTCGTAAGGTACTCCGATCATGTACCACATTATATCTGAGTTGATGCCGTTGCACCCAACACCATTATCCCAAAGCAGATCACAATACCACCTTGCCAGAAAGCGGGGAGAGGGGAGTGTTAGATGCTACCTTGCCAATCAAGCCTACCTTGGGCGGACAAAGCCGTTGCTTTGGTGAGCTTTTACAGGATTGGGTTTTGATCTAACCATCTCTATGCATTCAGTCATAACACATTCTCACCGACTAGAGCGTGATATGGCATTGCTAGAGTAACCTGAGTGGGAAGATATGATGAGAAGCTCTTATCGGTGGAATGGCCCGAAAGTCAAACATGTTCCTCGCCACTTTAGGACTAGTGAAGAGATCGAACAACGTCAGATTTCGGACCTGAGTTTGAGCTTTAGCGATCGTTCTATCATGATAACAACCATGGACTCGCTGTCTGACTAGTATGAGGTTGATTGCACATCAATGGACTGGTCGAGATTATGTCTCATTTGGCAGTAACAACCCAACCTCCGTCAACGACCGCCCCCTGGCTGCTGTTCTTACCACCCTTCTTCCCGCCCCAGATCAAGAAAGAATCCCTCCCTTGATCCGCCCAGACGTCGCTCCCAAAGTCATACAGTCCTGGTGGCCATTCGCTGAGAGTGTCTTTCGTCTCCTGCTTTTCCTCTGCTATTTTCTTTTGCTGATCAGCCACCAGTTCACACTTGGCCCAGGTGTGCCTTCCGGATTTCCAGGAGCTGTCAGGATCCACAGGAAGTGCATCCCGAATCTTATCTTTCACGCTTGCTGCAGTATTGCTTTCGGCATCAATCTGGAATGTCCAGAAATCATCATGAGGTCCTGTCATACTGTCTCTGCCCATGAAATATATCAGATATTCTCGTCCAGAACCTGTGGTGATAGGAACAGTGCCGCTCGAGACTCTGGGTAATGGTAATGAGACTGGTTGATTGGTGGTAGGGGCGGATGATGTGCCCTGAGACTCTCCATCCGTTACTTCTGTCCCAAAATTGACCACCTCCCAGCAAACGCCATCTTTGAGAGCCACACTGATCTGCGATCCAGTGCCCGCTGAATTAGCTTTGTTGAGGTCAAGGTACATGACCCTGCCGAATCCATCTCCAAGTCTCCAGAGTCTGTCATTCCTGTAAACTATCCTTCCTTCACCAGCGATCTCTAATGGACCAGGGTCCGGTATGTCTGGTAGTTTGGCCCAAGCTCGAGTCCCAATATCAAATGCCCAGGTATCGCGCAGTGTTTCACCAGCTTCCGAACCTGTGCTCCGGCCACCATGGATGAAGATAGTTCCGTGAGCATCAAGTGTCGGACCGCCTGGTAGGGAATTTGCGGGTGGTAATGGAGAGACCGTTGCGGAATGATTTGTCCGTGGTGGAGGTATACCATCAACACAGCTCGAAATATCAGCTTCCAGAACACTGTAGCCATTGGTCAACGTGTCGAAGACGACGAACTTCTCGAGGGAATGTGTAGATCCGCCTGTGGCCACACTCTCACCACCAGTAATAAACAATTTATCATCAATGGCAGTAGAGGAGTGGCCTACTCTGCAGAAAATTTCGTCCTGGGAGATCTGTTCATCACTAGGCTGAGGCTTCTCTGCCAATGGACGATCCAGCACCCTATACTCTGGTCTCACAACCTGAAAGTCCTGAGGATTCAAAGTGCCTTCTCCAGCCGTCGACGACGCAACCGGCAGCGTTAATGCAGCTATAGCAGCTTCCCGGCCATTGTCACCAACCCCTCCAATGACATATGCTTTCCCCCTGACGATATTGACCGTATGACCCGATCTGGCGAGCTCCCGCCCCTTTGCAGGAGAACGAATCTTTCGAAAACTCAAATGTAGCGGTGCCGTCGACCTTGCTACCGCAACTGCGCCAACAGCGGCGCCCTCGACCACCGTTTCCACGGCATAGAATGCTGCGACCGCTTCGGCCATATCCGTGCTACCAGATGATTTATGGTGGGCTTTTCTCCTTCAAGTGATAGTTCTGACTCGTCGAGAATCAAGTGAAGTGCTTTCTCTCCTCAAGTAGACAACGCCCTGCGAAAGCGGCAATGTGTACAGGTAAACATTTAACACGTGGTTGCTTCGATATCCTTCTTCCAAGCAACTCCATCTACGGGCTTGACCTATTCACCCACTATTGGCACCGTCGTCATATGATGTCATGCGGGAAAGACGTGACATGCACCTCGCCATGGATGACGCGTGGGCCAAAATCACATGTGCGAGCCTCTGTTCTTGTTGAGTATATGGAAAAATGGCATAGATGAGCAGCGAGACGGAAGCCAATATCATCTGGAAAGACGTCGCTGATGCCTCACTAGTCAGAACTTTAGTGTGGACTGTTGTTACTGGCATCCCAGCCTTGGACGGTAATCCATTTATTTGACTAGATTACATAGTAGGCCATAAACAATGTCATGCTGCTCAAGTACTCCTGGATAGTATGTTTTCACAAGGTGCTTTACCCAAAAGTTTTGTCCAAGGCGCGTGGCTGTGTTGTATCCTCCGTGCTTGTTAGATAAACAAACCCAACCAAAGAAGAGGAAAAAGTTCCCGCCCAACATGTTATGTACAGAGTTCTGGACTCAACAAGACGGAATAATCCATGCTTGTGCCGTAGGTCGTAGCCCGTAGAAACCGAAGTGAAGAAGCCGAATAATCTTCGAGAATCTGCGTAGTGCAGAGGATATCACAAGACGACTCCAAGAATACCGACCATGAAGCTCACCATCAGCGACGCGCCCACGAACAGGCCGACCCTCGCATCGCCGACAAGCGCAGCCGCACCGCTCTCCGGCGCCAATTTTCCGACATCACTACCACCGCTGACGGCAGCACACGTCGCCGTCTCACAGGCATAGCCACTGGGACAGCAGCCACCGTTTACAGAGGGAGCGCAGGTCGCCCAGCCCTGTGCACAGGAGCCGGTGAGCAGGGACGCCGGAGCCGTGATGCCGGAGCCGGTGGGCGCGACGATCGTGACGCCGTTGGAGTTGACGAGGGTGGTGCTGGCGCTCGTCGGGCAGGATGTCGAGCCGCAGTCTCGTCCGACCTGGCAACATCCGCCTTGGTAGTATGCGGAGCACGCGTAGAAGCCTGTGGGGCAGCCTACGATCTCTGTGGTGGATGATGAGGTAGACCTGGAGCCAGGCACGGTGGTGGTGGTTTCAGTCGTTGTTGTCTCGGTGGTTGGACGGACGGGTGGTGCTGCTGAGCCTGTTGTCGTCGTGGCGGGACAGTTCGCTGAACCGCAGTCTCGATCTGTAGGACAGCACCCGCCGCCTTGCGAGGCAGGGCAGGAGCGGTAGCCTGAGGAGCAGGTGAGTGGCTGGTTGGTGGGAGAGCTGGTCACGGTGATGGTGCGGGTCACGGTTGCGATTTCGGGTGGGAGTGTAGAGGTTGATGTTGGTGTGGAGGTACTGCTGGAGGTCGTTCTGGTCGTCGAGGTCGTCGGGGAGGACGGAGTGACTGTGGTATAGCTTGTGACGGTCGTCGTGGAGGGGCCTGGGGCTGGTACCAGGGTTGCTGTGTTCGTTTGCACACATCCGACTTCGAAGCACGCGTATCCTGGAATGCAACAGCCTCCGCCCGGGTTATTGGGACATTCTGTATACCCTTGAGAACAAGCACCAAGGGATCCTGTGCAAGTCTGGCCATTTGGACAGCAACCGACATCACCCAGTCCAGTGTCTTGCACGATTATACATGTTGACCCGGTCCCACAGCAACTGTTTGGTCGGTTGATGGAGGTGCAGGCTGAAGTGCCAGAAGGACAATTGAAGTCGCGCTTTTCGAAGAGATGCCAACCAGGTAATCGAGCGAGTAGCCTCGGTCTCTGGTGGTGGTCCGTGGGTGCATCGTGCACTCTGACAGCGGGATCGAACGATGTCCAAGAAGATAAATATGTGAAGTTGTCCCAGCTGGGAATTTCAGACGAGTTTTCTTCTCTATCTTCTTCGTCTCCCTGCGTTTCGTGTTCCTCGGGTTCAAAATGCCAGTAGTCGAGGTAGAACTTCTCGCCGGGATCTCCAGTCATTTTCCTCACACCCTTGACAGGACTTTGTAACAGCCGTTGCTGGATGTGTAGATCGCGCTTGATCATCTTCTCGTCTTCAGGGTAGTACTTCACGTCGGGCGGAAGATTGTACGGCCATTGGGATTGGGAGGCGGACGCGACGGAAGGCAGGAGGGCATGAGTGAGGAAGAACACTAATGATGGAGGAAGAGCTGCTAGATGCAGCCAGGGAGCCATTGGAGCGAAGAATCACAGTCTTCGGAGAGGGAGCTGGCCTATGTAACGGTCGCGATGGAGGAAGAGAGAAATCTCAAGTCACACTGGTAGTGAACGATAACCGTCGAGCAAGGTGCCGATTCCTGGGGTGGATTTGGACAAATCGTGGAATCAAGGTACGTGAATATTGGAATGAAACAGATGAAAAGGTCTTACATTTGATTGAATCCTAGAGACAGCCCATCATTTCTCGGCCGCAAAGTTGGCCGCAGTGAAGCCAAACGTTGGCAATAAGATGGCTGGGATGCCAGTAGCAGCGAGTCCTGCAACCAGTTTTATCTCGGGTGACCACTCGGCCTCCTCCAACTTTCAACCTTGCGGTGCACTCGACGTGCGATAATAACACAAATACTCGCCTATTCCAAAGTCCAGATTGGGTTGACAGTTTGTTCAATGACCGATTCTCATCAAGTGTAGTATTGACATGGCATCACAAACTATAAACGCATTATTCTACTTCCAACAGTGCACAATCAAGAGAATTCCTCAACTAAAGCTACCTGTCCTCAGTGCCGTTCCAGGCCACCTCGTTGTCCAGCTGAGGTCTTGCTTCTTGTTTGCTTCTTCATCTGTCAGTCTGGTTGAATAGTCCATTACAGTCATTCTGTCAATCAACGGCAACTTTCTAGCCCTTTGCCCATTCTTCTCACGAGCAATATCTCTCACTAGGTTCGCCTCCGTCCACTCGCACGCTCGCTCTTGAGCGTGATCCCACAGAACAAAAGAAATATTCATTGAGAAACAACACGGTTGAAGTGGTGATTCCTTCCCCGTCCTGAATATTAATGGCGACAACAGAATGCCGGACCGATAAGTGGCTTGTTGCAATACACTCATGACTCCGTGCGATAAATAAATATGACAGAGTTGCAGATCAATATTTTCCAGTTCGATCAATCAAGATGACCGGCGAGTGATGAATCTGCTCAATAAGTCTCGCTTCCACTCTCATTGCACTTTTGGCAAGGGTCCAGTTCCCTGCTGAGCTGCTCCCTGGCCTGACGAGACCGGGAATTTCGCCAGTGTTGCAGCATTTGAGCAAAAAAAAAGAATTACAAATGAAATAGTGTTGTCCAAAATAAGAAGTTTCCTTTTCTTTCCCGAGGTGAGCAAAAGGACAACGTGATTGCGTCACCTAATCGAGGAAACCAGTTCGAAGGGGAGATGATCAAGAAAACAGCCTCCACAGCTATCTGTGAAAGTATCATGTACCAGAGTAAGGATTGTCCACCAAACCGAGCCAGCTTAGCCCATGCGGCTCAAGGTCATAAAGTCGTTCATCGATGGAGTAGTGTCATGATGGAATAGAGCCAGAAACGCCATAATAGAAATCCAGTGACTGGATTTTCAGTCCCAAGGAGTGGTGAGTGCCGTGCATCCTCATGTGTAGTGGTGAGAAAGAATGGCATATTGAATGTCCGGCACTCATGTGGTCCTCCCAATTCAGAGGTTCAATAGGTTTGACCATCCTATGCTGAACGGCGTGGTCAAACTCCAATTATCGTCATATTATTACATGGATCCAAGACTGAGCAATGCCTCGATGGCAGCTCGTTCTTGGGAATTATTAACGCCAGCGCCGGTGGGAAGGGAAAAGTTGGGGTGTCGTTGATGATTGACAGGCATTGCGGGAGCCGGAGCTGTTCGTGCAATGTCCGCCGGGGTCTTGCTTCGTTGTCTCGCATTGTAGGGATAGGTGGCGATGGGTTGATAGAGCCTTCCTGGTCCCGAGACCGATCGGCCTGCGTTGGGAAGTGATCTGGCTCGCAGTGCTTCGGCGCCAATCGCTCCCCAATCTTCTTCATCGGTGATTTCACCGTCACCGAGGTCCTCGTCAAGAGGCTCTTCAGCGATGGATGAAACATAACCATCATCATTGTCGTCCAGAGACATTTTGTCAGCCTCATTTTCCAATACATCATGGTCCTCGTAGTCCATCTCCGAATGAGAGAAAGCGGCCGAGTTTCCGGTGAAGCTAGTGCCGAGGTTTTCTGATCCGTGACGCCAGGATGGCTGGCCTGGGACCTGAAGTCCGGCTTGGGAATATGAGGATGGTAGGCTACCGGGAGGAGTGATGGCACTGCCCTGTCGCTCTCTTGGCGGTTGGCCTCTGACTCGAGCATCCCACCTGCCCCAGCCAACCTTTTCAAACAGAACATCGGCATCTCGGCCAGCACCCTCCAAACCGCCGCCTTTGCCCTCCAGAGCAGCGACCACCAAGCGTCGAGCCTTGGCGGAAGTGATGCGGGAGAAGCCTGGGACCGAGGTTGTAAGGTATCCCATGATGTGACGAATGGCCAGAGGACCATGAGACAACAGGATATCTGGGAGATGGTGTTTGGCCAACATGCCGGGAGTGATGGCACCTGCACTGTCCAAGTCACCCAGACTGTCAAGAGCCTCGGCGCTGAGGGCGGTGGGTTGTGCAACATCAGGCGCATCCTGCAAGTCAATATCGGAGTCGACCTGCGTGCTCTTGGGTGACATGGGAGCCTGTTGATGGCTAGCACGACGGCGACCATGAGGCGGGAGGTTGGGAGAGATGGAATTGGGAGGCGTTGGCAACATGCCTGAACGCTTCTTTCCAGAAGTTCCCGGTACAGCAGTGAAGGTGTCCCGGGTATTCAAGGCATCGCGTGGCTTGGGGATGTCGACCGATGCGGACTTGCCATTGAGAGCCATTCCAAGGGCCGAAACTGTAGGAGGAGCCATGATGTGCAGTTCTGTGATGAATGTTCGTGTGGAGTTCTAGATGGAAAATGAGTCAGCTGTTGGTCAGAACGGCTGGTGCAGGGCAACGCGTCGCTGACAAGAGTATCCTGTTTACCAAAGGGGTTGAATGGGTGACTCACCACACGATTCACGATGACGCAGAAGAGGTGATGACCACTTTTACTGTTTCGTTGATGGTTGAGGCTGTCAGTTTGACAACGAGGTCGCGCAGTTGTGAGTCAACGTCGGATAAGCGACGCAGGTTGCAGAGTTGGAGTACTGAGTACCGAGTACTGGTTGTAGGCTGAGGTGGCGAGAGACGACCTGGTGAGGGTGGTCTCTTGTTGCGCGCGAGCGATATCTTCCCTTGAGATGAGGAAGATGGAGAAGGGAAAGAAAGAAGGAAGAAGAAAGCAACAGATGAGTAGTAGTGAATGGAAGTGTTCTGATAGACAAAGCGGGGTGAGTTACAGCGTTGGTTGATGGTTGGTTGTTTGGTTGAGTTGATGCAGTACAGACGTACGTCTACGTTGAGAACTTGAAGGCAAATGCAGCTTGTGATGCAGTCGATACAGGATCAGGATTAGGTTGCAGGATGGGCAAAAAGGTGCGGGCTACGGGCCACGGGCTACGGGCGATGGGCTGGCTTGACTTGGCTGATGGGGGTCCCTAAGTTGACAGCCTAGAGCGGACTGACTTCAGGCTCAGGCTTGGAGCTTGGAGCTTGGACTCCTTTCCAACTTTCCACTTGGAGGACCTCAGTGCTCACCAACCAAGTCCAACTCGTGCTCCTTTTTACAGGTTGTCAGCCTTTACTCTCATCAAGACCCAAAAGTCCAACATGTCCACTTCCAAGTTACGGTTTGTGGGCCCGGGGCCCGTAACTCCTCTCTCCTCCCTCCGAGTCCCCGGTTTCCATCTAATTATTGTCCACCTTTCACACACATGGCTTTCTTTGTTCAAATAGTCTGACTTGACTAGTAAAATGAGAGCACTAATTGTCTGCTGTGAAATAGACACGTTCATCATGTTAAAATCATCATCGCCTGTGAGTAGCTCATTCTTGAATCACGCGCCCTGATAGAGTTTCTCCCACCCCTGGTTACTTGTTGGAGTCCAAGTTCTGGGCCCTCCACACTTGGATTCGCTCTACTCACCCACCACCACACCACCACACCCACCCAAAGATAACAAGCACGAATGGAAGATAATGAAGCTCAACTCATTATCCAAAGAACCCTCCAAACGGGTGAACACGGGAGCCAGCATGGGGACACCTACGGAGAAAGGTGGCGACGCATGCTCTCAGCTCTCTCCCCTGTCATGTAAATGTCCAGTGCCCAGTGCCCACACCAGTTCGTCCATGCCACCGGGGCTCAAGCAAGATGACATCGACACACATCTGCAAGCACTTTGACTCCATGGTTATCTCCACACTATCTTTTCACACCCAGTCGAAGATAAGACGACTTATTTCAGACGAGAATTGCCGAGTCCAACCTTTCGTTCATCCCGCTCTCTGAGGTGTCACCACCCATCATCCCAGCAATTCATCCGAGGTCTGACTGATATTGAGTTCGTCTCAAACCGAGATGTAGCTCGGTCTCAAGAGCCGTCCAGACTATTCGGGCCATTCATCGAACTCTCCGTCGGTGGTTGATATGTGCAGATATGTGCGAACCGATCAGCTTATCTCTCACAATAGATTGTGTAACATCGGACGGAGTTACATTCTCAACGATCTACTGAATAGCAGCGATTAACTACACAGAGCTTCCAACCCTTGGTTTATGGCGGCATCGTCAGAACAACCATGACAATATTTATCATTACCATTACTGATGAGTTGAATGTGCGATGGGGCCCAGAATCCCCAAACCCAACGGTTAAAGTTCCGGGACTTCTCGCATGGCAAAGAATGACGATCAGCCATTCACTGATCCGCTGATCATCGCGATCAACGTGATCAACAAACACCCATTCAGACCTGGTGACCCTAAACCAAACACAGCGTCGATTTCGAGCACGCTGTGCATGTTTCTTCATGCCGCATCGTCACACTTCCGGAATAGCACATATCACTGTTTTAGCAGGTAATCATCTACCTTGTCAGGAATGCATTCATTGATGCTGAACACGTACACACACATTGTTGTTCTCCCACCCACCTGACCTCGACACCCAAAACAATTCAGGTCTGATTCAACTCGTAAACCACATAGGTCCTCGTAGTAGTAGGGAAAGATGCGCCCTCCCTCTTTCGCCTACTCACCTATTAACTTAAGGTACCACGTATCTCTTGAACCGTAACGCTTTAGATCATATATACATAGGTACATATATACATCTATGTATACACATCTATGTACATACATACCCACCAGGTAATATATAACGACGAGCTAGCTATCCTGCCCTCCCCCGCAACTAAATGACTCAATAACCCTGCCAATAATACAGCCGTGAACCAAAACTACTTGAAGGTACCTTTCCCCTACACTCAGTCGTTGGCGTGCGTGCGTGCGTGCAGAAAGGTAGGAATCTGATTCGTCCCTGCTGGACGACAGGCCGTACGTAGCATTATGGGTCTCGCTTCGCTCCTTGCGTTTCATGCTCCAGAGAACACGGAATCTGGAGAACCTTACGCGCAAGTGGGTGAAGGTCGCTCGCTGCTGATTAGTATATGTTTCATGTAATAATGGAATTCACAGTTCGGAACCGGGATCGCACAGTATAGAGATTGGAAAATTCATCGTCATGATCAAAGCTATATCGCTGCTACTCACACCGCTTGGCTCATTTCAGCCTCTCCCTCTTTCCTAGGTACTCGTCTCTTTCTCTCAGTAAACACTATGAAATCATTAGATTATCGTGCGGAACGGAAGGACCCTTCCTGTGAATATAATGTACACGTTGGTGGTATCCCCGATCAACTCATGTCTTGACCATCTTCATCAATTGCTGGCAGAGCCTTCATGTCATCTACCCCTTCAAACTGATTTGCTTGATATCGTAAAAGGTCTTCTCAGCTCATTAGCACTAGTCAATCATTCTAAGATGGTCGCAGAGGATCTTGGGTATTTTGAAAATATGTTGTTTTGGATGCAACATTTCGCACATCTTGCGTGCCTTTCTTCCGATGTGTTTTTGCTTTCACATCGTCAGTCGTTTGCTGGCTCGAGTCATTGATCCTCGAGTAGAAGTAGACGCACGAGCGACGGGAGGAGGAAGAGTCGGTGAATCGACTATCAATTCGTCTTCCCACTTACTGTCGCGCGCAACAGACTGTAAAGGATAGTGAAAGGCATGAGTGCGTCGAGGTGTTGATTTCGTTCGGAATAGTGTTGTATTAGTTTTAATGCCTCCTTGGCCCTCAACAGAGTCCACCTTGGGCCCCGGATTATTTATTAAGTGTTTCCGTGCAACCTCATCTAACAAAAACTGGTACAGGACTTGCGAGAACCGGCTAGGGAGTCACCGATTAGGGTTCGGTGTTCCCAAGTTCAGCCAAGACATGTCACTACTTTTTGCTTGTGGGACTTCTTTGTGATCGCCGAAGTTACCGAAATAATCTCCAGTAATGTTGGGTGAGTGGACAGCAGGTCGCAAATTGAAAGATTCGGTGGTCGCATTTGCTCCTGTCGCCTGCCCATTGCGTATCGAGTTGGGCATTGGAAATGATGGGATTGAAGACGTCTTTGTCTCCGAGGTGCCATTGGTCTCGTTGGATGATGCGGTGTTCAGCGGTTGCCCATGAGCTGCAACATAGCTGCTTGGAGGTCGAAGAGGTCTTTCGGCGGGCCCTGACCAGGTGTTGCCGACTGGTGTCCAGGATACGTTATTGACACTGGCAGGAACACCACTCGAAAACGCACCATTGATACGATCATCCTCATAGTCGTCGTAACTGCTATCTGTTGTTATCGAGCTTGCACTCGAGATCCGGGCTGGTATCCCCTGAGCAGCTTGGAGGCCTCGTGACTGCGCATTTGATGGGCCATGCTCAAAGCTGGGACTTCCTGCAGCGACGCTGTGGGCTTCAAGGGGATTTCCAACACTGTCACGCAACAGGATTTTCGGTGGTCTTAACTGGGTTTGACTTTCCGGTACACCTGCACCGGGCCAGAATCCACTTTTGCTGGCCGATGATCTTGACAAGAAAGTCGTCCGATTCCCAGATGGAGCTTCTTTTTGGAAATACTTTCCCCATCCCTCGTCCGTCTTGCGTTGGGACGGCTTTCGCGCTGGAGCGGTTGCTGCGGCTAATCTTGGGGCACTCACAGCAGCCGCCGCAGCAGCCGGCGTAGCGGCGCCCAAGTCGATACTTGGTCTTTGTTGATAATCGTTGAGAACAGGGTTCATTGGTTTTGAGATACTCAACTGGGCAGATTTTTCTCGCTTGAACAGAGCTTGTCCGAAGGCAATGCCAGAGCCACGGAAGCCAGGTTGATTTCGGTCAGAAGAAACGCGACGTATGAGATATTTGGGATCAGGCTTCGCTCCAAACATGGCGGTACTGTCGGCATCTGAGATCATTGTGGATGGAACAGGGCTTCTGCCCATTGGCTGGCCAGCCTTGGATAAAGGTTGCAGGCCACTTTCCTCGAAATTATAATCACCACTTCTTCTTTTGTCGTCGGGATATGCGCTCTGCCTCTCTGCCTGTGCTCTCTTGCGGCGCACAGATCTCATCCACAGAAGCAGAATGATTAAGATTGCCGCCAGACCACAGATGCCTCCAAGGACGGCACCTAAAATAGTCAAGCCATGGCTCTTGCTAGAGGGTGAGTCCGCCGGCGTGGCAGAAGTTGTTGGGATAGAAGATGCTGTCGGAGTAGGGATGGATGATGTTCGACTCCCAGTGCTTGATGCAGTAGTCAGAGGTGCTTGTTCACCTAGGACTCGAGCGTTATTGATCCAGCTGTTTTCAGACTGGTTGAAAAAGGCAACAGGAACGTCATCGTTGCCTCCAACGAATGCTATCAGCCCATCGTCTCCCTGTGCGATGCTGAATCCACTTCTGGTTGTGGAGGGAGCATAGGTAGAATTGTATGTAGGGAAAGTATTAAGGAAGGTGGCACGTTTCATCTTTTGAGGCACACTTGAAGTGTCTGAGGGCGTCTGCTCGGCATTTCCAACGGTCTCATTGAACGTGGCGGGTTGACCTCCGGGGTTGAGCAAAACATTAGTGAACACCGTTGGAGGAGAGCTTTCCAGGTTGAAAGTCTGTAAGATCTTGCTATTATCGGCCAGGGTATAAATTGCGCTCTGCGCAATTGATGAATCAGGAAGGGCCGCGGGCAGAGAAAGACCAAGATCCTGCCAGCCTTCTGAGGGACCAAAGGTAAAAATTTTTGTGTTTGTATCACCACCTCCTACTAGAAGCGCACGTTCATCGCTCCACGGTAACATAAAAGGTCGGATGGTAGGCGGCGCTGTTGAGCTGTATGCCTGCACATCGTAGGGTGGGTATGTTTGAAGAAGGAATGTCTCGGACGATGCACCATCATATTCGTCTTGTGCACCTGAATAGACAACAATGGTGGATGAGGCTACCATGTATGCGGCTCCATGATTGTGTCTGTGTTGAGTGACAGGAGCGGTAAGGGGGATGATTTCCCATTTATTGTCGTTGATGGAGTATCTCTGAAGTCCCGAATAGTCATTTGGAGCATTATCACTGGCGATACCACCGACCACATACAGAGCAGGTCGAGAAGCATCCCCGTCGACACCCCCTTTGACACAGACACCATCGGTCACTGAGACTCCCTTGGACTGTTCCTTCCATTCAGCACCTTCTTTCAGCTCCAAGGTCTGGAAAGCATCTGGGGTATAGACGTAGAGAACTCCATTGTGGACGATGGAGCATGGGTTCTTCAGCGCAACAGGCGGCTGAGGGCTTGACATTTCCAAGCGTTATGACCTCACCACCAGGCAAAACAAGTGATATCAGGCAATTGTACGCATTCTCTTCTGCAAATATGGAGGAAATCGAATACAAGGGGTGGTGACAATCTGCCCTGCAGATTGGCAATTGAGATTCTCCAAGACTCGAAAGTCGCTATACTGTTTGAGACCACTTGTACACGTTGTCTGAGTGGTGAAGCGGTCTGTGAGGATAGTGAATCGAACTATCGCAGCTGTTTCTTGGGGGACAAATGGTTGAGACTGGGGACGTGTGATAGCGCTCGAGCCAATTGGTCGCGAAGGAAATGATTTGACTTTCGCAGCGACGCGACGGAGTAAGTGTTGGTGAGTAAGTGAGATAACTTAAAGTTTTCCAAGGAGTGTAAATGAAATCGAGGTCAACTCGATAGATTCCAGTCGGTCAGGAAGGAAAAGGACGATGCGGTAGAGCGTTCAGTCTGGTCTCAGTGCAGACCTGGTTGCGACGAAAAGGTGAGGGTAGATAACGAAGGAGCCAGGAAGAGGACAGGCCGAGTGGAAGAGGATTAACCTCTGTGTAATTGCTGGTGGAGAGAGCGCCCGTCGCAAGCAACAACTGACGGAGGTCCGCTGAGTTGATCCCGTGAAATTGTGGGTCGAAGTGGGTGCTTGGGCCACGAGAGTTCGAATTAAGACGTGAAGATCGATTGTTAAACCTCAGTGATGCAAGTTGTATTGATGCAGGTGAGTGATGATGGATAGTTGTTGCGATGGGAGTGACGACAAGGTGTACGAGGATGGGATGGAAGACGACGGCGGTAGTTAGAGAGAGAAGATTGGAAAAAGTGATGAGAGGAGAGGGGAGGGCGAGAGAAACGGGAACTCGGAGGGCACGAAACGGAAACGGGAACATGAAGGAGGTCAGGTACGAGGCACTCGAGTCTGGGACTGGCAACGAAGCGAGGTCCCAATTCTGTGACGGCAGGTGTGCGGATAGCAACCTTAGTTACAAATTTACTACTAAACTAGCATGTTGGTCCCTGGAATGGAAGAGCCCGCAGGCACTTTGGAAGGGCCGAGGGGCTCTGCTACCCGCTAAACTCAGCAGGTCGCAGCCAAGCTGGGTGCAGAGGCATCCGGGAAACACTCATCTGTTTCCATCAGAGCATCTATGAGAATCACACCTCGTATCGGGCTCAATAGACTGGAAGAGAAGTTACACAATTTCCAGAATACTTAATGCTTCACCCCGCTGAGTGGCTGCGCACGAAGAATCCAACTCGAGAGCCAGGAATCATATTCACATCAACAGCCCGAAATGCCATAGTGGTGCAGTCATGGCAGTGTGACACGCTGACGACTCACAAGCATGAGTGAATGAGACTCGTTGGAGGAGAGGAACGGTGGGTGTTTCAAGGTGGTTTTTCTACCAACCCAGTTGGCCCAACAAGGTTTAGTTAAGCCAACCAGAATCCCCACTGATGCAGGGACCAGGCACAGAACTCCTTTGGCTTTCTTAGACAGGCACGACGAACTTCTGGGCGCCAATCGACCTATTTGGTGCCGGGCGTATTGGGTTTGAGACAGTCTGAGTGTGATCCTCACCGCAGACTCAGCACTGGCAGTCTAGTCTGCCCTCTGCATTATGTCATCCTCCGTTCTGCACCACCCACCCACCCCTGTCCATGATGAACTGTCACACACGCCTTCACCACTCCATCTAATACCTGTCTACTCTCTCTTGTGCTCCAAATGACTTTTATATGACACCCCATCACCCAAATGGTGAGTGATCGAAACCCCAATACCTCTTCCCAAGGCAATGAGATCGTCGACCTGCATCCAAGATTGCACGACTCCGGACGAGGCTGGCGGAAATTAAAATTGCATGCGAGGCTTGACGCCCATCATTTCCATTTCACCTTCCAGTGGGTACCGCTTGGCCCTTTACTGGCCCCCTACAAAATATCTGCTTGATTTGGTGCTGTTTCTGCTTTCCCCTTTGGGATCTCTTCTTCACTTGATTAGCCACGAGTCCCTGGGTCCTTATTGATGATTACTCCCACAAGTGTGGATGACATCGTGATCCGGCCGGATAAGGGTTTCCCATCTCCAGCATCCAAACCCAAATTCTACCACTAATTTCATTTCCTCTGACCTTTCACGTCCCTTCCCCGTTCACTTGCTTCTGTGCTTTCCATTGATGCGCCATCTGTAGCATCTTCGACAACTTCGCAGCGCTTTCGTCATCCGCCGGGAAGACATAGTCGATGTATTCCTCAAATCGGTCCTCTTCCATCTTTCTCCTCTTCTTGACCTTGCGAGGCATTTGTTTCTCAATCTTCTCGATATCTTCAGCGCTGCCGTGAGTTTGTTCGAATGATCGCCAAGCGTTGAGCAAGTCCACTCGTTCTTCCTTCATCTCCTTGGATTTGAAGACGTCATGTGCCCGCTCAAACACTTTGCGCGCCTTCTTCTTCGCTTCCTCGCCCACCTTTTGTTCGTCCTCCGCACCGCTTTCGGGTTCGTTGGGATCCGGGACGTTGATCTCAAATCGTGCGTAATTAATCCAGACCTTGACATGATCCGTCTTCTGCAATAGTCTCTCGTAGAGTGCACGTGCTCGATCGTAGTCCTCTTCATACTCTTCAAAGTCGATATATGCCTTCCACACCAGTTCCGGCATGTCGAGAGTGGGCTGTTCAATGCCAAGTTCGAAGATCGCTCGTGCCCGTTCCAAGTCATCCAACCCCCGCTCAAGCTCAGCAAACTGAATCCATGCTTGACCGTTGGACGGATTCCATTCGATCTGTTTTTCGAAGAGGGTCCGACACCGCAGGAATTCGAACAATTGTTTCTCAAGTTCAATGTACCCGCGGAACAGCTTGTCCTTGGGACACATCCCGATCGCCTGCCCCAGCGTTTTCCTTGCCGCTGATAATTGCATCTGGCGCACTTCGAATTGGGCCATCATGATCCAGATCTTGGCAAATGTCCACTTCTTGTGTGGTATCAACTTGAGGCACTCTTGGTAGACTTGTCTCGCTCGATCGATGTCTTTGTTGGTGATTTCTTCCCACAAAGCGTAGAAGATCCAAAGGTAGATATACCTTCGCCAATGTCGTTTTTCTTGTGACGGGGGAACCTGCGCAATGGCTCTTTCATAGACATCCCGCACCCTCTCCACGTCCCCCCCAGTCTCTTCCAATCGGGCAAAATCGAACCACACGTCGTAATTCCGAGGATTACTCTTGACCTGTTCTTCATATTGCACCCTCCGTTTGGCAAGAATCACATCTTCCACACCCTCACGGTTGCCGAACTGTTTTTCAAACTGCGTGTAAGATTTGTGAAGAGAAGTCGATTGCGACCTTGGAAGTCTGTCCAAGGCGTATTTGAAAATCGCACGAGCCCGTTCATACTCTTTGAGCTTGGCCTCGTAGCGTGCGTACGCAATGAACAGTTTTTCGTCCATAAAGTCGTCGCCCAATGTCTCAATGGCAACTCCAAAAACATCACGAACCAACTGGCTGGTCCCATTCTCTTCCTCAAATTTGGCCCATCGAATCCAATTCCGGGATTCGGGATGAACAATAGTGAAGCGTTCATAAATGGCCCTTGCGCGGTCAAATTCTCCGTATCTCTTTTCCAGTTTAATATAAGCTAGCCAGGCAGCCTCATCCGGTTCCCAACTCATCCACCTCTCAAACACTTGTCGAGTCCCTGGTACATTGCCCAGTGTTTCTTCCATGTAGACATATTTGTACCACAACTTGTCAATACGAGGAAGAATCGTGACAGACCGATCGAGCAGGTTCCTTGCATGGTTGATGTTCCGTGTCTTCATTTCTGCCTCGATATAGCGGATCCACAAGATCACACTCGTACTGTCCACATCTAGCGCACGTTCGAACACTGATCGGGCTCGTCGGTACTCTTTCTGCTCGAGTTCCCATTGCGCATATCGCATCCAGTTGTTCATGTTGATTCTGTTCCTGCGAACATAGTCCTCGAACTCCTTCCGTTTCCGACCTTGAAATTCATGGAGTTCTTCCAGATCGGCAAACCGCTGGGTTGGGGCTTGTAGTCCTGGCTCTTGTCTGTCCACAGCTTCCCGCAATAGTTGTTCCGCAGATATTTGCTGGGGCGCGGCCGCCTTGTTCTTGACCCGCGGAGGGCCCCTTGAGGAGTCCATCTTGGATCGGGTGTTGTAATCGCGGCAGAACCAAAGGTAGTGGTGTTGGTGTTATTTCTATGAGTTGGTGTTGGTCAGAATAGCGACAACGAAGTGTAATTGACCAGTGGCTGCCAAGCAACAACCCACAACGGCCCCAATGGTACCTCAGGCTCAGTATTTGTGCGGCGAGCGAGATTTCGTTTATTAAATGTGAGAAGAACTTTTGATATGAAGATCAAGACCAGGAATTGCCTGCGGAGAAACCTGATCACGTGATTCAATTTTTATCTGGAACAATGATTCTCCACATCAAGATTCAAGATTCGACTCTTGAAAGGCATCAATCCTTCTACTGCGACGACTGCCTTATTTTGCCTTTCCTTTCCTAGTACACTATCGAGGTCTGATGTCCCCTTCAGTTCATCATGGCTACCCTCGCAGATGAACTCCTCAACGATTTTGAGGACTCTGGCTCCGAGCACGACGAGGAAGCCAATGGGTTTGACAACGGGGACGAAGCGGCGGTTGGGGAAGATGACTATAAGGAGAATGGTACCGTAGGGTCTGTCGATATTCCCAGGGACGATGATGAGGAAGAGATGGAAGATGCAGAAGAGGAGGTAGCAGCAAGAGATGACGACCTGGAAGATGAGTTGGACACAAAGGCAAAGGTCGAAAAGATGCGCCTGGGTGGTGTACGCGATGTGCGAACGGTGGCCGGCTTGATGAAGACTCTACAACCCGTTCTCGAGGTAAGTAAATTCCTGGTCTCTGCTGGTTCAGGCCTGAGTGATTTGCACATCCAACTATGCAGTCCTGACATCTCCTCCATTCTCCAGAAAATTACCCACTACCAGTCCATCCCGCTGGATCAACGGACCACCTCCGTCGGATCCATTGAAGACAATCCAGAGTATGCTTTGCTAACCCAATCCAATCACCTTGCAACCCAAATCGACAGCGAGATTATCCTCGTCCACAAGTTCATTCGTGACCACTACTCAACGAGGTTTCCCCAGCTCGAAACGCTAGTCTCCAACCCACTGGATTATGCCAAAACGGTGGCCATCATAAAAAATGGACCTCTTGAGGATATCAAGTCGATAGCAGCATCATCCGATAACTTAGTGAAAGCCCCTCTAAGATCAATTCTTGACGGTCCAACAATGATGGTGGTAGCTGTCGAAGCGACTACGAGTGAAGGTCAACCTTTGACTGAAGCCGAGCTTGAAACGACACTCAGGGCATGCGAAATGGTACTACAGCTGGACAAAGCGAAACGGGTTCTTACCGATTACGTTCAGTCACGAATGAATATTTTTGCCCCCAATTTGACGGCCCTGATTGGATCACTCACAGCTGCTCAATTGCTCAACTTCGCAGGTGGCTTAAAGGGTCTTGCAAAGGTCCCCGATCGCAACATTCCATCCATGGGCTCCAAGAAACAGAAACAAAGCGGTTTAGCTACCAATGTTGGAATACGACAGCAAGGCTTCCTCTACCATTCACCACTAATTCAAGCTATCCCTAACGATCTGAAAATTCAAGCCATGCGTATCGTTTCTGCCAAACTGGTTCTTGCCGCTCGTGTAGACAGCGTGCATCAAGCAACAGATGGCTCAACTGGAGAGCAGTTACGGGATGACTGTCTACGAAGACTTGATAAACTTACAGAACCTCCGCCAAATCGGGGCCCTAGAGCTCTACCCGCACCCGACGACAAACCAAGTCGGAAACGAGGAGGGCGAAGGGCGAGGAAAGCCAAAGAAGCAACTGCAATGACCGACCTGAGAAAACAACAGAACAGGATGGTCTTCGGCAAGGAGGAAAAAGAAGTTGGTTATGGAACAGGTGAAGGCACTGTTGGCTTGGGTATGATTGGCCAACAAAATGACGGTAGAATTCGCGCCACACAAGTCGACCGACGAACAATGGCCAAGTTGAGCAAGAAAAATCCCGGTTGGGGCAGTTCCGGACTGGCTACCAGTCTGAACAGTGGAATGAATACATCTCTCAAGTCGTTCGGTGCGACAATGGGTGGCAATGCTTCAAGTCTGCGCGCCCAGGGTCTTCGAACCTCCGGAGTTGGTGCAGGGACGGCCAGCTCGATCTCATTTACACCTGTACAAGGCCTTGAATTGGTAGACCCCAAAGTGCAGGCCGAGCTCAAGAGAAAGCGGGAAGCCGAAACTGCCGGTTACTTTTCGAGCGGCACCTTTACTCAAGCAAGCGGCAGCAAGACTAATGGAGGTTTCAAGGTACCACAATTACCGCCCGCAGCCAAAAGAACCAACATGGGTCCTCCACCGCCGAAGTGAAGCAATGAAGTCGAATCGAAGGTGTCCTTGAGGGATCAGGATGAGCAGCTGTTCATTCTAGGTTCAGCTTTTATCGACGAACTCTGTCAGTGCTTACAGCCTTACAGTTCATCAATTCGGTATTGTTACACTCCAAGGAGAAGATAATCAATCCCAAATATAAAGCAACCACGGAGCAATGATTCTGGCAAAGCCGACTCGAGACTAGTTACTGAGCAGCAGATAACCGACTACCTGCTGAGAATACGATGCTCAGCGTGAGGATTTCACGCCTGCACGAAATCTCGGCACAGCCAGAAGTGCCAGCTATACTTGATCATTTCCTGTCGGTCGCGGGGCAACAGCCAACACCAGGATTTCTCTTGTTCGTTCTCCAGCTCCAATCTATCGCAGAATTCGTGCGAGGCTGGACTCCCTTAGGGGGGAGTCGTGCCAAGATCTCAGGGCTAGGTTCGGAGCGCATGTTGAGCCGCTTAGCAGCGAGTATCACATGCAGAAGGAACTTTCTTTAACTAGAGCTTTCCAGAAAGGGTCGGATGCGACAGCTACGAGAAATGGGACTGTGCCGACACATTTTGTCATTGCACCTGCTTTGTTGAAGCCATTCGGCCAGTTTGCTGAATTGGTCAGGCCGTTGATGAATACGATTCCTGACGAAAACCAATCAGTCTACTTAGCTGTCCCGTTCGCGGAGGGATCAAAGACGGTGGGTGGATGCCTGAAGGGTGCAGAAGATGAGAGGCTTTCCAGTACTGCCGCTCACGACTTTTCTCCATGCGAGGGCCGTTTCTGCTCTTGAACATGAGATAGCCATCCTCCGAATAGAAGAACAGCTTCGCACGCGGAGCCAAATAGGTACCATCAGTGGAAAGAAGTTTTCTCCTCGTTCATAATAATTCCCTAACCCCGGCCTTTCGATCGCCCACCACGGCCTCCTCTATGTCCACCACCCTTTCCTCTAGGAACAGCCCGATTTCGTAATGCCTCGGGCAGCTCCTGCACGACACCATTGTCGCCCTCACCCTGTTTCCACAACAGCCCCAAACCCTGTTTGATCTCCACAGCAGCGAGCCAGTACTTCTTCGGAACGAGTTTTACACCTCCTTCTGGTTGAGAATCTGTAGCGATGCCCTCCGTCAGGATGACCCCGTTCTCGCTCCTCCACCACTTAATTTCCGGCTCTTCTTGCAGCGCCTTTCGAATGTCGATGTACACCAGGATCTGCGCGTCGGTCCGCATTCCGCTTATGACTTTGTTCTCACCCATTAAGTGGCCTAGATTTCCCTTTTGCCGCTGTGCAGTGGTAGTGGTCGTGGTGTCGAGTGACGGTGCGGGGAGGACATCGCCCAAGGGTGGTCCCGTGGCAAAATGTACGTGGTTTCTCGTCATGCTCTTCAGTCCTCCAGTCTGCAGGATGGGATTCCACGCTCCGTAGAATGTACCGTGGACGACTGTGGTGGGGATGCTGTCAGGGTCGTCGAGAGAGATTGGTTTTAGCAGGTTCTCGGCTTCCACGGCCCGCATGCTGTGGCCTTGTGTTGCGCGGATGAAGAAACGCTTTGAATCGGTATCGCCCATGGTCGATTGGAACATGGATATTGCCTTTTGCGTTTCCGTGTCCACTTCAGCTTCAGTGGTTGGTTCTTGGCTGGGTTCTAAAGCAGTAGAGTTCTCAGGTGTCACTTCCGTGGTGTCTGGGTCTTTGCTGACATATTTCAGAGCGAAGCGCTTTTTCTCGTTATCTTCAACTGATTCGACGACCTCCTCGAACGTCACTGGTGGCTTCATGCTCCTGAGTCTCTGCCACGCCAGTAGATGGTCCACTCTGACATAGCCATGGTTGTCGATAGGAATTCGCTCCTGCTCCGCGGCGTGTCTCAGCAAGCGAGAGAGTGCTTTCGACACCAGAACAGATCTCGGCTGTGAATCGTACCTTGAGCCTCCTCGGCCGCGCCCACGCCTATCAGTCGACATTGGTGGGGATGGTCGGGAAGTTTGAGATGAAATAGTGGAGAAAAGATGCGTAGGTTGAGGTGTTGAGATCAATTTTAGCCTTGCTGAAGGGTGACTGTGAGAATGAGCAGACACAGACTTGAAGAGGAAGTGACACACGCTGCGTCGAAGTGACTTGTTGAAGACTGGCACCTCGTGTGGGGGGAAAGCGTGATGAGTCACTGAGACTTCACCAGATTCAGCGGCACATAGCCAAAACTAAGACGGAGCTCAGGCAGCAGCTGATTCTAGGTGAACTTCTTGCTCTGGTCACTTCCAGTCTTGTTCGTGATGCTGTTAAACTAGTTCTTGATCGATAGATATGGTCAGTAGTTGCCCAGATAGCCTTAGTGAACTTTCGTAAAAGTGGACTACAGGGGAAGCCTGTAGCTTAGGTATGAAAAAAGGGCTCTTGATGATTGAACGGTACATACAACTTGATAGTCGGTTAAATAACTTGGCGCCGGTCCTTCTAAAAGAATGCGAGGTACGGTTGTATATTGCATGCATACCCGAAAGTTGATTAACTACTCGTAGGTTGGTGGATAAATTTGAGCTGCCACTCGTGTATGATGACGAACAAGGCTCGGCGGGAGATACCGAACAGATGCTTAAGTGCCTAGTGGCCGAATATGTAAAATATCAGAACGTGAGGCATCAGGTGGGAAGGGTCGTTTGCTCAGGGGATCTGCTACTTTAGTTCTACTGTCATCTCTTCCTTCCCCCTTCCTCTCAAGTCAGCTATGGATGCGTACTTAATCACAGCTAGTGTCCTCGTATGCAGACCACATGTGATTTTGAGTTCTCATCGAGACTGGTGAAAGCGCAAGGCAGTCTGACCTTCTCATTTCTCAGGCCGCTCAACACCTCCTCCAACGGCACGAAATAGCAAGCGATGCAGTCTCACGCGCCCATATACCCCGAGGGCGACGGGGAATGCTTTTAGTAGCATGGAGGTCACGGTATTCTCAAATGTAGGTGGTGCGCCTGCTTGTCGGCATCAGGTTCGGGGACGTTTCGATGAGCTCAAGTCACTCATTGACCGTCATTGAGATCATCGAACTCTTCATCCGCTGAGAAATCTGGATTGCGATGTTCAGGCGAAGCTGGTCGCAATTTATGAGACTAACCGAACTGCGGGACGAATTGGGACGAACCGGTATTTTATAGAGAAGATAGGCATGAGTCTCAAATTGGAACGACTTACCACTGGTATTACTGGAACCACTGGTATCACTGGTATCACTGGGACTCATGAGACGTCCTCGTTGCAAATATTTTGGCTATGATTCTGCTCGTTTCTCTTGTCCATCAATGCCAATCGGTCACCACCATACTTAATGATGACATGCATCAAGTGTTCACGGGCGCGCCTTCACCTTCGGAGTGCAGTAAGAGCAACATTGAGTTGTGTCCTATTTGCGATGTGCGGCTCAACGACAGATTCTGAGGATGTCGGTCAGCGGATTGAACGAACCCCTCTTCTCCTACCATGTCCTTATTTCGTTTGGGCTCGAAAGTGACCAAACGGAAGGACGAAGCCGGCCGGTTGCACGTGTACAAACTCCGGCAGGATTGAACAAAGCGCGTGAAAGTGGGAATCCCAATACCATATATCGTCCGAGAGCGCCAGGTCAGGTGCTGTACCAATCCCGTGGAGGCCCGGCGTCTTCGGCCGCGACCTTCCCGAGCAGATTCCATATCGTGGGGCGACCAACCATACCGAACTCCGTACTCCGGGGTGATGAGCCAAACCAGTTGTAAGATGCTATTTATCATCGCAACCTGGGTCTTCGCTCTCATTTCATTCGATAATTCATGAGAATTGTTAATCGGAACCGACGGGGGATGGTCAAGCCCCGGGGAAGATCTTTACGGCCTCGGCTGGGCGCCTAGCCATGTGTGAATACCCCGGAGGATATAAAGGTCCCCGGGAGGGACAATACCTCCGGTCATGAATACACCTTTTTTTCCCATTACAACAATGGCATCGACTTTTTCTTGTCTCGTCCGCTTCAAGGACTCAAATGGAAAGGTCCAATATGGTGATGTCCCCAGCGGTCCCGACGACTTGGTGGGCAAGACTGCAAACGTACTGTCTGGGGAAGAACCATGGGATTTGAAAGCGACAAAGGAGACGGCACAGATTGCAGAGGTTCTGTCTCCACTAAAGTCCACCCCTCTTGTGTATGGCGTCGGCCTGAACTACAAGAAGCATATTGAAGAAGCATCATTCCCAACGCCCGAATTCCCTGTCATTTTCACAAAACCAGGAGACTCGCTGGCCGGACCATACGAGGATATCCCAGTCGACCCACGATGCGAGCAGCTAGACTACGAAGGCGAGTTGCTGATCGTGATTGGCAAGGACGTTCTGAACTTCCGAAAGGGCGAAGATCCACTGCCATACGTGCTGGGCTACTCGGTGAGCAACGACGTGTCATCGCGATTCTGGCAGACGCCGCAGAGATGCGGCAATCAGCACGGGATGGCCAAGTCGTTCGACAAGTTTGCGCCGATCGGTCCCGCCATTGTCAGCCCGCAGAGTCCTCTCGTCAAGGACAAGATCCAGGACGGTGCTCCCAATCTCCTGCTTCAGACTTTCGTCAACGGAGAGTTGCGCCAGGAGACCAACACGGACGATCTGCTCTTTAGAACCAGCGATCTGCTGGAGTATCTTAGCATGGGCCGGACTGTCAGGAAAGGCACGATCATCATGACGGGCACTCCGAGCGGTGTTGCCGCGTTCATGAAGCCTCCTGCCTGGCTGAAGAATGGAGATGTTGTGGAAATCAAGATTGAGGCTCTAGGGTCGATCAAGAATAAGATGGTCATCGGCTCATAGGTAAAAAGAGAATTAGGACTCGTTTTGCTCTGAATATCGCCCCTCTACGGCTTTAGAAAGTGATCCTTAAGGATACCACTGAGTACCATATAGAATGCCCGCATAAGGAACAGGGCTGCTTGTCCATCAAACGTAGTTTCCCTGTAGTCCATCATGCCAGTATCTTGACCATGAGCTTCCTCTCGAGCACACCATTCCAGCCAAGCTGGCATCTGGAAGCTGAGTCGGGTCAGAAAAAGGTACGCTTAAGATCGGATAGCAGAATCCCTTGCTCACGACCTGTTCAATTTCTGATATAGTTCTCGGCCATCCCTGCATTTGTCATCCCGGGGATTCAATACCTTCACCGGAGGAACGAGGGTATGCCGAGAAGATGCTCCGGCTGCAGCTGGACGCAATACATAATTTCGCTCTTATTCTGTGTTTCGCCGGGGGTGGGGGGTTGGTTCTCTCACTCACCCACTCACTTCATTCATTCCTCCCACCCAATCCATCTTTCAGCACCTACCATTCCTGTTCTTTCCCCCCGCCGATTCAAACCAGAAATCACCATGGGCTACGTCACCGCGAAGACGACATGGCCGACGGCGGTCCAGCTAGACGCATCGGTGAAGGAGCTCATTGACCTCTTCTACACCCTGGCCGACGACAAGAGCAGCGACGCCGGCCCGCGCCTGGCCGCCGAGGTGTTCACGAAAGACGCGACGATGGGATCATCGGCTGGAACTGCGCAGGGCACCGAAGGTATGTAACGAACGTAACGCACCTCCAGGGATTCCAACGGTGGGCCCGGACAGGCTGTAGCCACCGAAACAGACCGACAAACAATCCGAATGTTTCTCTGTTTCTGTTCAGCTCTCTAATCTTCTTTGGAATCATTCTTTAGCCATCTCGCACAGCCGAGACAACGCCTGGAACATCGTGGCGTCGCGCCACCATACGGTGTTGCAGGTCTTCGTCAGCGATAGCGCAGGCCGCGATCTCACTCTGATCGGGGAGCTCACCCAAGTGTTCAACAACGGCAAGGAGTTGACCGCCCAGTTTGTCGCTCACTTGGTGGTCGATGCAGAGAGCCACCGAGCCGGCAAGCCGAGATTGAGTCTCATGCAGGTTTTTGCCGTACGTGTTTCCTTCCCCCTATGCCCCCCTTTCGAGAAATGTCTGACTTAGCGTTTGATTGTAGGACAGTGCACCATTCGCTGCAGCCGCAAAAGCGTGATGATCTGCGATGTCTCCTGGCATATGAAACACATGGTAGAGATGATTGGGCGGACATGATCCATCGTGAAGGTGAATCGCAATACAATGGACAAAGACCGATTCCTTCCGGCTTTGGCTGAATTGAGCATTCGGGTTGGAGAAAAGCATTCGGCCCGGAGGCCCCGGACAATAGAAGTTCATACTCGTAGTCGAAACTTCTAAATTCCGCCCTCACCTGGCATAATGGTTATGAGCATTTTCTTTAGAAAAGAGTGTCTTCACTCTGTGTCTAGGCAGTGATCTGGTGCCGCGTGCATTCGACGGTTTCAAGCGAGTTATCGGAGATCGCTTCCCGAGTAAAATCATTGCAGATCGATATCAGATCGAGGATGAGGCTTGAAACAGCTCGGCTTGTTGGTGTACAAAGGAAGATTGCATTAATGAGATAGATAGATATGGACAATGATAGGGACCGAAATATTCTTCGATCTTGCTCTGGTCAGAAGATCGGCCGTTGATCGCCCGTCCTTCATTTCCCCTCAAAGACATACAGACAACCCAAAAGGTCATACTTGGACCCTGCTTCGACTGTTAACTCCTCCCCAAAAGTGATGTATATATGTCCAATCAACTCTGTACAAGTTGCTGAGGGTCACTCGTTTCCACCCCTGGAAACCGGGACACTGCCTGTGTAAGAGTAGTAAGAAACTCGTAAATGGCAAATTATCAAAACACATGTCGGGTATAAGACAATGCAAATCAGAACCTTCCCAAAACTTCCCAAAATATTCTGCCCATGCTGCTTTTGATCCATGCCCACAAAACTCCGGAACCAGACCTCAAAGCTCATGGCTTGGCTAATAGCCAGCCTAGGACGAACCCCTAAAATGCTTTCATGTAACGGAAAATTGTTTAGAAATTCTGCGAAATTCCACCTTGTGTTTGAGGGAACGTTGGTGCTCTTTCGATCCGAGTGTTTCTCCGGGCTTGAACGTCTCTTATCACAGGAGGATTATTGGTTCCACCATATGAACCATCTCCGTAAGGGCCGTGGCTAGGGGCGGCGTCGTTATAGATGTTGTATGGGACCTCTTCTTGATAGTAAGGCCCGGGAACACTTTGGTTATCAGATGATAGCTCAGATACATGACCTTCGGAATAGGTTGATGAGGCATTGGAAGGGCCTCGACGGACACCACTGCGGTTTCGGTTGAGACCGGCTCCCACTCCAAGTGCACCGACACCATCACCACTCTCAGGATGTCCATTCATCAATGGGTCGGTAGAATAAGCGTCAGAAGGCGCATTAGGTGAGCCGTGATATCCTCCTGGTTGACTGCTGCTTTCGGACAAAGCAAGACCAGCAGCGGCTCTACCATTCGAGCCCAAAGTGGTAGAGGCTTTACGATTGGACGAAGTAGCACCCCATCCACGATAGCCACTGTTGTCTTCTTGGGCCTCGGAGGCATTGTCAGTATATGCGGTGCCGGCACCTGCCAATGTTGGGTCACTGTTGGGATTGAAGCCGTATTCAGCCATCTCATTCTTTCGGAGTTCTTCGTTGGTTTTTCTGGCCTTTCTCTTCCTCCATAAAAAGAAGCCAATAAAGAAAGCGGCAGCAATGGCAATGATGGGGATCACAACTGCAATTGCAATCTTGCCTCCATCAGAAAGGCCTTTGGAACCACCCGATCCATTGCCTGAAGCACTCAAGGCTGAAGCAGTTGAGGATGCGCTCGTGGAAGTAGCCGAGGAAATCGTGCTGGTTTGTGTTATGGGAGTAGACTCGCCAGGCTTTGTGGAAGTGATAACCAGTACTGATGGGGTGGTTGGCGGGAGTGCAGAAGTGGTCGGTTGATTAGGGGTTATTGTTGTGGTTTGAGTCACATCAATGACGGACTGGGAAGTGGTGGGTTCTACCACCGTGGTCGAGGTTGGGACTGTAACAAACGATGTTGTTGTGGGCGCAACAGGAGTTGTCTCTGGGGTAGAAGTCGAGGTATCGGTCACAATTACAGTGGTGGTGGGAGAGGTCGTTAAGCTGACCGAGGTAGTAGTTATCACGGTCGTAATGACCGAGTCGGTCGCAGATGTAGTATCTACATGGCTATGAGTAAAGAAATACAGATGAATGACGAACACTTACCCGACATAGCTGGTTATTGTTGCTGCAAGGCTGACTATGGTAGAGTAGGCGTGAAGACGACGTCGAAGCTGGTGAGGCCGCTCGGCGGGAAGACAAAACGAGAAAGATTATAGCACCCGGTGCATGAATAGTGAGAGATGAATGACCACACGGACCCTTGAGAGGGATTATAAGATTGTGTCAAGGTTGTTGATATTGAGAGTGGTTTCCAGCCGCACCGTTGGGCAGAGGGAAAGTGGATGGAGGTGTCAAAACGCGGTCGGACTGATAGTTCCCTGGTTTTGGATGGGCCAAGCTGGTGGCGCGAGAGGGACGATCGAATTCGTGTACGGATGTCGACAACGATGGTGGGAGAAACTCAAGTTCGGTAACTTGGTTGCGCGGACAGAAGATTGTCGATGACGATGGTGATACGGGTGGTGACGAGAAGGAGAAGGGAAAATGAGCGATGGTGATGGTGAGGAACAGAGTAGCACTGGCAGGGAGGATGTTGTGCGTAGGAGCAGGAGAGGAGAGGAGCAACAAGAGACTCTCTCAGAGGCTTGGGAAGGCGCAGCTTGGAACTGGATTACTGAGTACGGCGCCAGTGGCCAGTGGCTCGCAAGTTGCAGGTAGGGCTCGGAGGTCACAGGTGTGCATTCTAACTTCTAGGGTATCCGTCCCGCCTAAGGTCTCACATCCCTTGATTTCATTAGCCCTCGACTGCCTTTCTCATGAGGCCAAGCGGATGTAAGGATTTCGAGGGCAGTGGATGCTGAGCAGGACACAAGCCAACAATGATTGATCAGTTCGCTGACATCGGATCTCAAACCCCAATGAGATTGTCTCCTTTATTGGAGCTAAGCTCTTTGCAACAAGCATGGCCGGGGGGCTCTGATCAATAGCGGCACCGTTGCAATGTGACCCATGCTCGCAATCCCCCAAATCATGAAAGTGCTGAGTCAAGGGGAACTAGTTTAAGTACGAGTAGATTCGTTTCCCACTTTCCAAGCCGTTGCAGCCGGCGAGACATCATTAATCATGAACTTGGAGGCGAGTCACACTCTTACGAGTAGATGATTATAAAATATCTCACGCTCTTGGAGATCTCATTGAAGCATGATGTTTCCGACATCTTGGTCCAGTTGAACAGGAGCCGGCCAGAGCCTGGTTACACCACCTATACGGTACGAAAACCAACACAATGGGACTGGGGATGTGAGGCAGTGGGTGTTGTTGTGATCGGTCGCAACCTGTGACACCGGAAACTTGCAAAGCAGGTAAGGGACTCGGCACCCAGACTGGGCAGCCTGAGTCCCAAGACTCGCGGTGGTCAGGCTTGAGGCTTCTGCTGCTGGCTTTCTGGTCCCGCTTAAGATCCCCAGAATTAGACATGCCTAAAACTCAATGTGCCACTAGCTCAGGCCTATCGACGCCTAACTTTAGGTCGGTATATCGTCCTGTCCAGTCGGCTTTAACATATCACACGGCAATCAATGCACCTCGCATTGTCAGTGCCCGCGAGCGTCGCAAAGCTCAAGAAAATACGGATAAACTTTGCTTCCTACTCGTCTGTACAGCACAGACCTCATGCCGTGCCATAATGGTCTAGAAGTATTCTGGTGATTTGCCACTGCCGCTGGACAAAGGTACCTAGGTAGTTTGCGATTGACCTCCGACTCATCTCATCAGCTGACTTCTGACAAGACGGTAGACTTTGTACCAACTTTTGGATAATCCGTGACCATTATTGACCAAACTCTACTCTTATAGCAGGTGACCTGATAGAGCTCTGGCTGGAGTTACCTCGGCGATCATGCTTCTATCTTTCATCCATTTGTCCTTCCTCACATATATCGAGAGGTGCCAAGTATGTCCTACTATATTTTGAACTTTTTTCGATGCGTGCCTATAGCACAAAGGGCTCCCCGGACCCTCAAACTCCATCCGCTATGCTCAACCGTCACAAAGGCCGTTACAGTCTCAAAAAAAATACATCTTCTCGGCGCCATCAGTGGACGAGTCTCATCGATTCAGATTCCACTGTGGCCTCAGTGATTCGGCAAATTCCTCTCTCGTACCGCCAACATCCTTGGGGATCTTCGAGACACGATAGGCTCCATTCCTGATATTGTGTGCGTGTATCGCCGAGACACCTGATCGGTTGCTGCGTATGCTACCTGAGTCGCTCATCGTATCGTTAGATCGAAACTTGGGGGGTGCAAAGTCAAGAGAGGTAAATGTTCCGGACTTGCGCAATTGATGTCTGAGCGTCAATGTTAGCAAGAATTCCACACTACCAATTCAACAGCAATACTTACGGGCTTGGGATTACCGCCAGGTCGTCGAACGACGATATGAGAGGATTGTGCGCCCTCACGGATGGTGAGTATGGCCTCTCTCCACCCCGAAGACTATCAGGTGTGCCGGATCTTTGGTTGGAGATTTTCTTGGGTGGCGCATAGTCAATGGGTAGGAATGTGTCGTCCTTCAACAAATGCGGCGTCGGAAGTACATGAAGAGTCTTGAGTGGCACCTCCCTCCTCTTGGCCGCTGCACGTGGCGGTGGTGGTCCGTATCTGCCAGATACCGAAGAATACGCTCTGGGTCCAGACATATAACTTCCATTCGAGACAGTGGCCCGATGTCGGCCATAAGCACCTGCAGCAGTCCCTCCTCGTGGTGGATATTGTTGTCCTTGATCGTAATACCCATCCTGCCCATGGTTATCATAGTACCCTTCTTGTTCCTCATAGTAGCCTCCATGTTGCTGTCCACCATGGTTGGTGAAATTCTGGGGCTTGCTATCGTCAAAATACTCCTTGTAAAATGATCGAATTCGATTGGCTCGGTCCTCGGGGTTCTCGGAAGGATCATCAGGAGGAAGTGGTCGCATACCCATCATTGACCGTCGCTGGTCATATCCATCATGATTTTCGTATTCTTGATAGTAATCTCCGTAAACTTCTTCTTCCTCGTAGTAATCATCTGCGTCCTCATACTGGTCCTCATAGTTTTGGCTAAGATGCTCGGACTGCTGCGAATAGTGCTGGGCTGAAGAGTGATCCATCGAAGTTGCTGCTGAAGCCGAAGGTTTGTTATCAATGACAGATGCCGCGGTCACTTCCGATGCCAAACCTGGCTCTGGAGAGCTCTGCTTTTCACCCTGCGGATCGATGAAGCTAAGCTGGGGTAGCCGAGGTTGGCGATCTGTGGGGTTGTTGAATGTGATGCTGGGTGTTTGTTGGTATTTTTCCTCTGGAGCACTCGGTGCACTCTTGAGATGGATGTCATCTTTCAAAACGACAGGAGGAGGGCGAACTTCTTCCGCGGGCGTTTCTGCTCGCACTTCATTGATGACCACAGCCGGTGCCTTTTTGCTTGACTGTTCCCCACTCAAAGGTGCTCCTCCACTGATAAACTTCCCAAGGTAATTATTACTTGCTCTCAAAGCATTGACATTTCCAGTGCTGCTGGCCGTGCTAAGAAACGAGTCTCTGGTAGAATCTGCTCCTGTCGGCGCCAACAGATTGTTGTTTGACGGAGGGTACGGGGTACGGAGACCGTTTGAGGGATCAACTGAAGGATCCCGTGAAGAAGACATGGAACGGTCGCGCACGGCTGATCCTAACGGATTACCCTGGGCATTGCTGAGGAGGTTATGCTTGGACTCGTAGTTGAACCTGCGGCTCGAAGAGCCAGTGAACGTGGACGATGAGTCGTCCAAGGGACTTCTTATGCTCGATGCCGGGCGTATCGATCCATCATCAGGTATGAAATTTGTGGCCCGGTATTTGTCGTCTCCAGTGATGGATCGCGACAAAGAGTGCAACGACTCTCTGCTGTGATTTAACGCTGGTGGCAGCACGTACGGATTATGGGCCTCTAGGTCCATCGACAGCCCGCGTTCTCTTGGGCCACCAATTTCCTTTTCCTGCGAAGCAGACATTTCGGTTCGACCGCGTGCGTTGGGTTTTCGAGACTTGCCCCTGCCTTCACCCATCCCAAAGTCCAAAGATTTGTGTTTATCGTTCGCATCCTCCTGCCTCAATTTCACGACATGGCGGCGGTGCAGCCATACCAGAATGACTATAGCAATTCCCAATGGGATCACCACTCCCAATACGATAGGTAGAGTGTTTCCGGAGCCATCTGCATTGTAGTATTTTTCACACGGCCCACTGTTGTCATTTGGTGCACATGAGAATGTTGCTGATGGACTTGCAGTAGTAGTAGAAGACTCATCCCTTACGACCAGAGCTGGAACTGGTCTTTCCACAAAAATCCCATCCAATCTGCCATCGGGTATGGGTCCTGGTCGTGCAAGAGGGTATGGGTTTCGGGGCTGGATCTGAGGTTCATTCTCAGGTAATATCGAGTCCAGCATGGTTATGATGGGTGAAATTCGTAGTTCCGGCAGGTTCGAGATGATCACCAAGGGGTGATTTGTATTAATACATGATAAATCGAGATGCTAAGCGGGTCTCTAATAGATGGATTACAGGACTCGTGATTCTCGTGGGTGGTTGTGGATGGCGTCGATGGTGCAAAGGAATGGAACGTGGAGCCTGTCCACAAACAGCAGAGCAACAGGTTGGTAACGAACGACTTGAGTTAACCTCAAAAGAATGACTGTACTCAGAGTTGGGCTGAAGGAATGACAAAGAAAGAAAGGAAGCAAAGGAGAGACGATTGTGTAGAGCTGGTCGACTCAATGCAGCGATGGAATACGAGTGGTTGTGTTGAAGCACACCCTGTTAGCAGATGCAGTTCACAAAGGAGAAACAATCATGAGCCAGGAACCCTGCCCCGTTGGATTCTGTCCAGTCGCCTAGGGTTAAGCTCCACGATGGACCGAGGGGGCCCCCAGTTCTTTGACCTTAAGTGCCTCTCCCGCACGCTAAGGGAGCCTAGCAAGCCCAAATTCAGCCACCGGCTCCAATATATGCTGGTTATTGGTTTGGTCGATCACTAGCAAGCTCAAGTGCCAATTTAACAAAGTCGTCCCTGGAGGCTTGAGGAATCAAGGATGAATGGTGTGGGACTTTGGCTGGGATTAGCTCCAGGTGGCTCCAGGTGGCTCCGGGTGGCTCACTCAGGCTTTCCAGGCCCAACGGAGGACGGATAGGTGTGGCTCCAGGGTCGCTTCTCGTTCTCTCGACACGTGCACTGCCACTATTCTCCAACTCGTATCACTCCCAGCTTCCAGTGCTCTTTAGCCTGGGGTTTCGTAGAGGACAATCTGTACGAGGTAATGTTGTTGTGATTATTATAATCATTATAGAGAATTCTTTCCCCTAGTAATCATCATGACTACTTAACAAAGACTACGTCACGCTCGACCAAGTAGCATCCCAGTCTCGATTCTAGAAGAAAACCTGCACGTCATCAATCGTCCATCGTCTCATCTGGTTCCTGTCAATTGTCAATTGTCAATTTCCGATGGCCACTAGCGAAACACCGACCCCCGTGCTCACCACCAAGTCCACAACAGGGCCGCCTCATCGTAAACCACCTCGTACGGAGTATCTTTAGCTCTCCTTTTGATGCTGAGAATTCTCTTTGTGCTGACTTGTTTAGATCGAGTTCATTACACCAAAACTAATCGGCTGCTCGTACGGATACTCGGTACCACACAAAGTCGAGCATCTGGACGCGTAGTATTCTACTGGCACGGAATGCTTCCTACAGGTTACCCTACTGAGGAGGCTTGAACCTATTCCTTGTTATTATTACCTTCGGTCCGTTCTTGCTAGGATCGAATTGCTGGACTGAACGGCCTGTCAGGATCATCCGACATGAAGCACAATTTCGTACTCGTAGTTTTCTTTCTCTGCATGCTTTGCTTAGATGCAAACTCATACGGAGTACCAAGGACCTGGTACTGGGGAACTTGACGAGGTGTCAAAGCCTAGCCTGGTGACGACTACTCCATACTTATAGCTGGCGTTGGTACTTGAAACATCCTCCCCTGATGCTGATCCAATGATCCTTTCACTTGGTTCCAATCTCTTGAATGCTACAGGCGCTCGGCAGAAAGTTCAGACCTTACGCATAGTGGGATGCAAACTCGGCGAGATATGAGTTCTCCCATCTTGTATAGAATTTGGAGCCCCGCTATGACATCTGACACTCCAGGGACTGAGTATCTTGCTCCTGGAACTTACGGAGAGCTGAAAGCGTTGTTGGAGGGCCACCCAAGCGCCACCACCCCGCGAAGAGACCACGCTCTCACGTGTCTAACCCGAACCACCAGAGTCGGTGCCTACCCAGGTACGGAGTAGGTATCCCGCCCCGCCCTACTTGGTGCATAAGGCAGAGTCCATGGATACGAGTTATTACCAACCCCGTCTTCACATTGTCAATCTGGCAAGGCTCCTTGCGTTCTACAAGAAGGGATCGGTAGGTACACTGTTGAATTTATGTGCTGAGACCCATCCAAACGACGCTCTACAGCCACAATAACCTCATTCAGAAGAAGTCTCCAAGCTCCCACGATGGAATCCTATGACCTAGTGATCGTTGGCGCAGGTATGATCTTCTTCAAATCATCTGAATGAGCTGATAGCATCAACTGACTCCTCGGAGGTATCAATGGGCTTATAATGGCGAAGACATATCTTGATGTCTACCCAGAAACAAAGCTGGTCCTATTGGAGTCGGCTGAATCCATTGGGGGAACTTGGTCTGAGGGCCGGCTCTACCCAGGTCTGAAGTCCAACAATCTTGTTGGGTCCTATGAATACAGTGACTTTCCCCTGGACAAGTTCTCCCTCGGCATCAAAGCTGGAGAGCATATCCCGGGTGCCAAACTACATCAATATCTCCAGCAGTTCTCGACCAAATTTGATCTAACAAGAAGAACCAAAGTCAATGCTGCAGTTGAGGAGGTTGAAAGACTTCTCAATGACAAGTGGAAAATCACTATCAAGCTCCAAGACAAGGGTACGGAGCAAGTCATCGCGGACAAGCTGGTCCTTGCCACTGGCTTGACCAACCATCCTTTTGTCCCGACTTTCCCTGGACAAGAAGATTTCCAGGCCCCGTTATTCCATGTGAAGTATCTGAAAGATGAGGCAGATAAGCTGATCCAATCGTCCAAGAATGTCGTTATTCTAGGAGGATCGAAATCTGCCTATGATGCAGCCTATGCCTTCGCGACTCAGGGCCTGACCGTCGATTGGATTATCCGAGAGTCTGGACATGGCACAAACTATATGTCTCCACCATACGTAACACCGTTGAAGAAACGCCTCGAAGGCCTGGTTGGTGTGCGTTTCTTGACCTGGTTCTCTCCGTGCATTTGGGGCGACGAGGACGGCTTCTCCTGGATACGACGCTTCCTTCACGGCACTCGAGTAGGCAGATTCATCGTCGATAGCTTCTGGAAAGTCTTGACCAGCGATGTGATCGATCTATCTGGGTACGATAAGCATCCAGAGACCGCCAAGTTGAAACCGAAGCTTTCGGCTTTCTGGCATGCCTCGTCCCTAGGGATCTTCAATTACACCTCGGATTTCTTTGCACTCGTACGCGATGGGACTATCAAGGTCCACATTTCGGACATTGATCATCTCTCCAATCACACCGTTCACCTATCCAATGGATCCGTCGTGACCGGTGACGCCCTGATTTGTTCGACTGGTTGGCACCACCGCCCAGCTATCAAGTTCCTCCCTGCTGGAATTGACGCAGAACTCGGCCTCCCCAGCAGAACCAGCGAGTCTGAAGCGCAACTTGTGAAGCGAGCTGAAAAGGAGATCCTGGCCCGGTTTCCACGCCTGCTAGATCAACCAAGTGTGCTACAACGATACAAACCCCTCGATTCAAACGATGGTGAATCAGCTGTGGCAGAACGCCCCTATCGCTTATATCGCTTCATGGTACCTGCCGAAAGCATCCCTAAGCCATCGATAGCGTTTCTCGGGATCGTCTTGACGATAAATACCGTCTGTGTTGCAGAAGTTCAGTCGCTCTGGATCACCGCCTTTCTCAATGGCCGCCTTCTCGCACAGCACGCAGTTGACCCATCAAAGCCGGCACGACAGAACCTTCACCCTGATGCGGTGGCTTACGAGACCATTCTACAAACCCAGTTCGGCAAATGGCGCTACCCTGGTGCGTTTGGAAAGCGGCACCCAGATTTCGTCTTTGATGCTGTGCCTTATATGGACATGATGCTGAAAGACCTGGGACTAAGATACAGGAGGAAGAATGGTTGGTGGGCTGAGGTTTTTCATCCTTACGGACCGGAGGATTATATTGGTTTGGTCGATGAATGGCGGATCAAGGTAAGCTCATCATCAAAAGAACCCTTACACATCCGACATTTTTGTCATTGCGGTTTATGCATTTTCGCGTCCAATTGACTTGTCTGATACCTGTAGGACACTCAAACCAAAGCAAAGCGGAGTTAAGGGGGTCGGTTCCAGGCTGAGCACAAAACCCCAGCTTAGTGAGTAGGAAGATGCCACTAAGACCTTGTAGGATCCCACTGGCCTAGCGAGCAAAGATTTCACTCTTCCTATACCTGTTTCGTCCTACTCTCTATCTTCCCAACTCCTCGATGAGTGTCCTCAAATTCTACCCGTCAGACTCCCGCACCATCCAAAATATCAAATAAAGTGACCGTTGATTGTTCACGACTTCTGACTTTTCTCTGCATCTTCAATGAAACCTTTCAACGCTCCTGCACTTATGTTCAACAAGTGCGTCTCGTCGTCGTTCAGAGGGATATTGAGCGTTCTTACGATCCCTTTGCGCCCTAATACCACGGGCAAGCTCAAGCAGCAGCCCAGCTCTTCGTTCCAATGTGAGATAGGCCGAACATTACGCTGATCAAACAGGATCGATTTGCAAATAGATGCGGTCAAGGCAGCAATACCATATGCTGTCGCTCCTTTGGCTTCGATGATTTTGGCAGCCTTATCCTTGGTCTCAGCTGCAACTGCCTTGCGGTCGATTGTGACATCTGGTGGTAGGCATTGATCCATGGGGACTGCCCCAATAGTCACGCATGACCAGGCAACCTGTTGTACAGTTCAGTGGATTATCTGCATTGTTCTGGTGTACTCTTCGTACCAATTGAGTTTCACCGTGCTCTCCAAGCACATATGCATCAACACTACCAGCATCAACACCAATCTTGTCGGCCAAAATCCCTCGCAGTCTAGCACTATCGAGGAACGTCCCACTACCGATGACTTGTGACCGAGGAAGACCTGCGAATTTCTGGGCATAGTAGGTCAAAACATCGACGGGATTTGCCACCAGAAGAATCACAGTCTCTTCCCTAAATGGCTTCATGTCATTGATGGCAGACCGTAAGATTGCCAAATTTCTTCCGAGTAAGTCCGTCCGTGACTCGCCTGTAGCATGATGTTAGATGTCGTTGCCGTTTTCACATTTCGATACCACGAATCTGATCGGTTACCGACCTTGTCTCTGCTTTGCACCAGCAGAGATCACAACGATATCACATTGTCCAGCCTCTCGATGCGTGCCGCTTCGAATTCTCACCCCACCACCACTATTCGAATGGTCAACAAGACTGATGTCATTCCAGCTAGCAAGTCATCTCACCCTACGGCGCCATGGTAGGTAGTTGCGTCTCCAAGATCTTTCACTTGGGCGTCTCTCAAATCGGCCTTAGGGTCCACCAGGAGGACTTCGCTTGCCACTGGGTTCAGTATCAAGCACAGGGCAATGGCCGACCCAACTGAGCCAGCACCCAAAACAGCGATGCGAGATCTGTCTCTTGAGATCTCGGGGTCCATAAAAGGGGGTTCCATTGTATTTCGACCACGTTGAAAGTCGTCTGGAGGCTTCTTGTTGGAGGGTGAGGATGATAGGACAGGGTGAGGAGAGGTTTTGATTACCACCTTGGACCGAGAACAGATGTTGAGAACCGCAAATACTTATTTATCATATGTTATCTCTGTTCGTCGTCCATTTGTCTCAACACCTGGAGCAAAAGTGACAGGAGCTGTCGTGTTGCTCAGACCACCCAAGGAGGCTGTGCAGCATGTGCTCAGTCAGTGCTTGCTGCTCACTAACGAGCATGGCGAAGCTGGGCATCTCGATTGGTTTCAGTACTTAGCTTATCATTGCACCAGAACTTTTCGAACGGCTCAAGTTGGCTACCAGGGGAAAAAGAAACACGTGTGTTTGCTGATACATATGGCATAATCCATGCCTACGTAGTTACCCAGGTGTATTTCTTACAGAACTTGAACCTTTTGGAAATCCACCTAGGCACTAACTGTGATCTCAAGATGAGCTATTGTTTGCAGGAGTCGCTAGTTAGTGCACCATTTGCAGCAGGGCCCCTCGGCCTCTCAACCCCTCCCGCATCTTTCCCGGATTCCTTCTGGCGTCTGCTTTGACGCCTCTGATGCTGACTGGCTTGCCTGGGCCGTTTCATCATGCATTGCCAAAAGGTTCCACCAAGAAACTAAAAAGAGTAGCTTGTCGCGTGCAAGCTCCCCGCGTTGAACGATCCTCGAATTAAGCAGTTCGATCGATGCAGGCCGCAGATTGACATGCATAAATACATTGCCATTTTTCACACCCACGTCACAAGATGAGAATATTCCAAGACCTCGGGGTCTTGGAAGTTGGAAAGAATGCTGCTCATGGTTTTGGAACTTGGATTTCAAGGACTCGATGCCCTTTTGCTAACTGTTCGATATACCCATCTTCAATGTGGCAGCAGTGAACTGAAAGGCGATAAACTCCACCTGAAAGACATACAACGCCAGCGTGGATAGGTGATTTGGGCTACTCAGCACTGCAAGCATGTCCAGTAGCTTCCTGTCGTCCTTTCTGGGCGCTCTGCAAGCCAGTCTTTCGGTACTACTTGTCATCCTCTACGGCGTGATCGCAAGCCAGTACAAACTACTGGACGGGCCTTCAGCGAAAAAGATATCGGCTGCGTGCGTGCGCTTGTTTTTGCCTGCGCTCCTCATAACCAAAGTCGGTAGTGAATTGGAGGCGGGCACGGGGACACGCTATGTTCCAATCCTGAGTATGCACCAACATGACCCCTCCGAGCCTCAATGGAAGTTGTTCTGCGTTTGCTAAATGTTGTTAGTCTGGGCCGTACTATATTCTCTGGTCTCGATCGGTATCGGGTTACTCGCAGTCAAGTTCCTGAAATTCCCGGCTTGGGTAACTCCGGCTGTCGCGTTCAACAACACGACCAGTCTTCCGCTCCTCTTGATCGAATCCCTCCGCTCCACAGGGATCCTTGATCGCCTCATCCTAGACGGAGATTCTACCGAGAAAGCAATCAGTCGCGCACAATCGTACTTCTTGGTGTGTGCCATTGTGGGGAATTGTTTTACTTTCGCAATCGGACCACGCCTGATAGATGCTGAAAATGCTCCAGGCGAGTCTAGCGACGATGAGGATGAAGAGGACGCTGATGGGGCCGATGATGACGCGGCAGAACGGGGCTCGATCAACGAAGGAGAGCTCACATCCCTCCTGCCCCATCGTGTGCGGAAAGCTGGCGGGAGGGCACATCGACAGGTATTCTTCCTCGGAAAGCAGAACCTGGAGAAGCTGAGTCCCCGAACACAAGAAGTTCTCATCTTTCTCTTTGATTTCCTCAATGCACCACTTCTGGGTGCCGTCATAGGGGCAATCATCGGCCTGACTCCGCCATTACACCGAGCATTCTTCAACGACTCCAATGACGGAGGCTTCCTCAACGCATGGTTGACGTCGTCTTTGAAGAAAATCGGCGAGCTGTTCGTCACACTGCAGGTCGTGGTGGTCGGTATGTCATTGTCGTCATCGCTTCGGAAGATGAAGCGTGGTGAGGATAAAGGCCTACCTCTCTTGCCAACGGCTTTCGTCATGCTCATCAGACTGGTCGTCTGGCCACTGATCTCCATCGCCGTCATTTGGGTGCTCGCCACAAAGACAGATACACTCCAGCAGGATCCGATCCTCTGGTTCACCATGATGTTGATGCCGACGGGACCGACTGCCATGAAGCTTATTGCCATGGCCGAGGTGAATGGAGCAGATGAGGATGACAAAATGGTCATTTCCAAGGTCTTGACTGTAAGTTGCAGAGATTCCCCCAAATCAAGTGGGCTTGAGTTGGAAACGCCTTCTCTTGCATGTACAATCGAACGAGGCTAACAGATCATCTTCCACGGTTTCAGCTTTCATACGCCTGTTCGCCGCTCCTGGCTTTGACCGTCGTTGGCAGCTTGTACTCGAGTGAAGCCGCAATAAGGAGCTAGTCCATCCTCAATCCCGAAGCAGTCGTTGCCAGCACAGAAGGTATGCACGGCATGGTATTTTCACTCTAAACACTAGAGAGTGTTTGATCGCTTTGTCAGTATGTCTCATGTTCCGGAGTACCACAGAAGGCGATTCACATGTTATCTCTTTCCCATTCATCATCAAATCATGGTACATCGAGGGTGATTGCGTAACCTAACTTAAGCACATGGTGATGGATCTACTCCTAAACTTGAAAAGGTGGTGGCAGCCTTTCTCGTACATCATTGATCTGGGGGTTATATTTCCATGCAAAACTTGAATGTGCGCTGAGGAATATTACCTGGGTGCCATGGATACAACGCAAACGCAGCTCGTCACTACTAGCTACATGTATGGCTCCGTATTTAAGCATACTGAGTGTTTCAAGGTGCTCCATAGACCACAGTATCTAGCGAGCTAGGTACACAGGTCGGTCCTCGAGTCGTACACGGTCCCGCGTAAATAGCACTGAACCAGAATTCCGAGCACAATTCCGAAGATAGAGTTCAAGCATCAATGAAGTGCTTCGTACGTTCGAGGCATAATTCGAGGCATTGCATAACTCGCCCGCCAAACTATCCCCTTTGATCCGGCTCAAAGTGAATCAATGATTTACTCCTCGTGGGGACCCCGGAAGCCCTCGATCCCAAGTCGAATTGATCCCCGGTTGTCGGATGTCGCTTGTCGCCTGTCGCGTACACCCTAGAGGAGCCAATGGTATTGCATAGCGACGGACGCAGGTGTAATGCTATTGGTTGTTGGACGTGCTAGTGCTCTTTTGGATGTTTGGACGCCTCCCGCCCTGTCGCCGATGCGCACCGATGGCTAGGGGTCATATATCCATATGTCAATTACATATCTACGCATTCAGGCTCATGTTATGTTAGGAGAGTGGTTTCGGCTCTAGAAATTGGATATTTGCGCTGTGTAGGTTGTAAAACGCCAAGTCAGAGAACGAAAAATGGAATTTATTTGTTATCCTTCCGATACCATCTCGTCGGCGGACTATAAGCGTCTTAGTCTTGACCTCGACCTGCCACGCACCCCCCCTCATGATCATCCAGTAAACGGTTCGGTCGCTTTGGGAGACCCGCGACCGAGCCTGGACGCAGTGAATGATATATCACAATGGAACACTCCGGTAGAACAGGACACACCGAGCCCTGTGCGCGATCAGCCGGCTGCTGCAAAGCAAGCAACAGCAAAAAGGATGCGAAGGACGCAAGCCTGCGACCGCTGTAGGAGCCGCAAGGTCCGATGTGATGCCAGTGCTCAGAAGCCTTGTTCGCGTTGTCGGCGGGATTCCCTCGATTGCGTTGTTCGTCCTCATGCCAGAGGGTATGTGACAAACCCCTACATGGAGCTCTCTTTTGCATTATAGTAGCGTCCCCGTTCCTGGTTCATAGAAATTAACCACCTTCTCAATCAGGAAACGATCAACTGTTTGGGATTCACCACAATCCGAATCGATGACACCAGCGTCCTCCGAAGCCAGAAAGATACTGGAGATAAATTGCCTTCCTGCAACTCCATTAAGTCTGAAATCGCCAGAACCGGAGCCCACCGATGATATACCTCGATATCTATTCTCCGAACCATTAAAAAGAACTCTCTGCGATAACTATATCGCCTATGTCCATCCACTGTTTCCAATCTTAGACGTGGCAGCCATACAAGAGGGGCCAATCGGCTTGTTTATTCAACAAGGCAAAGAAAGACTCAGCCCTTTAGTTTTTCTGGCCATATTATATTCAGCTATTCCTCATGTGAATATATCCGCTTTGAAGGCTGAGGGCTATGACTCTTGCGAGGAGCTCGCACTGGCCATCCGTAGCGATTTCAAGGTGAGAATCTTTACCAGCTTCAATTCGGACTTCGGCTGACTTATGGAAAGCGTGCTGAGCAAAAGGGCGTCAATCATGACTGGAAATCTTTGGTCCATGCCTTTCTCCTCATGAGTTCCTGGTATAGTCCTCAAACTCGGTTAGAGGCTTGGAAATGGAGTGGTGCTGCGTTATACTTACTCGAGAAGCATCAAGGCCCTGACGAACGCGTCAAATCACCTGTTGACGAAGCGGAGTACAGATGCTTATGGTGGTCCTGTTTTATTCGCGATCAACTAATGTCCTTAGCATCACAACAGAGTCCTCGGATGGCGTTTTCTCCTTCGAGGGTCTCCATGATTTCCGACCATGACCTCGGGTCTTTGGGGATTTCCGAGAATTGGAATGTCTCGCACAATATCGAACCTGTAGACCATCTTAGAAGTTTGACTGAGAATCAGACTCTTGCAACCCTGTTTATCGAGCGGGCCAAACTTTCAGTGATTCTCAATCAATTCAGCCGAGGTCAAAGGCAATCAAATGGTCGCTACAGGATGACAAGCCTGCTTCCTGGCTGCGATAAGCCATCGACAACTGGAGAAGAAACTGTAGCACAATTATTGTTGTGGTATTGCAGCCTCGACAACAACGCACGATACTCGCAAGGGACTGACTATAACCCCAACAACGGCTCCTCTCTGCAAGATGGTCTGCTGCCATTTTATCAAGCTCTCTTGTTGATCCCATATTATCTGACCTTGATCAAGGCAAATTTTCATGACAAAAGCGAATGTTGCAACGATCCACAGTCTGCATCAAAGCGAGTGCTATATGCACGACAAGAAGTGAGTCGGCTTCTGCAGGATTTGATCAAGGGCGACAGGCTAAAACATATACCAACCGATCTGGTGGAATGCCTCCTGCCATTTGCAACCACCGTCCTCCTAGAAAAGACCAGTACTCCCAGTGCAAGTCGCGAGCCGATGTCAAATCGGATCGAGGGCTTCAAGCAATGTTTACAAGTCATGCGGGTTATGATGGCGAATGACAGACTTCAACCACAGAATGACTATCGCATTTCCCTTCTTGGAGCAACATGCTCCTTATATGCCGGGCTCGAAGAACGACCGCGAGATCTTGGTCTGGGAGGAATGGCTCGGAATACCATGCCCTTTACTGGCACCGACATTCTAGATGCTGCAGTATCCTCGACGAAAGAGATCTTTTCGGATTGTTCGTTCCAATGGCAATCACCTCGGCATGATGATATGCAAGAAACTTCATTGTTGAACAGTGTTCGCCTCAATGATCACCAACCTCAGCTGAATGGCTCGAATGAACAGACTTTCCCATCGGATAGTTTGATCGACCGTAGCTTTAGTGAAGATGTCTTAAGTGCAGATGATGGCGCGCTGGCTTTCTCTTGAGCTTCACAAAGGAAGCCAGTCCGTACGAGGCTGTAACATGAAGGCACAGCATGCAGCTTAGCGTGGGCTGCTGCTCTCGATCTTCGTAGAAGCTTATACAATCGAGAAGTAGCACCCAAACATCTTGATGGAAAGCTGCCGGTCATCGACTCGAGCATTGCATTCATTTTGTTCCTTCACTAGTTCTTTCAGTAATAAGGCCGCTCTTTTTGCGTTCTTTGTGGCGCCCGGGCTCAATCGAAATGGTGGAAGATCTTCACGGCCGAGATCAACACTGCTGGACCTTGGTCTTGTTGCTCCCAAGGTTTCCAATTGCTCAATGGCCCAGGACTGGCGATGTTCATCAGGGCACTCTGTCCCAAAAAGAAACACTGGCCAGAGGAGACCAGGGTGTAGTATTCTGCTCCCAGTCCCATCAACAACTTCTCCATAAGAGTTTTGCAAGTTTTGCCACACATTGTTCAACGCAGCTGTGGCAGTCGGCGAATGTGGGAGATGCCACCATGTAACACGATGTAAATAGACGAAAAGAATCCAAAAACTGGCGAAATGCAGATTGAATAATTCTTCCAATCTAATCGCTAAATCCGGAGATAACGACTGAGCCAGTTCGTCCCTCGACAAGGACATTATGGTGGGCCTTTGCTGCCATACTTCCCATAAATCTTTTTCTAATTGCTTTGATGCCACAATCACTGCAAATTCATCGTCAGGAGTGCCCCTGCTTCGATGGTGACGATCATGGGATCCTATGCGGCGACAGAAAGCCTGGGTTGAAATATACCATTCAACTGCAGGCTGAACGATGGAGTTTAACACAACTTGTTTGATACGTGCGCTTGTCAAAACCCGAGGTGATGCGTGAGTGGCAGTAACACTAGTAGCGGGTGATGTGGGCTGTCTCAGTGACGTTCTGAGCCGCGCTTCAAGGCTGTCGTGCTCGGTTTCAGAATCCAATTCCTCCGCATCAGCACTTACTATCTGGATTGGATACCTTGCAACCGCTCGCAAAGCGAGCTCGGTGAGAAGAGGCTCACCACTGGAATATGTCGCCTTACCGTCGAGAACGCAGAGCCAGGACAGTAACTGTTTTGATACCCTACTCCAATTCACATCGCTTGTAACGGTAGCCTCTGCTACTGCACGAGGGAACGGCATCGCAGGGCCTCCTTGGTCTCGGATAACCTCATACCACGCAAGGAGAAGAATGGCGGCCAATAGTGGTTCGTACAATGTCTGGTCAGTTTGGACGAAACTTGAGAGAATACTGTGAACACCATCGGTCGCCAAGCGATGTCGTTCGATAATCCGATTTAAATACCTTTGCTTATCCTGTGCTGTATAGTTGGTAGTTTGCTCCATGAATAGAACACCTGTCACACACAGTAGAGCATGGAGGACTGCTTCGTAAGATTTGCTCATTGCCAAAAAATGGCGTTGTACTCGCCGCCAGTTCTTGACACCTGAGATCAAGATCGCCCCTGGCGGCTGGACGATTCCAGTGAAGAGTGAGAGTAGATGTTCCGCTTCTGGGTCGAGAGCTAGGGTTTCGCATCTTACGTTCGGTTTATGGGAAAGGGGTTGATCTCTTTGCGAATTTGTAGCAGGAGAGATAGCCTCGGTGACCTCCTTGGCCTTTTCAATTTCAGCAACGGCATGGGGACTTCTGCTCCTATCTGCAATGGCAGTTCTTGAGCGGATTGAGGCGTTAGTTGAACGTCCAAAGTCTGCTGAGTTCGGGTCCTCCATTGAAAGGGGAGCATGTAAAGTGTGCAACACATCATCAGTTACATCCAAAGGGATGAAGTTCAGATTCGAAGGACTCTCCATAGAATAACCTGCCCAGGAGGGATATATATCCGGTTCAAGGTGGTTGAAGTCAATAGCATCCGTTTGGCACCAAGACATGAAGTTCGAATCCGAAGGTTCGCACGATGTCGATTGGGACGATGTGTGCCACGTATCCGTGACCATTGTTGAATTGAAGGTTGCACCATCTAGCGGGGCCGAATGGAAGGATAGTCCTGGATTTCCTGCAGAAGTCGTCGATCCCGAAGTTGATTCAACGTCTTTCAATTTGGTTGAAGTCGAACGTGGCGTTTTCCGACTTGAGTCCGAATTCCCTGGATGTTTTCGTCGTGGTACACTGAGGTATTCACAATCAAACCCCAGCCTCATACAGGGTGTACAGCGAGGGACTCCTTCGTCGCACTTCACGCGCCGTCTTCTGCAAGTGGCACAACCATTCTTCGATCGAAGAGACCGCACAACGGTCTTGTTTTGTTGGGTATCCACGAAAGTATCCATGGTGAGGACTCGCGTTCACACAGCGCCTCTGGCCTTCGTGATGAGCTTTGGGCAACATCGATTTCCAGGTCTAGCTCAACAACACCTCTCTGGAGTTTGTAAGATGTGAAAATTCAGTTGGCGTTGATCTTGGTTAGTGCAATGGAGAAGGCTGCCAGCCATAGCAAAGGCAACGGTGAAAGCCTGGGTCAAGGATGTCTCGAGGTCAAAGAAGTTTCCAGAGAACTAGACTCTACCTATTGATCTGTCCACGCTAGTTAGGCAAGCAGTGGTAAGTGAATTAGAGAAGGAGGGCCGCTTGGGCTGTTGAAGCGGGCGCCGGGAGGTACAATGCGGGATCTCGGGTACTTGGGAAAGCGGAAGGCGCGACTGATGAGTTGCACTCCAACTGCCAGTGCACTCAGGCTGGGGGTGCCAGCGGGTGCCAGCGCCAAGCATGACGAGGCTATCCAAATTCATCCAGACTCCAGAGAGTCTCAGAAATCGTCAAACTGCGAACTGGAGCCCGTCTCGTGTCTTCGTCCCTACTTCCATATCCAACCGCCACTCACTCAACTACCATCCTCTTGCATTGCGCCATCTTCTCATCTGTAGCATATTTCGATTCCTTGTGAATATGTTTTAGTTTTCTCCTCCAGTCCTCCATGATTCACTTTGATCTCCGAGTCCTGTAAAGCGCCTACCACTGTCCCTCACGTCTGAATCCTGACCACCCAGACCCTTCCATCAACTTCTACAATATGGCACAACCACAACCACAGTTGAGCAATAAAGATGGCGCCCTGTTCAGACAGGTGGTGCGCCATTTCGAAAACAAGCAGTACAAAAAAGGTTGGTCACACAATTCACTAATCCCAACCTCCAGGCTGACCACTCTTGTCTAGGCTTGAAGGCAGCCGAACAAATTCTGCGCAAGAACCCAAATCATGCCGACACCCAAGCTATGAAGGCCCTGATCATTGGCCAGCAAGGCCACACCGAGGAGGCTTTTGCTTTGGCCAAAATCGCCTTGAACAACAACATGAAGTCCCATGTTTGCTGGCATGTCTACGGTCTTCTGTACCGTGCGGAAAAGAATTTTGAAGAAGCAATAAAAGCATACAAGTTTGCCTTGCGCCTAGAACCGGAGTCCGCCCCCATACAACGAGATCTCGCCCATCTGCAGATACAAATGAGAGACTTTGAAGGCTACATCCAGAGTCGAAGAAACATGCTCCAACAGAAGCCTGGCTTTCGTCAAAACTGGACTGCTTTGGCCATTGCTCATCATCTAGCCGGTAACTACGAGGATGCCGAAAACGTGCTTACTACATATGAAGAGACCCTCAAGACCAAACCTACGCGGTCTGACATCGAGCATTGGGAGGCAGTCCTGTACAAGAACTCCATCATTGCTGAATCGGGCGAGGTCGAGAAGGCTCTCGATCATTTGGAAGCCGTCGGTAAGAAGAGCCCAGACGTGATGGCTGTTATGGAAATGAGAGCCGACTACCTCGCTCGCTTAAATCGCAAGTCGGAAGCCGAAGCTGCGTATGCTGCTCTCTTGGAGCGAAACCCCGATGACTCAGCCTATTACGATGCATATATCGAGGTAAAGGGTTTAAAGGATGGCTCGGTCGACGACATCAAAAAGACATATGACGAGCTAACCGAGAAATATCCCAAGGCGGATCTTCCCAAACGGAGAACGCTGGATATTACGTCTGGAGATGAGTTCAAAAAGGCAGCCGATTCTTATTTGCAGAAATTCCTGCGAAAGGGTGTCCCCTCAACCTTTGCAAACATCAAACACCTCTACACCGATCAGTCGAAACGAGATGCTGTTCAGGAATTGGTGGAAGGTTATGCTTCTGGCAAGATAAGCTCGCAGAGTAATGGTGCAAAAGAAAATGGTGATAGTAAAGACGACTCCCGATTTGAGTCTTCAACGCTGTACTTTTTGGCTCAACACTACAATTACAAGTTGAGTCGAAATCTCGACAAGGCTTTGGAATATGCCGACAAGCTCATTCAACTCGATCCCAAATCCGTCGACTACCATGCCGTCAAAGCTCGATCATACAAGCACAAGGGCGATTTGGAGAAGGCTGCTGAATTGATGGACCAAGCTCGTAGTCTAGACGAAAAAGACCGAGCTATCAACACAAAGTGCGCCAAATACCAGCTGCGGTCCGACCAAAATGAGAAAGCCCTTGACACCGCCAGTAAATTCACTCAGAACAAGACTGGCGGTCCACTTGGGGACCTCATTGATATGCAGTGCGTATGGTATCTGACAGAAGATGGAAAGTCATACTTGCGTCAGAGAAAACTTGGCTTGGCATTGAAACGTTTCCATCAAATTCTGGCCATCTTTGACGTTTGGCAGGATGATCAGTTTGATTTTCACAACTTCTCTCTGAGGAAAGGGATGATCAGAGCCTACATTGATATGCTCCGCTGGGAAGACCGTCTCCGCGAACATCCATTCTTTTCATCTGCAGCGATTGCCGCTGTTCGAGCCTACATTCTTCTGTCCGACAACCCCGACCTCGTTCATGGCCCCATCATGGACACAGTGAACGGAACAGGCAAATCCGGTGAAGTCAGTGCTGCAGACCGCAAGAAAGCGTTGAAGAAAGCCAAGCGCGAGCAAGAAAAGATGGAAAAAGCCGAGGCCGAGAAAAAAGCAGCCCTGAAGGCTGCGAAACCAACCCCTAAGAGTGAAGATGTCGACGCGAAAAAGGAGGATTCCGACCCGTTCGGTAAGACCCTGGTTGAGACCAAGGAGCCTCTAAAAGATGCACTCAAGTTCCTTACTCCACTTCTCGAATCGAGTCCACAGCTTGTCGAGGCCCAGGCAGTGGCATTTGAACTGTACATCCGGAGGAAGAAGTATCTCCTGGCGACCAAGGCACTGCTTGCGCTTGAGAAGCTGGACGGTGACTATGAGCAACTCCCATCGTACAAGAGTCTGCTGAAACAGGCCATGGCCGAAAAGGACGTCTCGGAGAAAGTATTAGAGATTGTGAAGAGCGAAGCGAGCCATCTACTGAAGTGATGAGATGGAGAAGAGTTCACGACTTGTACAGGTGGCCTTCGAGACGTGCGCGGGATCTGAATGTCCATCTATTCAACGAAAAGCATGATCAGGGTGGTGTTCGGAAAAGCTAACTACTGTGTCATTATTTGTATGCCATCAACGTCATGGATGGAAGGATGGATGGATAGATTGATGGATGTAGAAGCACCTCTCATCTACAGGCCGCAGTACAGTATCTCGCTGGTAGTTATGAAGCATGGCGGGCTACTGCTTGCTACTCCCGTTCACAGTTGACTCATAACACCACCACTGGATTGCATGCAGTGTGGGGAGCCATCGGCAAAATAACATGTACTTGAGCTCCGATCCTGTATTCCCATTAGAGTTGAAGCCTGTACTAAGTACCTACCGAGGTAGTAAGCACATACCGAGATGCAATACAAGTGCAGAGAGGCACCTCAGATGTGCACTACGGTTCTGGGGGTTCAAGTTTCCGCAAAATGTGAAAATAGCCTGTGTGGCTGGACATGCTCGATATTCATCCTTGAATATCCCATCCCCGTCCAGCAGATCGTGACTCTAGACCTTCGAGCCGTCCAATTCATACCCAACGAGCATTATTAGATCTCGCTGCTCGAATCACAGACGTCACGTTTGGTTACATGGTGGCGAAAGGGGTCTGCGTAGCATTATATTCGTCTCTCTTCAACCGTTAATTCTCCCGGGGACTTAAGCCTAAGAATGAGGCTACACACGCTTAGTTCAGAACAGTGATTTGGTCTTGCCTGCGATGACTTTGTAATGAATGAATTGTGGTCGGTTGATGAGCCAAGGTACTAAATAACTAGCTACTTAATGTGTTCAGACTTTCATAGCTGTTAGCCGGGAACCCTGCATCAGAGGCAGGGAGGCTTTTTGCGCACCCCTTGTGAGGAGTTGAACTCCATACTTTTTGATTCACTGCTATCGTCTTTATACTCACTGCCAATGGTTTGGCTGATCGTTCTTCAGCTCTGATACTCTATTCTGCTTTGAGTACGGCTTTGGTTGATTTTCTGCTCACGTCCACACGTGGAATTCAGGAGACGAATCTCTTGATGCTACGATGTGGAACTGCAGACACGCTGGGACGCGGAACGATGACCACCTAGCTTGACCCGGGCATTTATGCTCTACGGCCGAGTCTGCTGGAGACATTGCTAAGAGTGAATCCTGTATAGACAACGAGAGTCGGATCCAGAGAGCCAAAGGCGCAGGAGGTCGATCATCGTTGGTTCATAACGTCTTCCTCATCCTCACTCTTCTCGGACTCGGCTTCTTCGTCATTGATAACCACCCCGCCACGGCGCTTCTTAGCACCCTTTCCGGTGCTTCTGAGTCCATTGGTGTTGGTCGTGACGTTCATGGTGCTCGTGGTCGCGTAGTGTTGATCATGATCATGGCTCGTACCGTCGTGTTGGTGATGTTCGTGTCTGTCGCGGTCATTCCGTTGTTGATGAGGGGATTTCTTCTTTCGATAGATGCCCTTCGTAAAGAATAGGACAGGGACATCTTAACTTTCTTCTTCTAAGAAGAAGAAATTGCCAGCGAGCTTCTGTTCCTGGTCCATTTGAGACTGGTATTTGTTGATTCGTGGACGGTAAGAATTTGGATCGCGACGGAAAGTGACATCAAGATTCTTCAAGAACTTGTTGCAACCGGTCAAGAGGGACTCCGGGGTGTTGGCGCGGGCATTGACGGATGGTTGGCCATCAAAGACAATGACACGATCAGCCAGGTATGTGGCCATGATGAAATCGTGCTCGACGATGAAAGCCGTCTTCTTGCTGTGCATGATGAAGCGCTTGATTACACGAGCAGCAATGATACGCTGCTCCGAGTCGAGGTAGGCGGATGGCTCGTCAATGAGATAGATGTCTGCGGGCAAGCCAAGTGCCAAGACGATAGCGACACGTTGCAATTCACCACCGGACAAGTTCTGCACCTCTTGATCAATGAAGTCGTCGATCTTGAGAGGTTTGTAAACATCGGTCTGGAATTGAGGGCTGAGGAAGGAAGCCTTGATTCTCTTGAAGAAGAGTTGACGAACAGTACCCTGGAATTTGGGGGTGATCTTTTGTGGCTTCATAGAGATGTTCATTGCGGGAACTTTCTTGGAATCTTCGTCCGGCTTCTCTTGTCCAGCGAGCAATTTGCAGAACGTGGTCTTGCCAGTACCGTTCTCACCCATCATAACAATGATCTCCGAGTCGGTGAAGGAACCGGATTCAATGTTCAGATGAAAGCCGCCAAGAGTCTTCTTCATCGCAGGATACTGGAAACCACGAGCCTTGTCGACCATGTAGTCTTCACCAGCCTCGGCAATACGGAAAGTCAAGCTTTCCTCACGGAAGCGAAGATTCTCAGTGGGTATGTTGCCATCAAGGAAGATATTGATGCCTTCACGGACTGAGGCTGGAAGGGTGACGACACCATAGACGGCGGGTCTACCGTAAAGCACACAAATGAAGTCGGAAAGATAATCGAGGACGGACAAGTCATGCTCTACAACGATGACATAGTCGTCTGGACGGAGGAGTTCTCGAATGGTCTTTGCGGCACTGAGACGCTGCTTGACATCGAGATAAGAGGAAGGTTCGTCGAACATGTAAACATCGGCCTTTTGGACTGCCACCAAGGCAATAGCAAATCTTTGCAATTCACCACCAGACAAGAGACCAATCTCACGATCAGCGACATTTCTGAGTTCTGCCCTCAGTCAGCATTGTGTTTGACATGGTTCTCGGATGATAGACCTACCAAGGACATCCATGATATGTTCCATGTTACCAAGTTCTGATTTTGCTTCGATGAGGGGTCGGACGGTCTTGACGGGGCCTTTGATGGCTCGGGGAAGTTGGTCGACATACTGTGGCTTGACGATGGCCTTGAGGTCATCTTCGAGTACCTTTGTGAAGTAATCTGAAATGGGTTAGTCCTCCAGTATCAGGACCAGACCAGGAGAAACATACTCTGCAGTTCTGAACCACGGAAATAGCGAAGGATCTCCTCCCAGTCAGGCGGACTGTCGTATCTTCCCAAATTTGGCTTGAGTTTACCACTGAGAATCTTCAAGGCTGTACTTTTGCCGATTCCGTTTGTTCCAACCAAACCCAGAACTTGGCCGGGTCGTGGCATGGGCAATCTGTGCAACTTGAAACTGTTTGCCGAATAACGATGGGTGACCTGGGTTTCGAGATTGGTTGGAAGATTGATGATGTGAATGGCGCCGAAGGGACATTTCTTGGGGCAGATACCGCAACCGATACACAGACGTTCCGAGATATATGCAATTTTGGACTCGGGAGTGACTTCGATGCACAGCTTGCCGGTACGGACAACGGGGCAGGACTTTTTGCATTCTTGCCGACATTTCTACAAGATTTTTGTTAATTTATCGATCGTCTCTGAACAAGGGACGTCATATTACCTTTGGTTTGCACTGTTGAATGGAGAATTGGTATATTAGTTCATGGCGGGGTAATGGTGCGTGTTTTGGATCGAAAAAAAACGAACCTTGTCACTGTTGACAATAGCAATTCTGGAGAGGGGATTAGCCCAGTGGACAATAGCAGAGGAATCAAGTCGACGCAATTACCTAGTCAACTTGTCCGACATGGTTGCGGTGGTGGGTTTGCGTAGGTAGAGGAACAAAATTCGCGTGGGTCAGGCGGGTGAGGCTACCGAAAAGTGGGAGATCTTGGTTTGAATGGTGGTGGTGGTTCAGACCCTTGAGTGCGCGAACAGGCGAACAGTCACAACAGGGTTGAATTGTCAGAGTCCAAGCCACTGAGAAAGAGAATAAGGAAGACTTTGCTGTGAAGGAGAAGAAAGAAAACAATTGTAGACAGAGAAGAGACTGCGGTGAATGAGGGCAGGCGGGGTGGGATCATCAATTGTGTGGGTTGTGAATTTCCATATTGATGACTCTTGAATAAAGTTGCAGCCACAATGACAGCGAATAGCGACAAATGACCGACTCGTTATTGGTGGGAAAGGGGCGCCTGAGTTGCCTATTGAGCAATTGTCGATGCTAATAGATGTATAGTGGCCAGCTTAGGGGGTCTAACTGATTCAGTGGGTTAAGTGACGGGGGTTGGTGCCTGACCCGAGTTTGTGTGAATAGCAGCAGTGAGGACCTCTGAGTAGGGCAACTTGGCGTTTGGCTGCGCTCGCTGGCAACTGTCACCTTACCGCCCGAAAGTCCGGCAGAAAAGCGGCGGGTTTAGCCTTTCGGCTTTTGGCTTTCGTCTCCAACTCGCAAGCCTTGAGCCTTGTCTTTCTTCCTCCTCCAGAATATTACCCATACCCTTACCCATACCACCCACTGCCATCACCAAATACCCACCACCACCCATCTTCGTGGGTTTCGAGATACGTCTCAATAACCTCATTACTCACGCTCATCTTGTTCTACGCCTTCCTGTGCCTCGGGTGAGAGGGCTCCAACCCTTCGGATGGAATGTAAGTCTTTCTCTACCACCTCGTTTCTCTCGCCGTCTCTCTACCTCGCTTCCGCCCGCTGCTCACTTTTGGCGCCTCGATTTTCCATCTCGAGCTCTGCTACTCGACCTCGAATGCGCCATTCACCTTCCTGCTCCCAGTTGTGGACGAACCAAGACGCATACTTGATCGTGGTTGATACCTGTACCCCTTCCGTGGCTGCCTTACATTTCTCGCCGGGCCAAAACTTCTGCACCCGACGTCTCACACCATCTCATCTCGTCGTCACCCCAAATCATCAATTCTATCATATATATCATACCTGCCATCTCAGACGCCCTTTCTGCACCCTTGTCTCTTCATTCCAGAGTCGCAAGACTTCCTTTTGTCTCAATTTTCACGCGCTTTTGACTCCGCCTGTCTCCTGCTGCCCAACCATGCTGACGACTGTCTGACAGCCTCTACTATAGTCGCCCAACCCTCCCCTCCCTCCATGGTTGAGCCTGCTACTTCCTCGGAGACCATTCCTAGACATTCGGAAGACCCCATGTCTCCCTACGAGAATGGCCACAAGTTCTCTGACAGTGAGAGCGAGCTGTCGGATCCCGCCGAACCTGTCGCTGCCGTAGCCTCGCCGCCTTCCATTCAAGCCGACGATGACCATCATCCAAGTGATCATCACAATTCGAGCTCCACCGAACCCGAAGCTGATGCTGATGCCGATTTCGAGATGGATATGTCAACTCAGCTCCATGAAGCAAAGTCCGAGCCCGAGGACCATGACTCTTCTTCCGACGAATCCATAAGACCTGCCAAGAGAAAGACACATCCTGTCGACGAAGATGACTACATGCGGACGAACCCCGAGATGTATGGCTTAAGACGGAGTGGTCGTGCTCGACCCACCGCCAATCTAGCTGAATCTTCAGGAGAGCAAGACTCGGATTCAGACATCGCCCCCCGTCCTCGCAAACGCCTGAGGGCTGGTCCTTCTCAGCGTTCCTCCAACCACCACACTCCCATTGTCGAATCTCCTACCGACTCCGACGATGACTCCGACGCTTATGGTGGCCGTCGCGCAAAACTTTCCAAGAAACAACGTCGAAGGTTGCTCCAGTCTGCCGAGAGCCTGACGCCTGCACATGCCGAAATTCGCTTTTCTACCCGTAGGGCGGGCAAAGTTTCCAACTACAATGAAGACGACGACGACGAAATGTTTGTTGAGGACGATCCCGATGTCTTGACCCCCAACTACTACGCCAATGGAGTCGAGGACAACTCTCCCGCCATCGACATCGTCCTCAATCATCGGCTAAAGGCGGATGTCACCACCCCTTCACAGGCAAAAGAGGATTATGAATTCCTGATCAAGTGGCAGCAAAAGGCATACTACCATGCTACATGGGAGAGTCTTGATTCCCTAGCTGGCGTCAAAAGTCTCCGTCGTCTCGATAACTACATCCGAAAGACCTTGATGGAAGACATTCGCATCCTCAATGGTCCTGGCATTGCCATCGAAGACAGAGAAAAGTGGATCCTCGACCGTGAGCAATACAACGACACCATCGACGACTACAAAAAGGTGGAGCGAGTCATTGGTGATCGTGCCGGTGATGAAGGCACCGAGTATTATGTCAAGTGGAAAGGTCTGTTCTATGACCACGCTACCTGGGAGCCCTCAAATCTCGTCTCTCAGATCGCTCAAAATGAGATAGATCGTTACATCAATCGTCAACGGGAAGAGTTCAAGTCTAATGCCACCGAAACAAGTCTTGCAACTCGATCATCATTCCAACCTGTCCGTGAACAACCCTCATACATCCAGAACGGCACCCTGAGGGACTTTCAATTGACTGGATTGAACTTCCTTGCCTATAACTGGGTCAAAGCCAAGAACGTGGTACTCGCTGATGAGATGGGTCTCGGCAAGACTGTCCAAACAGTTGCATTTCTGAGTTGGTTGAAGAACAATCGTGGCCAACAGGGTCCATTTCTCGTTGCCGTCCCTCTTTCCACCATGCCGGCTTGGGCTGACACATTTGACTTTTGGGCTCCTGACATGAACTATGTCATCTACAACGGAAATTCGACTGCTCGCAACATCATCAAAGAGTACGAACTGCTTCCCGATGGCAGTTTGCGTCATCCTCGGTTCCACGTTCTCCTCACTACTTATGAGTACGTGCTTCAAGACTCCGTCTTCTTGAATCAGATCAAATGGCAATTCATGGCTGTAGATGAAGCACATCGCCTCAAGAACCGAGACTCTCAACTTTATGACAAACTCCGAGAGTTCAAAGCTCCTGCTCGGCTTTTGATCACTGGAACCCCTGTTCAAAACAACTTGGGCGAACTCTCGGCTCTTTTCGACTTCTTGAAGCCTGGTGTTGTCAACATTGATGAGAACATGGACTTGACGACTGAAGAAGCTAGCGCCAAGATCGCTCAACTGACAGAAGACATCAAGCCATACATGCTGCGTAGGACAAAACAGAAGGTCGAAAAGGACCTGCCACCAAAAACTGAGAAGATCATCCGAGTCGAGCTCTCCGACATACAATTGGAGTATTACAAGAATATTCTCACCAAGAATTATGCGGCTCTGAACCAAGGCGCAAGAGGCCAGAAACAGTCTCTTCTCAACATCATGATGGAACTCAAGAAAGCAAGCAACCACCCTTTCATGTTTCCCAGTGCTGAAGATCGTCTTGTGCCTGATGGTGCCCGACGTGAGGAAGTACTGCGGGCGCTTGTCACGAGCAGTGGTAAGATGATGCTGCTTGACCAACTCTTGACCAAGCTCAAGCGTGACGGTCATCGTGTCCTCATCTTCAGTCAGATGGTCAAAATGTTGGACATTCTCGGTGACTACATGGATTACCGTGGTCATGCTTATCAGCGATTGGATGGTACCATTGCTGCTGCCCCGCGTCGCATTGCCATTGACCATTTCAATGCACCGGACAGTTCCGATTTCTGCTTTCTTCTCTCAACTCGTGCTGGTGGATTGGGCATCAACCTTATGACGGCTGATACTGTTATCATCTTCGACTCCGATTGGAATCCTCAGGCTGATCTTCAGGCAATGGCTCGTGCTCACAGAATTGGACAGGTCAAGCCAGTCAGCGTGTATCGTCTAGTGTCCAAGGAGACCGTTGAGGAAGAAATATTAGAACGAGCAAGAAACAAGTTGATGTTGGAGTTTCTCACTATCCAGCGCGGGGTCACCGACAAAGAGACCCAAGCGAGGCGTAGTGCCCTCGTCGGTGAGCCTGGCTCATCAAGCGAGATTTCAAGAATCTTGAAGAAGCGCGGCCAAAAGATGTTTGAGCAAACAGACAATCAGAAAAAGCTCGAAGAGCTCGATCTCGATGCAATGTTGAACAATGCTGAGGACTACAAGGTCGAGCAACCCGATAACACCGAGGCCGATGGTGGTGAGGAATTCCTGAAAAGTTTTGACTTTGTCGATGTGAAAGTGGATGAACTGTCTTGGGATGATATTATTCCTAAAGACCAGCTAGATGGTATCAAAGCAGAAGAACAGCGAAAAGCCGACGAGAAATATCTAGCTGAAGTCATCGAGCAGAACAAACCTCGAGTTCGAAACCAGAATACCGAGGATCGCGAAGCTCGGAAAGCCAGACGACAGGAACAGCGACAGAAAGATGTCGAATCTGACAGCGAATCTGACGAAGGCCCTAAATCTGACCCATCACGCCCATTGAGTGAAAGAGAGTATCGTTATCTCATCAAGGGTCACCTCCGTTATGGCTCAATCGATGATCGACAAGAAGAGTTCCTCACAGAAGCTCGACTCAAGGGTAGGGATATCAATGTCGTCAAAGCTGCGATGCAAGAGGTCTGGGACAAATCGGAACAACTCTTCAAAGAAGAGCAGGTCCGAATGGCAGAGCTGGAACGCAATTCTAGTCGTCCCATTACCAAGAAAGACAAGAAAGCTGTCTTGTTTGAACTCCATGGAGTCAAACGCATCAACGCCGAAACCATCCTCGACCGCCCTGGCGAGATGCGCCTGTTGAAAGAAGTTACCACCAAGGATGCCGATTTCAAATCATTCCGCATCCCGGACGCAACCAAAAATGCGGGTTACAGTTGTCCTTGGGGTGCTCGAGAGGATGGCATGCTCTGCGTTGGGATAACTCGTCACGGCTACGGTGCATGGGAGAAAATTCGCGACGACCCTGATCTTGGTCTTCATGACAGGTTCTTTTTGGAAGAGCATCGTGTGGACAAAAAGGCAGAACGCGAGAAACTCGACGCCAAAAATGCCAAATCTCCCGGTGCAGTTCATCTTGTCCGAAGAGCAGATTATCTTTTATCCGTGTTGAAGAGCAGTGTTGGCAATGATCCTGTTGCCAAGCGAGCGGTTGAGAATCATCATCGGAACAATAAGAAACTGGATAAACCCAGACATAGTGATTCTCCGGTCACTGGATCGGCTCGCAAAGCACATCGCGAATCTGACAAACACAGACGACCTGCTAGCCAGCCACACAGGGATAGCACCGAAAGATATGGGACACCAAAGTCGGAATTCCGCCACAACCACAAAGACCGTGAAAATGAGAACAGAGATCATAGGGACAAGAAGCATCGTGATCATGAAGGTTCTCATCATCGACACGGGAGTGACCTTCGGCGAAGTGAGGGTGCACCAAATGGTAGCTCGACTGATGTTGATCCGCTCATGGTTATGCTGTTCAAGCCTGTCCGTGAAAGCTTGAAAAAGATCAAGGCCACCACCAAGGGCGCCATTCCTGACGGGCAACAGAGAGCGAATGAGCTTCGAGCGTTGCTCAAACAAATCGGTAACTTCATCACTGATCAAGTTGCAGACCTTGATGACAACCATGAATCAGTTGAGAAGCGGTTCTGGTAAGTGATTGATGGTTTCCCTTGTATTTAGGCACTAACATGTTATGATAGGGATTATGCTGCAACCTATTGGCCAAACAAGGGCATTCGGGGTTCTGAGCTTCAAAATATCCATGGCAAAATTGTGGCTTCTGACAAGAAGCTTGCAGGCGAAGGTTCACCAAATGATGACTCCAGTAATGTTGATGGTCGAGCCAATGGATCTTACCGCACCTCACCACCACATTAGGTTTGATGGAATGCTCACCATGACTTGCACCTTTTCTACCAATGCCAGATGGCATATCCAGCCCTCAAGGACGATGTGTTATGTGCTTGGACGTTATTCATTCATTACTGTTTTACATTTAGAGATCATATTATGCGGGCATATTCTTCGGGGAAAATGAAACCATGCATCCCTTCGACTTGGTATGCAAGCCTTCACGGCTATCAACCACAGCAAAGCAAAAGACTACATATGCCAAAATTTAGCGACTTCTATGCATTTTAAAGGAGAAAAAGGAAATGATATCACACAAAATCGGGCTTCGGAGTTGGAGGCTGGGGTTGGAATTATTCTTCTTTCACCCTCGTTCTTGGTGCAGTGACGAGGCTAACTGAAACAAGCTTCCAGCAAAGAGCAAAGGCGTACTGTACCGGCTGATCACGTTTTGGGCTCAAAAAGGGGAAGTCACAACGAGCGATATCGGAGTCCATCAGCCGGAGTCCAGAAGGCTCCCCAGGGACGGTTCGGGTTGGACACGGCGAAAAGTTTGGGTGTGCTTCATGCTCTTTTCTCCCAGGCGAAACGCAATCAATCCACTTTCAGCGAGTGGAGTCGTTGAGAATTGAGAGGCTACTCATCTTTCATGGCGTATGGGGATGTTTATTGTTCGAACGAGTTCTAACATCGATTTCACTTCTATTTCCCCCTTTTCTTACTCTTATGATTCCGACACGCACACAAAAAAGTCATGGTTATTGACGCTGTTACTCAATGACTAGATGGACACGCGATAGGCTGATGGATAATATGTGGTTTACTCTATCTAGAGGGGATGTTTCAATGTCAACACAACATTCATGACTGGTCGTTTTGGGCATTGGCTTGGACTTGGACTTGGACTTGACTTGATGAGATTCACCATTCTTCGTTGCTGTCCGAAAAGTGTCATCTGGGGGGTTTTACACTGTGGTCAAGCCAAGGTTGGGTTGAGTTTTCTGTGGTGTGTCGAACTTCAGGAGCAGCGTTCAGAGAGGAGAGACTGAGAGATTGGCCCTCATCCCACACGAGAGAGAGCTTGCAGAGCGAACTTTCTGACCAAGATGGCGGATGGCAGACATGTGGCAGCGAGAGAAAGAAGACACAGACAGAGACACCTAAAACCTGATACCTACCTAGCACAGTCGGTGGAGAGCAATTCCAACCAAAATTAGTAGTAACTATCTAACTACCTAATACTATTAGTTATCAGTTGAACTCGTCCTTCGCACTGTCTGTAGTCAGCGACTCTTCTTCTAAGCGAAGTCCCAACCAATACCAAACTCAACTTTGCGTCTCTGTGTGCAAGTCATACCTTCGCCGAGTTTGCCAACAAGACAATCAAGCAATCATCCATCATCGCTCACCGAAAAAAAACATGCTCCGGAAACAAATCGAACTCATCGACCGACCTACCTACCCATTCGCCGCACATCACCCCCCCTACATCCACAATACCACAGCGAGCACATTAATGGATGGATGAAGATATATATACACAGGCGCAGAGAGACGTTCAACTCCGGAGGGCGTGGCTCTCTGCTGGGTGGGGAGTTCGGTTCAGAAATCCAGAACAAGAGTCGGACGGACTGTGCAAGAAGATAGTCCAGACCGTCTGCACTGAATGGAGAGAGAATAGCTACGATAGACTGGGATGTGGAATAGGGTATGGACATGCTGTGTCGCTTCCTCTGTCGGGACATTTAGCTGGGTATCACAACTTAGGTTCTTGGTTGGACCGCTGGTATGACGCAGACAAACAGAATGGAATGCCTGCTCCATGGATAGGTGAGAATATCGTTTCTTTGCTGCTTCCCATGCAAATGCTGTCAGGAGTAAAGTAAGCTACAACTTGATACCAACGCCATGAAATTGTAATTGTGTTTCAACCCAATCCAACTTGCCATACCAACGCCATTCCTTCCCACGTCCTGGTACATGACTCTGCAAAAGATTATCACTTCACACCACATCAAGCTTTGAGCCTCATCTCCTCACAAGGGCCACAAACAGGGCGCTCTTCCATTTTTCTGGTAATACCTCTCCTTTTCTCCTTTTCGGTTGGTTCAACCTCGACATTACGCACAAAGAATCGTCCTTCATCTCCAAATCCGCCTTCACACTCGGAGCATACGAAACATTGCTCGTGATATTTACCACCTAGTGCCTCCACCGTCAACTCATCCAGGATCTGAGTTTTGCATTGTCGACATCGTGCTGAAGTGCGTTTAGTATGGCATCGGACGCAATATGCATAGTTGTCACGCTCCACAAAAGGAGTGTTGGAATCAAATGGATCACCACATTCGGCGCAGAAGAAATGTCCGACGTGCCATTCTGCTCCAGCTGCAATAATCACCTCGCCCTCGATTGGTGTCTTGCATGACCGACAACGTGGGGAGAAAAATTCGTGGTAATCCAAATGGCAATAGAACCTGAGAGGATCGTTGACTCCGTTCAGTGAGTCAGAATCAGCCCCTTCATTCTCCAATCTCTCTGTGCGCTTGTTATCGGGCTCGGGATAAAAAGAAACACACTCCAGAGGTGTGGAACAGTGGTAGCAACTGAAACATTCAGGATGAAATCTTGCCTTGGGACCTGAAGCAGAAGATCCTGAAGCAGTTACGATACGCCCTGATATGGGTAGGGAACAACTGGAGCAGGAAACTGTTGGTATCGATGTTTTGTTCAGCCAGGGAACACGATTTGACGGTGCCTTGTGAAGATGAGATGGGATTGGGACTGTCGCTGAATGTCTCGGCAGTGGCCTGGAGGGTTGCTCGACTCCTCCCAAAGCGTTGATACTGGGCAACGGCCTCGAGGAGTGATTGCCTTCAGACTGGACATTAATGGTTGGGACATCAGGGGCATCGTTTGAGACGCATATCGTCGGCACGTCTGGGCTTGACAGGGTCACATCTGGAATGGATATCTCGGGTCGTGGGGCAATATCAGGATTGGGAAGGTTGATGGTCGGAACAGCAGGGGCAGACACTGTGACTTCGGGCATCGCAGGCAGCGGTTTTGGTAGTGGTCTGCCACCAGGGCCCATTGTTGAAGGAGATTCGGTCATCTTGATCACCGGGCGTTCGAGATCTTGGCTAGTCCTGGGGGATTCAGAAGGAGGTTTCCAAGATTTGTCGAAGCTGACTATTGGTCGACCGAGTCGATCACTGACAGCTGTTGGTGTGGGCAAATTGGGACTTCGGTCTTTTCGTTTCATGCTGGTAGCTGCCCGAATGTCCTCACTCCTAATCTCCAAGGATGTGGTAGATTTGGGCGTATCAACCTCTTGGATGACATCGATAGGGGCTGAATGAGGAGGTGTATTTGCAGTATACTCGGCATTGTTGGATTGAATTCTGGGATTTCTGTGCATCTCGAACAAGTTGTACTTTTGGGAATCTTGGATCGGAGATGGCTCGGTCTTTCCAGAGATCCTCTTTCTCAGCCAAGGTAAGGTGTTTGTTGATTTGATTCTTAGAGGTAACTCTGGGTTGGGTGTCTTGACTGGTTCCTCAAGGGGGGCTTGTTTTTGAATCGGCTCCTCATATATCTGGTCCTTGGAGGAAGGGAAAGAAACTTTTCGTGATCCACTAGGCTGGCGCTGGCCACTACTCTTTCTTCTGTCTTTCTTCTTGAGATCTGGGTTCGTGTAAGGGGCGATCTTTTCGTCTTCCGCGGCTTTGGGGTTTCGGTGCTTCCAGACCAGATCAGCAGCCTCCTCTTGAGCAGCAGAATAAATTCTCTGTTCATCATCTTTCTGATCGATGTTCTCCAAGGCTAGTCTGAGTTTTTGGGCCTCCTCTTTTTCCAATTGACGTGTCGTGGACTCTACATAGTCTTGGTCCAAGGATGTGTGAGGAAGTTGGACGATTGCAGTTGGCGATACCTTTCTCCCTCGAACAACAGGTCGTTCTCCGACTGAGGGTTGAGCCAAAGGTCGACCTTTGGTGGAGGTAGTGGAAAAAGAGACCGATTTTTGCATTTGAGGTGGACCTTGATCAGGAGAGAAGGGTGAATTTGTGGGATCATAGTTATGGCTACCAACAGTAGGAGCTGAATCAGAACGGGGCAGGCTGGATTGTGAGGACAAGGAAGCATGATGTCTAGAGGCAAATGGTGGTGGGCGTGAGCCAGTAGGTCTAGCAGGGCGATTGTTTCGTAAATTGTCAAGATAGGAAGCTGAAAAGGTATGTGAGTACTTTGAGCTGAAGGGGGGACTTCGTGGGGGCATGGCGGTTTGATTGGGGTTGAGAGAGGTTGAGACTGAGGTCGACTTACATTTCTGTTCATCAGTCATACATGTTGGTTGAGGCGGAGAGACCTTTCTGGCTCCCAGACTGGATCTCTTGTGAAACATGGTGAGAGGATATGGCAGTTGAGATTTGAATGGATGCTCGCTTCTCAATGCATATGCATGAGGCGGCTGTATATTTCAGACACACCGAAGGAAAATCGAAGATGGAGACGGTGTTGGAGATGGTATTGAAAGAGATGGTGATTAAGTTTGATTCCTACGAAAGATCGATGGAATGTTGATGATGATAGATATGACAATGATGACGGTAAGCTGAATGATGGCAATGTCCTGTGCCTTGATCTCGTGTAATCCGTAGTGGTGAAGGTGAGGCGCGCAGGCAGATGCAGTCCGTCAACGCACTGGCAAGCCGGGCAACTTTTTGTTTGGGCGGAAGGTGGTTGCGCGGCAACCACGACCATGGACCGTCATTGTCCCTCCACTCGCTCCTTCCTCCCCTCACGCTCCCATTCTGGGGCCATCTTCGTCAATCGATATCACCCCTGTGGATACAGTTGCAGGGATTTAGTACGACATGAATAAAGGTGAGGAACTAACCATAGCATCGACTTTGTTATATATTACTATATAACATCAGTACCGACCATTGAAGCTTCGGGATTGATCCCGCCAACCCTTCACTCCAAGCCACCTGCTCCGGTAAACCGGCATCTCTGGGGCTACTCCCACCCTTTGTACGAGACGTTCACTGAGTGTGACTCAACGGGCGTGCCTCAAGTATCCAAGGACATGTCCGCCCGCCTTTTTGACGACAACTTGATGCTCTCGTACCTGAGAATGCTTACGAAATTCCATCGCTAAGATCTTCTCCACACTATTTCATCCAACAGCATCATCGTCTGTCCTGCTCCATGACCAATTCAGTGCTACTTCGTACATGCAAATCTTGACTCTCCACAACTCATGGGGATCCCTCGGCCCTTGACCTACAATTCTACAAGATGAATCTTCTTCCTCTTCTTTTCTGTATCATTGAAATATCATGCTTGCTGCAGTTGTTGTCCTTCATATATCCATTTCTTATACCCTTTGATTACTGGCCAATTGCGAATGCCAGATGACGGACAATCTTCCCATCAGCCCGACAACTTCTCGCCCTCGTTCTCACCGGCAACATGTCGCTTCTGAGAAGGATATTGAAGCCGACCTTGAACGAACACCTTCATCTGTTTCATTGCCAAAGATAGAAGACGCCCCTCCTGATGGCGGCTATGGTTGGGTTTGCGTTGTTTGCAATGCTTTCATTAATGGTGCGTCATGGAACTTTTGCTGTTTCGAGAGCTTCGGTCAAGGTCTCCGAGATCCGGGGTCATACATCTGGACTCCTGGAGATTCTACAGATCGTCTTCCAACTCCAACCAATATCAATCGAGGAACTAACGAATTAAAATCAAATAGCTCATACCTGGGGTGTCAATTCATCATACGGTGTCTTCCTCGCTTATTATTTGAACCACAACTACTTTCCAAATACATCTGCCCTGACTTATGCCTTCATCGGGGGCTTGTCAATCTCCCAGGCTATGATGATAGCCCCATTGGCAACTCATGTCATTCACCTCTATGGCACTAGAGTCTGCCTTCACTTGGGTGTCTTTTTCGAGACCCTTTCTCTGATAGGTGCTAGCTTTGCGACTCAAAAGTATCAACTCGTCTTGTCCCAGGGTATCTGCTTCGGCTGGGGCATGGGTTTCCTTTTCGTCGGCTCCGTTGGTATCATCCCTCAGTGGTTTACCAAGAAAAGATCGCTAGCGAACAGTGTAAGCGCAGCGGGATCGGGTGCAGGTGGCCTGCTTTGGTCACTCGCAACTCAGTCGATGATCGAAAACTTGGGTTTACCATGGGCATTTCGAATTCTCGCCATCTGCAGTTTCGCTGTCAATCTCACGGCCTCCAACCTCATTCGCGATCGAAACCAGCAGACCGGTGCTCGTCACAAAGCATTCGACTGGAAATTATTGCGTCGTCCCGAGTTTCTGATGATTCAGGGTTGGTCCATTTTCTCCATGTTTGGTTATGTGATTCTTCTCTTTTCTCTCCCGGCTTACGGTCGCTCAATTGGTCTTTCCGCCAATCAAGGCAGTATTTTGGGAGCAGTTCTCAATGCTGGTCAGATGCTTGGTCGTCCTCTGATCGGATTGAGTTCTGATAGATGGGGACGTTTGAATCTCGCCACCTCTCTTACCTTTTTATGTGGTATTTTCTGCTTGGCATTTTGGATTCCTGCAGAATTGGTCGCCGCTCCCATGGGCTTGCTGTGTTTCTTTGCCATTGTTGGAGGTGCCGTGGCGGGAACATTCTGGGCTACAATCGCCCCGGTGGGAGTGGAAATCATTGGCATTCGTGATTTGCCTGCTGGATTGAGTTGGACTTGGCTAATCATGGTTCCACCTACCACTTGTGCTGAAGCTATCGCCCTTGAACTTCGCCGGACGGGTGTTCAGCACTGGGTGTACTTACCACCTCAAATATTCACAGCCTTCATGTATATTGGTGCAGGGCTGTGTTTGTGGATTGCTCGAGGTTGGAAAGTGGGTGAGATAGAGGCAAATGCACAGAAGATGAGAGAGAAAGGGAGACGTCAAGAGAGTATATTGCTTGCAGAGCAAAGATCGCTGGCAGGTGATATTGTGGAAGAGACTGACCACAATGAAGCAGGAGTTAGTCGTTCGCAGCCATATCAAATATGGAACTCAAGGAATCTGCTCAGAAACATGTTTGTGTGGAAAGTGGTCTAGCCACGTTACTCCCCAGAGGAAAAGAAAAATGAATATCATGATTTAAGAGCCACCTTTCAGAGAGCGGAACCACAACATTCAAATCACCTGTTTGCCCGGAAATGCACATTCCACTGCTTACCATCCCATCCATCAGAAATCGCTTGCGCAAGGATTTTCTGGCTGTGCCTGTGTAACCAGGAAATCAATATATTCCCATGCGGAACACGAGACGTCCGATAGATTCACAAGTCGATACGAGGTGACATGATGGCCGACAGCGGCCTCCTTGACTTGAAAGTGCGAACAAGACTGCTTTGTTGTGGAAATTACTTGAGGAAGTACAAATGCCTCTATTCATTATTATTATTATTATTATTATTATCACACATCAGGAGTGTCGAGGATGATTCTGACCCTCGAAGACGTCAAACATCAGAACATGCTGATAGTCTTTCGATCGACTGAACCCCTGCGAAAAGGCGGCGTCTAGCCAGAATGAATACGAGTGAGCTGAGCCCCAGGACGAAGCTCTTGACATGGCCATTTTATGTGGAGACCGCCTATTCAAGACACCTGGGTACCAAGCGAGTTAGGCTCCTTAGGCCGGATCGAAGCTTAGTTTTGTACCTAAAAAAGGAGTGCTCGAGGCACCCATAGGCTCTAACGGGCTTTGTTCGCTTATGGCCAGATTGTGAAACATGGATTATCAGTATTGCAGATTATTGACACGAGGCATGCCTCAAACTCCGTCAAGCATAGAGACATGTATCTATTAATATTGTTATCGGAACAATGCTTCAATTGTCGTTGTTCCCTGGAGTCAGAAACGAGGCTTGTCTTAGCCACAAAACCGTGAAGGTCTAGATAGCCGATAAGGTTGTCCAAGACTTCTTCGTGCCCCTGGGCCTCGACATTATTGACGATCGTGGCTTGCGTCGAGACCCAGCCTTCAGCCAGCAGATGCCACGAGGGCCCAAGAAATTCGAAAGGAGTTACCGAACCAACATCCACATTGCTGGGCTAGGTCGCACATGGCCAGAATAATGCAAGCCACAACTCCCAGATTGAAGATGGAGCCAGGAGGATATGGGCTTTTTCCAAATAAGGCCCGATCAGGCATACCCAGCTACCAAGTAGGCCTTCCAGTTGACGGATGAGTGGCTGATGTGATACGCTTCTTGAGCCTTTGACACTCCACGGTGCACAGCTCCACGGACTGCAAGCGAGTCCTTGTTCCATACCTACTTACATCTACCCTGTGCTTACCCCACTGATGGTGACTGGACACGGCCGCCGCATCACATCAGACGGATTTCCGTTTCTGAAGGATCGAGAATATATAGTCGTGACTCGTCCGCCTGGAGCTGCATCTGACAGTAGTGACACCGTCTTCAGACTTACCTGTCTGCGAGCCCTGACTCAAACCTTCAATCTTCAAACCCGACACTTGACGCTCTATCTCCCCTGGACTGGCTCTTGAACGAAAGAGGAAATCCTGCCCAGGCCACGCCAGCAGTCTTGCGTACTCTCAAGCTTAAGCGAGCTCATCGGATAAGTGGCTTTTAGGTATACGATTTCGTCATCCACGGCCTATCACACCCCCTGGGTTTCAATTGATCAGCAGACTCGGGACCACCAGTGACACCTCCCACTGCCGATCAGAACTATCAAAGCTCTGCCAGCCGAGGCGAAGAAATTTAAATATATATCTTAAGGAAGCCATGGCTGCATATTTGTTGGGCTTTGTCTTGTGAGTTCCTCTGTCTACATATACATATATACCTCTGTTTGGGTATACCTCGCCTCCAACATACAACCATCCTCAACCACACAAGACCTACCACCATGTACAAACAGCTAATCCGACTAATACTCAGCACGGGCCTGTCCTCGAACCAAGGACCCGTCGACGACGATTTCTTCAATGAACCCTCGACAATGAGAGTTCGCCTGACGGCCGCGAACGCCAAAGAAGAGCCTCCCGTAGCCGACGCCTCGGTAACAGCGACTGCCGGTACTACTACGTACCAAACCATTGCGCGGGGTATGCCTGGCGCGAAGGTCCATTATGCTGCTGCTAGTGCCTGAGAGGAGACTGGTTAGACCACCCACAGCTCACCCACACAAGCACGACAGAACACACCTCCAGATGCAACGTTCGGATCGACTCATAATCTACCGGGTTCAAGAGAAAGCAGTGCCAACATGCACCAGCGTGTGCTTCGTGTAACTACCGAGCAACACCACAAACGGGTGTACCAGATATTGACAGTGGGGAACGAAACACCCGGCAGCCGATCCACCATTTCGACCAGAGTCTGCTCGACGATTCACAACGAATTCTAACGTTCGCTGCACGGCCGCCAACAGAGCTCAACCGCCACTCTCATGATCCTCTGGTCTGGCGTGACGGGAGCCTCTTTTCCCCAAAAGATATCGACTTTCGCCGCACACCCGCAGAATCGACGTTCTCAAGGCGTCACCAAGCTGAGCTCGAAGAGCAACAGCCTGCATGGGTCCACGACGTGTCTGCCTCGATGGTCGAGGAAGCTGCGTCCCGACTGGTGCTTTCATTCCTCCAAGAATACGAAAGCAAACGAATTGATGACGACAATTGGCTCGGTGGTGGAAGGGAGAGACATGAGCTTGGCTTTTTGGGAAGCATGGCAAGGCATGCTTGCGTCTGGCTTACTAATTAATGAGACATGAATTGACGATGTACATGAGTATCACGGAATAGACAGAAGGCGAGAATGCCCAGAGAACACTTTCCCTTCCCGCGTTGCTTTTGCAGGCTTTCTTGGATCCTCCACACGAAGAATGACACATGAGAGCGAGTTATCCGTCATGTTGGTCTCCAGAGCCCCTCTCAGCCACATAGTTCCGGAGGGGTGGTGCAGACATTCCCCTGCACTACGTTGCCCGTGCCATTCGTGAGCACAGCTATATCATAGTCGTTATTCCTGAGAACATTGCCCGTTATGATGTTATCAGTGGCCAACGCCCCAGTGTTAGTGAAGACATCATCTAGCACGACGATGGCCGCGCTCTCTGCTCCGGGAGCTCCGCCAGCTACCGTGAAACCCTCGATGACATTCCCCTTAACCACAGCATTTATGGATCCGGCGATCAAGACACCATACGCGCCGGGGGGAGGGTCGCCTTGCGCACAACGCGGATCTGTTGGCCCGAAGTGGTTCGCGGTGAGCTGTATGCCGTCGATGCTGGGATCCAGGCTCGCACCAATACAGCAGTTGGTGGCGTCGTTGTTGCTGACTTGTGCGTGGTTGGTTTGAATACAGAGCGCGATCACATAGCCTTGGATCGTGTTCTGCTTCACGGTAACGCCCCCGCCAAGGTTGTCGTCCATACAGATGCCGATGAACTTGAGATCGCCTGTCGACTCAATTGCATTGTTGTCGATCGTCGAGCCTAACGACCCGACGGAAAGAGCGCCATATTGTGCACCGTCGAACAGATGATTGCCAGTGATGGCAACATTCTCTCCGCCTACGGCCGTGATGCTCGGGCCGGAGAACCCGCGCACGTCGAACCCAGTGACTGCGACATTCTTGACCCTCCTGCCTACCGAAATCACTTTCCGGTGTTCTACGACAAAATCCGCCAGCGCGACTTGGCTTCCCACGATGCAGATTCCTGCATTCGTGTCTGGTCCAGCCAGACCTGTGCATTCATTCTGGGTAGGTGACGCCGGCGGGGTCAGAATAGCTCCATGCCCGACCAGTGTGATTCCATCAGTCTTGATGGTAAGCTGTTCCGCGTACGTGCCGGCTGTGACGATGATTTGTGAACCCGGAGGTGCAGAAGCAATTGCGGATTGAATGGATTGTCCATTTGAAACGTAGATAGGGTTGCCATGTCCTGAGCCTGTGGCGAAACTGGGGACTCCCAGAAGGATCAGGCTAAGGCCCTTGCTGAGCCACTGCATGGTTTCTGAGTTGATTTGTTTTGTTGGAAGCAGACAATTGTGACTTTCGAGTGTGTACTCGACAGAGACTCACCTTTTCGCAAGTTGGTGAGATGGGAGACAGAGGAAAGGGCGCGTCCCCTAAATAGGACAGCATTTGCTTACCTCTACCAGTGCAGCTCGTGAGAGAATTTACCTCCAACCGGACCATTGCTCGTCTGTATCCTCGTGGCCATAATTTTTGGAGGACACTTTTTTTCTTGGGAAGCTCACCTGTTGGTGACTTTGAACAAGGCTCGTATTGAATGCGGGGAAGGCACTAAAGTCTCGTGTACGGCTGAATGACACTTGTACCGCTCATGGAGTCAGGGCTAGGTCCGAACTTTGTATCTAATACAGTGTCCTAGAACTCGGTCCCTTCGGCTGGGCAAAACCTAGATGCCAACAAGATGTCGTGTATTAGCAGGAATGAAAATAGTGAAACGAGTCCTCGGTTCTGAAGTACCAGACCGTCATAGCTGCTCTTGCCTAAAATTGATCTGACCGAGCCCTGCAGGCATCCGAACCACTCCCATGGACACTTTGATGAACCTAGAATATCAGGTCAAGGCGAGCGATACGCGAATAACTTCCTTTCGTTGTCATAAGATGGTCCACGTGGTCGTCTCGCTCTCGTGTTGCAGGGGGCTCGGGAATATTACCAAAAGAAGGCCACCGCAAACACGATGTGGCTGAGGATACATCTGGAGCACGGGTGAAGCTGTCGCTTTGGAGTAAGGCTAGAAAGGACGGAGGGTTTCGGGCGATAGCTGTCTTGAGCGAAGGAAGACTCGTGGAGGTAAGTGAAGCATAAAAGAGGGAAAGGGGGCGGCTTTCGCTTTCGCTGAACTTAGAATCCAGGCAGAGGAGGGCTTAGAATGTTTTCTTTGGTCTTCCCTGCTTCGTACAACCCTTGGATGATTGCGTTACACGTGAGGGGTCACCATTCTCATACAAATTACCGTTTGACCATCGCGCATTATAGCTTGGGTGATGGCAAATGGATAGTTGTGAGCCGGAGCAGCACTTGGGTTGTAGGAACCGCCTTGTGCTTGAAGAGCTTGCCGGGGAAATTCCAACGCGTGGAAGCAGGGTGATCCAACATTGAGTTCCTGGGCAACTGGGTATCTCACCACGCATTGATTATTCGAGGCTGTAACAATACAGGGCTGAACACTGACACTGAAGCTCAAGATCAGCTTCAAAATTGAGGACAAACTTCGAAAAGCTCTGGCGTTGCTAATCGAAGAGGCGTGACCGGTGAGGATCACCGTCGGATTCAGTTGTGTTCGTTGCGACGGCTCGGCGCTGCCTGCAGCTGAAATGCTTGAAAAGTCCCATGCAAGCATGAGCAGTTAGTTGGTCGTTTCTCGTATCCGTGTTGGAAACGTGAAGAGAAAGATGATTGCTGGGATGAGGCGCTATAGAATGTGGCTGGGACTTCATATCTCGCAGTTATGCCCAAGATATCAAGTCACAAGATCAAAAAGTGTCTGGAGAACAGCTTCAGCAAACTTGCAGTCTGCTCAGTCAGGCAATAGCTGGCGGAGAAAGAGAGCAGGGGACTTTTGCTGTTACGCACCTGCCCTTTTCGAAACATGGCTAGCGGAACGGCCTATTCCGGAATAGAGCATTAGTTTCTCCGGAGCTACTCCCCTATTAAGGACGACATTTCATACAGAGGATCGAGTATTGGTTGAGCATTATCATATCACCTCGCGGACAGCTCCTCTTTGAAAATGACTGCACACCTCAACAGTGCCGTAGTATGATACTTCTTTCCCTTGATATCGCATGATCCCTGATTGTCGCATACCATGCCGGATCAGTCGGGTTTAAACGAGGAGCGCAAATGCAACATCGTCTGCAGTGGAGGACTTGGCTGACCCACACGCTGTCTCCATCCCATGAGGTCAACAACAGAGGAGAGACATCAGAACTATGGATAGATGTCTGCCATTGTAAGCACGAGGGCGAGAGCATGAGATCAGGTTGAGATAGCCTTCTTTCGCCATGGGTTCATTGATAAGCTCCATGTTAAGGCATCCTTTGCTTCGGCTCTTGCCTAGACGGCTGAAAAGAAACTTTCATGAAATGAAGTATCGCAAGGCTACGTTTTGGTCCGACTGCAACTTGTGGACCTGGTACAATCACGAGCACAACTTGGTGGGACGTCTGCCAATATTGAGCTTTGGCACGTCCTCCGCTGCTAGTTATCAACATGTTGTCCTGTCATGTGTCAAGTACACCTGAGGAACAACAATCGGGCAGCTCCGAGTAATTTCTACGCTGAGGATTCCCAGGGGTCTTGGAAGAGTAAGCTGTAGATTTCTCAGCATCAATGAACGAATGTACAGCTCGATTCCGGTGGGGAATAAGTGTCCCTGTTGGATCCTGATAGGATACATCACAACCATCACTATCATCCAGGCTCTGAAAGGCGGTTGCCATTGGGCGGTTGATCGAGCTTCCAGGGTGCTTCTCGTAGCGATGGAACATCCAGGGCGCCTGAGAAGGATCGAGATGGCATCCCGGAGAACCCCAATTCCAACAGTGTCAGCCTCCAACCGCAAATAACCCTTAGTGAAATCCGTATCATGACTTGAGACAAATCGAGTAGTGATCATGTTGATCTTATGTGTTCAACAGTGTGGGTGGAAAGAAGCTCATCTTGCTAGATGCTTGTCAAGGATAGCAAAGGTAACGTTGCTTTCTCAGACTCCAATTAGATTGCCTGCTCGGAGTCCTAGCCCGTCTGACCCTTGCCTGGTGTGACTTGGCAGCCTCTTATCAGTCCAGGGCGCATTCGCTAAGCGTCATAGTGGGATGGCAACAGGCCAATTCGACATCAGAATAGTGATGCAGAGCGTATTCACCGGTGGAACAATGAGAACGACTCCCCACGGAATGTCCCACCTCAATCCCTTTCGGACGAGATCTGCTATACACGGCAAAGTCATACAAGGCTATTTCCACTGCAACGTTGTCTGTTGACCCACAGCACTCGATCACTCCAGACGGATGGGATATAATCCTATCAAGTCCGAAACTCACTTTGGCTTCCAGGTGCCGACCCAAATTTCCTCGAAACTTGACATTTCTAACCAATATGTCTTCTGGTGCTGCCGGCGTCGAGGCTGTTGAGCCCTCGAAGGTTGCTGTCACTGCTGCTAGAGAGCCAGATCTCATCGATGAGAAGCAGGTCCATGATCTGAAGGATTCGGGTCGAGTGTCCGATTCTGACGAAGCTTTGGACGATGTCCTTGTTGGCCCTAATGGAGAGCAATATCCGACGAAGGAGGAGTTGCAAACTCTGCGGCGAACCCACGGGCATGTCCCGTTTCTGCTTTACAGCATAGCCTTCGTAGAGCTGTGTGAAAGGTTTGCGTACTATGGAACAATCCAAGTCTGTACGTATTGAGCCCCGGTGCACGCAATCAGAACATGCCCACTAATTCGGACAGTCAACAATTATATCAACTGGCCACTTCCACCAGGTTCCAAGACTGGATCGGCTGGGACAGACGGTCAAGCTGGAGCGCTGGGTTATGGGACTCAAGCTGCAACCGCCTTGGTCCTCTTCAACTCTTTCTGGTCATATGTCATGCCAATGTTTGGAGGGTACGTTGCCGATACATATTGGGGCCGCTACAAGACCATCAACTTTGCTATCGTCGTTGCAACCCTCGGACATATCATTATCCTCGTTTCTTCAATCCCAGGTGTCATCGAGAAGTCCAGCACCGCCCTTGGTGTCTTCTGCTTAGGACTTATCTTCTTCGGTATTGGCGTGGGATTCTTCAAGACGAACATCTCACCACTTATCGCCGAACAATATGAGTCCATGCATCCTCGACCAACGGTGTTCGTGGAGCCCTCTGGAGAGAGAGTGATCCACGATCCTATCATGACGATCTCCCGGATCTATATGCGATATTATTTCTTCATTAACGTCGGAGCCTTAGGCGGGCAAATTTCCATGGTTTATGCCGAGAAATACGTCGGCTTCTGGTTATCTTTCCTGCTGCCCACCATCATGTTCATGTTCACCCCTCTCGTTATGTTGTGGGCCCGCAACAAATATATCCGAAAACCCCCCACTGGTGATGTCCTGTATAAAGCAGTCCGCCTCATCGGATTCGCCATGAAAGGACATTGGACCCTCAACATTAAGAATCTTGTCGCTAGAATCGGGAGTGATGAGCTTTGGGAGAACGCCAAGCCGTCCAAAGTGGCCAATAAACCAAAGTTCATGACTTTTGATGATGCTTGGGTCGATGAAATCCGCCGTGGCCTCAAGGCGTGCGGCGTTTTTGTTTTTCTACCCATCTACTGGTTGGTCTATAACCAGCAGACGGGAGCCTTGATCATTCAGGCTTCTACGATGAAGCTTGGGGGCGTGCCCAATGATATCGTCAATAATTTGGACCCCATCACCCTCTTGATTTTCATACCCATACTGGACAAACTCGTTTATCCCGCAATTGCGAGAAGAGGCTGGCGCTTCACCCCAATCAAGAAGATCACGGCGGGCTTCGGCATGGGATCTCTGAGCATGATCATTGCTGCGATCATTCAGCATTATATATACGTCAAGTCTCCCTGTGGCGATCATGCCACTGACGGAGACTGCATTGCTGAACTTGGACCACCTGATTTGTCCGTCTGGATTCAAACACCAGCATATGTTATAATCGCCATCTCCGAGATTTTTTGTAACATCGTTGCATTAGAATACGCCTTCACAAAAGCCCCTAAGAACATGAAATCCTTTGTAACGGGACTTTATTGGTTTACCAACGCCTTCTCGAGCGCCCTTGGTCAAGCGTATGTCCCACTGTCGAAGGATCCACTCTTCACCTGGTTGTATACGTCGCTTGCTTGCATCAGCTTCGTGGGCATGGTTGCCTTTTGGTTCACCTTCCGCGGTTTGGACAAGGAAGAAGATGCCCTCAATGCCCTCCCCGAGAGTACCTATCAGGGCCGAAAGGGAAGTATCGTAGATGTCGAGGCGCTCAACGCGAGACAAGCCGAGCAAGACAGAATCAGAAAGGCGCAAGGCTTCTAGACGAGATGTCGAAGGTCAAGAATCTGAACGTGCAAAGGCTGTGGTTGAATCAACTTCCTAGTAAGGCCATTGATGTTATGACTCTGCTAGTCTTGAAAGCTCATCACAGGCAGTGAACAACAAGAGTTCTGTTGCAAGCTAGGCCATTGGTTACCATTGTAGTCAATAAATTATGATCCGGGTCAATATCTGCGAGCTCCTCGTGGCCATCTTGCTTCTCGTTCAAGTTGTTTTAAAGCCTTTACTACTACGGGTAGATACCTGGAATGGGATTAGGCCCAGGGGAGCGGCCCGTTCGGGAGCTTATTGGATTGGGTGGCGTCATCTGGGAAGGGATGAGGTCTCGCTGTCGACCACGCAAATCTCACTGGCAGACATCAACTCCAGTGACTCGTGACCCGTCAGTCCTGATAATGACCTTGGAGCGATGCTGAGGCCCGGGCGATATTACTTAAGTAATTGTTGGAGCAGTCTGAGTCTTTCAGATACAGCAATACATTCATTGCCAGATTGCGAGTCTTGCGCCTTCCAACAAGCTGCCTGCTTTCTGGAAATTGTGCCCATCGTAAGGATCAGCTTGCAGGTCCTTGGAACCACGTCTCAAATTCAGTCAGATCAGACCAAAGCTAGACTATGTCAGGACCTTCTCTTGTCTAGGTCGCCCAGGTTGCTGAGAAAGATAAATCCTCAGGCAGAGCAAAGAGTACGTTGAGCTCAGCTGCGCCCAGCGAGGCTGCGAAACCAGTCGAACGGGATCGACATGTGGTTTTTCCCTCGGTAGAGGAAAGCAATGAGAGTAAGTTAGGTCATGCAAGGCTGCTGTGTAGTAGAGCACGCTACATTTGGCTCAGAATCATTTCAATATCGCTGCCTGACTTGTCACTTCAAGTTCACTTCACTTCACTTCACCTCACTTAACTTCATGCATTCACTGCCCATGGATCGGTGCCTAATTCCGATGACTTAAAACACCCATATTCTTCGCTTCCCTCTTCCTCTTCCTCTCTTCCTTTCCTTTCGACGACAACTTTTCTTTCGATCCGCATAACAATCATGGATCGCCGTGTCCACAAACCCGTTGGCATCGCCAATGGCGTCATCAATGCCGCTGCAAAATCAACTGTTCAGTTGCACTGCGTTCCCCTTGTTGGCCAACCGATGCCAGTTTCAGTGGTGCACGATGCCAACCGAATCTTGAACGTCATAACAGAGATTGTTCACGATCCTGGTTGCTTAGCCAACAGCCCCATCGATGCACTCCTCGATCCCTCTACACTCATTCTCACTGTAAGGACGGCTCTTGCTTACGGTGAACCGATCTCACTTGAACTTCTGCGTGATGCCAGCCGACATTTTGGCCACGATTGCCTTGCGTACCTTGAGTCTCAACATTACGATATCTCAAAGACAGTCTCTATCAACAACATACAATACTATGTTTTTCGAGGTGAAAATCAAGAGATATCTGATTCAAAGGCTTCCGTCCAAGTTTTCCGCCAACCAAACAATACTACGGTTGACGGTATCAAAGACTGTAGCCATGGAACGCAGAATGATGGATGCCAACGTGTTCTCGGTGGTTCGAACCCAATAAACCTCGACCGCAAGGACAAATTACTGTAAGTTGTCCTTTCCATCTCATGGACCAACGCAATACTGATTGGTAGTAGCAAGCACCAACACCAAAATGGCTTCTCTGCCGATACCCCTGTCCAGCATATTGTCAAGGACGAATTGACCTGCAATATGTTGACTCGGAATGGCATCAAGCATCTTACATGTGTTGAAGTTTCCGTTTTCAATGAATTCAAACAATTCGCAGGCAAGATCGACCTTCTCGTTCAATCTCAACCCACTCCACGAAAGAAGACCCTTTGCCTGCTTTGGCCTATAATCATGGTCATTGACGCACAACATAAAGCTTCAAGAAGTTACGAACACACAGCACGGCGCAACCAAGAAGGAAGGCAAGACTATCAATCAACACGTTTTGTCTCTCCCTGCTTGACTGGTAACACCGTACCTGATCTTGCAACTCGTGTGGCTCGACAACAGACTCTGACCCCAATCTTGATCTACATTGCTAGCACCAAACGTTCTGTCCAAAAAATACATCTTGCGCTTCAACAGCTCACTAGGGGCACTATCTTGCGTTGTGAAGTCTTTTCGGTGGCATGAGTGACGGATTCGAAGTCCCGCAATATGCCGCTGACTGCCACGTCGTTTCAGTTACCGCCGGTACTATCGCTAACCTGATAGTCCAGAACAAACTCCGCCTGGACCGCTTGAGGTTTCTCGTCATGGACGAATGTCATACGCTACTGAAGCTTGACATTGCAACTAGCAAACGTAACTGGATGCGGAAAGCATTGCTCCGGGCTTTCTTCCTAGCAGAAGGTTGGAACCATTCTCGAAACGGACAGCATGTCACAAGACTGTTCATGTCGGAAATCCTCGATAATGACCAAGAGGATGTCGTCGAACAATGGACCAGACCAGGCGCACTCAAATCCATCGTGTGCGGTCTCACTCCGACATCTGCTCCGTTGCCTGGAACTAGGGCTACTTCTGCTGCTGGAGCCCGCCATCCTCAGATTCCGGAGTCCTCATCAAGCTCGTCGAAAAAATCCAGTTCGACAGCTCTCGATGGTGTCGCTCCGGTGAATTTGGCGAGTCCATTTCTTGCACATCTTCTGACCCCACCGGAGAAATCAATAGCGTCGAGGGCTGCTATGAAGGTCGAAAGCCCAACGCTCATGGATCTTGAGACACCTTTGGAGAATTCAATAATGTCCAGGTGTCTTATTCCTACGAAATTCGAAAGTCCTCTGCTCATAGATCTTGAAACACCTTTGGATAACTCAACAGCATCTGATGGTGTTGCTCCTGGGAGTTCTGAAAGTCCGTACCTTGCAGATCTCAAATCCCTTCAGGAGCACCCAACCTCTGAGGGTGCTGCTTCAACTGCTGGGAACGGAAAATCAACTTCCTCTGAATCCAACAGTGAGAGTGTTAATATCAAAAAGGCAATTGTAGCATGGTTTCGATCTATCCTACCCAGGCGAAAAATGCGTCAGAAGATGAACTCCCCCCCCTCCCCCCGGAAAGCTGAACGATACAAGTCAGCCGGAAGAAGCATCAGCACAGCACTCGCCTATTAATGTTGCCCAATATTGGCAATGAGTTCGATACGGGGATGAGCTCTGTGCTCTGAATGGTTACAATCGGTAAGGGCGGAGCATCAAAACCACTGTTGGAATATGAAAGCATTGAAATTCAGAAGATGGAGAATCATGAAGTATCCATGCACTCAACAAATAAAGGAGGCTTGCAATCTCGAACCCCAATGGTCAGACACTCCACTTCAGATAGATCCCGAGTCAAATAAAATTATAATCGACATCAATATTCCGTGCTCACAGTAATCTAACCCATCTGGCGCCCATTGTCGTGGTCTTTGAGTGTGACTCGCCATATCCCCGTTCTTTCTCCGTAAACAGCAAGAATTGCGATCTTTGTATAGTTGAATTGAGTCACCCGAGGCTCCAAAGCTCCCCAGAAGCACCGCTCGACGAAGGCTCTCAGTGATTTCCAGGACAACAAGCAACGACCCTTCGGAGATGACAGATCTGGATCAAGTCAATACACAACTCGATTAGCAGCCCGGATTTGGAAAAAAACAAGAGACAGTGTACAGGAATCAGTACCGGGCACACAATTCGGATATTAGAGTCTGTCAAGATCAAGGTGCGCAGCTTGTCGGCGACGCCGAACAAGGCAGAGACACTTCGCAATGGTGAGAAAGGATGGATATCGGGAGCGCCTCCAGAGGAATGAAAGTACACAATGAGATGTGCCTTATCATTGCATGCTTAGTGCTGGGAGGGACACTTGGTTTGCTTCTGCAGGTGAGGGATGTAGAAAATTGCAACAAGATCATCGAAACCACCACACGTCGGTGTATCCATAGACTTTGCGTGGGACAGACGCTGGGAATGTCATGGGCATCCCAGGTAAGTAACCCTCAAAGCTGTAGTGAGTGTACCATCAGCACTCACTCACCCAGCGGCCCTGCACAATCTTGTACAACAAATCCTACATCATCCGACGAGAACCAAAAAAAGACATGTGGTCAAACTTCCCAGTCGATCAGTCCAAGAGCCCCAAAAAAGATAGATGTATTGCCGGCGCCCAGATTCGAACTGAGGTTTCTCCGAAGGTGATTTTTTTCAGGTTAATGCGCGACTTAACAGAGATTTGTGGAGAGGCTCCTAACTCAGGACCAGGTTATTGTGCGGCCACTTACCGAGTTAGCCCGAAGGCCCTATCTCGGCTCTGAATTTTTTTCACGGAGCGTGCTAACCACTGCACAACGCCAGCAGGTATTGATAGTGATTTTGGAAGTCACTCTTGCCAGTGATTGTTGACAGAAACTGAAGACTTTAAACCTAAGTATCAGAGAGACTTGGACGCGGGACTAGCCCTACCAGCGCAGTGAAGTGACTGTTTGTGTGACAGCCTTGTCTACCGCGGTGGACTGTCCACTGGTTTGGGACAAGGCGCTAGGCTGGAGGTTGTGGATCGATAAGGATGCTGAAGATGGTCAACATATATCGTGCTACCATAGCGGCCATGTAGACGTCAAGTCGATATCTTCTCCTTTGACCGAGCGCCCAATCGGTACAGATACCCCATCCATGCTTATCTTACAAAGGCAGTTTGGAAAAGTGGCGGCTATCTCTGACCTCTGGGTCATTGCTTGACAATGAACAGGTAGTTTTTGGTATGAACTTGAAGTAGGAATGCAAACAGTAAGGCTAGAGTAATTGTTTGTTGCCATTGGTGTTCTTGAGGAAAGCAAAATGATGCTTTATTCGCCTACACAATCGTATCTTCATTTATCAACTCGCAACTCTTGAAGGCATAGATATCATATCAGGGTTGAATCTGACTTCTAGGAAACGAGAACCAAGGTCGTCGGCTTGCAGAGTTCTGCCGGAAAGTAACAGAACGGGCCGACAGGACCATGTTCCTCGTGATCGCACTGCGACCACAGGCCGAACACGCCTCCTGATCTGACGCCACCGGGCTGGATGCCTTCCAACTGCCATTGATCTTGACCAGCGTAACTGATGATGTACCGCCATCGAACTTCTCGTCCCCCTGGCATCAGGAATGCACAGCCGCGGAAGCCAATTGAGGGACGTTCTAGTCCCGCACTCGCTCGAGAGATGCCCGAGAAGTATAGGGGAGGAAGGTCAGTGGAGAAAGGGAGACTCGTCTTGAGCACTGGGTCGGAAGATATAGACTGGTCAATCTTGAGTGAAAGTCTCATTAGATCGCCGCACGCCTCGTGTTCGCGGTCCAACGTTGGGCGTTCGCTCTCGGGAAAGTTTGCAGCATTAAATGCGAAGAGGTCGGCGTAATCGAGGAATGAATACGTGCCCAACCATGACCCTGTAACGCGAGCCCAGTCTTCCGGCACGGTGGGATCTGCTAGAGTGCGGTGCGGAATGGAGTAGGCAAATCCTGAAGGTAGGCTCAACTGACTTTCGACGCAGAATTCAAAGTTGCGTCCGATGACAGAGCAGACACCTTCGAGCAAAGACCAGTCGACTCGACCGGTGCCGTCTCGCTTGAAGGGACCATAATCGTTGTCTGGTCCGGTGAGATGCCAGTTGTAGACTTTGCGTCGGGCAATTCCCCGAGCCCGGTGCTCGATGCGTTCTCTGATGGTGATGCCATTGAGAACGTGTAACCGAGATGCAGATTCTGGACGGTTGTGTTCCTCATCAGCCACGACCATCGAGCGTGTGATCCTCGATTTTGGACTCCTGCCTGAGTCGTGAATTAGAATCTCTATCCCCGCACGATATCGATCATAATCGGCGAGGATTTTCAGATTGCGAGACAGCGTTCTGTCATCGAGTGATGGTGAAATGCCTTGTCTGATATCACGGGTGTTTGGAGTGAATTTAGCGGTGTCGAGAATGCTGAGTATGGTGTCGATGAATTCTTCGGAACATGCCTGGTCCTCTGGAAGAGGGGTTTTCCGGGATCGCAGCGCATTGAGAGCTACGAGTCTTCGTCTCAATTCTCGAAACCAATCCCAATTCTGTCCTTCTTTCGTCCGGTCTTGGTTTGGCATCATCGCCCAAGCATCGGACGGGTCATCAAAGACCTGCAAGAATACGGCCTTCCATAAAAGTTGATTCTGCGCACTGGTCAGTTTGTCGGCTGTTTTGCAGGTTTGTTTGAACCGAGTAACAGTGAGTGCATCGAGATGGGCCAGAATGTGGCTCAAGAGCTCCTGGGGTAGCTCCAAGAGTTCTATGCTTGATGTTTCTGAAACAGACATTGTGGAAGAGCTATCGTGGTCAACCACGCGAAGCTTGCTGATAGAATCAGTTGATGGTGGAAAAGGATGGATAAATACCCAATTCGAAGACAGGTACTTTGATTAATTGACGTTGGAACCATGCTACCCTAGAAATCGGCATCGGAGTTAAGGACATTAATGGGCCATTAGAGGTTGTGTTACACTTCGGCCTTTGGATGCCTCGCACGTATTGATCAATTCTTGACTTGGGACTGCTACAGATTCCCGAGCGTTGCTATTCATGAGGTACTTATTAATAGTCCTCCATGACGGGATGATTGAACATGCCTGTGATCTGGGCTTGTTATCCAGGCCTAGACTGACAGTGACAGGTCCTGGTTGCGGGGGAGCTATCTCGTGTCGTCGTATGGAGGAGGGCATTGTTGTCCTACATCAAAAGATTGCGAAAACAGAAGCAGTGTCAGCAACATCCGCTCGAGGTTATCATTAATACTATATGATTTCATCCATATGTACGTTGTCAGCCTGCCATGGTCAGCCGGTGCACACGATGATTGATTCTTCCACAACTCCCTCCTCTCGACCCGAAAGCGAGAGCCAGTCAGACCCTCAATCCGAAGGATGAGATGCCAATCCTTAGGCGGCTTTAGGCGCTCCCTCACCCGCACCGCCATGGGACAATGGGGGCCAACACCCGCCATCCACCGCCTGCGTTGCGCCTGCCAAATCGACTAACCATCCTTGTAGGCAGTTCAATCTCTTGCTTCCTCCTCCTTGTCCAGATGATTAGCGGTTTGCTTGTGGTGCCACCACCAATTAACGACCGGCACAGCCTCACACTGTCATTGTTCAATTGAGCAATGCCTCACTTATATCACGGCCTTGATTTCTATATCATGAAAAGATACCGGCAGTATCGAAGCAGATCATAATCTTGCACATTCCTTTGTTCGCTCCCCTACGCTGTACCTCCTTGTTCAAACCCCACTCCAAGCGACCTGATTCAACCCCTCCATCCCTCAAAGCTGAGTCTTCAAAGTGCTGACCATCAGCCGAAACTGCAATTATGCCCAGTCTAAAGGAACTGTTGAAAAAGAAGGACAAGATCGATAGTAGCGAACAGCTGCCACCACATATGGTGCAAGCCAATGAGTTTACCTTCGTCCGAACAGACACCCACACAGAAGAGTACATCAAGCCCCCTGCCTTTGGCGGTGATGACACTCAACACTCTAGAAATGCTCCACGAAGTCCTTCCGCCTCGAGGAAATCGTTCAGTCGCTTTCGTAATAGTGTGAGCCCTGCTGCATCAGATACCTCGTCTCCTGAGAAGGAGAGGAAAGAAGGACACAGGAGGCTTTCACACGTTTTGCGCTTGAACAAAGATCGCTCTGATAGCACCAGTTCGGTCAATCTGCCAGCCGACCTACCGACCATTGACGATGCCTACACCGATTCAGGAGATCGTCAGGAGAAGGAAGCCAGGTGGGAACAACGGGCCACCATGCTCGCGAGCAAAAGCCCTGTAATAGGCTCCCGACCTCCAACCGGTGACATGGAAGGTCTGAGCATTGGAGCACCTCCTTCACCTCGCCCTCGCAGTATCAATGATCCCATAAGCGATGTCGACATCCAGGAAGCCATCCGCTTACATGAGACGGGCGAGTTGGAGAGAGCCACTCAAATGTTTCACATCCTCGCACAGCAAGGCAACGTCCTTTCCCAGGTTCTCTATGGGCTCTCTCTGCGGCACGGTTGGGGTTGTCAGCCAGATCCTAAAGAGGCCGTGACTTACCTCTCAGCCGCAGCGTCAAATTCGGCCACCATTGAGTCTGACGCCTTGAAGGCTGGAATGAAAAAGGGTGGTGCGGCAAAAGGCGAATTGGTACTCGCCATTTTCGAACTAGCAAATTGCTTTAGAAATGGATGGGGTGTTCCTATTGACAGAGTCGCAGCCAGACAATATTACGAGACTGCCGCAAATTTGGGTGACACCGACGCTATGAACGAGGCAGCTTGGTGCTATTTGGAAGGCTTCGGCGGGAAAAAGGACAAGGTAAGACTCAGATTTTTGATTTCCTATCTCGATTCTTCCTATTGCATGACATCTATTGCACCCCGGGAACGACAGACACGATATGCACCTTGAACAGGATACATCACAAGTGCTCGATGACCACTGCCCGGCTTCATCAACTCCAAGACAACACGTGATCGCCAGCTGAGGCAGTGAGTGCATGCTATGGCAGGATTTTGAGCCTCATCACTCCATGATACGAGATCATTGTTTGAAGCAGGCCAGTAATATTCGGACGACTACATTCCTCCCCATCATGCAAGCCTAGTCGTGGACCGCATGGGATATTTCGACCAGTTTGGCCAAACACCGCCCCCAAATACAGTCAATACGCCGAATACAGTAACCTCTTTCGCAGCTTCACTTTGGGCAGCAATGCATGCAGGAATCCCTCAGGCCCATCAACCAGTCAACATCAACCCTGGAAGCTCGCGTCGTCGTACCTTGCATTAGTGTCTATCAGTTTCACTCCACATCCCACGAATCACGACCGTTGTTTTTTCGCTCAACTCGGAGAAATATCTGAATCTATTTACTGACTTCATCGCCCACTTGTGAATATAGTTTAAAGCGGCACAGCTCCTCAGATTGGCGGAAAAAAGTGGCGCAAAGACCTTGGGGAATACCTGGTAAGTTATCCAAAATTAACATCACCCGATACCCTTCACCCTGCTCTCTGCAAGTTTCATTGTTACCCGAACGCCTGTCTCCAACACAACGCTATTTCTCAAGATCGCGACCACCTGCTTGGCTGGAGATTCATCCTGAAACTTGTGGCATCCCGGTCTCAAGTCTGCTTGATTGAATTTCGTCCTTATCCACTATTTTCGTTTCTCCGCCCATCCCCATTTTCCACTCAATCGGGTCGAAAATCAAAATGGGTGCCAGGAATCTCGATGCCAAGAGATGTCTCATTGGGTTAAGGAGTCTGGGTCAACAACACTGCGACCACCGACCGCCCATTCGACCCGGACACCGCCCCTGCCTGCCTTACCACCAAACCACAAGCTGGCCACTGATGCTGCCACACCATCCTTTGCCACTCAATGGCCTTCCTAGCTACTTACGGCCGTTTCTCTGGCTCCGCCAATTACGAAAATTGTGGTGGCTGGGTTCATACCTTTCTATCATTGCGAAGCCTGGGAATATTCACTATCCATTCCGAGACATAAGGAAGGGGCTGACTCGACACTGTTTTAGCATATCCTCGCTTGCGTCTGATTTGAATGCTTTATCCAATGTTGCCTCCATCTGCGACCCATCCACACTACATGAACTTGCTTTTTATCGAGAGCAATTGCTGACGTATTACTATTTCTCGAAACAGGATCTGGAAGGAAAAGTATGACCCACCGAAATGAACGAAGAAAAGAACAGTACTTGTCCTTTCGAACACACCGACAGGGTCGCGGGTTGCAAACCCATTTCCCTAATCCACCCCGTATCCTCATCACAAATGTCAGGTTTAAGGCCAATCAGGCTTATGAGGAAATGGAAGTCCGGAGCGAATTATATGTACGCTATACCATGATGCACCCAGAAACAAGCCATTCATATCCGGCCAACGTAACTACCGAATCAATATCCCGATGCGACCGACAGTCTCGAACATCAGTTATACTATTTGAAGAGCGCCCGTATTGCTCCGGGGGCTCTATCCCTCCATTTCCAATCAAGATTCTGACCTCGCCAAATATACTCAACTACCAGCTTAAAATCTACTATCAATGAATTAAACGAATGCCAACTTTTCTCCCCATTTCCAAGCCGTCGTTTGAAGACATGGATTCCCTGACCGCATCCTCTGAAACTATTATATCACGATCCGATGACGAATGTACCTCCGTTCCTCACCTTTGCTTCTAGCGTTTCCAAAACCCGGTTTCCCCTTCAACGGTTCCAAGGAAGCTTGGTCCGAATGTGACTCCATCCCTGACGAAGAATAGTTGGTGAACAAAGACTAAAAGGGGGGGCAAGATCGAATTGATCCGGCCCCCCTTGCGCGCTCAGCGCAATTATAGCAGTCATCGGACTGCCAGAGTCCATGAAATCTGAGAGAACATAGGTCGTCCATGATGATGTGCGCCTTTTCGTCTCACTCCACACCAGTATACCATTCCGTGGATATTCTTGGGTCTTGTGGGGCCCTGCGCCGCAACGCTCACTGTCCATCTAGATATTCTCTTCTCGGCTGTTGATTCCTATTACCGTTTCTGGGTCGCCTCGACCTGAATTGACTATACGCTACCCTCCTCTCGTGTGACTCCGCTACCCACCCCCTGACATAACAAGCTAATCGATGAGGATAGAGTGGCACCTGGGCCCAGAGAGAAGAGCGCGCATTCCGCTCTTTTCTCGGTCACCGCCTATCCCAACACGATTCGAGTCCAAGTCGGGCTCCTGAACCAGGCAATCCCATCATATCACCAACACTAACACACGCGGCCATCGTATGGCCCGTGTCCAGTTCCGCGACGGCAGCCTGGGGCTGCCTGCGTTGAACCGGACTTGAGTGGGTGGGCACGCACGCGTGGAACAAGACCACAGTCCCGTTCCACGACCGTTTCCACGTCCATGATCGTGCCCACAAGTACGCGTCCAAGTTCAGGGTCAGGCTCAGGCCGGACATGAGCACGAGCACGAGTAGCAGCTGGGCCGCTGCCGCGGTCGCTTTCCCGACCGTTCTTCCGTCCCTTTCCTGCCTGATACCGAGGGCGGGTTTCTATTTAGGTCAGGTCAGGTCAGGTCAGGTCGTGGCGGGCGGCAGGGCGGGCCAGGTTTGGGCGGTTGGGACCTGCATCATGCAGGGGAGCTCGAGCTCGAGCTCGGAGATGGGAATGCGCGAAGAGAGATTGGGAGTCTTACGCACATTATCTTCCGCAATGATCCACCTCAAAATGGTTAACATCTATCTACATGGCGCGAAGCAATGTGAGTAGGTGATTGTGGTGGGAAAAGGGCATGTCATTAGATAGATGAAAATTTCCCCAAACTTCTTCCAGATCACTGACTGCGCGTACGTGCCTTCCCGTACGGCTCCATTAGTATTTAAGAGGGGGAGGAGTCAGTGCCATCTGACTCTGACTATGTAAAGTAGACTCGTAGATAGGTAGATAGGAGTGGGATCGGCGTGGAATTGTATCCTATCAGAAAGCCAGCTCTGGTATCTTTTCGCTTTGTTGCCATGGGTCATATCGAACATGGCCCATTTCCCTGCTTTTGACAAGAAGAGTCAGGCCAAAATGTTCAGGGATCCCGGATTCCCCGATCGACCCGGCAGGCTGGAAAGCTGGCACTGATTGATACTGGGCTTTCGGCCCCATTCCATGCTTTTTCATCCTCTTCCCTATGTTGTTAACCTGCTCAAGCCATTGTCCGCTCCTCTGATCATTCAAAGGATTATACCTCACTGGCTCTTACATCTCCGTTATTTTCAATTCCCGTTCCCATTCCCATTCCGATTGCCTCGTTCTCTCGTTCATTCATTCGTGGCATCTCAGTTTCCCTTTCTTCCTTAATTCCCTTAGTTCGTATCGTGTTACTCGTAAAAACCTTTCGATTGCTCGAAAGAAGCCCGCCCGCCTAGGGGAGGAATTTGTAGTAGTAGAATAGTCATCGAGTCGTTATCTTTTGGTTCGTCGTCAAAATCTGCAAATAGTGCGCACCGCATGCTGTTTCGAAATCAATCAAATTGGCAAGGGTGAGTGTGAGTGTGTGTGTGTGTTTGCGCATCTGTATCTTTCTGTACTTCATTCAAAACTGTACGTTAAAATGTCTCATGCAATCATGCATCATATCATCTTGGGTGGTTTCCACCCAGTCCCATGCAGAAGGGACCCCCTCTTTTCACTTTCATGGCTATGTCCATCGAGAAAACTCAATTTCTTCCACAGTGCTCCGTCAACTAACTAATGCTCGTCCTTGCGAATCCATACCCTATAAGAGAGGGAAAAGAGAATTTTGGCCGTTAATGTTGTCATAAAATCGTTTCAGTGTAACCCAAACCCCTAACGCATAAGAAAAGAAATCGTGCTCTGAAGCTTGTGTGATCTTGTAGAGTTGTGATTCTGGTAATGGCATCTGCCTTCCCATACATGGTTTGTGCAAAACATTTAGACAAAATGATCCAAACAAAATAAATTAATCCAAGAGATCGTGAAGAAGCCGTGGGCTACGTAAAGAGAAGGTCGTTGTAATCATCAAGGTCGGGTAGAGTGAGATGATCATGAGCAAGGACTACTCGACTCGAGCAATCATCTCTTTGAAGTCACGAAGGACTTTCTCCGGAACACGATCGAGAAGGACACTTCTTTGGCTTGCTTTGCCACTGAGGCCATTCATCCTGTCAACGTCGTCCTTCTCGGCTTGCATATTGGCAAAGAGCTGCTGTAACCGGGTAGGCTTGACCTCAGCGTCATTATCTTGATCCTGGCCAAAGAGACCTTCAGGATTTGTGATATGATTGTAAGAGGCGGCGGAAATGGAGAAGGCGGCAGCAGCAGCTTGTTGACGAGATGGTGTAGTCAGGACTGCATGGACTGCATCGAGAACTGAGGGTGCGGGCCCGGACGGGTTCATTTGAGACATGAGACCACCAAATTCGTCTTGACTAGTAGCAGTAGGCCGAAGTGGTTGCATCTCATGGGTAGCTTCCGGACCAGAGGCAAGGACAGCATTAAGGACCTGCCCAGCTTCAGCACGATAGTCTTCGGACAAGATTGGCATGTTGGCAGCAGCCATGTCAGTAGACGAGGCAGTATTGGTGACTTTGGAACCTGCTTGGGAGACGATAAAGGCCCCAGACAATAAGCACATGTAGAATGTGTTCCAACTAAATCCGGCATCCACCTTGACATCGATGGATTTTGTGAGGGCGGCTGGAGCGGTCGTTTGAATGGTCGATGTGGGTGGTCTTGGAGTGGCCTGTCTTTGCAAGGAGTCGGATTCCTCCATCTTCAAGTCTTCGCTGTTGATGAGACTAAATTCATCCTCCCAGGTATCCTCCAGGTCAAGAGCTCTGAAGTCGCTGAAATCGTTTGTAAATGTATTCGAGCCGTTGGAGGAGAAGTTCCGGGTATTCTGTTGACGTTCGAGGTCCAGAATGGTGTCCTTCAAGATACTGTTCATGCGTCGGAGTTCGGCAGTCTCCAAGGTCTTTGTACGAATGGCTTCGTCACGTTCATACTGTAAAGACTGGATGAACTGTTCGTATTGTTGCCTCTGATGCAACCATTGTTCCCTTTCCTGGGTCAAGGTATGCTCCATATGAACGACGGATTCTTCCAGGTCATGTTTCTGATTGTCCCAGGCCTTCTTGTCTTGCTCAAGCTTTTCTGTGTGGTTCTTCTTGCGTTGGCGAGAGTCCAAGCTGTTCGGCCAGGGTTAGTAAAAGACAGAAGTTTACTGGGAGCAAGTCCACTTACGCAGCTTGACGGTTTCGAAGCAATCTTTTTTGCTGTTTCAGTTCCTTCTTTTCCTCTTCATCCGTAGTCAATGAGATGAGATTGTCGATGTTCTGAAGGTTTCTCTCCTTTGGGATCTCAAACTTTGCATTCTTCTTCCTGATTCCATCTGATCTAACCACCAACATAGGCGATGTCCCTCTGAATCTATGTCGAAGAGGGCGGTGGGTGTCGGCGACATCGGAGGAAGTGGTAGATGCCCATCCACCTTGACTAGACTGCGGCGACATTGATACTGCCGATACGGGCTCAGTCTGGGGGAACCCGGAGAAATTGACAGGCCCGCCGTGATATTGGCCCTGGGGATCAAAGGCTTCCTGGACCGGGGTGAAAAAAGGAGTGGGGGTGTTGGCCTCGGACCGTGCAGCCAAAGGCCAAGTCTGTGATTGAATAAAGGTCGGTTGACAGTTGACGGGATTGACCTGAGAATAGTACTGAGGATGAGGACTTGACAGCGGAACGGAGGACTGAGAATAGTGACGTTGGGGAGGCATGACACCTTGAGAACGATCATGCCAGGAGTAGTCTTCCTCCATTTTTTGCATTGAAGGACGGCGGCTGTCAGAGGTGTCGGCCGCTATCATATCAGCAGGAGTGGGTGGCTCGAGAACCTTATCATCGAGGATCGAGGAAGCATCGTCCTCGGAGAGAGCGGGTTTGAGATCCTCAGGCCATTGAGGTTGGCCATATAGGAAGTAATTTTGCTGTGGGTATCGAAGAGCCATATCTGCAGGGGAAGGTTCGAAGTTGGCAATATGTTTGTTGTTCCCGTCAAGTGTGTGTGGTGTTGTGACTGATGGTTGTGGTTAGGTTGTAATGTCAGTGTGTGCCGGGAGCGAGGATAAGTGGCGGTGAGGGAAGGCGGGGAAATGTTGGTGGCCGTCGAGTTTCCAAGGTCGGCTTTTACCTTTGCAGTTGTCTAGACACTGATGAGGGGAAGCCACATAGTTGTGTACGAGCAGCTTTGCTTTTGAAAGACGAGGGACTTGACAAGACTATAAATGTGAAGACAAGAAGTCGAGGGTCTGGAACCAGGGAGGTGGAGGAGATGATGGAGGTTTATTATGCATCACAGGATGGCGGCATAAGAGAACCTGGGTACGGTGGGCAGGACGGTCTCAATACAGTACCATACCAAAGACGAGTGAGTCCGAACGGCAGTGGATGTTGTAACAGAAACAAGAGCCTGATGGGACTCCCGTCCTGGCCTGGCCAGAGGGAGGACTGAGACGAGGGTAGGGCAGTGTCGGCCAAGGGAAGGGCGGCAGTTCAGTAGTGGAGAGACCGTGACCATGAATCGCTGCTCAAGTTCCTCATTCACCTTTCAAGTTCCGATATTTCGTGTGGAGCAAGACTCAGGAGGGGATGGAAGGAGCTGGGTGGACTGGGTTGACTGGGTGAACCGGGAGACACTCAGACTCAGAGAATAAGACCCGGGACAGGACGCGCCAAAAGCAGCAGCAAGCATGCTGTTGATGGTTGGCAGTAGCAGAAGCAGAGGGGGTATAATTGGATGCCCTTGGAAAAAGAAGGATAAAAAGGGCAGCAGAGTCTTCGGGCAGGCCTGCAGACCCTCTTGATGCAGGCCACTCCTCGTCTCTCTGCCATTCTCTCACCACACTGGCCCCCCCACCGGGTCACTGTTATGCGGCCACCTCTCTAGCTGCGTCCTTGCCAAACATTCTTCCCGGTTGCTGATTCCGTAGAAACAGCGGTCACTATTTTGACGAGCCAAGTCTTGAGCCATAATGAAACGGACGGGCTTGCTTGCTATGACGCGTATTAGACTTACGAAGTAAGGTGGCGCCTTGTTGCACCTGGTTTCCCCTTCCTTCTTGGTGGAGAGGTTGGGCATCACTCGAGACTGACCCAAGGCGGCCATTGTCAAGGAAGCGTAAAGTACCTTGAAGAACTGTCTGTTGTTTCAATTCATGGAAACTGGATGGTCACGGTCACGGTCACGGTCAATGGTCACGTTGGACGCGATGGTCGAAGAAAGACGAGAGATGATAAATGAGGGGCAGTTTTGGGTGGGTGTGGGCAATCATGGGCACGGGCATGGGCATGGGTACCAAAACAGATCGGCATCAAATGCCACCAAGATTGCTGCACTTGGTGGGCATGTTCGCAAGAAATGCGTTCCGAGCGGAACGGCCCTTTGCCCGATCACCACTAAATCCATCGTCCTGGTTGCGTGCCTACCGAGTGCCTAGGTCCTAACTAATCCCGACCTACGTAGTAACGACTTAGGCACCTCAACGTAGCACGGAGAATTCCTGTGCCCGCTATGCCCAACCGTCCTAAGATGGCTCATCACTACCAGTACAGAAGCTTGGAGGTTGCTCCTCCCAGGCTCCATGGGCACCAACATACATGTCCTTAGAGGTGTCAGGAGGTCGAGGTTCTTCCTTCAACCGGCACCCTCCAGTGTCGGAATATCAAGATAATGCCCTACTGACAGGTCCGGTGATGGCGTCGCCTGATTTCGTTTGAGTCTGACTGATCAAACACCAAACTTGTACAGTTACTTCGTATTCTTAGGCTCTGGCCCCCTTCTGACAGGCACCTTAATCTTGCGCCCGGCCATGTCTCCCAACGTGAACGACTCCTCGGTCTGGTCAAAGTCGAAACCCATTTCGAATTCGAGAAATCGAGATGAGAATCAATTGCCTAGTACCTCGTCGAGTAAGCCGTCTGGTGTGATTGACCCGGCCGTGGACCTGGCCGGTGGCTGGGTTCGCTTCCAACGTCCCCTCTCCTCGCTTGATCCAATCACGTGCGACGGACGCAGGGTGCTTGAAACCAAAGACCTCCTTGCTGCCCAAAATGAGGCTAAAGGAGCCTTCTTGATTCTTCATAAACAGTCAGCTTATGACTCTTGCCGTTATTCTGTCGGCCTCAGTGCGAGACGACACGACGCGGATTTGGGGCAACCTGCCACTAGAATCATCATCCCACAATCACTCTCCATCACGAAGGAACACTACTCCGTAGACTCCTAGATCAATACGGTCAACAATAACAGGGTGACGGAAGTTTGCATTCTGCTTCCATCTAAGCGAGGCGGCCATGTGCTTGAGCTACACATTACTTCGACGAATAGCTACTGTTGCTTCAATCAATTCTCCTAACCTTCTCCCACTTTGGGACCTCCATTGCTTCTGCAACTTTCCTCGATTGGGCACATGCTCCTTGACACCTACAGTCTGATGAAGTCTTGCTGTTGAGTGAATTCATGATGCATAGTCACACCCTTAGCTTCATCCTGCGTCTCCAATGCCATGTCTGTTTCCAGCTCGTACCTATTTCCAACTCGGTCATCATTCGTGCTCTTTCTAACGGTGTCAGTTCCAAAGCCAGTGTCCGACGGTAGTGACAAACTCCTCATGTGGTTCGTATCGACATGTGATAAACTGCACCAGGGTCTCCTGCAAGCGCTGTTGCGTGCGTATGAGGGACATTGACGTAGATGTAGATCCTCACATGTTCCTCCTTTTCCACAGTATCCAAGCGTCGCAAAATTTTCACAGAGCAAGGCGGTAAAGGGGATTGACACATGGGCGAAAACACAGTTGGAACGATTGCACCTGCCTTCAAGGAAATACAAACAAGTCGGCAAGTTCTCAAGAGTAGGTTTGTGGCTGAAGAGGCACTCTTTCCCTGCACTGCAGTTACTGCCACGTGTCACTGAGAGGCAGAGCGCAGTCTTGTTGCGGTCATGAGTGTAGAAGCAGCGATCTCCATACTTGCACCAGCCTAGATCGACGCGTCAGTAATCTTGGTGTACAGATGAATCTGCCGATTTCTTTCACCACTTGACTTGTAGAACGGACAGAGAGTTGCTTTGAGTTTGTTGCTGTTCCTCGTCTGGTCAGTCACCAATGTTGAAAGTCTTGAAGGTCATCCCTGGTCATACTTTGTGCGCAGAGATGTAACCTGTTCTTCCCGGCGAGGATGTGAGATATTTGACACTGGAACTGCGATAGCATCAGATTTGCGGACTTTATTGACAAGACAAAGGTATCATACAGTCCAGACCATCCATGCGGGAAGACACTGCCAGTGGCACGTCCTGGAGTCCATCTGCTCGTGTAGGCGTCGGAGGGTCTTGTCCTTGGACTGCTCTTAGTATATCTTCGCTGGACGGACCTGCTATCGGTGCATCATGAGAGAATCGCTCATGAATCCGTTGAATATTGGCCAAAGCCGACCTCTCAACGTCGTCCAGACGATCTGGATTTGAGACATTCAATCCTTGTTAAACTTATCAAGAACGGATGGACTGACCTTGGATTCTCTTTAGTATGATTGATATCATGACTGCAGATGAGATGGGAATCAGTTAACCAAGCCTCATTTTCCGGCCTCAAAACGAACGGGTATGGCAAATGAGGCACAACGAACAATGAAGATTTAGACATGATGAAGTGATGGTATACCGCCGTTGATTTGAACGCTAAAGCGGCGACGTTACCTGCCGCTATACCTTCCCGTACTAACTAGGGAGACAGGTGAAGATGATGCTGAAGCTGGAAGGCAGCAGACGGTGCAGCGGTCGCCCATCCACAGATGAGACGCATCGACTGTTCCGGGCGCCCGCAGATATTATCAGCCATGGATTCAACGTATAACTAGACGCTTCCAAGGCGTCTTCTGTCGTCCACTTTGGTCCTCAACTGGGGTGTTGACATTTGTAGATCTATCAAGCTGCTTGTGTCGTTCAACTTGAAGTGCTCCAGGTTCAGCCTTATGCTGTCCGCAAGGCTGAACTTTAAAAGGAAGGTATCCCGATTGGCCCGATATTTTAATCCGCATATTTCTCTGGACAACTCGGTTGCAGACAGAGCGCGGACTACTTTACTTGAAAGCTTCATCACAACCGCAAGCATGGGCTTCAGTCTCGCAGGGTGATTGTGGTCTCTAATTGGTTCCCTTGCATAATAATATGATGTTGCAGCCACGGTTGCCCATACGCACCTTGTGCAGACAATGCAAATTCCCGGTCCCCGTTCTCCGCAGAAGCTACGCTCAGGTTATCGATCCTGTCCACCCAGACAATTCACGCAATGAACCTCCCCCCTCTCTCCCCCAAGATCTCTTGGGAGGCTCCAATGTCCAAGTTCAACTACGTCGCTACCGTCCCCGTACTCCTGGTGTTCGACATCTTGTCCGACCGTTGAATGATCATCTCTGGAAAGGCCGCCCTCTCCATGAACTCACCTTTCCGAAGAAGGGCCATGCCAAAGGTGGCAGGAACCATACCGGTCACATCGTCATGAGACATAGAGGTGGAGGACACAAGAGACGCATTCGCACAGTCGACTTTCACAGAGCAGATGGGGGCAAACATTTGGTCGAACGTATTGAGCATGACCCAGGTCGGAGCGCTCATATTGCGCTGGTGAAGAATCTGCAGACTGGAAAGCAAACATACATTCTCGCAGCGGAAGGTCTAAGAGCTGGTGACACGGTCGAGAGCTTCAGAGCAGGCCTTCCAGATTCTCTAATTCAAGAGATGGGTGGTCACATCGATCTAGGTCTACTTGCCTCCAAAACTGCCAACCGAGGCAATTGCCTCAAATTAAGCATGATTCCTGTCGGTACACCTATATTCAACATCGCCCCTACCAAGGAGGATGGTGGCAAGATGTGTCGGGGAGCCGGTACTCACGGCATCATCATTGGAAAAGGAGAGGACACGGTCCAGAAAGAGATGGCCAAAGTCCTAGGAGACAGTGGAACGTTGGACTGGACGACTCTTGACCCCCTAATCCTCAAGAAATTCGAATCTGCTGCCAACTACGTCACAGTTCGACTTTCCAGCGGCGAAGTTCGATTGATCGACAAAGATGCAGTAGCAACTATCGGAATCGCAAGCAACATCAATTTCAAATACACCCAATTAGGCAAAGCAGGTCGTTCAAGATGGCTAGGCATTCGACCAACGGTGCGAGGTGTGGCTATGAACGCCATGGATCATCCTCACGGTGGTGGTCGAGGAAAATCCAAGAACAATCGAATCCCTTCGAGTCCTTGGGGTATTCCGGTAAGTTCTCGTTAATGTGATTTTGTTCTTGTTGCTTCTTACTGATCTTTGACAGGCCAAATCCGGCTACAAAACGAGACCGAAGAATAAGGTCAATCCTCTGGTCGTCACCGAGCGTCCGAGGAACCAGGGTAAACGAAGGAGAGGGTACAAGTAAACTTGCGGTTGTATCAGTAACTTGGCTTCTACTGTACTATAGATGAAGATTATTAAGACTCTTAACATCCAAAACTCGAAGCTCTCAAGGTGCAATCGACATGCAGAGATACCCGTGCCTTCAATATCTACCTCCGAACTCTAGACCTCGTGTATCCTTCAAGCCAGTATAGATCTCGTGTATCTAGAATTCATTGCCTTGCATCTTGACATATCTTACAAGGATCCTTTCAGCCCTGGTCATTTTCACCTCTTTTGACTTTCTGTGCAATTCACTCCGACCAGGTCGTTTCAAGCAGCGCCCATTCCGACACAAATCCTACGCCTCCTTCGAGGTCTATCCGCTTGTACTCGTGCTTGACCTTCTGCTTTGCCATTGACATTCCTGGCCATTTCTTCTACCTACGCTTGAATCCTCTGCCAGGAAAGTCATTCAGTAATGTAAATGTCGAAACAAGTTCGTTCCGCTTGTCATAATATAGTACCTAGGTGATCTTCCCTGGTTTCCCGGCCTTTGAAAATATGGCACTTGCTAGTAGCAGCGTAGCATCCTCTCACTGCTGGCTCCGAGCGCCGATATTGCCGACGTCAGCATGCTGATTGTCATGAATGAATTGATTCCAGAATACTTGACAGGCTCTGTTTCTCTTTTTGCGCCATCTCAGACTTGGCCTGTGGGTTCGTTTGGAGGCTAACCGTTGGCGCATTCACTACACTTGGTTTAGATTTGCTAGATTGAAGGGTTCCAATCCAATGTTGGTATTTGAGCTAAAGTAATTTACCTTCTATTGCTATTTAATCCCTGTTTCGACGTCTCCCAGAACCGAAGCACCTTTAGCCACTTGAGCCTAAAAAAGGGGCCTTCCCTTCCTCTCTGGCATTCTTTCCTGAGCCATTTGTAGTCGTTCTCCTTGATCGCACGGATCGATGAGTTCGGCCCGGTTTGACTTCGACTGGACTGGAGGCAGCGATCTGATTTATTTCTTCTTCGGCGCTCGCTGTCTGCGACTTCTGGATAACCACACCAGGAAAGATAGGAACATCCCTTGAGCCGTCCGCCACGAAGATTCTAGGGAACAGGGTTAGGACAACTTCATCCGTGTCGAACGCTTCGACATTCACACCACGTGAGCTCATCTGGTCGCTGTCATTAGAGAATTGGATGGATTGGCATTCCCAACTCTCGGTTTCCCACTTAACTTCGGCTTCAAAGTGACTCTTGTGCCGCTGGAGGCCCCACCAAATGTCTTCCGCCTCTTGTATCTTGGACTTCAGCTCCCGGCCAAACTTTTGCGCCGCATCGAGCCCGAGAAGGTCCTCGACCGGGCTGAGGACTTCTCGGACCACCATAGAGACTCTTTGTGTTGCGATCTCTCTCTGTTTTCTCTCGAATAGGGACATGATCATGCCGCGTAGAAATTCTTTCCTTGCGTTGTCTGATATTTCAAACAATAGATCTCTTAATTCACTCTCCTCTTCGACGATGTACGTCGGAGTGAAAATGTGATTTGTTAGTGAGCGGGCCAGGATTGCCATCACCAAGAAGGTACGCATTTGTTTAGCAGCACGGGTGTTGGAGTAGGGTACCGGAGTCGCATATGTCGCCTCCGGCACCTGTTTTAACGTTGTCCACGCTCTTATGCCCTAAAGGGTGGTTAGTAGAGGTTTCTTGTATTGACCTAATACGTGCCTCTTCTTTCTCAGGAACGGGAAACTCCTTCCATACGTTTGTTTTCACTACGTCAAAGCAGGATCGCCAAATCCCCCTCATTGAGTTGCAGCTAGGAGGACAGTCAGTAATTGCTTGGTTGGGAGTGAAATAGTCAGCTAATACTAACACTTCGTCGCGGGATTCAGAAGAAAGAGGATAACAGAAGTCCATCAACGCTCTGAGCTTTCTGCTAGTGTCATCTAACTGATTTTTCAGGTCTATCTTCTCCCGTTCCAGAGCCTTTGTGCTCCCTTCGGTATTCGAGATAATAACTTCTTTTTGCTCCAGCTTCTGTTGGAGCTGTAGAATTGTGGACTCTTTTACCGCCGACTTACTTTCAAGCTCTTTGACTTTGCTTTGGGTCCGCGAGATTGATTCCTGTAGGCTTTGGTTCTTATTCGAAAGCGACGCAATTTCGAGCTGCAGCTCCCGTCGGACCTCGGACTGTTTCTTGTTGAGCTTCTCTTGGGATTCCAGCTCCTTTTCGGCACGGTCGAGCTTAACCTGGAGCTCATTTTTTTCTCCCTTGATCCTCTGCATGGTTTCTTGGTGGGATTCGAAAAATTCTTCGTGAGCGATCAAGGATTTGGCCTTTGATTGCTGTAGCTGGCTTTGTAGATTCTCAACCTCATCTTCATTCACCTTAGCTGCTTGTCTCAGGCGGGTCATTTCATTAAATAGTCCATCAGCGTATTTGAAACTATCTCCGGCCGAGAGGATTTTCACAGAGTCTATAAGCTCTTTGATTTGTTGTACACTCTTGCCGGGCAACACACTTTCAGGTGATTCGTATTTCGTCTCTTTTGTTTCACCGAACACTTCCCCATTTGTTTGCGGTGCCATCATGTAACAAAGTCCTTAGTGGAGCCCAATAGGTGCTGTGTACGAAGTGGTTTACAGTACCAGGGCTGCTGCAGAAGGGAGAGAACTATAATCAAGGCTGCACGGATGAGAGTCTTCAAATAAAGGTACCACCTTGAGTCTTATTGCGGCTATCTGTTGGGTCGCAGGTCTTGTGCTGGCAGCCGACTTCCTGCATGTCCTTTGAAGGATCTTTATTCTCCACATGGCAAAGGCGGCCAAAAAGGAGTGGGAAGTCAACTCGAGGGCAGCAGCTGAGGCTTTGTTCTTCTGAGAGTTTTTCTTGCAGGAATGCAGGGATGTTGCAGAATGAGGCAACAAATTAATTATGTGCATCCAATTCAAATATCAAAAGTCCCAAAGTTTCGTAAGTCATCCCAACTAGAGGCTCTTGTCTCAAGCGAATCCGGGTCTGAGATCACACAGAGATTCTGTATCACAACGGCATGGTTCGATGCAAGAAAGCCTTTGGCATGGTCTAGCTCGTCTCCTGACGCGGAAATATCAAAATCGGTGAGCCGGCTTAGAGGTAGTTCAATTCCGCAGCTAGTGTAAGCTGCAAGATTCGTGTTGATTCGCCATTGAACACTTTGCCGAGGCGTAATCCATTGACCAATGCTTCCATGATGCAGTCACACCTGTCGATCGGCACCTCCTACCTGTTTGCAGTAGCACGAACAGCACCCCCGCAACTAAAAGCATTTAGAGTGTTGCGCCATCGGCCCGGCCCCTAGTAAACGCCAGCAAGTGAAAACCAGCATTGATGCCCACTCTGCAGAACGCATGCAACCTGCTAATGACGCCTGTGCAGTCCTTTCCTCCTCAGATAGAGCGAGAGACTCTCGAACTATTCAAATAGATGGCTGCAGATGAGGCAGGCATCTCTCCAATTCAGTGGACCTTCATTGAAGCCTACCGAGAAGAGCTTTGGCAATATGACTGATTATTGGCTTGATATGTTCACTTGGGCACTGCCAAATCAATCGGTGCGTACCGTAGATGCACAAGGTGACCAATTGAAGCATATCCCAATACAACACGTAGATGACTCCCCCCAGTGTCATGCGACTTCCTTATCGCACTCCTGAACTCGCCCAGTTGTCCTAGCTTTTTGATTGTGATGGATAGGAGCGCAGGCTATGACTCCTCTTTATTCCATGTGCTTTCCTAACCGGTCAGTCTGATCCAAAGATCGTTCACCTTCGCGAATTTACTTGGATTGGTTGGAGAATTTTAGGGTCTCTGGGCCCTGGCGACATCCATTGCTCAGTCACTGCAGCAGGATGAGATCAGACAAATACTGAAACTTTACCTATGTCGATTGTCGAATCCAGGTTCTTTAGCGTTAGCCCTCGGTCATTTTTAAGTACCAAGTAGTCTTCGGTTTAGGAGGAGGAGGAGGAGGAGGAAAGGTTGCCAGCCAGAACACTGAAAGGATCAGTCCACAATTGACCCCTATTGACTAACTCCAAAGGTACCAGCAAGAAAGAGAATAAAGAGGAATAGAGTAAAAGGAAGGTGAAGGCAATAAGTGTTATCTAACGCATCAAAAATCACGGTAAATCGAGTCGCAACACCTATACTCTCCGTCGCCGGCCAGCCAGTCCAGCTGGCTAACCATGCAAGAAATCCGAGGCAAAATCCAAAGCAGACCTGTTAGATATTCATAAAGAAATCAATCCCGATAGCTAGAGACAGGCGTCGTGTCATAAACTCATTGGACAACAGTAAAGCATTGTTGTTACATGACGTGGCTGACATGCCAATCGACTATTCGCTGAACGCATGAGGAGGTTAAGCAGCCTATTCACAGCTTATAGGCAGATTGTGGACCTTTGCTTTGATGTTCGTGAGAAGCTTTTCAAGTTGCCACAAGCATAAAATACAATCTAAATATGAATTCATCATGCATTCCCTGCGATCGATTCTTCGGTAGCCAAAAGGCTCTGAAACAACACCTGCGGGACTCGCCTGCTCACGCTGCAACATACCAGTGCGAGGACTGTAACCGACACTTCAGCAGCGAAGAGGCCCTAGAACACCACCTGAGGAATTCGCCTAAGCACGCTGTAGCTTACCAGTGCGAGGACTGCGACCGATCTTTCAGCAACGAGGAGGCCTTGGAACACCACCTGCGAGACTCACCTGCGCACGCTATAACACACCAGTGCGAGGACTGCAACCGATCCTTCAGCATCAAGGAGGCCTTGGACCAACACTTGCGCGACTCTCCCAAACACCAGAGTGATCCAGAAACCCCTTTAGATGTGTTCTTCCACTCTTTCCCATCCTTTGATTATGACCGTTCTCTCCCACCGGCCACTTCTTATGCTAAACTAAAGAGACACAAAGGGTGGCGGCGGAGTGACGAGGCATCAGTCGATGCCTGGGATAGATACCAGAATGCACTAGAGGGCGAGTTACGCAAGTGGTATGGGGCGGAGAATGACATAACTGCGTGGCATGCCCTATGTCGTGCTATTGCTATCGAGCCTCCACCACAAACATGTGAGCGATGCGAAGCAGTATGACCCTACCGCTCCAGATCAGAAATATTACTGATAAACAACACAGGCTGTACGAAAGAGACACGTCAATATTGTGGATCTGATCGATTGGGGGCGGCAGCGTGATAACAACGAGAAGCCAGTTCGGACCTTTCGCTCTCTTGCAGAGTTGCGAGTCTACACTCAACAAACAGGCAAGGTCTTCCGCAATTCATTTAATCAGGAGGACGGCAACGTGGTCCTAAGACATTTGCTCCGCAAGCTATTTCGCGAGAACTTGTAATCAAGTGAAAGCAGCAAGCTGCTCTACGACGGAAAGTCCGAATTTCACCATTGGAAGACCATGGACGATCTCTCCACTCTTTGAGCGGCATTTGTAAATTGATGTGACAATCTCCATTGGGGAGTCTTGCATAGTGCTTATAAGTTACTAGCTCAGGTTCCAGGCATTCCGCTATGCCGTAGTGACTCTTTCTACTTGACAGAGCTAGAGGCATCGAGGATTCGTGACCGTTAACGTCTCGGTTTTGCCGTGGCGAACTAGAATCATACTATATCGTATCACAACTCAACTGTACATACATACTTCAGAGTTTAGAGCCTTCCTATTTCGTAGCTATTGCAAGTAAGCCAGTAGCTGTCGTTCGTTGCTAATTCGGATTTAATCGTGCACCACCAGAAAATCCCCATCCTCGAAACTAACCCGGAATTTCTATAAAAAGATCTACTGGTCTAACCCAGAATGGGTCTCTAGAGTGACGGTCCATTATATAACATATAGTAATAATATCCTATGATTTTTATCTCTAGGTATCATCATGCAAAATATCATCTTAATAACTAGGAATAAGTTAAGTAAAGGAACGATGCTATAAGAATCCTAGAAAACTTCGTGAAATGATACCTCAATGCTTCCATGTTACTCGCAGCCCTCTTTTGCTCACACCAGACCGCACTATAACGTTAGACCGTCCTTCCCGACGATTTCTTGCGTGTTTGTCAATATATCTTCCGCCCTCCGGGCACTTTAGCGGGTGCCGTTTCAACTTGAACGTACAGTGGCCCTACCAGCACCAGTCTCAAAGCGTCAAATCCGCGACACTGCCTCTGAACTGTTCCTCTAGGTTGATTGGACCAGCGGTAGGCCGTAGTGGCCCTGACCTACATCATCCTCAGCTACATCATCCTCAGCACGTAATTGCAGGGTCCGCCAGCGTCCTCAAAGCGCCAAGGCGCACGGCGTTGCGGCCTCCACGACCGGGGAGATACGGGTGATCGCTCACCCGACTGACCCTGACACGTGCGCGCCCGTGGCCAGCACAGGGCGGCATCACCCTCGTCCCCAAACGGGTTGGATGGCGAGCAGATTTCCCAAACAGTGGCATATCGAATTTCATCCTCTCAGACGTGAAAGAAAGTATTGTCTCAGTTTCACAACTGCTCAATCGATACCATTATTTCTGAGACCAATATAATCTCATAGTCTCATGCTACACACCGGACCAGGGTATTCAATCAGCTGGATTGTCGAAAATCCATCCACTTGACTACCTGGCGCCAGGTGTTTTGAAAGGCGGCGACCGACGATGGGGAAGAATAAGCGCCAAAAACAGAACAAAATAAACGCCGGTGGTGGAGGCTCAGCATCATTAACCCAAGAGGAAATTTGGGACGACTCAGCCCTGATTAGATCGTGGAATGATGCACTTCAAGAATACGAGGTGCGGCCCCCATTATCGAGAGGATTTATCCTCTCTCCAGGAATCGGGATTTGGTTATGCCCTCTTCATCTCCATTCCTCAAAAGGTGATATGCTGATCTTTTCCTCATGCAGTACTACCACAGTATCCACGCGAAAGGCGAAGATGTAGAAGAAGTTCTCCGTAGAGCCGAGACGGGCGATTTCGACGACCCAGACGTCGGCATGGATGCCTGTGAGTGGAGAGATGCGAATGGGACGGCAGAGGAGGATTACGCTGCCTTAATGGCTGGCAGGACTCCTCCTTCTACCTCCAACAACGTCGCCGAAGAAGGAGAAGTCGAAGAAGGTGAACTGGATGACACGGCTGAAGTCCAACAGGGTCTTGACGCGACTCACACCGGGAATCGCTCTCAACTGGCCTCAAAAACAGCGACACTACCACAGAATACCATTATCGGCCCGCAGCTGCCCCACGCTCCCAATGGACCTGCTGCAGCACAATCAGGTACAGCAGGCGGGGCCTCAATGACACCTCAAGATCAGACCCTCGAAAATCTGAAAATGGCCTATTACTGGGCTGGATACTACTCTGGTCTTTACGATGGCCAGCAACAGACAAAGTCGCAACCTCAGTCTTGAAACGAGATACAGAGCAAGCAGGCAATAGCCCAACTCTTCTCAAGCGCAATAGGCGTGGACAAGAAGATCGAGAAAGCCACGGGCTTGCTGAAGAATTTATCAACGACGGAGTTTGAGATAAGTCCACGAAATCCTAAGAAGAAAGACCATTACATTTCAGTCTGGAAATATCAGCGAGCCACGACAGCGTGAGTCACGATCAGCCTCAGGGCTCTCCTTCACAGAGGCGTATAGAGTGCAGACGCAACTACTCGGTCATCACCTAATGCTGTTCGTGTCGGTTCAGCAGCAGGCGACACCCCAGAATACCTATCCAGGTAGGTAGTCTAGACCAACCCACCCACCTCTTAACACGTCTCCCAGCTAGCAAATTGCACTTCAAGCCAGCCTGATCAAGAAGAACAGAGACAACGCAGAAAAAACCTCAATCCAACCCAATCCCCTCCGAGTTAGCATAGGCATCTAGTCCAGAACAGCGCGTACCGCGTGGCAGCTGAGGTAGGCAACCACCAGGCGACTGCCCAGTGCGGTCCTCCAACCTAAATACCCACACAATTCAACTCAAAGGGATATATCTTTCGACGCCCGGATTCCACCTCACATCAAGAGCCTGTCGAAAGTATCATCCGAAAAGACCTGCTAAGTTAGGGGGCTTGATGGGCGTGGTTGGCTGGCGGGGTTCTCGGAGTGCGATCGATCTTCATCAGCAGGTGTACTCCCCCAGTAAGGTGTGAGCTCAGACGAGCAATGATGTCCCTGAAATCGGCCCCTGCGGGGGTGAGAACTGTTAAACAGTCACCACATTCTTTTTTGCAGGGGGTTTTGGTCCTGGGTTCAAATCGACCTTGTTGCGCGGTGTTGCATAGTCACGCACCCCCTTTTTTGGTATTTTGGATCAACCCCGATTTTTGGACGTGCGCCGTACTTTTCAGAGTGTGCTTCGCCGTCTTTTACTTGTCAAAGCGCGCAGAAGTCACAACCAAGTCACCATGGTAGATCGCTTGCTATTCAACGTACCAGACGTTGGCGACGATGGCCTTGGTCCAGCTTAGATACGTCTGGAGGCGGACTGATTTAATGTGGAGTCGTGATTACTAGGAAATCAATAGCGAGTCTCACTGATATACAGACGTTAAATCAGCATCAGCGCTTCAGTAAATCACTAGTCAATCCGGTGACTTGGGATAGAAAGAAAAGGTGATTTCAGTGGACGGCATCTGTCTTGTATTTGTTACGTCGTAAGGTCTCTAAGCTCCAAAGCATGGCTTCCGCCCTAAGATCGAGCTTCTATACCTCAATTCTAGCTTGCCATATACGTGCATGCATGGTCTTGAACACCGATCCCAGGTCCTATGGATTCGTCGACAGAACCACACATACACACCCATTACGGACTTCGAACCCAGAACATTCCCCATCTACGGCTTGAACAAATCAATCCACGGCGATCTGATACAGGACATAGGCCGAGTAATCGCCCTGTTCTCCACCAGCGGCTGCAGCAGCAACGTCGGAGGAATTCATGCCCTCGTCCTTCTTCGGGCGACCTTTCTTGTCCCGTCCGAATGCGTTGCCCGCAAGATATGAGAATTCGCTGTCCAGGCCTTGGAGGGCCTTCTTCTCGCGTTTCGTGTCGGTCTGTTGTGACGGGAGCGAATTGTGTTAGTCATGGTCAATCATGTTAATCGGTTTTGCGCTATGTGGACGCAAAGATAGAGAACAAGGGGAGAGGAATGAGAGGAGTAAAGCCGAACCAATATCGACAGGAAAACATACCTTAACCAAAACACTAACATAATCCAGCGGGAGACCGTACCGCAGAACCGTCTCAACAAACACCCTCAACACGAGGACATGAACCAGGCACATAACACCCTCACTCCAGCCAGTCCGGCCTAGACGCAGCGTCTCGCCCCAAACGCGCTTCTCCTCCGCCTCGGTCTTCTTGACCTCCTGCGCCTCCTGTTCCCTGCCACCCTCCTTGAACTTATAGTCACGAGGAACCCATTTCTTCTCACGGATCTTGTGGATGAATTCGGTACTGTGCTTCTTGAACGTCGTGACAGCATATAAGGAGAACTCGTCGTCACTAGCGACGAAGGTCGCCGACCGGGGAACGACGAAGGTGGCGAGGGTTTCGTAGCTGCGCATGAAGTCCTTGACATTATTGTTGGGGACGGCGATCAGGTGGGTTTCCAGGTGCTCGGAGTCCGAGACGAGTATACTTGGAGGTACGACAGAGATGAGGGATTTAGTGGATAGATTGCCTGTTTGTTTCCGCTGGAGGGTCTGCAGGTTGGTGCGTAGTGAGTTGTACTGGTTGTACTTGGAACGGACATCGTTGTCAATGGAATTTGCTTCCTGCGGCTTGATTAGATCTGACCTCTTAGACCGACAAGTTGAATGATCAAATGCAAACGTACCCGTTGTAGCAGGTCAATCAGCTCTGCCAGCGGTCTATCCGCCCGGTACTTGACCTTATTCCAAGAGAACGTTCGCAGATACTGGTCGAGAGGTTCTACCACGCAGAGGATAGATGATTAGCCCATGAAACCCAGGAACACAGATCCTCCAGACCAAGTCTCATAACATACTATCATTAACATTCTTATGCGAAGCAATCTTATCCTCATCCCCATCGAGGATATTCTTCAAGGTATCTCCGACTTTACTGACGACTGCGTTGCACAGGCCCTCGAGCTTGGCCAGCTCATCCGACTGCTGCAGCAGGGCATCGAGTGTGCCAATCTTGAATTCAGGAATGTTGAGATTCAGCACGTCGCCGTTGGAGGGGTTGACGGCTTTCTGGAGTGCCGAAATGGCATCTTCTTTATGCCCGGAGGTTGTGACGGATGAGGGGACGGAAACGGCGAGATACTTGGTGGACATCTTGGGGAGGGCAGAGCTGGGAGATGGAGGTTGCAAAGGTCAGGTCCAACTCATAGCACCTTCAGGTTCGAGGGAGGGCTATAGTGGCCTGCGATGGTCGTAAACAAGTGGTGTAGGTGGTGGACTGTGAGGGATATGGTATCTACCTAGTAGCACCTAATCTATCGCAGCCCTGGGAGCATTTGTCCCCCAACTGAAGTCGCTGTTGCCGCTGAGAAGCTGCGTACGCCAAGACATACCTTCCAATTAAGGGTGGGCTTTGTGCCGCCCTAACGACCTTCCGGGTGAAAGATCACCCTTCCAACTAAGGGGTATCGAGCCTTGGGGAGCAGTCTCGTGTCAAGGACGTTCTTAAGTTCTTAGGCCTACTCACGCATCTTTGCTCTACAGTAATACTTTGGTGACAATTTCTCCTTCATCGACATGATATAAGGTCGTGAACACCTTAAATGTAGTCAACCACAGTACTAAACGACCTTTTCGGGTCTGTACATGAATTGCAAATATTCTTCAAGCAATTCCTGTTAGGCAAAAAGCAGGTATGAGTTCATGTATCTCCAAGACGTTTGGGCCAATAAATCAAGGTTTAATGAAAGATATGTATATGTTGTATTTCGTCGTTTGGCTCGCTAGATAATGTCCAAGTTGCCAGAAGTCTATTTGAGCAGGGAAGGCGATTATCTAGCCCCAATTCTCATATTTGCAATTTCAACACACTTGACAGGTCTGTGGATGTCCTTCACTGCAGAACGCTTCTGCTGGGAGCGTGAATTATTCTCACTCTCACACCTTCTCCTCATAAGTAACGGTGTTGGTCTTAGCTCCACCCTCCACTTCAACCGAGTGTGCAACACTCGCTGCCCGCTCCTTGGTCTTCTCTGGCTCCATAACTGCGGCATCTTCGCCATCGAAAATGAAAGCCATTTGCTCCAAGCTGTAGCCACGAGTTTCGGGATAAAAGAAGTACGTGGTAATGCCCATAGCGATCAGTACTATGATGAAAACGAAGTAGTATTTCCATCCGATGGCTTCAAGTGCGATAGGATTGACGAAGGTATTGAAAAAAATGGCGGAAATTGCAGTCACCCAGGTCACCGTAAGACCCTTGGTTCTAAGTGTATAAGGCCAGATCTCGCAGGTGTAAGATACAAGGAGGGGAGTAAGGGCAATATCGTAGCCGGCAAAAAAGACGAAGAGGAATGGCACTACAGCGACGCCGGTTGCAGCATGGCCAGTCTGAGCAAAAGACCCCGAAAGACCAGTCACTATGATGTAGCTGACCAACATGGTGCTTGCCGAGGCGAGGAAGAGCGCGCGACGTCCAAGCTTGTCGACACTGAAAGCCGCCCCAACAGCGAAGATGAGGTTCCAGATTTGTAGACCAAGATTGATAAGAAGCTGGTCTGTGGCGCCAGTAATGCCGACAGTGGTCAGAACAATGGCTAACTGCAGAAAGTCATATTAGTTCAGGAAAATCTTGGATACAGGCATTGGAAATTGCTTACGTAATAACTGACCACACCATTCCCTGACCATTGAGAAAAGATAGCCAAAGAGATCGAGATAGCGAGCCTCCAGCGATTGCCCTTGGTCTTGCTCATGTCGGCGTAGCTGGAGGAATGCTTAGCGAGCTTCTCGGCGTTGATCGCGGTCTCAATCTCGAGCATTTCGTAGTTGAGAAGGGGAGCGCTTTCGTCACCACCGGCATGGTGGGCACAGATGATAGCACGCGCTTCTTCGACGCGACCTTGAGCGACAAGCCACCGAGGAGACTCGGGGCAGAGGATGAAGCCAGGGAGTGCAACGATTGGTAGAAGGATTTGGAACAGTGATGGGAGCCTCCATCCCCATGAGCTTGAGTAGTTGCGAGTTCCAAAGGTGACCAAAGCGGCGATGATAGAACCGCAATACCAGCCAGTGTTGAAAACAGCACTGACAATACCTCGGTGGGTGGGATATGCGATCTCGTTGATCAGAAGAGGAACAGAGTTTGAGAAGAAGGCTGAACAGGCTCCAAGGAACAATCTCGCCAACAAGAATGTGATGTCATTTGGTGCCGCGGTTTGTAGAGCGACTCCGATGACGAGACAGAGATATCCGACCCAGACGTTGGTTTTACGCCCGTACTTGTTGCTGATCACTGAAGCCATTGGCGAGCAGACCATCATACCAAGCCAGTAGATGGCATTGATGAAACCGAGCCATGCTCCAGTTGGGGACTTCATGAACTCTTGCCACGAAGGTAGTGATTGTAAACCATTCATGATGGAGCCATCATATCCGTTGGTTGAGGAGAATTGGCAGAGAGATAGAACTATCAAACTAAGTTTGATCAGATGGGCTCGTTGGTACCAGTGTTTGTTGTCCTGAGGGAGAACTGAGGCCAGTTCCTGACCAACAGCATTATTGGAAGCAGTAATTGTGGCACCCATAGTTGAGGTTGTCCCTTCGAAGTTTAAATATCAGAGTCGATGTCGGTGTCGGTGTCGGTGTCAATATCGTTGTCGATGTCGATATCGAAGGAGTTGTTAAAGCAAAGAGGCCGCGTTTTGGAACGGGATCAACCCATCCTTTTATAAAATGCAAACCGAGTAGGTTTCACGATATAGCGAACTTGCATCGGCAATTGACAATGGGAGCGACAACCGACAACTGACTTTCGAACTATACGCTCTCGTGATAGAAAAGCCTTGCTCGGAAATTGATGAACTACCGTTAGTGCATGCTGTACCATGCCCTCGATCGCGTGAGACCCGTCTCCGCCCCACTGGGGTGGTATAAGTTCTAGAAGCGAACCTGGAATTTCCTGGGCAGAACTGTGGAGGATGGAGAAAGTCGGGCACGTCTCGGTGGCCCCAGGTCACGAAGCGGCTCGATGGAGAATTTCGCCTGTCGACCATGCCATTAAGTTAGTAAAGCGCGGTGAATTGCTTGGTGGAGTATCTTGTGCGGAGAATTTATAGTAGTTCAAAGTTGTATTCAAGGTTCAGAAAAACGGAGCGGACTTGGCTCGGGAGTGGTTTGATAGGATGAGTGCGGAGAAATAGTCCCCACAGCTCTGGCTCATTGCCCCAGACGCGGACAAATGATGCATTCCGGGGGTTACTCCGGAGCGGAATCGCAAGCGATGATCAATAGCCGTATATCGATCATGCAACGGTTTAACGTACGGTGACAACGTAATTGTGCTGAATATCCAAATCCACTCCGTGACCAACAGTTAGTCAGACACTCAACATCTTTTCAGAGTTCATCTGGAGGTATAATAGTCAGCCAGAAGTCCGCCCAGACAATATATTTTTCAATTCTGAACATTGAGGTTGTGGGGATTGACTTTGACCCCTCTTCTCGGACAACAAGATACAGCGTGTTCCTCAAGTTTATGATCGAAGAAGCGCTCGCAATGGGGGACGCTGGTAACTACGAGCTCGACCAGCCACAAGGAAAGCTGGATGTAGAGTCCTTGCTCTCACAGTTAACACTTACCGAAAAGGTTGCCCTCACAGCAGGCAAAGATTTCTGGCATACGAACCCAATTCCGAGGTTATCCATACCATCAATCAGGCTTTCTGACGGACCGAACGGTGTCAGAGGCACACGGTTCTTCGATGGAACACCCTCAGCATGTCTTCCTTGCGGGACTGCAATCGGAGCAACTTTCGATGAGTCTCTCGCACGTCAGCTCGGTCGCCTTCTCGGTGATGAAGCCAAAGCCAAAGGTGCACACGTTTTGTTAGGGCCAACCATTAATATTCAGAGATCGCCACTTGGAGGACGAGGTTTTGAATCATACTCCGAAGACCCATTTCTCTCAGGGGTGATTGCTGGTAATTATTGCAAAGGTGTTCAAGACAAGGATATCGTTCCAACTTTGAAGCATTTTGTCTGCAATGATCAAGAGCACGAGAGAATGGCGGTTAATGCCATTGTCACGGAACGCGCCTTGCGCGAGATCTACCTGGCCCCTTTTCAAACTGCCATCAAGCTGGCACAACCTGGTGCCGTTATGTCAGCATACAACAAGGTCAATGGCACGCATGCGTCCGAAAATAAGCGTCTTCTCGAGGATATTCTTCGGAAGGAGTGGGCTTGGGATGGTCTGGTCATGAGCGATTGGTTTGGTACCTACAGCACCACCGAAGCAATTGAGGCTGGACTCGATCTTGAAATGCCCGGATCTACCAGGTTTCGAGGGGCAGCTCTGACCCACGCAGTCTCATCCAACAAGGTCAAGGAGACGGAGCTCGACAACCGCGTGCGCAACGTTCTGAACTTGATCAACAAAACTCGCGCTGCTGCAATACCAGAGGATGCGCCCGAAACTGAGCTAAACCGGCCATCAGACCGGGCGTTGATGCGTCAAGCAGCAGCTGAAGCCATTGTTCTGCTAAAGAATGAGGACAATAACCTACCCCTAAAGAAGGAGAAGCCAATACTTGTTATCGGACCTAATGCAAAGATTGCAACATACTGTGGAGGGGGAAGTGCATCGCTGAGACCATATGCGGCAGTCACACCCTTTGATGGCATTGTCTCACAATCAACATCCGATGTTTTGTTCACGCAAGGAGCATTCGCGCATAAGCTCCTTCCTGAGGTTGGATCAAGTTTACGGACTGAAGATGGTAAAGTTGGATTTTCTCTCAAAGTCTTCAATGAGCCACATGGATCAAGCCATCGGACCCTGATCGAGGAGCGACATCTTACCGATGCCAATATGTGGTTTATCGACTTTGCAAACCCCAAACTAAACAAGACTTGGTATGCAGACATCCAGGGTATCTTTACTCCAGATGAGTCCGCAGATTATGATTTCGGCCTATCCGTGCATGGCACAGGGCGACTGTTCATTAATGAACAGTTGGTGGTGTCGAACATGGAGAATCAGAAACCAGGGTCGGCGTTCCTGGGTTCCGGTACTGTTGAAGAGAAGGGTACCGTCCGTCTTGAGCAAGGTCACCACTATAAACTGCTTGTACAGTGGGGCTGCGCCGAGACATCACAGCTGAAACAAGGCGGACTTGTCGACTTTGGTCAAGGTGGTGTACGCATAGGCTCTGCAGTTAGCTTGTCTCGAGAGCAAGCGATTGCTGATGCCGCCAAACTCGCAAAACAAGCCGAGCAAGTCGTCATCTTTGCAGGCTTGACTGGAGAATGGGAATCTGAGGGGTATGATCGAGAGAATATGGATCTCCCTCCTGGTACCGATGACCTGATATCTCATGTCCTTGATGCCAACCCGAACAGTGTTGTTGTCATTCAAAGCGGCACGCCCGTAGGAATGCCTTGGATCAATAAAGCTAAATCTGTCCTTCATGCATGGTTCGGAGGCAATGAGACAGGAAATGGGCTTGCTGACGTGATTTATGGTACTGTCAACCCTTCCGCAAAGCTACCTTTGACAATCCCAAAACGTGTCAGCGACAATCCTGCATTCTTGAATTACCGTTCTGAAGGTGGCCGAACCCTGTACGGAGAAGACATCTATGTCGGTTATAGATGGTACGACAAAGTTGGCATCGAGCCACTATTTCCTTTCGGTCACGGTCTCAGCTATACGGACTTCAAAATCGAGTCCCTGTCGATCGTGGATCATGGAACAGAAAAGGTCTGCAAGGTGAATGTGACAAACACCGGGTCTGTTGCAGGTGCAGAGGTCGTACAAGCCTACATAAGCCCGCCTAAAGCTTCTGATACAGCGAGTGGAATTCAACGCGCCACCAAAGAACTGAGAGGCTTCAACAAGATCTACCTGGAGGCCAAGCAGGCTCGAGAAGTGGCTATTCCTATTGATGTGCTCCGCGCAACGAGCTTCTGGGATGAGGCGAGGAACAGTTGGTGCTCAGAGAAGGGCACATATAAAGTCTTGGTCGGATCAAGTTCTCAAGGTCCGTTTTTGGAAACAGAACTTGAGGTTTCCAAGACTCAATGGTGGAATGGATTGTGAATTAAGATATGAGCGTGTTTGGGCGGCCATTTATTGAGTTATTTTTATCCGTATCCACCCATGTTTGCAAGCTTTCAAAATTGGGCTTGCCTGACCTATCCAATTGTTGGAGTTTGTCGCTGAACTCCTGGAGGTACTGTTTAGCGCGACCATAGAACCCAGGAGGTGGGGAAGCTTCTCCATTGCTCTCCAAGTAAGAGAAAAGAGGGCTGGCGACATCCCTGATCTTGTAAATCAAATAGATGCCGAGAATATCAAGGCATAAATGTGGAGTCGAACACAAAACTTGAAGCATTTGGCGACAGATTTCCTCTCTTTGTTCCCACGGAGAACTGGATGTAAGCTGAAGGATCTCTTGTGGAGAGCTTGAGAAACCGGGACTTGAAGAGCTAAGCGTAGGTGTGAGATAGTCAAGATGCTCGAGGATGGAAGTCTGGAGCCAAAGATGCGTTGTATGTATGTCAGCACGAAGCAAGCCAATCTGAAACTCTTTGTCAGGAGTAACACCTGTGCCGAGATCCCTTGGGGCCCACTGACGCAAATACCAAGGCGCACTATCAAGTCTGTATTTAAGCTCGTACAATCTCGAGCGCAAATGTAGGTTGTATGACATAGGATCGATGAGACGAGTGCAGCGGCAGTGTACCTTCTTGGACCCACGACGACTCTTGGAGGTTATTTCGGTCACTGCAATTAAGAACAACTCGGCACGTAGTCTCAATCCTGCAGCCAGACTCGGTTGCGCGATGTCATGAAAACCATATTCCGTCTCTGTGATGTCTTCATCATCCTGTGGCATCGGGAGTAGCTCTTCCAGGTCGATTTCGTGAAGAGTACTGCAGTCAATAAAGGCAATTTTCTCCTTTCGGATGTTTTGTAATTCGTAATGCACGTAGGCGTGCATCATGACAGCAAAGGCTTTCTTTCGTAATTGAGTTTCGATACAATTGAGACCCGCATAGGCTGAAATGCGATGGAGTTCCAGAAGACGTGCAAAGAGGACTGTTTCCATTTCCAACATCCGAGATTTATTAATATCTCCAACTTGGTAGAATGCTGTGTAATAAAAGTAGGCAGTAGCCCATTTGGCTTGACTGACTTCATCAAAGTATTGAGGACCTCTCAGTTGTATCGATCGAACATGACAGTACTGGACAACCTCCAACCGGGTCTGGATCAGAAGAGGGGTCGATGCGCTCTGATATGTCATCAGCTTCTCTGAGTGATGTGCAATAGTCGCAGCACACATTGCCCATACGAGGGCGAAGAAATTGGCATCATGGGTGTGCCTATTCTCCCGAAAGTTCTTAAGGAACGTCGGCCGGTGCACCATGGGTACAATTGGATAAACATAAGTGAAAAAGTCATCGATGATGACGCCAAGGAGTGCATTAGGAAACACTGGATCACCGCAAGGATCCTGTTGAATCGACGCTGCTCGCTGTGGTACATGAGCAATAGGTGATTGAGCTATCATGGTCGAGCTGTGACCACCTTCGCTTTGACCCTGAATGTGAGGGTCGTCCACAGAATCCGGGTGCCCGTGAAAAGCCAGTCCAGGAGGACGCGGAAAAATGTCGGAAGTCCCTTCAGCGGACGCGGGATCTTGGGGCGTGGTTTGCGAGAAGACAGACTCCTGGGGAGACGCTAAGCCAGAGGTGCTCGACAGCGATTTCTGCATCTGCGACGCCATGTTTTCAACAATTCTGCCATATGTCAGTTGGTAGATGCGATTTTTAGCAGGACTCGGACGCACTTTCTCCCTGAAGTCTTTGGTCCCCTTCGCTGCACGGGAAGATTGAAAGAGCAGTCGAGGCCAAGTTTTGAACATCTCATGCATTTCGGGCGTGAGCTGGTCGTACTCTCTACATCGAGAGCCCACCCAACTGAGTCAGGTGCCAGCAGGCCTAATCCATTTTGAGGTAGATGTTCCCCCGACTTTGGTGCTGGGAGACAACGGACTTTCCTGATACGACAACCATCGCATGCGTGGCGGATCTGCTCCCGGACCTTAGGTTGTGCCTGATCACCAAAATGGCCACTGCTTCCAGCACTGTCTGCAGAAAGACGTGCATCAACTGGAGTATCGAGCTCATCCATGTAGATCACACATGGCCTGCAGGGGGACCTGAATCAATGCCGGAAAGTTCACAGGCACTTGGATAGTTGCATGGTGAGAGTGCATTGAGGAACCTAGTACTTGACCAACATCATGGTTCGCAGTCAGTAACGTTGTTCACTTAGACTCGCAATCCTTTGACTCTTCAGTTGATGAGAATACGAAGGACTTCTCGAATGTATTTTATGTGGTGGATCTACGGCAAGAACGACTGAGAGGAGGGGGAGGAGGAGGAGGAGCTCTGTGTTGCCAAGCGGCTAAGGATTATCCGACTACAGCCTCGCTTTATTAACTATCAGCTAAGGCCAGGACCAGGTATTCTAATAATTTTTCAGCAGTATTTATGTTTTCTAAACCATTCCAGGTCAACTTCTGGCATATACAGAGAGTCCAACACGGTTTAGGTCGAGATGTCTATATCCGCACAAACTCGTTCGATCTTTCCCACCTCCAGGGGATCCCAATAATTTGTACCCAAGGTCTTCTACCACATAAACAGCACAGCACCCCGGAAGTTGTGTATAGTTGACACCTGTCATGCAACGCTAAAATACAATGGGGACCGTCTATCCCTATCATGTCGCGACTCTGTAGAGAGACTTGAGAACCTGAAGAGAGACGGCATTAGTTAAGCTGTCTCAGCAACCTTTTGAAATGCTTGGCCTACCTTCGCGTGCTTTGGCTCTACAAAGAGAGCCGTCGCCTCCACTAGTTTCTGAGGCTCCTCACCTTCAGCGACTTCAAGGCTCTCAATCCAACCCTCGGCCCAGGCCTTGCGGCCATCCACCTTCGTGGTTTTGGCTCTAAGGACGAGATACTGACCAGCCATCGTAGGCTTGAGGTAGTTGATCTGTAGGTTGGCGGTGACGCCTACTTTGTTGGGCATGGCCGGGAATGCGCATCTAGCCAGTCCCTCGTCCAGCATGGTCGCCAGAAACCCTCCATGCACGATCCCGGGATGTCCAGAGCAATCGGGTCCAACATAGAAGATCTGAACCATGGATTTACCGTCGCGCTCGTTGAAATAGTAGGGCGGCACCGCGATCATGCCTGGCCCAGCCAACGTCCCTGCCGTTAGGTTGTGCTGCCGCACCTCGGCGGGGATCTTTAGATGTGGTCTTGACTCGATAAACTCAGGATTCTCCCGTAATGACCGTGCGAGAGCGCTCTCTCGGATGTGTTGGTCGATCTCTCGGGAAAACTCGTCTGGTGCCTCGTACATAGACAAGGTCTCGACATCGGTGGGCATGGAACCCATGATTAACGGTGTGAGGAGGGGAGGCGCGTAGATAAGAGCAACGTAGGTTCCAATGGCAAAGGAAACGGTGCTGACGATGAAGAAACTGACTATGCGTCGGCCACGTGCTCGGCCTTGGTTGTGGACAACGACTGTGCCGTTAAGAAGTTAGCTGCTGCCTCAAGATGTTCTGACAGCTAGGGCATGGGTTGGGAACATACCTGTAGAGTAAGCACTGTGGGAAAAGGGTGTGGTGGTCTTGAACGACCGAGGTGGGGAGAATTGCAAACGGGAGAACCGAGTGATGGAAGAATATGGCTGTTGACGAAAGGGTGCGAGAGCAAGGAGACTATGAGAGGGAGTGCGAGCAAGTAGAGGAGTAGTCCAAGAGGAAGTAGGATTGCGAGAGGCGAGCAAAAGAAGATTTATTGTTGAGCGACCTGAACTTGAAGCCATGACTGACCTTGCCGCATCGGAGCGAGTGCGCTGATGAAAGGGACAGAGAGTGGATGGAGAAAGGTTACAGGGACGAGTATGATGTAGCCGTTCGGAAGGCCCTCGGGCTAACCTCAAAGGCGAAAGGGTTCGATCTGGTTATGTGAGGTATGCTGGGCTTTTCTACCGATAAGGAGAAAATTGCGGATCGCGCACTGATTAACAGCAGGGGTTTTGCAGGAATACGGGATACGACGTGCCCAGCTCTCCTGCATGAAAAGTACCTCGGCTCAGCCTCACGATGCACCGGCCACCTTCCCGTACAATTTTACAAAATTGATAACAAGCACTTTGCCTCTTGCATCAGGCAGTATTTATGATTACGAGACCTAGGTACATAGCCTGCGGTATCATGGACCCCTGAAGAATGTGCAAGTGCCTTTCATAGAGTGATGACTTCTTATCCCAATTCAGCCAACACAACAAAAGTATTGGCCTGCCTTTTCGATGGGCTAAATTATGATACGGATATTTGGACCCCTATTAAAGGACCCCGGATGGACTATTCTTGTCCTTTCCGGGCTGTGTACACCGCTGCAAATTCTGAACCAACCCACAGGCATCCATTCTTGTTGCCTTATGCTATGCACCAAACTCCAGGCTATTGTATCGTGACGACCATCTGAAAACTCTGAACATCCTCTCGAGTATCCACTGCCTCAGCCATCATCTCAACCCCCACCCACTCGTCTTGAGAATCAAAAGGGTTCGTGCCTTGCTGCCCAGCCTTGTATCAGCTGCCAAAAGCTTGATTGCTTTGACTTGAGGCACGAATAGAAGTCCTGAAGCGTATCCGTGGATTGCTCGCTAGCATAACCCTAATGGGGCACTTGCCGTGATGGCTCAGCCCAAGTGGTTGATATGCGTCAAATTGTGCGTGTCTGGTCCCTCATGCGAAGACGTGGCGGGAGAGATATTTGCAAATGATTAGAGTGTATCACACCCTTGATTTCAAGTAGCTGACGGCTTCAATATTTCATGAAACCTTCAAACAACGGATGATGGCTGCCGTGAATGAGATCCTTTTGACCTCACCGATGGGCTGTGAGGAGGTGCATGCTCAAAGTGTGGTGCCAAAGCTGGATCCTGACTCGGCGGCACCCCAGCCTTGGGCATATTTTGGGCGAAAACGGGATCCGTGGCAGGGGTCGCAGGGTGTATTTCCATGCCTGCCGTGCCGTCAACTCCCGAGTGTGAACGAGACCGTGTAAACCGGATCGTTTCCTGCTCTTCGGGTCGTCTCTCAATTGGCGACCAACCTCCACCTATGCTGCCAGCGACTATGCCTGCCATTGCAGCGGCCGGTCCAAACACCGAAGTGGAACCAGATCTGTTTCTTCTCTTCGCCTTCTCTGGGCTAGACGGGGATGCCGTCAACGTATCTGATGCCGCATGATCACCTTCAGGAGTCTGTGGGAGTTGAGTATCTGAACGAGAACGCGAAGGACTGCGCGATCGTGGGATGAAAGTATCTCGAGGATGTTGCAACTTGTATGCGAGCTCCGCCATACGGCCTCCACGAATCTTCTTGAGAAACGTGAGCTCTTCCCGTATTTCGTCAATCGCGGGGTTCCATTGTTGAACCCGATCTTCATCATCTTCCAGGAATAGCGATGGGCCAGACTTCTTTCGTCGAGGTATACTCGGTATCAGTCGTGCAAAGAGCTCATCCGGAATCAATCTGATAATCACGGCTATGGGCATGGACAGCGCTCCCAGTACGATGGAATATCCCCACTGAGCGCCATTGATGCGATGAATCGAGAATGCTTCACCCCCGATGAACATGATCAGAGCTTGTCCTCCCACAATGATGAATTGAATGCCAATGAACCACCAATTCTTCAAAATACCCTCAAAAATATTGAAGTTGTTGTCCAATCGTCGAGAACTAACCGAGATCAGTATTCATTTCAAAGGTTCTGGATGGAGACTTACTTGTATTGATTGAAGATTTGCATCCACACAAACGTATTAAAGATGGTGCTCTGGAGTCTGTCATGCTCACCAGGGGTATCGTACGAAAGGATTCTGGCACCCGCAAAGTAGAGTATGAGGGTTACAACGAGCTGATAGATCGATTGCCCAATGATCATTTTCCACATGGTTATGGTGATCAAGGGTGCCGACTTTGGCTCAGGACGACGTTTCAATATTGAGGCAGTGGGAGGATCCGTCGCCAAAGCCAGGGCTGCAAAAGTATCCATAATCAGATTGACCCATAGAAGTTGGACTGCCGTAAGAACGGATGCTTCGTCATCATTAGCAACAGCGGAGATAAAGGTCAGGAAAACCGCGGTAATGTTGACCGTGATTTGGAACTAGATTATATGTTAGCACACGGCAGCACAATTTACAGGCAGTAAGAAATACATACCTGTAAGAATTTCTTGACGGCGTCATTCACAGTTCTACCCCAAGAGATAGCCTTCACGATCGAGGCGAAGTTGTCGTCCATCAGAATGATAGCAGATGCTTCTTTTGCCACTTCGGTACCAGCAATACCCATGGAGAAACCAACATCGGCAGTTTTAAGAGCAGGTGCATCGTTGGTACCGTCACCAGTCACAGCAACCGTCTCTCCTAGCTTCTTGAGGTGGCCGACAAGTAATTTCTTGTCGTCTGGACTTGATCTAGCAAGCACCTGAAGTCGAGGGATGACCTGTGTAAGCTGCTTCTTGCTTAGCTTCCGGAAGACGGGGCCTTCCATCGCGATACCTCCAGAGGTGAAGATACCGCACTCGGTTGCAATGGCTTTGGCGGTCATGATGTTGTCTCCGGTGACCATACGCACAAAGACGCCCGCAACCTGGCAATCGTGAACTGCCTTCTTGACACCCGGGCGTAGCGGATCTTGAATTCCAACCACGCCGAAGAAGATCATATCCTTGAAGATTTTGTCAAAATCGGCTTGTTTCTTGTCCTCAGTTGAAGCAGCTCCTCGCGGAGGCCACTCTGAGAAATCCCGGTACAGCAGCGCAATCGTTCTCAATGACCGCGATGCGTAATTGCTTACAATGCCATTGAGAGTTTCAACCTGGTCAGCAGTGATAGGGGTGTCGACGGTTCCTTGTGTAGGATCAGTCATAATCCGAGTGCATTTTGATATCAGTATCTCAGATGCGCCCTTGACTAACATACGGTATTTGCCATCTGGTAGTCTGATGATGACTGCCATACACTTGCGACCAGAGTCAAAAGGCACCATTTGAACAATCTCGGAATTGGCGCGCTCTTCAGAGATCGATTCCACGGCAACATGATCGACCACGAATTGCAATAGAGCTGTCTCAGTTTTTGAGCCAATGAAGGCCCTCGCGCCATTTTCCTCGCCTTCGAAAGCAGTCGAGTTGAGAATAATCGAATCTTTGAGAAGCGACTTGGTCTCTGAGGCCAGGGTACCGAAAAATTCATCGGAGGAAACATCGCCCAAATTAGCCGCCGGTTGCTTCTCGCTGTTGGTATTACCAGTCGAGACGACGGGTTCCTCCTGGTCTCCAAATCTTGAGGCGGTTGAGAGAGTACCTGCTACAACAGTCATTTTATTTTGCGTTAGTGTTCCCGTCTTGTCCGAGCAGACTGTGGTAGCATTTCCCATAGTCTCGCAAGCTCGCAGAAGACGCACTAGATTGTTGTCCTTGAGCATTCGGGTTGTTGCGAAAGCCAACGCAAGGGTCACTGCCAGAGGTAGACCTTCTGGTACTGCGACAACAATAATGGTTACTGCCACAATGAAGATCTGGAGAAATCGCTGCCCCTTGCCTTGGGAACCGCCCTCAATATCCTTGAGCTCGACGAGGAACTTGATGAAGAGTACCACGAACAAGAGGAGACCAGCTGCCAAACCAAGCTTGGCGATATATTCAGCGAGGATGTTGAGTTTCGATTGTAGCGGAGTAGTTTGACCCTCGTCCTGGAGAGACATCAAGGTCTTACCATAGCTTGAATTGACTCCAACTGAAGTAACAAGGAAAGTACCTACTCCTTCAGAGACCTTGCCTCCTGAAAGAATAAAGGGATCCAGCTTCTTCAGATTTTGGTGGTTTTCAATAGCATGGTACACATCATCTGCGGCTGTTTTCCGAATGATGTCGGATTCACCGGTGGCAGAGGACTCATCACATTTTAGATTATGACCCTCGATGAATATGCCATCCACTGGGATGAGATCACCTGGCTCTAGATGCATGATATCGCCGACCAAGATATCGTAGACTGAAATTTGTTGGGATTTCCCAGATCTGATCACCTTAACATTGCGCTGTTCTTTCTTGCGGTTGAGCTTGATGAACTGCCGTTCCTTCTGGTAGTCATTCAAGGCACCCACAAATGTGACGACGAAAATGGCAACCATGATAGCAACACCCTCGACCCATTCCACCCTAGCCTCGTGCTCTTCAGAGGGAGCCGGTCTAACCGTCTGGTAAATGCCTAAAGCCAAGGAGACCACAGCAGCAACAGACAATAAAATGAGAACTTTGTCATTGTAGGCGATCCAGGCCAGCTGCCAGAAGGTTTTGGCTTTCTTTTCTGGGAGGCGATTGTCCTTGAAAATACGTTTTCGGTCGGAGAAGGAATTGTCGGTGGTTTTGGTTGCTTCCGCCATCGAGCCTGAAGTATGACTTCTTTTTACGGTGCCGAACTTCTCATTCGCGTCTGCCCCGGCCTGTACAGCTTCTTGGAAGCTGACTTCACCTTCCAAGCCAACTTCATCCACACTGAGACCACTATGCCGGTTTGTTCGCAGCCCACTTTCGAGACCGCCTAGACCACCCAGAGCATGAAAAGCGGCCAAATTTTTGGGGTTAATCATTTTGTTGAGTTGACCAGGGCTGAATGCGAATTTGTTATTTTCCACCTTGAAATCTTCCTCGGTGCCTGGATCCGGCTGCAATGCGTCTTCATCATTCATAACATCGTCGTTGTTGTTGAATGAAGCCTTTCTAAGAGAATCATTGCCTGTAGATGCAATCTGAGTATCTCCTCCAAACTCCGAGGTTGGAGAAAGATCTGATTCAATGGATGTACCCCTAGCCCTTGAGCCAGGAACCGACAAGAAATTGTGAGTGGCCGTGCCATCGACGAATTGGCTTCGAGGCGAGGAGACGTTGTGTGGAGACGTCGGACGCGATTCCCGAGTGTCGAGTGAACCTCGAGCATCTGTAGGTGAAATGGAGAGAGGTGAGGATAATGACGGAGGTGAATCCAGTCCAGCGGTTTGGATTCGAGGAAGTGGAGCTGGTCTGTCGGATGTAGCACTCGGAGGCTCATGAATCTGGGGATTAACCGCCGAATCATCGATACTGATGGTTGGGGCTCTTTGGCGACCAGGGGAGGTCGCTGCCGCGGAGGAGCCAGGGTCTTGCCCTTCGGTCGGAGACGACATGATGAGGTGAGGTATCTAAAGCTGTGAGGGATCTATTCTCTTGAATGTTGTCGCACTTGGACTCGTTCCGCTGTCAAAAGTCGGTCAAGAGGAGTCCTGAAAAGGAGCGACGAAGGTTGGAGTGGGATGGGCGTCCGACATTCAGAGTAGGTTGACCAGGATATGTTGACTGAGATAGATTCGGGTTGGCTGTGAGGAGGAGTGTCAGAAGTAATACTCCCATGGCAAACGGAGCAAGACAGGGCACAGAAGAGGGAATGGGTGACCGCATCATCCATGATCATCAACCAAAACACATCACCTTACCTTCCAACGGGCACCCAAGTCCAGGACGCGGTCCGTTGTAGAAGAATAAGAATCTCCTCGACCACCCTAAAGAATTCTATCCAGACAAACGGACGTGTAGCGAACACGACAACCAAGGCCTGGTCGACCGACTCAGGGTCCGGGTACAGGTGAAAGAAGGGAGTTCCCCGGAGGCAGGGAATGAGTGACCTCAAGCCGAAAATTGAATTAAAGTAAAAACAGGAGAATCGAAAGTAGTAGGACCGAGTGCAGTGTACAAAGGAAAGGAACCGGCGTCAAACAGAGAGGCCATGAAAGGATGAGGGAGTATGAGATGGACTTGGAACATGGCAGAGTGGTAGTAGCAGGCAGGCAGGCGATACTAACTATGTACAAGGACTAGTAAAATAAGTGGTGATGTCTAGGGTGTGGAGGATTCAAGCGCAGTCGGAAGTGGATATTCTGGAGTAGTGCAAATGCAAAGCCAGTCTGTTGATGATCGGCCAGGAGAAGAGTCATTCTCCGTGGCGGATGGATGGGATCCGTCATCCAACACCGATTCAATATCTGTACACAATTAATGATGCGGGTTCGCGGGCGTGTCAAAGACGGTCAATTCCTTTGGCGGCCCCAGTAACCATCAAGCAACACTTGGCCGGGTCAGATTCCTTAGTGGGTGCCAAGCTTTACCTAAGGGCTCGAGCCTCCGGGCTTCAAAGAGTGGTCGTTAGGTGCGAGATTCGGCCATTACGAAGAATCTGCTCGGAGGGTCAACAATGACAACGAGAACGCCTGGAGGCCCTAATCAAATCCCTCTACAATTGTCTGGTTGCGGTTGGAGGGCCTAGATCAAGGCAACCCTGACCTGATATACCTTGAAAGTTTTTAAACCAGACTCGGTAGGATAGTGTACTAGACGTTCCCTCCCTAGGTACTTGGGTACCTATTCCTAGACTGAGAAAGCCGCGGTTGCCATTTCCATTTCATTTCATCATCATACCTTACCTAAGGTATCATTTGCGATTTCGCAACGGCGTCTACAGACCAACTTGCATCTCCTGTACACATCACGGATCCTAGTTTCTGACACAATTTGACAAAAAAGCTCTCAAACAACAATGTCTCCGCTCTCGTTTACATGCCTTCCCACAACAACCCTGTCCTAGTAGCGATCCAATTGAAATGCATTTCGTGGTCAGGGCGTATTTGCACTGCCACGCTCTAAATCATCCAGATCCGCCAACCCGCAACTTCGCAAGCCATCGCAAATTCAACAATCTTACCCACGAGTTTTATCCGTAGACTGCTATCTTCTGGGTTGGATTGTTGTTCCTTCAGCCTTGAGGATCTTGGTAGCTGAAATCTGCCCCCGTTCACGCACTAAACACCTAGATCGAGAATCTGGGACACCAGTACTACGAGGCACTGGACAACCTGCCCCAGAGATACCATTCACAGATCATTCTAGTGACTTCAGTGTACATCGTCATTATCACGACACAGCCTCAATACACGTAGTATCTTACCTGGCCATGATGACGATTCAGTGGCAATATGATCCTCGTGATATTCGTGAGAGAACAGTGCTCATGTCTGAAATCAAGCATTCAAAACAAGCAGCCAACGTTGACGAACAAGACTCAGCACAAGGTTGCAACCGCCGCCAATGAACCATGCCAACTTATACAAGTATCTTGGCCATTTATTGTCTAGGCCCAAAGTGTTACTCGCTGTCCGAAAGAGATCAGCCAATTGTTAGCCCGCTTGTTAGGACTTGCAAGCTTCTCGAATGAATTCAAGAAGTTGAGCCTTGGCCTTCCAAGAGATCGCTCCCTCGGGATCAATCTCTGAAACAAAGGTCAACTCATCCCGTGGAACTGCCCATCCCTCCGATGATCCACATCAGATGATCATCATTACGGATACCATCTGCCACCTCGATAAATGACGATTAATGATACTGGGCTGGCTCCAAAGTGATGCAGCCACAAACAATTGTCAAAACATCAATGGCCAAGGCTTCATCCCTCAAATCATACCAATGCACGTGTGAAAGAAATAAACAAACAAATTACCATAATTGGATCCTTGGAATTCTCGCGATGAAAAACCCCATATGAACAAACCGGAAGTCCTCCTTGCGCAGTGATACAACACATTGGGCACATAAAATCACTGATGCTTTCATTCGCCATCATATTTCGCCATCAGACCCCCAGCACTGCCGTCGCCATTCTTTCTGATGGCCTCTTCAAACCCTTCAATCCTACTGACCATAGCATAGGGTTTCACACTCTTCTCCTTCTCCACTGTCCTTTGGAAACAACCACTCCATCCCGGCCTGGGGTATTCCTTGACCACACTCTGAATGGTCTCTGTGTGTATCAACTCAGCACCAGCTCCAATGTTATCCAGAAGGGTTCCCCAGTGAATCAACCTCGTGACCAAGGTAATCTGCCCTTTATCCTGAACATCCTGATGCCTGATGATTGCTTCTGCCACACTCTCGGCCTGGTCACGAGGTGCCACCGCCCCCGTGCTACCACCCGTCACCGTCGGGTCTTGCAGCAGTGCTAGCGCGTGATACCCGGCCCAAAACTCATAACTCAGCCTCGTGCTCGTCAGATTCTCCGCAGTGGTTCCGATATCGTGCAACATGGCTGTGAGAAACCACGTCTCGTCAAGCTCCGACCCGGCCGTTAATCCAAACTCCGGGAAGCATTCACGAGCGATGGCGCAGCCGTAGCTATACACACGCAAACTGTGCCGGTACGTGTCTGCATCAAGCTTCGACCTGACGTACTCGTCAACACGCGCTGCCAGTGCCGTGGAAGGAGGCTTGAGCGCGCTTATCGCCACTGGCTTGGGGTTAGGTGTTGAAGCCTTCTGTGCTGATTGATCCGCCGGGACTGCGGTCAGGCCATAGAGCCGGGTCGCTTCGTCTGACATGATTATCAAAGACGGATGTGATAATGCTCGACAAAGTCAGCAGACTGTGTTCTCGGATGACCCGTACTATTGGAACCCTCGTGTATGCTGCGATTGCAGTTGTTGGATCACAACTCCGGAATGTGCCTTGCAAGCCTTAGAAGCACCTTCCGCCGAATTGCCAACTATTTCAGATATCTTTCAAGTTGACCTCACCGCGAGAATTAGGCAAATTCTACGTCGATCGTAAGTACGCAAGATTTGAAAACAACAATCGATTCTTCGCTATCATTTTTCTTTATAACATATTCCGCTCATGATGCAAAAATGACTCGGTCCCCCAGGTGCCGGCAAAGCAACCATGAGTAATCCCCAAACATTACATCACAACGCCTTACGCTCGACATGAACATGCCCTACCATTCTCCCGCCCCAAACTTTTGCCCCTCGACCACATCTGAACGAACACATCGGGCAATTTAAGGGCAAATAGCATCGATTGTGATTCCCCTTGATGATTGATTGCTATGTCTCACCATTAATCATCCAACTCTAAGGGAACACCATGGTACCTTCATTGGGAGTGCATATCTCCGTGCCTTGTCAGCCTCAAGGCTGAATCCCCAAAGGAGTCCAAAGCCATATTCAGTAAGTTCCCCGACCAACCTATCCACGGCCCACACATAGAAATGCTCGCTGCATTCACCACCTGAAACTGGGGCGAGCGACTAAATCGGAGCCAAAAAAATGGTTCTATGTATTCCGGTTTGCCATTATCGGTTAAGTATGTATTTCCACACCAGACGCATCCGCCCTGCACAAGAATGGCAGGAGTATGATCCACGCGGACGTGAACTTCAGTCCCAAGGGGACAGGTCTATTTCGTAATCGACCGGTTCGTATTACTCCTCCTGCGGTCTCCCAGTGGACACCTGCTTTGTCCATCCCATCACCATCTCCTCAGAGCCCATCTAATGCACTTGGTATGCAGCTAGCGTACAGACATGGTCAATGGCGTATCTACCTCACCCTACCGCCGAACCCTAACTTTCTATTCTAGAAATGATCTAATTCCACTGGCAGTTAGCCAGCCGCCTGAGGTATACTCTGTTCCGAACCCACCCTCACAAGCGAGCGACGTACTTCTGGTTTGGCTGACTCGCGAACTGGAACTGCAATGCTTCTCTCTTCAGCCCCGGATATGCGAGTACGAAGAAGCGAACGGCGGGCGTTGTTTCAAATCCGCACCGAGTCTGGCAGTGTGTGCTTTGCTCAGTTGCTGGTGCCTAGTTGGTTCCGAAGCGCTGAGTGGAATGGCATGATTTATATTCATGGGATGTAGTGGCTTCGTGCATTGAGCATTCTTTGATGCCTGGTGTGATGTCTGTTTGGCATTACCAGACTGCTCTGCCAAGATCGTAGTTAGTGCCAGGCATACTCTGACTTTGTTCAAACTATATGTGAGCCTTGCACACATGAGCCACGTGGGAATGTGATTACATATCAGCAGTATTGGAACCCGAGGTTCCATGGCCTGTCCCCTCTCTGCACAGCTTTCGCTGTAGCCAAAGTCCACTCTCAATCCAAGGCTTCCAAATCCGCATTGTTCCCCTGCTCCCTCCAGGCCACATTCCAGATCTCACTGTTGCCCTGATCAGCCTTGGTTCTCTTGGCCTTCATTCCACCCTGTTCGTTCGCGCGTAAAAGGGCTTGACTATCAAGTGCAAAAGCTTGGACGAGTTCCTTCATCCGTCCACTTTCGACAAATGCTGCAGTCAACATGGGGTTCGTTGCTACCATCTGTGCTAGATCCATGCAGTCGACCAGATAGGCTCGTGACAGCGCGTGACCTGCGAAATAGAGAGTGCTGTTGTATGCCAGGATGCAGTCAGGGATGTAGTGATTGCGTAGGTCGTGAAGAAGGACACCCTCCATTTCGTCTTGGGGTTGGCGGAGAAAATCGGGGTCGAATAGAGCCTGTATTCTCTCCTTGACAAGATCGAGAGCTGATCGTAATTCACGTTTCATCCCTCGGACATACGTTGGATTGGCACGGTTTCTGCTTCATTTTAGCTCATGTCATGTAAAATCTTCGGGGGACTCACTCATCGAGATCATCCACGATCTCTTGGAAACCATCCAACCCATCAATAATGGCCACCAGTTCTTCGAGTTCCTTCCATATGCGCGATTTCAATGCAAGTGTTGCTCTGTCGTTACCGGCACGGGTCAAAATATGATCTTGGGATGAAGGCTTTCTCTTTCGGATAGGGCTGACAGAGAGCAGACGTTCCTCGTCTGTATCGTCGCCTTCCAGGGCTGCTTCCTCCGGAGGCGGTTCTTCTATATCTGAGAAGACCAGATTCATCCCAACAGCAGACAGTGATATCTCTGATAAACTGACTCGTATCAAGAGTTGCCGGAGAGCTGCAAATCGACCTTCGTAAAGGAAAGCCTTGTAGAGGAGCGAAACAGACCAGGCAGCGCTACCCCATCTCTCAGCGTCAACATAACGATACCATTCTACACTGCGTATCGCCTTTTCTTCTTCTTCTGAAGGTTCACCACCCATCAGATTGCGCTTGATTGTGACTTGTCCCGGTTTCCCGGCAGCTGGCGGCTCAGTAATTCTTGGAGCAGTCGGTGGCCCTTCAACTGATCTCAGTCGTTGAATTGAATCGTAGTTAGCAAGGGTAAATACACCGTAAGCAATCGCGGAAATGTCGAGTTTGTATTGTTTGATGAGCTTCAGTTGCAGCTCTCGCTCCTGATGATTCGAGATGTTGACGAGGATGGAAGCCAGGACATGCTCGCCCCTTGCCTGTGAAAGTTTTGCAACATAGACTGGGATCAGGGAGAATTTGCCTTCAGCTTCCAACCAGGCGATATAGCTTGCGATGTTGTTCTCCATTTCGTACTCATTCGCGGAAAAAGCCGACTTCAACATGCCCAAGGACTGCAACACAAGCTGAAGATGAGCAACAAACCGCACAGTATCTGGGTCCCGAACACCGATCTGCGCTAATTCATCGGCTTCCGTGTCATCATCATGGATTAAGTGCGACCCAAGGCCACCTTGATGTGCAACATGAGCAGCTGCTCGTCCCATATCAAGTAAAAAGCCAGAAAAGTTCTTGGTCACGATTGCAAGCTCCAAGTATTTGTAAGGCTGGCGTACTTCCTCACCGGAGACAGCTTCTGCGAAAAATCGTTGTAGGTAGGTTTTGGAAGGAGCTTGAGGGTGGTATATCGTTGATCCAGAGCTTGTGAGTTTGGTGTGATAGGCCTGCAAGTATGTTTGATATCTCTCTATCAGGAGAGCATTGAAGATGGCGAATAAATGGTCATCAATGGTTTGGTTGACGGGTTCTGACGAACTCACATTCCCCGATATCATACCGTAAACTGCTCTTTGATATTCATCAAGCTGCGTATCTTGCGAGAGCTCTTCACAACGCTCTAACCAGTCGGGGTTGGAAGCAATACTCATGATTCGTAGCCATGGAGAGTTCTGCATCTTACTCGAGGTGTACGCGCTTCCACAAAGCTCGGCATAGCGCCAATTTTCCCTGCGTTCGGCCCACCAGGCTTGAATTTGATCCGGAGTCTGTCCACGACGAAGCATTTCCCAGTATGTGCGCCAAGCGGCTTGCTCATGGAACGCGTCTTCCAGTTCAAGAACAGCATCCTCCCTTGATTGGGCGTCTGGATCCAATTGGGCAACCAGCCGTTCACCATCACGTCGGGTGTGGCTTCCAGCAAGGCCAGATAATGAGGGGACCAGAGGGGTGGTTGAGACTCTGGTTCTCTTCTGCTTTTTGACGGCGGCTTGTGTATACACGGGTCCAGCACTCCAGATCCCCTCACCACGATTTGATTTTGCGTTCAAAATGCGAACAACATCATCCATAGGTATCCCTGTCGAGGCCTCCCTCTCTTGCAACCAATCCAGAATACATTCGTAGTCCTGAGAAACACCGTCCGAATCGAGGAAAGCTTCCCACAGTATGGAATTGGTTGAATAACGAGTGAGGTCACCCAGTCTGGATTCTTGTGCGATTCGGGTGCGGGTTTTGACTTCGGGGGAAGTGATGGAAAGAATTCCTCTCACAAGCAACCACAAATCTGCCTCAAGTTGTATCTTCTGGATCTGTACATCAGGATCGCTTGTTGACGTCCTGACTCTCCGATTGGTGCAAATGCCATTATATGCTCCCAACAATAATAAAGCGTCGTTCCAGAGTGTTTCATCGTCGGATTTGCGGGTTGAGACAAATTGGTCCATGACTTGAGCAAACTCTTCAACTTGCTTGGCCACACGGTCTGCGGTAGCTTGAAGGGGTCTCAGCATGTCTTGCGCTGATGATCGATATGGCGACCGAGAATCTAAAATAAAGTCAACACGGAAGAGCAAGCAACTGTGCAAACACCGCAGAGAAACCCACCTCCCACTTCATCATTATCATCTTCTTCTTCCACCTCTCCGTAATCGTCAGCCATTGACTCGTCTTCTTGCTCGTAGTCGTCGTGTTGAGAGTGTGAGTCTCGCGCTTGCTGGACGATAATATTAGTACTGTGAGGAGGAATTTTGAAGGCTGAGTGGCTCACTCGAGGTTGGTCGTCCACTGGTCTTCCATGGAGAGAAGATCTGGTAATAGGAGCCATGGCTAGATGGTGACTTGTTCCTGATTGATATTCGGCGGAGAAAAGTCGTCAGTAAGAGGTAGTCTGTTAAGTCCTGGACAAGGTCCAAACTGCCTGCGGCCTCATACTTTCACGCGTTGAATTGGAGGCGCGAAGTATGCAAAAGAGATAGTTAGTACGAGCTAGTGCTGCTAGTAGCTCGGCTAGGCTGACTACGCCCAAAGCAGCATAGACTGCAATTCCGTATCAGTTGAACAAAAATGATTCTACAGCGATCTCGGTTTTACTCTTTTTCCTTTTCTCTCTTCAATGTCTACAGGCATTCATTAGAGTCTCGGAACAGACCTTTTGTCAATGTTTGTTCAGATCCTACGGGGTCTCTTGCGTGCTCACGATTGTCTCAGAGCATCATTGCATTCGCTGTTCAGCTGGCCAGACCTCCTCAAGGGGATGATGGCTCAGGTAGAAAAAATCGATTTGCTACATATTCCCTACCACCCATTATAATTTACTTAATTGTTGACGGCGCCCTTCTGCGGTTCTGGATCTCTCAGCGGCTGCCTAATTCTGTGCCCGCTGTTCGATCTTCAACCTAAGCAATTTGGCCTGAGGACAAGACGTCGTCGTTGCATCATCTCCTTTGTCCTGGTAAAAGGCATTACAGCACTCGTACAGGGCATCGACTGCCGACTGGCACTTTTCTTCTTTGTAGTTGTTCTTTTGCAAGCAATCTTGACGTTGGGCACAAGTCAATCCCTGTGTATGTCGTGTGGCCTTGGAATATCATCACTCACCTTGAATCGCACACTAAGTCAAACAAGATTTCATCATCAGTTTGACTTTCCTATTGACCTGGAATTGGGGGGAAAACCTACAGCACGTGGATGGCAAGGAGGGTCCGCTTTCAAGTCTTTCTCAAGAGCCCCCTATGCGGGTTGCTTAGTGCTAGTTTTGATTGATTGATTATTGGAATCGTAGACCACCTACCATGTCGAGGGTTTTGATCTCAACTCAAATCAAACTGAACGGACAAGTGCAGCAATGAGCAGACGTGTTTACAATGAAGCCTTCTCGCTGCAGGGTATCAGTGGTTTGGTAGATGGTGTGTTCAGGGTCCGGGACACAAAAGGATGGAAGAGTCAGTCTCAAAGTGACTATGAAATTGATTTTGGGACTGAGAATGATCTCATCGCCGCCTCAACCTTTTGACTTGACCACTATCCTAATCATAAATTTGGTCAATCGCTTTAATTGATGCTTTGTATTAAAAGAGAGCTGAAATCCAGGTATAGTCACGACCTAAGTGTTTACCACTACCCCCAGGATTGCGCCCCGTTCTTTGTTGCCGTCAACCTATCCCGCACTACAACTGCAATGTGAGCGAGCAGTGGGCGGCTGATTTGGATTGTCTACCTAATCGTACACAATTATTTCCGCGCAAGGCTGTTCACCTTCCACTTCAACCCTACAACTTCTTTTTCTTGCCTCCATCTCTTCTTTCCTTCCCTTCCATTTCCCCTCAACTTTGTATCCGACATCTTGCTTCTCCCCTGAGTAAGAGATCTCTGCTCTATCCTCTCTTGAATTAGTAGGTTATTTATCTCTTCCTTTGCCCCTCAACTACAGCGTAATCTGTTCCTCACTAACTCCGACGCGCCTCTGACAGTTTTGCGCCACCTTCCACTGCAGTCCACCACTGCTCTACCATCACAAATCCATATTCAAAATGTCTGACAACGGTCAACACTCACCGAATGGTGCCCCTGCTGAGACCCCTGCCAATGCTGGAAGCGGCGAACACCTGAACATCAAGGTCACGGACGGAAACAATGAAGTGTTCTTCAAAATCAAGAGGAGCACCAAACTGGAAAAACTCATGAAGGCGTTTTGTGAGCGTCAAGGAAAGGACCCTCGTGCTGCCAGATTCTTGTTTGAAGGAGGCAGGGTCCAAGCATCTGATACACCAGACCAGGTATGTCGATTCTCCCTCTCAGTTGACGGCCATGCTGTGTACTACACCTGAAGGAAACTAGCTACATGATTCACATCCTTACGAGACTCGCTGTTCTTCAGAAGTGGACTGACAGATTGCGCAGCTTGAAATGCAGGACGGCGATTCCATTGAAGTTCATCAGGAACAGATTGGCGGTTGCGCTTGAATACTCTCCATTCGTCAAGGATGTCTAGCATCTTTCATAAACTACCGAACGGTCAGATGGACTCTCATAACGGACATGACCACGCTTGACGAGCCAGAATGAGACTTGGACCCGGACGAGAGGAAGTCAATATCGTTTCGAAAAGTCCCGGGAATGATATTACACATCACACTTTGGCGTTGGGGAATGGTTGTGGTTTGGGGGATATTTAGTCACTACAGCCGGTCTCAATGGGATGGAGCCTGACTAGGTAGTGCATCCGAATCAGACATCATGCCATAAGCCTCTACCCGATCATGACTGAGCTCAATGAATTTTGTTTCGAAATTCGTCTTTTCCTTAAGGCATACATTTAGCCGGTTTCAAGTTGAACATCTTCACTATTTACCTAGCATTGAGACACCATCGAGTGTTGGGCAAACCCCCGTGATTTCTGGACACAACAGTGGCCGTTTCCACTCATCCGAAGCATACACATAACATTACAAGCCCAATGCTACAATCAAACACGGGCAGGCATGTCAACTATCCCAAACAGCCGCCTTCAACTTCTCATCAGCCTCTCTCTCCCGCTGCTGAGCCTCCTTCTCTTTATTCTTGCGCTTGATTTCCTGATCCCTTACAGCTTTTTCATATTGCCTGGCCTCCTCTGTCTTCTTCGGCACCTTCATGCCCAGGCCAGCTGCGATGAGCCTACTCGCCGTGGCTGTTGACTTCTCAGGCCGCCTGCGCTCCCGATCCGAGTCCGAAGGTGTTGAAGGATTGGACGGTGAGTATGGTGTGGGACGACCTCCGCCCAAAACTCGGGCGGTTGACCAGTCGATGGCCTGGCCACCATTGTGTTCCGGAGAAATTGGAGTCGGGGGCGGTGGCGCCAAAGCAGGATCAGGGCGTCTGTTGGGGTTGAAAGACGAGTCTGATGCATCGGTGGGCGTCTGTGCATTGGAGTCTTCATCAACGGGTGAAGTGATGTCCTCGGCCTCATCCTCCCACGAGTCGGCTACGGTCTGTTTCTTCTTCGCTGGCAGGTTCTTCGGCCTGGGAGGCATGTCTATGTGCAGGGCAGACATTTTCGACTCCATAACTGCAATTGTGCAGAGCTAAGGGTAGGTTGTCGGTCAATACGGCCCAATTGCTTTCTATTCCTGCTCAAGTTCCGAAACGGGGAGCCTTTGATTCAGGTTTCTCAATGTAATGGCGGTACTTAAGGCACTGGGAGTATATATTTAATGACTGGACAAGATGACTGGAAGTAATATCAAGCTGAATCCAGGTCCGGGCCAGGAACCGATGTCATAGCTCCTAGTTAAATGATATGTTTCATTCCCGGGACACGAAAGGCACTCACACGCGACAGGATCGTCCGATCAAGCGAAGGGGTGGATGGATTGAGGGGCAGCACCTCTTAAAGCGGGTTATTTCTGGGGTTGGCACATCGATTTTCCGTGGGCTGAGTGCCCAAGGGCCCCTAACTCCAATAAATCCCGACTTGGTTGGTACCTTTCTCACGCATTTCCCCGCAGGCTCAGGGAGGAGCCTGAGGTACGTTAGACCCTACCGACATGCCAATGACCCTGTAAATTCTACTGCAACACTGAACGCCGTTAGCACACATGCCCTAAAATCAGTCAAATGCCTTAAAGATCACTGGGCTTCCATGGGTATGGATAGCTAATAACTCATGATGCCTGCTCCGGTTCTTGGAGATATTGAGGTAGTCTAAGTAATTGTTGTTCAGCTACGGCAGTGGTGCAACAGCAGAATTGCATCAGATATCCTGTTGGCGAATACATAGATGGTCGTTACCATGGTTTGTAAGGGTCGGCGAAAGGTGAACCAGGTACGGGAGGAACATCTTAGGAAAGAAACCTGGACAATCAGCTTCATCGTCTTGTTCCCACGCGGAGGACAATGGACAATGCAGCTATCTTCCTTAACCATTCGCCTGAGTAATCTAGGATCAAGGGGTCACTTAGGGACATCCAAGAGTCTTGGTTGTAATAATCGCACCCACATTTCTTCAGAGCATGGGATACTTCAGAATCATGATAAAGGTAATCACTGTTATTAAACCACTGTTCTGGTCCAGGTACCTCACCCCCCTCGGATGATGGTGGGCACGGGAATGTATATAACGTGGAGAGGTAAGGGACCATTGTCACTTCGCTGAGGAGCCCCGTTTGCTCATACAAAGCGATGACTACTATCAGCAAAATTCTTGCCTCGGTCCTTCCCCACTCGACGCAGATGACGCAGACCTATCTCGACCTCGTAAATGTCGAAGCCACTTGCGACATTTTCCGACAACTCATCTCCGGTCTCGCACCAGAATCAATCTCGAAAGTGCCTTAGCGTCTCGAAATGCAGCTTTCCCAGAAGAACGCGGCTCACCCGCATCTCGCAGGTGGATCATTACCTCGACATTCGTTGACCCGAGGCCGGACTTGTGGCTAGCTCTCCATCCATGGTCCCTTGGAATCAATCATGCCGAATGATCTCTTGCGGATCGGAGCCCAATTTGAACTCTGTATATATTCCCCTCCTTCACGACGGAACGCTACCTAGGTAAACTGCTGCTGTCACACCTGGTGGACATATATGCTCTACCGGCCAAATCAACTATTCATTTTCGACGACCTTGACCTATGGTGTGACTGGGCAAAACTGAGCGTTATCTTTTGTGCGTCTTGATTACTATGACGCGCATCGCATTGCCCCGAGGTGGATGGTCTGCCCGATTCCCACACAAAGCACTGCTCAAACATGGAACTTACGGAAATGTTGCACCTTTCTCCAGTGGCTCTCTTCGGCTGGGTTATGCCGACACAATCAAAAATCTCAAAATAGGAAAGCATACCCGCGTACTTTACCAAGGATTTACCGGCCGCCAAGCGACAATGAATGCCAAAGAATCCATCGAATATGGCACAAACGTCGTCGGTGGAGTGAAACCTGGAGTTGAAGGTGAACATCTGGGGTTGCCTGTCCTTCCCAGTGTTCGGGTAGCTGTTGAGAAGCTCAAACCAGATGCGAGCGCTATCTACGTTCCCGGGAATGGAACGGTCAAAGCAATGGAAGAAGCTATCGAAAATGAGATCCCTCTTATTATTGCTGTGGCAGAACACATTCCGATTCACGACATCTTACGGATCCACCAGATGCTACGAACGCAGTCTAAGACGAGACTCGTGGGCGCAAATTGTCCAGGTATTATTAGCACTCATGGAAGATGTCGTCTAGGATTTCAACCTCTCCCCTTCTATAAAGAGGGAAACATTGGAATTGTTGCCAAGTCCGGCACTCTGAGCTATGAAGCAGTCGCTTCAACTACCCGAGCAGGACTGGGACAGACATATGGTATCAGCATGGGAGGCGATGTTCTTGCTGGGACAAACTTCGTCGAAGCGTTCCAGATTTTGGTGGAAGACGAGAAAACGGAAGGCATCATCATGATCGGTGAGATCGGGGGTAGTGCTGAGATCAGAGCAGCAGAATGGATCAAAGAGTATAATCGAAGCACACCGAATCCGAAGCCATTCATGTCTGTTATTGGTGGTGTTCAAGCACCCGCTGGTCGAATTATGGGTCATGCAGGTGCTTGGGCAGCACCTGGTGAAGCGAGTGCTGAGAAGAAGATACAAATACTTCAAGATGCCGGAGTGACCATTGTTGATCATCCAGAGAAACTTGGAGAAGGGATGAAAAAGTTGTTGGCAGAGCGGTTGGGGAGCCGCAATGCTGGCTCAGCCTCAGCCTCGACACCGTCTCAACGAAGAGGGTACCACACAATGAGACAGAGACCCCGGACTGTTTACCCGAAAGCTCGTACACCTGAGCAGCGTCGGACATTGTATATCAAACAAAAACAAGCGTATGATATGTTAAATGAGAGAGGTATCCCTACCGTCGACCCACCCACAATCAAAGATGAAAAATTCGTTGCCATCTCAATCGACCGAGAGACACGGCAACCGTGTATCATAGCATCGCCATCTACCGATCCCCAATACGCATTTCAGCAATCAAAGAAGTTCCCATTCGCCTACGGCTCAGACGATGCCACATCTGAAGACCTACTAGCGGCCGTCTCAAAACACTTGGAAGTCTCAGACACAGGGAAACGGTCATTGCAAAGATTGATATCTGAGTTGGTCGAGATATTCATGTCAAAAGAGGCATTCGTCGTTCAAACCAAATTCGCTCTAGACGATCAGGGTGGTCTGCAGGTACAGGGGGCTAAATTTGGGTTTGACGATGCAGCATTCCGGAGCTCAGGACGCCAAGCCGAAGTACATGCGCTCAGAGATATCGAAAGCGAAGTAAGAGAAGACGTCGAAGCCGAGAAGGAAGGAATGATCTACGTCAAGCTCGAGGGCGAAGGTAGCATCGGAACAATTGTCAACGGTGCTGGTCTAGCCATGAACACCGTCGATGCCCTGGTAGCAAGAGGAGGCCACCCTGCAAACTTCATGGACACAGGAGGCAAGGCGACATCTGAAACCATCAAAGCTGGATTTAGGATTGTGTCCTCAGACCCCCGCGTCAAAGTCATCTTCGTCAATATCTTTGGTGGACTGACCTTGGGCGACATGATCGCGAATGGCATTCTACTGGCCTTCAAAGACTTGAACCTAGCCGTCCCGGTGGTGGTCCGCATTAGAGGGACGAGGGAGGTGGAGGGACAGAAGCTCATCCAAGAAAGTGGTCTGAAGCTTGATGCATTTGGTAAGCAGATTGAACAATGCGATTGATGCGCGATCTCCAGACTGACAATATGACAGACTCCTTTGAGGAAGCGGCCGCAAGAGCTATTGCATTGGCTGAAGGTACCGCTACGATGGACAAGTAGGCACATTCAATCACCGTCTATTGGCATTTTACATTCTGCGAGCAATGCATTTCGAGAGGCGACTCAGTGGCGTCAATTCGCAGGCGAATTGCTGATATTTGGGCATGGATTTGGCGGTTTTTGAGGACATTGAGAACCCGATACTGCTGACTGGGTGGCCATTGCTTTGTAGGAGAAGTGTGGAAGCATAGAGGTGGTTGGGAGCCAGTACCTACGTGATGGTCTTTGATAAGAGAGAATTTCTGGTATCTAGGTGATCATACCTGAGAAGTATTATCAACATTACTGCCGTTCCTGCTTCTAAATCATGACGATACCAAAGAAACTGGTCGTAGAGTAAGAAAATAGTCAATGATTATGCACCCACCTGGTATTCAGCGAGTACGCACATCAGAGCTCATCGACCTCATTATATTCTGAGTGCGGTCATAAAGCCGCTTGCATAAGTCCGTGTCGATATTGCGATATGCAAGGCCTGGCCCCTCAATGCGCCAGACCCCTGAATAATGAAGCCCAAAGTCAGTGGCCGAAGAAAGGACCCCTGGTGCTTCTTGATTTCATCAATCGTGTCAGTCGAGTAGGCTATTCGGCAAACCCCTATGTATAGCTGACTCGACTTCCCTCGCTCGATGAATAGGCGTATATGGATAGCCTATCGGTCAGCCTGATTTGAAGTGTGAAGCCTTCTGGTTGACTCGATCAAAGTGAGTCTGGGGTTGCACTGGCAGTCTGGCAGTTGCTGGAAGCTTTGGAATTAACTTGCTTACTCCGTCGAGCCGACTCGGGAAGCCAAACTCGCAAGGGTGGGATGCACTGCCCCGCATGTATTTGGTAAGCTGCTCGTTGAGTGGTGCTTGCTCAGCGATGTGCTCCGTCTGGAGCCTACGACTGAGTACTGTAAGAGGGAAACCGCATGGCTGCCCAGAAGGAATTTCCATGGAGGCGGCTTTAGGGGGTATTATGGGTTATCCAATCGCTACCGCTCATTTATAAGCCGTTGCAGATCTTGGAAGGCCGCTCGCCGAACCAGAAGTGGTAGCTTACTGCGAAGTACCTACTCACTTGAGAGTCATGTCTTGGGATGCAAGTTGTTGCAGCGCCTGTGTAGCCTTAGTTAGACATCCCTGCGCCCGAGGTTAAGTAGCCTGAACTAAAGAGAGGAAGGGCCAGCAGGCGAATCCCCCCATCAATAACTACTTCGAAAATCCCCAGACATGCTCTGGCCTAAAGCCCCATTTGATCCAATGGTTGAAGCGGCCGCGAATTCCGTCTTACTTTTCGACTACCGGGTACCTCGTATGCCAACTCTCTCTACCTCTTCCCCAATCATTCGCATCCACATCAAGAATTATATATGAAGGGTGCTACCGCGGAAGGAGATCCTTTTCTATCAACCTTATGTCACTAGCTTGAGCTTCTCCATCATGGCGGAATTCATCGAGAAACTCAGTTCGAACTTGTCAACAAGCGCCTTCTCCAAACTCGCATCCTCTTCAACTAAACAACTCTCCGGACTATCATGGCTTTGGTCATTCTACCTGCTCCCAGCAGCCATTGCATATCCATTTCTCTGTTCAGCTCTACGCTTCCGGCGACTTAAAGCGCTCCAGGCGAAATATAAGTATGGTACACCAGAGCGCCCTTCTTTTGAAGGGATGACCGTCACCGAAGCGCACGCCATCATCTCGAGCATGAGCGACTTCGAATTCCCTGCTTTGTTTGAAAAAGGTCTTCAATTTGCACTGTTCCGCACCTACGGTATTCCTACCATCGCCAAATTACTGGTCAAGACCACCCAGCTCGCGGCCGAAAAGAATGTTCCAAAGCGATATGCCGATACTGGAGTTCTCTTGGGTGACATGTACGCGTCGGATCCCGCAAGCGACAAAGCATTTATCGCTACCGCAAGGCTGAACTACCTTCATGGCCACTATATCAAGCAGGGCAAGATCTCGAATGACGACATGCTGTATACACTGACGCTGTTTACGAATCAGCCTGTCGAATGGATCAACAGGTACGAGTGGAGGCAGCTTACTGACCTAGAGCTATGTGCCATGGGCGTCTTTCATAAATACATGGGTGAAAGCATGCACATCAGCTTTGACCCCCTACCGAGTTTCAATGTTGGTTGGAAAGATGGGCTCCACTTCTACCATGAGATGGATGCATGGGCCAAGGATTACGAGAAGAGGGTGATGGTCCCGGACAAGAACAACTACGACACTGCGGTGCAAACGCGGGCACTACTGCTAGGCTCACAGCCCGACTTCTTAAAACCGTTCCTCAGCAAAATGGTAAGTGCTCCGCTCGACGACCGTCTGAGAGAGGCCATCATGTTCGATCCAGCTCCAGCCTCCTATACTACGTGGTTCAACCGATTCATGACTGTTCGGAGGTACTACCTCAGATATCTCGCTCTTCCAAGGCCTTGGTTCATGAAGAACGACCTGCACACCAAGGAGCCTGATAAAGCTGGACGGCGATATGTGGTGCGATGGGATACACAACCCGTGTACGTCAAGCCGACCATCTGGAACAGATGGGGACCGGGTGCATTGATCTCGTCAGCGTTGGGAATGGCTCTTCCAGGTGATGAAGGTACATATCCAGAAGGTTTCGTGGTTACGGAAGCTGGACCCCTTGCTTTCAAAGGGAAGGGGAACAAGGAGGTTGCGGAAGGCGTACAGCAATTGAAGAAAGAGCTCACGGCTGGATGCCCTTTCCAATTTCGTCGTAACTGAAAATCTCGATACTGCCTAAATTGAATGACAATCAAAGGGCGGATGTCTGCTTTGAGAGAATTGCTAGCGATTAGCGCTATCCTGTATCAATGGATGATTTTTTCTTCACGATAGCAAAGCACTGCAAGGCTGGATAGCATCATCGGAATGTTCGGGCCGTAGTTGAGTGTTTTCTCTTTCAAGGGCGGATTGTGTTACCGACCGTTGAAAGCATCTCTCCGCCTATCGTTGCTCACAATTGAACGGCCATCTCCACGGATGACGCAATGAAGCCGAACGAAACCGTAATTAGCCGCACCAACACCAAAGATTTTGGTCATGGCTTCCCGAGTACAAAGATCAACGTGGGGTGCAGGGAGGGGGAGTATATCCTCTCCAATTGTGTCGTTCAGTGGCTGTCCAGGTGTTCTTGACTGTTATTCAATTGAAAATGTCTGGTTCTTGCAAGCGTCTGCTCTCTCTTCCTCGTAACAACACTCTCCCTTCAAGATCCATTTCCTCATCCCAAGCCGTCCGAAGCTTCTCCTCCACTCCCTTCACAATGTCGACTCTCGCCGCGTTCAAGATCCCAACCATCACCAACGAGCCCAACAAGCACTATGCCAAAGGCTCCCCAGACCGAGAAGGCCTGGCTGCTGCTCTAGAGGCATTGCAAAAACGGGCACCAATCGAGATTCCTCTTGTCGTGTCGGGCAAGTCCATCAAGACTTCCTCCATCCTCACACAAAACAACCCTTCCTCTCACGCTACCACGATTGCGAGCTATTCAAACGCTTCCACTCAAGACGTCAACAATGCCATTGAGGGTGCACTGGCTGCAAAGCCTGCTTGGGAATCCCTGCCCTTTGCAGACCGTGCAGCGGTCTTCCTGAAGGCGGCAGATTTGATCAGCACGAAATATAGATACGAGATTATGGCTGCAACAATGCTGGGACAAGGAAAGAATGCCTGGCAAGCTGAGATCGATGCAGCTGCAGAGCTGGTTGATTTCCTCAAGTTCAACGTCAGATATGCCGAGGAGCTGTATGCTCAACAACCACCTTACAACTCTCCTGGTGTTTGGAACAGAGTCGAGTACAGGCCATTGGAAGGGTTTGTCTACGCTATATCTCCTTTCAACTTTACGGCTATCGGTGGGAATCTGCCAGGTGCACCGGCTTTGATGGGCAACGTTGTTGTCTGGAAGCCTAGTCCTTCTGCCATTGCTTCGAATTATTTGGTCCACCAGATTCTTCTCGAGGCCGGCTTACCTGCAGGCGTCATTCAATTCGTACCGGGTGATGCTGAAGAGGTGACCAAGGCTGTCCTCGGCCACAAGCAGTTCGCTGCGCTCCACTATACTGGCTCGACGGCCGTCTTTCGAAAGTTGTATGCTCAGATCGGCCAAGGCATCGGTGAAGGCCGATACAGAGGGTATCCCAGAATTGTTGGCGAAACCGGTGGCAAGAACTTCCATCTAGTCCACAACAGCGCTGAGGTTGAGAATGCCGTGGTACAAACAGTCCGAGGAGCTTTCGAGTATCAAGGCCAGAAATGCAGCGCCACATCCCGAGCATATGTTCCTGCATCGATCTGGCCAGAGTTCAAGTCGAAGCTGGTGACAGAAACAGAGAAGCTGAAGATTGGCCCTCCCGAAGACTTTGGCAACTTCATCGGCCCTGTCATTCACGAAGCTAGCTTCAAGAAGTTGTCTGGAGTGATTGACGCCGCAAAGGATGACAATGAGCTTGAACTGGTTGTTGGAGGCAAGTACGATAGCTCCAAAGGTTATTTCGTGCACCCAACAGTTTATACCACTAGCAATCCGGAGCACAAGAACCTGAGCACGGAATTTTTTGGACCAATCTTGACGATCTACGTGTATGACGATGCAGCAGCTGATGGTTTCGAGAAAATCTGCAAGATCGTTGACAGCACATCTGACTATGCCCTTACCGGTGCGGTATTCGCCAAGGACCGGGCTGCGATCCGATATGCAGAGGAGGCATTGAGGAACGCAGCCGGAAACTATTACATCAACTGCAAGAGTACTGGTGAGTGAAATTTGATCTTTCTTTTCCCTGGTTCTTCACTAACGATGCTACGTAGGTGCTGTTGTTGGGCAACAACCATTTGGTGGTGCCAGAGCATCAGGGACCAACGACAAAGCTGGATCAGCAGCGATTCTGTCGCGTTTCGTGAGCATGCGGTCTTTGAAGGAGGAAACTCTTTCCACGACCAGCGTCCAATATCCTTCAAACGACGTGTAAACTAGAATCCGATGATTTTGTGGATGGGTTAATGTTCACTAATGTCGGTATATTGCATGATTAATGACAGACACAATGGTGCGGGACTTCAAAACGACATTACAGGAGCATATGGTAGATTGGTGTAATTCGTTATAGTCTTTAATCCTATCATCAGCTTCAGACAGGACCAAAGAGAAGCCCTCTGAGTGCTACATTGCTCCGTGTAAACAGAGCCTCACGTGTTTTACGCGTCGCCAGTCCCCAAAGAGCTTAGCTCCAATACAACCCCGCTGTTTTGGGAAGTGGTGTTTTTATCAGGCAAGACCCAACAGGCAGTTACGAGTAGCGTTAGCGCCTTCTTCACCGCCTATCGCGCTGCTGGAGGCTTGGCATCCGCCCAGGTTTGTTGATTTGAGGCCAATTCTCCTTTCGACTCTGCCCACAACTTTGAACCACCAACTGAACTGCACCACTGCAACATCCTCTCCACCACTCTTGACCTTGACCACTACCTCTCACTCCTGGTTCATTGTAGCTTCCGACATCTTTGATCCTCTTCTCACCCTTTCATATACCTCAAACCTCCTTATTCATCCATCATCATGCGTGAGATCGTAAGTTTATCTCAATCTCAGATCAACGCGTCTTTGCCCATTGAACCCCTGTGAACCCCACCAATACCACCAAACACTATCTTCTTGACAGGATCAACAGCTGACATTCTTTGAAACGAACAGGTGCACTTGCAGACCGGCCAATGCGTAAGTACATCAACATCTTCATCTCGATGCCCTCAACTAACGATTGATTCAGGGCAACCAAATTGGTGCTGCCTTCTGGTACGACAGCCCACCGCCTTTACGCGATATCTCCCCCCACGACCCAGCTCTAACTTGACTACAGGCAACAAATCTCGGGTGAACATGGTCTCGACGGATCCGGAGTGTAAGAGCGTCACATATCAAGACCACCTCATTTCGAACTGACAATTCTAGTTACAATGGTACTTCTGATCTTCAACTCGAGCGTATGAACGTCTACTTCAATGAGGTATGATTTGACAGCAAAAATAAGTTGGTACCAAACACTAACAATCCCAGGCCTCTGGAAACAAATATGTTCCTCGTGCCGTCCTTGTCGATCTCGAACCCGGTACCATGGATGCCGTCCGGGCTGGTCCTTTCGGTCAACTCTTCCGTCCCGACAACTTCGTCTTCGGTCAGAGTGGAGCTGGTATGATATTCTACAAATTTCGGTATCTTAGAGCAGGATAATAACACGCCTTTGCAGGCAACAACTGGGCCAAGGGTCACTACACCGAGGGTGCTGAGCTTGTCGACCAAGTTCTCGATGTCGTTCGTCGTGAGGCTGAAAGCTGCGACTGCCTTCAAGGTTTCCAAATCACCCACTCCCTCGGTGGTGGTACCGGTGCCGGTATGGGAACGCTGTTGATCTCCAAAATTCGAGAAGAGTTCCCCGACCGAATGATGGCCACATTCTCCGTTGTTCCATCCCCCAAGGTTTCCGATACCGTTGTCGAGCCGTACAACGCCACCCTCTCTGTCCATCAGTTGGTCGAGAACTCGGATGAGACCTTCTGTATCGATAACGAGGTATGTCTCTCCAGTAGCTCTTCTGTCCTTACCTAACTTTCTCCAGGCTCTCTACGACATTTGCATGCGTACTCTCAAACTGTCCAACCCTTCATATGGCGATTTGAACCATCTCGTCTCAGCAGTCATGTCCGGTGTCACCACTTGCCTGCGTTTCCCCGGTCAATTGAACTCTGACCTTCGAAAACTTGCCGTCAACATGGTTCCCTTCCCTCGTCTCCATTTCTTCATGGTTGGCTTCGCTCCTCTCACCAGCCGTGGTGCATACTCCTTCCGTGCTGTCACCGTCCCCGAACTCACTCAACAGATGTTCGACCCCAAGAACATGATGGCTGCTTCCGATTTCCGAAATGGTCGCTACCTGACCTGCTCAGCTATCTTCCGTGGCAAGGTTAGCATGAAGGAGGTTGAGGACCAGATGCGCAACGTTCAGAGCAAGAACAATAGCTACTTCGTCGAGTGGATCCCCAACAATGTCCAAACTGCTCTTTGCTCCATCCCACCACGTGGTTTGAAGATGTCTTCCACTTTTGTTGGAAACTCGACCTCTATTCAAGAGCTGTTCAAGCGCATCGGAGATCAATTCACTGCCATGTTCCGACGAAAGGCTTTCTTGCATTGGTATACTGGTGAGGGTATGGACGAGATGGAGTTCACCGAGGCCGAGTCGAACATGAACGATCTCGTTTCTGAATATCAACAATACCAGGATGCTAGTATCTCCGAGGGTGAAGAGGAGTATGGTGAGGAAGAGGTTCCCTTGGAGGAGGAGCAGTAGATTATGGTCTGACCATTGTACACTGAATTGTGCTCTGTGATGTGTGTACCTCCTGACCATTGATTGGTTTTGTTTGGGTCAATGGCGCCATCTCTCTTTTTTTCCTCAAAGCGAAGCGGGTCATTATCAACGATAAATTGAAAGCATCAAACAGTTGACAGAGGTGCCAGAACCTGTGACGAGCAACCGTCGCTCGCTTTGTTCGAGTTTAATCACAGGCAGCCATTGTGCTTTATCAAACACAGGCAAATTCGAGATTGAATTGATGCATAACTGTCTCTGGACTAACTTTGAATTTCCCCCGATGTGGTGCTGCATGAACGTATCTCTTCTGTCGAACTTGGGTTGTCTCGTTACTTACCTATGATGTTTGCTGCCTTAGGAAATGTGTTGTCGACTGATCGTGCCCCGGTATTTTCACAGACGACAGACGCCATTTGGAAGGCAATATGGTCAACCCCTTCTCCAAGATGCTTTCCAAGCCTATGAAGTAGGTGTTCAGGAGAAATGCTAAATGCTATCTACCTAGATGGTCACCACTGCTCTCACAATCCTCCACCGATTACGCCGCCTCATTGAGGACGAGATGAAAAGCATCGAAGTTCCGCCAACCATCAGTGGGCAAATCCTTATTCTTCACCGGCCCCGACAAAATCAACGGGATCGCCTGCTCTGACAATCCACCATGTGAGCGCAGCCGGTGACCCGAAATAGACGACAAGTCATGCTCGGCGGCCGTACTCCCGATCACCGCATTCTTTTTGGCAATCACGACAAGATCCGCCTCGCGATCAAGCGGCATCTCAAATGTCTCCGCGGCAACGTGTCCGAGTAGCGCGATCTCGACCTCTGCCAGGCCCTGGCAGAACCTCAACACGTCGTTGGCCTGCGTGCTGTCTTCCAGGTGCACGCGCACAAACGAGCCCAGTGCGCCGTGGTGCTTGACGAACGGGTCGGTGATGGGGCATATGATGCGCGCGGATCCTTTGCCCCATTTCTCTTCCAGGCGGTCCTGCAGGAAGAGGATGTTGGGCTGACCGTGCACGTCGGCTTTGTCGCTCATGCCGTGGTCGCCTGTGATGGCAACGAGGGCACCAAGGTCGGCGAGTCTGCCGATGCGGACGTCGAGCGCGTCGTAGAAATCATTCGCCTCGCGCGAGCCCGGCGCGTGGTGGTGCTGCACGAAGTCGGAGAGCGTCAGGTAGAGGAAATCCGCGCGCTGCTCCTCGAGGATCTTGACGCCCGCGTCGAGCACGAACAGCGACAGGTCGCCCGAGTATTGCGAGGGCGTGGGCCGGCCGATCCACGCTTCGACGTCGCCGACGCCGTGTTCCGCCACGCTGCAGGCGCTGGCCTTCTCCGACGAGAAACAGATCGCGCCGTTCGCGGCCTTCAGGCCGTGCCCGATGATCTTCCGCAGCTTGTCCTTGGCCGTCACGGCCGCGACGCGCACCCCGCGCTCACTCAGTTCCTTGAGGATCGTGGTGCCCCGCAGCAGCGAGTCATCCAGGCACATGAACTCCTGCTTGGTTTCCTTGTCGAGGAAGAAATTCCCCGCGATGCCGTGCGCGGCAGTTGGGGCACCCGTGATGATGGACAGGTTGTTCGGATTTGTGAATGACGGCATGGCGCATTTCGCTGTCACTGCGAAACTCTCGGTTTGCACGAATCGTCCCATGTTGGGCAGGATCCCGTCCGAGATCCCCTGGTCTAGGTATTCTGGGTCGAAGCCGTCCACGCACACTACCACGGTAGGACACTTGGGAAGAGCGTATTTCCGCCCATGGACCTCGATGGGTGAGGATGGATCTTGATTTGATGGTTAGCTGTTGGCTCTCCGCGACGGTATATGCTCGGAGACCAATGACTTACCAAGAGCCATGGTTTAGATTTTGCTTTGAGAAATGCTGCTTGTGGTTGACTTGGTTGTTTTACTGAAAGATCCCTGATGTGAAGGTTCAATGTAGACTAATTTAAACGATGGAAGTGTGAAGACTCTTGCTCTCAAGACACTTCTCTAACCGTTCTTTTATACTTGACCATACCTCTCGATCTTTGACCGTTGTGGCCGCTCGTCGTGGAGGTCGCCTTCAACATCGGCATCAAGGCCTATTGGCCAGGACTAAATCGCGGCAAGATGTCCTATTGGTTGACTTCCATGACAGAACAGGGTCAGAGAAGCTTATCTCACCGAAGAACCACCGTTGTGGAAGCGAAGAGTGTCGGCACGAAGACCTTGATTACGAGGTTAACGCAGTCTTCCATAATGTTTTGGTGTGCGTCGAGATCAGACGTTTGATGACAATCTGGTCGCGTGCAGAAGAGAGAATCCTTTTATCAAACCTGTAGAAATCTTTGGAGTCTAGCTCCTGGCAGAGTCGGACACTTCGGCGAGCATCAGGTTGGAGGAGAACACAAGCAGCCATACCAATCCTTCCCACCACGGCGTAGTTTTACATTAGGCAGAGCTGTAGGTACATGACTACTTAAGCACGAAGGAACTGGTTGACAGAGAGAGAATCTTCAATCATTTTGCGTGTTTGCTCAAGGCCGTACTGCGCGATGGCAAGGATCAAATCATTCTGCGTACTTCGGAGATCAACCGTATGGATACTACTCATCCTTTACTGTAAGTATATACCTGATAGGTACCTTTACCTACGTCTATAAGTCATGACGCTGTTTAGGCTGTGTGGTGGAAGCCATTGGGTGGAAAGTACGCCCCAACAGGCGTAAGCGCTTTGCTTTGCCATTTACCTAGGTAGACATGCAGACAGGCCTAGCTAGTAAGTAGAATGAGTCCTTCAAATTGTGCCTAGCTAGGTACCTAGGTAGATAGTACGCAAGTTTGACACGAATACGCACATTTCACGGTCGAGTTGAGGCAGTGATACTCTTTTCTTGGCAATGACGAAATGACTTCGGCAAACAGGGGCAATCCGCCCAGATGAGCGAGATGGTACCTGGGGAATTGTGGCGCCAGCAAGGATCCCCACGGCATCCCTTCGATCCCTGGATCTTGCAGGGACGAATATTTTGCCTTGGGGGGCGTCGTGGGCATCTCACGTTGTGCGTCATTATTACTCGTACTTACTGGTCGTCCTTTACCCAACTTTGTTTTTTAAAAGGTGTCGTGCTGAGCTTCCTTCTCCCGTCATAGGCACACAACAATCTCAGCTCAACTTTCAGTCCTTGGGAACGCTGTCACATCAAAGTATTGTCGAAAATGGCACTTCCAGTTGTTCGAACCTTGAATGAATGCGCAGACTACTTCAGCACAGTCGCGCCATATCTTGATCAGTTGCGTGCAGTGCCACAGGTCGTCTTTGACAGTATTGCCAATCCTGCAGCTCTCAAACAGGTCTACCTGGATACGAATCCTCTCCTGACTTCCTTAGCTTTCGTATTCGCCATCGCGCCAATCTTTCTCATAACCTCTGAGATTAACAGGAATTATTCTCAGGTCGACCGCTTCTGGTCGATTCTTCCCACCATCTGGAACATTCATTATGCCGTCTATGGTCATTTGGCTGGGGTGGATACGACAAGGGTCGACGCTGTGGCTGCTGTCAGTACCCTATGGAGTGTAAGATGTCCCCCCCCAAGTATCGTGAACCTCCCGACTAATGATTTTCTCAGATCCGCTTAACTTACAACTACTTCCGTCGAGGTGGATATTCCATAGGGAGCGAAGACTACCGCTGGGTGATTGTCAAGGACTATGCAGGCCCGGTGGCCTTCTTCCTCTTCAATATTGTCTTCATTTCGTTCGCCCAGGTTATCTTATTGTTGCTCGTCACGACGCCTACATATGTCCTGCTTCTCACTGGACGACTTGCAAAGAACAGCTCTCTTACACCGAGCTGGACCTCGCGAGACACTATCGCGGCAAGCGTGATGGTTCTCGCAATTTCCACCTCGTTTGTGGCAGACCAGCAACAGTGGAATTATCATCAAGCCAAGGCGCATTACAAGAAGACTGCAAGGGCCCCACACGGCTACAGACGGGCTGATCTTGATCGCGGATTTCTGACTGGAGGTCTCTGGGCATACTCTCGACACCCAAACTTCACTGCTGAACAGACTGTCTGGGTCACGCTCTATGTCTGGTCCTGTTTGGCCACAGGAACTTGGTACAACTGGACTGGAATTGGTGCCGCCTCTTACCTCTTTCTCTTCCAAAGTAGTACTTGGTTGACGGAGCTATTGTCCTCTCAGAAATATCCTGACTACAAGTTGTATCAACGCGACGTTGGGAAATTCCTGCCCTTGCCTGGAGCGACCGCGAATTTCCCTGATAGTTCTGCCCATCATGCCAATGGAGGTGTACAGAATGAAAAGGATGCTGTGAAAGCACGCGAGAGATATGATCTGCGATAGGTATGCGAGCAAGATGTGATTGTCCACTACTCGAGAGGGGCCGTTACTTTTCTGCTGTAAGGCTGAAGTGTCGACTTGGGAACGGGAGACAACTGCGCGGTTTTCTAGCATTCTATGAGATGAACACCTGGTATATTGCATATTCGTGGACCATGGAACAGCAATTGGCGACGCACAGCGGATATCAATATCATCTGTGCTACGTAAGTCGCATCGATCATTTCCTACGTATTGACTCATGAATATAGAGCATTTGGAGTTTTGAATAGCAGATAGATACCTATGGGAGGGGACCTGCTGCAATGGACCCGAAACCAACGTTGTCCATATCACTCATCACACCTTCCATCTTGACTGGTATCTTCTTATGGTATATATTCCTGCCAAGATACCCTGGTGATAAACATCTCATGTCATATCCAGCGGCTTGAAGTCTGTGGAGACAGTCAATAGATCGTTAACTTCTGAGACAGGAGGCATCCTAACGAGGTAGAGAGCCAAATATGCATACTCCATTCTTCGTAAGTCAGCCTGAATAGTTCTGAAGGTTGTCGAGGCACAGCATAGTGAAGTGCTTGAACCAGGTTAGAGGCTCGGCTGTCAGATAGGGCTGCCTAACTTGATCGAAAGCCACCCAGCCACCCGCTACTCAGATGGGCCACAGCTCCTTAAAAAAGCCATTTGTAGCCGCCGCATGATCCTGGTTCCAACACTCGTTAAAGCCTGAAGATGCCCCTTCCTCGATCCCTATTCCCGATTGCAAACTCAATCTTCCCGGTTGACCTGTATTTCTCTGCTTTTTCTACTCGGTAACCTCTTAGCGTTGCGTACATCAATGACGGGAAGACTTTCAAACTCTTCTCCTTCGCCTGCATGCCCTGGCATCCGCACTAGAATGAAGCATGTTTAGGAACTGATAGGTGTCACTCATTTGAGCAAAACCCTGCAGGAGTTCCAAAAGAAAATCCCTTGGAAATGCTACAAGTAAGTCAAGTTGTAATGATGTAGTTCGTTGATCCTCCCCACCCGCCGCTCGCGATACTTGTACAACTAGTTCTGCTTCATGTTTTTTTCCAAATCACACCACTAAATCCACCTTCAACTTGATAACATCACCTTTTCTTCGGCTGCAACCGGGCTGGTTGGGCTGAGATAATTCGACTTATTTTTCTATTTGGTTATTGCTATCGATCTTTGCCTTTTACTCCCATTCCTGGAATCTTCAAGCTGGCCTTCATCGTCGGTGATTGAGGTGTGGAGGTTGTGCATGGTCCCGACGACGTCATGGATTTGGAACGGATCAAGCAGAATCTCCGACTACGCTCTGGACGTTCAAAGAAAATCCGCAAGCCAGTTCCATTGCAGCTTGATTCCAAAGACCAATTCAACAATACGTCGCAGAATAAAAGTGCACCAAATACCGCGGTTCGTCTACAGGAAAGACCTCAAACCCGGCACAATCACGAGCCGGCTAAAGATGAACCATCTCTCCGCAACTGGGATCATCAAACCGCCCTCCCTCAATTCCCTACCACTGGCCCGGGACATGTGCAAAAAGATCGTCCAAATTTGTCTCACGCTGTGACAGCCTCAGGCCCCTACGAGCATTCAAATTCTTCACCAAATAAGCGATCGTCTCGCTTTGGCCTTTCGGGAATAGAGCGGCCCCGGAAAGAACGTTCCCCGGTTAAAGCCTCACAACCAGAATCGGCACCACCCTTGCAAAGGACACTGTCAGAAGCCGACATTGGTGGTGCCTTTACTTCAGATACTTCGGACGCTTTGGACTTTGATCTGAGACCACCTCCACCACGGCCGAAGCCACCATCCATTGAATCTTTGGCGGAAGCTCTTTTTTCCGCTGGACATTTGAATGTTCTACTCCGTCATCCACATTATCTCGCCCAATTCACTGTCTTTGTGGGGAAATACAGACCCCACTACCACAGCACAATTCTTCGTTATCTTGAAACACAGAAAGCAATCAAAGCTGTGGAGTATGCCAACTCGGTCGCTGAAGGTATCGAATATCCTACAGAAAGTGAGCATGGAGAAACGTTGCAGACCAGGCCCTCATCTGCGGCAACCTTGGACAACGCATTCGCAGAGGCAAACTCTTCTTCGTTCCAAACACTGCTCGATTCGGCACTTCCCATGTACATTACCTATAAACTCGTGAAGATGGCGACTGAATGCCTGGTCAATGAGATTGCTGGACGACGCACCCCTTTGATGATAGACCTCGTCAATGGCCTGTCAGAGGTCTTCTGCCTTACAGATCCTAACCAGCCTGACAATCCCATCATCTATGCTAGCGAGGAGTTTTATCGTCTCACTGGCTATGGCCGCGATGATGTCATTGGACACAATTGCCGGTTCCTTCAGGGCGCGAACACTACTCGAGGTTCCGTGGCACGGCTACGACAAGGTATTCGAGAAGGTAAACAGACTTGTGAAGCATTATTGAATTATCGGCGAGATGGAAGACCTTTCATCAATCTATTGATGATCGCGCCCCTCCATGACGACAAGGGAAATGTCAAATATCACATAGGGGCTCAAGTCGACGTCACGAGGCTCGTAGAGAAAGGTAAAGCTTTTGATTCGCTTGAGCGATACCTTATCATGCAAGAGATTGAGAAGAGAGAAAAAGAAATGAACCGGTATTCTGACAAAGAGGACCCACAAGATACGCGAAAATCCAGAACACTTGCGAAACTGCGTGATCTGAGCGAGATGTTCGACTTGGAAGAGTCTGCAGTGGTTCGGTCTCACAGCAGGTCCGCTTCCCTGACAGCAGAAGATGCGGAGCGAAGTAATAGCAGTGGCCGACGCGTTGTCTTGGGCGAGTCTGATTCCACCTCTGAGCATGAGGAGCAGGAAAGTGAAGACAAGACATGGAATCTAGCTCAATCTGGGAAATCTGGACTGTCGGGCACACTTCCTGGGGTTTACGACAGCTACATGCTGATTCGAGCAGCGGCGTCACTACGAGTTGTTTTCCAATCACCGACATTGAGACAGAGGTTTGGTAACGTCGTCCAACATCCATTCTTGTCTCACATTGCGGCACCGTTAAACACTCTAGCAGGACTCAAGGAAAGTCTGGGAAGCGGTGTTGCCGTCTCCGCCAAGATAAACTTTATGCTCGATCCTGGAAAACGACGTGATGGGACAGAGATAAAGCCAGGGTCGAAACCCGACAATTCCCGCCCATGCTGGATCTCAGCCACTCCTCTGCTAGGTAGCGACGATAGTATTGGTGTTTGGATGATTGTGTTTGTTGAGAAAAGAAAAGTGTCCAACGCCAGGACTACCCAAAACCAGATCCAGTCTGAAGAGCCCACCAAAGAATCAGCAGGCCTCTCACGCAAAGACCGGCCTACAAAAGTCGAAATTCCTGCTCGTAAGTCATCACAGCGTCTACGGCCATCGAAGTCAGCACTGGAGTCTAAAGCGGATCTCTTGAATGATGATGTGCCTATGAAACCTAAGCGACTTGAGGATGTTACGGAGTCTGTGAATAGTGCTGAGTCTACCTTACGAGCAGGAACGGATGATGGCAAGGGATCTGGTGGCGTGGTCGATAAGGAGGAGATAGAGTTGGGCGAGAAGAATGAAACTGCCAAAGAGGAACCAGAGCAAGAAGTTGAAAGAGACGAGGCAAAGCCCACTGCCATAACAACACCCCACATGGAAGAAGAACACGATACTGTTCCTGACGAGCTGTCGTCACCCATCCTGGAGCCTGCCGTAGAACGCAAGCCATCCGATGACCTGTTTGTCCGCCCAAAGTTGCAGACGCAGGACACTCAGAAGTCGGAGCGTATTCACATCCGCGCTGATAGCGATACAGAACCCCCGGCATTGTCGACAATAGATCTTGACAAGGCGCTGGTGAGGTCGCTACCGGGCAGCAGAGCCGGCACTGGTCTTGCTATCCACAACTTCCCATCTCCACCCATGTCTCCAGAGACACTCAACGTATTCCATGGCTTCTCGGATGACGAAGAAACTCCGCGCCGATCAGGCCATGCTGTTCCAATCGGCAAAAAATCGTCACTGACGCCTCAACACAAGGAGGGCGACCTCGAGTCTCCTTCCGGAAAACCAAACGGCAAGCACTATATGGACTATCTCCGTCATCCCGGTAGTGGTAGGAGTTCGGGGGAATATAATCACACTCTTACGGGCTCGGTACTGGTCAATTCCATGTATCATGTGGATGAAGATGGGAAACATTGGGTCCAGGATGGCGAGGATGACTTTCCCGACCGTGAGTGTCTTGGTTCTCCATACAGCGTTGATTAGAGAAAGAGGATCTGAAATGCGAAATCAACTTCGAAGGAATATATCTGGATGGTGATGTTCAATTATTTTGGGTTTGGTCAAAAACATATGGACATGGAGATCGAAGCTCAAGGCGAGTTGATCTACAGCGCATTTCTTCTCATAAATATACTACAACTAAGCACCCGATCAATGCAATAAGAGTCCAGTGTGTCACACATCTCCTGTTGTCCACAGTTTTCGAACATCCTCACAGGTTGAACTGATCATGCATGCCTCAGTCTAACTGGCCAGTCAAGGCCCATCTCCATTAGGCTGAAGGACAAGCGGTTCGGATCGACCTGACGGGCATACAAGGATCTTCGCCCCGCTACGGGTTGGCTAGCGTACAGTCACCTCCCATCAGCAGATCGACTTCGACTCCAGCCTGGCTGGAAGTATTCAATATTTCGCTACGTTTTCCCTCGCTCGGTCCTGCATTTTGAACATCGTTGAGATAGTCTCAAATAGAATCTCGTCTGCACTCAGCTTTCTAATCGAGGGGGGAATCTGCCCCTCTCCAAACCCGATCACCAATTTCCTTGGGCCCACCAAAACCGAGGTATCAAGACATTGGACTAAAGTCCCTGGTTTAAAATGCCAAAGCTGTACTACTTCCGGGCGCCAAACTTCGACATCTCACCAGACAGCGCCACGGCACCACGGCTGGGGAGCATCTTCTCGAGCCTGAAGCGACTAACCCGGCCGCTGAACCAGGACGAATACGTGACGATCCCGACGCACCTCCGCAACAACAGCACCAAGAGCGACTTCAAGGACACGTCGAGCAAGAACATCGACGTCGGCGGCGGCGTGTACGCCGACATCGCATCGGGGGTCGGCAGCGCCGAGGCCATCTACGGGTTCGCGCAGGACAGGAAGCACACGTATGCGTGCGAGGTGCTCGAGACGGAGGAATTCGACCCCACGGCCGAGTTCGTCCAGGAGTGCGTGTTCTCATCCAAGAGCGTGCAAGACTTCATCGCCGAGAGCTTTGTCGGAAATAAGTCCGTCTACATGATCACGGGCCTGAAGATCGCGACGGGGCTCCGCATGGCTGATGCGACGAGTACGACCCAGGGACCGAGTTTGAAGGTCGGTGTCAGTGCGTTGCCGTTCGGCGTGCCTGCGGAAGCGGGCCCGAAGGCGGATTTGAAGGTTGGGACCGGCCGGGACGTCCAGTTTGGCGGGTCATCGAAGATCGTGTTTGCGTATCGTGCGATCAAGGTGAAGTCGAGGCGGGATGGGAAGGTCTCCTATAAGGATCTCAGTGGTGGGGAATATGCGATTGGGAAGGATGAGGGTGAGTATGGCGATGAAGGGTGGGATTTGGAGGTTTTGGACGAGGAGGATGTTGGACGCATGTTTCCTGGCTCCGAGAAAATGGATGTTGCTTATGAGGAGTCTACTGGGTGAAGGTGATTTTGAATTTGGGGGAAATATCAGTATCATATTTCATTTTATGGCTTTGTTGATCTCGTTGTCAATCCATTCCCACGAGTTGTCCTTCTGGAAGAAATCCCATGGTCGGATCCACCAATATTTATCGACTCGTGGGTCTTTCATGCGCTCAAACATCCTCTGCATGCCATCTACCCGTCTTAACTTCATCCAGTTCTCGGGAGACAGAGTTTTCCTCGCATAGTCGAGCACGATTGCCGCGATGCCCGCCGCTATCGGAGTCGCGCAGGACGTGCCGCTCATATACTTTGTGTTACCAGGTGACTTGAGGTGTGCTGGCCAGGCTGCGTTGATCCACTCACCCAGGACCATTATTCTCTGGTTGTCGTGGGGACCAGGTGTGAATGTCGAGGGCTGTCCAGTTCCGGTACCGGAATGGACGCAAATGACTTCAAGCGCCCGAGCAGGCCAGCAAACATGGTCGGGTCGATTGTTGCCGTCGTTGGAGGCCGCTGCGAATAACGAGACTCCACTTTGATATGCGTATCTGATGGCCTTGAGGATTGAGTGTTCCTTCGTGTCGCAATCTTGTTCTTCTTCGAATCCAAATGACATGACGATGATGTCGACTTTCCATATATCAACGGCATATCGAATAGCCTGTAGAGAGGAGTCAATCAAAAGTCTCAAGTTCTGGTGCTGTCTCAACTTACTTTAGCCACATTCTTCAATTCTGTTTGCATGTTCGGTTTTCGTTCCTTGAAAACCCTTGCACTATGAATTATGGCGTTCTGAGCTATTTTCGCCAATAGTGTCGCAATATGCGTGCCATGTCCCACCTCATCTTTACTATCCTCCATGCTTTCTCCGCCGACATCGACCCAACTTCTATATTTCATATCATCATTTCTGTCGTAAATATCCCGCTGCACATCGGAGAGCTCAATACCCGTGTCGAGGACGGCAATTTTGACTTTATCCTCGCTGCGGTGAGTAGACAGTCTGGTGTGAACATCTTGCATCCACTTAAACCACTCTAGTGATTGCTGGACTCTATGTCAGGTTAGTAGTGGCTTCCAAAACGTGGTGGAGGCCATTTACTTCTCTTCATTCATGGGCAGTCCGTCGTCATCGCCATAGAGGCAGGACGGACGAGCTTCGGCTACTCCACAGGTCATGGTCAAATCTGATCTGGCAACTTGGGGTTGTGCCTTCAATTCATCGAGCTGTTTCTGTGCGTTTTCGATGGCCGCAGAGTTGAAGTAATAGTTGTGTTCTAGTGGCCGCACAATTTTCTTGTAGATGTATTGTCTGATGTCCGTTTCCTCGGCAGGATCTGGATTCAGGCAGGCATCAATGGCTTTGAAATACCATGGGTCCAACTTGTCTTGGTATCGCTCCAGTAAATTGGAAGTGTGTGTGTAGTCCGAGTTAATGTTTTCGCCGCCCTCATCATCACTATCTGAATCCTCTTCCTCAATTTCCGGGTCAATGCTTAAGCCTTGTTGAAGCAGCTGCATCTCTAAAAGCACTTTCCCCAAGGCCAGTACGCTAGGAGCTTGATGTTGTGCTTCATTAATGTCTTCAAATGGGAGTTCCATTTTTGGTTGGCAGGTACTAATCGTCGATGACAGATATGGTTTTTGAAAGTCGAGTTTCCCGGGCTTCATCTTTCCATGATAATGGAAGTTAACATAATTTGTCCATTGCGGCAAGATATGGGTTCTCTCGCAAGTTTGCCAATGCGGATTCAACCAGTAGAAGAGTCCTTCGGCGGCGTCCTCGTCATAAAGCTGAAGAAGCGCGTGTGATAGGACAAGGGATAGCCCATTGATGTCGCGTTTTGTTACCTGGCCGTCCTTTTGGGAGATCAGAGACGAGATAGTCGACAGTGGCACTCCCTGTCCAGCATTGACAAAGAGCTGTTTGGGATGGGCTTTCTTGTCAACCCGAAGATGTTTCTGCTCGATATCCATTGATAGACGAAAAGTGCTTTTAAGCCCTCTCCTGATGAAGCGACAAATTGTTGGGAACTCTGTAGGCTTCCCACCAGTACATACAGTGATGAGGTTTGTCTCTCGCTGGACTTTAGTAAAGGAGTCAGTTTGTGCAAACGTCACGTTACCCCTACCATGGCGTCAGTATGAAGCTGCAGACATCGTGAAGGGAAATTCAGACTCTTTGGGCCGTACGAATATCTCTCCCTCCTGCCACTTTAAACTGGTATTCGAGCCCGAGAAGAGTAACTCAAACTTTGCAGATCCATCCTTGCCATGGGGTGACCGTAAGCTAGCTAGATTCAATTGCACTGTGCGAGAAAGCGTCGTACAATCACATGTCCAGTACTGTTGAAGAAGTTCCTGGATCAGATTGGCTTCACTCAAGATATTCTGTGGCAAGTCATCCTTGGCCGCCTCAGGCACGAAATCCTGGATATTTGACCGCTTATGGCCCTCAGTCAGGCCCTGGGAACAGCGACGAAGCCGCCGCAGAAGGTATTCTTGGTCGTCTTTATTTTGGCTGTATCTGATGAATTTGCAAGGTTGTGGTAAATTTTTCAGGATACACAGCCTTGGGTAAGAACGTTTGCCAATATCCGGCGTCTAAATATCAGCAAGGACCAAAATAGCCACCGAAACCTTGGCTGGGCCTTTTTTGGGGACGTACTATTTCCTCTTGGACTAAATGATCAAGTAGCTCTGCGACTTCCTCGAGCAGTGACTGTTCGTTGGGATCTGGCGTTCGACCACAGAGTATCACCTCAAGTTCTGATGCAATGAGAGTCATAAAATAGCGGAAGCGAACTTGAAAATCATGTGGACTGGAAACCCCATTTCGGAGAGCGCGGGCGCTCTCCATAAAGGCGGGAATTATCCCGATGAGCAATTCCGGTAACGACATTCTCGAAAAGGCCGCAACTGTCCTCCGCAACGCGGATCTTCCCAAGAGAACACATCTACCCGATAAAATCGTGGAATCCGGATGGGAAGATGTTCAGCCTCATCCTCCAACTGGCAGACCAGATGTCGGGTTCTAAACCAGATGCTAGTTCGACGCTACCTGCAGTAACCTCGCCACTAAAAAGTTCTAGGCTGAATATGGAATGGTCACTCATCCAGAATCACATGTCAAACATGTCAAAGTTAGTGCCAAGTCTACTTCAGCCTCAGAATGATGTGAAACCGCGTTCGATCAATGACAGTTCTTGATATTAAGATGGTGTTCATGCAGTTGATCGTGAGGGTCTGACGAGCAAGTTGCACCTTGGAGTTCGAATGTCCACGACACTTAGCCACGCCTCATACCGGTCATGGCCAAGCGCTGCAAGATTCAGATCGACCTTTGCCCTCCCCTCCGTTTACCAAATGATTCGATCTACGCTTGGCGGTGACTGGATACTCGTCGAGTCCCATTATGGCCCAGCATCCTGGTCGCACTCCGGTAATCGTGGACACTCTCTTCGAGCGCTCTAGACGCAGCCTCGACCTACTAAAAGTATGCGCGTCTATGCGATGGTCATCGCTCGAGGTAGGCTGGGCAGAACGGCAGCTAGCTGCCTTTCTTCTCTGGACATCAAGTATCGGTGTCTTCGCACAAGGTACAGTATCGGCAGATCATCGCCTACGGGGACACCAAGATATTCGGTTACTTCTTGAAGATCTACTCGAATCTCTGGAAACAAGTTTGGAGCAATGTAAGCCAACTCCAGGGTTTCTGAAGCATTCATTAATATCACGCACGGACAGTACAATCTCAATCTCAAGCCCAGACAACAATGCCGCATTCTGATAGTGCGGTCAATGCCAGCTCACATAGAGTACGGGATTCTGGGCCACAGATTTCCATTTCTCAGCTAACGGAGAGTGTGGAAATGGCAATAAGCTACCTCACAACGCTTGCAATATCCATTCGGAAATCAGGTACACAGTATCGGGATCGTCGGGCTGAGCGTTTTGCAGAGAATAGCCCAGAGTTCAAAACCACAAAAGATGATATGTACGACTTTCTCAAATCAATACGCATGTCAGGAATTTTCAGAGACCACAAATCGACCACAGAAGAAATCGCAAGGGATCTCAAGCTGGACAGTCCCTTATTTGAGCGACTTGTTGACTGCAACATGAAGCGCTGGAGTCAATTCATATACGCCAGGCACCACGACAAATCACTAAGTGCAATTACTCCTAATCCAAATTCACAACACGCTGAGCATCGCAATGCTCCAACAGGAGAATCTGTTGTCGATCAAGTTTCATCAGGGGTCTCAAAGATCAACCTCGAAGGAGTGGTTGAAAATTCTACCCCAGTAGAGTCGGACGGTACCATAATTTCAAGACTAAGTACAGCAGCAACTCCAATCGAAAAAGGGCTCTTTCAGTCAACATTACCGGCTATTGGCGAGGATCGTTCCGAAGTTCTTATTCCGAATATTGCAGGCTCATTTATTGCGGGCAGAGTGAGGCTGAAGTATCCACCACCTCCAAAAACGGCGGCTTCGTCGAAGCATTTTCAGTGCTCTTGCTGTCGGCAATTGTTACCGGTGGAGTTTGCCGAGCAGGAGAATTGGAGGTTCGTTCTTCCTTGAGCCTATCTACCAGGAAAGCGCTGATGAGCATGTCTGCAACATAGAAAGCATGTTAAATCTGATCTCAAGCCTTACGTTTGTCTCCTGGAAAAATGCTTGCAACCTAATGAAACATTTACTGACACGAAAGCCTGGCTTTCGCATATGGAAACAGAGCACAATAAGACAATTGTACGATGGGCTTGTAATGCTAAACATGACTCACCAGCAGTCTTCCCATCTGAACAAGAGTTCGTCAGCCACATGAAGGACATGCATCCCAAAGTGGCAACAAAGTCTCAGCTTCCAATAATCACGAAAAGAAGCGGCAAACCTGCGGCTCAGATGTTCATCAATTGTCCTCTGTGTGGTTGGTTACCGGGTTTTGATCCAAATCGAGCTGGGTCGGGAAAGGAGCAAGGTGGAAAGGATCCCCAAGATGAAGCCAATGCAATGAGAGAGAAAAGCAAGCTCAATAAACATATTGCTGAGCACCTTCAAGATATCGCCCTACGATCTTTGCCCGAAGAAGCTTTCCCTTCTGAGCAAGATTCGATAGGATCTGTTACGTCCTCAAACTCTTCTACAGGGTCGAATGCGACAGATCTGGATATCACAACCAGTGAAGTAGACTTCCTGAGCCGGCAGGCTCTGGAAATTGATGGCAGTGCTCCTGATCACCTTCTCGAACAGAACCCAGAGAAAATTCTCGATGAAAAGCTACCTGCTACACAACCGTCTAGGAACAGCTACTGGGGTTGGCTATTTACTGCACTCACAAAGATCCAGCTTACCAGGCCCGAGTTACCAAACCCATGTATGTCACGAATCCTCGTCTTTTGATATAAAATTGACAGAGCCACTTCTTTCCAGTCATGTGTCCTCACCTTGAGCCCCTTCAGTTCATTGACCGCCCTGTGCTGTTCCGGAAGCTGCTCACTGCGCTCCGATTATCGGGCGCAAGGGGAAACCCCGGGTTTCAAACACTTTGTCTACTCACAGGACCGGTGGGGAGTGGGTAAGTGCATGACAAGTCCTTGCCATGGAGCTTCTTAGCCTTACCGAGATCTAGGAAAACCGAACTTGCCACCAAGTTCGTTTACAGGCTGCGTCGTTACGACCGAAATATCTCGATTTTCTGGGTTTCTTCTCCCTCTTACCTTGACATGGTATTCATTAGCCGGTCCAAATTTTTCTCTGAAATTGCTCACGCGTGCTGGCTACCTTCTGACGAGGAAGAATATGTCCGACAGTGGCTTAGTCGAGAAGGAAATGGAAGATGGCTCATTGTCATGGATATTAATGAGGAGCTAAAGCGTCATAGTCCCGAGGATGTACGACAGTTCATTCCAGCTTGCGCACACGGTTCGGTTCTTCTTCTGACGACATCTTCAAACCCTGTCCTTGAACAAGTTGCCCAAACGACAAGCAAAGAAGTTCTATCAGATTCGGTTCTAAACTTCACCGGGTTAGGGTTGACATCATCAAAACCCCATCCAAAAGTGTCAGAAAAGGAAGTGTTCATTGAAGAAATGACCATTTCGGAGTCTCACGCATTTGTAAACAGTATGGCATCTTACGAGCTTTATGAGGAACGTGTAGCGCAAGTAGTCTATGCTACGAAGCCGAGGTTACCACGGGATTTGATATCTGCAGCAAATGCAGCATGGACTGTCTGGTATACGAAGTCGAGGCAAATGACGAGAGAACAGGAGGAGATCACCAGGCTTGGTTTGACGAATGCTGCCAGCTCGAGCAAGATGAGTATAGAACAACAGGAAAACGCAAATTTGGGTTTAGTTTCGAACCACCCAGAGAACGATCATGATGTTCTTGCAAGCGATCAATCTCCCATCGGCCACACAGCTCTTGGGGCCCTCGAAAATGTATCAACTGAGGCGGAAGCTCTTGCCAATGCTACCGTTGACAAAGATATCTCCTCCTCTCAGGTCGGTGGCCTGCGCCGACCCAGGGCGTTGCGCTCTCACCGCAGCGAGGGAAATGACAACCCTGCTCCGCCCAGAACCGAAAGGAGCTATCGAACCATCGGCAACAAAAGTGCTGGGCCGTCTCGCAGTGCTGCATCGTCATTCCTGAGCACGTTCAGCCCCGACGACAAACCGACCCCCGAGATCGATGCCGAGGGTCAGGAAGTTGGAGATGGCTATGTGCTTGGAAAGCAGATAGGATATGGTGGGTATAGTATCATCAGAGAAGCTACGCATCTGGACGCAGGACAATTTCGCAGAGTTGCAGTGAAGATTGTCCGCACCAGAATCACTGACGTTCCAGCAGAGGATAACGAGAAGATTCAATTCCAGCTTGGTTATGAGGTTGAGTTATGGCGATTCATTGATCACCCCCACCTTCTTCAATTGGATGCGGTGTATGAGCTCGATGAAGCTTGGTTCTGCATTATGCCACTTAATCAAGGAGGGGATCTCTCTGATATCGTCAGGGCACACCGAGAAGGCATCACTTTGACACATGCACAGAGCTATAGCTTTCAACTCGCCTCAGCACTGAGATATCTGCATGACGAGCTCAAGATCGTGCATCGCGATGTCTGTCTAAGCAATTGTCTCGTTCAAAGTGCCCTTGCCGACAAGCCTGGGCTCCTTCGACTTTGCAACTTCGGCTTGGCGAGATGGACAGAGAAACCGGCTGAGGGCTATCCTCAGAGGCCTAACATGGCTGCCGCTCTTTATACTGAAGGAAATTTGGATTTTGCAGCGCCTGAGCTGCTCAAAGCGTTGTCGGCAAGAAGCAGTCCTATAATATCACCAAAACTCGACGTTTGGGCATATGGCGTTTGCATTTATTCAATGGTTGTCGGAAGCTTACCATTTCAAAATACCTTTCAACCACGCCTTTTGATGGCAAATTTGGCAGGCGATTGGGACAGAAAGCTACTGACAGAGAGAGGCGGAGACGACTGCTTTGAGCTTGTCAAATATTGCCTGGCGGCGGCTCCTATGGAGCGGTGGAATATGACTGATGTCCTGGCTTGTCTTTGGTTAGATCTGCCGGACTCCTTGAGGGGAGTTGAGCAGATAATGAGTTCCTCACCAGAAGCAGCTTTCGACGTTTCCCCAGGCGCACATACTGTCGATTCGGACGATTCTAGACGCAGAAATGAAAGTATTAGTGTGCTGTCCAACGCAGGGATTTCGGTAACGAATGAGAGTACGTCTACTGCACTGCTTCAAGGTTCAGGCCGACTTGACCCGCAATATGAGCGCCGTCCGTCATCATTTTACAAAATTGGAGCTGTCTTCTCTGCGTTAGCACACGCCGAAACAAGTTTCGATCAGCCTAAGACTTATAAAGGCTATGCTAGCAACCAACAGGTTCTGACGAAAGGTAAATATGGTCAAAGTATCTATAGTTACGTCAGGCGAATGGTGGTAGTTCGCGAAGGACACAGCTTCTGTGTTTGCATTCCGATCAATACATACACTGGAAGAGGCCTGAATAAATTTAGGAATGCTCACGGTGTGGTAGATCAAGAAGAGGTCAACAATCACTCCATAATCCATATGTCCGATACCGAGCCTTGTTATCTCAGCGGTGAGCCTGGGACGAACAAGAACGCGATCTCAGTGCGCAAGGCAGCTCCCAGTCAGAGACTAGGAGTAGACAGCAGATTATGCTATTCACAGCCATCAACAGTTGAGCATAATATTACTTCGATGCATGTCGGACAAGTCACGCAGGAATGCCTGGGCGACCTGATCCAGTACTACAGGGCGGCCCAGGGGCATTAGGATTGGGAGACGAGAATTCTCCATCTACGTCAGAGTACGAGAGAACTTCGAAGTCCAAATCATGGTTCGCCAGAAAATACAGTCTACCGACTAGGCATGGCTCTAGAGAGCGTAGCATCCGGACCGAGGAAGAGTTTAATCTGGCGAAAGAACAGGTAGATGCAGATTTTAAAGTGGTATGACGTGAAATCAGTATTGGAGCCAAACCATAAGCTCCAAGCACATCTCTCTGAAGTCATCTGGTATCACTTCGAATAGACATGAAATGGAGTAGAAGAGCTCGCAGTCAAACAAAAGAACGACGCTTCGTTCCTAGCAGAGCCTTTGAATTCCCACCTCTAAGCATGGGAAGTGAGAACTTCGTACTTGGTAGGAGAAAGGCAAGGAGTGCAGCTTGAGTTAAGGTAGAGCTTTGTAGAGCTTTACTGACGCGAGTCATTTTTAGCCATGCCAAGATAATACTTCACCCAATGATGACTCGCGTGGAATCAACTTTTTCCGCCTTGTTCCATCCTTCTAGAGATATATTGTGTTTCCTAAAAGCGATTGAGGCTTTCCTTAAAATCTCGTCAAATCAACCAGAGTCATCTCAGAAGCAGCAGAAACTCGAGGGTTCTACGAAATGGCTGCTATTATAGAGAGTCTACCGATACCACCAGTCAAAGATCTTGCAAGCAGTGGTAAGTCCTTCACTCCCATAGAGACGACCATCAAGTCAGCCATCCCCCCAAAATTCTTGGGGAGAATTCATGCTGCCCTTCCCAAGATCGTTCGGAGCGGGCAGTGTTCAGGCGTTGACGTACATACCAATTGTTGACATTTTGCAACCTTACACTTCGACTCCCGATCCCATTATCTCAGAGTAGTGGGATCGTTGACGGTTACGTGATAATGTTTTACAAAGATGCGGTTAACTGATTCTTGATACAGAGTCATCCATAAGACGATCAGCATTGAAGACAATTGTGTCACACTTAGATGAACGACCTGCCACATCACCATTGACTCCGACCCAATCCTTGCAACTATGGCGAGGGTTATATGTTGCGGTTTACATGCATGACAGCAAGAACGCAGTATCCGTACAGAATCTTATTGCAGAGATCGCCAGCTTATCTAGGGTAGTTGCCGCCAAGGACGACGACATCAGCAAGTCTGACAGCCAGGATGGTGTCTGGCTTGACACCTGGACAACAGCCTTTTGGGAGACCATCTGTCGCGAGTGGGCATCTATCGATCAATGGCGTATGAACAAGATCTTGCTGCTAGTTCGATTCTTCTTACGGGAGACTTTTGGCCTTCTATTTGCTGCAGTTTCGACGGATAAATCGGAAGCAAGGTCAAAATCTCATAGTACTGTTGCCCGACAAGTCCAAGTACTCGAGACATGGCCGCTGAGTCCACAAGACCGAAAGATACCCGATGGGTTAAGGCTTCACGTGCTTGACGTCTGGTCTGATGAACTGGTGGGACGATTCACTGCAGCACGGGAGGGACAAGACTCATCGAAGGAGGGCGGTGAGGGCAGCCTCGAGGCCTCTTTGACAGATGCTGCAACGCTCATTATGTCTCCAGTGGAGAAGATCAGCAAAGAGGCCTTGAGCAAGGGTGTGAAGATAAGAGCAAAGGAGTCATTGAAATCATTCCAAGAGGCCTTATAAGACAATTGCCGTTCATCTCGAAGTTACAATGCTCTGACGACCATGGTCACTGATATCGAAAACCAAAGTCACCCTCAGGAAAGAGGCGTAGCTGTTATCATCTACGGCAATATCAAATTTGTGACACCAGCAAATAACACAAGGAAACTACCAGTTTACGATGCTGTCACGAAAAGATACCAAACAGCTGATAGGAGCTTGTTGCACCCAGATCGAGGGCCGTGACTTGAATCACCAGGTTCATCCAGCAAACCCACCGAGCTGTCTGGAACGTCACATCTGACAGGCCACGAACTGACAGGCACAAGCCGTCACGTCCGGCGTCCCAAAATAGCCAGGTTTGGGTCTGATCCATTCAACCAGTAGGTGGACAACTCAAGAGCCTCGTCAATCCCGTCGCAGGCCGGTCGCGGTTGGAAATGGCTAGCCGAGAGTGCAGATAATGACCATTTTCTACCGAGTACTCTACGGGGCGAAGGATTGCTGAATAAGATGCAGGACAGTCAGCCAATATGATAATTCCAAATTCAAGAATCTCTCCTTGGAACAATAAGCTCGGTCCACAATCCCCACACAAAATACACCTGGTTAAAGGCGGAGACTTCGGTGTCGATCACCAAGCCTAGCCTAACATGACATTTTATGTTTGACAAATAGGCCATTGTAAGTAGAAGTGATGCGACATTATTGACCTCTTGAACAATCTGCGTTGATATAGCCCTTTAAGCCCTATCATTTCATCGTGGATATGTCATCAACAAATTGCTGAAATTTCATTCTCAATCTCAGGTTGGCCACCATCTTTGTCCATACAAAAAGTATTTGTCAGACTTCTGAGCATATTAGCCAAGAAGGGGCATCATCAGCTTTCTCCTGTTTAGTTCACCCTCTAGCGATCTCTTAGTTTGCACAATATCTAACACTTCCACTAAATATTCTTCCTTGCCTAGTGCTTATAGGAGAGAAGAAGGAAGGTACCTTCGGAGCGGAGATGAATATCGTCGGAGGACTGGTTTGTAGCAAAATCTTAGGCAGTCTGACAAGCTTTAAGTCCGCCCAACTTGAACACGCCGCCGCGGAAAGGCCAAATGCTGCTTGTTAGCCACGGAACCGCCGGGCATTTCCACCACAACACTACACCCGCTAATTGACCTTCAAAGCTCCAAACGGGGACCGTCTTCGGCCCTACAGCATTACTATGTTGAGAAGAGCATAAATCCAAAATCAACAAGACGAGGCCGGCCCAATATAATCTCATTCTGGCATAGACTTTAGCCTGCAACGCCATCGCACTCCACTTGTGGACGATCGGTGAAGGATCCTGTCGTCACGACTGACTAAGGGAGACTATCAAAGCAGCGAGAGAGATGCCAAATTCATGTTCTCGTGAACAAGGGACCTGTGGAGGCATTTCACGCAGCACAGCGCAAGTGAAGGTCTCGGGCTTATTTCGATCACCTGGGCATGGCCCTGCGAGGCCGTCTCAAAGAGCGGACTCCTATTGATCCTCAGGGTTGTCATTGCATGGCATGGCACGCGATGTCATACCCCAGCCCTCCCATGGCAGGAGACTAAGTGTCACCGAGGCAGCAGAGTGAATGTACTGGAGTATGATGATCAGTTGTCACTAGACTCCCTGGAGCACCAACGTCCATTGAAGTGATATTCAGACTCTCAGTATATATAAAGAATCCTCTCCGGATCATTTCTTCCTCACATATCTGTCAATCTAACAACTTAGCTACCCAGACCATCCATCACTGGCTTGCGACAATGGGGCTCTCATCTCTCACCCGCGCGGTCGCAGCTATTGCTGCTGTTGCCCTCACAATCACGACCTCCGTCAACGCGATCCCTACCTGGCCTGATAGCAGTAGCAGCACCAACCGCAACTTCCAGTGCCAGAACCTCACCATCCCAGTGACAATCAGCGCACGCAATGCCATCTTCGACGTCGCAACCCCGGAGACAAACATCGAAGTCACCAACTTCATTCTCAACCTCGCGCAACAAGGCCACAACTACAGCCACACGATACTTAAGGAGTACGCAGATGTGTCTGGCGACTACACCCTGGCCGCGACATACTGCGCACCCTTGAACGGAAATTCCAAAACGCTGCAGATCCTCACCCACGGCGTTGGTTTCGACCGCTCATACTGGGACATCCCACTCAACGACTTCAACTACTCGTACGTCGCCAGCGCCGTCGGCGAGCACGGCTTCTCCACACTGTCCTGGGACCGACTGGGCATCGGCGCCTCGACGCATGGCGAGCCCGTCAACGAGATCCAAGCAACGCTCGAAATCGCCGCGCTGAAGGAACTGACCAGACTCGCGCGCGCGCAGCAGATCCCCGGCCTGGCCCTCCCGTCATTCGAGAAATACGTGCACGTCGGGCACTCGTTCGGGTCGATCCAGAGCTTCGAGCTGGCGCGCGAGTCGCCCGACCTCTCGGACGGCCTGATCCTCACCGGCTTCGGACTCAACGGGTCCTTTCTGCCCTTCTTCCAGTTCGGCGGCAACTGGGTGTCGGCGACGAGCATCCCAGCCCTCGCCTCGCAGTACGCCGCCGGCTACTTCGGCGCAGGCAACCCGTCCGCCGTTCAGACGAATTTCTTCTCGCCGGGCCAATTCTCCGCCTCTGCACTAGACCTCGCCGCCGGCGCACTCGGCCAGCCCGTCACGGTCGGCGAGCTGCTCACCATCGCCTCCGCCATCGGCGGCGTCAGCCAATTTTCCGGCCCCGTCCTCGTCATCACCGGCGAGCGCGACCTGCCCTTCTGCGGCGGTGACTGTCTCGCCACCGGCGACCCCGCCGTCGCGAGTATCCCCGCGGGCGTCGCGGCGTTCGTGCCCAGTTCTCGCAGCTACGAGACTTTCATCGTCCCCAAGGCTGGCCATGGTTTGAACTTCGAATACTCGGCCCAGACCACGTACCAGCATATTGCGCGGTTTTTGGAGGCGAATGGTTTCGCGTGATTTTGCTTTGTCTTGATGACGATGATTATGATAACAATTAGATGACGGAGGAGCTGGTGGTGCTGAGTTGAATGGTGTGTTGCCCCCTGGATAGGCTTCTGTGCTGGGGAGGAATATTGGCCTGACTCCATACTGGGTTCCTAGGCAGACGCAACGGCTCCTTTTATGGCGATTGTCGTGGTGGAAGTGGTGATTCGATACTCTAATTAGCCAACGTCAATGAGCTCTTTGAATCAATCAGATTTCTATATCTGAATCAAGCTCATGTTATGAGAGGAGGTTGTGCGCTCAGTGAAATTTATGTGTCGGATGTGCCAGAAGATGAGCAGGTTATGGTTGATACATTTTTGTGTCGATCACATCTAGCAGCACCGAGCACTACGTCCCATCGTTTAGGCACGTGTGGTATTCACTGTCATGTTCGTGGGTGGTGGTTCTCCAACCATAGTTTGTCACTACATATATGTATAACGTCTGTGCAAGTCTGACAAGAGACCCATCAGGTAAATCAAAAGACCGAAATCCAAAACATGCCGTTCCACCTTGGGGTATATAAATCTGCTCGGAGACATGTCCGAAAAATGAGCGCGGTAGGGCTAAATACAAAGCCATGTATTGCTGTACTAGGAGAAGGTGTCTGCTCTTATGCTGTGGGGTATCACATTTTGGTTCTCTCGATACCAAGTCGCTCGAGTGCAAGGGAGATCAAATCGATCCGGACAAATGATAAGCGTTGTTTTTCGTGTTTGTTGCCATTGTAGAAATAGGATTGAATGACGCTGGAAGGTGACTTTTCTCCATTCGTAAGTAGATTTGAAGTCTGGCGAGGAGTCTTGTCTAGAGAGATCGTCGAGCTCCTGAGTTCATCGTTTCTGCCGGCTTTGCTTGGCATTCAACATGTTTTTCAACTCCATCCTTGAAAGACAGTAAGATGAGAAGGACAGCGGGACCAAGGCTATCTCGGTAAGGAATTACCGCGTTCATCACCACTTATATCTATGGTGTCCCAGCCTTTGGGTCCATCGACTTCATAGACACCGCCATGTCTACTCAGCACAGTGCCAAGCGCTTTATGACACTCCAATTGAAATGGTTCGAATGGGAGTTGTTCACCATCAACGCTGAAGTAGCCGCCATCTCGGTTAGCATTCCGACCTTCACCAGAAACGCCCCAGCGATCCAGTAGTTGCCCTAAGCGGCCTTGTCGATCCGTGTTCTCACTTTTCTGCACGTGTCGACCAAATTTAGGGATGAGACGAACAGCCTTTACTTTGCGAATGCGCACCACGTCCTTGTCGAAGAAGGTGTTCTTTTCGACGGACATTAGAAGGTCAAGAGATGTGAGACGTGATACATCTCCGTCTATCGTGACAAGGTCGCAGAGGCCATCCGAAGGAAGCGATGCCGGGAAGAAGGGTGCATTGGCGGACATTATGTTCATGTTTCCACAATAAAAATTACCCAGGTTGTGGTAATGTGTCAGGGGTGACCACCCATCTCCAATTGGTAAAGGGTCGTTGATTGTGCCGTATTGTAAAGGAGGGAGACCGAGATTGGTAGAGGCATCGAGGGGAGTGTCGAGATCTGCACGAGAGATGGAAGTGGGTATCTGTGCTTTGGCTCTTTCACGAGCATAATGTCGTTTTATTTCTTGCTTGTCTTCGATCTCAGTCTTGACGGCAATATCACAGGGATAGAGTGTCTTTCCGAGGAGACGGATCAGAAATCCGTATACAAATCTTGACTCGCCCATCCAACGAACATTCTCGGTGCCCAGATCGCTTTCGGCCACTATTCCCAGGGATTGGGAAAGAAATGACAGTGTCCTTTTGTCGCCTTGAGTGACACTGACTAGGTCCATAGGTGTGCGAATGCCCTTGACAATACACAATGCGGCCGTACTGCATTCTCCGGTGCCGTTCAGATTCCAACACATAGCATTACCACTACCACATGGCAGCTGAGCTATAGCCACCTTTCTCAACGCCTCAGCAGCGTTGGGCTTCTTGGCCAAGCCATTGAAGCATTCATGGGGAAGTCCATCTCCTGAGGCGCTGACCAGAACATCAAAGGCATTGATATCCAACCTCTCGGCGATTTCTGTGGCGTGGCCGGAATGGGTGGTTCTCTCAACGTCAACTTCACAACGTGCAGCAGCAAAAATGGGCTCGATCTCTTTTGAGTACAGCTTCTCCGCCTTTCCCACACCACCATATGGGTTGATTAGGAGTTTTATTCTCTTGTTTCGTTGCGAGTGTCCGTAGGAGCGGGCTAGTAATCGTTGGACCCATCTTGAGGCTTTGTCTTCGGCAGATGTGTAATTCTCAAGGGTGTAATTGATGTAGGCGACTGCGACGGGACCGCGGGGGGATTTCGAGGTAGGTTTGGCATACCGGATGGTGAGATCGTTCTTGACTACTTCGGCCCAGAGAATGTTGAAGTAGGGAATGGAACGGGTGTTTGTGGTTCCTACATTGAAGACTCAGTCGCCGCAGTCAAAAGAGGACGGCCATGCAGTCGACATACTTTGTGGCAGTAGCCCAAAGCACGAAAAGCCCGTACCTTCACTGATCCCCTCATCTGTACAGGAGACTGTCAACAACATGGTCTTTGGAGTGGAATTGGCACCAATGACCTACCTAGGACTATCACAGAATCGGTGCCGAGAGTCAGGGTGGCATTGCGACCAACACTAAGGGTGGACTCGACAATGGTTTCTCTTTCATCCTCTATGGTAGCATGATCCGCGAAGGGATCGGAGTCGTGGGAAGAGTGGTTGGCCATGTTGTTGGTCTAGCAGAGGCGCATAGTGAGGGATGTGGAGAAAGAACGGTTGAAAGGAGTGGAATAACGAAAGAACAATCACATCGCGTTGCCCATCTGGGTATGAGTGTACAGTAAGAATTGCTTGTCCTTGAGTGGGAGTCTCACTGTGAGTCCTGGCCGGCCAGGCCTAACCGCGCACTGGCAGGGCAGCGGCGAGGCGGGTCAGGCACCGAGCAGAAGTTCGGACCAGGTTGACCAATTTGGCACTAGGCAAGTATGACATCGGCTAGGGAAGGTGCCCTGTTTTGGCAAGGTCGGCTGGTAGCCACGCAAGCACTAACTACCGTCAGTTTGAACATTTATCCATGCATATCACATCTGATCACGAGACGTTCTCACTGAAAGTTGTAGGAGTGCCTTGCGGCAAACCTTGGAGACTGGCCAAGACCAAAGTTCGACTTACGACTTACGAGCAACTTGGGTAGCAGCACGTACATCGTATATGTCGGAGACTTTGTGGGTGTCTGAGTGCCTCGGTCCTGTAATATCGAGTCCAAGTGCTTTACGCACCTTGACCCAGTTCTCTTTATTAATCCATGTGCTCGAGAGCATTCTCCGCCACCTGATAGAAAATATGTAGGTAGATAATTTATATGAGTACAAGGAGATTCGTCACACAAAGAACACACCAACAGTACCCAGGGACTAGAAAGCAGTATCCACCTTCCACATCGACTCATCATTTCCGCTTCCTTTTCAGAAGGCAGACGAGTGCTGTCGACTGGGCAACGAGACACCTCCGCTCGAGCTGCTCACGTCACTTCTGGGAGTTTGCAGCTCAGGCTCATCAACCACCAACCGCCTGATCTCTACGATCCAGGGGTGCTGCAGCAACTCAGCTGCTGTACTTCGTTTGGCCGGATCCCTCTGGAAGCACTTATTCAAGAAATCAATGCCCATCTCACTGAGCTGATCCTCAGAGGGCAGTTGTGGCGGGTTGCCTTGGGCAATGTTGTACATGATGGCCCATTCATTGTCCAATGTCGACCATGGCCGACGACCCGTGGCCATTTCAAGGACTACACAACCCAATGACCAGATGTCAGCCGCTCCAGAAAATCGGGTTGCTGGTCCATCACCTCGAATCACTTCGGGAGACATGTACATTGGCGTTCCCGTCATGGTCTTTTGAGGCATCCTGGGAGCTCCTGCTCCGTGTCCAGTTTCCCCTTCTCGACGTTGAACAGGTTCCGCCCCAGCAGCCATCATGGTTTGTCCTTGTCGAGCAATCACCTTGGCGGCTCCGAAATCGACATATTTGATAACCCCATTGTGATCCAGTAAGACGTTTTCGGGCTTAATGTCACGGTGTACTATTTGTGCTTGGTGCAAGTATGCCAACCCTTCCAGCATCTGTAAGACGTAGACCATGATTACTGTTTCGTCCTCGATACGCCCATGCTCCAGAAGACCGGCAACGGAACCACCCGAGCAATATTCCATGAAAATGTACACCTTGTCTCGATGCACCTCGATGCCATAATATGATACAATGTTTGGATGATCCAGCACAGCCAAGACACCCATTTCATCACTGATCTGTTTGACAATGGTCGGAATAAGCTGAGGATCTTGGAGACGAATTTCTTTGACGGCCATCAACGTGCCTGTGTCCAGATTAAGCGCAGCGTAGACCGATCCGAAAGTGCCGCCTCCCACGAATTGACCCTGTTGCCACCTCATCGTGATATTGGTGGCAGAAGACGACAAGAACGTGAGTGATCGATCAGCCTCATTCGCGCCCTCGAGCACACGACCAAGATTGGTCTTGGAGGTTCCGCGTTCTTCACGTGCTGAATCAATCTCCTCCAGCTGCCACATGCGTTGCTCGCACATCTGTTTAGCACAGTCGTCGTCATTTCTCAGCTTGGTGTAATCGAGTCGTTTGTTGAGTCCAGAACTGGCTTCGGCACGTGATTTCTCCTGTTGTGCTGCCAACGTCGATCTCGCACCCATGATATCAAAATGTGAGATCAATACAGACATGCAGCCAGCAACCTTGACTCGGATCCGCTTGTAATCCTCTTCGCCAATGTCCAGGATGTTTCGTCCGCGCGTCATGACCATGGCGAATTCCAATGCAATCACAGCCCACTTGAAGGTCCTCCTATCGGCTGCATCACAATCATCACAAATGAAGCTGACCCAGTCGAGAGCCAATCGAGTGAGCTTCAAGTTGTTCATCATACGTCGATTAGCATCCATGTATGTGAGAGATCGTTTTCCGAATTCGGTGGCAAACGCAAAACAAGACTGTATCAGCTCTGGACTTGCAATCCCGCCGTTTTGAGACCGAACCACTTCCACACTCTCCATAATGGTATTGGACAGTTTGAAAGTGGTCTTCTTGATTTTTCCTAGCTCCAAATTGACCCGCGATAGGTTGGCTCGTTGTTCAATGACCACATCGAGCTCACGTCCAACTGCATTGGCGAATTCAATTCTTGCGCTCTGCAGACGTTGAGATGAACCGTCAGCTACAAGTCTCAGCCGTCCGACTCTCACATCACTGGGCAATTCCAAGACATCCACTTCCATTCTTGGGCCTTCCCATTGCATGTCGTCTTCTGGTCTGATGATCAAAATGTATGGATTGGATGGATCTTCTGGGGCATCGTCCGCATGGAATGACGTCCCGAGAATGGACTGGATTTCTTTGGGTCTGTTCCAAAGTGAAGGCGATGCCACGAACAGAACGCCCTTGGGGCTATTGCTACCCATGTCCGCAACAAAATGACCAGAGACGAGGAGAGATTCAGTAAAGTCATGTAGTTGTTGTGAATCCATCCCAAGGTTGAACTCGGTTGCATTTTCGAAGCGCTGCCGTAGGATTCGAGAGAATCGGAAAAGTTTTCTTTGACGCACACGGACCGAGTCAAGAATGGCCTTGTATCGTTTTTCCATCTCAACTGGATTTTCATCGGGCTTGGTTCGAAGTTCCCGCTCAAATGAGCCGGTCAACCGGAGTAACGATTTTGCTGTTAACGAGCTGAACTGTTCGGCGACCTCGATATCTCCGCCCTCCAAGTGACGGCCGATTTCATTCGAAAAGCCCCATTCTTGTTCCAGAATTTCGGCTTCTCGGAATGTGTTCTTGTTGGCACTCAACTTCCAGTTCAGCATTTTGAAATAGAACTTTAGGGCATCGACAATAACAGAATCGAACGCCTCGTCTATACAGGGAGGTAAATCCCAACCAGGTTCCGGATTTGATACCATGACGTACTCCTTCTTTATAAGGCAAGCAAGTCTCATCAGGATCTGGAATTGTGCAATCATCTGGTCTATGATGAGAATGGATTGTTGAGTAGATTCCTTCATCTTTTTCGCGTAAGAGAGCCGCATTCGAATGATTTCCACAATTAGTCGAGAAGGGAAATTGACCAGGGTCAGAAGTTCTTCAATATAAGGAGGCAGATGGCGAGCTGCGAATGCTCCGGCATTCTGGATCAGGGTTACTTTGGCCTTCTTGATGACGTCTCCAATTCCTTTCAACATGCTCTTGTCACTATGCAGAGACTTGAGTCCATCTTCCTTGAGAATGCGGTCGATGAAAGAGGACTCATCGGCCAGATCACCTCCACTCCCATTACGGTGCTTCTGTTTGGTGAAATCGAGCTCTGGATTTCCCACCCATGCTTGAAGTAGACCCAACTCGGTATTGATAGACTGGGTGATGTTGTGCCAGGCGAAAATCGCATCACAGCTGGTTCGGAATGCTTCAGAGGCCGCTCGGCCATGAGCTGTCTCCAGGGCTTGCCGAGAAGAGTAGAGCCACTCGCACTTCTCTATACTGGCAACTCCTTCCTGGACTTGTTCCAATGTCGTTTTGCCGACAACAGTTTCACCCTTGATCTCAAAACCAATGATGCTCTCAACCACGGGTGGCAGATCTTGACGGGCTTCTTCAATCAGTCGCTTCTGCATCGCAATCGGACGTCCATAGTATTTAGCCCTGACCCCAAGCCATATCTCCGAGCCAAGCTCGGATCTTGTCTTTTGCTCCAACGTGCCGATTAACCTCTGCTTCTCTTGCTTGACCACGTCACCTTTCAGTACCGATGCAAGCATCGAGTGCCATTCCAGTCGTTCTCGGTTGCCAGGAATTTGGAATTCTTCTTCCGACGGTTGGAGATTGTCCTCATTACCAAGAAACATCAGAGTCTCATCGTAGGGGTCATCGAAGTGATGCTCTCCCGAGGGAGAATCTTCATCAGTCTCGTCATCAGTGCTGTACCCAATGCTGGGAGTCCGAGGGTCATTGCCGAACCAATCCTGCGGCTGCTGTCTCACTTTTTGTACATAGGCCTTCTCTTGAGCTTTGTATTGTGCATTAGGGTCCCTTCTTGATGACCGCATCGCCTGTGATGAATGTGCGCGGCCGGAGTTTAGGGAAAGGAATTGAGGCGGTCGCCGAGCAGGAGCATAGGTGTTTGAAGGCGTCCGTAAAGGACCACCCGGCCTAGGATTCTGGGGGTCACTAGAGAAGGATCTGTCCATAGCTGTTGGCGGCGCGCCGCCACTGCCACCTCGTGGTCTTGGACCTGTTCCAGGACCTGGTCCATATGAGTTCCACGAATTCAGCGCAGATGAAAAACCCGATGTTGGGGTGTAGGAAGAGATGGTCGAGGTGGGAGTATAAGTGACACCAGGCTCGGACGGGTCGTAAGGCGAGTTTTGAGCATAGCCATATACAGCAGAAGGAACGATGTCTTCGTCAGAGCCCGAGGAAGATCCGCCACCTGGATGGTGCATCTCCTGATGTTCCATGACCAGAGGCAGTCGGCCTTCTTCGATACGCTGGACTTCGGACTTTGGAGGACGAGGGCCGAATTGTCGCGGAGGGAGACTCGAGGGAAGGACAGGCGACGGTGAGTAGAGTTGAAGTTGAGATTGCGTTGGCAAGATTGGAAGTGATTGAGATTCCGGCCCAGCCGTTGGCATCGTGGACGGCGGTGCTTGGGCGGGCATGGGATTTGGGTTTCCAATAGTTGGAGGTGCCATTAGTGGCTGATGCTGCAGGCCTGGAGCTCCAACTGTGGCGTGGCTTCTGGGGATGGCAATGGGCTGCTGCATTTTTGACGCTTGAGCGCCCAAATGGAGAAGACACTCAAATAGTTATCCTCAGGCCAGGACTTGTCAAGTAGATAGATATAAAACACATGATAAGTTGGTATAGGCAAAAAATCTTGAGAACGCGTTGATAGCCTCCACAATCCTCGGACCACTACGAGTACAGACAACTTTTTCTTACTATGGCGCGAAGGGGGTGAATGTCCAAGTCACATCATGACCAGAACCAAGTCTTGACCCCCGGAGAGTGGCTGCTTCTTGCTACCGGCTTGCCCAGCTTGCCCGGATCAGCGTCCCGGCCATTCGCTTCGTGGCTTTCAGGCTTTAGCGATCCCTATTCGGAACCAAGAGCCCCTCCAAGAGCCTCCAACGGCCACACCAGGCCAAACTTGGCGGTGGCTATCCTTAAAACTTGGAACAAAGTCCCGACAATCTTGGAAGTTGGAAGTGGTCTTTTGTTTCAAGGGAGTTGACACACCCAGTGACACCGGGCCACAGAATCCTTCATCAACAACGATTGGTTCATCTCTCGATCTCTTCAATTCTGCATTGATCAGAATAAGGCTGATACAATTCAAGGGGATCTCCGTATGCCAATAAATGAACGCGCAACTTGTCCGTCAGTGGGTGAGGTATCAGTACCTAGGTATGTACGAGTATTCCCATCCTGCACACGTACACATTTCGTAAGCGAAGCCTACATACACTTCTTGCTATCATTCTGAGCGTGACCTACTCGTACAATACCCTCATCTCTGATGTGTAATTGACATGCTGCAACGTCGTGTCAGCTTGTGGAGTGTATTGCTTGCTTACTGTCATTGTGACTGCTCGAGTGTGCCTTGGTCCCCAACAACCAGTCAATCTTGTTCCAATATTACCGACTTGGACAGAATGACGCGATGCGATGACAACTTGGTAGACGAGCACACTCTGATAACCAATCATCTCTGTAGGTCAACCACTCCGGACCAATGTTTCGGTCGCCATTCTTTGTCTTGGAGGTACGAAATAGTCGTAACTTGAAAGTAGGGGCTTGTCTTGGTGAACATTGACGGAGGCGAACAGGTCACCAAGATAGGAGATATCGGGTGCTTCGTCCGACGCACGACCCACGACTCACGGAAGGCGCGGCTGGAAGACGACATGATGCCATCCTCTTCATTTACAAGTATGACCACCATTGACAACACGTGGAACATTGGCTTTATCGATGGATTTCCGTACTTGCGAGCCGACTCGGGGTCTGACAGAAGAGTAATTGTAGCCTCGTGTCTTGCCACAGGCTTGGACTTGATAGACTAGATGTGACTGTTCAAGTTGACTGTAATCTTTTGAAGATGACCAATCAAGTTTCGGTGTGGTCAGAAATCAGAAATCAAGTGGTGCGGCGTACTCGTATGAGTCTGAGATGAGGAACCCAAATACTCCGCGCGCCCTGTGGTTCATTCCGTGGTTCGGAGCATAGCGGGTGAGCGGACCAACGTCAACTTTTAGGTCAAGTTGTACATGGCGAACTTTGACTCGGCTCTTACCGTGCTGGTCCACAAGGTGGCCTCCTTCGTAGGGAGCGATCAATAGTGTAGTCATCACTCATGGTCACAGTTGAGAAAGAAGGCGGTTATCCAACATCTGCCGGATACTCGGCAACCATCATGGTTCATTCTTGTGACCATTACCGGGTGATGGCGAGAGGGCCTTGTCCATATTCTGTCCGCTACTTCGTATCTCGAACAAGTTGGCTCGCTGGGTCGCTGCAGTCACGACGCACTCCAGCTGCCTAAGTACTTGGCACCGTCTGCAAATCCAGATCTTTAGGGGCAGATGATAACCAAGCATGCGGGGAAGGGCTTAAGCATTGTCGGGGGGACTCAACTAGAGGTTGAAGTTTGAGTTGTTCTCAACCACTTGTCCCGCTAGGATATAGTATGCCATGTTGGATAATACTAACTTGTTTCTGTATATGTCGCAAAAGCAAATCTCTCCATCTCGGTTAAATCGAGATTCGAGAAGAAACATCAATGATTCTACGAAGTAACTCTGCAGACCCCCCTATTCGTATGTTCAACCGCAAACATGGCTGTGGCCACGAGGCTCGGCTCCATCAAGCGAAAGCCTGAAGTCAAGTTTGCTTATCAGTGGAGCACGACCATGGAGATGAGGTGGCCGCCCTGGTGGTTGCGGGAAGGGGCGCCCCAAACACGCCCTCGTGCTTGGCAATCTGACTGGATCCAATGGGACACGACATGCTTATCTTTACCTCTACAACCAACTCAACGACCACATCGCTCTCTCATGATCAAATATCTTTCAACCGGGCGTCCACGCCTAATCCACAGTTGCTAGTGGATTCCGAAGGCTTGTGCCTCCTGCGTTGCCCTGCACGGATGCTCTGCAGGGCAGGAGCATGAGTTTCTAAGTTCAGCCTGCAAAAACGGCCTGTCAATCATGCATGTTCGTGCAACAAATCTCAAGTCTGGGCGGAGCAATCGAGACCAAATCATATCCGTATGCGAGAGGCAGATACAGTACGAATCCTCCAACAGGTTACTCAGACCAACATGAGGGTGGTCATGCCTGCTTCCCTCTGCGACACCGTGGGTCTGTCATCACGGTGATCCGTGAGTATCATGCCATATCCGTCTCCGTACTCCCTACTGAGCACGGTTCCCTACGTGACTGTGCCGATGGGACCTGATTCGGTATGCATATAAGACAGCCCAAACAGATGGTGCAACAGAGTCCAGTGTGCAGCATCGGTGGGTCCTTTCAACTCGAATCTCACCGGTTCGATTCGTCCAACGGGGCCATGGTTGAATCTCCGCCTGAACCGGGATATTTGAGCTTACTCTCAGCCAGTTGCCCTAGCCGCAGCCATTTCGCCAATCCACCCACGCTATTTCATACTTTATTTGTCCAGACTCCATTCCCGACATTCCTCCCACACGCATTTAGATACGAACCCCCTCGTACGGCGCCTTCCTGCTCGAACCAAGGGGTTTTAGCCTTGAGTCCTTGACAGAGGAACATGTCTTTTCCGCTTGACTTCAACGCATGATTCAACCTGGAACCCATACGGTAACTCGTAGTGAAAGCAAGGTGGGCCTGTTCTTCGACACCACTATCTTATGGTCGGTCTATTCTAATATTCTTTTCTTTTTCCCGACTACTACCTTCCGTAAAGTCCCTCCCTCCACCTTCTTTCGCCATTCTCGCTTCTTCATAAAGGTAATCGACTGTCCCCTTGACTTCGCTCGTGCAACAGTCCCAGTCTGTACGTTGCTACGATCCTGCGCCTGTTTGCGCATCCCACCTCCACTAAATCACGACCACATCCTCTACCTCGACGCAATCGACTTGCAGAGAACTAATTCACAATGTCCGACGCTTCGGATACCCTTCCTTACGTCCCTCTAGAGGTCTATGAGGGTAATGCTTGCTACTTCTGTCATTCATGCATCGTTCGCCAAACTGACATCATGTAGGCACCTCTATGACTGGTGGAGACTCTTTGACTGAAGATCTCAACCTTTTCTACAATGCCGGCGACATTGCCTGGATGATCACTTCGACAGCCTTGGTGCTGCTCATGATTCCCGGTGTAGGGTACGCGCTCCTCGGTCAAACACAAATCCAAACCCAAACATATACTTACACTAAAACAGTTTCTTCTATTCTGGTCTTGCTCGACGCAAGTCCGCTCTGTCACTCATTTGGCTGTCTATCGCCGCAACTGGTCTCATTTCCTTCCAATGGTTTTTCTGGGGTTATTCACTCGCCTTTTCTCACACCGCCGGCAAGTACATTGGCGACTTGGAGAACATCGGTTTCCGCAATGTTCTCGGTGCGCCATCCGTGGGATCCTCCAAAATTCCCGATCTTTTGTTCGCTGTCTACCAGGGCATGTTCGCTGCGATCACTGTTGCACTCGCCATTGGTGCTGCTGCTGAGAGAGGCCGCATGCTACCAGCCATGGTCTTCGCATTCATTTGGTCGACTATCGTCTACGACCCAATTGCCTGCTGGACATGGAACTCCTCCGGATGGGCTTTCCAAATGGGCGGTCTCGACTTCGCTGGAGGCACCCCCGTGCATATTTCTTCAGGTGCTGCAGCCCTTGCTTACTCCCTGATGCTCGGAAAGCGTCGTGGCCATGGTACTCACGAATTGAACTATCGCCCTCATAATGTTACTCATATTGTCATTGGAACTGTCTTCCTATGGGTTGGGTATGTGGTCCCTAACCAGTTCGCACAGTCTCACGTTTATTGACTATTTTACAGATGGTTCGGCTTCAATGCTGGTAGTGCTCTGGCCGCCAATCTTCGTGCTGTCATGGCCGCAGTTGTCACCAATCTTGCCGCCAGCGTCGGTGGTCTCACCTGGTGTCTTCTCGATTACCGCCTTGAGAGAAAGTGGTCCACTGTAGGATTTTGCAGTGGTGTCATCTCCGGCCTGGTTGCAATCACCCCAGCATCAGGCTTCGTGCCTGCCTGGTCAGCCGTCGTCTTCGGTGTGGTCGGTGGAATCGCTTGCAACTATGCCACCAAACTGAAGTTCCTCCTTCATATCGATGATTCACTTGACATCTTCGCCATCCACGGTATCGGCGGTCTTGTTGGCGACCTCCTGACTGGTCTCTTCGCCGCAGACTACATAGCCCATCTCGATGGTTTCTCCGAGATCAGCGGAGGCTGGCTCAATAAACACTGGATCCAATTGGCCTATCAGTTAGCTGATGGAGTCAGCGGCATGGCATATTCCTTCGTTCTCAGTTGCGCCATTCTCTTCGCCCTCAACTTCATCCCCGGCCTTCACCTCCGTGCTTCTGAGCAGGAGGAGATCATGGGTATGGACGAGACCGAAATCGGTGAATTCGCCTACGACTACGTCGAGCTCAGTCGTGACGTCGTCAACGGTCTGGAGACAGAGGCTGTCCCAGCGTCCCGCCAGAGCCCCAGCCCAGAAAACGATCTCAAGCCCGATGACATCGAGAAGTGAGATCTTTCACTACTCCTGCATGATTACATCTCCCACGCCGATACTTGCCAATACCTGCTCAGTTTTATCACCATCCTAAAAGAATCTTATATTCCCCCAGTTTGATGTCTTTCTTGTATTGTACTGCCTACTGCCATGGTGTTGGGAGAATCCTCGGTGTCGCAATTGATGTGCATAACTTCTTAGCGCTATAATTTCCATTAGGGTTTCCTCGACGCGGCTCGGATGGAGATTGGCTAGCACGAAACGAATATACCATATCTACGCAATATTAATATCAAACTTTCCACACCATCCTCCAAGATTAATCAAGTTGTCCTATCTTCTCGTTAGTTGATTGTCTAACAGAGTATTCCGCAGTCCTTTGTCATGCAAGTTCGGGCGCCTCAACACCTGAAACCCCCAGAGAGGATCCACGGGATAAAGGACAGCCGTTCCCACCGAGTGATGGTTCCACGCGCCGAATTCAATTGTAGACTGTCGACTGTCGATCCATTTTCTGCATCATGCGTTGGACATGAACCCATAGACACGGAGCACAAGAACAGCGCATGAGGTACACAATCTGACGCGCATGTCGTGCCTTGGCAACACAGTACCCAAGGGTCAACCATACTCTGGGCTCGAGTAAATACCTGTCACTTGACTCCTCGTCTCATCACTCGAGTATGACGATTGCACAACATCTACGCGTTTCCGCCTGAGGTGTTGCGGTGTCCGCAGGGTCGATAACAGACAGATTCAAGGCCTGCCTGTTGGAGTGTCTCCGGACTTTGCATCTCGAGGCAAGGCCTTGGGGTAAGTAAGGCAGGAGCGGCCTTGAAATCAAAACTGTATGTAAATTGGATATATCTGAGGATTTCAGGGGGGCAAATGATTATTGTCATGATCATCCCTCTCCTCGCGTCTTTCTGAAAGGATCCTAGACACGGGAGCGGGATTGGACACTCTGCTGTCTCAGCCTGTTTGGCGGTCAAACATTTTTCTGGCCTTAAATGCATCGTTGGACCTCTCGCTTGCCAGTGTGCTGTGCCCGTGCTGATTCTGACAGACGTCAGGCGCGCAGTACGCGGAGGATCCTCATAACGGCCAGGAGGACTACGGGGTAGCTCGAGAGTCATACTCGGCACTTGTCCTGTCTCTCGGTAAAAGCCACCATCTGATCTTGGCGTCAAGTGCCAGGACTTGCATGGCATTGGCAATCCAAACGGAGAACCGGTTGCCCGTACATACCGCTATGTTTTGAACATACTCAGTCTCATCACTCTGCGGACATAATAACGACTCGCCGAGAAGGATCGCGATGTGCTGAGGATGATCCCTTCATTCGCGTCTCACCATCTTTCTCGGCCACCTCTTTCCAGGATATCGTGCACGGCGACAAGGCCAACGGACGCTGTTGTATGCAGAACACCGCAGAAGTTAGCATCTTGCGGAGAATTCCTTCAATGTTCTCACTTGCCGATCTTTGCCACAGATGAAGGCCGGAAACAGAATTCTGTCCGTTCTATTTGTCTGGGCCCCACATGAGCTGAAATGGCTTAAACAACCATGCTGCCTTGCTGCCTCAAAAAACAATTGGACCATTCATAGTTGGCAATTTGAATGCACAAGACGTAAAACATGCAAAAAAGCACACATACCAGTAAAAGTTGCCATGGCGAAACTCATGACATTGCAGACTTGACCATATTCACCACCGCCCACAAATATCCAGGCGCAAGTGACAATGATCATGCCACCAATGACGATGGCTCCGAGTATCACTATGCGCGTCGTTGCCCAACCGTCGCGGAACTCAAGGCCGAGACCACACTCTCCTTCTTCCCCATACCACTCCCTTGTCTTTTTGGCGATCAGTTCGCTGCGCTTGGAGAATCGATCAACCCACTCATGCCCACGATTCGGGATCGTGTCTGGGTGCTTAAAGTACCGGTTCAGTTCGATGCGAAAGTGGCGCTGGAATTGTAGTTGATCACCGGGGGCGAGATCATCCTTGCGATACTATTTACATGATGTTAAAAAAGCGTTGTTTAGTGGAGGAGCATCATTTGAGAGGGTTGGGGAAAGATTTAAACCCGTGGATTCAAGGTCAAGGATAGCTAGAACAGATAAAGCCGGAACGTGAACGAGGGAAATCGGCCACGAGTTAGCCTTGCCCAGTGGAACAAGAGTAAAAGTGACAACCGCAATATTCGTCCGCTGACCACCACAGAAGGAAACTCACCGAGATTGGCACAATTGCCTTCAAGGTTTTGAGGGTCAGATGATAGCGCATCCACCTGTTTCGCATGTAGGTGCGATACTCGCGACGTAGCGCTAAAAATAATCGCTGATCATTGTACTTCGCAGGGACGAAGCTGAAAATACGAATCTTTATGCCGCCATCATCATCATTGTTTGCGAATAAACAGAGTTCGACGCGTCGCCGTCGGTCGCTGTGGTTCGCTGTACGTCAATGGGTGATTGATTATCGGCAAGCCTTCCCAGGAGTGCGACGAATGTACACAAGGCTGGGGATCTTAGGAAGTGGGCTTACATTTGCCATTCATGAGCAGATGGTTGCCGTTGGTGGTGTTGCGGCAGAGGCAGATCAAACTGATTCTGATACGGGTATTGTTGCTGTTGCTGTTGCTGTTGCCAATACTCCCTTGGGAACCGTGGCTCACTGGTTGCGCGGCGATGCGTCGGACTATCATAGTACCTTGGACGGGGAGCTGTGTTCATACTGGGTTGCAACATCGTTTGCACAGGCGCAAAATAGTCTGCTCCCTGGCGGACATGTGGTCTGCCCCGATAACCTGAAAATGGGGGGTCCGCCATATCAAAGGTCCCTCAGGTACCAAGTGGCTGCTCCGTTCAACGGGCTCAGGTGGTCTCAAAATTTGAATGAATCCGGTAGCTGCACACTCTGATAACGAGACACGGCTGGGAGAAAAGTGATCGCGTCAAACCGCTGGGAAAGTTACTTCCAAGTTGGTTGCACGTCGACTGCAACAGCCATCGTGTTTTAGTTCGGCCAGAACACGAGTTGGCGGGAGGGAGCGGAGAAACCTCGTATTCAATCCTGTGGCTTATTTCTTGAGAAGGCACGACTCAGATTCGGGGCGTTTACACGGAAGACACGTACATTAACATTCCTGGTCCTTTGAATCTGATGTAGCGATACGCGACTCACCCTCTTATTGCCTCTTGCCAACTTTCTTCCCACCATCCCACTCCCTGGTGGTCCCGATACATTTTGTCGTTCTCCAGCTTGTCGTCCTAAGCACGAAATGCGACAGATTCCATGCTAACTCGTTTAGCTAGCCAACAGGGATGACATTGAACTTGTTGTCCTCGTCCTAACCTCTAGACTATAGTTCTGATACCTAGGCTTAAAAGCGATAGTCTCCAAAATCAAAACACAGGTCAAGATCTTCCAATCTGCCAAATTCTTGCGAGAAATCGAGTTGGACGTAAGGGTCGAACATCTCAGAATACCAGGTCTCGGTGGGGTCAATAGAATGGGCCTGAGGATCATTCTCCACTATAGTTGAAGCACTCGGGATGCTGGCAGTCGCTGATGAGATGCCTTTCGATCGAATACCTGTAAAATATCGCTCCAGAAGGAGACCATAGCATGCCGCTGGGTGTGATTCATCCACTGAAGAGACTTTTAGAGCTTGAATGGTCTGCTCAAGGAGACTCACCAGACTGACAGGTTGAGCACCTGTGTCAGCCTTGATGTCTCGAATACCAAGGATTATTGCTTTGAGGATGAAAATAGAGGCGCCTAGAACGCGGTGGAATATCCGCATAGGGTGGAAGCGAAGAAGGTTGGCTTTCCCTAGCTCGACAGTTCGCTCGAGAATCTGCCTAGCATCGCTGATGACTTGCTGAACAAAATGAAATCCAGGATCCTGCTCCGTGCTGATCGCCGCAAGATTGCCTGGGGTATAACGGGGAGATTTGATAGTGTCCTGAGCAAGAGTGTGCTGAATCATTCCCTGCACTGAAAGCGAGTTCGTGTACATTCTCACTGTATGATACTCAATGAAAAGGATATCATCGAGTGGTTCCTTCGATTTTGGAGCTGAAGGTCGAGCATTCTGATAGTCTTTCAGATTTTTCTCATGCCACTGTTTAAGCAGCGGCTGAAAGTGTTCCAAGAGCTCAACGTAACCTTGTGTCAGTAGAAGCTCGCGCATTCTAGCTTCAGATGAGAATAATATTCCATGGATAGATTTGGATAACTTCATCAGGTCAAGCCAGGCCACAATAAGTGTGTTGGTTGGCTTTGACAATCTGCTTAGAGCTGCGTGACCGATGGAAGATTCAATCATGGAGTGGAAGCCAAGTCTGGCAGCGATCTGAGTGACATAGATGCACAATAATTCCTGCAGCCTCAGCCTTCTGAACTGCTCTGAACCTGACCCAGAGTTCTCAAGGTCTCGATGATCTTGCTTGGTGAAAATCCCCATCTCGTGTCCAAGTAACTGTGCAGTGCCTAGGAACATCCAACACATGCGGTCAGCCAGCTTTGCGGGCCCTACAATATCTTCGATCGAAGTATTAATATTGGCTGGCGGATTCTGCAGTTCTGGAAGGTCTAAAGCCCAATCATAGGTGGAAGCTACAGATTGGCTTGTTCGCGGGTACCATTCGGAAAGAAGTAGCAGTGCCTCAATCGAAGAAATTGAACGCAATCTATGTTCGGACACCCTATCATGGCCAAGAGAGATGAGCTGTATCAATGCCTGGACATATCTCCACAGTTCATCATGAATCACCTGGGCCCTAGACAGGGTTCCTGGAAGAGCATGGTAACGCGCAGAGATTAGCAGGATTGTAGGACATAGCAACGGCTCCTCTGGGAGATGTTGATGATAAGTTTTGTGGCCATCAAAGGACTCGATCAAGATTGGAGTATGAGGCGCCAGGTTCTGGAAGAATCTAGCAGTAGTGATATGTTAGATCTGGTAAAGCATTTGAACAATGAATGAACAAACTTACTCATCGGCTAAGAATATAGCTTCTTCTGCCGCTAGAAATTCCATTTTCACGCATCGGGACAAATTCCAGGCGGACAGAACGTTGGCATTGGCAGATGAATTTTGCACATTGGTTCTTGTAGAGGGAGTGCGCGATCGAGTGTTCAAATCCGTGTTATAACGGCGAGTACTCATGAATACTGCAGAGCTCTGCCCTGAATAGATGGGATCCTCTTGATTAGCCGCAGCCGCAGCCTCAAAAAGAAGATCAATCGGGTCATTGCCCTTGGAAATCACCTTTCGCATAATGACATCATTCAGATGGTTCTCATTTATTGATGGAACATCTAAGTAGTCAGGCGTCTTATGTGTTGATCCTATGTGATCAGCCACCGATACCGATGCACCAGCACAATCACTGTAAGTATTCCTTAACGCAACAGGTGTTGGTCTGATAACATCGTGATGATTGTGTAATGTTCGTGACTCTGGAGCAGATTGGTCTAGTCCTATGAGATTTTGAGCGGTTATTGAACTGCTGAGCTTTGTATGGGGAACATCTCTACCAATCTGGATGGCGATGGCATGGGAGGCAAGATCAGCTGAGGATATTGGCGAAGCCGTATCGGTAGACTGATTCGCTGGCGTGCCAACCTTGCGACGTTTTCGCGAGCTGCGGCCTTCGCTGAACAAACATTCCCGCTCTTCTCGACGACACCGAGCGCATGGGGGTCCGGAAAATGCAAATATGCCTTGGCCACTCCCACCAAGCTCGCAACGAGCCTTATGCTTCCGGCAGTTCTCACAAGCTATATAGATGCGGTGGAATTGGCGGTCACCTCTTTTATATAACTGTGAGGGGTCAGGATGATTGACATTGTGGTTGTTCAAAGGCATGCTTTCCCAAAGTAGCACGTAGATTTGCTCGTAGTAGATCGTAGTTGAGCAGTGAGGTTGGATCAATGGACTGAGGTAGTCGCACAGGCTTAATTTTTAGTGTCAGGGAGCGCCCAACCACAATTTGGGGTAACTGCGGAACAAAACCGCCGACTACCCCCCAGAGTAGGTACTGATTGGCTTTTGAGAGGCTGGTGGGGGTCCAGACTTCATACATAAAGATGCCTGGTCAATGGCTATTGCGTGATCGGTTTCTGCTGAGACTGAGTCAGGATCAGAGACCGAAGGAGATGCGTCAGTCATCTCAAAAGAGGGACATCCTTGAGCGCATCCATTGGGATACTACCTGGTCGCTCGAGTTCATTTATTTTTCTACCAGTGCGGCAGAATCGTTGAGCCAAATCGGCTTCGCAGAGCTATGAGTTGATTTGCACGAATCCAGAGGCTAGCTTTAGACAGAAGTGAATACTGTGGAAAAACCAACCGCCTCATGAGGGTGGTGATCCCCAATTCTGGATCTGAGACTGCATAATTTGCTTCACGGGCTCCACAGCAACATGAACCATGTTATCAATATCCAGCTTAGTCTTGGTTTGCCCGCTATCACACCATTTCACTGCCTGAGTCTCAACAGAGGTGGGGTCATCGACAACGCCTCGAATGAAGGATGCCCATTGCAGCTTGCACTTCGCCGATACCTCTAGATGGTCTAAAATCAGGGGAAAGTTGTGGGGCATGGCTTCATACTGCTCCACAATGACAGGGATTGTTTGAGAGGACAGATTGTGAGCCAACAATAGACCCTGATCTGCTAGACACTCTTCGCCGACACATATGTAAGTAGGGGGTGCCTCTCGCCAGTCTTTGGCTGTCACTGGGGAGACCAAAGGATGAACCAAGGTGTCATCATTAGCATAGACATGATGGCGTGGGGGACTAGCTGGCCAGATACTGTCTCGATCATAACCCAAAAATGGTGGACCAGGACAGGGAATGATATCGTATTTGAGATTCGATTGTTCACTGTTGGTTGGAGCACGGGTCATATCGTTATATGGCGAAAGTGATGTAATTCCTGCTGGCAATGGTAGGTCTCTCTTACGTCCCTGCCACATGATACCACCTGATTTATCCCACCTCCTGATTTCAAGAATCAGCTGTATCAAGGCGAGTACAAGGTTTCCGCCGGCACTGTCGCCGGCAAAACAAATGTCGCTTGCGTCTACCGCGGTGTGTAGACTTCCCTCAGGTGGATATAGTAAGCAAAGATAACCAGCAAGTGCGTCTAGTAACGCTGCAGGGAAAGGATTTTGAGGCGAAAGACGATATCGTACGGCAAAGCAACATCCTCCAGTTTCCTTGGCTAAGTAGTGGGTGATATCCTGTCGTGCTCTTCCCATGCGCCTAAGCGTGTCAGTGGTGCTTGTGTTGTTAAACGCTGTATTTTGAAGGTACATTACCAAAACTGCCCACCATGAAGGTATAGTATCGTGGTATCATTCTGTATCTCTCCCTTTAGCGCCATGAAACTTTCCACTTCCGACCTGTTTTGGTCCACAGTTGCAAGATCTTTCCGATGTCCGATCCATTCGGCCTTTATGGATGTCAACGTTGGGTTTGAAAATGTCTCCGTTCCATTGCCTAGCCGTTTGATGGCAGCAACAGCGACATCTCTAAGGTCTGTGTCGGCCGGGAGTGTCAAATCAACTTTCGAACGGTGAATTGGGAGGGCATTGCTATATTCTCGCAATGATGCTCGTTGGCTATCCAGGAGAGATCCAGGGGAGGGATCGGTGAATGCGGCTCGAATAAGAGCTACGAGCACTGCAGTTCTGAGGTCCCAGACTGAGGCTGTTTCCGACACACCGAGTAAATGTAACAATGCCGCTTTCACAGTCGCCGGGAGATAGTGATAGAACAACGTGAGCTTTACCATGGTAAGGCTATGATTAGGGGCTATGAGGTCTCGACCGTCGTTTCGATGATTTTTTAGATGTAATACGAACTCAAAACGAAGCCAGTTGCTCTTTCAAATCGAGATATGCCTCTTGTGTAAAAGATATTAAATTTGTCCTCATGCATCACTTTTTGCGGTACTTAAATGAGACCTATCCGGCGGATAGATAAAATGCCCTCAATGCAATGAGAGATAAGTCTATCCGGCCAAATGGCGCAAGGCTGATTGACTCTCGAATATTATTAGACACCTATCCATCCGTCGGATAGCCTCCTCTGACTTGATATCGGCAGCTTACAATATGCTTTGATTGGCCAGGTACCTCGTTCCAAACCATCCGACGGATAGAAACGAAAAGGTTGCAGGTCTTAGGGCCAATTATTCTAGCATTAACCCCAGAAATCCCCACAGCGGAAAAACAGCGGGGGATGCATAAAGATGCAGGGAGAATCCAGTCCTCCGAGGAGCAGACATATCAAGGAGTCAGAAGCCATAATAAGAGAGCACGCCTCCCGCAGTAGCCATCTAGCACCGTACCCTTAAAGTCGTCAGATATCCACTTCACAATGGTTGTTGTGGTCAGACTCAAAATGCATCCAAACGACGGGGCGACCAAAGCCGAGGCTACCCATGTACCAGTCGTGACAAAAGAGCCAGGGACCACGGTGGACTCCGCTCTGACCTTCCTGCACGAGGCCAATATCACAACCATCAGCGCGGAAGATGAAAAGATACTCCTTCGAAAGATTGACTGGATGATCATGCCTCTGATGTCGGCAGTCTACCTCATGCAATTCATCGACAAGAACCTAAGTATACTTCCAAGTTAAATCTCGTTCGTGTTAATTCTGACACCCTGAAGTCAACTTCGCGAACATTATGGGACTGGGAAAAGACACAAACACTTCTCCCACTCAATTCTCCCATCTTGCGCTATCTTTCTGGGTCTCTTACCTCGCGTTCGAACCAATCTCAGGGTATCTGCTACAAAAATTGCCAGTGGCTAAATATCTGGGCATCAATGGTAGGTACATTCCAGATATGCAGTGAATCAGGAGAGCTAAAGAGTATCCCATAGTTGTTCTATGGGGAGTCTGTGTTGCATTGAATTGTGTTTGCAAGAACTACGCCTCTCTCGTTGCGCTAAGAGTTCTGCTGGGGGTTTTTGAAGCATGCGTATCACCTGCGTATGTGAAATCATTCACAGCGACCAAGTCCTGATGATTAACATCTGTCTTCCAGAATGATACTGATGACCTGTATGTGGTACAAGAGAAGAGGTAAGCACGCTGATGCTTTTCAGGTCCTTCTTTGGTCTAATTTCAGCAGAACAACCGCTTCGCGTTGGTATCTGGTGTGGGACTGTGGGCGTTGGCATCATCATCGGAGCATTGTGCTCGTTTGGGTTTCAACATTATCTCGGAAGGAGTTTTAAATCCTGGCAGGTGAGTTCAAAATGCTCATCAACTTGGGACAGTGATAAATTGACCTGTGAAAGATTATGTTCCTCATATTTGGCCTTGTCACCATCGTTCTCGGGCTGCTTGTGATCTTATTCCTACCTGACAATCCTATGAGCTCCAGGCTGAGTGACCAAGAAAAAATCATTGCGATTGAAAGACTTCGGGGAGACACAACTGGTGTCGAAAATAAGAATATTAAACCAGCTCATATATTTGAAGCCATAAGAGATCCACACACGTGGCTGATTTGTGCGATCACGACAGCTATCAACATTCCCAATGCTGCTGTCAGTACTTTCCAGGCTGCTATCATAAAGAGGTAAGTTGGACTATTTCTGCTATACGCGAGATGGAAAATGCTGACCATGTAGCCTTGGATACACTTCGAAAGAGGCAGCTCTGCTTACCATTCCCAGCGGGGTCATAGCCATCATCGCCATACTGAGTGCTTGTTTCATTTCGTTCAGATACAACACTCGCGGACTTGTCATTGTTTCTCTGTTAGTTCCTGGTATAATTGGTGCTACACTGATGGCTTTCCTACCCACCTCCAGCAAACTTGGTCGCCTATTCGGGACTTATCTCACCAACACAATTCCTTCCAGTATGACAGAATTCACTCATTTGACATAAAAGGTGCTGAAATCTCTCAGGTACACCGCTCATATACTCATGGGTCGCTGCGAATGTTGCAGGTCATACCAAGAAAGTAACAATGAATGCCCTTCTCCTCATGTAAGAAATTCCCGTTCCAAGGATGAAATCAAATGTGTCTAACATAGCTATAGGGCCTTTTGTCTTGGAAATATCCTTGGTATGTTTCGTGCTGATATACACAGAATCCAGGACAACCTCTTATGTGGTTTGTAGGTCCATTAACGTTCACTGCGCCACCCAACTACATTGCAGCGAAGATAGCGATTATTGCTGTCCTCGGTTTTGCTATCATCCTCATCGCTGTACTCGCACTTCTATATCATCGAGAGAACTCGCGTAGGAAGGAAGTGGAAGATTTTAGCCAGAGCATGAATGACTCGTCGTTCTTGGACTTGACAGATCGTCAGAATAAAGAGTTTAGAGTAAGTGCTGTATACGAAGTTGAGGACGATAGAGTCTCCCGATCGCTGACGTCCACAATCAATAGTATGTCCTTTGATTCACACAAGCTGAGCTGTAAGTCACTATATGCCTTCCCACTGCCCAAACAATTTGGCCGTGGCGGACGCATGATAATCATAAGCATGTCTACTAGAACATCAAAGAAGATCGATATAGGCTGATTGCAGGACAGTGAGGATAGGCGCAATGGATCGTGAAGGAGATTTTGTAGTTTTCGATGAGAAGAGGTCGTAGCAGGACAGGACGTCGGTGAGAACTGCATATGAATCAGGCCATCCCCCAAGCAATCAAGACCTCAAAGGTCTCCTCACGAAGTTAGCTAGCGGCAAGACTACTCTCAGCAAATCCTCCTCCTATAATCTCGGATCTCAGAGTCTTTTCAAGTTCATCCTATCCCTGCTTAACAGTAGCGCACAACTCCTAATAAAATGATTTAACTACATACTATGAGTAGCATTCGTCAGCAAGCTCTGATAAGCCCTCATATCGGCTTGCTTGACCGCCTCATCAAGTTACAGCACTCATAGCATGGTAAATCCTTTACAACTCGACTGTAACCCCACGAAACCACCAACGGGATGTCTCAACCCACCCTCCCCTACAACACGACGGGGACATCAGCCTCGTACATCTCCCGAGCAGCAGACGTAGTATCACACGCAATGCTCCCGAACGAGCTATGGCGCCTCTTCTTTCCAGTCGCGGGAACAGGACAACCAGCATCATCAAACGGCGACAGGCCACGTCCTCCCCTCCCAGGATCCTCAGAAGCAGAAGCAGAAGCAGCCATACTGCAGAGATACAACGCCGCGGTAACCGAATACCTGACCTCTAGCATCGCAGATTCAAACGGCGCATTCATCACCGAAGCAGCCGACTTCTCCGCGATTGCGGCCTGGTGGCCTCCTGGCTCGCATGACC